AACACCCTAACACCCTAACACCCTACACCCTAACACCCACCCCTAACACCCTAACACCCTAACACCCTAACACCCTAACACCCCACACCCTAACACCCTAACACCCTAACACCCTAACACCCTAACACCCTAACACCCTAACACCCTAACACCCTAACACCCTAACACCCTAACACCCTAACACCCTAACACCCTAACACCCTAACACCCCTAACACCCTAACACCCTAACACCCTAACACCCTAACACCCAAACACCCTAACACCCTAACACCCTAACACCCTAACACCCTAACACCCTAACACCCTAACACCCTAACACCCTAACACCCTAACACCCTAACACCCTAACACCCTAACACCCTAACACCCTAACACCCTAACACCCTAACACCCTAACACCCTAACACCCTAACACCCTAACACCCTAACACCCTAACACCCTAACACCCTAACACCCTAACACCCTAACACCCTAACACCCTAACACCCTAACACCCTAACACCCTAACACCCAACCCCTAACACCCTAACACCCTAACACCCTAACACCCTAACACCCTAACCACCCTAACACCCTAACACCCCTAACACCCTAACACCCTAACACCCTAACACCCTAACACCCTAACACCCTAACACCCTAACACCCTAACACCCTAACACCCTAACACCCTAACACCCTAACACCCTAACACCCTAACACCCTAACACCCTAACACCCTAACACCCTAACACCCTAACACCCTAACACCCTAACACCCTAACACCCTAACACCCTAACACCCTAACACCCTAACACCCTAACACCCTAACACCCTAACACCCTAACACCCTAACACCCTAACACCCTAACACCCTAACACCCTAACACCCTAACACCCTAACACCCTAACACCCTAACACCCTAACACCCTAACACCCCTAACACCCTAACACCCTAACACCCTAACACCCTAACACCCTAACACCCTAACACCCTAACACCCTAACACCCTAACACCCTAACACCCTAACACCCTAACACCCTAACACCTAACACCCTAACACCCTAACACCCTAACACCCTAACACCCTAACACCCTAACACCCTAACACCCTAACACCCTAACACCCTAACACCCTAACACCCTAACACCCTAACACCCTAACACCCTAACACCCTAACACCCTAACACCCTAACACCCTAACACCCTAACACCCTAACACCCTAACACCCTAACACCCTAACACCCTAACACCCTAACACCCTAACACCCTAACACCCTAACACCCTAACACCCTAACACCCTAACACCCTAACACCCTAACACCCTAACACCCTAACACCCTAACACCCTAACACCCTAACACCCTAACACCCTAACACCCTAACACCCTAACACCCTAACACCCTAACACCCTAACACCCTAACACCCTAACACCCTAACACCCTAACACCCTAACACCCTAACACCCTAACACCCTAACACCCTAACACCCTAACACCCTAACACCCTAACACCCTAACACCCTAACACCCTAACACCCTAACACCCTAACACCCTAACACCCTAACACCCTAACACCCTAACACCCTAACACCCTAACACCCTAACACCCTAACACCCTAACACCCTAACACCCTAACACCCTAACACCCTAACACCCTAACACCCTAACACCCTAACACCCTAACACCCTAACACCCTAACACCCTAACACCCTAACACCCTAACACCCTAACACCCTAACACCCTAACACCCTAACACCCTAACACCCTAACACCCTAACACCCTAACACCCTAACACCCTAACACCCTAACACCCTAACACCCTAACACCCTAACACCCTAACACCCTAACACCCTAACACCCTAACACCCTAACACCCTAACACCCTAACACCCTAACACCCTAACACCCTAACACCCTAACACCCTAACACCTTTTGTTTTGCTTTGTTTAAATATGAGTGTCGTAAAAATGGGTTCCGCTCTCTATCTTAACTCTTTGAGATTTTACTGCAAATGTGCAAAAGTTATAAATACATTAAAAACTTATTGGATCTTATTGGTTTCAAATTAAATAGTTTCGTTGGAAGATTTTAGATAGGCAGTGCATAATAATAGCTAAAGTCTTTTAAAAATTAATCATTACTCAAACTCTTTGTAATCGAAAACATTTTTGAAAGTTTTAAAAGAATTGGGAGCTATGTCCAAAAATCTGGCAAGTGCAAAAACTATAGAGAATAGAGATAGAGCAGCTTTGAATTTGTTAGCCTTACAAGCAAATGAGGCTATTGAAAGATCTAAAGCGATTTTTACGGTAATATCAAATAATATATCGAGTTATTTTGTGAAATAGGAAAACAAATTATTGCAGTTATCAAGAGATTTTACGAAGAAAATCTAAAGTCATTCCAACATGAAATGCATTTTTAATTAGCAAAATTCAGATGAACTTTGAGAAGGAAGGGAGAATTTACAGCTAGCGTAAAAGAAGCTATCTTACTTACTTACTTAATAATTTGGTGTTTAAGGTGTCTAGTGCCCGCACCCTTATAAAAAGGGTCTTTGCTAAACTAGTGACGTCACCAAGCTATCTTGGATTAACCTGATCAGTCCAGGCCCAAGCCTTCTATCAAAGCTTCGCCGCACGTCTCACCCGGCGCGTTGCCGATGTCTCGCCCTGACTCAGCTCGTGCGCGTGTTCTACCTAAGGGTAATCTTCCCGTTGAGCTGTGCTGAGGGGTAAAACTCTGAGCCTCTTGAATGCACTGAGGAGTCATTCCTCTGGTTATCCCCAGAGTTAAACGGCTGTTGCTGTGCAGAAGTTCTCGAGAGAAAACCCAACCTCATAAATAAAATTCCATGAGGGAGAGAAAATTAGCAGAGCTAATTTCTCTCGAACCGAATGCCATTTTATTTATATAAAGAAGCTATCAGAATTGATCCAAATAATGATGATGCATGCATTGGCATAGGACTTATCTTCTGTAATGAAAATTGAAAAGAGCTATGAAAGCACATTAAAACATAACAACGATGCAATTAGAATCAACCCAAACTTATTATGATAATAAAGGAAATGCTCTAGATGAGTTAGGCAGAAGAGAAGAAGCTATGGAATCATATAAAAAAGCTATAAAAATCGATTCAAATAATAACGATGCATACAATGACATAGGAGATGCCTTCTATCATGAGAAGAAATATGAAGAAGCATTAAAGCATTCAAAGATACAATTAGAATCAAACTAAACTCTGCAATTTATTATGATAATAAAGGAAAGGCTATACCGTTGAATCTGCTATCTTAGAAGTTAAGAAGAGGTCTAGATTCAATTATTAAAAGACTAATAACAATTAAATAATAAGTAGATTCATTAGAAAGATAAACTCTTTCTATAAAGAATATGCAAATAAAAATATCATTATTTAATTAATATTTATAGCTTATTAGCTTTTCAGCTCAAGCCAAACTTTTAAACTATCTTTCACCAATCAAGCTTATTGCTATATATCTTGCTATGTCTTATAATGCAGTATCTTGATCTTAAATATTTATTATAATTGCAGTCTTACCTTAATAGTTTGTCGACAAAAATGTTTAAGGTCAAATAATAAAAGAAGTAGGATTTTGTAAAATATTTAAGATTGCTTTGGAGTAGATTTGATTAATATTTCAGATTCCAAAAAGGGAGAGTATTTTCATTTTATGTTTATTTAATAATAATAAGCTATATATCATATGCTGCTAGTATTTTTTGTACTTCTTCAAATTCCGAAAATACTCAGCATGTGTAATAGAGAATGTGGAAGCTCTGATTCTTTAAGTTGTATTGGCTGCCTTTTAGAAAAAGGAGATTACAGTAGCCAGAATCTTTGCAATTTATTAGATGCTACTAAATGCCCTTTTAATGAGTTTTCTTTAGTAATTACCAAAGAAAGGATGATTATCAGCTCAGATTTACATAAAATTTATTATGAAATTGTGCTTCAATACAGAGACTCCACAAGAGGCTTAGAAGCCTTGACAATTTTTTGAGAAGAAAAAGCGCTTACAAGCAGAAGCTGCACTTGAATGATAGATGATAATTCTTTCTTTACTTATGGGTTTTTGCTGGAGCACTTAAACAAAGGGCAGAACTTATTAATTTGGCTTATTGGTAGCATAAAAAGTTCTAGAGAAGGTTTTAAAGGATTTTTGGCTCTTGGAGAAACTTGAAATTATCCCTCAGCCGATTATTGTTTCGATAGAAGCTCTATAAGCCTTAAAGATTGCAAAAAATGCAGCCCAAATTGCCCTATATGAATGTGGCCAGATGATAATTGCATTTCACAAAGGCATTTAGTTACCTGCAGCCCTGAATGCTCAGCTTGCAGCGGTTCAGGCTATTTTGAATGTATTGCCTGCAGCGGTAGCTATTATTTATTAAATAGTTTATGCTTATCTGCTTGCCCATCAGGCTACAAAACTGACCTGGCCCATCAATTTTGTGTGCAGGATTCAATATATTCTCTTAACCTTTCTTTTCAAAACCAAATATTAATTGACTATATAAGCCTCGCTACAGTTGGAAGCCAGCCGAATCCCTATCCTCAATGAGATACCAATGACCCGATCCCTTCTATATACAGAGGATATTACTTTTACTCTAATTCTCTAATTACTTATGACAACTTAATTATCTCTCCTTATTTTACGGTAAATTTGTGAATAAATCCTGAATCGTTAGGAGGCTCAATAGCGCTGAAATATGATCAAAGCAGTGCAACAAGTTATTTCAGTATGAAACTTGATGGAAATTCTAATGTGATAATTGCAATAAGGCTTAAAGATGCTTCTCAGTTGACAATTTCTGGAGGGCCTATATCAACAAAGTCTTGGCAAAACATTGCTGCTATTGGAAAAGTAATTAGTAATGGATGCACATATGTGGCTTTATACATAAATGGATCTCTCATAGTCTGGGATATTTCAGCCGCTGCTTATCCCTTTAGTGATTCTGGAAAACTGGCAATCGGCTATTCCTCTTTATCAAATAGTTTTGAAGGCTTCCTCTATAAAATCATATTTTTCAGCGACAGCTATTACCAATTCTCTGAATGAGTCACTTCTGGCTGCACTGGTGGATGCTCAAACTGTCCTTCAGATTTAAAGTGCCCTGACACGTGCTCATTTGGCTCTTATTTTAACTCTACTTCTTGCATCTCGTGCTCTGGGTGCGTGAACGGGTGCCGCAGCACTATTACTTGCAACCTCTGTCTTGATAAAGCATGCTCAAAATGCAGCACATTTGATGGAACTTGCATAAGTTGCACAGCAAATGCATATATGAATAATGGAGTCTGCACTTGCACTAGTAATGCACTGTGGCTAGAAGGAGCTTGCAATTTGTGCGATGTAAATTGTGCAACTTGCAAAGGAGATTATTTTTTTTATTGTACTAACTGCAATAGTGGCTTGGAGCTTGTAGATGGAATATGCTTAAACGCATGCCCTACTGGATTTTCTAGTAATCCATGCACCAGCGGTTCGTCTTCAATAGTAGATTTAACTTTTGATGGCAGTTTTAAAGGGATTTATGGGATATTTCAGACTTCAACTTCGGATCAGACTTACCAGTTCTTCAATAATCCAGATACAGCTGATCCAATCCCTGCTTATCAGCGAGGTATGTATTTTGCTTATGGAAAATATTTGATGACAAATAGTGACGTTTATATTAATTTTGACTTTTCTCTAGGAATCTGGATGTTCGCTAGCTATGATGGAGATATTTTTAGCAAGCAAGGCTTAATAGCATTTAATTCCACTGGAGGGCTTTCTGTGTTTTTAGCAGATCCTGCAAATAGCAATTGGATAACAAAGCGAGTGGGAGGCTATTCTTTCTCAGGATGGACATATTTGCTTGTATCTGTTGGCTATTCAAATGGGATTGCCCAAATACATGGATACGTAAATGATAAATTAAAGCTGACAGAATCAGTAAATGATTACATTTTTAGAGATAGCGCTTCGCCTTTATACTTAGGGGGAAGTCCAACAGGCATTTTTACTGGATTTATTTATTCTTTTACACTATGAAACGCTGTGATAACTGACTTATCTAGTCAACTTTCAAGACCATGTGGGACTAGCTTAATTGTTTCTTGTTTACTTACATGTGCTATTAATCAATACTATAGCCAAAGCAGCAGTTCTTGCTTATACTGTAATAGTTGCGATAATGGCTGTGTCAGAGAGGACTCGTGCAACATCTGCAATGATCCTCTATGTGCTAATTGCAGTGGGTTTGGGTCTGGATTATGCACAGCATGCATTGATAACGCTTCAGGAACCACTTGCAACTGCAATCCCGGATTTACCCTTATATCAGGAGCTTGCACATCATTATGCTATCCTGGCTGTTTGACCTGCACCTCACTTTCATACTCTAGCTGCACCTCATGCCAGTCAGGATATTATTTATACCAAATGATTTGCTATAGCAGTTGCCCTACTGGAACAATTTCAAATTTATCCACAAAGTCCTGCGACCAAGATTCTCCATTTTCTATCATACTCAACTTTTTTCAACTTTCAAGCCTGCCTACTGGGTATTCTTCGTCATCTCAACTTACCTATGCCACTGATCGAGGCTGGAAATTTGGAAAAAATGACTTTGTTTCAACAGTTTATCAGATCCCTGATTTTTTTACGATTTCGACCTGGATTTACATCTCCCAAAATGCTGATTTTGCGATGATTTTCTATATAAGCCGAGACTGAGGCATGAACTTAAATGGAACCAGTCAAGGGTTAAGTTTTAGTACTGGGTACGTCAAATGGCCAGACTTGGACAGCTTGTCATCATTATTAATTTCCAACAAGTGACATTATATTTATACATCAATTATTCATTACGATGGAGACACTGTAGATCAGCTGGTAAAGATTGACTCAACTAGTGTGCTTCAGAATTTTTCGCCAACTAGCGATTATACATATAGGGATAAATCATATACGAAATATATTGGATGCCAGTATGACTGATGCAAGCAGGGGAAAACGGGTTTTTCTGGGTTTATGTATTATTTTCACGTTTATAACGATGGCTCAAATAACATTTATGAAAGCGAATTCCATGAATCAGGGTGCTCCAGTGGATGCTCAGCATGCCCCACTACGTCAATGTGCCTGCCATCTGATTGCCTTATTACGCAATACTATAACTCAACTGACTCCATTTGTTATTTATGCCTTGCTACTTGTACGCATGGCTGCTATAATCCAAATGATTGCAATCTTTGTTCATATAATTAAAATATGGCGTCTTCGTCTGAGCATGGCCTCCCGGCCATGCAGCCTCGACTCATATTTTAATTATATCCGGCAAGGTTTTACCATTTCAGAGATGGACAGCAATGCTAGGTAAGCAATTCTGGTAGCTTTCAGAGCCTAGCCCTAGTCTAATCTCAGGGGTGGATTTTTCCTCGTGGGAAAGGAGGGTACAAGGTTGGAAAGGGGAAGCTCAGCAAAGCCCTCTGGACCATTCGGGCAACTCCCTAGCGTGAAACTGGGCGTTACGTCCCAGGCTTTGTATTTTTCCTTTTTGCCGATAGCTGACCAGAAAAATCCATTTTTTGGGTTTTTCGAAAAGCAACCCATGTACAAGCAAGTAGCTCATTCATGAGCCGTCGAAGACGTGGACATTTGCCCTAGAAGAACCTTGGAGATCGAAGCGAGTCTGTCCCCAGCGGACTGGTGGGCCCCGATGCGACGAAAGGCGAGTGATAAACCTGGGTCGTAACCCCGTAGTGGACGTTAAGCGATATAAATTCCATAAGATAAGATTGCAATCTTTGTTCAATTCCAGGATGCTTGACGTGCACAGGCTCAAATGTTTGTGGAAAATGCTCTGGCGACTATAAATTTATTGGCAGCACATGCAGATGCTCTTATAGCTACTCGGTATTAAACGCCACAGAATCTACTTGTGGCTGTTCCAGTCAAACTATAAGTTACCAGTCTCTATGCATTTCTTCATGCCCGACTGGTAGCAGCTATGATGCAACTTCAGAAACTTGCGTTTTGGATGCAAACGCTGGGCTCATATTTTCGCTGACTCTTAATCAGATTAAGGGGATAGTCATAGACAAGGTGTACAGTTTCCAGGTCCTGGCTGGAACGTCTACAGATTTTTATCCTACTTATGGAAGCTATGACCCAATCCCATCATATCGCAGGGGCTACTACTTTAATGGAGGTTCTTTGATGCAGTTACCTCCAAACAGTGTGATGAATACAAATTCTCTCTACTTTAGCAGCCATGTGACTGTTTCTGTGTGAATGTGACCAAGGGCTAATAATGGAGTGATTCTGGCTAAGCAAGCCTCTGCGAGTCCTTTTACAGTTTACCTTTCTTTTGAACTGATAGCATTAAAATTATTTGTTAATGTTTATTCGTCAGAAACAAGCACTTCACAGCAATTTTACTCGCAAAATAGCTTAACAACTACTAATTGGCACCATGTCGGATTTTCTTTATCTTACAGCTTCCCATATAACCAAGTTACCTTTTACGAAAATTTTCTCACAAATCTGGCTATTCCTGCTAAAGGCCCTCTCCTTGACATTGAAAGCTCTTACACCATCTTAATAGGAGCAAAGTACAGTTCCCAACAGACCTTGCTTGCTATGCTAACTGGGTTTATTTACAGCATAAAAATATGAAACATAATAATAAACCTTTCCCCTGAAGTTTCCTCAACTTGCTCAGAATGTAACTTTTGCCCTTCCTCATATACGCCAAATTGCCTCCAGCCATTTCAAATAAACATGTATTATGATACTACACAACAATTGTGGAGCGCCTGTTCATCCTCATGCGATAATCTCGGTTGTGTAAGATACGATACAGCCTGCAACCTATGTGACAATCAGCTCTGTGCCTTATGTGACGATTGAACTGGCTGTATAAGTTGCATGAATAACTGTCAAACAGGCACTTTCTTAGTCACTACTCCATGCTCATGCGTCCCTTGCATTTCCAACTGTGTGACATGCACTGCTCAAACATTTGCAGGCTGCAGTAAATGTGCAAGCGGATATTATCTAGATGGACTCAACAATGCATGCTCAGCATGCGCATTGGGATGCGATACTTGCTCTGGACAGCACAATGGAGACTGCTTGACGTGCAAAAGTGGGTATTATCTTAATCCAGGAGGTCTTTGCTTGCCTTCGTGTCCTCTAGGATATTCAGGGAATCCTTGCAGTGGGGCAAGCGCTTTGGCTATCCATTATATTTTTAATAAAGAAACGAATACAGTTTCAGATCTAGTGGGTGGATATAAAGCTTATATGGGGTCAAGCGACCAGTATATGGGGAATTTTGATGTTAATGATCCTTATCCAATTTATCAATCAGGGCTTTATTTTAATGGGCAAGCCTATATGAAGCTCCCTCCGAATTCAGCAGATCAGCAAGAAGCAGTTTTAGGTAATGCCCATAGCTTGTTGATTTGATTCAGACCTTTATCCACTTCTAATCTTCAATACTTGATATCCAAAGAGCTTTCAAGTGACTCTTTCTATATATCAATTAATGACTCGCTCCTCTTTGAAGTTACTTATTATGTGTATGATGATATTACAGCATCATACAAAGGCTACATATATTCCGAAGCTTCGTCACAATTAAGCTGAAATTATTGACAAAACATTATTGTGATTTTCCAGCGCACTTCTTATGCCCCAGGATTTTCTTTTTATATTAACCAAGTCCAAGCTACCAATATAAATTCCATCACAAACTCGATGTTCATAGACTTTTCACGCTCAAATTTCATAGTAGGATACAGTTTTCAGCACTCTCTTTACTTTAAGGGCTTTATCTATGAAATTAGCATATATAGAACTTTCTCTTCAATAGCGCGATAATGCGCATTCCTAAGTTTTACCGGAGGGTCTTGGACATATGAAAACCTGCTATTCCTTATTCATGGGGGAGACAAACAGCCTAAATAAAGAATTCTGCCTGATCAATCTCGAGAACTTGAAGAGAGGCTGTGTGGAAAAATTACATTTTGGTTCGTCAAATGGATCTGACGAGCCAATTCTGGCCAGTACTTGAAATAAAAAATGATAGTTGCCAGAATTTTATTAATTTTCTGATGAAGAGTATGATCAGAATTTTAATAATTCCTTTTGACAATAAAATTCAAAATTAAAACTTTTAATAGAAGATTTAAAGAGATAATTAAAGCATAAAGATAACGTTATGAGTATTCTTTACTGCTAAGGGAGACGATGCCAGTAATGTTTTTAAATTTTGACTTTTTTCATAGTGACTTAACCATCTTAATAATTTTTTAATTTTTAAAATTTAAACTTTTAATAGAAGGTTTAAAGAGATAATTAAAGCATAAAGATAACGATCTGAGTACTCTTTACTGCCTTAGGGAGATGATGCCAGTTATGATTTTTAAATTTTGACTTTTGTCATAATGACTTAACCATCTTAATAATTTTTTAATTTTCAAAAATTCAAACTTTTTAATAGAAGATTTAAAGAGATAATTAACGCATAAAGATAACGTAATGAGTACTCTTTACTGCCTTAGGGAGACGATGCCAATAATGATTTTTAAATTTTGACTTTTTTCATTGTGCTTAACCATCTTAATAATTTTTTATTTTTTAAAAATTTAAACTTTTAATAGAAGATTTACTCTTTACTGCCTTTGGGAGACGATGCCAGATGCCAGTAATGATTTTTAAATATTTACTTTTTTCATCGTACTTAACCATCTTAATAAATTTTATTTTTTAAAAATTTCAAACTTTTAATAGAAGATTTAAAGAGATAATTAAAGCATAAAGTAAACGTAATGAGTATTCTTTTACTGCCTAAGGGAAACGATGCCAGTAATGTTTTTAAATTTTGACTTTTTTCATAGTGACTTAACCATCTTAATAATTTTTATTTTTTAAACTTTCAAACTTTTAATAGAAGATTTAAAGAGATAATTAAAGCATAAAGTAAACGTAATGAGTACTCTTTACTGCCTTTGGGAGACGATGCCAGTAATGATTTTTAAATTTTTGCTTTTGCCATAGTACTTAGTGACTTAACCATCTTAATAATTTTTTTAATTTTTTAAAAATTCAAACTTTTGTCATAGTGACTTAATTAATTACTAGATCCTGTGCCTTTTATTAAAATTCTGATCATACTCTTCATCAGAAAATTAATAAAATTCTGGCAACTATCATTTTTTATTTCAAGTACTGGCCAGAATTGGCTCGTCAGATCCATTTGACGAACCAAAATGTAATTTTTCCACACAGCCTCTCTTCAAGTTCTCGAGATTGATCAGGCAGAATTCTTTATTTAGGCTGTTTGTCTCCCCCATGAATAAGGAATAGCAGGTTTTCATATGTCCAAGACCCTCCGGTAAAACTTAGGAATGCGCATTATCGCGCTATTGAAGAGAAAGTTCTATATAACTACGCAATAACTTACCAAGCTCCTTCTAATAATTGTGGATGCTCTGATTGTGCAAATAGTGGAAATGACTGCTTGAGACCGTGCGCATTCAATGAATTTTATGATGGAAGTTGCAAAGGCTGCGATGGAGGATGCGCAACTGGCTGTATGAGGAATGGGAATTGCTATATGAATTTGGATCCATTGTGTGTCTCAGCAACTGGATTTGCAATTAGTGAATGCACAAGTTGTATAACCAATGCTAGTGGCGCTGGAACACAATGCAACTGTATTTCGCATATGCATTATGACTTGCAAACATTGGCATGCGTATGCGATTCAACGTGGCCTTACTGTATTTCATGTGACTCTTACTGCAGTCAATGTACGGGAAATTATTATTATTTGTGCGATTTATGCATTGCAGGGAAAGTTCTTGTTGATGGGGTGTGCTTAGACAGCTGCCCATATGGATTCAGCAGCCCTTGCATAAGCCCAACTTCTTCAGTGATTGACCAATTGTTTAACGGTAACTTTCAAGGTTTATACGGAATATTTCAAACTGCTACATCTAGTTCTTCCTATCAGCCTTTCATTAGCCCAGAAGCTCAAGACCCTTATCCAGTCAAAAATAGAGGTCTTTATTTTTATCAAGGCTCCTATCTTGTAACAACCCAAAGTATCACCTTAAATTCATGATTTTCTATAGGCTTCTGAATCTATGTCATATTTCATGGCACTTTTGCATGGACGACTGATTCATTGTCAATCAATTCAGATATGGGTATTACACTCCTAGGAGAGTCAATTTCTTTTCCTGCAGATTATTACGGATGATATTATTTATCTTTTTCTGTCTCATACAGCCAAGATACAGTTCCTGTATCCATATATAAGAATGGCTCGAAGCAAAACACTGCTACACTGACTCAGAATAAAATATTTAGAGTTTCATCATCGCTGATAAATGTTGGCGCACGTCTTCCTGGTTCTTTTGTTGGGTTCATTTACTCTTTTGCATTGTGAAATGAAGTCACGAGTGATTTTTCAAGTCAGCTATCACAGCCTTGTGGAAGCAGTGTAGGGGATGTATCATGTTTATGAAGTTGTGATGTCAACCAATATAAAGATTTACAAGGCTATAAATATTGCCATGATTGCTATAATGGCTGCACGACAAAAAATTCATGCAATATTTGTGACGATCCTTTGTGCGCTGTTTGCACAGGATTTGGGTCTGAAATGTGTACTACTTGTGTAGACAATGCTTCTGGAACCCCATGCGCTTGCAATGCAAATTATATTTCTCCAGATGGCTTTTCATGCACTCTCAAATGTTTTACTGGATGCTCCAGCTGCTTGTCAACTTCCTATACAAGTTGCACCTCTTGCGCACAGAACTATTTCTTATACCAAATGATTTGCTACACAACTTGTCCACAAGGAACCATTTCAAATTCAGTGACAAAAACTTGTGATAAAGATTTCCCTATGTCTATAAGCCTTGATTTCTATGCATTAGCAAGCCTGCCTTCTAGCTACTCATCCGCTTCAGGTAAAACCCCTTACTTCATAAGTGACCGAGGCTGGCGCTTCTTTCCTCAAAGCTATATTTCAACCAGTGTCCAACTCAGCAGCTATATAACTATATCAATGTGGATTTGTTTTACAGCATACACTAGTATAGATACTATATTCTATATGAGTAGGGATTGGGGAATAAGCTATAACGGTAGCAATAAGCAGCTTGTTTTCAACACAGGACCTATTGTATGATCTCAAGCACAAAGTTTGTCAACATTAGATATAAACACATGGCACTTTTTGTTCATTTCAACCATTCATAACAGTGATGGCACTATTAAGCAGCTGATTCAATTGGATTCTACTTCGTTAACTCAAGATAGTCTAACTCCTGCAAGTGATTTTATTTTTCAAGACAAAGGCGGTAGCAAATATATTGGCTCTCAATTCGATTGGAATAATCGAGGTTACACGAGCTTTACTGGGTATATGTACTGGCTCCATGTATATAATGATGGCTTATATTATACTCCAAACTATGAGCCTGCCAGCTCAAATTGTCCTAGCTGCTCATCATTATGTCTTTTATCACTATACTGCTTACCTGGAATTTGCCCATATAGCCAATATTATTATAACTCAGGATGTCTTTCCTGCAATGGCTGCTCTAATGGCTGCAGTAACAGTAATGACTGTATCTTATGCACTATAACTAGTTGTGCCACTTGCACTGGGACAAGCACCTGCGGATCATGCATAGGAAATTATGTATTCCTTGATGGGGAATGCCAATGTCCTTACACTTGAGTCAGCAACACAGCTTCCTCCACTTGCATTTGCTCAAGTTCGTTAAAATTCAATGATGTATGTGTAAGTTCCTGCCCAACAGGAACTTCAGATAATTTATCTGGAGTTTGCACATTGCAAGCTAGTCAAGGACTCGTACTTTCATTGGCTTTTAATCAAATTAAAGGAACTGTGGTAGATTCATCTGATAGCAATATTAAAGTCTTGGCTGGCATTTCTAGTGATTACTATCCAAATTACGATCCTTATGATCCAATTCCAGCATATAAGAGAGGGTATTATTTTAACGGACATTCGCTTATGCAGCTGCCACCACACTCATACGACAACACTTATTCTCTTAATTTTGCAACAGACTTTTCATACTCGGCGTGAATATGACCTCAGGGAGGGGATGGGGTCATCTTTACTAAGCAGAGTGATGGCTACCCTTATTCAATATATCTATCAATCGAGATATCTTCCCTTCAAGCATTCTTTAGCTTTCATGACCCAATTTTAAATTCCCTTTATTCCTACAGTTCTAGTGCCCCTATTAATACTTCTGGATGGTACTATATAGGATTTTCACTCAGATATAAATTTCCCTATAACCAATTAACTTGGTATGTTAATAGCAACTTTGATACTCCATTTGTTCTAAAGCACCCGTTTGTAGACTTGATCAGCGACTACACTATTTTAATTGGAGCAACTCACAAAAATTCCGATGAATGAATGAATTTTTATACAGGATTCATCTATAGTATGAAAATATGAAACACTGTGGTAAACCCCACTCTGTATGATCTCTCTTATACATGCGATTCCGGCTGTTCTTTTTGCCCATTGGCCTCCTCTTCTTGTCTCCCGAACCAACCAATTTCCAGCTATTATGACCTCTCGTCATCTTCATGGAAAGCTTGCTCAGATTCTTGCAAATCGACTGGATGCGTTAGAAGTGACGGCTTTTGTAACCTATGCGACGATAATTTGTGTGATATTTGTGAAGACTGGACTGGCTGCAAAACTTGCAAGGCAAACACAAAACCATCTCAGTTCCCATGCCAATGCGCATCAGGCTTTTATTATGACTCATCAGCAAATCAGTGCACAGCATGCTTTTCTTTCTGCAGTGTGTGCACTTCTTCACATAATGGGGACTGCTCTGGCTGCAACTCTAACTATTATTTGACACCTGAAAATCTTTGCCTATCTACTTGTCCTTTACTTCCCTTTTCCTGAAACTCCAAGTTTTTTGCTAGCGGGCTAATTTTTAATTAAAAAATCCAATTGCAAAATCTGTTATTAGAATAGTATATTTTTTAGAATGCAAAAAAAATAACAAGTTAAATTCTTAGATAGCACAGCATCTAAACTTAAAATATAGTATATAAAAATCCATGTAAAATTTTTTGCCTAGAGAAGGTATTTCCCAAAAAGTTTAATCCTTTGCGTGGAGCTAGGATATACACAAGTATCTGGCAGCCCATGCACAGCAGTATCTCCTAACTCTATAGTTCTTCATTATGTGTTCACTAAGTTAACAAATACTATTGCAGACAAAGTTTCCGGATTTTTGGCCTATATGGGCTCAACAGATACTTATCTAGGGCCTAATGATCCATGGCCTATATATCAATCTGGACTCTATTTTTCTGGGAGTTCATACGTTTCGCTGCCTCCAAATTCTGTAGACTCTAAAGAAGTTGTTTTGGGAAATAATCATAGTTTACTATTCTGGATCAGACCTACATCTTCGAGCACTAGTGGTATTATTTATTCAAAAGAAAACGCTTCACAAATTCATAGCTACTTCATGATTGACTCAAATAGCAATCCCTACGTAAATTATGCAGTCTATGATGACACCACAATGGCGTCTAATAATATCCACCTCAAAGCAAGTTCTATCACTAATAATGGGTGATATAATATTGTTATCCTATTATCATGAACACCTCATTGTAATCAAATTTCAATATATGTTAATGGAGTCCTCGATACTTATGAGAGTTTTGCTCAAGTTCAAAATTCCTATTTTATGGATATTTCTGGCGATATAGCTCCTGCACGCCTTTAGTGTGCCTTGAAGTCCTCTTCGCAGCAAGGAGACTAGTGGGACATCTAGAGGTGGCAAGTTAACTCCAAATTGAAAAATACCAGCAAAAGGCTCCTAGTTGAGAGGAGGAACTTTGCTTCAAGGTGCGCTAAAGGTGTGCAGGGGTTATAATTTTCTTCTAGGAGCAAGCAAAGCTGAAGGAATTTTTTATACTGGCTTTATTTTTGAAATGGCCTTATATAACTATGTGATTAGCATTCAGAGCATTACAAGTGGTTGCATGTGTTCTGCATGCGCCGATTCTGGAAATGAATGTTTGCGCAGTTGCTCTTATTTGCAATATTATAATAGTGCTACATCTAGCTGTGCTGATTGTGATTTGCCATAATAATAAAATGGCTTTGGATGAGATGAGAATTTACTCTGTGAATTTCCTCTCCCTCATATGGGATTGATTTTGCATGTGCACTTCTGTCTGATATGTAAGAAATGACGAATGTTTCTGACTTCGCACCCTACATGCATTGTGTTTTAAGCGTTTTCTCTCCCTCTGGAGTTCAAATCGAGATTTGAGTCTAATCTTGTGATTCTTCATGTCAATTTGGCTGTGTGCGAAATGGAGATTGCATCATGAGTCTTGATCCTTTATGTGCAGCTGAAACTGGATTTCAGATTAGTGAGTGTACGAGCTGTGTGACTGGAGCAATAGGAGCAGGCACGACGTGCGCCTGTCTGCAAAATTACGTTTATGACTCTAGCTCTAGAACATGTACATGTGATCCAAATTTATATCCTTGCGGAAGATGTGATAGCTTATGTACAAGCTGTCTTAATTATAATTATTTCACTTGCAGCTCTTGCACAGGAAGTGGAGTCTATCTAGATCAAGTTTGCTTGAATGAATGCCCCTATGGACTTTTTAGCAATTCTGTTTGTGCCAGTAATGCATCTCCAGTCATTGACCAATTGTTTAACGGAGATTTCCTTGGGAGCTATGGGATTTTTAAAACTGCGCAGTCAGATACGAATTATTATTTTTTCAATAACCCAGAAAATTTCGATCCCATTCCAGCTTATCAGCGAGGCCTTTATTTTTCTAACGGGAAGTATTTGTGCTCGGCTACCCCCATTTATCTTAACGCTTGGCTTACAATAGGGCTCTGAACATATACGATCTTCAACGGAATTATAGTTTCAAAAGGGAGTGTCTTTACTTTGAGCTCTAGTTTAGTTGCATCAGTATCATTAACCACATTCAAAGGAAACTCTAGCATTTCGACAACTCCTATACCTTACACTGGCTGAACTTACATCGCTATTTCAATGGCCTATACATCAGACTCTGTAGTTATGAAGTTTTATCTTGGTAGTACCTTATCAACTACACTTACAACTCAATATGCCTTGTTCAGAGATGCCAACTCTGAGTCTTTATTCCTAGGGAGCCAGACAAGCTCCTTTGTAGGGTTTATTTATTCATTTACATTATGAAATCAGCTGGCGACTGATTTTTCAGCACAATTATCTAAGCCTTGCAGTGCAGTACTCGACACTTCTTGCCTGTGGGAATGCGATATATTTATGTATAATGAAGGAGGAAACTATGTGACCTGCAATAATTGCTATAATGGCTGCGTAAGAGGCAAAAGCTGCAATATTTGTAAGGATCCATTATGTAAATTTTGCACTGGATTTGGAGATCAATGCTCGGAATGCGTAGAAAATGCTTCAGGAACGCCATGTGCTTGCCTTGCAGGGTTTTCCTCCCCAGATGGATTTTCATGTACCTCAGGGTGTGCTAGAGGGTGTGCTGGCTGTTTATCAACTTCCTATTCTGACTGCACATCTTGCCAGCCAGGCTATTTTTTATACCAAATGATTTGCTATAAGTCATGCCCAGCTGGAACTCTGTCTAATTCTGTAACAAACAGCTGCGATCAAGACTCTGTATTTTCAATCAGTCTCGATTTCTATTCTCTTGCTACTCTTCCATCTGCATATACTGCTGTAGGAGCTGACTATATAAATAATCGTGGATGATATTTTGAGCCTACAGATTATGTCTCTACAGAAAACAAGCTCAGCTATTTCTTTGGAGTCTCTTTGTGGATATTTTTTACTGGGTATATCAATGAAGACACTATTTTTTACATAGGTAGGGATTCGGGGTTTAGCATTAAAGGAAGCAGCCAAACTTTAACTTTAAAGACTCCATATTCTCCATTTATCGATAACCAAGTTACGCTAAGCTATAACTCTTGGCACTACATTTATTTCTCGGTCTTCAGAGAGAGAGATTGGTTAGAGAGGGTTAAAACGGGGCTTATTTCAGCCCCTGTCAATCAAGCTTCAGCTTCACACACTTATGGCTTGAAGCACTAAAGCCGTCTAACACCCTTTTCCTTCTAGGCCATCAAAAATGGTGATGTCGTCAGTCTAACTGGGATACTCACCCGAACCTACTTGGACCAAAAATTGCAGCAAAGGGCTCTCTTACCATGGTAGCGCTCAGGATATGATGAAAGCGTCCGGTGCTTTCATATGGAACTACTCTGCCATTTACAGGAACATAATGCTCCTCCAGAAGTGTCTGACTGGTGTTGTGCCGTTGGTCCTCTTGTCTGTGGATCGAGGTGAGGTTCAGCCAGCCCAAATCTTTGCCCTGAAAAATTGCCACCTGCGACCCCCGTGGCCTTGCGCTTTTTATTTTTTAATTTACCGAAATTTTGGGTTTCTTGTTTTCTGTTGTTCCTATGCATGCCATGATGTTAAAATTTGATCTTTAGAGAAGATGCAGGAAAGTTGACAGAAACGCTGGTCATTGACTCTAACTCTGTTTCGCAGACTATTTCGTTTGCAAACACCTATATTGATCCAGATACAAATTATGTGAAATATATTGGATCTTGCCCTGAGTGGGCAGCTAGGGGGATTGCAGGGTTTAGCGGGTTTATCTATTTCTTTCACGTCTTTCGCGATGCTCAAAATCCTTTTCCTTCGTCTGAATATATAACTTCAGGATGCCCTCCTTCATTAGTCTGCCCGTCAAGAAACTGCAATTACAATGAATATCTAGATTCATATTGTTTCAGCTGCCTTGCCAGTTGTACACATGGATGTGCCAATGGGAATGATTGTAACTTATGCTCCTTAGCAGGATGCGATGCTTGCACTGGAGCTTCTACTTGTGGGCTGTGCAATGGAGATTTATTCTTTATTGACGGTGAGTGCAAGTGTCGCTATACTTTTTCAGCCCTAGATACTTCTACATGCTATTGCCCATCTGGCTTGCAATTTAAGTCAGCATGTGTGAATTTTTGCCCAACTGGGACCTTGAATTATGGTGAAGGTATGAGTTGCGATCTCGATAGCCATCAAGGATGAGTATTTTCTCTATTATTGGACAAGATTGAAGGAATTGTAACAGATTCAATTAACAGCATCAGCGTCTTAGCTGGAAATTCAGATATTTTCTACCCTACTTATGATAGCAATGACCCTATTCCTGCTTATAAAAGAGGCTACTATTTTAACGGGAACTCACTGATGCAGCTGCCTCCACATGTGAAAAGCAGTTCATCATCTCTTAATTTCGGTACAGATGCTACTTTTTCCGTATGAATTCAGCCAAACTCTCCTACTTCAGGCACTAAGCAGATCATTTTTTCAAAGCAAAGCTCACCAACGGCAGCTTTAATTGAACTCAGCATCAAATCATCGAATCTGTACGTTAGAACACAATCATTGCTTGGGCAACAAATGTATGTTTCTTATCATGCACTTTCGAGCCAAGGCTGAAATTATGTAGGATTTTCTCTCTCTTATAGCTTCCCATACACGCAAGTGACATTTTATATAAACAGCCAGTTCGACATGGCAGCTCCTGCTAAAAGTCCCTTATTAGATTCAAACACTGCCTATACTATCTTGATTGGCGCTCAGTACGCCTCATCTTCTACATTTTCTGACTTTTTCACCGGATTTATTTACAGTATGAATATATGAATTGTTCCCATAAATCCACATGCAACAAGTTGGCATGGTGAGCCACCTGCTCTCCTAGAACTTATAGCCAGAGACACTCAGAGACCTTCTAGAAGGAAGAAAAGGATTTTTTAAGGCATATATACAGCCGAGTTTTTATTGGCTTGTTGGAGCGCAAGGTCAGAAAGCCAATCTCATGCTCACATCGAGTATAAGGTTTTGCCTCTGGGGAAGAAGGTCAGTCAAAGTTATAAAATGAATGCCCAGCAAATTTTTGGCAAGTCTTGGAGTTATACCTGAGTTGTCTCTTGGTTTTCCTTGCGGATCTAGGTCGGCAACCTGAACAGAAAATTATTTTTTTTCAAATTTTCTGGAATGCAGCCCACATTGCACGCAATGCACTCCATCTAGTGTGCGGCCCACTTCTGGGAGAGCAGTAGCAGTAGCAGACAGACAGACAGACAGACAGACAGACAGACAGACAGACAGACAGACAGACGAGCGAAGCAATATGGAGACTATACTTATTCGAGGTATCGCAGGGAGATTTTCACATAATCTTAATTAGTTAAGTTAAATATCCACAAATCCTACCTTAAACGACGTCTCTTATAATTGCAACTCAGGATGCACAATTTGCCCAGTGGGGTATGCTCCCAACTGTTTAGTAACCGAACCTATTAGTAACTATTATGACTCCTCAACTTCTTCATGGCTGCAATGCTTGAGCTCTTGCACACTAAAAGGCTGTGTAAGATACGATGATGTCTGCAATTTGTGTGATGACCCATTATGCGCTTCTTGCAACGACTGGACTGGCTGCTTAGCTTGTATCGACAATTGTGACCCTGTTCAGCCTCCATGCACCTGCAAGAGCGGATATTGGTTATCAAATGGAATATGCACTAACTGCTTGGATGGTGCAGTGCTTCAGGGAAATATATGCATTTGCAGTGATCTCAATGCTTCATATGACTATAGCTTGCGCAAGTGTGTTTGCAACAGCGGATATCGTCTCTATAATGATCTCTGCACTAATTGTCCTATTAATGCTATACCCCAGAGATCTACATGTGTTTGTAGTATTGATAACGCTTCATATGACTCAGCATTGAATCAATGCATTTGCAATAGTTATTATTATATGGACCAAGGAGTCTGCATTGCGTGTGTGAACTATCTGGACAGCACCAATATTGCTGCATCATTTATAAACAGTTATTCAGGAATCCAATTCGATTTTAATATTCCTGCAGATCTATCACCTGGAAGCTGTAGTTCATCATTTGACTCTGCTACATTATCGAAGTTCGGCTCAGGATATTCATGCAGCTTCGCCTCAGATTTTAATTCGATCACTGTTTTACTAGGGAAAAATTACACATTCAGCAGAGAAAATGCAATTTTTGTGCCTGGAGCATTAATAAGCTCAAGTCCATTGTGTGGGAAAAATAAACTTCAAGTTTCAGTTCCTGTAGCCTTGCAAGGAGATTTACCAACTCCAAAATTCACATATACAGCTCCTGCAACTCTTGAATTATCATGCCAAGATCTATTATTAAGTGCTATTATTATCAAAGGCCTCCCTTATGAAACATATAAATGAACAATCTCGTCTAACCCTTACGATTCCGTAATATCCTCCTATTCGACCCAATATAGCAGCTCTTATGCTGACATTAATATTTCAAAAGACAATTTGATTGAAGCAATTATTTATGTATCTTTTTCGATGAAAAATAATTTTGGGAGTATCTTAACGATAAGCAAGCAAATAAACGCAACATCCTCACCAATACTCACAATAAATATTGACACATCATTGACTAGCATATTTGACAGGCTAAAATCTTATGCTATTTCTATTGGATCAATAACTTCTTGTCAAGTTTCTGATAACCTAAGCATAGCCTGAAGTATTAGCAAAATCATCAATAACGCATCAAGCATTGATGAAAGCACGCTTTGGAGTGCCCAAAACTCCCAGTATTTGCTGATCATTCCTCCAAAGACCCTTCCCGCATCATCTACGATTACTTTTAATGTCTTCGCAAAAGACTTGACTTATAGCAGTTCTGGAGAAGCAAGCTTTAACGTTGAAACAGCTTCGTCTGACCCCATCATTGTTTTTAGCAGACCTGATGGGGATTCAGGAGTAAGCCAAGAGTTAGAGGTTGACTCAAGCAATTCTTACGACCCGGACTATAACTCGAACTTTTTATTCCAATGGAGCTGCAGGATTTATAACTCGGCTATTGATTACTCCAGCCTAATTCAGGATCGTGCCTCTTCTGTTCTAAAAGTCCCTGCAAACACTTTAACTCTTGGCACAGTCTACAGTTTTACATTAAATTTCACGAAAATCACCACAAATCCGCTCAGCACCATCAAAAGTTCCCAAAAAAGCATCATCATAACAGTTGTCAATAAATCAGTCCCTCCAGTAAATATCGTAGAGGTATCCAACTCAAACCCGAGTATCGCGAATTCTGATGCTACCTATCGAATTTCCATTGAAGGCTCGCTATCTTCAATAGATTGATCCTTAAAATCTTCTTCGGATATTGCTTATTCAACTCCTCTAGATTCTAATTATTTGGTCATATCTCAAAATTCTTTGACTCCTGGTGCTTCCTACACACTGCTTGCTTATGTTAACGATAATTTTAAGTTTACGTGGACTTTCTACGTAAACCAGCCCCCAACCAATGGAAATATTTTGGTTGTACCTGATGCAGGCCTTGAAATGTCAACGATATTTACAATTAGCGCATTGGAATGAGAAGACCCAGAAAGCAATTTACCTCTTGAGTACTCCTTTGGCTACTATATCTCTGATACTTATCAAGTGCTTTCAGCCAAAAACCTTTCTTCGTTAATTTTCGCAACTTTCCCGTTTTCCCCAGCAAGCATCAAAGTTTCTGTGGATATTTATGACTCTTTATCATCAAAAACCAATAAATTTTCCTATGTCACGATTAATGAAAATCCAAATATTAACCAGTATATTGATTATCACATGAATTTACCCACTTTAAACCCTCAGGCAATTCCTGAGTTTGTAGCTGAGCTGTCATCTCTCATTTTAAATAGAGACGATATTATTAATAATGAATACTCAGAGATAGATACTCAAATGCAAAGTTCTTATGATATAGCTATTGACAAAATAAATTTCTATATCGGTACGATGGATAAATATAGCGAAGACTCCAGGTTAGGTTAGGTTATTAAAGTCAGGCGTTTAGGTGACGTAGTCACTAAAGACCTCTGTACTGGAGGTTCTACCGCTTTTCGACTCTAGTCAAGAGGTTCTATCCCCAATAATGGGTGCTACTTCCTGTACCTTCTGTCTCCTCCTTGCAGCTTCAAACTTCAGTGGGCGGTTTATGGATTTCTGCGGCCCTGCTGTAGTGATTGGAGTAGCTTGATTCCATAAATCAGCTCCTTGGAGTTTATCGGGCACGAAATGCCTTCCTCCAAACAGCTGCAGACAAAGGCTGCCTGCGGCCTGGGAATACACATTAAATGGCGACACGTGTCGACCTGCCCTCTTGGCGTGCCAGTCCGGACCTTATGGGTACGGCGAACTGGAACTGGCTCTGAGTTTTTAATCAAGTGCAAGTTCAAGAGATGAGTACCCAGGTAGGTTTTGGCTGCTTTCCTGTATTGATAATGGAGGTGCCCAACAACGTCCTTTTGGATCCGAAGGCCCATGGGTATTCCTCTACCGAGAAACTGGGGTTCGGCTCAGGCCAGGGAAGAAGTCTGTTTCCTGTAGTTGTCGAAGGAAGGCACTTCAGCAACCGACCAACCGCTGCATCTGGGCTACAAAATCCATAAGCCGTCCACTCAAGACTGAAGCGGCAAGGCAAGGAGGAGACAGAAGATCCGGAAGTGGCATCTGCATTTGGGGAATATACATTTTTAGATAGACTGTAAACAGCAACTTTTATGAGGCCTTGGTGTGCAAATAGAAAGTATCCAAATTTAACCTTAAATATTCATTAACTAAAGAAACTACAAGTTATATGATTGCAATATTATGTGTTTAAAAACTAGTTTCACTGAAACTAGCTAATAGCATTAATAGCAACTTATCATGCTGACTATTTCGATACCCATGCATAAGTGTCAGTGCAATAGCTGTAAGACATCATGCTAAATAAATAGACATATTTTATCAGAATCTGTCAAGTATAATTTTGATTCGTAAAAATGATTTCAAATTTAATTTACCAAGCTAGTTTCAGTCTACCGAATAATAGCTATTATAAAAAAATTTTCTTAAACTTAAAACAATAATCTATCTGAATTAGAGAATAATACAAATATTGATGCTTCAACCACTAGAGCCCTATGGCAAGAAATTTATTTAATATTTGAGTATATTCAAGTTATCAAGAATCCATCCTCAGCGAAGAGATTAGAGAATCTTATTTAGTTAATGAATATTTAAGGTTAAATTTGGATACTTTCTATTTGCACACCAAGGCCTCATAAAAGTTGCTGTTTACAGTCTATCTAAAAATGTATAGATCCTCTGGGCTGGAGACAAAAAGTGGTTGAACCTCCTGTATGTGAGTTCTTTGGTGACTGCGTCACCCAATAAGGCTAACACCTAACTTTAATAACTTAATGTAAACTAACCCCTTTGGCCTGGGCGAAACCCCCAGTTTCTCAATAGAGGATTGTCCATGGTTCTCAGATCCAATGGAAATTGCTGGAGACCTTCATTTCCAGCCACATAAAAGCAACCAAAACCTATCCGGATGCACATCTCCTGAGTCTGTACTTGATTCTCAGTTCGGAGTCCGTCACAGTTCGCTGTGGCCATAAGGTCTAGACTGTTGCGCCAAGAGGGCAGGTTCGCACGATCCGCCATTTTAATGTATAACGAAGACTCCTATACAACCATTTTTTATATGCTTTATATTATCACTTTGAATCCTTATATAAATACATACGATAATATCGAAAAAATAAGCATAGTTTCCGACTATATGATTGAAAATAATAAAGATTTTACAATTGAAGACAGCCAAATGCAGATTTTTACAGGTATTTGCAATAATAATTTCAAGTTGTCAGATTATGAAGCTATTAATCACACAGCAACAGTTAATCTTATAGATGAAAATGTGAGGAAAATCAGTGCAGTTTTACTAGAAGGGATGGTTCCTGGGGAATCACATACATTTATTGATGACGATGTCTCTGTAGAAGTCTCTAAAGCTAAAACCTCAGACTTATCTAACCATAAATTTACATTAAATCAAGCTTCATTTACGTTGGGCTCCAATATTTCCGACTATTTCAAAGACATTGAAGATGTTGGAATAATCCTGGCTGTGTATAATCCTACCCATAACAGCACCGATGCCCCGTGATTTTCGTTGGTTTCTTTCAGACTGATCAACCTGAAAACTTATAAAGAGTTCTACTTAAACGACACAAGCTATAACACTATAAACATTCCGGTTCAGAACTATCAAGAATCTAAAAAAGATAACCCTATTTACTGTATAGCAATTGCCCGAGGATGGCGCTATCTTGCGCCATCCTTGGGCAATTCAAAAATGGCCCCACACCGGGAATCGAACCCACGTGTGGGGCCATTTTTGGTGTGTGGCTAACATCGACTTACACGCACCAAAAATGGCCCCACACGTGGGTTCGATTCCCGGTGTGGGGCCATTTTTTGGATTGCCCGAGGATGGTGCAAGATAGCGCCATCCTCGGGCAATTCCTATACATTTTTAGATCATAATGGCACGCGTTGGCAAAGCACAGGCTGCTTCCTGGATTCTTTCAATGAAACTGACGTAGTCTGCAAATGCAACCATTTAAGCATTTTTTCTGCATTTTATGAAGACGCGTGGTCAACAGCAAGTGGGAGCAATATAGGGGAAACTATAAATGTCAACGCCTTTAGCGACTTCGATTGGTCCACCAATGCAATTGGCTTATATTTTTGTCTTGCTGTGTTATTCATATATGCTGTTCTCACTCCCTCCTTCGTGAGCGAGCAAAACCATTAGAAAAATTCCTATTTTTTGCCCAAAACTCACCCTCGTGAGTGAACAACATATTTTTTAATATGTAAGTGATAATTAATATAGCAAAGACTCTATTTAATTCTGTTTCATTTAAACAAATTGAATTTTAAAACATAAATTTTACAAATTAAATTAATATTTGCTTTCCAAGTTTTTCAAATTTGGATTTTTTTTATTTCGAAAAAAAATTAATCCCACCGTGAGCGAACAAAATTTTTTGTTCGCTCACAGAGGGGTGGAGTCAGTGTTTTTGCATGCAAAATGGACTGAGCCGAAAAGAAAAGCAAAGAAAAATCTCTTGCATTTGACCAAGGCAAGCCTGATGATTTTGTGATGAAAAACGACATGATGATGCAAGCCAAGCGCCGAGATAGAAGCACTATCATAAAATTTGACGCGGATGATCAAGAAAACAGTCCAGGCTTAAAAGATGATAAAATAGAAACAGCGAGGAGCGAGGAATCAGCAATATATAATACCGAAATGGTTGTAGTTTCTGTAGGCTCTGCGGAAAAAACAAAAGATAGCTCAGATATGTCAATTGTCAGACTCGATTCTACCGAAATAATAAATGTGGAAGATTTCAAAAACCAAGTAAAAGAAGAACAGCCTATAAGAAAGATCTTCAGAGTCCTCATTTTTGTTGCGAAAAACCATGATTTAATTACGATATTTGTAAGCGAAGAAAAGCAAACCCATTTTTCACGGCTGACAGCTTATATGATTAATATATTGGGGAATATGTATTTTATTGGACTATTTTATCAGTCCGAGCCAAGCGATAGTGAAAGTGGCTATTCTATTGACAGTTTTCAAAAAGTTGTAAATAGCTACTCGTTCCAAGACTTTTGGATTATGGTATATTCCTCAGGAATCATGTTGGTTATAGGGATTTTAATGAGCTATGCATCTATTATTACTCCAGTTCCACCTTTTGATGATACACTGTATCAGAGGATTAAAAAGAAAAACTGCATTAAGCTTTGCGCTTTTTATTTTTTGTCATTTGGGGTTCTATTCTACTTTTGTTGGTCTATTATTTTATTTTCCATACAATTTGAATTAAGTGTTACTTATTTATGGATTTGCAATACAAGTGTTAGCTATGGAAGTAATCTATTTGTAATATCATTTATCAAGATTGCGTTTAAAGGCTTTGTGATCTGGCTTTTACCAATAATTGTTATGAGCATTGGAATATCAAATAGGAAAGTAGAAAAGAAAGATAAACAATAAATATTAAGCATATTTATTTTAATCTTTAAAGCTATAAAAATATTATAAAAAATTTCTAATAGATATTTGATTTAATTTTTGCATTCTAATAATACGAATGGCGTCGATAAATAATCAATTCATGAGTAATATTCGAAGAAATTAAAGAAAGAATAATATTTGCCCTTTGCTTTGCCTTTCTATAATGGCTAAAGAGTAAAAATTACTTACTTATTAAATGCGGCATAAGACCTTATTGGGCTATAAATGAAGAATCCTCAAAGATTTCAGTCTAAATAAAATAGCTTGAAAAATCAAAAGATTATTATAATCAAATGCATGCATAATTGTGAATTTAAGTTTTTTGTTTTAGCTTTATTAAGGTTGGGATTATAAATTCCTCTAAAAAATAAGTCCTTAATGCATAATGCAGGATGCTTAAATTAATTGAGTCGAAGCTGAGGAAATCATTAATTTTCAACAGTTTTAATCCTATTATCTAAACTAAATTTAATTCTTTATGATCATAACTGTTGACAAAAATGGACAATAAAAATTTATGATGAGAGAGCATTGCTTTTTTAATGTTTTTGGCGATTAAAATTAATTTTATTTATATATAATAATTTAGAGTTCATATGCTTCTCCTTTTTTTAGTGATCTATCAAATACCGCAAATTCTCAGCATATGCATTCAAGAATGTGAAGGCCTTGACATCATAAACTGTATGAATTGTCTTTTAGAAACTGAAAACCATGGCAATCATAGTCTTTGCAATTTATGAAGCAGCACTGAATGCTCATTTGGCGAAATTTCTTTAGTAATTAATAGCGAAAGGATAATTTTTAGTTCAGAACTACATGAAAAAGACAAGGGGATAGATTTTAAGCACAAAGGCTCCTCAAAAGACATGAAAACCTTAATAATTGCTGGCGAAGAAAATACGGTTTCACATTTAAACTGCAGCTTTATGCTGAATGAGGACTCTCTATTTACTTTTGGAATTTTATTAAAAATTTTCAATGAGGAGAAACCCTTCTTAATTTGGTTTATTGGCATTATAAGCAGTTCTGAAAGCCGATTTAAGGGATTTTTAACTATTGAGGAGCTATGAAATTTTGGATTAGATATTCATTGCTTTGAAAAACGTAACGTAAGAGAGGAAGACTGCGAAAACTTGAGCCATATATGCCCTGTTTGAATGAGGCCAAACGAGAACTATCCTCTCCAAAGACGTTTAGACAGCTGCAGTACTGAATGTTCAGCCTGTACTGGTCCAGGCTATGATGAGTGCATTAGCTGCAATACAGGCTATTATTTTTTAAACTATTTATGCTTACCTTCGTGCCCATCAAACTATGAAACTGACCTGCAGCTTAATTACTGCAATCTACTTTCACTTGAGGCCTACTCCCTTTTATTCAAAAACCAAATATTGATTGACTATATAAATTATGCAACTGTTGGCAGTCAGGCAAATCCTTATCCTCAATGGGACTCTAATGACCCAATCCCTTCGATATATAGAGGATACTATTTCACCTTAACGTCCCAGATTACCCATGACAATTTAATTATTTCTCCGTTTTTTACTGTCAATTTGTGGATAAATCCGTCATCTTTAGCTGAAATCGGCTCAATTGCTTTGAAATACGACCAAAGCAGCTCAACAAATTATTTCAACATGTATTTTGATACAAGTTCAACCGTGTTTACTGTAATGAGGCTTAAAGATACCTCACAGTTAACAATTTCTGGTGGTCAAGTATCTTTAAATAAATGACAGAATATCGCGGTTTGCTAAGCATGAAATCACTCCCTTAAAATCATCTATCCCCTATAAATTGGAACAAAAAAATCCTATTCCAAATTAAAGGGGGTTAATTTTTTTTAAAAAAATTTTTATTAAAATTTATCTCTATAAAACACTTTAAAAATCTTAAAAAAATATAAATTACAATTTTAATTTATTTTATAAAGAAATAATTTTAAAAAAAAATAGTATATTTTATGTCAAAACTATTTAAATAGAATTCTATGGTAATTTTTTTCCAATAAAATAGGTCAAAATTAATTATATATAAAGAGTATTTTCATCTTATATTTTTAAAAGAATTTTATAAATTTTTTAAGATTCTTATGAAGAAATAATTTAAAAAATAATTGATTCAGTGTGGAAACTATTTACATAGCATTTTAAATTGCATTTATCGATTAAATTAAGTCAACTAATTTTATAAAAATTAGTATTTTTCACCTTTTTGTGTTTTAAAAAAATATAAATTGAGTGCAATGCTTCGATTTCAATTTATTTTTATGAAGGATTAAATAGAAAAAGTTAATCAATTCAGTGTGAAGACTGTTTAATTATATTTTATTTATTAAATTAGGTTAAAAATAATTTTATAAAATCATTAAAAACAAATTTGAAAAAAAATAGATGAAGCTCAATACTTTGAATTTTAACTTATTTTTATGAAGAATGAAATAAAAAATTAATCGATTCAAATTTTAAAACTATTTAAACAGCATTCTACTTGCGCATTGCATAGTAAATTAAGCCAAAGTCAATTTCATAAAAATTATCATTTTCATCGGTAAAATTTTTCCTATTGTAAAACCATTTTGCTCTATTTTAAAGGGACAAAATGGGAAATTTTTTAGCGCTATTTTGCCCAAATTTAAAAGAAGGAGGAGGAGGAACAGTAGTTAAGTTATTTAATTCAGGCGTTAGCCTTATTGGCGGCACAGCTACCAAAGAGCTTCCGTACGGGAGATCTACTGCTTTTCGACTCCGGCCCAGAGGGTCTATCGCCAGAAAACTGGTGCCACTTTGGTACCTTATGTCTCCTCCTTGCTTTGCGGTTTCAGCCTTGAATGGCGGTCTATGGATTTCTGATACCCTGGTGCAGGCGATTAGAGTAGCTTGATTCCAAGGATCAGCTCCTTGGAGTCTTTCGGATGCCGAAGCGCCTTCCTTCGACAGCTACAGGAAAAAGATAACTCCCTATGGCCTGGACCCAAACCCCTAGTTTCTCGGTAGAGGAATACTCATGGGTGCTCATATCCAATGGATGTTTCCAAGCACCTCCATTTCCAACCACAGGAAAGCGGCCAAAACTTACTCGGATACACATCTCTTGAGCCCTTCACTTGATTCTCGACCCAGAGTCCGTCCAAGTTCGCCATAGCCATAAGGTTTGGACTGTTGCGCCAAGAGGGGAGGTTGCATTTGTCGCCATTTTTATTTATATGGAGGAAGAGGAGGATAAGCTTAAGAAAGTTTTCATTTTAAAATTTATATGTATATAATATATGAGTAAACATTCTAGAAACTGTGCTATAATAGGAAATACTGCTTTATCTCTTATATTTATATTATCAAGCATGGGTAGTTTGCTAGGTTGGGTTTCGTGCTTAACCAACGGTTACTGGGACAGTAAGGAATCAAAAAACTCAAGTTGCTTCATATATGAATGGATCTCTTATCGCATGGAAAATTTCAGACAATGCATCTCCCTATATTGATTCTGGGAAATTGATAATTGGATATTCCACTTCAGTAAAAAGCTTCGTTGGCTTTCTCTGAGCTATTAAATTTTTTAGTGACAGTTCTCGCCAATATGCTGAATGGAAGACCTCAGGATGTGTTGGCGGATGTTCAACTTGTCCATCAGAGTTAGTTTGCCCAGACACGTGTTCATTTGGATCCTATCTTAATTCAACTGTTTGCGACCCATGCTTAGATATCTGCGATCAAGGATGCCGCTCTAGCAATACCTGCAAACTTTGCCTTTATAAGGAATGCTCCACGTGCAGCACATTTGATGAAGAGTGTATCAATTGTGTGGAAAATGCAAGCTTGGTTAACGGGATTTGCACATGCAAAATCAATGCAATTTGGATAGATGAAGCTTGCAACTTGTGCGATGTCAATTGTAAAACTTGCAGAGGAACTTATTATTTTTACTGCACTAGCTGCAATGACGGTCTATATCTTGTGGATGGTATATGCTTAAATTATTGCCCTTTTTTAACTAACCCCTGCTCAAGCTCAGTATCTCCAAAATTTAACATAACATTTGATGGCAGCTTTAAAGGAAATTATGATAATTTCTTGACTTCAGTTTCAGGCGCCACTTATCAATTTTTTAATAGTCCAGACTTAGGTGACCCAATCCCTGCTTACAGTAGGGGTCTTTATTTCGATAATGGGAAATATTTAATGACAAGCCAAAATGTTTATATTAATTTTGGGTTTTCGCTTGGGCTATGGGTTTATGCACTACACGAAGGGACGATTTTGAGCAAGCAAGGACAGATATCGCTAAACTCAAATGCAGGATTTTCTGTTTATTTGACAGATCCTTTAGCGACTAATAGTTTTACAAAGCAAGTGGGCAGCCAGACTTTTTCAGGATGGACTTATCTGTTTGTATCTGTTGGGTATTCAAATGGCTACACACAAATTTATGGATATATAAATGACCAACTCAAAGCAGCAGAATCTGCGAAATATTATTTATTTAGAGACAGCGGAGATTCTCCTTTATACTTAGGAGGGAGCCCAACTGGCACTTTTATAGGATTTATATACTCCTTCACTTTCTGAAATGCTGTGATAACTGATTTGACTAGTGAACTTTCAAGACCTTGTGGATCAGCTCTGTCAATTTCATGCCTGCAAACTTGCGATATAAATCAATATTATAGCCAAAATGATAGCTCTTGCTTATACTGCAATAACTGCTATACTGGATGCGTCAGAAAATATTCATGCAATATTTGTTACGATCCTTTGTGCTCTGCTTGCAGTGGATTTTGGTCCGGAATGTGCGCTGCTTGTGTAGACAATGCTTCTGGAAACCCATGCGCTTGCAATGCAAATTATATATCTCCAGATGGCTTTTCATGCACTCTCAAATGTTTTACTGGGTGTTCTAGCTGCTTGTCAACTTCGTATACAAGCTGCACATCTTGCGCACAGAACTATTTCTTATATCAAATGATTTGCTACACAACTTGTCCACAAGGAACCATTTCAAATTCAGTGACAAAAACTTGTGATAAAGATTTCCCAATGTCTATAAGCCTTGATTTCTATGCATTAGCAAGCCTACCTTCTAGCTATTCATCCGCCTCAGGTAAAACCCCTTACTTTATAAGTGACCGAGGCTGGCGCTTCTTTCCTCAAAGCTATATTTCAACCAGTGTCCAACTCAGCAGCTATATAACTATATCAATGTGGATTTGTTTTACAGCATACACTAGTATAGATACTATATTCTATATGAGTAGGGATTGGGGAATAAGCTATAACGGTAGCAATAAGCAGCTTGTTTTCAACACAGGACCTATTGTATGATCTCAAGCACAAAGTTTGTCAGCATTAGATATAAACACATGGCACTTTTTGTTCATTTCAACCATTCATAACAGTGATGGCACTATTAACTCCCTGCTTCCATAAGCGAATAAAAAATTTTTCGCTCATGAAAGAGATATTTTTTAATTTAAAACAATTTATACATAAAATGTTTATAGTAAAATTTTTTCTTCAAAATTGAAAAAATACTAATATGTAAAATTGAGAAGTAAAAATAATTTAATTGCAAAATTTATATTTTAAAATTCAAGCTGCTTAAAAGAAAACCGAATTAGCTAGAGATTTCATTATAATAATTATTATTTATATATCAAAGTATTTCTTTAATAAAAATTTATATATTAAGAAAATGTTTTTGCTCACGGGAGTGGATTTTTGGGCAAAAATAGGGATTTTTCCAATGGTTTTGTCTCACGAGAGGGAGAGTAAGCAACTAATTACATTGGATTCTACTTCGTTAACTCATGATAGCCTAACTCCTGCAAGTGATTTTATTTTTCAAGACAAAGGAGGTAGCAAATATATTGGCACTCAATTCGATTGGAATAATCGAGGATATACAAGTTTTACTGGGTACATGTATTGGCTTCATGTTTATAACGATGGCCTATATGATATTCCAAGCAATGAGATTCCAAGTTCAAGTTGCCCTAGCTGCTCAGTATGCCCTTCATCGTCATTCTGCTTGCCTACTAACTGCGCCTATAATGAATACTATGATTCAGAATGCCATTCATGCAACAGCGCATGCATAAATGGCTGTAATAATGGAAATGACTGCACTTTATGCTCTATGACTGGATGCAATAGTTGTACTGGGACAAATACTTGTGGATCATGCAAAGGGGATTTCGTATTTATTGATAACAATTGCCAATGTCCTTATACCTATGCAGTTAAGGATCCAGATTTGTTCACATGCAACTGTACGTCTTCGCTAACTTTTAATTCTGTGTGTGTAAGTTCCTGCCCAACAGGAACCTCTGATAATTTATCTGGAGCCTGCATATTGTATGCCAGTCAAGGACTTGTATTTTCATTGGCTCTAACTCAAATAAAAGGAATAGTCCATGATTCTTCTAGTAGTGGAATTGATGTTTTGGCTGGAATTTCCAGCGATTTCTATCCTAGTTATGATGCATATGATCCTATTCCAGCTTCTAAGAGAGGATATTATTTTAATGGAAATTCTTTTATGCAGTTGCCTCCAAATATAGATAATAGCTCCAAATCTCTGACTATCGCCGCAGATTTTTCATACTCAATGTGACTTTGGTCTCAAAATGAAAATGGAGTCATTTAGCTAACCCTTAAGAGAGTAAAACTATTAGCCTTTCACGAATGGTCAATATTTTTATTGAAAATTGGAATATCACTAGCTTGGAATTATTTTGCCTTTTTTATAAAAATTTTCTTGCTCATAAAGGAGAATTTTTCTTGAAATTAGCTAAGCAGAGTTCTGATGGCCCTTATACGACATATCTATCAATCAAGATAGTAGGACTTAAAATTATATTCTTACTCACTTCTTTATGATCGATCAAAACCTTTGGAAAGGTCCCTATTCTTTGGAAAAAATAACTTCGAGTTATAAATTTTTATATAAATATTCCTTGCATATGGCTGTTTTTTATGTAATTAATGAATTCAATGGCTAAACATCAAATAATACTATTAAATTTTAAATAAATTTTTCTTTCAAAAATATGGAATTGCGATTTTAATCCTAAGTCGCCTCCTTTGAACTGGAAAAAAATTGTTCATATTTAAATTTAATTTTTTCTTTTTAAAAGCTTATAGTCGAAAAGCACAATTTTTTTTAAAAGCTAGAAAAAAATACAATATATGAATTTTAGTGAAGAATTAATTTGAAAAATCAATCAATTCGATGTGAAAGCTATTTTAATAATATTCTGCTTGCACTTTTTTCATTAAATTTGGTCAAAAACTAATTTTTATAAAATTCTCATTTCCAGATATCAATTTTTTTTAAATTAAAACAAATTTAAAGGTAGCTATAGTAGCAAAATAGCGATATTTTTTCCAATTAATGATTGGAGTAAATATAATTTTAATTTTAATTTTTAAAAAAGGGTGATTAGCCATTCTTAGCTTTTATGATTCTATGTTAAGCTCTTCAGTATCATTTACTTCCAGAAATTCTATCAATGCTGATAGTTGATGCTATATAGGGTTTTCACTTAGCTATAAATTTCCATACAGTCAGGTGACTTATTATATCAATAGCAGCTTTGACACCCCTAAGATCATAAAGCACCCATTCCAAGACTTAGATTCTAACTACAGCATATTAATTGCAGCAATGCACACAGGCTCTTCTGCCTACTCAAGCTTTTATACAGGCTTTGTCTACAGTATAAAAATATGAAATACTATCGTAAACCCAACTCTATATGATATTTCTTACTCATGTGGCTCCAGCTGCTCTTTTTGCCCTTTATCTTCTTCATCTTGCTTGCCAAGTCAGCCTATCTCAAATTATTACGATTCTTCATCATCAACTTGAAATTTGTGCTGATCTTCGTGCCAGTCTACTGGCTGTGTAAGAAATGACGTTTTCTGCAACATATGCGATGATTTACTATGCAAAGTCTGTGAGGACTGAACTGGGTGTGTGACTTGCATTTCCAAAACCAAGCCAAACCACTTTCCTTGCGAATGTTTATCTGGTTATATTTATGATCCTATAGCAAATGAGTGTGCTTGCTTTCCATTTTGCGAAATCTGCTCGTCCTCTCATAATGGAGACTGCTCAAGCTGCAAATCGGGATATTATTTAAATCCAGAAAATCTTTGCCTTTACCTATGTCCTATGGGATATGCAAAGCAGTCCGATGGCACTTGTCTGCAAACAGCTGCAAATTCAATGGTCCTTCATTACTTGCTCAATAAATTAGCAAATACGTTTGCAGATAATGTTTCTGGGTTATTAGCTTATATGGGGTCAACTGATAGTTATTTAGGGCCTAATGACCCACAGCCAGTTTATCAATCCGGCTTTTATTTTTCTGGAAACTCATATCTTAAGCTACCTCCAAACTCTGCAGATTCTAAAGAAGTGATTTTGGGCAATAACCACAGTCTGCTATTCTGGGTCAGGCCTACGTCTTTAGCCAATGATTCAATCATTTTTTCAAAAGAAAACGCCTCTCAAGTGCACAGTGGTTTCAAGATATTATCCACTGGAAAATTGCATGTAAACTACGAAGTTTATGATGACCTTTCGGGGACAGCTGAAAATATGATTAGTGAGGCTGGCAATATTAATTTAAATGCATGATACAACATTATTATCGTATTTTCATGGACTTCTCATACTAATCAGATTTCTTTATATATAAACGGAGTAGCACAAGCTATTAATAACCTGATAGCCTACCAAAATACGTTTTTTATGGATATTCCGAGCGATAGTTTTATTGTAGGTGGCAGTAATATTGAAAACTACTTTTTCAATGGCTTCATTTTTGAGATGGTTCTGTATAACTATGCAATTAGCTCTAGTATTGCTGCTGGACTAATAAAAACCACTTGTTTATGCCCTGCGTGTGGCGATTTTGGGAATGAATGCTTGCGCAGCTGCTCTTATTTGCAATATTATAATAACGCTACTTCCAGCTGCACTGACTGTGACTCTTCTTGCACAAATGGTTGTGTGAGGAATGGAGATTGTAGCATGAGTGTTGATCTTTTATGTGCGGCTGAAATTGGGTTTCAACCTAGTGAATGCACAAGTTGTGTTGCTGGAGCTACAGGAGCGGGGACGACGTGCGCCTGTTTGCAAAATTATGTTTACGATTCTTCCTCAAAAACGTGTAAATGTGACACAAATTTATATCCTTGTGGAAGATGCGATAGCTTATGCACAAGCTGTCTTAATTATAATTATTTCACGTGCAGCTCTTGCACAGGAAGTGGAGTCTATCTAAATCAAGTTTGCTTGAATGAATGCCCCTATGGGCTTTTCAGTAATTCTGATTGTGCCAGTAAGACATCTCCAGTGATTGACTAATGGTTCATAAATAAAAAATGGCACTTGGCTCGAGAGAAATTAGCTTTGATAATATTCTCTCCCTCATGGAAGTTTATTTATAGGGTTGGGTTTTCTTATGAAAACTTCCGTAAAGCATTAGAAGTTTAACTCTGGCGGATAAGCCAGGCACTCTCCAAGTACATCAAGAGGCTCGAAGTTTTACCTCTCAGCATACTCGAGGAAGGTGACCCTTAGGCGGAACACGCGCAGTAGCTGAGTCAAGCAAGCGAGGCAACGCACCCTGCCAAAGCCGGAACGCTGCATTTGTCCTTTGTCCTGGTATAACAAAGTGAATCGATCCAGAGGTCCATGGGTCCGACACGTGGATAAATATGGTGGCAACTCTGGAAACGGCTATCCCGTAGTAGAAGTTAAACGTAATAAATAATATAAGATAAGATAAGATTGACCAATGGTTCAACGGTGACTTCCAAGGAAGTTACGGGATTTTTAGAACTGCGCAGTCAGATTCTAATTATTATTTTTTTAATAGCCCAGAAACTTTAGACCCTGTTCCTGCATATAACAGAGGCCTCTATTTTTCCAATGGAAAATTTTTAGATATAGCTTTTTTTCGCACATTTGCTTAAAAACCCTGAGAATTGAATTGGAGGGCAAAGCCTATTTCGATGGGATGCATATTTAAGCAAAAAAAAGAAAAAGATACTCAGTTCCGATATTGACTCAGACTATTAAATTTAAATCTCTCCAAAACTGATAGAATGTTTAAATCATTTATGAAATAATTAATTTTCTGCTTATACTCAATCCTTGCTTTTGTGAAAGTATATCAAACTAAAATTGAAATGTGATTTATGTAGTTGTCAACACGCTTATTCAAGTAAAAATAAATAAAAGCATCAATCTTTATAAAGAGATTAGTTCTGATATAATTATTAATTGGTAATATGTGATTCGTCAATACAGCAATTGATAACTCTTTATGTCCAATCAAAAATCTCGAGCATAATCTTGACTTTTCTTAGAGCGAATGATTGCTCCTCATGTGGAAGTAATCCAATAGGCGTATCATTAAAATTCTTCAGCAGAATCTTACTTATCTTCGATATTTGAAATTAAGAAGTAGTCAATTGTGTAGAAGTAGTATATCGAAAAAATAAAAATTGCAAGAGGATATTTGCCGATAAGGCGATTGATAGCTGTTCATGCAGTAGTACTCCAATAGGCAAACCATTAAAAATCTCTAGCGTAATCTTGACTATTTTAGCTTTTAGAATAAAGATGGAGTATATTGTGGAGATTTTATATATGGGAAATGGAAAAATAAAAATTGAAAGAGGGGTCTCACCGATAAGGCGATTGATAATTCTTCATGTAGCAGTACTTCAATAGATGTGGCATTAAAAATCTCCAGTAAAATCTCAACTTAGCTCTGATTTTTGAAACCAAAATGAAATAATAAATCTCCTAAAATTATTTTTCTTGTCAATTTTCGCTTGAAGCATGTCAAAATATTAAAATGGAACCAACGCACCAATTTCAAATAAGCTAAATCAAATCAGATTCTGTTTAGATTTTGGAGGTTTAATGATTATAATCTTCACCTAAAACACTCTAACGAAAGCAGGCATTGAGCTTGAATAAAGAACTTAGAAGCTTTATAAGAAAAATGCTGCTACTCACCCCTCCCTCCTTGAGCTAACAAAAAATTTTTCGTTCTCGAAGGGTTTTTTTTTTTTTAAAAAAGCATTATATTTAAATTTTATAGGGATTTTTTCCAAAAATTAAAAAATTAAACAGAATATGCTATCATAATGATCAAAATTTTTTTAAAAAAGTAATTTTATATTAAAAATATTTTTAATTTATTGAGCTCTACTAATTAGAAAAATTAAAAAAAATTTACTGCCTCGTAGAAGGCGGAATTAATTTAACGTAAATCTCTAATTCTCTAATAATTGAGGAACTTATTCCCTTGCATATTTTTTTAAATAGAGAGACTTATATTATGGGTATAGATCTTGCAATCTATACTAAATCTAATTGCTTTCAAAGCAAATGTACAAAGCCTCTATACAACAACACCTATTTACCTTAGCTCGTGATTTACGATGGGACTGTGAATCTACACAATTGATGATGGCGACGTCATATATAAAATAGGCACCTTTACTTTAAGTTCTAACTTAAAAGTAAACGCAGTTTTAACAACATTTAAAGGCAGCTCAACACTAGTAACTACTCCTATAAATTTTTCTGGATGGTGTCATATTGCTTTCTCGATGGAATATGTAGATGACTCAGCCAAAGCCCGTTTTTATTTAAATAGCGATATAAAAAACACAATTTCTACTCAATATGCCCTGTTCAGGGATAACAGCTCACAGACCTTGCTTTTAGGAAAAAGCCAGACGAGCTCTTTCGTAGGGTTTATATATGCTTTTACATTGTGAAATCAAGCAACAACAGATTTCTTTACAAATATGCCTTGTAGTGGCATAACATTGGATGCATCTTGCCTGTGGGCATGCGATATATTTATGTATAATGAAGGAGGAAACTATGTGACCTGCAATAATTGCTATAATGGTTGTGTAAGAGGCAAAAGCTGCAATATTTGTAAGGATCCATTATGTAAAATTTGCACTGGATTTGGAGATCAATGCTCGGAATGCGTAGAAAATGCTTCAGGAACGCCATGTGCTTGCCTTGCAGGGTTTTCTTCCCCAGGTGGGTTTTCATGCACCTCAGGGTGCGCTAGAGGGTGTTCTAGCTGTTTATCAACTTCCTATTCCGACTGCACATCTTGCCAGCCAGGCTATAGAAGTTTCCTATGTTTGGCGCTGTAAGGCCGATAAATTCTGATCGGAATTTATCGGTAGGTTGCACCAAATCAATGCCTTGGTCGGACCAAAAAGCGATTTGGTCCGACGAACTTGGAAAGCTCCTGGGAAAATGTCTGCGCTTTTAGCGCTATATAGAGGAAACCTCTATATTTTTTATACCAAATGATTTGCTATAAGTCATGCCCAGCTGGAACTCTGTCTAATTCTGTAACAAACAGCTGCGATCAAGACTCTGTATTTTCAATCAGCCTCGATTTCTATTCTCTTGCTACCCTTCCATCTGAATATACTGCTGTAGGAGCTGACTATGTAAATAATCGTGGATGATATTTTGAGCCTGCAGATTATGTCTCTACAGAAAACAAGCTCAGCTATTTCTTTGGAGTCTCTTTGTGGATATTTTTTACTGGTTTTACCAATGAAGATACTATTTTTTACGTTGGTAGAGATTATGGATTTAGCTATAAAGGAAGCAGTCAAACTTTAAATTTTAAGACCTCATATTCTTCATTTGTAAATAATCCAGCTACACTAAGTTTGAACTCTTGGCATTACATTTATTTCTCTATATTTAGAGAAGATGTAGGAAAATTGACTGAAACGGTGATCATTGACTCTAGCTCAGTTTTTATGACTATTTCATTTGCAAACACTTATATTGATCCAGACGCAAACTATGTGAAATATATTGGATCCTGTCCTGAGTGGGCTGTCAGAAAGGCTTTAGGGTTTAGTGGATATATTTATTTTTTTCATGCTTTCCGTGATGCTCCAAATCTTATCTCTCTATCTGAATATATTACTTCAGGATGCCCAGCAGGCTGCTCACTCCTTCACATTAAAGATGAAAAAATCATTGGAAATTTAACCTCTTTTGAGATCGACCAAAACATTTTCTTGGTTAAAATTATTTTTATAATTGCTATAGCAAGAATTCTAGCTTATTCTCATTCTAATAATAATTATCATAGATTGAATTATTAAATTTAAACTCTTGAATTAAATTAGATTTTCTTTTTTAAAGCATTTGAATTTGTTAAAATCTGAATTTTTTTTATAAAAAATCTCTGTTCGCTTAAAAGGGGAGTCAGCATGTCCTCCTTCTTTACTCTGCCTACCAACAAACTGCCAATATAATCAATATATAAACTCTAACTGTGTCAATTGTCTTAGCAACTGCATGCATGGATGCGCCAATGGGAATGACTGCACCTTATGCTCCTTAACAGGATGCGATACTTGCACTGGAACTTCTACTTGTGGGCTGTGCCATGGAGATTTCTTATTTATCGATGGCCAATGCGCATGCCCCTACACTTTTTCAGTGCTAGATCCGTTAGTTTTTGCCTGTTATTGCTCATCGAATTTGCAATTCCAGTCCATATGTATGAATTTCTGTCCAACTGGAACAAATGGGAATCAAGCTGGAAGCTGTGTGCTTGATAGCCACCAAGGATTAATATTTTCTTTGAAATTGAATAAAATTGAAGGACTCGTGAAAGATACTGTGAATAATTTTAACGTCCTATCCGGGAGTTCAGATAGTTTCTACCCTACCTATGATAGCTATGATCCTATCCCAGCATATAAAAGAGGGTACTACTTTAATGGCAACTCTTTGATGCAATTGCCTCCAAATATAAATGATAGTTCGTACTCTCTTAATTTTGCTACCGCCATTACTTTTTCTATATGGATTTGGCCAACCTCAACTACTTCAAGCACTAAACAAGTTATTTTTACAAAGCAAAATTCATCAATGGCAGCTTTGATAGAAGTTAGCATATCTCTGCCAAAACTATATGTCGTAGTACACTCTTTTCTTTCACAGCAAACATATATTTCATATCATGAAACTAATACCCAAGGCTGAAATTATGCAGCATTTTCTCTTTCTTATAGTTTCCCATACACGCAAGTGACATTTTACATTAACAGCCAGTTAGACATGGCAACTCCAGCTAAAAGTCCCTTACAAGATTCGAGCATCGCCTACTCTATTTTGATTGGTGCTCAGCATGCCTCATCTTCAACATACTCCGACTTTTTTACCGGATTTATTTACAGTATGAATATATGAATCGTCCCTACGAACCCTACCTTAAATGACGTCTTTTATAACTGCAACCCAGGATGCACAATTTGCCCAGTTGGGTATGCTCCCAATTGTTTAGCAAATGAACCTATTAGCAACTACTATAACTCCTCAACTTCTTCGTGGTTGCAGTGCTCAAGCTCCTGCTCATCAAAAGGCTGTGTAAGAAACGATGATACCTGCAATTTGTGTGATGACCCATTATGCGCTTCTTGTAATGACTGGAGTGGCTGCCTAGCTTGCATTGACAATTGCGACCCTGTGCAGCCTCCATGCACCTGCAAGAGCGGCTTTTGGTTTTATGTAAGTTTCTGTACCTATTGCCCTGAAGATTCTATACCTGAAGGTTCCACATGTGTCTGCAAAGATCTCAATTCTACCTATAATGCTTCTACAAATCAATGTGTCTGCAATGATCCTTATGCTTCATATAACTTCACCTCAAATAAGTGCACTTGCAATAGTGGCTATCGGCTCTATAATGATTTCTGCACTATCTGTCCAGATAATGCAACACCTCAAAGATCTTCATGCATATGCAATATTGATAACGCCTCATATGATTCTACCCTGGCTCAATGTGTTTGCAACAGTGGCTATCGGCTCTATAATGGTTTCTGCACCACTTGTCCTGAAAATGCTATACCTAACGGAGCCACATGCACCTGCAGCATATCTAATGCATCCTATGATTCGTCATCAAATAAATGCGTTTGCAATGCTAATTATTGGCTAGATAATGGTCTCTGCATCAAATGTCCTGAAAACGCTTCACGTGAAGGATCTACCTGCATTTGCAATATTGCTAATGCTAAATATGATTCAACGCTAAATCAGTGTGTTTGCAATAATTATTACTATATGAACCAAGGAACCTGCATTGCATGTGTGAACTACTTGGATACCACCAATATTGCTGCGTCATTTAGAAATAGTTATTCAGAAATTCAGTTTACCTTTAATATTCCAGCAGACCGTTCCCCGTACAACTGCAGCTCATCGTTCGATTCTTCCACTTTGGCAGGCTTTGGTTTGGACTATTCATGCAGCTTTGCATCAGATTTTAGTTCTTTAAAAGTTTTATTGGGACACGATTACACTTTTAGCACAGAAAATGCAATTTTTAAGCCTGGGGCACTAATAAGCTCAGTTCCATTGTGTGGGAAATCGAAGCTGCAACTCTCAATTCCTGTAGCCTTGCAAGGTGATGTGCCAACGCCAAAATTTACATATATAGCTCCGAAGATTCTTGAGATATCATGTCAGGATCTCTTATTAGATGTGATTGTTGACAAAGGACTGCCTTATGAGGTTTATAAATGGACACTCTCTTCTAATCCCCCCAGCTCTGTAATTTCTTCTTTTTCTACTGAGTATAGTAACTCTTATACTGCGCTTAGCATTAAAAAAGAAAATTTAACTGAAGGAATTATTCATGCGTCTTTTTCTATGAAAAATAATTTTGGAGGCATTTCGACTATAGACAAGGAAATTAATGCTACAGCATCTCCTACTCTTATAATAAATATTGACCCTTTATTAGCCAGCTCCTTTGATAGGCTGAAATCATATACGGTTTCTGTTGGATCACTTAGTTTAGATTATCATCATCATATCCTTTATTTCGCTCCATAATATTTCTTGCCAGTCAGATTCAACAGCCCGAAGGCATATGCTGCTTCCTCCAAATGAGGGTTGCACTCGCAGCTTGAGGCAAAGTGCCGGGTCGCCTTGCCGTACCCAGAGGGGTTGCCCTTTTCGAAAACTCAAAAAGTGAATTTTCTTGTCAGGTTGTCGGCCCGAATGAAACTTGTAGCCTAGGGTGCAGGTCCTGGCATCGCGCTGGGAAATTACCCAATTGGCCAAGCGAACTCCGCCTGGCCTTTCTGACTTCCAAATTCCATCGTCTCTCTGGCAAAGCCATACCCCGAAAGAGCCTGCGGTCGGTCAGACCAGCAATGCGCTCCACCAGACCAAGTAAAATCTGTGGCCAGATACTCTCACTGCACACTGCTCTCCCAGATCACAGTCTTAAGAGGGAGATTGGCTTCCACGCCATTCATAGTGTACTTCTTTTGGGTCAATAACTTCTTGCAATATTTCTGATAACTTAAACATCACGTGAAGCATCTCTGGGGTCAGCAATAATGCTTCAAGCATTGACGAAAGCACATTTTGGAGCGCTCAGAAGTCTCACTCCCACCTCCGTGAGCGAGCAAAACCATTAGAAAATCCCTATTTTTTGCCCTCATGAGCGAACAAAAATTATTTTAATAAAAAAAATTTTTTGAAAAAAAAAATTTAATATATAAGTGATAATTAGTATAATGAAATCTCTAGCTAATTCTGTTTAATTTTAAACAAATTGCGTTTTAAAACATAAATTTTATAAATTAAATTAATATTTTGATTTCTATTTTTGTGAATTAGGATTTTTTTAAAATTCCAAAAAAAAATTTTCTATAAAATTTATATGTAAAAAATATTTTAAAAAAAAAAATTAACCCCCCTCAGTGAGCAAAATTTTTTTGTTCGCTTAAGGAGGCGGGAGTCAGTATCTGCTGAATATTCCTCCAAAAACCCTTCCTGCTTCGTCTACGATAGATTTCAAAGTTTTTGCAAAAGATTTGACTTATAATATTCCTGGAGAAACAAGTTTTTCAATTGAAACTCAATCATCAGACCCTATTATCGTTTTTAATCGAACTGATGGAGATTCAGGCGTAAGCCAAAACTTAGTTGTCGATGCAGGCGATTCTTATGATCCTGACTATAATTCGAACTTTTTATACCAGTGAAGCTGCCAAATTCATGGCTCTTCCACTAGTTGTTCAGATTTTATTCATGATTTTAGCTCTTCTGTTTTAATAGTTCCAGCAAATACTTTGACTCTAGGCGCAGTCTACAACTTCACATTAAATTTCACAAAAATAACTACAAACCCTGTCAGCACAGCCAAAAGTTCACAAAAAAGCATAACCATCACAGCTATCAATAAGACAGTCCCTCCAGTAAATATGGTAGAAGTATCCAGCTCAATCCCTAACATCGCAAATCCTGATACAACTTACAGAATTGAAATCAAAGGGACATTCTCTTCAGTTGACTGGTCATTAAATTCTTCATCAGAAATTTCTTATTCAACTCCTACGAACTCTAATTATTTGGTCATCCCTCCAAATTCATTGGCTTCAGGCTTCTCCTATACTTTGCTTGCTTCTGTTGACAATGAGTTTTCGTTTACCTGAACATTTTATGTAAACAACCCTCCAAATAATGGAAAACTTATGGTTGTCCCCAGCTCAGGCCTAGAAATGTCAACGATTTTCACAGTGGCAGCACTAAATTGGGAAGATCCAGAAAACAATTTGCCACTTCAATACTCTTTCGGCTACTACATTTCTGATGCTTATCAAGCAATTTCTGCTAAAAATTTATCCTCTCTAATATTCACAAACTTCCCCTATTCTCCAGGAAATATTACAATTTCAGTAGACATCTATGACTCCTTGGCTTCAAAAACCAACAAAATTTCCTATGTCACAATTAACGAAAATCCGAATATTGACCAATATATCGATTACCGCATGAATTTGCCAGTTTTAAACCCGCAAGCAGTTCCTGGGTTTGCATCCGAGTTGTCAGCGCTAGTATTAAATAGAGATAATATCATTAATAACGAATACTCTGACGTAGATTCCCAAATGCAAAGTGCTTATGATTCAATTATTGACAAAGTCAACCTTTATGTTGAAGCCATGGACAAATATAACGAAGACTCCTATACCACTGTTTTTTATATGCTTTATGTTGCCACGTTGAATCCTAATATAAACAGCTATGATAATATTAATAAAATAAGCGACATTGCTGACTTCATGATTAAAAATAATGATAAACTTACAATTGATGACGGCCAAATGCAAGTTTTTGCAGGAATTTGCGATAATAATTTTCAATTAGATAGCAATGGGGCTATTAACCAAACAAATACCGTTAATACTATTGATGAAAATGTTAGGAAAATTAGTACTGTTTTATTGTCTGGAATGGTTACTGGAGAGTCGAAAACGTTTATTGAAGATAAATTTGCAACAGAAGTATCTAAAACTACATCTTCGGAATTATCTAATTATGCATCTCAAATAAAAAATGCTTCTGTTACGTTAGGCCATAATGTTTCGGATTACTTCAATGAAAATGAAGGTATTGGAGTTATAATCACTATATATGATCCTGCACTGGATATCACTGTAAAACCATCATTTTCCTTAGTTTCTTACAGACTGATAAACAACATAACTTTTCAAGAAGTACACTTAAACAATACAAGCTATAACACCATAAATATTCCCGTCCACAACTACGATGTCCCAGTGACAAAGGATAATCCCATTTATTGCACCTATTTAGAAAACAATGAGACACGTTGACACACCACTGGCTGTGTCCTAGATTCCTACAACGCTACCAACGTAATCTGCTCATGCAACCATTTAACTATTTTTTCTTCATTTTTCTCTGATGCATGGTCAACTGCTAGCGGGAGCAATATAGGAGATACCGTCAACGTCGATGCTTTTAATGATATTGACTGGGCAACTAATGCAATTGGCTTATATTTTTGTATTACAGTTCTGTTTATTTATGCAGTTCTCAGCGCAATTGCATGTAATATGGATCGTCTTGAAAGAAAAAAGAAAGAAAACGCTCCTGAGCTTGATCCTAATAATTCGCATGACCTCCGGAAAAATGATGATCCAAGGGTTAGAATGAAACGTAAGAGCACAATAATTAAATTCGATTTAGATGAATCAGAAATAGGTACGAGAGATGAAAAATTGGAAACTGCAAGAAGTGAGGAATCTCCAACCTGGATAAAAGAAAGCCAAGAAATGAGTATTGACACTACTCTAAAAACAAAAAATAGTTTTGATATGTCAATAATCAAGCTCGACACGGCTGATGTAATAAATGTGAAAGATATCAAGCATCAAGTAAAAGAAGAAAAACCTCTCAAAAGATATACAAGGGCACTTATTTTTATTGCAAAAAATCATGATTTCGTTACCATTTTTACAAATAAAGAAAACTTCACTCATTTTTCGCGTTTGACATCTTATATGATCACTTTATTAGGAAATATGTATTTTATAGGACTATTTTACCAATCTAAGCCGAAAGGAAGTGACTATTCTATCGGTGATTTTTCAAGTGCTTTTAATAATTACTCTTTTCAAGACTTCTGGATTTTGGTTTATTCTTCAAGTATTATGCTGCTTGTAGGGATTTTATTGAATTATTTATCCAAATCTACTCCACTGCCTTCAACTGATGATACATTGTATAAAAGCATCAAAAAGAATAACCTTTTTAAGCTTATTGCGTTTTACTTGATATCATTTGGGCTTCTATTTTATTTCTGTTGGTCTATCATATTATTTTCAATACAATTTGAACTGAACGTTACTTATTTATGAATTTGCAATACCAGCGTGAGCTATGGGACCAACTTGTTTGTGGTGTCATTTGCCAAGGTAGCATTTAAAGCATTTTTGATTTGGATATTCCCGATAATCATTATGATTATTGGAACATCAAACACAGAAAACGAAAATAACATTAGATAAAAGCTTTTGCTTAAAAATTAATTAATATTAATTTTTTAAGCTACGATATGACTTTGCACAGAACCTAATATTCGTTTCTTAAATATATTTCTCTTCATACTCTTTAAGAATTTTGAGTTTTATGCAATAGAATCTTAGATATATCTCAATTACTCTCCATAATAAATAGCTATATAATTTAAATTATTTATTTCTACAGAACTTTAGCTAAAATGAATATTCATGGGAAATGATTATAAATTAAATGGAAAACAGCGAAACACAAAGAAGTATAAGATCAAAGGTTTGTAAAATAAAAAAATTTGTCCAGGATTTATTGTCAAGGAGCAACGAAATAGAAAAGTCTTCTATAGAAGTACTTATGCAAAATCTAATTGTTTTAGAGTATCTTGTAGGGTCTCAGCAAGGCTCGAACCAGGACGAAGTTGACTCACTCCAAAAAAGTTTCGAAAATTTTAAATCAGAAACCAAAGAGCGAGAAAAACAGCTAAAACTCCAAGTAGACCATTATAAGCACAAGTTGGAAACAGAAAAAGACCAATATCGAAAAAGGATAACTGAATTTGAAACCAAAATCGGAGCTGCTAACAGCAGAAAAAGTGAAAATCTTGCTAGAAAATCTACTCAACATAATTTAGCGATTTCCAGCATTGAAGAAGTGTTCCGTTCAAAGTCCTTTGAAGAAGAAAAGCACCAAATTGAAAATGCAGAAGCAAGCCAAGACAGCCCATTCCCTATAATCTCTCAAGAATTAATTTCAAATGAGCAGCTAATGCTAAATTTCAATGAAGAAAAATTTGCAGCAATTTCTGAAGAAAAAGACGCAATTCGAGCCCTGCTCAATGAGTCAAGAGTAAAAATATCTAAATTAGAAGAAGAAAATTACACGTTAACTACAAAATATGATGAATTTCGGCTGAGGAATTTTGATTTAAAGCATAAAATAGAATCGTCTAACGCTGAGCTTGCAAAGCTGAAAGCCGATTTTGAAGATTATAAAAAATCAAGTGAGTATAGAGAAAAACATTGGCAGGCACAAGTTGAGAAAAAATCGCATCAGTTTGAGACAGTGATGAGTAAAATGCAAAGCTTAAATCAAAGGTTGGCATTTACAAAGCAAGAGCTTGACGATGCTCAAAAAGTTTTGACTGAAAGGATGAAAGAAATTGACACAGAGAAAAATTTAAAAGAAAAGGTGACTAATGAATTAGTTGTAGGAAATAAAAAAATTGTTGAGCTTAAAGACTCAATTACAGATTTATGCTTAAAATTTAGGGACGAGCAGCGTGAAGCTGAAAAAATGCAAAAAGATTTAGTTCACAAATTGACTACTGAGCACAGTCTAGAAATATCTAATTTAACAAAAAATTATTCTGAGGAAATTGAAAAAATCAAAGCAGTCACTGAAGAGCGAATTAATGAGATTAAAGATAGAGCAAGAAGCAATGAAGAAAATATGAAAAATTATTTTAAACAAAGAATTGAAGACTATAGAAAATGGTATGATAAAGCCTTGGCTGAAAAATCTGAAGAATTAAGCCAAGAAGAAAAATTCCATTATTCACAGAAGGTGAGTTTAAGCAAAGAAGTATCAATTTTAAAGCAGAAAATTGAAAACTTAGAAAATGAAAATTCGGCTTTGAATTATAAATGCCAGGATAGAGAAAAGCTATGCAAATCAATTGAAAGCGAATATTTAGAACTAAAAGAAAAATATAGTGAGCTGAAAGAAAACGAGGCACAATTTAGATTTAAAAATCAGTCTATTATTGCGAAAACTACTGAAAAAATAACATCAATTCAAGCAGAAGTAGAAGAAAGGATTCAGCATGAATTAAGCAAAGCTAAATCTGCTTATAAAGCTAAGTCTAAAATATTGAAAGAAAAATGCAAAGAAAGAATTGAAAGCCTTGCTCAACGGCATAATGATGATATCAAAAAACTGCAGGATATTTATAAAGCTGAAAAAAATACATTATTTAGTATAATTGTAGGCAAGGAAAAAGAAATGGTTGCGAAAGAAATAGAATGCGAAAATAAATGCCAGGAAATATTGAAAGAAGCTGAAATTAAAAAAGAAAAATCTATAAGAAACCTAAAAGAAAAGATGAGAAAAAAGAAAGAGAAGCTAAAAGAAGAAAAAAAAGAACTGGAAGAGATAATTAAAAAGAAAACTGAAGAAATATCACTTATTAGTGGAAAAGAATCACAAAAGGTAATCCAAGAATTATCAGAAATACATGCCAAAGAAATCAAAAGGATTCTTGAAGATAGTAAAAGGGAGCTAGAAATGAAAGAAGAGCTCTATAAAAAGAATGAAAATCTGATAAGGTCAGCCTATGACTCTCAAGTTGAGGAGTTAAGAAACCTGCTTGAGTCGTTAAATATTGAGTCTCACTCAAAAGAAATAAAACTGTTAGAGCACGAAAACCACTCAAAAAAAGAAATAGAAAATATGTTTAGTGACTTAAAAGTGGCAAACTATCAGAACTCAGAACTAAAAGCAAAAATTATTGAACTAAATTCTGAAATTCACTCTCTAAAATACCCTGAAATAAAAACCACTGAAAAATTCATTCAAACAGACCCAGAGCCTGAAAAATGTGAAAGCGAAGTCCTAAAACGGCAAAGAGCAGTCATAAATAAATGCCAGTCAAAAATAGAATACCTTGAAAACTCAATGCAAAAAATGACTCAGACAATGCAAGCAAATTACGACAAGTCAAGAGAAAAATGCTCTATTTTGTCAGCGCAGCTAAAACAAAAAGAATCAGAATTAAGCGAAATCCAGAATTTCCAAAAAGAGGCTTTAAAGAAAGACGAAATTATAGCCAAGCTTGAAAAAGAACTAAAAAGCATGAGAAAGCAGCTGATGAGTCATGAAAATGATTTAAATTTTTTATTTTCATCTGCAAACACATCAGCTTCCAGCAAAAGCCGGACATCTTCATATGGAGCTGGTCGGCCACAAACTCCAAAAGTAGTCCAAAGGCGTAAAACAACAATTTCTAGAAATTTTTCCCCAGCAAATAAATTATCATTAACATTAACATCCTTTGATTAGCCAACAAATTCTTCCCAAACATCATCAAACGCATTATCTTCAGGCTGTGTAAACTCACCAAACTCATTGATTTCTGCCCTTGGGATTGTCCCAAACGCATACGTTTCATACATTTCTTGGTCTTTTCCATCACAGTCTTCTACTTGTTTATTTTTTTTCTCTTCTTCAATCAATTTCTTTTCTTCTTCTATTCCTTTGTCCTTTATTTCAATTTCTTTGAGTTTTTTCATTACCATATCAAGTTTTTCATTCATTTTCATCAATTGTTCCTGCTTTATTTTTTCGTCATGGTCTTTTTTGGCTTGCAGTCCTCTTTGGATTTCAAGCCGAATATCATAACCATTTAAGGTAGTTGCTTGTCTTAAAGGAGTTTCTTGGGAATTGTCTTCAGGCTGAGAAGGAGCAAGACCCTGGGGGTCTGGCAGATTAGGTGGAAATCTGTGAATACTTTGAGGGATGCTTATAAGTGGGTAGGTTTGGCCTTGGTTTGGGAGGCGTTGAGGGACTCTTGGAATTGGAAAGGCTTGTGTTGGAGGCTGAAATGCAGGAAGATCTGTTAGGGATGGAAATCTTAAATTGCTCGGAGGTCTGCAGCTATTTTCTGCTATATGCCTATTGAAATCTCTCAATAAAATGTATTGATTGCATCTTTCGCATTTTTCGGTTCGACTTCCGCATGTTCTTATGTGTTCAGCAAAGGACGCTGATGAAAACATATCTTGACAGTATTCACATAGATGTTGGGGTTCGCATTGATGATTTGGCATCATTGGTTGGCTGCAGGCTGAACAGATTTGAGGGCTAATACTCCATAGGCAATAAAAATATTTTGTTCTCTAATTTGTTTTAATTTTATATTATAAATTTTTTCATAGCCTTTATTTATTAGTAAAAATGTAATTGAATTTATAAAAATGTAGCTTTAGTATGCAAATTTAATAGAATTAGTTAGAGAATTGATTTAATATATTAATTTTTATATATTAACATAAAACAGCAATTGATGTCTGACCCGCCCTCTCAGTGGCTGCTACCCATGCATCTAGGCCTGGCTTTTGGATTCATAGATTAGCTTAGCAATATTAAGAGTCAAAATATAAGGGATTTAAGTACAAATTCGTAGCCTTTGCAAGGTCAGTTGCTCGTGACTTCTTTTTGGGCTTACCTTCTTCAAGCTATTTGATGGTCTGCCCCGATCTCATAAAGTGGTTGAGTATGATGATAGACAAAAAAGGGCGAGGCTATCAGGTCTAGTTAATAGCTTCGGATGATCTATGGATGATGAGCAGGAGGAGTAATTAGACCGGCAATGGGATCTAAGTTAGAAATAGCGGGTACTTAGACTTAATAGTGCAATACAAATACCAATAATCCAGAGGTTTCGGTCGGGCTCAAAGCTACCAGTGGTGAAAGCAGCCCAATTTCGTTTCTACCTCCAGACGGCTTATGCCATATAAAGCACATCCTTGTGAAGAGAGATCTTAAATATCCACATAATCTAATCTAGCATATCAAATTATTTTTTACTCAATGAGTGGGTAAGAGGTTGAGGTTTCGTAGAAGGAATTTTGATTAGGCCTGAAGAGGGTTGCCCATTAAGATCTCGAAGCTTTTGACACCTAGTTTTGTGAATACTGATGGAAATTTTTGACACTTCGACTCCGCAAAGTTCACATATCTCGCTTTCCATGATCAATCTTAGAATTAATTTATTTATCTATCTATAAAAATTCGAAATTAATTGAATTATGAGTAAAGTTATATGAGAAAAACTATTTACGGGATAATTTAACTTAAAGATATTCAGGGACTAAGTAATATATATAGACTTTATAATATGTCTAATTATTATTAATCTAAAACCCATTTATTATTGAGTCTTTTATCATTAGATTTGTCTCTATCAATCAGATTAATTTAAATCTGAAAATATCTTAAATTTTCTCCATTATCTTATTTTGACTGTCTAGATATTTTTGACAAAATAATTTAAAATGCCGGATCATGCCATATCAGAGCATGCGAGGAGTCTTATGGAAGAAATTCAATCAACTAACTTTGAAACTGCTACAAAGAATTTTGCGAATTCGAATATATTACGCTGATAGAGCTCTGTGTGAAAATTGTTGAGAAATTAAAAAATGACAAATAAACCCATAAGTGGAGTCTTAAGTATCGATCTTTCGAAATATTACAGAATTTATTTAATTACGTGAAAATGCTTAGTAGTGGAAAAGCTAAAAAACTGCACAATTTTATGAGCATCTATATATCTACAAATTTTGGTAGCACTTTGATAACTTAAGTTGTCATGACTTAGATATTGTCGAGAATGCTGCTTTAAAGAAAAATGGCTTGAAATCAATTACTAATTCTTTTAGACATGCAAAATTTATTATCAATAATTTAGAAAATGATTGTTTCTTAGTCAGAGAAAACGAAGAAAATGAAGATCAACTTGTAAATGCTTTAAAAACACTTATTTTGGAAGCTTTTTGCATAGCTCCTGTCAGATTTTGCTACTCAAATTCTAACATTATTATCTAGAACCAAAAATATGAAAATGAAATTGATATCTATTCTTTGGTAATTGCATTTGCAATGGAATTCTCAAATGTTTAGACAATAATGTTTCTTTTCTACCCGTTAATCGAGGTCTGAAAAAAATATCGGATTCCGCAAATATTTGGATCATAATCTTATTATCTTATAGAAAACTCTGAAATTTGTTTTACCATAACTGCTAAAAGAAGTCAATGTTTTGCTCAAAGCTTGGTGATCATATACTACTTAAGAAAATTATTCAAAACAAGCATAAAAAACTACCAGAGATGATGATTTAAACACTATTAAATTGGAAAAAAAAGCGAAGATGGACCAAAATCCCTGATACCCTTTAAGATATTTCAAAAATCCAGAGATACTTTGACTTCTCTATTAATGAACTCTTCGTTTTAAATTTGAAAAATATTATTAATCATATGGCTATTTGAATTAATGGCAGTTAGTCTTGCACTTTCGAGAACTCAAAATTAGAAAGTCCTAACATAAAAGATTATAAAATATTTTGCAAAAGAGTTTGAGTTTAGAAAACTACAATCAAGGATATCATTCTAATGTAGAAAACTATAAAAGCTTGCTCTAATAAGGAGAGTATGATATTGAAAAGACTAATTGTTAATCAAGAACTACAAATAAGTTTGCTCATAAATTTTAGAAATTTATAGGGACGATCTCAAACTGATAAGCTGCGTGATTTCATATAACACTAGAGAAAATGAGCTTGATTACTTCCCACAAGAAGAAAATTTGAGTAAGTCAACTATTTGAGGATATTTCACTATAAATTTAATGACTTTAAGACTGATATTTGAATCTTTATATTATAGTTGAGCTAAATATCTTATTTTTATCGCAGCTATCATATATTAAGCCCTTAAACTAAGATCGATTATCGTATCCTGCATAAAAATTATGCAATAGAAAAAGTTAAGGTGAGTATAAGGTCATAAGCATAGACATTAAAATGTCTTAATGCCTGTTGTAGGCAGGTTCAGTGGGAAAGCCAGACCTTGTGGAAGGGAGGACAGCGTTTTTAAATGTGCAATAGTGGTTTGGCGGAGCGCAATGTCTTGTTCAGCAGGCCGCATACTCGAGCCAAGTCAATGTTTTACCTCGTGGAGAAATTGTTTGCTGGAGTTGGTAGGGGACGTCCAGCAAGGCCAGAGGTTGTTGCTTGACTAATCGGAAAAATCCCTTGGGCGATAGCAGGTATTGAGTCCTGGGTTCCGGGTTCCATTTTAGTCAAAAAATCGACTGAAAAATTCGATTTTTGAATAAGCCAAACCTCGTTGAGTAGCATGGTTGCCCAGCGTCTCTGACTCTGGATAGCTAGTGCAAGCCTTTTACATGAGGAGTAAGGCAATTGAAGACTATGTCCGAGCTGGCTAGAAAGCGGTGGAGCGTTATGCCGAGGTAATTTATTGGTCTCTGGGGTATGCAGGGGACTTCTTTATAAGCAATTTAAGTTAAAGTTATAAGGCCATAAGTGGATAGGCCTTTAGCTTACCTATCTGGTATAAACCCATCTAACCTAAGGATTAACTCTCTAGGTTAGAGCCATCTTTTTAGGATGCCCCTAAGAAAAGACTAAGTAGGAGGCAAAACCTGTCTAGTTCATCTGGAGGGACAGGGAAAAACTTCTAGGAGAACAAAAACATTCTCTTGGAAGGCATCCCCAAACCTAATGGTCTACTTCAAAAAGCAGAGTTACTATTTTTATCTTCATCAGTACGACCCATACCTGCTTCGTAGGTGTATATTTCACAGCTCATCTTCTGTCAGCGTCGCCATTTTATCTTTGCGATAGAAAAAGGAAATTTAACTTGAAAGAAATCTTTTTGTAATACCTACTAATCTGTTGAGATAGTTCTTTAGAAAAATATGCCGCGTTGCAAGGTTTAATAAATTTCTTTTACACATACCCATAATCTGAAAAATTGAAATCTTTAATTTACAATGCTAGAGTATATTATGCTATTTAAGAATGGATAAATGAAAATTTTAGAATCTTCTAAATCATATACGAAATTTCAGCTTAATTTGACTATTAATAAATATAATTACACTCTTTCTAATTTTGCCATCAATTCATTAGCTCTTGTCAGGAGATTTTCAATTTCGCTTATGATTTCTCTTTCATCAATTGAAAAACTAGGTACTGGTGAATTGAAAAAATGTCTCATAGAATTCGCATCAATTTCTTTCTTTAAATTATCCTGGTTTTTTAAGTCTAAACCTGCACAAGCTTCTTTCAAGCTTTTTTTTGTAATTAAGCGCTTATAAGGCTCTTCATTAGTTTCGTCCTGAGTTGTTTCCCAAATTGGATGCTTCCCAGTCGCACTTTTAGGTGTAGATCTGTTAAAAGGTGAAAAATACCCAGTTAAGCTCCCTGATAGTGATCTCCTTGATTTTTTGAAGCCTTGTCTTGATTCTTCTTGCATATTATTTCAATTTAAAAAATTATTGAAATTATGTATATTAATTAAGAGATCTTTCTAAAGCTGCCAATTCAAAATCTGAAAGTTCTTCCCCTCTTTCTTGGACAAATCTCAAAGCCTGGAACCACGGAGAACATTCTTCTTTGAACCTATGGACTTTATTTAAAAATTGTTTAGATAGATCTGAGTCTTTCCAAAAATGCAAATCAGAGCTATCAAGGCCTTGAAAAATAGCTAAAAGCTCAGATGGATATTCAGACGGAATATTTTCGGTCGCTTTAGAACTCATTTCAGTTAAATATGCTGAATATTGGGTCTTAAAATAAGGGAAGAAAAAATCCGGCATTTGGTTTTCTACGAATTTATAAGCAAATCTTAGGCTTGACATCACTTGTTTATAGCACATTGTAGAGGGGAGAAAATGAAACTTTGTATATCGCTTTATAAGGTCTACTAAAGGAAGTGCGTCAATCACTTTAAACTGATTTATTATATAAAATGATTGGGAGCATATTCTGAGCAATGCGATCTGCAAATACAACTCAGCAAAATCGTACTCATTTTCATTGATAATTAAACAATGTAAGACATATAAGCCTTTTTCCCACTCTTTTTCGTGGATTTTTTCTAGTGAGTATATTAAACCTTTTACGTACTTTAGTTTACTTCTGAGTGTTGGGATATATTCTTGAATTTTTGTATCAAATAAACTCTCGGTATAGCCCATGGTCTCTTTTGGATCGCCCTGGGCTATAAAAGGCCCCCAAACTAATGGAATAGGGTCAGGCAGCATCAATTACAAAGTCAGCTCCGCCCAGTTAACAAGTTATTATTATGCTTTTACTTGCCAGCTTACTTGCTAGCTTATATTGCCCAAGCCAATAACAACAATATGCAGGGCCTTTGATAGCCAGGGGTGATGTAAAAGAGGCACTAGGCTTTATCTATTTTTTTAGAAAGCTCTTGCTTTAAGTGATCACTTAATTTTAGTGAAGAATAGCCTAAAATTTCATTGCAACAGCACTCGATTAGGTGCATTTTTGCAAGCTCTGGGATGTTTTCGGACATGCATAAAAAATTTGAGATGGATTGAATTTCTAAGCTGAGCTTTTGTTCTGGGTTAGTTTTATTGTAAATCAATTTATACCTTTTAAAGAGAAAAATGTCGTTATTAGGAATATTCAATTATAAGGCGGGGTTAGAGCTAAACAGGCTATTTGATTTTAATTCTTCAATTTGAAAATTAAGCTGCTCCATTAATATTTCTGACGATGATTTTTCATTGAAACTAACGGACCCAATAGAATGAGCAATCAGCGGAGTTGTGTCCACAATAATCCTCAATTTATTGTCATTAATATCTTTTGGCTTGATAAACTGCACAAAGTTCAGTTCTCTCAAAACATTTCTGCAGCTGACCACTCTGTCAATAAAAGTGCTTTCTTTATAGTACTTTTTCATATGCTGGAACTCGTCATAGTGCATCGAGTAGTATTTTATCTGCTCATTTACGTCATTAAGCCTCTGCTTTAAAAAATCTTCTTTTTCTTTAATTTTGTGGTCAAGTTGCTGAATGCTTTGAATTTTTTTATTTTCCAGAATCCTCATCAGTGACTCAAACGCATCTTCGATTTCTTTTTTTAATTTCACTTTTTGGTGATCAAGCTCGCTAATTTCTTTATCAAGCCGATTTTTTGCTGAAAAAGAAGCATCGAGGTACTCTTTTATTTTTATTTCGAAACCATTCATAGAATTATCGAGCTCTTGTATTAGTGTAGGGTGCTCCATATCGTACATATCATGTGATAAATGCTTTCTGATGCACTTAGGACAGCAATCTATATTACAAGTTTTGCATGTAATCACTATAGGAAATTCATGGGCTTTGCATCGCTCTTTCGCCAATATCCCAGTCCTCTCATATTCTTGGATTTGAACTATTGCATAGTTCATGTTAAGACTTGACAGATCCCTCGATTCGAATTTTCGATCTATAGGACATCGAATATATTGACTATGCTGTGACATTTTATGAACACAGGATTTGCAAAAAGTATGTCCACATGTCAAAATTATGGGCGCTCGGTTACTTTGGTTATACGGCTCTTTACAAATAATGCACTCAAGCAATGATTCCATTTTTTATTTTGCCAGTGAAAAATTAATAAGAAAAGTAAAATTTGTTAATGGTCCAATGCAGATAACAACCTTTTATGCTGATGAATTGGGGTATGGTTTCTAATTGGTGTGACAAATCTAGATTGAGTGGTTGAAAACCCTGAAAGCACATCATAGGAGCCTGGGCCTGGGCTTGAATCTCGTGAGCCAATTTTCAGTCTTTGTCCATATCCAAACCCAATTTTTGAATAATTTGATTTTTCTATAACTCCCCCCCCATCTTTGATCGAACGACTCGCCATCGTTCGGTCAAGGATGGGGGTTAAAAAAAAAATTTTCGGGAAAAAAAATTTCTATAAAATAAAAAATATATATAGTTAGTGACACCGACTATATTATTTTTTTTTATTTACTTTTAAATAAGAGGGTTAAAAGTATTTAATAATTATTTTTACAGCAAAAAATTGAATTAATTTCATAAAATATTAATATTTAATATTTTGATTTATTAGTTACCCTTTTAGACTGTATAAATTTTAATTTGTTCCTTACTGAATTAAAATTTTTAAATTTTAAAGAATCTCTATTTTATTAGATTATTGAGTTTTCAAGCATAGATTGATGACTAAATCACTTCGAATGGTTGATCCGCAGCTTTCTGTCGTCTCAAAGCTCTGAAAACAACTTCATTAGGTACATCTTCCCAGCTTTTGATACTAATATATTTTTATATATATAAAAAAACTTGCATGATATGAAAATCGTTCGATCAAGGATGGGGTTAATTTCTCCAATTTTTTAGGAATTTTTACAGTCAATCGTTCGATCAAGGATGAGGGGAGTAAGTTTAAAATTTGGGCTATAAAGACTAGGACATGGCGACGCAATCTTGGCTTTGAGCTGGATTCTTGGTCTAAATGAGAACTTAGGAGAGCCCTCACCTAGAGGAGAGGACGGGTTATATGACCCTGGCCCTGGAGTTAGCTGCATCCTCATAGGAATTCTTTCTGCAGTAGACCCAATGCCGAAGTTCAAGGTTTTTGAATTATTTGTAAATAAACCAGGAGGGTTATAGGTTGTTGGAGGAGGCGAGTCTTTCCCTTTGTCATTCTTTGGCTCTCATCTGCGTCCTAATCCAAATGAGGTGGCTCGTTTTGCAAGAGATGTAGGAGGAGTTATAAAATCTGGGTCAATCGTTAACTTCCGCTCGTGAAATCTGCGAGCTTTTCCAAAACTTCAGTGGTAGGAATCTTTTCCTATTCGAGATGGGTGGAGATTGGTGTCATCTGGCTTCATGTGTAAAGGAGAATGAAATCTAGTTTGCAGTTTGGTTACCATTTTAGACTTGAGAATTATTTAGACTAGAGAACTATTTGAGAGAAGGTAGAAATAATTTAATAAGGAAGCGAAATTAAAAGAATTTAGCCTTTGTAAAAGAATTATAATAGAAAATTTTTAAAGAAAAAAGGTGATAGCTTGGCAGCATTTAGATTATTTTATCTCTCGAATTAAGCTATATAAAATTCATGCATTTAATTATTACTAGTCTAATCTCAATTTTTCTTCATTATTTTCAAAAATGTCATATTCAAAAATATCTATCGCCTTAAAATATTTTAAAATCACCTATCAATCCCTCTCCTACCTGCTTTAATTTCTACTATTTTCAAATCAACCTAATCCCGATTCTAAATTTAATCTGAAAACTCCTCCAATATAAATAATATAAGATGGAATGCTATGAATGCCAGCTAGAATTTGAAGAACCCCACCGTCTTCCACGCATTTTAACAACCTGCGGCCACACTCTATGCCATTCTTGTGTCTCCACCCTATTAGTCTCAAACTCAGTAATCTGCCCTCAATGCAACACTAAAAATCCCGCTACAAGTGTTAATAGTTTCCCAGCAAATATCGCATTAATTCAACTCAGACAAAAACCAGCACAAGATTTATGCGAAATTCATGGGAAAAGTTTAGAAGGTTACTGTAACAATGATCACAAAGTATTATGCGTCAGCTGTATTTTAGACAGCGGTCACAAATCACACGACATTTCTTCAATTTCTAAAGCTGCAGGCAAGCAGCGAGAAATCTTATCAAATCTTGCCCTTTCTGCGCTACAAAATGAGCAAGGACTAATAAAAGAAGAACAGGAACTGGAAAATCTCACAAAAATTTCGTATGAAAATTATGAAAAAGTTTTAAAAGAATTTTCAGGATTTTATGAAGCTATAAGAGAAGCCTTGTTAGCAAGAGAAAACGAAATGGTAGCAAGAATGAAGACGACGCTTGATGAAGATTTAGCTATTATTGACGAAAGACATAAACAAAACAAAAAACAAGCCTGCTTAATCCAAAGCTTTAAAAGTGAATTAGAAAGAGCTGAATCAGAAAATGACCTTGAATTAATTTCAAGATTTAAATCAAGAGAAGCCGTAGCCAAACAAGCTTGCTCTAAGCTGCAAGCTTTTAGTAAAAGTGACGCGTTTTCTCAGTTTTCACGTGAAATTGAAGCCAATTTCTTTTGGAAACTCATAAAGCAAGTCTTTGCATATGCCCCGAAATCAAAAATCCAGCCGAAAAAAAATGAAGAAAAAGTGCCGCTTGCCCTTGCAAATGCAGCTTTTTCGAAAGATTTAAGAGGAAATGCGAAGCCTGTAGTAGAAATTGAGAAAAAGGGTGGGAAAAAAGAAGTAAAGCAAAGACCTGCAACTGTAAAACCAACCCAGAAGAAGCCGAAACAGATAGGAAGGCCTAAAGAAAGCTCAGCAGGGCAAACTCCTCATGATGACGGCTTATTTGAGTGAAATGACGACTTTTCAGGCTTCCACAAGCCGCCAGACGAATTCGCGTTTTCAATGAAATCTTTCGACTTAGCTTCCCTTTATAAAGCCCCACAAGCCAATATATATACTCTTGGAGGGTTTTCTGATAAAGGATTAGTCAGCTTAGAATGCTATAACTGCACAACTAATTCCTCAGATTTTTTAGCAGACTCTTTAACGTCTAGAACTCAATTTGGGGCAATTTCCTTGAATAATTCGATACTTATGATAGGTGGAAAACATGCAGGAAAGCGAATTTCTTCTAGTGAGGAATATAATATCCACACAAATGAATGACTTTTAAGTGACATAACGCTAACCTCCCCTAGAAGTGGGTTCGCCGCTATGTCAATTTCAAGTAATTTTTAGTTAGATGACATATACGTGTTAGGAGGCAGTGACGGAGTTCCTTTACGCGTTTTTGAATGCTTTAATGACAGAGGATGGAGCTCATTGCCCCCTATGAAACAAAGGCGTGATGAGACTGCTGGGACTGTTGGGCCCGATTTACAGATTTATTCAATTGGAGGCTATGGAGGTGGAGAAATGATGTGCTTGAATTCCTCAGAAAGGTTTAGCATGGAGACAAATTCATGAGAAGAAATCCCATCAATGCAGGTTCCTCGAAGAGCGCTGTCAGCGGTTACACTTCCTGATGGGATCTATGCTATTGGAGGATATGATGGAGGAAAATACGCTTTTTTGGATTAATCTGATCAATTTTTGTTATAGAAATTTAGGATTATTTAATTAAGCTGGGAAATAAGACTTATTATGGTAAAGATTATTTGAAAACATTGGAGAAATTCGATATAAGGATGGGAAAATGGATAAATCTAGCATCCATGAAGCACGCTAGATGCACACTAAGTGCAGTTGTTTCTCCAGACTGCCAATTTATATATGCAATCGGAGGATTTAACGGATCAGCTCTTGCTGTTGTCGAAAGATATTCTGTTGTAGAAGATAAGTGGACTGAGCTTTTGCCTTTACAGAATCCAAGATTTATGCATTCAAGCGTCTTAATATCAGATTAAATGATAAATTACTATATTCTATATGTTATCTTCTTCAGTTTTGAGTTTTTTAACTGCTCCAGCGTTTGGGCAGAGCTTCCTAGCTTTAACAACAACGTTGTTAATGATTAATGGTTTGATCCTCGAGTTCTGCTTCGGGCAAATCGCCATGAAAATGCAGCCATTTCTGAAGTGAGAAGTCACTTCTTTAATTACAACTTTTCTGAAGACTAATTCAGAAGTTGCCTCAACCTCCGTTGTCCCTCTCATGATCTTGTCCCCAGAAGTGTTAACTTTCAGTGATTTTGTCGGACTTTCTGTTGTGAATAGCATAATGTTAAATGACACCATATTTGGCAATGTCACTTTGTTCCCCTCGGCATCTACTATCTGTGCCACAACTTGAAAAGCACGCTCTTTGTATGCTGGGTTAGGAATTTCATTCACTAGTTGAATGAAAAAGTCAAAATCTTGGTGTGGACCGCATATGGCAGTCAGTAAATCTTCTGACGTTGTTACACTTTCTGACGAATGCAAGCATGGAGAGACAGCTTCAGGGGTTTGTTGGTTATTTGCGAGTCTGTCAACGATTTGGGTTAACTGAATCAGTTTTTCTGTTGTTTGTGCGCTTCTTTCTGTAAGAATCTTTATTGCTTTCATTTGTTGTGCAATTAGTTGAAAAATTGGGCTTTGAGATTGCTCTTCTGGGAAGATTGGCTTAGGCAGAATCCCGTAGGTATCAAGATAATTTTGGCATGGCCTGAATCCCTTTGAATGAATTTGCGATGCGCATGTACATGTTGAGTCTTGTACTTGACAATTTAAGTTAAGTTTGCACATAAATATTATGAGATTGGTCTATCGGCTCGACGGTAAATATGGATTCTATGGCTTAAAAAATGAATTTTAAATGGCACAAAATATAAATCCTAGAACCCTAAGGCTAAATAATCTTAATCGTCATCACTTTTTATCATGGTATTTGATTCAATAATAAGATATTCCATTACATATAAATAAAAAATCTGAATGGCTGCAATAGATGCATTGAGCCTAATTTCTTTATCCAATCAAATATTTATTATATCTCACAAATAAAGCTAGACTCTTCATTTTTTGAAAAGAAATATGAATTACATAATTTATAATAACACAAGGATAGTGGTTATTTTAACTTGCTAAAATAGTTAATCTCATGTAAAATTTTACAATATAAAATAAATGTCTAACTCCCTTGGCAAGCTAACATTTTTAAATCTATATTTTTTTAGAGAAAATACATATAATTATTTTTCTCCAAGCTGGACTAAGGAAAAGGTACACTCAAGCCACAATCAAGGACACAAGAACCATAGAAATGGCATCAAGAGACCAAAGAAGCAGCTTCATGAGTCTCTCCGTGGTTGCGATTTGAAGTACAGAAAGAACAGACGTTTTGCTCAACTTCATGATCCAAACATAAAGCATCCAGTAAAGGAGTAAAGGCTTAACTAATCAACCTTTCTAGATAACTTTTCTCATAAAATTTAATTCTAGTCTGTCTCCTCTGTTGAAATCTTGAAGCTCAGGTATATTTCACCACAAATTAAGGTTTTCGTCATCAGGCGATTTTTTTGATTTTGTCGGCTGCTAACAATTTTTATTTTTATAAGCGTTTTAATTTATATAATGCCTTACACTCTTCTGATATTATAAATAGCATCATTTTATCTCCAAAATTTCTTAAGAAAAGTCCGTAATTAGTCCAAATTAAGCCCAATAAGTCTTGAAATTTTATAAATGGAAATAAGATCAATTCAAGATAAAGCTCTTCTTTTAAAGATTTCTGACACTTCAATCTTAGTAGAATGCCCAATAAGTATGTCTTCTCTATTAAAAAGCACCCCAATTTCAATTGATTCTCATCATGAGCCTATTGTTTATGAGCATGCTTGAATATCAGACCTAGATATCAGCTTAATTGACCTTGTCTTAATATCTAACATAACTACAATCCACGCTCTTCCCTACCTAAACACCAAATTTAACGGGAAAATCCTTATGACTGAGCCTGTGTCAACACTTGGGGCCAGTATATGTCAAGAATTATTAGAATTCGACGAAGAATATATGAGGACAATGGCTGGAACAAGCAACTTATACAGCTCTGAAGACATAAAAGGGATATGGAAAAAGGTGATCCCGCTAAGTTACAACCAAATATATCAGCTTAGAGAGCTTAAAATTGCAGCAGTAAGCTCAGGACATAGCTTAGGTGGAGCCAACTGGATATTGGAATTAGGAAATCTCACTATTGGAATTATCAGTCAGTCCTGTTTAGACGCTTCTCGATACCCAGCAGCGTTTAACCAAAGCATTTTCAACTCAAACATCATTATTTTCACCCCACAGAACACGCCTTCTACAGAGCCATTTTCAGCTAAAGCCTTATACAACACTTTTATAGAGACTTGTAGATCTTTGGCTTTTCAAAGCTCTATTGTGGTACCTATAGAGTCTTGGCAGCTTTTAGACTTGGAATCCCACGTGCTTTCAGCAGGGACACTATTTGATATTCCTACACTCTGTATGGCGCCTTCAGCTAACGCCTTTTTCTCATATGCATCTGGATGCACTGAGTGGTTAAGCCATGATTTAAGGATGAAGGCTTATATTCCTCAAAATTGCTTTATGTTTGAAGCTGCCAAAGAAAAAGGCCATTTAGCAGTATTTCACAACTTAAAAGACGGGTTTGGGGCCAAGCTGAAATCCCGATGCATTTTATTACTTTCTCATTCAAGCTTAAGACTTGGAGAAGCAGATTACGTTATTTCTCATCTTTCGAGAAAAGGGTTTAACAATGTAATGGTGCTTGTAGATGGGCAGTATAGAGATTCTGCTCTTCCCCCTTTTCAAAATGCAGGAATTTTGCAAAATTTTGATATAAAAAGCTGTTATTTAAATGTTGGGCTGGTTTTAGGGGAAATTGAAACATGCTTGGAAAACACGAAAGCGGATACTATTTTGATTCCGAAAAGCTTTGAAGGGCTTCTTAATATTAGAAAGCTTAAATATTATGAAGATGCACAAGTCTGCACGGTGAACGCAAGTCCTACTTTATTTAAAATACATGCAAATTGTCCAGGAGAAGTTTGCCCAGTGGTTGGAACACTGGATTTAAAAAATTACAAATATGTAGCTAGTTTGCAAGATAGAATTCGGCTGATAAGAGAAAAGCTTTATAATAGAGGACTGGAGTCCAGCGTGAAGTTTTACCAAACCAAATGTGTGTTATATGCTCCGGACGGAGAAATAATTTTCAAAGGAAAGCGAATTATTGTGAAAGCTAACACAAATGAGCTGAGAAAAAGCCTTTATGCTTTATTAAACAATTAATTTCATAATAATTAATATAGTCTCATAAAAGCTAGAAATTTTTAAATTTTAAATTTTAAAGACTCTTTAAATAGGAAATAATTTTATGGCTTCCAAAGATGCAAATAAGGAACACAACAATATAAATGGTGAGTTTAACTATACAGGAATAATTATTTGCTGGTTTCATAATAAGTAGCAATAGTCACTTAAAGGTTTTCTGCTTATTTAATCAATAAGTTTCTATAAAATTTCAATTTTTAGCTAATAAGACTCAGCTAGGGAATTTAATCGAAATTTCGAAAAGGCAGGCTATTATAAGGCTCGATTATTTATAAGAATCAATTATTTAAAGACAATTTCGGCTTAACTAAAGACACGCTCTTTAGGTAAATAGACGTTCCAAATATGATCCAACTCTTCATTTGGGACATGCCCGACCAATGTGCTAGAATAGTCCAATCCGCTTTGGAATGACTTATAGTCCCTAAATAGAAATTACTTTTCCAAAGACTGGAAAGATGCAAGAATGCTCTCGGCTTGTTCAAAATTGAACAAAAATTTGAAGTCATCCTGGAATTTCTCGATTTCCCTTGTTGACATTTTCATTTATTACCTCCAATCAGTTTACCCCAAAATTTGTACAAAAAAATGATAAAACCAAAAAATTTTGATTTAAATTGAATTAAATTGAGAATATTTATTGCTAATTTTAGTCTTTTTTTCGAGATATGAATATAGGATTATAGAATGATTTAATATACGAAAAAATTTATAATAAAAGAATAAGAAGATGATTTAGCAGAATTTATATATTTTAATTGGAAAAGGGGCGATTCAAGCATATTAGTAGCAGTAATATAGTGAGCAAGCAGCTTTGATTCTTAGAAAGTTAATAGATTTATTCCATCTTTTTCAGAATTTAGGCTTGTAAATAGGTTTTTTTTGAGATGAAATCAATTTTGCTAAAACAAAACGATGAACTTTATGCAGCTGAACAAGAAGTACCGCAAAGATGCAGACTTTTATATTCCCATTGATAATTATAAGATTTCTGTTATGTATATATTGTATATTAGTTTTGAGATTTTTATTACTCCTCCTATTAGTGATAATAAATTTATTATATTGAAGTTTTGGCTTAAAACTTAAAGATTTCTTATATGAAATGTATTTTTATAGTTTTTTCTTTATAATGGATAATGTATTAGATATTTATTTTGCAATTAAAATTCAAAAGCTAGGCTTACTATTAAAGGAGAGCATTCAAAAGTTTCTAAATCATTTATGCTACTTAGACTTATAGAAAGCTCACTTTAATGGTAGAAGTCCTACCTCCTGCCCTAACTCTTTTCTGCCTGCTTACCGTTTTGTTTACGACATCGGGAAGGTCGCTCCTGTAGCATAGCTGCTCTGAAAGAATTGCGCCACTGTGCTATGTATCAGCATAGGTTCCCTAATTCAAAAGGATCAAATTTTATAGCCTACTGTTGAAAAAAATGGAAATTAGAAGCCCAGAGTTTAATTCCCTTTACTGAGCTATCCTACCTAGGGTAGGGTATGGGATGGAGGCGTGCTCAAGGGAGAAGAGCAAGGGGAGCATTGATACTATTGAAAGACAGTTCAACAGAGTCCTGAGAGAGGCTGTCTTTGTCTACAAGCACACCCCAATTGAGCCGATCCTCCTTGATATGGACATCCCGACGTTCGAGCAGTATATTGACACGGCGTCGCTTAGGTTCCTGTATAAAGTCTGGGAGCTTGCCAAAGAGTCTGAGCCAGCTGAGCACTTGCTAAGGAGCATACCTGAGGCTAAAACACCAACGGCTGCTCTCTTCAAGCAGCTGCTGGAAAGATACTCTTTGGACTGCCCTTACAGGTGCGGGGACGCAATTGAGTGGCTGGCAGACGACTGAAAAGGAGAGTGTGAAGGGTGTGACCAGGAGGTATTGGAGGAAGCTACTAATGGAGAGGGCTAAAGAGAAGGTTACGCTCAGAAGCTTTGTTGAATTCAAGAGGATTGTAGAGGATGATGATGAAGTAGAAAAAAAGAAGGCAAGGTTCTGAGGGGTCAACAAGAAAATGACCAGGGAGGCTCGAGTCAAAGCTGCCTGGAGATATGGGGCTGGCCCTGTCAGGGCCCTTGCCGCGCTAAGAGCCAAGGACCAGAGAGAGAGACTGAAGGACAAGTGCAGGCTTTGCAATGTGAAGGACACTGAAAAGCACGTGCTTAATGAGTGCGAGCTGTACGCGGAAATAAGGAGAAAGGCCCGGCGGAGGCTGAGGGATGTCTTGGGCGCAACTTCTGAATGACTGACAATGCACGCATGGCTGATTGCGGACTCCTCTGAGCTTAGAGAGCTTGTCGGCGAAAAGGATCTGGATGCGGTTGATAGAGAGACCAAGCGAGCTCTTATGGAGTTTGATGAGCTTCTGAGAGGGAGCAGGCCAGACAGCAAACATAGAAGACTGGAGAGGGAGGAGCAACTGGAAGATCTTGAAAAGGCAGGAATTACAGAGGAGATTGTGCAGGAGATTGAGCGGCAAATCGCTGAAAAAGAGAGGCGGGAACTCCTGGTGGAGGAAGAAGCTTGGCGGACAACAGCGATGGTCATTGAGTCGTCCAGCTGCTAAGGGACAGACAATTAGCCTCCTTAAGAGGCGGCCGGCAGGAAAGTCGCTGCGGTGTTTTTTTTTAGGGGGCCTAAAGTTGCCGTCATTAATTTTGAATCGCTTCGACAAAGGCGGTTTTGCGATTTTTTTTGGGTGTTGGTGTTGGTGAGGCTTTTGGTGCTGCTTTTGGTGCAGCTTTTGGTGCTGCTTTGGTGCAGCTTTTTGGTGCTGCTTCTGGTGCTGCTTTGGTGTGCTGCTTTGGTGCTGCTTTTGGTGCTGCTTTTGGTGCTGCTTTTTGGTGCTGCTTTTGGTGCTGCTTTTGGTGCTGCTTTTGGTGCTGCTTTTGGTGCTGCTTTGTGTAGGGATAATTAAATTCTTTAGTTAGTTAGTTTACTGAGCTAGAATATATTCTCTATTGTAATTTTGTTACTGCTTAGATATCCTTTTCTATCTTCGTTTCCATTTCCATACAGAAAACTTGTCACTGGATTGAACTTTGGCTGATTAGATCAGCACTGCTCCACCTATATAAGAAAACCTTGCTGGATATACTTAATCGGACTAGCTTACCTACTTGAAGATCGAGTACCCTGAGTGGTATGCCATTTTATGTATAAAGCTTCTAAATCATACTCTGGATGATGATTCATAGCAAATCTCAAATCTTAAAATTTATAGATTAAGAACAATAATAGAGAAGATTATAAAACCCCTCAAAATCCAAAACAGCGGCTTTTAATCCGAGATTTCCTTTTCTATTGATATCTTATCTTTTCGCTTCTCTGCTATTTCTTGCTTATTTCATATACAAAACTCAAATCTCAAATAAGAATAAAATGGTAGAAGCTACAGTAATATGCCTTGACAACTCTGAATGGGCTCGCAATGGTGATTACAGTCCTAACAGGTGGGAAGCCCAACAAGAAGCTGCAAGTATCATTGCAGGGAACAAAACTCAAAATCCCGGCAACTCAGTAGGAGTCGTAGCAATGGCAGGTCCAAGAGTCGATGTTCTCGTAGCTCCTACGAACGACATAGCCAAGATTTTCGCCGCAATGCACTCAACCAGTATTAAAGGCAAATCCGACCTTTACTCAGCCCTTCAGACAGCTCAATTAGCCCTTAAGCACAGATCAAATAAAGAGCAAAGGCAACGAGTGATCGGATTCGTGTGCAGCCCTGTGGAGGTGGAAACAGAAAAGCTAGTGACCCTTGGCAGGAACCTTAAAAAGAACAATATTTCACTTGATTTAGTAGTCTTCGGGAATTTAGATAATATTGAAAAACTCCAAGAACTCCATAAAAATGTGAACTCAGGCGACAACTCCCATCTGGTGTCCATTCCTTCTGGCATTGGAATTTTGTCAGAAAACTACTACTCCCCCCCCTCCGTGAGTGAACAAAAAAAATTTTGTTCACTCACGGAGGGGGGTTAATTTTTTTTTTTAAAAAAATTTATATATATAAATTTTATAAAAAATATTTTTTTTGAAATTTAAAAAAATCCTAATTCACAAAAATTGGAAAGCAAATATTAATTTAATTTATAAAATTTATGTTTTAAAAAAACAATTCGTTTAAAATTAAAACAGAATTAGCTCTAGATTTCATTATACTAATTATCATTTATATATCAAATTTTTTTTCCATAAAAAATTTTTGTTCACTCACGGAGGGTGGGTTTTTTCGGGCAAAAAATAGCGATTTTTCTAATGGTTTTGTTCACTCACGGAGGGGGGGGAGTTAGCAAATACCCCAATTATGCACGGAGGGTCGGGACAGCCAGCCAATTTTAGCGAGTATGGAGGGATTGATCCAAACGCAGATCCAGAATATGCAGCTGCGATTAGGCTAAGTCTTGAAGAGCATAAGAAAAGACAAGACGACCAAAACAGAGAAGGAGGCCAAAATCAGCCAATGGAAGGAATTTCAGAAATGCAAGAAGAAGACGAAGAAGAAAGGCTTTTACAAGAAGCCATTAAGCTCTCAATGATGGATATCGAGCAAGAGCCACCCAAAGAAGAAGCCAAACAAGAACCTCCTAAACAAGAGGATCCTGATGTCTCAGCGTTTAGAAACCAAGAGTTCGTAAGTGACATTTTGTCATCTCTCCCTGGAGTTGATATGCAAGATCCAGCAATCCAAGAAGCTCTCAAGTCTCTCCAAGGCAAAGATGAGGAGAAGAAAAAGGAGGAAGAAAACAAGAAAGAAGAAAATCAATAAAAAATTATTTTACAAATAATTCTCAGGGATCAGTTTATTATTTAAATTCAATAGTCCAATTCTGACTGATAGTAATATCAGATATATTGATAACTATCATATTATTCCTAACACCAAAATCAATTGGCTTCTTTTGGCCTTTTATGTCTAATATCATTTCATTAGGGATTCTTGAAAGCCCAATAATCATAATTTCGTCAATGTTATTTTCTAATTCCATTGTGTTTGTAAGATTGTAGCTGAGCTTAAAATCATTAAGCTGAATATCAGCCAAAATGTATTCGCCAGACATATAGTTGTGAGAAATAGTGTCGTCAGCATATAAAAATCCTTGTGCTGAGTCATTTGAGTCAATAGCAATTAAAAAGCTATAAGGATCTGCCAGCATTTCTTTTGAGCTCATTCTTGGGGTATTTTTTCTAGGAATTATGCTTCCACCTTTGATAAGCACAGGGATTCAGTCTTCTTGGACTTGAAAACTCTGCTGCCCAGCATTTATTTCTAATAAAGTATGATAATCAAACCACCTGCCCTGAGGCAAAAATACGTCTACATGTTCTTGCAATTCTTTCGTAATCCCTGCCACCAATAATGAGCTCCCTACCAAATATTGTCGATCTAAACTAGCACATTCCTCTATCTCTGGGTATTCTAAAAACATAGGTCTAATCACAGGTGTTCCACAGGTTCTATAAATATAGAACAGTCCATACCAATAAGGCAATAAAGCATATCTTTCTCTAATAGCAGCCCTTATTTTTCTTAAAGCTTCTTCGCCAAATAGCCAAGGTTCTCTTCTTTCAGACTCAATATGTGCATGCCCTCTAAAAAATGGATAATAAGCTCCTAATTGGTACCATCTCACCAATAATTCTGGAGTAGGGTCTCCAAAAAAGCCACCTACATCAGACCCACAGAAGCTTATCCCGCCTATCGCAATAGCCAAATGCATAGGCACAGAGTACTCCAAATAGCTCCATTCCGCAGCATTATCCCCAGTCCATATAGCTCCATATTTCTGCGTCCCCGCAAAAAAAGACCTAGTAAGTACAAACGGCCTTTCTTTTTTTTGGCTTCTTTTTAACAGTCCTTGATATGAAGCCTGCTGCATATACATTCCATAGGTATTATGGACTTCTCTATGCTCATAATTCCCATGTAAATTGCCTCTTGGCATGGTCCCTTCTGGAGAGTTAAAAACAGAAGGCTCGTTCATGTCGTTCCATATATACAAATTATTAGTGGAGTTTTGGTATTTTGAGTAATCGAAATTAGAAGACCAATATTCCCTTACTTCTGGCCTAGTGAAGTCAAGTCATGATGAAATTCCTGGCCAGCAGACTCCTTCAAAGCTGTTTCCTTCATTATTTGCTACATAGTAGTTGTGATTTTCTGAATCCTGATGCACAAAATAGTCAGGGTCTCTTTTTATGTGCGGATCTACTATGGTGACTAGATTTCGGCCTTGTTTCGCTAAAATTTCTTGCATAGAAGTTGGGTCAGGGAATTTCTCATCGTCCCATGTGAAATATTTTTTCTTATCAGTATGCTCTATATCGAGCCAAACTACGTCAAGTGGTATTGAATTTGTCAAAAAGCCATTGGAAACTTCTAGTAAATCTTCACGCGTATTGTAGTTCCATCTACATTGATGGTAGCCTAAAACTGATAACGGAGGCAGTTGGGCTGGCCCTGTAAGCAAGGTATAAGTTTCTATTACTGAAAGTGGGGAATTTCCGACAAATAAGAAGAATTCTAGAGCGCCAGCTTCAGAAATCCAATGGGAATGCTTGCTTTGTGGGAGGGTTTCGATATCAATCCAAGTTTCTGAGGAGTTTAGCCAAAAAACACCAGCTGATTTTAAAGCTGGAGAACGGCTTACCATAAATGGGACGGCTCCATATATAGCTGCGGTGTCTCCTAATTTATAAGAAAAATTATCACAATTGAAAAGTCTATAAGGAGATCCTTCTTTTGTGTCATTCAAGGCTAATGAATCTGCATGCTCTGGAATTCCATAGACATGGCTTGCATTGAAAAATTCAAAATCTAAAGCTACACTGCTAGGACCTCTTGGTTTTTCATCAATATAATCTAAGTATTCTTCAGATCATATATTTCCAATATTTTTATATCCTCCTTCTCCTTCTTCAATAAGCTGAGTTGCGTCAATAATTTTTATTGGAAAGTTTACGTCCACCTCGTTAATATTATTCTCATCGCCTTTCGGCCTATATTTTTCAAAATTCATCAAAGATTTACTATTAGCGGCAATTATCAATTCATCTTTATAGAACCCTTCTAGTCTAAGCGGATTAAAAGTAAGCTTGTATTTAATATGGTCAAATTCCCAAGTGACCATATCCTCAGTTATATGGATGTTCTCGTCCTCTAGCTTTTCTAAAACGCTTTGGTTCAAAATATCATTGGGCGAAGGACGGAAACGAGGAAATAGAGGATTGATTTCGTCTAAATAGGTATGAAGGGCGCCGTTTTTGTACATTATAATGTTTCCTTTTAAGAATACTTCGGTTTCAAATACACTTCCAGCTGTCAGTGAAATTCCACCTGGGATTCTGATGATGCTATCGCTTTGAATTTTGTAGTTGATGTCAAAACGTAAGCCTTGGGGTTTAGAAAGGATATGGTTTTTGGCTAGGTATCGATTTCTTAAGCAGAAACTTGACTCTTCAAAGATCTTGAAAAGGCGTTTCTTAATAGCCATTTTATTGTTGTAAAAGTTATGAGCTGCAGCTTTACTTAATATTTTTGACAGTAAATAAAAAATTCAAAAGTAAAAAAGATAACTGATTATTAATAGAGAATTTTCTGGAATATAATTAATTTTTAAAGTGTGCTATATATGATTAGATAAAGCATATTTTAATAAACTTTGAAATTGTTAATATAGAAATATAAGGGGCTGTAGAATCCTCCAAGAGAAAATGCTTTAGAATTCTGCTAATTCATTCAAAATAATTTTTGCTGAATTAATTTGGTCGAATAAATTCTTTATGCTTTATTGACTTATATTTTTCATATGAAAAAATATTTAGCTTTCTTTTTTTATGTTGAATTAAGAAGGCAGTCAAATTATTTACTCATTGAGGATCCATAGTTTATTATGCTGTCACCATCTTTATAAAGGTTTATAGTTTAATAGTGTGTATCTATCTAATCAATAAGCCATATTTAAAATGCTCATAAGCAGAGCTTTTTCTTTTGCCAGGATTTCTCAGTCAATTGTAAATCTAACACAGCCTCTTCGCCAAGAAGTCCTAAAAGTTTCTGAAAAAGCCAACAAAAAAATAGCATTTCGAGGTATTTTCTATCCAGAACTCTCTTTATTCGGAAAAATAAATCATCTTCTATGGACACACAAGAAGAAAAACATATTTTTCGTATTTCTTTTATCAATTGATTTTTATTTCGACTTCCACACACGAGTCTACAAATGAGCCACAAGGGAAACTCCAATGGAAAGGATTAGAAAAATTCTTCTCAAGAAAAAGATTTATCGATTCCATGCTAACTGTGTAGAACCAGAGACCTCCTTACCTAAAGACCTTCAGCAACGAATGATTGATCACTTCATTACAAAAGAATCAGGGCTGCTTAGAGGGTATCCTAGATATCCTTTATTAGAAATTGCATTTGAAGAAAAATGATTTGATGAAAAAGATAAATGGGCCAGCACTTTTTATCACAATTCTGGGTTCAGAAGATTTGTAAATAATAATTAGAAAAGCCAGAAGAACTCTAATATGACGCTAAAAGAGTTTTTAAGCTTTTTTGAGCATGTTAAAGAAAAAAATCCGGAAATTAGCTTGCTCTAGCCAATTTTTATTAATTTTTTTTTTAAAAAATATTTTTTTTTAAATTTGGCTTTATTTAATGGGAAGAGCTAGAAGATTGCTTTAGAGTTTACCAGGAAAAAGCTGAAGAAAGGATTAAAGCTGTAAAACAAAATTAGGCTCACGAAAGAGGCGATACTTGGCTAAAAAAATTAAATAAAAGAAGACAAGAAGACATAGAAAAATTAAAAGGAAATTTAGGACTCAAAGCGCAATAAATAACTTTTATGGTTTAATTTATCTTCTTTTCTTTGCAAATGGAGGCTCGTTTTTCTTTGATTTTCTTGAAGCTGTTGGAGTTGGTCTCTTTCCTTTTTTGAAATACTGCCACAAAATAGCCCCTAATACAGCCAGAACAATCCCAATTGTCCTGATATTCCCCATATCCCAACTTTCAGGAACTTTTGGTTGAATAATTTCATATACAGCAATATCATTTTCTTTACTCCCCCCCCCCCCCCCCCTCCGTGAGCGAACAAAACCATTAGAAAAATCGCCATTTTTTGACCAAAAACCCACCCTCCGTGAGTGAACAAAAATTTTTTTAATAGAAAAAATTTTAATGGAAAAAAATTTTGATATATAAGTGATAATTAGTATAATGAAATCTAGAGCTAATTCTGTTTAATTTTAAACAAATTGCGTTTTAAAACATAAATTTTGCAAATTAAATTAATATTTGCTTCCCAATTTTTGCAAATTAGGATTTTTTTAAATTTCGAAAAAAATATTTTTTATAAAATTATATATAAATTTTTTTTTAAAAAAAAATTAACCCCCCTCCGTGAGCGAACAAAATTTTTTTGTTCGCTCACGGAGGGGGGGGGGGAGTTAGCAAAAATCATGACTGATCCATAAGTTTGTAATTTCAAAGTTCTAAACAGCGGTGTAATATTTTTTTTACTAATAGTCATTTGAGTAGGATGTATATGTATTCCTTTCGATAAAAGTGATGAATCATACAAACTAAGCTCCCCATTCGAGCCTAAAACAGTTAAATAATCTTTAATCATATTCATCCTATATTTCTCATTTGAGCTTGGGCTGTGAATTCTTCCAATATCTACCTAAAAATTACTTTTACAAACATAATCATTTTTCTGCTGATGTCTGGCTTCAAAAACTAAGACATCTTTCGAGTCTAAAAGTGCATATATAACGGCCCCTGACATCTGGTCGATAGCTATATCAGTTATTATCCCAGCTGGCTATGTAGGAATTACCCCTTCACATTTGTGTGATAATGCCATTGTATGTGTATTTAATACTGCTATTGAGTCTCCTGCGCTAAATACAAGCTGAGGGCCTAGTCTGTCTAGAGAAGTTATAGGGTAGCCTAAGCTTTCTGTGCGTTTTAGTCATGTTCCATTCATATGGTGGAATGAGACTCCTCCAAGGCTGTCTCCAATGACCCAGTTTTTTTGCCCTGATTTTACGTAGTGAAGAATACATGTTGGTTTGGCTGACTGGTATAGGGGCGATTCAGTGTCTTTTTTAATTTCAATGCTCATTTTGTGGGTTTGATTGCCAAATTCAATAGGTGTAAATGGGCTGTTTTTAGCTTTGTCTATTTTTACTGTAAAAATCACTAGTTTGTCGTCAGGAGAAACCAATGCAAATTTTATATCGTCAAAGTTAGAAGTAGCTGCTATAAGAGAGGAAGAGTAGCCTAAATTGTGACGATAAAGAAGATCGCCTGCAAGGTCATGAATTTCTAGGACTCCGTCTGTATATATTGAGATTATGCCTTGACTGATCCCATTCTTATAAATTGATAGTGGCTTTAGTGCAATAAATTCAAGCGCTGAAATGGTTTGATTTGTGTGGAGGGTGAATTTTGGAATGAATCTTCCGAGCTCATAGTCTTGAGGCTCTATAAGCTCAGGGATGCTGAGGAGATTTGCAGAGTCTTTTTTATCAGTATTTGCTGAAAGCAAATATTTTCGTGCTTTGGTAAGTTTGTTAAGATTAGAGAATGTTGATGAAATTTCGCTGTCGAGTGGCTCAGCTGGAAGGGCAGCTGCGAGTCCTAAAAGATACAAAAATAGAACCATTTACAGTCTAATTTTTATATTATTAGTATTTTACTATAAATTAATAGTAATATTTTTAGCTTAATTAAATATTAGTCTGAAAATTTAAGACATCTTGTTTCCTTATGTACAGACTCACACTTTTTACTGCAATATCTTTCCCCACATCTTATACAAGTATATTTATGCTGAAACCCACAAACTGTACAAAAAAATCTTCTAGGATAATCTGAAGCTTTAACACTCATTGTCAAATAATTAGGCACTGCATCATTTATAGATAGTCCCTGAATATTCTTTACCTCTTCCAAAATAATTCTTTCCAGTGATTTTCTCTGATGCACCCTTTTCTTAATCAAAGGTGATTTTTTTGTTTTTCTTTTCTTTTTGGAATAAAGCGGTGACTCGTTTTCTTCTAAAATTTCATTTTCTGTCTCCACATTACCTTTAACGCATTTTTGTGTTTTTTTGATTTTTCTAGGCAAAAGTTCATCTTCGAATGTGAACGCACTATCATCCCCAAAAGTCATTTCTTCGCTAAATTTATATATACAGTCTATTTGCTGCTAAAAAATTATCTTCTTCTAGATCATTAATTCTCTGCTGATGGACCAAAGCTCGGGTTTCTTCGTCTACATATTTCATAGACTCACTGATTTTTTTGATTCTTGTAGAGGATCTTGACATAAATGGATTTTAGGTTTAATAAAACCATTAAGAATCATAAGAGCTCTGAGTCTGAATTTTTGACACATAACCCGATATTAAAGACGCTTGAGACTGAAGAGATTAGTATGGTGAGTGCTTTTAAAAGAAAAAATGTGCACATGTATTCACTTTCTTATGGGAAATGGAAAGCATTGGGAGCTATAGTTAGCACAGCTGCTATTGTTGGGATTTATAAAGCCTATGTGATTGGAGATTCTATTAAGGCAGATAAACTTAAGAAAAATGACGAAAATATGCTTGAAAAAGAAGGAACGATGATGCTGGATTCTCAAGTTAAACCATAACTCATTATTTTAGATTTCTCCAAAATTTATAAAAATTGTTGCATATTTAACTAAAAATCATAATAATTATGGAAGGAAAGCATCTCTCAGCCAAATATTTTTCTCAGTGCTGCTTACTCAACATGATATTAAACGTAATCATTTTTGCTGACGAAACTTGAAAAAAAAAAATTTTTTTCTAAAAAAGACTTCATATGTTTAATATTTTTCTGATGATTTTAAAAAAAAATGTACTCGTTGGGGGTTTTTTCGTCTTACCCATTTTTGCGTTGCAGATATCAGCTTTAGCAGTCCCTCAATGATTTTATTACTGCTATTTTGATTGGGGCTTGGTAACTCTATCCACAAGCAAAAGCGATTTAAAAGCAATAATAAATAGTGATGATAGTTATGGAAATGCCAATAATAAGTTATGTGAAGATTTTAAGCCGATAATTGATGCAGCCTGTAAAGGTTTTTGTGGAGACCTTGACAGGATTAGAGCAGCAGGGATTATTATGATGATATTTATGATACTTACTCCTCCCTTTTTAAATTGGAACAAATAATCCTGTTCCAATTAAAGGGGGATTATTTTTTTATATTAAAAATAGGTCAAAACAATTTTATAAAACTTAGGATTTTCCATCGTTAAATTTTTCCTATTGAAAACAAATTTGTTCAAATTTAAAGGGGAAAGTACCCAAAAAATGCAATTTACCCATGTTTTGTTCTAATTTAAATGGGGAGTTAGTATGATTCCTGCTGTTATGTATTTTATAGTGCATCTTTGGCTATTTAGAGACAAAACGATAGAACACTGGAGCGTTTATTATGGAATTTGGGTGCAGCCTTTGCTTTACCTAATTGGGATCACAATTTATTTAGCTGTTGCAGATGTATATGGAATCGATGATACTTGGAAAGATAGTGAAAACGTGTCTACAGGTCCTGGGCTTTCTATTGGCTACTCATTGATTATTCTTCAGTTTATTTCTGCATTAATTTCTTATAATGTAACAATCAGAAATAAATCTTAATTCTTTTTATTTTAATTCCTTATATATTTTACCCTAAATGGTAGGATTTATAGAGAAGATTTCTAATTGGCTTAAAACAGGAGACACATCGAAACCAGTTAATAAAACTTGTCATGATCCTGCTAAAGACCTTGTAGAGTGCATATCGCAGACTGATTGCTTTGAAAAAGGAGGAACTTTGAAATATTGTGCAAGAAATGATGATAATGTGGCTCATCTCTGCAAAAAGGAATTAAATGAATGGTTTCTCTGTAGAAAATTCTCTGTTGACCATTCAAAACATTTTGTGAAAGATACATATAGGTAGAGCCAGAAATTTTAATAAGCAAATTATTTTGATGATAGAAAAATATAATAATTCTTGCTACTAAAAGATTATTTTCTACTAGAATTGCATTATGTTTTCTAGGAGTTAAAAATTAATTTTGATATAAATTATCAAGCATTTTTTTGATCGGCCAAGAAACTTCCTGCACATGAATACTGTTAACTCTCTCTTTATTGGAGAGGTAATTAGTGGGATTTGGGTATTAGCCCTGATATAGCCTTTGGTGATAATAATTACAGTAAGAATTTTATAATTTGATTTGTAGATGCCAAATCGTTATTTTCTTTTTAATAGTTTGCTTATAAACTCTATCAATTATAATTCTCAATTTTTTTAGTATTATTAGTTGAAAATTAAAATGCCAATCTATATGAATATAAATGAATATTTGCTCAAAGAGAATTCCTAGGTTTTTATCAATTCTCACCTGCATAGTGCTATTTACCTGCTCAATGAGTGTAATTTACATATTCTCTTTGCAAAATGACCAAGGAAACCAACTAATTTTGAACCAAGAAGAAGAAGAAAACTTTAACATTTTTTTATCAACTATAAATCAAGAAATTATAATAGAAAATCTTAAACCATCACTTTCACTGCTTGACAGCAATAAGATATCATCGAAAACACCAATTGTTTCCTGGCCTTTAATACAATATCCAGAGCTACCTGATGATGGCAATATTTCATGCATCCCAAAATCGTTTGGGTACACTCAAGAGCAAGCTGACAAATTATTCGACCCAAATCGAAGGTTTTATAACTGTGCTGCTCGATCTGTATCTGCTGATATAATCCGCCTTATCAATGATACTTTATATGTAAAGTGCCTTGAATTTCAAAAACCAGAATATGTTTTAGGAGGAACTCTAAATGATGAGGAATTAGGGGAAATACCGTTCAGATCTCCATGAAAATTCTATAATGGGCCAATCGATTTTACAGACATAGAGTTTGCATTTGCAAGATGTTCTAGGGCAAAAAAGCAAGCTATACTTAGGAATCGTTTTAATAAAACAGCTTCAGATCGAGCTTTTGAAAAAACTAAAAAAATAGCTGAAGAGCTCGGTATGAAAACTAAGCCTAGGCCACAAACTGTCCTTATGATTTTATTTGATTCAGTATCTCGGCAGCATTTCTATAGAAATTTAGTAAAAACAATACAATCGCTCAATAATGAAATAATTGACAGCCCTTTGTCTAATAGAATTGTTATGTACGATTTTATTATAAATAATGTCCAAGGAGAAAACACAATTCCTAATTTAGTCCCTTTACTATATGGCTATAATTTAAATCTGCTTCAAGAAAAACTATCAGGTTACTCAATAGCCCATAAATCTCACTGACAATATTTTGAAGCCCTGCAAGAAGGAGCTATCTGGAAGCATTATGAGAGACATGGATATGTAACAATGTTTGGGTATGATACAGTGTGGGATTATCTGTCTACCTGCACAGGCAGAAAAATATTAACTGATCATGTTGCTACTAATTTTTGGCATGCTGCAAGAAAAATGTATGGATATGTAGACTTTATTGAGAGACAAAGATGCTTTGGGCTTCATCATTCCCATTGGTATATGCTTAATTATGTCAATCAATATGTCAGGAATTATCTTGGAAATAATAGATTCGGATATATCCATTTGTCACCGGCTCATGAAAGTACAGGCACTGTTATACGTACAGTTGATGATGATCTAAGAGATTTCTTTATAGATCTTTTATATTTCTTATATGAACACCCTGAAGAAGATTTTGTCATACATTTAATGTCAGACCATGGAAAACACTCAAAGGAATGGGACAAACATACTGAAGGATACAAAGAAAACCAGTTGCCTATGCATATTATGATTACTAATAAAGAATTAATTGCAAGACTAGGGTCAGACACAGACTCTATCTTAAAACATAATACAAAAAGACTCGTAAGCAGATTTGACTGATATATTACTTTTAAACATATTGCACTAAATCCTTATGGAAATTTGTTAATATCATCCGAACTTTATAAAGAGTGAAAGACACTGCCTGATACACAAAATGGGATATCTTTACTATTAGAAAAAATAAATGATGATAGGAGCTGTGATAATGTCGCAATTCCAAACTTTTTGTGCTCGTGCTTTACGTTTACTGAAATTCCATTAGAAATCGCAGAAGATGTGCCAGGAATTAAGACTTTAATTGAATTTGCTTTGGAGTCAATTAATGAGAATATTAAAAATAACAAGCATGAAGAATTTTGTAGAAAAGTGTCGTTTAAAGAGCTAGTGACTGCAGAAGTTCAACAACTAAAACCTCCAGAAAAAGGTGGAAATAAGATATATAGAATTCGAATTTCTATAAATGAGGATGAAGACGCTATTTTTGAAATTTTTGGATATGCTGTTAAATCCAATACTATTATTAACTATTTTAAGCCGAATGATGATGGGCTTAATCCTATTACTTATTATAATGAAACAGAAAAAAAACTAATGGCACTTCAGCTGCAAGGTATTGAAAGGGTTGATAATGTTAAAGCAATTTGTGAAGAAATCGCAAATCAAATTAATTCTAAACCAGGCACATGCATATGCAAACAGCCTCAAGAGCTTGATATTTCAGCGGCCTCTGAAAAGTGGAAAGAAGTGATTGGGAATTTGCTTAATAAATTATCAATTATTGTAGGAGAAAGCCATAGTTTATGCTCAGAAATTTGTGAAGCTGAAAGCCTCTCCTGTCAGGGCTGAGGATTTCAATTATTTAATAAAGCAAATATACTAAAAAAAAGCTGAGATCCAAAAAATCCGCTGAAAGTGACATTTGAGGAAGGAAGAGTAGCATTATTTAACGAGCTAAAAATATCAAGAGAAATTGTAGGATCAGGATTGGGGCTAATACAAAATAATGATGGTTTTGACCTGATGACCTACTCTAGGAAGAATATAACTTGCTTTACTGTAGAATATGGAGTTCAACCACTGTGTCCCTGCCAGTAAAATTAATTTAAGCACAAATTACTTTTTTATTATTTTATTATAAATGAGTATATAGTAAGCTGAATAGGCACTTAGCTTTATTTTATTGTAAGAGTTGAATTTTTTTTTAGCAATTAAGTTGTTGATATTCTTCAATATATTGATTAACATTTTATTTCTTTTCCTAAAATAGTATAAATAATAAATAAGGATTTGACATTCTGAAACAACTTTTCTCCCAGAATTTTCTACCATTTTAGCGCACATTATTATATATATGAATTTTGGTTTCGCAGGAGAAATAAAATTTCGTATATGAATTCTCTCAAACACCTTTAATCAAGTAAAAAATGTTAATGAGGAGTATATAAATTATTTAAATGGCAGAAAAAATATATCTTTGGAAAAGTTAAGTTCAACTAGAATTGCAATTATTTTCTTAACAATTAATTTTGTTATAAAACTATCAGCAAGCTATAAGTTTCACTGCTGAACTAACAATTATATATGAGAATTATATAATTTGAATAATATGTAATAGTTATTTTTTTAAAAGTAAGCTTATCAACTCAAATAATTAATAATTCTCAAATTTTTTAGAGTTCAAAAAGCAGAAAATTAAAAATGATCTTTTATATGAATATAAATGCATATTTTGTCAAAGAGAATTCCTAAGTTTTTATCAATTCTCACATGTATAGTGTTATTTGGTTGCTCAATTTGTCTAATTTACATATTCTCTTTAGAAAATGACCAAGGAAATCAGCTTATTTTGAGCAAAGAAGAAGAAAACCTAAATGTTTTTTCATCAGCTAAAGATCAAGACATTATAATAGAGAATCTTAAAACTTCACTTATACTACTTAATAGCAATAATGAGACATCAAAAACACCAATTACTTCATGGCCTTTAACCCAATACCCAGAACTTCCTGATGATGGCAATGTTTCATGCATCCCAAAATCTTTTGGGTACACCCAAGAACAAGCTGACAAATTATTTGACCCAAATCGAAGGTTTTATAACTGTGCTGATCGATCTGTGTCTACTGAAATAATCAGCATTGCCAATGATACTTTATATACATTAAAATGGCATGGAGAGTCAACCCGCCCTCTTAATATCTGCTCAGCAGCACCAGTCACATTCCTACTAGCCAATAAGGACCAATCCCATGCACTATATCGGTGTTGTGTCCTTGTAAGACAAATTGACGGAAAATTTATTTTCCGATTTTTTTCAGAGAAGACCAGGATTGGTAAGCAAGAAAGCTTTAGAGTATTATGGAGGCGATAGCGCCTGAAATATGACTACTGGGACTTCTTTTAAGTTTAAATTAAGTTTAAGTCAATGATACTTTATATGTAAAATGCCTTGAGTTCCAAACGCCAGAATATGTTTTAGGAGGAATGCTAAACGATGAGCAATTAGGGGAAATACCATTTAGAAGTCGATGGAGGCCTTATGATGGACCAGTTGATTTTAAAGATAGAGAGTTTGCTTTTGCAAGATGCTATAGGGCAAAGAAACAAGCCATACTTGCTCCTCCTTATGAGCGAGAAAAAATTTTGAATAAGTCCTAATTTTGGGGAAATTAGAACCTTTGAGAGCATTCAATAAATATTTTATATAATCAATTATTATGTATTAGTTGATTTCTAATAGATGTATTAAATTCTAAGGTATAAATTTTATAGTTTTTTATTTGAAATATTAAAATATTAGAAAATTGAGTTAGGAATAATTTTAATAAAACAGCTTCAGATCGAGCTTTTGAAAAAACTAAAAAAATAGCTGAAGAGCTCGGTATGAAAACTAAGCCTAGGCCACAAACTGTCCTTATGATTTTATTTGATTCAGTATCTCGGCAGCATTTCTATAGAAATTTAAGAAAAACAATAGAATCACTCAACACTGAAATAATTGACAGCTCTTTGTCTAATAGAATTGTTATGTACGATTTTATTATAAATAATGTCCAAGGAGAAAACACAATTCCTAATTTAGTCCCTTTACTCTATGGCTACAATTTAAAACTACTCCAAAAAAAATTATCAAAATACTCAATAGCCCATAAATCTCACTGACAATATTTTGAAGCCCTGCAAGAAGAAGCTATATGAAAGCATTATGAGAGACATGGATATGTAACAATGTTTGGATATGATACAGTATGAGACTATTTATCAACCTGTACAGGCAGAAAAATATTAACTGATCATGTTGCTACTAATTTTTGGCATGCTGCAAGAAAAATGTATGGATACTTAGACTTCATTGAGAGACAAAGATGTTTTGGGGCTCATCATTCTCATTGGTATATGCTTAATTATGCTAATCAATATGTTATAAATTATCTTGGAAATAATAGATTCGGATATGTCCATTTGTCACCAGCTCATGAAAGTACAGGCACTGTTATACGTACAGTTGATGATGATCTAAAAGATTTCTTTATAGATCTTTTATATTTCTTATATGAACACCCTGAAGAAGATTTTGTCATACATTTAATGTCAGACCATGGAAAACACTCAAAGGAGTGGGACAAACATACTGAAGGATACAAAGAAAACCAGTTGCCTATGCATATTATGATTACTAATAAAGAATTAATTGCAAGACTAGGGTCAGACACAGACTCTATCTTAAAACATAATACAAAAAGACTCGTAAGCAGATTTGACTGATATATTACTTTTAAACATATTGCACTAAATCCTTATGGAAATTTGTTAATATCATCTGAACTTTATAAAGAATGAAAGACACTACCTGATACACAAAATGGGGTTTCTTTATTATTAGAAAAAATAAATGATGGGTGCAGAACAAATGACTTTGCCTTTTTAATAGTGTTAGACATTTGACTGAAAAAACCCGTTAATTTTTCGGGCCAAATGTCCGCACTATCAAAAATTTTCGAACAAATGGATTTCGATCAAATGTACACTGTAAAAAATTCACGGTCATTTTGACATGGAGCCTAAATGATGATAGGAGCTGTGATAATGTCGCAATTCCAAACTTTTTGTGCTCGTGCTTTACATTTACTGAAATCCCATTAGAAATCGCAAAAGATACCCCTGGTATTAATAATTTAATTGCATTAGCTTTGGAGTCAATGAATGAGAATATCAAGAATAATAAGCATGAAGACTTTTGTAGAAAAGTGTCTTTTAAAGAGCTAGTGACTGCAGAAATTCAGCAACTAAAGGCTCGGGAAAAAGGAGGAAACAAAATTTATAGAATTCGAATTTCTATAAATGAGGATGAAGACGCTATTTTTGAAATTTTTGGATATGCTGTGAAAGCAAATGCTATTATCAACTATTTTAGGCCAAATGATGATGGGCTTAATCCTATTACTTATTATAATGAAACAGAAAAAAAACTAATGGCAATTCAGCTGCAAGGTATTGAAAGGGTTGATAATGTTAAAGCCATTTGTGAAGAAATCGCAAATCAAATTAATGAAAACTCAGATACATGCATATGTAAACTGCCTCAAGAACTTAATATTTCATCAATTTCTAAAAAATGGGAAGAAGTGATTGGGAATTTACTTACTCCCCCCCTCCGTGAGTGAACAAAAAAATTTTGTTCACTCACGGAGGGGGGTTAATTTTTTTTTTTTAAAAAAAACATTTATATATAAATTTTTATAAAAAAATTTTTTTTTTCGAAATTTAAAAATTCCTAATTCGCAAAATTGGAAAGCAAATATTAATTCAATTTGCAAAATTTATGTTTTTAAAAAGCAATTCGTTTAAAATTAAACAGAATTAGCTCTAGATTTCATTATAATAATTATTATTTATATATCAAAATTTTTTTCTATAAAAAATTTTTGTTCACTCACGGAGGGTGGGTTTTTGGGCAAAAAATAGCGATTTTTCTAATGGTTTTGTTCACTCACGGAGGGGAGGGAGTTAATAAATTATCAATTATTGTAGGAGAAACTCATAGCTTATGCTCAGAAATTTGTGAAGCTGAAAGCCTCTCCTGCCAAAGCTGAGGATTTCAGTTGTTGAACAAAGCTGAAATCTTAAAAAAAGACTGAGACCCAAGAAATCCGCTAAAAGTGACATTTGAGGAAGGAAGAGTAGCATTATTTAATGAGCTAAAAATATCAAGAGAAATTGTAGGCTTAGGACTGGGTTTAATACAAAATAACGATAGTTTTGACTTGATGACCTACTCTGAGAAGAATATAACTTGTTTTACCGTAGAATATGGAGTTCAACCACTATGCCCCTGCCAGTAAAAATTAATTTAAGCACAAATTAGTTATTTATTATTTAAAAAGGTCTTTTTCAGTGTTCATAAATGAATCTTCAGCAAGCTGAATAAGGTGCTCAGCTTCAACTTGAGCCTTGCTTAATTTTATTGCAAGAGTTGAATTTTCTTTCAGCAGCTTTCTAATAGAGACTTCACGGTCTGATAGTTGTTTAAGCAAATCATCTCTTTCCTCTGTAAGCTCTGATATTGCAAATACAAGTTTATCAGCGTCTTCATTCTGCTTTTTTAGCTTCATTTCTCCTTTGATTTTTTCTTCTTCAATCATTAAAATTTTTCTCTTATAGGAAAATAACTCTCTTTCTTTTTCATTGAGAAATCCTATAATTTCTTGAGCTCTTGTATTGAGTCTTGCAATATTCCATATATTAAATGCAGAAAAAATGCTATTTTTTATAGTTTTCACGATTACTGCAACTGCGACATTTTTGCTTTTTATGCAATTTTTTGTATGAGAATTCAGCACTGCTTGGAATTTAGTAATTTTTGCTAAATTTTTTTCTTGCTGGGAAACTAAGCCGGAAATTTGTTTTTCTAAAATTTTAATTGAATTAAACAACTGATGCCGATTAAGATGCTGATACTTTTCAATATATTGATTAACAGTTTTCTTTCATTTCTTAAAAGAATATAATAAATAAGGATTTTGTAATACTGAAACAACTTTCCTTACTGAATTTTCTACCTTTTTTCTAACAATATTATTAGTTGGAGATTTTTTGAATTTCCTTGATGGAGATACTAGTTGTGATCTCATTAAGCTACTTGATTCATTAATAGATATAAACTCATAAATAAAATTATCTGGAATCCCTTCTTTTTTTAATAATTTTAATAAAATGCTGGCTCTTTCTTTGTATTTTTTTAATTCTATTGAAAATGCTTGCTCAATTTGTTTAAACTGTGATTTAAATTGAGAAATTGACATTTTTTTGAGGATGCCAAAAGCAAGCCTTATAGCCATCATTTCTTTTATTTTAAGAGCTGATTTAAGATAGCATTTTTTTTGGTTGTGGAGACTGCATCATGCATTTAAGGTTTTTTTGAGTAATTTAATTGACAAAATCTGTTGCTTATTTTCCAATACTCTATTTAGCTTTGATTTCATGAAATTTCGTTGAGATTCATAGAGCGATGAAAGTTCCTCATGCTTTTCAACAGTATTTTGCATTTTTTCTTTATATCTTTTCATTTTTTTCTTATTTGACATCGTTAACTCTGCATTTTCTATTTTTAATTGAACTTTTAAGCAATAATTTCATAAATTGAATACTTGTTTCATCAAAAATTTCGACTTAATTTTTCCTAATTTCATTAAAGATTCTTCGCTGCTTTTATGCATAAGCGAATTTTGTTTTAATATATAAATTGCGTCTTTCTTAAAATAGCTGTTTGATGATTCAATAATTTTAATCATTTTTCCAATAACCAGTCTCCTCAAAGCTTTTTCTGTATTTTCTCTATTAATTTCAGATAATTTATAGTACTGTGTCATCTGAGCCATATTTGAAAAGTCTTTTTCTTTTTCTTGTAAAAGTGAAAGAACTTTTTGATTTGTCTCTTCAAATTTTTCTTTTTCTATTGCTGATTTTCACTTCAAGATAGCTGAAGAAATTTTTAATTTAATTTGGGTTTTCAATTCTTTTAGCAATTTCTTTTTTGATATAAGTGTCTCAACCGAATATTTTTTCCAGGCTTTCATAATTATTGACTTTTTCCACAATTGCAGTTTGCTGCATTTATTTGCTATGTTTTTTGTTTTCAAAAATTTATTTCTTATATACAATAGCCAATTGTGAAATTTATTCTGAACACGCATCTTTATTTCAATTTTTTCTTTTCTTTGAAATATCATCAAAGCTTTTTTAAGTACTTTAGCATTATCTTTTTCACATTTTATTTTATTTTTTATTTCTTTGGCCGTTTTATTTCATTTTTCTAACTCCCCACCAAAGCATATACAGTGAAAAAATCTTAATTTTGGGAATTCTCCCTAAGCTAGAATCATTTTTGATATATATCATAACATTGTATTTAAAATTTGCAAAATTTTATAAAAAATTAAATTAAATTCCTCTCATAAAAATTTATAAAAATGTAAAACATTAGAAGTAAGCTCCTATAAATAATTTCAGTATATTTCTTTTCAAATCTTATGTAAAGTGATCTTAAAATTTTTTGTTTAATGTTAAGCTCAAACATCTGTGCTATCTTATCAGATTCTTCAATAATAGCAAGAGCTTGCACAAGTTTTGAATTTGTTGATTTTTGATCTTCCTTGAATTTATTCAAATTTTGCTTCATATCATCCATATCCATACTAGCAGTCAGTGATTTCCATTTCTTGAAATTATTAAAAATTTCCTTCTGTTTATTCCTCTTCATTATTCTAAGGATCCCCCCCTCACTTGTCCAATTTTCTAGTCTTTTATTATTTGTCCATTTTTCTAGTTTTTTTTATAGGAAAAAAAAAATTGTTTTAGGACCTCATTTGTCCAATTTTCTAGTCAAAAATTTTGATAGTAAAAAAAATTTTCAGGACCTCAATTGTCTCATTTTCTAGTTTTTTTAAAATAAAAAACTAAAATTTAGGACATGCGAAAAAATCCAAAAAAGACTAGAAAATGGGACAAATCATTTTTGACTAGATTTTTGGACAAATGAGGTCCTGAAAAAATTTTTATTTCTTAGAAAAAAAAAATATAAAATTGGACAAATGAGGGGGGGGATCCTTATATAAAGCCTTTTTACTAAACTTTGATACCACTGCAAGTTTTTTTAAAATTAAAAAGACGACTCTTTTTCTTAAAAAATTCTTTTTCCTTAAATATTCAGTCACTTTTCTCCGTCTTTTAATTTTATATATGGCTTGCTGATATTTATCAATTATAAACTTAAATCCAAGGCTTCTATTGTGAGCTGAATATATAGATAAAAGTGCTTGAAATGCAGAATTTATTCTTTTCCCTTTAATATAAATTTCTTTTATAGTGTCAAAGTTTACTCTCATTAAGTTTTTTCTCAACATTTTGTCAATTTTATCAGCTTTTTTGATAAATTGAGATCTCAATTCATCTTTAAGGTCTACTACAACTTTTTCTAATTCATTTGTATTTGCTATTAAGTCTTCTTTATCAAGCCTATGAGATTCATGCTGCTCACATAAATAGTCTATATTAATATTATAGACATTTACTCTTCATTGATTAAATTTTCTTTTCGTCTGGCCTTTTTCAAGTCTCGCAAATATTTTAAAACCTTGATAGAGGTTTAATCTATCTTCGCTGTAAGATTTTATTTCATTAAATATATGGTATCTATTCATTAGTTTTTTTTCTAAAATATTGAACAAGTTTTTCAAGTTTCAATTTTTTATCAATTTGGTTAAGCATTTATTTTGCTGTTCTGAAAATTCTAATTTAGACATTTCTTGGCTATAGCACTTTGCGTTTGATTCTAAATTTGTTTTTATTGCATTATTTTTCCATTTTTGTATACAAATGCTGAGACAAAGTGATAATTTTTCTTTTTCGTGGATTTTATACATAAAATTTATTGAGTTGGCAGACTTTAAGTTTAATGTTTCTTTTCGCCAAATATCAAAGCTTTGTTTCATAAATTTGAGAGTTTTTATTTTGAATATCTTTGATACCATTTCATTTTCATGCTTCTCACGCTTCAATAAATATTTTTTTCTCTTATTTGTTTTTATTTTTCATAAAGTGAACTTTTCTATAAAATTATTATGAATTTTTGTTCGAAAAATGGATTTTAATATCTTCAATGAGGATGACAACTTGGCTTTGCATGAAATTTGACTTTTACAGAAAAATTTTCAAGAATTTAAATAAAAAGCCAAATGAGCTTTTTCTTTGTTCTTCCTATACGCTTCACAAGCTTTTTCATTCAATTTCTTTAAAACTGCAAATTGTTTTGTTTTTAAAAGAGCTTCCATTTTTGAGTGATTTAGATTTCTTTTCAATAAATTCGCCATCATTATTGTCGCAGCTTTTTTGTAATTTTTAATACTTTTCCTAAACATTTCAGATTTCATTGAAAGATAGTCTTTTACAAGTCCATGGGTTTTTGATTTTTCAGTCAATAATTTATTTTTATAATCACTTTGGAGTGCTGAAATGTTCTTATCTTTTTCTTCAACTTCGCATTTTAATCGATTAAGCTCTATTATCTGCTGTTTTTCATGATTTTCAATTTCTTCGAATTTTTGTTTCCAAATCTTTAAATTTCTTTCAGAAACATTTAACTCATTTTTCAGAAGAATAAATCCTTCATTCAAAGATTTATTTTCTTTATGAATTTTTTCGATTTCTTAAACTTATTACAGGCTTTGCGGCTTGCTTATCGATAACGCAGTTACCAAGGATCCTCACGGAGATTCACCCACTTTGCGGCCTCGCCAGGGAGAACTTGTTCGAATGAGATGATGATTCACCGGGTAATCAAGGCTTGGACACACCACTCTTCTTCTTTTTCGCCTGATGCCATAGAGCCTATGAAGTAGGGTTCTATGTCTCCGCCTCCTCCTTGCCTTATCGGCTCCAGTATTGAGTGGGAAGGCTATGGACTTCTGCGGATTGCTGCTTGGGTTGAACAATAGTTGTCCAATCACAAATTCCAAAAAATGGAATTTCAAGACTGAGTGTATCTCTCAGTTTCACGCTAGAGAAATACCCGATTGGTCTAGTCATTGCCTATAGATAATTTCTGTCTTTCCCTTTTCAATTCTGGACAGAGATGCCATATTTATTTATAATATTTTCGATTTCAAGATTCAGCTCTGCTAGCTTAACGGACATTTCAGCTTTTTCTATTTCTGAAATCCTTACTCCCCCCCCCCTCCGTGAGCGAACAAAAAAATTTTGTTCGCTCACGGAGGGGGGTTAATTTTTTTTTTTAAAAAAAATTTATATATATAAATTTATATAAAAAATATTTTTTTTCGAAATTTAAAAAAATCCTAATTTGCAAAAATTGGGAAGCAAATATTAATTTAATTTGCAAAATTTATGTTTTAAAACGCAATTTGTTTAAAATTAAACAGAATTAGCTCTAGATTTCATTATACTAATTATCACTTATATATCAAAATTTTTTTCCATTAAAATTTTTTCTATTAAAAAAATTTTTTTGTTCACTCACGGAGGGTGGGTTTTTGGTCAAAAAATGGCGATTTTTCTAATGGTTTTGTTCGCTCACGGAGGGGGGGGGGGGAGTTAGCTTTTCTTTAAGCTCAAAAATAGATTCTAAATGCTTTTTGATGTCTTGATTAAATTTGGTTTCAGCCAAAGAACTGAGGTTTTTAGACTCAATTAGCTTGGCTTCAATGCTTTTTCTTAAATTTATTTCTATGTCGAGATCAGCCTTGATTTTATCATATTTTCTTTTATATTTTTCTGAAATTGTAGTAAAATTTGTATCTGTGTCTTCATCCCAAAATTTTGAAGCAGGCTTTTGAACTCGAAAAGGAGATTTTGAAATAGCTTTCATCTTTATTAAGAATTTTATTTAAATTTATTTGTATTTCGAATTGTAAAATTATTTTCAAATTCTAATAGTTGCATCTATTTCAAAAGAAATACTCACATTATTTATCATTCAAAAAATTTATTCTTAAAAATAAATATCCTATTGAATTATCAATGATTTATTATTAAAATTTATGATATAAAAATGAATAGCAAGCTATTAGAATATTTTACGAAAAACAAAATAAAGAATCTTTACGCAATCCACAAAACATCTGGAGAAAAAAAAGGAATTTACTCTTTAACCCGTCCATTGCTTGAACCTGAAGAAATGATAACTTCTTTTTTCAGCAAACCCACAAAAAATCAGCTTACAGAAGACGAAAAATTTAGCCAAAAAATGCTGCATATAAACACCCACAAAAATGTGAAGATAAAAGAAGGCGAATTTGGAATCAATCCAGTTAAAGACTCTTTCGGCTCGAGTTTTGGCCTAAAATAGCCTGCATTTTTACCCTAAAGCCACCCATAAACTTTAAAAATTAATAAATATCCATAAATCCTCGTTAAGAAGAAATTATTTAGGACTTCATTTGTAGTCCTGCGCTTGGCATGAATTCTGTCAGGACTGCCTTAAGTTTTTCGTCAGTTTCTTTCGACAAAACTCCTTCATTTCTAATAGCTGCCAAAATGTCTGGGTTTCTTGTTCGTAAGGTTTCTAAGAATCCTTTTTCGAATTTTGCGATTTCTGAAGTCAAAACGTTGTCAAGGAATCCTCTTACACCAGCATAGACCACACAAACTTGTTCTTCTGCAGCCATTGGGACGTATTGTTTTTGCTTTAATAATTCAGTTAGCTGGGCTCCTCTGTTGAGCTGTCTTTGTGTTGCTGCATCTAAGTCTGACCCGAATTGTGCAAATGCAGCGACTTCTCTGTATTGGGCAAGCTCAAGTTTCAAGCTACCTGCAACTTGTTTCATGGCTTTGATTTGTGCTGCACTTCCTACTCTGCTGACTGAAAGACCGACGTTGATTGCTGGACGAATACCTTTATAGAAAAGCTCAGTTTCTAACTATTTTATAATGAATTTTAAAAAAAAATTAAAAAAAATAATTATTTTTTAAAAATTAAAAAAATTATGGAGAAAAAGATTAAGAAAATTTGGCCATCAGTAATGGAAATGACATTGGTAGGAATATAAGCTGAGACATCACCAGCTTGAGTTTCAATGACTGGTAAAGCTGTTAAAGATCCACCTCCGTATTTAGCGTGCATCTTTGCTGCTCTTTCTAGAAGTCTTGAGTGGAGATAGAAGACATCACCAGGGTATGCTTCTCTTCCTGGAGGTCTTCTTAACAATAAAGACATTTGACGATATGCAACAGCTTGTTTACTATCTCCCCTTTTAATACTATCAAAATATGATAAAATTTCCGTTTTGGTAATTACATAAGTTTTATAATAATTTTATATACAAATAAATTTGATACCCAATTTAGTGTAGCAAAATCAAAATTATCCAGAACTTACTTATTTTAAATAGAAGGGTGCAAGTAGAAAACTATTTAAACAAAGCTAATAATTTGAATTGATAAGAAAAATCCATAAAAAAATTTATACTAGAACAGATTTTTTTATTCCAATAAAAGAGGGAGTAAGATCATCATAAATAATAAGGGCATGCTTTCCATTATCTCTGAAGTGTTCACCAATGGCACATCCTGCGTAAGGTGCTAAGAACTGCAGTGGTGCTGCTTCTGAAGCAGTTGAAGCCACAATGATTGTGTATTTCATAGCGTCATGCTGAGTAAGACTTCTAACAATATTGGCTACAGTTGATCTTTTTTGTCCAATAGCGACATAAATACAGTAGAGTCTGTTTTTGGCTTTGGTTTCATCTTCAAAGTTTCTCTTTTGGTTAATAATAGTATCAATGGCTATTAAATTATTTTTTTTATTTTTTCTATTAATAAAAAAAATTAATTTTTTTAAAAAAACTTTGAATGGCAATTGCAGTTTTTCCAGTCTGTCTGTCTCCAATGATAAGTTCTCTTTGACCTCTTCCAATAGGGACTAAAGAGTCAACAGCCTTGAGTCCAGTTTGCATTGGTTCGTGGACTGATTTTCTAGGGATGATCCCAGGAGCTTTAAGTTCAATTCTAGCTCTAGCTTTAGTTTTGACTGGGCCTTTCCCATAAAATAATTAATATGGTGGTGGCGACAAAATGTGTCCTTACTGCGACTCACCACTGCGGGCGCCAAAGTGGCTTTATAACCTAAACAAGGTTCAGGCCCTTTGATTCTAACCCTAGCACGATGTATAGCTGCCGAATGAGTGGACGGGTCTTTCTAACCCGTCAAGACTCAAGAGAGTAGTGCAGGCCCTAGTTTCCGAGGAAATCGCTGCTATCGGGGCTTGGAAAACCGCTGCTACTCCTGGCAAGAGATCAGTGGTCGAAAGTGTGCGGAAGCATCAAATCTGGAAGACCTTCAATTCTTAATTAATTAATTTCCCATCAATAGGGTTGCCAAGAGAGTCAATAACTCTTCCTAGCAATTCTTCTCCTACAGGGACGTCAACAATGGTTCCAGTTCTTTTGACGACGTCTCCTTCTTGAATTTCTCTATCATTTCCAAGCACGACAACACCGACATTGTCGCTTTCCAAGTTGAGAGCCATTCCTTTGACTCCTGTTCGGAACTCAACCATCTCTCCTGCTTTTACCTTGCCCAGTCCGTAAACTCTGGCAATACCGTCTCCAATTGAAATTACAGTCCCAAATTCATTCAAGTCGTTTGTTTGGGTTATTTTTGCCACTTTTTCTCTGAGAATCCCAGCAGCTTGGTTGATGTTGATCTTGCTCGAGAACCAAGCAGCAGGCTGAGGTGTAAGAACCTTAGTGCTGAGTGATGCTACTCTTCTTACTCCCTCCCAGTGAGCGGACAAAACCATCAGAAAAGTCCCTATTTTTTGGATAAAAAGCCACTCTCAGTGGGCCTACAAAAATATTTTAATATGAAATTTTTTATGAAAAAGCATATGATATATAAGTGATAATTAATATAATGAAATCTCGAGCAATCCTGCTGAATTTTAAACAGCTTGCATTTTAAAACATAAATTTATAAATTAGCAAATTTTTGCTTTCCAATTTTTGTTATATGGGAATTTTTTTAAAAAAAAAATTTACCATGAGAAAACACATTTTTTTTTAGCTCATAGAGGGAGGCGGAGTTAGCATTTAATGGCTAAAATTTATTATAAAATAGCTTAACTCTATGAACTTACGATAAAACACTGCAGCTTATTTGTTCTGCAATTTTTAACAGCAAACATCATAAGAATCTGTCGAAAATTTAATTGATTTTAGCCTTAAAAATATATAATCATAAAAATGTTGGGTAAATTGTTGCTGACATGCTAAAAAATAAAAGAAATATTTTGACCTTAAAATCAGCTTCATAATCAATTTATATATGAATCAAATTTTATAGGTGTAAAGGAGAAAATATGATAAAATTAATAGAAAATCAGCCTAAACTTATAATGGTAAGTAGGAATTCAATTGTAATTGGAAGATTGCAAGAAGAAAGGAAGCTCTGGAGACGTGACCATCCTCATGGATTTTACGCAAAACCTACTGTAAATTCAGAAGGCGCTCCAAATTTGATGAAATGGGAATGCGGGATTCCAGGGAAAAAGAATACTCCTTGGGAAGGAGGAGTATTTAAACTGCTGATGGATTTTTCTGACGAATACCCAGCGAAACCGCCTAAATGCAAATTTGAGCCTGTTTTATTTCACCCTAATATATACCCTAGTGGAACTGTATGTTTAAGTATACTTAATGAAGACGAAGATTGAAGACCGAGTATCACAATTAAACAAATTTTGATAGGAATCCAAGATTTATTGAATAACCCGAATCCTCAGAGTCCTGCACAAGCAGAGCCTTATAACTTGTATATGAGGGATAGAGAGGAATACGACAAAAGAATAAGAAGACAAGCTGCAGAAATGACAGGGCCAAAGTAATTTATGATTAAAGTAATCATATATTATTTATTCTATTATAGAGAATATAGCATAGGAGCACTAAGCATTTATTCAAAAATACATTTATTTAAAAATGGAATATATGAGTTTTTCAGGCTAATTGAAAATATTCTTACCCTCTAGAAAAAAGTTATACTTTTATTAGCAAACTTAATAGAAAATTTCCCAAAGGATTAGCTAAACCTATTCACAATAAATATAAAAATTTATACTGCCTTCTATCCTTTTTTCATTTATTAGAAACAATGCTTATATTATTCGCAAATGGTTATATATTAAATATAAATTTCATAAAAATAATAGCATTGGACTTAATACAGCCCACCATAAGTAATTCAAATAATGTTTACAAATTAGTTTCATTATAATCTTTATTATGGAACCTGACCAAAAAATTGAAGAAAATGAAGAAATCCCGCCTGAGCCAAGCATAGAAATACGATTTTTATGCATGAAATTAAGATATTGATGGTACCTAATCCTATTTTTGCAGCATACTCTTGTAGTCTGGATGATAGGCTGCCTTGGCACTCGTCGCTGGGTTCGCCAAGGGGATGACGAAACAGAATGGGAAGGCGGTCTATTCTACGTTGAAACTGGCTGGCCCCAAATTTCAGGGGAGTCCTACTACAAGCTAAAAGATAAAAGCTCTTTAGATAACGAGCAAACAAAAGACACGTTTAAAAATCTATATAGTGCTGCTGAAGCTTATAGGTGTTCTCCCTATATAGCCCGATAAGGGCAGTGGGTTCTCCATGGAATCCCTCTGCTGGTTGAACCAACCAGTGAATTGGTCAAACCAACGCACTGAGTTGGTTTAACCAACAGAGGGATTCCACGGAGAACCCACAGCCCTTATCGGGCCATATAGGGAAAACCCCTATATACCTTTTTTGAGCTCCTTTCACTAATTTTCCTTACTGTTTGAATGATTAGGGTGGCTTTTCATCTGATGGAAAAACGCTTCTGTAAAAATTGGGTATCATATTTATGGCCATCTTTTGGGTTCTTTTGTCATTTGTTAGGACTTCTGATATGGGCAGGAGTCAGCGACTCAGGCTATGATGCAGATTGCAAAGATGTGTCTGATAAAAAAGTTTGCTGTACGAATGGGCCGACACTGTCAGTTCTTACTTGTTTGCTTTGGATTTTTTATGGATCGATTTATATTTTCATATTTTTGCATAGGAATGGGATAGAAGTATATGAAGAAAAAGATGTGGAAGTGGAAAAAGAGTAGAGACTTTAATAGATTTATATAATAGTTCTCGATAAATAAATAAGAATTAATTTTTATTATTTTAAGGAATATGATAGGTATTTTTAAGATTTATTAGCAAGCTTATTAATATAGTTTTTCAAATAATCATATTTTTAGGTTGTCTATCAAAATAACTAATTTATTTAGATATTCAAAGCGCCCACGATTCCGTTATGAATATATAGCAATGGTTTTGTCTCTTTTTCTTCAGCATGAAATATTTTCCCAAGATAAACGACGCCAGAGCCATGCTCAACTGCCTTTTCAATTTTACAGAGTAATAAGCTATGATAATGAGATAAAATAGGCAGCCCATGCTTCATTGTAATATTCAGCCCTTCAAATTGCTCTTCACAGGTTAATCGCGATACTGCAAACTTTAGTGCCAAATCTTCTTGTCCTTGATGTAAAAAATGCATTGCGCAAGAATTTTCAAGTGCGGAAACCATAATTCTTGACTTATTATAGCTTTCCTCTTTTAAATTGGGAAAATATTTTTTCATATAGGAAAATTTTATAAGTAAATATATGAAATTTTATAAAATTAGCTTTGACCTGATTTAATTGAAAAAGTGTTATTTGCACAATGAACCGATTAATTTTTGAAATTCATTCTTTATAAAAATAAATTGAAATTCAAAATATGTTAAAAAAAATTAGCGGAACATAATTTTTTATTTCAATTTAAAGGGTGAAGTAAGTAAAATAAAAGTTTCCTTCCAAATCTAAAACCCTAAATGAAGAAACTGTGCTTCCTCTGAAAGATCCTTCCTTGAGGATCCCGATATCTTTTTTGCAAGTAGTTGTGATAATGCCAACAGGAAATGCCATCTGCCTATAAGCTAACAGCAAGTTTGCTTTCATGGAAAAAATAAAATGTTGTCATATTATTTATTTTAGTAATTTCAATCGCAAATTTTATATTTGATTAAAAAATAAGATTTTATTTAAAATTCAATATCAGTATTTCCAAGTTAGGTCAAATTGATTTCTATATTCACAAGTCAGCCAACAGTGCCTAGATTTAAGAGGAGAAAAAGTATTAAGCTAATTTTAAAATGAAATATTAATTTATTTAATTCAAATCATGGATATAAGAGCGATTAAAGAAATGGAAAGATAAATGTTTAGTGACATATAAAATCATGAAAAAACAGAAAAGCGCACCTAAGAATGAAAAATTCTTACTATTGCTTATAATATTCGTATATGATCCTTAACTTTATTATCTTCTTTGCATCATATTTTATTTATATCTAATTACAATAAATATTTTTTTATAAGCTGCGGGCGTTAGAAATGGACCATACTCTGAACAGGATAATCTTCTTTGCAAAAATCCATTGCACAAATATGATTATGCGTTTGTCTTTAAATAATTTAGAAAACTATCTCGAAAATAATAAAATATCTTTTCTATTAAGAATTCATCATAATTAAAAGTAATTAATCATTTTTAGCAATGTAAATAACCTTAATTTAAACTTCTCTTCTTCTTTGATGGTTTGACGATAGTGAATAAAGATGGAATTTCGACTCTTTTCTTTCAGAAATCGGTGTATAATGCCGCGTTGTATACCCAATATAATTTTGCCTTGGCCTCACAATTTTATTTTCTGGATCCGAATGGAACTCTTTCCAATGCGCAAGCCAACCCGCAACCCTCGGTATTGTAAACAGCACAGGGAACATATCAGTAGGGAATCCCATTGACTTATAAATAACTCCTGTATAAAAATCGACATTCGGGTACAGTTTTCTATCAATAAAATATTTATCAGTCAGCGCAATCCTTTCCAGCTCTACTGCTATATCAATTAACGGTTCTTTTCCACATATAGAGAACACGTTATCTGCAAGTCTTTTTACAATCTTGGCCCTCGGGTCATAATTCTTATAAACTCTATGCCCAAATCCCATAAGTCTTCCTTTCCCACTTTTCACTTTTTCTAAAAACGCTGGGATATTTTCAACTGAGCCAATTTCTTCTAGCATTCTTAGGACAGCTTCATTGGCACCTCCATGTTTTCTGCCATATAATGCAGCTGCAGCACCTGCCACACAAGTATAGACATCAACTTCACTGCTTGCTAGATGTCTCATGGCCGCTGTGGAGCAGTTTAGCTCATGCTCTGCATGCAAAATGAATAAAATGTCTAAAGCTCTTACCAGCTTAGGGTGAGGGGCATAATTAGTTTCGTTAAGACGGTCTAACATATAGAAAAAGTTTTCAATGTACCCAAGACCTTGTGCTGGCTCATTATATGGCCTTCCTATACGGTGTCTATAAGCATAAGCTGCAACTGTTGGCATTCTGCCTAAAATTCTGTGAATTTGTTTATTGAGTACCAAAGGGTCTGAATAAGGATCAATTCCGACAAGAAGGGTAGGGTTTTGCTCAGGCTGAAAAGTACTCATAGCACTTACTGTGCTTACGACAATTCCCATAGGGTGGGCGTCATAGTGAAAACTTTGCATCATTTTGCCGATATCTGTATGCAGATAGGTGTGGCGTAAAATTCTTTGTTCCCAAAGGGTTTTTTGAGATGGGGTAGGAAGTTCTCCATAAATTAAAAGAAAAGCGACTTCTAAGAACGTGGATTTTTCAGCTAATTCTTCTATAGGGTATCCGCGATATTCTAAAATACCTTTGTCGCCATCTATGTAGCTTATTTTTGAAGTACAGTTAATAGTGTTCATATAGCCAGGGTCATAGACCATTAGGTTCTCGCCTTGCTCGTTTTTTAATTTGGATATATCTTTGGCATCAATATAGTTGTATTTTACTGGGATTTCCAGAGTTTTACCTGTACGATTATCTGTAATCGTCAAAGTAGGCTTACCTGTTAAATGGGTATTTATGAGATGAAGACGCTTTGCAGGTGAATCCATATTTTATAAAGTGACGTCGATTGTGCTCACACAAATATGTCTTAAAAATTTCCAAAAATTGCAAGTGAAAACAGCTAAATTTATGCTAGAGGTTGGATTGATCATTTTTAGGTTTTAATATTTTAATTGTAAATATACAAGTTTAATAGAAATATGATGGGAAATGCAGATAATTATTAATAAAAATAATATAATATTTTTTTGTAATAATCAGAAATTTATTTGATGGAGAATAAATTTCATTTATGCAATTTTATTAAAATAATTGTTATATCAGAAATGAAATATAATGTAAATGATAAGAGATAAATGAAAATTGAATTAAAATTTATTTTATTTATTTCGTTTAGTTATTATGATTAAAAACGAATTGGAAAATTTGGTTTATCCTCGATTGGAGCTTCACTGCAGGGAACATTTTCAATACCTTGGGCCCATATTTTTGGATTTTCTTTCTGATAAATAATCCCGATATCATCAGACTGATTAAGATCGGAATCTTTACGCTCATTCCTCCCGCCCTTGAATTGACAGCAAATCCTGTTCTATTTTTCTTAAAAATTTTTAAAAACTAAAAAAATATATAAATTGAACAAAGAATTAATTCAAAAATTAATCGATTCAGTGTGAAAGCTGTTTTAAATAAAATTCTATTCACTTTTCCATTGTATTAGGTAAAACATTAATTTCACCTATAAAATTTTTCTATTGAAAAAAGAATTTGTTCTAATTTAAAGGGGGCTACAGCACCAAAAAATGGAAATTTTACCTGTGTATTGTTCTAATTTAAAGGGGAAATTAGAACTCATGGTTTTTCGTCCACTGAATTCTTCATTAATTTTTCCTTTTGAATTTCTTGATACAATTATAGTCTTAAATATTGGAGTCCAATCCATCATGATTGGATCTTGTTCTGATTTTATATTTGGACTTTCTTTAGGCTCTTTTGACTGATTTTTTTGAATTTTCTCTAATAAATTGAGCATTTTCGGCTTTTTGCCTTTTTTGCACCTAGTAATTGATGTCTCAACTGTTTTCTGCATAAGGTGGGTCGTTTTATTAATGGTTTTTACTTCAACTGGCTTCATTTTAGATAAATTTACACTTGATTTCGGCTTTTGACGCTTATTTGTTTGTTGCTTCATATATTTATAAAAATCTATTTTTGAAATTTGTATAAATATGGATTCTTTTATAATTTAATTCTGATTTTGATTAATTTATTAGAGAAACACTTTCCCTATTTTCTCTGAAATTAAATATTTACATGAAAAGCTATATCTAATTAAACTCTTCTCTATCATTTACAGGATTTATGAAAAATATCTGAATACTAATAGATAGCTTTGGACTCAATTCTCTCATGTTTATAAATCAATCAAATATCTTTCATTTGTTATGCTCATTACGAGAAAATAACTAAAAATTTTAAAAATCGTACTTGAGGTTTTTCTGTTGATTGGGCTACTTATTGAGATCCCCCCTTTTTGAAATTGATAAGCAAATAATATAAAGCAAATGAACATAATAAGAATATTATACATTCATATTATTTATTCTTCAAGAAAACACTATAGCCAATTGAAAGTTTATGATTTTTGAGTTAGACCTTTCAAATATACATTAAAATTAATTACTTATCAAGAAGTCCCCTGTAGGCCGGCAGGCCACTGCTCGCCTCCATTAATATTTCTCCTCTTACTCGTCAGTCCTCTTATGGCCTTGCATTGCGTTGATCCTTTTCGACTAAGCCTGCACTTATCTGGAATTCATACGTGCCAAAGCTGGCTGCCTTAACAAAATCGAAAATAGACTTTTCTGGTTGTTTGTCGAAACTCTGAGTCCAGAACACAACGCCTGGTATCGCGCTAGGAAATTGTCTGATTGGCCTAGCAGGTGTCATTGGTAGTGCTATACTCCCTTTCCAAGTTCTACCTTCCCGAGAGGTTTCATTGGCAGTGCTATAATCCCCTTTCCAAGTTCTACCTTCCCCAGAGGAAATAGAACAATCTGACATGATTAGGGCTGGTCAGCCAGCATCGCCCTCGCACCAAGTTAGCCAAAAACTGGCCGGGTACACATTATTAAGAGCTTTTTTCCTTCCAAAAGGCTTCGTGCTTGAAGCCTTCTATAGTAATTGAGAAAAAAGGGCTAATTTGCCACAAAGTTTAATTTATGAATTTGATTTTTCCAATATAAAAGTATTTTTCATGTGAAGTTTAAATATTAATATGACCTTTGCTATTTGAATGATATACCTATGAACAATGAATGAAAGCACTCTTGCTGGTTAGCTTTTTCCTATTTACTTTATGAATATAGGATAACGGAAGCCAGCAGTAATGTTTGTATTCTCTATTAGTAGGATTTATAAAAATTGTTTAGGCTAGCTACGTTTTGATTCCATTTGCTCAATCTTACCATATTTTATAAATCAAATCAACACCATTTATCTGTTTATCTTATGTAGTTAACCGTTTCCAAAACCCTCTTCTCCTATTTCACCTTTTTCTCTTCTATCCATATATTCATACGCATAAACTTATTTGAAAATGCCAAAATCTATTCCCTTTTGTATCTTTGTATCAGCAAATCTCTTGCATCGAAAAATCATTTCAATTTAAATAAGGAACCAAAAAAGCCTATTAGTGTGTCTAATTTAGTGTTTCTATAATTAGCAGCCAAACCTTAGCTTAATATATAACAAATTCATTGATGAATCCTTCTCATTATATCTTGCTAATTTTATCAGCATTAATAAATTCTTACCCCTCCTTCATGACGAAAAAAACTATTGGAAAAATCCCTATTTTTTGAGTAAAAAACCCGCCCTCTGTTAGCGAGCAAAAAATTTTTTAATGTAAAAAGCTTTATATATAAATGTCATTTATTATAACGAAATATCAAGTTAGCTCTGTAGAATTTTAAACAACTTGCATTTGCAAGCATAAATTTTACAAGTCAAATCAATTTTAGCGTTCCAATCTTCGCAAATTGGGGTTTTTTAATTTTTTAAAAAAAAATTAACTCCTATACGTTAGTGATCAAAATTTTTTGTTCGCTCACGGAGGGAGGGGGAGTTAGATTATGCTTGGTTGTATTCTTAATTCTAAATTATTGACTAGCCATTAACTCCAGCACTTGACGAATCAAAACTTTGAATTCATCTAAGCTGATTCTCCCATCTCTATTTGTATCAAGTTCTCTTAGAACATCCCTTACGTCACTGTCTGTCGGTGCGTCCATTCCAATATCTCCTGCAACACTGCACATCACAGTTCTCAGCTCAGGCTCGTCAATAAATCCAGATTGGTCTGCATCTACAGCGTCAAAAGCTGCTTTGGCAATGTCGTGCAATTTTCGATCATCTCTCAGGATTGCTTGGATTTCTTGAGGAGTAGCTGATGCCATTAACTATTTATTTACGCCACTTTTCAATACAAACAACGCAAAATGTCTATAGCTAATAGCAATAAATTATAGATTACGACTGAAATATTACAAAGAATATGAGTTTGCAAAGTGATTATGTTTAATGCAGAATTTAATCATCAAAAAATAATAAATAAGAGCTGGATCCTGGTTTAAAAGTTATTAACTCCCCCCCCCCCCTCCGTGAGCGAACAAAAAAATTTTGTTCGCTCACGGAGGGGGGTTAATTTTTTTTTTTAAAAAAAATTTATATATAAATTTTTATAAAAAATATATTTTTTTTCGAAATTTAAAAAAATCCTAATTTGCAAAAATTGGGAAGCAAATATTAATTTAATTTGCAAAATTTATGTTTTAAAACGCAATTTGTTTAAAATTAAACAGAATTAGCTCTAGATTTCATTATACTAATTATCACTTATATATCAAAATTTTTTTTCCATTAAAATTTTTTCTATTAAAAAAATTTTGTTCACTCACGGAGGGTGGGTTTTTTGGTCAAAAAATGGCGATTTTTCTAATGGTTTTGTTCGCTCACGGAGGGGGGGGGGAGTAAGTAATTAATTTATAATTATTGGGTAACAATGATTTATATATCTTAAAAAGTGTTGAATTAAGTTATGATTTCTGAATATCAAATAGCAGAGATAAAATTTTCAAATCATAGAGCTTAAATTCCAAATTAAATATGCGGGTCCTCAATTAGGGATAGAAGTGATAACTGATATAGAAAAAAAATTTCCAGCATGAATAAAACAGGCTTTCCAAGTATTTTTTTGTGATTCATGCTAAAAGTAAGTAAATTTACTCTTCTGTAAATAAAGAGCCAAAATTCATATCAAGTTAATTGTTTTCCCTTAAAATCCAAGCCAAACTCAAAAATTTCCTTTCTCACCTTCTATTTCTTCGCATTTTATTAATCCTTCCTATTGCATAAATTCTAGCATCATAATCAAAGCCATATTATGTTTAAGAAAGAAGTGGTGGTAGATGGCAGAGGACACCTCCTTGGACGTTTAGCTTCTATCGTCGCAAAAGAGCTTCTTGCCGGCCAACATATCACAGTTGTACGTTGCGATGAGATCAACGTCACAGGACACATGGCTTTAAACCGTATCAAGTACATGACCTATCTCCGCAAGAGAATGAATACAAATCCAAAGCGTGGACCTTTCCACTTCTGGTTGCTTTATAATTTTTGATGCTAAAAAATTTAATTATTTTTCTTTGGATTTTTGATAAAAATTAGCATTTTTTGTTGGGAAATTTCCGATAGATATCTGTGAGTCAAAAACTCATAGGAACCCCACTTCAAAGCCCCATCAATGATGCTTCTTAAAGCTGTCAGAGGGATGGTGCCAAGAAAGACCCCTATTGGACAAGCTGCACTTGACAGATTGAAAGCTTTTGACGGAGTTCCTCACCCTTATGACACCAAAAAGAAAATGGTTATCCCAGATGCTTTGAGAGTCTTAAAATTAGGACCTACAAGAAAATATACAGTGCTTGGCGAACTAGCTGCTAAAATCGGATGGAAACACAAAGAACTTATCGATAAACTTGAGAATAAGAGGAAAGAGAGAGCGAAAGCTTGGTACCAGGGTAAGCTTGATAAACAAGAAGCTAAAGTTCAGGCAGCAGACAGAATTAAGGATGGACCTTTGGCTGGAGTTTTGCAAAATTTAGAAGCTCTTGGACATTAAGCTAAGCATTTATCTAAATTCTTAAAATTTGGAATATAATGATTAAAATTCTCTATTTAGTAGCTATATGTATGCACACGAGCTTATATTTCAATTGAACATATCTGCGGAATCATATAAAACTTTATGAGAAAAATAATTATTTAATTAATTTTTATTTTATAAGTGGTATATCCCTTAAATTTGTCTCTATAGCTACCACTTTTTTGTCTCATTTATCAATAACTACGAGAAAACTATTAATAGACTAAAACCCAATCCTTGCCATATTTTCATACCCAATCCCAACACACGTCGCAATTACATTTCTCGGCAAATTCTCCACCAAAGGATTTTCTAGCTCAATTTCTTGATAATCCTCTTCGTCTCCCTCTTCCTCGCTTCCTTCTTCCTCTTCTTTTATATCATCTTCGCCAGGGTTTTCTGTGTCTTGAAGTGTAAAAGTGACTCGAAACATTTTTTTAATCAGTCTTAATACTTCGACGGCAGACTGTGAGAGTCTTCCAAGCCTAAGAGAAGATTTAGAAGTAGATAAAGCCATCAATAAAAGGACGAGACATTGATTAGAAGTATCAACGTAGCCACCATAAAAAATTTCGTCTAATAGCTGATAAACTGCAAGGGTTCCTAAATCTTCAGGGACTTCTGTTTCTAAGTCTTCAATTGTGCTTTCTTCTCCTCTCATGTATTCGCTTGATAGCAAGGCGCCTGTATTTGTTTCAGCAACTAGGACTATTCCTAATAAGGCTGTTTCTGATTTATGGTGGTCTGTGTTTATCCATATATCAGGCAAAAAGCTGTGTAAATGTCCTTTAGCCGCATATGCAGCTCGGTTTCCCATTTGTGCATTAATTTTGCTTGTATAAGCGACACCTCTTACTCTTTTGATTTTTCCTGTATCCACCAAGTTAATATCTGAATTAAACTTTCTGATCGGAGTTGCCTTCAAGTTTACTTTCCCATTATTTCCTCTTGACAAAATTTTTATATCAATCTCTTCAACCCCAAACTTTTTTATTAATGGTATCTGTACATATTGGATTATATCGACCCCAATATCCAGCATTTCATTTGTGACTCCGATTAAATTGATATTTAGCTTATTCTTGCCAAACATAACAAAAGGCAAAATTCCTTCAATAAAATAGCCAAGACCTCTTTCGGTTCCACAGTCATGCTCAATCAGGTCTAAAGTGGGATTATTTGTGATTATTCCTGGTGTAAAGCGAAGCCGTGTACCTGTTTCGTTGACATCAATGATGCTGCCATTCATTAGTTTTGCGATAAGCTCGAGATATTTTACTTCATAGTCAGCAAGCCCAGGGTATTCACTGTCAGAACGAATTTCTGAGATTATTATTGGCGTTCCTGCAAGGATTGAGCAGATTATTCGGTATCTGAAAAGTGAACTCCCTTTAAACTCCATAAGATTATTTACATATTTTTTGTGAAATTAGGAATAATTAAGTAAATCCTTAACTCCTCTGCTGTCGTGGATTTTTGAATAATTATTTTTTTTTTCATTGAATTGGAGATGATGGATTATCAAAATAAATTAAAATTAGTAATAAATAATAATTTTTTTTTATGAAATTATAATTAAAATAGTATATAGATTTTACTGACAGCTTATGGTCTTCATGAAGATTTTTCAGAGAAGACTGATGAAAGGGATTGCGTTTTTTTAAAGGTTTTGACTTGGATTCACTTTGTGAGGCGTCAAATGAGATTGGGTTAAATGTGCTTGAATAAGCATTGTTTGAAAACTGGGTCCGCTTTTTACCTATAGGCTTTTTATCAAAATCCTGAGGCAATTTTGAAAGAAATAAAATGGTGATGTTGATGGAAATACTCCGAGCATTTTATAGGCGGAGGCTCTGAACTAGGGAGCTGATCCCTTGAACAGGTGGTTCAGGTTGAAATCCAAAATGGCGACATATTTGAGCCAAGGTGGGTAACGGCTAGTGGGCTTACCCGTTTTACGGCCAGCACAAATTTTTAATTTTAATTAATTTGAGGCAAGTTTTCTCTGTTTATGTTAAAATTGTATGAATAAACAAATTTTTTATTTTGCTTCTGAGGAGAGCTTGTAAATGGCCTGTCTAAAGAGTGGTCAATGTCTGAAATAAGGAAATTTGGATAAGTTACTAGATGGGTGGCATGTTTAGGCTTCTGTGGCAAATCTTCGCTTTGGAAATACTTTGCAGGTTCTGTAGTAAATATTGTATCTCTGCTCATTTTTTATATATTTGTGGTCCATTTTATATTGTAAATTCTCAAAACCGAATAAAAAATTTTTTATTTTCATGTAGATTAGTGAATAAAATCTCCTAACTCTCTCCCGATTTAATAGCAAAAACTCTTGTAATATTTTTATTAAAAATTATATAAAATATTTTTTCTGAAAATAACTTATAAGTAATAAATTAGCTTTAATACAACCCTAGGCCCTCATGACAAGCATCTTTCTATATTTGTTTTACAAATTATATATAAAATAATCCACTAAATTTCCTATTAATTTTAATTTCAATCTTATTCTACTAAAGTTTATATTATTATGAATTGCAGCACGTGCCTTTTTTAATGCTTTTCCCATCCTTTATTTTTGTCGCCCCTCCAACCCCTTTCATCGGTTCAGTCGTGCTAACTTGGTTTAGCATACTTCTCGTTAATGTTTCGAATGCAAGCCTAACATTTTGGCTGTTCTTAGCAGACGTTTCTATATAGCTCATTGACAGTCTGTCAGCCAATTCTTGGGCTTCTGCTAATTTTACTGTTCTCTGTGACGCTAAATCTAGTTTATTTCCTACTAATAGTTTAGGCGTTGACGATTGTAGATGATTCAGGGTTTCGTTGTACCAATTCTTGATATTTTGGAAACTCGCCTGGTTCGTTATATCATACATCAAAATAACTCCTTGAGCGCCTCTGTAATAAGACGCAACGATATTTTTAAATCGGTCTTGTCCTGCGGTGTCCCAAAGCTGAAGCTTGATTACCTTTCCTTGTAGCTCCATGGTTGAGATTTTAAAGTCTACTCCAATTGTAGTTTGGAACTCAGGGTTGTAGGTATCGTCAACATATCGTAAGAGCACTGAAGTTTTCCCGACAGAGCTATCACCTATCAAAAGCACTTTCATGAGATAGTCATAGTCCTGTTCCATCTTATTGAATTATTATCATTAATCTGCTGGTCAGCCTTATCATTTCTTTTCTCTTGATTATTACTCAATGTTTTCTTATTTACTCTACCTTAATGAAATTTTTTACACCCCCTTACTTAGTGAGCACAAAAATCTTGCTCGATAAGCCAAAAGGCTAATTTTCTGTTTTTTAAAAATAAATTATATTAAAAAGTTCTATAATTAAGATTATAAAGAAACCAAATTTGTGTATTTTGAAATGAAAGATCAAATTTAATTTATAAATTGCAAGCTATTTGGGTATTTAATGAATTAATAAGGCTCTTATTATTACAATCATTAATTTTATATCAAACTATTATTTTCTGAAAAAATGTTTGCTCGATAAACAAGATTGGTTAATTTTCCTAAGATAGAGATTTTCTCATGGCTTTGCTCGTTAATTGAGGGGAGAGTTAAAAATTAATATAGCATTTTAAATTTTTAAATTTATAAATTTATCTATTTAGAGGACTAATTTTGTTTTTTTTATAGTAATTTAATTATACTCACCTCTTTAAAATATAACAGCTATATACAAATTTTTGATTTTAGCAGCATTTTATTGGGTATATAAAGCTATTTGCACATAAATTATTATTTTTACTAATAAATATTAAAATTAGCTCGGTTTAAAAGGGAAAACCATTAAAAATGAAAATCTGCTAATATTAATTTCAATTTAAAGGGGGGGTTAGTATAAATGAAAATTTACTTTATCCTGCTCTTTTACTGACTAATGGTGCACACAGCCGAGAAACCGTGAGCTTTGGCAGGCTCCAAAAATCTCTTGCGTGTCCGTACCACAGTGTCCCCGAGGTTGTATATCTCTAAAAAATGCAACTCATAAATAAGGATTTTAATAAAAATAAACAATAAAAAAATTATTTTCAAAGCGAAAATAGAGGAATTTAAAGGTAAAATAACAGTTAGCTATATTCTCTATCTTTTATCAAACACTCTTTCCATATCTTATAATGCGAAGTTTGCTTCCACATATGATAAAATTGGGTTACTTCCTGATAAGATTTGGAAAACTTCAGAAGCTTCTCAATCACTTTAAACTCTTTTCCAAAGCTGCAAAGGCCACATTCAAAAACAGCGACTTGTTGAGGACTCCAGTTTTCTATTTATGCTTTACCAAAAGAAAATTCTTGTCTTAAAGGTGATAATAAAAATGCAAGAGGATCCATTTGAAGCACATTCCGAGGACGCTTCCCAGGCCGATAAGACGCAGCCACAACAGGTTCTGACTTCTTGGAAACGTAAGGGTCGCCATAATACATCATTGTAATTGATGCCAAGTAGTTCTCGAACGCCTGCAAACACTTCCCCGCTAGGACTTTGGTTTTCTTCATTCCCACTGTGTTTTTCTCTTGGGAATAAAAATCAGGAGTCTGGGATGCAAGCCATCTTCGAGAGGCCTTCCGGAAGATTAATGGAGAAATCGTTTTAAAAGTAGGCGGATTTCAATCTCCGGGGTCACTATATCAAATTTACCTGCTTGAATCGCCTTCGTCATCACAACTGCTCCAGTCTATGAAATCAAGAAGGTCGCGGTTTTCTTCTGTCTCTTCTTTCTTTTGGGAATCTCCGTTTTCTAAGATTTTCTCCTCGATTTGGGTTGAAGTCATGATATATCAGGGAATTTTTTATATATGTAAATGGAAGGAAAAGAATGATAGTCGATTCTTAATAAAATAGAATTTTGCCTCGTTGATTTGTTTTGAGCATTCTGAATACTTATAGGAAGAATGATAATAATTTTGATCTGAAAATTGATAATCATTTTTAAAAAGCTTGTTTGAGAGCTGAGGTATGCAATATTCTGAGAAGAAAAAAAAATTATCTGAGAGAGCTAGAGTTGAATATTTAACCAACTCTTGTTAAAGATAATGATTATAAAAGCATTTTAAATAATAAATAAAATATTTCGAGCTTTTGACAGTGAATTTTAGGATAATAATAGCTTTCAGAGAAGAAGAGATGCTAAATGAGAGCAATAAAATAAGAAACTCAGGTATCAGCAATTTTCAGAAGATTTATACAAGCAAATAAATTTGGGAAAGAATCAGATTAAGCTGTAAAGGATCAAACTTCTTTTGAACAGTATTGGCACTTAAAAATGATTAGCAAAATTGACGAAATGCTTAAATAGTTGATTTTCAGCTTATCAATAAATACTATCCTAAATAAAGCCCAAATATTCGGCCATAGAAATAAGCTTAAAGTATAAAGACTGATTATAAAATATATACTCAGATATACTATAAAATATTTCTTAATGATATTAGGCTTTATTGGGAAGAAATGATCTATTTTTAGATTTTATGGGTAAATTACTTGGATTTATTGTTTCTAATAAATTACTATCTGCTTTGCTATTTGCAAATTTTGATGCTCAAATCAAAAATTATTTTCCCTTTAAATAGCATAAATAGAGAAATTTATTAATAATTTTCGAAATAATTAATTTACTTTTCTTAATAAACTATCTTTTATAAAATAAAGCATGACAATAAAAGTAAGTAAATTAAAGTGACTTAGTGGAACCGCATTTATTTTAATAAAATTAAATGAGACGGTATACTGAGATATACAAATTGTGAATCCCGCCCAGACGTAAAAAATTATTAATGTATGGTATCAAAATTCCACATGTGGATCTATTCAAGTATGGAAATTCTGTATGCAGAAAAAATTTCCTCGAAACAGAGTGATAGATTTAATTTATTCTCAATTATAATTCTTTCCATCAATAGATATTATCCAATTATATATTCATTTGATTAGTTCTAATAATTTATACTTCTTTCTGTAGTATTCATTATCTTAATTTTATACAAATAATTCATCTCTGATATAATATATATTAATCATTGTAAGTTTTATTTTTTTATATGACTCAAGTCAGTATAAATGAACAATCCTAGAAGTCATTCTCGTTCAGGATCTCGAAACAACGAGCTCGGCCATAGTATGAAATCAAAATCCCAGCCCAATAAGGTTACTTTTGAATGCTCCGGCACTTCGTTTACTGTTGATTCCCATTACCAATTCATCAAACAAATTGGTCATGGAGCCTATGGTGTTGTCATAAGTGCCTTAGACCGTCGAACCAACACCAAAGTCGCAATTAAAAAAATCCCCAAAGCCTTCGAAGACCTAATTGACGCTAAACGAATCCTCCGAGAAATCAAGCTGCTCAGCTTTTTTGATCATGAGAACATTATTTCTCTACTCGACGTTCAAAGACCTCCAGCACGAACTGGTATATATAAAAATTTCTATAAGAATTTTTCTCATTATAAACTATTTCTTATATGAAAAAGTACTGCAAAATTTTATGTTTGCCCATCACGAACTGGCTATGACGATATTTATATTATTACAGATTTGATGGAAACCGACCTTCACCGTGTGATTTACTCAATGCAAGAACTCACTGATGAGCACATTCAATATTTCATGTACCAAGTATTAAGAGGCCTACTTTATATGCATTCTGGCGACGTCATTCACAGAGATCTGAAGCCCAGCAACTTATTATTGAATAAAAATTGTGATTTAAAGATATGTGATTTAGGCCTCGCAAGAGGCTATGATAATGAAAGAGACGATAATCTGACTGAATATGTCGTCACAAGGTGGTATCGTGCTCCAGAAGTTATTTTAAATGCAAGTCATTATACGAAAGCGCTTGATATATGAAGTGTTGGCTGTGTCTTTGCAGAACTGCTAGGAAGGTCGCCGCTGTTCCCTGGAGAAGATTACTTGGACCAAGTCCAAAGAATTATAGCTGTCTTAGGAATTCCTAGCCAAGAAGATATGGCATTTATAGGCAATGAGTCTGCAAAGAGGTTCATTAAAGGGCTACCAAAGAGGCAAAGAGTGCCATGGTCGACGCTATATGCAAAGGCAAATCCTATCGCATTGGATTTGCTTAACAAAATGCTCGTTTTTAACCCGAATAAAAGATTTACAGTCGAAGAATGCCTTGCGCATCCTTATTTTGAAGGTCTTCATAATGCTGAAGAGGAGCCAACAGCCCCGTCTCCATTTGACTGGTCGTTTGATGATTTTACTCCAACTAAGCCTTTATTGCAAAGTATGGTGTATGAGGAGTCTTTGAAGTTTCATCCTCTGTAGTTTTACAGGCTCTATATATAACTAAAGATTATTTTTTAATATTCCAGAAATTATCAATTTTATTTCAATTAAAATTTATATAAAAAATGACTTAAATAGGAAAAAAAAGAAATATTAGTTTCCAAAATATGAAAAAAAGGACAAGTTCAGATTTAAGAATTATTCCCAAACTGCATTATAAAGAAGATGAAAGCATTGCGAACTTGGTTTTTACTAGGTCATCAATGGCTGATTTTTCGAAAAATCAGCTACGATCTCCTCAACATATAAAATCAACACATATTAGTCCTAAAAGTATAAACCCAGATGAGATTAAAGAACTAATTAAACTAGACAAGGATAAAAATGCTCCTAAATTATCGTTTGGCTTACCTACAAGAGATGTCTCACATTTAAAAGACAAACTGAAATTTCCACCCCTAGATATACTTTTTTTATTGATATTTTTTTTTATTTAATTATTTATAAAATGTGAGCTATTTATATTTAAAAATATATGAAAATAATTCAAAATGTGCTGCCAGTTGAAATTGAGCATTTAGAAAAGGTTATAAAAAGCAGCGACCAATATGGCATTTCTAATTCGGTAAGCCCACAAGGACTTTTAAGTCCTCTTCAATGCCGAAGAGAGCCTTGTGTAGAAAGAACACTGCTTACTCATCAACAAGGAAAAGGAGGTGTAAAAAGTGAGCATGACTCAATAGAAATTGAAAGATATAATCTAGGAAACCCAACTGGAAGACAAGATATAGAAAATTTAAGAAAATGGCTACAGTGGATGAAGGAGGGTGCATGCGCTTTCCTTGACTTTTTGGTAGTGAGACATTTTCTTTGCGAATTGGGTCGAAGTTTTTTCCTCATCATCAGACATTTTGATCGAAATTTGATGGTTTTTCTAGTAAATGGCTCACTAGCAAAAAAAGTCCCAATCAAATAGCATTGAGCCGATGAAGGAGACTTATGTGCCTGATTTTGATTTTGAATTACTTGAAAATTCTGATAGTAAAACTGTAAAAAACACCAAATTGATTTATACCATGTGCTTTCGGGAAATTGCTAGACAAGTCTCAGTCCAGTGTATAGAAAGAGGGGAAACGTTACAAGAAATTTTTGAAATTTTTTCAAAAATTAATGACAGAAAAACCAAAAAATTAAAAAAAATAATAAATGAGGCGCAGCAGAATTTTAGCTGGAAAAGAGAAGAAATGAAAAATAATTATGAAAATATTATCAATAGAGATGAAAAAAAGATTGAAGAATTGCAAAAGCTGGTCGAAAAAAAGGCAAATTCAAAGAGAATGGTCAAAGAAAAAGCTGATTTTTATTTAAAACAATGAGAATTAGCAATGGAAAAGCTGAAGGAGGCTGAGGATTTTAGAAGAATTTATAGTAATTATTATCGAACTCTATATATACATAAAATGGCGTATGGCGACCTCCCGTCCTCCCAGTGACGGTAACCCGTGTATATCCAGGCATGGTTTTCGGAAGAAGCGACTTAGCCCAGCAATATCTGGACCCTGATGGTGACCAGGGAAGAACACAGACCCGTCTGATCGTGGCCAGATCCTAGGGCAGTTAGCAGCATCTCCTTTTTCCAGCAGCGCCCAAGCCAGTGGGTGCCCGACATGGAGCAGGGCGACTTACCTGCTCAAGCTGCTACTGTGGTCTGCCCCGAATCGCGGAAGCGATTGAGGATTTTATCAAGCGAATAAGCTGGTAAAAGGGGAGGCAGATTAGACGACTTAAAGGCGGTCTCTCCAGTTAAAAGGGTCCTTAAATGGACGATCTGGCCAACCGGAGACAAGACTGGCGTAACTCGGGGCGAAAGGCTGAGTTGGAAATGGTGATGCTCGGCAACGGTCGGCTGACGACCCAATAGGGCAATCACTACCGAGAAACCAGGGGTTTCGGCCTTGGCTCAGAGAACCAGTGATGGAAGTCCATCCTTTTCGCTCGTGCCAGCACGGCTCCTCACGGAGCGCGGAGGAATGTCACGCATGGAAGAAGGGACCTTAAATACATATCGTTAATTTATTAATTTATTATCGAACTCTGACTCCTAAAGCCATGAAAAAGAGCATAAGAAGGCAAAGGCTAAAAGAAAACATTAAAAAAAAATTTGAGAGCTCACAAGGAGAGTCAAAAGTCCCTGAAAACCAAGGAGCATTCAGCCAAGAAGTAAGCGTTCTATCAAATATATATGGATCTGAGCAGCTTTCTCCACAAAAGTCACTAATTGATTTAGAAGATGTCAAAGAAGAACCTCTATTAAAGCTTCAGGAAGAAGACTCAGAACATGAGGAAATAGAATGCGAAAAATGCACTCAGACAGAAGAGCCAGAAAATAATGAAGAAAATAAATGAATTGAAATAGAAATACAAACTGAAGAAATTAAGGAGGAAAATAAAGGGAATATTGAGGAAAAAGAAACACAGACTGATTATATAGAAATTGAAAACGAAGAAGAAAATGTGCAGGAAGCACAGATATCAATTATGGAGATTGAGGAAAAGGAGGAAGAGCCCAATACTGAAAAAGAAGAGTCGGAAAGCCTCCCAAGCAGAGTTGATACTATTGATTTTTCATTAAAAGAAGATTCAAAAATAGAAGAGCTGGAAGAAAAACAGAGTGAAGAACCAATAATGATTGAAGATAAATCTGTTTTAGAAACTAAAAATGAAAAAGAAAAGCCAATAAGGCTTACCCAGCCTAACAGACGAGAAATTAAAATCCCAAAAAACCAGAAGCCAAAAGAGAAAAAATCCTTATCAACTCAGCCTTCAGAAATACAATCCCCAATGCTAGAAAAAATAGTCCCAGATTCACAATTAATCCCTGAAAAGTCAAGAAGAATTATTGCATTAGACAAATTGATAGCTGAGAAAAAAGAAGCCGTAGAAGCTATTAATTTGCAAATAAAAAATAAAACCAAGTTGCTAGAAAAAATAAATGCAGAAATCGAAAATAAAGAAAAAAATGAAAATCAAGCAAAAATGACAGATAGACCACAGCGGCAGGCAACTGAAAAACAGAAATATTCAATTGAGGAGCCAAGTAAAATTCTTAAACTTAGACTTAATTACACTATGTCTTCGTCTCCTCCTTGCCTTGTCCGCCCAATGCTGAATGGGAAGGCTGTGGACTTCTAAGGTATGCTGCTTGGGTTGAACTAAGATTGTCTACACAATAATCCCAGAAAATAGAATTTCTGGCCAACTATTGGGAAAAGTCTGGAGCGTAATTCACAGTTTCACACAGAGACGTTGCCCGAATGGTCTAGGCATTGCTTATTTACGCTGGTGGCCATTCCTTTTCCAACTCTGAACCCGGATTTTTCCTTGAGGTAAAATCCAATCCTGAAAGCGGACTTGGGCTAGGCTTATAGAATTGCTTGCCTAGCATTGATGTCGATTTCTGGGTTAGCAAAGTCTTGACAGATATAAATAAAATGTACTCGAGGCTGCAATCCCCAGCCGAGACGTCATTTTATTTATATGCCAAGTAAAAGAGCATTAACAATGAGAGATGAAAGGAAGGTCCAAGACAGTGTCAAACCATTAAAGGAGCCAGATCCAATTCCGCCTTCTTTGAAATCAGCATCTCCTGAGGATTATAGATTTTTACCTTAAAATAGCCCACAAAAATAGCCTAATAATAGGCTATTTAAGATAAGTCACTATATATAATTGAGCCTGAATTAAAAATTTTGGTTCATGAAGGCGCGGATATTCCATCTTGGAAAGCTGGGTATTCTGTTGGCTATGAAAAAGGGAGACATGAGGGATTTTTAGAAGGCGAAAAGTTAGGAATTGAAGAAGGGATGTCTGCTAATTACCTTAATACCTCTTTTGCCAAAAAAATTGATAATAAATCTGACACTGGTGAAGAAGATTTCTGGGAAGACAGTAAAGTAGAAAGCAACTCAGGGGTGGTCAGCAAGCAAGAAAGCTGTATTTTAGATGGAGAAAGCGACATTGAAGGGCCTCTATCCGAAAAAAGAGAAAGCATTGATGGACTTTTGACTGGAAAAAGAGAAAATTATGATAATCTTGATGGACCTTTGACAGATAAAAGAGGTAATATTGATAAAGAACCGTTACTCCCCTTTAAAGCAGGTAAAACCAATGAAAAAAGCCCTATTTTGGGAAAATGAAGATTAAGGAAATTTTAACTTATAATTTTTTAAAATAAAATATCTTATAGATAATTAATACAATTATAATGGATCTCCAGCTAATCAGACAGCTTGCTATCTTAAACATAAATTTTATATTTTTCTTTGAAATAACGATTTTAAACCATATATTTTTTATATAAAAACAAGAATAAGCAGAAAAATCTTGCTTGCCCAAATAAAAAGAGCTAGAGACTAATATAAGTCTTGAAGAAAAGATTATAACTGCCCAAACCACTAGAGTAAAAACACGCAGTGGCTCTATCTCTGAAAATGAAGAAGAAGTCAAATATAAATTACCCCGAGATTTCAGTCCAAAAAAGCACGTTAAATCAAAAACAAAATTCAAAGAGTTCCATTTTTCAAAAAAATTATGGCAGCAATCAAAAAAGCCACATCCAGCGATAAATTTGCTTGAAAGATTTTTAGGGAAAAAAATAGATTGGATAAAGAAAAAAGCGACAATGAGCAAAAGAATGGTAAATCGTCTGACCATTGCAATTTGTACAACATGTGCTAACAAGTTTAAAGTAGGAGAAACTGTGGAAAGTTTAATATGCTTGACCTATGACGATTTTATCCAGAGATATGGGCTTAAGCAGGTTGCTGAAAAAAAAATGCTTGAGTTTATTGCTTCTTTATTTAGCTATTATTCAGAGAGTAAAAGGGCGATGATGTTTTTAAGATTTATTTAATAAAAAATAAATAATATATTTTTATTATAGGATTAATAAAAATGAACAATTAAAGAAATTATTATATTAATGCAAGTGAAAAAATAGGTGCTAAAACTTATTCAAAGCTCAGCTTTGAATTTTATGTACAAGCTCTTGATTTTATGCTTACGTCTAACGTAGGAGTTGTTATTGGGCTTGATGATACTGATGATAAAATTTTATTACCAACAGTCAGAGGGATAGAATTTATTAATAATCGCACTGAAAATAGGCTAGCTAAAGATGCTATGGCAAGACTCTGCATAAAGCTAGAAAAAATGTCAGTGCCTGATCCAAATAAAATTAATGTCAGCTTGATTGATATGGACAAAATGCTGGATTTAATTATAGAAACATATGAAGACTATCTATATAGAATAGATCAAGGACTTTACATCCTATCTCAAGCCATTAAATATGGTGAAGATAAAGACCATTTGCTTAAGAGCGAGTTTCAAATGCTAGTTAGAAATATTTCCCCTAATAAAGCTATATTAAAAAAAGATGAATTTTTAGATGAAGGAATAGAAGATATCCCTATTTGTAATAATAGAATTGATAGGCATGATTTTATTATATAAAAATTAATAATTATTGAAAAATAGGTATATTTGTTTTGATATCCAGTTTATTTATAATAAATGCTTAGAAAGAAACTTGTTCAGCATTGACGATATAAAAATGTTTTATAGGTTTAATAGTAATTTAACGCATGAACAAGTCAGGATGAAAATTGAAGAAACAAAAGAAAAAATCGAAAGGTCTTTGCAGAATTTAGCTGATGATGTAGACAGAAAAATAGTTACATTTGATAAAGCTACGTGGAGCGAGAAATTAAATGCATGTGAAAGAAATTACTTGCAAAGAGATCCTAATGAAACTTTATTAGCATGGAGCATTTATGAAATAGAGCTGAAAAAATTAGAAGAGATATATAAAAAGGTTTAAGTGACTATATATAAGAAAGCTGGATCCATGTATATGATACGCGCAATTTTTAAAGTGTTCATTTCATCGAGGTAAATTTGTTCGAAAATTTTTAAAATAGTGTGACATTTGGTGAAATTTAATGGATTTTCGGTCACATGTTCAAAAAATTTCAACCAATTTTCGACTCAATCTACTTACACTATCAAAAGTGCACGATCATTAGACCTGCACCCAAGAAAGCTATCAAGTAATTAATTAATGAATAAAAGCTTGGTTTTGGAATTTTTTAATTAAAATATAAGGAACTTATTTTTGGCCATTTTTTGCAGCACTCTGTAAGCATATTGGATTAGGACATCTACTTTTTCTATATAAATCATAACAAAACCACAGCCCACAGTTTTTACAAGAAATAGTTGGAATATTTATCTTTTTCAGTATGCTTGATTTTCGCTTCAAAAAATTCATAAACTCATTAAAACTAAACAACCCAAAAACTTCAAAATTTTTTATTTCTTCGCTGCATCGTCTACACGTCACCATTGTATCAAATCCTTCGCAAGTCTCAATCTCTTCTTTTAAGTACTTAACTAAGCAATCTTTACAATAAGAATGATCACAGCTAAGCCTAAATTCCTTTGAAACTGGATAAAAATTCATATCTATTGAGCATTGAAATTTATTTTCATCCTCATTTGTGTGTATTTCCATATCCCCTTGGTCTTTTAAAGGTAAATTTTCAGGGATAATTTCGCTGCAAAAATAGCAATTCACTTGGCCATTATCAAAATAATGAGTTTTACTATGATTAAAGCATTCTTGGCATATATAATGTCCGCATTTTGTGTTAATAATAAGTGTAGACTTGCATATGCTGCAATAGTCGATTATTTTTGGTGGAGGGTCAAAATTCTTGCTAGAAAGAAGTACTCCTATAAAAGAAAAAATTTCTAAAAACAATGCTGTTAATGCTCAAGAAAGCCCTGAAGATAAATACATAAACACCGTAATCGCCCACCAGGTTAGGAATAATTTTCGATTTTTTTGTGAAATTTTCATTTAAAAATATTTTAATAAATAATTTATGAATTATCTAGACTCTGACAATGCTCTTGAAAATGACCCAGTTCTTGTCAGTTTCGGCCTTGGTGATGTATCTCTATTGGAATTTGTAGGTGTTGATCTTCCGCTCATAGAGGCGAATTTTTGAAAGTCTTCGTAAGATGTATTTGTGCTCAGCCCATCCATTGTTCTCTCTCCCCCCCCCCCCATGAGTGAACAAAAAATTTTTGTTCACTCACGGACGGGGGTTTAATTTTTTTTTTTTTAAAAAAATTTATATATAAATTTTTTTATAAATTTTTTTTTTTCGAAATTTAAAAAAATCTCACTTCGATAAAAATTGGAAAGCAAATATTAATTTAATTTGTAAAATTTATGTTTTAAAACGCAATTTGTTTAAAATTAAACAGAATTAGCTCGAGACTTCATTATAATAATTATCACTTATATATCAAAATTTTGTTTGTTCACTCACGGAGGGCGGGTTTTTGTGCAAAAAATAGAGATTTTTCTAATGGTTTTGTTCACTCACGAAGGGGGGAGTTTAGAAATCAAAGTTTTGGGCCTTGGAGTTCTAAGTTTTTCGTTTTCTTTTTTCAAGCTTTCTTGCCGTTTAATTGCATGTGACAGCTCTTGTTGGGTTTCTCCATATTTTGACATGATAGAGTCTTTTTCGAGACCCCATTTAGCTCTTTCTTTTTCATGCTGTATGAATTGTTGGGCTTTTTGATTTTCTAGTTCTTTGCATTTCTTTTCGAGTTCTTTCGCTTTTTGTTTCCAATCTTCTTTTTCTTTTGCAATTTTTTCCAATGCTCCGTTAATTGAATTTTCTTTCATAAATCGTTCTTGGTCCATGTCTTGTTTAAGTTTTTTAATTGTATCTTGCGATTGCTGGAGTTTTCTTTCAAAGGAAACTACAGTGCATGACCTTTCCCGTTTTTCGTTTTCAAGCTCTTCTATCATTTCTTGTAGTTTTCTTTCGCTTTCTCTGTTTTTGTCTCTCATATCTTTAATAGTCTGCTCATACCGATTTTGTAGCTCTATCCCATTTTTAATGATTAATTTATTAATATTTTTCTATAAGCATTAACTCTCCCCATATGTGAGCATAAGACCATTTTTTTTTTAAAAAAACAATCACATAAAATTAATATAGAAATACCCCCTAAAAAATTTTTTTTTATAGGAGGGAAATAAGTGATATTCAATATACTATAAAACACAGCTTGTGAGCTATATTTTGACTCCATTGTGGAAAGCAAATTAGTAGTGCTGCTTTCTAATTTTTCTCTTTCCGCTGCACTTTTCTTCTTCAATTCGTCTACAATCAAATCGAATTTATCTTGTGCAGCAGCCAACTCTTTTCTTGCATGATCCCTTTGCTGTAGCAAAAAGTTGAATTTATTTTCCCACAAGCTTTTGTCACGGTCATATGCAGTTTGTCTTGCTTGGAGCTCGCGGTCTAGTTTAGAAATTTGCATTCTTAAGGACTCCACCTCTGGATTTGTAGCTTGGAATACAGGAGACACCTTTTCTGGGCTTTGAGAATGCGCTTTTACAGTCATAAGGGAGTCTTGATAGTATTTTTCAATTTCTGCTCGCTTTCTGTCTGAATGCTGTAGTTTTTCTTCTAAAACCGCAATTTCTTTTTCATAAAGCGCAATTTGTTTAGTGCTGCTTGAAGAAAGCTGTTTAAACGCTCTTTTCTTCTCGTCGAATTTTTTTTGTAAATTTTCATTATCCTTAGAAAGCCTCTGAGTGGTTGACTGAATAAGAGAATTTGTTTCTTCTTTTAGATTTTCTATGTTTTCTTTATGCTGCTTTTCAGATTCTTGAAGAGACTCTTCAAGCTCTGAAATTTTGCTGTGAAGTAAACTTATTTCGTTGTTAGCTAGGGCAAGTTCTCGCTTAGATTTTGAGGACTGTTTTGAAGATTAGTTTTGGATACATTATAATGGAGGTGGAGAGCAAAGTCGACCAATTAACACCTGTAGCTGGGATGTCGGATTAGGCAGATCGCAGCTCAACAGATTAAGGTTTTACTTTTGGGGATATGGATGCTGGTGTCGGAAATGGAAAGCCTAGTAGAATCCTTAGGACTAATCCGATAATTTCCTAGTGCGATACTGGAGTTACGCCCTGGGCAACGAGTTCCATTTTGGTCAACATCTTGGCCAGAAAATTCGTTTTTTCGCGGTGACCAGCCCCACTACACTCCAGCTATAAGCCTGTTTATTGAGAGCATAGCTGATAGGCAGATAAACACTCATTCGAGGTATCACAGGTAGCTTTTCTATAATCCTAACTTTAATACAAAGATTCGTTTTGAAGGGCTTCAAATTTCTCCTTAAGAGTCGAAATTTGTTCTATCAATTCTTTTTTTTCTTTATTATATTTTTCATATAAATCGTCGAAATCTTTAGATTTCGACTCATAAAGATTTTCATATTTATCTTTTTCATTTCTGAATGCAAGAAGTTCTCTTTCCTTTTCAGAATTTTCAGCTGCAATTTTGTCGATTTTTTCTTGTAAAATTGCTTTTTGCTTGTTAAAACTGTCTAAATTAGTTTCTAACGACGAGCTATGAGCAGAATGGCTATCACTTAGTTGTTGCTTCAAATTTGCGGCATATTTTTCCAAGCTTTCATATTTCTGAGCATCAAGCTCAATTCTTTCATTTAATTTCATGATTTCAGCATTATAAGAAATCTCAAACTCTTTAAATTCTTCTTGAAAAGCATCAATTTCTTCATCACGGATCGCAATTTCATGCTCTATTCTTTTCTCACAGTCTTCAGTAATTTCTTCAATTTGCCTTGCCGCTTTAGATTTTTCTTGCTGAATTCTTTGCTCTAGCCTATTTTTTTCTTGGTCATAAAAAGTTTTTAATTGAAGTAGAGCGTATTCATTTTGTGACTTAATTTCGTCAATTTCGTCTGTATGTGTTTTTCTTAATTCTTCTATTTCTCTTTCATAATCAATTAAACTTGCTCCACTGCGCGGTTCCTCAATAGTAATTTTTGCTGACAATTCTTTTTGCAGCCTATTTTTTTCTGAAATTGCTTCTTCAAGCTGCTCATTTAGTTGCTTTTCTTTGTGCAGCCATTCATTTTTTTCCATTTTCATTTTGGTTTCTAGCCCACTTTTGGTATCTAATAAATCTTCAATTCTTGATAATAATTTTGATTTTTGGACTTCATAGTCTTTCTGGATCCGGGATATTTCTTCAGATTGTTCTGCCCTTATTTTCTGTATGCTTGCTTCTGAATCTACTTGTGGGCCTTTTAGAGTTTCTAATGCAGATATCATGACTTCATGATGCCTATGGGATTCCTCGATTTTTAATTTATATTCTTCTATTTCCTGCTCTAAAAATTCAATTTTCTGCACTAAAATGGCGTTATCCTGAGCCCACTGGGTCATATCATTTCTTTGTGAGTCTTCAAAAGCTTTTAATTTTTTTTCTGATTCGTCAAGTCTTGCTCGAAGCTTCATAATAGTATCATTGCTTTCTTTTTTTATATTTTCGATCAGCTTTATATAAGAGTCTTCTTTATTTTTCATTTCTTTTGTGAGGGCTTCAAGCTTGGGTTGGAGATCTGAATTTTGTTTTTGCCTCAAACTGTCGTCTTGTAGCTTAAATTGGAGTTCTTCAATTATTCCTTCCTTTACTTCGATTTCTGACTCTAATTCAACGACTTCTTTGGTTTTTTCGTCGAGTTTTTCTTGCAGAGCGTTACTTTGTGCCTCATATTTAGACTGCAAAGACTTAATAGCTTGCAAATGGTCGTTTCTAGTTTCCTTAAATTTTTCAGATGAGCTTTTGTCTTTTTGTTTATAATCCTCTACAGCATTTTCTAAAAATTTTATTTTTTGTTCAAAAATGGCTTTTTCTTCTTCGTATTCTGATTCTTTTCTTTCGAACACATAAAACTGGCGTGGTGAACCGACTTGCTCTTTTAAAATTAGCCATAAAAGAGTCTGGGGACCTTGTGAAAGAAAGAGCAGTGTGCAGTAAGAGAGTGTCCAGCCGGTTTTAATGGTCTAATGAAGCGCAATGTCAGACTGAAAACTACAGACTCACATCTAAGGATAGGCTTTGCCTCGAGGGGAAGATGGAACTTGGAAGCTGGAATGGGATAGCCTAGCAATGCCAGAGGATGTTCGCTTGGCCAATCGGGCAATTTCCTAGTGCGATGCCAGGAGTTTAGTCCTGGATTACAAGTTTCATCAGGCTGAACAGAAAATTCACTTTTTGAAATTTCCGAAAGGGTAACCCGTTGACGTACGGCACAGTGGTCAAGCATCTTTATCTCCGGGTTACAAGTTCAAGCCCTCATTCGAAAGAAGTAGCACATGCCTTTAGGTCTTGGAATCGTGCTGGCAAACAAGAGAATGGAGCGAAGCAAGTGGCATGAAAAGCCGGCATGACTAGCTACTCTATAATAATTTTAAGTTAACATTCTTTTCTTTCATGCTCCTTATCATGCTCTCTTAATAAATCACTGATTTCTGCAATTTTTGCTTTTGTTTTTTCTTCTTCTTTTTGTGTGACTGACCTTAAATTCGACCGTAATTCTTTTAGCTCATTTTCCATTCTTTCTTTTTCATAAATTAATCCATAAACTTGTTCTCTTAAACTTTTTTCTTTGACTAAAAGTTCTGATTTTTCTGTTAATAATACACAAGTGGCTTTTTGGGATTCTGATTTTTCATTAATAAGCTGATCTTTAACGCTTCTGAGGTCGTTTTCTAAATTTGTGATTTTTTCTGTGGATACTGTTTGCTGTATTTCCATAGAGTTTGTGACTTGTTTTATGAATTTTTCTGTAGCTTTGGCGTATTTATCTTTGCAGAATTCTAAAAAACATTCTTTGGATCCTGGGCCTTGGGGACATTGTTCTGAGTATTGATTTTCAAGCTCTTTGATGGCTTTGTCAAATTCAGAAAAATTATTATACTGCAATAATTATTATTTACTATTATCAGCACCAATATTTTAATATTTAATTCAATATATTTCAGCATAATTTCTCCACTTTTTATCTTGGTTTCAATTTCTATATATTTTTCCTTTAAAAACGCCACAGCTTCTTTTTTGGCCTGATTCGCATTTTCACTTTTAATAGCCATATATCTTTTTGCTATATAATCAGTCAATTCATTAAGACTTCTCGTCTTTTCATCGCCTACACATTGCTTATGATAATGATCCACAGCAGCACTTTTTCCTTCTTTATGCAGCGCCTTAATCTGCTCTTCCATAACTGGCAACTTCCTGCTGGCACTACCCAAAATTCTTTCATAAGTCTGTGCAGCATCTTCAAACGCCCTTTTATTCTGCGCCTTGCATATATAATTCCACGCATTCTCAATATTCGGCACACATCCAGAATTCATTGAATCTATATAAGACTGCATAAACACCAGCAGCATTTCTCCAGACAGCTGTTTCCCATTCAGCATTTTTGGCTTTACTTTGGCAAAAACCTTATTCCTCAGCTCAGAAATTTGTTCAACAAATTCTGGTCTAAGCTGATCAGGGTTCATATCATCAAGCCTCTGCAGATCCTCCTCCCTCTCTGTTGGCCTCACTAGTGTTGCACAATCAATATCTCTAAAAAAATGCGTCAATAGTTTCCTTATCCTATTTTTTTCTTCAATCATATCCGAAATCCCTTTTTGTAGCTTCAGGGCATTTTCTAAATACTCCCTAGAAGAAATTGGTCTGCCTTCTGAGTCAATTAGTCTCAATGTAAAATCTCTTACAACTCATAGAAAAGAAGGGAAATATTTCGCATAGGCTTCAGAGTCAAGGATTTCGCCTTGGGCTTGAGAACTTCTGATGTGGATTTGTTTAGTTATATTGACGACCAAGCTTAAGTTTTGAATGGCGTTTTCATCAATTGAGCCAATGGAGTTGTAAATGAAATAAGAGCTTAAAAGAATGGCAAGGGAGAAAATACGAGTGTCATGGTTGGAGTCTTCTTCAATAGAGCCTATGCCTTCTGAGTCAATTATGACAATTGTGCAGGGCTTGCCATCTTTTGTTGTTCCTGGGATAGGAGTTCCCCAAACCCATAAGCCACGCGTGCATGGATTTATGGTTGGTCCTACCCCAAACCCACGCTTTCTGTTCAGAAGAACTCTGTTAAGTAAATATGATTTGCCAGTGCGGTACATTCCTGCTACGGAAATAACACAGATAGGGCTGTCTAAGCTTTTTAAAAAGTCAATTGCGTCTGGATCTATTATGAATTCTCGAGTATCGTTGTTGATTGTAATAAGAGGTAGTGGGCGATCAACATAGGAGAATGAGTGCTTATTTTCAGCTTTCATAGTTTGCATTTCAAATTTAATTATTCGTTCATATTTTAAGTTTGTTGAAACGTTTTGAGAATAGACTGTATTTATAAAGAGAGCTAAGGGGAAATAGTTTTTAAGGGGAATAAAAACAGTATAAAAAGATATAGAATATATTGAAAAAAAATAAAGATAATTATTATTAGTGGAGTAGGCAGATATAGAATAGTGAGGAATTTATTATAAAAATTGAAAATTTATTTAGATGATAAATCTAGAAACATTTTTAGTTTAAAAATCATCTTAAAAAATTGAAAAATTAAATATATTTTCCGTACAATGCTGTTATCCTTTATTTAACTCTTTTTATCTTCTCTCATTTCTCTATTGTAAGCAATTTGGTTAAAGATATAATAATTGGTAGCCAATAAGAATAATTTAAGAATAATCTTTCCAAATCATTCTTTAAGGATTAATAAATGGTGTTTACAAGAGGATCTAACTTAGTCGGCCCTGAGAACAGAGACGAGAGAGGCGCATACGAAGAACTCGAAGACAGAGTGAAAAAATATATGAAAATGCCTGACGATGAATGGAAAGAGCTTTATGATAGAATGTATCACGATAGAAAATACCCAGGCCAAAACCATTTCAAACTAGCCTTAGTTTCCTCAATTGGTTATGTTGGGTTTGCAGCAACCTTCTCATACACTCTCTATCTCAGAAGACACGCTTTCTTCAAGTATCCAATGAACCCTGTGATGCTAATTGCTATTCCTATATTCGGCATGCTCTCCCTGAGAAACTTTGACGTTGCAATGGACATCATAAAGTATAGAAAAAGATACCCTGAAATGTACCAGGGTTAATAATAAAGGGTTGCCATAAAAAATTAAGGTAATTTAAAGCATTATTATAGAAAAATTACTGTAATTTACCTTTTGGGAGCCAATAATAAAGCTAATCTTGGCTTTTAAAAAATTATTTAAGTGAATAAAAAGAATTTTTAATTCTTTTAACAATGGAACTATACGAATTCCTTATGAATTGTGAACAGAATTTATAAAGAATTTATTATGAAAACTCATAGGAAAAAATATACATAATTGGGCATTTGTAGCAGCAGCTTATTCTTCCTTCACTCTCAAAAACTGGAAGCGGAATTTCAAGGTTGGTTTGGCTCTCAGAGTCTTTCAAGTTTTTCTCTTTTTCGATTAAATTAATAGACGTAAAATTGGTGTTGCCTGTATTTACAACAACTGAACGTTGCAGGTCTTTCATTAAATCTGCAGCTTTCCAAGTGTCGTTGCTTTCTATTGAATCTTCAAGCTCCTGCTTAGATATTTTATTTTGTGTGGCATTTTTCATTAAAGCAATGTCAAAAGCCATTTTCATGTTTGCGAGTCTTTCCTTTGTTAATATTGCTTCATCCACGATTTGGTTAATATTTTTATTAAGACTGGCAATGCTATTTTTGTAATTCAAAATTTCAGATATTTTTCTGACGTTTTTCTTACCCCCTTCCCTCTGTGAAATGAACGAAAAAATTTTGTTCACTCACGGAGGTGGGTTAATTTTTTTTTTAAAAAAAATTTATATATCAAATTTTTTTTCTATAAAACAATTTTTCTATTAAAAAAATTTTTTGTTCACCCACGGAGGGGTTTTTGGACAAAAAATAGGGATTTTTCCAATGGTTTTGTTCACTCACGAGGGGGAGAGTTAGCATTGCCTGAGCCAGCACGTTTGAGCTCTCTGATTTTTGCTCCAATAGATTTACTTAATGACCTGTTTTCTCTTTTAATTTTTTCAACTGTATCTAATGATATTGATTTTTCAGTATCATTTTGTAGCAATGTTTTTATTGTAGACTTGTATATATGTGAGCTATCCTCAGCTATTGGGTCTTCAATATCAATATCTGACTCAAGAACTGAAATTTCAAGCTGTTTTTTGTTTTCCTGAAAATGGTCTAAGTTTATAGGCTCACTCATTTTGAGATTTGAGAGTTCTCCACTGTCTGACCCTCCGCTTGAAATATCTTGACTTTCACTTCAACTGCTTTCAGAGCTTTTAAAAGACTCATTTAATTTGTTTTCAATGTCGGATATTCTTCTGGTTTTCATATAAATTTCTAAATTTTGTTATCAGTATAATATTAATATTTTAATGAAATTCAGAGCAATTTGCCTTAATCTCCCTATGTAGAAAAGCACCTGTTTTTGGCAAAAGCTCGCCTCCGTGAGCCAAAATAATTAATTGATATATATAATAAATTAAATTTTTCTTTCCAAATATCTTGGGATCGGGCTTTTTTAATTTTCAGAAAAACTAATTGTAATAGATTATATATTATATTAATCTTTGAGCGCTGCTGACACAGCACTTCTCTCTTTTTATCTCATCAATATTTTTGATATTTTTTCCACTTCTTCAAATTCTCCAATATGCGTCTCTTTCATTCAGCTAGCAAACTTTTGCTTATATAAAATAATTTTATTTCACCATAAAAATAGTTTTTCAATTACTCCTTCTAACACCCCACATTTCTGTAGATCCATCAAGAGTCCTACCCTTTCTGCATCATATATATAGCAGCCATTCAATAGGTGAGTTTATCTTCCTTTATTTAGCTACACATTTGCATTTACTATTTTGCTTAATCCCCTCCACAAATGAGCAAATAAATTTTGTTCTCATGAATGGGGGTAATTTTTTTTAAAAAAAAAATTATATATAAACTTTCTAGTATTTTTTTTTTAAAAAGAACAAATTAGAATGAAAAACTAATATAATTTTAATTTGTAAAATTTATGTCTTAAAATGCATTTTAGCAAGAGATTTATTTTAATAACTATCACTTATATATAAAAATATTTTTTTATAAAAAATTTTTGTTTGCTCACTGGGTTTTGGGCAAAAAATAGAGATTTTTCCAATAGTTTTGTCACGGAGGGAGGAGTTAAAATGCCTCAGATTTTGAAAATGTGCTGTTGTGTCAAACCAGCCCCTAGCCTTAAATGTTAAATCAAATTAGCAACCCTCTAGCTAGCAAGCAAAATTTTTGTTCGTTCACTAAGGGGAAAATTAAAATAATCTCCTTCTTTCCTTAAGTCAAAAATATTATCAAAATTATTAATTCTCGATTAAATTTCTTATCCTTAAAAACTCCAAAATTCTCATTTAATTCTCAATTAATTTAACCCTTTAGTCAAGTTTCCACGCCATTTTCATCAGCTGGACAAAGTGGTCATCATTGTCAATAGATGAGCTGACAGCTGCATAATATTCATCCCACTCATCTTTCGTGATTCTTCCATCTCTGTTTCTATCGTTAAAGCTGCTCAAGAATTCTGCAAATGCTTGATCCTCTGTCATCTGTCCTCTCTGTACTTTAGGGTGGTACCGACAGTTGTAGACTCCTCTCAAATCATTAGCATCAATGTAACCGTTTCCATCTCGATCGAATTTTAAGAAGGCTTTGTCAACGAGGGCTTGTCTTCTTGCACTAGGTCTTCCTCTGATACCGACTAAGAACTCATCAAAGCTGATTGTTCCGTCTCCGTCTTTGTCAAAGTATTGAAATAGGATTTGCATAGGATTTTTGTAAAATTTAATTCAATTATATATAAATTATTATTTATTTTTTAGAAAAATAATAGATACAGGCCATTTTAGTACCTATTATATTTATTTATATAAAAGATAACTCTTGAGGATTAAGATTGACTCCATTTTCTCTTAAACCGACTGAAAACTCTTGAGGGTCTACTTTTTTGTTCCCATCAAAGGAGTCAAGAGCTCTAAAGGTGCGTCCTAAGGCACGGACTGTTCTGCCTCCTCTCTTTTCTAGCTGCTGTCTGACATTTGCTAGAACTTCTACTATACCACGTGGTTGGCTGCTCATTAAATATTAATTATTATAATCCTATTAATCTTTACATGATATTACACCTTTCACAGGCGACTGACCTGGTCTCTTTTTCAATACTTAATTCATAATTTGACACATTTCTCTTATGTGGGGCTTTTATATTAGAGTCTTGCTTTAGCTTGGCAAGAATTCTATGCCTATGTCCTAGCTTATCGATTTTTATATCATTTTTTAGCGTTTCGTCTGTAATAGGATAATTGGAAGACATCAGAAGCATTAAGTGGTCAATGTCGTCATATCCGCTGTCATGGAATTTCTTGAGAAGCTGTGACAAATTGATAGATTCAAGCCATATATTTTTATTTATAATAAATAAGGATTTCTTAGGAAATAATAATAGGATTTTTATATTTATATAAATAGGCATATCAAGGCTTGGATACACATTGATTCCTGGGTTAAAATTCGGAGCTGCACAACACCCAAAAGCTGACGACGAAGAAGCTGCTGTCACAGATTTTCGTCGTTTAGGGTTAGACTCTTCTTCAAGCAATGCTAACAGAATTGTCCTATGTCCTGGCTTATTTATCCCAATACTCCTCAACATCTCAGTCGTTATTGGGTCATTTGATTTCATCTGTTCCACCAAAAAATCTAAATCATCATACCCACTATGAAACAGCGGCCCAAACAGAAATTCCAGCCTCGCATTAGAAAGTCATCGGAAAAGCGAATTTTTACTCATATCTTTTCCAAAGGAAAAATTTCTTGCTGACTGGTTTACGTGGATTCCACTAATTGTACTTGATCTTTCACATTCAGGCTCAAGCACTGATTCAGGCCTAGATATGTTGCCTTCTTCAAAGACAGGGGTGTCTTTGGCAAATGGAGGGGAATCAATGTCTTGTAGAGTGCAAACTCTGATTTCTTCTATAGGCTCTAAAGAAAAAGTCTCCCTTTGAGGGTACAGCATTTTATCAGCAGGGCTTGGGTTCTCTTGTGGTTCTGGCGAGCTATTTTCTTCCTTTTTTACCTCTTCTACCTGAACTATTTCAATTAGAGAGTTCCCTTCATTATCTGAATAATTTAAATCAGGCAAATCTTGTAGAGGGTCATTTAAAAGCCTGATGATTTCTTCATTACTTGTATAAGCAGAGGGTAGTTTACTTGAGAAATCCATAATAGTCGAGGATGCGTTATAGCTTAATAAAGCTTGGACCACTGAAAGAACCCCACTTTCAGCCCCACAGTGAAGAGCTGTTTTCCCCATTGAGAAATTAAAAGTGTTTGGGTTGGCTTGGTGCTTTAATAAAAGCCGAACCATGTTGATATGTCCTTTTAAGGATGCATAATGCAATGGAGTATCCCCGTCATCTTGTTGGGCATTGGGGTCTGCTTTGTATTTTAGCAGAATTTGAGCAATTTTTATTTGATTATTGCTGGCGGCTTGGTGGAGGGGCGTGTCGCCTGCTCGGCTCTTTATGTTGGAATCTGCGCCTAATTTCAATAAGCAAATGGTAGCATCATAGTGACCACAGATTACAGTGCGGTAGAGAGGAGGCCAGCCTAGCTTGTCGTCAAGCTCGTTGATTAATTCTGGAGATTTGGTGAGGATCTTTGTGAGGAGCTCGCAATCTCCAAGTCGGCAAGCTTTTTGAATTTGTTCATAGTCTGTCATTTAATATGGGATTATAAAGTAAATTTGGGAATAATCAGCAAGAGTAACATTATATGCTATAAATATAATTTCAACAAGAAATCAATATCAAGCAGTTTTAGATTAATATTTATGATACTTTTTGGGCAAGTTCTTATAGTGATTATAATTAGTGGAATCTGAGATTTTACAAAGGTTAAATATTTTATTTCGTGATATTCAAGTAAGATAAGACAAAGTGTATCTGCATTCTGGAAATTTTGAATTTAATCTTAGGTTAAAACCAAAATGACAATTAATTGAGACTTTCTTAATAGATGCTTATTTAGATAATTTATTTTGGCAATTATTCTGAATTTTAATCATTTAATTTTCCTCAAAAGAGTATAGAGGTTTCCTCTATATAGCGCTAAAAGCGCAGACATTTTCCCAGGAGCTTTCCAAGTTCGTCGGACCAAATCGCTTTTTGGTCCGACCAAGGCATTGATTTGGTGCAACCTACCGATAAATTCCGATCAGAATTTATCGGCCTTACAGCGCCAAACATAGGAAACTTCTATATCGGACTATTTACAAAATATGCCTATAAATTATTTAATCGTTTCTTTAAACACAGATCACATCACCATACTTAAATATTAATATTTAATGGCGTTATTATCTCTATGCATCATTTTTAATTGGATTTGGCTTGCCCATCTGCATGCAGATCAGCTTAATCATAGTTCGCGTCATTATATCCATATCAAATTTGTGTTTCCAATTCCAATCTCTTCTAGCAAGAGAGTCATCAATGCTCATAGGCCAGGAATCAGCATATGCTTGACGGTGGTCTGACTTATAAGTCACAGTTCCTGGAATATACTTTAATATACACGATGCTAACTGTTCAGGGGTAAAGCTGATTGCACCAAGATTATATACTCTTCTAGTTAAGGTCTCTTCAGGGGCGTCTAATAAATCGCACTAAATAGATCTCACTGTTCCTTCAATAAGGTCATCAATATACATCATAGGGAGCTCGGTGCCTTTTGATAGAAAACATTCGTATTTTTGATTTTTTAATAGTTCAAAATATATCTTTTTTATTTTTATAAGGAAATTATTTTTAATTAAATAAAAAAATGCATATTAAATAGAAAAAGTATAGATTTCGACTGCATAATCAGTTGTGCCACCACCAGGAGGGTCTGAAGATATAGCTCCTGGGTATCTTAAAGACCTGAAATTCACCCCAAATTTCTTATGATAATAATTCCCCATCAGCTCCATGTACACTTTTGAGATCCCATATGCCGTTGTAGGCTGGACTACACAGTCATCAGGAGTCCTCACTCTTGGAGAAGTAGGTCCAAATACAGCGATTGAGCTAGGGACATAAATTGCTGTATTGTTAATTCTTGCAGCTTCTAAAGCATTATTTAGACCTAGAATATTTACATCTATGGATTTTTGAAGCTGCAGCTCAGCTTTTGCAGATAAATAAGCTGCCAAATGCAAAATATGGTCAGAAATTTTAAAATTCCTATGGATATTTATTCGATTTTTTTTCAGTCAATAATCTAGGATAATTTGGACTGCCTCCTAGAAGACACATCAATTTTAATCCAGGATAGACCCTTATTTATCATAGAAAATTATGGAACCAAAATATCAGTTGCCTCACTGGTTTCGACAGCTTTGATGAATGCTTCTTTATTGACCACATCAAGAGGAATAAAGGGTGGTTGTGACTCTACATCGAATTTTGTTTGGTTAACGTCTGAGACTACGACACAGTTAGGCCCATATCTGGTAAATAGATAAGGGATGAGCTTCTTTCCTATCTGTCCTGAGGCTCCAGTTATGAAGAATTTTCTTGATGAAAAATTCCTGGAGATCCTAGAGAACATTTATATGATTTAATTTAAAAATGGATTAACGACATTAAATTAATTAAACATTGAATGGGAAGGCTTAGAATTTATTTAACTATTATATAAGTGCTTGTGCAATCAATTTAGAGAAAATTTTATTTAAATAAATATCGGTCTTTTATTGATCATTAACTTAATAGCCTTTAAACAAATTATAAGCTCATAAATAGAAAAAATACAGTAAATAACATGAAATAAATATATTGGAATTACGAATACGGAGCTGGTTTTTTATAATTATTAAAACTCAAATACTTTTTGTATATCCCCGTAAACAGCTTTCTCAATTGTATCAAGATCGTCTTCTGAAAATTTCATGTTAAAATTGGCAGACGAAAGCTCTTCCTCAGTCATGATGAGATTGCTTTTATATCTATTTACTCTAGTTTGTAGGATTTGGCAATTTTTTGACGAGGTTTTGCCACCTCGCGAATAAGGATAAATGTGGTCATACTCATGACATAGAGGACCTAACCCTCCTCCGTGAGCGAACAAAACCATGGGAAAATTTCTATTATCGATAAAAATCCCACCCTCCGCAAGCGAACAAAATGTTTTTAATATAAAAATTTTTTATGAAAAAATATTTGATATATAATTGATAATTAATATAATGAAATCTCTAGCTAATTCTGTTTTATTTTAAAAAGCTTTCATTTTTAAAACATAAATATTACAAATTAAATTAATATTTGCTTTAAAGAGTTAGGATATTTTAATTTTTAAAAACAAAAGCTTTACTATATAATTTTTTTAAAAAAACAATTAACCCTCTCCGTGAGCGAACAAACATATTTGTTCGCTCACATTGGATGAGTAAGCAGCCTCTAAGAGCATTGCAGACTAAATTGCCAAGTGGATCATATCGCCATCGGTCTGGATGCCTCCCTTCAACCATTCTTGCTTTAGACCAGCACTTTTGTTTTTGTTTTATAGTAAAAGATCTTTTAGCGTACTTTTTCTCTTTATCAGGTTTATTCATATTAAATTCATATAGAATTTTCTATCAATCTAATATTCGAAATTTAATAGAAGAATGGATCAATTAAGTGCTAATAATTTTCATGATTATTTTTAGTGGATATTTATTATTATTTATTTTGAAGAATAATATTTACTCTTCAGGCACAGAAAATCCTATTTTTTAATGAAAAATAGTTACCTTTATAGTCGAATAAAATAATTATTTGAGTATAATAAAGTCTGATTTTATTAAATTTTAGGCAGTTCCATTTCTAAAGCATAAACCTATAAATTAAAATATTTATTTTCAAATACTTGAAACTACTAAAAAATTGAGTGAACAATAAAATTATTAGCTAGGGAAAAAATAGAAAATAAATTCAATAATAAATTAAGTGTTTTTGTAGCCCTATACTATTCTGATTGTAAAAATGTCTTTAGATCGCAACGAAATCAAAAAATACAAAGAATCAATCCCATTTCAAGTCCGCAAAGCCTCATATGACAAAATGATGCAAGATAACCCAGGCAAGTATCCAGCTGTTTTATTAAAAGGGAATAATTGCAAATACAATATTCCTCTTCACAAGTAATTCATATTCAGGTTCGCGCTAGAAGGCTCAATGACAATGGGCACTTATCTCTATACAGTTCGGAGATATTTCAAGCTTTCTTCAAAACAAGGTGTTTATCTTTACCTTTGTGACACTCTGCCAATGCTCAATGCAAAGATCTCTGAGCTGCATCAACGGTGTGCTGATGAAGACGGGTGCCTTTATTTTGTCCTGACTCATCAAGAAGATAAAGGCTAGTCCTCGCTACTTGTTTAAAAAATTATAGATTTAGCTAATTCTTAGTTAATCATATCTTGAGTCCGTATCAAAAAGTGCCTGCATAACTTTTACCGTTTTGAATTTAGGGTTATTAGTCAGCCTTCTCCCCAAAGAAATTGATTTTCCCAGCAGCATCCCTGGGTCAGGCGGGTTAGGAATATTCGCCACGATGCTATTGAAAACATGCTCAAAAATATGTGCTAAATTATTTTCATCCAAAGCGCTTATCTCGAAATACTCCATCCCATACTTTCTTGCAAGGCTCATTGCTTCAGTTTTGCTGACTACATTGATATTGTTTTTTGTGGCAATGTCAAATTTATTCCCTAGTAAAACTTTGGTAAGAATTTCCACTTTTTCGCATTCCTTGATCCATCTTTCAATTCGGTCAAATGAAGCTCGTTTAGTAACTGCTTAGAAAATACGGTCAAAAACAAATAAAGCTGCTGTAGAGCCAGCACAGTAGCGACTTGTGACAGGGAGATAGCGCTCACTGCCAGGCAAGTCTCAGTAGTTTAAGCGATAAAAGGTAGTTTCATCGACAAAAATGACGGATTTGAAATGCATTTCTTCGACGACCTCGTTTTCTAAAACTCGGCCATATGTTTGGGTGAGGGCTAAATGGAGGTTACCATCGAGAAGGGTGGTTTTGCCGACACCGTTGTCGCCAACTAGAACGATTTTAAAGCGAAAATGATAGTCTTCTGCTTCCATATTTTGATTTTTATTAGAGTGAAACTTATTTGATTATTTATAAATGTTATTTTTTTTATAATGTAAATAATTGTCAATTATTTTACCTATTTTTATCCATCTTATAAATATTTAAGCTTTTCCATATTTTCTCAGTCATATCTTAGGCTTCATAAGTGAGGCTTTTAAATATATTTTATTCACAGTCACTTAATTTATCATTAAAACAAAGATAAATAGCTGATCTTTCAGTGACATTTATAATATCATGCCACTCAAAAAAGCTGTTCACGAAGAGTCTAAGACTACTAAATCTTCAGAAAATGAAAGTCCAGGCAACCCTTCTAATACTCAAAAGCTTAAAAAACCTCCTTCTGCCTATATTCTTTTTACAAAGGATAAACGAGCTGAAGTAAAAACAGCGAACCCACAGATAAAGAATAAAGATATATTGTCAGAGCTTGGGAAGATGTGGAATGCTGCAACTGAAGAAGTTAAAGCTCAATACAGTAGACTTGCAGAAGCTGAAAAGGAAAAATACCAAAAACTTCTGGCTGAGCTAGGTGAAGATACCAAGCCGGGGAAAAGAAAAGATGCGTCTGATAGTGATAATGACAATAAAAAGAGAAAAGCAACAAACCAGAAGGCAAAATGTAAAAGTAACTAATAATAATCTTTTGATTTTTACTAATTTTTTTGAATATACCTTATTTTATTTATAAAGATTAAATTTTATATATTAGAAAAAAATATTTTTTTAATATAAAATGGATATAAAAAAATCACCCTATTTAATCTAAAAAATTAAACCTAAAAATAAACCCAATAAATTATTTGTTAAAGAATAGTTGCCACATCCTCAGGCATTTCCTCTATCTGGGTTGAATAATGCTGCTCCAAATCCCTCAAGAACTGCGCGTCTTGTTCTGTCACAAAGTTGATAGCAACTCCTTTTCTCCCGAATCTCCCGCTTCTTCCAATTCTATGCAAGTAATTTTCATAGTTCGTTGGCATATCATAATTAATTACGAGCGACACCTGCTGTACATCAATTCCTCTTGCCAAAAGGTCAGTCGTGATTAGCACTCTGCTAGATCCGCTTCTGAACTCTCTCATAATCAGTTCTCTTTGAGTCTGCTCCATTTCTCCATGCATGAAACTAACAACAAAGTCTTTTTCCGTCATTTGTTGGGCTAAGGTTTCGACTTTTTTTCTGGTATTGCAGTAGATGATGGCTTGGGAGGGAAAATTAAAAAAAATTATTTTTCTATAAATCTAAAAAAAATAATTTTAAGCTAAATAAAACACCTTTTTAAAAAAAAAATTACTGTAATTTACCACACAGCTATTTTTTTATGTCTCCCCTGCTTGGGTGATATCCAAATTTTCATACAAATCAGATAAAGTTGGGAATTTCCACTCTTCTTTTTCAATAGGAATATAATACTGCTTGATACCTTCTAAGGTCAGCTCGTCCTTCTTTACCAGAATTCTTATAGGATTTCTCATGAAGTCTTCAGTCAGCTTAAGGATGTCTGGGGCCATTGTGGCTGAGAACAAACAGCATTGGATGTTCCCTGGCAGATGTCTGAAGATCTCTTGGATTTGTTCTTTGAAGCCTCTGGACAGCATTTCGTCGGCCTCATCAAGGATGAAGACTCTTAAGTGCTGGGCTGAAAGGTGGTTCCTGCTGAGCATGTCAAAAACACGGCCTGGAGTTCCGACCACAACGTGAACTCCGCGCTCTAGGATTCTGATATCTTCTTTGACCACTGTGCCTCCGATGCAGGCGTGGCATTTTATGTGCATATACTCACCGATTTGACTGATTACTCGGAAAATCTGTTGGGCAAGCTCTCTTGTAGGAGCAAGTACAAGAGCTTGCAGCTGATTCACTTCTGTATCAATAAGCTGGAGGGCACCAACTGTAAAAGTTGCGGTCTTCCCTGTGCCTGACTGTGCCTGAGCAATTGTGTCATGGCCGAGGATGATGGGTTTGATGCCTTTTTGCTGAATGGCTGAGGGTTTTTCGAACCCATAAGAGTAGATTCCTCTTACTTCCCTCATCCGTGAGCGAACAAATCATTAAAAAAAATTCTTATTTTTTGAGTAAAAATCAACCCTTCGTGAGTGTACAAAATAATTGCTAATATAAATTTTTTATGAAAAATATTTTGATATATAAGTGGTAATTATTATAATGAAATCATTAGCTTATTTTGCACATTTTGCATTTAAAATATAAATTTTATAAATAAATTAATATTTATTCTAATTAGGATTTTTTTAAAAAATGTTTTAGTATAGAAATTTTAAAAAAAAATTAATCACCTCCATAAACGATGATGGAGTGGGGAAGTTAACAATTCTTCTTTAAGACCCATATCATCGAAACTCTCAATTGATTCATCCCAATTGGATTCAATGATGAAGTCTTCAGCTTGTCCGGTCATAGGCTCAGCCATTTTATATATACACCTCTCTTTTTTGAGTATTTGTACGAGAATATTCATGCATCATTTAAAAGAAATAAAATAATGTAGAGGGAAGAGAGGATATTATATGGGATAATTGGGTGGAAAAAGATTTTTGAAATATTTTGAAAATAATTTTTAATTTTTGAAAATCAAATTAGGCTTGAAATTCAATTATTAATTATAAGTAATATTTAAAATATTTTTTACATATTGAGAAATATATAAATTAATTTTTTTATAACAAAGGTTACTGCTAAATAGCATTAAACTTAAAAATAATATCTCTATACGCTCATATAAAAGGCAAGATAGCATCCTTTAAAATCTATATTGCGGCATTCTGATTCTAGATTGTCATATTTACTCCAAACTCCATCATCCTTTGTCAATGCAATATATTTATCAGTAGCCCTATGATCAGGAACTTTCTTTATTGCTCCAAACAATGATAATCACGAAAGACCCTTGATTTGGAAATCGCATAATTTCATTTTTTTAAAATCACATAAAAATACGGGGAAAAAATTGCTTTAAAACCACAAATCTTCACCATTTTCGCATGAAAAAGAAACCTTATCCTTTTTAAAATTGAAGCAATAAAAACTGTATAATTTAAAGGGGGTTTTGAAATTAAATTTTATATTTTTTATCCACTTTTTTATTTATCAAATATCAGAGATTTTATAAACTCTTAAAATATTTTTTTTCAAATTTACTGTAATTTACACACAAGACTTTCATGATTATCCCCAAACAATTCATATGAAGAATTTTGATAGCAAAACATTTCTGGCAACACAAAGTTATTATTAGGGCGAAAACTTATAACTAAAAAACAAGGAAGCTCAATATAGGCCATAGAAATTGTGCATATTTGAATCTTATTACAAAAGCTGCAATTCATATCAGTAAGCTTAAGAGCTTTTAAAGAATCAATCGCATCTTTCATTTGTCCGTTAGGCAAATCAGATACATTTAGAATGATTTCTTTACTGCCACTTTCATCAATATGGCCTAAAGCGCAAACTATTTTATCGTGTTTAACTATTGTAAATAAATTATATCCTGGGCAAACTTCATTGAATTTTGATATAATAAATTCTAGCAAAAGTTTTGGGTCTTTATTACTGTTAATCTAAATAGTTAATACAATAGGATATGCTTGGGCTAAGGCAGTGGCTGTTTCAAGTAACAAATCATCGATTACTTCTTGTGAACTTGAGTAATTTATGCTTAACAATAGCTTGCTTAAAGTTTTAAGCAAGTCGTCGTAAGATTCAACTATTATTTCTACAAAAAATTTGAAGCTGGCAAGGACTTGGATTAGAGAATTAATATAAGATGTGTTTCCAAAGTCTTTAAGTCCAGGCTTTGGTGGTTTATGAATTATTGGAAAATTAAGTAGAGAAGTATCTGGAATCAATGAGCTTAATGGTGCACTTGCAGAGAATGAATTCATTTGAAATTGCAATTCTTTTTCTAAGCCCTTTACAACTGAAACTATTTCTTTTGATTCCTCATTATTTTTATTACTTTTTTGTTTTTCTATATTTGAACTGTAATCAATAGCATTAAGAGCTATAAATTCTCTTATTTTCACCTATTAATTATTTTCTAATATATATTGACCGAAACTGTTATAATTAATATTTTATACTATTTAATATATAAGAAAAATTGCTATTAAAATATTTTCATACAAATAATAAGCACTTTATATAATAATTTTCCCATGAAAATAGACATTAAAAACAATTGAGAAAATTATACAGAATTTGAAGATTCCACTTTGCAAATAAAAATAGATTTAAAATAAAAATGAAAAATACAAAATCTGAGATTTTTGCTTGTTAATAGATAAGATTTAGAGATTTTACTTCTTCTTTTAATTCTCTTACTCCCCCCTCCGTGAGTGAACAAAAATTTTGTTCACTCACGGAGAGGTGCTAATTTTTTTTTTTTAAAAAAAATTTATATATAATAGAAAAATTTGTTTTCGAAATTTAAAAAAAATCTCACTTTTCTAAAAATTGGAAAGCAAATATTAATTTATTTGTAAAATTTATGTTTTAAAACGCAATTTGTTTAAAATTAAACTGAATTAGCTCGATATTTCATTATAGTAATTATCACTTATCTAACAAGATTTTTTTTCCATAAAAAATTTTTTCCTATTAAAACAATTTTTGTTCACTCACGGAGGGTGGGTTTTTGGGCAAAAAATCGGGATTTTTCTAATGGTTTTGCTCACTCACGGAGGCGAGGAAGTTAGAGACGATATTTCCTCTCTAAGTTCCTTTACCTCTCTTTCCAATTTATTAATTTTTTCATTTGTCTCTAATGCATTTGCATTCACCATATCTTGTCTTTCTTCAAAGCAGCAATTATCAGCTATCGATCCAAAATCGATATTATCCTTAATTACTTGATTAATTTTAAGTAAAGCTTCATTTGGGCTAAGTAAAAGAAGATTCAATAAGGAATCGTCACTTTTTCTTTCAATTTCATCAGCAGCCATAATTGTAACTATGTAATAGTCTATTACCTTAATTCCTGAAGTTAGTGCTTCGATTTTATTTTTCAAGCTATCTTCAGCATTTTTTATAAATTCTGTTTCATCAGATATAAATTTTTGCTTTATTGCACTGATTTTCATTTTTTCTTCTCTAAGGCGAGCTAAAAGGCTTATCTTAGTTTTCTCTAAAGGCCGAGAAAAGATGTTTTCAAATGGGTGAGAAACAATGCTAGGCTCTCCATGGCTATTTAGGTGAGTGATGCAGACAGCTGATTTTGGGTTTGTACAACCGCATAAATATTCTGGCTTAAGCTTGCATCCAGAAATACAGCATTGAATGGAACTCATTTTTAGCTCAATTATATATAATTGTAGAATCTGAAGTTAAATGTTTTAATAAAATTTTTAATTAATATGGATTATTATCATATGAAAAGAGCTATCAATTTATCATATAGATTTATAAATATCGGCGCGCTCACTAAATTACTTTGACTTACATATTTATCTATTTTTAACAAATTATGAAATAAAATAATGTATTTTTAAAATATACACTTTATCATCACAATTAGTTACTTTAAACAGATTTTAATAAAGACTCCTTTACCACGCTTTCAGCTTTTTCACACTTTTTTTGCAACTTAAGAACTGTGTCCACATCAAGAGGTTTTAAAGGATAGCTTCTGTCTTTTTTCTTACTCCCCCCCCCCCTCCGTGAGCGAACAAAAAAATTTTGTTCGCTCACGGAGGGGGGTTAATTTGTTTTTTTTAAAAAACATTTATATATAAATTTTATAAAAAATATTTTTTTTCGAAATTTAAAAAAAATCCTAATTTGCAAAAATTGGGAAGCAAATATTAATTTAATTTGCAAAATTTATGTTTTAAAACGCAATTTGTTTAAAATTAAACAGAATTAGCTCTAGATTTCATTATACTAATTATCACTTATATATCAAAATTTTTTTCCATTAAAATTTTTTCTATTAAAAAAATTTTTGTTCACTCACGGAGGGTGGGTTTTGTTCGCTCACGGAGGGGGGGGGGGAGTTAGTATAACTTCTTAATAAAAAATAAGCATTGGCGTAATCTGCCTTTTTAACATTAAGTTCATAATCTAAAAGAATTAGAAATGATCTTTCCATTTTATTCATTTCAGATAGCGTGTACATTGAAAAGTTATCTGCAATTGTAGCATTCGTAGCAGACTCATCATCCCAAATTTTGGATCCTAATAGCAAACTAGTAAAAACAATTCGCTTTCAGTTCCAATTATTCAAGCCAATTCTGGCTTTTTCCATTAATCTTCCTATATAAATCAAAGCTAAAATAGGGCACTCTTTTTCCATTAGTGCTTTATTCATTAAATTTCTGCAGTAATTATAGATAGTTTTTTCTTCAGGAATGGTTTCAGTATAATCATATAAAGGGACAGTGATTTCTTGAATGAGGCCTAGGCTTTGATTGGAATTTTGGTTACATTGTGAAGCAATGACTCTAGAAAAGCATTTTGATATCTCTTCTATACAATTCTATGAATATAGATTTAGGGTTTTGTAAAATCAATTAAAATAAATAGTATAATATTTTTTAGCATTAATTTATATAAATAGTTATATATCCATATTATGCAAAGTCGACCACATTTTTCACGAATCATAAGATTTCCCAAGCTCATTGGTATCAAAATCTCTTTTTTCCTCACACTCCACAAATTTCACCTGAGTCTGCATCTTTTGGTTAGACTTCGCAACTGATGAAATTTTCGGTGAGTCAGAAATCGGTGGCAAATGTATCAAGCCTGAATTTTTATTATTTTTTATTTGGCTTTCTGCTAATTGTTTTTCAAGGGCTTTTATTTCTTCTTGAGCCTCAACTAGTTCATTTTTCAATTTGATGGTTTCAGACAATCTAGGATGGTCATTATATCTATATGCATTATCCATTGATCCAGTTCTCGTTTGGATTTTAACTTCTTTAAAATTACGATCCACAACGGCAGAACAAGCTCTTGCCTCAGCAAGTAAGGAATCTATAGAGTTCTAACTCTCTCCTCCTTAAGCAAACAAAACCATTGGAAAAATCCCTATTTTTTGCCCAAAAACCCACCCTCCGTGAGCGAACAAAAATATTTTATGAAAAATTATTTTGATATATAAGTGATAATTATTATCTCTAGCTAATTCTGTTTGATTTTCATTTTAAAACATAAATTTTACAAATTAAATTAAAAATTTGCTTTAAAAATTATTTCGAATTGATAATTTTTTAAAATTTATATATAAATTTTAAAAAAAATAAATTAACCACCTCCGTGAGCGAACAAGAAAAATTTTGTTCACGGAGAGTGGGAGTAAATGTTCGTTACCCCTCTTATTCTATCTTGCATTACTCTGAATTTTTCTTTTTGGCCTGGAAGAATCTTCAATGAAGCTAGTACATTTTCTAGCTCAACATGAGTAAGCATCGCGAACCTCTGTGGGTCCTCGTCGAATCCTTGGTCTGCCAAATTCTAACATTAAAGCTACTCTATAATGTTGTTGTAGTCCAAATTCTCTCAAATATCCAATCAAAATCCCAGTTGTGCTGATTCTTTGGCTTCCATTTGTAGTGTGAAGGGTTTTTGTGCTTGATCTCAGTGGGTATCTTGCTCTTTTTATCTTGTCTTTATGGATTTTCATTTGGACTTCTTGCTCCCATTTTTTCATCGATCTCATAAGAATTACTAGGTATTCTTTTATTTATGAATTATTAAGATAATTACCAATATAATTTAAATGTTTAGTCTTATAAAATGATATAAACTTATGAAACTTGATTAATTTTACTTGGAATTACTAATCAATATAGACTAAAATATACTACAGTTACTTTGTTGATTGAGCGAAAAAGGAAATAGACAACAGGTAGAGTTTTCAGTTGGGTGAACTGTCACATCAGGCCTTGGCTTTAAAGCGCCAATTAAAGTTATCATAGACTCAGTCGTGTTTTCATTAGTTACACTTTGGTAGTTATCAACAGAAAGTAAAGCATCCCGAGACTCTCTTCGTCCTATTGTCATGATACTTATAGCTTGAGCTGAATCACTTGACTCACTTTCTATCTTGCTTTGTGTTTTTGGTAACATATATTATTTATCAGAATAAACGATTTTGTGCTCATTCAAATAATTTTATAGCGAATAAGAAAATTTTGACTTTTAGAAACCATTAAGATAAATAAAAATTTCGTAAATGAAAAATTAATTTAGGGGACCAGGAGATGCTTTTTGTGTGAAAAATAAATGCTAATTCAGTAAATAAATTAGCTAGAAGGTTTATAGTATAGCTCAAGAGAATAAGTTTAAGTTTACGATAATTAGAAATATTTATTTTTAGTGCTAATAATTCGAATTTATCCATTATTTATATCAGAATATTTAAAATAGCAATTTTGATAGATAAAATAATTATTATGATGAAAAATTTGACTCTTTCTATTGAAACCATGACCTGAAATAGAGAGTCCCATGGGTTATTCGACTATGAAAAAACAGCCCTAAAAGTTATTAATACCTATAAAACAAAAATCCCTACAAAGGTTATTCAAACTGCTGATGGCTGTGAATTTACCAATGATATTTCTTATCAGTCTGATAATGTACTACTAGATATACTTCTCCCTAATAATTTCTTCAGCTTTTCACATAGTAATTATTTATTATAAGACAAATTAATTAATTTTCTTATATATCAACATCAGAAAAAGAGTTCATAATCGAATCACCAAGCCAAGAAAAATTTTGATTAATTGTAAAAAATATGACATCAGAAGATTTTGATGGTTATAAACTTTCTGAAGGCGACTATATGCGGGTTGGACGTGTAGTTCTTCGTGTAAAAGAAATTCACACTAAATTTTCTAATATTTCTGCAAAAGAAAATGGAGCCATTGAAAAATTTTCTTTTGGGAATATTTGTAGATTCTGTCTAAATGATAATTACTCTGACACAAATTTGCTGATTGCCCCTTGCCGCTGCACAGGCTCAATGAAATGGATTCACTATAAATGCTTACAGACTTGGCTTAAATCAAAAATAAGGATAAAACAAGGTAGATCTGTTGCTTGTTATAGCTGAAAACAGCTGCATTGTGAAATATGTCAAGAGGTTTATCCTTTAACATTTAAAGTTGGAGGGAAAATACATGAGCTTATAGATATTCCAAGACCTTCAGAGCCATATATAATTCTTCAAGATCTCAGGGGACAAAGAGTACTGTACTGTAAAATATATATAATTTCTATGTCAAAAGGACATGCTATTAGGATAGGAAGAGGGCATGAAAATGATATAAAAATAAATGATATTTCTGTCAGTAGATGCCACTCAGTTTTGAGGTTCTATGGAAACTCGGTTTATCTGCAGGATTATAATTCAAAATTTGGGACTTTAGTAAAGGCACAAGATAAATTGGTGATTGAAAAAAATACGTCAGTCGCAGTGCAATTGAATAGAAGAGTGATGCAGTTTACAACAAGAGAACCTTTTAATATCCTTGACATGTGTATTGGCTGCTGTAAAAGGAAAGGAAAAGTCACTCCAAGTATTTTAAATGTTGATGAAAAACCCTCATTTTAAATAAAATTGAAATTTTAATCTAATTTCTGCATTATTATAATACTAAAATTTCCAAGCGCGATTTTCATAATAATATTTTTTCGTTAACAATTAAGTTATTCTTAAAATGGAAAATATTTCTCAAGACTCTTTTGTAAACATATACTGCATACCTTCATCAGCACAAAAATGAAGTGACGAAAATCAACTAAGACCAAGTATTCCTTCTTTAAAAAGTCTAAAAAACTCAAAACATCCGACTTGGAAATCAGACTCTACTTCAGTAAGCAATAATTTCTTTACCAAATCGAATTTAATTACAGGAGACAGTGATATTGATACAATTGGCTTAAAATTAGATTATATTTCTATTGAAAAATCATATAAGTCTCGTGAGCCATTCTCCAGTAATAAGATAGAATCAGCTAAATGCTTAGTAGACCAGCTTAAGCTGAAAAAAGAAAGATATGAGACAGTTAAAGAATATTTTGAGTCATTGAAAGCTCAGCTAAAGGACTCTGCCAAAGTTTTGCTGTCTGAGCTAGAAACCAAAAGAAATGCTTTGATATCTGAAATTTCTTTTAAATTTAACCAGGCCGCAAATGAGCTGAAAAATGAGGAAAGAAAAAAAGCGGAATTTCTGGCAAAAATAGAAATAGACGTAAAAGAAAAAATAAATGAAATTGAAAATGTGATAGACAGGGTGCAAAGTAGGTTAAATTCTGATAAAAAAATCTGAAATGAAAATATAGCTTTAGAAGCAAAAGAAGTGTTGCAGAAACCTATTAAAGAATACAATGTAAGTATTGATATCACAAAAATCAATTTTCCGAATTTTAGCTGAAAATTTTCAAATGATGAGAAATTCTCAGAATCTTTGCACAGCACAATTAATAAAAATCCATTTAATGGAGTTATCCCATTTTCTGAAGTCGTTTATAACTCTCAAGCTAATACGCCTATAAAGAACAAAAAACGGCTCAGCAATTTGTCTACTCAAGACAAAAGCTTTGTAGAAATATCTGATATAAAAACAACTGAGAAAAAGAAAACAAAGCATAAAGAGCATAGGAGGATGCTCAGCATTCAGCCAAACATAGAAGCACATAAGAAAGCTAAAAGAATAAAAATTTCGTCTTTGATTTCTGAAGAAAAGGTTCCATCGCTGAAGCATAACCAAATAGCTGTGTATATTCCTCATGGCTATCCTGAGTATTCATGCTATTATCTCCTTACATGTGAGCCTAATATTGATTCCCGAGAAATTATTTCATCACTTTCCTCACATATAGGAAGCAATGAAAAATACACTCTTCATGTCAAAAACTCTCCAAGCCAAGACTTAATTGAGCTAAAACCTTATGAATGTCCATTATTAATGTACCACAAATCTCAGTTTTCAGATTATCCAAGACTATATTTGGAGAGACAATAAATCTAAATTATCCCAGATTTTATTGAATATTTAGATTCTATTAATTATTTTAAAATTTTTATATAAAAATCATAGGAAATTATAATTAAAGTTGTAGACAATTTTACTTTCTTCTCTTCTTGTTTTAGCTGCTCTGACTCTTCTAAATGTATATAATTAAATATGGCGTCTTGGTCTGGGCATGGCTGGGAGGCCATGGAGCCTTGAGCATATTTTTAATTATATCCGGCAAGGTTTTGCCAACTCAAAAATGGACACAATGCTAGGCAAGCAATTCCAGGAGAGCTTGAAGTCCAACCTAAGTCCTTTTTCAGAGTTGGATTTACCTCGAAGTAAAGGAAGAGCTTGGGATGAAAAGGGAAGCCCGGCAAGGTTTAACCAATTGGGCTAGTCTCTAGTATGAAATCAGGAGCTACGTCCTGAGCTTAAAACTTTTCCTTTTTGCCGAGAGTCAGGATTTTTGTACGGATAACCTTCGTACAACTTAAGCACCGCCTGCTCAAACAGTTGAGACGCAAGGCAGAAGGAGATGCAGGAGGAGCAAACACTTCCGATATCCATGACGTTAGAGGCTGAAGGAGGAGCAAGGTGGTATAGATCCTTTTCTCGCTGGAGAAATCATCTTAATCCGCCCAGCTTGACAGACGGCATCACAAAGCGGATGAACCCTCTAAATCTCCTTGATTGCTATACCAATAGGCAGCAGCCAGCCTATAATTAATATTAATACTCTTCTAAATGTCTTCTCTTCAAGCTTATCAGGAACTGCATTTTTCAGTACTTTAAGCAGTCCTTCAGTCTTTTTCCTCATTCTCATATGAAGATACGTTTTGCATGCGTGAAGATGATAAGTCAAGTACTGCTTAAGCCCAGCTAGCCACTGCCCAGTTTCAGCTTCTTGTCTAATCTGCTCCTTCAATACTGTTATACACAAAAACCCTATAGTTGACGGCAAAGTCGCCCCTTTAAACATTGACATTGCTTCAGGCGGATTTTGTGAAAAAGTGATCACAGGAGAGTTCGGGACCTGCCTTTTTGCCTCTACAAATTCTTGTAAAAATACTCTAGACAATGACCCATCAGTATGGTCAGAAAAATTGACCTGAAAAATAAAATTCACTCTGTTTTCTCCAGGGATCACCCACAATTTTTCATTGGGCCTAATTAAAACTTCTTTTGGTTGGAAAGCGGTGCCTGATTTTACATTTTTTAAGGCTTTTATAAACGGCCCTGACAAGAAATGAGTCCTGAACATGCTGAATTTATTGGCAATATCATTGGCTCGGAGTTTTCTTTCTTCACCTAAAGAGGGATCAGGAAGCTGAGATCGGTCAATCAGGATTGAGTAGCTGCCTTCGTCTATTGCAATTGGGAAACCTGGGTAGTTTAGTTGTATTGATTCATATCCTCCTGCTTCTCCAACTGAAGCCAGCTGAGGTGCTAGAACTGTGAAGCATAAAGAATCAGTGTTTTGGCCAGAAATTACATATTGGATACCATCATAATCCGTAAGCTTGAATAACAAGTTGGTGAGATCAATTGTGGAGTTCAGTAGAGCTGAGATGTTGTCTATTATAAGAGGATGATGGGGATCAATAGACATCATTTTTATATTATCAACCTTTTGTTTATAAATGGAATATGGCCAGTCAAACTAATTGGCTACAAAAAAAAAAATTTAGAGCAAAAAATTGTCTTTGCAGGGCAATCAGTTTGGCTGAATATATAAACTTGAAGGAAATCCATGGACTTTTGGAGTTTTTATGGTTTTTAATGTAATTTTTATGATTGTGGGGATTGGGATTGCAACAGTTGGGATTTATGTGGTTTTGGATGTGTTGAGAGCTGACTGATATGATGATTTACCTTGGATTGCTGAGTGAGAATGGCTTGAATGGATTTGGGTAGACTTATAGAGGTAGGAATATAATATAAGCTTTGCAGTTTTGGGTGTTGCAATAATTATTTCAGCAATCATAGGACACAAAACAAGGTTCTCTCAAGCTGCTATGAATGTCTATATGATTTCTTTGGCCTTTATTTTTGCAGCGCAGTTAGCATTTACTCTGGCAATTGTCATTTGGTCTAATTTTACTCACTCCCTTTTGGATATTAAGGAAAACCATTAAAAAATTTCTATTCCTAGGGAAATTAATTTTCCTTATTTAGCAAGCAAACAATTTTATTTAAATAATATGCTTTATATAATATAGGATCTCCAGCTAATTTTATTAAATTTTAAAACAGCATGATCCTTAAACCATAACTTTATAAAAATTAATTTAAATTTTAATATTTTCAAATATATATATATATTAGGATTTTTTAAATCCTATAAATTATATGTAAAGAATTTTATAGCCCCTTTGGTTAGCGAGCAAGTTGTTTTTGCTTGGTAAAGAAGGGAAGAGTCATAAAATTAAGTATGGAAGTGCATGGGCAGTTAGGATTTTTATGATCATTGCTACAACTATTATTGGAGTTTGTTTAGTTGTAGGGTTTCTTTATAGAAAAAGTTTAAATGAGGTGAATTTTTCACATAAAACAGCTCATTCATTAAGCTTACCTGGAATTACACCCTTAGTAAGAGGAAGTAATTAAAGATTTTAAAGTATTTATTAATAACTCTTTAATAATCATTTTCAATAATTAATACCCTTTCTCAATTATTATTTTAGCCAATTATGCTGATTATGATAGTAATCTTGTCTGTAATCTTTCATGAAATTTTGCTTACTCCCCCGCTCCTCCGTGAGCAAGAAAATTTTGTTCGCTCACGGAGGGCTATATTTTTTTCGAAATAAAAAAAATTATTCGTAATAATTTTAAATAATATTAATTTAATTTTAAAATTATCAAGCTGTTTAAAATAGCGATTTCATTAAACTAAATTATTATATATCACAATATTCTTTCATAAAAAATTTTTTGTTGCTCTTGGAGGGTGGGTTTTTACCAGAGATTTTTTCAATGTTTTGTTCTCTCCAAAAAAAGGGGAGAAGTTAAATAATTATCTTTGAATCTATTGTTTGGTCTTGGTAGTTTTCATTTAAAAAAAGCAATAAAATTTAAATAATATTTGCATTAAATTTAAAACTTTTGGATAACTATTCATTTTCTTCATTTTGATTCACCAGACAAGTTGCAAATAAACAACTCACAAGAAAAACATTTTTGTTATTAAAGCAATCATATAATAAGTATGCTGAATATTATTTTCATTAAATCCTGCATATAAAAATTCGAGATTTTTGAATTCAGAAAAAACAAATTTAATATAAAAAATATATTAACAGTCAACTTTTGTACTCTTAAAAGGAATTAAGAATTAATTTGAATGGAAAAACAGCTGAAAATTCGGGTCGCTAACACACAATATGATATTATAAAATTAGTTGCCAAAGAAATCATGGGATGAGAGCTAAATGACGATCCTAGCAGCGACGACTGAGATATATGCTGGCAAGATTATGCAGTTACAATCGACCAATTCAACAATTTAAAACCTCTCCAAAAAATCAATCATTTTCCAGGGATGTTTGCACTAGCTCGTAAGAACAAGCTTGCTTTAAATTTACAACAAATGAAAATATTTTTCGAAAATGAGTATAATTTTTTCCCAAATACCTGGCTTCTTCCTCGAGATTTATATGATTTAAAAAATAAAGGCAAAAATAAAACTCTGATTGTGAAGCCTGAAGCATCTTCTCAAGGTAAAGGAATTTTTTTAACTAAGAGCATTGAAGGACTTCCTGAAAAATGTGTGGTCCAAGAGTACATTTCCGACCCTTTTTTGATTGAAAATTTGAAATTTGACTTGAGGATCTATGTATTGGTTTTAGGCTGTGATCCATTAAGAATCTACATATATGAAGAAGGCCTAGTAAGATTTGCGACTGAAGAATATATTGATCCTTTAAATAGTATAGATAAAGTTTGCATGCATTTAACAAACTATGCAATAAACAAAAATAATCCCAAATTTATCACTGGAAATGGTGATGAAGGGCATAAACGGAGTATAAGTTGACTATTTGGATATCTGGATGATGTTGGTCATAACACTGAAAAGCTGTGAAATGATATTAAAGACATTGTAATTAAAACGCTGATTAGTGCTCATCCGTACTTGTCATATATTTATAGATTATCTCATCCTCATGATATTTCAAATTCTATTCTGCTTATAATAAAATATGAATATTTTAATAGGTGTCGCTTTTACTTTCATATAGAAAATAGATAATTATATTAGTAATAAAACAGTATATGTGTTTTGAATTGCTAGGGTTTGATATTTTGGTAGATTCAAGCTTAAAGCCATGGCTTCTTGAAGTTAATCATACTCCAAGCTTCAAAACTGACACGCCAATTGATGAGCTTGTAAAACGAATGGTTATTCTGGACACTTTTAATTTAATTGGAAAGCCACCGAATGATAATGAAAGAAATGCACTTTTGCTGCATACAAAAACGATGCTGAAATCTTTATCTTTCAATGAAATGAAAAAATGAAGAAAAACTGAAGAAAATAGGTCTCAAAAACTAAACTCTATTTTTATATAATAAAATATTTCTTAGATATAAAGGATTATTTTAAATTAAAATAAAGAGAATTTGTTTTGAAATTAGTGTAAGAGAAAAAATTGAACAAGAAATTGAAGGCGGCTATCAAAAAATATTTCCAAATGATATTGGTGACTATGAAAAATTTATCATGGGAGCAAGGAGAGCCTGATCTAAAAATCATAGCTCTTTAAAAAAATCTGAAAAAATAGTAGAAGAAGAGAAAAAGCCAATTAAGAAAAAAATCAGTTTTCCAAAGCTTAAAAAAGCATTTTTCGAGCCTCCCAAGATTAAGCCAATCAAATTACGAGAAATGACCCCAAAGCCATCAGTGATGACTATTTCTTTTTATAAGCCTGCTCCAAAATATTCCCAAGCGTCTTTCTATAGCATCCCCAAAAAGAAACGAGCTTTTTCAGGAAATTTTGTCAAGCCAAAAATGGTTGAATATGAAGGAGAGATGGCCCGCGAAGAAAGCAAAGGCTATATGAGGATGAAAATAATTTCCTATTACTTGTAATTTTTTCTAAATATTTATTTATAATTTTATTGGATTCTCCAATCCTCAATAAATCTCAAAAATTAATTTAAATACAAATTTGATGCCGATAGCATTATTTCTTAATTATTAGCTAGAGAAGTAAACTTCCACCAATAATGGCTATTGATTTAGTAAGGGTAATCATCGCTATCATCTGCTCTCCTTGATTGAGTCCAGATATAAAAGGATTTCCTTGGAGGGCAATATTAACTAGCATTGCAGTGAATAAAAAGCAAGCTCTATGTTTAGAAAGTGTAATCATCAAGCATGCTGAGAGGACTAGAAATGCGCCAGCAATCGTGTGGATGTTTGTAAGAGGAACCATAGGGAGCTTTGTATTATATCTTGGATACTTAAGCTCATTTTTTGAATAAAAAAATTATTTAATGTTAGGCAATTAATAATAAACGCACCTTTATAATAAAATACAACATATAGAATTTTATAGTTTTTTGCTGAACTTCAGATGGGTAAGCACACATCATAGCACCTACTCCAACGAGGACAATGAAAAGCAGGCCAACTCCAAGCTGTTTACACATTTATTATTATTTGTCACAAAAATTATTTATCTTTTATTTTTATAATGGGTTCTAATATAATCTTCAAGTCTGTCAGCTTTTTTTTCGCTTTGGGCCAGCTTATGAGCTGCAAGTGTGACCTCATAATACAAATTCGCTAAAGAAATTGTTTCTTTATTATTTACCTGTTCAAGATCCCTTATTAGGGTTTCTTTATTTCTAAGTTCTGTATGCAGGTCTTTTCTTGCTTTTTCTGTATTTTTAAGCACTTTTTCGACCCTTTTCTTTTCGCGTGCCATCATCTTAACTTCCTCAGTTTTTTTGTTAATTGTTTCATGAAGCTAATTATAAAATACCAGCCCGATTTTCACATCTTTTGTGGCTTCGTTTAGGTCTTTGGTGAATTTTAAATGATTCAGCTGCCTTCTTAAACTTTGGTATTCATCAGTGGCTTTTCTACATTGGTCTAGTAAAGTTTGAATGCTCCCATGGGAGGTTGAGAGAAAGGAGGTTATTTCTTCGACTTCTTCGGCAAAGGACTGTTTTTGATTATAGCCTGAATATTATTTTGGCTCGGGCTTCCTGAGGGAAAAAGGGAAGCTGGTGAAGCTAACTAATGTTAGTTTGGTCAAATCTCTCCAAAATAGCAGACACCCTAAATCATGAGGGTTGCTTGGGGAGCTGTCAAGTAATATAGTTGATTTCACCAATTTCTTGTTTTTTCCATCAGGAATAATCGACAGCCCTATCCAAAAGAAAACTCAGACTATATCTGTTTCTTCTTCAAGCTGTATTGTGCTTTTAGAATTCCCGTTACAGCTTGGTTTCGTAGTCAGATGATCATGGATAATGACTCTATTTTTCATTATTTTAACGCATCAGTGTATTTTTTGTGGCCTTTATTGATAATATGTACAATAATTATACACTCAAGTTTTTTATTTTAGGAATCTTATCAGTTCAGAATTAATATTTTTTTGATTTTATTTACCTCTTATGTAAATCTTGATAAATAATTGATATCGATTTATATTATTTTTATCTAGCAGAATACATTAGTTAAATATAATTTTAAATTCCCAAATTATTAGATTGAATTTTTGATTTCATATTATAACATATTATTAAAATAAATGATTTTTTGCTCAAATTGATTATGATAGAACACATTTATTATATTTTATTATTAAAATCAGCTCAATCAGGCGAAATAAAGTTTAATCAAAATTTAAGAGGTCTTTCATAAGATAAATGTCAGGACCGAGTCTATCAAGAAAGCAAAGCAGCGAATCCTTAGTCCCTAAACCTGATAAATCATCACAAGCCCAGCAAATTCATTCCTCTTTCTCCAAAGCCTACTCAAATCTTGGCCTATCCCTTTCAAAATTCCCCAAGCTAAACGAAACAACGAAACTTAAGAGCAAGTCCCCAATGAAAAAAATTATAAAACCCAGATCAAAATCATCTATTAAGAATCCAAATGATCTAAATCTGACCAAAATTGACATAAAACCTAAGCTAAAGTCGAAACGGAACAGTAGGTCCTTTTCTTCTAGTTTTGCTATTGACCCTCTTAACAAAACTTTAGCACTGTCATCAGTAGTTAATTCTAATGATGAAAAAATAGAAAAATTAGACCAATCTATGGATAATTATAAGCAGATTTTTCATGAGAGCTCAATTAAAGTAATTCAAAAATCTAAAACGATAAGCGATTTTGAGCATAAGTTTGACCAAGAACTTCAGAAAATAGAAAACATAGATATGGATTTGAAATTTGATAAATATTTATCATGTGCAAAAAGGACATTTTTAAAAGTGCTGGAAAATGATAATGAGTTTACGTCTGTTTTAATAAAAATAAAAGATATTTATGATGGGTATATTGAACATTTGTGTAAAAATCAGCTTAAAAATGAAAAAATATTGAAAAAATCTTTTGATTTAGCAGAAAATCAAGATTCTGTAAATTTGGCAAGATTGGTTAAAAATCAACAAAATGATAAGCTAGCAGAGCAATGTAAAAATTTGAAATCTGACTCCCCTTTAAGTCGAAACAAAATATTGATAATATTTCATTTGGGTGCATTAGCAAAATTTTATAGATGATAATATTAATTTTCTATATAAATTAGTCATGAAAAAGTGCAAGTAGAACGTTATTTAAACAATTTTCGCATAATTTATTAAAATTTTTAATAAAATTTTCAATAAAATTTTTTTCATGCTCAATTTATATTCTTTTAAAAATTTTGATAGAAAAAATTTAATATAAATTTTTTAAGTGAAAATACTAATTTTTATAAAATTAGTTTAAATAATTATTGGAAAAACGCAAGTATACGTTTTGCATTAATTTTTTTATGTAATCTTCATAAAATAAATTAAAATTTAAAAAAATATTTATGGAGAAAATTTATATATAAAATTGTTCTTAGTCCTCTTTAAATTTGAACAGAATTTCTTGATACAATTTAAAGGGGTGGAGTGAGTTAAATTTAGTTAACAAGAAGCTACATGAGTCTATAGTAAGAGAGAAAAAGTATATAAAACTACTAACTCCCCCCCCCCCTCCGTGAGCGAACAAAACCATTAGAAAAATCACCATTTTTTGACCAAAAACCCACCCTCCGTGAGCGAACAAAAATTTTTTTTAATAGAAAAAATTTTAATGGAAAAAAATTTTGATATATAAGTGATAATTAGTATAATGAAATCTAGAGCTAATTCTGTTTAATTTTAAACAAATTGCGTTTTAAAACATAAATTTTGCAAATTAAATTAATATTTGCTTCCCAATTTTTGCAAATTAGGATTTTTTTAAATTTCGAAAAAAATATTTTTTATAAAATTTATATATAAATTTTTTTTAAAAAAAAAATTAACCCCCCTCCGTGAGTGAACAAAATTTTTTTGTTCGCTCACGGAGGGGGGGGGGGGGGAGTAAGCACTCTTGAAAAACAAGGGTATCCAATTCAAGAAATATATAACAATCTCAAAAAAAAGCCAAAAGAGCACAAAAGCCCCCTAATTTCAGCTGGTGAAGACTCAGCTAGCAGTACAGACTATTCAGATGTTTCAAGCATGAAGCGTGATATAACTGCTTCAGTGCCAAAGCTATCAATCCCAAAACCCTCTACTGAAGGATACCACCAAGAATTCATGTCTAAATTCAATGAATTTTCAGAATCCTGGAGATTGCAAATAGAAAAAGACAAAAGATAAATAATTATTTAATTAACTTGTAAATTAATTTATTTTGAAATTTAAAAGATTTTTGAGCTATAAATATAATTCATTATAGACATAAATGGTACCTTGGGGGAAACTTCTGTCTTTGACGATCAGGATGTTTACTAAGCCTGTCACGAACTACATAAAACTAGGACTAAAAAGCAACAACAGGCAATCCATGTATACAAAAAAAGTCCTTGTTAATTTAGGGCAATTTTATCATACCATTAATATTAGAATCCAAAGGCGAGCTTTTAATATGTCTGGCGGCGACTCTTATATCAAGCCTCTAACAGAAGATAAAGCAGTTGACCAAGGTATCGAATTTTTTGGAGAAATTTTAGTTTATGGGACTTTGTTTACATGGGGTATGTATGAACTGAATAAGTATCATCAAGAAGGAATTAGAAAAGAAGCAAGCAAGGCTGAGGTTTTAGCAAATATACATACGAATATTGAAGGATTGACTGGGAAATTTAGTAGTGTCCAAGAAGAAGTTACGAAACTTAGAGGCCAGTTAGATGATATTGAGAGGAGAAAAGAAGTATTGAAAGAAACAAAGGCTAATATTGGGGATTATCGAGGAAATAGTGATATGAAGCATGGAAGAGTCAATTTGATAAAATTAGATGATGAAAAAGAAGATAAATCTAGCTCAGTCCATTTGGAGGTACAAGATTTTTCGCAAGCTCAGAGAGGTTGCTCATTTTTTTAAATTTTATATATAACGCGTTTTCCATAAATCCCTTATTTTTACAAAAATTCGAAAGCAAAATGCATTAAATTTATAAATTTTATATTGTAAAATTAAGATATTTCAAATTTAATAGGTGTGGCCAAATTCCAATCAAACTATTAATTAATATCTAATATATTTTATTAAAAAACTATTACATTTATTTTATTTAGACATTACTTCCTAATATAGGATCTTTCTAAAAGCTTTTCAAAAATTAAATCTGAAGAAAATTCAATTTATCCATGAAAGCTCAAACTGCAACACTTCACTGATCTTTTCTTCAGATTAAAATAACCCCCCTAAAAAGCAGAATTTTTCAATAATTTTGTTCACTCATTAAAGGACAGAGTAAAGCTAAATAATTGTTAATGTAAACTGATCTCAATTTTCTGTGATTTTGGATGAGAAGTTAGAGTTTAGCAATAATAATTGTTTTCTAAATAAATCCTGCAATTTTAGATGAATTTCTCTATCTGTGATGCATTTTTTAATCTTTATTAAAATGTTTATGTGGGTAAGTCTTTTAAATGATCAGTCATGCTATTACGAATAGACATCTCAAAGAGACAAGAAAAAGGTCCAAGACAGTATAATTTTTATAATTGACTGCTTCGACTATTTATTATAAAAGGATCGGCCATTAATAAATAAATCTCGCAAATGGTAAAAACTATATAGGGAGCTGTCAAATCTCTGAGAGCGAAAAAAACGATGGGCAGACTGAGAAAACAAAACAGGCCTATGCCTAGATGGGCTTTCTATAAGACAGACAATACTCAGCGCTACAATTCTAAGAGAAGACACTGGAGAAGAACCAAGCTCAAGGTTTAAGTAACTAGTTAACAAACTTTGTTGAAAACTGCAATTTTCAGTAAAAAAGTGCATATAGTGTCAAATATACCTTCATATAAATATAAGTAAGGCTTAAGCTTATAATCATTAAAAGATCAGATAGATGCATTCAATCTAAAAGCATAGATATTGCATTTAGCCATGGCAGCTTTTAAAAATTTGTATCGTTTTTAGGCTTTTTATGGTTAGACTACTTCCCAGCTGAAAACATAAGGCTTTATTTATAAAATGTTTTAACTTGCCTATTTGAAGCTGAAAATATTCATGGGCTCAATTAGAATTAGTGTGATTTATTAATTCCAAGATAAGAAACTTAGAAAAGAGTGATAATTAATTTAAGCATAACTCAATTTGGCATTTTTCGATTTTTTGATCTTTTTGATATACTGAAAACTTCCCTTCTGTTTTCGAAATCTGCAGAGAAGGTGTCTTATGCTTCAACATATTCTCAATTTGTTTTTTTGCTTTTTGTGTTTTGGGGATCACAAAATAAGTTAAAGGCATTTCTTTAGCTTCCAGCAAAAAAATTGTCCCATAAATCTTTTCCAAATGCTCTTTTAACTCTTTTTGCTCAATCTCGCTTTCAAGCTTCAATAGAAAAATTTCTTCTTTTTTCTGCTTTTCTAAATCCACACATTTTTTGTTTACTGAGAAAAAGAATTTATTTTTTGATTTCTCAAAAATTTTATTCAGGGGAAGATTCATTATTTTCATTGATTTTAAGAGGATAGAGCCTGATATAAAAGCGTCAAATCCTGCACTATGCTGAACCTTTCCATCAAAAGGAGGCTCAATTTCAAATTTTAAAGATGATTGATATTCTTTATCTTTTTGCAAAATATCTCAGCAATCATGTAAACCTTGTGATAGCCTTGCATTGCCAAACTAATTATTAGTTACATATTGGTTTACTGCTGCTGATGTTTGAATAATTGATTTTGTATCAAGCAGGTCAGGGAATTTTTCTTGCAAATTGAAAGCAAACTCATTAAAGTTTATAGGAAGTGGATTGATAAATTTATCATATAAATGCAAAAGGTCAAAATACATGTTGTACCCAACAAGTGGTTTGCCTAGCATTAAATCAATAACTTGTGAAAATCCATCAATGTTTACTATTTTTTGCTCCCTCTTGCCTCTTCTTAACAAAATTCCTACAGGTATTTCATTTTCCCTCTTGATTTCTCCAGTAACCCCAAACTCTTTTTCCAGTTCTTGAATTGTGTAATCAATTACATGAAATCTCATATATTTGGCATCTAATAAAATTTCATCATCTTCATCATCCCAAAGCAAGACTTTATCTCTACACAAAGCATGAAAAGCTCTCATATCATGAGAAATTTCTTTATAATTTTTATTAGTTTTTTCTATAATATCGACCCTTGATTTAAAGCCAATTCCTTCTTTGAAAAGTTTATTGAAATCGAGGCCTGATTTTGCGGCGAATTTCATATCGTTAGAAATTGAGTAGGAACGATCAAGGGGGTGAGATGTCGACGGGAATAGATAAAATGTGTAAGGATATACCTTGATAGACTCAGGGGTTATAGAGAATGCACAGATCCCTGCACGAAATGGAAAATATTTAAGAATGCTGTCTCTTAACATCAAGTATTGTGATAGATTTGAATATTTATCATATGAGAAATCTTGAGGCAAACCTGTGAATTCCATATCAAAAGAAAGAAAATCTGCATTTCGGAAAATCGTGGTTAAATTAGGCAGGATTTTGGATAAATTCGATCTTGTGACTTCCATTCAAAGCTAGCTTTCCTTTCCTAGATAATTTTATCCTTATTTAATGGAGCTTTACTAGATCAAAAGTTTACCATAAATCTTAAAATGGCCCAGCCTGTCCATACTCATCTTCCACGCGTCGAAAGTGTCCAAACATACGGAAAAAAGAAGCACGCTCAGGCAGTTGCATTGATCACCAAAGGCAAAGGAATGATCAGAGTTAATGGTGTCCCTCTGCATCTGGTGGAGCCACAGACATTGAGAGTTAAAGTACTAGAGCCAATTCTCCTTCTTGGGGAATCCAGATTCAGCAAAGTCGACTTTAAAATCAGAGTTCACGGTGGTGGCTATGTAAGCCAAATCTATGCAGTCAGACAAGCCATCGCAAAAGGAATTATTGCTTTTTACCAAAAATATGTGGACGAAGCATCAAAAAGACAAATAAAAGAAATGATTTTGGCTTATGATAGAAGCTTGCTGGTGGCAGACCCAAGAAGAAAGGAGCCTAAGAAATATGGTGGTCCTGGCGCAAGAGCAAGAAGACAAAAGAGTTATCGTTAGAATAAGTTTCTCTTTCAGAATAATAAGCTAAAAATGTCTAAATAGGCTAATAATCATCAAGAAAATTAATTATCAGGTAAATACGTGCTAAAAATAAAAAATAAATGTTGTGCCACCATAATCATTTGCTAGTTGTTAGATAAGATAACTTTCTTTGCAAAAGTTTTTATCTATTTGTATATTTATATTAAGTTAAGGGATATCATATTATATAATATAGTATAATAAAGAACACATGCTTTAATATACCCAATTTAATCAATTTATTGCCACAGCTAGTAATTTTATCTCATCAATGTATATTAAAAAAATTAGTCTGAAATAGTAGATTTTATTAAATGTGCATTTTTACATTTTAGCTAAAAAAAATTTTTTAGCATTTATTTTAGCTCATGTTAGCATAAGGGCTAATCTACTTGATTATTATTAGCCCATTTTAGACATTTTAGCTTAAACTTGTGTTTTTTCTTAGCTTTTCCATCAACGATTAGCAATTCCTTGACTATTCTAGCGCGTTTTAGCAAGTTCTCCAATTTTTGTCCTATAGTAAATATTGATTTTTTGATAATTTTATGCTAATTTAGGGATTCTCCTGTGCTATATTTAACTTATAATCAATAAGAAAAAATTCATAAATGAAAGAAGACGAAATTAATGAATTAATTAGAAGAGCTCTGACTACAATAGATGCCCCAGCTTTAATTAGCCAAATTGCTCAAGAATTCTCAAATGCAGGCTATTCCCCCTGTCGATCTCTCATTCAGAATCTTAAAAAATTAATAAAATCCCACCAATATTCTCCTACAATAAAACTCCAGGCTTTAAAAATTATTAAAGCTTGTGCTGATACCGGGAATTCTTATTTTCTGACCTATCTAGCCAAAAAATTAGCTTCACGATTTCGATCTCTATGCTCTTACCAGTCAGACTCAAGCGATCCTCAGAGAGGAAAAACACTATTCCAGTCTGACTCAAAATCTGAACAAAACGCATCAGCAGGTTTTTTAAATCTTCTCCTACAATGTATAGAAGAATGAGCTGGGAGATTTGGTGCTGACGAAATGGGCAGAGAAACAATTTTTTTCAAAATTTACATGGATTTAAAAAATAAAGGTGTCACTTTTCCACAAATAGAACCAAATGATGAAGAAAATTCAATAAAAATGCTTTTAAAAAGCATAAAAAAACTGATTGAAAATAATGGAGATATTAGTGAGGTGAAGGAAAAATTGAGGACTGTGAAAGAGTTCAAAAGAAATATTGAAAAAAGAATTGCGGAGTCTATGGAGGAGTCTAATGAAGAGGATATTTATGAACTGATTGTGCTAAATGATGAAATTAATGATGTGTGCAAAATATATAAAAGGTGAAAAAGTAGATTAAATCCGCCGAAAGGAAAAACAAAAAATTTTGAATATGAGCCGATACAGGTGAAAGGGGTGAGGTTTAATCAAAAAATTGAGGAATATGAGCCGAAGCCTGCTCCTTTGCCTGATGCAATTGAGGATCCGATTATGGTTGAGCTAGCTAATGATAAATCTCAGCGGCAAACTTCTTTTCATATGAAGGATTTAAAACTAAATGACCCTGATGAGATGAGTGAGCTTAAAGAAGAATATCTTAAGTCAAAAGATATAGCTCAGGAGCGCTTTTAGATTGCCTGGGTATGGAGACTTAACAGAAATAGTGTTGGCTGGAGATTTTAGATGCTAGTCAAGGAAAATTATTTAATGATAAATAGAAGAGCTTGGAAATTTATTAAACACGCGCTGTTAAGAAGAAAATTTGACTTATTATTATGGTGATAACTGTAATGCATTATATATAAAGGAATTGCAGCTACTTCTCTTTGATTGGCTGACAAACTAATTCAAATAATCAATATATTCTACGTCATGGGCACGCTTTTAGCGTGCCCAATGTATAAGCTGCTCGAATATGAGGATTTAATTCACATGTATAAAGCTGACTTAGCCCGTCTGCAAATAAAATACCTTGAAGCAGTTGAAGAGCGAGAAGAAATAAAATGCCGAGCGGAATCCTTAGGCTCAGCCAATACAAAATCTGAAACCACTATACAAGATGTCCAAGAAAAGTGCAAAAAGCTCGAAAACGAAAAAGCCTCACTACTCGAAGAAATTGAAGCTTTTAAAAGCCAAAATAATTGTTTAAAAATCACAATAAAAGAAGCCCAAGAAAAATTGTTAAAAGCAGAAGAGCAGATAAATAAGCACGAAAGATACATTGAAAGCATAGAAGTCATGAATGAAAACCTTACGCTAAAAAACGAAGAATTAATGCAAAAAATTAAAAATGCATCCACACAAAAAGGCTCTGAGAAACAAGAGCTTAATAATGAAATCCCAGGACCTATACCACAGCTAGAAATTCATCCACAAGAAGAGCAAAAAGAAGAAGTTTCTACTGTAAAATCCGACCCGTGGGGGATAGACGGGATACAATGATTAACCCAAAAGTGAAAACTATAAATGATTCTATATAATAAAGACTTTAATTACACATTTCGCCTTTGCTGAGGTCTAAGCTCTTCAATTTGCTGCTGCTGAGGTGCTTTCTCTTCTTCAGCTTTTGCTCTTTCTTCATTTCTGCTGTTTTTATTCTAAATATTTTTTACAAAATTCAAAATTGTCCAATCATAAATAAAATCATATTGATAATTTTCTCTGAAAAATAAGTCCTTAAACATTCTCTTCAAGTAAGCATAGTCAGGCCTTTCTTCAAACCTGAGCCCTCTAGCATAATTCATGTAAGTTGTAAATTCCTGAGGAAATCCTTGGCATAAAACTTCAGTTCTAGTGTCGAGCTTTCTTTGCATTATTAAGTCATACTTTTCTTTTTTTGAATGAGCTCGGATACCCATCCATGGCAGGCTTCCTCTTAGAAAATACATAAAAACAAAGCCAAGTCCTTCGATATCATCTCTGCGGGACTGCTCAATTCCGAGATGGGTGTTAACAGCTGCATATCTGGCAGTGCCAGTTAAACTTTTGCCTTCTCTATATGGGATATGCTGCTGAGTTTTTGGGTCTCGATATTTCTTAGCTAAGCCAAAGTCTATGATAAAAATCTGGTTTGCTCTTTTGCCAAGTCCGATTAGGAAGTTATCAGGCTTAATGTCTCTATGCAAAAAATTCTTAGCATGGAAAAATTCGACTCGAGAAACCATCTGATCTGCTAACATTAAAACAGTTTTTAAAGAAAACCTACGGTTGCACATTGAAAATAAATCTTCTAGAGAAGGGCCGAGTAGATCTAAGACCATTATGTTATATTCACCTTCTACTCCAAATCAATGAATGTTTGGGATCCCTACACCACCTTGTAAGAGGCGATATAGTTTAGATTCATAAAGAAGTTGAGGGTGACGTGAATCAGCACGCTCAAGCTTAATCGCTACCTCTTCGTTTGTTTGAACATTGGTACCAAGATAAATTTCACCGAATGAGCCACTACCTATTTTCCCACCGAGTCTGTATTTGCCAGCTATGCGAATGTTGTCATTTTTGAAGCTCATTTAAGATTATATGAAATTATCATTGTTTACTTAATGATAAATAGAGGTTTCGTAAATTTTGAGAGAATTTGTATGAATTTTTATATAGGAACAATAAAAAATGTATTTTAAACTAAGACTTTATTTCAGTTGGCAATTTAGCCGCCAGATATTAATTAAAAGCATGATTTATAAGAGATAATTTATAAATAATTAGTATTATTTATTCTAGTTTGGATTGCTTAATAAATGAAGACTATTTCTCTCTATTGACAAAAAGGATATTTACAAAATTTTTTAATCTTATCTTATTAATCTAATAGCTCAGCTTTCTAAAGATCCTTATGAGCCATTAATTAATTTTATAAAAGAGATTTTACTCTAAAGAAACAAAGTATTAAAATTTTTGAATAAAAAATTAGAATTTCTCAGTATTAGTATTTAAACAATTGATTTCAATTTTCAAAAAAAATCTATTTTAATCTAAATAAATAATTATGACTGAAAAAGAAGCAGTCTCCATCAATCAGCAGCTTCACTCAGGCAATCAAATTGCTAGTGTGAACATAAGCGTTAACCTCAAAACAGGAGAAATCTCACGTGAGCGTGCAAACTCTGATGTTTCCAAAAGTTTTAGGTCATTAAAGAAATCTTCCTCACTTTCAACCATGTCGGGCCGAGAAGAAACTCTCTTTGCTAAGCAAGCAGAATACCAAGCAAAACTCAATCTTAAAGTTTTAGAAAAGCAGGCCAAAGAAGTATAGTAATTGCCCGAGGATGGCGCTATCTTGCGCCATCCTCGAGCAATTCAAAAATGGCCCCACACCGGGAATCGAACCCACGTGTGGGGCCATTTTTTGTATGTGGAGAACATCGACTTCCACGTACCAAAAATGGCCCCACACGTGGGTTCAATTCCCGGTGTGGAGCCATTTTTTAAATTGCCCGAGGATGGCGCAAGATAGCCCCATCCTCGGGAAATTACAATAAGTGAGCTACGACAAGCTCCAGAAATTAATCCTAGGTCGAGAAAACTTGCTGCAAAAATAAAAGATAAGCAGAACGTCGAAATTAAAGTACAAAAGAAAATTGAAGTTATTGAAAAATCCAATCGAGCATCTGGATCGCTTAGAATATCAACAGAAAGCCTTCTGGACTCATTGAAAGCCCGCCCTCATTCTTTTGGCACTAACGAAACAGACCAAAAAAACCCTACAGTAGAAGCCAAAAATGAATCAATTGACAAGTCAAATTTAAGTGTCATTGACCGCACTCACATCTGGCTTGAAAAGAAAAATTCTAAAATCGAAGAAAAGAAAAGCAAAAATAAAAACAAAGAATTAGACGAGTGCACATTTCAGCCTCAGCTCTATGAAAGAATTCTCCCAGATGCATCTTCTATGTCAATGCTATCGGACTCCAAAATCTCTCAAACATCATTCACCTCATTTTACTCAAGAAAAAAAGACTATGAAAAGAAGCATACACATTCTATGTCTGGTATAGCACCACAGCAGAATGAAGAAGAAATGTCAGGTTTAGCCAGATTTTTAGCAAAAGGCCCTTATGATGAGAAATCTGATGTTTTGACTGATTCTTTACAAGTCACTATGCCTAATATGAAGTATACTCCAATTACTCCAGTCACGAAGCAGTTTAAGTTCAAAACTGGGTTCAACGAAAGTTCATTTAAAAAGAACGCGAAGCCTATGTTGGCATATAGACTTGATTAGCCAGCTTAGTTTAATATAAAATTATTATTAAAATATAAATGAAACGAGGCAATGCTTTTGTGCCAAAAATAGCTGATGACACTTTAGTGAAAACCTCAATCCTCGTCCGTATTTTAGCATTAGTTACCTTACTTTTTATAATTCCTCTAGAAGGTCTCTTAAGAGAAGTCTTATCAAATTGAGGAACAGGATTTATTTATGATCTCCAACAAGACCGAACTGATAGTGGAAAAGATTTTTTTAGGCTGGTTTCTTATCTCGGCACAGAATGAATGCTGATTGCTGTAGCACCAGCTTTTTATCACCTATGTGATCCAAGGAGAGGAATTAAAGTGATATTTATTTCTTGCTTCTCAATGTACTTGTATAGCTTTATTGCTTTATTTTACAAAGAGCCACGGCCATTTTGGGTTGATGATGATTTAAGAAGGTAATTATGAAAAAAAACCTAATGTGTAAATTACAGTAAATTTGAAACCTATGATAGTGATTGTAAATTTTAAAAATTTTAAATCGCATGAAAAAAATCAAACAGAAAAAAAAATTTTTTTTATACCGTAAAAAACTCCACAGTCGATTTTTTGTTATTTTCGCTGTTAATTAATGTTATTAATAACTTATCCGATCGTATAAAAATGGAAAAATCAATGCTAGATAAATCATAATTAATAATCTATATGATTGAAATAAAACAATAAAGGAACTTTATCGCACCTTTTCGGGCCATATAGGGAAAACTCCTATATTTTTTTTCATTTAAGTTTTTGACTAAAAAAATGACTATAAAACACTCCAAAAAATTTTAATAAAATATATGACATATAGTTAATAGTAATTGCAATTTTATGATGCTAAATCATATATTTTTTATAGATAATCCTAATGATCCCTTATCTAAGCAACGACAAATGGATAAAAAAAACTAAAATGATTTTAAATAAAAAATAATAAGAGAGCCATTTAAAATTTTACTTTCTAATTCTAAAATTCCCTCTTCGCCATTGGAGAGCCATAGGAAAAAATTGATTAATTATTAGCCCTTTGTTAGGAAGCAAAAAAATTAATATCATAGAGGTAATAATAATTTGATATATAATTAATGGCAAGCACAATGAAATCTTTAGCTAATTCTATTAAACTTTAGAAAGCTGATGCTACGAAACATAAATTTTTATCATTAGATAAGATTCTTGATTTCAATATTTACAAATTTGGATTTGAAAATCCAGAAAGATTTTACTATTATTATTAATTATGATTGCATCTATTATTGATTCTCCATTTTATACGATCGGATAAGTTTTTAATATATTTAATACCATTAATTCATAATATCTGTTTTTGCAAAGGTTTTTTTTATACGAAAATGACAAAAAATCAACTGTGGAGGTTTTTCACAGTGTGTTTCTTCATGCAATTTTAAAAATTTACAGTCACTTTTATAGGTTTCAAATTTACTGTAATTTACCCACCAGATTATTTTTCATGACTACCCTTTAAGAAGTGTGCTATGCAGGTCAGGCTATGCGAATCCAGCTGCAGAAATTTTATTAGGTTCCGTATTATACTGCACCACTGCGATTGAATTTTTTCACCGCAGCAGATTTCGAATTCTTGCTTATTCTTTGACAGTAACTCTGCTTATCCTTTTAAGCTGCGGCACCGTATATCTAGGAGAATATTTCCCGCATCAAATTTTTATTACATTTTGCTATGCTTTTATTTATTTGACAGCTTTATTTGTGTTTGACAAACTTATGATGGATTTTACATTAAAAAGCTGCTTTAATTACAAAACTAATAGAGTTTATGTGGTTTATTGATTTATTGTGACTATGTTTTTATTGCTAGGGGTAGTATCTATATATGATATTGTTACACTAAATCATGCGACTGATATTTCATGGATAAAAAATGCGACGACACATTGTAACTGGAATTATGATGTAGGCGGGGCGTCTACATTTTATAAGTCTGCTTGGATTTTTTATAATTTAGGGTTTGTGACTGGGTCTATGTTTACTGCAAAATATTTATCGATGTTTTGGGGGTGCACAAGTTTATGGAAAAGTTTTCTCAGGTATGCGATTTCTGCTGGTATTAGCATTGGAATATATAAGCTGTTCAGCTTAATAGTAGCAGAGGACACCACAACAGAGTACATGTGAAAATACGCCTTTCCGTTATTTTTAATTGCTTATATATATTTTTCTATGAATATTTATAGTAAATCATAATTAAATTGGCTCCAGCTTATTCATATAAAATAAGTTATACCCAGTGCTGATGAATTATTATTAATTTTAATGAATTTTATTAAAATTCAAAATAATAAAATATAATATATATGTGCAGGACTTTTACCACTATTTTTCTCAAAAATCCAATTAGCTTTGGATGTCCCTCCAGATATAGATGAAGAAAATGAGCTTAAATCGATAGGCAAAACTAAACGTAAATTATAACTAATTAAATGGAAAATACGCGTACCTCTGAGTTTGATTTTTTTAATTTCGAAACCAAAATAAGAGGAATTGTATCAGAACTTATAGCGCCTACATTAAGGAGAGTTACAAATCATGAAGAATCTATTGACAAGCTGATAAAGCATGATAATTCTGCTCAAAAAAGACTAGATGAACTTGATTTTATGACTGATAAAACATTGAAAAAAGTAATCACTATTGATGAGCTGAGCAAATCACTTACAGAACTAACTCCCCATTTAAGAGTGAGCAAAATTTGAAGACTCTCCTTTATGGAAAATTAGCACTTTTTAAAGAGCGTAATTTTTTTATTGAAAATATTTTTATATGTATACAATAAGACAATAAGCTAATTATATAATAAGTAGATAGTTTGCATTTTTAAATATAAACTCTATAATTTAAATAATTTTTTTTATTTCAAATTATATTCTTTAAAATCTGCTATTAATTTTCTTAAAATAATTTACCCCTTCTTAAGAGCGACCAGAAAACCTTGGTCTCTTTTGCGTATGTGGAATGAGAAACCAAAAAAATACCCAAGATGCACATAATATGTTTAGGTTTGAAAGCCTTCAGACTAGTGTTGACAATATAAATCATTTATTTGAAAATATTTTAGTCAACTTTTCTTCTTTGCAAGATTCTCAATTGGGAATTCGAAGTTTAGTTGAGGAATTTAAGTATAGCTTTCAAAATGATATAGCCTATAAGCATAAATGGATCTTCCTAGACTTTGAAAACTCCCAGAGTTGGTTATCTAATTACGGCTAGAAAACAAACTTAGAGAGTTATAAATTGAAGCCATTTAGGCTCTCGCCAAATCTCTGAACTGGTTTGCAAGCTTAATTTAGATAAGCCAACTCTTGAAATTTCTTGGTCTAGAACGATTAATAACCCCTCCTAGGCTATAGAAAATCAATTACTGAAGAAAATAATAAAAATAGAGAAGAAATTTGAAATTGTTGCAATTTAATTCGAGAGGATTGAGAAAAATTTAGAGATCGCATTGAAGATAATAAAAGACAAATGGTTGATATTAATGAAAATGTTTTGCCTGCAGTAAATAAAGATGTAGAGATGCTTAAAATTAAGATAAGAGAAGTAAAACAGAAAATAGAAAATAAAAATGAAGAAATCGAGGATAAGGAATTGATAAGGCTTAAGAAACAAATACAAAAAGAAATAGGTGTCTTATATGAAGAGATTGTTGAGCTTACTCCTCCTCCGTTAAGAATAAAAAAGTCTGTTAATGATATAAGCATTTTATATAAAATATTTAATTTATAAGTATTAATTAATATAGTGAAATTTGTATTTAATTCTATAAAACTATAATTTGCATTTTAAAACTACATTTTTTAAAATTTTATCATTTTTTTTTTTCTTTTCATTTTTTACAAGAAAATAAAAATTTAAAACATTTTGCTCGCTCACAAAGAATTAGAGATTTTAAAAATAAAATATTAGGGTATATCCAAACTCAACTGCCTATAGAAAGGCTGCATGATATTTCTGAGTCGCTGAGCGTTTTTCTAGGCTATGAGGATTTAGTAAATTTCATAAATTATGAAAATTCCAAATTGGAAAAGCTAAAAACTGAGGATGGGAATAAACTGACAATAGGTGAGATAATAGAAAAAACAAAAAATAATGTTGAAAAAATTGACGAAGTCAGAAATTTACGATTAAATAATGCCAAGGCTGCTGATGAATCTAAAAAGGCTCTGCTAAAGAAAGAAAATGAAGCTATTATTAGAAGTCATAAAAGCCACAGATCATTAAAAAATGAAAATTCATCAAGTCAAATAAAAAATAACATAAATTCATCAGAAAATAGTCTGCCAATTAAAGAAATAATTGAGGAGACCTATGAAAATAAAAAAATAAGAGATCTTAGCTCACATATCAATGAAAATTTGGCTGGAAAATTCAAAGAAGACCAAGAAATTATAGATGAATTGCCTTCAAATTCTCAAGTTCTTGAAATATCTGAATATATGCAAAACAAAAAAACAAAAAACAGGCCTAAAAGAATAAGGCCTACAAAAGCAGCTAAGGAAAAAATTCTGCCTGGTTTAGCTGTGCAAGAAACAGATCATATAGACAATTATCAGGAAAATAAAAGTGATGATTATATTCAATCACCAGAAAATAATCCAAAAAACAAACTTCTAAATTCTTCAAATTTGCAAATCAGCTTTACAGAGGCTCCCATTCAGAAAAAACCATCGAACTTGCGAGCTCAAGAAGACCAAACTGAATCTTTAAATGAAATTCCTAAAAAATCTGAAAATCAAATGGACAGACTTGATAAAGAAAAACTACCAAAAACAGTGTCTCTAAAACAAAGCCAGGATAAACCCATAAGCTTGAACCCAGAAAATGAAAAGCCTAACCAATCTGCAAAAAATACTCAACTTTCAGACGCTAGTTTTGTATTTCAGCACAAATTAGATACTAATCATCCAATAGAAGAGCTAAAAGAAAATATCAATATCGAAGAATTTTCAACCGAAAGCAACAATCCAAAGCCAGAAAACCTTAATTTGACTGAAACTGATCTTTCCTCAGAAGAGTCTTCAAACAGCCTTGATGAAATTTATGTCCAGCTTGATGACCTTAAACTCTCCCTCAGCCATCTCTTAATTTTCAAAGAAGAATTCGAGGCTCTAAAAATTGACTTCATCTATAAAGCTGACTTCGAGAATCTCAAAAACGACCTAGAATCCACCGTTTTATTCTGCAAAGCATCTCTAGAACAATTCAAAAGCGAAATTGACTCAAATTTTGATTTATTTAATAGTGAATTCAAAATTATGCTAAAAGAAAGAAAACAAGACAGATATGATATACAAAAAATGATTTCCCAGACCCAACAAGAGTCAAGGGATCGTGAAAAATTAATGGCAACTATAATAAGCCAGGTAGAAAATATTAGTGAGCTTGTAGCTAGCTTAAGCGAATTTTGTAGGGTGATGCATACGTTGATACTTCAAGATGAAGAAGATAGGCAATCTATTCAATTAACGGGGTATTCTGACAGCTCTACTCCAAGACTATCAAAAGGAGTTGTTTCTTTAAAACCTGAGTGTATTACATGCACAGGACAAAACCCATTGCTTTTAAATGCCTTTAAATTGGCATGCTTAAACTACTCGCCTACACCTGTAAAATATAGGTATAGAACTTATAACAGAAGGCAATTAATTCAAATAATGGGAAGCTTCTTAGGAAGTGCATGGAATTCTGCGAGCACAAAGCCGCCTTATGACTCTGGGTCTTTTAAAACTTTGAATGATTCAGATATTTTGCCTGGCTCAAAGGGTGCTAAACATAGGGCATCAAAAAGCCAGCATATAGACTTGCCAAGCATAAATACAAGTAAATTGTTTTTGGATATTCAAGAAACATCAAGAAGTTATCTTTAAGGAAAAATATAAATATTTCTATTACTTTTGTGTCAAATATAAGATTTATTATCGAGCCTTTTTAATATTTCTTTGATTTTAAATGTCAAGCATAATTTTCTTATCTTTTTACAAGAAAAAGGTCATTATTTAGATGCTCGTAAAAAATCTCTAACTCCCCCCTTTGTGTGAGTGAACAAAAAAATTTTGTTCTCTCACGGAGGGGGTTTAAAAAAATTTATATATAAATTTTATAGATAATATTGTTTTCAGAAATTTAAAAAATTCCTAATTCGCAAAAATTGGGAAGCAAATATTAATTTAATTTAAAAATTTATGTTTTAAAAAGCAATTTGTTTAAAATTAAAAGAATTAGCTCTAGATTTCATTATACTAATTATCACTTATATATCAAAATTTTTTTTCAATAAAAAATTTTTGTTCGCTCACGGAGGGTGGGTTTTTGGGATTTTTCTAATTTTTTTGTTCACTCACAGAGGGGGGAGTAAGTTTTATGAAATAAAGAGCATTAATTATATTTATGTCGCGAACAATACTCGACACTGAACCTGGCTACTGGGAAAATGCCTTCAAGCTCTGGCATACAAGCTACAAGGACTCAAAATTCAGAAGCGGACTCATTCATAGAAGCCATTTATGGGGAGAAGTTGATTCTCATGATTTGAAGTACGTCACATCAGCCCCATCAACCAAAAGACAAGAGGCCAGACTTTATGCCCCACCTAGAGGTATTCCATACCCACGAGAGTGCGCAAAACAAATTAATAAACTGGTCCAATGCAAAGCTAGCTACGGAGTTCACAGCCCTGCTGATGATGTTCCTCAATGCAATCAATGGAAAGGTGTTATTTTTGAAGAATGCCCTCACTGGGTTGTAGAGAATTTAGCTCTGAAGAAAAAAGTTGCGAAGAGATATGAAGATATAGACAATCTCACTTATCAGAGAGCTATGGAGATATCAGACTATAATAAGTAATAGATCTTCTTATCGTCAAATTAGATAGAGAATAATCACTTTGTAATAAATTTTATTGTATTAATAAGTGGTTTAGGATTATTTATTTAAAATAATTAAAAATAGATTGCTTATTTGGCTATTAAACCAATTTATTAGGCAATTGTTGAAGTTTCAAAAATAAGATCTAGTATTCAGCCTTGGAAAGGTCATTTGAGATACTCTTACTCTCCCCTATAAATGGGAACTAAAAATTCTGTTTCAATTTAAAGGTAGCTTAATTTTTTTTAAATAAAATTATATTTTAGAATCTCTATAATTTTTTAACAATTAAAAATATAAATTGAATGCAATGTTTTTGAATTTTAATTTATTTTTATATATAATTAATTTAAATTATTAATCATTTCTGATTGCCAATGTTTTCATTTAAAGTAAAAAAATTCAATCAAAAATTTTATAAATGAAAATAATAAGTTTTGTATAAATAGTTTTAATCTAATTTAATGGAGGGACAGAATACTATTTACGGCTGCTTAACAAAAAAATGGAAAATTTACCTGTAATTTGTGTTCCAATTTAAAGGAAATGGAGTCAGTGAAAATAATTTGAATTTTCACCAAACATGAATGTGTAATAAATAATATAAAAATGAAAAAAGTGGTTTCTCAAGAAAATCTAATATCTTTGCAGTCATACCGCACATTTTTCGAGTCAACAAGTGAATCATCAACAAATAGAAACATGATTTATAAAACAATATCAACTCCTCTTTTTGAAAAACGAGAAAAGCGAAGCCAATTGTCTACAAGATCGGCAGGAAGAATAGCATCTCCATCCCCAGTGACTATTTCTAGTAAAATTAAAAACCGGAATATACATCAAGATATCCAAGTTACCCCAGAGCTTGCTTCTCAAGTAATTAAACAATTTCTCCTTCCTATGTTTGAAGCAGATGGCCGTAACATAGCTGCTAAAAGCAGATCATCTCTATTTGGGGTCAATTCTAAAGAAAACTCAGAAAGAACAGCGAAATGCAAGCTTAAATCCTCCATAACAAATTCTTTTTTTTTTAAAATAAAAAATTATAAAATTAAAATTTTTTTATCCATTTAATAGGAAAATTAGTGATATTATTTCAAAACAATTAAACATGACTAATAAAGAGCTTGAAAATCTAAAAAACCGATGAACTGATGCAGAGCTAGAAAAAAAGCGAATCCAAGCTGAGATTGATGAAGTTAAAGGAAACTTAATAGGCAGCATTTGCACGCTGAATAATCTAAAATACCAAATCCAAGAAACCAACAAATCAATGAAGTCTGAGCAGCTCAATGCAAGCTTAGTCAATCAACAAATCAACGAATATAGGCAGCTTAATATCAAAAAAGAAGCAGATCGAATTGAAAATATTGATCAACTCAATAAAGAAAGAATTCGAAATAAAATGCTTGGCGACAAAGCTAATGAACTTCAACACTGGAACGCAGCCTTACAAATGCAAAATGATATCATGGGAGAAAGGCTCAAAGGGCTTTATGGAGCTTGTGAAGACTTGTGTGGCAGCGAAAAAAGCACTGAAAAAATTGATAATGAACATCAAATTATCAGAAAACGATGCGACGATTTGTTTGGTTTTTGAGTGAAAACTGAAGAAGATGCTTTACAGACAACTAAGAGCTGCATAGAATTTATATTTCAAAATGATACAACTTCTACGAAAAGGCTAGGATATAGAGATGAAGTCAGACGATTAAAAAACACTATGAAAGAAATATTAGGCGCTATGGGCAAAAAAGTCTCCCAAGCCAAAGATGAAAGAGACACATATGAAGAAAAATGCTCACAAATGGAAAAAAAGTTCAAAGAAATAAATGAAAGCTATGCAAAAGTGAGGCTCCAAATTAAAGAAATGAACGCTAACTACTCCCAGCTCTATGAGCGTACAAAACTTTTAGAAAAATCCCTATTTTTTGGGTAAAACCCACCGTCCGTTGGAGAACAAAAAATTCTTTAATATCATAAAATCTCTTGCTAACTCTGTTTAATTTTAAAAAATATTTTAAAATTAAATTAATATTGCTTCCCGAATTGGGATTTTTTAAATTCCGAAGAAAAAAAATTAAACCATCTCCGTAAGCGAACAAAATTTTTTTGTTTGCTCTGGAGGGGTAAGAGGAAACAGTTTGGCTTAAATGAAGAAAAGTTATGCAAAAATTGCAATAGACCTTTTTTTGAAAAGGACAATTACAATTGATCTTGTCTAAGACATGCTGGCAAATGGAATGGAATGATGTACTGGTGCTGTGGAAATATTAAAGAAGACACCCCTGGCTGCGTGACTTCTAAGCACGAAAGCAGAGATGAAGACGAAGAAGAAGAAAACGAGCCCACAGAAGAAATTGAAAAGAAAAAATACAATAAAAGATGCCCGAGCTGCAGAGAAATCGGACACTTGCCTAGCCAATGTCCTAAAGATCCAAATGCTCGAAGCAATGTAAGCCAAACAGAAGAGCTCGACCGAATTGTATTAGCTAAAAGAAGAAGGGACAGGATGGGGAACATGTCTAATGAAGTAACCTCCAAATTAAAATCAATGAACAAGCTTAACCAGCTTGGCGAAATAAAGACTATGAGGAGCAATTTTGGCTTTGAAGATATAGAAGAGGTCAGGATGGCAGCTGTGACCTCACCCCCTATCAATGTTTTTGAGATCGCCAAAAGGAAATCAGAAAGGTCAACTACTATTAAACATAGAAGACTTACAAGGACCAATATCAGTCTGAGCAAAGAGCTAGCTGGGATTATTGATTCCAATAATGAACTTACCCCTAAAGGGTATGAATTAAACTCGTCAAGAAGATCCAACCTTAAACTGTCACCTATAGACACAAAGAACCCAGAAACCACTTGTGAAACAGAAAAAGGGTATTAGTTACAAATAATAAATTATGTTATTTTAAATAAGGATTTTTAAGTTAACTTAGCCTCCAATTCCTGCAATAGAGAGAACTGAACTGATGGAGCCGACTAGAAATAGGACAAAAAAGCCTCCAAAGATTATTATGAACTGCCAGCTATTTGGCTGATATCCCATGATCTTGCACCGTAATAAGGCTATATAAAAATTACCTGGGAGTATAAGCACGATTATACCGCAGCAAAAACCTCCTAAAAATCCGAATAATACTGTGATTGCAGGATACACAATTGCGATCCCTAAGGAGGTCAGTAGTAAGAGAAGGGTGACTGATACGTGTCTAGATAGTTTTTACAGTTTGGTTGAAGGGGTTTCTATCTTTAGCATGTTCTTGATTATAGTTGTGCGGCAAGGGTGGATGTTGATGGGAACTGCGAATATTAATGTAATTGACATAAAAATTTTGGAGATTACCATTGCTCAGTCATTTTTGATATCTGCTGGGGTGTCTCTCATAATAATCAAAGTTGGAGTATCATCTAGTGCTGATAAATAGCCATAAAGTCCTAGGAAAATATAAGTTAGTTAGTTAGTTTTAAATGGCCATACTGGGTGAACCAGCGGACCACGACACCTCAACTCGAAAGACGACTCCAGGCCGGGTTCTGATACGACCATACTCCTAGGCCCGACGCCATCTTGTTTTCTGTTCTGAACCACCTGTCCAGAGGATCAGCTCCTCAGGGAAGAGCCACTTCTTGGAGAGTGCCCCGATGGTCCTGAGTAGGTAAGACATGTGGTAGGAAAAAACCTGTCTAGCCCATCTGGCAAGGATAGGAAAACCTTCGGGGGAGAAATAAAACTTCCTTTTCGGCACGGCTTCCCCACCTCTGAAGGCCTACTTAAGGCAGGAAACGAGGCCCTATATTTCAGCTTCATCAGAAATGGGTCCTACCAGCTCCATAGGAGGTGTGCCTCAGAGTCCAATTTCCGTCAGCATCACCATTTTATTTCTCTTACTCCCTCCCTCCGTTAGTGAATAAAAATATTTTGTTCACTCACGGAGGGGGTTAATTTTTTTTTTAAAAAAATTTATAAATTTTATAAAACATTTTTTTTTTTTCGAAATTTAAAAAATTCTTAATTCGCAAAAATTGGAAAGCAAATATTAATTTAATTTATAAAATTTAAGTTTTAAAATAGCAATTCGTTTAAAATTAAACAGAATTAGCTTTAGATTTCATTATACTAATTATCACTTACTCCCCCCCCCTCCGTGAGTGAACAAAACCATTAGAAAAATCCCTATTTTTTGCCCAAAAAACCCACCCTCCGTGAGTGAACAAAAATGTTTTTAATAGAAAAATTTTTTTATGGAAAAAAAAATTTGATATATAAATGATAATTATTATAATGAAATCTAGAGCTAATTCTGTTTATTTTTAAACGAATTGCTTTTTAAAACATAAATTTTATAAATTGAATTAATATTTGCTTTCCAATTTTTGCGAATTAGGATTTTTTTAAATTTCGAAAAAAAATGTTTTTTATAAAATTTATATATAAATTTTTTTAAAAAAAAAAAATTAACCCCCCTCCGTGAGTGAACAAAATTTTTTTGTTCACTCACGGAGGGGGGGGGAGTTAGGGATTTTTCTAATGGTTTTGTTAACTCACGGCGGGGGAGTTAGGAAAATATAAGGAATCATGATACTGAGAATTGTTCGGAAAGAAATTTTTTTGATGCGGCGGAGGTTGCTATATTTAAGTTCTCCTTGGACCTGAGCAATGTTGGTATGGCACGTAAATGCATAGAGGCAAAATGCGTATATTATTTGTATTAAATAATGTTTTATTAAACAATAAAATAATGTTTTATTAATATAAATAAAAAACAATACCCTGAAAAAACATTGACATTTATATCAAAATAATTGACTTCTCCAATATTATTGTGTTCTTCAAAGAAGTAATATTCTGATACCAGCAAAAACGTGATATACACCAGTGTAAACGCACTTAGCATCGCAACAAATCTGAGTGAGCTTAGATTCTTCATCAAGCCTAACGGGATCATAATAAAGATACAAGATGCGCACATTATTACAATTCTCGTCTCATCTGGGCTTGTATTGATGCTAAGAGACCTTGCTATGCTCGGAACAAAAGTTCCTATCATAATTTGATAGCCTATTAAAGTACCATAAACGTATAAAATAATCGTAATGTCCATAAGTAGACCCCAATTCTTCCCTAGGATTGTCCGAACTAAATTGGGGTAATTGTAGTTTCTATGCTTATCAGCTGCAAGAGCAATCCCAATTAGACCATAGTAGCTTGAAAAAGCTCCCATAAATATCATAAAAAGTCCTAAAGTGATGCCTAGTCATTTAAAGATTAAAGGGATTGTCAAACAGCCTGCACCGATTGCTGTAGAAATTAAGGCGAAAATAGAGCCTCGCATAGACCCAGGCTCCATTTTGCCGATGACTCTGTCTGTCCACTTGCGCTCTGGTCTGGTTGGTTCTTCATTATCATTAAGCGGTTGAAGTAAATAATCTCTGGAATTGTCATATGATCCGACTGAAGTTTCACCCATTTATTTAATTCTAATGCCGGGCTTAGATATTTTTCATAAGAATTTAAGAAAAAATATAGAAAAGCCTATATTTTGTTAAAACTAAAGAAAACCATTATAATTTGTAAGCAGGCATCTGACAAATAGTATTATACATTATTTATTTCCTGTCTCTTTATCTTTATTTTCGGATTCTGGGATATCCAAGGACTCTGCTATATTTTGATTTTCCAAAATATCAAAATTTATATTTAGGAATCTTCTAGCTGTTGTTAAAGTTTCTAGGCTTATTTGATTTATTGGTGGCAAATGGTCTTGCTTTTCTTGATTATCGCTATCTATTTTTTTTATCAAATTCTGCACTCGGTCTATTAAGTTTGTATTTTCATCTAATTGTCTCCTTATAGTGACCATTTGTTTATATTTCATTTTTTCGGTGCAAGTTATTTTATTGGAAAATTCTTCCCCATGTGTAATTTCCTAGGGGATTTTTGGTAGAAAATTTTTCTCGTGAGATGGAAAGTCAATAAAATTCGATCAAATGTCTCATCAGGAAAATATTTCGGCCAATAATTCATTAAGAATTGTTTCACGAGGAAAACTTCCCATCAAATAATATGAGCCTATTTTTTCGCTATACTTAAAATCCTCCCTTTCAGATTCTTCATTTATTTCTGTTTCTATATCAGCAATTTCCTTTGCTATTATTTCTTTAAATTCAGCTGCACTTAAAGTCTTAATAAGCCCACTGTGATTTGCTTTAAGCAAAGCTTTCATTTCTGCAAGAGCTTTGATTATTTTCTTTTCTCTTTCATCAGCAAATTCAACGATCTCTTTTCAGATTGCAGGAAATTCAAGCTGAATTTTTTCGATAAGCTAAATAGGTGTTACCTTTTTGGTCATAACTAATATGACAGCATCAGCTCCTGCACAAATATTATATTTCCTAACTAATCTATATTTAAAAATATAAAAAAAAAATATAATTAACATTATTGCCTATTTTTAAAATAAATATTATGGCTTAAATTTATCGAAAACAGAAAGAACTTTCTATATTTTTTGGTATTTTGCTTACCCGGCCTAAAACATAATTTAATTATGGTGTAAGGACATTTCTAACAACTTCTGCGTCTCCAAAATAATGGCCTTCTTGGAGAACTCTGTATACAATATTGTCCTCTCCATAAATAAAGCATGCTCTGCCTGAGGCAATAAAATATAGAAACCTCCTTGGAGTGGCGCTGCAAGCGCAGGCCACTCCATGCGGAATTCATGGGTTGGTCGAACCAACGCACAGTTTTGGTTCGACCAACTCCTATGTTGGTTAAACCAACACAGGAATTCCGCATGGAGTGGCCTGCGCTTGCAGCGCCACTCCAAAAAAAGAAGTATATATATTATGAGGAACTTCCCCTTTGCGGCAAATCATTTCATTTATTCCTGCTATCATTGGTTGTAAATATGGCACAGTCCCAGCAATAAATGTGTAGTCTTTTAAAGTGAAAAATGAAAATTTTTTTATGATGCCTTTATGCATAGTCAAAGCTATATCATATTTCAATTTTTTGGGGAATTCATTAAGCAAATCTTCTTTATCATCAGAAGAAATAACAACTTTTTCCGTTCTCACTCGAATTGTTTTGATCATTTTTCTTTTAATATCACTAGATATTTCAGTCTCCCTCGCATAATTATCAGATACCTGTATTTTGTGGTCTATTATATTTTTCATAATATCAATATTAGAGTACATTGACGATAAACTTCCTATGCTAAATGATATAAAATAGACAGCACAAATCATCCAAACCATAGCTATGCCTTTTTCGAAATTTGTACGAGGATTTATATCGCCATATCCTACAGTTGCTAAAGTTGTCATTCCTCAATAAATACTGGCAAGATATAGCTCTTTGATAGGCTTGTCCATATATCCCAGTCTTACAACCCAAGTATCTGGGCTGAAATCATCAAATCGAGCTGAATAAAATCACATACATCCTACCAGGTGAAGAGATACTGCAATAACTGATAAAGCGCTTATTAGGCGAGTAATGCTATGATTGATATTCAAGATTATTTGAATATTTTCAAAGTTTTCACTTGATGTTTTTTCTTTAACTCCCCCCCATCCTTGATCGAACGATTCACTGTAAAATTCCTAAAAAATTGGGGAAATTAACCCCCATCCTTGATTGAACGATTTTCATATCATGCAATTTTTTATATAAAAATATATTAGTTATCAAAAGCTTGGGAAGATGTACCTAATGAAGTTGTTTTCAGAGACTTTAGACGACAAAAAGCTACGGAATCAACCATCCGAAGTGATTTAGTCATCAACCTAGGCTTAAAAACTCAATAATCTAAAAAATAGAGATTTCTTTAAAATTTAAAAACAAAAAATTTAATTTAATAAGGAACAAATTAAAATTTATACCGTTTAAAGGGATAACTAATAAATCAAAATATTAAAAATTGATATTTTTATGAAACTAATTCAATTTTTTGCTGTAAAAATAATTATTAAATACTCTTAACCCTCTTATTTAAAAGTAAATAAAAAAAATATATATATTTTATTTTATATATAAAATTTTTTTTCCCAAAAAAAAATTTTTTAACCCCCCATCCTTGATCGAACGGCTCGCCATCGTTCGATCAAGGATGGGGGGAGTAAATAATTTTGACAGTTTGGTAAGCCTAAATAGCCTTGGGACGGATTTAATTTTAAAAATTTTGACAAGCTGGTTCATCATCCGCCCATGGCTTTCATAATCTAATAGGACTTCAATCATCCCAAATGGGATTGAAGCAATTAAATCAAGTAGAAGTCACCCGCATAAATAATTCAAAAAAATATGCTTGAAAAGTATATAGGGAAACTGAGGATAGTAAAAGGAATTCTATTTTTTTTAAAAAATAAGGAAATTAATAAAAAATTATGTGGAGATATAGCTAATTATGAATAGACTTTCTTGATGTAATAAGAATATCGTCCTTATTCAGATAAGCAGTATTTAATTGAATTATAGTGTCAGCAAGAAATGACATATCTGTTACAAAATCAATTCAAAACCAAACATCCCAAGTTTTTGTAACCAAAAATGCAATAACAAATGGTGTGACTAGTGCTGTATAAAGCAGCCAAATGCCTATATATAAATCCCAAAATAATTTAAATCATCCACTCGGGTTAATTATATATTTTGGAATTATTGGGTTGTCACGGGTACTCCATTTAGATTGGAGCATAGAATCTGCCTTTGCCTTATAATATTCATCTTGAAGTAAGCCGTCACTGGTTGGGGAGAAAAATGCACTTTCGTCTTGTCCGTACTTTTTTATATCATTCATAAGGTTTCTCATTCGGATATCCATCATCACTTTCCATTTAATTCTCTGCCAAATTCTCTTATATTTAGAAGTAGGCTGCTGGTCATTTTGAATTTGTTCTGCAGGCTCAGTTGAAAGAGTCAAAACATAGCTGTCATGAGGCTTAAAACTGTCGTTTTTAATAGAATTTCTTCTAGTTCTGGGGACAAACGAGTCTTCCTCCATAGAAATTTTTGAAAAGTCAACGGGTATCACTTTTTGGTTTCGTTTACGAAGTATACTTATGATACTCTACATAGATTTTACCATTTTGTAAATTATTTAAAGAGAATTAAGAAGGATTAAGCTGATTTTAATTTAAATCTTGAGAAATAAAATGATAATGAAATTATTTTTATAAAATAAATATAAAGGCAAAGTCTCAGCTTAGGAATTTATTGCAAACTGCTAAAGTTTAACTGTAGAGGACTAATAAGTGCATAACGTAAATATTAGGGATATTCTTAAAAATAGGCAAAGTTTTCTCTTATAATAACAATAATTATTTATTTTTTTATACATTTAGCATTAATTAAAATATAAAATTCCTATCAATGGGATGGCTCTTTCTGATAGTTTGCACTTTATTAGTGCTTACCACAAGTGGAGATGAAACCTACGAAACTGTTTCAGTTGGCATAACCCGCTATGTTATCCAAACTGAAAGCTGAAAATATTTTATACTACAAGGAATCGTTTCACAAGATATTTATTATTTATCTATAAAGCTTCAGCTTGACTCTGGATTCCACTTAGCTTTACTTGCTAGAAGAAATAAACCTCCTAGTTTAGAAAAAAAAGGTTTTAAAACTGATTGGGCTGATATGGATAATTACTATTTATCGTACTCCTCTCACAATATCGTTCTTGAGCCTTTAACTTATGATTCTCAAACTTTTTATATTGGTGTTTATACAAATACAACAGCTGCTGTATCTTATAGACTTTCAGCGGTCCAAAAGTATAATAATGCCTGTCCTAATGATTGTTCAGGTAAAGGAAATTGTAATAAAACGACATGTGGATGTAATGATAACTGAATTGGTGTTGATTGCCATGTTAATGCAGATTTAGTTTATCTGTCAGGGTATCAAAATGTCGATATATATGAAAATAGTTTGGCATATGCATATTATACTTTATTATATTTTTTTGCAATTTTTCTAGGTTTTAGTATTATTTTTTGGCATTTAAAAATATAGTAAATTAAGTTTAAAAATGATAAATTAATATAAAATTATGGAAATTTTATCAAAAATCATACAAATTCACGTCAACTGACGATGAAATTCAAGTGCAAGTTGAGCTCGCCAACGCTGACGCAAGCACAATCACAATTTATGCCAAACCTTCTTCAGGATATGACACTTTATTGCCAACTATTTACGAAAATAAAATTAAAAAAACAGGCAACTCATTTACATTTACCTTCAGTAAAAACGGAAACACAGCGTTCTATTTTTCACTTGAAAATGACTCAGAAAATTTTATAACAGCTAAATTTCTGCTTTCTCAAGCAACTAGCAGTGGCAGTGGCTCAGACCCTTTGATATTTTATATCATAATCGCCTGTTCCTCCCTCATTATCGTTGGCTGAGTCGTATTTGCCCTGATTAGAACCTGGAGAAGGTCCACTTCTATAGCAATTCTTGAAGAAGAAAATCACAACCCAGAAAGGGCCATAGAGCTAACTACAATAGAAGAAAATTTCCCTGAAAAAGAGTATCGTCCCACCAACTCTGAGTCATTTCCTTGTCCTATCTGTTTAGAAAGCTTTTTAAAAAATGATAAAATAAGGGTCCTTCCTTGTGAACATGTTTATCATAAAAAATGTATAGATGAATGGTTTTCAAGGAAAGCTTATTGCTGCCTCTGCAAAAGAGATTGGAAAAATTGTGATACTACTATGATGACAAGAAGGGATGAGGATACTGTTGGGGCTACATTTCATCTCAATGCTACATTTAATGATGGGAATAATCAAAGCAGGGCTGTTAATGTAGAAAATGAAGAGAGCGCTGAAATGCCTATTGATGATGTTTAATTCTTGGAATTATTTAATATTTAATGTTTTTTATATGTTTTTGCATTTAATTTATAGCTTTTTACAATCAGTGAACTAAGGCCATTTTATTGGGTTTACAATTGATATATTAGGCTAAAATAATTAAAACAATATATTTATAAAAATAATTTATAAGAATTTTGTTAATAAAATCGATTGTGTTATTAAATAGAGTATAATAAATATTTAGCATAATGAGCGAAGTAACCCTTCATTACTTTGGCTTATATGCAAAAGCAGAAGTAACTCGAATGATCCTGCATTATACCAATACTCCTTTTAATGATCGAATTTACAGCGACGATGATACATGGCTACAATATAAAAAATCAGGACTTTTTGAGTTCGAACAATTGCCGATGCTTGAAATAGATGGACTTAGACTGGTTCAAAGCTTATCTATAGAAAGATATTTATGCCAAAAATTTGGGTATTACCCTAGTGATCCTTATGAAATTCATCTCACAGAGTCTTTACAAAATATTTGGCAAGATTTCATTCAGCATAAAGTAGAATGAACGTGAATTAAAAAAGACTTAGAAGGATGGGATAATTGGTGTGATAATGAATTACCGAGAATTATACAATCAATAGAAGCAAGATATATAAATAATGGATGCAATGGCCACTTTGTAGGAAACTCTACGACTTTAGGAGATTTTTGCACTTTTAGGTCGCTTTATGATCATTTCATGATCTCGCCTTGATCTGAAAAAATGATGCCATTTCTTAGAAATCATGCACCAAAACTATTAGAATTTGCAGAAAATTTTTTGAATTCTTCACTTTCACTTAAAAATTATCTAGCAAATAGACCTGAAAGGCGATTTTAAAGATTAATTAATATTTACATATAATTTTAAGCTAAATATGATTAAAATACGGTATTTAAGTTTCAACATGCTCTAAAACAGCCAGCTTTGCTTTTATAGACCCAATAATCAATTTATCTACATTTTCTGCTGTTTCAATCGTTTTGTAATCTCCAACATTTTTTGGAATTAGCAGCAGTTCTTTTTTCCTGGCTTCTTTTTCTAATAATTCTGCCTTTTTCTTTATTTTTTTAAACTTTTCTTTGGAATTATCTGCACTCATCAACTCGTCTTCCCAGTTCACGTCTATTTCATTGCTCACTTTGGAGCCATTTTTTTCCTGTTCTTCTCTTGCCTTTCTTCTTTCTCCCAAATAGTCAATAAATTTAGGTTCTCTAGTAGTTTTTACTTCTGTTATTGCAGGTGTCTCAATTTTCTTTACCTTAATTTTTTTTTTCTTAATTTTCTTTTCTGTATCTGATAAGCTTTGGTTTAGTGAAATACGATTATTTTTCTCATTCCATTTTTCTACTGGGTGCTTTAGCTTACTCAAATCAATTTTTGTTTTTAGCGGGGTTTAAAAAATATCCTGGGAAAATTAGATAATTCTTTTTTAACTATTATTAAAATAATTTTGTATATAAAACAGTTTATGAACTAGAAATAAGAGATAGAGGATGCAGTGTGTTAGTAAATATGCTAAAACTGCATTAAAATTGTTCAGAGCGATTATATTGCTATATCTCTAATATTAATTATAGATAGTTTTGAGGCTGGCTAGGAGTAGGCTTCATGCTGACTATACGAGAATCGTTTTATCAAGGATAAGGAGAGTTAGAAATCCTATCCTCCAGCTCTTGCTGCTTAAATTTATCAATTGTGGGGCTGAAAACCTCTTTGACAAGCTCTGCATATTTATTTCTTTTTTCTATTTTTTTAATCTTTTCTAAATTTGACTGTGAAGAAGCTTTTCTCAGCTGTTTTTCTTCTTCTAAAGCTCTTGCATTTCACATTGTAGAGTTTCAATTCATATTCCCTTTAGTATTTTCAATGCTCTTTTTCAAGTCTTCTTCAATTTTCTTAATTTGTTCTTTCCTAATTGTTTCATATTTTCTTGCATGATCTTGTAACTGTTCTAAATTGATAGGCTGATAAAGCATTCTTTTTTTCGCTAATTCTTCTTTTCTTTTTTCTAATTCCGGCATTTCTATTTCTGCTTTGTACTTTTCTTCAAGTTTTACAAATAGCGGCTTTTTCTTTTGTAGCTCTTCAAACTCAATTTTTCTTTTTTTTGCTTCCTCGAATTCCTTTTGCCGCTGCAGTTTTTTTTCTTGCATTTTTTCGAGCTCTCTCATATATACCGTGAGCACGGTTATAGATCGACCTTAGAACCCCCCTCCCCTCTTCCCCACCCCTGGCAGTTTCAACTTTATTGAAATCTACAAATTAAATTTGACTTGTCAAATCCTTAGTGAGGGATTTGTCATTTTGAATTAACAATGTCGTTCAAATTTAAACCGTGAGGGGGTGGGGGGGGGAGGGAAGGGGGAGTTTCAGGTCGAGCCATACCTGCTCTGGAGGTATACTGCTCTTCTTTTTGCTTTTGTGCTAATTCTTTTTCTTTATTTTCAACCTCTTTATCTTTATTAGCTAGCTTTTCAATTTTTTCAATATTGCTTTCTATTTGCTGCTTAAGCCTTTGCTGCTGCAAGTAGTATTTTTGTAGCTTTTTTGTGGTTTCTTTTGCTTTTTTCTTCTCATTGTCAAAGAACTCTTGCCGAACTTGTGAATTTTGAAGATTTGGCCTTAAAGAGTTTGGCTTAAACGACGGTGATTCTGGGTTATACAAAACTTCAATTTTCCCTGTAACTTTATTTAGCTTCTCTTCCAGCTCTTTTTTCTGTCTTTTTGCTTCTCTAATTTGTGCTTTTTTCAGCTTTGCCTCAATTTCTTCAGGCCCGATTTCATTTATGATAGCCTCAATGGGAGGTTTCAATAATTCTTTTGGGACTTCTTTTGCCTCTTCAAATTTCATTGCGAATTTTTTATTGATACTCTGCAAAGCTGAGGCGACTTGTCCTGAATTATCAATTGAAATTAGTATTTTAGATAGCTGATTTGCTGCCATGATATTTATATCAAAAACGCCAATATGAAAATAATAAATGGGCTGCGCAGATAGCAGAGAAAAAACATCCTCGCCAGAAGAAGAAAGAATTATTGCAGTTGCAGAGGATAGGCTTGGGTTTAAATTTTTAAATGCCCAATGAATTGATAGGACGATCCACCGATATTCTATATCTAATAAGCTTTCTGAAGCCCAGTTTTCTGCTGCTTTTAATGAATTAAGCATTGATTTGGCGAATTTTGAAGAAGATATGACCCCGTTTAAAAAGTTTTATAGTGGATTCTTAAATGATGACAGCTTAACTTATTCTGCACAACAGCTCAGCTCGCTTGGGATTTTGCTTGGAAAAGGCAGCGCTAAAGATAAAGCTTCCCTTTTATTTCAAAATTATGACGTTGATTTGTCGAAGTCTATTGATTATGATGAATTTGTAATCATGCTGAATGAGCTCATAGAAATCGGCTTAACAAGGATCCCGAAACTGGCTTGGGAGCTAGCTGCAGAAGACGAGAAATTTTTGTTAGGAAAATACATGAGGAGGCTTGAAATCGCTAAACCCATTGTGAAGAAGTTTTACGTGGTCATGATTCACCGAGACAAAGAAGCCGAGCTCTCATATGACGATTTCGTTAACATGTTTTCAAAAGAGGAGCTAAAAATGATGGTAAATGCTAAAACGTTAAGACAGATAGCGATTCATCATTATAATACAGTAATTGCCCCTGCGAATCTAGTGAAATGTTATGTATTAGCAGAGATGAAGGAGTCGAAAACTCTTCTTGACTCTACTAAAGGGGTAGAAGAATTATAATATTAATATCTTGAATTAATTACATTTGGGTAGCTTCAAGACGGTTTACTTCTGAAATCCCTATGAGGGTTTCGTCATATGTCAGCATTTCAGTCCCTGACGTCGAATTCAAAACGTCTAATTTTTCTTGAATTTTGGCTTTAAACTCTGCAAAAGGAGTTCTGGACTCTCTGCTCAATTTTTTGGGTTTTTGTAAGATTGTGTAGCAACTGATGTTTTTTAGAGAAAATTCTTTTCAGTTAGGACTTGGCTGGGTTAAATAAATACGAAATTCAGTGAGGGAGGAAGGGTCATAATTTGTATTGAAGAAATGGGAGGGAATTATGCACCAGTTTTGAGAGTCGTTTTCAAAATGAGGCCATTGGGTTAGCTTGAAGTCGTGGAGGATTGTTCTTCAGAGTTCATTTTGTTTTTGTTTTATTGAAATGGAGGCGGTATAATGATTTTGGAAAACAATGTATTCTAGTGGCCCTGGCGTTCTGAATGTTAAAGTAATATAGCAAGGGCAAGGCCTTTCACCCACCATAGTGACACTTGAGACTGTGGTTGGCAGCAATTCACATTCATTTCTATCCATTTTGACAATTATGTAGTTCTCTGTTTAAATATCTGAAGGTAATAAAATTGATATTAATAATAAAGAATAATTAAATATAACAGATTTTGTTATTGATTCTTAAAAACTATCTATTCCAATTTAAAAGTTGGGAGTGATTAATTTAAAAATTATTGAAGATCTATGATAAATGAAAAATACATCTTTTAATTTTCATTTTAAAATATTCAAATTTATAACAACATAGAGCTCATAAATAGAATTAATGAAAATAATGTTTTAAAGAAGGAATAATAAATGACTATATTATTTTTAAGGTAAATTTGAAATTAAATATTTTTTTAAATATTTATCGAGGATTCTTAAATTTTTCTTTCTTGTTTCTTTTAGATTATGATATCATATTAATTATATGTATATGTCTAACGCCTCATGACCAATTAAGGCTCTTAGAGCACAATGGTATATTATTCTGTCACTTAAAATGGCGAACTATATAGACGGAAATTTGATCAGCCCAGACACCTTATCGGTAGACTACTCCTGCTTAGAGAGTTGATGTTCGAGAATAACTCTGCTCATACAGGTTTCACTAAAGGTCGCCTTCCTCAGTTGTTCATAGCGAAACTATATTTCTTCAAAATGGCTAAGCAGCTATGCACTCTAGCATTGCTTATATAGTGTTGTTAGATTAGGATTTACTGGGAAAACGAGCCTAATAATAACAAAATGTGCTGCAGAAGGTGAAATTTCGCTGGGGAGATTCACATACGCCGTTTTTATTATAGATTATAAGATTGGTATATTTTATAATGATATTAAAAGCATATTAATGCTGAAACTTTATTTACTTGATAAAGAATCTGCAAGATTATTTCATAAATAAGTGATCTGATATGCCATAATAAAGTTAAAGCCTATTTATTTTATATATTTGTATACATAAAATGGCTAAAATGTCTGACCGTCCTTTTGCATGGCGGTTAGTCATTTGCGAGCCATAAGTTGGCCCAGAAACATCTGGCGTCCAGAAGCAGGAACTCAAGCACAAATCCACTTTTAGTGCCCAGATCCAATGGACAGTTATTCTTACTTCTTTTTGCCAGCAGCAACCAAGCCACCACCCTAGATGGAGCAAGGTGATTTCCTTGTTCAAGCTGAAACTGCGTTTTGCCCCAAATCGAGAAAGCGGTTGAGTATTTTTTCAGAGATATCTGAAAAATGGGAAGCAAATTATAAATCACTTATCTAGGTAGTCTCTCCAGTTAAGGGTCTTCGGGCGATCTGGCCAGAGAATGATGGGCAGGGCAAGATAATTAGACAGGCGAAGGGCCAAGTTGGAAATGGTGGAGCCATTCAAAGCTCATCTACCCAAAGGGCAGCCACTGCCGAGAAACCAGGGGTTTGGCCTGGGTTTGGAGTTGCCAGAGGTGGAAGCCACCCCATTTATCTTGTGCCGTCAAGCGGCTCAAAGCCTCGCAGAATGCCATTCCGTAGAACTAAAGGGGCCTTAAATATGCAGTATACTCAATCTAATTTTATATATTTATAAATAATGTGTAATCTCACGGAAAATCCCATCCGGCAGCCTCCTAAAAATGGGGAGCCTGCATATCATTCTAGCATATATTATCCCTTTTCTTCGTTCCCACAATTTATCTGCCAAAGTAGCAAGCTCAAAGCAAGTACCAATTTCTAAAACTGCAATTGCAGCATATAGCTTATTGTTAATAAAAGCTTCTTCTTTAAAAGCAACACCAAAGTTTTCTCCATCAATGCAAAAGCTAATTTCACCATTCAAAGTATGCTACTTTAGCTTAATTTTTACAAAATAATTTAATAATAAAATCACAATATTTAAAATGGCAGTTAGAGATGGGGCCCTAGACCTGATCCATCAGGCTAGACCCATAACCGAGCTTAGTGAGAGAAGTCATGGCTTCTTGAGAGTCTCGGCTTGAAGAGAAGTGATCTGTCCTGAGGCTGGCACTGATTAGAGAAGTCTAAAAAAGGGCTTAATAACTTAAGGGTTCGACGGTTTGGCCGATTCACCTACTGTTGTTCAGAGCTGTTGTTGTAGCTGAACTTCAAGTAAAGTAGACTTAGAAGGCACTGAATGTGCAAGATAAATTCATTAAACTTAAAAAATAATAAAATAATATTTTTCAAATAATATTCAGCGTAGCCTTAACTTCAAGAGGATATCAACAATTACACCAATTGTTCCTCCATTTTTAATTTCTTTGCCATATTTAATTCCTGAGCCACTACTTTGGTGCCTTAAGGCTGAGTCATAAGGATAGAATGCCCAACCATTTGAGTGATCTGAAAAAGCATTAGATAATTCATTTTCTACATTCATGCAAACGCCAATTTTTATCTGATCTTTAAGTGTAAAAGTCCTTCCTTTGGTTGGCATTGTATATTGTACCTCAAAATAGCTTACTGTTTTAAGTGGAAAACTCTCTTTAGAATAAGCGGATATAGAGCTTCTCCCAAAATTTCCCTAGAAAATGATATATATCTTATAAACTGGGTTATTATTATAAAAATCTATACAAAGATGTTTGATCCTGATTTCCTGATTAATGTAATTTTTCGGCCATCGTCTCCGATTTCAAAATCATTCCTGCTGTTTCCATAGGATATCCAATGTAAGTGTGGAAAATTCATTCCATCACAGAAATTTCTGATCATATTTAAAATAATATGTTGCAAGTATGGAAAAATAGATTTATTCTATATAGCAGATACAGGAAATTTAAAATAATTTTAATATTTTTTAAAATTAGAAGAGATTTAATGATATCATTTTTTTATCAAAAATGATACGAGCAGATGTGCTATTTTTTATTAATAAATGTGAAAAAGAATATTTTTAATTAGTGCAATTCATTTTAGCATGATATAAGTATACTTTATCTGGACCAATGGCCAATTAAAAACCTATTTTAATATCCTTAAGCAGCTGCTAGCTCTCATTTATAATTAATAATTTAAAAGCTTTAAAAATTTGATGCAAGCATGATTATTCGCATTTATATATAATAAATAAAGTATTTTTATGATAATCAATATTTTTACTTAAAACACCATAAACAATTTCTTTATTTTTGTGTTGAACTGACTTGGGCTTGCACTCTATTTGTTTCCCCATTATGTCTTAGCTTTTCAAGAGCCCCAGAAAACCCTCCCCACCCATATTTCGGATGCAAACTGACTCCTCTCGCTCCTACTTTTTCTTTTAAAAATCCCAGAACCCTTGCAATTTTTTCTTGATCCATTTATTAATTATAGTAATTCCCTCAATTATGTCAGAAGTGAAAACAAAATCCAATGAAAGAAGCTCATCAAGCTCAAAGCAAAAGCGATACCAAGAAGCAATTGATCAATTTGATAGTTATGAAGCCAAAAGAAATATAAGAGACAGACTAAACCGTATTTCTTCTACTCCTGTATTATCAGGACTTCCCAATATGAATGACTCAAGTTTCGCAAAAATCCCAAAACCTAAAATATTAACCTTAGAACAATTTAAACAAAAAGTGACATTAGGGAAGCTAAATTCGTCGTTTTCTATATCACAAATGCCAGGAAACTATGATAGTCATAAGCTTGATATGAGTTTGACGAATTCAAATGATACATCAGTTTTATCTTTAGTGAAACCAAAAGCAAATATCAAGAAAAGAAGACTGCCAGGCATTATTGATAATAAAATAGACAAATTAGAGCTAGAAAAAAAATCAGGAACCATAACCCAAATACCCCAACAAATTATAAATAACCCGGTAATCACAGATCCAGCAGCAAGAAAGCTTAAACAAGCGGACTCAAATTTAATAATCAAAAGAAAACCTGCAATGAAGCACAAGCGGACATCTACCCCTACCAATAAAGATTTAAATCTAAGCCTAAACTCATCACTAAACCGAACTATGTCCCCTAAAAAACGAAAGCCAGATGACGGCACAAGTGGCTACTCAATAACAGTTCCTCTGCCACAATTTTTAGAAGAAAACCAGAAAGAAGTGTCTATATACGAAATGACCAAATTTCTACCATTAGAGCTATATGACCCCATATTGGATCCAGAAACCCCCAGAAAGCTATTAGAGCAGCTAAAAATTGAAAGTAAAGATGGCTTGGTCCATGCACATTCTAAATGATTTTTTGCTGATGGGACTTATGAATGAAGAGACTGCATTGCACAGGAATATGACGTAGAAAATGATAGGTTTATTATTATATGGCCATCTGGGAAAATTAAAAGGGTTTCAAGAATCAATCTGAGGTTCCCTTATGACAATGAAGAAGATTATGAAAAAAGGATTGACGAAGCCTGAAGGCATAGAGAAAATGCTGAAAAGGTGCTGAGATTTAACTATATGGTACAAATTACCAAAAAGGATTCTCCAGATATGCCACTGAGGATGCTTAAAAAAATTATACAATTTTTGCAAGGATTTTCAAAGAAAAATAAATTTCAATTAAGAAATCCATTGTTTTATGCTTTGATTGACCTTGAAGTAAGGCATCAGCCAAGACGATATCTATGGAAAAAAGAAAGGACACATCTTATTGATGAGTCTGCAGAATTCAAGAAAAAAGGATTTGCAAGCTGTAGCGAATATAAAGAAGATTATCTTAAAAAACTTCCTGAAATTGTAATTTATTTTTATTCTAAAAGAAGACAAATCCCAAAAGATCAGATTTTTTCTCTAGTCAGAGAAATCGAAGAAACTTGGACTTTTGCTTCGAAACAAATGGATTTTGAAGCTGACTTACCATTCAACACACAAAAGCAGGAGCTACTCTCAGGGATCCTTCCTCCTAGCAAGTTAGTTCCTCCATCCAAACTTCCTTATATTTCGCCATCTGCATCACAGCCTCTGCCAAAGCCTAAAAATTTCTTAAAGCTGCTAGGCTCAATGAATGGGCTTTTGCATCAGTCATTCCCTGACCATATTACAATTCTCAACAAAATCAATACCCAGCTACTAGAACTCGGACCCTTACTCCTATTCCCAAAAATCCAGACCAAGCCTCTAAAATTAGAAAAATTCGTGAGAGCTCATAAGCTAGAATCTATAAAATTTTTAAAAGAAGCCAGAAATGTGATGTTTGATGCCCAATATGACGTCCAGGATATCATAAATCAAGCAAACTTACAAAGAATGAAGAGAAATGAAGACAAAATCCAAGCCAGGGCATATGAGCAGCAGCATTTAGATTTAGAAGAGTGCCTTCCTACTGAATTTATACAGCTTATGCAACGGCTTCTGTCTGTTCTAAATACACAAATAGAAAATAAACTGAGAGATGTGATGCTGAATTCTTTTAATTTATTTTTAAAAAGACTAAGTGAGTCTTTAGATCTACTTCCTGACAGTTTTGAAGACTTAAACGGCGAAGAATTCAGAATTTTTAGGAAAATTAAAGGGAAATCTCAAGGGTGTATTAAATGTGAACTTATTATAATTGACCGCAAATTTTCAATTGAGCCTAATGGTACTGATTTGCAGGAAAATATTATGGACGTCTTAAATACAGTCATTCAGGATCTTTCACTACTTCCTACTCTTGAAACAACCTTAACAGGGCCAGTTCGGTCTCATAACTCTCTACATATTTTTGAAATAAACCAAAAAAAGCATCACAAAATGATGGAAAATATTAGCAATGCTCTAAAAAAACAGTTATATATTTTGCATTGTTTTGAAGTAATCCTTGAGCCATATTCTTATTGCATATCTTTAGATCCTCATAAAGTAAGAAAAAGGTTCAGCAAAGATTTAAATGTAGACGCTATTGAAGATGAAATTTTTAAAATGAAAAGAACTGAAATAGAAATAGGAGAATTCTTAGACTCCGGGATCCTAAAATTAGGAGTTTGGAGCATAAAAGTAGCGAACGCCAAAGAAGAAATCCTAGAAAAAATCCGCAGATGTGTAGATGTCTTACTGTCCTTAATAGAAGAAGACGTCCAAAAACGAATGAATGGCCTGCAAGAACTCCACGAAGAAAGCATACAAGTGATTGGACACGAGCCAAGAAACCTAGAAGAGCTTGATGGGATGAGAACTTTCCTTAACGTCCAACTCCCAGCCAGACTTGATTTCATTAAGCAGGAATTTGAAACTTTATTTACAGACATAGAAGTCCTTGAAGGCTATCTCCGACAAATCCCTTGAGAAATGTTCAAACAAATGTGAAACTGCTACGGCTACAGAAACCAGCTAGAAACAATTAAGGACTCCTGCATGAAATCAATAGCAAAAAATCAAGGCGTTTTTGCACAGCAGCTGATAAAAGACCAGACAAGCATGCTCGAAAAAATTGACCAAATAGAAGAGGAGTTAAAAGAGCTGAAAAAAGCTGACGATATCATGAAATTTGAAGACTATTCCTATCTGTTTGGGATCCTTAAAAACCGTATTCAGAACGCCAATGAAAAAACTAAAGTTATTAACTTTAGAGAAGGCCTGGTAGGGGCGAAACCGACTGATTTTAAACAGCTGGAGCAGGTAAAAAAAGAATTTAACCCTTATTGCAAGCTGTGGTTCCATATCAGAGATTTCTTTTATCATTCTCCAAAATGGTATAAAGGACATATGAATGAGCTTGATAGAGAAGCTATAAGTACTGAGCTGTCAACTATATTAAAAGAAGTATTACAGATGGAAAGGACTGTATTTAAAGAACACCCACAAGCATTAAAACTTACCCAGGAACTTCTAAAAAATGTCAATGAATTTAAGCCTTATTTGCCGATTATCAGACATTTAAGCAATCCTGGGCTTAGAGATAGGCATTGGGCTGATTTAGAAAAAAGAGCTGGTCTGCAGCTTTCGAGGCAGCTTAATTTTTCATTAGAATGGGCTATTGAGAATGGAATTATGAAGCACCAAGAATTAATTGAAGAAATCTCAGAACAGGCTACAAGGGAGCAGTCTTTAGAAAACGCCAAAGCAAAAATGGAAAGCGATTGGGACAATGTAAATTTGCAAATAATTCCTTTTAAAGGAAGCTATATTCTGGTCAATAATGAAGGGATTTGGGAAATGCTAGACGAGCAAATCATGAAAACTATTTCTATGTGCTCTTCACCATATATTGCCTTTATGGAAAAGGAAATACTGGTGTGGAAAAATAATTTATTAAGGATACAAGACGTTCTTGATGAATGGGAAAAGCTTCAAAAAAATTGGCAATATTTACAGCCTATTTTTTTAAGCAAAGATATTTCAAAACAGCTACCAAATGCTGCATTGAGATTTAAAAGCATCAACTCTCAATGAGAAAACCTTATGATTTCAGTCCACTCTAATCCGCATGTCCTTGAAACCTGCCTTTCTCACCTAAAACTCCTAGAGCAACTAAAATATGCAAATGACTCCCTTGACGCTATTTTGAAATCCTTAAAAGATTACCTGAATTCCAAACGAAAAACCTTCCCAAGATTTTATTTCTTGTCAAATGACGAGCTGCTTGTAATTTTATCCAACTCTCGTGACATTCCTTCAGTACAAAAATATATCGTAAAATGTTTTGAAGGGATTCGGTCTCTAATTATTAATGAAAATTTTATCATTGGGATGGACTCACCTGAAGATGAGATCGTGAATTTTTGCAATCCTATAGCCTTATATGAAGGGGAGGAGCTTAAAAATATTGAGTGCTGGCTGCTTGAAGTAGAGCAAGAAATGAGAAAATCATTAAAGATGATTTTAGTTGATAGCGTGCAGGATTATTCTCAAGAGAATCTTAAAGGGTGGACTGAAAAATGGCCCAGTCAAGTCATTTATGCATGCAGTATGATGCTATGGACATCTGATGTAGAAAACGCTATAATTACCCGAAAATTGGCTTTGGCTTTGAGAGAAAAAGAGCAGAGGCTAGATATTTTAGTAGAATTAGTCAGAAGCGATCTTCCAGCACAAGCTAGAATGACACTTGGAACTTTAGTCGTATTGGATGTGCACTGTAAAGACATTATACAAAATTTGATTGAAAATAAATATTTTTTTAATTTTTTTAAAATATGAAAAATATTTAAATTTTTCAATAAATTCCTAGACCTAAAATAAAGTAGTCAGCATTGAAGAATTCCAATGAAACTGCCACCTTCGCTATTATCTCAACAACAATTCTATCGAAGTTAAAATGCTCGATACACAAAGAGACTATGGCTATGAATATCTTGGAATTCAAAGCCGCTTAGTTATAACCCCATTAACAGATAGATGCTATCGAACCCTAATGTGTGCCCTCCACATGAGCTTAGGAGGCGCTCCAGAAGGTCCTGCAGGCACAGGAAAAACTGAAACCACCAAAGATCTAGCCAAAAGCATGGCCAAAAAATGTGTAGTCTTCAACTGCTCAGACAGGCTTGACCACGTCTATATGGCTAAATTTTTTACTGGTCTTTGCTATTGTGGAGCTTGGGCTTGTTTTGACGAATTTAACAGAATTGAGCTAGAAGTCTTATCTGTAATTGCAGAACAGATCTTAAGCATCCAAATGGCAGTACAAAGAAAATCACAGGTCTTTGTACTGGACGAAGAATTAATATCATTAGACCACAGCTGTGCAGTCTTTATTACTATGAATCCAGACTATGCTGGGAGATCTCAGCTGCCTGATAACTTAAAAGCGCTATTTCGGCCAGTCGCAATGATGATCCCTGACTATGCAATGATTGCTGAAATTTATTTATACTCATATGGATTTCGAGCTGCAAGACCACTCGCAATAAAGCTTGTGAATAGTCTGAAATTGTCAAGTGAACAATTAAGCACCCAACATCATTATGATTATGGAATGAGAGCTGTTACCACAGTAATTAGGGCTGCTGGGTATCATAAACAGATAAGCCCTGATGAATATGAAGAAAAATTGATCATGAAAGCAATATCTGAGTCAAATTATCCGAAATTTACAGCACAGGATAGGCCACTTTTCCAGGGAATACTGCATGATTTGTTTCCTAATTTTGAAGACAAAATTGTAGAAAATGCAAATATTGGGGATAGAATAAATATAGCTATAATGGAGCTAGGCTTTATCAATAAGCCAGAATTTTCAGAAAAGGTAGTTCAGCTCTATAACGCTTTACAAATTCGACATGGAGTTATGATAGTTGGTTCTACCATGGCAGGAAAAAGCTCAGTGATTAAAGTCTTAACAAAATCAGTCAAACTAAAAGAAAGCATAACAATTGGATATATAAACCCTAAAGGTTTAACATTAGAGCAGCTTTACGGAAGCCCTGACCCAGTCACTCATGATTGGAATGATGGAATACTTGCAAGATACATAAGGAATTATTCAGAAAATACTACCGATGCACATCAGTGAATTGTTTTGGATGGGCCTGTAGATGTGCGATCAAGCACAATTCGCAACCCGACACCCCCATCCCCCTACCCCATACCCCCACCCCCATAATTACCAAAACGTAAAAATTAATAATATGATAAATAATATTAGAAATATCTGTCAAATAATATTAGAAATATCTTTTATTACTGATTATTTAGCCATTTAACTAACTTATATTACATTTATTTAAGAATTATTATCCATACTAGCGAAGATGTCTATAGGTTTAAAAATTGCCCAAGCATATGTCAAGCATGTAATCAGTTTATATTCTTATATGCAATAGAAGGATCATAGAAGAATAAGAAAAAGATATAAAATTGAAACATAAATGAATAAGTATATAAATAATTAGATAAATAAGATGCATTTATGTAAAAAGGATTAAGCATTCTCGATCTGCTCAATGAGGCTGTATATAATTTTTTATATATATACTTAATCTGTATAAACTTTAAACCAATTTAGAAGCTAACAAATATGCAGAAGCAGCACCAATAATCTTTACATGTGAATAAATATAATAAATATGCTTTGCAAAATAAATCACCAAAAGGCTTATGAAATAATATAAATAATGAAAATGAAAATTCTTATTTAGAATTAATTTGAAAGTATATAAAATGGTGAATACTCGTAAAAAGGAAATACATTTCTCCAGGAAGACCATGCAAAAGGGTAAATCCTAATCCTCCAAATGATTCTAATATTAATAGCAATGATTTTTGCAGTATTCCTACAGCGGAAAGATCTGCATCAGATCAATCAATTCAAACAGATCCCTTACCCCTTCCAATTCCTCATGAATTACCCGGAGAAAGTTATACCATAATAATAAATGAAGTATAAATATAAAGAATGATAAACCAACAAATTTAATTAAAATTAATAATTTACATATGCAAATTCAATCTCAAAATGAATACAGCAATGAGCGGCACTCATTAGATCTATCTTCAAGTATTTCACTAAGCCAAGAGCATCCAATTCTTCCCTAAACCAAGTCACCCAATAAACTTTATTCGAAATTTATTAAATTAATACAACTATATTTATTAGAATTACATATTGTTCCCCTTTTTTGCTAAAAAAAAGATTATGATTTATTGATATAAATAACCTTTCCAAACTCATTTTATTAAAACCTTACCTTAACGTTCAGCAGCAGCTTCACTGCCACAGGCCTTATGGCCTCTTAATCATCATCTAGCTATTTTTATTTGCTTGAGTTCACTACCCCCTTCCGCTTTTTTCATACCTCTCTGCTCTATCTATCAGTATCCTTGTGTGGAAACCCTTTATCGCTATGTCCACCTCCTTAGCCTGCACCCATTTTCCTTCTTTCCTCAAATTCCCTATCATTTCCTCCATCTCCCAATTGTATAATGCTACTTTTGCAAGGCCTAAATTCCCGAAATTGACCCCAATACCGTCCAATCTTTTCGCCAATCTCTCTTTTTCTGCATCATGATTCTTTTCCTTTCTCCATTCTACCCTGGCTTTCTCTTTCAATGTCCCTTTCCTTTTCCACACCAGTGACCGCTTCGTTTCTTGCTTGCCTTTCATTTTCTTCCATCTCTTTTGCTTTCATTTTTGCTTTCCATTTTGCTGATTTTCTTGCTCCAATTTCTGCTTTTCTTTTCTCCTTGTGCTTCACTTCGTGCAATTCTTTTCCTTTCTTAATCATTTTTTCTTTTCCATAGCTTGGCCCATTAGCACCTATAGCTCCTGTTCTGCTCTAATCTTAATTTTGTTTTTTTGATCGACTCTGCATTGGAGAGTTCTCATCTCCAACTTGGAATTCAATTTTTTGGTTTTTCTTAAGGCGCATTCACCTTTTTGATGCCCGTCATTGTCTTTTATAAGTAAAGTTTGTTGATTTAAGGTTGATACTGTGACTAAGTCATCGTTTTCGGCATTTAACTTGTTGGTTTCTGATGCAAGGCTCATATTTTTGTCAAGGTCTTCGATAATTCTTTGGTCAGAGCTTTTCGCGGCAACCAATAGGATTGGCGCATTATTTAATTTATCGAGGATTTGCACAATTTCGCTATTATCTAGCAATTCTCCTTCAGTTTTTAATGATCTCAGTATCAGATCTTCATAATCTTCTTGTATAAAATATTCTTCACCAGTCTCCCCTCTATTTTCCAGTGTGTCTTCTCAGTCCGTCAACTCCTCCTCTAATTCAAGCTCTATTTCTTGATCTTCTTTCATATTCATATTCATCTTCTTCTTCCTCCTCCTCTTCATTTAATCCTTCCATCAACCCTCTCTCTTCCAATTCCTTTTCCAATGCCAATATTTCTCCATCAATGTAGTCCAATTCATCTAAAATAGTAATAATATCATCTTGTGGCGCTTGATATTTGAAGAATTCCTCATCCCTGCTAAATTCCAAAACTTGCTGATGCTTATTCTGGACAGCCTTGAGCCTTGTTATCCTCCCCATATTTCAGCTGAAAATAAAAGTGTCCATTTTATTAAAACAGTATAGTCATAAATAGGAATGAACTTAATTTAAGTCTCAGTTCAGCAAATGCAAATGTTGACACTTGAGAGTCAATTGTAAAATACTTAAGATAAAGAATTCATAAATATAATCAACATAATAAAGATGCATAAAAAATTAATATCAGTATTCATTGCATTTTACTATAGCAACATTTGATGAATTAAAAATGTTAGAAGATAAAAATTCAAACAGTCAGATAAGGGGCAATGACTCAAGCAATTTAGAAGAAATAAAGGATAGCAATCAGATGAGGATAGATGATGCTGGTTCAGAAGAATCTGATTGTTTTTCAGACTATAATGATGAAAACCCTTTTATTGAAGCATTACCAAAAGAAACTATAAAGTCCAATATAATAGCTGAAGATTGCTTAAATATTCAGCCCAGCAGAGGTATATATCCCGATCAATTTACACTTGTTCCAATGAAAGATGACGGAAACTGCTTGTACAGATCTATTTCTTATATACTTTCAAAATCTCAAGAAGGCCACATCAATATAAGAAATATGATTGCTGAAGCAAATGAAGAGAATTATGATAATCAGGTATGAATAAAGTTATATAGAATATCTGTTTAAAGAATATTTGCAGAAACTATTTATTAAAAAGAATATATCGAAAATTACTAGAAGATTTAATTGAAATTTAAAACAAATGTAGTTTTAATGATTACGTGCAAAAAATGAGAACAAATGATTTCTGGGGAGGAGATCTGGAGTTATATGCTGCTGCAGAGTTGTTTGGACTGACCATAAGAATTTATTCAGATTTTATGTCTAATCCCTGAATTATAGAGAGTGATTATCCTTCAGACAGAGTCTTAAATTTATGGCATATTCATAATAATCATTATGAAGTACTTATTTAGGATGGCTTTGAGCTAAAAAATATTGCATTACTTGCTATTCAATCTATCCCATTAGACAGCAAAGTTTATATTGATACCTTCAGTATACCTTCTATTGGTTACATAATGATAAAAAGAGGGGGAAAAAATAGATATCTAAATTTCATTGTATGTTGACTTATTATTGGCATTAATACTCTACCCCTTTCAAAATTTATTATATAATTTAAGAGAGCAATTTTCTTTGAAAAAAAAAATTATTTAATTTAATTTATGATTAATTTTATAATTATCATTTAAGATTAATATTGAATTAAAAGTAACATATTATTATGGGGGTGGAGGTGGGGGTCGGGTTGCGAATTATACTTGACCAGATGTGATTTGGATTGAAAATATGAACACTGTACTAGACGATAATAAAAAATTGTGCTTAAGCAGTGGAGAAATCATTAAGCTAACACCAACCATGAGGCTGCTTTTTGAAGTTGATGATCTATCACAAGCAAGCCCTGCTACTGTTAGTAGATGTGGGATGGTTTATATGGACCCAAATGAAACCCTTGGACCTCATTCTTTATTAAAAAGATGGCTAAATAGCCTTCCGCTTGGATATGATACTAATTCTTATGCAGATTTTTTTGAACTAGCATTTGAAAAAATCTTATTGCCTTGCTTATTCCTCTCTATAGGTAAATTTTTTAATTTTATAAATATTGACGGAAAACTTGTTTCAGTCAAAATTTAAAATATCTGATTATTTAATTTAAAGGCCTTATACTTTAAAATGCAAAATTTTAAAATATAAATTAAAATAATCATTATATAAATTTTATAATAATTTTTTCTTCAAAATTTAAAAAAATCCCAATTCACGAACATTAAAAGCAAAACTTAATTTAATTTGTAAAATTTATGTCTTAAAAAATACGAGCTGTTTAAAATTAGAGAGATTTCATTATACTAACTATCAATTATATATCAAAACTTTTTTTCATAAAAAATGTTTATATTAAAACATTTTTTTGTTCATTCATTCACTTACGGAAGGTGGTTTTTTTGGCAAAAAATAGAAATTTTTCCAATGATTTTGTTTGTTCAGGAGGGGGAGTTAGAGTTTTGGAAAACTGAGCTAAAATCCAGACAGTCCATACAAAGCACATCCTCTTCTGTAGTTTCAAGCTTTTTAAAAATTTTTGAATCACTACTGATCAGAGGCGGAAAATCTCGTCTTCAGCACGACCAAGAAATACAAGAAGAAAGACGAAAAGAACAAGAAAAGCTTGACCAGAAAAAAAATGAAGAAATTGAAGGAAATCTTATCAATTTATCCTCAAAAAGAAAAACAATTAGAAGTGTAAGCATAAAGCAAGAGGTAACAGCTAGCATTGCATCAAGAGAAAAACAACAAAAAGACGAAGAGCACTTAGCAAATCTAGCAACCTTAGCAGTGGTATGAAGCCTAGGTGGAACCTGTGACGAAGATGGCAAAAAAATGCTATCTGAAAAACTTAGAGCCGAAATGGTTAACTGAGGCTACGTAGGGCTGCCTTCAAACCTTTGTGAATCTTATTATAACAAAAACGAAAAAAGATGGATCCCATGGAAAAATTTGCTATCTACACTTATGCTGAAAGAAGAAAAAAATATTTTGGTACCGACTGTGCTTACTTTATCTTATGATTATTTATTAAATGAGCTTATACCTAGAAAAATACATATTTTGATTACTGGGGAAACTGGGACAGGGAAAAGTGTGATAATTAAAGCATACACAGAAAAGTTAAATGAAAAAGCTTATATGATTGGGACAACTATTTTTAGTGCCAGAAGCAGCTCAGACCAGTCTCAGGAATTTATAGAGTCTAAGCTTGTTAAGCGGAAAAAAGGCCACTTTGGCCCTGAAGTCGGCAAAAACGGCCTGCTAATTATCGATGACTTGAATATGCCTTCTAAAGACTCATATGGTGCCCAGCCTGCAATTGAAGTTCTGCGCCAAGCAATAGACAGAAACGAGCTTTATGACAGAAAAACTCTTGAACTCAAAATTCTTGAAGATTTAACCTACATCGGCATAATGGGACACCCTGGAGGAGGACGAAACCACATATCATCCAGGTTTTCTTCCCACTTTGTCCTCATGAATTTTTCAAACTACGACACCAATTCTTTATTTACCATCATAAGCACAGCCCTCTCAAGCAGTCTTAACGAGTACGCAAGAGTAATCGCAGACTCAATCCCACAAATAGCCAACGCAAGCATAAAAGTTTACCTTGAAACTCTACAAACTCTGCCTCCAACACCTATGAAATCTCACTACACATTCAACATAAGAGATCTAATGAACGTTGTCAAAGGGATCACAGCAGCGCCTCCTCAAAAGCTATATAAAGTAGAAACTCTTTACAAAATTTGGGTCCATGAGTGCTTACGAGCATTTTCTGACCGCTTAATTTGTGACGATGACCGTAGAAAGTTTATGTCATTGGTAAAAAGAAATCTAAACTTAGGCTTTAAGGTGTATTATGATAATGCAATAGAAGCAGAACCAATATTTTGCAGCTTTCTTGATGATAAAATATACCAAGAAGTATCAAACATAAAAAGACTTAAAGATTCGCTTGAAAACTCTTTAGAAGATTACAACAGTGCGACAACTGCTAAAATGAATTTAGTTTTATTTGACTTTGCAGTAAGGCATATAACGAGAATCAGCAGAGTTTTGACTTGAAACTGCGGAAATTTGCTACTTATTGGGGTAGGAGGCAGTGGCAGGCAAAGTTTGACAAAATTGTGCTCATTTGTGCTAGAGTATAAAGTTTTCCAGATTAAATTAACGAAATCTTATGGGTTTTCTGATTGGTCAGCTGATTTAAAACAGCTCATCAATATATCAGGGGTGGAGTGCAAACATGTGGTTTTTATTTTGAGGGATAATGAAATTATTCAGGAAAGCTTTTTGGAAAGCATCAATAATCTGCTGAACTCTGGACAAGTCCCGAATTTGTTTACTAATGATGAAATGCAAGGACTGACTGACAAAATGAGACAAAACAGGGCGTTTAGTTTGAAAAATGAACAGCAGAAATGGGAAGCATTTTTAGAGCTAGTTAAAAAGAACTTGCATATTGTACTTTGTATGTCTCCGATAGGGGATACTTTAAAATCAAGGTTGAGACAGTTTCCATCTTTAGTTAACTGCTGTACAATTGACTGGTTTAGTGAGTGACCATCTGAAGCATTATCGGATGTAGCAGCACACTTTATGGAAGAGGAAGGATTTTCTGGATATACACAAGGTCTAAAAAACGCTTCCAAAGTCTGTGTATATTTCCATCAATCAGTAAGAGAACTCTCTCAAGAATACTTACTCCTATCCTTGATCAATTCTATTGAAAATTCTTTAAAGCAGGAAAATTAATCCTATACTCGATCCAACGATTTTCATGAAATACTCCTGAGCTGCCTCAAATCTATCTTTGGTAGTGTTTTAGAGTACTACTCTTAAGCAATTATAATGCGTTTTTTAGAATATTTACCAATATATTGCATACTTTATCTTCTGTGGCTGACTCATAAAATCTTGATATATACAAAAATTTTATTATAATTTTTTAAAAATAATAAGCCAGTTTTAACTATAATCCTTGATCCAACGATAGTGGGTCATTTGATCAAGGATAGGGAGATTTACAAGAATACAGACGATACAACTACGTCACCCCTACACACTATCTCCAGCTCCTAAACAACCTCAAAAACCTCTTCCGAATCAAAGAAGAAACCACTATAAAGCTAAAAAATAAATACTCACAAGGCATTTATCAGCTAAACCAAGCCCAGCAGCACGTAGAAAAACTGAGAGAAGATTTAATTGCCTTAAAGCCCATACTTGAGCAAAAAACGGTGGCTGCCGAACAAATTGTCCAGCAAATCCAAAAAGAAAATGAAGACGCTGACCAGACAAGAATCATTGTAGAGTCTGAACAACAAGCATCACAAGAGCAAGCCGCAAAAGCTGAAAGGATCAAAAAAGAATGTGAAGAAGCTTTAGCAATTGCTTTGCCTGAGCTGGAAAGTGCAATAAAAGCACTGGATACCTTAAAAAGAGAAGATTTGAATTTGGTTAAAACAATGCAGCACCCTCCTGATCCGATTAGACTGACTCTTGAAGCTCTTGCTATTATGTGTGGGGAATCTCCAACAAGGGTAAAAGATACAAGTGATAAAAATAACTATATTCTTGACTATTTTGAGACAGGCAAAAGAATGCTAAATAATCCCAAATTTATTAAAAAACTGAAAAAATTCAATAGAGACGCTCTTACAGACACTGCGATTAACCCTCTTACAGAGTATATGGACAATCCCAAATTCCAGCCAAGCATGGTCAAAAATGCTTCAAGTGCAGCAGAAGGTCTCTGTAAATGAATAAGGGCTATGTACAACTTCTACCACGTAAATAATGAAGTAAAGCCTAAACAAGAAGCATTAAAAACAGCTAAAGAAATAATGAAAGAAAAACTGCTTCTGCTTAAAGAAAAACAAGAGAAATTAGACAGAGTGGAAATGTATATAAAGGAACTTAAAGAAAAACTTATGATACAAAATCAAGAAAAAGAAGCCTTGCAGAATGAGATCCAGCTCTGTGAAATTAAGAAAGAAAGAGCTGTTAAATTGATAGAAAAACTAGGAGGAGAAAGAGAACGATGGGGACAAAAAGTAGACGCATTGTCTAATGATATGAAAAATCTGTTAGGGGATATTTTGCTGTCGGCTGGAGTTGTGTCGTATATGGGGCCATTTATGTGGAATTATAGAGATCAGTTAATTATTTCGAAATGGATTCCGTATGTACAGTCATCAGCTTTTATAGACTGCTCAAAGAATTTTTCGCTGATAGAAACTGTAGGCGATCCGATCAAAATTCAAAATTGGACGATACATGGGCTTCCATCTGATAAAGTGTCAATAGAAAATGCGATAATTTTGAACCATTCTACAAATTGGCCTTTAATTATTGACCCACAAGGACAAGCTGCTAAATGGCTTACATGCCCCATTTGCTAGCTAATTAAACCATGGAAATAACCCTTTCATTATTGAGCAAAATTTTTTATTAATTACGTAAACTTTTAAAATCTGAATAAAAATTTTTTATTGAATTTAAGAGATAAACTCCTTTTGTGAGCAAAAACAATATTGGTTCCTAGCCTGTCAAGTTAGGAAAATGGTATATCAAGGAGATAAAAAGCTTTTAAGGGTAAAAGTTGGTTCTGAAGACTTTTTATCTGTATTAGAAAATGCGTTGTTTTTAGGAGCTTCTTTGATTATTGAAGACACTGGAGAAACACTAGATCCAATTTTGGAGTCTGTATTGCAAAAACAAGTGTTTATGGAAGATGGAATGAAGTCTATAAAAATAGGAGAAGTTACTAACTTTTTAAAATAAAAAATTAACAAAAAAAAAACTTAAAAAATCAATTAATAAAATAATAAATCAACTAGAGTAAGCAATACGATGACGATTTTGCTTTATACATGCTAACTAACCTCCCCAATCCTCATTATACCCCTGAAACTTCAACAAAAGTAACAATCCTCAACTTCACTATCACTGAAGAAGGCCTCAGTGAGCAGCTTTTAGCATTTGTCTGCAGAAAAGAGATCCCTCGAGACACAGAAGAAAGAAACAGACTAATAATCCAATCAGCAGAGTACATGAAAAACATGCAAGCTTTTGAAGACAAAATCCTTGAAATGCTTCAATCTGGTGGAGACACTATTCTTGATAATGAAGAACTCATCAACTCTTTAACAGAGTCAAAAAAAATGTCTGAAGAAGTAGAAAGGAAGCTTACGACTGCTAAACAATCAGAGCACAAAATTCAGCAATTCCAAGCAAACTATGAGCCAGCTGCAGCTTTAAGCTCGGTTTTATATTTCTGTGTAGCTGATTTAGCAAATTTAGACCCAATGTATCAATTTTCTATGGATTGATTTTTGGCACTGTTTAAAAAGGCTCTGAGTGAAGCTGAAAAAGCGAAAGAAATTCATGATAGAGTTAAACATATAGTCTTGAAATTTAGAGAAAAATTGTTTCAGACGATCTGCTCATCTTTGTGTGAAGAAGATATGATATATGGGTATGAATTAGTATTAATTATAAGATAACAACAGATAAATATATTAGAGAAAATAGTAACAGTCTTATTAATAGTTATTTTAAAATAATTTAAAAAACAATAAATTTTTATTTGTGTTTTTAATGGCTATTAGGATTATGAAACATAATGGAGAAATAAATCCTTGGGAATGGAGATTTTTCTTAACTGGGATGTGGAAAATAGCTGAGGCGAGAGAAAGCCCACTGGAGTTTATTAGTGATAAACAATGGCGAGAAGTTTGTCAGTTATCTGAAAAAGTTGAAGGGTTTGAAGAGCATTTGTTGAAACATAGCAATGCATGGAGAAATTTTGTAAATTCTGATAACAATTGGACATTTATCCCTAGCTTTGAAGAATTTTCTAAGCAAATTCCTCATCCTTATCAAGAGCAATAAGAAATAAAAAATGACGTAGGCGGAAGAAGGACTCCGAAACGCACTCCCTATGGAGCAGGTAGGGTCCATCTCTTTGAAGCTGAAAGCAGTGCCTCTGCCACTTTTGACGTGGCCTCGGGCTTGGGGAAGCCTTACCGAAGAGGAGTTTTGTTTCTCTTTCTAAGCTTTTCTGTCCCTGTCAAATGGACTAGACAGGCTTTACCTTCCAATTAGTCTTTGTCTATTGGGACTAGCGGGGTACAGGTAGGAGTTGGCTCTAAATTAGTAATGCTAGGCAAATTTACGTCAGATATGCAAGCTAGTAGCTAGTCCATTATGGCCTTATAGCACTTAACTTATCAAGAGCAGCCAGATTTCATGAAACTTTTGATATTAAGAGCAGTCAAGCCAGAATCACTAGGAGTAGCTATTAAAGCTTTCATAAAAACTGTATTAGGAGAAAGCTACTTACATCCTCCATTATTTAGCTTCCAAAACGCTTACAACGAAACTTCCCCTCTAAAGCCCTTAATTTTTATCCTCAGCAGCGGAAATGACCCTCAAGCCTTGATAAAAAGATATACAACAGAGCACGCCATCTACTTAACCACACTTTCTCTTGGAAAAGGACAAGGCGAAAGAGCTCAAAAAGCAATTAAAGAGTCCACACAAACAGGAAACTGGGTGCTTCTTCAGAACTGCCATTTAGCTATATCATGACTTCCTACCCTAGACAGCTTAATAGATAAGCTGCAAGTAGAAAACGAAAGATCGACAGTCCCAATCAACCCCAGTTTCAGACTAATTCTGACAAGCAGCCCTACATCAGATTTTCCTTCTAATTTGCTTCATAGGTGTATAAAGGCAAGAAGCCAATCTCCTAATGGTTTACTGGACAGTATGGTCAATACCTACCAAGGGATCTCTGCTTCTAAAGAAGAAAGCCAATTTTATTTTTCCTCAGCAAAGCCTAATATATGGGGAAAATTATTTTTTGGGCTTTGCTTTTTCCACTGCGTTATAAAAGAACGCACAAAATATGGAGCAATTGGATTTAACATCCCATATGAATTCAATGAAAGCGACCTTAGGATTTCTTCGAGGCAACTTATGCTTATGATCAATAATAGCGACAATATTCCATATGAAGCATTGATACATTTAACTGCAGAGTGCAATTATGGAGGACGAGTTACTGATGATTGAGATCGATAATTAAATATGGTGTTTTGGCAATGGCCTCCCGGACATCCAATATCGAGCTTATATTTAATCATATCCGGCAGGTTTTGCCAACTAATGGACAGCAATGCTAGTTAAGCAATTTTAGAAGTGTGTGGAGCCTAGGCCAAGTCCGCTTTCAGGTTTGATTTACCACGAAGGAAATGGAGGATTTGGAGTTGGAAAGGGGAAGCCCAGCAAGATCTACAGACAATTCCTAGATCAATCGGCAAATCTCTGGCGTGAAGCGGGAGTTACGCCCGGGGCTCGAACTTTTTCCTTTTCCCAAAGTCTGCCAGAAATTCTTTTTTTTGTGTGGATAGCCTTCGCTCAACCCAAGCAGCAGCCGCAGAAATCCATAGTGCAGCCACTCAACAGTGGAACCTCAAGGCAAGGAGAAACGCAAGATGAAGAGCGAGATATTTGATGTCCCTTAGCTTCAGGGGCGGATAAAGCAGTAAGATGGTGTCGATCATTTTCTCGATGTTGGCATCATCACAACTGGACTGAATTTGACCGACAGCGTCTCAATAGCATAAACCCTTAAGGGGATCCGTGGTGACTGCGTTATCAATAAGTGGAAGCCAACCTGTAATTAATTTTATTATGACTGAGATCGAAGACTTCTAAAAGAAATTCTTACATCATTTTATAAGCCTGGAATCTTAGGTGACCAAAATTTCAGTTTAACTGACCTTGTAGATGGTTATCATCTTCCTTCAGAGCTGAGTTCTCTAGAATTTATTTTAGACCACATTAGGACTTTTCCTGAAATGGAAAGCCCTGAAGTTTTTGGGCTTCACCCAAATGCTGAAATCTCAAGATCAAGAAACGAAGCCTATGACCTATGCAACCGTTTATTGTCCTTAAAGCCAAGAGCAGTAGAGTCTACATTTGAAGCAAAGAAAGAACAGTTATTATCCTTATCAGAAAAAATCATCAATAAGCTGAATAAGAAATTCGACATAGAAGAAATCGAAAAAAAATACCCATTGAGCTATAACGATACCTTAAATACTGTTCTCTTACAAGAAGTAGCGAGATATAATAATCTGCTTGAATGCATCATGAAATCTCTTGAAGAGCTAAAAAAAGCCCACGATGGGACTATTTTAATTACTGTTGAGCAGGAATCTTTAGGAGAAAGCATGCTGAAAAACCAGATCCCCAAGAAATGGAAACAAATTTCCTACCCAACCAATAAAAATTTAGTATCGTGGGTTGAAGATTTAAACAAAAGGATCCAGTTTTTTAATACTTGGATATCAGAAGGAAGACCAGCTGTGTTTTGGATCTCTGGGTTCTTTTTTACTCAGTCCTTTTTAACGTCGATTTTGCAAGAATTTGCAAGGCTCAGCAAAAACTCAATAGATTCCTTAACATTTTCTTTTGATATTATAAAAAATACAGCCCCAGAGCCACCTCAAGTAGGAGCTTATGTTGATGGACTTTATTTAGAAGCCGCAATGTGGGATGGTAATGGACTAGTTGAATGCTTACCAAGAATGCTATATTCTGAATTACCAATTGTAAGTTTTATTTAGCTATGACTAAAGCCTGAGGTAAAATCAGAAAGAAAGACTAAAAATGACTTTATTTATGAATGCCCAATGTATCGAACCCTTACTCGAGCAGGCACATTATCCACAACTGGGCATTCCACAAACTTCATTATGCCAGTTTTATTGCCTTCATTATATAAAAACACCCACTGGGTTAAGCGAGGAACTGCTTTATTTACTCAGCTTGACGATTAATTATACTAAAATTTCTGATATATCCTAGCTATTAATCTCAGAGACAATACTGTCTTAACTTAAGCTTTAAACGCTGCAGCTTTAAGCCCCACCAATTCAATTTTTTCGCCTCCATGCTTGGCAACTTCTTTCAGCTTCTCAATCTTCAGTCTATTTGCTGCCTTAAAAATTTCTATAATTAAAATGGCATTTGGTGTGAGAGAATAAGCTCTAACTTTCTCTTCCTCATGGTATTTTATTTATGAAATTCAGTTTACTGGTGAATCTTTTATCCACAATATCATGGATAATGTAAGAACTCTGATCCAGGGTAATTAGGAGGTATAGGGCTTTATTACTTGACATTTCTGAGCAGCGATATCCTTAGGCTGAGCACATGCAGAAGTCAAGTTGGAAAAGCAAGGCAACGCCGCAGTCTAGAAGTGAACTAGCCGTCACTTGCTTAGGATAGCCATTCGATCTGATAAAAAGGATGACGTCGCTAATTTTGCTTCCATTTCGGGCGAGCCTGGCAGCTTTTGTAATTACCCTTCAGATTCAGTTGACACGCTAACACTCTAACTCCCCCCCATTTAATAACGAACAAAACCGTCATTTTTTTTCCTAAAAATTTTTCCTTAGGCCCCATTTAATAACGAACAAAATTACTATAAAATTTATATAGGCTAATTTAGTCTTTATAGTTTACTAATTTTAAGTAGTTAGAATAAGATAAGTACAAATATAATCGAGCAAAGAATAATAAATAAGAGCTAATAAGTTAATAGTGGCTTAATCTTAAGCTGGTGCTTTACTCCCCCGCTCCGTGAGTGAACAAAAAAATCTCGTTCACTTATGAAGGGGGTTAATTTTTTTTGGATAAATTCTATAAAAAATTTTTTTTTTTTCGAAATTTAAAAAAGTCCTAATTCGCAAAAATTGGAAAGCAAATATTAAATGAATTTGTAGAATTTATGTTTTAAAACGTAATTTGTTTAAAATTAAACAGAATTATCTCCAGATTTCATTATAATAATTATCATTTATATATCAAAATTTTTTCCATACAAAATTTTTCTATTAAAACAATTTTATTCGCTAACGGAGGGTGAGGGATTTTTCTAATAGTCTTGTTCGCTCACGGAGGGGTGGGGAGTTAGCAATAGTTATCTTTTCGCTTTCATTTAGGCGCTTTCTCTTTCTGTTGCCATCATTTGAATCCTTTTATTATTAACTCTTTAATTGAAATTTTTATATAAAAAATTCATAGATATTTAATATAAATTTATATATATTTTTTTCCAAAAAAATTTTATAAGTTAGATCCATTTAATAACGAACAAAAAAAGTGTTCGTTATTAAATGGGGGAGAGTAAGTAATTTAACTATAAGTTTAAAAATCTCATCATGGAAATAAATCCCTCCGAAGAATGCTACAAAGATAGTCCAAAACAGCGCATAGCTCTTAATAACTCTAAACTCAGTCAGCGTATAATCAATTTCAGCTGGCATATAAGGTTTTCTTTTAGAAAGAACATGATAGTCTAGATCTTTATACATCTTGAATGACTGGGCTTCAGTTTCCCCTACATAATCAGAATCCCTTGGAATAGCTAGCCAATCTTTTGCGTAATTGTTCATAGCCCATGTATTGACTCTTTCTCCAGTCTGTCCTACAGAATTTCCTCTGACTGCTTCCATTCCTTTTTGTGGGACTCCACCACGGAAGTTATAGAACTTGTCAAGGTTATATTTTTTCCTTTCTTCTGCGAGCTCTTTGAGGCGCTTGTAGCCGTATTCGTGAGGCTGGTAGTTGGGGATTGTAGCACCAAGGTTGAGATGGTCTTTTCTTTTTTCTAAAATTGACTTAATTTCGTCCTTGCTGCCTTTGGTGAGATCGTATGTGGTCCTGGTCTCTAAGTTGTGAAGGACAGTGTAAGCCTCAGTTATCAGTCTGAATTTGTCTTGGGATGTAGGGTCTTTTGCAATATCAGGGTGAAACTTTTTGGCTAATTCTCTATAAGCTTGTTTTACCTCAGCTGGCTTGGCGGATGGCTCGATTCCTAGGATTTGGTAATAGTCTACCTTGGAGGCAAATGATCTCTTTAGTAAAGTCCTTAACATAAATTAATCAATACCAAAGAAATGGAAATTTAAGAAATTTTATGAGGTTTTTTGAAAATAAGATATAGCAATAAGTTTATAGAGAAAGGATGGTTGATCTTAGGTTAAGGTTTTAATAATAAAAGAGAATACATCAAATCATCAAGCAATCTAAAATTCAAATAAAATAACTATTAACTATGATTATTTAGAAAGAGCTTAAAATGACTCGCAATATGTCTAAATAAAAGAATATACGTTAAAATTGTGTGGCAAACACCCTCTTGACGTATGGGATTAGTTCGCTCTTTTATCGGGCTGTGGAACACGGGAAAGAAGCTGATGTTCGGAACGTATATCCTGCCAGGTTTCACTTGGTTTGGTAGAGCGCAATGTTGGGATTAGTCTACCGCAAGTTCTACTCCTGATAATGGTTTTTTGGCTCAGAGGGGAATGGGTTAAGAGTCAAAATGGATCTCCCAACCACACCAGCAGCCAATGGCCTGGTCAGCTGGGACGATTTCCCAGTGCGAAACCAAGAATTATGCCCTGGCTTCGGTTTTGTCCTAGAATGGATCAGAAAAATTCAACCTTTTTGAATTTTATTGTGAGCAACCTTTGTTGGCGTACTTCATGGCGACATAAGTTAACCAACTACTTAGGAGAGAAATCAAGCCTCGTAGCCTTTGTGAGGTTGTATACGAACTATCAAGCATGCGAATGGAGCGCCAACTGTAGAGATACTCTTTTAAATTTACAGCAGGCTTTTCAATAAATGCAATAAACTTAAAATTCTAAATAAAATAAATTTTGGAGTTGTAGTCTTATCATTCTTCTTTTAAATTCCTTTTAAAAAATTTACTAAATTCTCTAGCATCAAAACAATTTTAATTTTCATTTTCCAGTAAATTTATAATGAATAACCCAAAACTCATAGCCCAAGCCACTGCGAAGCGAAAAGCAAGCAAAGAAGAAGAATCCAAACAAGAAGGCTCCAGATTCAGATGGGAAAGTTCAGTTCCTGAAGGCTGGCACAAATTTTTAAGAATTAATCCCCCTAAAACAGCTTCTCCTACCAATCGGCAACGGATAAAACAAAGAGCATCTACTGCAAATCCTCTTAAAACTCGTCCTCACACCACAAACTTCGCAGAATACGAGGACAGGCTTTTAAAGCTCAATAACGATTTTTCTGACGAAAACTTCAAATATAATCAACTTTACCAATACTCCGAAGACCAAAAAACTGAAGTTATCAAGCCTGAATTTAACAAAGAAATCCAGTCGCCTTGCTATTCTATTAAATACCTAGGCATCACAAATGGACAAATTGGCATCCTTTCTAAGCGAGCGCCTATTCCTCAGCTTTCTCCTTTGGAGTCCTGCAAAGATGTGCCATTGCCATTGATTTATTCTACCTCTAAAGATACACGTATATCTAATAGTATTATAAATCAAATTATCACACGTCCTACGAGTAAATCTAATGAGAGGTTTGAATATAAGCCTCCAGAAAATTTTACGTCACCATCGCCGATATTATCTAATATAAAGAAATCAGAACAGACTATTGTGATTGATGAAACTTTGTATCCAAACCCAGAGGCTTATAATAAATATATTATTCATACATATGCTAGGCCAAGAGGGCTTATCACCCAGCAAAAAGATTTTCCAAATGAGCATGACCAGAATTTCATTGATTTAGAAGCTTTTAACTCGAAATTTATATAATATAAGAAATATTATTGCTAGCCAAAGAGAAATTGCCTTAGATATTTAGGAAATTGGGATTACTTAAAGGTAAGGTTAAAAACAACGAAAATATTGCTTAAATTGTGCTTTTAAATAATCTATAAAAGAGCTTAAGCTATACAAATGAAAAGAAGGTTTGATTTAAGTAAACAAAAACCTGTAGAAACACCAGTATACAGGACAGGAGTAACTGGATGAAAGCTATCTCGGCCAAAATCCACAAGCCCCGGCAAAAGATATAATAATTGCCCGAGGATTGCGCTATCTTGCGCCATCCTCGGGCAATTCAAAAATGGCCCCATACCGGGAATTGAACCCACGTGTGGGGCCATTTTTGGTGTGTGCAGAACATCGACTTCCACGCACCAAAAATGGCCCCATACGTGGGTTCAATTCCCGGTGTGGGGCCATTTTTTAAATTGCCCGAGGATGGCGCAAGATAGTGCCATCCTCGGGCAATTTCTATATTTAAAAACATTTGAAAATTCAAAAGAGTTCCAACAAAAGCCAGACTCCTCAACTGAGAAAACTCAAGAAGTCTCAACCCAGCCAGATGACATTTCACAATTTTATAATGAACCTTATTTGAAATATCTATCAGAAAACAAAGGCCTGCATATCAAAAGAGCTAAAACTAAGGTCTAAAGATGATAAATTATAATAAGCTTTAATTGTGTTTTCTTAAATATCGCAGAAATTTCCAATAGAAATGGTATTAATTCGAGCGTGGATTGCTTACAATAAACTTCTCGAATCCCAACCATTTAAAACCCAGCTCATGACTGCTGTTTTCATGGGCTGGGTTGGAGATGGCATTGCTCAGGTTTTTGTCGAAAAGCACCCTTTTAGCATTAGGAGATCACTTGTAGTGAATACATATGGGGTTTTTGAAACTATTCAGTTTTCATTCAATAATTCGTATATTCCTAATTGTAGACATTCTGGCTGTTATTTTAATTCTAAATAATAACAACAGTTAGTGATTATATTCATTCCAAATAGGCATAAATAATTTTGTATTAGCTCTGGTAAAATGGATAGTATTCAAAGGGAAATGCATATAATAGAAGGATATTACTGGCTTCATCTATTAGACAGAATCGTAGGACACCAGCTGACTGCCCCTAAAGCTTTGATAAAAACAGGTCTGGATATGTTTTTATTCGGACCTTTTGAAATTGCAATGTTTATGACTTGAACCAACGTTTTTGAGAGATCTGACACTTCACTTGAAAAGAAGCTGCAGGAAGACTTCATGCCTGTATTTATTGGTGGATCTTTATATTGGTTTCCAGCATCTTTTATCTGTTTTTATTTGGTATCCATGAAGAGCTATATGTATTTTCCTCAGGGACATTATTTTTTGCAACCATTCCTGGGATGTTTAGTCGAAATATTTTTTTCATGACATTGGTCAAAAAATGATGGCTTTAGCCAAGCAAATGTGTGACGAATGAAAATTTGACGAATTCCCGAAAAATGCCTATAGTGAAAAAATAACCACCAAATGGCGTGCTACATCTATGAAATACCGGCTGATATTTAGCTCAATTTTTTGTATCATATCAGACACTTTTATGTCATATGCGACACATAATAGCATATCATTTTACAAAGATTTGCTTGTAGAGAAGGTATATAAATTTTTGAGGTTAAAAGAGTAATTATTTTAAGTGGAGTCTTTTATTAGAGAGTTTTTATTAATTAATTTTTGCTGAAATGTTCTTGAGAAGAAAAGTTCATAGCTTTTTGGCAGCTATTCATATAGCACTCAGCATTTTGTGCTCTTTTATTCCAATGTCCTCTTGCCTTGCTCTTTATTTCAGCCCTTCCTCCATACTCATATGCCTGATAGTCCACAAATCTAGCTTTTGCTCCATCCAAGTCACTTATTAACAGCTTCACAATTTCATTGCCTGCTACAACTGAATTTCTCAGTTCATCTGCTCCTCTTTGCAGCAAGTTTCTTGCTCCTTCCATATCTGATCTTTCCCCGAACTCTGCAGCTTCTTTTAATATAGCTGCCGCTTTGACTCTATAAAAGTTGACCATTACATCTTCATCAAGCTCAATAGAGTCTATTTGGGCGCTCTCATTAAAAATTGGGATATTAATTGTGCATTCTTCTTCCACAGTTTCCCCTGTCTGAATTTGCTTATATGTAATAAAACCTTTAACTGGGCTAATTGAATGGCCTTCTGGTACTTGTTGTTGACAAGGAGGGAAATTTAATACAAAAATGGCTTCTTTTTTGTCACCTGTGAGGACAGGAGGCATTGAAAATACAGAGTCACCGCTTTCTGAGTATACCTTGGTGAGGGCAAATGGAATATCTGCAGCTTGAGTTTGGAATCTTACTTGGATTTGGTCAGCGACAGTTGACATGAGTTCTCCAAGACAGTTAGAAAAAGCCATTGGGATTGAGTCATTTTTTTCAATATAATAGAAACCCCCGTTTCTCCATTCAGAAATGGCATTTAAAAGCTTGGCATCATGATCGGAGCCATAGCCAAATGTATGGATTGAATAGTTTTTGGTTTTGGCTGAATCGACTCTGAGTTTAGCACGATCTAAGGCGGTGCTGCCGTTATTATCTTGCCCATCAGTAAGTAGAATAATAGAGGTTATTTGATTGACAATCCTTCTATCTTCAATTACTTTTAGCCCGTGATCTAAACCTTCAACAAGTTCTGTGCCTCCTCCAGCGTGGATTTCAGCTATTTTTGATAAGGCTCTCTGCTTACCGACTTCTGTCATTTTGATCAAAGGGAGTATTATTTAAAAAAATATGGTCGTTCGCATTTCCCATTCTTTCAAGCAAAGTATCGTTTTAGACTAATTTTAACTATGAGAAATGAATTCATCTAAAGAATTTATTTCCGATAGATAGGAAAAGCAAGAGCCCATTTGAGACATATGACCTTAAGGAAATGGAATTTACCAGCCTAGGCGGTAGAGGTTAAAACCTTTATAGTAAAATTGATAATAAAAAAGATTTGCTTGAAGCTGGAAGAGCATTCGTCAAAATATTCACAATCCTATTTTAGCAAGCACTAGTGCAAACCTGAGAAAAAAGTGAAACCTAAAGAGCGGCGGCGTGATATTGACTGATAAAAGAGTTATTATAATAATATAATTTAGTAAGATTAGTGGGAGTATTCTTCTTACTTCGGAGCTAAATAACACTAAACTCATGCGATCCTTTGGTTCTAGCTTGCCTACCATGAACTCTAATGTTTTTTTGGTTAGTTCAATCTTATCTCCTTGCATGCTTCCACTTACATCAATAACACATACAATATCAATACCCTGGCGTACTCCTCCTTCAGTTGGAGATGATTCCAAAGCTTGCATAGAAAAAGAACAAGGCAGTTCTTGGGCTGCCGAACTGTTCAGCTGAAGGTAACTTAAGGCTGCTTTCATTGATAATTGCAATCTTTGAGGATTAGAAGTAGCTGCTACGGAGACTTTAGTTTCTTCTTGGATAATTTCTATGTTTTCATCATCGCTATAGCCACTGAAGATATCAGAAAGGCTTGAGTTTGATCCTTTGTTTCCCATTTTTATAATAGAGGAAGTCAGAACATATCAATAGAAATGGAAGATATTATAAAATGAAAAATAAGTAAACAATTTTTAGATTTAGAGTAATTTAATCGATTAAGTGCTTTTATGATTAAAATATGGCGTCTCTCGACTGAAAACTCATCTCTTGCATATTTCAATTATGAGGTGGTGCAATTTACCCAGTTTGTTAGGGAAGCAAGAGCATTATTTTCTAGAAGGGAGCCACCTACCCCAGGTGATGGAGGCTGGGACCTTTAGGATGCCCGAAGGATCCGAGTACGTAGCCTGAGCTCAAATAAGAGTCGTCGAGCGACCGGCGTCCTCGTCGTGTAGCAAAGTCAAGGTAACCACACATTGGCCGGCCAGGGAAGATGGCCAGAGCATTGCTGGAGGCAGCTGTTTTTAGGTACTGGACGCTAAACAGAAAATAAATCTAATTGAATTGATTGAGTGCTTTGATAAGGCATTGAAATTAGCAGAAGCTTTAGTATGAGCATTTTACAAAATATCAATATTTATAGGAAATCTTTCTATACAAAACTGCTTACTATAAATTTTTTTCCAAAAAATTTCAGCAAAGGACTTTCTTAACCCCTAATAGCGCTCAGATCATGAGGGAATCGTCTAATACCTCCTTCTGGAGCTACCCTCTGCCATTTACAGGCAACACAATGCTCATCCAGAAGTGCTCGATTGGTGTGTTGCGCTGCTGGAATTCTTATCTATAGCCGAGGAGAGGCCCAGTTAGCCCAGACAGCACCAATTTCAGAAATCAGCCACCTGCGACCCCGTGATTTTCCAGCCAGTTTTTATTTTTTCTCGCGAAATATTTGAGTTCATCCTGTCGCTACTAGGTATGCCATGGCAAAATTCTATATGAAATATAAGAAGATTCGGGAAAAATATATAGTTTTAAACAAGTTAATAATCGAGGAAACAAACGATTAAATAATAAAGCAAGAGCATGATATTAGACTTTTAATTAATTAACTTTCAACGTTCGCCATCTCTTCACGGGCCGATGGTTTGCACCTCAGCATGCTCATCATCCCAGGGCGACCCCCGGCAGGCCCCTCTCTCCACCGCCACACGAAATTCTTGGAACTAGATGAGACATTCTGGTTTGAATTCATTAAAGGCTGATTCCCGGACACAATTCCCAATACAGTGTTAGGCATATACCGTCTTGTGGTTTGTGGGAGTCTTATCGCTCCATCCAACTAGACCATTGCTACCAGAGGCACGATGAACACCACCCGATATGCGCCAAGGATGCCAGATCTGTATCTTATCCTGGTTTCTCTGCCTGATTTTCGCTGCAGTCAGAGAAATTTTTTCCAAGAGATCGGGCAATGCCTCCGCCATATTAATATATGATATTAGACTTAAAAAACAAGCTGAAATTATAGATAAAAGAATAAAAATGAAATAAAATAATGATTAAATAATAAAAAACTCAGCCTGATATCCATCCTTTTATTATAAATCAATATCTTTCAGAATCACTATGCCATTTTTTTATTTACATACTTGACCACCAAATATCTTTCCTTTCTCAGCATAATCAAATATCTCCATCCAGCAAATTTCCTTTGTAATTCCTTTCGAAAATTTTATTTATCCAATATCTGCTTCTTTTTATATATTTCATATTAATGTCCCTTATAAAAGTTTCGGACTTAACACAACCTTTATATGCTGATCAAACTGAGTCTGCCTCAACAGACCACGAGGAGATAAAAACCACTCCAAATGTGTCATGCAGACAAAGAATTTTTTCATGCTTATTTTCTTCTTCAAGAAAAGCAGAAATCAGTCTTTTAAGCTCAGGATGCATAGGGGCAGGGTTTTATTGTTTGGACTTTTTATTTAGAGAGTGTGGATTAATCCTTGGATCAATAATTTTTACGACAACAGGACTGACTTTTGTGTATTTTCAAGATGTGATTAGGTGGGGTCTGAATTCTACTCATGAATCAAACTTAATGACTATGATTTATCATCTCTATGGAAAAAGGACAAGGAAATTTATGAAAATCTGCTTAGGCTTAAGCATTTTTGGACTGCTGTGTTCCAATCAAGCATTTGCAGCAGGATTTTTTAAGGAAATTTTATTTACAGCAAGTAGCTATCAGATTGAAAATAATTACTATCAGATGCTTCTGAATTTTTGCCTGGTATTAATAGTTCTAGCCTTAGGGGTATTTAAACAGAAGACAATAATAAAATATTTTTCAGTGGTTTGCTGGATTTCAGTTTTCTATTTGACATCAATTGTATTGGTGCAAATTCCATTTTATTTTGAAGGAATCATTGAGATGCTGACAGAATCTAAACCAATAACGATAAATGCAGGATTTGCTGATAGTGCAACAGTGGTTGTTTATACTTTTCATGCACTGTTTACTATTCCAATGGCATATGAGAATTTTAAGAAAGGGGCATATGCAGCTACTGAAAGTATGAAATATGCTCAGTTTGGGTTTAGCTGTATTTTATTTTCTATTTTATTTTTATTTTACTATTACAACAGCATCGCTGAAAGCTTAAGCACAGAAGCAAATTGGCTTTTAATTATCGCAAAAATGCTATTTATTATAATATTGACAGTAAACACAGTTATAAACTTGCACCAATTCGCTATGATGGTGGTCGACATATTTCCATGCATTAGCTTTAGCCCTACCTCCTATTTTCTCATTAAATTGCTTATATGTATCCACCTAGGAGTTTGTGCTTACTTTTTCTCAATCCCATTTACATACTACAAAGTGATAGGAGGAACCACAGTGATACTTTTTGACATTATAATCCCCACCTTGGTATATTGAAATGTTTCTAATAACTACCCAGTAGTTATATCTATATCTCTTTGGAGTGTTTTACTTATCCTTTTAGGTGTCTCCTCAGCAAGCTACGCATTCACAGGTCTATCATAATATTTATAGCACTATTCTAACTAAGTCCCCCCCCCCCCCCTCCGTGAGCGAACAAAACCATTAGAAAAATCGCCATTTTTTGACCAAAAAACCCACCCTCCGTGAGTGAACAAAAATTTTTTTAATAGAAAAAATTTTAATGGAAAAAAATTTTGATATATAAGTGATAATTAGTATAATGAAATCTAGAGCTAATTCTGTTTTAATTTTAAACAAATTGAGTTTTAAAACATAAATTTTTGCAAATTAAATTAATATTTGCTTCCCAATTTTTGCAAATTAGGATTTTTTTAAAATTTAGAAAAAAATATTTTTTATAAAAAATTTATATATAAATTTTTTTTTAAAAAAAAAAATTAACCCCCCTCCGTGAGCGAACAAAATTTTTTTGTTCGCTCACGGAGGGGGGGGGGGGGGAGTAAGAAATTTAATTAGCCATATTTTTTGCTTTCTTTCTGTCTGCTTTGGTCTGATGATGGTATCCTTCTTTAATAGGCTGGACACTTCGGGTACATTCGCACTTTTCACACTTCATGGTAAACATTCTGATGCTTGAATCTTTTGTGAGGGTAGTCTGCATACTCTTGCAGTTTTGACAGAGAACGTACTCGGTGATGTATTTTTTTAGTAGAAATTCTATTTGTTTTTCTAGATATCTGCCTTTAAATATAAGCTGCTGGTCTTGGGTAATGCTGCCATCAGTGCCAAGTTCTACGAAGAAGAATCGGGACATGTGGTCTGATGGACGTTTAAGCATATCGCAGATGTCTTGGAAATTGACCCAGCCGGTTTTCTTTGAACCAATTTTGACGACTTCTGGCTGTTTTACAACGCAGCGCTGATTATCAATGCTTCCAACGACTCCTTTTTGCTTTCTTAGTCTTTCGAAAATGCGTGCAAGCATTTCATCATATTTGTTATCTGCGTCTTGAACAAGGTTTGCCTCTTTCTTTGCAGGAGCAGGACCTGGCTTTGCCTTTTTCTTTTTTTTCATCTTAGAGAAGTCTATCTCGTCTGATTCTTCGTCTGCCATTTTATAAGATGAAAACCATATGAAACATAATTATGCCTTATAATATTAGAAATCTCAATTATTCACAGCTTCAGCAATTGAAATCGAATTCTAAAAAAAAATTGAAAAACCTTTTACAGTTTATGGTTTCTTTTATATTTATTTATTTTTAGGTCCATCAACTGGACTAATCTTCTTCAGCTATTTTTTCTTGTTTTAATGACTCCTATATTTCTTTATTTGTTTTACCAATCAATCATAATCCTCAAAGTCCACGCAATCATTGCAGTTCTCATGATCTTCATAGTTTTCATAGTTTTAATAATCTTCATAGTCTCCAGTCTTCATAATTCATATAATTTCCGTATCCTTCTTAATCTTCAAACTTTTACAAGAGTCGTCAAAAAGATAACGGGTCTTAGGAAATGGAGGCTAGAGGCTAAATTTGTGGCTTATTTGGAGAAATAGGCGTATCTCCAAGAGTATTTATATATTTTTAGGTTGTCCAAGGTTTCTTTCAACCAAAATTTTTCCCACCAAATTGCATATTTGCAGTTTATGGCTTCTTAAATTTCTAGCAATTGCTCTGTTTTGGTTAATTATTTAATGGTTTGCTAATCCTTGCTATTCAAATCAGTTTAAACCGCAACAATTCCCAAAACATTTTACTCCAATAATTTTATTGATATAATTTTTGAATTAGGCTAAATTAATTAAAAAACTTTGTTACATGCGTGTTACTTTATCATTATTAAATCAACTAATAGAACATGTCAGACCAATATCCTATTCTAATCACTTCTCTTTCAAGCATAATAGCAGGAAGTCTTTCCCGCTTATTTGTCCACCCTATAGACACTCTTAAAGCAAAACTTCAAGTCCAGCAAGCTTCCTTAACAAACCAAAAGATAACAATAAGGTCGACTGTAAGTAAAACTTTGGCTGAAGAAGGAGTAAGAGGTCTTTATCGAGGCTTTTTTATAGCATCTGCTGGATCTGCTCCTGGGGTTTGTGTTTATATGTCAGCTTATGAATTTGCTAATTCTTTTTATCAAAAATAAAATTATTTATTTAATTAGTATAAAATAATTATCTATTAAAAAAATCAGGCCTTATAGGCAGGATAAGAAAAAATTATTAAAGTCTGAAGCTGCACAAAAAAGCACTTTTTGAGCACACTTTTGTTCACTCCCCCCATCCTTGATCGAACGATTGACTGTAAAAAATTCCTAAAAATTGGGGAAATTAACCCCCACCCTTGATCGAACGATTTTCACATGCAAATTTTTATATATATATAAAAATATATTAGTATCAAAAGCTTGGAAGATGTACCTAATGAAGTTGCTTTCAGAGCTTTGAGACGATAGCAAGCTACGGAATCGACTATTAGAAGTGATTTAGTCATCAACCTAGGCTTAAAAAACTCAATAATCTAAAAAATAGAGATTCTTTAAAATTTAAAAAAAATAATTTTTAATTCAATAAGGAACAAATTAAAATTTATACAGTTTAAAAGGGTAACTAATAAATCAAAATATTAAAAATTGGTATTTTATGAAATTAATTCAATTTTTTGCTGTAAAAATAATTATTAAATACTCTTAACCCTCTTATTTAAAAGTAAATAAAAAAATCTATACTTATCTTTTTCATTTTATATGTAAATTTTTTCCCAAAAAAATGTTTTTAACCCCCATCCTTGATCGAACGATGGCGAGTCGTTCGATCAAGGATTGGGGGCAGCCAGGGATTTTTGCTGAAACTGTATCATGTGCAATCTTCGTTCCTATAGATGTAGTTAAAGAGAGGCTTCAAGTTCAAAGCAATTTGAATATTTATAACTATAAAGGAGGCATTGACGCTTTCAAAATAATCCTAAACACAGAAGGACTAAGAGGGATTTATCGAGCATATGGAGCTACAGTGTGCTCTTTTGGACCTTTTTCAGCACTATATTTTATGTTTTATGAGAAGTTTAAGTATTGAACTGTTGGGGCACAGAAAGAAATTAGCTTTTGGCCTAGCTTGCTGTGTTCTGCAGCAGCAGGATCGATTTCCTCTGTTATCACAAACCCACTTGATATGGCAAAAGTTAGGATGCAATGTGTAAGAGCAAGCCAAAATTCAGAAGTAAAGCTTTTTAAATACAACAATATGTTTCATGGGATTTTGTTAATTTTTAAGAATGAAGGATTTCTAGCCTTATTTCAAGGCTCCTTAGCAAGGATATTATTCCATACCCCTAACGTCGCTATCATGATGAGCACCACAGAGACAATCCGAGCATTCTTAGAAAAATCAATGCAGAATAAATAACTTTATATATTTACATAAACCCTTAAATTAAAATATGATTATTAAATAGATGAGTGCTGCAATTTTCTTCAGGTTTAAAAGTGAAAGAGAGAGATGCATCATTCCTATTGAAGGTGCAGAAATCTCAGTCAGAGAGCTTAAAGACAAAATCGCTGAAATAAAAAAGCTTAAAGATGATGGGACTCAGAAGAAAAAAGGCCCTAACCAAAATTACAGCTTATCATTATTGCATAGTACAAATGAAGAAGAATATAAAGAAGAAAATGAGCTGATACCAGCTGGGACTTATATTATTGGGAAAAGAGTGTCTAGCGCCATACCAACACCTATACCTATCATTCCTGCTGAAGCTGGCCCAGCACAAAATAATCAAACAATAAAGCCAAGAGAAGAAGAAACAGTTTCCTCAAAACTAGCAAAAATAATTATTACTGGAAAACTCCCAAGCATTTTAGCCTGCCAGCTATGTAACAAAATCCTGAAAAATCCATATATCACTACGTGCTGTGGATATACAGCTTGTCAGACTTGTTTTACTACAAAATGTCCAGCTTGCAGCAAAGATTTAGAAATTATCAGCGATAAGCAGCTAGAAAAATTCTTACTAAGTATTGAAGACAAGCTGAGAGAAGTCAGAGACAAGTCTGCAGGGATTACTGAATTTCTGGAATCAGCTAAATATTTCTTATTGCAAGTCTATAATCCTCAAACCCTTGAAACCTCTTTAAAGACCTCAACCTACCCTATTCCTCCAGATAACTCATTTAAGCTAAATTCAAGCTTCCAGCCAGGCAAAAATGTTATAGTTATTTTTGTTAATAGCGCTGCTGGACAATTTCATGGCTGTGGCGTTATGATGTCACCTATCATTCATAAGAAAAATGATATATGAGGCTCAAGTGAGTTTATCAGTGTAAAGTGGCTTAGAAGGGCTGATGTAAGCTTTGTGGATACCCAGCATCTAGATCATCCGATTCCTCATAATTCATTGACACAACCTGTTGAAGAGCTTGATAGCAATAGCGGATTGGAGCTGTGCTTAAAAATAGAGCAAGCTGAACAAAAAGAAGTCCCTGATTATCAGGTTTTTGAAGTAGAAAATCAGACTGCTAAAGAAGAAGGTAAGATGGAGATTGAAGAAATTGTAAAAGAAGAAGAGACAAAGAGAAAAAGAAGCAGAAGCCCAGAAGAGAAAAGGAAAAGCAGCCCACATAGAAGCAGAAAAAGGTCGAAAGAAAGAAAATCGCCTGAGTCTAAGTATCGGAATAGAGAAAGCCCTAAAAGGCACAAGCATAAAGAAAAGAAGCACAGAAGATAATTAAGATTTTATCATAATCATATATAGAAATTCTTTATCAATCTTATATTTACTAATATGGTGTAACTGGATAACGTATAATTTTTGTGTTTTGAATCTCATTGGGAATGCTTCTATCCGCTATCTCATAGCTGCAGCCTGATTCTTTTTCCTTGAATTCCAATTAATTTTTTTAAAATCAATTATAATGTTCACAGAAGCCTGCATCTACATAAAGTGTCATTAGACATGATTTTTCAGTTTAATTGTCTGCTACCAGTGCAATTTTTATTGCATAATCGATATTTCTTTCCATATTTTCGGTATTTTGCATATCTATTAGATCTATTATATTATTATTCTTATCTGTAACTGTTAAGTGTTTACCTAATTTCATTTTTAAATAAAAATGAGCAGCCAGCTCTCTAAACTTAAATTCCGCATTGTATTTTGTAGCAGCGAAGATAATGAATTCCCAGTAACTCAACTGTTAAACCATGGACCACACAGCACAGGCTGACAATCAGCCCGATTTCAAGATTTTCCTCAAATAATAATTTTACAGTTCATAGCTCCAGTTCGAATCCAGCAGCTTCAATTTTTATCACATCAGTCAAAAATTGCCACAAGAATTGAGCTTTTTACATATTTGCCTGAAAACCCTAGCTCAATCCCTCCATTAGAAAATTTCAAATGAAATCGTCTTGGATATCTCTCATTAGATAATAACGAAAAATCAGGATTTCAGGCACGAGAGCTAAAATCAGTTTATATTGACTCCCAAGCTTTATTTCTAAAAGTTTCTCTGAATAAGTGCCACGTTAACAAGTATAATATTTTCAACCAGGTTGGGCTAATTGCAATTAATTGTTTAGGTGAAGAACTTGGTAGCATTAAAGGACCATCAAAAGGAATTCAGCCTAGACTAGAAAATGAAATGGAATTCGACTCAGCTACAAATGACAGGCTTAAACAATTATATGAAGCTAAAGATAGAGCTATTGAAAACGAAGATTTTGATGAAGCTAAACGAATTAAAGACGCCATTGAAAGACTAAAGTCGGTTGGATATGAACTTTTGATGCTAGAAGACAGAAAAAGAAATGCAATTGCAAGTGAAGATTATGATGGGGCAAAAATTTTGAAAATTGAAATAGAAAGAATGAGAAATGCCGTTTTGCCTCCAATGCCTGATACTTATTTTGCACCAGTACAGCAGAGCTCGCATAGACCGTTTTCAGGTGGTCCTCAGCCTTTAGGTATAGGAGGCCGCCCTTCATCAAGGCCTCAACCTTCTCAATTTCCTCCTCCTCAACAGATAGGCAGCATGCCTGACTATGATCCTTTTGAACGAAGAACCAACCAGCTCTTGCCTGAGCCCAAATCCAAAGTATCCCACGATGAACAAGTAATCCCTACAATGAGCAACGGCAGAGCCCCAGGACAAATTTTTGGCGGCGAAGAAGAAGAAAATTTGCCTCCTAATCTTGATAACCCTCCAGAGCCTTTAGGTGTCCAACAGTCTAAATTTGCCGACCCGCTGCTCCCTATACTAGGGGAAGATCTTTGCAGAAGAATTTTTTCTAAAGCTTGGCAGTTTCGAGAGGATGGGCTTGGGATAATCCAAAATGAAGTTTCTCAAGGGTCTTCAAGCCAGATTTTTGGAGGCTCTGATAACTCAAACATATATTCAGGAGTTCTCGGAGCTGTTAGATACACAGTAGGTGACAAAGTTGCCCAAGTCTCTTTAAAATCAATGGGTCTTATAAATACTTTACTTAACAGTATCGCTCCAACACGTGCAGTTGTAAGAGGTGATGTCCCTGAGCATATACAAAGTATCCTTAGCTCACTTCTAGATAAAGTTGGAGATAATAATGCAAGGGTAAGAGAAAGCGCTGAACAAACCTTTATATCACTTACAAGAAGTGATGTGGTAGGAGTAGGCCCAGCTGTACAAAGCATTTTGAAGCCTATGAAAGATAAATCAACATCGCAAAAGCATATAATTGGGAGACTTAATTTGTTGGATAATATTGTAAAAGAGTTCCAAATTGATAACTCCTATGTACCATTTCAGCCTGTAGCTGAATATGCACTTAATGGGTTTAAAAATACTAGCCAAGATGTAAGAAATGCAGCGTTTAATTTGCTTATGTCGATTTATGCATGTATAGGACAAAAACTTCAGCCTTATTTGTCAGATTTAAGACCAGCACAGCTAGAAATGCTGGAAAAAGGGATGCAGGATATTGATGGAGGGAACGCTCCTAATATAATGGTGTCCCAGCCACCTCCCAGGCAGCAGCCTATTAATGCTCCTAAAAGAAAGTCTACAAATCCTCCAGCTGCTATGCCATTTTGCCAGTTCTGTGGGAAAAAAGATACGATTTTTGCGAATGAGGACAATTTAGATATCCACTACTGAAAAGATTGCCCTATGCTGGTGTCTTGTCCATATTGCAGTCAAGTTATAGAAATCTTTGATTTAAATAGCCATTTAATGAAAGAATGCGATCTAAAAAGCGTAATGTCACAATGCCCAAGGTGCAAAGAAGCGATTCATGCTGATGAATTTGAGCAGCATGTCGAAGAGCAGTCATGCTATGCAGCGAAACCTCCAAAAATTGCGACAAGATGTCCGCTATGCCACGAAGATGTAGAGCCAGGTATCGAAGGATGGAAAAACCATATTTTGACTCAAGGATGTCCAAATAATGATAGAAGCAATATCTAGAATTTAAATTAATTTTATTATGAGACTATAAAAACTTAAGCCATTTCTCTATTTACTATCAAGTAAATTTATCATTAAGATAATTCCATTAATCAGTATATTAAAGGGTTGTTTTTGGTCTCACTGAGCTTGCTAGATCTAAACTCATGATTTTTAACGCTAAAGTTTTTTCGTTCATAGTCTGGACTTCTCTTCTATCTGGCTTTGACCACAATGACGAAAGAGCTGATGATCTCCATTTATCTTGTGACGTTGTCTGCCAGAAGGTTGCACACGGTACATCAGATTTCCTCATTTTTGCTTCATAATACTTGCTGTTCGTATTTTGAGCAAAATTCTGGTTAAATCTCGTTTCTAATGTTAAATTGCTTATAATAATCACTGCAAAGTTAAAGGGAATCGTAATTGACCTTCCAGCAGTCGCCAATTCTTTTATAGCGGAAAATATAGCTCTATGGGTATCTACAACTACATTTTTATCTATATAGCACGCTTGGGCTATTGGGACAGGGTTGCAAAATATCATTTGGAATCCTCTTTGGAAAACCGACCGTTGACTTGCTGGTTTTTCGACCTGATTTTTTCCGTGATATCTTAATAGAACACTTTGTAAAGATGGGTCAGGAATAAATACTGGACGGTTTTTATGCAGGTGTTTGCGGTCAAGCCTCTGGTCGTCTATTTCGCCACTTGTAGGGTTTATAGCAGTGACTGGTGCAAGCTTCGTCTCTATGTCAAAGGTGAAAGCTCCAAATCCTTTTATATTGACTCCTTTGCCTTCTAATATTTTTTCGTGGATGTACTCAACTGTTGCCTTCCATATCAGTTGCATTTGTGAGGCGGGCTCTAATGGTTTGACGGACTGATTTGACCTTGGCTGAGGATAAAGATGACTTCCAGGGTATCTGCCTGGGTTGCTTAATATATACGCTATTAAGTTATCCATGTTCATCTTCAGTTATTTGATAATATGAAGCAGGTTTTTTGATTAAAAGTAAAAGGCGTATTCAAATTATTATTATTATCTTAGCTTATTATTCTTAATGGAAATATCACCGGCACATAAACGATCTTCTTCAGTCAAGAGAACAACTCAGAGGAGGGCAAATACAGCTTTAAATAAAACTTCAATATCTTCGACTACTGAAAGAAAAATCAAGCTTTTTATGAATAATCATGAGTCTGGACAATTACTTGATGTTTCGTATTCAATACCGAAGGTCAGATGTTTTCTTCCAAGCCAAGAAAAAGTGGAGGCTTCCGCTAGGCTCATTTTGCTTAGAAAAAGATTAGATAAAAGCAAACAGTCGTTTTTAAAAGAAGATAAAGTCTTGTCTGTTATGAGAAGGGAGCTGAATAACTTAGCTGAGCTTAAAATTAAAAAGCAAAGCAGCGTTGAAGAAACCCTGAAAAATTCAGAAAAACTTGAGAGCAGGATTGAATGAACCAAAAAGCAGCAAGACGAAGAAGAGAAAAATAGACAAATTTATTTACACATAATAGACAGAATGAAATCTGCTTTATTTCATCTTGAAAAAAAAAGTTTAAATTTCAAAGCTACCTTGCAGTCTCAAAACTCTGTTTTGAAATTAGAATTTGACAAAAGTTTAAAATCTAAAGAAGCTAAGCTGCAAAGTCGCTTTGCCTTGACAAAATTCCAATCAAATCTTAATTATGAAAGTCAGGAAAGACTGAATGCTATAAATAATGCTGAAAAAGACTTAAAAAACAGAGAACTCTCTATAATAAAAAAAGAGGAAAATAAAAAACGACAAGAAGAATATCTTGAAAAAGCAATTATTGATGACCAATGTGCCCATTCAGTTGGTCTGAGAGAAAAATACCTTATTCATAAGATGTGGTTTAATTTGATGACTTTTCAGTTTCAAAAAGAGCACGAAAAGTGAAAAATTCTTGAAGAGGCTTTTATAAAAATGAAAATCTCGACAGGGCTTAAAGATATAGAAACAATGGTAGAGAGATTTTTAACCAAGGAACAGTCATATCAAGAACTTTTAGTTTCTGTAAAGCAAAAAGAAACAGAATGCACAGGCTATAAACAAAAAATTGAAGGTTTACAGGTAAAAATTGATATTTTAAATAAAGAAGAAAGCGAGCCGAAATCAAAGACGAATGAAGAAGAAAAAAAAAGAAATGAAATTTTGAAAGCAAAAAAAAGGGTTGAAGAACTTGAAGCAAAGAGGCTAAAGTTATATAAAACTACTAACAAAATCAAAATATGGGCTGAAAAAATGGCTAGTGGTATACACAAATCGGCAAGGTCAGGCGTATTTTTAACGGAAAATGAAAATTCAGAAGAAATTGTAGTGTCTAATGAGTTTATAGAGAATTTACGAAAAATAAGGAATGATGTAAGGCAAGCTCTTCAAGGCGTTTATTCTCATAAAGAAAAAATCCCAGAATTTTTGTCTGAGGTAAAAAGAGAGAGTATGGCAATAATTATTAATAAAGCTCCTGAGGTAGGAAAATCTATTAAGATTACTCCAGAGGAAGAAATCGAACTTAAAGACTTAGTTGGATTAGATGAATCGCTTGTATTAGAAGAAACTCTAAAAAAATCAAGAAGGAGTTCAGCAAAGAGCCAAATAAATAAGCCATAATGTAATTGAAAAAATTATATTTATAAATTATATATAACAACCTAAATAATTAATATATGTCGTTAATAAAATATTAAATAATTTATTAAAATTTTAATTTTCCCATCTTGACCAAGTCATATTATTGTTCGATAAATGATAGAGGAGGAACAATTATCTGAAAAAATATTATAATAATTTTTTTCTTTACTCCCCCCCATCCTTGATCGAACGATTGACTGTAAAAATTCCTAAAAATTGGGGAAATTAACCCCCATCCTTGATCGAACGATTTTCATATCATGACAATTTTTATATATATAAAAAATATAATAGTTATCAAAAGCTTGGGAAGATGTACCTAATGAAGTTGTTTTCAGGGACTTTGAGACGACAGAAAGCTTCGAAATCAACTATCCGAAGTGATTTAGTCATCAATCTAGGCTTAAAACATTAATAATCTAATAAAATAGAGATTTTATAAATTTTTAAAAAACAAATTTTAATTTAATAAGTAACAAATTAAAATTTATACAGTTTAAAGGGGTAACTAATAAATTAAAATAAAAAAATTGGTATGTTTATGAAATTAATTCAATTTTTTGCTGTAAAAATAATTATTAAATACTCTTAACCCTCTTATTTAAAAGTAAATAAAAAACATTTATATATATATATTTTATTTTATATATTAATTTTTTTTCCCAAAAAAATGTTTTTTTAACCCCCATCCTTGATCGAACGACTCGCCATCGTTTGATCAAGGATGGGGGGGGGAGTTATCAAATATTTAAAGCAAGCTACAAAATATAGAATATGCAATATATTATTAAATATGCTAGAAATAGCATTAAGAATTTTATAGGAGCGATTACACTTACTCCCCCCCTCCGTGAGTGAACAAAACCATTAGAAAAATCGCTATTTTTTGCCCCAAAAACCACCCTCCGTGAGTGAACAAAAATTTTTTTAACACACAAATTTTTTATGGAAAAAAATTTTGATATATAGGTGATAATTAATATAATGAAATCTCGAGCTAATTCTGTTTAATTTTAAACAAATTGCTTTTTAAAACACAAAATTTATAAATTAAATTAATATTTGCTTTCCAATTTTTGCGAATTAGGATTTTTTAAATTTCGAAAAAATTATTTTCTATAAAAATTATATATATATTTTTTAAAAAAAAAAATTAACCCCCCTCCGTGAGTGAACAAAATTTTTTTGTTCACTCACGGAGGGGGGGAGTTAGTATCTTTAAGATTCATTATTTTTAAAAAGAAGTAGTTAAATTTTGAGAAGAGGTTTTTTTTTTTGACCACATGAAAATTGCTTGATAAAGGGAGGGTTAATTGCCCAATTTTAGAAAATTTTCAAAGAAATCGCTCGATCAAGGATGAGCGGAAGTAAGAATAATAATGGAGTTATAAATTAGTATGAGTAAAGTGACTGACCAAGCTCAGCGTTCAGGAAGTCCTATAAGAGAATGCATGCCTGATATTTCGATTAGTCTTGAAGAGTCTCAAAATTTATATAAATCTCTTACATCAGGAAATTTAGAAAACGCATCTAGACTCTGAAAGAAATACGGATACATATTTTTGGAACCTTTAAAACCAAGGCAAAATTTCGAACTCATTAGGTCTATTACGAAAATTAGAGACAACACTATAGCTCAGCTAGAAGCTGAATTAAGGCTTCTTTCAAGAAATAAATATAAAAAAATTCTTAAAGAAAAAGAATATGAAATTGAGATATTGAGAAATACTTTAGCACAAAAAGACACTCAAAATCCTGAATTGGATGAATTATTTAAGGCATCTAAATCTACTTTTGAGTCAGAAATACAAGGTAAAAATAATGAAATTAAAGAATTAATGAAAGAAATTGAAACCCTTCAATATAAGTTTAACGAAATAGAAGAAGAAAACAGGAATTTAAAAGAAATTTTAACAAAAACCTCAGATGAAATAAAATCAAGGTCAGATGGATTTTATTTTCAAAAAAATCATAAAATAGATGAAGAATTAGTATATCTAAAGCAAATCTGCTTTGAATACTCATTAAAAAATCAGTATTTAGAATCAGAGCTAAAGATTATTAAGATCAAGAAAGGCGAAATATATGATCTTCGTGATCATTTGCTACAATTATTAAATAAGGCAGGGCTGGGAGAAGATGAAATTGCAAAAATAAATTTTAATATATCAGAAATCATTGACTACAAAATTAATGAGCAGCTTGAATTTATTCAATCATCAATGCTTGATTCTTGGAAAACTCATAATGAGTCATATCAGAATGAAAAAATTATTAAGGAAGTAGAATGCTTAAAACTTAATTCAGAAATCAAAAAGCTAAATAAGTTATTGGAAAATGAAAAAATTATTAACCAAGATATAAAAAGGATGAGCAAAGAGGGTTATGAAAGTAATGAATGGAAAAAAATTAGAAATGAAAGCATTGAAAGGATTGAGAAAGCGTATGAAGATCAAAATTTGGAGCTCAATAAATGCATTAAAGAGCTATCTGATAGAAATTCAAGCCAAATCAAAGAAATATCAGAGCTTAAAGACCAATTAAATTATAGAATCAGAGAAGTAGCTGGAAGATTAAAAAAAGAGCATGAAACGAAAAAAGAGATTGCTGAGCATTTTTCTAAAGAAAAATCAAATCATGAAAAAACAAAAGAGCAATTAAAAAAACTTTTAGACAATAATAACGAAATTATACTAAAACTGAATGAAGAATCAGCAAAAGTATCAGAAAAAACCCAAAAAATTAATGAATTAGAAGATGAAATTAGCAAAAGTTTTGAGACCATTAAAAATTTAGAAATAAAATTAAATGAAAAAAATTATTCAAAACAAACAAAATTAAGCAAAAAATCCAAAGAAATTGAATGCAATTGAACTACTAGTAAGCCAGAAGTTTATAGAGAAACTAAAAAATGTTCCCAGCATGTAGAGTCTCAAGCAAGAATTTTGCAAGAAAAAGAAGAGGCTATAGAAAATCTAATTGAAATTAATCGTAGACTGAAAAATGAAATTGTGAATTTGGATTATAAAATTCAATTAAAAGATAATATAATTAGCAGATTCAAGAAAAATGTAGGGATTGAAGAAGTAGAAACTGAAAATTTCGAATTAAAAAGAGAAAATGAAGAAATCAAAGAGAAAGATAGAAAAAATATAGAATCAATCGAACATCTTAAAAACGAGATTGCAAAGTTGCAAAACGAGCTCATCTCCTCTGAAATTAATTTCAAAAAATTAAAAGAGTCATCAGCTCCACACACCTTAGAGAAATCAATTAGGAGGATTAAAACGGGGATTATTTCAGCCCCTAGCTAGCCAAGCTCTAGCTTTACGCTTCATGTGGTGCTTGGAACTAAAACCACTAACGCCTTTTTTCTTCAGGGTCACCAAAATGGGTTGCACCTCAGTCTGACTGTGAGACTCACCCGAACCTGTTTGGACTAATATTTTCAGCAAAATACTCTCTTCAACCCCTAGTATGAGATGAATGCCCGATGGATCCTCTGGAACTACTCTGCTATCTATAGGCAACAGAATGCTACTCCAGAAGTGCTCGATTGTTACTGCACAGTCGGTTTGCTTTCTGTGGGTCAAGAGGAAGCCCAGTCAGCCCGAGCCTTCACCCCACCCAGAGAAATTCCTCCGCCGTGAGTCCATAGCCCTCAGATTAATTTCTCACACCTTACTCCCCCCCCCCTCCGTGAGCGAACAAAACCATTAGAAAAATCGCCATTTTTTGACCAAAAACCCACCCTCCGTGAGTGAACAAAAATTTTTTTAATAGAAAAAATTTTAATGGAAAAAAAATTTTGATATATAAGTGATAATTAGTATAATGAAATCTAGAGCTAATTCTGTTTAATTTTTAAACAAATTGCGTTTTAAAACATAAATTTTGCAAATTAAATTAATATTTGCTTCCCAATTTTTGCAAATTAGGATTTTTTTAAATTTCGAAAAAAAAATATGTTTTATAAAATTTATATATAAATTTTTTTTAAAAAAAAAAATTAACCCCCCTCCGTGAGCGAACAAAATTTTTTTGTTCGCTCACGGAGGGGGGGGGGGAGTTAGAAGATAAACACCTCAAAGAATACATGTCTAGATTTGATGACTTCGAAAAGAGATATTCTTCACTAATAAACGATTATGAAAACTCTCAAAAAGAGTGCGCAAAACTAAACGAAGAAAAAGCAAAGTTTCAAATATTAAATTCTCAGTTAATACATGAAAAAGAATTGCTTTATAATCAAATTAAAGATTTTGAAGAAAAGTTAATCAAATATAAAGCAAAATCTTATATAGAAAAGGAATCGCAGACTGAAGAAACCAATGAGATTAAAAATATAATGGAGAGTATAAAAGAGAAATTTGAAAAATGGAACGCTGAATTTGATATAAAGCATCAGATTTCATTTTCTGATATTAGAGATGCTGATGCTTTTATCAATCTTCTTATTGAAGAATATAAGAAATTGAGAGATAGTGAAAAATTTAGCATTACTTTTCAGCATATTAATGATGAAAGATCACAATCTATAAATATATCAGATGAAAGCTTAAATAAACCGAAAATTAGTCCCAAATCCTGCATGACAGCTTTTGGAAGTGAATCTTTTTCATCATATACTGGCCAAAAGCTGTATTCAAAAGGCTCAGCATTAAACCAGCTTGAAAATCCAAAAAGTGGAGAAAAAAATAAATCAAGTTTTCCTCCAGATCCAGAAAAAATTCAATTAAAAGCCTTTCCTGCCGAAAGTAGCAAACAAATAAACGTCAATGCAAAACCAATTTTTCAATCTAAAGTATCAAATTTGCTTTCAAATATTCCATTGCCAAATCTTGAAGAATCTAAAGAGAGTTCTCAGTTACAAAACTCAATAGATCAAACTTTTCTTAAAGAAATTCCAATAGAAGATGTAGTAAAACTGCTAAAGAATGAAAATTCTCATCTTACTCCCCCCCCCCCCGTGAGTGAACAAAACCATTAGAAAAATCGCTATTTTTTGCCCAAAAACTCACCCTCCGTGAGTGAACAAAAATTTTTTTAATAGAAAAATTTTTTATGGAAAATAATTTTGATATATAAATGATAATTAGTATAATGAAATCTAGAGCTATTTCTGTTTAATTTTAAACGAATTGCCTTTTAAAACATAAATTTTATAAATTAAATTAATATTTACTTTCCAATTTTTGCGCGAAATTAGAATTTTTTTAAATTTCGAAAAAAAAATAAATAAATTGTTTTTTAAAAAAAAAAAATTAACCCCCCTCCGTGAGTGAACAAAATTTTTTTGTTAACTCACGGAGGGGGGGGGGAGTTAGTGAGGCTTTAAAGATCTTAGAAGAGGAAAATACAAATCTAAAAAATACAATCAAAATATTTCGTGAAGACTGTGATGAATGGAAAAAATCTTTATTAGAACTTTATAGTCATGTAAAAAAAAATCCTAGAGAAAAAATAGGAGATGTCTCGCCAAAAGAAGCAATTAAAAAAATATTTGATGCTTTGAGTGGCAAAGAAGATGTAGGAGAGACAGAAACTCCTAAAAAGTGGTCTCAGAAAGAAGATGCGTATATGCAAACAATTGAGTCACTCACAATTGAAAAGAGATACTTAATCCCCTCTTTATGAGCAAGCAAAATATTTTGCTCGTTCCTAAGGGCGGTAAAGTTTTATAAAGAATAGATGCTTTTAAAATTGGTCAAAACAGGGACACAATGGCTTTATAGCTTATTGAGATCGGGGGAGTTAATAAAAAGTGTGGAGGACTACGAAAAAGAGCTCCAAAATTTAAGGAAGCAGCTAGATTTTTATAAAATTGCTTCTAATAGTCAAAATGGTGGCAGGAGAAAGAGGGATAGTCCCAAAAGAGAAAGTCGTCTCAGCTACTCAGAAAATTTATCTTTAGGATCTAAAATTAAAGAAAAATTAACCTTAGAAGAGCTAGAATCTCAAAGTAAATACACACAAGAACTAATAAAAGAATACAAACAAAGCAAGCCTACACTTCAAGCTAAACTTCTTAACCACTCTAAATACCTTTCAAATATTTCTCGATCTTCTCATCAAGAACTCCTTCAAGCTCTATACGAAGAACAAAACCTCAGACAAGAGCTTGAATCTGAGCTTTCCCAGAAATGCGACCTAATCGATGAACTACTTATCGAGCTTGAAAACAAACGAAGATTTATCCAAACCCGTGAATATGAATTTCAAGAAATTCTCACACTAAAAGAGCAAGAAATCTTAAAAATCCGCTGTAAAGGTCGATATTAGCTTAATCTATTGATAAATAATCCAAACTTATCCATTTCCATATTAACATCTATCAGTGGCTATAAAATATGGGTCGCAGAATCAGAGCTCAACGTAAAGGAGGTGCGGCAATTTTCAAAGCCCACGTAGCCCACCGCAAAGGTGTCCCTAAATTCCGAGCTTTAGATTATTCAGAACGAAATGGCTATATCAGAGGAGTAGTAAAAGAAATTATTCATGACCCAGGTCGTGGTGCACCATTAGCGAGAGTAGTTTTCAGAGATCCATATCGTTATCGTCAACATATTGAAACTTTTATTGCAACAGAAGGTATGTACTCAGGCCAATACATTTATTGTGGCCAAGACGCTCAACTCACTGTTGGCAATGTCCTTCCACTCTCACAGATGCCAGAAGGTACCGAAGTTTGCAATGTTGAAGGGAGATACGGAGACAGAGGCACAATAGGAAGAACTTCAGGGACTGCCTGCGCTGTTATTGGACAATCTGATGATGGGACCAGGACCAGAATTAGACTTCCAAGTGGAGCCAGAAAAACTGTTGATTCTTCATGCAGAGCTATGATTGGAATTGTCGCTGGAGGCGGAAGAAACGAAAAACCAATCATGAAGGCTGGAAGAGCTTACCACAAATACAGAGTCAAAAGAAATTGCTGGCCAAAGGTTAGAGGTGTGGCCATGAACCCTGTAGAACATCCACATGGAGGTGGAAATCATCAACACATTGGACATCCTAGCACTGTTAAGAGAAGCGCACCACCTGGACAAAAGGTCGGACTTATTGCAGCTAGGAGAACTGGAAGACTGAGAGGTGCAAAGACTCAAAAGCCAGCTGCTAATGCTTAAATGGCTAATAGTTTAATCAATTTGAGCGAAATATTTTTAAATTATTGTTTTTTTGCATACTTTAGATGTTAAGGATGCAGCTATAATTGTTAAATTATTGGAAAAAGGTAATATTTGGTATTTAGAAATAATTTTTTAATAAGTGATTTCATCCCTGAAAATTCCAATCACCGGCAATCTTTCATAAATTAAGTCACTCTCTCTAGGATCAATGGCCCATTGTGGAGGAAAATTAAACCCTCTTGCTCTTAGTTCATCATACGACGCTTCTCTCATTTGGAATTCTCTTACCCTCTCATAGCAATCCTAAACTATTTTAATTTTAATAAATTTATTTTTTAATTTTATTTATAAAGAAATTAATATTTTCCTCTCGTCAAACTTATGAAATACTCTTGTGTCCATAATTCTTACAACCACATGGTCTACTCTCAAATAACTTCTAATAAGCGCATAAAAGCAGTCCTGCATTGCTCTAACCCTGATATGGAATTTTGACTGCCCATTGTCATCAAGCTCATCTTCGAAAAATATCACCTCATGTGCCCATAAGATCGGATTTTCAATTCCTAACATATTATAAGGGATAGCCTCTTCTGTAATTGCAATTCTTACGGTCTCAGGTATTGGATTTCCATCAATTCCTTCGACTGTCCCTTTATATGGAGATGAATATGTCCAATCTCTTCCGCGACTGCATATTTCTGCAGGGACTTGAGGAGTATGAGGGGTTGCAAAAGCTGCGTCCCTTGGGATTGTTTTGGCTGCCCATTTAGATGCCATTGATACTTGGACTTCATTTGGGATCACATTTATGTGGTCGAATTTAAGCTCGCCTTCTGTGTAGAGTTTTTGGGTTCTTGCTTCAAATCCGCACATTTCGAGGGCTTTATCAGCAGAAAACTTATATATAAAGCCCGATGCAGGATTTTGGAAAGATACAATGCTGTTACCAAAAACGCAGTCTGGGATCTTAATGCCTAATTGATTACTAAGAGCATCTAATTCTTCTGATCCAAGCATTCTTCCTTGCAGAGCATGAATATCCCATTCCCCAGCACTATGAGTATCCATTTTAATTCTGTATGCATAGAAAAATCATTTTAAGCTATCATAATTAAAGTATTAAAAAAAGCATGATGACTAAAATTATATCATCATGACTAGCCACTAATTTTGCAATTTGTTTTAAAATCTATCACCTGAAATTATTTCCAAAAATTCTTAAAAAAAATTGAGCATTTATAATAGTTGACGATTTTTTTGAATTTTATATACTTTCAGTCTCAAAAGCTCCAATCTCGCACAATAATTTATTATTTACTATTTAAATTTACTATTTATAAGACATTATGATGATGAAAAATACAAGGTCTCTCCATTGACTTCCAACACTATTCTAAACTCATGGCCATGATGGGTAATTTCTTTATTTTGCCCATTCGAAAGCAGATTAGACACAGAAATTTGTTTTAAGTTCGACCACATTAATCCAAGATACCCCAGAATTTGATTTGTAAGAACAATATTTTTCATCGTAAGAATTCTGACTCTTTTACCTACTTGGGCAATTTTAAGAAAGCTTTGATCATTCAGGTTTTGGCAGCCATCAAACCTCAGCTTTCTTAAGTTTTTCCCAATTCCATCCATCAAAAAAGCAAAATCATCATGAGTCAATATTTTACTCCCAACAATTGTCAGATTACAAAGGTTATGCAGCCTCACTAAAAATCTGAAATTTTCTGAATTATTTAAGCCTTTACAGCCAACTATTGATAAATCACTGAGGTTTGCCATATTTGAAATGGGTTCTAGAGAGGTTATTCTTGCATCATTCAATACTAGCTGCTTAAGATTTCTGCAATTACTTGCCAACACAGATATCACTTGATCAGTGATATTAGATGTCGCTGAAAAATTAAGAGCTTCAAGTTCTGGTAGATCACGGAGCAGCTCAATCAATCCTGGTTCAGATAATTTCTTACAGTTCCTTAAGCTTAAATATTGAAGTTTTTTAAGTGAAGAAATATGAATTAGAGATGAATCAGAAATACGGGTAAAAGAGAGTGATAATGTTTCTAGATTTGGGCTTTTATTACATAATGCTTCTACACATATATCAGAAAGCTGCTTAAAGTTATCAAGACCTAGCGTCCGCATATCACAACATGTATTAAATAAGTCTATAATTGAATTTTCGTCAACGTAATTGACCCCTACTTCTGAATATGAAGTCAGCCACAAGTGCTTTATTTTACTCCATTTTTTGCATATTAGCGCTATAGAAGCATTGGTTAAAGAATCATTATCATTTATCCTGGTTTTAGAGTCAACAATTTTTAGCTTTTTAATCCTTGAGCAAGAATTTTCTAGAATTCTAAAAGTCATATCGTTTAGTCCTAGGCAATTTACTTTAGAATCTTGACTTGATGTGATCTTTAACTTTTCTAGACCTGAAGGAAATTTTTGGTATTTTATATTTGATGAATATTTCTTAATGAATTAAAATTAATTATAAAGGAAAAATAAAAAAAATGTTTTAATGTTTAATTAAAATCGCTATACAACAGAATTCCAAATTTTAAGTTTTTTAAGCCCAAGAAAATTTTCAATTATGTCCATACTCAAACCAGGGACATTTTTCAGCTGATTAAAAGGGACTATCGGGATATTTTCGATTTCAAAAGAAGCTATATTTGTAGTTGAAAGAAAATTAAGCCATTGGTCTTGAACTATCTTGTAGCTTAAAGATTTGTTAAATACTGAGAGCTTTAAGACATTTAGAAACTGAAATCTCTCTAGAACGGGTAAAAATTCAGGGTCGCTTATAAGCCGATCCAAAGACTCAAGTCTAAACTCTTGAAGTCCTGTGGGAATATAAGCAAGTGAGCTCAAGTCTAAATAAGTACAATCTAATCTGAGTTTCTTCAGCCGAGTGCATTTTTTTATAACAGTTTTGAAATCTGATGGTCTCATAAGAGGAAGACTGTAGAAATTGAGAACGCGAACAGTTGATCAACATATCTCTATAATATTTCACTGCCAGCTGCTAGAGCAAGCTATTCTTCCTCAATCACTAAAGTCTAAGAAATCTGTATATATCTTCACTAGGATCTCCTGACTCTCCCCCCCCTTTAAATTGAAACAAAATATTGGTAAAATTTCTACTTTTTTGGGAAATTACCCCCCCTTTAAATTGAAACAAAAATTTTATTATAATAGAAAATTTTATAGGTAAAAATCATTATTTTATATGTAAATACGTTAATACCCTATTTAATATGCTTCAAACATATAAGATTTAGAAATTAAACTCTATTTTGTCCAATTGTTATGGGGAGAGTTAGAAGAATACCATTTCAGCAAGTTTACACTTTGAGATTGAGAAATTTATGAATTAATTTTTCATGAAATTGAAATTAAAAATCAAGCACAGAATGAACCATAAAATTTTATCTCTGAAAAAAATTTTTATATATAAATTTGTTTATAAAAACATTTTCTTAACCCCCCTTTAAATTGAAACAAAATTTTTTGTTTCAATTTAAAGGGGGGGGGGAGTGAGGGAGATCTTCCAATTTTATATGAGATTGTCTTAATATTTTTGCCTTTTTCGACATAATTGCTTTTATTAATAACTCTCCTATTATGGCTAAAAATTAATGATTGATAAACTGACAGACCTAAAATGTCTGAAAATACATAAAAGAATTAAAGGAACAAGAATGCAAAACTGATATATGAAATAAATTACAATAGGGAAAAGCTTTCAAAAATAGATGCATTTTAGAATGACATGTAAAAGGGCTTAGAATAAGATTTTAGATAACAAAATAAAGATATTATTAACTAAAAGATAATACAAAATGGGAGCTGTCATATTAGGATCATTCGTTTAGTTTTATAGGCTACTTAATTTTAGGCTTTAACTATGATGGAAATTAGTTTTAAAATTGTTGACCCTAAAGTTTATTTGGATAGGAGAACCGTCTATTCAGATCTGAAGATCTAAAATAATTAGTTTAAGAAAGAAAAAGACCATTTTTCTTTTATTATAATTTGCAATTTTTATTAAAATTGCCTAAGTCTTATGAAAGATTTAATTTGCTTTGTTTTTTTTGTTGATTATTTAAAGTCCCCCATTTTCCAAATACAGCTACAGAGTGTTGTGCTAAAATGGGGTGGAATGCCCCAATTTCCTGATTGAGCTGACCATTTGACTCCAAAAAGAATTTGCTAGGCGACTCCGCAAGCACCGACACAGTTTAAGCCAAATTAGGCTGCTCTAGCCAGATCTCTCCAAAATGGGAGCTCTTTCAACTAAAGAGACTTCAGTTTTCCGTGTCTAAATTGCCTCCTCTCTTTTCTGGTTATCCTGAGGAAGAAATCAGCAGTCTTTGCTATTCGGAGGGTACCACAAAATTTGTTTAGACAGGCATGCTACCCTACCTAATTTCAGGAACCTACTGGGCTGGAAGCTGCTGGAAAAAAGATGCAATTAACTGTCATGGAAATCAAGGTCGATATCAGCGGATTCTAAATCCCGCCCTAGCTTTAGGGCGACCGATTATAGCTGGGCTTTCATCACACCCCAAAACCTTGCCGGCATACATAAATACACGCCACTGAGAGGAAGGGTGGCCCATCTCTGACCAATTTATTATATATTATGAAAAGATTAATTTAATATTTTGAAATCCATTTGAGGTATATATTGATATTGATCTAAATATCGCTTTTGTAAAAAAATAATAGAATTCAAGCAAAAATTCAAAAAATTGTTGAGGCAGCGCAAACTTAAAGACTCAAGCTTATTTATACTGTGAAAAGCTATTGCTATTATATAATATTATAGCTTTTGAATTCAAGAATTTATGCTACGATGCAAAATAAGTGCTATTGGCTTTAAAGTTGTTAACTTCAATATAATAATTTCAGGCTATCCAAAGCATGCAATTAATTTATTACATATGCAGGTCTTTTTCTTTTATAATGCAGTCTTCATATAATTGATAACCTTCTCATTCGAGTTTGTGTGGGTTGACTTTCAGCAGATGGCAATTATTAATTACACCATATATAAAGTCGCATAGCCTAAATACAAAGATAAATAGAGATGCTTCTTATAAATTATCTCTGAACTTCTGAATTTATTCATAATTAACTAAAGCTGCTGAATCTCTTCTTTTTCTTACTCTCCTTTTTTATAATATAACAAAATATTGTAAAAACTGTCAATTTTTTGATATATTAGCCACCCTTTTTAAATTAGAAAATACATGAAAATATTAATTTTTATATATATAGTTTTGAACCAAGCTAATAGAGAAAGTGCAAATAGGATAAAAGTAAACAACATTGACAGACTGAATCGTATACATAAAAATGGTGACCTAACTGCACCCGACCTCTTGGAGAAATCAGTCGACTCTCAGTTCTGATATGGGTTTAGTTCCTATGGTTGGAAAGAGTTAACTTAGCAATGATGGAACCGTGATATCACGGACTTTGCCTAAGCCAAGAGATTAAGGTTTTTTTTACTGTACCTGCTGAGAGCAGGCACTCAGCACTCTTAGACTCCGGGTTTTTCCTGGATCAAACTACTCACCAAATCGATCGATGCAGCACCGTAGAAGTCCATAGTCTGCACACCCAACACTGAAGCCTATAAGGCAAGGAGGAGACGCTCTTCGTGCACAAGACTCCAGGTATCCCATGGCATCAGAGGTTGGAGAAGGAGCAAGGTGGTGATGATGATGCTTTTCTTGCCGAGGAGCTATCTCAACCGATCATATGTCTGACAGGGAATGTCGCACAGCAGATGAACCCTTTGTATTAAGGGTTATTGGTGACTGCGTAACCAATATGTCTAGCACCCATCTGCTAATTAAATTTAAGTTTGAAATAAAACAATTAAATTAAAAATATTGCATTCAATTTATTTATATCTATTTATGTTTTCAAAATTTTCCTCGAAATCGGAACAAAAAAATAAAGGGGGGAGTTTAAAAACATATTGGAAAAAAAATCCTAATTTATAAAAATGATAACCCTGAATAATAAACTTTTATTTGCCATAGTATATTAATTATTTTGATTTTCAAAAACATTTTAAATAAAACTAAAAAGCTAAAACTCTCAGATGTAGATATTGATACCATAGGTAATTTTAATAAAATAAATTAGTATTTAATTCCATTTGAGGCATATAATAAATTTTTGAAATAAAAAGAAATCAAAACTTGTAGAGCAAGCAAAAATTAGTCCGTCTGATGAAGGGGTAAGTTAACTTTTTGATTTTCACATTTGTAATATATTAAATATTTTTGGACATCAAAGTTGCAACTTTCTTTCTAAAATGGAAATGAAAACTGCTAATCAAGAACAGCCGACTCAAAGTTCAAGCGATATTGAAAATATTCTACAAGCTCAAACCTGAAAACGCAAGCGGATGCCTAAACAGCCCCAAAAACAATTAATAAGCCATACGAAATCAGCTTCCCAAGAAATTACTGCCAATAAACCCCAAAAAGCTATGAAATTGCCTTCAATAAAAAACAAAATCTCTCCATATCTGATGACCGTAAACTTAATAAAAAATACGATCAATCCGCCACGGCATGGCTCTACATTTGACCAAAGCTCGAACCACAGCTCAAAGCTGTTCCGCTTTGCGATTCCTTACAAAATATTGAAAGATTCATTAAAAATTGATCTTGTCAATCGACAGAAATCAGTGTCAGTCACTACAATGAAAGTGCCTTTGTTCCCTCGATCACCTTATGGAAAGCATAAGCCAGATCCTGATATCACTTTTCAAGAAACACCTATTGATAAAGTCCCAGCCAAAATCAGGAGATCTTTTTGCACATAAACACTAAGAAATTAACTAATAAATAATTTCCTATACCTTTTATATTGTTTAAAGTCAGAAATGAGATTAATGGGTAGTTAATAAATAATGGAAGAACAAACTCACATTCTTGCCACCGTACAAAAATTACTTGGAAGGACAGGATCACGAGGTGGAATTACACAAGTCCGTGTTGTTCTTCATGGTGATGAAAGTGGGAGAACCCTTGTGAGAAATGTAAAAGGCCCTGTTAAAGAAGGAGATATGCTTGCTTTGTTGGAAAGTGAAAGAGAAGCTAGAAGATTGAAGTAACTTATCAATAAACAGACCGATTTCATGGATTTTTGCTATTTTTTAGAGGTTTATATGATAAATTTAAAATTTTTCTAATTGCCAAGTTTCTTTTGGCATGCGAAGATGTAGTTTCTTAAAATGATTTGATATATCCTTATATATATAAGTAGGTATATTCCATTACTAGCAGATTAATGTACAAATTTATATTGATAGGCTATAAGAAAATTAAACTAAGATTCCTCTATAGAAGGAGCGCTACCTTCTGGAGGAGGTGGAGGCGGAGGAGTGGAAGAAATTGGCATCATCATTTCTAGCGGCATTTCTTCAGGCAGAATAGGAACATGCCCAATCCTTTGCATATAATCCGTAATCTGCTTAGGTATCTCAGCAAGGACTTCTTGAGCAAGCAAGTGAGGATTGCCACCATACTTTCTAAAAGGCACAAACTGGACAATATCTCTTGAAGCTTGTCTTCCTTCACGATCTCTAAGAAGCCCAGTATCAGAGTCAAGAATTTCCATGTTTCTGAAATCTTCATTGCCAAGGCCAACAATTATGATACTTAAAGGTAATGCAGAAGCTTGGACCACAAGGGATAACGTGATATCCATATCGTGGATTTCTCCATCTGTCATAAGTAGTAATACATGGTAAAATTGTCCTGGAGGAGTCATTTGAGCAATATTCATTGCATTTCTTATGACGTGCTGGAAAAGGGTAGGACCTGAGAGTTGGACTCGTGGAAGGGCCTGGTGGTAAGCTTGAACAATCCCTTGGACGCTAAGTATAAAGGGGTTCTGAGGATTTCCATTAAGAGGAAAGCAGTGATCTACATGCCCAATCCATTCAGGTTTTCCTCCAAAGCCGAAAACTGGGTACATTTTGCTCATATCATAATTGTCAAGAATGCTTCCAACAGCCCATATAGCTCTTTCATATTCATTTTGATTTGTATTGCTTAAATAATGCAGTGAATTCGGCATGGTATAGTCCCCATTGCTGCCTGTAAAATCAATTGCAACCATCATCGTAAACTGAGTCCCACCTCTCAAATAGTCAATAAAAGAATATACTTTCTTTTTTGCGACCTGCAAAACTTCTAAAACTCCTGAATTTTTGTATTTCTTTTTGGCTTGTTTTTTAGGATTAATTATATCTATCTGAAAATGTGGCTGAAGCAGGTCAGCAAGTGTAGTATTGCACTGCCCTATTAAGTCATCTGAAGAGTTGCTATCCCAGTCCCAGCACTCAATTCTTAGAGGTTTATTCTCATCTCCTGCACATAGCTTTTCGCTTGAAATTTCAAAAGGTTTTCATATAGGATCTAAAGTTTTTTTGATGACCTCAGTAGAGTAGACCTTTATCCATTGTCCATCATCTCTCATTCTATATATATGAAGATATGGGTCACTTTTCCCAAATGTGTCCATTTTGTCAACGTGATGTGCACAAAATTGGAAAAATACCACATCTCTTGAAAATTTAACTTCTTCAGCTCTAATAATAATTTTTCCTGTAGGTTTCTCGTTACGATGATGATGCTTATGCTTTCCATGTAAATCTTCTACAGCTGTACCTTTGCCTACGAGATATCCAAGAGTGGTTTCAAAACTTCCAATATGCTCATATGAACTGCCATCACTATCATATATAGTAAATGTTAGGTGTTGCTGCACTTCAAAATAGTAGTCCAATGGAATTGAAGTGGTCCAATTTGGGTTGAGATTGTTTTGAATTAATTCTGTCCTGCCTACCTCTATAGGGGAAGAATTGTTGCTATCATGCATTGAAACTATGCAGATTGGGTCACTTTTACTCCATACGTCAAGATCTTTAAGATTTCTTCCACTTATGAATAGTTGGACTCTAGTGCTTAATTTTTGATCCATAATTATAAGTGTATGATTAATGCCTAAATAATTATGATATACAAAAAATATGGGACTAATAAATCGATGATTAATTAGATTTGTCAGAATTTTTGGCTCTGTGCTATATCATAGGAATATTTGGTAGTGCTACTTTTCTTCGGGTATTTTTTTATGTTTTTGGGTTCCTTGAAAAATTTCAGTAGTAAAGATAACCCTTATATATTATTATAAGTGAACAACTTAATTCAATGCTTAAAATTTCAATTTATCAAGACTTCTAGAACTTCTGCTTATAAACAGCTGCACTTTTTTTTATTTATTCAGACTATTAATAGAATTCTTAAAATTTTAAAATAAGTATGAATAAGTATATCCAAGATTTCTTGCAAAATTAAATTTTCTAAAGGTGATTGGTCTCATAATAATTATTTAGACTTAAGCAAAATACTAAAACAAAAAACATAAATATTTTTCCTATAATTCTATTAATAGAATTTCTTGCTCAGTGTTCTACAAATCATAAACCACGCATATTTCCAATATTTACTATCAATCTTAATTCAACTTCAATAAACTTATGGGATTATTATTATTCTTATGCTATCATAAATACTAAAAAGATTAGCTTATCTATAGAAGTCTTGGGTACTGCTCTCCATCAACTGCTCCTCCTCTTAATGATCTTCTTACATTATCATTAAATCTCTCAATATTATTTCTCATCAACTCTGCTGCTTGCTGATTCAATGGGTCATTCGGATTTGGCTCTAAAAACAAGAAATTAAGCCCCAAAATGACAGCACTAATGCAAAGAACTGGCTTTCAGTCGCCCCTCAAAATATTCAGACAAACATTCCCTCTAAGGTCAATATTTGGGTGATAAATCTTTGTGTTGCAATGGACACGTGGCGGCTCATGAGGGTAAGCGATTGGGACTGTAAAGGTAAAATTATAAGAAGCTCCATACCAAAGTGAAGTATTGTCGTCAACAGTCAAGTCAATAACGAAATTCATAATGTCATTGTCATTAGGGAAAGTAATTCTTACGTTTCTTGGGAGATCTAGCTCGCCCAGCTCTTTTTGAAGTCGGATTTCACCAGCGGTTCTGCGTCTGGCTCCTCCTTCTTCTTTCTTTTCTTCTTCGTCACGCTTAGAAGCTTTTGGTCCAAATATTTTGATCATGCTAATATTTATTATAAAAAATGCACTAATATCTAAATATCATATATTTATTTGCACAGTTTTCCCCATTTCCCAAATTTCCAATAATTTATTTTTACAGAATTTAGCCTAGTTTTTATTAAAAAAATTAAAAATATTTTCCAAAAATGCATAAAATTGAATAACAATATTATATATCCCATTTTCTTCAGAAATAGGTAATGTCAGATCTCATATAGCGGGATATGACATAATTAAATTCAAAATGCCAGTTAGCAGATTTACTATTAAAGAAAAAGGTAGAGACAAAGAATTGGCCAAAAGAAATGAAGAAATTATTTTTAAACTGTCCAAGAAACGCAAAGAAACACAGTCACAAAGGAGGTTTTTTCTATCTGGAAATGCTGATACAGAAAAGCTTAAAGCCAGGGCAAAAACTCCATCAGGAATGCGGCAAAGTTTAAGCAGGAGTATAAAAAAGCCTGTTAAATTTATAGAAGATTCCAAAGAAATTAAAGAATACCACGAGACAGGATCAACCGCTTACAAAGAAAAAAGAAAAGACTTCTCACAATGCAGCAAGGATAGTGCATATTTAACGAGCAAAGGCCCAACTCCAGACTGCAGCAAGGAAAACAGAGAGTTCTTATATGAAGGGAGAAAACTTTCAATGCTTTCAAGAAGTTCATATGGGGTAACACCATCTGCAAGCCAAAGAACTTCATTTTCAAAAAAATATTCTTTGCCTAGCGCACTAGAAACAGTGAGTTTCAGCAGTCTAAAAAGGAAACGGATTTCACTAGATGAACCTATGCTTCCTCCAAAGCGCCTGCATCCAAAAAATGATAATTTTTAATCTCCACATGGTTGCTTAATAAATAATCCTTTATTTGTAACAAAAAATTCAGTGTCTTATAAAAATATATGGCTAGGAGCGCAGCACAATACGACTACCTAATAAAACTGTTGATCATTGGAGACTCAGGTGTAGGCAAAACCTGCTTTTTGCTTCGTTTTTCTGATGACAATTTTACAGCATCGCATCTTACAACAATTGGAATTGATTTCAAACTAAAAACAATAGATATTGAAGGAAAAACCATTAAACTTCAGATCTGGGATACTGCAGGCCAAGAGCGGTTTCGAACTATTACGCAGACTTATTATGCCTTTTCATATAGGATATAATAAATTATTAAATAAAGAATAAATAGCAAAATTATAGATAAAAATAATATAAAGGAGCCATGGGAATTATTCTTGCCTATGACTGCACTGATGAAAAATCCTTTAATAACATTCGTAACTGGGTCCAACAAATCAAAATGCATGCCAATGAAAACGTAGCTAAGGTTCTTATTGGAAATAAATGCGATAGGCCTGATAAGAAAATCAGCACTGAGCAAGGTGAAGCTTTAGCGAGGGAGCTCGGAATCAAGTTCTTTGAAGCCAGTGCCAAGACAAATATTAATGTCAATGAAACATTTTATCATATCGCCAAAGAAATTAAAGATAAAAGGCTAGGTGAAGCTTTAGGGACAACTGGAAGTATAAGGGTCCAAAAAACAGCTGAGCCAAAAGCCAAAAAAGGCTGCTGCGGAAAGTAATAATTCTTTAAATTTGAATTATCTAAAATTACACAATTTTAATGCTAATTAGCACTATAAAACCCTATTTTCTACACAAAATAAGAACGAACTCCTTTTATTTATACAAAAATTGCTTAAAAAGTGATATAAATCATAACGAGATAAAAATATAAGTATTTTTGGAATTAGTTGTGTTAATAGAAATGAAAGGTCAGGATATTATATATAATGGCTAAACCTGGAAAGGCAGCTAAGAAGGCTAAGCAACTCACCAAAGGTCATGTTGTGACGAAACTTGAGAAAAAGGCAAGACCTTCTAACAGAAAAGGGGGTGACCCCGAAAAAAACCCTGATGGGTTTTTCAGTGTATACTTCCAAACGGCGATTTTATGGAAAAGTTTTTTCCTGGAAAAATCCGGGAAAAAACCCAAATGGTTTTTTTCCAAGCATACCTGAAAAAAAACTCAAGGGGTTTTTTTGGTACCTATTTTCCCTGAAAAAAACCCCTTACCTTTAAAAATGATATATAAAAATTTATCGATAATAAATAAAGAGATATCCACAGAAATCTATAAATAAATAGAGCTGACAATGCTTAATTTAATGTATTATAACCAAAACAAAATAAGTAAATTAATAACATAGTATGCGATCAAATTTGTGAAAAGTACTATTTTTTTTTTTTTTTTAAAACATTCCCTGAAAAAACCTAATAATTTTTTTAAACTGATATGCTTGTACAAGACATAGTGTTCAAATGTGTTCCCAATGCACACATAAGATGGGTCAAGCCAATTAAAATGATATTTTCTAGCTCAACGACTTAAAATTCATAACGAGGCATATTGCTTATGTAAGTCTAAAAAACTAAAAAGAATGGAGGAAAAAACCCCAAAATTTTAGCTAACTCCCCCCATCCTTGATCGAACGATTGACTGTAAAAATTCCTAAAAATTGGAGAAATTAACCCCCCATCCTTGATCGAACGATTTTCATATCATGCAACTTTTATATATATAAAAATATATATTAGTTATCAAAAGCTTGGGAAGATGCACCTAATGAAGTTGTTTTCAGGGACTTTGAGACGACAGAAAGCTTCGAAATCAACTATCCGAAGTGATTTAGTCATCAATCTAGGCTTAAAAAATTAATAATCTAATAAAATAGAGATCTTTAAAATTTTAAAAAAAAAAAATTAATTTAATAAGGAACAAATTAAAATTTATACAGTTTAAAGGGGTAACTAATAAATCAAAAATATTAAAAATTGGTATTTTTATGAAATTAATTAAATTTTTTGCTGTAAAAATAATTATTAAATGCCCTTAACCCTCTTATTTAAAAGTAAATAAAAAAATATATATATATTTTATTTTTATATATAAATTTTTTTTTAACCCCCATCCTTGATCGAACGATGGCGAGTCGTTCGATCAAGGATGGTGGGGGGGAGTAAGGGGTTTTTTCCTGGATTGTTTTTTTAAAAAAAATTTCTTCAGGGTTTTTTCCATAAAAAAAAAAACCAAAATTTTGGTTAATGGGTTTTTTCCTCCATTCTTTTTAGTTTTTTAGACTTACATAAGCAATATGCCTCGTTATGAATTTTAAGTCGTTGAGCTAGAAAATATCATTTTAATTGGCTTGAACCATCTTATGTGTGCATTGGGAACACATTTGAACACTATGTCTTGCACAAGCATATCAGTTTAAAAAAATTTATTAGGGTTTTTTCAGGGAATTTTTTAAAAAAAAAAAAAGATAGTACTTTTCACAAATTTGATCGCATACTATGTTATTAATTTACTTATTTTGTTTTGGTTATAATACATTAAATTAAGCATTGTCAGCTCTATTTATTTATAGATTTCTGTGGATATCTCTTTATTTATTTATCGATAAATTTTTATATATATCATTTTTAAAGGTAAGGGGTTTTTTTCAGGGGGAAATAGGTACCTAAAAACCCCTTGAGTTTTTTTCAGGTATGCTTGAAAAAAAAAACATTTGGGTTTTTTCCCGGATTTTTCCAGGAAAAAACTTTTCCATTAAATTCACCGTTTGGAAGTATACACTGAAAAACCCATCAGGGTTTTTTTCGGGGTCACCCCAGAAAAGGGAAGCTCAGCAAACGCACTGAGACCGTAAGAGCTGTGATCAGAGATGTCACTGGGTTTGCACCTTATGAAAGAAAAATTCTTGAACTTTTACAGGCTGGCAGCTCCAAAGATGAAAAGAAAGCCCTCAAAGTTGCAAAGAGAAGGGTTGGAACTCACAGAAGAGGCATGCGCAAAAGAGAATACATGAGAGCAGTCATGCAGAGATTACGCCATAAGTAACCTTAACAACAAATTTAGCTAATTAACTTATAAGTTTATATATGGAAAACTCAGGTCTCAAACATAAACTCTGGCAGCGCCTGCAAACTTATCGAGACAAAGCGATTCCTCATATTGGGAAAAGGTGAATCTTCGCTGTTTCTCTTCTTTTTTTATACACACTGAGAGTTGTCGTAAGAGGAGGTATCATTTATATAGGCTATTATGTAGTTTCTTATTGTTTGGCTATTTTTATACTCAATTTGTTCTTACTCTCTCCTATCCTTGATAGAGTTCTCTGAAAATCAACCATCCTTGACCGAACGATTTTTATGGTCAAGCATGAACTCGTGCCTATCATTAATAATTAATATAAGAGATATTAATATATGTTCACTCCTAAACAATTATTTTAGCATGCTAATATGTTGCATACTCTATATCTTATCGTTTACGGCGTAGAAATTTTTTTTATAAAATTACTTTATAAGCTAATAGATTTTTTATATACTGTCTTTTGACAAGGACGAAGAGTTAGGATTCTTGACTCCGATAAGCTCAGATATGGAAGACGAGGATTTTGATAATCCAGTGCTGCCGATACGAGAATCAGATGAGTATAAACCATTTATAAGGAAATTAGGAGAATTCAATTTTTGGCGAAGCACTGTAATTGGGACTGTGGCTGCTATATTTTGCACTTTTATTGATGCTTTCGATATCATGGTATTTTGGCCTATATTAGTTATCTATTTTGTTGTGCTATTTATAGCGACGATGAGAAGACAAATCGCACACATGTATAAGCACGGATATTTGCCATTTGATATTGGAAAAGCAAAGTATACACAAAAAGCCCAGAGTTAATTAATAAGCGATTATATAAACACGATTTTTAATTATATATCGACAGCTAGTAAACAAACTTTTTAACTCCCCCCCCTCCGTGAGTGAACAAAAAAATTTTGTTCACTCACGGAGGGGGGTTAATTTTTTGTTTTTAAACAATTTATATTTAAATTTCATAAAAAATATTTTTTCGAAATTTAAAAAAATCCTAATTCGCGAAAATTGGAAGCAAAATATTAATTTAATTTATAAAATTAAACAGAATTAGCTCTAGATTTCATTATCCTAATTATCACTTATATATCAAATTTTTTTTCCATAAAAAATTTTTCTATTAAAAAATTTTGTTCATACGGAGGATGGATTTTTGGGCAAAAAATGCCGATTTTTCTAATGGTTTTGTTCACTCACGGAAAGGGGGGGAGTAAGTTGATTTTTCAGTCTTTTCAAAATATTGTAAATTTCTTTACCAGTTAATTCGTTTTCAAAATCCCTGAACTTCGTGCGATTTCATCTTCTTGCCCTTATTTCTTTAAACTCCTGTAGATCAGCCTTTGTTAATTTCTTTAAATCATCAATTTTTGCTGATAAATCTGACTCTGTTGCTCGTACCATAAATTTTAGCTTTTTTAAGCTTTCAGCGCTGTGGATTTTAGTTAAATAGCCATCAGCATCTATAGTTTTAGAAGGCTCCACTGGGTGTTTTGGAAGCTTAATATGGTCCTTTATGATTTTTGGCAGCGCAGGTTTCTCATATAATTTTTGTCGATTCTTTTCTAAAATATTGGCGGTTGTAGGATGAGAAGTCTTGGCCAAAACACTTTTGATGATTTCAGAATCGACGTTTTTAGGTGAAAAGTTTTTGTCGTAAAATTCTTTTGTATGAAAATCTATTTTTCCATGTGATTTATTCTTATACTTGATTCTTGTTGATTTCGGTGTTTTTGGTGTTTTTGGTGAAAATAAACTAATCCGAGAGTAGCTAGATAGGCTGCCTTTGGGGGTAGGCAAATTATTATTAATTATTTAAAGTTACTTACTCCCCCCCCCCTCCGTGAGCGAACAAAAAAATTTTGTTCGCTCACGGAGGGGGGTTAATTTTTTTTTTAAAAAAAAAATTATATATAAATTTTATAAAAAATTTTTTTTTCGAAATTAAAAAAAATCCTAATTTGCAAAAATTGGGAAGCAAATATTAATTTAATTTGCAAAATTTATGTTTTAAAACGCAATTTTTGTTTAAAATTAAAACAGAATTAGCTCTAGATTTCATTATACTAATTATCACTTATATATCAAAATTTTTTTCCATTAAAATTTTTTCTATTAAAAAAAATTTTTGTTCACACTCACGGAGGGTGGGTTTTTGTCAAAAAAATGGCGATTTTTCTAATGGTTTTGTTCGCTCACGGAGGGGGGGGGGGGAGTTAGCAGCTCAAATTTTCTTGAAAAAACCTTCTTTTCCTATTAAGGGGGTAGGCAAATGAATATTTAAAGAATTCGTGGACTTCCTAGTATCAATGCTATTAAGACTAAAGATTCTTGGCCTTTGTGTGTAATCATCAGGATCAGTAATAGTGATTTCCATATATTATAATAGGTCTATATTAAAATTTAGAGATCAAGGTTAATCATTGATCGGTTGCTCTTCATATTAAATGTGGAGTTCAGGCTTTTTGACATAGAATTATTAATCCTTTGAGATAAATTATTAAGCCTCAAAGACGCAGTAGTTTTTCCTTCATTTATTGGGGTTTTAGGAGTTCTAGAAATGGGTGACGGAGATCTTGACCGTCTGGTTTTTTCTTCTTCAATTCTCGAATTTAATACTGACGCTTGTTCACTGCTGTTTTTATCAATTTCTTCCATACGAGAGTCTTGCTTAAGCTTTAGCTGTAGAAGAATATCTTTCAAAATTCCTTGCTTACTCGAAATAGCAGTTTCATTTCTATCGTCTTCTGTATAAAGAGCTGATGAAATCTGAGATGGACTTATATAGTTATTTTCTTTCATTATTTCTAATATCATCCCAGCTGCTTTTTGGACTGTTTCGGTTATTTTTTGTGCAAGTTCTGGAGATTTAGCTTTTTCTTGAAATTTATTATGTAAAATTAAAGTGTGCTGATTATTTGTAATAATCTGCATTTCTTCTTCAAACTTCGCGTTTTCTCTTTCAAATTCTTCTCTTTCTGCTTCCAGTTTGTCTTTCTGCATCTGCAGCTCTTGCAGCTCTTGAGTAATAACTGCTTTTTTATCTTCAGTTTGTTCATAAATCGCGACAAGCTGTTTATTTTCTTGTTCTCATTTTTCATAGACTTCTTGTTTTCGTAAAATTAACTCATTTTGCTTGCTTAAAAGAAGAGTTTTTTCTTTAGCCATATTTTCAATCCTTTCATTATCACTCATAGTCAATCTTTTGCTTATAGCTTCTATTTGATCAGATAAATGGGCTTCTCTATGAGAGAATTGATCTGAGAGTTCTTCGAGTTCTTTATGCAAGTTGTCTACTTCGCTATTTAGGATTCCTTTAGCTTCATCGATTTTTTCGATATCATTTTGAACTTTTGCTTTTAATTCAAGCAGCTTTGATATCTCTTTGCTGCCTTCAGACTCAATAAGCTTGTGGGCTTGCCTGTTTTTCACTAAGCTTTCGAGCTCGTCTTTTCTTTCTTTGACTCTTCTGAGTGCTTCTTCAGCTTGGGCTAGTTCATTTTTCCATTGATTTTCTTTATCTTCTAGCTTTATTAAATGAATTTCTTGGACCATTCTTCTCAGATATACCTCATAAGGTAAACTATTTTGGTCAATCCCTTCTGTCCTTTTGGCGACCTTTCGCTCAGCTTCTTCCAAAATAAATTTCGGTTTAGGAAGGTCATTAAATTCTCCATTCTCTACCACCAATTGAGGAATATGATAATATCTTGCTTTGAGTTCTTCAGAAGTAGGCTTTGGAAGATTATCAAAGCGCTTTGCTGATCTGTCAAGAGATTTAGAAAAAGACGAGTTTGGAGATTGATTGGATTTATTAGGGTTTTCTGGCTTTTCTCTGAATAAGGAGTTATATTGCATGTTGATAACATTTCATCTTTGTAGATCATAGTTGTCGTTAAGCTGAAATTGCTCTAAAGGTGGAGCTGCTCTGTTTCGGATTGGCTGAGGTCTTTGGGTCTTTTTCCCAGTTTTAGAATAAGACATTTAAATTATCAATTTTATATAAAAAATAAAGCTAATCATTTAAAAACTCACTTATCCGGTTTTTATGCACGAGCGCTTGGAGGATTCTCGTCAAATAATTTGACGAAATCCTCATAGTCAACTTTTCCGTGCTGTTTTAACCAATTTAGGTTCATCATTTCTTCAACTTCGTGCTCTGTAATAGTTCTTCCTGATTTATCAATGACTCTTTTTACTTGTGAAGCTGTAAAATATCCTACATCATCCTATATAATGATTACGATATCAAAAGTTTTATATGCAGCCATTAAATTTTCTTCTTTCATCATAATAGCAGGATCCAAAGTGGCTATAACAAATTCTGTATAATTGATTTTTCCGTTACCATTCAAGTCAACCTGTATAAAAATATTGTTCAGTTCACTAGCTGTTATCTCTATATTTGCTGCCCTTAAGCTTTGCTCAAGCCCTTGTACAGTTATAAATCCTGTAAGATCAGTATCTAATACTTTGAAATTATCAAGAGCAAGAGAAGTTTCTTTAACGTTCATGAATTTTATGATAATTCTGATTGCTTCTACCTTTAGTCGATGGGTTGAAGTAAAACTCCTGAGTCGCGATATGACGTTCATATCTAAAGGTTTTAGTCTGTTAGCGCCCATAAGAGTAAACCATGGGTGTCTTAAAGCTTCAGCTGCAGTTATACGTTTGCTAGGATCTGGGCATAAAACTCGCCTGATAAAGTCTTTAAATTCTTTAGAAACTCGTTCAAACTCAGGCTCTTTCATAGAAATATTGGCTTTTCTGATGCTTTTGAACACTTCTTTGTTGGTTTCTCCTCGAAAAGGTTGATAGCCAGCGATCATGGTATAAGTGATCACGCCTAGGCTTCAGACGTCACATTCAGGGCCATATTTTTCTCCTAAAACCTCAGGAGCAACATATAAAGCAGTCCCAACCATTGTTTTCATATACTTTTGTATACTAAATATGTTCCTATAATAAATTGCCACTAGCATTTAAATGAAAAGGTATAGTCATTCCTGAAAATTTACTAGCAAGGCCAAAATCTACTAATTTTAGCTCTGCATCTTCTTTATTAGAGTCAAAAAGACAGTTTTCCGGCTTCAGATCTCTATGTGCAATATTTCCAGTATGTAGATGGTTAATAGCATAAAACATTTTATAAGATGCATGCGCTGATTCTCTTTCAGTGAATCTCGTTTTCTTATTGATTTTGTCAAAGAGTTCTCCTCCGGAGCAATACTCCATGACAATATGTATAAAGTTTTCATCTTCAAATACCTCGTAAAGCTTGATTATATTAGGATGATCACTGGTTTTGAGGATCGTCAGTTCCCTTTGTAAGGATTGTATGTCTTTTTTTATTTTTTCTTTGTTTAAGCTCTTAATAGCATATTTTTGGTGATTTCCAAGCTTGCTGACTCCTAATTTGACAACTCCGTAGAAGCCTTTACCGAGGACTTTTTGTAAATCGTAATATTTGTGGATGTCTGTTTAAAATTTACCATCTGTTATTATGTATAAAGCGTCGTTAGTTTGAGATTTTGGAGTTTGGATAGAAGCATCTATTGATCCTTCTTTATTTGGAACAGTCAGACTACTAGCTACAACTGTTTGTGGAGAAGTTGGGGAATGTTTAGCAGCACAGCAGCCCATTACTTTAATTTATTTTAATAATGCAAAATGGATGGAGCTTCTCAGTTTTTTAAATTTATTCCCAAATCCGGCTGGCTGATACTTAACTTTTAATGAGGCTGTTGCTATAAATAGCTTTAATAAATGCATATTATTTTCCATGATATTTAGCAGAATCTTTTTTTAGCTATTAGTTCAATTTAATTGTGTTAAAACGGCTAATTGTATCAGCTTTTAAGATTTTAGACCATTTAGCTTATTTTACAGATTTCCATGTGTATATAATTTGAATTCTTTCAAAAATATATTGCAATCCACAAGATTATATAAATCTTAAAAATGGGAACACTTATAGTCAGCTGAGGTAAAAGCTGCTCAGCTAACTAGGTAACTGAAAGAAAATATGGATTAAAGACTATTAGGATTGAAATTTTTCTGCTCAAAGAGATCTGAACAGTTAAGAATTTGAAATCTTCAATATTTTTATAGCTGATCCTCTAAAAAAGCTTCATATATAAGTTATTAAATTAATAGGCGAATAAAATATATAATGATGTTAAATTCATGATAAATCTTTGCAAAATTATCTAATCCAGGTAAAGCCTTAAGATGCCATACAAATTATGCCATATTCTGTGCCACATAATTAAAAAAATTAAAGATGTATTTTGCTATTGTTAAGCCAAAAATCAAAGTTTTGGAAATAGCCAAGAAATAATTTATTTCCAAGCCATAAATAAAAAATAAAACAATTAGTGACAACGTATGACCAATTTCTATTATTTACAAAAATTCAAGCCAAAGCATGGTAAATTTAAATAAAAACACCTTAATTTTCTATTTGTAATAAATTTAATATAATGAAGAGAAACTTGATGCCACCAAGGATAAAAATAAGGGCTAGGGATCTTGAGTTTTCTCAGCTAAACAAACGGCATCTTTCTATATCTGAGCTCAACTCGCCTAAAAACAGTTTTTTGAGTACCAATCAGCTTCCAGTTCAAGACCCATTTCAAAATATCAGACTGGATGGATCAAGTATCCCCACTCTTCGCCCTATTTGTCCATCTAAGCGAAGCACCCCTAGAGCATCAACAGCAGGCTTGCAAATACCAAACTTGCCCCTCCCTGTCGATGAAAAAATCCCTTTCTTGATTGCACCTGAATCTCAAAGAAGCCAGTGTAGATCTACCCGAAGTATGAATCATTGTAACTCTGAAGCTATACTAACTCTTATAACTATTTTCCTAAAAAGCATCTTATTTTATAATAAAAACCCTAATTTTTAAAACATTTTATATAAGAGGAATAAGCAACGTAAAGCCAAACCTAATTTTTCACGCCTCCAAACGAATTTTGCCTAGTGGCGTGAAACAGCCAATAAAACCAAAAATTCCAGTTCCTGTCGATATTACAAATCCCAGTAAAGAGTCAGCGAAATCAAGGTCAAAAATAAAATCCATTGCAGCTTTCAATTTTAAAAGGGAAATTAGGACTCCTTGTTTCTCTTTTAATCCAATTTCTTCACAAAAGAAAAACCTGCAATTAAGCGAATCCGAAAGCTGTGGAAGCGAAAGTACAGCATTGCCACAAAGCGGGGAAATTTCAGGGTATGAAATAGCCCCAAGTAAGGTAAAAGTAAGCCAAGGCCAAAACAATAAAGAAGCTTATGATAGGATTAAAAGGCTGATTCTTGATTCCGACTGCTTAAATAATTATGATGATCCTAGAGAAATGTCCTTTGGAGATGTGTACCAAATGCCAGCAACAACTAAAAGGCCTATAAAATTAGTCTCACCAAGAATGCATTTTCGTAATTAAATTGAGATTGGAGATGCAAGTGTTGAGCAAGAAATAAGATTGCTTAATATATATATTATATTTCGTTAAAATATGAACTAGTTATATTTTAGATATTTGCAAAAGAAACCAATTTTGATTAAAATTGTTCAGAATCTTATCAAAATATTAATAAAGTTTAGAGTTTTTCAAAATTTTTGCATATAAATTTTTGTATTAATTTCCCAATTTAAATAAAAAATTATGCAATTTGTAAAAAATTTAATATTTATTACTATATATGATAGTTTTATATTAAAAATTTTTTGAAGGTAATTTCAAAAATATAAGATTTTTCCAACGATTCTGCTGCTAAAAGAGGGGAAGTTAGAGTCCATATTTAATTTCTTTCACTAAATTCTAGGCTTTTAATTTACTCAATAAATGTTTGACATATCGGTTGATTCTGCAGTTAGGCTCACCCTTTTAAATTTGAACTTATGATATCACTGGCTATCCTTTAGACCGGAAGCTATGAAGCATTCCATCAAATAGCTCAGTATCTGCCAGTCACTCTTTACTTGACTCCTACAAATGCTGTTTCTAAGATTTCCTACGCAGTAGACCTCATTTCATAGTTAGATAAATCGAAAGAGTTTCAATAATTTCATATTTTTATCAAATATTCTTGCATATTTAGAAAAATAAAAAGCGATTTAGCTTTATCTCATCAAAGATGCTATTTTACCTATCAAATTAAAAACTGCCTAAAATTCTAACAGTTAAAAGATACTAATGATTTATCCATAAAATCGTGATTACACATATTTTTATTTTGCTCTTGTGTTATAAGCTTTTCTGGCTTTCTCTTCTCTGCCTTTTCTTGAAGCATTTCTTCTTGTAGGTCTCAAAGAGTCTTCTCTTTCAAATTCTGGGACTCTGATATCCCAATATTTTTCTAAAATTATCTTAAAATCTTCGATTTCAATGTTTCCGCCTTCTCTTGCAGCTGCTGCATCTGTAGCCATATCAGTTAATCTATAAAAGAAATCTTCACCAATTTTTAGAATCAAGTCTTCAGCCATTGGCTCAATTGCGAAATCTTTTCTATAAAGCTGTTGGAATTGTTTCCTGTTTATGATTGACTCAGACATCTTTTATTATAGATATAAAGTTCAATTATAATTATCCCCAATTAGAATTTACTATAATTTCTTGCTTTTTTTAAATAATCTTTAATTAAACCTATAAAATACGCTGAACAGCACAAAATAGCTATAGAAAATTCCTGGGGATAGCGCGGAATACGCTATCCCCAGGACCAACCGGGATCGGATCCCACATGGAACGAGGGTTCCATGTGTGGATCCATTTTTGACACGTGAAAGTAAATATCTCACATGTCAAAAATGGATCCACACATGGAACCCCCGTTCCATGTGTGGATCCGATCCCGGTTGGTCCTGGGGATAGCGTATTCCGCGCTATCCCCAGGAATTTAGTATAATTTTCTTTTGCAATATAATTGCATACTTGGAAAATGGAATTTTCACCTCCCTACAAGCCACAAACAACAGAATCTAAACGATTCACCTTTACCCCAGTAAACCTAAAGCTTGTAAACGATATGATCAAGCAAGGCGAGCCTTTCAAACTTAACAACGAGTTAATAGAAATAATCGAAATCGTTTGCCGCATTACAAATTACCAGGAAACCCATAATATCATAAAGTTTGAATTTGAAGATAACAATAACTGCATTCAAGGAATTGTCTATACCAAAGGAGATTTAACCCGTCCCAAAGCTTTGAGTGATTATACATATATAGAAAATGGATATGTGCATATAATTGGAGCTTTAAGAAAGCTTGGTGATGAGGTAAAATGCATAGTACAATCAATTTCTAATGTAAATACTTATGATCAAGTTCATTATCATTATGTTAAAGTGCTATGATGCTATTTGGTTAGAAATGGTATTTTGCATACACCTTCACAAGCAGCTGATAATGTTATGGCTGATTTATCAAGTAGATTTAATAATGCTGGCTCAAGCCAAAATGATTATTCGAATTTAAATGAAGACCAAGCTGAGGTTGTGAGAGCGATTAAGGAAAACTCTAAAGAGTATATTGGGCTAGATAGAAATAGAATTGAGAGTCTTGTGAAGAGAAAAATCAAAAATTTAGATGAAGTCCTAAGTGATTTGGTAAGGTATGGATTTTTGTTTATTGGGGATGATAACTTGACGTACTATGTTTCGTAAATTTTAAGAATTTTATAATGATCTAATAAATAGATTGAAAAAAAATATAAAAACTATGGGTTGCATATATAACTTATAAAAAACAATGTAAAATTAGTTTCATATTTTTCAGCATAATCAGATTAATTGATGATCAATAAAGACTGAAGAAGCCTACTGTGCTCTTTAATTTCAATGATTTATGAAGGAGAATCTGACATTGAAATATGCAGAGAGTTTCTTTGCAAAGATCGAAATTTCAATCCTTATAATCTCCTTGGCATGATTCCACAAAGTTCTGGAGTAATCACTCCAAATGATTTTTATCATTGTAATTTGATAAAAGATCTCAAAGCTACTTTTGATGATTTTTATATGCTGATAAAACAATATAGCTCTGGAGCCAATTCTTATCTAACTTCAAAAGATTTCCTGAAATTAATTATGCCTGCAACTAATGAAAAACTGAAAAAAAATTGTTTAAATCAAAAACTCAGCTATTCTTATAAACTAGATAAGCATACAAGTTTTGGGTTTCAAACTTTGATTAGAAAAGAAATTGATCTGCATAGAAAAATCGAAAAAATCAAAATGGAATTAGAAAATTTATCTGATTTTTCAGTTCGTGTCGCATTTTTAACTATAGATAAAGAAAACAAAGGATTTATTGATTCAGCTGACTTATTTAGATTTTTAAAAAGCGATGGAACAATAATTAACAGCAATAGTTTTGAGGATTTTTTTCGTAGGATTAAAAGAGAAAAAGCTAGACGTATTAGTCTCGAAAAATTTTATGAAATGCTGACACCTTATAAATCAAATAATGAAATTGGGTTAAATACTGAAAATTCTGAAAAATTGAAAATAAATGCGCAAGAAACTCTCTCAACTGGAGAAGAATATACTGGGATTCAAGAAAGCTCATTAAAAGCTGAAGAAATCTTTCAGGAAGATCTAAATAGCATTAATGAAGAAGTAAAAGACGAAAGCTTAGAAAATGATCAAGAATTGCTCGAATTTAACCAAAAAGTATTGAATTATTTTTTTTTGCAGTTAAATTTAGAAATGAAGATCGAAAATTATAGAGAATCTTTATTTATGTTCAAAGAGTTTTCAATTGATTTTTTATTTAAAGTGCTAGACAAATATGAAGAGCTTGAAATTAGTATAGAAGAGTTTGATAGTTTTTTAAAAGAACTAAATATTGATGCAGAAAAAGATGATTTAGTAAGAATTTTCAAGAAATTTGGGAATGATAATATAAAGCTAGAAGAAGAAGGGTTAGATAATTTACTAACTTCCCCCCCCTCCGTGAGTGAAAAAAAAAATTTTGTTCACTCACGGAGGGGGGTTAATTTTTTTTTTTTAATAAAATTTATATATAAATTTTTTAAGAAATATTTTTTTTCGAAATTTAAAAAATCCTGATTCGCAAAAATTGGAAAGCAAATATTAGTTTAATTTATAAAAATTTATGTTTTAAAAAGCAATTCGTTTAAAATTAAATAGAATTAGCTCTAGATTTCATTATATTAATTATCATTTATATATCAAATTTTTTTTCCATAAAAAATTTTTCTATTACAAAATTTTTTGTTAACTCACGGAGGGGGTGGGTTTTTGGGCAAAAAATAGCGATTTTTCTAATGGTTTTGTTCACTCACGGAGGGGGGGGGGGAGTAAGACCATTAAATGATGAGTATGAACAAAGTTATAGGATAAATAGTGAACTTGGGTTTAGTCCTTTGTGTATAGAAATATTATCAAACGTTTTTAAATTGATAATCGAAAGTGAAAAGAAAATCGCTGAAGAAGGCATGGAACTGGCGAAATTTCCTGAAACTTATTTTAAGAGCTCTTTTAAAGCTATTGATAGCAATTCCGATGGAATAATATCAATTTATGATATGAAAATTGCTTTGGATAAATTTGGAATATATTCTACAAATAAAGAAATAGAGTTGGTGATGAAGAGATACAGAATATATATGGAAAATGGTATCAGCTATGAAGCTTTTTATCAGTCAATTGCATATGACTAATCATTTAATTTAATTGCAAAAAATTAAATTTAATCAATCTTTATAAAATAAATTAATTAAAAGACCTTATTTACTAATTCTCTTGCTCTGTCTATTTACATAAAATGAAATTAAGTCATCCTAAAAAAAGGATTTTTAAATTGAGAAATTGACCATTGTTTACTATTAAATTTCTTGAATTTTTAGCATGGTAAATATTATATCATGGCTCATCTTAAAAAGCTTTCAGAGAGGCTATCAATGCAGATGAAGCCAACGGTCAAAAAGCTTGTAACAATTCTTGATGGCAGCGATGAAAGTACCCTTCAAATTGAAAGCAACAGACTTCCTAATATCACCAGGAAATGCAAAGAATTATACATCCCATCCCTACTGATGACAGCAGCCTACAATAAATTACCATGTCTTTCAGCCACACAAATAGGCATTGATATTTCTGCTATGGTTGTTCACAAGAACCTCGAGCCAAACAAATGGAGTGACTACATAGGGATTGAATCAGACTACAATGTCTATATAAATCCTCTGATAAAAAATATTAGCAAGGAAAGAGATTTACAGCTAGAAGAATGCCCATCTTTTCCCAATATACAAGCTGAAATATATCGATATAAAAATATTGATATTAAATATAAGAATCTCCAAGATCAAGAAATTGAAGAATCGCTTGAAGGGTTTAATGCCAGAATTTTCCAAAAATCGATAGACTTGCTATGGGGATTTAATATTATAAGTTTTTCTGTGACTAATGGAAAAATTAAATACAAAAATCCGATAGAAAATTCAGTTCTTGATGAAGTTTTAGAAGAGTTTAATAAGCGAATGGCAGAAGCGAAAAGCAGGTTAGAAGATAGATACATACTCCCCACCTCCATGAGCAAACAAAACAATTAGAAAAATCCCTATTTTTTGCTCAAAAACCAACCCCTGCGTGAGCGAACAAAAATTTTTATGGAAAAAATTTTGATATAAGTGATAATTAGTATAATAAAATCTCGAGCTAATTCTGTTTAATTTTAAACAAATCGCGTTTTAAAACATTAATTTTATAAATTAAATTAATATTTGCTTTCCGATTTTTGCGAATTAGATTTTTTTTAAATTTTGAAAAACCATTTTTTTTATTATGTGTAAATTTTTTTAAAACAAAAACTTAACCCCCTCCATGAGCGAACAAGATTTTTTTGTTTGCTCACAGATGGGGAGGAGCTAGTAGATGAGTCTTTTAAAGAAAATGTAGATAAAAGTGATGCTGACAAAAATGAGTATTTTGAAAGGGTAATTTTGGATTATGAGTTTGAACTCGAATTTTTCCAAAATGTCTCTGAGGCCATGAAGGAAGATTTATTAGAAGAGAAAAAGGATGATAAATCTGAGCTTGATTATGAATCTGAGCCTGAACCTGAAACTAAACGTAGATCTAAGCCAAACTCAAAGTCTAATACGCATAAATAATCCTTAAAATTTAGATTCAATTAACTTCGATAGACAGTTTCTTATAATAAAAAATATTAATAATTTTTGTATTATGATAATTTTAGTAAATTTGCAAGATGTCATTTATTCAAAAACCATATCGAAACCAATCCCCACGCCCTGTTAAAGGTGTTACTCTTCGTCTTGAGGATTTATTGAAGTCTGAAATCCCAAGAGCGTCTTCTACGCAACCTTTATCTCAAACACTAGCTTCCTCACGATAAGCTAGAAAAAAAAATTAATTTTTTTGTTTTATATTAATGTTTCTTTACATCAAATATTTTTAATTTTCGAAATTAAAAAATAAAGATTAAAATTGAACAGAATTAACTAGAGATTTCATTTTTTATAATTATTACTTATATATAAAATTTTATATTAAAAAAAATTTTGCTAATAGATTGGATTTTTGGTATTGTTTCCTATAATTTTGCTTGCTCACAAGATGAGAGTAAAAAACTCCACCTAGGCCAAAAATCAGTTCTGATTTTTCTTCTAAAAAAACTGCAGAATCTAGCCCCGATTTAAAAATACGATCAAGCTCAGCCCTAGCCCATAAGCAGGGCTTAAACCAAACCCAGCCAGTTCGTATGCAGCTAAACCTTCAAGATATCTTGAAAACCCCATCTCCTTTAAAAGAGAAACTAAGTCAAAGCCTTCGTAAAGTAAAGCTTAACTTCGTTAGTGACTTTTTAGAGCCTGAAACAGACACACATATTCCTTCCTATAAAGATTACAAATCAAAAACCCCAAAAAAGAGAGAAATTGAAAAATCTTTTAAGGATTTTTCAAAATTACATGAAATTAAGATGACACCACTTAATATCTCAATAGACTCAATACAGGATAGCGATCCTGGGAAAAAAATAAGAAAAGAAATCCAAGAGAAATTTAATATAAAAAACTTAGATTTAGTGCCTAGGACACATAAAAGCAGACTGCCGTCTTCAATTTTGGTGTGTGAAGGAGATGATATTCAAGTTTTTGACATCCAACGCTCTTAATCAATAAATTTTAATGCTATAAGCGGGGTATTTATATTTAAAATGGAATATGAAGACTGTCATGAAGAAGGCTTGCATTTTCGTCGCAAACGAACAGTCCCAGAAGAGCATCTGCCTCCTTCGAAGCGGTATCCTAACGAAGCAACCTTAAGCAAGCCTATAAATATGCCTCAACCAGCTAAAAAAAGTAAAATTAAATGCCCTGATTTTCCTGATCTTCAATTAAAACTTTCGTCAAATTTCATCTCGGAGCCTTCAAATACAAGAGTCTTAAATTTATTAGAAGACTTTTCGAGTCAATTACAAAATATAATGAAAGAAACCTACTGTGATCACCCTACATTGGTCAATGCCAGCTTAGAAATGCTTGACGACATTATGATTAATTGCAAAACTGAGCTAAAACTCTTCAATGAGAACAAAAAGCTTAAAAAAGATGAAGAAATAAAAATCAATGAAAACATGAAGCATCAAAAGCTCGAAGAAGAAGCAAAATGGAAAAGAATCAACTCATTAATGAGAATTAACCCCAACAATTTAAAGCTGGAAAAAACAAAACTCTATATAGACCGAGCTGCAAATTTATCAAAACCTGCCTACGATAAGCTAAAAATCCTTGATATAAATATCGAAGAAAAATCGCCCCAAAAATTCAATATCCACCCTGCATATCTTCTTGACTTTTCCAAAATTCCTGATAGTTTAAAAGATAAGGTATAGATTTTTCTCTTTAATGGCGCGATAAGGCGTTTTTCCAGGTTGGACCAAAAGACCTTGAGTATGTGAAACTCTGCTTTTCCTTTGTCCCTGGAGAGGCATAGAGGGTAAATAAAATATCGGCTCTATTCAGTATGGAGAGCCGGAAGAAAGGCCATTTGCCAAAGTTAAGCTTTTACCTGGGAAGTTTTGGAGCTTTGATTTCTTGCAAACATTTTAATTCTACATTTTTTGGCTCGTCAAATGGTTTTGACGAGCCAATTCTGGCCAGTACTTGAAATAAAAAAAATAATTAATTACCATTTTTTAAAATTTTCTGATCATCCTAATAATCAGAAATTTTATTAAATGGTAGAAGATCAGACAAATTATTAAAACTTTTCATTTATTAATTTTTATATTTGTATAAAGATGGCTATAGAGATTATAGTAACTTGAAATTTAAAAATCACGTGCGGCTGCTACTTTTCAAGGCAGTAAGAAGAACTCATGGAAAAGTGCTTATGCTTAAAATTTCATTCAAAATCGTCTATTAAAGCTTTCATTTTTCATTTTTATGTTTGTATCAAGATGGCTATAGAGAATATAGATACATGAAATTTTAAAAAATCACGTGCGGCTGCGATTTTTGAGACAATAAAAAGAGCCCATAGAAGGGTGCTTATGCTTAAAACTCCATTCAAAATGGTCTATTAAAACTTTCATTTTTCAATTTTTATTTTTGTATAAAGATGGCTATAGAGACTATGGGAACTTGAAAATTTAAATATCACGTGCTGCTACGACTTTTCAAGGCAGTAAGAAGAACTAATGGAAAAGTGCTTATGCTTAAAATTCCATTCAAAATTGTCTATTAAAACTTTCATTTTTCAATTTTTATGGTTTTTATAAAGATGGCTATAGATACTATGGGAACTTGAAAATTTAAATATCACGTGGGCTATGACTTTTCAAGGCAGTAAAAAGAACTAATGGAATAGTGCTTATGTTTAAAATTCCATTCAAAATTGTCTATTAAACCTTTCATTTTTCAATTTTTATGTTTGTATAAAGATGGCTCTTAAATTAAAGTTATATTTTTTAAGTGGGATGTCTGATCCTATGCAAATTTATTTAAAAATTCTGATCAAAATCCCATGGTTAAAAATATAAATAAATTTGTAGCCTTTATTGGATGCTGAAATAGTGAAAACTAGAACTTCTAGGGCTAAAAATATCAGAATTGTTCAAACAATTAGAACAAAACAATTAATAAAATTTCTGATTATTAGGATGATCAGAAAATTTAAAAAATGGTAATTAATTATTTTTTTATTTCAAGTACTGGCCAGAATTGGCTCGTCAAAACCATTTGACGAGCCAAAAAATGTAGAATTAAAATGTTTGCAAGAAATCAAAGCTCCAAAACTTCCCAGGTAAAAGCTTAACTTTGGCAAATGGCCTATCTTCCGGCTCTCCATACTGAATAGAGCCGATATTTTATTTACCCTCTATGCCTCTCCAGGGACAAAGGAAAAGCAGAGTTTCACATGCTCAAGGTCTTTTGGTCCAACCTGGAAAAACGCCTTATCGCGCCATTAAAGAGAAAAATCTATATTTTTTATATAGACTCAAAAAAATCTTACAAATGTCGCGTCTTATGCAGAAGAGACCTGGAGATGCAAAAAAGACCAAAACCGAGACAAAGGATATGCAGTCACAGAGGATTTTGGGCCACTTTTGTCAGTGTTTTTTGAAGACAGCAGGAAGCTATTTTCTTCATTTAAGTCTTTGAAGATATAATGGTAATAATTTATCTTATAATAAATGTCGACTCCTTTATTTAAAAGAGATGATCCGAAACTTGGCACAATAATTATGCTGCTTTTTATAATTTTTGGGGATTTTTGAATTATTTTTAAATATAAATAGGACAAGGTAGGGGGTATACAAAAGGAAATGCAGGGAATGTCTGCTTTTTAGGGTTTCCATATGATGAAGGGGTGGCTAGAAATGGAGGAAGGGTGGGAACCGAAAGAGGGCCTGATGTGCTGAGAAGATTTATATATAATCTTGGGCCAGTTGTAAATCCTGAACTGGAAATTAGCTTGCAAGAATTTAGCATTGGAGATTCGGGAAATATTCAAGGACTTACTTTAGAAGAGGCTCATCAAGAGTTGCAACAGCAAGTAGAAACGATTCTTCAAGATCCCAGCCAACCTAATCTTTTTGTGATAGGAGGTGGCAAAGACCAAGGATGGCCAGACTCGAAAGGCTTTCTGACCTACTGCCATGCTAACAGCTTCATCCCTGTCATAATCAACATAGACTCTCATCTTGACGTAAGAAATCTTGATGATGAAGGCCGTATCCACTCTGGCTGTGCTTTTCGGATATTATTAGACGATCCAGCTTTTGCAGAACTTGGTGGAAAATTCATAGAGTTTGGCTCACAAGGTTCCCAATGTGCACAATCCCATGTGGATTATGTTAATTCTAAAGGCGGAAGGATAATTTGGCTGTCAAGCATCAGAAGAAAAGTGATAGCACCCCAATCGTCTATAAGAGGATCTTTAACACAGGCAGGACAAGTGCTGGAAGAGCTGCTTGGGGAATTTGATGAGAAACATAGAGTTTTTATTTCTTTTGAGGTGGATGCGATTAATAGTGCATTTTGTCCAGGAGTTAGCTGCCCTAGTGTAGACGGAGGGTTTACAGCTGAAGAAGCGATCGAAGTAGGGTTTGTCAGCGGGAAAAATAGAAAAGTGACGCTTATGGATATGTCAGAGTATAACCCTGCTATAGAGGATTACAGAACGGGGAGGTTGCTTGCAAATATCTTTTATTATTTCTGCTTAACCTGGCTATATGTATTGACTTGTGAGATTCTAAAATTATTGGAATTCGAAATAGTGTCTATAATTCTTTGTTATATTTGATACTATTATAAAATAAAAATTTTTTAATGAAAGGAAAGTTAGGGGTTAAAATCAGGACTGAAAATTAAATCTTTGCTAGAAATAAATATGCTTATTTGAGGTAAAATTTTGGTTTTTGAGAAATTTATGTAAGTCGTTTTAGGAACAAAAGGATAAAGTCTGTTTTCGACGATAAGTGAAATACTAGCGTGCCTAAAAAAAAAAGTGAAATATAAATAAGAAATCTTTTAATCTCTCGATCTTAAGATATTGGCAAGCTGGCGTTAGAATTAACGGAAATTTTGATAAACCCTTGCAAGTCTTCAAAGTAAAATCAATACAGGTTGAGTAAATAAAATATGATGAGATCGATTAATCTAAATTTTAAAAAGGGCAAATACATAATATTTTTTGATAATCAAAATATATATAAATTTCAATGTCGTGATTATGAAATCGTTTGTTATAGAGAACTTAAAACCATGGCAGGTTGGCTATGAGAAATATTAGGAAGTCGCTTTAAAATTTAGTACCCAATGAAACCGGTTATCGATTAAAAAAAAATTTTATTCGGGATCTCAGAAGAAGGCATATGATCGAATATTTACTCATCCTCTTTACAGCAACTTCATAGGGATACTCAGAAATGAAGAAAACGCAATAAATTGGTGCCAAAAGTGGATATAATGGAGCTAAACAATTGTGATATGTACTGTAATCCATAAACTCTTACTGAAAACAGTTTTAATTTCTCTATAACAGACGATTTCATAATCACGGCATTGGAATTTATATAGATTTTATATTATCAAAAAAAGTGAAACTTACTCTTTTTAAAAATATCAATCGATTTCATCATATTTTATTTTTCAACTTGCTTGGATTTCATTTAAAACTTGTGAGGATTTTTCAAATTTCCATTAATTTTAACCCCAACTTTTATATAGATTTCTTATCTCCAACTTTACTAATTTTCATTTGTAGATGCACTAGTATTTTTCTCATCAGACTTAATACCATTTATCCATGTAAAGCTATTGCAAGTCGGTTAGAATTTCCTATTAAAGTTTATTTTATTAAACTTTACTATTTTTATCGAAAATAGAGCTTATTTTTTATTTCTAAAACGACTTCCAGAAATTTCTCAAAACCAGCTCACTGATATTTTGGATAATTTTGTAGAGCCGTAAATTTTTAAAAATTCCGAGATATATGAACAATGAGGATTAAATTTAATATTAGAGAACGGAAATATTAAATAATTTGCTCGAAATGAATTAGAGCATTAAAGCAAAAAATATACATTCATCTATTTGATTTTGAGCACTTTATAAATTTTCAACAAATCCATTTTCTTTGCATACATAAATTTGCATGCTTTTAATCATATAAGTCTTAATATTCACCTTTTTAGGGTTAGGGCTTATTATTATTCCTAAAATCCTTTAAGACAGTCCTAAAACCACATTCTAATGTATTTTTCTTATTCTTTTGATTTTTTAAATTTCTAAAAAATTTTCCTAATTTCCCTAATTTCTCAATCTCTATCATCTATCGAATCACTCTTAAACACCCCTCGATCATTTATTATCATTACCCTCTCCTTTTCTCTGCCTTAAAGCTGCCAATTTTATCAACTTTTCCTACTCTCAGACTCTAGGATACGGCCGATCCAAAATCCCTCCAGATATGTATCTTTTCTATTTAAGGCCGATCTTCAGATGAGGAAATAAATCTTCGAATGATGAAATTAATCCTTTCTCTCCTTCTCGTCTCTCTTCTTAAGGCAGATGATGACTTTCTCCCTCCCCTCAGAGATCTACAAGGCAGCTCTTACTCTGGGGTATGTGCAGGCAAGACTAATTGTTACGCAGTTTTCTTAGACACTGCCCATGTTGCAGGCCAAATACGCTGGAATGAAATGCCTCTATATCAATCTACAGCTTCTCTTTGGCCATCCTCAAGCTGGGCTTATGCAAACTCTCAAGCAGCAACCTTCTTATGGTGGCTTATGGAAGCAAGATCAAAGGGAGTCAACAATATTCTAGCTTGCATAAATATCTGAGAATTACTAGCAAGGCTGCGCCTTACTTTTTAATTTTAATTATAATATTAATTTGCTAGAATAGTGAATATTTATGCTTAAAGGCTTATAAACTACAATAGATGGATTAGCTTTTACTCAATTGAAAAAGCTGTTCTTTCAAGTGGAAACGGAATAAACTGTCAAACTCCTTCAAGTTCTGGCTCAATGAGATATAATTTCCATGAAGCCTTGGATTTGGTCAGCACTTCCAATTACTTTTATGACAATACTAATTGGTCAGATAGATTGGATATAACTAAAGCCTGCAATACAACTTATTTGAACTCTGTTAATACAACTGGCTATAATCCTTATGTCTGGACAATTTATATGGCTGGCAATTTTACAACTGCAAAAAATCCATATGCAGGGATATCAACTGGATTAAGTTCATACGGACTTGGGTTAGTAAGTATTCCAATGGATTATGATATGTGCTGTTCAGGTGCTACCTATTATAGTGATGGAATTTATAATCCAACTAATACCACTATGTTTTATGATGCTGCAACGGTATGGGGTGTATGGAAAGACACCAATAACAAGATTTGGCTTGGCGTTTATGCTATTGGAGCTTATAACAAGAGTAACAAGTATCTTTGGGTACCTTTAAGTATCGTTTCAAGGCCTTATACGATCAGCTGGTTTCAAAATGTCTACCTTCAAGATACTTCATTATGGTAAATAAAATTTAATTTTATTATAAATTTGAGTGATTTATAAAAAATAAAACCCTTGTTTAAAGATTTTGCTTAAGATTTTTCCAATTTTAATATACTTATAAACTTTTTCTTCTAAGAATATCTTTAATTGTATTTGAATAAAATGGAACCAGGATTTCATTTCACAGACTATCAAAAAGCAGAGCTAGAAAACTCATTTAAAAAATTTTCCCCGAACTCTGAAGGCAAAATCACTATTGAAAGCGTCAATAACCTAATTAAAACCATAGAGTCAACTAAATCAAACAAACAAGAAATTTCTCCATCAGATTACTCTGTAGATCCTCAAGTAGCAGAAACAAAAACTTTTTTAAACGGTTCATCAGAATGCGATTTCGACACTTTTATATCAACATTAGAAGATGCCATATCTAAGCCAGACGTTTTTGAAAAAGCTTTAGCACAAAGTTTTCGATTAATGGACATGAGAGGGACTGGGTTTATAGAAGCTCAAGACTTAATGCAGCTTGCAGAAATTTTGGGCGAAAATTTATCAGGAGAAGAAGAAGCAAGAAGGATTATTCATAGAGCAGAAGAAAATTCTGAGGACGGAAAAATGACAATTAAAAGTTTAAGAGCGTTTTTACATAATGATATTGATTCCAATTTATCACCGTAATCAGCTTTTTAATTATTTTCTTGAAAAATTTAAAGTTGAGTACCTTGGCTCTGCATTAGGATTAGCAGAAAAAGAAGTTAATTCAATATCTCCCATTTCAGATCCATATAAAAGCTGTGCAGTAAGCTCTGGGAGAGGCTTTGGTTTGAAAAATTTCAAGTAAACTCAGATAGAGAGGAATATTGCTGAAGTTATGCCTAATAAAACAAGAATAATAACTCATAGCTCAATCATTATTTATATTTAAATAACTTTTTATTTTAATAAATATTTAAAATATTCCTTAATTAAAATTATTTTCAAATAACTTTATGTTTAGCATGCACAATTTTTCTTATCTTGAGCCCTTGCTGCTTCATTAGTCTGATTTTGCGGAGGATTCGTCAACACAATCCTTTGCTCTGGTGTATTCGGCTGAGCTGTGACTGTCGGTTTCCCATTCGTCAATGACGTCGCAATCTGCTTAAAAAGTTGGCTTATATTATCCCCCGTTTTGGCGCTCGTTTCCACATATAGTCCTTCATGGGCTTTTGCTTTTTCTGAAGCTTCTTCATAGCTGACAATTCTTTCTTCGACCTTATCCATTTTATTCCCTGCGATTACAATTAATGCTTCTTTTCCCCTTTCGCTTCTGACATCTTGAACCCATCTGTCAATGCTTAAAAATGTTTGTTTATTGGTCACATCAAAAACAATGATAGCGACTGATGAATCTCTTATATAATTTGGAATTATGATACACAAGTTTAAATATTGGCTATAAAAAATATATATAAATATGGCTGAAATATTATTAATAATTAGGTAATAATATTAAACTTATTCTAATATAGTATATACTGTGCCATATTTATTTTATATAAATTAATAAGATTTGCATATGGTTATTTATTATCCTAAAATGGTATAAGCTTCGAAATCTCTCTTGTCCTGCAGTGTCCCATAACTGTAGTCTGATGGCCTGGTTTTCATGATATATGGTTTTTGATAAGAAATCAATGCCAATTGTAGCTTGATAATTCGCATCAAACGTATCATTCATAAAGCGGTTGATGATTGAAGTCTTCCCTGTATAAATGTCCCCTAAAAACACAAGCTTGAACTTTGCTGTTGGTGTAGCTGAGCCAAGAACTCCTGCCATTATTATTCAAATTATCATTAAGAGCTAAAAGTTATCATTTCTATCTAGAAACCCATTATTTATTGAACGATCCATATCCTTCTGGGTTCATAGTTATAGCGTAGCTGATCTACACAAAGAATGTTCCCATATAAGGAATGGTTTTGGTATCTTATTCTATTTTTTCTCAATAAGAACAATAAAAAAAATACTAGCAAAAAGACAAAAATCATTAAAAAGTGCATAGATTTTCTAGTGCAGGTCCTTGTCTGACTCTTCCCCACTTATCAAAAATACTACCGTGGCACATGCAAGTCCACCCTTTATATTTCCCAATATATGGAATAGGGATACAGCCTAAATGTGTGCATCTAGCGTTGAGAACCATTACTTTTGAGTTTGGAGCGTCAGTAATTCTGACTTGGTGAGCGCTGTCCATAAGTGTATGTGGAGGAGTCTTGCCTTCGTCTTCCATTTCTTCTTTGGTAAGTCTTCTAATAAATAATGGTACACCATGCCAAGAAATTTGCATGACTTCACCAGGAGGCAATTCTCCTATGTCGAATTCCATATACTTGTCTGGGAAGTATTCTAAAATATATGAAATTCATATAAAACTGACAGTTTTGCCACTATTTTTTATAAAAAATAAGACATAACTGTCATTTTCTAATTGCTTTGGCTTCCAAATGTCTATATCTTACCCAACCTGTAATGATTTGTGCCCACGAGCTTGCTGCATATTGGAAGCCAGTGACCCACATGATGTTTCCCATACAATTTGCAATATAAAGCTGAGCCTTTTTCACTTCCCATTCTTCTTCGTTGAATTCACGGGCCTCGTCAAACCAATTATCAAGCTTTAATTTGAAGTCCATTACATCTCTGAAATTTCCAGGCCTTGTTGGGGTTTCAAAAAAAGGGGCGCCGTCTTCACTGTATCTATTTCCTCTAAACCATTCATCGGCAAATGCTGCTCTGGGAACTCTAACTAGTTGACAGAGTTTAGTAGCTCTACTTAACATTTATTAATGGCCATCATGTTTTCACGATGGTTTAACTATGAAAAAGCATCATAATTTTACGAATGGCTTTTAATGCAGTTCTTGAAGAGAAATATATGATATTTTGGAAAATTATAAATATAGGCTTGAGGATAGAAAAGGGAGAATTATTTTGGATAGAAAAAGAAGGGCAGAATATAGAGAAAAAGGAAAAAATGGCAGAAATAGAATAAATTGTGAAAGAAAGAATTTACGATGGGTATTTAGATCAATGAAGGCAAATAACCGAGATTTAGATGAAAAGTTAGAGGAAAATGAATGTGGGAAACGGAAGAGAGACAATCGGAGAAAATCTGAAAAGTTTACGACGATGAAAAATGATATTTTTAGCGAGGAAATAAATTTTGATGTATCTTCTCATGTTATGCACGATGCAGATAGAGATTTGGGAAAGCAGATAGGAGCTGTCATTGTTGGTGAAAATAAGAGAAGTGATGAGTTATTAAATGAAAAGCTAAAGAAGTCTGCTTTGTCTACGAAGTCTGAAAAATGCTCAATTCATAATAATGATTTTGAGTCGCCGGATACGTGCAAGGTTTGTATATTACAATAATATGAATAATGAATAATAAGCTCTAAAGCAATTTAATTTTATAATATTAGGAAAAAATTAAAATGAAGAAAATTGAAAAGATGCCTTAATAATGGACTTTTAAGTTCTCATAAAGAAATTTCTTTATCTTGCATATCTAAGTCAAATAACGATTAGATTACGATTTCTTATGCTTCTTCTTTGGCTTTCCTTCATCTTCGCTATCTGATTTCGATTTCTTTTTTCCTTTTTTATCTTTTTTCTTCTTCTTTTTGCCTTTATCTTTTTTCTTATCTTTTTTCTTGTCTTTTTTCCCATCTTTTTTCTTGTTTTTCTTCTTATCTTTTTTCTTTTTCTTTTTCTTTTCATCTTCGCTGACTTCACTGTCGCTATCACTATCACTATCACTGCTGCTTTCGCTATCACTTTCAATTGATGATGAGCTTTTGAGATCTATGAGCTCTTTTCCACCATTCCCAGGTTCCTCCATCAATCTCACCTGCTCCTTTTCTTCTAGAGCTTTTTTTCTTCATTTCTTTTTTTCAGAGTTGCTCAATTCATTCCAGCTATTTGTTATAATTTTTCTCAACTCTGCGATATTTTCAATTGATTCTTCTTCATTGTCTCCTTTTAGCTGCTTTATTTGTTCTCCCAAGTATAAATAGAACCCTGACTTGTTATGCTTTTTCTTAGATCTCTGTCTTTTTACTCTTATTTGAGAAAGCTGCTCAGCAAGATCATTGAAGAATTTTGAAGTTTTCCTCACAAGCTCCACTATCTAAATATATGTTACGATTCTTTTGGAGACACTGTCCATTTATAATAAATTATTAGAAAGAAAATTTGATGTGATTTATTAATAAATGGAATACGGTAGTCAATTGCTTTTCTTTTTGACTATTAGTTATGTGCTTTGTGGACTTTATTATAGCTCAGAATCAACAGTAAGTGCTGAATTAGGAATGGAATATTAAAGCAGGGCTTGTTGGAGTCTGTATGGTTTTCCTCGCCCAAAGCTCACTTAAGCCTTATAATAGCCCTTTTAAAAGAGTCAGAGATGTTTACTGCAGAGTTGGTGCAAGACTTGGGCTTCTTTATATAGGACTTTTAGTGTTTCTGCTTTTCCAAACTGAAAAGGATGCAAGAGCATTATTCGGGTATATTGATCCTTCCCTCAATAAGGAGCTTGCAATGCGTACAGAAAATTATGATAGAAGCTGTGAGTTTACCTTTGAAAATATATATAAGCTTTCAGATTTTTATGTTTTGGCCCATTTCTTCAACTGGCTTGCTGCTGCTTTGCTGTTAAGAGATTACTATATTCTTCATATATGGAGTGTTTTAGATGAGCTCATAGAACTATCATTAAAAAATATTAGGCCAAATTTCGCAGAATGTTGGTGGGATTCGTTAATATTAGACGTTTTGGTAGCCAATACTCTTGGAATATGGATTGGGATGAGTCTAATTAGATATTGCAACTCAATGGAGTATGACTGGTTTGGCAGAAAAAACACTAAATCTATTAGAGAATGGAAAGCATGGACACAACATAGGCAGTTTCAAGGGGTGTTTTTAGTGATTTTATTTGTATCTATCAATTTTGTCACTGGATTTACAGTACCGAATTCTTTGTGGCTGCCACCATCGAATAAGCTAAATATTATAAGACTGATTATATGGTTGGCAATAGGAGGGCTAGGATTTAGAGAAGCTTATGATGATGTAAGAACTTGGGGAGAACATTTAAGAGCAGAAAAACAGATTTTTGCTCAATATAGATGGACTGCTTGAATGATGCTTTGCTGCGAAGCTATTTTAAGCTGGAAGTTTAGGCATAATGCTGGAAACAGGCTTGAAGAATCTGTACATTGGTACGTCATTTTGCCATGGGGTGTATGGTTTGTTGGATCATTGGCATTTTACTGCTATTTGAGGCTAGTCTACAAATATAGGATTTACAAAGATGGGACATATATGGATTTGGAGGTAAGAAAACAAAACATACAAAATAAAAAAACTAATTAGTTATTAACTATTATAATAAGGCCATAAGACCTTCAGGTCTGACCTTTTTCCATAAGTTATTAAGTTTTACAGATCACCTTAAGGAATATCTCCACAAATTTCATCCATTAGTTATTAAGGATTTTAAATTTTAATTTGCAAATTTTTAACAAATGAGTTTAGGTTAATTTTTCATCTTTAAAAATTAAAATTTTGTAATTAAACAGTAATTTATTTCCCTATAATTACCATTTTTTTTGAATTAAGGTGATGCTGATTGCTTTTATACCAATGAACGAGAGATCAAACGAAACTAATCCGAACACTTCTTCTGATAAAAACCCATTGAATATAATTCGGATTTTATTTTCCTTATTATTAATAGGTGATCTTGTATGAGGGGTGTATTTGAGCACATACTTATTTTTTATATATTTCACAAATTGAGGACTTACCTGCATTGCAATATTTTACATCATTTCTGTGCTTTCAATTCGGATAAAAAAATTGGAGCCAAGTGTAAGGATTTTGTTTGAGACTTCATGGGCATTAGAATGGTGCGTAAGTATTGTCTATTGGTCAGCTGTGGCTCCTGCTGATCGTTTAGACGTTATGTCAGCTATCCTTGCTCATACAGTGCCACTGTGCACACTTCTTATTGATTTTTGCTTAAATGAAATAATATTTGTGAGAAAGCATATACTAGACAATATAATTACAATTGGGAAATACCTATTTTTTTTATAGAAAAAAGAATTGGCTGTCTGTTAAATAAGCTCTTTGTCTATTATAGGGCTGGGGATTTCCACCCCTAACTGCTCAGAGTTCCCAAAGGATCCCATAGATATCCTTTCTCGCAGCTACAGGGAAGAGATTTGCTACGAACGATCTTGAATTTCATAATACTGGAGCCTGGCCAACCACCTGGGTCTAAACTCCCAGTTTATTGTTCAGCAAATGTCGCCTCTTGAGCGAGGGATTTATCTTCCACTTGGGGCTTTTGGCGATTCTGCCCTTTCCATGATGGTCTCAGAGGTAAAATTTCAAGGTCCCAGGAATTAGCTCCCTAGGGCTCTAAAAAAGCCTAGCCCTACATACATAAAGGATTACCGGCCTCTATCTGCCCTTACTTTCACACTGGGCGGTTCCTGCCTGTGTTGAAGAAATCGGTTCAGGAGTTCAGGTGGTTTGTCGTCATCATTTTTATTTATATGGCTATCTGATAATAATTCAACCATTCTTTTATGAAAGGATATTATTGTCCCTATATCAATTAGTACTATTTATTTATTTTGTGTTAATTTACCATATACATTGGCATTAAAACATATTTATCCTTTAATTAATTATACAGACGTCTGAACTTATTTACTTATTCCAGCTATGTTGCTTATTGAAATCATTTCATTTGAGCTAGCCCTTCAAATAAAAAGAAAAATAGTAAAAAATAAACAAGAAAGGAAAAAGAATTCACAAGCTGGCAGAGATCAAGCTCTTATGGATCAAATAGCAACTGAAGTAGTTCCTAATTTTATAGTTGTCTCTTATTCCCATCCTCCGTAAGCGAACTAAAAAAATCTTATTCTCTTATGGAGGGGGGTTAATTTGTTTTTAAAAAATCCCACTTCTCAAAAATTGGAAAGCAAATATTAATTTAATTTGTGAAATTTATGTTTTAAAACGTAATTTGTTTTAAATTAAACAGAGATTTCATGATACAAGTGATCATTTATATACCTTTTTTTTCATAAAAAATTTTACTCGCACACATGAGGGTGGATTTTTGGTCAAAAAATATGGATTTTTCTAATGGTTTTGTTCGCTCACGGAGGGGGGAGTTAGCATATAAAAATTGTGATGGCATCAAAAGTTGGCGACTATTAGTAATTATGTTAAAATAATTAATATAATAACTCCCCCCCCCTCCGTGAGTGAACAAAATCATTTAGAAAAATCGCTATTTTTTGACCAAAAACCCACCCTCCGTGAGTGAACAAAAATTTTTTTAATAGAAATATTTTTTGATGGAAAAATTTTTTGATATATAAATGATAATTAGTATAATGAAATCTAGAGCTAGTTCTATTTAATTTTGAACGAATTGCTTTTTAAAACATAAATTTTATAAATTAAACTAATATTTGCTTTCCAATTTTTTACGAATTAGGATTTTTTTAAATTTCGAAAAAAAAATATTTTTTATAAAATTTATATATAAATTTTTTTAAAAAAAAAAATTAACCCCCCTCCGTGAGTGAACAAAATTTTTTTTGTTCACTCACGGAGGGGGGGGGGGAGTAAATAATTATAACATGATCGAGCAATTAATTAGGATTTATGATTAAATTCATAATTAATTTTCATCAATTGACACCCACACCCCTAAAGGATCACATGCCATTATAAATAACTTCGATGAATTTTTAAACGAATTTGAATCCAGTGTAAGCTCTACTGGAGGTCTCCATAATGTCATTGAAAGTAAACTTTACTTTCTAAACTCCTACTATATTTTAATGGTTTTTCATCTCAGAAACCACAAGTCCTTTTTTAATCCAATCTTTGGATACAAGATATAGGCAATCATTCTCATCTATACCCTGGAAATAAAAGCACTCTTTTTCTCTTTTATTCACTATTTCCCACATTTACTGACCTTAATTCTCCTTAACAGCTTAAATTTAGGTATTTCCAGACTTAATTTTTCCATTACAGCGTCACAAAAGGCAAAAACTTTAATGCTGCCATATCATCTAGAGGAGTTTTTGTAGATTCCTAACAGCTAATCGGAGAAATAAAAGGTGACGTTGACGGAAATTGGACTCTGAGGCGCACCTCTTATGGAGCCAGGTAGAACCCATCCCTGATGAAGCTGAAACATAGGGCCTCGTTCCCTGTCTTAAGTAGGCCTTCAGGGATGTGGGTAGCTGTGCCGAAAAGGAAAATTTTGTTTCTCCCCCGAAGGTTTTCCCTGTCCCTGCCAGATGGGCTAGACAGGTTTTTCCTACCACATGGTCTTCCTTCATCGGGACAATCGGGGCACTCATCCAAGAGTGGCTCTGTCCAAAGGAGCTAATTCTCTGACAGGTGGTTTTGACCAGAAATTAAGATGGCGTCTGGCCTGGGAGTATGGCCACATCAGAACCCGACCTGGAGTCGTCTTTCGAGCAGAGGTGTTAAAGTCCGCTGGTTTCGCCCACGTATGGTCTTTTTAAAACTAACTAACTAACTAACTAACAGCTAATTTACATAATTTGTGGTAACTCTTAAGCTAAATCCCATCCCAAGTCAAATATCAGCTTCTGCTTCATGCTGAAATGCAAAATCATATACATTTTGATCAGGATTTTTATTATTTTCATTGCTGTTTAAATTTGGGATAATTAAATGGAAGCTCTTACTATTGAGCCATATCAAGCTCCACATGATTTTCCAAGGATGATAAGCCCTTCTGAAACTTTAACAAGCAGGATGTCAAGCTCAAAATTTAATAAAATAAATACAGCTACAAATACTGTGCATGATAGGCTTTACAAAGATTCAATGATAAGGCAGCAAGCAAAAATGGCCCAAAATAACAAAAAGTCTGCATCACAAACTAAAATAAAGCCAAGAAAAGGGATCGAAGATATTTTGCTGCTTAAAGGAAAAGCTCTCGAAGCAAAAAAAGAAAGAATTAAAGAAAAATGGGAATGGATAAGGAAACAAAATTTTAGAGATGCGCCTGAAATTAATGATTTATCCAAAAAATTAGCATATGTTGCTTATGCGAAAAAAGGTTATTGAGAATCATCAAGGTGCTCTTCTAGAAATTCATCAAAAGAAACCTCTAAAATCAACAGTCAAATAGAAAAAGATCCTAGTGATATAAAAAATTCATCTAAAGGTCCTGGGCTTAGTATCAAAATTCCTGATCATCCAAATTTCATAAATTCTATAGAAAATTCTACAGCAAGATACACACAAAAAAACTTTGAAACTTCTAATAATGGCGGTTTAACTGAAAGGAATAGACCTAAAAGTGCTAAAAACAGCCAAATAGCTAAGAAGCAATCTGCTTCTTTATTTAAAAAATCATCTGAAGAAACTGATATTAAGCCAAAGTATACACAAAAAATCACCCATGAGCAATGTTTAATCCCTCAAGAATTAACTTTGATGAACACAGAGAATAAAGAAAAAAACACTTGCAATAAAGCTGAATCCTCAAACAAAGATTATACTGGACAGATGGTTCATAAAAACTCACTCTTAAATAAGAATAAAGCTTCATTAGATCAACCAAGAAAGCAAGAATCTCAAAGGCTGAAGATTATTCCATCTAAAAGTGAAAAAAGTCTAGAGAGAAAAGAAGCAGCTGTAAGAATCGCTGTAGATTCTTCTGTTCCATTAGAAACCGCTCTGCTTTATAAAGAAATAATAAAGCGTAGATGTGAAGACGATTGTGGTTTTAAAGGATTTCATAAGTAAAAACATTTATATTTATACCATATATTTTTCTATTGTTTTTTATGGTATTTATTTTTAAAAAAAATATATAAAGTTTATTTATTGATTAAAACCATTCTTACAAAGCATATATTTTTATTGCCTGACATTTGGACTATTTAAAAATAGAAAAGCTGAAGGAGATACATCAGTTTGTTGCATGCCAGTCATTCCTATTTGATAAATCGTTTTTATCTGATCTGCTAAGTTCGAAAAACCATGATCATCAAATGCAAATGGAATAAATCCAGGAGAACTGACTATCATAGGAGAAATCGGCATCACTGAGCTCAATGGCACACTTTCAGGTTCTAAGCCTTTTTTTTCTGAAATAATTGTTTTTATCTGCTCTCGTCCTTTTCGGGATTTTTTTGATCTTTTTGTTATGCTTTTTCATCTATTTTTTACCTGATTTTCAGTTCTCCCTTTAAGAAGTCTTGCAATGTCACTTCATTTGTTTCCCCATTCCAGCTGTTTTTCTAAAATAATTATATCCTCTTCAGGGGTCCAGTTGCCTTTTATTAAGCCATCATTAAGATGATTATATACCAACATCATAGAATTTTTTTTAACTAATATAGTTTATATTATAATTTACTTTAATTTATCAAGCATATCATCTCTCCCTACATTGCTTGCCTTGCCTTATTGGCATCCCATTATGAACGATTGAGTTGACTTCTTTTGCAATTAAACTCCATCTATGTGTGCCTTTGTGCAGCACCAAATCTCTGAGAGTTTCATCTTCTTCTGGAAGCCAAAACTGTCTGGCTTGCAATCTGTCGGATTTGATGTCTGAATTATATGGCCTGCCTATTGCTTGATATTCTTTTTTGTCTTTTGATATGGAGCAAGGCACCATTCAAACATCATCAGTAATTGGAATAGGTTTAATATTTTTGTCATTCATCATTATAATACTTACATAAGATTGATTGTTTTTTGCCCTAATTTAATACCCACTACAATATCACACTGTCAAGGCTTCTACTCCTTCTTCAGGATACCTCACCTGAGCTACTTGGCATCGATCAGATAGACTCTCGATTTTGGATTTTGGTTTTGACAGCTAGGCTTCCAATTGCCAGCCTAGAAAAATTGACAAACAATTTTTCTGGTGAAGCTGTACATTCTGGGCTTGCTAACCTAACCAGATATCATTAAATATATTCTCGAGGCTGAATATATAGGACGAGATGCCCATATTTAATTATCCATCATTTTAATACAAATTTAATACAAAGTTAATGATTAGAGATTACATAGCAAGAAAAAAAATAAAATTACAAGAAATTCAAAATGAAATCTAATTTGAGGCTAAAAAATTATATATTTATTATGGACTTATTTGAAAAGATGGAAAATATGCATAAATAACTAAAAATTCATATTTTTTATATGCTAATTAATATTTTATCTATTTTTATCCTTTAATTATCTTAATACATTTAAATTTATTTCATCTTTTATTTAATTTGACTTTTTTCTCTTTATTCGTTCTTTGATAAAAACCAAAAATTTCGGTAATGCCAACAAGCAAGATTTTGGGAAGCCTTGCCAAATCTCTAAATTTTCTTTAAAAACATTATCTCTTGTTTCAACTCTATCAGCTGCATCTAAGATTGCATATAGCAAAAAGACAGAAAGGAGAACTACAATAGGCTAAATAGTTTTTACCAAAAAAATAATCCAAACAAATCTCCACATTCCAATGCACGCAATTTCTACACAAATTCCCATAATTATAATGCCACTGGCTTGAACTTTAATAACTGATTTTAATTCATCAATTCCTGTAGCGTCAAAATAAATCGCACTTAATAAAATCCCACTTGCAACGAGTAGTCATAAAGCTAAGAAAAACCCATTGATAAACAAGCTCAAATAAGCAAGTGAAATTCCAATACTGATTGTATACTACTGCATTTTAATAGATCACTAGTGACAATCAATTAATTTTTAAAATAAAATTGTATTTGCCAATTTTTTTGAAACTCACAAATGAAATGACAACTCTCTATTTAATATTTTGAGATGCCTAATCTGGCTTAGACTGCATAAAGCAAGCATCTTGGACCATTTTTTTTTCTGTTGGTGTTTTACTTACTCCCCCCCATCCTTGATCGAACGACTCGCCGTCGTTCGATCAAGGATGGGGGTTAAAAACAATTTTTTTGGGAAAAAAATTTTTTATATATAAAATAAAAAATATATAGATATTTGTTTTATTTACTTTTAAATAAGAGTGTTAAAAGTATTTAATAATTATTTTTACAGCAAAAAATTGAATTAATCTCATAAAAATACCAATTTTTAATATATTTTGATTTATTAGTTACCCCTTTAAACTGTATAAATTTTAATTTGTTCCTTATTAAATTAATTTTTTTTTTTAAAAATTTTAAAGTCTCTATTTTATTAGATTATTGAGTTTTTAAGCCTAGGTTGATGACTGAATCACTTCTATCGTTGATTTCGAAGCTTTCTGTCGTCTCAAAGTATCTGAAAGCAACTTCATTATGTACATCTTCCCAAGCTTTTGACAACTATTATATTTTTATATATATAAAAAATTGTTATGATATGAAAATCGTTCGATCAAGGATGGGGGTTAATTTCCCAATTTTTAGGAATTTTTACAGTCAATCGTTCGATCAAGGATGAGGGGGGAGTTAGCCTTTACGGTCTATTATCGCTCATCACCTATAAACACCAAAAATAAAAATTTAGTCATTCCATCAGAATTTCAGCATTGGTATTTCATTTTCAAAGAAAGAGGAATTAAAATTGTAAGTGCTCCTGCTCCGATCCCTATAAAAAAATATGCCATTAAAGATTCTGATATTGCAGGTATTGAAGATCCTAAAATTCCAATCACAAATCCATCCAGTGTTTGATAGAAAACAGTAACTAGTCTTCTCATTAATGCCGACCCATGACCTTTTAACACGTTTCTAAAAATATCCATTTTATTATTCATTTTTAGGTTGCTTTTTGCAAGAATGTATAGCCCACTTTATAAACTTCACCAAAATGAAAAGCAGCTCGACTTTTGATTTAAAAATCAAAAGAGTTGCATATAGCCCAGCTTTTGATCTATCAGCCGAGCCAAGATTTTCTGAGTGGCTTTCTACTTCAGACAAGATGAAAAACTGATAAGGAAAAACAAAAATATTCGTGAGGATCTAATTATAAATTACCAATGGAATCAGCATTTCATTTTCAAAAAATAATACTGATAAAATAAAAACTGTTAAAGTGTTAAGCGTGGTTAATGCTTTTCCTATATGGATGGAATAATTTTCTTCGATATATGAAGCAAAAACAGCATTTATAAACATTGTCGAAACTATGACAGAAACTGCAATTAAAAATAATTCTTCACCTATAAAGGAAGCTATATAAAATAATAAAATCGCTTCACATGCCGATATAATGACTGCAAAAAAGTAGCATAAGGATGAGCCTTTTAATTTCTCTTGGAATTTTCATATAAGAATATATGCTAATGCGACGAAACCAATTGCAAAAATTAAGATCCAAGACAAAAATGCCATAAAAATCCCAGCTAAAAAGCCAAAAGTATTTAATATTGCTAGTAAAATCAGAGATGGTAAAAGCTGAACACCGAGTAGGAATAAAATCAATGCGGACAGGGTAAGATTTTCTTTTTTTACAATAGATCTTAGAGCCTGGTCATATTTCTCGACTTGATTATTAGCTTGAGGCTCCATCTGAAGCATTCTTTCTCCTATTCTGTCTGCCATGGGATCAACTTGTAACAACCCTTCTTTCAGCTTTTTAGAAATATACTCCTTGTTCATTATTAAAATATGATAATTTTTATTTAAATATTTAGATAATAATGGATATTTAAGCTAGATTTTCATATAAAAGCCATAAAGCTATATTTTTTATATGTTTCTCTATAATATTTTTAATGAATTTTAGAATTTTGCATTCAATATCTACAGCTTTAAAATGGAATTTATAGGCTTTTTCCTTATTATAAATTTTGAACTGTGAGTTCTCTGTAAACTTTAATCCATTTTTGAAATTATAATAATTAAATGGAATCATATTGGAATGAAAATGGAAAAAGGGTTAGACAGCTAGACTGGCCAAACCAAAGAAGATTAAAACTCTGTAGCATCGATACTAGTATGGAAGATCCTCAGCACATCTACATAAATATAAGAAAATCACAACTTAAAGATTTGTATGAGCGGGAATTGAACTTATATAAAAGCCAAGAAAAAAGCTACTATATTTCCTACAAAATATGCGATATAATTGATTCACCTTAAAATTAAAATTCGCATAATTAAGATAATGACTTTTGCCTTACCATTACCAATAGATTTCTAAGAAAAATAAATGCCAGCTTCTATCATATCTAAACATGATTATCGTTAGTTTACTATTTATCCCGATTCTGTTTCATTTTTTTTATCTTCCTTTATCAAAAAATCTTCTTCATTTCCTGACTTTCTTTCTATTAGATCCTCGTCATCACTTCCTCTAAGTAGCACTGAAACTTGCATTGTGTCTCTATACAAATAAGTGTAAACTATAGCCACCATAACCCCGATTAGGAAAAAAACTACAGTTACCTTGTAATATTCGTATTTCAAAGTAAGCCAAATCATTACTGATGGACCTGCAATATGGCCTAACAAAATTGCGGTGACCCAAATTCCTATAAGCAAATTAATTAATTTTTGGTCAACTCTTCATTTAAGGCGATATTTTACTGTATGGTATAAAGTGGGGAGTCCAGCCGCAGTTCCAACCTGCATCCCAAAATCTAAAAAAACAATAGAAATCCTTATTCCCCCTCCGTGATCGAAAATAAAATTTTAAAATTCCATTTGTAAAAATTGAGGAGCAAAAATTAATTTAATTTGCAAAATTTATGCTTTAAAATGCAAACTGTTTAAAATTAAACAAGATTTCATTACAATAATTATCACTTATATATTAAAAAAATTTTTGTTTGTTCACGGAGGGTGAGTTTTGACTAAAAAAAATAAGGATTTTTCTAATGTTTTTGCTCGCTCTCAGAGGGGGAGAGTTAACAGATTTTTGCTACCACCTACAGCAAAATTGATAGGCCCAACAATAGTTAATCCTATCATGCAGCAAATTATCCCAAAAATCATAACAAATCTTCTTTCTAAGAACTCTAAAGTAAAAACCAAAGAACTTGTGACAACAAAGGAAACAGATGTTCCAGTTATAATAAAAAAAGCTAAATAAAGATTACTAGCATCGCTTTCATTTCCATCTAAATCTTCAACTAGACCAGTCATAACAGGGTCAACGCATTTACAAGCAGCAACTACATAAGTTATAATTAAAGCATCCATAAAAATTTCTTTTTCGATAATAATGTTGTATATTTTCATTCCTTCATTCAATATCGCATCTTTTGGCACTTCTTTAACATTAATTCATGCATAAACAAATCCTATAAAAATAGCACACCCTATCGGAGTAAAGTAATAGTGAAAATATACGTCCTCATCTACAAATAAAGGCATAATTCCTCCAAAAGTGTACCCTAGATCTCACGAAAATTCAATAAATGGAAAATATTTTAGTCCACTTTCAGCTGCTTCATGGAAAATTACTATGATTGCAGGGATTAGATAGCCTATAGCTCCTCCACTTACAGCAAGCATGCTTAAAACTGCGAGGAAATAGAACCAAAATCCACTAAACATTTCCACAAAAGCAAAAACCATAATTCCACCAAGTGATAATAGTAAGCTGCATAAGATCATGTTACGTTCTTGGAATTTTGTTAGGAAGTTTGAAAGAAAAGGGGCTAAAACTAGAGAAAACACAGATGTTACTGTCAAAATTGCAATTATGTCAGCGTCTAAACGTTCTCCGATCACAGGTAAAGCATTCTGTGCAGAGTAGCTTCCAAAGGTAGTTGCTGTAATTAAGATGAGGAGAATGATCCTAGTAGCTAAAATCATTTAAATATGATATAACCTAATTTTGAAAAACGAATAATTGTTTTCATTTATTTACTAACGATATAAATCATAAAAGAGATGGATTCGCGATATAAAGGCTAATTAGAAAATTAGCAAATCGTTATTTTTATTCAGGGCAAAATTAATATGCGTTTTTATAAAGTTGGTTAGTTTTTTATAGCTCTATCAATAAATTTTCTTAAATTCCTCCAACGTCGTTTTATTGTAATATTTTTATACCAGATTCTTCAAGTACTTACCAGTCAATTTTTGGAATTGTTAAGCGATTCAACAGGCTATCTCAATTTTTTTTATAATCTCCAATTTATCTTGCTTCTTCAAAATATAATTAAATTTAAAGTGGCTTTTAAATGGCTCAAATTAAATTTAAACAAATCAATGGAATTTTACTACTTCAGTGCTAATGAGTTAAATATGTGCAGTAGGTAAATAAACAAAAAAACTATTGTAAATCAATTCTTTATTTTTCTGTTTACCTATTTTAGCCAACCTATTTCTATCATAACAGTTAAAAAATTTCATTTGAGCTTTTGATCAAGATAGACTCTCATAATTAACTATATACATAAAAATGTTTAAAATTTAATCAAAATAAATTTAACACAAGTCCAAGTTAGTTTATAAATAATATTTTTACAGCATAGATTCTATTGATGTCAAAATTTGATAGCTTAATCCAGATTATTTATATAGTGTGTTTCGAATTAATTTTTAGCCAAAATAAGAAATATGAAGTATTATAACGATATGCTTATGCCAGGAATGCACCAAAGAATGCCTAATATATATGTAAATATCACGTTATTCTCCATATATAATGACGACTTTATATAGTAAAGTCCTCACAAATGTCGCACAGGGAGAGATGCTTCGTGCTTTGAGTAGAATTGATACTTTTATTCTAGAGACTGAAGGAGTTATTTATGGTGGAAACAAACTATTTCCTTTATCCAAACAAACAGTTTCTGCACTTGAGCAATTAGGTAAAAATATTATATATTATCCATCATATTCTGCTTTCTAATGAATTTCGCCTGTTAATAACCATTATTATATCAAATTTATTGTAAAATATTTTCTAAATCATTAATTAAAAATATTTTTTTAAAAAATCCGGAATACACTCGAAGAAGTAGATTAAGCTATCAGAAAAAATTACATGACTTTGGAATTACTACCTCGGTTAATCAAATTTACACTCCAAGTTCTATGACCGCTGAATACATGAGAAGATTTCATCCAGAAATTAAAAAAGTCTATACTATTGGAAATAATCAAGGCTTCTTAAAATAAAAAAGTATCTTTCAAAGAAAACCTGCTTGTGAGAAATAGTGATCATTTAATATATAAAAATATATCTGGTTGGTGGTGTATGAGCAGCAGAAGAACTAAAACAAGCAGGAATTAAAGTTCTTGAAGTAGGTGACTTTAAAGAACACAGCAATGAATCATCCAAACTCCTAGAAAAAATCAATAGTGATAAAGATGTTGGTGCAGTTGTTGTGAGTTTTGATGAAGCTTTTACATTCCAAAAACTTACTTTGAGTGCTCTACTGCTAGAAAGACCAGACATTATGTTTATAGTTACTTCTTTGGAGCCTTATAGCATTGTGGATGGGAAAAAATACCCCGGGGTTAGCCCACTTATTGCTTCAATTTCAAAAGTTTCTGGGAGAAAGCCTGATCTCGTCACTTGTAGACCAAACCCTATTATGTTTCATATGCTCAAAGAAAATTACCCTGAAATTGATCCACACAGGACATGCATGGTTGGAGATTCTATCACTAAAGATTTAAAATTCGCAAATAATTCAGGGATCTTATCTATGCTAACCTTATCAGGGATAACTATGCCCCAGCAGCTAGAACATGTTCTTAGTCAAAATGTTGATTTTGTAATCCACGATTTTTCAAGGATATACCAAATTTTAAATTAACACAAAACGTCTTTAATTATTAAGAAAAATTAATTTGATAATCAAAAATTTACTATGCAATTCCGCCAATTTCGTAGTTTATATTATAAATTTTATTTTTTTGTTTAATTCACTAGAATAATTTTAATATGATTTTTGATTTAAAGCTAAAATTTTAGTTACTTTCAAAAAATTTCAAGCTAAATCTTATAATCTGGCGAATATCTAAAAACTAAAATTTAAATATCAGAAATGTCATTTTCAAAATGAAACATAATTTATCACTAAAACTTTGATAAAATAACTTAAATTTTGCAAAAATATTCCCGAATAGACTAGTTTAGCAATATTATACAATATACTATATTCTTGTGAATTTTTCAGCAACAACTCTTGGGTTTTCTTTGCTTAGTCTTGATTTTCCGTGGTTTCTATAGTCAAATGTACAGTTGTGAACTTCTGGAATTCTGTGTTGTAAACAAAAGGAATAGCCACATTGGCATATAAAATTCAATGATTTGATTCTTTTTTGGCATAGCCAGCATTTTGACAAATCACATTGTGGAGAAATTTTCTTGACTACACTTGTCTTTGCTTGTTTGAAGTAATTTGCAAAATCCGATAAGGATTTAAGAATTTTTAGCCTTTCAATTTTAATGTTGTAACAGGCTGAGCATAAACCATCAAGGTTTATAAAAAAATTATTGCAAGTATTGCAAAGATCGGATTCCATTTTTTATTATCCTTACTCCCTAGAATGAGAAAAAAAAATTCAAGTCAACATCTTTAAAAGGATTAATATATAACATTATTTTCAAAATTTATATAAATGATGATTATTCCTATAAAATAATGACCTAATTTATTGAATTTTAATAATACGTAAAATTTTTATGTCAAAATATGTTTTATAAAAAATTTTTTGCTTGCTTACAAAAAGTTTTTATAAAAAATTAGGGCTTATTAATACGATAGTTTTAATCGCTAACTCCGCCCCCCCCCCTCCGTGAGCGAACAAAACCATTAGAAAAATCGCAATTTTTTGACCAAAAACCCACCCTCCGTGAGTGAACAAAAATATTTTTTATAATAGAAAAAATTTTAATAGAAAAAAATTTTGCTATATATAAGTGATAATTAGTATAATGAAATCTAGAGCTAATTCTGTTTAATTTTAAACAAAATTGCGTTTTAAAAACATAAATTTTGCAAATTAAATTAGTATTTGCTTCCCAATTTTTGCAAATTAGGATTTTTTTTAAATTTCGAAAAAAATATTTTTTATAAAAAATTTATATATAAATTGTTTTTAAAAAAAAAAATTAAACCCCCCTCCGTGAGTGAACAAAATTTTTTTGTTCGCTCACGGAGGGGGGGGGGGAGTAAGGAGGAATTTAGTGATCGAAATTAAAATATGTCTAATTCCAGTTATTGTAACCCCCATTAAAATCTAATTTTATATACATAAAATGGCCAGCCATGAGTGACCCGACCTCCAGTGCGAATGTCGTAATTATATCAGGGCTAGATTTTTGATGCACAGAGCTACGAAAGAATTGATTTTGCCTTGAGACCGAAAGCAATTTCCACTGGTTTCTAGTCTGGCTTGGGAAGAAGTTTTTCACATTTTTTTGCCAGCACTACTCAGGCACAGCTTGTTGTCTAATAGATGCAAGGCTACTTTGTTTGATGTCTTTGCTCGGAATCGCACAATCAGTTTTCCCTTCAGTGCTAACCCAGGAGAAAAGGAAGGCAGGCTTAGCGAGAGCTTTCGAACGCGAAATTTAATCCAGTTGAAAGGACTCCGAATGGAGAATCTGGCTGGCTCCCTGAGTTGTTAGCAGCAGCTTTGGAATTAGAAATGATACTCCCGCAAAGTCTGTACAGCCATGACCCAAACGGCGCACACTACCGAGTAATCTAGAAATTTGAACTAAGCTCTAGAAGTCTTGATTATTTCCACCCCACAGCATCCTGTGATTGGATTGCTATGAAATCTAAAATTCAATTATTTTATTATAAATATAAAAAAATTATTTTGATACCTCATCTTATTATGAAATTGCATCATTATCAACGTTAAAAATGGTTACTTATTAATCGAGTATATTTTTCATGACACTTAATATCGTTTCCAAATGTTTCTATTATTATCCCATGAAGAAAAGTTAGTTAATCTATCATAGTTTTTATTCTTTTTTATTAAAAATAATATTAAGAAATTTCCAATTAAAATTAACTCTTATTAGATTTTTCACTTGGCCAATACGCAAATAGCGAATTTTCCATTGCTTGTACAACAGATAAACTTTGCTGTCTTCTTTTATTTCTCTGCTGAATAATTTTTTCATTTTTTTCTGAAATTCTAAACACTTCCATTTGCTTTGAGACTTCTGCATCTTGGGCTTCTCTTGCTTTGTTCATCTTATTTTCTTTGATTTTTGCCCATATATACAAATTATCTATAGTGTTATTTTGCGTTGATTTTTCTTTAGGCTTATTTATTGTAGGTGTAAATGTAAAATGCTCTTCCGTGGCTGCAGCTTTTTCTAGAGCCAGCATTTCACGCTTTTGTCTTATTTCTTCTTGCTTTAAAGCTTGTCTTTCTAGAAATGATTTATCATAGCTTCTTGGCTTATTTATATGCGGTGACAATGTTAGTTGTCTGGCTTCTTCTTCTTTCTGTTTCCTTTGAATTTCTGCGATTTTTGACTGTCTATTGCATTCTTGCAGCCTTAATCTGTCTTCTACTGGAAGATTATTAGAGCCTTGGCGAATATGATGGTTCCTTGCCAGCTCTCTAGATGTCGAAAGGATATTTGGGGTAAATAAAACTTCGTCATCATGAACTGCTGATTCTGTATGTGATCTAACGATTTTTCTAATCATTTCGGAATTTAAATTTGCAAATTCTGAGGATTTATTTCTTTTATCAGTAGAAGTTCTTGAATTTGTAGATAGTGAGCTACGTTTAGAGAGATTTTGTTCTATTTCATTTTGAATTTCAAGCTCAAGCTGTCTTTGGGCTAGAATTTTTCTATATTGATTTCAATTAAATATAGTTTAAAAAATAAAATTTAAGCAGCGTTAATAATTGTGCATTAATTTTTTTGTATCAAAAAGAGGCTGTTTGTAATAAAATTAAATTAGTATATATCATTTTTGAATTCTTCTTGCTGCCCGTACTTTTTTATTGAAGAATTTTCTTGCTTTCATCTGTATTAAAACAATAGCGAGCTTTAAAAAATTTATTTTTTTTCGACATATAAATCCTCTTCAATGTTTTTGTATCATCCTCGCATTTCTATACAGAATCAACAAAGCATTAAAATATTTTCGTGTTTTTATTCCTCTTCATATAGACTGTATTGTAACTATTTCATGCATGCAATCTCTATAGTCAAATCTCTTAAAGTTTGTGCAATAATGGGCAATTGACATAAAATCTTTGCTTGAAGAGATTTTTATGATGTTTTCTTTAGATTTTATCTGCAAACTTGTATTAGATTTTGTTTTTCTATCTAAGAATGAGTCTGTTAGCTCAATCCTTTCAAAAGACATTTCTTCTACTGTATACAGTGAATCAAGATAATCGTGCATGCGAGGCTCAACAATATCTACTGTATTCCCTGAAATGCTGTATCCAAACAAGTTATTTACTTCAAAATTATTTTTATTGCTTTTTGATTTTACTGATCTTTTCCCATCAATTGAGTTATTTGAAATATCAAAGCTCATTTCAGAAGCGATATCTTTATGGTTATGTTTATTTACATACTCATTTAATATCGCTATATCATCGTTTTTCAAGACCAAATATCGTAAACTTACAATAAAATCTTCATGATTAAGTAGCTTTTTAAGAAATGATTCAATAAATGTATGTGTGGCTTCAAAGTCCAAATTCAATGATGGAGAAATGTCACTTATAAACTTTTCTTTTGAAATTCAGTTAGGGTATCCATATCATTCCCATAATAAACTTGGAATTACAAGGGTTGACCTGAACAATGATATACATGGGTGCAGGTCAAATGGCATTGCTTTTTTGATAGTATCCATTTCACCGAAAACTTTTTGGGCCGAAAATTGGTTAAAAATTTTTGATAGTGACTGAAAAAAAAACGTTAATTTTCGGCCATATGTCGCACTATTAAAAATTTTCAACCAAATGTATTTCGATGAAATGCACACTGTCAAAATTCCAATGTCATTTGACATGGAGTCGATATACATTCTTCATAGTCAAGCCTTGAACTTGGAGTTTTCATACAGTAAATCACGAAGCATTGATTTTCGCCTAATGGCCCTAATAGATATGTTAATGATTTCCTTAAAAAATCAGCAAAATTATAATATGATCCAGTAAATTGCTCTCTTTTTTCGTTAAATTTGAGCATACTTGCGATAATAGGATTAGTGCATTTTACGAGAAACGGGTAGTTTATTTGTGGAGAATAGCTGCTGCAGGCTTCATTTCTTAAATCATTTATATCGTATTCTGTTTCTCCCCATGTATATTTCATTATGAATTTTGAGTCTGACGATATTTGGATAATATTTCTGCAGTCACTTTCTTCTTGAGAAACTGTCTGTTTAAATGCTTTTCAATATCTGTCAAAATCAGGAGAAATCAAGTTTGGGAGTAAGCCAAAATCCTTCGCTAAGGAAAAATCAACAATAAATCGGCTTTTTGGAATTTCCAAAAACTTAAAAGAAACCTTTTCTTCTGCAAGGGATGCTAAAAGTTTCATATAAGTTCCTGAAGAATAAAAGTTCAAACATTCAAAGGCGAGATTCGAGCAAAAACCTCCAAGAGTCTCATAATTCCTAAAGCCAGGAAAATCGACAATAGAAATCGTATACATTTTTCTGCATTTTTCAAACAAATCTTCGCTTTTTTCTTTCTTATTTTTTGCTGATAGATTTTTTAACTCGTTTAATACTCTCTTTTCTACAAAAGATTTTGCTTTGAGGCCCAATTGTTCATTAATTTTAATAACAAGCCAGTCAAATGCTAGATTATAAATGTATCTAGCTAAATCATTCATTCTAGATTCCGCCTCATATTTTGATCCGGAATTAGAAAAATTTTCATTGAATTTTTCTTCAGTCGTCCCCAGTAGCCTGCAGACTTTTTGGACAGCTACTCTATGCCTAGGTAAAAATTTTGTGCCATCTTTTTGCCCAGCAGTAATAAACCCAGTAATAATTAAAATATGGCGTCTTCGTCTGGGTATGGCCTCTCGGCCATACAGCCTCGACACATATTTTAATTATATCCGGCAAGGTTTTACCATTTCAGAGAAGGACAGCAATGCTAGGTAAGCAATTCTGGTTGTGTGCAGAGCCTAGCCCTAGTCCAATCTCAGAGGTGGATTTTTCCTCGTGGGGAAGGAGGATACGGAAGTTGGAAAGGGGAAGCTCAGCAGAGTCCTTAGGACCAATCGGGCAACTCCCTAGCGTGAAACTGGGCGTTACGTCCCAGGCTACGTATTTTTCCTTTTTTGCCGATAGCTGACCAGAAAATCCATTTTTTGGGTTTTCGGAAAAGCAGCCCATGTCACAAGCAAGTAGCTCATCCATGAGCCGTTGAAGCGGAACACTTGTCTGGAGGCGCACCCTGGTGAATCGAAGCAGGCTGACCCAGTGGTCTGTGGGCCCGATGCGGCGCGAAGGCGAGCGGCAGGTCTGGGATTAAACCTACCCCGTAGTGGACGTAAAACATTTATAAATCTTAATGTAATGTAATAAACCCAGTAGACGCAAAAGTTATATCATAAAAATGCACAACAGCTGCTAGAACTTCAAGTAAATTATTAATATCTTTTCTTTGAATTCCTAAGCTCTTTAAATTATCGAAAAACCTTTTCAGTACATCTCCATCATGTATTTTTTGATTCAAATCATTAGCTTTAGCATTATTATTCAAAAGCTTGGAGCTTTGGTTTGATAGGCCTAAATTTTGTAAATTCTGTCTTGTATTTGTTAATAATGCATGGAGAATGTTATAAGTTCTCCCAGCTGAGTTAGGAAGAGTAATATCTAATAATTTAGCCTTGATACTCCCTCCAATACTTCTGAATTCTGAATCAAAATGTATTTCTGTAACCATCCCACAGCATGTGGATTCTAAATTTTCTTTAGTTGCAATAGATCCCATTATATGCAAAGCTTGGATTCCTGAGTGAAGTAAATCAAAAAATTCATTTGGCATTTTTAAGCTTGATTCTTGTTTGCATGATATGTATATTAAATGGTCAATTAAATGGATAGTACTAAAGGTCTTCCCAGATCCTGATAACCCTAATAGCGAAATGACTTGGTTTTGTTTGGCTTCTTTCATATGAAAATATGCCTTTGAGCTTATGCTGTACAGGTGAGGAGAAAGAATATTTGAAGCTTCAGAGTACTCTTCTCTTTTATCAAATTCATACTGAGAACTATCATTCTCTTTATGAACACTCAGCAGTAAAGGCCCAGCAAAGGTAAAGTTCATGTTTGATTCATAACGATTTGAAATGGTCTTATAAATAGAATTTTCACTATGTTCTTGTAAATAGACAAGATTGTCGCATAAGCCAAGCTCCTGGAGCATTGAGTGCTGAGCAGTGCTGCTAAAGAAACTTGTTTCGCTTATGCGGGACTGTTGAATTGAAAAAGAGTTTGTGTTGCTTAAAAGGTCTCTTTTTCTGGAGTTTAGCATATTTAAATATTTACGTTGGAAATTATATGAAAGTTTTTAGAGAAATTCTTTTTAAATCATTTGTTCGAATAGATGCCATATTCGTTTGCTTAATTATAACAAATTTTAAGGTTATTAATAATAGCAAATCCAGCTGATATTTAGAAAAATTATATAAGGAGCCACTTTTGCCTTTTTAATGACTAAAATATAGCTAGAAGGCACTCTTAGAGTCAAAATTTTAACATTTTATTCAACTTTTTAAAGTATAATTATTTAACTGAAGGATAAGTAAGCAACATAGATAGAAGAAAACATTTACCTTTGATAAATCTTAGAGATTCATTAAACAGCAATAAACCTGACTATTAGGCGTTTGTTTTATTAATTATTTGATGACTTTTATATTGTTTATTGTTTTGACTATTCGCATTTTTAAATAATTAATCAATCGAAAACCTTATAGATGACTGCCAAATATATGCATCTATTGGAGTTTCTTCATAAGTTTATATTTTGTGGAGATGTCCGTTTTTTTGCTATTATTTATAAAAATGCTTTACCTATACTTTGCCCTCCTTTCTATTGTTTTAAGCAAATCAATACCACCTCCAGTCTCCATGAAAGATATGGAATTATTGAAGCCAGAAGAAAACATCTGTACACAAATTCTTTATATATAGTCCAAGGCCTTTATTGATTGCCCTTGGCTATAAAATGCTCGTCAAACTGGTGGATTTGGCTTGGGTAAACGTCATTTGCCACACCAATTTCACCAGTTGGGAGGCATTGTATAGTCATGAAGATCAATAGCAGGCCCTGAGCTATATTTTACAGGTACATATGGGTTTGACTTGGGATTGCCATTGGGATTTTTGCTATGTCAATTCTGTTCGTTATCATAAAATGCTTGAAAAAGACTCCTTCTGAGGAAAAAGCAGCAACACATTCGATATTTTTGCAAGGAAGACGTATTCTTATGCCTAGAATCAACTGTTTCCAAGGACTACGCTTCCAAAAGACAACCCTTGAAGAACCCCAAGAAGAAGCCTCAGAACAAGTCCCTCTAAATTCTGAGCAAAACAAAAAATCAATCAACTTTGCCAGCGGAATTTTCACTGAAACTGTTATTCGTAGAGCAAGCACTGACCAAGAGCATTTATAGCCCAGTTAATAATTGAAATCTTGAGATTAATTAGCGCAAAATTTAAAATAATTTCATTTACTTTAGCAGGCATTTTATAGATTAACCAAGCTATTTGAGCTCTCACCTTCATAAACGTCAACGTTTAAATTCAACTGCAATCTGCTTTTCTCTACAAGCATCACTGGTGCTGAGCTACATTTAGACATATCAGGCTTCGCTAAAATATTTCTAGCAAAAGCTCTTCCTCTAAAAACTTGTCTGGGGGTTATAGGGATAACTCTTGGCATTTTAGTGACGCTATTTGCGACAAATGGGTCATTGAATTTCAGGCTAGGAGTTTCTTGGCTGTATTTTTTACTCCAAGTTATGGTCTCCTTATTGCTGTTAAATAGCTCTGAAAAAGTATTATTTGACATCAGCGGCTCTCCAGCGAATTCAAGAGAATTCAGCCAATTGTGACTTGAAGCTGTAGACCAGTCTGACCTTGAAGTTTCAATTTTAGGCTTACTAAGCTGAGGGAAGAAATTCCCTGAAACTTTTTTAACGACAATTGATGATTTTCTATTAATTGGAGAACTTGGAGCGTTGCTCAGGTGTGGTAAGGATAAGCTCGATTTTATCGAGTTTTCGAAGTTAGCCGGTGTTTGTGTCTCAGCATTTAAATTTGAGGTAATGAATTCTTGAAATGTGCACATAGAATTTGGGGGTTTTATTTCGTCTTGCTTCTTAGACTTTGATTTCTTCTTTTTGCCACACAGGAGAGACGTAATGAAGGATTGAGATTTTGACATAAATTAATATGATTTATAAACCATATATTTAACAGCGAGTAATACAAAAGAGTGAACAATTTTTGTTAGTGAGGAGAATTTTCATAATTAAATTTCTTAGATCATGGAATAAGAGCTTATTTGTAAGGAATAATAAGGATATAAGTAATATGGAATAGGCGAGGAAGAGAAGCTGTAAAAATTATTGCAGTTATTTATATTTTTCATTAGGAATTAAAATAAGACTAATTATAATGGATATATGATAAATTAATTGGGTTTTGCATGATTGGTAGGCTATAAGGTTTTTTAATGCTAATTTTATTGTCTGATATTAAGCAGTGAATATGGTATTAATTTTTATGAGTTTATTTTTATAAGCTGAAGGTGAAGGAGAGCGGAAATAAGCCTAATGCAAATTTAATAGTAGGTGAAGTAAAATAGAGATTGTAGATTTAAAAAATCAAAATTTTATACTCTGTCATTTTAAAAAATATAACAGAATTTTTTTTGAGATCTTTCTAATCTAAAGTTTATTCAATTAAGTACCTGCCATAAATATTTTTACGTAAATTTGTAAAAAGGCGAAGTGGCAAGCAAATATTTCAAGTAAATAATTATTATATTTACTAAAATGCATAATAACTAACTCTCCAATATTTGGTCAAACGACACCAATAAAAATTTTTTTAAAAATTGAAAAAATTAAATCACATCCTTGAACGACGATTTTCATTTGTGAAGCATGAAACCCATTTCCTACCTGTCTCAAATCTAGCTCCTATTTTTAATCAAAATAATAATTAATATTAAAGATTACCCTATAATCGCTTCTACGCAATTCTATTGCGGTTTTAACATATTTGCTAATATATTGCATACTCTATCTCTTGTAGCTAACGTATAAAATATTTTTAAGAGAAAAATGAATATAGAATTTTTATGGAAATGAAAAATTTATATATCTTGTTCTACAATCAATCAAGGATGGGGAGGGAGTAAGAAAGATTATTTAATCTTCATCTTCTCCTTCAGCTTCAGTCTTCTTTGCCTTCTTAGCGATGTTTCTCCTCTTAACTCTGCCAGCTTTTCCATTGCTAAGTGATGAGTTAGGATCAAATTCAATATATTTTTCACTATCAACTCTAACATTAAAGCTAGGTACGTTGACAATTTGTCTACCAACTCTTATGTGTCTTTGTCTGATGAGAACTCTTGCGTGGTGAATGCTTCTTGCCATGTTCTTCTTGAATACCTTAGTTTGGAGTCTTCTCTCTAACTCATCTTTATTTTTCTTATATTATTTTTGGTATATTATATATAATTAATAATTTTATAATTAGATGGTTAATTTTTATTAACTTTTTTATTAAATATAAAATTTTAGATAGAAGATAAACACCTCTGATGTTTATCGTCTAGCTAAAACTGTATTTTATTTTTAAATATTAATTAAATTTTAATATAATTTTTTAAAAATAAATTAAGAGTTAAAAATTCCTTAATCACTTCCAATAGTGGAGAGTAAGAATTTTTGTAAGGTCAATCCAAGGACAAAATCAAGCTTCTTTTCATTTTCATTTAAGAGCCCTAAGCGCACCATTCTGCGAATAAGGGCGTTACCTTCGAAAATTCTTCTAGGAGCAGTCTCTTCTAAAGTTAAAAGTTCTCTTGCTGCTTTACGGATCTTGGCAAGGGTAAGTTGGACTCTCCAAACCTCACGTTTGTTTCTCAGACCGTATTGCCCAAGAAGCATAAGTTCTTGATCAAGACGTTCCTTCTCAAATGGACGCTTACTCCCCCCCCCCCCCTCCGTGAGCGAACAAAACCATTAGAAAAATCGCCATTTTTTGACCAAAAACCCACCCTCCGTGAGTGAACAAAAATTTTTTTAATAGAAAAAATTTTAATGGAAAAAAATTTTGATATATAAGTGATAATTAGTATAATGAAATCTAGAGCTAATTCTGTTTAATTTTAAACAAATTGCGTTTTAAAACATAAATTTTGCAAATTAAATTAATATTTGCTTCCCAATTTTTGCAAATTAGGATTTTTTTAAATTCGAAAAAAAATATTTTTTATAAAATTTATATATAATTTTTTTTTTAAAAAAAAAAATTAACCCCCCTCCGTGAGCGAACAAAATTTTTTTGTTCGCTCACGGAGGGGGGGGGGGGAGTTAGGAGATTTAGCAGTCTTTCCATCTAAGATAAAGCTTACAGTTCCTGTAGTTCTTGCCCATTTTTAGCCACCCGAAATATTATAAGAGATTGAAAGATTAAGAGAATTGTGTGAAGAGAAAGAAACTTTATTGGAAAAAGTGAAATTATATTGGATTAATAAGGCTTTTGCATGGAGGAATAAAGAAGAGCTAGGAGAAAAAGAAAGCTTGGAAATGAATTTTTAGAAATTTGAGATATTACAAAAGTTGTGAAGAAAATAAGATAGCTTAAGCTTTAGCTTATATTTTAATTATTAGAATAGATTAGATTTAATGCAGAATAAAATATCAATTTATTAACAAAATTTAATTCAATATAAGCTATATCTGTTGTCGCCTTAATCTTTTTGCGTAAAGTTCCTAATTTGCCTAATCTTGATTTTATTTCTTCTGATTTTTAATATTTTAATCGCATTCCTACCCTTTTTAATTCGCAGTAAAATTACTTTTAATTCGATTGCTAGCTAATAGCAATACAATTAAAAATTAATTACCAAAGAAATCTTGAATCCTCACATTCCCTTCGATTTCCCATACTCCAGCCCTCACTTCACCATCTAATTGTAGCGAGCTCCACCCAGAGTATCCATATATTACCATTGTCCTAGTGTTTTCAGGTCTTGGGTTCATTCTACCACCCAAGTAAATTCCTTCACAAATCCTTTCACATCCTTCCACCTCAGGATTATCATGCAAAATGTGTACAGACTCAGGCTGTACAGGACCTCCAATATAATCATTATCTAAATGCAGCTTACCTCTGTTTTTATTAATAATAAACCCTACAGCGCCTTCGTTTATGTCATATTTCGTTATCAAAATTCTAGACTGGTAAAAAATCCCTCCAGAAATAATGGAACTAGCCTTTAAAATCACCCCAGCTCTAAGCTGAGGGACTGGAATACCGATTCTAATGAAACCGATTCTTATCCCGTCTTCTGTGATAAAAAACCTTGGTCTGATTCCTTTATACCATACAAATGAAAAGCAAATTATAGAAATCATCAATAAATTCAAGAAAAAAGGGAAGAATAAAAATGATGTCGCCCAGAGGAAACATCCAAAGGCAAGGGATAACATAATTGTATAGCGTCTCATCAAAGTCAGTAAAGGCGAGGCTGAATATAGAAATTTTCATCTGGGATCTGAGGAATGATACTTATATTTGGTATTGCACTGGCGGCAGCGTAAAATTTGGTCTGAGCTGAACCTTTCAGGGAAATTCAAATGATTATTTAACATCGTCTCTTGCCAACGATATAAGCAGCTGGGGTGGATGTATTTTTGGGTTCCTTTACATATGCAAGGAATTATGAGATTTTTTACATCATCGTCTTCTAGGCAAATCCTGCAGCAATCTGACATATAAAAATTTATAATATTAGACTTTATTAATAGTAAAAATCAAGATTTGTAATGACTCACCATTTAAATTGGAGCAATTTTATTTTTATAAGAAAATTTTATAACTCCCCCCCCCCCCCCCCCCCTCCGTGAGCGAACAAAACCATTAGAAAAATCGCCATTTTTTGACCAAAAACCCACCCTCCGTGAGTGAACAAAAATTTTTTTAATAGAAAAAATTTTAATGGAAAAAAATTTGGATATATAAGTGATAATTAGTATAATGAAATCTAGAGCTAATTCTGTTTAATTTTAAACAAATTGCGTTTTAAAACATAAATTTTGCAAATTAAATTAATATTTGCTTCCCAATTTTTGCAAATTAGGATTTTTTTAAATTTCGAAAAAAAATATTTTTTATAAAATTTATATATAAATTTTTTTTAAAAAAAAAAAATTAACCCCCCTCCGTGAGCGAACAAAATTTTTTTGTTCGCTCACGGAGGGGGGGGGGGGAGTAAGTGAAAATCCTAATTTTTATAAATTTTGACCTAATTTAATGGAAAAAGTGCAATTAGATATTATGAAATAGTTTTCATACTGAATTTATTTATTTTTTGAATTAATCTTCATAAAAATGAATCAAATTCAAAAATATTCCTGCATTCAATTTACATTTTTTTTAATTTTTAAAATTTTATAAAAAAAATAAATCCCTCTTAAAGTTGGAAAAGAACTTTTTAATCAATTTAAAAGGGGGAGTGAGAAATTACAATTTATTTATAAATAAGTTTATTTTAATAAATTTTATTAAATCAATACATATAAGTGTTACATCAAAAATTTATAAACTTGCCATCTTCTTCTATAATAAAAATTCTCTTTCTCGATAGCTAGAAGCTTCGTTTGTATCCCTGACTTCTGCACTTTCCTCACCTTCTAAAAACTCTTCAGAAGGGGTTAAATGCACTGGGCAAGCCTGGGTTTTTCTTCTTTGTGCATACATTTCTCCAAACCTTATATTGTTTGGGACGTTAAGATAATAGTCTCTATCTTCAGAGATGTCATTCATATCATCATCAAGAAGCGTTATTATCGTTTTTCTTGCCTTTTCTCCATGAACTTTACGTCCGCCATATGCCCTAGCTTTGAAAGCTAGGCTATTTCTATCTTTAAATAAATTAAGTGGACTAATTTCATCTCCCTGAATATTATGCAGCCCATATCTTGAAAAAGGAGAAATTTCGTGCTTTTTCTGAAAAATAGCATTTTCTGTGATCGTTCTTTTTAAAGCATTTTTCGAATAATTTGCACGATTAATTATTTCTTCGTGGTCAATTTTATAGACATATTTTTCACAATCTGAAGCAACATGGCCAACTTCATGGCAAAAATAGCACCTCACACCTAGATAGCTTAAATTTTTCCCTTTGCAGTTATTTACAATAATTTGTGTCATTTCCGCTTCTTTTGGAAATTTTATCAAAAATCGTTTAAAAGTCTCTCTGCTTAAACTGAAAATTTCAGAAAAATCCAGACATCTAGCCGAGGCACATCTTTTTCTACCTAAGAAAAATGCGATTTCTCCAAAGTACTTTTCTTCATGAAGTTGTGCAAAAATAGTCCCAGTTGCCTGATGATAAATTTCGACCCTACCATGCCTGACAAGATAAATATTGGTATTTTTCTGGCCTTGCTTAAAAATTGAGTCACATGGAGAAAATAGCTCTACTTCAAGCTTTTGTCCTAAATATTTGAGAAATGTGTAGGAATAGTCTCTAAATGGCACACTTCTCATTAAGACATGCCCCCTTGTGTGGATATAAATATCTCGCTGTAGAGGCTCAGAAAGAGCTTTTAATATTTCTTTTTCATCTAAAATATTACGTTTATGATATAAATAAAGATGCTCTAAATAAATAAAGACTTTTCTTCTTAATGTATGAGGAATTTGATGATTGTGCATATATGTTTTTAACCTTTGCTTTAAATTATTGAAATATATTGAATCTTTTGTTGATTTCTCTAAAGTACTGCCAATCCCACTAACTAAAAATCCAATGAAACCTGAAGTAAAAGCTTCAACAATTATAGTAAAGATTTTTTCTGAAATAGATTGAGGAGTTATATTTCCATACCCCACTGTTGCCATTGTAACAACAGCTTCTTCCAGTCTTATTAAATATTGGGGATATTTTGCATCGATATAGTGTGTCCACATATCACCATTGGAGCTTAGTGAATAATATCATACACTGTGCATAATACAAGCTATCCAATGAGCAGACAGCAATGCCAAAAGTAAAAAGGCTGTAGCTCTTGTGATGAAATATACATAGGGACTAGGATAAATATCATCTATATTGTAAATAAGCTTTTTTAACTTTAGCATTCTTGTTAGACGAAATAATCAAAAGATTCTAGATCAATGCCAGTAATTTAAGCTGTATCCATGGCCAGCTTCTTCATTCATATCACTGAGAAAGAGTTCATAAGGGACAATTGATATAAAATCTCAGAGAAAATATGAAGATAAATAATGAAAAAATATTCTTTTTCTGTCAACAACCAAAATTCCATGAATATAGCAAGCTGTGTTAAAATTCAAAAATAAGTCAAACATAAAGCAGATTTCTATAGGGCTCATCATATCTCTATCAATTTTCTGCATAAAACTCAACGAAAACGGTATTATAAGTGCTAAATAAATTGCTTGTATAGAAATCATACCGTCTCAGAGAACTTTTATCATGCTCGTTGGGTTAAAAACAAAACAATCAGTTTTCTTTTCCCTTCTTATAACTTCTTTGCTAGGAAAAAAGCTTTTCTTAGCTGGAGTTGCTGTTTTCATTGTTTGAATCGGCATAAAAAACGCTGTTTTTCTTTTCGTTATGCTTTGCATTATCGATAAAGCTGACCATCTTCTTTTATCTTTCTCAACTCTAAAAGGTAATTTTTCCATATTAATCAAGCAGAATGTTTTTGAAAATGTTCTTTGCAGATTTATATTTAAAAGTGCCTAGAAATTTATTTAGATAAACAGCCTGCTGGATGATTTTCTTATCAAACATTTTATGTGAATTTTTGATTAAAATTTTTAGAGTTGAATAAATTTATATAAAAATTAAGCTAATTTTTGTAGCGAATATAGGAAATTTTGCAAATGGCGAAACATTTAAAAGAAGTTATTATGACAATTAAGACTTTAAAAGATAATATCTTATTCTATAATAAAATTCAAATTTTATTTTTTTGTTTTAATTCATTGTAAGCAACAAAATCTATAACTAATAGTTTTTATTCTCAAACGGCTTAATAATACAATAAAACCCAACGTTAATTATGTGATTCATTTGCCTATAATTGATATTTCTATATATCAAAACACTAAATTTCAAGACTTGAGTTCATTGTTTCATTTCCATCAGAAATTTTTTTCTTTTTTCTGTCGTGTTCATCACCTGAAAAGTACTCGGCAGATAAATGGATTAATGAACCTTTCAATGGACTTTCTAGGGTCCTATTTTTATGTTTTGTAGTGTAATTTTTGCTGAATTGCAAATAATTTGGTATATTCGGGTAATAGTTTTTTTCTTCTGTGTCTTCTTTGTCATCTTTTACTATCCCAAGCAGAGTCTAGACATTCCTAGTTGTCTTAGAAAACTGCTGATATGAGCAAAATAAAACATTTAATATCTTTAATTTTTAAATTTTCACTATAATTATTATAAAAAACTTTAATTCCTTTAATAAAATAGACTTTTTCCAGTATAATTTATTTAATTAATAAAGAAAATTTCATATATAATAACTAAATTTCTTAATTAATTAAGAGGCATGTTAGAACAGTAATCATTGTTTCTCTTGACCTTCCCTTACATATTTTACGTATATCATAGCCTTTGACTTTAGCTATTAAAGTTTTTCTATTTTGATACTGCTCCATAGGATCTATTTCTCCTCCATGAATATTTTGAAGGCTGTGACGTCTTAACACAACCACTTCACGCCTTCTTTCGGAATCTATATCTTTCCTTGAAATCCTTTTCCCAGCATTTTTCAGAAAATTTGCTCTTTTTATAACAGAATCATGATCAGTTTTATACACAATTTCGTTGCATTCTTCCACAACGTGGCCCATTTTAAGGCAATAATAGCATCTAACTCCTAAATAGCTCAGGTCTTTTCCTTTGCAATTATTCACAATAATATTTGTCAATTCTTGCTCTTTTGGCAATTTTAATATGCTTTACCCCCTTAAGTTTCCCCATAGATCATTTTAGAATGCTTCTATTTGCAATTTTATCAGAAATTGAATAACATTTTTTGAAAAAATTCGCGATTTAAGCTAAAGAGCTCTGAAAATTCCGCAGACCTTGCAGAAGCACATCTTTTTCTCCCTAGAAAAAACGAAATCTCCCCAAAATATTTTCCTTCTCGAATTTCAGTATAAACTGTTCCAGTTGAGTGATGAAAAATTTCTACTGATCCTTGCCTAACTAAATATATAGCGTCATTCTTCTCTCCTTGCTTAAAAATCAAGTCAGAAGGTGAAAATAGTTCAACTTCCAGCTTTTGGCCAAGATATTTTAGAAATTTATAAGAGTAGTCTCGAAATGGAGCACTTTTAATTAGAAGGTCTCCTCGAGTTTTAATGTAAATTTCTCTTTGCATTGGTTGTGATAAAGAGCTTAATATTTCTTGCTCATCTAAAATATTTTGTTTCTGATACTGGTAAAGATGATCTATATAAGCCATGATTTTTCTCCCTAAAGGTTGAGGAATGTGATGTTTGTGTAAATAAATGTTCATTTTTCGTTTTAATCCGACAAAATATATTGAATCTTTAGCAGAATACCTAATAGTACTTATAATACCTCCTACTAAATACCCGAGAAATCCTGAGGCACAACCCTCAATAATGATGGTAACAATTTTTTCAGGAATAGATTTTGGAGTCATATTTCCGTATCCGACTGTAAGCATTGTTACTACAACTTGCTCAAGTTTAGCCAAATATTGCTCCCTTATGCCTTCTATATAGGATTGCCACATATCGCCATTATAGCTTACTTCCTCAGACTGCTAAAATAGCAAGAATTTTTTCCTTATCAATAATTATCAAAGTTTATGATATTTTGAAATTAATTTATCATAATTAATATCGTTTATTTTAATGGAAAAAAATTGGAGGATATTGAAGTACAATAATTAAATATTCTTATAAATTATCATTATAAATTATTAATATAAAAAAATTCACTTTAAATTAAGAAAACTCACTATTTAGGGAAGCTAGAGAATAATATCACGCAGTATGCATAATACATGCTATTCAATGGCACGATAAAAATGCAAGTAGTAAAAATATTAAAGTACGAGTAATAAAATATATAAGAGGATTTGGATAATTGTCTTCGACATTGTAAATTAATCTTCTTAGTTTTGTCATTCTTGTTAATCGCATTAATCAAAATAATCGAGGCCAATGCCAGTAATCAAACCGAAAACGCTCGCCAGAGTCTGGCTCCATATCATTTAGAAACCATTCATAAGGTACTACTGATAAAAAATCTCATAAAAAATAGGTTGACAAATAATGAATAAATATCCTTTTTCTATCTGCGACCAAAACCCCATGGATATAGCAAGCTGTGTTAAAATTTAAAAGAAAATCAATCATAAAACAAATTTCAAAGGGAATGATAAGGTTCTTGTCTATCTTTTGTCAAAAACTCAAAGAAAAAGGTATTGTAATAGCTAACTTTAGCCCTTTAAGAGAGTATTTTGTTTGCTCTTATAGAGTTTTTTGCAAGAAAAATCTATAGAAATTTCCCATAGATGGCGCTGTTTGCCCTTGATTTGCCCATGAGGAAAATTTTTTGGTTTGACAAACCATATGGTACTGGTCGAACCAAAAAATTTCCCCCAGTGGGCAAATCAAGGGCAAACAGCGCCATCTATGGGAAATTTCTATAATTTAATTTATAAAATTTGTGCAGGCTGCTTAGAATTTAATAAAATTAGCTAGAGATCCCTTTTTCAAATATATAAATTATTTTAAAGAAAAAATGTTTGAATAAAAAATTTTTGGACCACTCTATAAAGAGCTAATTCCCAAATAAGATTTTCCCAATTTTTATTGTCTTTGAAGCAGAGTAAGTAGACTGCTTGTGCAGAAATTATAGTATCTCATACAACTCTTAATAAACTGGTAGGATTAAAAACGAGCCTGTCTTGCTTCTCTTTATGCTTTATCACATCTTTGCTTGGAAAAAAGCTGTAATGCGATAAAGCTAAGGATTCCTCTCTTTCAGGTGGTCAAAACAGACTTCTTTTCCTTTTCGATACTCTTTGCATTATTGATAAAGCTGACCATCTTCTTTTAAGGTCTTTCTTATTTTTAAAGCCTATTTCATCCATTTTGATATTTTTTAAATTGCAGGAGAAACCTATGAACTATACATGCTTAGTTTTGAGCTTTAGATATTAATTAGATTTCTCTTATTAAATTTTACAATATAAGGACTTAGGCCAAATTATGCTTGGCTAGATAAGGATTGTAAATTTTAGAAATAGGAACATTACAATAAAATAAATGTGAATGAACTGAATGCCAATAGAGTAAAAAAAAATATAAATTATGAAAAATTAAAAGAGAGAAATAATTTAATTCAGAATTTAAAAGGGAATTTTACTATATTTTATTCTTTTTCCTTAAATTTAAAATAAAAAATTCAAAGACCTAAAAATATTTTATTTTAAGAAAATAAATACTTGTGATTAATTTTTTTTTGAAGTAAGAGCTTATTATCGATATTTGCATTTTTACAAAGTTTTCGATTCTTATTTTGTTATATTATTTTAATTGGCATCGCCTGAGCCTGCTTTTGGCTCAGGCTTATGCAATTCTTCTAAAATTTTAACATCATTTTAAGTTAATTAAATCTCTCTTTGATATTGAATGCGAGGCTGCAATAATATTTGGTTTATTTTCAAAAACATCTAAATTCTCGAAAAATCTTTTATATGCAGTAGCTTCATAAAATTAATTAATAAAATAAATGCTATCAAGGAATTTATTTCGCAGCTCTCGATCTTTCAGCTCATTTAAATACAGATTTTTCAGAAATAACCTAATTTATTATACTCTTGCCTTCGGCTGCTGCGGAGCTGCATATTCTTACATAAACTACAAAAGAGATCCAGAATCATCTCGTAAGCAACGAATAAAATCTATTCAAGACGCTTTTTCAAAGCCTAAGGAATTTAATGGAGTTTCCAGACCTCAAGAGTGCGAAGAAATCTTTGAAAAATTTCCAAAATCAATTGTCGTTCTTTTTGATCAGCCTCAAACTGGAAAATCTTTACTTTTAAGTGAGATCGAAAGTAAAATTTACCCAAGGAAATCTTTGCGAATTGACATAAAGCCTGATCTAAAAGAAACTGTAAATCAGTTCAAATCTGATAGCGAATTAGAAGCCTTTGAAGTTTTGAAATGGTTTAAATTTATAACAAAAGCAATACAAAATGATGAAAGCAAAGAAAAACATTATATAATTGTAGATGGGATTGAAAAAGTACCAAATCAAATCCAAGAGTATTTTTGAAAATATTTATGAGATTTATTTAAAAATAACGCTGCAGAAGTATTGATAGCTTTAAACGACGCAAGTCTAGCTAAATATGCTTATAGCTTTGGAGAACCAGAAATACAATCTCTCTATCCATTATCTAAAGACAATTATTTAAAAATTTTTATAATTTACGAAATGAATTAATAAATAAGCGAAAATTGAATAAATAAAATAAATTGTTCTAAATGTGAAATAATTTACATTAAAATGTATATCAAATATTGAAGGATATGATTTCCGTGAAGTCTCCACAATTTATGAGGAAGTTGGTCCTAATTTAGAATATTCATTTGAGATGATGAAGAACAAAGAAAAAGCACACACATTTTTGGAGCATAAAAAGCAAGAAATCCAAGGAAAACTACAAAATCTACTTGCCAAAAACCCTGACCTAAGAAAGGATTTAAGTCACTCAATAAGCTTAATTAATCAAAGCCGACCTTTAGGTGACATTTTTGCTGCAACTGTTTTAGCCAAAGAGCTAAAAGACCTAGGTCTCGCCCAAGAGTATCTGAATGGCTCAGTAAGATTTCGTAATCAATATGTCTTAAAAGTAGTCCAAGAAACATTAAAAAAGCTTTAATTTATTCTTATTTATTCTGTGTTTTTTTTATTATTTCATCCCACTCACCTCTTTTCTGCTCAGTTTCATTGATCATTTTTCTAAAATCTTGCTCAGAAAATACATAACTCGGTTGTGGTTTTGATGGCAACTGCAATTCTTCAACTTTTCGGCTATAAAGTGCTGCATCTGCTTCTCTTTTATAACGAGTTTTTTCATAGTTTTCCTTTAGCTGTTGGCATGTTTTTTTATAGTTTTTTAATGACTCCATATAAGCGTCTCTTCTCAGCTTTAAATTTTGTTTATTCTATGCCAAATTATAAGTTAAAAAAAATCATGCCATACATTAAAAATAATTTATGGCTTAATTTAGTTCAAAATTGAATAATTACAAATTCCTTTACAGGAACTGGTATAGAAGAACGGCCTTGAATTGCTTGGAAACTGATTCTTTTATCAAGTTCAGACTTCGGCAATGTATGCTTTTTCACACAGTGCTCAACATACATTCTATACTCCACTTTATTCCATAATAAGTGTTTGATCATAAGTCCTTGCTGTCTCTGCTTTACAATGCATCTCATAGTTCTCTGAATAAAAATGACTGTCCTGATAAAAGCTGCCATCAGATTAAACATGACGTCTTTAGACAGCGCTCTTTCGGCAAGCTCACATATCCTTGATCGATGATGATTTTTGATATTTTTGACCCATTTTACTGCAGGAGCCTTCATTCTTCTAAATGTCCTGATAGCTTGTATCACTTTAACTCTTTTATGAAGCCTCTTGAACTTCCCGACTGCCAGACAAAGGATCATTAGCTGCTTTAAGACTCCTTGAGATCTCTCATGTAAATCTTTTCGGTGCAAATATTTCACATTAGCATCAGCAGCCCAACCAAAGACAACATTTAAGGCTATTCAAGATTTGTAAATCTTGGTCACTTCGTCTCGTTTTAGCTTAAATTCAAATCTTCGCTGTTTGCTTTCAAAATTTAAAATTTTTTCTAATTTTTTTGTAAGTAAAATGTCTTGTTTTTTGTGTATAGCTTCAACTATTCTTGTTGATTCAGCAACTGCTCTTTCTTGTATAGTTTTTATCCGATTTTCAGGGATATATTTGTACATGTTTTTGTTGTCTCTAATAATTTCTTTGAATTTTTCTTTTCTTGTAGCTTCGTTAGGCGGCTGCTTATTTATAGCTGGAAGATATAAATATGCATCTTTATTAGAAAATCTTGACAGTGTAGAAAATTGGAAAGAAGGGCCTGCTAGAGTGCTTAATGATACGTTATAGTATCCAGGTCCCAGTTTATAGCTAGTAGGGGACGATGGCACTGAGGATCGAGTGGGGATTATTAAATATGATAAGTCGCTCCCTGATCTTACATGAGTTGGTTTATAAGTCTTATTATCAACAGATCCTCAATTAGAACCGCTTGGAGACTGTAAAATTTTCATTGAATTGTGTCTAGCATGCTTTATCGTTTTTTCTGCAGATGGGTTTAAAGAGGATCGCCGAATCGAGTCAAAAAGAAGCGTTTCCTTGTGGGCGATAGAGCTTATATGAGGGCTATCTCTTGCTGTGAGATGGGCTGGCATTAAATCGACTTCTAAATCATGCATGGATGAGTTTCTTTTACTTCTCATAAGAAATTGTAACTTCTTTTAAGGGCTCCTGCCAAATTAAAGAGTATTTTTAACATTGTGCATTTCGCCGATGTAGATTTGGTCGATATTTAACTTTTTTTTTCCCCCATCAAATGTCTCACGATCAAAAAGTTTCAGCCAATTTTCGACTAAATGTATTCGGTGAAATGTATATTATCAAAAGTTCAAGATCATGGGGTTGCACCCTTTTTAATATTTATTAAATTTTATTTCGGTTATATTTTTACTCAAAAATATTATAATCTCAATATTAATATTTCTATGAAGTGAGAAAGAGCTTGAAGAAAAATTAACTGAATTCTTAATGTAGTGATTGCACAACTATAGCATGGCTTGGCCTATGCATCTCCACACAGCTTTGAGGGTGCATGTCTAATAATCGCGCACTTTTAATAGTGTGCATGTTTCATTAAAGTAAATTTGGTTGAAAATTTTTAAATAGTGTATCATTCGGACGAAATTTAACGGTTTTTCGGTCAAATATCTCACTATCAAAAATGCTTCGAACAAATTTTCTCTTACTCCCCCCTCTTAAGTGAGCAAAAACCATTGGAAAAATCCCTATTTTTAGAGCGAATTTTTTGTTTTTTAAAAATAAAATTCGATATATAAGTGATAATTATTATAATGAAATTTCTAGCTAATTTTTTTAATTTTAAACAGTTTGAATTCTAAACATAAATTTTAAACTAAATTAATTTAATTTTTGCATTTCGATATTAAAATTTTTACAATAAAATTTATATATTAAAAAAAATTAACCCCCCCTGAGCGAACAAAATTTTTGTGTTCGCCACGGAGAGGAAGGTAGGAAAGTCGCCTATCAAAATGCATCAACATTTCATATGCAGCTATTGGAGTGCTTACGAGCCACCTCTAGGTGGTAAGTCAATTCCAAGCCGACAAAAGGGTATACTTTTGCAAGGATTTGTCAGATTGGAGTTGATTTGCCACATTTAGGCGGCTCTTAAGAGCTTAAGTTGCTGTAGAGAAGAAGCATGCTTCAAGGTACGCTATAGCGGTGCAGGCTCTATATTCTTATTTTTACGCTTAATCAGTTTCAGTGGCAATAATTTTAATCAAAATAATTTTGGCTTTATTGAATTTGCTTATAGTATTATTGTAGTTTGTTTAATGCTAAAACTATTCTTCATATCTTAGTGTTTTTAGCTTCTATTTTGTCCTAGCACTCTTCAAAAGCTACTCAAAAATGATTTGCATAATTATTGAATTTCATATTATGAAGAACTTGCTTCCCCTTTAAATTATAACAAAAAATCTTGCTCGATTTAAATAAGTTTTGATTTTTTTAAAACAAATGTAATAAAATTTGAAAAATTAATAAATAGTGCAATATCAAATTAAATTCTCTGATGTTAAAAAAATTAATCGATTCATTGAGAAAGCTGTTTAAATAATATTCTACTTGCATTTTTTTTAATAAAATTAGGTCAAAACTAATTTTATAAAAATTAATATTTACACGGATAAATTTTCCTTTGTTTCAATTTAAAGGGAACCAACAAATTAAATCCATCCATATTTTGTTCCAATGTTAAGGGGTGAGATTTAAGAGAAATTTTCGATTATTTTGACCAGGATAAAAAGGAGCACTTAACCCCACATCAGCTTCGGTGTGCATTAATTTACATAACTGGAAACAAGCCCAGCAAAATCTATATGAATAGGCTTAAAGAGCAATATTCCAAAACTTTTACATTTCCTGATTTTGTAGGGATAGTGAAAATGCAAGAAACTCCTGATAGAGCTTTAGAGATTTTACAAGCCTTGGATCTTCAGAATGAAGGATTTATCAATTGAAATGTATTTAATGAGCTATGTGATAGCTATATACCTCACACACCTCAAAATGTAAGGACATCTGTGTTTTCTGAAGTAGATAGCAATGGGGATGGGAGGGTCACATTAAAAGATATAGAAAAGTTAGTATCATTTAAATCAGACTAATCCGCGACAAAATTTATCTGGATTAATCAAATATTTTTATTGTAATTTAAGCTTATATTTTCCTAGAAAAGTAAAAAACGTAAAATATCAAGGAGTAAAAGATATTTTAAGCATAGCATTTATACTTAACTGTTTAAATGTATGTCACATACTTAAAAAATGATGCAGCACCTTTTTGCCTTTTTCGATTCATTATAAAAGATCTTTGATTTTGCACTGAGTTCTTCACTTTTCATAGCAATTTCTCCTATAGTTTCACCTCTAATAAGAATCCTATTAAGTGTCCCAGTTATAACTTCTATTGCTGCATCAGAGTTTTCAATTGCCCTCGCAATAGAATCATGATTGCTAGGATTTTGATAGTCATTTAGCAATCTTTGCAACTGTGGGAATTCATAAAGAGCGTCCTTTCTGGCTTGCTCCCTTCGGCTCCATGTCAAATGACTGCGGAAATTTGATAGTGCGACATCTCATAGGGGAAAACTTTGTTCGAATCATTTTTGATAGTGAGACATTTGACCGAAAAAACCGTTAAATTTCGGCCAAATGGGTACACTATTTAAAAATTTTCGACCAAAAGTGCTTCGGTGAAATGGACACTATCAAAAAGGCAAAGTCATTTGACCTGCACCGCTCCCTTCATCTATCTCTGAAAACTGTAGAAAATTGTTCCATTGCTTGAAATGCTAATGCAAACGCTACTCTTTTAGGGTAATCGACATTAGTGAACACTACGCATGATAAATGATCTTCTCTGTGATGGACACAAATCTGCATTTCTTCTTGGATTGTGGAAGTTTTTGTACCGGGCTGGCAAAATAATGATAAAGTTTTGGATAAAAACCAGCAAGTTTCTGCAAGGGTCTTTTTGTGGAGTATGAATTTTTTAGGAAATTTTTGGGATCAGCTTAGAATGCTGCCTTGGGATTCGTAGGGAGGTAAAGTACTTACTAAACAGACAGCATAAACTCTCATAGGTTTTAATTACTTATGAATATTACAAATAGTATGGTTATATAAAGCTTATTGTGCATAATATAATATAATGCATTGTAAAGCTTTGGGTTTTAGGATTTTTCTAATTGTCAAAGATTTTTTATAAATCATGCTTCAATGTTGCAGCATAGGTTCAAAAGTGGAATTTATTTATTCTTTATTTTAATAAATTCTAATAAATCATAAAAAGTTCTAGTTAATAAACTCCATGCAACTTCTCTGCATTATAGATTTATAAATAAAAGATAGAATTAATAAAAATTAATATTGGGAATAATTTATTTATAATTAAATGTAAGTCTATCGAATTTATAAAATATATAAGTGAGAAGTAAAATATTTTGTGTATTTTTGATTTATATAGTGTGAATATAAATTTCTAAGTATTTTAGCTATGCAAAGCACTTTGAGAGCATTGAATAGAATAGAATAGTATATTATTTTTAGATCACGCTATTTTTAATCATTTGAATGAGCTTTGTCAGCATTTTAATACAAAATTCCACTGTTGATTAATATTAGATTAAAGAAATTTAAAAGCTCAAATAAAAACACATAATAATCTTTTCCATTCGAAAGATTCAGAAATTTGCAATTTTAACTTGCTGGATGCTTGCCTGAAATTTGACTCGAATCCAAAATTTAGATTACTCACAGCATTTTAATTCTCAAAATATAACTTTTTTATTAGAAAACTCTAGCTCGCTTTCACTTTTAATCTTTTAAGGGCTTCCTTAAAGCATTTTTTTAAGTCTTGTCTTCTATTGAGCCATTTTAATTTCAAGATCATCGAATAAATGCTCAGGTGATAGCATATATCTTTGATATTAAATAGAGAAATAATGGCCCACAATTTATTCTTTAAATATCTTCTTATTTGAGATATCAATCGACTTTAAGATTTATGAATTAAAAAGAATGAAGGCTTATTTATAGCTTCTCATCTGAGCTCAATAAGCTCAATATGTTCTAGACATGGCATTCACATCACCAAAATGCCAAGCTCAATTATTAAGCTTGATATTTAAATTTTAAACTCAAAGCTCATCATATATGAATGGTATAGAAATTAAATCTATCCCATTAAACAATAAATTATTTTAAATTCCTCTAATATTTTATTAAATTTTAAATTTTAAATCTCAAATAAATTGATATATCGGACAACTGGCCAGTTCGCTGACTTTTCAAACTTAAAAATTATCTTTTTCAGATTTCCACCAGCACGCAATCTAGGCTGCGTTGCATCCATATTTACTGTGCTCGCTGAATAAATGGAGCACATACTTAATAATAAATAAAACCATGAGATCTATTTTCGAAAAAATTAATACCCAGCATGAGAACTCGTTCTGAAAAAAATCAGAAAATTCTAACGACTTAGAATTAGAAAAAATCATTTATCAGGGAAAGCTGACTGAGCTTAAATCGTCAGGAAAATTAAAAGAAAAATTTTTTTCTTTAAGCTCAAAATACCTATTTTCAGCTAAATCTGAAAATTCAAAGCCAGACAAGCAAGCTACTATAAGATTCCGCACTATAGACCCATTTGTAGAAGAAACGAAAAATTCAATTAACTATGGATTCCAAATTTTATGAAATCACCACACGAAATACTTTTACACAAATTCCAGCCATGAGCTTGATAACTGGCTTGATTCTTTGGCAGCAGTTGGGATTATGACCAAGGTTGAAGATGACTATGAGATACTTAAAATCCTCGGCTCAGGGAGTTATGCAACTGTATACCTCTCTCGAGACCTCTGTACAAATAAAGAGTTTGCAATAAAAGCAATTGATAAGTCACTAATTAAAGGCAAAAATATTTATTTCGGGATGATTAATGAAATTGAGATCCTCAGAAATTTGGACCATCCCAATATTATAAAGCTCCATAGGGTGTATGAGTCGGATACTCATATTTATTTGGTTCTAGATTATATAAAAGGCGGCAACCTTTTATCAAGATTGCATGCAAGAGGGCCGATATCAGAAAAGCAATCAAAGAAATTTATGGAAAAGCTCTTACTCCCACCCTCCGTGAGTGAACAAAAATTTTTTTTTTAATAGAAAAATTTTTTATGGAAAAAAATGTGATATATAAGTGATAATTAGTATAATGAAATCTAGAGCTAATTCTATTTAATTTTGAACGAATTGCTTTTTAAAACATAAATTTTATAAATTAAATTAATATTTTTTTTTTCAATTTTTGCGAATTAGGATTTTTTAAATTTCGAAAAAAAAATTTTTTAGAAAATTTATATATAAATGTTTTTAAAAAAAAAAAATTAACCCCCTCCGTGAGTGAACAAAATTTTTTTTGTTCACTCACGGAGGAAGGGGGAGTTAGGGCTGCTTAATTATCTAGAAGAAAGGGATATAGTCCATAGAGACATCAAGCTTGAAAACATTTTGCTGACTTCTGATACCAAAATTTCAGATTTCAAGCTAATTGATTTTGGATTTTCAGAAATTTTGCAAGACAAATCAACCGCATATTGTGGGACGCCCGGGTATATGGCTCCTGAAATATTAAAAAATATTCCTTATGGGCTGAAAGTTGATATTTTCAGCGCTGGGATCATTTTGTACATGATTTTATCCAACCAAGCTCCATTTTGTGGAGATTCTGAAAATGAAATGATAGAGAGCAACAAGCAAGGCTCAATTGTATTTGACAGCAAGCACTTTATGATGATTTCGCCAGATTCCATACGTGTTATTATGGAAATGACAAACTCTGATCCTTCTTCCCGACCATCTGCTAAAGAGCTACTTCGGCTGAGATGGTTTACAAAAGAAAAATTAAGCCAAAAATTCAAAAGAATCCATATTCATGAGATTCATTCGGAACTATCCAATGTATATAGAAGGCATGCAAATATTGGATATACAGAAGATAGCTATGGGAAGGAAAGAAACGAACTAATTGATTCAAATCTGATTTTTTTTGCTGAGAATTATCATCAAAGAATCAAATTTTAAACGATAAAAATTCAGCAAAATTTGCTGTGATAATAATTAAATTAATGGGATTTTTCGATAAAATGCTTTAGATAAATTATTTTTGAGAAATTTTAAAATAAAAATTAAATCATTTAAAATTGATTTTTATGCACATAAAAATGGCTAGTGGCGAAGCAGTCTATCCTCCTGGCATTGGGAATTCAGAATATCTTGATATAGCTTATTGTGTGGAGATCTGCTCAAGTATTGGATTATCATTGAGGCAAGATGTGCAAGAAATAGTTGGAGATGGGCTGCCCGTTCACTTAGTGACTGTGTGCTTATGCATATTCAACATAGCTTTTGAAATCCAGTTATGGGTCCAGCGATATTTAGAAGCCTCAAAGCGAGAGATCTGAAACTCTTTTCCGCTAAATCGAATCCTGATGCTTAGGCTTATTAATTGCATCTCCTTTTTCCAGTAGATCTAGTCCATTAGGAGTCCGCTATGAAACTAGAGGTTTTCAAACAGCTTTGGTGATTTGCCCCTAATGGAGAAAGCTGTAATTTTTTGTTGTTGAATAAGCTGGGACAGAGAGGAGGTAAATTAGATAGCCTGAGCACACCTAGCAATTGAGTCTCTCCAGTTGAAAAGTGGCTCTCTTGGCAAGGCAATCTGACCTGTGAACATCCTAGGGTTGGCGTCAAACAGGTGACGTCCTGTGATTGAAAAAAGTGATAACAAGCAATGTCCTTTGAACCCTAGTTAATATCACTTCCGTAAAAACTAGGGGCTTCGACACGGGTTGCAAGACAGTAGTTCTCTACTACCCATAATCAGTGAAGTAGGACCTTATCTAGCATTGTGGTGTGAGGCACAGCACGATTTCCTAGCTCAAGCAGCAGCTTTGTAATTTTTTTCGCCAGCAACGCCCACGACTAGGTTGGGCATTTAATAGAGACCGGAAGGTCATCGCTTTGGCTTTCTTAGAGACCTTGCCCCTCATGGCATAACGCTGAATCTTTCCTTTGAAGCCAATCCAGGTCAAATAGCTAGGCAGGTTCAATAAGAGCTCTCAAGGGTGAAAGTTCCAGCTGTGGTGACTCCGGAATAGAGTGATCAGGCTAGCTCCCTAAGTTGGCTAACTCCAGAATTGAAATTGAAAATGGAAGTGCCCAATAAAGTCTTACAATGCTAGCAGGTCTTATCTCTAGCTAGATACCGGATTCGTCCTGGCGTCAAAGTCTTCTCTGACCGCCCACCGAGTTCTCTTGGTTGAATTGCTGAGAGGGGCTCAAATCGCAAATAGGGACTCTCGTCACACTTGCACTGATCTAATCTAATCCAAATAGATTTTAATAGTAAAAAGTTAGAAGTGATTTTCAAAAAGGTGAATTATTATAAAAGCATAATTATGAAGACTCTTGAAAAATGGCGAACATATTTTTTGAGGATTGAAAAGAATTAAATTAGGCAACAGATTAATTTATAAAGCATTTATGCTTGATAAATTTATTGTTTTTATTTAGACAAATTAAAATTAGCCAAAGTAAAAAAATTTAAATATTTAGATTAATTTGTAGTTTTATCGTGTTTAAGATTCTTTGAAATATATCTCTCAATCCCTTTAATTAGAGCTTTATTTTCTCATATAAATACTTACTCTGCTCGATGAGCAAGCAAAAATTTTGCAAGGGTTTTTTTTTTAAAAAATTATATAGCCCATGGTGATCCAAAACAGGCCTGGGTGAAATTTATTTTTGGTAAGATTAATTTTCACTAATTGGGAAGCAATATTTGTTTTAGAATTAAAGCTTTTAAACTTAAATAGAATTAGCTAGAGATTCTGTTATAATATCTATAACTTATATATAAATGTTGCTTTATAAAAAATTCTTGCTCACAGGGTTGTTGTTTGCTCTAAAAGGAGAATGAGAATTAGAAATTTTGCAGATATCAGATAAGCATCGGTAATTAATTAGTATATTAAGTCAAAATATACTTTTCACGGTAAATATGTGTGAATGAGCACTACTAATGAATTCCTTTCCTTATATAAAATAAATGTAAGTCTAATTATTATTTCTGGCAATCAATCTGAGTAGATTAATTTAAAATGGATTCTGTTTTTTCTACTTTTTACCAAGACTCTCAGCAATCATTCTGGGTTTCAACACAGATAAAAACTCCTAAAGAGATAACTCCAATTTTGCACACAGGAATGCTCTACGAACGAAAATCTCCAATAATTTCCAAAGAAAAGCTGTGTTTTCTTACCGACTCTGCACTTTTTGCAGCAAAAAGTTCAGGATTAAAAGCTATAAACTTGGCTTGGAGAATTGTTGAGCCATTTACTGAAGAATCACAAAATTCGATAAAATACGGATTTCGAATTTTATACCCAATATATATATATTTGCCAATTTTCAAAAATAAATGGAACAGAAAATTAATTTAATCTTGCTTTGAATAAAAAATTCCAGCTTTAAATATTTTTATGTTGACTCCTCTCAAGATTTAAACATTTGGATAAAGCATTTGTCTAAAATCAGTATCATGACTGGAGTAGAAAGTGACTACAATATTAAAAAACAAATCGGAAAAGGCACTTTTTCAACTGTATGGCTGGCTCAAGATTTATATGATAATAATAATAAGTATGCCATAAAGTCTATTCCAAAAGCACTATTGACAAGACCAAGCACTATTGAAGCACTTAAATCTGAAATTTTTACATTAAAGACCCTTGATCATCCAAATGTAATCAAGCTTCATAAGATTTATACTGCTCTTAATTGTTTTTTCTACAGTCATGCAAAAGAAATTTTTATTTAAATTGGCTATTTGATATTCCATTTATATAAAAATATATAAGTTACTATTAATTAAAGTATATGAGTCAAACACTCATGTACACTTAGTTTTGGACTATGTAGAGGGGGGAGATTTACTGAAAAGACTCTTAGAAAAGGGCCCTCTTTCAGAGAAAAAAGCTTCGAAATTCGCTGTAAAACTACTCAAATTGTTAAATTATTTAGCTCAACACCAGATTGTGCATAGAGATATAAAACTAGAAAATATTCTTTTAGTTTCTGACAAAAAAGAGACAGATTTCAAGCTAACTGATTTTGGGCTTGCATGTATATCAAATGAAGAGCTTACAGATAACTGCGGATCTCCTGGATATGTAGCTCCAGAAATTTTACGAAAAATACCTTATGGCTTAAAAATTGAATAATTAAAATGTGGCGTCTCAGCCTGGCCATGTCCATGGAGCTTCGAGTAGATATTTTAATTATATTCAGAGCCCAGAAATGGATAGCTATGCTAGTTAGATGATCTTTATTATGCTTAGGGCCCCGATTTCTGGCACTGGATTTTACCTTGAGGGAAAGAGGAACTTGGAGTTGAAGGGGAAGGGGAAGCCCAGCAAAGTCTTCTATGCCTATAGGGCAGCTCTCTAGATTGAAGCCAGGAGTTACGCTTTGGACTACAAAGTTTTACCTTTTGCGAGAGTCGGCAGAAATTCCATTTTTTGGAATTTCTGTGCAGGTCACCCTCGTCTGGCGTACAGCACGGTGATGCAGCCCACTTCGCTCTCCGTTCGGAGCGAGCCTTAGGCGAAGATAAATTAACCCCATGGAGTGGCGGCATAAGGCAATCCAACGAAGCAAGTGAAGATGATCACCCTCAGATGCAGACAGAAACTTCTTTATAATAACTTAATGTTAATGCTTATGGTTTAAAAGTTGACATTTTTAGTGTCGGCGTCGTTTTATTTATGATGCTATCAGCCCGAGCTCCTTTTTCAGGAAAATCACCAAAAGATATCATCGCAAAAAATAAAGAATGCTTATTGTCATTTCACAACAAATGCTGGTTACAAATCTCCAAAGAAGCTATCAACACAATCTTAGCCTTAACAAATTCCAACCCAAATCTCAGGCCCAATGCAAAAAGTGCTTTAGCGCTAGCCTGGTTTTCATCATTTAAAAAAAATAAAAGAATGATGAGGAGCTTCTCAAGTACCTCTACTAATGCTTCTAATTCATCGTCTTATGAAAACTCTCCAGTGATAAAGACAATACCTTTAACATTTTTAACATTACTTAAAGTGTTTAACGTGCTTCTCCGGTCCGCAGGGTGGGTGATTTAGCAAAACCACTAGGGCAATACAGTAGATACCAATCGGTAAACGCCACCGAGCATTAACAACGTCACCCTTTTTATCGAGCCAACGGACAAACCTAAGCAAGTGACGGCTAATTGGCTACCAGATCTACGGGCTGCGTTGCCTCGCTCGAGACTTGACTCCTGCGCGTTGTGCCGCCTTTGGGTCTTCCTCCTCGGAAGCGTCAAGCAGTAAAACCCTGTGACTACCAAACACCCAAGGATCAGGTCAGGAGGCTGCGCACACCCTCCCAGTTGTTTACCTGGATAAGGTCTTACCGGGAAAGCTGAACCCTATAATAATAAAATTGCCAAATGAAAGCAAATTCCTCAGAGTGGTATAAAAAAATCAAATTAAAGTAAAAATATTTTTATAAATTTAAATCTTTAAATCTTAGGCAATGATCAAATGCAATATTTTCTCCTTCTTATTTTTAGGTTGCATAATTTGAAGCTTCTTCTTCTCTTTAAATTTGTCGGAGTTCTTCTTTATTTATTATTTATTAATAAAAATGCCCATGGCCTTATCTCAGAGGGGTATATTTTTTTTTCATGTTAGCCACCCTGCTCAAAATTTTACAAATAGAATATGTCATTTTCTTATTAAAATATTAATTTTTCTACAGAGAGCGGAATTTTCTCCACGACGCCATTTTATTATTAATATGATAAAGACAAGACCAATAGAAAGAAAAAATCGACTTTCTATTGACTGTAACAAAATAAAATTATTCCAAGAAAAGCGCGGCAGAACGAACTCAGATACTTTGATTCACCAAAAAAGCAATAATTCACTTAACAAGACGTGCTTATTTAATAAAACAAAACACATAACTAACAAATCATTTTTCGTGTAATTTTCTTAAAAAATATGAAACTATTAGATGTCTTGCAAGCTAGAAGCACAAAAAGAGCTTCCACACATCCACCAAGCGCAGATGCAACACAAGCAGATTTAGATATGCCTCCTGCTCCGAGTTCTACCTTTATGTGCAGCCCGAAAAATGCTTTGCATATTATAATACCTAGTAAAAATGTTGAAGATGATAATGATTTATCATCTACTGAACGACTTAAACGAGAAATCAGAAATACTCCTGTCATTAATAGCAAATATTTACCTATATGACAAAGGATGAGGGTGAAGATAAAAACAAATCTACGCATGAAATCTTTGAGAAGCGAAATTAAATTGTATGGGACAAATACAGCTGTAATGAACGAATTGAAGTTAGATCATAAAAGCTTTATTGAGAATAAAGACAAAAAAAATGATTTATTGAGGGAAATGACTGGAATTTCTAGTCGGCCAGATGTCGGGTTTTTTATTATTTTGCCGACAAGCAAGTTTAAAATATATTGAAACATCGTATTGATATTTTTATTAATATATACAGCTACACTAATGCCTTATAATTTAGCTTTTGGAACTGACGTAAAATATAATGCTTGATGATGGATTGACCTATGAATTAATATTTTATTTGGGATTGATGTATATATAAATAGTGTCTCAGCCTATTATAACAGCGAATCTATGCTGATTTTAGACCATTGCACCATTTTTTACCATTATTTAAGAACATGGATGATTTTTGATTTAATTGCATGTTTTCCCTTTAATTTAGTAATGGATGATAATTCAGGGTCCAGTGCGACTTCAGGGAATTATAACAATTTAGGAAAACTCGCAAGAATTCCAAGGCTTTATAGACTTTTTCGAATTTCGAGACTCTTTAAAATGCTGAAATATTATAGAAATAGTGAATTCATGGAAAAAATGCAAGAATTTTTAAGCTTGAAAAACAGCGTTATGAGATTAATGAGTTTTTTTACTGCAGTTGCTATATGCATACATGTAATGAGCTGCATATGATATTTTTCAGCTAAGCTGCAGGGCTTTTCTCCAGAAACTTGGGTTGTCAGAGGGGGTTATCAAGATCTAGACAATTCCACACTTTATTTATTATCTGTTTATTGAGCGTTTACTACACTAACTACAGTCGGTTATGGCGATATCCACGCTTTTACAGATTTTGAAAAAATGCTTGCAATTTGTTGGATGATTTTTGGCGTCTGCTTTTTTTCTGTTACGATTGGGAGTTTATCTTCAATGCTGAGTGGTATTGATACAAAGTAATATTTATTTAGAGAATCAATGCTTTCTACGAAATTAGCAATAATTGATGAATTCGCCAAGGAGTCCAAATTAAGCAAAGAATTTAAAATTCGACTTCGCCATGCATTGAAATACTCCACAGAAAAATCAGGGTTTTCCTGGGATGATAAACAAGACATCTTAAACGAGCTCCCAAAAAACCTTCGCTATGAAGTAGCTTTAGCTATGCATAGAGGCGCTGCTAAAAAAATTCCATTTTTCTCAGAAAGGGACATTGTATTTGTTGCCTCAATTGTTCCATTTCTCAAACATATGTTAGTAGAAAACCAATCTTTTGTCTATTTAGAAGGAGAATTTTCTGATGAAATTTATTTTATTGCAAAAGGAAGAGTCTGCTACACTTTTGGGCCAAAAAATACTGGATTTAGGACTTTGTTAAGAGGAAGCTACTTTGGAGATATAGAAGTAATAGAGCAATGCTCTCGCAAATATTCAGTAAAAGCAGTAGGTAACTGTCACTTGCTTGTCATGAATAAGCCGCTTATTGTACATATTTCCAAAGAATTCCCTTTTATATGAAAAGAAATGGTAAAAGTGTCAAAAAAAAGAGACAAACTTAACAAAGCTGGAATAAAGCAAGTAAAAGAATTGATAGAGCTGCAAAATAATGGAAGTTTGTCAGGAAAACCTTTGCAGGATGTAAAGAAGTTAATAAATAATATTTGCGATGAAGCAAGCGCTGAAGAAGACAGTGATGGGAGTGAAATGAATAATCCCACGTTGGATGGAGTTTTTCAAGCTATTGGTGAAAGAAATAAAAGCATATGTGAAATTGAGGAAAATTTGGAAAATATGCTTGTGTCTGCAAGAAAATTGCTAAAAGCTGCTAAAGAAGGAAAGCATGGAAGTTTGCCACCTATAAAATCAAGGGCGTCTTCTTTAAGCTTGATAGAGTCAGTCATTGAAACGAAGTCAAACCACTTTATATCATCTGCAGATGTCTCTGAAATCAGCATAGATAATATTAATATTGATAAGACGCCAGGGGCGGAATCAGGAGTCGTTATTTTTAATACAAAAACGAGTGAAAATGAAGAAGAAAAACTAATAGCTGATGAATAAATTTTACTATAAATAATAATAATAATAATTAATCATACTATTATTTCGATATTGAGGTATCCAATTTCTGGAATATTCTATTTGCTATCTTCTCTTCAGCCAAGCAAATTATAATAAATAAGCAGAATTACTGGGCTTGGCTGAAAATTTTAAATGGTTTCAAGTTTTATTAATTTAATATATAATTAGTGGCTTATTTAAAATTACTTTTATTATGGCATCAATATGGAATCTTACAATTACGTAAGCTACTTCGATTCTTGCGAAAAATATGATTCTGAAAACCCAAAAGAAAACCAAAAAATCTAGAAAAAAAACCCAAAAATTGAAGGAGAAGGAAGAAGGAAGAAAAAAATAATATGCATATTATTATTAATTTTGTTAAAACTTACTTTAGCCATAAATTAAACAAAAAATTAAAATATTCCATGATTGTTTAACTTATTATTTACACCCAATTAATATGAAGTAAAGTATTCATTTCAATATTTCAATTGTAGAGTAAGGCTTTTGATAAAAAATGATTTAGTGATTAATTTTAAAATGATTATTATGCCATATATTTATATCTATTAAATCTGTATATTTGTATAGTAAAGATTCTATAATCATAAATGGTGGCATTTATAAGGCCTTCAAAGTAAGCAAAACAGTTTCCAAGAGTGCCATGGCGAATAGAAGCAGGTTGGCCCAGCAGCGTGTGGAATCGACATGTGTAAAAATGGCGGAAGCTCTAGTCCGACCACCCAATAGTCAACGTTAAGCGGGACGCTACGTGCTAGATTTCTTTAAGTTTAATTATCGTAAAGATTCATTTACAATAATATTCTTTGAACTAATCATTAATATCATTTGAAATCGAGGATGACTGAACAATCAAACTCTGCTAACAGTGACATTGAGCGTATATTATCAAGCCAAGTCTGGAAAAAGCGTTCCCTTACAACAAGAAATAGCCCTTCTCCACTTCGAGAAAAGTTGAAAATTGACTGTTCGAAGGTATCTGTACTCAGCAAGGCCAAATCTAGTCCACGGCTACCTCCAATAAAAGAAGATTTCTTAACAAAGCTAAAATCTGCTACATTACCTCCACTTTCTCCCACAGCCCTTTCGAGTACTGACCATAGTAAACGATTATCACGATTAGCGATTCCTTATAAAACTCTTGCCAGCTCACTTAAAAGCCAAGTTAAGACTGTAAAATCGAATTACGAGCTAATAAAAGTACCCAAATTCCCCAAATCTCCGTTCGGGAGCCACAAGAACATAATTATCCCTGAATTTGAAGATTTAACAATTGATTACACAACTGTGCATGACGCTGAGTTGAGAGCTAACCAGATAAAGTGCTTATCTGGGAGGATGAAATCTGAAGGATTATTCGCTACTCTTATGGCGAAATCAGTATATCAAAAATAAATTATTATATCTTTTACAATGAAAATGTTTTTAATATTAGAAGATATGGTTATTTTAAGCGTTCAGTCTGATAAGATATAAGTTATATCAGTTTAGACTATGCTTATATATTGCCGATAAATCATTAGGTCATTTTATATTTAAAATATCTGCTTGCGATTGCCTCTTATTAACATAATAGAACTTTAAGCGCTATAATAATTTTATCTCTTTCTATACATTGGCTCGATAAATTATCGATTATTGCTAATTTCGATTTAATCCATTTAAATGAATTTTCTCAAGGTGTAAATATTGATTCTTCTAGTTCAATTAATTACTACTTATTATAATATTTGATCAAATTAAACAAAGATCGATGGTCGATAGTTGATAATCATTGTTTTCTCCAGTTTTTGGACCAAAAAATGATATAGTCAAATGAATATAAAAAATATACTTTTGAAGAGAACGATAATGCAAAATAGAAAGAATGAGTTAAATATTGCTTTAACAAATAATAAAATTATACATTATCACGCCTTAGGCACCTTAAATATTGCTTTGAATAAAATTAAGAATAATGCAGAAGTTAAAGAGCTTTTTATAGTGATTAGGCTATTTTATTGATAGCTTGCAAATACTATTAAGCTAATTATGGCCTCTAAGGATGCTAAATATTGCGGATTGGACTAGGAAATGAAGCAATATAATGGATGAATCAGAATTCTATCAAGATTTCTTTTTGATATAAATCAAAGATAAAATAAATGAATTTAATAAATATTCAAAACACATAAATTAAATAAATTATTGATAAAAAATTAAACAAAATAAATGATTTTAAATTTAATAAAAATTATAATAAATTGGGGGTTTAAATATGGAAGATCTCAACACCATTTCTTCTGCTACCAATCTTCTCAACGATAAACAAGGCTTTGCTCTAAAAACTACCAGCTTTAATTTTGATGTCCCTGCAAAAGAACCAGTAGTCCAAAATGTCGTTGCTACTGCAAATTTACAATGTGCATTAGATTTAAAGCAAGTTGCAATAAAAGCAAGAAATTCCGAATACAATCCAAAGCGGTTTTGTGCTTTAATAATGAGAATTAGAGAACCGAAAACAACTGCATTAATATTTGCATCAGGAAAAATCGTAGTCACAGGCGCAAGAGACGAAGCTCAAGCTCGTTTGGCTTCTAGAAAATTTACAAGAATTATCCAAAAAATTGGCTACTCTGCAACTTTTACTGAATTTAAAATCCAAAATTTAGTAGCTTCAGCTGATATAAGGTTCCCTGTAAGGCTTGAAGGAATTGCTATAAAGCATTTTAATTTCTCGAGCTATGAGCCTGAAGTATTCCCTGGGTTAATCTATAGGATGTTGCAGCCAAAAGTTTCGCTTTTGCTATTTACATCAGGAAAAATGGTGTTTACAGGGGCAAAGACAAGAGAAGACATCAAAGTAGCCTTTAAAAAAATTTATCCAGTGTTGAAAGAGTTCAAAAAAGAGAGAAAAATGGGGATTTAATTTAATTTATAATAATCTTTAAATTAGTTTCCCAAATATATTTTCCCAAAAATCTTTTCACTATTAAAAAATATTAAAATTTTTATGGGGGCAAAAGTAATTAAAAATGTCTGATCAAATGAGCCATCAAGAAAGAATCCACGAGCTAGCCCTCAGAATGAAAAGACTTCGAGAAGAACTTAAGCCTTTCTATAAAGGTAAACAATTTCGATCAAATGAAATCCCAGACCATGTTAAAGAAGAAATTTGTCGCCTTTACAACGAGCATGGAGGTATCCATATTTTAATGCGCCTTTGCAATATAACTTATGCACACATTAAAGCTTGGCATCGAGAATGAAAAAAAAATCCTAGCTGCTTCGCAGAAAATGGTCCTCAAAGATTTACGAAAAAGCTCAATTATATTGATGGAGTTTTGGGGGGAATGGATGATTTAAGGACTCCTAAACTTAATATGACAAAGTGCACTAGACCAAAAATTAATAGAAAAGAATTTAAAGGGACAAGCTCGCTAAATGAAATAAGAAATATGCTAGCTTCCCCCTCCATAAGCGAGCAAAAAGAATTTAAAATTTTTTTTTGTTTGACAAAAAACAACCCTCAGTGACCAAAAAATTTTTTTTATATAAAAATATTTGATAAAAAAAAAATTTAATGCATGAGTGATAATTATTCTATGAAATCTTTAACAAATTCTGTTGAATTTTAGACAGCTTAAATTCTAAAACATTAATATTATAAATTAATTAATTTTCTCCTATAAAAACTTATGAGTAGGGATTTTTTTAAATTTTGAGTAAAAATTTAAAACACCCCTATATAGCGAGCAAAATATTTTTGCTCATTCATGAACAGAGGGAGTAAGTAATGATGTACTTGATAAATGTGAAGAAATTAGAAGGAGAATGAAAAGTAACGGAACTGATGCAGAAATTGGACTAGAAAATGATTTGAAGTTAGAAATTGTGAGGATCGCTTTAAAGGTAGGCTGTGTGAGGCCTGTAGCTTTGGTGCTGGGACTGAGTGAAAGAGTGATTTCAGGGTGGAAAGAATTATTTATAAAGGAAATCGATGAGTGCCCAAAAGAGTTATTTGATGAAGTATATCAGTAGTTATATCAATAATCCTTGGATATTATAAATAATAGTAAGCTAGTCATTTTAACCAAAAATGTTTCATCTTCCTTTTTTCTCGATTTTAATAGATCCTTCTGATTGATCTGGCTTATCTAGAAGATTCAATTGGGATTTAATTGTTTGGATGATAGCTTGAGATTCTATATTTAAAGGTGGCAATAATTTCATTAAGCTGAGTAAAGAATTTCTTAAATTTTCCACATCAAGGCTTCGACTTTGAAGATCCTTACTTCTTCCGTTAGTAAGCTTAATCTTTGAAACATCTTAATTATTGGGAAATTTAACCCTTAGGCTAAAGAGCATCAATTTATTTATTATTTATTTTTTATGATAAAAATTATAATAATCTCTAAATCAATTTTACTATTTTTTAGCAGAAACCTGCATTAAATTTTACGAATTAGATTTGAAATCCCAAAAAATAAATTTTATATAAAACTTTTAAAACAATAATTAAGGGTGCTTGATCAACCATAAATTTGTTCCTGACAAGCGCAAGAGTTAATGTTATCTTTAAGAGCTTTTGTAAGCTCCGATGTAGCTATGAGTTTTCGCTTTTTATTCAAAAGCTTTTTATTTAATTCATCAATCATTGATTTCTGCTCAAGTATTTTAAAATGGGTTCGATAATTAGCTTCTTGAGAATCAACTGAAATTGAATCAACCTCACGAACCAAAGAAGTGGGGGATTCATTTGATAATTGAGGGTAATTTGATTTATTCGGACTTTCAGCAGAAATTATATCAATATCATGGTCAATATTTGCTGACTGCAGCTTTGATGCATATTTATTGAACAAAGCAACTAAAGGTTCAGGGATTTTTCTATCATAGTTTTTCTCAATGAGATTTTCTAGCTGTTTTATTAATGATAGTAGCTTTTCAGAGACTTTTTCTTCTGAATCTTTTTGCTTTAAGCCTTCTGCTGAGGTGTCTACAAATAATTTTATATTAGAAGATCTGAATTGGAATCCTTCACCAGAAGGTTCTTGCAGAGGAGCTGACATTTTTCTGAAAGAGCTTCTTCTCTCTTGTCTAGCCGCTCTTAATTCATTCTCTAGTGAAGTCAAATTAGTTTGATATGTGATTTCTTCATTTTGTATCCTGCTTAGCATTTCTATATTTTTTTTCTTTTCATTTTCACAGTCATTTGCAGCTTTTTCAAACTTATGTTTTAGCTTCTGTATTTCACTATCCTGCTGGGTAATTTTTTGCATATTATTTTTAATATTTTTATTCTTTTCTTCGATAATTTTAGCATATTCTGAGTTTTCAAATTCAAGTCTTGAGTTTTTGCTTTCTAGTTGTAATTTCATTTTAGCAAATGAATTATTTGAAGTTATACATTAAAATGCATGGTGAGCCAACCCACTCTCTTAACTCCTGTAGATGGCATCAGAAAGGGTGCACAGGGTCCTTGGGAAGGGAGAATGGAGTTGGGGAATGTGTATCTGGTTAGGTCTGTATTGATTTGGTGAAGCGCAATTTCGGGTGGCTAATTGCTGCTTTAATCCAATGCCAAGTTTTTGTATCAGTGTAGATGATTCGGAAGCTGGAAAAGGTTTTCACAGTGGCGAGAGTGGCGTTTGTCCTGACATATCAGGACTATTCCTCAACGTGAAACCAGGAGCTACGCCTTGGGCTATTGATTTCCATCTTGGCCATGATTGACCAGAATTTCAACCCTTTTGAATTTTTTAATGGTGGGTAACCCTGTTGACGTACGGCACATTGACTCAACTCATTAAACTACCTGGCAGCTAGCTCAGGCCCTTGTCTGGCAGGAGCAACCTTCGCGATACCATGGACAGGAACTGAGAAGCAAGTAGGGAAGCATTAGGGGTGGGGTAGTCCTTATGGAATTACAGCGAACTTCTCTATAAGTCGTAATAACAATATCGAATTATTTGAAGATTCTAATAAGGCAACTTGGGATTGGAGCTGTAGATTATTTTCTCGAAGCTGATTTCCTGAAAGCTGAGTTGTTGCAATTGCTGACTGCAATCTTTGCTCTAAATATTCTTTTTCCTCAGTTAGTTTTTCTATTACAGATCTCTGGTTTGTATAATCATTTAAAACCTGAAAGTTTTTTTGTTTGAGATCTTTTATCTCTTGATTAAGTTCCTGTGTAGCTTTAGAATTTTCGTCTAAAATATTATTAAAAGCATCATTTTCTTCATTTAATTTTAACGATAACGATTTTTCGTTTTCTAAGTCATCTTCTAGCTGGGCTAAATTAAGTTTGGCTTCATCTAGAAGTTTTGTAGTCTCATAATTAAGAATTTTTAAATCTTCCACTTGCTCTTTAAGCTCTTTTTCTCTTGCCAAAATTGATGATTTTTCATCTTCTAAAAACTTAAGTTTGGCATTTGTATCTTCTACAAATTTCTTGCAGAATTTTTCTAGCTGTGAATTTCTATCAAAAACTTCTAAATATTCACCTTTAATCTCAAGCAAAATATCTGGGAAATTTGAAACTATATCTGATTCTGAATATGCACTATCAGTAATTTCGTTAATAATTTCTGCTATTTCTTCTATATTATTGGAAATGTCAAGTGTATTATTTGGGCTTGAGTTTATGAAGTCTTTTATTTCATTTTGAAGTTTGCTATTTTCATCTGTAAGTCTCTTCTTATCAGCTTCAAATTCTTTATTAATATTTTCTATTTTTTCTATATATTCTGATGAGATTTGAAGTTTTTCTTTTTCAAGCTGCTTTATTTTTATATTCAATTCTGATGAAGTTTCTTCCTTTTCACGAGGTACTTTAAAAATCTTGTCTGAAAGCTCATTTAAAGCTATTTTTGTATCTTTATTAATGGTTTTTTCTTTTTGTAATGACTTTGTTGCTTCATTTAATTCTAGACAAATAGAATTGATTTGTGATTTCAATTCTTCGTTTTCCTCAATAGCACTAGCTTGAAGATCTGATTTTTCTTCTGATTTATTGCGATTTGAATGCAAAAGTTTATTTAATTCAAAAATCTTTGTATTTAAATTGTGGATTTTTTCTTCAGCTTCCAAATTATTACATTTCAATCTGTTTTCTAGATTATTTATATTTTCATTTAGCTCTTCTATGATAATATCTTTCTCAATTATTTCTGCTTCCTTTTTATTTAAATCTTCTTTGTAATCATTAATTTTCAATTCATAATCAGACCTAAGCAAATCATTTTCTTTTTCTAGATTTTTATTGGAATTTTGCATATTATGAGAAGTCTGTTTGAGCTCCTTTTCTAACTTACTAAATTCGTTTTTTTGAAATTTAATTTGATTTTCAAAAGCATCAATTTTGATTTTCATTTCTTTTTCTAGCTGATGATTTTTTGATTCATATTCAGTTTTAGAGTCCTGAAGTTGGTTTTCAAGGATATTTATCTCATTTTTTAGTTCAATATTTAATTGTGATAGCCTTTCGATTTCTTGGGCTTTTTGTTTAAGCTGATAAGAAGTTTGATTACTTGACTCTTTAATTTGTTTTTCTTTAATTGTAAGCAATTCATTTTCAAGAGCGTATTTTTCGTTCTCTAAGCCAGATATTTTTGAAGCCAAGTCATTAATTTGTTTTTTGAACTTTTCTTCATTTAAAATTTGACTTTCTTTGAGAGCTTTATTTGCTTCTAATAGTTCATCTATAAAGCTTATATTTTTTGAATTTTTTGAATTTTCAGATACAGATTCAATCCAATATGATTTTATCTTATTGAGAGACTCTTCTACTTTTACGAGTTGGGCTTCCCTTTTTATGATTGCTTGGCATATTTTATCGGAAAAATCATCAAATTTCTTATAATATCTCAAAACCTCACTCATCAAAATATTTTTCAAATCGGTTATCATCTTATTATTTTCTGCATTATCTAAATTCCCTCTTGGAGCTTCTTGAAAAATTTCTCTCATATTTTTCATAGTCATCTTTATCATCATATTTTGCTCCTTTAGATCCTTAACATTCTTCTCTTTTTCATCAACTTCATCCTTCATTTTCTCTAATTCTCTTAAAATACTTTCTTTTTCTTTATTTTTTTCATCAATTATTTTCAAATATTCTTCATTTTTCTCTTTTTCTTTCTGCATCTCTCCTTCTAAAATTGTAATATCTTCATTTTCCTGCCAAAAATCCAAATTTTTATCAGAGCCCTTATATATACATAAAAATGGTGACGACAGACCATCCGACCTCTCGACCCTATTTCTTCAACATCAGCAGGCAACGGCCCAGTGTCGGAGATTTAGGTGGAAAGGGGCCGGTAATCCTTTATGTATAATCGGGCTGGTTTTCTTCGAGCCCGAGGAGCTAATCCTCGGATTTGGAGTTTTTCCTCCAGGACAACCATTGGAAAGGGCAAGGTCGGCCAATGTTTGAGGGCAATATGACCCTCAGACCCTGAAGACGGTATTTGCCCAGCGAGAAACTGGAGTTTCGACCCAGGTGGTTGGCCCTTAGACTCCAGAAGCCATGAAAGTCAAGACTGGTTGTGCGAATCCCTTGTTTGAGGCAGCAAGGAGGGTGTCCGCCGAGGCTCCTTAGGGGCGATGAGCGTGTAGGGGTGTAAATCCCCGGCCCTGCAAGGCAAATGGCTTAATCTAATCAAATCAGAGCCCTTATCAAGACTCTGTAAAAACTTATCACTTTCAAAATCTCTTATTATTTGTCTCAATTTAGCCTTCAAATTTCCAGCCTTTTCAATAGTTTCGCTTTTATTAAATTCTGAGTTCAATATATAGCGCTTTCCCGAGGATGGCGCGGAATGGCGCCATCCTCGGGAAAGTCAACTAAGCATCCACACGGGAACTGGGAGTTCCACGTGTGGATGCCATTTTTGACATGTGGGATCCAAACTTCCACATGTCAAAATGGCATCCACACGTGGAACTCCCAGTTCCCGTGTGGATGCCTTCCTGGCTTTCCCGAGGATGGCGCCATTCCGCGCCATCCTCGGGAAAGCGCTATAGCTCTTTGTGCTCTTACACTAGCATCAATATAATTTTTTGCTCCTTTTATGATTGTATTTGCTTTAGCTTTTATAAGTCCAACAGTTTCATTCAGTTTTTTCTTATCAAATTCATGCCAATAAGATCCAGTTGAGCTAAATGACTGAGTCCTTGTGTGGCTTGTTTTCCAGGCTTTAAAATTGTCTCTTTCTTGGGTTATTTTATCTAATTTTTGTTTTGTTTCATTTAGCTGTTTTTTAATTTTATGAAATTCTCTATTTTGAGGAGAAACAGAACGAGATGCAGGAGTGCTTGATCTTGATAAGCGAAGGGGGCTGAATTCTTTAGTTTGAGGAAAATAAGATTTTAGCAGCTCTTTGCTGTTTTTTCTGATATGAGATATAGGAAGAGGAGATCCTGCTAAAGTTGACCTTGAAAACGATCCTCCTGGGGTGTTTGGTCTGAATTTTTTTAAATCAGTGCTTTCACATCTTGACGCAGGTCTTGATCCTTCAGTCCATCTGCAAAAATCAGTTTGAGTTTTAGCCTTAGCCGCCATTTCCTGTCAACTTTTTAAATCTCTTGCTTGCTTATGCAGCTCTCTTATTGTCTTATCAAACACATCTTTTTCTTTTTTCAGCTTCAAAATTTCTGCGTCTTTAGCTTTAACTGCCTTGAAATATTTTTCTTTTACTCTATGCAGCTCTTCTTCAAACTTCCTTTTAATTCCTTCATTATTTTCTTGTAAATTAATCATAAGTTTAATTTCATTGACTATGCCTCTTGCTGTTTTTCTTTTCTCATTATCATTCATGCACAATTCATAAATCTTTGCTTCGATCTTTTTCAGTTGGGAATTTTTGTCCTTTTTTATGCATTTTAATATAAATAAAAGGGATTAACCTCCTTATAATAAATAGATTATTTTTCTCGATGGTATTATGCTTATATTTATTATATAAATATATAAATTATCTTTTTCATCAATAACAAAATCTAAATCGCTTTGAATTTTTTTATTTTCTTCAAACAAATCATCAAAAGTGTCAACGATCTTCTCACCTTTGGTTTCTCTGCCCATCTGCGATTTATTTTCTTCTAAAATGCAAGCACATCTCCCAGCAAAATCTATATATTTTTGTTCCAAAGCCATCAGTTTTGACTGGAGCCCTATAATTACACTTTCATTTTCATCCATTTCTGCTTCATTTCCATTCACAATTTTTTGCTGCTGATGGGTTTCCTTTTTCTTTTTTATTTGGTTACGCATAAAATATTGTCAAAATTTAATTTTAATATGAAATCTTGTGTATTACTTACTCTCTTCGACATTTCGAAGAAACTAACACTTTCTCTTCATCTGGACTCTCTTGGATATCAAGCACGTCTACAGCCCACTTATCAGGACTTGTAGGGCTTAAAATTTCTTCTATATCTTCGGTAGATATTTCGACTAAATCTTTGCATGGAGATGCACTGCTCAGTAATTTATTAAATATTTTTGGGACTTCTGGAGGTGTCTCGTCACCTTCTTCAACAAGATTGAATAAATTGTGAAGGTTGAATTCTTTAGAATATGATCGGATTCTGTTTTGTTGAGGCGACATAGGGATTATTTCACTTGTAGCGCGGTCTCTTACGACTCTTGCTGAGGGAAGCTTGTAAGGAAGAACTGGTGGCTGGATTATTACCCTAATTTTATCAATTGCAGCATCGTGGCCCTGGATGTGTTTACTAGGAATATGCTCACGAGGGACAGTGTCAGCTTCTGGAGCTTCTTTATGAAGGTAAAGACAATCCTTTTTAGGACACTGAGTGCCACTTAAAAAATAATTACAGTATTTTGTAGTACCGTATGTTACCGTCAACGGCTTCCAATCTAATTCAAATTTATCGCAAGCTTTTATGCATAAAGCTGCTTCTTCACTTGTTGAAAACGTTATATGAGCTCCAAATGCAGGCGTGCTAGAATTATTTGCAAAAACTCCACGATTTAAGGAACATTTCTTTATATGTCCATATTGGCCAAAATATTCTTTACTTCGAAGTAAACTGTCGTCAGCTGCTGATTGAGGCAAATTAATTACATAAATTAAGTTGTTTTGTATAATTCTTGCATTGGCTCTCTCATCGTTTGGGGGTATTGCTGGACTTCCTTTAGATCTCAGACTGATTTTAAGATTACGATTTAGAAGGACTGTGACTGTGGTCACTTGGAGTGTGTGGTGAAGAATGCTGAGTATCTAAATGTGGCCTAGGGGGAACTGTAAGTTTTGTAAGTCCTGAGTTGAAAGCACTTAAACGTGAATCCATATTATAATACTTGTGGTAAAAATTATGCTATGAGCCAATAAAACTTTGGCGAAAATTAAATATGAGAAAAATTCAAAATAGGTATTCGATTAGCTAGTATAATAGATGGAGAAAGCAGCTATTTTTCAAATTTTGTAACTAATTTATTAGATATAAAATGGCTGTATTTTGCTAGAAATTTAAAAATTATTGAGAGAAAAAAATTAGAAAAGCTACCTTATCCTCTAATATTTGTGATTTCTTCAAATTCTTGCTATGGAATTTAGCCGTTAAGTAGAATTTGCATTGTTTCAATATTATGTTAAAATATCTTGCAGAAATAGCTATAGCCCAGAACTGCTTTTAGCTCTCCCTGGATAATAACATTTTTCTTCAACTTGTGGAGTTGATTCAGAGTCAATCCAAGAATTGGAGCGAAATTTGGTAGCCCAGGGTGAGCTAAATGCCGTCCCTGCACTATATCAAGATTAAAGAGTTTTTATTTATTATAATTTTTAATATGTACGAAATTATAAGAATTTAATAGCTTTTTAATATGAAATAGGTCGAATGCAATATTTAATATGAATTTATTCATAAATTTTCATTTATGATAAAAGGAAAAAAATGCAATTATTTAATGTTTAAATTAATTATAATTATAAATAAGTATATAAATAAGCAAAATTCTTCATTCTTTCAATAAAAGTTAATACGCGTTTCAAACGACACATCCATATTTTTTGAAGAAAATTTGAAGACCAGCTTCTTTTAATTAATTTCTTTGATTTCCGCCTTTTTCTTCTCCAAATAATTAAAAATCCAAATGTTTTAGAGAGCAAGAGTAATATTTTAGTGAAAATCATGAACGCTAATAAAATATATCAATTATTTTTTAATCATTTTTCTCATTAGGTGTCTGCACTAATTAATTTAAATTTAATATTATTTTATTGCAATAGAAATCAATAGAAACATTAAATATTGGGGCTAATATAATATAATTTTAATAGTGAAATGAATGAATCAGATATTTGTTCTCTTACTCCCTCCTTTAAAATTGGAACAAAATATCCAATTTCAATTAAAGGGGTTAATTTTTTAAAAAAAAAAATTACATTTAATATCTTTTTTAAATTTTAATTTATTTTTATGAAAAATTAATCGATTCAATGTTAAAACTGTTGAAATAGAATTCTAATTGCACTTTTTCTATTAAATTAGATCAAATTAATTTTATAAAAAAATAGTATCTTAATGTTCAATTTTTTTTTTTAAAACAATTAAATTAATTTTAATTTATTTTTATTAAGAATTGATTCCTCATGAAAACTATTTAAATAACCTTTCTACTTGGATTTATCTATTAAATTAATTCAAAGCTAATTTTATTAAATAATATTTTAATCAATAAAAATTTCCTATGGTTAAAGTACTAAAAAATTGCAAATTTTACCAATGTTTTGTTCCAATTTAAAGGGGAGTTAGCACAAGACCAAATACACGAGTAATCCAGCCGTCAGCAGCTCCTCAACGATTTGTTGAAGTTAACCCTGATGAAATTCTTCATATATGAGAATGTTTAGATTCAAGATCAACGTCTTCCCAATCTCAGTCTAATAAGAAACAAAATTGTATTCAAATCAATACAGATTCATTCAGTGAAATATTTTAAAGCATTGAAGCAGTGCTTGCTATTTTTAATTGCTATTATAATGTAATTCTTTCCTGAGTTGGTGAAAATTTTAAAAATATTTTAAAGCTTTTACTAAGTTTGAGATAATTTAATTACTCCTAATACTTGGATAGAGAGCAAAATTATTCGAAATATTCCTATTTTAGGAAAATGATCTTTCGTTAGTTAACAAATAATTTGTCAATATAAAAATTTTTTTAAAAATAAAAAAAACGATATGCAATCAATTATTATGATAAGATCTCGAGCTAATTATACTCATTTCATAACTTGATTGTTTCGCAGATTTTTAGATTTTTAGAATTTTATAATTTTTAGTCATTTTTTAGCAAAAAATATAAAGTCTCTTTAATAGGGAGTAAAATTGAAACTGTTCACTAGCAAAGTGAGAAGTTAATATTATTGGGAAATAATAGGGACTGATAGGAAAATGCATGCTGCCTTTAGATATAATCAAAAAAATAATCCATGAAAAATGCAGAAAAAATAAAATTAATGTAAATAAGTTAGAGAATGATAATAATTTTACAATCTCGAATTAATATGGCATTTCCTTATATTGCTTATTATATATTAAGATTATAAAATTATTGAATATTATTTATGAATGTCATAAGGGTCGCATGGATTTAAATTCTTCCATTGAGTAATTATATAACTTCCTTACTTTATTATAAAAATTTCAATAAGCTGCAAGCTCTTTTTCACATAAATAATTTTAAAGAACTTCACATAAATTAGCGTAAGCTAATCTAGCGTCCCTTTTGATTGACAATTATTTATAAGAATAATGGCATTTCAAGTAGTAGTTCTTGCAGGAGGCAGAGGCCAAATGCTATACCCTCTCGCAAATCACACCCCAAAAGCCCTTCTTCCTATTGGAAACAAGCCTATGCTCGCTTACATTCTTGAAACTCTTGACAGGTCTGGTGAAGATTTCAGTCGTGGAATCCTAATCGCAACAAATGATCAATACTACACTGAAATTTCTGAATTTTTAAGCAGATATATTCAACTCAATTCCAACACATATAACGTCATAAACGTCCCTGAGGAATTTCCTGGAACTCTTGGCACTCTCCGATATTTATTTTCTCAGAAGCTGATAACATCTGATATTATGGTAGTCAGCTGTGATTTATTAGTAGACCATACCATTATTCCGGATTTTATAAAACAATTTCGTATAGAAAATTCGTCATTTTCTATGCTGCTGCATAATGGGACTGCAGCTAATGAAGAAATGCAAATTTTTGGAGTCAATGAAAATAGGGTCCTTACGATTTTTGATTGGATCAATATTAGTGATTCAGATGGGCTTGTTTTGCCAAAAAGATTATTATGCTATGCTGAATTAAAAGAGAAATAATTGTATTAGTAATGCCAAATTTATTTTTAAATAAACTATAGCAGTAATTCTTAAGAGATTAAATTAATAGGAAATACAAAAATGCCCACAAATTGAGTTGAGAAATGACATGATTTCATCTTACTGCTATTTATTTAAAAAGTGACTATTAAATAATATCCTTACTAGTGATGACGACAAAATTGAGATGATGCTTGATATCAAAGAAGATCTCGTCCCTTTCCTTCTCAAAAAACAATTTTCAAGCTTATTTTTACACCAATTTGCGTACGAAGAAGATAGCGACGAAGAAGAACCAGGGAAAATCCCTATAAAAACGTTTAAAATCACTTTTTATTTATGCCCTGAAGACGCTTTTTGCAGAAGAGTCCAACTCATCAAGCAATATTTAGAAACCAATATGCTTAAGCTCAGACCACTGGCGAATGACGAAAAGAAAAAACAAGAAGCGAAGCCAATCCCAATGGTCCTTGAAAGCACAGGAAATAACGCAAGAAATATATTAAACAACTATTACAGAGCTGGAAAGATAACAAATAATATTCCCCCAGAGATGAAAAGTATTTCAAATGATTCGATTATTGCTGAAAATATAGTGATGGGACAAAAATCAAGCATTACAAAATCAATCATAGGGAAAGATGTGACTATTGGCAAAGGATGCAAAATTGTGCAAAGTGTTATTATGGATCATGTGATAATAGAAGATGAGTCGAATATTAATAACAGCATCATTTGCTCTAGAGCTGTGGTAGGGAGTAAGTCTAAAGTCTTGAACTCTCAATTAGCGCATGGAAGTAGAACGGAGCCAGGAACAATGCTGAAAGAAGAAATTAGGCTTGGATAATTAGATTTATTAAAAAAAATCATATAAAATCTGTATTGGATATTTTATTTTGAAGTTTAAGGGGATTTATCCTTATTATCATAAATGTTGGCTAAGCGGCTACCCTTACCAAAGTCCAGCGCATCTTTCTCAGAAATATCCCAAAGAAACGACAAAATCTTATATAAACTAATCCGCAAGCGAAAAGAAACCCAATTTGAGCGTAAGCGAGTCTCTAATACAAAATCAAAGTCTCAATCAGCTTTGAAAAATCTTTTCAATAAGCCTAAAATTGAGTCTCAAAATTCCAACAAAGAGATCTCCAACATCTTTACCCCACCATCAACCCTAAACTGTGATAAACCCAAAATGAAGATTTGGCTTACCAAAGGGAAAAGACTGTCGCTTTCTTCAAATTCTTCTTGTGAAAATACCCTTGTTTTGAAAAAATCAAAATATAGATATAGTGTGAAGCAGAGTAATGACTATGAAGATATTAATTTAAAGAGAAAAAGATCTATTCAAGAAGAGGCAAAGGAACTTGGAGGAATTTATGGCCATCAGATGAAGAGATTTAAACATTAATAGTCGGTTTAATTAATTGTAATTTATTTTAAGACTAGATACTGATTCAGAATAGAGAAGAAGCTGATTAAGATACAAGAAGATCTCCTATAAAAATGAACGGCTAGAAACAGTGAAGGACTATTTAATGATAAAGGGCTAAGCATTGATAGCTTGCTTTCATAGCTCAGCCGGCAGAGCATTTGGCTGTTAACCAAAAGGTCCCTGGTTCAAACCCAGGTGGAAGCGCTTTTTATTGAATTTAAATTCAGTTTTAAAAGCTGGATTATCGAAATTATATGCTTGCTTTTCAAGCAGCAAATTGCTGGAATCAGTTAAGACTTAAAAAATTAGATAAATCGCTATTTGCAAATGAATGTGTTTTTAACTTTATTTCTTCGAATATAAGCATTTACTATGATCTTTAAATAAAATAAAGAATCATAAGTTTGCATATATGTAAATATCTATTAATATCAGGGAACCAAATGCTTTAATTAAGAGCTTCACTTTGTCTTAAAACTGAGATCCTTCGAAAGTTGCTAAAATGGTTAGATATAGGCTGATTATCATTCTAATGATTTATGGAATCTTTTGAAAGCTAATAAGTTCACTAAGCATTCTCTCATGTATAATTTTCTTTTCAAATAATCTGAAATAAAAAAATAAGACATTTATCAGAAATATAATTCATATTCACTGAATAATTTTTTTTTAAAACCTAGAAGCTATCAAGATAATTAAAAAACTAAGGAAAAAATTTTCTAAATATATTTATTATTATAAAAATAAACTCAATATAAGACTTGAGTATGCTATACAAGATGCAGTTAGTTTGAAAAGATTAGGACCTGCTGCCCTTTATTGCAATCATTTATTTTTGCTACATAAGCACTAAATCAGAACTCTTCGATTTCTTTTAGCTCTCTATTCTTCAATGGATTTTATTGATATCACGATATTTATTGCAATCCACGATTGCATAATTTATAAATGGACGGTCAGAGTAACTTGGACCAACCTCTTCTTAGCAAAGAAGAAGGCTCAGATCACCACTTTGACGTGAAACCAGATGTATTAGAGTAAATTTTATTCAGTGACTTTTTTATCCTTGAAAGCATCAGCCATGGCAAAAGTTTAGAAGCCCTAAACAGACTAGGAGGTCTTGACGGACTCGCAGCTAAACTAAAGACTGATAAGAAAGCAGGCATCAACATGGACAAAGAACTAATCAAAAAGAGAAAATCCTATTACGGCACGAACAAGCCTCAAGTAAAAAAACAGCGAACCTTCGTCGAAATGGTCTGGGAAGCTTTAGAAGACACGACTCTCAGAATCCTGATTGCAGCTGCACTGGTTTCTTTAGTTGTAGGAATATGGGAAGACCCAGAAGAAGGGTGGCTCGAAGGTGTTGCCATTTTAGTTGCTGTCGTCATTGTTGTGCTGGTAACTTCAGTCAACAACTGGATCAAGGAAAAACAGTTCCGCAAGCTTAACGAGGAAGCCCAAGAAAGGCTCGTTACAGTATTCAGAGCTAAAGGCAACAATAAAGAAGATCAAATTTCAGTGTTCAAACTTCTTGTAGGTGATGTCATCAAAATTGGTGCTGGCGACATTTTGCCTGTCGATGCAATTGTTGTGCATTCTAACCAATTAGTGCTCAATGAGAGCTCAGTGACTGGAGAATCAAAGCCGCTTAAAAAAGGCTATGATCATGGAGAAACACCTTTCCTGATTTCAGGGTCACAAGTAGAAGAAGGATCAGGAACTGCACTGGTTGTAGCTGTCGGAAAGCACAGTTTCCAAGGCAAAAACAGAGAGCTTATGCAGCAAGAAGACGAATCAGAAACTCCTCTTCAGATGAAGCTTAATAGAATTGCTTCAGGGATCGGAAAAGTTGGGCTAATTGTAGCTTTGCTTACATTTGGAGTTTTGATTATTTATTTACTCCCCCTTTAAATTAGAACAAAATATAGGTAAAATTTTTATTTTTATGTGCTTTAACGCCTTATAATTGGAACATTTTTTCAATAGGACATTTTTATAGGTAAAAATACTAATTTATAAGTTTTCATATTTACTGAATTAAATGGAAAAATTCAGGTAGAATATAATTTAAAAATTTAACACCGAACCGATTGCTTTTTTAAATTAATTCCTTATGCAAATAAATTAAAATTAAAAAATATTGGTTAAATTTATATTGTTTATTTAAAAATTTAAAAAAGATTTTTTATTGAGAAAAAATTTAATGTAATCTTTTTAAAATAAATTAAATTGGAACAAGGAGTTAGTAGTTCACACTGTGGAAAATGGCTGGACCGATGACAGCTGGAGCAAACTCATTTCAAGCTTTATCATAGCTATTACCATTGTGGTGGTCGCAGTGCCAGAAGGGCTCCCTCTAGCAGTCACTATTAGCTTGGCTTATTCAGTGAGCAAGATGAAGGAACAAAATAACTTAGTTAGACATTTAGACGCATCAGAAACCATGGGCCAAGCCACAGCTATTTGCTCAGACAAGACTGGAACTTTGACTAAAAATATTATGGAAGTGGTTGCAATGTACTGCGAAAAGAAAAAGATAGAAGCAATCAAGGCTTCTGAGTTCAGCACTGCAGTTAGAGAACTCTTGGTTGAGCACTTCTGTCACAACTCTACTGCTTCTATTACAGTAGAAATCGAAAAAGACAAGAAAAAAGAAAAATTCACAGGATCTAGGACTGAAATTGCATTACTCAAACTCGCCGCTGTGCTTGGAACTAACTATTCTGATGTGAGGGATTAGGATTAGGATTATTAAAGTCAGGCGCTAGCCATATTGGTGACGCAGTCACAGAGACCTCCAGTACAGGAGGTTCTACCGCTTTTCGACTCAAGCCCAGAAGGTCTATCCCTCTTGCGAGTGCCCTTCCGTACCTTCTGTCTCTCCTTGCTTTGAGGCGTGGGCGGCTTATGGATTTCTGCGGCACTGCTACGGGCGATTGGAGTAGCTTGATTCCAAGGATTCTTAGAGTCTATCGGGTGTCGAAGTGCCTTTCTTCGACAGCTACAGGAAAAAGACTGTTCCCCTGTGGCCTGGGCCGAAACCCCCAGTTTCTCGGTAGAGGAATGCTCATGGGTCCTCGGATCCAAAGGACGCTGTTGAGCTCCTCCATTTCCAACCACAGGAAAGCAGCCAATACCTACCCGGATACACACCTCTGGAGCCTGCACTTGATTCTCGACTCGGAGTCCGTCCCAGTTCGCCGTAGTCATAAGGTCGGACTGCTGCGCCAAGAGGGCAGGCTGATACGTGTCGCCATTATAATGTATATTTTTGATATGAGGGACTTAGACTTGATTTCTGTCCAAATCCCATTCAGTTCTAAGCTCAAAAGAATGGTCACAGTCCTTAAGAAAGGAGATGGACACATCGTCCTTGTGAAAGGAGCAAGTGAAACTGTTCTAGGAATGTGCACAAAGGTCGTTGGAACAGATGGCCATGAGCACTATATCACTGAACAAGATAAAGAAGAAATGAACGGAATCATCACTGACTATGCAGGAAGAGCTTATAGAACTCTGACTTTAGCCTATAAGCACATTGGTGGAGATTTCCCAATTATTGATGGAAAAGGTGACGCAAATCAAGTTGAATTGGAAAGAGATTTGACACTTTTGTGCATCTGTGGAATTGAAGACCCTCTTCGTGATGAAGTCCCAAATGCTGTTGAAGTCTCCCAAAAGGCTGGAATCACTGTCAGAATGGTGACAGGCGACAACATTGAAACTGCAGTCGCAATTGCTAGAAAATGCAACATATTGCCTAAGAACTATAAAAAAGAGTCCCCAGATGATGATACTGTCATGCTCGGCTCAGAGTTCAGAGAAAGAGTTGGAAAGCTAATTGATGATCCTAATGACACTTCAGCTGAAAAAGACAAGCGCCCTAGAAACAAAGTTGTCGGGAACATGGCTGAATTTACTAAAATTGCTTCAAAACTAAGAGTTCTGTCAAGATCGTCCCCTGAAGACAAATTTATCCTTGTAACTGGCTTAAGACAGCTTGGAGAAATAGTTGCAGTCACTGGAGATGGCTCTAATGACGCTCCAGCCCTTAAAAAGTCGAATGTTGGTTTCGCCATGCATGAAGCTGGCACTCAGCTTGCCCAAGAAGCTTCAGATATTGTTCTCCTTGATGACAACTTCGCCTCAATTGTGACAGCAATTAAGTGGGGACGTAATATTTATGACTGTATCAGCAAGTTCATTCAGTTCCAGCTTACTGTCAATATTGTTGCTTTGGTCTTAAGCTTTATTGGCGCTGCAATTACTCAAAAGTCACCATTAACTGCAGTCCAAATGCTGTGGGTTAACCTTATTATGGACACTTTTGCAGCTCTTGCCTTGGCTACTGAGCCTCCAAATGATTCCCTACTTGACAGAAAACCAAATAAGACTGAAGACTCTTTGATTACTCCAGATATGATGAAAAACATTATTGGACAGTCCTTCTATCAGTCAGTATGGTTATTAGTGATCCTTTTCTTGGGCCCTGATATTTTTGACGTCCCATCTGGTCTAACCCTTGACGAAAAATGGACTAACTACCCAAACTTAATCAAACGATTCCATTACAATCTTAGAAAAAACTGAGAACAATTTTCATATGGCTAAGTACGAAACTTATCTCTTCTATTTATAATTGATAATAAAAATATTAGGTATTAGATATAGCCACCTCTAATCAATCCTATGAAATTTTCAGTATATTGCTAGAATATAAACTTTTCTATAATGAAAAATTTATATATAAATTTTTTTATCATATATTTTTAAATACCTTGATTGAGCATTGGTAGGCCGCTCTATTACAAAAGGGAGAGTATAGAAAATGGTGTCCACTTCACTATATTCTTTAACGCGTTCGTCTTTCTACAAGTTTTCAACGAAATCCACTGCAGAAAGCTTAAATCAAACGAACTTAACGTATTCCATGGGTTCTTTAACAACTGGATTTTCTTGATAGTTGTGGTCATGACTATCCTCGTCCAAATCGCACTCGTCTCTGTAGGCGGCGAGCCTGTAAGATGCTCACCACTGACTCTAGAACAACATGCTATTTGCATTGCTATTGGCGCTGGAGGACTTTTGTTTGGACTTTTGGTAAGACTGATGCCTACAACTCCATTCAAGTGCTTCAAGTTCTCCGAGAAGCCGCTTTCAAGTGCTGAAGCTGATAAAGGAGTGACTGGGCTGATGAGGAGAAAAACTACTAAGAGAGTGCATGCTGAGGGCTCAGCAATTAGAGGTTAGTTATCTAGATAAAGCTTTTAATTAAACTTTATCTCTAATAGTCTATTTTATATTAAATCTATAAGAAATTATCCCAAACTAGCTTACTTCCACCCTTCGTGGGCGAACAAAAATTTTTTTTATATCAATTTTTTTATGAAAAATTTTTGATATATAAGTGATTATAGTGAAATGTCTAATTCTGTTTAGTTTTAAACAAGTTGCATTTTGAAAATAAAAAAAATTAATTTTTGCTTCTCAATTTTACAAATTGGAATTTTTTTAAAATTATGAAAAATAAAAACTCATGAACGAACAAATTTTTTTATTATAGAGGTTTCCTCTATATAGCGCTGAAAGCGCAGACATTTTCCCAGGAGCTTTCCAAGTTCGTCGGACCAAATCGCTTTTTGGTCTGACCAAGGCATTGATTTGGTGCAACCAACCGATAAATTCCGATCAGAATTTATCAGCCTTACAGCGCCAAAACATAGGAAACTTCTATAGCTCACGAAGGGGAGTTAGTTTTTAGGAGGTCTATATTTAAAGTTGTCGGAATAGCTCTTCCTTGTATGATATCTGAATTTTGGCAGCACGACGTCAAAGTTCCAACCCATGTAATATGCGTAATTTACTGCAGCTTCCATGCTATCAAACCAGGCCATTTTTCTCCTTCTGCCACCTTGATAACCCTGGTTCATCCCATCCATAGGGTTTTTGCCTGCACTAGCTTTTTCTGACTGTAAGACCCATCTTCCTCTCTGCTCTTCAAATGGCAAACTTTTAGGAACACGGTGCATGTGGTTAGGAAAGTGATAGTAAATCTGGCAATTCTGGTCCATTAACCATTCAAGGCCTTCAGTCCCTTTCTGGATTCCTGCAGCCCTATACACAGCTCTCCCTATTCCCATATGTTTCACATTGTCTCCACCGATTTCAAGTCCTTTATAAACTCCCCAATTCGGCTGTGGATTCTTCAAATAAGAGTTTTCATCTCTATTGGCGTATCTATAAGGGTTGTTCACTCTTACTGTTTGAGCCCAACCTGTTACCAATTTAGCTAAATTCCCTTTATCCCCCTCACCTTTTAAATTGGAACAAAATATCTTTAAAATTTCCTTTTTTATATTTAAATTTGGGCGATTTTAATTTTTAATGAAAATTTTTAAAATGATAAATTTTATATAGCAGCTTTGGCCTTATTTAATTGAGAAAGCTCTTACTTAGTTTACTTGGTATTTAAGGTGTTTATTACCCACTCCCCATAGTTAAATAGGACTAAGCCAACTTGTGACGTCACCGAGCCATCTTGAATTCACGTTAGCCAGCCCACGATCAAGCCTTCTACGAAGCTTTGCCTTCAATCAGCCGCATATCTCACCTGGAGCGTTGCCACCGCTCTCCCTGACTCAGCTCCTGCGCGTGTTCCACCTAAGGGCCATCCTCCCATGAGGATGCACTGAGGGTTAAAACCCTGAGTCTCTTGAATGCACTGAGGAGCAGCTCCTCTGGTTATCCCCAGAGTTATAGGGCCTTCCTATAGATGGCGCATTGCACGCCATCTATAGGAAGGCCCTATAAACCGCTATTGCTGTGCAGAAATTCTGAGAGAAAACTCAACCCCATAAATAAATTACATGAGGGAGAGAAAATTTCGCAGAGCTAATTTCTCTCTTTCCGAATGCCATTTTATTTATAATTGAGAAAGTTCAAGTAGAATACTTGATAAAGAGTTGTAATCTAAATTATTTTTATTTTTTAAATAAAAATTCTCCACAAAATCAATTAAAATTTAGATTTTATATTTAATTTTTTTCTCTCAAAAAATTTAGCCCTTGAAACTGGATAGAATGTTTTGTTCTATTTTAATACAGGAAGGGGATCTAGGCTCAACAGGTGCTTTCTTAAAATAATTCGGTGCTTCTTCATACCATGGTTCATCAAATGGGATAGGATCTTTTTCTTTCTGGATTCTTTGGGCAGAAATTGCATCATACAAAACTTGTCTAGTTTTCCTGGCTAGCTTACACTTAAATCTAATCTAACTTATAAGAGAATTCCTGCAGCTATGCTTCAGGCATTAATCGCCTCAATTATTGCCCTACTACTTCTTGCCAGTCCGAGCACGGCCTCTCTATGCTGCTCTTCATGGACGAGGTTTACTTTGCTACCCCTAAATCTGAGACGCTAAGCCACAATATCATATTTCAACAGGATTCAGCTTCCAGAAAATAGAAATTCTGTAAACTGTCGCTCAAATGGAAACTCAAATCCCAGGACGCAACACCTAGTATCGCGCTTCAACACGTTCCCGACAGGTAGTAACCTGGCTCATGTTGTTGGACTTCCCTATTTTCCCACGTTGTAAAACCTTGACCTGGAGTGAGCTGCGGTCAGCTTAACCCAGCATTGCTCTCCGCTAACCATGCAAAGCATTGCCAAATACTAGTTCCAGAACTCCACCATTTCTTCCAGAAGGTCCCTGGGTTGCCCCAACAACAGTTGTTAAAAGGGTGGATTGGTTAGCAATTCCATTTTAATAATATATGCTTTCTTGGCTAGCATTTTTATTATATTTAAAGTTATTAATTTCTTTCTTCTGTAGGGTTAATAAAATGTCTAATCCATGCATCATTGCTTAAAATAACACGAACTTCAAGCACACCTTCTTCATGCATAATCATCTCTACTTGAGAGCACTTCGGTAGACCTGCTACATTTCTAAGGAGTTTCGAGGAAAACATTTTCTCGCAAGGTTGGCTGACTTTGCAGTCAATTTGGTCATTAAGAGGGATTGCAACGCGGCTTTTAATGCCAGTTACGTTATCATCCCTTGTGAAAAAGCAGTAAGGCCTTTCAACGTTGAAACTTAAAAAGATCCCGATTTCGTTACGGCCATAACAAGCAACTTCCATAGCTTGCTTAATGATGCGGGGATCATTGAATTTTATTGTCGCGTTAATTTTGTCTGATAATTCGAGGACAGGCTGAGGCTCCACCATGTATGTGTCAAGGCAAAATTGAGTTGAATAGGAGTTTGTTTCTTCTACCATAAGAAGAAGCTTGTTATCTTTGTATGGATATTCCATAGTGAGATTCATGGTATTTTCAGCCGCCGATAAAGCTTTTAAGACTGATCTCAACCCTTTGATGTCAACCATGATTTCAATATCAGCAATTACATTATATATATCGAATTCAAGCTGTGATAAATAGCCTTCAGCTACTAAATCATGGGATGGACTTGCTGAAAGAAAATACGCTCTTTCTTTTTGAAAAACCATTAAAAGCCGCTACTGTAAAACATACTTGATTTTTTATTGCCTTTAATGAGGCGAGAATACTTAACAAGAGCTCAATTTTGGAAATGCGGGAAAAAAGTTGAGGTTCCATTTTCTATTCTATTCTAATAAAGCCATTTTAATTTCAAAAAATATTTTTACTTGAGAGCTGACCGTATCAGTGCGAAGACCCAGAACAAGAAAATTTTGAAATTCTTTGTAAATTAAGATTTACTCCCCCCCATTCTCGGTGAGCGAACAAAACGATTAGAAAAATCCCTATTTTTGCCCCCAAAAATTATGTTAATAGAAAAATTTTTTATGAAAAAAAAAATTTGATATATAAGTGATAATTAATATTATGAAATCTATAGCTAATTCTGTTTAATTTTAAACAAATTGCGCTTTAAAACATAAAATTTATAAATTAAATTAATATTTGGTTTCCAATTTTTTCGAATTAGGATTTTTTAAAATTTCAACAAAAAAAAAATTTTTCTATAAAATTTATATATAATTTTTTTTAAAAAAAAATTAGCCCTCCGTGAGCAAACAAGATTTTTTTCTTAGCTCACAGAGGGGGGATTAGGGTTTTTTTGAGCAATGATGATGGAGATGTAACTGGTTTCAATTGAGATTTTATAAACTTCTCTGCTAAATCAGAGCATTTTAATTTTTGTATTTTTTTTTGAAGAGATTAGGAAATTTTTGGCATGATATTTATCATTTCTATAAATAATAAAATTAATTAAAGAAAATTAATGTATATTATCAGAATAAAGATATTATATTCTTATTATTTTCCATAGAAAAAGTAAAGGGTAAAACTATTCAAAAAAAATGCCTAAACCATCGAAAAGAATATCAAAATAAATGAGCACAATTATATTAGTATCATTCCCATGATACTCAAAACTCTCTTAAATCTTTAGGGGAAATTTATTTTAAGATTTTCCATTTTTATATTTTTAGCTATATTAATGAATGGAAGGGGTTGCACTTCTGAAAATGACGCTGAAGTACATATTTGTTGTAGAATGACTTTTTGCATTTTGTACACACAACTCTAGTTGACTTTTCATGTACTTGTTTAATATGAAAATCTAAGGCATATTTATGAACAAATTTGTTGCCGCACCTAGGGCAGAGTTCGCTTTTTTCCTGTTGAGGATGCTTCTTTCCTGAATGTAATTTCAATCCTTTTTCATTGTCAAAGGTTCTGCTACAGTAGGAGCAACTGTATTTGTAATTGCTGGCTTCATGGATATTCAAGTTATCCATGCTATTTTCAGGGAGGGAAAAGGTTGACTCAGTCTCCGTAAGTTTTCAAACGTTTGCACCTATATGTTTCACAAGGTCTTCCAACCCCTTAAATGACTTGTTGCAGATATGGCACGTGAAAGGTGTCATATAATTTTGGATTGGAAGGTCCATGGCCTTAGGTAATTTTTCTCTACTTTGATCCATAATTTATTATGGAATTTTAGGCATGCGGAAGTATTTTACTTACTCCTTCCCTCCGTGAGCTAACACAATATATTGTTCGTCCACGAGAGGGTTAAATTTTTTTTCTCGAAATTTAAAAAAATACCCACTTCGCAAAAATTGGAAAGCAAATATTAATTAATTTGTAAAATTTATGTTTAAAAACACAATTGAACGGAATTAGCTCGAGATTTCATTATTTATTATCACTTATATGTAATTTTTTTTTACTCATAAAAATTCTTCTATTAAAAAAATAGAAGGTGGGCTTTGGGCAGAAAATAGGGATTTGTCTAATAGTTTTGTTCGCTCGTGGAGGGGGGAAATAATAATTTTACTTTGAATTGTTGGTGGTCCTACTCCCCCCCTCCGTGAGTGAACAAAAACCATGAGAAAAATCGCTATTTTTTGCCCAAAAAACCCACCCTCCATGAGTGAACAAAAATTTTTTATGGAAAAAAATTTTGATATATAAATGATAATTAATATAATGAAATCTAGAGCTAATTCTGTTTAATTTTAAACGAATTGCATTTTAAAACATAAATTTTATAAATTAAATTAATATTTGCTTTCAAATTTTTGCAAATTAGGATTTTTTTAAATTTCGAAAAAAAAAAATTATTTATAAAATTTATATATAGTTAGTGACACTGATTAGCACGGGGTGCTTTTGGCTCAGTTTCTAGCTAAAAGCACCCCGTGCCAGTCAGTGTCACTGACTATATAAAATTTTTTTTAAAAAAAAAAAAATTAACCCTCCGTGAGTGAACAAAATTTTTTTGTTCACTCACGGAGGGGGGGAGTAAGCATTATTTAAATCTTAAATTATTGCTTTCAATTTTAATTGAGATTTGAATATAGGAATGAAGAAGACAAACCTGATGACCTTATGGGAAAAATTAAAGTCTGGATAATTATAAGAAATATGTGCCTATCTCGTTTAAAATAGATCTATTCTGAGGTGATTCAAGTATTGTTGTGCTTCTGGAGAGATTAGCATAGCTGCGATTTGAGTATTGATTAATCTCCTAAAAATAACAGAAACTAATTTTTTTTGAATTTTCTTCTTTAATTAGTTTTTTTATTCTTCTTGCTTTGTTATTTTAGATTTTCTCTAGCTTTTATTGTATACTACTAGCTATTACCTGAATCTGTTTAAAATCGTGCCTACAAAACAGGAAATTTATTGAATTTAAAGTAAGGATTGTTTTAGCTGTTGAGTTTTAAATTTCATAAGTTACAAGTGGTAAGGCTGGGCTTTAGAAAACTTTAAAGCTTATTAGACAAATTCTCTATGTTTGTGGCCATTTTTTTCAAACAAAATTTAAATATTTTTATTTACCTTTTCGTTTCAAAGTTTCACAATTTGAGATAATTAAAGATTAATTTAATTTATAAAATTTATACATTAAATTGCAAGCTTTTAATATTAAACAGAATAGACTGAAGTTTATTATACTATAATTAAAATATGGCGTCTTCGTCTGGGCATGGCCTCCCGGCCATGCAGCCTCGACTCATATTTTAATTATATCCGGCAAGGTTTTGCATTTCAGAAAGGGACAGCAATGCTAGGTAAGCAATTCTGGTGGAGCTCAGAGCCTAGCCCAAGTCTATTTTCAGGGATTTTTTTCCTCATGGGAAAGGAGGCACGAGAGTTGGAAAGGGGAAGCTCAGCAGAGTCCGTTAGGACCATTCGGGCAACTCCCTAGCGTGAAACTGGGCGTTACGTCCCAGGCTCCGTGTTTACCCTTTTTGCCGAGAGCCTACCAGAAAATCCATTTTTTATGGATTTTCGGAATGGCAACCCATGTCCTCAAGCGAAGTAGCTCAGTCGTGAGCCGTCGAAGTCGGCAACACCTGCGACTAGGTGCACTGGTGTACAAGGCTGGTCGACCCAGAGGCCAATTGCTGGCCCTTTGCGCCATAGGCGGGCGGAAGCTCTGGGATGGGCAACCCGTAAGGGACGTTAAGCGTATAAATCTAATAGAATAGAAGTTTATTATACTAATTATCGTTTATATATATAAAAATATTTTTCATAAAAAATTGTTGTTCGCCATAGAGAGTGAGCTTTTACCCAAAAAAATAGGGATTTTCCAAAGGTTTTGTTCGCATACAGAGGGGAATTAGGAGATTAATCGATTCTCGAAGATCGCCTCAGACTAGATCGATTTTAAGCAAAACAGGCCTTTTTCTCTTTTAATTACCCTAATTTTAATTATATGTTCATTTTTTTCTTTCATTCCTATTTCAAATCTTAATGAAAATACCGCTTGAGAATTAAGCAAAAATATTAAGTATGAGGGATAATATTGGATTTGCAGAGTCATATGTAGAAATAATAATCGAAAATAAAAAATCAAAAGAATATTTATATATTTACTAACGATTAAGTGACTCCGGTAGTATTTGAAATTAATATTTGCAATATCGATGATATTATCTATCTATCCATATAAACATTTCCCGCACATAATGGCGCTTTTTGGGCCAAAAGTTAGGAAGTCTTATCCTGTCAATTCTGAAAGGAGTTGCATTGTGAGAGGAGATTTTGCATCAGCAGTAGTCTCTTCAGTGCTGAATTCATGGACTGCAGGAGTTGAAGCGAAGATGGAAGCGTGGTGCAATGGGTGATGGCATGGAGACAGTACATGATGATGCAGGGCAAAAATTTCAATGGCCTGCATTGGAGGCGCAAGCAGGTAGTGCATTGATTTATTCATTCATCTATCTATCCATGATATTATTACTTCATACTTGTATATAAATGCAATGCTTAATTAAAATAGATAAAAACACGTATAAAAATTATTACAATAATAGCTTATGTATTAAATGCTTTGATATATTAATTTGATGAATTGATAAAGAGAAAAATCTATAATCCTTTGATAACTTTAATCCCTATGCTTTATGCACAATATTGAATGAATTAAAAAATTTAAGCTTTTTATAAATAGACTTTCATCAAATTATGATAAGCTCTTATTTTTGTACATAACCATGGTTCAGCTCTTATTAACTTTTGAATTTTCCTTGGCGGTTTCTGTTTGTTTCCCATTTTTATCGAGAGTGGAAATTTTTAGATTTTTGGGACAAAAAAACTCATGATAACTCTAGTTAGAGTTAAAAACTTAAGATATCTTATCGTCACAAGCATTTTTTTAAATTTTGATATTGACAAGAGAAAATATTTATATTTAATAATATGCCAATTATATTGTGCACCAAACGAAGCTTATAAATCTTCAAAAATAATCAACCTTAGCAATTTGTATTTTTCGAATATCTCATTATAGATTTTTGCAGAAAATATTCAATTCTTATAAAAAAAAGGGAAGTTTAATAATAAAATTTGAAATATCAAGGAGAATTTTACTAAATTTTGAAAGAGATTTAATACACAAAACAAAAAGTGAATTTGCATTCAGCAACTTGCTATTCTGTTATTTTAAATAAATTTAATGTCTTTTTCAAATACTAGAGAGAATCGTTGAGAAAATTTTGCATTTTTAAAAGAATATTTTGTTATTTCAATTTCATTCTTGATTATTTCACAATTTAAATTTAAATATAAATCTTTTTTAAAAATACCTACCCTCTGTGAGCTAATACCAATTCTGTTTAAAATAGCATAAATTAATTTTTTTGAATTTTCTATTTAACTTATTTACACTTCTTGATCTGAGTTTTTCACTTATCGGTTCTTATAGACATATAAACCAAAAAAAATTTGCATTATATCTCTTTTGAATTCTATGATTATATCTTAGACACTATGCATTAAGCATGAATTTTAAAATGGGAAAGGAAAAAAGTTAATATTGAGACTCTATAGTGAAATCATTCTCATTAAGATCAACTAAATCCTTATTTCCACGATCTTTCACTCTTCCTAAATAACTAGAATTTTGATCTTGTTAGCACTTGAAAGAAAATTAGTATATGATAATCAGTTAGATATGAGCTGATAAAATGACAAAGTAAATGTTTGATCTCTAATAAATAATAATTTGATTAAATATTTTTATTATATATTTTAATGTATAAGAGTCGCTTTTAACTCAACTTTTGAATCAAAACAGAAGACCATTAATATTTTAAAATTTATAAGATATAGCGCTTTCCCGAGGATGGCGCGGAATGGCGCCATCCTCGGGAAAGTCAACTAAGCATCCACACGGGAACTGGGAGTTCCACGTGTGGATGCCATTTTTGACATGTGGGATCAAACTTCCACATGTCAAAATGGCATCCACACGTGGAACTCCCAGTTCCCATGTGGATGCCTTCCTGGCTTTCCCGAGGATGGCGCCATTCCGCGCCATCCTCGGGAAAGCGCTATAATCACTTTGGGAAAAGATGAAATGATTGATATCAACATCTTTATATTTAAAAAATTTTGTCTACATCCATTGCGAAGATTATCATTAAGACTAAACGTTGCCTTGAAATCCATTCGCACCTCTTGTCTGCTGGATTGGCTGAGTAAATCCACAAGACCTAGCAAATGGACTGGGCCCTTTGGTGGCTGAAACTGGGAATATTTCTTGCTTCAAAGTATCTGAGTACAGAGTTATAGGCTGTTGTGCACGAATCACCTCTTCTTCAAGCTGCTCTAGGGGCCTTCTCGGTTTTGGTACCCTAATCCCATGCTCCACCGCCCAAACTTCGTCATTTGCTTCAGTTTCAGCTCCATCTTGAGTTTTCATCACCCTTTTCCCGATTTTTTCATTCGGAACTTGCCATCCAAAAGTGCCTTGTGTGGTGGTCTCAAAAATCCTCGTATTTCTTGCTCCTCCTCCATGAGCAAGCAAAACCATTGGAAAAATCCCTATTTTTTTACAAAGCCGTGAGCGAACAAAAAATTTTTTTAATATAAAATTTTTTTATGAATAAGTAATAATTAGTATAATGAAATTTTTAGCTAATTGCACTTTTAGATATAAATTTTACCAATTCAATACATATTTGCTTTCCGATTTTTTAAATTTTGAGAAAGGAAATTTTTGTTCGCCGACAGAGGTGAGTTAGCACTTCTTCTTCGTCAGTTTTTTGCTTGATTTCATTTGAAATTGCTTGATGGATTTGGGCCTTCATAAGCTCTTCCCTTCTTCCTACTTTTCTAAGCTGATCAGCTGGGTTTGTAGTTGCCCCATAATTATGATTCATAGTGTCATGCTTTTCTTCCCAGGAGGTTCCATGAACTCTTGTATCCGTCCCATCACGGTCACGCAAGGCTGCAGGTTCGCCTTCTTTTTTAGGAACATGGTGCATGGGGTAGTTACGTCCATGGCCTGTGAGATCACGCAGTTCTCTTTCTTCATACCAATTCCCTATGAGTGTCCCAGCCGATTCCTTTGGGTACTTATTATAAGCGTCTGTCATAACTGATATTTTTATTATGGAAGAATTTTAAATAATTTACAGATAGGATTTCTTATTAGGGAGAAAATAATCTGAAGTGTGGAGACTTTGAAGAATTGAGCGCTTTTCTTGGAATGAAGAATGGTAAGATGAGACATCTTCTACTGGCTTTTTTGAAGGCTTTGGAGGAAGAGGAGGGATGAAAATATCGCACTGGGCGGATGTGCTTACTCCCTCGATCCTGATCGCTAACAAAAGGGATTAATTTTTTGTTTTTAATTTTTATATTATTTTTTCCCCGAAATATACAAAAATTGTAAAGGATAAATTGGATTAGATTAAAGTTTGCGTATTTATTGTCCACACTTCCTGAACATCATGCGTTTCACAGTTAACTTGTGGGCTGAAACCCCTGGTTCTCGTAGAGGCATTTTCTCTCCACGGTCAGGGTCATATGGACTTTGCGGGAATCTCAATTTCCAGCCCAAGCAGCCAATGCACCCAACCCTGCTTAGAGAACAGACCCGCCCCAAGCACGGGACCCTTTTAACTGGAAACTGTCTTCCTTGAGATTCTCATCTACCTGTCTTCCCCATTTTCATCTGGCTCAGCACTAAAAGAAAAGTTCAATCGCTTGCGCGATTCGGGACAGACCACAAGCCAGCCTAGGTAAGTTGCTTGCCTCTATCGACACCCAACCTGAACTGGGCGCTGCTGGCATAAAGATGCAAAAAAACTGCCTCTCGGATCAGGCTGCTATTCATTGTATTCAACGGAAATAGTGCTGAACCTCTCTCTTCGAGGCTAGCCCAACCCTCGAGTAGCTCTTTGTGCCAAAAACTATGTCCGGATATGCATACGTGCCTGCCACTGAGTGGATAGGTCGCTCATAACCGGCCTTTTATGCATATTAAAAATATATACATAAAATGGCGGACGGTGACCGACCCACCCTCTCAGTGGTGGTTACCCATGTATATCTGGGCATGGTTTTTGGAGCCAGGAGTTAGCCCAACAACGTCTGGGACCTCGAAGCGAGAGGTCTAAGCGCAAAAGCCGCTGTTTTTGTGACCAGACCCATGGGCAGTTACTCGTGAATTCTTTTTGCCAGCAGCGCTCAGCCCAGTGAGTGCCCGAAATGAGGCAGGGCGACTTACCTGCCTAAGCTGCTTTTGTGGCTCGCCCCGAATGGCGAAAGCTGTTTAGTTCTTTCTCGGGATGACCGGAAAAGAGGGGAAGGCGAGCTAGACAACTAAACGGGGGTTTCTCCAGTTTAAAAGGTGCCCTTCAATGGGCAGATCTGGCGGACGACGCGGCAGTGTTGGCGTAAACTTAGGCGACGATCCAAGTTGGAAATGGAGGCGGTCAGCAAAGCCGGTATGAGACGGCCCTTGACGATGCCTCTACCGAGAAACGGGGGTTTCGGCTCGGGCTTGGTGAACGCTCTGCCACCATACGGGAAACCGTAGAATGCTTCCTCGGACGTAGTGGGGACCTTAAATACCTAGCGTTAATCTAATCTAATCTATGGATATTAAAATGATAAATTAATTTAATTTTAAAAATTTATATTTTAGGATCTAAGCTGTTTAAAATTTAAAAGAATTATTCAGATATGTTAAATTATAATTATCACGTTTATATCAAATTATTTCTATAAAAAATTAATATATAAAAATTTTTGCTTGCCTGCTGAAAGTTGGGCTTTTACCCAAAAAATAGGGACTATTCCAATGGTTTTTGTTTCATTTAAGGAGGGAAATTTAGAGTATCTTTATCGAATGAATCTGAAGAGAGAGGGATGCACGAAAGAGTTGAGAGATCAATGTTAGATATAGCCATTGATGGAGTTTTTTGGGAGGTTTTAAATTGTTGAAAGCTTTCAGTTTTTGCTTGTGTCTTTTTAATTGGGTTAGTAGATGGTTTTAAGCAATTATTCATGATGCATCTTATTTCGCTTAAAGGATTTCCAGTAGAAGCTTCATTGAGCTTAGAGTTATTTACTATATTCCCGCTATTTTGGTCATTTTCTTTAGCAGCATCTAGTTTTTTCTTCAATTTTGCAATTTTTCCTCTTAGCTTCTCATTATATTTAGCTGTGTTTTCAGTTTTCTTTTGTTCAATAATCAACAAATTATCATTCTCTTTAATTTTTCCCTTCATAATTTCTATCTCTTTCTTTAATTTATCATTATCTTCGCTCAAAATTTTATTATCATTTTCCAGCGACTTAACTTTTCTTTCCATCTTTTTGCTTTCTCTTCTCATTTCAACATATAACTCTCTGTCAAATAAATCATTTTCCAATACTTTTAGCTGAATTTTAAATTCTGGTAGCTGCTGAATCACTAATTTCTCCTCATTATTATTCCATAATCGGAAATTTCTCTTTTTTTTCTCCCTTATTTCATTCACCTTTATCACTGATTTGCTTCTTGTATTTTCTGTTCCGTCCGCAGACTTCGCTAAAATAATCTGTTTTTTCATTTCAATTGTTTTTATATCATGCTTAATCGATTCAAATTTCTCCTTAAGTTTTCCAATCGAAAGAAAAGATTCGTTCATTTTTAAATTTTAACGAAAAATCGTTTGAAAACCTGAAAAATCCTATCTGCAAGATATTTTTATCAATTGAAATCCTCTTTAATTTTCTAACATAATTATTTTAGTGCGTTGAATCTAGACTCTAAATCTGCTGGCTCCCTGTCAAATGACTGTGGATTTTGATAGTGAGACATCTCCTAGGGCAAAATTTGTTCAAATCATTTTTGATAGTGAGACATTTGACCCGAAAAAACCGTTAAATTTAGGCAAAATGGTTACAATATTTTAAGTGCTTCGATGAAACATACACTATCAAAAAGGCACTATTATTAGATCTGCACCCAAATCTGCCATTTGAGGTTCTTTGGACTCTTCAACTACAGGCTTATTAAGTTTGCCAGCTGGAGCACTTTCTAACGAAGCTGCAACTTCAACACCAAGTTCACTGAGAACTTGGTTGACTACGTTATCACTTTCTTCTACGTCGTTGGGATTATCCAACGCCATATCTACAGCTTCTCCCATCATTTCTTCAGTCATTTCCATTCTCTGGTTTTCCTTATAAAATTCTTGCATCATCCTGTTCAGCTCAGGCAAGTTCATCTGCTTGTTAAAAGCGACCAAGGCCGGTGTGACACCTCTTAGTGCTTCTGACATAGCTTGAGTCGACCTCATGGTCTGGAGCCTTAAATCGACCCCTTGAAGCTGCGATTTCATTTCATAAAATTTCTGAACGTGGCGTCTCAAGCGGACAAGGTCTTTTGCCATGACTTTCAGCGGGCCAATTTGGTTTTGCTTTGCAAGCTTTTTAATTTCTGCGATTAATTTTTTTTCTTCCATTTGGAGATGTGTTCTCTCACGGTCTAACTCTCTCATGGCTCTTTTTAGGCCACGTCTGTGCTCTCTCATCTGCTCTTGTGGAGTAAGTTTAGGGTTGCTTGCGCCCATATTATTTTTCTAATTATACAACACTATTTAACGCTGAGGCGAGCTTGATGCCTTTTTAAATATTTAAACATTCTATAAAACCCCTTTACTGCAAAGAATTAGGATTGAAAATGTCTATCATTGTGTGTAATTTTCAAGATAAAATAATACAAATGGCTACTTATGTTGACCAATCGCAGCAATCAAAAAATTTCCAAGGCAAGTTTTCGAATGCACCGCTTGACAATCCAGAAATATTAGTGGATCATGGGCCAGAAAATGCTGTGCGTGATGAATTAGAAGACTCTAGGGCAAAAATGGTTATAAAAGCCCCTACAAATCAGCCATCTGCTCAAGTAGCGCAGCAGGCTCAAATTGTAAGTGTACAATATCCTCCAACGAATTATCAAGCTTATCAGCCATACCCGCCAGCTTTTGACGCTGATGGGAACCAAAATCTGCATGATCCGCCGATAAATTATCCAGTAGGTTCAGGACTTGTATATCAGCCTTATAAAAATGATATAGCTTATTCAGGAGTTTCCCCTCTAGATAACAGTCAAATTAAAGACAAGATTGATGGAGCAGACTCAAGTGACCCAGAAGTCGACACAAGCAAATGAAGCCTTTTTAAACGGCTTTCTGAGCGTGCTGGAATGAAAACAATGAGCAATGACAGAAAATCATTTATCAGAAAAGTATATGCACTTCTCTGCTGCCAGCTGGTATTCACTGCAATTTTCGTAGGAATTGTGTGTGCAGCTCCTCCTCTTCGAGAAGGGATAAAGCATACCACTGCAGTTGTAATATTATGTATGGTCCTAACAATAGCGATCATGATTGGTGTGTCATGCAACAAAAAATGGTCCAAAAGGTACCCTTACAATTATTATGCATTAGCTTTATTCACCGTTTTTGAGTCGTATATAGTAGCATTCGCTTGCTCTTATTATGACCAATTAGTGGTATTAGCTGCTGCAGTCAGCACCCTTGTGATTACAGTTTCACTGACTATATATGCATGGAAGACTAAAAAGGACTTTACGACTGTTGGAGGGATGATGGTGATCACCATTATGTCGCTGGCTATGTTTGGATTTTTCATGATTTTCTTATACGATAGAGTTCTTTATACAATTTTTTGCTTTATCGCTGTCCTTTTGTATGGGTTTTTCATCGTCTATGATGCCCAACTAATTGCTGGAGGGAGATATCAAGAATTAAGCTATGATGATTATGCTATTGCAGCCCTGCTAATGTATATTGATATAGTGGGGCTGTTTCTATATATGCTTGCCTTATTGAGCAATAAGAACAATTAATTCAATATTTTCCTTTTTAATTGGATTTAATGCTTAAGAGTTAGCTTAAAAATTAGAGATCATTAAGATCTTCTTCTTCGTCTGAATCAAATGATCCTTTTCTTCTCACAATTTTGACTGAAGTCTTGGCTTGCTCTGTGGTTTTTTCTAATAATTGAATGATGTCTTGCTCTTTAACTTGTCCTGCAAGTTGTCCTTTCATTGCCATCTGAATTAGCATATCTTCAATTTCCCTAGCTTTTTGTGGTTTTACTAGAGCAACTCTACTGAGCCTTTCTCTAGCTTGAGCGTCACAGATTCGAGTAATCATGACTTGTCTTTGTTCTTCTTTGGCTTGCTTGGCTTCTTCTTGTTGCTTTTGCACTTCTGGGCTTGGAATTTGCTCCTACTTATCTGATACCATTTTAGATAAGTTGATATTTATTAAGCTTTAAGCACACTTTTGGTCTTATAATTCTGAAAATTCATAATTATTCAAGTTTTATTTAATTATGATTAGAGCAAAGCCTCCAAGCTTTAGAAGAAAAACTCAATTCTTTTCATTATCAATTCATCTATTTGATTGAGTTGTCTTAAATTTCTAAAATACGGAAATTTTCTTGTCTCTTATGAGAAACCCAAAAAATAATCAATCATGCCATTCTTAAAAGAACTATTTATTGAAGTTAGTGAAATTTGTACAAAAACTCAAAAATCATAGGCGAGAAAATTCTTTTTCACTATAGTAATGATAAACTAGAGCTTCATAATCTAATTAATTTGCAAGCTTGATTTGACTGTTTATTTTTAAATTAAGATATAAATTTCAATTAGCTTAGCCTGAAAGAATTTTAAAATAATAAGGCATAGTTCAACTGTAAGGCCTAGAATTTTTTATTTTTTTATATATCTCACCATCCAGAATACGATTTCTAGCATATCTTTGATTTCATTGACTCTAATTTAAATTTTCGTTAGACTAAGTTCAAAAGGTGTTTTTACTTCATCTCAATCACAAATATGCCAGCTTTAATATCCCCAAATGATGAGTCGCCTAAAGCAATGGCTGTTGTATTCAGGAAGGAATAAATCCTATTCCCAATTATATCTAAAATAAATTGCAGCTGAAGCTCTCACAACGATTAAACTTGTGAACTTTTTATTTTTGTTAATAAATTCTCAAAAATCTGGTGGACGGACAAGTAAGTAATATTGAAAATGGAAGACGAAAACTTATTCGAAATCTACTTACTGCTCAACCTCATCCCGCTGGCATATATAATTTGTTTTATTTGCCTTTATATATATCATTATAGGGATGGAAAAAGCAGGTCCAGGTATCTTTCGAAGTCACTTTTAGTTAAGTCAGTATGCACAGTTCTTATGATTTTCTTTAGCCTCCTCCACACATTGGAAGCTTATTTTTCTGATGTCCATGAAGATAGTGTTCGATATGCAAGGATAACCTTCTTCTCTATGATGGCTATTTCATGGCTGCTTAGTCTATATCTACTCATATTTGAATATCAAAGATGGATAGCATCGCCGTGTATAGGCAACAAGTGGTTCTGGACAACAAATCTTTTTTCCCAAGGTATCATGTCTTTGCTTCATTTTACCTGCGAAGAAAAATCAGTCTCAATATGGAACTGTACACATGCTTGCGTTTTGATTTTAGGAATCGCTACATGCCTAATTCTTTCTGCTTTGGCTATATTTAGGCCTGACGAAAATTTTCTTATCAGCAATGAGCCATTGCTTTATGCGTCAAATAATTCTTTCAAAAAACAAGTTTATATGCGCAAAAACTCACTTCATGATAATACTCACGACCCACAAATGAAGACGTTTATCAAAGAGTGTAAAGTGAAAACTGAAGGGAACACGCAGGTCGTTTACTTCAGGATACTTACTGTTGCTGATGGAGAGGCCATCAGTGTTTTAAGGACACCACAAAATTTTGAAATGCTCCATAAGAGCTTAAAATTGAAATTCCCTGTCGAAGATTTTCCATCAATGGAACTTCCAGCTTTTCCGAGTTTTACTGCTTCTCCTCCTTCGCTTGATTTAAGGATGAAAGCGTATAATAAATATCTAGACGAACTATGCAGACCAGAGTTTATGGTGGAAGCTTTGATGGACTTTTTAGAAATCTATGGGGAGCTTCGAGATAGGTTTCTTGACTGCTACAAATTAGTATCTTAGTAGCTACAAATGTTTATAACTATTTAGTAAATTTTCAGTAAACTTATTTAATTGTGAGCATAAATTAATAAAAATTTAATATTAATTTCCTCCCAATACATCTTGCTCACAATATACCATATACAAAAACCCATCATCGTCTTTCTCTTTATTATAAACATCAGACATAAGCGAATTTCCTGCAATTAGATCAACTCCGTTTACAAACACAAATAAAGCAGTTTCTGAGCCCAATGCAAGTTTTTTTCTGACGCATGTTACAAATTGCTGCTCAGTGTACTCTCCAGGACACATGAATTTACTTTTAGGTAGTTGTGATAATCTTGAATTTCAGGCTTTTTCTAAGACAATTGGGATTCGGCTTGGAAACTTTTGGAGCATTTGAGAAGATTCTGTGCTCCTTCGGCTTAATTTGTTGTCTAATTTAAACTGGAAATAATTCATTAATTAAAATATTCTTGAGGATAAATTTGTAAATTATTTAAGTTTAATTTTTGTTTAAAAAACTTCTCTTTTTAAGTATCTTTTTTCTTTTCTGTACTGCCGAACTTGCCATAATCACTTTTTGTATGTCATAAGCTCATGCCTTGTGAACTCTTTGTCTATACTTTGACTAATTCACCCTTTAACTTGCGACAAAAATATTGGATAAACTTTATAATTTGTTTTTAGAATATAAAATTTATATATATTTATTATGAAAAATTCTTGATTCCCCAAGTAAATTTTACTGTAAAAGACGGCACTTGTCCACTTGAAGTTTAGGGTTTAAGCAGGCAAAATAGTTTTGAGGGTTATCTAAGCACTCATCGTATATATTTTGGAGTACTTTTAAGTCACAAACAGCATTTTTAAAGGTCTCTTTGTTTTCTTCTATTACTTCTTTATCCATTTCCTTCGAAATTTATTATTGTAAAATATACAATTCTTTTGTATCTTAAGCACGAAGCTATGCTAGCATGTGAAATAAACAATTTATTCAGAAATTAGCTTAAATTGCCTAGCAGCTTACCTGTAAATGTGAAAACTCTACTAAAAAATTATTTGTATATAACAGCTTTTAATTTTAGTGAAAAATTTGAATAAATGTAGCTATTTATCGCTTCGAATGCTTTCGCTATTTTAAATTTATTCTTAAAATCTTTAATATCAATAAAATATAAATGAAAAATCGGGTAATATATTATTGACGTGTAAATGGTAGAAGCAAGATATCTAGATCAGTCCCAAGTCCAATTATTTATATGCATTCGCAAACTAAAAGACGTTGAATATATAAGTAAATCTGATCCCTTTGTTGAAATCTTTGAAAAAACCTCTTATGAAGGAAAATGGTCAAAATTAGGACAAACAGAAATTATCTGAAATAATTTAAATCCAGATTTTATCAGAAATTTTACTTTAGATTATCATTTCGAGGAACAAAAATACTTGAAATTTAGAGTTTATGATGCAAATGATGAACAAGCAACACTAGCAAAGTCAGTTTTTATAGGGGAAGCTGAATGCACTTTAGGAGAAATTGTGGGGTCTCCCGGTCAGCAACTGATCAAAACCTTAAAAGAAAATAGCACAGGCCCAAGCTGTGGAAATATTATCCTCAGAGTTGAAGAAATCAACCAGTCAAGAGAAAAATACTCTATAGAAATGGAAATTGAAGCCAAAGATTTAGACGATCCAAGACTTATTTTTAATTTTTGCCCATTTTTTTACATATCAAGGTCACTAGAAAACGGAGGATCGCAAAGAATTTATGCATCAGATACCCAGAAAGGCAAAAATGTGACGTGGCAAAAGTTTTTCAAAACCATTCAAGAGCTTTGCAATGGAGATTTCTGTAGACCTCTTTTTATTGAAGTATATGACAATCATTATTGGAGCGGAAATCATGAACTTATAGGAATTGCTCAATTCAGCCTAAAAGCGATTCTTGAAGATGGCATCAAAGTTTTCAATTTAGAAAATCCCCAGAAATACGGTAGGCAAAGTAAAAGCTGTGGGAAGATTATTTTTAAGTCTTTAGAGATAAGAAAAGTTTATAGCTTCTTAGAGTACATTTCAGGCGGGTGCCAGATTTCTCTGATGATTGCAGTGGATTTTACATCTTCTAATGGGGATCCTAATTTGTCGAGTTCTTTGCATTATTTGAATCCCCGCATAAGTAATCAATATGAGCAAGCTTTATTTTCTGTGGCTGATATCTTACTGAATTATGATAGTGATAAGCTTGTTCCAATTTATGGGTTTGGAGCAGAAATAAATAGAAGAGTAAGTCATTGTTTTCATATGAATTCAGATCCTCAAGATCCTAATGTGTATGGATTAGAAGGAGTCATGAATGCTTACAAAACTTCATTGAGGACTGTCAGATTATCTGGGCCCACTTTGTTTTCTCAAATATTAGAAAGGGCTGTATTAGATGCAGAACAGGCAAATATAAGCCAATATAACCAGCAATATTATGTTCTACTAATACTTACTGATGGAGATATTCATGATATGAGAGAAACCATTGATTGGATTGTCAGAGGATCTTCAGCGCCCCTTTCAATCGTGATTGTTGGAATAGGAAATGACAGCTTTTCAAAAATGATCACATTGGATGCTGACGATGATCCACTTATTGATAGCCGAGGGAGAAGAATGGAAAGAGATATAGTCCAGTTCGTTCCTTTCAGAGATGTCGGAAACTCTCCAAGCGCTTTGGCAAGAGAAGTTTTAGCAGAAATCCCAAGAGAAATTGTAAATTTTTTCTCGAAACGAAATATTACTCCAAATCCATCTCAAAGGGACAAATTAGAGGCAAAGGACCAAAATAATATAAAATGCAATGCTCCACTAGATGAAGAAGATAAAAATATCGAGCCTCTTCATATATACCCATATTTAGCACCTAAAATAGAAGAAAATCAATACCAAAAAATAAAAGTTAACCTGCCCGAAAATCCATCTCAAATAAGCAACTCAGGCAGCATAAATATTTCTCAATACCCTCAATTTGCTCCATCTCAAATCCAAAACCTTCCACAGCAATTGCCTCAAGTGCAATCTCATGCTGGACTTTTCTCTTCAATAGGCAATAAGCTTGGATTCTGATAATATTTTCTAAAATTTATTAAAATATATAATTAATGCTAAATTATCATTATGCGTTACGAAAGTTCTTAAAATCATAGAATCATCCATTTCCTGCAAAAATTTTAAATTTTTCTAATACATCAACAAGCTAACTTTTATAATAAGACTACCCGATTCAGAAATATTCAGAACTCATTTACAACATGATGTGCCTAAAACGATAAAAGTTATCAGAATATATATCTATCCCTGCTTATATAAACTAATATGGTAGAAGCAATTACCCAATATCTTCCTCAAGTGCAGCTTTTTATTTGCTGCCGCAAGCTGAAAGACGTCGAACTATTATCAAAATCTGATCCCTTTGTAGAAGTCTTCGAAAAAAACACTTGTGAAGGCCAATGAACTAAAATTGGTCAGACTGAGGTGATTTGGAATAATCTCAATCCAGATTTCATCACCAATTTCCCTCTTGTGTTCCGTTTTGAAGAGCAAAAGTACCTGAAATTTAAAGTTTATGACGCAAACGATGATGAAGCCACAATCAGGAACTCAGAATTTATTGGTGAGACAGAATGCACGTTGGGCGAAATTGTTGCAGCCCCTGGTCAGCAGTTGATCAAAACTTTAAAAGCTAACAGCAAAGGCCCGAGTTGTGGAAATATTATCTTAAGAACCGAAGAAATCAGCCAAGTTAAAGACAAAGTTGTCTTTCATATTGAAGCAAAAGACCTGGAAGACGTTTCTGGCATGTTTTCAAGCTTTAATCCGTTTTTCTATATCTCAAGGTCAATGGAAAACGGAGGAAACCAAAGAGTCTACAAGTCTAATTACCAAAGAGGAAAAAGTCCGAAATGGGAAAAATTTGAAAAAAGTGTGCAAGAACTCTGCAATGGAGATTATGAACGGCCACTCCTTATTGAGGTATATGATTACCACTCTAGCGGCAACCATAAACTGGTTGGGACTGCTGAATTTAACTTGAAAGAAATTTTTGAAGGGGGACTTAAGACAGTTGACTTGGAAAATACTCAAAAGTATGGAAAAAAGAAGAAGTCTTGTGGGAAAATTACCTTCAAAACTGTTGATATGGTGAAGGTCTATGACTTTTTAGAATATATTGCAGGCGGCTGCCAGATTTCGCTGCTGATTGCTGTTGATTTTACAGCATCCAATGGAAATCCTCAGGTACCGAATTCGCTACATTTTTTGAACCCAAATGGGTATAATCAATACGAAGCTGCTTTATACTCAGTAGCTGAAATTTTGATGAATTATGATAGCGATAAGATGGTCCCGATGTATGGGTTTGGAGGGAAAATCAATGGGGCGGTAAGCCATTGCTTCCATATGAACTTTTCCCCAGATAACCCTTCAGTTCCTGGATTACAAGGAATAATGGGGTCTTATAGAAATTCCTTGCTTTATACAGAACTAGCTGGTCCTACGCTGTTTTCACAAATTTTACAAAGAGCTGTAATAGAAGCTGAGCAAGCGAATGTAAGCCAAACAAATCAGCAGTATTTTGTTCTGTTAATATTAACAGATGGAGATATTCATGATATGAGAGAAACTGTTGATTGGATTGTCAGAGGATCTTCAGCGCCCCTTTCAATTGTTATTGTAGGAATAGGAAATGATAGTTTTACAAAAATGGTCACATTGGATGCTGATGAAGTGCCGCTTATTGATAGCAAAGGGAGAAGAATGGAAAGAGACATTGTCCAGTTCGTTCCTTTCAGAGATGTCGGAAACTCTCCAAGCGCTTTGGCAAGAGAAGTTTTAGCAGAAATCCCAAGAGAAATTGTGAATTTCTTTTACAATAAGAGAAATATATTGCCAAATTCTCGTCAGCAAGCTCAGGAATATGATTTTAATCGCTCTTACTCAATTGCAGAATCAAAGCCAGTGTTTAATTCTCCGGCTGGCCCACAGAATGGATCACAAAGTGCGAGATCAACAAATGTTACTGGATCTTTTAGCGGCAGAACCAAATATAGCGCTTTCCCGAGGATGGCGCGGAATGGCGCCATCCTCGGGAAAGCCAGGAAGGCATCCACACGGGAACTGGGAGTTCCACGTGTGGATGCCATTTTGACATGTGGAAGTTTGGATCCCACATGTCAAAAATGGCATCCACACGTGGAACTCCCAGTTCCCGTGTGGATGCTTAGTTGACTTTCCCGAGGATGGCGCCATTCCGCGCCATCCTCGGGAAAGCGCTATATCTCAAGCACCTAATCAGCCACCTGTTAGCGGTCAGATGTATCCAGGCTCATTCCAACCTCAAATGATGTCTAGTCAGCAGCCTTATCCAATGTACAGCAAAACTTCTACAATGCCAGCTTATATGCCAAATAATCCTCAATTCCATCCGACTCCATATCCTCCTCAATCATACAGCGGAGCTCCCAACATGGTAAGCCAGAATTCTTACAATGGGGCTCCAAATATGCAACCTCAGCAGTCATATACCGGCATCCCTAATATGTCTCCACAGCAAAATCCTTATCCCTATGCTTCCCCTTCAGCTCCACCTGAATAAATATAAACTGCATAATAAATATTAAGTTATAAAAAATGTCCGATAAAAAACCTATGTTTGTCTACTTCTCAGCTAATCAGCATTACGATGAACCTGAAGAAAAAGAGCCTGAGTATCAAGCTCCAAGCCCAAAGAGTGAAAAAAGCAGTTTCCCCACAAAAACGGTTCTTTTGTCGTCACTTGGCAGCTTAGCGTTCTACATTTCAGCCCACAAGGCTTACCAATATTTTACTTATAAATAATTTTTATTCAATTGAAGCGTCTTTAGTGTTATTAAGCAGGAATTGAATATAATCTAGATTTCCCCCTGTGATTGGGACAGAAATCACTTCACATACCTGATAGGGGTGATTTCGCTTAACCCATGAAGTTAATTCATCAATTAATTCTGTCCTTGTTTTGGCCATCAATAGAAGCTCTTGGTCTTGATTAATCACGCCTTCCCATTTGTAGATGCTTTGGATTCCTGGAATAATGTTGACACATGCTGCCAGCTGGTTTTCTACTAGTCCTCTAGCCAGCATCTGGGCATTTTCAATAGTGTTGATAGTGATATAAATTGCGCTTACAGCTTTATGAGCAGATGCCATTGCGAAACAAATATAAAGCCAAACTTTCCATACCATTTTAAATCATACAAAAAGAATAGATATTATAAATTACTTATAGCTCTTCAATTCTACCTAATAGTACCTCTCTGAAGCTGATAACAGGCTCTTGCTTTTTTTCTTCTTTTTTCACCATCATCAAGTAGTCAGATCTATGCAGCCCAGCAGTTCTAGGAGACCCAGTCATTAAAGGGATCAATGAAGGTCCTTTGCTCTGAGATATTTTTTCTAATGCTATACAGATTTTTTCAGTGCTGCTTTTTTCAGATTGGTTTCCTTCTATTGAGACCATGGCAATTAGATCTATAAAGAGATCATTGTTTATGCATTCAGTATCATGGGCCTCAACCAAAGATTTGGCACTTTTTGTTAAAGATTGGGTTCCTGATATGACCAAAGAATTTTTCGAATAAATATCAGCTAAACAATAAAAGATTGGTGTGAGTTTAGCTTTTGTGATTACATTAGGGAAAATTGAGAAATCGGTACAAAATTTGACAGCTTGTGGAAAGTCCAATTGGCTTTTTTCATCAAGATATAAGCGGATATATGGAGATAAAGTTTGACGAAGGGTTGAGTAAATTTCGCTCATGCTGGGATCTCTAACTATGCTTAATAGTCCTTTTAAGTAGTTTTCAGTAGAATTATTGAAATCAAGCACCAATAAGCGATTTTCAATTAAAGATAAACCTAATTACAATGAATAAAAATATTCATAGTGATTAGCCTTTATCATATTTTATATATGAAAAAGAATAAGTGTTACCAAAAGGTATTTTTTCCATTATAATTAGGTATAGAAAAGCTTGGTCTTGAGGCAAATCCTGGTAGACTTTTCCAGAGATGATTTCTAATGCTTTCAAAAATTGTTGGAAGCTCATTTTTCCAAAGTCATTGTCTTTAGGTCCTAAATAGCTCTTTTTTTTAAAGTTAATCGTCACTTTATTTGTTTTATTTTTCTTATGTGTCACGCTAACAAAAATCAAATTTGCATCAACTCTTGTTATTTTATTTTCTTCATCAGGTTCCCCAATGATCTCTGCTGAAGTCAGAAGCCTTATAAAATTGCTGGAATTTAATTTATTGGCGTTCATATGATTTCCTCAAGAGCAATATAAGCGAAAAACGCTTTCTATTTTTTCCATATGCAGCTCTAATTGGATATACATTTGTTCGCTTATGTTAAAACCTATAGGAGCTTCAGAACTTATCGTATTCAGCTTTATATCTTCTTTAGCTATACCATTTAACAGGTCAATTACTTTAGGATCTGACAGAAAAGACATGTTTTCGCTGAAGCATGCATTTTGGTTTTGACTTTTTCCTCGACAGATATTTTTTTGCATCATTGGTCAATATATTTGCTCGGTAAGAACTGTTATTTATCGACTGGTGTTTATGGGAAAAGTTTTGATGCATGCCGAAGAATTGCTCAAGAGTAAATGTCTTGAAGGTAAAAAAAATAGCCTCCTTTCGCTATGAGGTCTACAAAGTCTATTGTCGATGCGGCTAAACCCATCAGACATTTGAAGCTTTTCAAGGAAAATTGACAGTTTTTCGCTTGACGACAAAATTCTACCAGCATAATTCCCAATCATAGCACTTCTGAGCAGGAATACCACAAATTTCTTTAATGTAAAAACTTTCCCCAAATCTTCATAATTCGATGTTTTCAGAGACTCAAATGAGTTTTCAGCAATTTCTTGCCATAGCTTATTGGCTGCAACTGGAGTTAATAAATCTGGAATAATATTGAAATTGTTCAGCATTGCCATAAAGGTTTGTCTCGATCTCTGAGAAATGACAGATTTCTCTTCAGAACTGATGAGTTCCCATACAAAGTTATTTCGGTAAATTTCTTTTAACACTTCATATGCAGAATTGATGATCTCTATACATTCCTCATCAATTGTAGAATCAATTTCTTCAATTTGTGTGATTTTTCCAGATTCAATTAGAGCATCTAATAAAGGCAAAATATTTTCATTAAGCAAAGCATATAATGTACTTGTCGCTGACTGAGAAATTCCGGAATTTGCGTATTTAGACTTAGAAATTTTGATGAGGATGCTACAGAATAAGTCAAAGTTGATTTGCTTTTGTTTCTTTTTGCCAGACAAGATAAGGATCTCTAAATCTTGGGGTTTAAGCGACCTGTCTGGAACTTCGGAATCTTTAAGCAGCTTTAGGAATTTTTGTGGAGTTATGAAACTTGAGGAGTCTTGGGAACTTATAGATGAGTAGTATAGAAAAAGCTGCTTCAGCTTTTTGAGGATTAAATCTGGGTCAATATCTGAATTAACCGCTGAACTCATAAATTATTAAAATAATTTTTAATTTGTTGAAATTAATGGGATTATCAGAGATATTCCGGTTTATCTAGGCTTGTGATGCACTTACTGGTAAAATTAGTGCCTCTGCATAGCGTTTAAATTTAAAAAGTAATAATTAGGATTTAAAATTTAGTGATACAAAGGCAGATATAGCATTTTATTATAACAGAATGCTAGATTTGAATTCTTTATGGAGGTTATCACCATTTACATAGAAACCTGAGTTGTATTGATAGAAAAGAAATTAGTAAATAAAATCGTCAAATGGAAAATAGCCAAAACATAAATCATTCGCCACCAAGATTCGATATTGACGGCTATCCTGTGAGAACAAAATTAATGACTTTCAATGAAAATTGTAAGGATCCATGAAAAAGATCAACTAGCGAAGATAAGCTCACGAAGCTGCCTTTTGATAATCAATCAAGCGAAAATAAATCTAACTGTTTTAATAGCGAATCTAAGGAAAAGACATCTGAAACAAACGAAATAATTAAAGACAAAAGCCATAGCATTGAAACGAAAAATAACGAGAAAACAATAAAGCGCCGCACAAATTCCATCTCAGATGCGAGGAATAATTTAAGAAACTGCATTGATTCAATTACTTCAAAACCAAAATGCGAAGAATCTCCTACAAAACAAAGTAATGATAATAAAGTCATGACCCAAAGAAAGCTATTTGAGAAGCGAAAAAGTGAATCAAGAGCTATTTATGCGAATTATGTTGAAAGTTATCTCAATTCTTATCAGTCTCGAATTGAATTTAATGCCAATGATAGGCACAAGAGTAGCAATAATCCTTTCTTTAGAACTCAAAGAGAAAAAAAAGAAGCTGTGAGAAACTTACATAGAAATAGATCTAATCTTGCTCCTAATTCTGATATTATAAAAACTAGCTCAGAAATTTCTTTAGCTTATAACGAAAAGCCCGTTGTATCCACTCAAAAAGAACTGCTTGCTAACTCTTACTCTATGAGCAAATAAAATCATTTTGGGAAAAAAAAACCCTAAGGAGCAAAAAATTTTTTATAAATATATTTTTATATAAGCGATAATTATTATATTGAGACCTCTATCTAACTCAATAAATTTAAGAGGCTGTATTCTAATATATAAGTTTTTATATTTGCTATAAAATTATTTCAAATTTAAATTCAAAAAAAAATAAAGCCCCTTTCTTGTGCCAGCAAAATGTATCCTCTGCTAACTCCCCCCCCTCCGTGAACAAAACCATTAGAAAAATCCCTATTTTTTGCCCAAAAACCCACCCTCCGTGAGTGAACAAAAATATTTTAATAGAAAATTTTTTTTATGGAAAAAAATTTTGATATATAAGTGATAATTAGTATAATGAAATCTAGAGCTAATTCTGTTTAATTTTAAACAAATTGCTTTTTAAAACATAAATTTTACAAATTAAATTAATATTTGATTTCCAATTTTTGCGAATTAGGATTTTTTTAAATTTCAAAAAAAAAATATTTTCTATAAAATTCATATATAAATTTTTAAAAAAAAAAAATTACCCCCCTCCGTGAGTGAACAAAATTTTTTTGTTCACTCACGGAGGGGGGGGGGAGTAAGTAAGCGACAATCAGATAAACTGAAAGAATTGGAAATTTATAAGAATTATAAGTATGTTGACCCTGAAGAAAAAATTGCACAGAGAGAGCTCCAAAATGTTCAAGTCTCTAAAGAAGATTCAAAAACCCATGAAAAAGTGAAAGTTGAGAGACAGATCGAAGATATCGAATATAATATGAAAACATTCGGAAACTCCAAGCTGGGAATTCATGGTAAAGAGCTTCCACAATTTTTAAAAAATAAAAAAGAATATTGAACAGAAAGAGATGGGTATAAAAATTGCCCAGAAAGTTCCTCAAGGCTCTTAATGCTTTTGAAAAGGAGCAGCATAGATGTAAGAGATACATTAAAGGCAAACGATACAATTACAGAAAATAATAACAATGAACGTAAAATTATTTTGCAAAGAAGCAGCTCAGTCCCCAAAGTGACTACGCATATTAAAAGCATCAAATTATTTGATAGAGGAGCAAGCGAAAACACAAGGCATCATGTCAATTATCGAATGAGCACTATTAAAGGCTATTTTGATAAATCAATTAAAGAGGCTGAGATGCAGAAAAAAATAATTTTATCAGGGAGGAAAGAAAAGATTTCACATGCCGGAAAAGTAAAATCAAGGAAGCCTGAAGTTGGGCTAAATACTCAGATTATTTATCAAAATAATGACTCTGGATCTGAAATGGCTTCTAATCATAGGCTTCTTTTGAGATCTAATTCGGTCATTAGAACTGTAGGATTCATCGAAAAGTCGCAATAGTTCAAATTTTTCTAAAGTATACTAAATAATTTTTGTAATAAATTTATTAATTCGGCAGCACAGAATATCAGTCCATGCCCTTTTGCATCCTTATTATACTATAAAAATTTCGCTTAACTTATTATATTATTTTTACGTTTGGGCGATTTTGCCCATTCATGGCCGTGAACATTTATACAGATTTCGCACGGATTTTTCTTTTCAGCATATAGCCTAGTAAATAATTTCTCTCTATGTGGGCATTTCTTTTTCCGTAGTTTTCTAAATTTCTTTTCAGATTCAGTTCTCGCAGTTAATGCAGTGTCTAAAGTTTGATAGATTTTCGTGGAGAGTTCGTCAAGCTTTTCTCCGCTTTTCATGAATAAATCTTCAAGCTGTTTAATTCTGTGGGGATTAATCCTTTCCGTTTCTTGGGATGAAATTTGTCTTTGAAGCTCGTTGTAAAGCTTCATCTGTTCAAATCTTGCTTCTTCGCTCTCTGCAAGCTTTTGCTCGAGCTCTTTTAAGCAGTTTTCTAAATGGATTTGGTAGCGAGTTGCTGGCTCAAGATCTTCTAACTGTTTTTTATATTCTTCTATACACTTATTTTGAAGCTGGAGGTGAGTTTCTTTATTGTTTAGTTCTTCTTGAAGCTCAGAAATTCGCTTATTGGCCAATTCAATTAAGCTGTGGTTTTCAGACTCTTTAAATTGGCTAGCTTTAAGTTTGTTTTCTATATCTTGACTTCTGTTGCTAATTTCAATGATTTTTTCATTAAGTGCTTGTATTTCATTCTTATAATCGCTTTTCATTTCCTGATACGTTTTATTTAATCACCCTTTGGGTAGCGAACAAAATTTTTTGTGAGATGCTATAAAATGTCTATATAAAACAATTTTAAAAGTTTAAGAATCATTTAATTTATAAAATTTATATAGAATGCAGGCTGTCTAAAATTTATATATTAATTACAAAATGAAATAGGATAATGAATTCTTGTTGGGATGATTTATTCATTGCAATTAGGTAATAATTTTCTTACTCCCCCCCCATCCTTGATCGAACGACTCGCCATCGTTCGATCAAGGATGGGGGTTAAAAAAAAATTTCTGAAAGCAACTTCATTATGTACATCTTCCCAAGCTTTTGATGAATAATATATTTTTATATATATAAATATTTGCATGATATGAAAATCGTTCGATCAAGGATGGGGGTTAATTTCCCCAATTTTTAGGAATTTTTACAGTCAATCGTTCGATCAAGGATGGGGGGGGAGTTAGTAAATAAGTATTTATGAAATTGAAGATATGTAAAAATGAATATTAAAAAGTTTTTTGTCACTAATGAATGGTTAATTTTCCCTAGAATTCGAATTTTTCTAATGGTATTGTTTGTTAAACAAATTTGGAGCTAGCAAATCATATTGCCTTCTTATTTCCACCCTTTGTACTTCGCTCTCCTCTAATTCATTTTTAATTCTCGTAACTTCTTTATCAATCTCTTTAGCCATCGCTTCATATTCCTTTTCAGTAATCACGCTCTCTTTTAATCTTTCCCCTTGGTCTTCCAGCATTTTTTGCAATTTTTCGTTTTCTTTTTCCAACTCTGCAATCCTCTTAAGCCTAGTTTTCAATTTTTCATTTTCATGATTTTCATCTCTAAGCTTCCTAATTGCAAGCTTGAGTTCATCAATCTCATTTTCTAAAGTTTTAATTTTTTTTTGATACTCTTGTGTCATAATTTGGTCTTTTTCAATGCTGAGCTGGGATCCTTGAGATCTTGATGTGTCACAGTTATCAGGATTTTCTTTTATAATTATTTCATTGAATTTAAAATCTAGCCAGGGAAACGGTATGATATCAGGCTTTTCAAAAAATTCAATTGCGTTTAAAAGTTTTTCAAATTGCTCTTGAAGACGAGCCTTGGACTCAGGAGAACTATTGAGTTGCTGGATCTTTGAAGATAAATCCAGGAAAGCTGAATGCTTTAGGTTGAAATCCTGCTCATTTAGAGAGGCTTTCTGAGCTAATGGAGCAATAATTCCTCCCAATTCCAAAGAAATTTTGTAATCTTCAGAAGAACTTATGCTGGACATAATGATTGGAAATAAATCGTTATTTTAAAAATCCTTACTCCCCCCTCTGTGAGTGAACAAAACATTAGAAAAATCGCTATTTTTTTGCCCAAAAAACCCACCCTCCGTGAGTGAACAAAAATGTTTTTATGAAAAAAATTTGATATATAAGTGATTATTGGTATAATGAAAATCTCGAGCTAATTCTGTTTAATTTAAAACAAATTGCGTTTTAAAACATCAATTTTATAAATTAAATTAATATTTGCTTTCCAATTTTGCAAATTAGGGATTTTTTTAAAATTTTAAAAACAAAATTTTCTATAAAATTTATATATAAATTTTTTTAAAAAAAAAATTAACCCCACTCTGTGAGTGAACAAAATTTTTTTGTTCACTCACAGAGGGGGGGAGTTAAAATTTTATGTGAATTTTTTATTAATTTTCCAATAAGCAAGGACCACCTACAACTAGTAAATTTCTTAATGTGAAGTTTACCGCAAACATTGGGATTTTCTTTGTTGGGTAATTTTTTACCAGATTTAAGTCTCCATTCGCTAAAGTCAACGCATTGCTTTCACTCCCACAAGCTATTAAAGATCCTTCTTGGCTTAGCGATAAGCTTGAGATTCTTCCTTGTAGTTTTATTTTGCTTATACAATTTTTTTCATTTATATCAATTTTTTGAACCTCTCCACTTTCGTCGCCTGAGTAAATTTCTTTTCCAGATTTGGAGAAAATCAGAGCAGTGACGGCTGCTGCGTGAGAAATGAAGATTCTCACACAGTTTCCGCTTGCGACTTCTCATATGCGTATTGTTTTATCATTGGAGCCTGTAGCTAAATAGTGAATATTGGGGTGAAATTTTACTACAATTACATCAGATAAGTGGCCAGAATAGATTTTGAGAGGCTCGATATTGTCTGTTGACCAAAGTGCAGCGGTTGTGTCAAAGCTGCCACTTGCAAAATAATGCCCCATTGGCCCAAATGTGACACTTCATACAGGAAAAGGGTGATGTCTGTACACAACTAAGCATGAGTTTGAAATTAGGCTTCAGAGCCGAATTGTGCAATCTTCTGAGCCAGAGATTAATAATTGCGTGTTTGGACTAAAACTTAAGCAAAAAACTGCTTCAGAGTGCCCAATAAGCTGAATATATTCTCGAAGCTCTTCTTCATTTGTCATTGAGTTTTTCCAAACTTGCACTGGACGAAGCAAGTTTCATACTCGAATGCTGGAGTCTTCAAATCCTGCAGCAATAACAGTTCCTTCAACACTAATTTCCAAGCAGAGCATACTATTGTTCGAATTCAATGCACTGTGGCAGATAATGCTTGGCAAGTTATTTTCACTCAGATCTGTTTTTTGACTTATTTCGCTATTGACTTTTTCTTGTAAATCTGGATCCACAGCTGGAAAAGGAACCCTCAAATCTTTGAAAATCTTCATATCTTTCTCTATTACTGGAATCAAAATCAAATTAGACGTGTCATGCAGAATCGCCACATCATCTCCTAAAAGTACTGGAACTGAGCTTTGTGAGTCTGTAGAAGCTTGCAAGTCCAAGTGCTGGTTAATAATAAAAAGCAGCAATCCCAGCCTTGAAGACTCAATAAAACTCATTAAGAGTGCTATAGAGTACTTGTTCATTAAAATGACACATTTATGTGAAAACAAGTTTTGGACGAACTCAGAGTCTAAATCTTCTGGCTTTTCAATGCCTTTTAGCTCTTTAAGCTCTTCTTTATTTGAGTGGTATTGGGAAAATTCTTCGAAAAAAACTGATGCAGATTCCAGCATATTTCGATTGATCATGTGCAAATAAAGGTATTGGAAAATTGGGGAGACGATTTTCTGTAAATCTTCTTTATAAGTGTCAAGGACTGTTTCAATTCATTCCAGGAGAGTCCTGAAGGTCTCAATGTAAACTTCGTCGTTGTTTGCGTCATGCATAGACTTGAAAAGCTCATCCATGGCAACTTCGCATAATGGCAATGGCCCAGATTGAGAAAGATCGAGTTTAGTTGCATTTTTGACTTCACCTTTTAAAGATTGCTCTGTAGTCTTGTACCCGCGGGATTTTAAGTAAGAAAAAATCACTTTTTCGGACTCCATTATAATAGCCCCGTCAATAATAAGCTATTTATACTCAATGCGCAATGCCAAAATTGACGTATAATAGGGTTTTTTTCATGCTGCCCAAAGCCTTATTAGAATTCCTAATTATAAAAGAAATAACCAAGGCTTATGAATCAATACAAAGTTTATGGGTTTTACAAATTTTATTGAAAGAAGAATGCCGCCTTAAGTATAGCCCAGTTTGCTTTCTTTGAAATTTATATTTCATGTATTTTAACCTCTAAAGGCTTTATTATACAAAATTGTTTTCAGATTTTATCAATTGAAAATATGCTTACTTATGGCCAAGCCATCTCTTAGATGACTTTATTCTATATCATCAATTCTAAACACAGCATAGTTATTCAATTTTATTGCTGTCATGCGATACAATAAACGATGCTAGCAAGCTTTCATTTAAATATGATTTTAAAGCCTAAAAGCAGTTCCTATTGCAAATAATTATTAGGCATATTTGTATCAGGGTGCTTATAAAGTAAATTAAAAGAGGATAGAAATGTTACAATGTTTTTTAAATTAAGTTCAAAAAAGCATATCGATTTTATTCCACATATCATCAGCTCAAACAAGAAAAGAGATAGTGGAAGAAAAGATAGAATTGAAAGAGAATAAAAATCCCTAAAGCCTTAGTTATATAGGAAAAGTTGGAGAGCGACGCATAAGACTAAACATTGGTGAATTTCCTGACAAGCTTCTATACATTGTTTCAATCGATGGTGTAAAACATGAAATTACCTCGCCTAAAACTTGAACACTTAGATAGACTAAACCTTTTTAACTAAAACAATTTCGCCAGTTTTCTTTATCATTCTAAAATGGTGGTGAAATTATTTTTCCTCCTGGGGATAGCCTTTGCACTTATTGAAATCCCTCTGCATCCTCTTCGCAACCAAGACGAGCTACTTGCTTACTACAAGAGCCCTAGAACATTCAAGAGATTCGGCGGAGGTACCACAAACACTATTCCAATGACAAATTACATGGACGCTCAATATTTCGGCCTCGTTGGAATTGGAACTCCTCCTCAATACTTCAAGCTCGTTTTTGATACTGGTTCTTCCAACTTATGGGTTCCTTCATACAGTTGCCAAACCTTGCCTTGCTTTGTTCACAGCACTTACAAGTCCTCTGCCTCAAGCACCTATGTGAAAAACGGTACCCTTTTCAACATCACCTATGGCTCTGGAGCTGTAGAAGGATTTACAAGCCAAGATACAGTCACTTGGGGATCTTACTCAATTCCTAATGTGCTTTTCGCTGAAATTACTAACCTACAAGGAATTTCATTTGTAGCTGGAAAGTTTGATGGTATTTTAGGACTTGCGTGGCCTTCAATTGCAGTAAATAACATTCCTCCAACCTTCCAATATTTATGGCAAACAGGACTTATTGCTGCTAATCAATTCTCAGTATACCTCAGCAAGGTTGCAGGAGCTGCTGGCAGCGTTCTTATATTAGGTGGCTCTCAGCCTGGTCTTGGTAAAACTGCATTCAACTATGTGCCTCTTTGCAACCAAACTTATTGGATGATAAATCTTGATAGTTGCTCAATTGCAGGCACTAAAATTCCATTCAGCGGCCTCCAAGGCATTGTGGATACTGGGAATGCAGGCCAATTATCGTACACTTTTGATGGTGTGAAATTTCCTGGTTGGATTTTGGTTGAAATTTTTTGATAGTGAGACATTTAATCAAATTTAGCTATTTTCGAAAAATGCCTAACTATTAAAAATTTCTAACAATTTTTTTAAGGAAATAACACAGAGACTAGGAGTCGATACTGGCACTTCACTTATCGTTGCGAGAAACGAAATCATTGACTATTGGAGACTGAAAATCGGCGATATTAAGTCAGATTGCTCCAATATCAACTCACTTCCAACAATTTCTTTTACAATTAATGGAATTAACTACCCACTGACTCCACAGCAGTATGTTTTGCAGATAACATCTCAGAATCAAACAGAGTGCATTGGTGGATTTGAGGGAATAGATTTCCCATCTTACCTAAGCCATGACTTTATTCTTGGTGATGTGTTTATCAGAGCTTACTATACACTCTTCGATATCGCTGGCGCAAGAGTTGGCTTTGCAACAGCAGCTTAATAAGTTATCTTTTATTAAAAGCTAGTCTTAGAAATAAAATTAAAATTTTGATCGATTAACTGGCAAAGATCGCCTAAATAATAAATAATTGTTAAAGCAGTAAAAAATGAGGTCCTAACTCCCCAAAATAATTTTTTGCTCGCTTATTGAGGGATTAAATTTTTTTAAAATTCATATATAAATTTTATAGTGTAAAAATTAATTTAATTTGCTTAATTTATATGGTAAATCTAAGCTGTTTAAAATTAACAGAATTAGATAGAGATTTCATTATAATAATTATCACTTATATATCTAAATATTTTTTTCATAAAAATATTTTTATATTAAAAAAATTCTGTTTGCTCATAGAGGGGAATAAGCATTATTTAAAACTATTTTCTAATTAAGAAATAGTATCAGTAAAAGATTTATATGTAAATAAATGTTAACTAAAGCATTATTAGTTTATTGCTTACTCCCCTCCTCCGTGAGCGAATAAAACCATTGGAAAAATCCCTATTTTTTGGGTAAAAAGCCGCTCTTAGTGAACGAACAAACAATTTTTGATATATAAGTGACAATTATTATAATGAAATCTCTAGCTAATTCTGTTTAATTTTAAACAAATTGCATTTTTAAAACATAAATTTTGCAGTTAAATTAATATTTGCTTTAAAATTTTTGCGAAAATGGATTTTTAAAAAATAATCACTATTTAAATTTTAAAAAAAAGCCATACCCTCTCCATAAGCAAACAAAATTTTTAATTCGCTCACGGGGCGTTAGAGATAAAAGTTAATCGTGATTGTAGCTGCAACATCAGGTTGAACAGGCACTCTTGAGCTAGAAAGATTAATCTTGCAAACAGAGGTAGTAGGGTTCCACAGCAAAAATACTGGATTCAGCTGTCCAGTATAAGCATTGCTGCTATAAAATACGTTTCTTACTCCTTCAACACACCCATAAATGATGATATTTGAAATATATGGGAACTCTCCAGCAGGTCTTGTATATCCATTTACACTTGGCTGAATAATCAAGGTATCAGAGGTTTGATTTAAGTATTGATAATGATAATTAACCATCGTAAACTCATTTGCTGAAATGGTACTAGCAGAAACTCCATTATCAAACACTGCATGTCCATTAGCTTGGAAAGCTCCATTTAATGCAACGACCAAAGTAATAGGCGACTTTCTTAATGTGATAGCATCAAGAACTGTATTCGAATTATCCAAAGTTGAAATTATATGGCCCCCTCTGACATGAATAGGAATAGGGCCTGGCAGTGTGACATTCAGATTAACAGTATTGTAGTAATTCAATTGAGTGTAAGTGCCTTGATAAAAGTCATACCAAAGATCACTTGGGAAATAGGCTGACATTCTTGTTAATCCAGGTGATAGAACAGGGTGAACAATGAGCCCTTCACCAAGCATGAAATGAGATGTGGCGTTGTTCAATAGATTAATGTCGTTAGGGTAGTCGAAGAAAGCTGGTCTGAAGTGCATTCCTCCGTTTTGAGAAACTCTGAACATTCCTGTTGCAAAGTGTAGCAATAAAGAGTATTTAGTTCTAATAGCAATGTTTGAGGTCTGCAAGAGAGTTGGACCAAATGACCATGGATATTGGTCTACTTGCATTATTTGGTTGTGGTTTCTTGAAAATGGATATAAGGTACCTAGTTGCATCCATCTAGAACACAGTTCTTCATTAGTATTGCCTTGGAATCCGCAGATATCCGCTCCAGCAAAGGCAATCCCAAACATCCCTAAATCAAATAGCCCAGTAATTGAATAAGCCATGAAACTCCACTGTGAAAAGTTGTCACCAGTCCATTTTCCAGCATATCTTCCAGTTCCTACAAAAGAGCTTCTTGTAATGATAAAAGGTCTCAAATTTTGGCTGGAGAAATATTGGAAAGTTGCAAAGGTTTCATAGAACCCAAACATGCTGTGAAGGTTATATTCAAGCACTCCTCCATAATGTGTTGAAGCCACATCCAATGAGTTCATATTCACGTCTTGGCCTGGGGTGTATGGCATTGTCAAATTGGTGATTTTGGTAGGTGGGTAGTTTGGTTCTCCATTGACAAAATTGCTTGCTTCATTCATATCGAGCCAAATTCCAGAAAAACCTGCCAAGGTTTGGAATCCTGTGAGCTGGCTTGTCCAAAATGCTGTAGCTTTTGGATTAGTTCAGTCAACGAAAACTGCAGTTCCTGGCCACACAACTCCAGTGGTAGGGCCAGCGTGGTTTGGAGATGCGATGTAGACATTTAGAGCTAGTCCAGCTGAATAAGTGGCGTATTGGGTGTTTTGTGCAATTCCAGCATCTACTATAGGTACAAAGTGTTTATTTGCTTTCGTTAAACCTGCAACCCAGGCACTTACGCTTGCTTGTGGGAAATTGACTGGATCCAGAGTGAAGTCTTGGAACTGATTCATGTAATCTATGTCGATCCACATAGCATCTAATGGGAGATTGTAGGTTGTATAAGAATTTGAGACATTGGCCACAACTGAAATGTTTTGCATTCCCCATCTGCATTGATGCCAACCCAAACCCCACCAAGGGACCAATGTTGGGTTTCCTATAAGCTGGTGATACTGATATATTACATCAGCAGGCTCTGGCCCAATAAATAAGAAGAAGTCAATAATTCCTCCTGTTGTTCTGAATCCCACAAAGTTGCTGCCTACAAATGAGGTCATTGCATTGGAATTCAAAAATAGTCCTCCATGAGCTGCAAGCTGATTGTCAACTGCAAGGTAGAATGGCTGAGCGCTGTACATGTTCGAGTCAGGAGTGTCTCCAGTATCAATTGGAGACCCTCTATCACGTGCATAAAGGGTATATGAGCCTTGGGCTAGGACAAATGAAGAAATTCTTTCACCAAGTCCCATAACTTGAATAGGATATCCAAGCCAATTGGCAAAGCCAATATCTTGATCATTGTACCCAAAAGGCTGATTTGGGTTAAGGAAGAAAACAACTTTATTGTCAGTCGTTCTTGTGATCTTGATTGAAAGAGGCTGCCCAACTACTATAGGAGTTAAAGAGTAAAAGGTTCCTGGACCAGTAGGAGAGTATGGAGGAATTGAGTCTGGGACTCTCCAACGGCCTGAGTTGTTTGCATCTGTAATTGTTACACGGACACGGTATGCATTGTCGTACTGAATAACAATTGAAAGGCTTTGAATTATTTGCTCTGCCCCTAAAAAGTCGATTTCACCTGCTGGTGCTTGATATGCAGCACTAATGTAAACACTTGATGAGCTTTGAGAAACTGATGTGACTACATAAGGATTAGTAAAAGCTGATACCTCTTCTTCTGTGAAGCCAAAATCATTAAAGGCACATGAAAAGCCAAGAAGTGCAAAGAACACAAATTTGCTAAGGTTCCTTGCCATTTATGATTAATTCTCCTATGATACACTGCTAAAATAGCTCTTGCTATGGATAAAGATCGATTTGATTTAGAATTGGAATTTAAATGTATAAAAGTAATCATTTATGTAGGTATTTTTCCCAATGAATTTTATAGCCGAAGATTAAATTAGATGAGCGATATGTGTTTTAGGTTCCTATTTCCTGTTATGTCCCATTTCAGTCACAGGTAAGTTGTGGGTGGCCTTACGCAGGGCTTTTAGAGCCCTAGCCAAAATATGCAGTTCTAGATAGTGCAATTATTTTTGGTACGATGAATAAAGATTAGCCGAGAAGTTGCCCTATCCTACCTGAGTCTGGGTATGCTGACAAAAGTGATGTGAAAACGGTGCTCAAGCAAGGTCACTGATCAGCAGAAATTGAACTAGGCCTATTGTCTCAAGGCTAAGCCAATCCGATGGGAGCTCTCTTCTAAAAATCAAGCCCAGATATACTTGTGGCACTCGCAATATAAGGAAGGTTATCTTGTAGCTTATCATTTTATAGATATATTTATAGCAATAAATAACTATTTACTTTAAATTACAAAAGATAGCCACATATTTTCGCAAATTATTAGATCGACAACTTGTGAATAATAAGTTATTTCATATATGTATTGTATTACTAACTCCCCCCCCCCCCTCCGTGAGCGAACAAAAAAATTTTGTTCACTCACGGAGGGGGGTTTAATTTTTTTTTTAAAAAACATTTATATATAAATTTTATAAAAAATATTTTTTTCGAAATTTAAAAAAAATCCTAATTTGCAAAATTGGGAAGCAAATACTAATTTAATTTGCAAAATTTATGTTTTAAAACGCAATTTGTTTAAAATTAAACAGAATTAGCTCTAGATTTCATTATACTAATTATCACTTATATAGCAAAATTTTTTTCTATTAAAATTTTTCTCTATTAAAAATATATTTTTGTTCACTCACGGAGGGTGGGTTTTTGGTCAAAAAATGGCGATTTTTCTAATGGTTTTGTTCGCTCACGGAGGGGGGGGGGGAGTAAGATATTTCTTATGCAGATAGTTTAATTTAATTAATTATATTAGAAAGATCCTTAGCAGGACACAGAAGAACTATTGATACCTCTTCTTATCTAAAGTATTTTTTTTGGGTTACTTTCTTCTTAATTAAATCAAAAACAAAATAAAAATAGAAAGTATCATCAGAGGAGCATATAGCGCCAAAATAGAATGAATTATCGTAGGCTATTTTCCCCATTTGATAGTAACCATATAATTCACATCTTCCAATTGATTTTCAAAAATAGGGATTCTTTAAGTCACTTTCATAAATGTCTCCAGATGTTTGCATTATATAAGCCCTCTGATTTCCAGAAAATAAATATTTATTTTTATAAGCATTTACCTTTACCTCAGATACTGAATAGCTGTCAATATCTGTGTCATATACATATAAGCAGTTATGATCATTACCGCTAATCAAAATATTTCTAAAAAATACTGCACAAGAGCACTTTATCGACGGTTTTGGAAGCGCTGATAACGATTTTCATTCACTTTTAGCTATATCAAACTTCATTGCCAAATCCATAGAGGGACCTTTAAAACCTCCAAAGATATAGACTGATTCAAGATAATAAGTCCCTCCAGAACAGCAGCATGGTTTTCAAGAGGGAAGAATTTTGTAAGTAAGATCTTTAGTAGAGATCATGCATGCAATCCCAGTAAAAGGATCAATATTTCCATAACAAAATAGTCAATAATTTGGCATTTGAATAACACATGTGCATTTGCTTAACTTATTCGTTTATAAAATCTCTTCCTAAAATATTTATTTTATAAAAATTTATAGTTGGTTAATAAAAATAAAAATATATATTTTTATATGTGAAGGTTAGAGGTTCTGGCATCTGAATTTGAATCTTCTTAATTGTGTTTGCTTCAGGATTGGATATAACTAATAGAGTTTGATCTTGATGTCAGCTGATCAAAGCTGAATCTTTGCCAAAATCTAGATTTTCCCTTTCAAATTCCTTTTCATTTATCAAAAAATCGTCATGAATATTTAGCCTTCCCATTTATTATCAGGCCCTGGGATTAAGGTGGTGAAAGAAAGCTGACAAATAGGCAAAAAAATTTTATTTTTAATAATTTTGATTCATAATAATATCTAAAATAAAAAATAATCATATCAAGCTGATATCAAGCTGATATCACTAGCGAATAAGTTATTGGAACTGTTAAATTTTCATGTGGAATTATTAAATTATTGAAATTGTTCATGTTTACTTTACTAATTATTAAATGGCCGACCCGTTAATTCTCAGCAAGCCCTACAGAGAGAAAACGGTTTGGAAAATGGCCTTTAATGCCAGCTGAGGTTCATTCGTATTTGGATACACTTTAGGAGAGTTTAACTCGCCCCAGCCTAATATTGCTGCGACTTTAGGATGGGGTGGTGACAAAGATCTGTATATCACAATAATGTCAGCTTTAATGCCATTAGGGGCAATGTTTGGAGCTTTGCTTGGCGGTCCATTAGCATCAAAAGCGGGAAGAAGACAAGCAATTATTTACACAGATTGAATCGCAATAATAGGGGCTGGAGTAATAATTATCCCCTTCACTCCATCATTTGCCATTGGGAGAATAATTACCGGCTTTGCGGCAGGGAGTTTTACAACCCTATGTCCTTTATATATCAATGAAACAGCGCCGCCAGAGATTGGAGGAAAGCTGGGAAGTTTAGTTCAGCTCCAAGTCACACTTGGAATTGCTGTGGCATATGCATTAGCATTGCCGCTTCCAACTGGGGATTATAATGATCATATATTCAACTATTGGTGGCTATGCTGCTTTGCTTTTTCTGGAATCATTGCTTTTATCCAGCTACTCACCTTCACGTTTATTTATAGGCAAGAAACCCCTCATTGGCTACTTGAAAAAGGAAAAAGAGATGAAGCCTTCAAAAGTCTCATGCAAGTTTATACAGAAGACGGAGCTTCAAATGTCCTTATGACAATGGAAATGGGCAAAAAGTCAGCCACAGAGCTGTCTGAGACTGGGAGCGAAAAAGGCTCTTTTCACAGTAGAGCTGAAGCCGAACCCACTTATCAAGATTTGCTATTTTTCAGAAAAGGCTACTCTAAAATGATGAGGCTTGGATTTATGTTGAATATTTTGCAGCAATGGAGCGGGATTAATGCAATTTTGAGCTATTCAACCACAATTTACAGTGGCTTTGGGGGTGGTAAATTTTTGGCAAGACTGTTAACTTTTATCACTGGCTTGACAAACATGGTTGCAACTCTTCTAGTTTTTCCACTGATTGATAAATTTGGAAGGAAAGTTTTATTATGGACTGGGAATCTTGGAATGGCAGTTTGTCTGTTTTTGATGGGGCTGTTCTCTGATTATATAGATGCTGGAGTTGGGCCTCCCCTCGCGTTTATATTGATATTCCTTTTCTTTTTTGAAATTTCATCTGGGCCTCTTTGTTGGGTTTACTGTGGAGAAATTTTGGCAGCTAAAGCTATGAGCTTGTGCGTAGGGACAAATTGGTTATGCGTTTTCGGAGTTGTCTTTCTTTTCCCAATTATGTCAAGCGGGCTTGGAGCTTCTGGGACGTTTTTCTTCTATGCAGCTATTTGCTTATTTGGAGCAATTTATTTAATGTTTGACATAGTTGAGACAAGAGGAATAAGCAAACCTGAGATTAAGGTTATGCTTGCGAAGTATAGATAAATACGATTTTATTAAAAATTTCTTTATCTAAATAATTTTATTTCATAATTGTTACAGTCAAATATTATTATTAGGGGCTCAACTTATTTATAGTCATTATTATAAATTGACTTTTGCTTATTTATTTTAAAATTTAGAGGGGGGTTAAATTTTAGGGGCAAAAACTCAATTATATTTAAAATGGTGAAGGAAGCAATAATTGAAGATTGGGAAGTAGAGAAGATCATTGCAAAGAGAGGACGTGGAAAAAGTATCCGATATCAAGTCAAATGGAAAGGATTTGGTTACGAAGAAAATACATGGGAGCCGGTATCTCACTTAGAATCTTGCAAAGAAATGATTGAAAACTTTGAAAATGGACTTATAAGAGGAAACACAATAAAGAAAAAAAACCATAACTCTACTGATAAAGCCAAAAAAATAGAAAAGCCTGAGCCTGCAAAACAAAAACCTGCAGATTTGATGAAAAATCTTGAAAACTATATATCAGAAAGTGATATCGATCATATTTCAGATGTTTTTATTGGGGCAGATAATGAAATTTATGGAGAAGTGATATACAAAAATAAAGAAAAGAAACCTGGACATTTTAATATTTTGGAACTCAATAAAAAGTATCCAAATTTAATGTGTGATTATTATTACAAGCATATCTCTTTTAGCTACAAACCAAGGATTGAATTTGAGATGAAAATGCATAAATAATCATTCAGTTGTTAATTTAATATAATATATTAGCTCACTAATTTGACTAACATAAAGTTATTTTTTTGGATTTAAAATTAAAAACTACTAAAATATGGCTCTTATTATGAGATAAAGCTATGAAATTTTATAACTCAATGAGTAAACTCATATAGTTATTTTAAAATTCTTATTTATTAGCTTTCTGAATAAATTACATTGCATTTTGATGAAATTCCTGCATCTTTGATTTTTGAGTTTGTGTCTTTAAAGACTCTTTTCGGGTAGTCTAAAAATAATTTTAAATTTTTGTATGAGCTTTCTTTCATTGCCCATTTCAAAATATCATTCAAAGTGTTACTTGATTTAAACCGCTGAGAAATAAATTCTAAATTTGGCAGACAAAGTCTTATATTGATATCCTCATCATCCAAGCTATCATTATTTTTCTGATCTTCTTGTTTTTTATGATTTATATGCTTTCTTTTGGATTTATGAGGACTCTTTTCATTAAGATTTTCTCTTTGAGCGATTAAACTTTCATTTTTAGTCCTAACCATACTCTCGGGAGAAAAACCAAATTCAAATTCACCAGACTGATTGCCATTCATGAGCATATTCAATATATAAGACTGTTGGCTTGCTGAATCTCATGTATGTGTAGGACTATATGTATATGCATGTGCAGGATTATATGCATATGCATTCGTATGGTTCTGCCTTAAAATTTCTTGAGCAGGTATTAAAAACTGTCCTCTCTTAAATGAATATTTGCTGAAATTATAATTTTTGAACTCACCAGACACGAGAAATCAACAATAACTTTGATTTTTAAGAGTGCTTCTAATATTCTCTTGTAATCCAGTCTCTGAAAGAGCTTGAGGCCCAAGAGGTCTAAGGCTGTTAAGTACATATCAATACACTCCTATTTTTCTGACTGCTATTCAATGAAGCCCTACATGCAATAGAAAAGCAGATTCATTTCTTATTAGAAATTACTGTTCATCTCATTTCTCGAATTGCTTTGTTGTATAACATGTCTTGGCGCTTTGGCTTTCCACAGCAAATTGGAGCTATGACGAGGAACTTAAAGGTGACAGTCAACTCCAAGTTGACAAAAGCATACCCTTTTATAAGAATTTTTCAGCTTGGGGTTGACTTCTCACTTGCCAGAGCTGCAAGTCACTGTGGAAGACCAAGCGCCAAGGCAGGCTATAACGGCGCTGACACTATATAATGGCTGCAGTCAAAACCTTTGGAAAGCAATGCCTTAGACATAACCTGTATAGAATAGAAGCCAGTCTCGTCAAAATTTTCAGAGGTGTTATAGGACTCAAAAAGCGCTTTTTCTTCATTATCCAGTTCTTTAGATATTTTATCTAATTTCTTTTTTGTAAAGTAAGGGCCCTGCAATAAAGAATTTAAGGCATGCACCCCACATAATAAGTTGAAACTTTGCCTTTCCCAGTAAATATAATCTGACATAAATTTCAATTAATTTTAGGTATTTAAGTGCCTAATGTCTACTCCCAAAATAGGGATTAATCCAACTGGCGGCATATGGCTATTCTAACATTTAAAGTGACATTCATACATGCATAATTTCTGGTCCTTGGTTGGCTGTATATCTTACCTGACAACTTTCGCCAAATTTAAATTGGCTGCTACGTGTGTTCGCCTATATATAGAAGCAGAAAAATTCTAAGACTATCAACATACCCAAATGATCAGGTCATAAAGCTATGCACCCTTGCTGCTGATTACCTGATATTTTTACATAAGAGAATTCTCTTATTTACCTTAACCTCATAATAGAAAAATGAGAAAAAATCCATTAATTTTTCCATTTTTAGAACATAATCTGACATTTCTAAATTAATTAAATCTCAAGAAATCTACAATTATGTATCTTATTATTTAGCATAAATCCCGAAATAAATATAAATTTAAATGAAGATACCAGCCTTCTAAATCTTTTAGATTTTAGCTCTTTAAAAAGCTAAAGCAAAGATTTTTGCAGATTTTATTAACTTAAAGTTCCAAATATTAATTAATTTTACATCGACGATATAGGCTTTCTTATAAAGTCAAAACGCAATTTATTGATTAGGCAAAATTAATAAGATAATAATCATCAAGTTAAGATGCTACTATCCAAAGCTTTAGGACCTAAAATTCATTTAGCTAAATTAAACATTGATTATGCAGGTTTGTATGTGAATTTTAAGTACGAATAATAAAGCTCACACATCAAGATTGGACAGTTTTCGTGTAGAACTTCTAAGGGATAAACTGTGTTTAACAGTTCTCCAGATTTTCATTCAACTTCTCCAAGAATTTGATTTGTTTCTGGGTTATATATAATCTGAGTTACACTTTTTGGCTCATCATCCATTGTAAAGCTTCCTTTCCTCCTCACACTTGACTTTTTAATTGGTTTCGGCTTTTTAGCTTCATAATCTTCAATAAGTTCCCAGAAATTTTGTAGGTGGCTTTTTGGTTCCCATGTGCAGTCTTCTTCTGGTAGTCCTTTCCATTTCACTTGGTAGAGTTTGCTTCCTGATACCTCTTTGCTGCTTAGAATCACTTCTGGTTCTTTTCTATCAGCTGCCTTTGTCCTTATTGACATTTTAATTTATGTTTTTACGAAATAACCCCCCGTTGTTAATTAAATTCACTTGTGCACTATGTTTATAAGAAGCCTGAAATCAATGCTTATTTGTAAACCTTTAAATGCTTTTAAATATGAAACTATTAAATATTAAATCAAATGAGCAAATGTTTAAGAGATTTCTTCAGGTAATGGATTTATATTAATTTTAGGGCATCCATTTTTTCTCATAGTTATTTATCTGAAAGTTCATAACTAATTTAAATTTTTTAAATATAAATTTAGAAAAGCAAGCGTTAAAGGTAAAGCCGATATATAAAATAGCATTTTTTAGATTATAAAAATTAATTAGAAGAATTTAAAATTATTATGTCTACATTAAGGATGCTAAGAATTTATCTCATTTTGCTGTTATTTAAAATGTGAAAGTTAGTGTATAAATTCAAAAATATTATAAAATGGTTAAAATGTCATTTTATAATTTCAAAAAAACCTCTAATTTATTGGTAATAGAGATCCACTATTTTATTATAAAATATTGGTTTGATTGTAGACACAGGCTCAAAATTAAAGACACTTTTGATTTCTTTTAATTTCTAATTTCAATAAATAAACTTAGAATTCAACGTTAAAATATCATAATAATTCCTCGGAGTTTATTAAATTAACACAATTAAAATGGAGGTGTTCTAATAAGGGTAGTTCCATGACAAAGGGCTCAGAGAAGAAGAACTTCGGCTCTAGTGAGAGTTTTCCAAATAGAGGCCCTATGTACTGGAACTTGATTGTGGAAGAAGAGTGTTCTTTGAAATAGGAGGCGGCAGAAGTTCTAACGGTTGTATAACTGCCAATCTGTGCTTATTGCCGAAGTTGTTCTGACGTGTGAAGCTTCAGAAAACAGAGGACAAGCTATTTAAGAGTTATCTTACTTATTAATTAAATTAACACAATATCTTATCTTATAGAATTTATAACGTTTAACGTCCACTACGGGGTGACAACCCCAGGTACTATCACTTCACCTTCGTTGCATCGGGCCCACAGGTCGCTGGGGATGGCCTGCTTCGATCACCAGGGTGCTCCTTGGGAAAAGTATTCCGGCTTCGAGGTTCATGGATGAGCTACTTGCTTGTTACATGGGTTGCTTTTCCGAAAACCCAAAAAAAGGATTTTCTGTCAGCTTTCGGCAAAAAGGAAAAGCACGTAGCCTGGGACGTAACGCCCAGTTTCACGCTAGAGAGTTGCCCGATTGTTCCAAAGGACTCTGCTGAGCTTCCCCTTTCCAACTCCGTGCCCTCCTTCCCCACGAGGAAAAATCCACCCCTGAGATTAGACTAGTACTAGGCTCTGAACCCAACCAGAATTGCTTACCTAATATTGCCGTCCATCTCTAGAATGGTAAAAACCTTGCCGGATATAATTAAAATATGAGTCGAGGCTGCATGGCCGGGAGGCCATGCCCAGACGAAGACGCCATCTTTTAATTATAGCTAAATTAACACAATATCAAAATTTTCAATTTTATCAGTAATTTTTACTTATTTATTTTATAATATGAATGACCCTCTATTAGAAGAGCGTGACAACCAAAGACTTCAGCGCAGAACCTCAGCTATAGTAACCACCCAAAGAGTATTTAAAGTTCCAGTGCCAGAACCAAACCATTACAAGCCAAATAAAATCAGTACATGCAAGTATAATTGCATAACTTTCTTACCCAAAAATTTATGAGAACAATTCAAGAAACTTGCAAACATCTATTTCATAATTGTAGCCATTCTCCAGTCTATTCCTCAAATCTCTATATCAGGTGGAGTCCCAAATATCTTAATGCCCTTAACCCTGGTGCTCTCTGTTAGTGCAGTCAAAGATTTATTAGAAGATTTAAAAAGACGACGATCAGATAAAGAAGAAAACATGAGATACACTCTCAAAAGACATGAAGGAGAATGGGTAAGCGTCAGGTGGCAAAATATAAAGGTCGGAGATATTGTCAAGGTAAACAAAGACGAGTTTTTCCCTGCAGATATTTTATTACTCTCTTCTAGCGATGTAAAGGGCATATGTTATATTGAAACGAAAAATCTTGATGGAGAAACTAATTTGAAACATAAGCTTGCCCATAAAGAATCTCACGAAATGTTTCAAAATCCTGCAAACTATGATGCTTTTCAGAGCCAGCTGAGATGTGAAGACCCAAATCCTGCGATTTATGTATTTAATGGGCTCATACAAATTGGGAACTCAACTGTGCCGGTTGGTAACGAACAATTTTTGCTGAGAGGAAGCTCGTTAAAGAATACAGAATGGATCACTGGACTTGTAGTCTACACTGGGCATGAGTCAAAAATTATGCTGAATTCTTCAAAGTCAAGGAAAAAGTTTTCTAGCCTAGAGCTTCAGATGAATAGACAGATTGTTTTTATTTTTCTAATGCAACTTGCTCTTTGTTCAGGATGTGCTGCGTATTATGCAATATGGTTCAAAGAGAACAAAGATCAGACTTATATGTATTTGGATTTGGATTATCAGAATAATGATCCTCTGGTAGCCTTTGTGATTCAATTCTTCACTTGGATGCTTATTTTTACTAACTTTGTGCCTATTTCTTTGATAGTGACGTTAGAAATGGTTAAATATCTTCAGGCTGTATTTATTGCGTGGGATTTAAAATTGTATTACGAGCCCAATGATATTTCAGCTGGAGTTCAGAGCTCAAATCTCAACGAAGAGCTAGGGCAAATCAGCTATGTCTTTTCAGATAAAACAGGAACTTTGACTTGCAACATCATGGAGTTTCGAAAAATTTCGATAAACGGGATCTCATATGGAACTGAAGATCGTTTCACAGGGCCTGGGAAAATCCCTCATGTAGATTTTGTCGACTCGAGGTTTGACCCAAGAGAAGAGCATGCTATTGATGTCATGATCCTCTTAGCCACCTGCCACACAATCATCACAGAAGAAAAAGAAGGGAAAATCATATATAAAGCTAGCTCGCCTGATGAGCTGGCTCTTGTGAACTGTGCAAAGTTTTTTGGTTATGAATTCATTGGCAGAGATAGCAACTTAAACGCAATGGTGAGAATCCAAGAGGACATCATAAAAATCCAAATTCTCAACGTCCTTGAGTTCACCAGTGACAGAAAGCGCATGTCAGTTGTAGTTAGACTTCCCAACGGTAAAATAAAAATCTTCTGCAAAGGTGCTGATACAATTTTAAAGCCAAAACTTGTGAATTCTGATGTAATCGATAAAACTTGGCAAAACTTGGAAGACTACGCAAATGAAGGGCTGAGGACCTTGGTGTTGGCTTCCAGAGACTTGACTGAAAGCGAATACCAAGAATGGAACGCAAAATTTGTAGAAGCGATGCAGGATATATTAAATAGAGAACAAAGAATAGGAGAAGTCGGAGAATTAATAGAGACTAATTTATCCTTATTGGGCGCTACAGCAATAGAGGACAAGCTCCAAGATAAAGTTCCTGAAACAATTCAGAAACTGAGAAATGCAGGTGTTAAAGTCTGGGTTTTGACTGGAGACAAGATGGAGACTGCAATCAATATTGGATTTTCCTGCAACTTATTAACCAGTGATATGGTCAGAATTATTGTGCAAGGCTCGCATACTGAAGATGTTACTGCAGAGCTGAACCAAGGGATTAAGGCACACCAAGCAGAGCCAAATGTAAAGTTCGCCTTGGTTATAACTGGAGAATCCTTATTTAAAGCAATGAGAGGGGACAATAAAACACTCCTCTTAAAAGTTACCGATTTTTGTAATGTTGTTTTGGCTTGCAGAGTAACTCCACAGCAAAAAGCAGACATTGTAAAATTAATTAAAGACAACAAGAAAGGAGCAAAAACTCTTACTTCTTCTAAATTAATAGCAAAAATCTAAAAATCTTTATTTATTTTAATAATTTAAGCCTTATTTTAATATAAAAAAGAAATAAAATGGTGACGTTGACGGAAATTGGACTCCGAGGCGCACCTCCTATGGAGCTGGTAGGACCCATTGCTGATGAAGCTGAAGATACAGGTCTCATTCCTGTTTAAGTAGGCCTTCAGTTGTGGGGAAGCCGTGCCGAAGAGGGAAGTTTTATTTCTCCCCCGAAGGTTTTCCCTGTCCCTGCCAGATGGGCTAGACAGGTTTTTCCTACCACATGGTCTTCCTTCATCGGGACCATCGGGGCACTCAGACAGAAGTGGCTCTGTCCAAAGAAGCTGATCCCTTGGACAGGTTTTGACCAGAAATCAAGATGGCGTCTGGCCTGGGAGTATGGCCACATCAGAACCAGACAGGGAGTCGTCTTTCGAGCTGAGGTGTTGAGGTCCGCTGGTTCGCCCACGTATGACCTTTTAAAACTAATTAACTAACTAACTTATTTTAATATGAAGGAAGTTAGCATTGGCGATGGAGCAAATGATGTTAATATGATCACTGCTGCTCATGTAGGAATTGGGATCGCTGGGCTAGAAGGAGCTCAAGCTGTTAGGGCTTCAGACTATTCTATTGGGCAGTTTTGTTATTTACAGAGACTTATGTTTGTCCATGGCCGAGAGTCGTACAGAAAAAACTCAACACTGATTTGCTACAACTTCTACAAAAATGTGCTCCTAGTTATGCCACTGTTCTTTTATGGGATATTTTCAGCCTTTTCAGGCCAACCATTCTATAGTGGTTGCCCGATGATGGCGCTCAATGCGCCATCATCGGGCAACACCAGAAAGGGCTTCACACGGGAAATGGGCTCCACGTGTGGAGCCCTTTTTGGCGCGTGGAAGTGAGGATTCTCCACGTGTCAAAAAGGGCTCCACACGTGGAACCCATTTCCCGTGTGGAGCCCTTTTCGGCGTTGCCCGATGATGGCGCATTGAGCGCCATCATCGGGCAACTCTATATAACACTTGGCTTTACCAGCTCTATAACATGATTTTCACAGCCATGCCCATTTGCATTTACGCTATGTTTGATCGAGAAATCCCTTATGAAGTTCTGGAGTCAGAGCCAAAGTACTATAAAATAGGCCTGAAAGGTGAATTATTCAGCACAGACGTCTTCTGGGCTTGGATACTAGAAGCAGTCTTACAATCAGCAATTATCGTAGGTGTTTGTGTGTGGGCAATTTGCTATGTATCAGGACTGAAAGAAACAGGCCTAATCAGCGGAATGTGGACAGCTTCAGTGCTAGTTTATGGTATGGTCGTGTTATACGCCAACATAAAAGTCATCCTATTCAGTTACTCCCATTTCTGGTTCAGCCTCTCTGTAATTTTCATTAGTGTGCTTTGTTTTGTCTTGTCTGCAGCTTTCATCACCGAGATTCTGCCAATGTTGAGCTGGCTAGATAACTATGAAGGAAAAGGAAGTTTAAACAAACTTATAGTAAACCCAAACACATATATTTCAATAGTTGTACTAATATATGGAGGCTTCTTTATTCAGCCTATCATCCGAAGATTCAAAGTGCTCAGAGATCTCGCCAAGTCTAAGCCATTAGAAGCTGTTGCTCACGCTACTGATGAAGAGTCCTCAGTTTCTTCAGAAGAATCTGACCAAGTCCCAGAAGCGCTTCCTCCAGATGAGATGGAGACTGCCCAGCAAGCTTTGTATCAATTGAGAAGAAGACACACAGGCTTTGCCTTCTCTGGGGAAGCAGGCCACGCTCCGCAGCTTACAGACCCGAGTTTCTTTTTCCAGCGCAATTTTACGCAAGGAAGTTAATATTTTAAAGGAAATTAGTTGATTAATCTTAATCAAAGAAGTTAGTTTAGAGGATCCCCTTCTTGCAGCGTTCTAAGTACTCGTTGACTACAGGGTCGTAGTTACGAGGAGGCAAGGTCGCTAGAAACTTCTTTAGTTCTTCAATTCCATCTAACTAGATAACAATTACCAATTCTTTGGAAGGTGCAGCGTGATGGTGTCCATGATGTTCAGCGTGGTCTGATAGTTCATCTAAATTTAAAGTTACGTGGAACTTCTCCTCCATAAGCTCGAAATGGTGCCTTGGTAAGTACTCCAATAGCTCTTGGTATGCGAAGCATAATTATATGATAATAATGGCAAACATTCAATATTTCAGCTATTAAAGATACTTATTAAAATACGTACTTTCTAGTGCACGAGGGATAAGCATTATAAGTGCTACCTAGCGAGTTCTGCGCTTTCTAGAATTGATTTTGTTGAAATTAAAATAATGGAAGCTTATGATTTAAAAATAAAATTTATTTTAAAAATATCTCTTGCGTGAAATCTATTTCTGCTTTTAAATAAATTAATTAGCAATTTTATCTCCCTAAAATATTATATAATATGCTATTGCTTGTGCTTTTATTTATTTAGCACCTAAATTTCAGGAGGGCTCAGTAATTAGCCACATGAAGAGCCTAGTAGATTTTATTAAAATAGTCAAAAAATATCATTTTAAAAAGAAAAAGACTGCACCTAAACACAGTTTGGATTCAAAACTATTTAATTTATTAGTCCTTTTCAGGAGCTCGAAAAATATTTTCTTTTCCATCTTCAGATAAAAGCGATTGAATTTCTTGCTTGATTTTATCACATTTTCTACTGAAAGCAACTTTGTGTTGGTTAATTGCTTCATGGAGTTGCTTCGCCATCAGTTCAGTAGTCAAAGGAAGATCCTGTGTTTTTGGAGATGTGACAGATGAAAGAAAATCGTTTGAGGGACTGTAGCTAAGGTTTGATTTGGAAGCGAATTGAATAGGAGATTCAAAGAAAAATGATGGTGAGCCTAATTCTTGATTATCTAGAGTGTGTTCTTCTTCTGACTGGTTGCCAGGGATTTTCAAATTTGCCATTATAATTCAAAAATTAAATAAATTAAATTCTAAGATATTTCATCAAGAGCATGCAAAAATTCTTCCCAAGGAGGCAAATTTCCAATGTCTGGAGTGAATGCTCTGCTGCTTCCGATCACTTTTTCAAGTGAGGGGCACTGTGATAGAGTTCTTTTAGACTGTTTAGAAAGCTGCAGGGTTAGATGATCTCGGTTTATTTTGAATTTCTTTGAAAGATCATAAAATCTTTGGCTTCTAGGGGGAATTGATGTGTTTTGCATAATCACGCTGTGGTTGGAGTCTGGCGAAAACGAGCTTGCTTCGCTTTGGAAGCTTGGCTCAGTCATCACATTGCATTCATTTCTTAAACAAATATCAGACAGTGGTCTTGTGCTTGGCCGATGCTTTGGAATTATTTTGATTTCAACTCTTCTTTTATGGATTGGCTTCTTTTGCTCACTCCCCCCGCCAATAAGCAAATTTTGATCTATTTAAATTAACTATTTAAAAATTAAAGCTTGAACAATAAATAAAAATTTGCTTACTAATGGGGGAGTCAGTGAGTTCATAAGGCATGCAAAATATATTTTCTTTATCATTTGTAAACTGAAGCATTGAGTTTTCTTCAGTTTCTTTAGGCTTAATAAAGGCTGCGTTTTTAATAAGAGGTCTTATTTCAAATGGAAGGCTGATTTTTGGATTGACTGAAGTAGGAGATAAAGGAGGTTTTGCTGATTTTTCAGGCTGAGCATGATTGAAGCTTCCATTAAGAATCCCTGATTTTTTGATAATAAACCTATTTTTGTGGCTGCTTAATTGAGAGTTTGAATTTATTGCATTTGAGACTTTTTTTAAGTACGGAGATTGAGGATTGATATGCACGCTGACTCTTGTTTTTGCATTCATGATTATTTTAAATTTATGAATAAATTATGCAAGTTGACTTCCTAGTGAAATCCCATAAAAGAATCCTAGTTTTATTATAAATTCCCTCATTTAGCAACGAGGAAAACTAATATTTTTTCTTACTCGCCCTTCTGTGAGAAGCAATTTTGGAAAAATTCCTATTTTGGGGAAAATAATCTTCTAACGAAAATAATTTATTTTATAAAACTACTTTGGCTGTAAACAATAATACATTTCAAAAATCTATTGCGTTTTTAAGCATAAATTTATAAATAATTTTTTCGGGATTTTTTAAATTTCAAAAGATAAATATTAAAAAAATTGCTCCCTCTACTAGCGAGGAAAAATGAATTATCGCTGATGGAGGTGAGTTATGCCCCTTAATGTATTTACTATAAATTTTTAATCTCTCAAAAAATTAATAAATGATTTTAACTACAATTATAATTACTTATAATATCTTCGAGCACTTCTAAAATATTTATTTTTATGTTTTCTCATTCTGTTCAATTTAAATTCTTGTAAAATTCCATCAAATGAAGAATAATTTCTTTTTGATTTTAAAAAATTTCAGATGAAATTAATAAGATTCACATAAAATTTTATAAATGATACCTTAGCTAATGCCTATTAATATTTTTAACATTTTTAATTAAAATATTTGACAATATTTTTTGTTATTTTGTAATTTATTGCACTTATAATCTTTAAAAATTAATATATCTAATTCATGCCATAGAACAAATTTGTATAAAAATTTTAAAAAAATAAATAATAAAATTCTATGAATTTTTTTTAAAAAAAATTATAAATTTTACAAACAATTAACAACGAAAAAATAGTACTTTTATTAAATTGGGTGAATAAGAGAAAGCTTAAAAAGATAAATAAATTAATTATTGTTCATTGTCTTCTCTAGTTCTTTTCGCTATAAGACCCTTTGGGAAATAACTAAGATCTGCATCTCAATACACTCTGAATTTCAATGGATTGCACTTTATTGAATCAATAATCATATAGGCTGTAATATCAGCAATAAATAAAAGCCCAAAATACAAGAAGCCAATCTTTGAAGGAGCAAGTAGATATTCTTTACTCCCCACCCCCTCCATGAGTGAACAAAAAACATTTCGCTCACGGAGGGTTAATTTTATTATTTAAAAAAATTTATATGATCTTTTGGGATTATTTCTGATCGGCTCCCAGGAGCCAAAATGGAATTTTTTTTGGATTTTCACGTGTGAAATCCATTTTGGCTCGTGGGAGTCGATCAGAAATTTGAGCAACTGATTATAGTGTAAAATTGTTTTTTCTAAATATAAAAAATTCCCAATTAGCAATAAAAATTAAATTTAATTTGTAAAATTTATGTTTTAAAATGCACCCTTTTTTAAATAAACAAAATTAGCAAAAGTTCCATTATAAGAGTTATCATATATAGATATCAAACTATTTTTTCATAAAAATTTTTTTTTATGTTAAAGTAATTTTTTGTTATCTCATGGAGGTTGTTTTTACCCAAAATATAGGGATTTTTCCAAGGTTTTGTTCGCTCGCAGAGGGGGGCGTTAGAGAAGTACTTAAGATTCAGCATGGCAATTATTAATTATTAAAATATTATTATTATTAATCTATCTATCGCTGCATGAGCAGCATTTCTCTCTTTTTATTAATTATTAAAATATAATTATTGTAAAAGGATAAATAGTCTTTAAAATGTTAAGAGATTTAGTGGTTTGACTTAAGAGATTGAATTTGTAGCAAATAATTCTCACTTTTCCTAGAATAAGATAAGTTTTATTTTGCCAATTTCATAGATTATTTATAAGATTTATATCAAAATATTTGCTTAAATAAATGAAACAAAAGCTTAATGCTAATTCTAATTATTTTCAATTATTTTTCATTCAATTCTCGATATCCCTCCCAATCCGTGGGTGCTTCGAAATTATTTTCTTTTAAGACTGACATTAAGGTCATTGTTGGCCCATCATTTGGTTTTATCCTTAATGCACTTTCAAAATAACTTTTCGCTTCTTGTCAGCTACCTTCTGTATATGCAATCATTCCTTTTCTGTAGTTTTCATAGAAATCCACAGTGAAAGCCTCTTTTAATGAATAAATCTCCCTGGAATCTTCAAACAGCTCCCATGATTCAATTTGCCCTCTTTCCAGTTTTCCTTTAAGGGCTTTACGGAGCCTATTTGTTTGTTCTTTATTCTTGTCAAGTCCATCTCCAGGCGTAATATTTGTAGGATCAGCATCACTTGTATAAAGTCTCAACGGACTATTATGACCCTTAATCATGATAGTGTCCAGATGTCTGCAGTATTCTTGCACCCTAGAGCTTAAAATGTCAAAAAATGCTCCACTGAGGAGTAAAGGAACACCATAGATTTTAGTGGTCTCTTCCAACCTCCCAGACATATTTACATGAGGAGAAAGATAACTAGCATCTATTTTGAATTCTGAGCCTATAGCTCCTTCAATTGACCAGCCAGCATGCAAGCCAAAACCCATTTTTACTGCATAATTTGGCATTCTTTTAATTAACTTGCTGTGCGTTCTGTACTTGAGAATTCTTGGGTCTTTATTTATCTTTGCAATAATTTTTAAAAAGCTGAGCAGAGCCAAATCTGCTAAATAAGTCGCTTTTTTTGAATTTTTATTTAACACTAATGGATCATTGATTTCGATCACATCCTCTTCTCCAAATTTCCAGACAATCAAAAAGGCATCTCCGATATTTTTGTTAGCAGCTCCCATTAGCTGATGGGTAACTGTATGAACTAAATAAGCAATTTCATTGACAAAAACCATAACACTTTCTTGCAGTTCTTCAGTGGTATCAGTAAAATCCTTACTCCCCCCTCCGTGAGTGAACAAAACCATTAGAAAAATCGCTATTTTTTGCCCAAAAACCCACCCTCCGTGAGTGAACAAAAATTTTTTTAATAGAAAAATTTTTTATGGAAAAAAAAATTTGATATATAAGTGATAATTATTATAATGAAATCTAGAGCTAATTCTGTTTAATTTTAAACAATTTGCTTTTTAAAACATAAATTTTATATAAATCAAACTAATATTTGCTTTCCAATTTTTGCGAATTAGGATTGTTTTAAATTCCGAAAACAAAAATTTCCATAAAATTTATATATAAAGTTTTTTAAAAAAAAATTAACCCCCCTCCTTATATCGCAAAACCCATATATTGCTGCAACTTTGCTTCCTTGCAATACAGGGTCTACATCTCCTCCTTTTTCCATATTTGTAGCTATTATTTTTGAGCCCGCTTCTCCAAAGCCAAGTGCCAGCAATGCTCCAATTTTGATGATAGTGTTTTCTAGCAAAGTTGTTTCATACTCAGCTTTCACTGTTTTTCGATTGAAGCACAGAAACTTTTTTTTCGCTTTGTCTAAACTGGATTCAGAACGGTTTTCAGAACTCTGCATTCCTGCATTCAAAGGATTTCTTGCAATTTTTTTTATTTTTCTAATCATGCTTTCTATTGGGAAAACTACCAAATCCTCAGCATCCTTTGTGAATGTAAAAGCTCCAAAGAGCAAGACAATGCAGACGAAAATGGTTTTGCAGATGTTCAACTCAGAGTCTAAGTGAGTATCAAATCTAAGATCAATTATCGCTAGTGAGTGGGTGTCAGTTACAACATATTTTTCTGTGTCCCTGAGATCATCTGGGTGGGTATCGCATGTCCAAGTGTAGTTATCAGTCCCATATGTATACGTCAAGTATATGAGGGGCCGAAGATCATCTTTATGGTAGTCAATATATTCGTCTCTTACATTTTCAAAGCCATCCTGACCAAAAAAGTCTTCAATAGTATCCAGTCCAAACCCCCAGCTTCGCTTTGGTGTGATGTAGAAATCCAAGCTGAAGAGTGGGATAAAGGTAATTAAAATCAGCACCAAAATGATGACTCTCTTCATTGTCAACTCAGATAACTTTTTTCCTACTCTGCTCTCTCTCGGGATCATGTCAGTTTCAGTATGGACTGTTCCATCTTCTTCTTCAATCATTGCAATTCTTGCGTTCTTGTACAGCTTGACAATTCTGATTAATCTGATCAACCTAACAATTCTGACTATACGAGAAGCTTGGTTGCCTTGGTTGACTGATTTGGTATATTTTACTTTTGATTGGCCGTCGTCTGAGCTTGAATCAATGCCGAGCATTGGGTTCCAAATCCACCCGATATCAGGAAGAACTGAAAGGGTTGACAGGAGATCAAGCCAAAAATAAAACGCGAACCTATAGTCTTTTTTTGCTATTGAATTCAGTATTAGATCTAGCGAAAAATAGCTGAAAATGGCTGTGCTGACCCCGTAAAAATAGTTGTCAGCGCTTTTAGTGCAAGCTGATACCCGAATGTCGTCAGAAAATAAAGCCCAAATGGTAATCAAAGACATGACTATCGAATAAACGTGAGAGTCAAGTATTCTATTCAGAATTACAGTAAATGAGCTTTTGCTCGAAGAACTTATTGGGATATCAAAAATTGATTGATTGTCTAATGGGAAGGTTTCGAAAATCTCCCCACTTTTCATTGCGTTTTCCAGGTCTTGCGAAACTGCAGATTGCATATCGCTTGATGGCGAGCCTTGGTGTGCAGTTAAGTACATTTTTTTTAAGTTGTATTTAAAAAATTATATCATCTAGCTCCTCTTTTGTAAAAAAATAATAAAGAAATTTTAGATTTTCAAATTTATTTGATTCAATTCCAAAATTTTTTATATTCATTTTACTTATCCTCTCCTTCTTTTGATCTAGTAAATATAGGCAAATTTTTCATTTAGACGGCATTAAATTGAGTATAAAGCAATAACATTATTTCAACCTATAAAATTTAAAATTTTATTTTCCATTAAAAAGGGCTAATTTACCCAATTTAAAAGGGGTGTAAAGAAACGTTGCAGTTTTATGAAAACAAAAATATAAGAATGAAAATTTAGGATATTATGAACAATTTAGTGGATATTTGAACACAGAAAAATAAATTATTGAATTCTACTTGATAATCATAAATGAAAAAGAAGAATTTTGATTTTAACATGTATAGCTTCTTTCGCGTTTTTTCGTATTATTATGGAAAGTCTATCTTTGAGAGTAAGACAATAAAAAATGTAGAAGAAGCTAGTCCTAGCTCAAAGATAGATTTTCCATAATAATACGGAAAAACGCGAAAGAAGCTATATATGAAGCCTATGATATCAAGAATTGGGCATATTATCTCGAAAGAAAATGATACATTGAAGAGAACTTTTATAGCTAAAACTGTCGCATCAAGTCCTTCAGTTTTGGAGCGAAGACCGTCTACACCTACTGAAATAAGAATCCAGAGGAGGCTAGAAATTGATTATTCTGTAAAACCTCGAGCAATAATTCCCCGAAAAAGAGTGCATAAAGGAACTTTTCCTTTTTTAGTAAGATCCCGAAGTCCAATAGATTATTCTATCTCACCTTCGCCTCCTCCAGGTCGTTATCACCCTCATTATGATTTTTTGCTTGCTCTTTCTAATTTAATTAATTTAATTTTATATCTAATTTTCTCTCTATTTACAAATTTATATAAATAAATATATAGTAAATTATTATTAAAAGATTCATAATAAATACCTAACTCTCCAGAAGAGAAAAATTTTTTTAAATGAATACTTTAATTTATGAATCTGTGCTCGAAAAAAATGTATATAGTGCATTTGAGATTTCTATAATAATTATTAGTTATAAATTAAAAAAAAAATTTTTTTGCTCACTAACGAATGGGATTTAATTTTTCCGAGTAAAGGAATTTTTCTAATTCCATTACTTTCTAGCCGAAAGGAGCAAGAAATTGATCGAAAAAATGCTATTTTTGTGTGGCGAATTAGGAATTCTCCAAGAGTTGTGTTCAGCAAAGCTAGGCTTGTACGAGATAACTCAGAAAAAATCAATCATCAGCCTGCAAGTGAGCCCATTCGCATGACAGCTTTAACCCCAGAGCCAGATACAAAAAAAATAAAAGGAATTTTATTTTCCAAACAAAGCCAGCGCAAAGAAGTTTTTTCCAGTAAATCCTACACCAATTCCTCTTCTTTTTATACTCCAGCTAGTTTATTTCCTTCCCCGTCCAAAGCTCATAAGTTTGAATCCTATCCTTCCAGAAAGCCCCTCCACCGCTGTGAAGAATTTCTGCCAGACTATCAACCGAATTACTCAATTTTATATAAATCATCTAATAATTCATTATTAGTCTAAATAACTTCTTGGCGACGTGGGGAAGTTGTCGCTTTTTGCCTTGTACATCATAATTTTATACGTTTCCGAGGTAGGAAACACAAAACTGTCTTGAACCAGCTGAGGACAAATCTTGACGAGATTTGGAAAAGCTGATTCAAGTTTGGACCGTAAACTGGTATTTAGGTTGTTAGTCTTGAAAAGTTGCTGGATTTCTTCCTGTTCACTGAGCATGGCGTTAGGATTCAAGTCGGCCATATCACATCCTCTTGAAAGAGCTTCTAACTCCTTTATTTATAAAAATTTTTATTCTATTCATTCTATTAGAAATATGAATTTGCTCTTTTCTGGAGATATGGTAAAAAAATTAATTCATAATAATTTTTGAATTTTATTTCCTAAAAATTTTTGAATCTTATTTGATTCTAATATGGGAATGGTAAGAATTCTACAAACGACATCTCAATATGTCGCTTTTTGTAGAGTTCATCCACCTGCGTCATCATCGCTTGAGTAAAGCACAAGTCAATTTCACGAGCTGCAAAATTATCATTAATTAGACCAGCCTCACTGCAAAGTTGTCTGAACTCTTCCAAACTCATAAACGCTTTCATTCCTGGTAGAGTCTTCTTTCCACTGTATTTTCTATATAGTGCGTCAAGAATCGGCTTGTGAGCTTTTAGTACTAAATCTACTTCTTCACAGACGTATTTATCAAACCTCCACTTATTTGTGTCATTATTTCTCATAACTGTCAATAAGTGTTCGTCCAGAAGTTTTTGTATAGATTCTGCAACCGTTGTGCAGATTTTATTCCTTATATATCTATCATTAGCAATTCTCACCAGGATTTCCATAAACTCATATCTAACTAATGCACTTCCTGGGTTATAAAGTTGCCCCTTTTCTTTAGGCACAATGCAAGAGTTCCAATTAACTCCGAGGTCACTTACAGCATAATTGGAGTCTATAATTTGGCACTGATTCAAAAAATCGGTTAAAACGTTAGATCCAATAGAAAAGATTTCTGACCCGCTGAAAGCGGCTAAATACTTGTAGGTTTCTCTTATGTGCTTATAGTTTGCCTTTAAAATTTCCTTGACTCTGTCCTGGTCAGCCTGGTTTTTTATAAAATTCATAAGACGAGAGTGCTTCCAATCGAATTCGAAACACTCATTTAGCAGATTTTCATCGTCAAATTTGTAGTCTCTAAATAGGGAAATAGGGATACTCCATGGAATTCTTTCAAGCTCTTGTTCAGGAGGGATATAAACAAGGCCCGGAATTCTAGGCTTTACATCAAAGTTAATATTTTTACAACAGACTGGACCATTTGGTTGAAGGACATTAATGCTATGCATTTTTATGGTTTCTATGAAGCCAGGCCAAAATTGAATTTGCCTTTGAATTGGAGTTTCCAATTGGATGATTTTATGTTCCAAAGATTTCATTGGATTTCCATAGTGACTAAAAAAAAACTTAACTAGTCCTGGAGGGACAGCTCGGGTAAGCTTATATGTTCCGTCATGATTCTCAGACATAAGGTCAGCTGCATAGTTATCGCATTCCAAATGCAAAAAAATTGGCTCAGAGTCAGCATTTCCTGATATCTTTGGCTTCCAATAAAAGTCGATTTCTACCCAATCTTCACACACCCAGCAATTGATCGACTCTTTATATGAATAATTTCGTGATGGCTCAATGATTCTCCTAAAAAAATGTCCTTGCTCTAGCCTTTCTCCTGCCATTTGAGGCTTAATAAAGCCTTTAGCGCTTAAAGAGCACTCATTTCCAGCCATGTGAATTCCAAGGATTACATGATTTTCATTGAGGAATTCCCCGATAACTTTGCATTCTTCAGAATTGAAATAATTATACGAGAAATCCAAGTGGTATAAAGTCTTATGGTTTTTCAAAGCTTGCCCGATAGTTGTTGCAACTTCTAAAGAGTTGTTCCTCCCCATTGCATTTCATGATAAATCCAACACTTTTAGCACATCGTTTTCTGCTAGACCTTGGAAAAGAAGTAAAGCGCCATCTCCTCTTATTTTATTCCAATGCAAATCTAGCCTTTTTAACGACTGAGTGTGGTATAATAAGTCATGAAGTGCTGCAGCAGAGTTGTCGGTTAGGTTGTTTCTTGCTAAGTTAAGCCTTGATAGTGTTTTATTATCAGCAAGTATCTGGCACAGCTCAGAAACTGCTGCGTCAGAAATAGAAGTGTTTTCCAAATTTAAGTGTCTGAGTGTTGAATTGAATCCTGATAGCATGTCTATAATTTTTGCAACAGATTTTTGTCCGATTTTATTGTCAGCTAATGAAATTGCTCTGATTTTGTGCGACGGCAGTTTTGATAAAATACTAAAACTGCCTCTTTCAGTTAGCCTATTTCCATTTAAATTGATTTTTTCTAGTCCTTTGACGTGCTCTAATCCTTCAGAAAAGGCTTCAGCGTACAAATCTCCCATGCTGTAACAGTGAATATCCAAGTTATTTTCAGGGCCGCTTCTCCTGACCATTCCAAACGGCTTCGGCTGTAGTTGATTTTGTTCAAGTCTCTGCAAATACGCCACATTTGGAGAGTCTTCGAGCTTCTCAAACTTGTTTCTCTGTGATACTTTTGGCAGGTTTTTAAAAGAATCAAAATATTCAAGACGAGCTACAGGTCCAATAGCACCTGCATAAGTTTGCATGCTGCCCGATTCGGCCTTTTCTCTAGATTTCAAAAATAGGCGTCGAGAAACTTCACCACTTTCAAGTTCATCTCGCAGAGAAATTGGAGGAAATGTGGATTGGAATGTGCGAGTCTGCATTTTTATGGGTGATGAAAGTGAAGTCTTGGAAGTGTTGTCGAAGGTCCGAAAATTGCCGAAACTCATTAATGTTGCACGTGGAGAAAGTTTTGGGAGTAGACGAAGTTTTTTATGCGATTTTGATTTTTCCATTTAAAGATTATGAGAAAAATAGAAAATAAAAGAGCTAAAATTACGGTTTCAGTATTGAGTGATAAATATTTAATTGAATTTACTTGGAAAATAGCATAAAAATATTATGTTGTGAAAAGTTACTGATTATTAATTGAACGATATTATATATTATAAAAATGTGGGGAAAATTTAACACTTCAAAAAATACTTAAAATTTTGAAATATTGATAAAAATCTGTTAGATTAATTAGGAAGATATCTATATCTGGGTTTATTATAATTACAACGGTACTGTCATTAGCTGGAGCTTCACGAAATCTTCTGACATTTTAGTAAGGTAGTCTTTTCCTTTATATATGAACGTAGAAAATGGGTTGCTTTGATTTTCCTTCCAAGACTTGATTTTTTCTCGAAGCTCTTTACTAATAACCAGGATTTCCATTACTTTTGTTTTAAGATTTTCGTTATCAAGGAGCCTTTTAAGGCTTTTGAGAAGATTTTCTCTGCGGTGAATGATTTTAAGAATATCTATAGTGATCTTCCTGACTTGAAAAATTTCTAAGCATTTACTTAATAATGCCCTTATATTGTAAGGTGTTTTTGAGCTGAATCGTTCTCGAAAATTTTTAATATCATCTTGAGTCCCAAGCATTGAAGTTAACAATTTCTCCAATGTTTTCAGTGAACTCTCATATACTTCTTCCAGCTGGCTTTGCTCATTTGGCAAGCTTTGAATTGCTTCTTTGATGCTTTCTTCTGAAAACTCGCTTGGGACTTCATTTTTTACTTCAAAATTCAGTAGTGATTTAGCCCAATCATCTGTTAAGGATCCTGATCCAACATCAGCCAAAGTTTCTACTTGCTCGTCAATATTTGAGTTATCTTCAGTTGAAAGTGCACTTGACCTTCTTCTAAATAGCCTATTATCAATTGGAGATTTCTGCTTTGTTTCACTTTTTGGAGTTTTGCATGAAAGTTTTGTGGTTGGTCTTGAGGAATATACGTGTTTCGGGGTCAATGACAGTTTTGTTGTCTTTCTTAGGCTCACTTTTGGAGCTTGCTTTATTGGAATAAGCTCTAATAAAATATTAGGTTGGCTTCTCAAAGCATCTACAACGTTTTTCCAGAGCTCTGGCTCCTTTATTTCTCTGAGTTCTCCCATAATCAGTGAAGCTTCTTTCAAATTATAGGCTGAGTCCACTGGAATGCTTTTTGTCCTCTTTTTGTTCTTAATTATCGGAGTCTTATTAAAAACCTGCGATTTTTCTCTTCGACCTTTTGGAAAATTCTGCTTTGCACGTCTCTACATATTTGTTACGAAAATGTTGCGTATTTTGTTGTCTGTGCTGTAGTCTTTTGAAACCCTCATAGACATTTCCAAACTTTTTTGATTGATTTTTTTGGAGACTTCAGTTTTATCTATAATTGTCTTTATTGACGGGTTTTCACAGGTCGGAGAAAATTCAGTTGGCAAGGTTTGCAGATCCTGAGAAGGAGACTTGCTTTGAGCTCTGCTGAGTTTACTTTCACTTATTATCGCAATTTTTCTTTCGTGCCTCTTCTTTAGGGTTCTTGGACTATAAATTTTCCTATTGAAGTCGCTGCCATCAAATTTCTTATCAAAAGACTCTTTAAGCCACATAAAATCTTTCAGATGTGGACCCATTGGAGACGAAAGGAAATGTTTGGGGTTTTCATGAGAGTTAATCATTAGTTAAATTATATTGCACAAGTTTAATTAGGTTAATTTCGCTACTCAATCCCAAAACCAAAAACATGGCTGTTAATAACAAATTTCATAGCTTTTTTCATTTCTTTCTTTGTAGGATACATAGGAAGATCTAGCCTATTAAAGCAAGTGTGAGACATTGGGTAAATGTTCCTTTGGCTATAGATTGTTGGCTCAATTGTGAACCGTGCTGTGTCTCCTCTTAACGTTCTCAGTGAAGAAAACCCTTCAACAGGAAGTCTAGGAGATCCAGTTACAAAGACCAATAGGTTCATAAGCTGCTCTTGGGTGAATCCTGCTAAAATTTCCCAAAACCACTCAATGACTTGATGTTTTCTGCTATATTCTCCTCTGTATTCAGTGAAATCTTGCCAATCTTCTAAATCGATTAATGGAAGCCCACATAAGCAAAGCTCAAGCTCTTCAGAGGTAAAATTTTTTATTAACGCTTTCGGGATCACAGAGTAAAATCCTTGCAGCAACAATTCCAGGCCTCCTTTCATTATTTCATAAGTCTCAAATCTCAATCGTTTTTCAATGTATTCTTCTTTGTTCTCTTCAGAAACCATGATTTGGTCTCCATCTTCTTTCAATGGAAATTTAACTATTTTTCCATCGATTTCTTTTTCTAATTCAAAACTCGCATAAATTCCGTCTTCAAGTATATTGTCTTTCATATACATCAATGAAGAGTAAAGCTAAATAATTTTTACCTCGCTATCCAGGAAATTCAGATCCTTCAGCTCAATTTTTTCTTCAACAAGATGCTTGTAAATTACTTGAGATAAAGGACAATTAATCTGGATTTTTTCAAATAGAGCTTTCCCCATAAGTTTCCCAAAAAATACGTAGCTGGATACATATTCGTCAGTACAAACATTAGGGAAGGTGTAGCTTGTCATCGTGCTTGATGCTTTTACAAAGAGACCATACTCTTCTGAAATAAGGTTTCTTAGAAGCAGAGTTATCCATTCCCTGAAGATTCCTCCGGCATCTATACCAATTTCTCCTTTAAAGCTAATTTGAAACTCTTTATGCATGTCTTCAGCTGTGCAGAATAGCACCTGAGTTAGAGAAGCTTGAACGAAATCGTCACGAGTCACATTGATTTTGACGTTTTCTGACTGTCAGGGGACTCGGATTTTGTCGAATTCTTGGTAAAGTCATTTGACCTTGGTATCATATGGGAGATCTTTGGAGATTTGGATGTTTAATAACTTATTTTGCTGATTTTCATTTCGGTTCCTCGAACAGGAAATCAAATGTTCAGCAAATAATGGAATTTCTGTGGTCCTTGGGAATTCCATCCTGCATGTGGGACATACCAAGGAGTTATTTACTCGATTAAAAACCACCATGTTGTGTCTTTGGCTTTCCTGTCTGGATTCCTGCCTCTGCCTATTAATGCGTGCTAAAATAGAAGACTTCGTTATGCAGCAGCAGCCCATTGAAACAATATTTATTACTGAATTTAAAAATCTACTGATTAATAGATAGTGTAGAATTAAAAGATTTCTCAATAAGATTCGCAAATATGGTCTGCGCCAACTTCAAATAGTAATTTCATCAAATATTTCCTTTAATTTTCGCGCTTTTTCTCCCATACCACATAACTCTTCACGCTTCCTCACAATCTCATATCTAATTTTTTTACAGGCTGAAAATTGAGATGCCTATTCAAATTCCAGATTTCCTTGATAATTCATAAATGGACTCCAAAAAAAAGTTAAATCTTCGTCAAGAAAACTCGTCGTTTGAAGATCTTGATGTAAAAGTGCTTTATTTTAATACTTCCCCATCACTGAAATCATCAGTAGCTTCTCAATACAAATCGAGTTTCCTCGAAAGAAGAGAAGAGATGTCGTCAAAGCCAAGCATTTCTACGCCCAGCGTTGTTAGTCCTCATTCTATAGAAAAAGCTCGTGCATTCAGGGAAACTGAAGCAGATTCACTGGTGGGGTTCGACACCTTTGAAGACTTCTGCACACTACCAGTGTCACCTCAACGCTACGTGGGGAATTTTCAAAAGAATTACCTGGACTGTGGGCAGTGGCCAGATGTAACACCAGACGAACAAGTCAATTTGAAGAAAAAATGTCAGATACTGCAAAGAGAGTGCGGGAAATCAGAAGCAGCGAGAAGCAGGCTGGAGAATGAGCTTGACGCATACAAAAGTGGAAAAATACCATGCAAAGGCTGCAAAATTTTGAAAGAGAAAAATAAAGTCACCAAAAAGGCGTTAGAAGAAGCAGTGAAACTGAGCGGCCTACTATTAAACGAAGTTCATAGATTAGATTCAGAACTAAGGCAGCCAGAATGCTCACCGAGAAACAATAAAAAAGTAGTATTTACAACAAAAATGTAAATAGAGTTGCAAAATTGTCTAACTATAAGTTATTATCGATCTTACCTAATATTTCGTAATTGGAGTAATTATTGTCGACTTGGATTAATTTCTTTTTAAAATTCCCAATAAACTAATCGAATTTATAAGTAAATGGGGAAAAATAAAGCATTTCTTTTATGATTACTTTTCATTGTAGGATTTTAGCTTTTTCAATATTTTATTAATTAATTTGTTTTTTAATCTTTAAAGATAAATTCTAATTCCATAGAAGTATCGTCTTACCAGTCGATGCAATTCTTTATAAATTAAATACTAGAGCAGGCCTTCTTCCAAATTTTTACTAAATCTCTCTGTAAATGAGTGAAAATTTTTAAAAATCTCTATTATTATGCTACTAAAAATTTGAAGTTTAAAAGATATAATTATTTTAAATTTTTAAACTATTTAAAGTTTAATAGAATTATCTGAAGATTTCATTATAATAATTATTGAATATTATTTATAAAAAATATTTTATTATTCACTGACTCTCCTTGGTTAGAAAGCAAAATAAATAAAAAATCCCATTATAGGGCAAAAATTTTTTTAATGTATAAATTTGTAATAAACTATATTTTTATATCATTTAATTCTTATAATAGTGAAATCTAGAGCAAGTTATATTAAAGTCTTTACAAAGTGCAATCGAAAACATAATTTATAAATTAATGAGATTTAATTGGATTATTTCATTAAAATATTTGCAAAATTTATTTTTAAAATCAAATAAAAAAGATTTCTATATGAAAAAATTAAATTAAAAAATTTAACACTTTTTGGTAGAGAGCAAAAAACCTTGCTCCCTTGCCAAGAGGAGTGAGGGATAAAATATCTCTTCAATGATTTTTCATGCAAAAATGTTTTTGAATCCCATTTACCCAAATTCTAAATTTAAATATGAGATTTTCAAGTACCAGAAGGTCGCAAACTAAAGAACTCAAACCAGACCCAAAGAGAAACCTGTCTTTCTCTAGAAACAATTCTCGCTTAAATTCTTCTCTAGATATCATCCCTCCCACAGATCCTACACTTCATATTCAAAATAGGATTCAAAGCATTGCCCAAAAAGTAAAACGTAACTTTTATATAGACATGGCGGATTGTTCTGAATCCTTTGAAATTGGCAGAAAAACTAACATTGATGACTCTTTCAAAAGCAGCTTTTTAATCCCAGAAAAAGAAAACTCTAACTCCTTAATTTAATAATATAAATATGAATACCACAAAAATACTCAATTTTTATTGTTAACTATCTTTCAGCTGTTGAAATCAAAAATAATTGTCTTTTACCTCCTTTATTCTAAATAATTAATAAAAAATCCTCGCTGTAATTACCAACCCAGATAATAAGAACAAGATAAAAATCTAAAAAATTATTGAGGAGAAGTGAGTCATTAGAGCTAAGTCGGTTTTCAATGATTTCAGAACTTTTAGCTGGCGCCCAAAGCGATATTTTAGATATTTTCAGCTCATCTATGATATCAAGCAGCAAATCAAAACTGTGGGAAATTTTCACGAATCTCAATAATAAGATTTGAAAGCTATGCTTTAGAGGGGTCGCGCTGAAGACTACTCCTGCAGATTCTCAGATGAAAGCCTTGATTGAAGAAAACAAGGATTTGAAAGCTGAGATTGAGCAGCTAAACGAACAAGTAGAAATTTATGTAAATAAGTTCCACGAAAAAAACATTGATAGTGATGAAATGAATGAGCTCAAAGCACAGATTTTCAGCTCAAACGAAATAATAGCGAACTTACAAGACCAATTAAAAGATACTAAAGCACTTTTAATTGAAAAAGAAGGCTCTTTAAACCGCGCAAAAGCGGAAAACCACATTTCTATTAACAAGTTAAAAGAAAGGATCAGTGAATTAGAAATAAAAGTTGCCAAAAAAACAAAGCTTGCAAAATCATCTGCAAGGAGCACACCAGTGGATTATGATATAGGAATGATTAAAGAGAAATTAAGCTTGGTCACTCAAGAACGCGATAGTTTAAGAGAATGGAAAGAAAGATTTTCACAATACCCTTCTACATATGAAAAGACTATCCAGAAAATGGCAGATGACTTCGAAAGAGAAAAAGCAAAATTTGTCGAAGTCATTGAAACCTTGCAGAAACAAGCTGATGACAATTCTTTTCAAAAGATCCAAGCGCTAAAAAATCCAAAAACTCATGAAAATCAAGAATTAATAAATAATTTATTAGCTGAGAAAAAAGAAACTTCTGAAAGGTTCAACACAATGAAAAAGCAATATGAAGAGCTGAAAGGCCAGTCAAGAAATAACGAATACATTGAGAAATACTATACTTTGAAAAAACAGTATGACGAACTGCTCTTACAATTAGAAAACTCTAGAAATGAAAGAGTAAAAGCAGTAGAAAGTCTACAAAAAACCTGCCTTGACTTGCAAGATAAATTTGCTAAACAGTGCTCAGCGTATGAAATGCTAAGCCAGCGCTATCAAGAACTGCAAGGCAGATCAGATTCGGTTGATTTAACTAATCGCTCAATAATAAAGTCAAGCAGATCAGACTTAAAATCAAAATCCAGAGAAAAGTCCATCCAAATTTCTGATATAAATGAATACAGAATTACCGAATTGGAGACTGAAATAGAAAATACCAAAAACACAATAGAAGATTTAACAATGGAAAATAGAAAGCTTAATGAAATAAAATCAGAAAATGACGAAAAAATCAAAATTTTAATGAAAGAACTTGACTCAGCTAAAAAAGAATCAAAAAATCAAAGACTAAGGAAAGTCAGTTTGGGTGAAGAGCAAGCTCAAGCATTAAAACAAATTGCTTTATTGCAAGGTTTGGTAGATGAGCTTAAATTGAATAGCATCAATGACGAAAAGATAAAAGAAGATCTCCAAGCGAAATTAAAATCTTATGAACAAAAATTATCAGAGGAAAACGAAAGATCAGCATCACTTTACGAGACTGGGAAAAAGCAGCTCGAGGAGTTAACAGTTTTGAGAGAAAAATCCTCAAAGAAAAATGATCAATTAAGCACATTAGAAAATGAGTTGAAAAAATTAAAGTCTTCTAATATTGAGTTGGGAACTTTGATAGAGAAAATTCATAAAGAAAACTCTGATGAAGTAAACACACTGAGAAGAAGCTTGAAACATACTGATGACAAGAAAAAAGACTTAGAGATGAAGCTAAAAGAAAGTGAAGATATAATAGAAGATCTTAAAGAAACCAATGTAAGAATATCAAATGAGGCTAAAAACTACAAGGACAATATAGAACATTATATTGAAAAAATTCAAGAACAAGAAAAAAGCGCCAAACTGGAAGCAGACAACATGCAACAAATTATCCGTAAATTAACTAAACAAAATAAAGATCTGCATCTAGAAAAAGAAAATACTCAAAGAATGCTGGACAACTCTGAATCTAAATATAAGTTAGAGCTGAGGAATCAAGAAATCCTTTCAGAAAGGAAAATTAGAAGCCTAGAAAACGAGCTAGAAGTCACAAAAGATGAAAACAACAATGTCAAAAGATTCATAGAAAACATCCAAGAAAGCATGTTAGCAATGAGAGAAGAAACTCTAAATGCAAAAGCAAGCCTAGAAGTAAACCATAAGCAAATAGAAGAATTAAGGAAAGAAAAAGACAAAACAATTCATAAACTCGAAGCAGAGCTTAATGAGCTTAAAATGAAACGATCAGCTTCTCAGCAGGAACTCCAAAATGAGTTAAAACATTTAAATGAGAAAAATAGGCATAATGAAGAATTGATTGGAAAACTGAAGTTAGAAATTGAAAATTTGAGTGACTCAAAAGAAATTTTAGAAGGAGAAAGAAATAAGCTTGAAGAAGAGGAATTAAAAAATAAGGAGAAATTGAAGGATTTATTAGAGGAAAAGCAACTATTAGAAGAAGATAGAACAAGGCTTAAAGGAGAAATCATAATAAACGAAAAGAAATTGAAAGAATTGATAAATGAAAAGAATTATATTGAAGAAGATAGGCTGAAACTTAAGAATGAAATAATTAAAAATGAAGAAATATTGACAAATTTAAACAGTGAGAAGAAATGCTTCATAGAGGATCGGTTGAATCTTGAAGAGAAAATTTTGAAGTATGAGGAGCAGCTAAAAAATTTAAGCTCGGCAAAAGAGATTTTAGAAGAAGATAGAGTGAGACTACGAGAAGAAGCCTTGAAAGCTGAAGAAAAATTGAATAACCAAAAAAGTAGCTATGAAACTGATTTAGAAAAAGAGAAAAAGAAGTTTCAAGAGATCGCTAAAGAACTTCAGCGAGAAATTGAAGAAAAATCAAGAAAATTAGAAATGGCTGGCAATGAGATAGAAAGCTTAAAATTGAGACTAAGCCAAACCATCATTGATAATGATTCTATTGCCAAAATGAACGAATCAGAGATTAAAAAGAAAAATTCAGAAGTTGAGAAGTTCATTGAATCTAAAGATAAGAAAATTTATGATTTAGAAAATCATATAGATAAACTCAGGAAAGAAAATTCTGCTGCTTATAATGAATTAAATGAGAAAGAATCTGAAATCCTAGCAATTACAAAAGAGTAATTTATATTTAGAATTAAACACTTGAAAGATGAAAATTCTCGCTTTAAAGCTGAGAATTTGAGAATTTCTGATGAAAATGAAGTGCTAACTCCCCCGAACAAATCCATTGGAAAAATCCCTATTTTTTTTTGCGAAACATAAAAAAATTTTGATATATAAGTGATAATTAGTATAATGAAATCTCAAGTTAATTTTGTTTAATTTGAGCAGCTTGCATTTTAAAACATAAATTTTACAAATTAAACAAATTTGTTTTCGATTTTTACGATTGGGATTTTTTTAAATTTATATATAAATTTTCTTAAGAAAAATTAACCCTCTCCGTGAGTAGACAAAAGTTTTTGTTCGCTCACTGAGGGAGAGTAAGCATTAAAACTACAAAAATACAAGCTGAAAAAGAAAAAATTGAGAAAAATCATAATGAGATTAAAGAATGCTGTGATGACCTGAGAAGATCTTTGGAAAATTCTAGCAAAGCTGAAATGGAACTAAAGCACCAACTTAATCTATCTCTAGAGAATTCAGGTAAATTAGAAAACGAAATCATAAATCATGACTCATTACTTAAGGAATTAAAAATTCAGCTCAATGCCTATACAGAAAAATCAGATAATCTTTCAAAAGAAATAGAAAATTACAAGTTGCTGCTGGAAAAAGCCGAAAATGAAAATAAAAGTAAAATAAAAGAAATAGAAGAACTGAAGAACTTTTTGCCTCAACTTCTTGAGGACTCACAATCAAAGGAAAATATAATCATAGAGCTTGAGAATGAAGTGAAATATCTAAATGACTCATTGCTAGCAAATGAAACTACAAGAAATAAGCAACTAGAAGATGAAAAGAGAGCTTTATGTGGAGAAATAGAAGAATTAAGCTTAAAGCTCAGTTTAACTGAAAAGGAAAAAAATGAAGCATGCAGCCAAGTAAAGCTAGTTGAAACTCAGAAAAATGAAAGAATTGAAACTTTGGAAGATCAATTGAAAGAGGAAATCAATAAGGCACAATTAGCTGCAACTCAAAAAAATGATCAGATTAAGAGCTTAGAAGAGCAGCTAAAGGAGGAAATTAGCAAGTCTAAATTAATTGAGACTCAAAGGAATAAGCAAATCAAAGAAATAGAAGGACAGTTAAAAGAAAAATGCGATTTACTTAATGAATTTAACTATTCCGATAGCGAAAAGAATGAAATTCTTAACTCGGACCCTTTAGCAAGCAAGCAAAACCAATATAAAAATGATCACCCTTTTTTCGGAAGCTATAAATTATAATTTAAATTTATAATAATTAAGTCTCAAGCAAATTATATTAAATTTCTGATAGCTAATGCTTTAAATCATAAATATTATAAGTTAAATAATTTTGCTTAAATATGAATTATAATTTTAATATAAAATCTAAAACAAGCAATTCACCTTAATTAGCGAGCAAGATTTTTGTGCTGGCTTACCAGCTCTGGAAGAGTAAGAAATTGCAAGATCAAATTGAAGAGAAATCAAAAGCAATTGAGGAAATCGAAGAATCTAAAATAATCCTCGAAGGCTCTCTAAAAGAATTAAACGATTTGCTCGAAGAAAAATCTCTTTTATTAAGTAACTACAAGGACCAACTAAATCAAATCACAAAAAATTGCTCAGAATATGAACAAAAGTAATATTAATATAGAAACGATGAGCTTTCATCACAAATATCTAGTCTTCAAAGTATAATTTCTGAAAAATCTGCCTCAGAAGCTTCTAATCAAGACAAAATTAATATCCTGACAAAAGAATTAAATGAGCTTATGGAGAATATTGAGTATTTAGAAAAATCTTCCTCAACCCAAAATCAGCAAAATTCCCAGATTTCATATGATTTAGAATCCGCAAGAGCTCATAATGAAAACTTGAAAAACGAAATTAACTCATTGAAGAAAGACATAGCCCAAATCAATGAAAAATATGAAAGAACTATAGATGATCTTCAAAATGAAATTAATGATTATAAGAATGATATAGAAGATTTAACTGAAAAATACCAAGATGAGCTAGAAAAATCAAGAAAATTAAAGCAGGATCTTGACCAAGCCAATAAAAGTTTGAATGAGTCAACAAAACAAATGCAAGCGAATTCCTCAGAAAAAATCAACGAACTAATTTCTCAAGTCCAGTTTCTCGAAAGCAAGGTAATTACCGTCGAAAACGGAAATATCAAGCTTCAACAAGACCTTCAACATAAAACCAATCTAATTAACGACCTAGAGGAAAAATATTTTGAAGAAAAAGAATCCCACGACTCATCTTGCATTGAAAAAGAAGATTTTAAATCCCAGATTGACCATTATAAGCTTGAAATCCAAAACTATAAATCTCAAATAAACGACCTGAAGTCTCAAAACGCCAATCTTCAGTCAGATTATTTAAAAAAAGATGAAGCCTTGACAGAAACCTCTCAAGAACTTATGAAACTTCTTGAAGATTTTGAAAAATGCATCAAGGACAAACAAGAAGAAATTACTGAGCTAAAGAAAAATAATGACATCGCAATGGCTGAGTTAGAGTCAGAAAATGAAGAATTAAAATCATCTCTCTCAGCTTTGCAGTCAAAAACATCAAAAATTCAAGAATTGATGACTCAAAAAGATGAGGAACACATGAATGTCATAAAAACATTGGAATCAGAAATAGAATATTATAGAAATAGCAAAGACTCTGTCATGATTGAAAGACTCGATAAACAAATTAAGGAAAAAGAAAAAGAGCTCTCTGAATTAAGGAACGAAAAAGAGATAACGGAGGGAATGGTTGCGCAGCTAGAAGGCAGGGCAAATCATTTGGAAAAAGAAAAGCTTTCATTATTGCACACAATTGAAGTTTTAGATGGGAATAATGCAGATTTAATGATTGAAAAAGAGCAATTTCAGCTTCAAATTGATCTATTCAAGAAGGAGATAGCAAAAACATCCTCAGAAGGTCCGTCAAATCTATCTGGCCTTTTAAGTCCAGAGCATACAGTGATATCCCGTCTTGAAAACGAAGAAGATATCAAGGTTTCTCCATCAGCTTTGCTATCAAACATAAAATCAAGCGTAAAAATACTAAAAAGAGTGAGATATGAAACCACAATCTGGTGTCTAGTAGGAAATGACAGTAAAGATTCTTACTGGGTAGAAGAACAAAATCTGACTGACATGCCTTTTTCTTCATCAATCCCTCCTATTGAAGAAGATGACTTTATTTTCCAAATGCAAAATCTCAACGACGCCTATGAAAATCTTCAAAAAGAAAACGAAAATCTCTCAGAAAGGCTTAGGGACCGAGAATTTTATTTCCAGCTTGTGAAGCAAATAGAAGAAATAATCCCAGCTGAGCTTTCAAACATGAATTTAATTGAAGTCATAACCTTTTTGGTATCAGAAAAAAATAAAACCGAGTCTACTTTAAGCAAATCAATAGGATTTATGGATAGGACCATGAATCTTGAATCTTTTACGATTCATGATATAGACCTTTCGCGCGATGAGCTGCCAATAGAAGAGAAAAGTGATAACACTGACAGGTCATTTGATATAGGATCAGTCAATTTTAATGCGGATGAAGCTCAGACACTCTATGCAACGATAAAGAGGCTCGAAGAAGAGAACCATGACTTAGAAAATACATTAAAGCTCCAAGAGCAGCAGCTAAGACTACTACATGAAGAAATCAATGCACAAGGCAAAACAAAATTTGATAGCGGGAATATTGAAAGCTTGCTATCTGTTGTAGTTAACATGGCTGAAATTCTGCCAATACAATCACAAGAAATTGAAGGAAGCTTAAAAGTGATTTTTTCAATTCTGGGGATACCAAAAGACAAAGTTGAAGAAATTGAAGAAAAACGCAAAATTCAAAAATCCTCTATATCTTTTATATATGAATAATCCTTATAGTATGATACTCTACAAATTCATGAGCAGACGGATTAAAAAATCTTCATCAATAAAAAAGATGTTCTTCAAGAAAAAAACGTAAATAATGATAAAATGCTTAACTTTGCTTTAAAAAGACCATCAAAACCATGTCGTTGGTTATATAATAACTCAGCAAAGTGTTCTCGTCTTTTAGCTCTTTTCCTCCGAAAAAGACTCTAACATCTGCAGCTGGGATTCCTTCTTTTTTTGAGTATTCCTCTTTAAGTAGACTCACAAGGTTTTGGCTTTCAATTTCTATTTCTACATCCTGAGCTTTCCCAGGTCTTCTCAGTTTCAGTTTTAAAAGTTCATGCTCGACAATTGTGGGCCTGTTTACCCGGTGTTTCTTTTCATTCACAAAGGCGACAGGGTCATTTATTATAAAAGGAGGGATATCGTAGATATTTCCATTAGCGTCTTCACAGACAGTAATGCAGCCATCTCTGCACGTAATCCCAGCCATTTGTAGCAGAACAGCAGCTGTGGCGTGATCTGCTTCTACAGCACTTTTTATAGCAAGCCAGGTGCTCCTTCTCCCTGTAGTCCTTGTTCTTCAGAATTCTTCTCGCTTTGAATTAAGTTGAGGACGGGTAATAGAGGCTTTTCAAGCGATCGTTTTTTTAATCCCTTCACCTGAAGCTTGACCTTCTATCTCGCGGTAATCTTTGCCTATGTTAAATTTTGGACGAGTCACAGAGTCATCAGCATCACTTCTTGCGCAGAAATTTCCCATATTAAAAAAATTACAAAATTATTTCATTAAACTTGGTCGGTTTCCAAGAACCTGGGACGTCAGTACCGAAAGTTTCGCATTTAAAATTTCTTCTTTGGCCTTTGATTCTTCAATTTTTCTTGATAATATTTTTTGCTCCTGGCTAGCTTCATCTATTTGATTTTTTAGCTGAGAAATTGTTGATTTTAGCTGCTCCTCTTCTGCTAAATTCAGTTCTGCAATTGAATCATTAGGAGCTACCAGGCTATCTGAAGTTTCTAATTCTTTTATCTGCATTTCTAAGTTTTTTATATCATCTTTTAATTTTTCAATTTCTTTTCTATCTGAGGATGACAGCATGTCTCTTATTTCTTCTTTTATTGATTGTTTTTTTATCGAATTATATTGGATTTCCAGCTCAATTTTTTCAATTTCAGCTAATAAGGCTTCAGTTTCAGTTTCCAGCTCAGCATTTTCAGTGTTTACTCCCCCCCCCCTCCGTGAGTGAACAAAAAAATTTTGTTCACTCACGGAGGGAGGTTAATTTTTTTTTTTTTAAAAAATTTATATAGAAATTTTATAGAAAATTTTTTTTTTTCGAATTTTTAAAAAACATCCTAATTTGCAAAAAATTGGAAAGCAAATATTGATTTAATTTATTAAATTTATTTTTTAAAACGCAATTCGTTTAAAATTAAACAGAATTAGCTCGAGATTTCATTATACTAATTATCACTTATATATCAATTTCTTTTTTCATAAAAAAAAATTTCTATTAAAAAAAATTTTTGTTCACTCATGGAGGGTGGGTTTTTGGGCAAAAAATAGGGATTTTCTAATGGTGTTTTTCATTCACGGAGGGGGGGGAGTTAGTAATTCAATTTCTTTCTTATAAGACAGCTTTTTTTTATTGTACTGCTGAAGTTTTGTATTGACTTGGGAATGGAGAAGCTGCACAGATGCGTATTCTGAAGAGGTTGCAATGCGCTCGTGCTCGTATTTGTCGCGAAGATTTGCCAGCTTAGCTAGGGCTCGTTGGACTTCTGCAGAATTGATGATTTTATTGAGGTGAAAGCCTGAGTTCGGGCGACTTCCATCAGAACTCATAGCATCACTTGCAAAAGAGTGAGAATTTGACATAGAAGGAGTACCGCTTGGCATGTAGGAAGAATCACTGCAGATTGAGCTGCGATGTGAATCAGGACTTTCCATTATGAAATTGTCTAATTAAAAATGTTTCCTTATAATTTCTTATTGCTTATAAAGCATATAACAATTAATATTTTAAGCTTGTTCAAATCCTTAAAAATAATTATATTTGTTAATGATAAATGAAAAGTTTATTCAGTTATTAAAATGAGTCAATTCAATCGAAAAACTGAATATTGAGTTATTCCAACTCCTGCAAAAGTAGGACCAGGGGCTTATGAAGTATTGACACCAAAAAAATCACGGCAATGTACAGCACCTTTCAAGAGCAGCGAGATGAGATCTTTGAGCGTTCCATTATCTAAGAAAAACGATCCTGGGCCAGGATCTTATATACATGATGAAAAAGTAAAACAAATGAGGAAGAGCAGGGTAACCACATTTTCTGCTATTCCAAGAGAGATCCAATTTCCTAATGAAGATGGAATTAAAGAAAATCCAGGACCTGGAAGCTATGCAATTGAAGAAAAACATAAAGTTTCATACAAGGGAAGACAAAATCATAAGCCACTTTCGTTGATTTTAGAGCCAAGCCCAGTTTCAATACCTGCCAAAATGACCCCAAATCAAGAAATCGGCCCCTTCAGCTATAATCCGAGATATTCCAAAACAAAACCATCAACCCGTACAACTGATTTTTCTGCCTATAAAAGCACAAGACCTGAAATATTTACAAGCAATACTGAAATTCCTGGCCCTGGACAATATAATAACGATTCCCCTCAAAAAAGTAATAAAAAACTCTCATGAACTTTTAAGTCAAAAGTCAAAAGAAAAAGTATTGAGAAATCAGAAAATCCTGGGCCTGGAACTTATCGTCCACAATTGCCAGGAAAGCAAACAAAAGCATTAGCTGAAGGCTTTGGAAGCACAACGGAGAGAGATGTGATGCTTTCAAATGACCCACATAGACCTTATGCATATGAAAATATCTCTCCACCTGTAGGAATTTATGACTATGAAAAGTCTCACAAAAATGATCTATTACGAAAAAAACTTCTTTTGCAGAAAAAAGAGCATGATAGGCCAAGCTTTAATGCGACTGAAAAAAGGGTTTTTAAGCTCTCATCAAATGAATATGTTCCAGGCCCTGGGCTGTATGAACTTTCTAGCTTTAGTCATTATGAAGAAAATCTGTATCCCTTTGGAATAAAGTCTCCAAGATTTAAAGAAAAAAAGCCAGCTATTATTCCAGGGCCTGGGTCATATGAAAATAAAGCTGATAATCAAATGAAGACTGGGCTATCAAGTCTTGTATCCAATACCCAAAGATTTGATAAAGATATGGTATGCAGTGGCGAACAGATTTCTACTGAATTTTATATTGGGCATCAGCCTTGAAAAGTAAAGAAAACGCGAGCAGATGATTCTGAGCTTAAATTTGATAGCTCAAGCCCTAGATTTCAAGATAGGAGAGACTTAAGTCCTGGGCCAGGACAATATCATAAAGATTTTCATAATAAGAAGCCAAAAATTTATAAATATACAGAAAAACGATTTTCTTCGTATGCAAACTATACGTTGCCTAGAGGTACATCAGATGAAATAGGTCCTGGAGCTTATCATCAAGATATGAATTTCTATAAAAAATCTTTCAATATAAGCGGAGAATTATCAGAATGCAAACCTTGGCTTTAGCTTACAGTTTATAAGTAAACAATAATTTTGACTCGAATAATATTTTAATTATTATGCCAATAGGCTAAGATATATTGATTTTTATTCTCGTATAAATAATGGTATATTTATTTTAGCTAGCATACTTCTTCATGGTAATGTCTTGGTGCACCTTTATCGTATGGTCAAACTTATCATAAGAAACTGAAACATCTCTTGGCACTTTCCAAGCATAATCTTCCATTTCCATCTTAGCTTCTTCAAAGCTGTTCGACCAATAGTAAAGTGGCTGCAGAGAGGTGATTGGAAATGGAACGTGAGCTGCTTTAAGAGGCTCAAAAAACCTGATCTCAGGTTTATCAGAGACTGCATTTTTAATCTCATCAACTGAGCTTAAAATTCCAGCTCCATACACTTTTCTTTCTCCGTTTTTCTTTTTAATTATGCCAAATTCTACAGAATACCAATAGCAAGTCCCGAGTTTAGCGATTTCTTCATCACTGACTCCAAGTGAAGCTAGGCTATTAACATTAATTGCTTACTCCCCCCCCCTCCGTGAGCGAACAAAACCATTAGAAAAATCCCTATTTTTTGGTCAAAAACCCACCCTCCGTGAGCGAACAAAAAATTTTTTTACATATAATTTTATATATAGTTTATTATATCTATATTTAATACAAATAAAGAGGATAATATTGAAAAATAATTATTAAGTTTGTTTGATATATTATTCAAAGGGTTAAAAAAAAGAATACCATAAGTGAAAAGGTTTGAATTTAACAATTTTAAATTTAAGACAAAAAAATGAATAGAAGAAATCGATTAGATAATTAACTTCTTCATATTAACTTGATGGCTGAAAATCTTTGGATGATTAACGCCATAAGAACCCGTCAACTCAAATGATTTTCTGACAAGTTGAGGGCTTACAGCATCTCACGCCTTTGAAGCAATGTTTATCAGTTGCTGGCGATCAAGAGCTTTGAGGTTTTCCAGTTCTTTTCGATCTTCTTTCAATCTGCTCTGTTTGGAATTTGATTCTGAAATCTGTTGTTTTTGATTTGAAATTTGCAATTACCAGTGCGTCAAGTGGTTGCAAATACTTTGTGCACCCTCCAGGGATCACAATTTTGGTTGCATCTAAATCTGAAATTGCATTAGAAATCATGATAGTTTTATGACTTCCAGCCTGATCATAAATCAGCAGTTGGTTTTCTCGTCTCAATATTGTTCTGAGGTAGTCATTAAGAATCTGGTCAGAAATGTAGCCAGATTTATTTGATTTTATGATGACATTTTCTGGAATATTCAGTCTTTCTCTTACAAGGTTCGGGATCTGGCCATTTTTCTCTTGAAAAATGAGCAAAGCAGGCATTTTTTCTCCATCAGCTCTAATCATAAGCATAACAGTGATAAAATGGTTCATTTTAGCTGATTGAACGCCTAGAATTTCGTTGAGTTCCCTTGAAATCATAAGTGAACTTGCTTTTTACATCTCAATCAAATCTCGTTTCATCGAAATTGTAAATGTTAGATGGAACGAATTGAGGAAGCAATGACGCTAAATCATCTAGGTATTGCCTGACAAGTTCTGCCTCTTTTTCGATTGGCTTAATGCTTGAGGCATTGATTTTTCTGAAAGATAAATTATTTCTGGTCCTAAATCCTTGCCACCATTTATCTCCACAGCCGAATCGCGCCAATCCCATTTCTGCCGCCAAACTTTTTGCTTTCTCCTCAAATCGTTGATCTGAGAACCTGAATACCTTGCTCACGGATTGCAGTAAACCAATGAACTAGTTCTTTCTCTAGCTCTGGAAATTGAGTGAAGCTTTCTAATTTTAATTTTTTATCAGATTTTACTGATTTCTTCAACTCATCAAGCTTATTCACCCATTCGGAAATCGAGCTAAAGGAGTTGACATGAAACTTTGCAGCAACATCTCTCATGCTCATCTCATTTTGTGATGAATGTAAAATTCAGCAATTTCAACTTTCTGCCAAATTTCAATGTACTTTCTTTTCCCTTTGTACATTTTTATTATGATTTATAGAGAATTTGCTTATTATATTAAATAAGAAAATATATAAAATATTTTAACTGAATGCATATATTTATTACTAATAGGTTTATTGATTATTAAATTATTGAAAAATTAAGCTGTGTTTTACCTTTAATCAAATGGTATTCTTTTTTTTTTGGGAAATTCCCTTACTCTCCCCCCATAATATTTTTAAAATAATTTTCAACTTATAAAAAAATATTATTTTACAATTAAAAATTTATATATAATTTTTTTTTAAAAAATAAAAAATTTAACCCCCCTCCGTGAGCGAACAAAAATTTTTTGTTCGCTCACGGAGGGGGGGGGGGAGTTATAAACTTTTTACTTCCGCTACGGGATCACCTCATTCCGTAGATTTCTCCTTCCTGGCATATAAGGGCTCACAGACCGCTGACCAGCCTGCTTTGATCATAGCTGTACACTTTGAGGTGATGCTAAAACCCTAAGAGCTCATGAATGAACTATTTTATTCCCTGCATGTGAGTTGTCTACTCAGAAAGCTCAAAAAAATGGAATTTCTGGATGACTCTCGGCTAAAAGAAAACTTAAAGCCCAGGGTGTGGCCCCTAGGAGTTGTCCGATTTGCCTAACCATGCCTGTAGCTTCCCCTTACCAACTCTGAGCCCACCCTTTTCCACGAGTTAAAATCCGGACGAAGCCTAGACTCCACACACCACTGGAGTTGCTTACATAGGATAGCTGTCAGTTCTGGGTTTCAGAATCTTGCCTGATATAATTAAATATGTCCTCGAGACTGTATGACCCTCTCGCCATGTCCAAGCCGAGATGTCATATCTAATTATACAGTAAAACTAGGCCAATTTCTTGAGAGAAATCAGCGAAGTCTGGGTCTGCAAATAATGGAGCATGCCCTATCAGTTCGTGAATGATATCAGGTTCTGGGGTATAAAAAGGCACTGAGTGGTGTCTTATATATTGAGTTGAAGCGAAGACTCTAAATGCTAAAAAGTTAAGAAAATCTCTCTGGGTCAATAAGCCAGTTATTGGCTTCAGTCTAAATCCTGTTTTAGGGATTAAATATTCATTTATCTCTTGCAGCTGAGGAATATTGTCTTCTCGGAAGTTACAGTGCTTTCTGAATTCTTCAACAGCTGTGTTATACTCATCGCAAGCATGGGCTTTGTGCAAAGGATCCAAAGCTCTATATGCAGTCTGCCAGGTTTCGATTTCTTGATCAGTATAATGCACAATTGGGACTTTTGGGTCGCTAAACCCCTTCTTAAGAAGTAAAACTATTGAAAAATCCAAATTTTTTGAAATTTAGCCTCACCTGAAGGAGCAAAATCTTTTAATATAAAAATTTTAAATATAAAAATGTTTTAGTATATAAAATGCATATACATAAAGAAATGAAATAGAGATCTGAAAAGCCAGAGTAAAAATTAGAAATTTTTTTTTCATGGTAAGTTAATGCTCGGATTGACAAAACTATCTATTGATAAAATTTGTCAATTTTTTTCTGTAATCGTAATTTTTATTGCTATTTTGGCTTGTAGGATCGATACTTTATCTCTTAAAGTATTGTTTTAGCGATATAAATGGGTTTCGAGCTATATTATAACTTAACCTCACTAATTATAAATTATAACATTTCTCCTTTAAATTTCTATATTTAGATTAGTAGAAAAAATTAACGAGCAAATGCATTTTGCTAGCTCACAGAGGGGAATAAGCTTATATCCCATTGCAACTTTTGCTATTTCAGCTCTTCGCTGTCTATAAGTTTGATCGTTAAAGCCTGGATGCGTGCTTTCTAATTCGGCACCAGCTGCCATGCAGGCTTGATCTAGACTATCCAGGTCTTCAAAAGACCTAGGAAACCAAGGGACTTGTTTGCTGTTGAGTATTGTCGTTTTAAATCCAAGTTTGTCTAGATGTTTGAGCACCCTTTTCAGTTTGGCCTCATCACTCACTTCTATATCAACCTTGAAATCATAGCCTTTTCTGAAGTCAAGGATTTCAGCAGGCTTGGATGCGATGTGAGAGATATTGACGTTATATGCTGCAAAGGCTTCAAGCGCGTCTTTAAGCTGGCCTGGTCTATCGTTTGCAATAGTGAAAATCATTGACTTAATGTTCTCAATCGGCTCAGCAAGTTTGTGTGCCTTACTCCCCCCCCCCCTCCGTGAGCGAACAAAACCATTAGAAAAATCGCCATTTTTTGACCAAAAACCCACCCTCCGTGAGTGAACAAAAATTTTTTTAATAGAAAAAATTTTTAATGGAAAAAAATTTTGATATATAAGTGATAATTAGTATAATGAAATCTAGAGCTAATTCTGTTTAATTTTAAACAAATTGCGTTTTAAAACATAAATTTTGCAAATTAAATTAATATTTGCTTCCCAATTTTTGCAAATTAGGATTTTTTTAAATTTCGAAAAAAATATTTTTTATATAAAATTTATATATAAATTTTTTTTAAAAAAAAAAATTAACCCCCCTCCGTGAGCGAACAAAATTTTTTTGTTCGCTCACGGAGGGGGGGGGGGGAGTTAGAAAAAAGTCGACACAGTTTCAAGCAGTTCATTTATAATTCTGGCTTATATTGCAGTTGAAGATATGCTATTAATGGAGAGAAAACCAATAATTCTAATTAATGATATAGTAATTGCCCGAGGATGGCGCTATCTTGCGCCATCCTCGGGCAATTCAAAAATGGCCCCACACAGGGAATTGAACCCACGTGTGGGGCCATTTTTGGTATGTGGCCAACATCGACTTACACGCACCAAAAATGGCCCACACGTGGGTTTCGATTCCCGGTGTGGGGCAATTCCTATACACAATTTCAGGTAAATACACCACAAATAGCCCATATATTGAAATCCTGGTACCAAAAACTCAATGAATCTAATAACAATAAAAATTAAGGTAAATTCGCTATTGAGCTTCATAAAATAATGATTATAAAATATTAATAAGTAGGGGTAATTATCTCAAGGGTATGTAATCTGCTAATGACTCTCTTCTTTCCTGATATCCACAGCAGCACCTATTCTTCCTACAGGTCCTCATATAAACAAATCAGAAAATCCAGACCCCGATGATAACTGCTGCAATAATGACTCATATTTGCCAATCTGCCTCCTCCTCTTCATAATACGCAGCAATTGGCCGGACACAGAAATTCTCAGCGCAGAAATCGAAACAGTTGTCGGTTGAGTTTAAACCTTCGCAAAAATGCAAACATTTGGGTATGCAGAGATCAGTTTCAGTGCCCTGATTTCCACATCCGCAGGAGTCCAGACAAGATATCAGGACATTATCTGCCAGATTTTTGCATTTTTCAGCGCACTCTGTGTTGCATATAATGTGATTCGGGTGGGTTGGAATTGATTCTGGGGTTTTTATAATTGTGTCTTTTGAGTTGTGCAAACAATTTAGAGAGCCATTTAGCAGCCTGCAAACTTGATTACACTCAGATTGGGCTTGTGGAATTTGAAATATGAGAAGGGAAAGATAGATTAACATATAATATGGTTTTGATGATTTAGTGGAAAATTTAAAAGAAATGGCTATGTGCTAATTGTTTATAATGGATACTTAATGAAATTTTAAATTCCTTTAGGCTTTATGGAGCATTTTTTCAAAAATAAGGCATAAAGGGCGACAATGGTATAAAAAAAGCACACTGAAGTATTTTTTAATAACTCCCCCCCCCATCCTTGATCGAACGATTGACTGTAAAAATTCCTAAAAATTGGGGAAATTAACCACCATCCTTGATCGAACGATTTTCATATCATGACAATTTTTATATATATAAAAATATAATAGTTATCAAAAGCTTGGAAGATGCACCTAATGAAGTTGTTTTCAGAGACTTTTGAGACGATAGAAAGCTTCGGAATCAACTATTCAAAGTAATTTAGTCATCAACATGGCTTAAAAACTCAATAATCTAATAAAATAGAGATTTTTTAAAATTTTTAAAAACAAATTTTAATTTAATAAGTAACAAATTAAAATTTATACAGTTTAAAGGGGTAACTAATAAATTAAAATATAAAAAATTGGTATTTTTATGAAATTAATTAATTTTTTGCTGTAAAAAAATAATTATTAAATACTCTTAACCCTCTTATTTAAAGTAAATAAAAAAAATTTTATATATATATTTTATTTTATATATATATTTTTTTTCCCAAAAAAAATGTTTTTTTAACCCCCATCCTTGATCGAACGATGGCGAGTCGTTCGATCAAGGATGGGGGGGGAGTAAGTAAAAATTTTTTCATGGCTATATAAGGAGGGTAGATAAAACTCTTTAAGAAATCTTAATTAATAGTAACTTTCTCTCAGGATTTTTCATTACATATATCACAATAATTATAAACAATTTAAAAATTATGAAATATCAAGAAAGCTGCATCTGTGTTTATTTCGGATTAATAATTATTAACTGCACATAATCGAAGATAATCTTAAAATAAATTTTCAGTATGATAGAAAAATATCAGATCAGATCCAATAATTAAGCTGAAATTTAAGCAGCTCATTATAAGTTTAATAAGAATATAAAATATTTCGTGCTTTATAAATTTTTAATTACTCGACTCTTCTACACTCTTCAATCTCGATTTATTACGTTAATATGGAAAGCACATATAGACTCGACATCAATAATCCAAGGATTCGTGAAGCAATGAAAACTTTAGGCATCAAAAAAGATGACCTGCTCGTTCGTTCTTTTTCTGATTTTCAGAGCCAAGAGATAACTGAACAAATCCAAATACTTCGCTATGAGCATTATAAGCAAAAATTAAACGGTCTTGTTACTGCAATACAAGCCTTTATAAAAGAAAACAACTTAGAGCATCAACGATCTGCTTCTTCTCAAAACACTCGTAGCTCTCAATCCCCCAGCAACGCTGAAAAAGAAAAATCCAGAGAGCGTCACAAGTCTCTTCTCTCACAAAAAATCGACGAGGAGCTAAAACGGCGAGAATTAGCTGAAAATACTAATAAAAAGCAAAACAGAAAATCTCTTGTTGATGAAAGAATTAAACATGAAATTGACCAGAAAAAGCAAATTCACGGGAATAAGAAAGCTGCACAAGAAGAAAGATTGAAATTACTAATGACTGAGCAAATCCAGCAGAGGAAAAACTGAAATTCAAGAGCGCATGATCACATGAGCAGGTCACCAAAAACAAACCATGATATTATTAAAGATACCACCTTGGCTCGATGAAATGAGTTTATTAAGACAAAAGAAGAAAGAGAAAAGAAAGAAGAAAAAGAACTGCAGGAGAAAATGCAAAATTTTAATTTCAAAATTGTAAAATCAAAAGAGCTGCATGAGCAGATGCTGAAAACAAAAACTGAAAAAATGTCATCGCACACACAAAGGGTTGAAAATCATCTAAATACAATAAATATATCGAAGGAAGAAAAAGATACTGATCATGTAAAAAAAATCATAAATAAAGCTCAGGAGCATGAAGAAAAAAGAGGAAAAATACTTGAAGGAAATAATCAAAAATTGAAGAGCCAACAAGAAAAAATATTAAATAAGCAGGCGAAAATTAAACAAAATTTAATTGAAGAGGAAAAGAAAGAAAGAGATAGGATCAGGCAAATACAAAATAAACTAGAGACCAGTTTTGAAGCAATTAAGCAGAAAAAGGAAGAGCTCCAAAAGGATTTAGAATATAAATATGAAAAATTAAGGTTGAAAGAAGAAGGAACACTAGAGAACGCCGCTATAAAAAGAAGGATGGATTTAGCAAAAAAAGAAAAATGATTGGAAAAGCACGCAAACATGAATAAACGCTTGGATGAGCTTAAAGTAGAAAAAGAGAAAAATAATGAAGACAAGCGAGGAAAAGCTTATAGCGCTGCAATAGAAAAAGAAAAAGCTCGAAAGCTCCAAATTTTGATTGAAAAAAGTAGCAACCCAACAGTCATTAAAAAACTGGTGGAAAACTATTAAGGTTTTGCAATAAAATAATTTAATTTTAAATATATTCAGGATGGACGTTCCTTTGTCACAGATTTATAAGTCCAATTCAAAACTATTTACCTTTGAGCCTCTTAACCTATTCCAAAATCAGCTGAATAATAAAATTGAGCACAGAAGAAATGAAAGAGTTAGCACAAAATTGAAAAGACCAGCTACAACCGCAATGAGAAAGCAGCAATCTTCTATAAATTTGTCGCATGATTTAATACGAAGTAAGGATAGGCTTGCAAATGTTTCGAGTTTCAGAAAACTCATGAATTCTAAGTCCCAATTTAATGATTTCACACCGAAATATAAACCTCATTTATTTGCTAAAAAGAAAGCTGTCATAACTCTAAAAAAAGAAGTTGAAAGAAAAAGCACCGAAATTCCTATGATCAGGCATTCCCTACGAATTGCATTTGGAATTCCAACTGAGCTGCAAAAGCATGAAATTAGCAAAGCTAAAATGGAAATGCTTAAAATAGTTATAAAGACTCCTAAGCTAGAAAATGAAATTGATACATCTTCAGATGAAGAAATTTATGGACCTAAATATACTCATTAAGTATAAATATTATTATGGCTTTTTAAGCTTTAATTGCAATGTTATGGTTGGCTGGGAGCTGGCAACAGCAGGCCCGACTTGTTGAGAAGATATGAGTTGTTTCTCCAAGAACTTTTTTTCGTGGTCTGGCAAGCTTAAAATAATTTCTTTAAATGCTGCTGAGCATGTTGCTGCTAGATGCTGGAGGGCTTTTGTTACAGTTTTTATTAGTGGCAGTGTTGTTTGTGAGGAATATAGAGATAGAATCATAGGGATGATTGAGCGGAGTGCTTTGTTCTTATCTGGGCTATTTTTGAAGAGTAAAAGCAATATTTTTAATGCTTCGCTTTGCATGTTTGTTTCATAAGTAGAAAACTCTGAATTTTTCTTTAATTGGAATATTGAAAATATATGAGGAATTAAATGAGGTAAAACAGGCGGAGAGGTCGCTATAAATTGTGATAAATGAGAGGTGATTTTTATTGATCTTTGAGAAAATTCCCTTAAAATTTCTCCTAATTCATTAATTGCTCCTGAAAAATATGATAAATCTTCAATATTTCTTTTCACAAGAAAATCTATCACAACTTCATAGTTTTCAATCTTTATTAAACTCGCAATCACTTTATTTGCAATTTTTCCCTTAAAGTCCTCAAAAGTCTCTGCCTGAGTTCATATTTTTTCAATAGTCTCCTTTACAATTTCAATATAATTTCCTTTGATAGCTTCTTCAAAAAATATTGCCATATTTTTCATGTACTGAGTTACATCAGTATGCTCATCTAGCCCTTCATTTTGGAGAATCTCTGAGTACTGTATCGCGCACCAGCTTCATGACTCCATACACTCTTTTTCTATTTCTTTGTGCATTTCTTTTATAACTGTTATTAATTTTTCTATTGTTTTTACATTTTCTGCGTCATCACTACAAATTCCACTACAAATTTTCAATACTATTTTTTTGTGCTCTATGTCAGGAACTTTTGCACACAGCTCCAATCCACTTATGACTTCTTTAATTACTCGAGAGTCCTTAATATAGCTTATGATTAACTGCAAAGCCTTAAGTATCTGCTTGCGACGATGCATGAAGTAATCGACTTCTAATTGATTTTTAAACTGCGCTGATTCTCTACTTGCATTGTATGGTAAAAATAAAAAAATATAAATATCTGCAATAAGCATTGCTAGATAAGGTGACTCAGAATCAGCTAAATAAGCTAAGGCATATACCAAAACTTCAATCTTGCCCATTTTGGGATGATCTTGGTCAACGACTTGATGACCTAAAACAAATTCATATGATTTAAGTGTTAGTTTTGGCTGTGTAAAAATGACACTCATATCAGTGACAATTGCATTTAAATTTGCAATCAGAAGGGATTTTTGGCTAAATAAGAAATTACGCTAATAGCAAACTTTGAATAAAGTGTGGAGTGTCTAATAGTAGTTTTGACAGAGTATTTTTCTTTATTTTAATTTTCTTTCCAAAATTTATTATATAATTAATTTTCTAAAAAATAATGGCTGTGACCTTTAAATTTAAAGCTGGCTTCTTGATTAAAAGGGATAACTAATTTTGATAAAAATAATTTTGCACATGTATGGTCGCTATACCCCTCCACTTGGGCAACTAAATAAAAATTACTTTTTGGAGTTTCGCTAAGTCCAGATACCAAAGGCGCAAGAATTTTATTAACAACAGAAGTCTCTTGTGTTCCTGGAGTAATTAAAAATTGCAATAAAAGTTTATTTGCTTGAATTTCTATATTGATATTCTTTGAATTAATACATTCTCGAATTATGGCGCTTACTTGGGCTTCATACAGCTCTATCATAAGTTTATTTGGGTCTTCATCATCTTTTATATGTCCACAAACCTTGTAAATTTTCCTTATTAGTTTTAGACCTAAAATTTTAAGAGATTCTGACTCAGTTGAGGCTAAATGGCAGCCAAGGTTGATTAATTCTTCTACTGGCAAAGCATTTGGGTAAGTGGAAATCAAAAATATCAGAAACTTTAAGGCCAAAGTTTTAGAATAATGAGTAAAATGATGCTTGTAGATTGAAATTTTCGTAGTTTCTCTATCATCATGAGACGAAAGACCATGCGCTTCTTCTTTTGCAGTTTCAGCTTCGACACTTGTAATTATTGCTTTCAACATTTCTATTGATTTTTGCATATTTTTATTTGCTTCAATGATAAGTAGACTTTCAATTACTTCTTCAAATTTTTTTAATTCTTCTTTATTTTTCCAGCTGTCTCACTCATCGAAAACTATAAACAACTCATATATCAAATTTTCTGCAAGAACCAAAAAATACGCCCCATAGCCAAAACTCAGCAAATCAAGGAAGTAATCCACTGCGTCTTGACTTGGCAGTTTTGCAATAGCAACTTCAAAAACTCTATTGAAATCTAGTTTTACATTATTCTGTATAAGTGAGCTGCTGCATTCTAGCCCGTAACTGCTTGCTTCCCATCTATCTTCCCACACCATTTCTGATCTCAAATAAAGTAAATCTTGGGTAGCTTCATTTAGCTGCAAATATTTCATGCACAGCATTAGCATGCTTTCCCTAAAATTAAACCCACTCCCTTGGAAATCCAAATAATGGTGAAATCCTAGAGGAAAAGTTGCCTTGATGATAGCTTCTACTCGATGTCCACATAAATTATATATTTTATAAAGTGCATGAATTGCCCATCCTCCAACTTCTGCATCTCTTGAAATGCTTTGAATTATATGGCCAAGCGATAACTGATTTTTTTCCATTAAGGCTATGTCAAAATGCTTATACATCCCAGCTACTAATAAAACTATTGCGCTTTTTACCCCTGGGTTATGCTCTGATAGGATAATTCTATGCTCGACTTCTTTGATGAAAACTGGGATTTGTTGGGGATCTGCCATAACTTTGCATAGATAAATCATCCCTTCAGCATAAATTCGCTTTACAAGCTGGTGAGATATGGATTCTACAGAGTCAAACATGGCTCTTATGCTTGTTATCAATTCTGAGTCAGTGATAACGGCTCTTGCTAATGCTAATTTCCTTAGTGCTCCTAAAGTCGCTAATAAAATAGTTGTCATTTTCAAATACTTATGAACTGAATTTTCTTTGAGCTTTAATGAATTTGATAGGTGCTGAGAAAGATATTTAAATAGCTTTTGTCGATTCGAAACATTGAAATTTGGGGATGTGAAAATCTCTGAAAACACAATGAGCGCTGTGTTTATCATATCTTGATGATGGGCTCCTTTTGGGATATTTTCTTGATTTTTATCTTGATAAGGCTTTCATAACAAATTATCAGATAAGTATTCTTGATAGCAGTTCTGACTTAATTCAAATAAAGGATGAGGAGATTTCTTAAGATTTAAGTAATGGTCTTCAGGGCTTAGCCATTCTTCATGTATTGAAGGAAATGAATTGATTTTATCACTGACTATTTCTGAGCATATAGGATGTAATAATAAAGGAATTTTATTTGCTAGATATTGTGTTGATACATACTTTAAACACTCAAATAAGTTCTTTTTCAGTAAAATTAAATCTCCTTGCTGGCAATGCTGGTCTAAGAGCTGTTTTCTTACTGTTGATTTTTTCTGAGGGCATACAAACTGCAGAGCATTTGCCAGAAACACTGAAATCAGTTTAAAAATTTGTGGATTTAGAAGTGAGGTATTATTTTTTATGAAAGCCAGCAAGCTGCTACTGGCTGCTCTTTTATGGATAACTTCGCTTACAAGTTTATGAACTGGGATATTTTCTTCGATAATACAGGATTGTCTCCCAAACGGTAATTTTCATAGTGAAAATATCGAAGTCAAGCACCCACCGACCCAACTTGGTCCAAGGTGCATGAGTGCTTCTACTAGTATCCAACCTGCTTCTCTTTTAACATTATTAATTTCATGTGCAAGACCTTCATCTTTAAACACATTTTCATCATCAACAACTTCTCCTTGATATTCGCCAGAAATCATAGCTTTCACTGTATTCAATACAGTTGATGAAATTTCATTAGGAATTCCTCGGTTCACAGCTGGTGAGCATTTTATAATGGTTGCCAAAGCTAAAGAGTTCCCTAACAAAGAATTCATGCAGTCTTGGAAAGACTCTTTGGTGCATTGCTCTGGCTTTAAACCTGCAAGCTCAGCATGTGCAATTGTGGTGTAAGTTAGCAATAAGTGCAATAGCTGGAAATGGATTGATGGGTACTTATAAGTCAAAGATCCCAAAACTCGACTAGCTGTCTTAGAAAGCCTAGCACATGAGAGATAGCACAATATTGGCTTGTATAGATTTTCACCATGTGGTGGCAAATCACGCTCTGGGATTACACGTGAAAAAATTAATGATAAAGTTGACAATAAAACTGTTACTTGGATTTCTATTAAAGGGTCAGTAAATCGTTTTGATGATGTCTCCATTTCAATTACTCCTGAATCATGGACCTGGGATTTTAGTTCTGTCAATTTATTGAGGATATATGATAAAGCAGCAGTCACTTGACGAACTGATAAATAAAACGCAATGCATTTATAAAGTAGCCATGTCAAATTTTCACCGATTCTTCAATTATCATAGATAAAATAGGCCATCATGGCCGGGAACCCTTACCGGGCATTTGGGACAACAGAGGAAAAGAAAAAACCAGAATTCTGGGTCACCGAAAATAAAAAAAAAACGGTGGCCCCGAAGGGCCACGGAGTTGCGATGGCAGATTTTGCGGGGTGGGGTGTGGGGTTGGGCTGACCGGCCTCCTCTCGACCCACAGACGAAAGACCGACGGCGCAATACCAAGCAAGCACTTCTGGAGGAGCATTAGGCTGCCTGTAAATGGCGGAGGTAGTTCCAGAAGGAGGCTGTGGACGATCCCCTCATACCCTGAGCACTACCAGGGGTTAAGAGAGTCCATTGGCGCAATTTTTGGTCCAGCAGGTTCGGGTGAGTCTCCCCGAAAGATGTCGACGTCACCATTTTTGATGACGTCGACAGAAAAGGGCGTTAGGTGGCTTTAGTGATTGGCGCCACATGAAGCGTGAAGCTGAAGCTCGACTGGCTAGGGGCTGAAATAATCCCTGTTAATCCCCTCTAATATAACTCTCTCTCTCAATTATCATAGTCATTTCCGATACTAAGCCTTGGGATTCCAATAATGTTTTCTAAGAATGTATTTATATCGCTGGTACTGTGAAGAGAATCTTTAAGGAATTTTTTTAAGGCAATATCCAGTGCTTTAATCAATCCAACTTTTACCTCATGTTGACTATTTTTTGAATAATATTGAGTTACGTAAAATATTGCATCCATTATAGATTTTGGATAAGTTTCCATATTTCTGCGGCTTGGGGAACAAGTTTTTCAGTCAAATTTTGGATCAATTTGTAAAGCAAACAATTCACCTAGTAAACTATAAAAAACACTATCAGTGTTTTCTTCCATACCTTTTATACACGTCTGAGCCAAATGCTCATATATAGTTAATACAGAATTTGGAGATTTACTTACTATATTTCTCAATGCTTTTGCACTTCTGATTTTTATTTCTTTAAATTTTTCATTTCCATATCTAATCAGGACTTTTATGCATTCCTGCATTGTAGATCCTGATAAATTACCTGGCCTTGCTTTTGTGATATCAATAAGGGTTTTCAAATTCGCTATTTTTAGCTGGTTATCATTTCCTTTATAAATTCTTTTGGAAAGTTCAATAAAATCATCTGTAGGAGGCGACGGGATTTTTTGCCCAAATTCAATATAAAGATTCCCTACAATGCTAAGGGCAGCCCATCTTGCAGCTGTACTATACCTCATCGAGGCAGCTTGTTTCAAATACTCAAAAAGATTATCTCCCGCTCTATTAGTGTTCCCTCTCTCTAAAAGCAATTTCAAGCATTTTTTTAACAATCTGCATAGAGGTCCTGAGCAGCCTTGAGACGAAATTTGCAAAAAAAATCGCTTCTAGCTTTGGCTGATGAGGCACAATTTTTGATTTATCAGCAGATTTTAAAGCTGAAGAAATTGAAAATAAAAAATCAGATTTTCTGCTCTGGTTTAATGGGAATCGCTGGTCTTCGTTTTTCAATTCTTTGTCAAGGGTTTCTACGAGAGTTTCCAAGTCCATCTTATTACTTAATATGGTGGGATATTTATAGTTTAATTAATTTAGCCTGAATCCAAACCCTATTCATTTTGATATCCTCTTTGCGATTTTTTACGACTCTGTAATGGTATTCGTTTTCTAACACTCTGAAGCCTTCAAATAAAGTTTCAATTTCTTGGGTGGTAAAATAATAGCATCTCGTCCCGTCTTGCTTTAAATAAAAATTTTCTTTTAGTTTTTTGTTTCTTTTACCTGCAAGCCTAAGCTGGGCTAAATCATATCTTCCATAGTCTCGAAACATGACTAAGCCGCCAGGTTTGAGGTTTGAAGTAGCATTTGCAATAGCTAGCCTATGTTTCTCGGGAGATATTGCACTGAGAACGAATAAAATTAGTAGAGCATCTGAAGGCTCAGTAAATGGGACTGGTTGCTTTGTGATGTCACAAACGTCTGCTTGGAGTCTTTCACTGTTAAATGAAGGATTTTGCCTCAATAAGTTTATTGCTTCTCTTGAGAAATCGCATACCTGAGCTCTCAAAGCTTGATTATCTTCTAATAATGGATAAATAGCATTTCCTACCCCACATCCAACTTCTAATAGTAAGATTTCTCCATTCAGCTCAGGGAACTCATTTAAAAGATAGTGCCTATCCTTAAAAAAATTATACCTGCTTGCAAGAATAGCCCACTAAGGAGCATAATTTGGTTCGCCGTTCTTAAATTTGGTTAGCCAGAAATATGGCATGCCAACGAATTTGGCAAGCCAGCTATTGCCCGGCCAACCAAAAAATGCTCCTTAGTGGGCTATTCTTGGTAAATAAGCATAGCTGTATTGTTCTTGTAAAACACATCTCACATCTTATTGGCTTGATTATCAAATTTTGTGTATATGAAATTCGAGAGCGATCCATTGTCTTCTTCTATGATCTTTTCGGCTTCTTCTTGCATTTCTTGTGTGAAGTCAAAATACTCCACTTGTTTTTTCTCTTCCATTTTAATATTGGCTAATTTAAATAACTTAAAAGCCGGAGTCTTGAAATGAAGTGCTTTATAATATTTTTATTAGATGATTTGGATAAATAAAAAATTATGGCTGGTTCAGCGAAGAAATCTGATCAACAACGTAACGTTGTGATGATAATAAAATGGAAGACAAATGGGATTTAGAAGCCAGCTCATGCCATTCAAGTCTTTATTCTTTATTGACCTGTAAATTACAATTGATAAGCGGAGTTGAAATGCTGATGATTTTATTGCTTTTTGTTGGGATTGGCTACCTTATGGGAAAGTCTAGTAAACGAAAAAAACCTAAATTAATCATATCAGAAGACGAAGCTAGAACAATAACTTCTTCTCAATCAAGTGAAAATATATTCTCACAAGATGAAAGTGAAGACTGGAATAGCAAAGAACTGAAAAAATGTCAGTCATGTATATTTGACGAGTATTTGAGCTGTAAAATAAAAACTTTAAAAGACAAAGAAAAAGAAGATATTCAAATTAAAATTCCAGAAGTAAAAGATTCATTTAATAATATCAAAATTACACTTAAGTGCCCTAAAATGTATCAAGATAAGATCGACGAAAAATCAATTGGAGATAGCATTGAAAAATTTTATAAATATTTTGAAAATGGAAAATGCAACCAAAATTTCGAAATTATCAATAAAATCGGCAAAGGCAGAAATAGCGTAGTATTTAAAGCCAAACATTTACTAGATGGCCAATTTTATGCAATAAAAGTGATAAAACTTCATGTCGGTATCAAAGAGAACATTCGTGAACAAAAAATGTTTCGAGAGGTTTTTAGCATGTCTAAACTTCTATCGAAATTCCTTTTACGCTATTATTCTTCTTGAATTGAGCTAGACCATCCACATTTAAACCCGGCCAAGCAGGAGCATTCCCACAAATTTTGTGACTTAAATGTCCCAGAAGAACCATATTTTACATTTTATTTAGTCATACAAACAGAGCTTAGTATCGGAATTTCTCTTCAAGACTGGCTTCAAAATTCAAAGAGAAAAATCGATAGCTCGATAAACTTCAGAATTTTTAAGCAATTGCTTAAAGGTGTACAATGTATTCACAGTAATAACTTCATCCATAGGGATTTAAAGTAAACTTTATACAGGCCCACCAATATTTTTCTTAATAAAGACAGCAAAAATTTGAGCGTGAAAATCGCTGATTTTGGTCTTGCAATAATAGCGAAGCCTGAAAGCGAGCAAGGAGATAGCTCAAAGCATAAAAACGGCGTCTTGCCAAGAAATAGGTCAATTGATGTAATTAGCATTCATTACCGAGCTCCTGAGCTGCTTACTCAAGAATGTAGCCAAAAGATGGATATTTATGCATTGGGACTTATATTATTTGAACTGTTTTTTGAAGGGTCACCATTAGAAAAGGAATTTTACTTTAATCAGCTTAATGCCCATCATATTCTGCCTGAGAGATTTGAGTCAGAAAATCGAAATATTTCAAAAATCATTTTAATGCTGACTGAGCCAGACCCAATCGTCCGTCCAGATATTTTTGCTGTGATGAAGCACGATTTTTTGCAAACCTGGAAAGATGAAGCTATAATTAGATAAATTATTGATTAACAAGTTGGCTAGTAAATTTAATATGGCTTTTGATATTTTCCTTTTACTTGATACTATTAAAGGTGAAAGTACTGATGATAATCATAGAGATTGGATAAAACTATCATCTTTTAGCTTTGGAGCTAGCAATCCTGCAAGTGTTGGCTCTGGTGATAGTCCTATCTCAGGCCAGCCAACATTGTCGAATTTTATGGTAACTAAAGAAACCGATGTAGCTAGTGTTAACCTTTTTGGTGCATGCACTCAGGGAAAAGAATTAAAGAGTATGAAGGTCGAAGTATGCACTCAGAGTGGAAATAAAATCCCTATTGTTGTTTATGAGTTCAAGCAAGTGATTGTTGCAGGTATTCAATGGTCAGGTGCAGGCGGAACTTCAGACCGCCCTGGAGAAAGCGTGAGCTTTGCTTTTGGAAGCGTCCAAGTTTCATATACTCCAATAAATCCCAATGAAACGGCAGGAACTAAAATAGGGCCGATTGCTTGGAATGTTTTAAAAAATAAGCCAGTGATGACAAGTAAACTTTAAAATAACCAAGCTTAATTGCTTCTAAAAATATAATGCATTAGCAAAGCATCTAATAATAGCTTTGCATATAGATTTACTATAAAATTATTAAAAATAATAAATATTAAAATATATATCTTGCCCAATATGCTTTTAAGCAAGTCTGAAATATTAATAAAGTTATCAAGACAGAGCTTAAGTTACTATTTCACTGCTGTTTTATTATTTTAAACATAATATTAAGTAAGTTTTAAATATTGGATAACAACGTGCAAATTAAATTCTTTAAATTTAAACTAAATCTAGCTATTAAAACTTTAAAAAATTATGAAATTAAAATATTAAGATTTTCTATATCCGAATCTTTATATTATAAAATGAGTATAAATTGTCTAATTAAATAATATTTGCTTAATAATTGAAACATTTCTATGTAAATATCTATTTTAGTAGATAAAGAATTAGACATTTTTCTAGCAATAAATAGCTGAAAATTATTATATCCGTTACTTCTAATAAATAAATCTTCCCACTTATGTATGGATAATTTTGTTTTAAGGCAATTTTTAATTAAGCTTATAATATGTTCTCACGAATCAAGCCCTTTTTTAGCTGCAATTCAGCACTAACCAATAGGGCATTTTCCGAAAGAAGTCCGTTAGATCCCCAAACTTCAAGTCGGCCAATTATCGAAAATCCACAAGATGATGCGATTTACTTTGAAAAAGGAAATATTAAAGAAATTGGCACAAAAATTTCCTCGAAAATTTATAAGAGAATTGCAGTTATGACAGGTGCTGGGATATCTGTAAATGCCGGAATACCAGACTTTAGGACCCCTGTAACTGGTCTTTATGCCCAAATCCAAGAAGAAGGCTTGCCATTGCCATGCCCTGAAGCAGTCTTTGACATAAACTTTTTCAAGACTAACCCAGAACCTTTTTACAGAATCGGCCCTAAACTGGTAACAGTTAATAAAAAGCCAACTCTTACCCACTATTTCATAAAATTACTTGAACAGAAAGGACTCTTATTTATGTATTATACTCAGAATATTGACGGATTAGAAATTAAAGTTGGACTCTCCACAAATAAGCTTGTTCAAGCCCATGGAAACGTTAACAATGCTCACTGCACATCATGCAAAAAAGAATACCCAATAGCAAGGCTACGTGAGCATATGCTCGAAAAAAAGCCAGCATTTTGCGATTGCGGTGGTGTCGTTAAACCTGATGTCGTATTTTTTGGGGAAAATCTGCCAACTAACTACCACTCTAAGGCAGAGTTAATTGTCTTTGCTGATTTGCTTTTGGTTATCGGAACAGGTTTAACGGTTTTTCCTTTTGCTTCACTTGCAGAAATGGTAAGTTATGATACCCCAAGAATTGTTATAAATAAAGGAGGACTAAATTCGTTTATACAGAATGGATTCAAATTTGAATCAGAATCTAAAAGAGACGTATTTTTTGACGGAGATTGTGATGAAATAATAAGTGAAATTGTTAAAGCAGCCATGTGGGATGAAGATTTACAGAGGCTCATGGAAAGTAAAAATTAACAATTTTCATAAATTAATTTGTTAGTCTAGTGCATGAATTTTTATTATATAATCTTCCACTTATGGAAAAATGAAGAAAAACTGTGTGATTGACCTTCCAAAGGCACACAATATTGACCCTATAAGTCTCAGCAAGCGTTATTCTTCAAGTAAAGCCCACTTTAATTCTTATTCTAATTTATCTGAATCTGCTTTCATACCCGCTGAGATTCCTCAAGCCAACGATTCTTATATGTCATTTAATACAATTGCAATCCAATGTACAGATGGTATTAATGACGCCGAATTAACACCTAGATTTCAGAAAAAAGGTCTTTCTAGTGGAAGCAGCCACCATTTCAACGGGATCAAGCTAAAAGAAAACAAATCTTTAAAATTCACACAAACTAAATATTCTCCTAGAAGCCAAAAAAATGCTTTATTAATTTACCGATGTAAAACTCCGCCTTGCAGGAATAGACCTGCTTTTAATTTTGAAAAATCTAAAACTCCAAGCCCGTCAATAAACCCAAGCTTGGCGAAAATTTTTAATTGTCAAACAAAATCTTCTTCAAATGGAAGCTTTAAGCTTTTGGACACTCGCTGAAATGGCTTGATCCCACAACGAAAACAAAAGAAAAAAAATACTTTATTTATGGTAAGCTCGCCTAAGGTAAATATTGGGCTGAGCTTGGTAAATAAGCTCGATAAACTTGTAGAAAAACGAAGAAAAAATGAGGCACGAGGAACTAGTCTTCATGGAAGAATGTCTCCTACTAATTTGGGATATAGAAGTAAATATCAAAAAGATCCTGTAATTACACGTAACAGCTTAGGGATTTATTCATACGAAGATACTATAAAAAAAGATAATAAAAAGCAGATCCGGATAATCAGAAATTATAAATAGTAAATTAGTTGTAACTTATGCTAAACATTACGACTTAGAGCCAAATATATAAATAAAATATTCTGCAAATAAATAAGGTGCAAAATAATTAATATATTATTTTTGTATAATAATATAAAGATAGCGGGAGTTTCAACTTATTTACCATTTTCAAAAAATTATTTAAAATAAAGATACTGATAAAAATTGTAAAGTTCAAATCATACACAAATAGAAATTTCTGCTTGATATTTACTGCGTTGAAATTTTATTACAAACCAAACTTTTGTTTATTAAGTTATCTTTTATATAATAAAATATTAAATAAAACGTATATTATGACTGAAGTTTATATGGTTTCAACTTCCCCTTTTGTTGACTCTCTCATAATAACCAAGCTACTTTTTCTAGTTACCAAGTATGAGAGCTTAAAATCTACAATAGCGTTTCAGTCCAATATTTCAAATAAGAGGAGACGGCCAAATCATCGCCGATCTTCTAGTTATTCGAACTTAAAAGATCTGATTTGTATAAAAGATAATAATTCATTACATTAAGATTTATAATTTTTACGTCCTTTGCGGGGGTTGCCCAAACCCAGAGCTTCCCGCTGCATCTTCGCCACACTGGGCCACAGGTCGCTGAGCCGAGTTGCTTTATTGCACCAAGGCGTGACTCCCCGCAGTGTTGCTAACTAAGACAGCAAAAGGTAATAATTCAGATCTCGGAAGCTCGTGCGACACTGTAGAATCTAGATCAAAAACTAAGAACAGTCCTAATGGAAGCAATAATTATGACTTTTTGCCTAAGTTACGATATTCTTATACATTTGATCAGTATTGAACTATGGATAATATCTTCTTCTCACTCGTAGAAAAGTATAAAAGCAAGAATTGGGTCAGAAATTATCCAAATAATCCTGAAATCCATATAGTAGTGATTCGACAATTTTGGCTCGATTGCAATGTTTGTGATCAACTTTTTTGGCATATTTTAAGTGCTCCTTTGGGTAGTTCTACATGAATAAATGGAGAATTATTTATAAGAGCAATTGAAAATTTGCATGAAACTTCTAACTGAAATATTTTCACTTATAAGTTTATTGGAAAAAAATATAGAAAAACCTATAAAGCTCAAAAACAATTATGTATCTTTTATTTAGTTTTTTTCTCTCTCGCTCAGCATGAATATGGAGAAGAGCTCAGTAGAGATCAGCTAGTACAGGTCCTTGATATGGCTGACAGAACAGCTAAATATCATTTAGAAATGCTTGCGAACTTAATGATAAAAAATTGCCATGAAACAAAAAACTCGAAAAATATGAAAATTTCGTTTGGAGAGTTCAAGTCGATGCTGATCAACAGGCTAATATTTTCAATGTAAATTTTATTGTAATTAGTAAATGAATATTTTATTTTTAACCTTTGAGTGTCTTACTTGGTGAGTTACTAGTTATTTCAGGAGACAGCAATCAGATGGAAACGAGCTGGATTTTCTATATAATTTGATGTCTTATTTATTGCTAGGGACTATTATTTTATGTAGATTTAGAGAAGCAAGAGTTTTATTCTGCAGGAATGAAATGTGCAGGTATTCATGGCACTGTGATATCTGCCAAACTTGCTACAAATTAATATTGACGTTAATTATAGATTAGGGCTCTTCCTCCTTTTACGCCTCACCCCAGAGAGTCTCCATAGAAGAATCGTTCAACTGTTCGTGAGCCTCCCTGGTATATAAGCATTTTCACCAGAGATGGTTCTCCTCTGGCTTCGGCCTGATTCTTAATGCTGTCTCAGAAGCTTGGAATATGTAGGTTCGGGACTTACAGCTACTGTTTGAGTTACTAGAGTTCCAGCTAGGGATATAAAATCCTTAGCTAGTATCGGTACCAACTGCGCTTTCTTTGTCGGCACTAGTGGTCTCTAGGGGGAAAAAGCTTTTTTTCCAAATGTCTATCAGAAGACACAAAGTTTTCATTGTCAGACGAGGGAGGTAAAACCCAGCCGGAACACAAATGCCCAACATCCGTAGACTCCATTTTCTGCTCGGCTTGGCTTCAGGCCGTGGCAAGGTCCTCAACTCGAAATGTCAGGGAGAGGACGGGTCGGTGACGTCAAAATTTTATTTGTGTCACTTGCTACAAGCAAAGGTCACATCATTGCATTCTACTTGGTATGTGTATTTCCATAGACAACATAGAAGAGTATTTTTATTTTATTTTGATGGAAACGTTGTTTAGTATTTTTACAATTTATTTGCTAGTTGTAAGATTTTTATACTGCTTTTCGTTTACAAAGGTTGAGATTTGTGAAAGGTCTTGAGATGAAACGTATTCAGATGGCGCTTTAGGTGCTTCAGTGATGGTATTTAAACACATAACTTTGATTTATTCAATTTATAGCATGGTGCAGAAGCCATCATGGTCAAGAATGACTTCAAATTCAATTATTATATAGCTTTAATTTAATTATTTATGTCAGAGGAACAATAAATGACTTATATCAGAATTTAAAAATAATTTCAGTCCAAAAAATTAATCATTTAGTCGTTTAAGAGATGAACTTAAAATAGTTATGGAAGATCGCTCTAATCAAAAAAAGGAAATTGAAGAGAGCTAGCACGGAGCTAATTTCTTATCAGGACAAAAAAATATAAATGAAGTATCTCAGCAGCCTAATCTCTTTTTCTCTGAAATTATTGATGTGAAAAAGTTTAAATTGCAACTAAAATTCTGTCGAAGATAAATAAAAGAAATCTACGAGTCCTTCAGTCAAAACAGCTATAATAGTTGAATATATAAAATATACCCATTAGAAGACTGAATTATAAGATTTTTGACATAATAAAATTAACTAAACACTAGTTCAAAAACTAGTGGAATCACATGAACTTTTCGAAAAAATCGAGAAGAGCTTAAAGAATCTAATTAAAATTAAACAAATTTCAATAAAGATTAAGTAGTAGAAAACTCAGCTTTCCTAACGGCAAAATTTGCTAGGCTTTGGTCTCTAGAATTAACTGAAAACCTGTCACATGATAATAATTTATAGATATTATAAACTTTTTAATAAAGAATTATAAATTAGGCTTGAATTTGGCCATTTAGATTATATTAATATGCATAAAAATGATATTTTAGAAGAATTGCAATATGGCATGGAATTCCAAGCATAAATAAACCTAAAGACTTCTAATTCTAACTCCCCCCCTCCGTGAGTGAACAAAACCATTAGAAAAATCACTATTTTTTGCCCAAAAACCCACCCTCCGTGACTGAACAAAAATTTTTTTAATAGAAAAATTTTTTATGGAAAAAAATTTTGATATATAAATGATAATTAGTATAATGAAATCTCTAGCTAATTCTGTTTAATTTTGAACAAATGCTTTTTAAAAACATAAATTTATAAATTAAATTAATATTTACTTTCCAATTTTTGCGAATTAGGATTTTTTTAAATTTCGAAAAAAATATATTTTTTATAAAATTTATATATAAAATTTTTTTAAAAAAAAAAAAATTAACCCCCCTCCGTGAGTAAACAAAATTTTTTTGTTCACTCACGGAGGGGGGGGAGTAAGAAGAAAATGGTAATTAAATAGAAAATGAGTATAAAAATAGCATGAATGAATTGAAAAAGGAACTTACTCAATTTTTAACTTTTATAGATATTATTCATTTGTATTTTAACGTGATCCGAGGATAAAATTTAATGTTTCTCTTCTTTTTTCAGCATTTTGGTATTTACTTCATAAATAGCCATATTATTTTATATAAAAGCAGAAATTTACTATATTGAGATCCTTCAATTATTATTTTCTTCTCAATTTTGCAATAAAAAATCCCATGCTGTGTGAAATTGGGGAAAATACCTGCGTCAGCCCTAAAGGTTCGCTGGCATCCCCAATCATTATTTCCTGGTTAATAAGCTCTAATTCTAAATTTTCAATAGCCCACCCTATGTTTTGCTGATTTTCTGATTATTTTTTACCTTCTTGCGTAACAGTGCATGTTGAATATACTAAAATTCCTCCCGGTTTCAGCATCTCACAAGCAATTTCCAAAAATTTTTTTTGATATAAAGCTGTTGAATCCACATTAATTTCTTGGAAGCTTAATTTTGGCCTTTGCCCTAATCCTGAGCATGGAGCATCTAGCAATATTTTATCGAATTTTTTTCCCCCAAAGCGTTGTTTTGCTTTGGTCGCATCAATTTTTCTAACATCTGCAAAACTTTCCCAGATATCCACATTGCCTATATAATTGCTACTTTTTAGTTCTTCTACCCTTTTTTTACTTTTATCAAGAGCAATTAATTCTCCTTGGTTCTGCATTAAAGTTGAGATATGAGTTGTTTTTCCTCCAGGTGAAGCACACATATCGAGTATGGATTCTCCTGGTTTTGGCTAATTTTTTATTACGTCTAAGATATGAGCAACTAAAGCACTAGGCTCATTTTGTGGGAAAAATAAATTTTTTGGGAGATTCTCAAAGGAAGGTGTCTGATAAATACCCTCAGTGATAATAATTGCTAAGCCTTTATTAGTGGAAAAGATTTCTCTACGCGACATTTGGCAAACTCCATTTCCCAAATAAAAAGGCTCAGCAACATTTTCTATTGTTGTCTTAGTTCCTCGATTTATAGGAACAGAAATAGAGTAGATACTTACTATTTCATTTTTTTGGACTATTTTATAATTACAATCAGAAGTTGTTCCTAACACCCCTGGTGCATATATGTGAGAACCCCTCAAAATAGCCTCTCCGCAGCGATTGTCCACAAAAATTGCCTTTTCAACAGGCTGAATATTAAAAGGCCCATTAACTGGTATACACAATAAATCATTAATTTTCTCATGAACTTTTATATCATATCTTGGAAACAAAAGCTCAAGTATCCTAATAGCTTCATTCATATCGATTTTTAGTGTGTTCACTCTCAATGTCGTATAAGGGGGTGGAGTTTTTAAAACATTAATCCCTTCTTCGCCATATAGTGCCAAAAAATATTCCTTGCTCATTTAAATATTTATATGGAACGGCAAGGATATCAAAGCTCAGTCCAATTTACTAACGCCCAGAGACAAGCGCCCAGCTATGACCCTAAAATTCTAGAATCGTATAGCTCTTATTCTTTTTCAAAGCAGGAACCTCCACAAAATTTAAATTCCCAGAGGCAAGACCCTCGTGGAACTTTTCAAAATTTCCAAACAAGCAGCAGACCTGCTGAGCTGAGCCAAGATCAGCGAGCTTCTTATTGGTCTGAGTCTAAAGTCCCTGAGCAAGTTAGATCTGACCCAAGACGCACTGAAACTTCTTACAGAAATGAAGCCAAAGTGCAAGAAACTTATGCGCCAGGTCTAAGAACACTGATAAATGACCCAAAGCAGCCTGATACTAAAAAACGGCCAACAACTGCAACAACAAAAACTGCTAACAAAACAAAAACTCAAATAAGTCTAGAAGACGAATACATCCATAACCTCCAACAACAAATTTATTTCTTAGAACTTGAGCTAAAACTACTTAAAGAAAAAGAAAAAGACGAAAAATCTATGTTTCCTCTTGATGGGATGGAAACAGGCCCTCTAAATGAAAGCATTTTTGCCTTAAAAGCAAAATACAAAAAACTGCAAGCAGATTTAGAAGCAAGACTAACAGTTCTTGGAAGGGAAAATCGAGACTTAGCAACAAGACATTTATCTCTACAAATGAGTTTGGAAAAAGCTATAGAAGATTATAAAGAAGCTGAAGGGGTTTATAGAGAAAATATCCAGTATTTTAATCAAGAAACCGAAAAATATAGAAAGCAGTTAAACGGGGAAACACTTTCTAGGGACGATATTATGAAAAGGCTAGCAGAAATTACCAAGGAAAAAGAATTAGCGAAAACTTGGGCTAATGAGTTGAAGCTGAAATTTGACAAGCAAGATCTAACAATAAAGAAGACAATGGAAAAGTTAGAAGCAATGGAAAGTTATATAGGTAAATCATATAAACTGCCCTATAAGGGCAGGACATTGGAGCTGGAAACTCTCCAGCCGCTGGATCAACTCAGTCTAGTCAAACCAATTGGAGAGTTGGCAAAAGGACCTCTCTCCAGTTGGTCCAACCATGGAGAGTTTCCAGCTTCAATATCCTGCCCTTATAGGGCAATTTATAGGGTTTGCCTATAAAAATTATGTAGTAGAAGAAAAAAACAAACAAATAATTGACTTACAAAAGCAAATCGCAATTTTGCAAGAAAAAATTGACCAAGACACCACAATAACATCATTAAGAGTGCAATTAGAAGAAATTACAAAAAAAATAAATGAAGTTGCTATAGAGAGAGATGAATATTTAAATAAATCAAGAGGGTTAGAATATGCTAAAGACCTTATTGAGAAATCTTGTGCACAACTTTTGGCTGAGAAAAAGCAGCTTGCAGTCCAGATCGTGGAGCTTAAAAATGACATGGAAAAAGAAAAAGTGTACCAAGAAACCCAGTTGAACAAGAAATTAAGAGAAATTGATAGCAAAGATATGAGAATTGCTATTAAGCAAATTGAAGACTCTAGAAAAGAAGCAGTCTATAGCATGGAACAGTTTAAATCGAAATATGCAGAAAATGTTGCATTAATTGAAGAAACTAATAAACTCAAAGAAGAGTTCATAAAAGAGAAAAATAAGTATGAAACTCTAATAGAAGAGCATAGGAAGCATGAAGAAAATGTTAAAAAGTTTGATGCGGAGTTTCATGAGACTTCGTATAATTTTAAACAGTTGCTAGAGAGAAACAGTCAGCTAGAGGTCGATAAAAGACGGTCAGGAGATGACTCCAAAAAGCTTTTCAGCGAAAACTCTGAACTCAGAGCCCAAGTCTTTTACCTCAGCAAAAAGCTAGAAATGAACGACCAGCTTAAAAATATTGATCTAGATGAGCTTAAAAGCCTTTCTAAAACTAATGTTCAAATCAATGGAGCAATTGGACAACTATTGACAGTCTGGGATGGAATTGAGCATTTTCAGAAAACCCAGCCTTAAGTAACCATTTTTAAGAATAATAAATATGAATATCGACAGGCCTGAATCATTGGAGCGCGATGAGTTAATTTACCTCGCCCGCCTCTCAGAACAGTCAGAGCGCTATGAAGAAATGGTTGGCTATGTCAAAGCTTTCGTCAAAAAGTCAACGCAAGACTTAACAGTTGACGAAAGAAATATCCTTTCAGTGGCCTATAAAAATGTTGTAGGAGCTCGCAGAACTTCTTGGAGAGTCTTGAATTCTATTGAGCACAAAGAAGAAAGAAGAGGCAACGCTGCCCATAAAACAGCAGCTGAGAGCTATCGTGGTGAGGTAGAAGTTGAGCTTAGGCGTAGCTGTGATGATATTCTTAATGTGATTGACACTGACCTGATCCCAAAGGCAGCAAACTCAGAAGCTCGCGTTTTCTATCACAAAATGAAAGGTGACTATTACCGCTATATGTCTGAATTCGCTCAAGGAGCTGCAAAAAATGCTCCAGCATCTAAAGCGGAAGAGTCTTATTTGGAAGCATTTGAAATAGCTAAAAATGAATTGCCGCCAACCCATCCTACAAGACTAGGCTTAGCACTGAATTTCTCAGTATTTTACTATGAAATCAAGCAGGAGCAAGAAAAAGCCTGTGAAATGGCCAAAACTGCATTTGATGAAGCGATTCCAGAATTAGATAATATCTCAGAAGAGAACTATAAGGATGCAACTTTGATAATGCAGCTACTCAGAGACAACCATACATTATGGACTTCTGGTGAAGCTGAGAAGGACTAATTTAAGCTAGATAAATAGCATTGGCGAAATCTTAATAATATTTGATGATGTCATTTATCTTTTTGTGTGAAATTTATTTATAAAGATGAACATACCTATTGACTATCATGTTTTTCGGTTCTTTAAAGCAGCAATTTCTTCAAAACAACGCAAAATCGCACTTATCGGAACTTTATGTGGACTTTTATGGATAATTCGCAGATCGCAACAAATTGATAATAAAAGATTTCCTGAGATATCGCGATCAAAGAAAAGCAAAAGGGTGCTAAATATCGATTTCATAATCAAACTTTGCCATTTGATACATGTCGTAATTCCAGCTTGAAGGTCCCAGGAATTCATAAATCTATTTTGCCTGACTGCAGGATTGGTATTGCGAACTATTTTAAGTATTTCCATTTCGACAATTAATGGCTCAATAGTCAAAGCTATATAGCTTGAGCATCCTTATGGATTGCTCAAGCCTTCAATTCCTGCTGGCAAATGGAGAGCCTGCAAATCCAACTCTAGTTAGCAAGTCATACTTCAATTTGACAAATATACACGATATCGCAGGTATGCAATTTTAGGTCTGACTTGTCGCCTGGAGTTTAATTTGTAAAATCTCCATTTTAGAGTAGAACTTGGAAATTTGAGCAATTCATAAGGATGGTGAAGCTATAGTGAATCAGGATTTTTTATTGTTTCTTAAAAGGGTAATTTTTATGTAGCTGGTGCATTTAGGAATGTTTGCAATACCAGCCTCAATGGTGAATAGTGGTTTAGAGTATATAATAAGAAAACTATCACTGCAGTTTAGGCAAAGAATGGCTCTGTATTTGAATGAAAAATATATAAAAGGCCTTGTCTATTATCAGATGTCCAATTTAGATAGCCGAATCCCGAACCCTGACCAAAGATTTACACAAGATATAGAAAAATGGGCAAACTGTCTGAGTAACTTGTACTCAAATTTGACGAAGCCTCTGCTTGATATTGTTTTGTTAAGTAGAAAGTTATCTGAACTCATGGGATATAAAGGCCCTCTTGTTATAATTGGCTGGTATTTTATATCAGGGATTATCATCCGCTTTATCTCTCCACCAATTAGCTTGCTAACTGCTCAGGAACAGAGAAATGAAGGGATTTATAGGACTCTTCACACAGATATAGTCGACCATTCAGAAGAAATTGCTTTTTATCAAGGCAAAGAATGGGAGCTTAGAAGGCTGAGCCAGATCCTCGGAGGGCTAGTGTCACATATAGAACTTTCTCTTCAATAGCGCGATAAGGCGCATTTCTAGGTTTTACCGGAGGGTCTTGGACATATGAAAACCTGCTATTCCTTATTCATGGGGGAGACACAAACAGCCTAAATAAAGAATTCTTTCTGATCAATCTCGAGAACTTGAAGAGAGGCTGTGTGGAGAATTTACATTTTGGTTCGTCAAATGGATCTGACGAGCCAATTCTGGCCAGTACTTGAAATAAAAAATGATAGTTGCCAGAATTTTTATTAATTTTCTGATGAAGAGTATGATTAGAATTTTAATAATTCCTTTTGACAATAATGATTACAGCATTCATTATCAGCAAGTTTTTCCTTTAGAAATCCTTGTTCCATATGATCTCAACTACTCCACAATTTGCTTTTGTAGAAAGAGTTATTAGTTTTATTAAGCAAAGATTTAAGAGTATTTAAGAAGGACTTATTTTATCAAAATTATTTTGAAATTTTAAAAAATTATTAAGATGGTTAAGTCACTATGAAAAAGTCAAAACAAAAAAAAAAAATCATTACTGGTATCGTCTCCCTAAGGCAGTAAAGAGTATTTATTACGTTATCTTTATGCTTAAATTATCTCTTTAAATCTTCTATTAAAAGTTTGAATTTTGAAATTTTAAAAAAATTATTAAGATGGTTAAGTCACTAAGGCAGTAAAGAGTATTTATTACATTATCTTTATGCTTAAATTATCTCTTCAAATCTTCTATTAAAAGTTTGAATTTTGAAATTTTAAAAAAAAAATTAAGATGGTTAAGTCACTACTTAATCAAATCTTGAATTAATTACTTGGTCCTGTGCCATTTATTAAAATTCTGATCATACTCTTCATCAGAAAATTAATAAAATTCTGGCAACTATCATTTTTTATTTCAAGTACTGGCCAGAATTGGCTCGTCAGATCCATTTGACGAACCAAAATGTAAATTCTCCACACAGCCTCTCTTCAAGTTCTCGAGATTGATCAGGCAGAATTCTTTATTTAGGCTGTTTGTCTCCCCCATGAATAAGGAATAGCAGGTTTTCATATGTCCAAGACCCTCCGGTAAAACCTAGAAATGCGCCTTATCGCGCTATTGAAGAGAAAGTTCTATATAAAATATATGCTGGCTAAGCGGTATTTTATGAGTGCCTGCGATAACATGCTAGTCAAATATGGTGCTGTCATGGTAGCATATGGAGTATTAGGGCTTCCTGTTTTTGGTAATAATAGCAGCGGTTATTTAGCCAAAATAGGAGACGATCCTTCTGCAATTACGAGAGATTTCATAAAAAACTCAAGTTTGCTGATAAATTTAGCTAAAGCTGTAGGAAGAATGGTAGTGTCTTATAAAGAAATCCAGTCTTTAATTGGATATACTTCACTTATACAAGAAGCGGATGATGTATTGGATGAACTGGCTAGTGGAGAATATAAGCGAGAAATGATTTTAGACTCAGAGTTTTCGAATTCTGAAAGAGGGAGACTGATAATTTCGGATAAAATCAAGTTTGAAGATGTCCCGATTGTGTCTCCTAATGGGGATTTACTAATAAAATCAATCTCTTTTACTATAAATCCAGGAATGAATACCTTTATACAAGGTCCAAATGGATGTGGGAAAACTTCATTGTTCCGCATTTTAGGACAACTTTGGCCTTTGTTTTCAGGAACAATTGAAACTCCGCCAATGAATCAAATTTTTTACATCCCACAGCGGCCATATTTACCATATGGGAGTTTGAGAGAGCAGATCATTTATCCACACACAAAAGAGCAGATGCTGGCCCAAGGGATCACTGATGAGAATCTTGAAGAATTTTTAAAATTCCTTAAATTAGATGAAGTTTTACTTCCCCGTGTGCAAAAAAAATTTTGTTCGCTCACGTAGTGGGTTATTTTTTTTCAAAAACATAAAAAATCCAATTCGTAAAAATTGAAAAGTAAAAATTAATTTAATTTGCGAAATTTATTAAAAATAATTTTTTAAAATTAGATATAATTAGCTGGAGATTTCATTATCATTTATGTATCAAATTTGGGTTTTTAGGCAAAAATGGGATTTACCAATGATTTTCTTCACTTACAGAGGGGGGAGAGAGTTAGAAAAACGAGGAGGCTTTGAACAAATTGAAGACTGAAATGACACCCTTAGTGGCGGCCAAAAACAAAGAATTGCAATTAGCAGAGTTTTATACCATTTGCCAAAGTTTGCTATTTTAGATGATTGCACTAGCGCGATAAGTATGGATATTGAAGGGGATATTTATCAGACTTTGAAAAATAAAGGTATCACATTAATAACAGTTTCGCATAGAGATAGTTTGATGAAGTATCATAATTACATCCTCAAGTTTGATGGAGAAGGAGGATGGAACTTTTATAAAATTTTAAATGATATTTAGATAATTTCTTAAGAATTAAAAAATAAAAGAAAGTGTGGCTTCTCTTATTGATCATCAATACTCACTTGTTGTGCTAAAAAATGAAATGATTTTATTCATGCTGGAGATAGTATATTATACAATTGGGCTAATTGAAAAATTAACATATTTTTATTCAGGTGACAGAAAATTGATTGTAACTGTGTGAGCATTAATGAAGCAAAAATAATGCATCAGCAGCCTTCTATCCAATCAACTATAAATTTTAAAGTAAATCACCCCTTATGAGTTCTGAATTCTACAATTCTAATAGTAATAATTAAGTATGAAATTTTTCCCGAATGAAATTAACAACACCTACACCAAACTTGGAAAAATTGGGAAAGGAGGCTATGGGGTTGTTTATAAAGTAAAGAAAAAAAATACTTCTCATGATGAGTTTTATGCAATGAAAGTTGTTTCTAGTGCATTGTCTGCTAAAAAAGATGTTGAAACTGAAATCAGAATTCTGTCAGATTTGAAAAATCCTTATTTGATCCACCTAGAAGATTTAGTTGTGTGAAATGAAGAAATTTTCATAATAACCGAATTTTGTGAAAATTTAGACCTTTGGCATAAAATATCCATATGTAGGATGATAAGTACTAATTAGCCTAAATAATATTCAACTATAAATTTCATCTAAAGAAGCATAAAACAACTCGATAAACAACTAAAAGAAGCAGAAATATGAAAATATTTCATCCAAATATGCATAGGATTGGAGTGCATGCATAAAAACAACTTTATTCACCGAGACATTAAGCTAGAAAATATTTTGCTTGATAAAGAAGATAATATTAAAATAGCTGATTTCGGAGTTTCTCGATTTCAAGATGCCTCAACCTCTAAAGGTACACCAAGATATTTTCCCCCCGAGATGTCACAGAAAGAGCCTGCCTCAGAATCAAGTGATATTTGGGCACTTGGATGCGTTTTATATTATCTTTGCCAGTTGGATCATCCGTTCGGTGAAGATAAAATGGTGCCACATAATCCTATTAGTGATTGCTACTCTGAAAGCATGAAATATTTTGTTGATCAATGTTTGCAAAAAGATAAATGCAGAAGGCCAAGAATATACGATATATTAAGCCATCCAAAAATAATTGGAGAATCTCTTTCTCTAGGCATCAGCATTCCACAAGACTCAGTTTTATTTCAATCAATTTTGAAGCGCACTTTACAACTGGCAGGGTTTAATTGAATTTTCGATGATTTTACTGTAGAAATAAAGACTTTTGAAAGCTCTGAAGCAGCTCAGTCTCATGAATTAATTGAAATCAAATCAAAAATAGCCAGAAAAGATGAAACACAAGAAAATCATTTTTTTGACAATTCAGATCATTTTAGTGAAAAAGGAGTATCTGGAGAGTCACGCGAGGAAATTGCTAGTCAAGATTGATCTAAGCATGAAGATGACTCTGGAAAACTGCTGGAAAATAGCTTTTTAACTTTTAGCTCTGATTTTAAAAGAAGTTCACAAGATAATACAATTAGCAAAGACCATGACGAAGGTAATGATTTTAATATACTCAGAATTCGTACAGAAATAGAAGAAACTTTGTCTTATGAAGAAGAAAAGACCCAGCAAGGCCAATCTGATGAAAATTCTCTATCTCTATGTGAACCAAATGAGATGCTATTTGTGAAGTTAAAAACAAATAATGTCTATGCGTTAAATTTACAAACTTTAGATACTAAAGAAGTCCTTAATCTGGATAAGAATACGATGGGGTATGGATCTGTTTGAGTTCCTGGGATCCAATCAACTTTTTTCTATGGAGAAGTCATAGATATTTATACAGGTAATATGCTAGGAACCACATTTCTTGTTGATAAAAATGCAACTATTAAATATCTAGCTAATGGAAAGCCTGCATCATGAGTAGGTCTAGCATATCATAAAAATTATGTCTATGCGATTGGTGGGTGAAAGACGCCTGTCTCAGAAAAGTATAGTATTTCTAATGAAACTTGAGAAAGTTGCGCTCCACTTCTTTCAAATCAAGAATTTATTAGTTCGAGCTGTGCTAGTTTTCAAGACCATATTTTAATGGTTGCCTATGCATTCCAGAAAATTAAAGTCTATGACATTATTAATGATAGGTACAAAAATGATTTGGATCTTAAACCAGCCTTAAGTGGCTGCTATAAAATGATGTTTTGCTATTGTGGGAGATTATATATAGCTGAAGCATCAAGAAATTTATATCAAAGCAGAGTGAACGATTTTGACTTTTGGGAACATATTGGAGAATGCAAGATTGATAACTTTGGACCGGTTTCTCATTCAATGAGTTTTATGGACAAAATTTATATATATCAATATGAATCTACATTGATTGAGTTCAATTTGAAAGCAAAAACACTGCTTAAGGTGTCTTCGAAATAATAATGAAATTATATAATTAATTTCATATGAGATTATTAAAGCAAAAAACAGTTGAATAAAGCTATTATTAAAGAGTCTTTTTCTTTAATCCTTACCATAATTTATGCACTATATTAGATCTCTATACCCCAGCAGAACACCGACCAGAAAAAATATCATGCAGAGTGCCTGCCTTATACAGTCTAAGTCTGATTAGGCATCTTAAAACCATAAACGGAGATTTTTCATTTTCGTTTTTACTTTTCAAAAAGCTGACAAGTACAAATTAATTTTGAAAAATTAAAATGGAGGTCAATAATGATCTAAAATATTTCAGGAGCTATATCTGTTCTTATATGAAAAATGAATAATTTTATTAGAAATAACTTATTTATGTGTTACTCGCTTTCCACTTTCTCTGGTCTGAGTCCTTCGAATGAGTCTACAGGCAAATATCTGACCAAGGTGTAAAGCTCTTCTCCAGCAGTTTCTTCTTCAGTTCTTTTTCTTTCCATCCTCACTCTTACTCTGAAAGGTACATGCTTGATGCCTCTTGACCATAAAAAGTTGTTTAAGTGATAGTCAATTCTGACATCTTTGGTCTTCATTACTCTTTGAGCGAAGTCTTTGATGATTCTTATTGACTTAGGAGCTCGCTTTTTGAGATTGGTGTGGTGGAGACGCTTATGAAGGTGAATGGTGTAGTCTCTTGTCACTGGCTCTAGTTCTTTAGTTTCCTTGACCATATTTATATAGGATAAGCGAACTGGAGTTTGAAGAGTAAGATAAATGATAATTAAAGGGGTGTGAAGATGTAGATAAGTTTTGCAAGAAAGAATAATAAAGATTATTGGAATTTCAAAGTGATTTAAAATTTTATAAACAATTTTTTAAGTCTTCCAATCATAATTTATTTTTATTTGGTAGGTATTTTAATTCTAATGCTGTTACCTTTATAATTCTCAATTTAGAGGCCATTTATGAGATAAAAGGATTTAGAAATGATGAAAAGATTTTTTATCAGAACCTTTTCATCTAAAAGAGCTATCATTATAGGGGCAGGACTTTCAGGACCACTTTCAGCTTTATTTCTAAAGCAAGCTAACATTGAGTCTATAATCTTTGAAAAAGAAAATTTTCAGCCCGATAATTCTGGAATTCCTTTAATAATCCCTACAAACGGTGCAAAAATCCTTAATCATATTGATATTTACCATCAAATCAAGGCATTTAGCTTTCCTCTGAACAAAAAAATCTATTGGAATTACAAAAATAAATTAAAAATTATCGATGAAAGTGATAATGAAGCCAAATACGGTGCAGAGTCCATAATCATCAAAAAAAGCAGACTCCACAAAGCAATCCTAAATGAGCTCAATTTACAAGGGATAAAAATTCATTATGAAAAGGAAATTTCACATATAGAAAACACTGAAAAAAGTCTGAAAGTTATTTTTAAAGATAATTCTGAAGTAGAAGGAGATTTTTTAATTGGCAGCGATGGGACTTTCTCACAGGTGAGGAATATAATTTTTCCAAATTTCCCATCCCCTGTATATGATAAAACAGTTAGATTTTGTGGATTTTCTACATGTCCAACTTCACCTAATACTGCAGATTATAATGTTTTGATATGTAGAGAAGGTGTTTTCAGCTTTAAAAATACAGCCAAGGATCAAGTTTATTGGACAGCAACTATACATTCTCATATCTCTCCAGAGAAAAATTTAAATAATAATTATAGAATTTTCCCATAGATGGCGCTGTTTGCCCTTGATTTGCCAATAAGGAAAATTTTTTGGTTTGACCAAAACCACATGGTGCTGGTCGAACCAAAAAAATTTTCCCATAGGGCAAATCAAGGGCAAGCAGCGCCATCTATGGGAAAATTCTATATATATCAGCTGATGAGTGGAAGCATAAGCTAATAGGGACTTTTGCGAAGGATGCTATTTTTATTAAAGATATCATTTTTTCAACTGTGGATAATATAGGAATTTATCCAGTTTATAATCTGAGCATGCCTGAAAAGTGATATGATGGAAGAGTTTGCTTAATTGGAGATGCTGCTCATAGTATCTCACCGTTTTCACTCCAAGAAGCTTCGCTAGGATTTGAAGATGCCTTTTTGCTAGCTAAATGTTTAAAAATGAACGAAATCTCAGAAGGCTTCCAAAAATTCGAAGATATGCGCAAGCTCCGCACGAAAAAGATAATAACCTTTGCAGACTTAGCTTATGCCTCATTCAAGTCTAGAGGCCTTAAAGGTTTCCTACAGAGAGAGTTTATCTTTCCTTATTATGCCAAAAGAATTTTGCTTGAAAATCCTCAAATTTATTCGTATAACTTTGATTTCTAATCTTTATCTAGCCATTTTAATAAAAAATTATCATTTTTACTATGACAAGTCATTGGATCGAATCATTTGCAGAAGGAGGAGCCAATATGTTTTCTAACTCCCCCCTCCCGTGAGTGAACAAAACATTAGAAAAATCCCTATTTTTTGCCTAAAAACCCACCCTCCGTGTGTGAACAAAAATTTATTAATAGACAATTTTTTTATGGAAAAAAATTTTGATATATAAGTGATAGTTAGTATAATGAAATCTCGAGCTAATTCTGTTTAATTTTAAACAAATTGCGTTTTAAAACATAAATTTTACAAATTTTTATAGAAGTGAGATTTTTTTAAATTTCGAAAAAAAAATTTTATAAAACATTTATATATAGATATTTTAAAAAAAAAATTTTTTTTGTTCACTCACGGAGTGGGGAGTAAGTATCTATCATCTGCAAAAAGACTAGGTGAAATTACTGTGTACCAAGGCCTTTTTAGCAATCCTCTTTTATACAAAACATTGTCAGATACTGAGATCTATCGAACAGATTTCCCTTTAAACGATTATAATACCATGCTGTATTATGAACCAAAAAAGTTTCACAATTTTAATCGTTTTTTTGCCCCAGGGACTATTTTTCGTCAGTTATACCCTACTGAAACTTTGGATACAATTTACGCATTCCAAGTTTTTAATTCCCCTTCAGTATCAATTCCAGCGCCAGATCATATTTTAGCAACACTTTCTCAAGAGCCTATTATACAAGCTGAGCTTTCTAAAAGGTCGAAAGCTGATTTAAGAAGAATTTTGTCAATCAGAGCAAATGAGGTAGTCAAAGGCGGGAATTTGCTTTTTGATATTTTATCGAAACCAAAAGATCTATCAGTAAACTTTTCCTGGGACTGTTTAGATCTGGCCTATACAACATTAATTGAGCAAGGAGAAATGTTTGAGGAGCATGAAAAGCCAAAACTAAATTTGCATACTTGCTTTAGGTCAAATGAAGAAGTAAAAGAAATTTTAGAAGAGTTTAAAGAGATATGGAAAATCAAGGAAATTGAAGAAAAAACAATATCAATGCCAGCTTATGAAAAATATATAAAAACTGGAGTTATTGATGATTATTTAGATAACCTTGTCGATTTTTGGAAATACCCATGCCTGATTATGATGAGGAGAGTGCTAGGATACCGAAAAACTCATGAAGAAATATTACTAGACATAGATGCTATTATGAATATTTTTAAGGATATATGTGGAGAAATGAAACCAGTCACAGAACAGCAAATTAGCTATGTGGTCCTTGAAAAGATTTAGTCAAAATATGAATTAGTAGGATTCAGTCATTTTAATAGAATTTATTATAAATTGGCTTAAAACAAAGTTTTTGTCATAATAGCTTTAAATCAAGCTAAAATATTAATCTTATTCTCCTTATAACACATTAACAGCTAGATAAATGGGCTGCACCTGAAAGTGTCAATGTGGCAACAAGTCAAACGAAGCCACTCTTGATGTCTCGCAAATCACTTTAAAAGTAATTTTCAGCTAGATTCTAGAAGAAGACGATACATCCTTCGCTAAAAAAGCATCAACTAAAAACAATCAAACACAAAAAATCAACTCAACGATGCAATCTGATTCAAAATATTTTTCATCTCCAGAAATTACAGAAAATCATAACAAGCCTGACTTTCTTAATCTTCGGCCTCCATCTCCTCATAAAGAAGCTTCCCAAAGAATGCCATATGAGCAAGCTATAAAAGTTATTAGAATTCTAGCATTTTTTTAATAAAAAATTTGTTTAATTCTAGAAAAATAAAAAAAAAATTCCTATAAAATACACATCAAAATTTCCAACTGATTTTGCAACAGTCTGGAGTTCTGAAGATGTTTTATTAGAAGGTGAACTTATGAGATATCGCCCTGGTATTTCCCATCAATTTATATCTCGATGATGCCAAGTCACTTATTTTGAATTTATGTATTTCAAAAATCAATACTCAGCCCAATGTTGGTTTGATAAGCCTTTATGCTTAGTCCCATTAGCGCAAATAAAAGATGTGAAGCGGGCCAGATTTAAAGTCCCAGAAAAACAGCAGAAGCTTAAAAAATCCAACAACTTGTATCAATTTGAAATATTTTTAACAGATGAAGACCAAATGACTGAGCTCTCAAGACATGCTGATGAAGACCCTATGAGCCAAATTTTGTTACAAAAAACGAGCGTCAATGACCAAAAACAAAGTGTAGAGGACGGAAAACTGATGAAGAGACCTGTGAGAGTAGAATCTCCAGAGAGATCTGAAAGGTCTGATGTCAGCAAAAAAAGCAGAGTCTGTGAAAGAATATCATGAAGCACCAGAGAGATTGAATGATACACAGCAGAGCGGAGGCTGTTGTTTAGTGCCCAGGATGAAGCAACTTGCATGCTTTGGATAAATACTATCCAAAATGCTTTGAGACGTCATAAATAATTTTCTATTTTTAATGCATAGCTTTATCTAATAAATCTAATAGCTCCGCTGTATGAACTGAAGAATAACCAGTAGCTGCTGCAGCTGATGGTTTTCTAGTAACTGCAGTTAAGTCATCGCCTCTGCTTCCAATAGCAGTTTTTATTCTTGGACAAACATATTGCCAAGCTCCAAGATTTAGAGGTTCTTCTTGCACCCATTGGAATTGTGCGTTTACATATTTGTCAGCTACGAACTTGACTTTATCGAATGGGAAAGGTGAAATCTGTTCCACTCTGACCAAGGCAATATCATTAATATTCCTCTTTTTCCTTTCTTCTACCAAATCATAATAGAGCTGTCCAGAACACAGTAATACCTTTCTTACGCTACTTGGAGTCGTCAATTCAGGTGTCCAGTCATCATATACCCTCTTCACTCTGTCCTCAGAAAACTCTCCTATATTTGAAACTGCTTCTTTATGCCTCAAAAGACGCTTAGGTGACATAACAATTAAAGGTTTCCTAAACTCTCGCTTAATTTGTCTCCTCAAAAAGTGGAAATAATTGGCAGGTGTTGATGGGACTACGACTTGAATATTATGGAAAAAGTTTTCTTTACGGTCTTTTAAGAAGTTTTCAGGGATCGCATATGGGTATTCTGAGGAAAGCTGCAAGAAACGGCCAAGTCTTGCACAAGAATGCTCAGCACCTTGTCCGTCATAGCCGTGGGGAAGCAAAAGAACAAGCCCGGATTCTTGGCCCCACTTAGCCTCTCCACTTGTAAGGAACTGATCAATAATGATTTGGGCGCCATTGGCAAAGTCTCCAAACTGAGCTTCCCACATAATTAAGGAGTTCGGGTTGACAATAGAATAGCCATATTCAAAGCCCAGGACACCAAATTCAGAGAGATGGGAATTTGTCGCGTTAAAGACAGCTTGGCTTGTTTCTAAATGGCTCAATGGACAATATTTTTTACGATCTTCTTGTTGATCGTGGACTATGGAATGCCTCTGAGAAAAAGTGCCACGTTCTACGTCTTGTCCACTAATTCTGACTGGGAATTTTTCACATGTAAGAATAGTGGCCCATGCCAAAGCTTCAGCAGTGGACCAATCAATGCCTGCGCCTTTTTCTATAGCGTTGAGCCTATTTTTGTAGAGCTTTGCGACCTGTGGATGAGGCTTTAAATCTGATGGAAGTGTGTTTACTTTGGTTCCTAATTCTTTCAAAATGTCTTCTTTTACACCTGTTCTATTCGGGTCACTTTTAGCCTTTTGTTCTTTTTTCTCGAGTGTATAAGGCTTGTGGACGAAAGACTCTGCACTTTTTTTTGCCTCAACGAAGCTTTTTTCGTGGATATCATTAATCCCTTTAAGGACTGCTGCTGCTTGCTCTGGGGTATAAACTCCTTCTTCTACTAGCCTCTTTGTATAGAGCTGGAGGACTGGGGTATGATCTTTGATAAGCTGGTACATTTTTGGGTTGGTGAAATTAGGCTCATCTAGTTCATTATGCCCATATCGACGATAACCTATCACATCTACGAAGACTGATTTTCTAAACTCATTTCTCCAATCTGAAGCTAATCTTGACACATAATCAATTTCTTCTGGAAAATCTGCGTTCACATGGAAAATAGGTGCTGCAATAGATTTTGCGACTTCTGTTGGAAACAGCCCTGATCTTGAATCCTTGGGAACAGTAGTAAACCCGATATTATTATTGAACACCAAATGTACAACTCCACCAGTGCTGTAATCATGCAAATCTTCAAACTGTAGAGTTTCATATACTACACCTTGGCCAGATAGCGCAGCATCTCCATGGATCATAATGCACATAGCGCTTTTTCTGCTTAGTCTGGTGTTTTGAATAGCTCTTGTAAGTCCGACTGCAACTGGGTCAACTGCTTCTAAATGTGAAGGGTTTGCTAATAGTCTAATAGTAACTTTTTTCCCATTAATTTCTCTCTCCACAGTTTGTCCCAAATGGTACTTTACATCTCCTTCATCTACATCTTTATACCCAGTCCCGAAAAACAGCCCAAACATTTCTTCCAAATTCATGAACAATACATTTGCCATCACATTTAGCCTTCCTCTGTGGGGCATTCCAATCACAAAATCCGTTACTCCATGTTCTGCAGCTCTTTCTATTACAGCTTCAACAGCCAAGATTGCTCCTTCTAGCCCATCCATGCCAAACCTCTTATGAGTAGAAAATTTCTTATGGAAAAACTCTTCTAGCATCTGCGCTTTAGCAACTTTATAATGAAGCTCTTTTTTTTCCTTTGCAGAGTAGCTAAACAAAGTCTCTTTTTCTACGTTGGATCTAACCCAATTGCACTCATCTCTGAATGGGATGTGCATATATTCAAAGCCTATTTTTCCACAGTAGACTTTTTTACACATGTCAATGATGTTTCTCAGCTTCCACTTCCCAGCCCATGGCCCTGATGAGGACAAAAACCCTGAAATCAAGGAGCTGCCGATATCGAATTCTTTGTCCATGTCACTTTCAGTGAATTTGTAGTTTTCCAGGCGGATTGGTCCTGGAATTCTGACGTCAGCCAGATGGCGATTGACATTTAAGGTTAGATTCAGAGGGTCGAGGTCAGCCAGCATGTACCCATAACGCTGGAAAGATTGAAGTAGTAGCACAGCTTTGTGAGCGTCACGTATATAGTTAGAGCTGATAGGTGTTGAGGCAGTAAGAGACGCTGCAGGAGAAAGCGAGGATGGAGCTGTATATGGTTCTTCTTGCCCAGTTTCTAAACCTTTGAAATAAGCTCGTCAGGAGGCGTGGACTGACTCTGGATTTTGCTTGTATTGGTCAAAGAGATTTTCCATATACCACGCATTTGTTCCTGACGTAAAAGAGTCTGAAATGAATCTTCTGCCTTTCTGAAGGATTTTTAAGGCGGAGCGACTTACTCTCCTCCCCCTTTAAATTGGAGCAAAAAATCCTCTTTCAATTTAAAAGGTAGGCTAATTTTTTTAAAAAAAATTTTAAGGAATTTTATAAAAATATATTGAACCAAATATTTTGAATTTTTAATAGAATTAATAAAAAATTAATCTATTTAATTTTAAAACTATTATATAATATTCTATTAAATTAGGTAAAAACCCACTACCGAGAAACCGGGGGTTTCGGCCCGGGCTCAGAGGTACCAGAGGTGGAAGTCCACCCAATTCGCTTGTGCCAACACGCTACTGGAAGTAGAGACTTTAAACATTTATCTTAACATAACATAACATAAATTAGGTAAAAATAATTTTATAAAATTGTATTTTCATCGATAAAATTTTTTATTGAAAAAAACATTTGCTCCAATTTAAAGGGGGGTTAAAGTAGAAATTTACCGATGTTTTGTTCCAATTTAGATGGGAAGGGGGAGTTAGCATTATAATTAATGGTAAATGAAAATTGAATAAAAAATATCTAGAGTTTTTATTCGTTCCATAAAGAGGGAAGAAAATTTGTTGACTTAAAGGGAGTTATTGATTTAAAATAATATATCTTATGTATCAAAATTATTTATGCTTACTTATAAAGAAATATAGGCATTATATTTGCTGTAATATAAAAATTTATAGTAAATAGGAGAGCGCCCTTACCAGTATGATTTTTTTATATATTGTAAATAAATATAATTTTGATTATTTGGATCTTTTAATTTTTCTACAGTCTCAAGTGCGTTATATAATCTCTCTACAGCACTGATAGAACTTGGCTGAGCATTTAAATCGAAATTATGTTCCAAGCATAAGCAAAGTCTATCAAGCAGTGTCATCTGTTTAAAGTTTGCTTTCAAATCTGCTAAAATTCCTACATGTTTAGCCAGGCACTCTGCAATTTTGTTCATTAATGCTCTTAATTCTCCATTTAAAAGATGCCTAAGATCGATAACCAGTTTAATGATTCTGTCATCATTAAGTCCCATATCCATAGCAAGTTTATCCTTAACTCCCAGGCCTTGGTGCGTGAATCAAAAAATATTTTTGTTTACTCCCCTGTGGGCGAATAAAAAAAATTTTTGTTTTTTTATGGAGGTTAATTTTTTTACACCAAAATTTAACAAAAATTCCAATTTGTAAAAATTGAGAAGCAAATATAAATTTAATTTGTAAAACTTATGTTTTAAAAATGCAAGCTGTTTAAAATTAAACAGAATTAGATAGAGACTTCGTTATAATAATTGTCACTTATATATCAATTTTTTTATCAAAAATTTTTCGTCACACTCACTGAAGAGGGTGAATTTTCGGCTATTTTTCCAATGGTTTTGTTCGAACACGGAGGGAGGGAGTTAGATTTTTTCAATAATTTTTATCATTTTTCAAAATTTAAAATCACAATTCACAAAAATAAATTTAATTTGAAAAAATTTGTGTTTTAAATTGCAATTTGTATAAAATTCAACAGAATTTAGCTAGAGATTTCATTATAATAATTATCGCTTACACTTCAAATTATTTTTCATCAAAAATTTTTATTTTGAACCTTTTTTTAGGGTGTTTTTTTTATCCAAAAACAAGGATTTTTCCAATGGGTTTTGTTCGCTCATAGGATGTCAGTAAGCATTTTTTCATCGTCATACTTTTTTATAAATTGCTCAATCAAGCCTAAGTAAACCTTCATCATTTCGAACTCTTCAGCCCAAATATTCTTTTGTTTTATTAAGCTTGCTTCTAAATTAGCAATCAATTCGTAGTTATAATCAGCTTTCTTTAGCGCTTCATCCGAATCTACATCAAAACAATTGTGAGTTTTATGATCAAACATGCATCTACCACATATCAATTTGCTGCAGTCACGGCAATACCCTATCAAAATAAGCCGATGAATCGAGCAGCGCTGTGGCACTTCTTCAATGTCAACTATAAGTGCGAAATTTACTGGCAGGAAATCGATAAGAGAAAAAAATTCTTTATTGTCTAATGGACACAAACCTCGGCCTGGGGTTATTAAACATTTCTTTATGCAGTTATTACAAAAAGTATGTCCACAAGGCAGGCAAATCGGAAGCTTATCTTTTGTGTCATAAAGTTGCGAGCACTTTGGACAATTTTGAAATGGGCAAGGCGTTCGTTTCAGCACAGGGTATGTTCATGAAAGCTGCTCTAACTGGTCAAGAAAAATGTTTCCTTTTTCAATATCGCTAGCAATGCCTTTTGTAGCTGCTTCAAATAGTTTATACTTTGGGTCGAAATCAACATTGCTTACCGATAGGTTTTCTTTTGCTAATTTCTTCTCTTTAGTTTTACTTCCTTTCCTTACCGCAGGTTTTGCGCTTTTTTTATTTGCAGTCTGATTTGAGCGAGTTTTTACCATTGTTGCAAATTAATTGTTGTAGCTAATTAAATTTTAAATGGAATTAATTACTGATTTTCGATAAGTTTTTTTTTCTATACAACAAAGCACTTTATGAGAAATTTTAAAAAATAAGGATAATAATCACGATGATGAAAATGACTCGGGAGGCTACTTTATATAAAAAATGGAGCAGAAAGCTTATAACAATCTGATATTGATATAAGAAAATTATCCAGCCGAAAGGATTTTTGGATAATTTAAAACTAAATTTATTAACTCCACCCCATCCTTGATCGAACGATTTACTAAAAATTTGGAAAATTGACCCCTTTCCTTGATCGGCGATTTTCATATCATGCAAATTTTTATATATATAAAAATATATTACTTATCAAAAGTTTGGAAGATATGCCTAATGAAGTTGTTGTCAAAGGCTTGAGACGATAAAAAGCTACAGAATCAACCATCCAAAGTGCTTTAGTCATCAACCTGGGCTTAAAAACTCAATAATCTAAAAAATAGAGATTCTTTAAAATTTAAAATTTTTAATTCAATAAGAAACAAATTAAAATTTATACAGTTTAAGGGATAACCAAAAAATCAAAATATTAAAAATTGGTATTTTTATGAAATTAATTCAATTTTTTTGCTGTAAAAATAATTATTAAATATTCTTAACCCTCTTATTTAAAAATATATAAAAAAAGATATATTTTTTATTTTATATATAAAAATTTTTTTTTAACCCCCATCCTTGATCGAACGATGGCGAGCCGTTCGATCAAGGATGTGGGGGAGTAAGCATTTTTTGCATTATTGAAAATTTTAAGGAAGAAAAATAAAATTTAGACATAAATTATGCGAGCTAAGACAAATTAGCAAAATATTTTCTATAATTTTATAAATATCAATTGTCTTTATTGTTTTAAAGATGATTAAAATGTGTGACTATATATAAATAATTTTGAGGATTTTTAATTTCGGAAGATATTTATACAACTTATTTCTATTTTTCATCAATTAATTCAAAGATGGAAAAGTATCAGCTGCTGGAAGTCATAGGAGAGGGGTAATTTCAATTCAGAACATATGGAACAGTCTATAAGGCAAAGCATAAAGACTCAAACTCATTTTTCGCAATAAAAAAGTTCAAGGATAATGAAGAAAATGAAAGCGTCAGAAAAACAGCGATGCGAGAAATTAATATGCTAAAACTTTTAAAGCATGAGAATGTAGTAAACTTATTTGAAGTAATCAGAAAAAATAAGAAAATTTATCTGGTTTTTGAGTACGTTGAAAGAACTGTTTTAAATGACTTGGAAAATTTTCCACAAGGAATCTCCCCGCTGCAAGTTAAAAAAATTTTGTATCAGTTATTGAGAGCGATAAAATTTTGTCATGATAATAATGTAAGAGAAACATAGATAGTTCATAGAGATATAAAACCAGAAAACCTTTTGATTTCACAGACAGGAATTTTGAAATTATGCGATTTTGGATTTGCGAGAGGTTTGAATTCTTTGAGTGGGCAGTATACAGATTATGTGTCTACAAGGTGATACAGAGCTCCAGAACTCTTATTCCCCTCCGTGAGCGAACAAAAACATTGGAAAAATCTCTATTTCTTGGGTAAAAACCAATTCTCTGTCAGCTAACAAAAAAATTTATGAAAAATTATTTGATATATAAAATAATGAAATATCTAGTTAATTCTGTCAATTTTAAACATTAGCATTTTAAAAACATCTTAAATTAATTTTCTTTTTTCCATTTTTGAGAATTGGGATTTTGAAAAAAAATTGCAATGAAACTTATATATAGATTTTTTTAAAAAAAGACAATATTTCCCTATCCGTGAGCAATCAAGATTTTAGTTTGCTCACAGATAGGATTTAGTAGGTGATACTGAATATGGAAAGCCAGTAGATATATGAGCGATTGGGTGTATCTTAGCTGAGCTTTTAGCTGGTCTTCCTTTATTCCTGGGAGAAATAAAATGCTAATGTTGACGAAAATTGGACTCCGAGTTGCACTCCCTATAGAGCAGGTTGGATCCATCTTGGTGAAGCTGAAAGCAGGACCTCTGTCTCTTTTTAAGTAGGTATTCGGGCCTGGGGATGCCTTGCCGAAGAGTGAAGTTTTATTTCTCGCTAGAATGCTTTCCTGCACCTGCAAGATGGGTTAGACAAATTTAGCCTAACGCATGTTTTTCCCTTGTTGGACCATCTGAACATTTACTGACAGCTCTGTCATAGGGAGCTGATCCCTTGGGCAGTTGCTACAAACCAGAAACCCAAATTGGCAACCATACCTTTCCCTATTTCGTCTCTCAGAACGTTGGAGGAGGCTATTTTGGAGCCGAGATGAGCAAAGGCTAATAGGCTTGCCCACTATGGCCAGTTTAATCGTTTAAGTTTATTCCCAGGAGATTCTGATATAGATACCTTATCGCTTATAATGAAAATTTTTGGTGACAGTCTATCACATAAACAGATAAATGCTTTTAAGCATAATCCTATGTACTTTGGCTCAGAGGTACTTAGATATATAGACAATAGCTCCCATCAGTTAAAAAAGGGTTAGATTTAGAACAAAAACATAGCTCTTTCACTGGCGCCACTTTATCATTTTTGAAATCGTGCCTTGAACTAGATCCAGATAAACGTGCTAATTGTAACCAGCTTCTAAATCATGAATATTTTGACCAAAATTTCAAGCAAAATTTTGAGCACGAATATTTAGAAATTTTAGGAAATCATTCTCATGATGCAAGAATAAATTACAGAAGATCAGTATCTAATGATCCATGCAGCCCTGAACCAGCTTGGCCAGCAAAATACACAAGTCGAGATATAACTCCTCATAGAATTGGTCAAAAGAGTATCGGAACAATCAGATTCAATCCAGAAGATTTAATTCCTCAGACAAGAACTCCTGATTTAAGTGAAGAAAGACATATTGGCCCTCCACCAAATTTTTTGCCAAATTTAAAGTTGAGGAGAGACGAAGAATCGGGCCACAATTCATCATTTTATAAGCTGAAAAAGAAAAACAGTGATATAAAAATCCCTCTAATAAAGCAAGCAAAGCATTCTGTGGAAAACACCCATTATAAAAATCAAGCTATAAAAAATGTCGACTTAAGCCAAAATATTTTGGAAAAATCGCATAATTTGAGCACAATCTATGAAATTAAAGACCAAGGAGATCAAACAATAAGAAGCAGAAATCACTCAAAAAGCCACTTAAAGCAGAGGAATAATGTCGATAATCCTTATTTTCAGTCAATTCCCACACCCTTGCCATCTTCGAAAATTAAGCATACGACCACATTTACGAAAAAACCGAAAATTACATTGTAAAAACTATTTAGCCTAAAAGTAGGGATTGGGCTGCAAAGCCATACAATCACCAAGCTTTTGAAGCAGTAGAATGCTTCAATACATTTTTGAAGGAATTTCCATATTTCATAAATAACAATAATTATCTAATGTATATATATAGTGAAAATGATTTATTGACCTTACATATTTTTCAAATTTATTTGAAAATTCCTGAATTAAGGCAATGGTGTTAAATCTCTTTATTTAAATAAATGGGCTGCTGTGGATCGAGACTTGAAGAAACTCCTCAGAAACAAAAAAAGGATTTAAATACTTCTAGTGATACTGAAAAAAGTAGCGCTACTTATCAGCCCCAGGAAATTAATCGAAGAAACCCTAATCGCCATTCTTCTATGGCCATACGTAAAGGAAACTTTATCCGAACAAAGAGTGGGGATATTAATCAATTTTATGAAAATATCAGAGAAATAGGAACAGGAGGCTTCGGAATTGTTTATAGTGCAAAGGATAAGAGATCTGGTCTCAGGCGTGCTATTAAAGAGATACCAAAAGATAAGCTGGATAAATCCACAAATGAACAAATGCTTGAGGAAGTTCAAATTCTACGCGAATTGGATCATCCTAATATTATGAAGATTTATGAAGTAATAGAGTCTCGAAAAAGCTATTATATAGTTTCAGAGTATTTATCTGGGGGGGAATTGTTTGATAAAATCATCGAAACTCAAGGATTTAACGAAAAAATAGCAGCAAGATATTTTATTGATATGATGACTGCAATAAATTACTGCCACACAAATGAAATTGTTCATAGGGATTTAAAGCCAGAAAATTTATTATTAGAATCTTCTCAAAGAGATGCTAATTTGAAAGTCATTGATTTTGGGATTTCACAAAGACTTAATCCGGGAGCAAAATTGACATCAGCAAATGGAACACTTTATTATATGGCTCCAGAGGTATTTGATAGGCCACATGATGAGAAATGCGATATTTGGAGTGCTGGGATTATTCTTTATGTTATGATATGTAAAAATTATATAGGTGGAAAACCTCCATTTTATGCTGATAATGATAAAGATTATATTAAATTGATAAAAAAGGGACAGTTTTCTTTGACGAAAGGAGCCTGGGAAAATGCTTCTGATGACTTGAAAGATTTAGTAAGAAAAATGCTGACTGTGGACCCAAAAAAAAGGCTAAGTGCACAAGATGTATTAAATCACCCGTGGGTGGAGAAATACTTGAGCAATGAAGCAGAAGCCAATCCGATTTCTACCGAAGCATTATCAAATTTAGGGAAATTTAGGGTAAGCTTTATATAGAATCAATCAAAAATAGCCAAATCAATTAAAACTTTTATAACAAGCCAAATTTTTACTGCAAAAGATGAAAAAGAGTTAATTAAAATTTTCAAAAGGATAGATAAAAATGGAGATGGAAAATTATCTGAAGAAGAATTAATTGAAGGATACTTAGAATTAGGGTTGACATCTCCTGCGGATATTGAAGCTATTATGAAGAATTGCGATACTGATCATAGCGGATATATTGATTTCACAGAGTTCGTAACTGCGACGACTGAATGGAATTTTATGATTAATCAAACTCAGCTAAAACAAGCCTTTAAAATGTATGACACAAGCGGAGATGGAAAATTGTCACTTGACGAGCTGAAAGCAGGGATCCCTGGAATAGAAGACTCTGAATGGAAGAAATTCTTAGATGAGGCTGATACAAATGGAGATGGAGTCATCACGTTTGCGGAACTTAAAGATTATTTGACAGAAAAATTATAAGTTGTTATATAAACTGCTTAAATTTAACTACGAAGCATTAGCGTGCTAGCTGTCAATTTCTAATTTAAAACCAATAGGCCATAAATCGCATCAATATATCACTCAGAACCTAAAATATTTGGCTAGTAAAAATTGATAATAAAAATGCCTATTCACTGAATAATTAGCTAACATTCGTGCCACTTCTAACCTTAAAATTATATAGGCTATTAAGGATAGCCAGTTTTGTTGACTGAGGGTAGCCTAAAGCTAATAAAGACAATACTGAGGTATACTGGTAACCTATAGGTATAAGTTAAAACAAAACTACATTAATTGTTGAAGGCTCATAAATTTTTTAAAAATAAAGCCCACACACGATAATAGATCACCCTGTGGGAAAAATTCTGAGCAACTCTCTGAGTTAATTCTCCATCTCAAGCTGACGAATCGATTCAGAGGGTTGGCAAATGTCTCATATTGCTCATATTTGCCAACTTCCCGAAGTGATTCATCAGTTTAATCTGAATAATCATTTCAGGGGGCTGTCCTAAATTTTCCAGCAGGGCGGTCTATTATCGATCCTGGGCTATGAATAAATTTCAGGGGTCTTAATAAAATTAATATGAGACCTAGAGATATTGGAATGTGTGCCTTATTTAGAGGTGTTAACTCAGTAAGCAAGCTAATGAACCGTGACCCAGAAGAAGTCGAAGCTTATGTCTCATTAGTCTCATATGAGTCGGCCCCTTGTTTCGCAAAGCTCCGACAAACACTCCAAGAGGTCGTATCAGATATAGGTTTGAAACAATGCAGCGAAATGCTTCAAATGCCAGAAAAAGTCCTTTCTATGATTATTTTAGAAGATGAAGAAGCCCCAAAAAGCAAAACTCGTGAATCTTCCCCTCCATCTCCTCCAAGCTACCGCTCCAAAGAAAAAAGTAGAAATCCCGAAGAAAATAAAAAACCAAGCTCAAAAGAGCAGCCAAGTATAAGGATCGCCAGCCAAAATTCTCAAGAAAACCATAAAAGCACTGAAGAAGAGTACAAAGAGCTGGGCGAGTATAATTGCATTAATGATTTAAAAGCTAGGGTCATCAGACTTTATGCTAATGGAGTAAGAACAAGAGTTATCCAAAACTTGTATGACATCCGCAACTTAAACATAATCCACAGCTGAGGCCTATGAGAAAGATCTGAGCCAGACGTTGCAGAAAAATGCAGAAAAATTAAAGAAAGGGCGTTAATATTAAAGCAAGAAGGCAAAACAGAGGCTGAGATTGCTACAGAGTTAAACATCAAGGTTTATAAACTAAACGAAGTATTGGGTGTTTTGCCGAGCAGAATAAAGTTGATTTTCACAGCAAAAGATATTAAACAAGCCCTAGACTTTTATCGCGTTCTAAAAAATAAAGACAAAACGGCAAAAAAACTAGGGATTTCTGTGTCAACGTTGGATGAGTGGATTTATAAAAATGAAAAAGGAAGGATAAAGACTGTGTTTGATGATAAGGATGGAGTTGATCCACTCACAATATTAAATTCATTGGAAACTTACTTTTTAACAAAGAGCGTTGATAAAGCGGCAAAGGTTGGAAATGTTGATGTGCTGAAGGTTTCGAAATGAGTAAAACAGTTTGAGGCTAAAATGAATGAGGAAGGAAGGAAGACACAGAAAGATGAAGAAATGGAAGAAGAGATTAAGAAAAAACTTAAAAAAGCTGAGTAGACAATGATATTTTACTAATTAATAAAAATATATAAATACTTTGTTTAGAAGCTTTTTCTACAGGTAATTAAAACTCTTCATAAATTCAATTATTTGATAGAGATTTAAATATAATATTAATATAATAAAAGCTATGACTCACTGTCATCTTCAGTACAATCACTCGGAGTATTTTCTTCGATTTTTTGCTTTTTTTCTGGCTCCCCATCTTCATTTTCAACTCCTCCTTCTTCAGTATGTTTTCTCCTAGGCCTTTTAAATAATTTTTCATTCAGTTCTGTCATTTTTTTTTCAAATTGTTTTATTCATCTCCCAGCTCTCAATAAATCCACATTTGCACTTTTAGCAGCTTTTTCGACATTTTTCATAATAAAATAATTCTCTAGCAATGCTAACTTTTTGAGAGGCTCCTCCCCATTTTCAGTTTCCCACAAAGTTTCAATTTTCCCATCGATTCATTTCCTAAAAATCACGCCTGAAATTCCTAATTCTCTTGCAGCTTTATCTCTATTTTTTAGAATTTTTGCAAGGTCTTTAGCATCTTCTATATCTTGTTTGGTAAAGAATAATTTTGTTCGATTAAAATCGCCTGCAATTTCTTTAAGTTTTTGATGGGCAATTTTCAGTTGTGCGATTATTTCTTCATCAGTTTTTCCCTCATTTCTCAAATTAAGTATTTCTTGACGCTTATTTTTAAGCTTTTCAACGGTTTCGGCATCACAACGAGTCCAATTGCAAAGACTATGTATAAGGCCTGGGCTTTGTAAGTCATATAATCCTTGAATACATTTTATTCTGACACCAGCATTATAGAGCCTAACAATTCGGTCTTTAAGAGATTCTGTATTTGAATAGTCAATGCTTGGTGGCTTGGGTGCATGAATATTTTTTTTGGGAGTAGCTTGCTTTGTAGAATTGTTTTTTGAGTTATTTAACTTCTGAGTGGTTATGATCTTTAAAGCTTCAGGAGAAATTGATAGCATTGCACTTGTTTTTTCTTCACCTATGCTTGTTACAACATCTATCAAGGTAGTTCTAAGCTTTTCGAAGCATGGAGAAGACTCATAAGTAATTAGGGAAGTAAAAGCTTCAACTTCAAGGCGATTTCTTTTGACGGCTTCGCTTACATGTTCAACACCACAAAATAATGCACATAAGCCAATTTCTCTTGGGTCCATTTTTATTTTTATAAATTTTCCAATGGGGGATATTGAAAAAATATATATTTTTTAAATTTAAATAGCGGAAAAAATGATTTTAAATATCAAAATTATAGCCTCAAATTATATTTAATTATGTAAAATATATTAAATTATTCTCTTATGAGTTTTTTATTGAATTGGTATTTTTATTTAATAATAGAAATTATTTTTTAATTATGAAAAACATTACTACCCTCTTTGAGTTTAAGACAATAGAACATATTATTATAATATTTCAAGTTCATATATTATATATGATAAGAATCAGCTTAATTTGCTAATTATTTCTATAGTCAAAAAACCTATCAAAAAAGCACTTTATTAAGATCTTAGCCATTGGGTTTATAGCTAGTAATTGTATAAAAAATGCTCATATTTATGCTAGGTGGCGATAGTCCTGGATCAAGTTTTTGCATTATCATAATCAGTATATTATTATTTATTAAAATAATGATTTGCTCCCCCTTTTAAATTGTAACAAAAATTGGTAAAATTTCCATTTTTTGGTATTCAACCCCCCTTTAAATTGGCAAATTTGTTTTTCAATTGGAAAATTTTAACGATCAAAATAATAATTTTATAAAATTTGTTTTGGTCTAATTTAATGACAAAATGCAAGTAGAATGTTATTTAAAAGTTTTATAATTATTTTGTTTAATTTTTTTAAAAATATTTTTAAAAATAAAAATTAACCTCTTAAAATTGAAATAGTTTTTTTTCTTCCCATTTTAATGGGGGGGAGCTAGATAATTTATGAACACCTTAAATAAGCTTTTCTTGGCTGACAGGTCTTGGATTTTAGCTTTTTCCTATCATGTTTGTGAAGCGGGTCTTTCATAGTAACATAGCTTTGAGGCGTGCAGAAATTTTCAAATAATTTGAAGAACTCAGAATATCCACCTTGAAGGATATAAAGCTCAGGATACGACAAGGCAGGATAGTTTTCCATGTTTTGAAGCCTGTCTGAGTTTCTAAGCCAGCGATACAAAGCAGGGCCGCGCTGCTGTGAAAATTCACAGTGGATTATGATAGGAGTATTTTCCCAATTCGAGCCTTCTAGAATACTAGAAAGATTTTCTGGTGAAGAAATATTATCTTATTTAAAATCAAATCTTTTTTGGTAGCTAGGTATTTTTTTCTATTTAATTTAAAAATCAGGAATAGTCCTCTGGCATCTTCATGCAAGATTTACTATAAAGTATTAACTGCGGACTGTATATGCCCACCTTCATATTCATAAGGATAGCGAGCATCAATTACGAGATATTTTTCAATTGAAATTTTATTGTCAAGAAGATCTGCTAGAGACTGAGGGGAGATATAATTTATATCTGGGTTAGACGAGCATCTAATTTTGGGCAAAATCGAAGCCTCAGATTTTGCTGGCTTTTCTTGGTGGAAGAATTCTTCGAGTTTCTGCTGTCTAAGGTTGGTTTCAGGCTGTTGATGAATTTTCATAAATAATAACCCCTTTTAAATTTTTATTATCCCGCGATATGAATTAGAAACCAATTAATAAATGAATATATTAGGTTAGATTCCCCAACCAAGAAGTGTCTGAACTAATGTTCCAGCAGCTTGGCCACACTCATTATAGTTAGAACTGCAATCTGCAATGGTTTCAGATAAGGTTTTAGTGGTGCTTCCGCTTGCAAGGTAGTTGTTAAGGATAATTTCAAAGCCATTCTCTGTTAAGAAAGTAGCTAGGTAGGTGAAATCGCAGTCTGAATTAGCATACCCAACGTTCTCGACAAATCTGACGTAGTCAGAAGAAAATGCTGCGAAGCCAATCATGTTGAAGGCGAGCATCTGCTTAATGTCAGTGGCAACATTTTCAGTGTATTGGAATAAGTCAGTTAAATCCAAATAGCAAGCTGATGGGACTAAAGGATTCTTTTGTAATCCAAGTAAGAACCCGTTAAAGAAGTTCATGTACATTGGTCTTCCTGATTGTAAGGATGAAGTTGGTGCTGGGACCATATGGCTCATAGCAACTCCGAAGCTTTGACCAGCTTGGCTCCATTTCTCTTCTCCAAGATAAACATAGGCTTGATGCATGGCTGCAACGATTTCTTTTTCTGATTCCACAAAGTTAGCAAGAATCCAGAATTCGCTTTTAGCTTTGATATCAGCAACCCAGTTTTCAGTGATTTCATTGAGTCCACATCCATAGCTGTAAGTTGCAAAGTTGTCTAAGAAAGCTTTAGCGTTGGTAGCAACTGCAGCTTTCTTGAATTGGAGGATGCTGAAAAATAGGGAAACGATGTTTTGATTGAGGGTGTTTTGTTGGTCTTGGGAGAAACAGGTAGCTGGGAGGTTGAAAGTGGTGCCGGTGTAGCCATCCATGAAACTGTTGATGAATGTTTTGAAGCCGTCATACTCACCGGTTAAGATTTGCTTAACTTCAAGATCAGCTGGCATAGAAGATGCCAATGCGAACAGAACGACAAAGGTTGAAATCAATTTGTTCACCATTTATTAGTATAAAATTAGATGAAGATTAAAGAAATCTGGGGATTTACTCGGATAATAAAGGATAAGAGAGAATATTCTAGCAGATAGATGGTAAATTAAACGTAAGCATTAAATCATGGACTGCAATATTCTTTACATAATAAGGGGGAAAAACACAAACTAGTTGATTTCTCTGCGCTCTTAGGCTTTGGATAAGCATTATTTTATGGTGGTATTAATTTAAATGTACTTCGCCATGAAACAGACTCTAAATTATCGAGGCTGGGATTAAAACGAAGATCTCTTTAACCATTCGCATAATAAGCTGTAAAGCTTATTGCTCAGGGTCATATGATTATAAAATTGCCATTGAAAATTTTCTATCATATTCCATTAAATTATTATGATAATTCAATTAACCCAAAATATCCAAAAGCAATTTAAATATGAAAGTATTTTTGCCTATCAGAAAGAAAATTTTTGTTCCATCTGAGCCAAGCCTAGAAAATAATTCTCCACAAGTGGAAACTAAAAAGTTTACACTGTTTGACCGAAAAACATCAAAGGTTCATTTACCAAGCATCAATAATAGAGAAATCAAAATAATGAAATCTAAACATAATGAAGCCTCAACTTGCACATCTACTGACATTAGTGATGACGAAGATTACGTTATAAATCTGAAAGAAAATAATAAAATAATTGAACAAAATTCTGATTTAGAATCAAGTCCACCAAAAAAATCAGTTAAAAAAGGTTTAAATTTTTCTATTTTGTGTGAAAATGTGTCAAAATTGAAAACAAAATGTGTGAAACGATATAAAAAATACAGAAAAGAATACCCTGCAGCTTTAATAAAATTCGCAGTAATTGATACTGGAGATACAAAAAAATACCCTAGAAGATTGACTCCAAATCCTAGATTTGAGTATGCAAGTAATACATCTAAAAAATCTATAAGATCAAGCTCTAGGCTAGAGCTTAGTTTTAATTTATCAACAAGATTTTATATGTAAATATTGCATTATTTTAACTTATTTTCTTATTAATATAATATGTAAATGGGCAGTGTTCCAATTTTTGCTTTTACAAATTAATTAACAATATTTGATAGTCGTACAATCAGTTTTAGTTAAATTGTATGATGATCAAATAGCTTATGAAATTAAATAAGGAGCTGAATGATGCTTGTAACTATGCATTTAACTAAATATAAACCTCCCATAGCTAGGCCAATTTCAAGACATGAGAGAGTCTGGTATATATCACCTCCAAAAACTCGAAGTAACTACATATAATTTACCATGCATGCATGTGGAAGAGCTGTGTATCGATAAGCAAGCGCCACTGATGAGCACGCATCAAGACAGTTCGGCACCATTTCTTCATAATCTATATGATAGTTCTCATTTTGGATTAACAAAAAATTTTCCCTCATGTTTTTCTTTCTAAATTCTTCATAAACTTCAGGACTAATTTTATTAAAATGCAAAATAAAATAATGCTTTATCCAATCAATCATAATTGAATCTATAGATACAAGTAATATCCCGGTCATAATATGATAAATATTTGATCGACTCACAATCATTGCTTTTATTAAAATAGTAAGCAAATATGTAAAGAGCTGCAATCTATCAATAAAATCATTGCACACAATTTGATACAGAGCTCTATGATCTGTTTTTTTAAATACTGTAATTTTTACCTCCACAAATGCGGATGTAACAAGCACTAAAACCAGTGTGGAAGTGCTGGAATGGATTGCCACTTCAAATACAGTTAAAGCTATATTTTGATGTAGAGTGTGTAGAAATAAATATATCAATGTGACCAAAAAGTTCGTGATTTTTGTTCCCATTTTCCAAGAAGACGCAAACAAAGTCTTTATCGCAAATTTCCCATATGCCATAAGTAGCTGGTCTGCGATTCCTACCATATTATAAAGAGCACTCAGTTTTACAAAATCTTGTTCTTTTAAATCATGATATAGCCTTGATGCAGGATAAAAATATGATAATAAAACAGAGACTGTTAAGATCAATAAGCATCTAAAAGTGTTAGAAAATTTTGGATTCTGAATTGTGTTTAATGGAAGAATTGTAAAAATATTTAATAGAGAATTTAAGCACAATAGAAGCCCTAGTCAAATTGTGTGTTCAAGTTGATAGATTTTGGTAACTATATCAGATAATAAAGATTTATCAGTGCGGCTTAGCTTGCGATTCGAAAATTCCATTTTATCTATCTTTAGTTTTATATACGTGGATTTGTGAAAAAAATTTAAATATGAACACGTAGAGGAATAGTGATTTATAAATTTCATAAAACTTATAAAATCTTTAAATTTTAATAAAATATATTTTAGACTTTGAACATAAAAGAACCAATTAAGACTATTCAAATAAGATAAAATCGAAAATTGTAGCTTAGACTAAGAATTATTTAATATTTTTTTGAAATATCTAATAAAAACAATTATTTTATTACTATGCTGATTTATTAAATTATGTCAAGAAAAAACCATCAACGACAAACTGAGATAAATGAAGAATTAGAATCTCCAAAACTTCCTCAGCATTTTTCTGATCAAGTTTTTAATTTAGAATGCGAATTAGAGCATAATTGCACTGCACAAAATGTATCAAAGCTCATTGAGCTTTATTCCGTATATTTCATTTAGGCTGCCGTTGAATATTATGGATCTATCATGGATGATCGATTTATTCATTACAAAGAAAGGCTTCAGAAACTATTATCAAGAGACGATTACGTGTCTGCTGTTAATGACAAAGTTTCTAAGAAAAATGAGAATGAAATTAATTTTGAAGACATCCCGGTAGAAGCTTCTTCAAATATGAGATCAAAATCAACAGATCTTAGTCTAAATGAAGAACCTGCAAAAGAAACCAAAAGAGATGCAGCCCAGGCTATAAAAGAACATATGCATATAGAAGTTTCCTATGTTTGGCGCTGTAAGGCCGATAAATTCTGATCGGAATTTATCGGTAGGTTGCACCAAATCAATGCCTTGGTCGGACCAAAAAGCGATTTGGTCCGACGAACTTGGAAAGCTCCTGGGAAAATGTCTGCGCTTTTAGCGCTATATAGAGGAAACCTCTATACAAGTTCATCCATAAGTTTCAAAATATGCGAAATGCTACGACATCAAGAAGGCACCAACTTAGAGAACAGGCTTAAAGCTAGGAAAAAACAAGCAACAATACATAGCACTCCTGGATCCAGAACAAGATCCCAGACTGTTGAAAATGTTATGAAAATTACAACGGAAACAAAGTTCGAAAAATACCAGGAAGAAATTGAAAAAATTATGGAAAAATACGTTGACGAAAAGGTCAATCGAATCCAGACGATTAAAAATAAATACCGAGAAGAAATCAACGAAGTAAACATGATGGGCCATAATGGTACTATTTATTTAGATACAATTGCAATGGTGCTGAATCAATTAGAAAAAGATATGCAGAGAGAAATCGATGAAGTTATGAAACAAATAGATAGGGAAAGAAAGGTAGAGATATCTGAGCTTAAGAAGAAATTTCGATAATGAAAATATATGAATAAATTTATTATAAATGGGAGACATCATTAAATTAATTCAAGGAGGAAATTTAGCTTTAATCTCCTCATGGCTTCGGCAGAATAGAAACTGAAATCAAATGAAACTTGGAGAGAATTCTGATACTATTTTGCATATTTCAGTAAAAAATCAAAATCAAGACTTAACTCGTTATATTTTAGCATCAAGCGATACTCCTCCGAATACTCAAAATTCTTATGGTGAAACTCCTTTGCATTTGGCATGCTTTTATGGAAATTTAGATATCTTTAGAGCTTTGCTGGAATACGGAGCAAATCCTGAAATAAAAGAAAACAGAGAAGGGGCTTATCCAATACATAGAACTGTTGAAGGAGAACATGAAAATATTCTGGACGAATTTATTCGCCATGGATTTTCTCTGAAGCTGCTAACTCCTCCTCTCCCTTTAAATTAAAACAAAAAATCTTGTTCCAATTTTGAGGCATTAATTTTTAAATTCTATCTTAAATTTTTCTCTATAAAAAACCTTTTTAAAAATAAAACAAAAATAATTTGAATGCAATATTTTGAGTAATAATAATAAAACGGCGATGCACGGAAATGATTTATTCCATAAACCTTTCCTCCTTCGTGAATTTTATTATTGAACGATTCGGTTTATCAGATGCATTTTTATCCACAATGCTAAATATGGCTTATCGCATAGGGTAAGGCGGTTTAGTCCAAGAATTCTGGAAAGTATAGAAGTTCACCGCTTGGTACACCTGAGGAGGGTGACCCTTAGGCGGAACACGATCAGGAGTAAAGTTATGAGTGAAGGCTATACACCTCCTGGTGGTTTCTGGCCAACTCGGTGGAGCTGTTGTTTTGGATTGTCCTCACCATTTTTGGTGACGTCGAAATCATTTTGCGCACTGGATATCCTGCAGATTTTCAGGTTTTAGCTAAAGGGATGTTCTACACAAGCCTAAATCATCCTGAAGAAGAGACTGGCATGCTAAATACTGAGTATAATGTAATATAATGAACGCAATATTTTGAATTTTAAATAAATTTTGAAAAATTAATAAAAATATTCAGAATGGATCTTTTAAATAACACTTTTCCATTAATTAGTATTTTCCCACCTATAAAATTTTCATTTGAAAAAAATTGTTCCAATTTAAAGGGAATAAAGACCCAAAAAATTTGAAATTTTGCCGATATTTTGTTCAATTTAAAGGGGAGAGGGAGTAAATAATGAGCGTGAAAGCCCTTTGCACTTGGCTGTAGACTTAGGACTAGAAAATTTTGTTAAAAAACTGATTTTGAATGGCAGCGACATTGAAGTGGAAGATTCAAATGGGGATCGAGCAGTTCACAAAGCCTGCCGTGCAAATCATCCAAAAATTTTAGAACTCTTAATAGCTAATGGCGCTATAATTGATCCAAGAAACCACCGAGATGAAACTCCTTTGACAATCGCAATAAGACATATAAGAATAGAATCAATACAAAAAATAATCGAAGCTGGAGCAAGGGTTCGTGACATTGATTTAAGACTTGCAAGAGAAGTCGGAAGGCCAAGTTTTTGGCAATTTATTAGCAAAATTTATAAGGAGCAAACCCACCATTCACCAAATATTCAAGCTGAAGAAGAAAAGTCTCCAGAAGATCCAAAGCCAGTAAAAAAGTCAAATTCTGTCGGAGAAGTCGAGACTCTTGATACAATTTCCTCGCTGAAAAAAAGAATAAGTGAGCTGGAAACAAAAATTGCTTCGTTGACAAGCAATAAGAAAATTGAAGGTATCATTGATAGCAGCGAAATAAAAGTTTTGGAAGTTATAGGAAGAGGGCAGTATGGAGAAGTAAGCAAAGGGATTTGAAGAAGTACAGAAATTGCGTTAAAGAAATTTAGTTTGGCTGATACTGCTGAATTTCTGACTGAATTAGAAGTTTTGAAAAATATACGACATCCTAATATAGTCCTCTTTATGGGAGCTTGCATGAATCCTCCTATTATAATGACTGAATATATCTCCCAAGGCTCATTGTCCCATTTATTGCATGAAACCCACGAGCCTCTCTCCTTATCTCAGCTTGTAGGGATGGCAGTTGATATTGCTAGAGGATTATTATTTTTACATACTTGCAAGCCTCCTATTGTACATAGAGACTTAAAGCCAGGCAACTGTCTTGTAGATTCCCATTGTAGAGTAAAGATTTGTGATTTTGGCCTGGCAAGGGTAAAAGAAAATACTATAAGAGACTCAGGTGCCTATGGAACCTATCCTTACGTTGCTCCAGAAATTATCACTGAACACAAATATTCCCTTAAAAAGTGAAATTAGAAATAAAAAAGGCCTTCAGGCTTGGGGGAGCCTTGCCGAATAGGGAAGTCCTGTTTCTCCTTCGAAATGGGCTAGACAGTTTTTGCCTCTCAAAAAGTCTTCATCTATTGGGACTATCAGGGCCCTATCGTGAGTGGCTCTAACCTAGGAAGCTGATCATTAGATTGCTTCCCAGAAAATTCAAGGGGGGATTTTGGCTAAGTCTTACACCATTTGCACTCTGTTGCATACATACCCAGCGTAGGCCACCTTTCTTGGAGTTAAGGTAGTTGGTTCCCACTTATTGCTGCATAATTTATTCTTTTCTTTAAAAAGTGACATTTTCGCCTTCGGAATGCTTTTATGGGAATTGTTAAATAGAAGACGTCCTTTTAATGACCTACAACCTATACAGATTATGTATCAAATTGCGCACCTGGTAAATTATATTTAGAATAAGCGGCCTGAAATGAGTCAGAACACCCAGCTAACTGGGCTTATAGAAAAATGCTGGGATCAAGATCCCATCAATCGGCCTACAATCCAAGAAATTTTACAAGAAATCCAAGAGTTTTATTGTATAATAAGATAAAAATGACTTTTTTCTTTATTATTTAGAAATTATGCATCATTCGTAGACTTTTCTTTCAGTTTTGACTGGAATAGTGCATGTGATAAAACCGCCGACCTTAACTCCATATCTTTTCCTTCAACTTTTAGCAATTTCAATCCTTCTTTGATAGCCTGAAGGGGTGAAATATTAGTAACCATTTTTCCCTGAGTTTCTATTTTTTGTTGAATTTCTTCAATTTTCTCACCAAGATGTTGATAGTGTGAAGAAAGCTCTGCAACGTTTTCGTTGGCTTGCTTGTATCTTGTCGTGACCTCGTTTAATTGGTTAGCTTGATTTCTATAGTCCCCTGCGATTTCTCCCATAGAAAGATTGATTTTTTTTTCTTGCGAACCTATACGCTCTACTGCTTTAGAAAGGTCGTCAGCAATTTTCCGAAGTTTTAACTCTACATCAGGGAGGTCTTTTTCTATATTTTCTTTAAGCTGCTTTGTTTGTTCTAAATGGGCCCTCCATTCACGAATATCGCCTCCTGTAGGGTCTAATGGAAGCTTAAGACGGGGAGCAACCCTTTCTACTTCAAGAAGCCACTCATTAGGATCAATCGATGACCATACAGGAGCGTTATGCTTAAGACCTTCTTCTTCTGCTTGGTTTACTGGCTGCCCAGCTGCGACCTCTGCAAAGACTGCTTCTTCCTCTTCCTCTTGTATAGCCTCGTCTACGATTTCTCCTTCTTCATCATCTTCTATAACTTCCCCTTCCATTTCATTTTCTTTACTCCCCCCCCCCCTCCGTGAGCGAACAAAAAAATTTTGTTCGCTCACGGAGGGGGGTTAATTTTTTTTTTTTAAAAAAAATTTATATATATAAATTTTATAAAAATATTTTTTTCGAAATTTAAAAAAATCCTAATTTGCAAAAATTGGGAAGCAAATATTAATTTAATTTGCAAAATTTATGTTTTAAAACGCAATTTGTTTAAAATTAAACAGAATTAGCTCTAGATTTCATTATACTAATTATCACTTATATATCAAAATTTTTTTCCATTAAAATTTTTTCTATTAAACAAATTTTTGTTCACTCACGGAGGGTGGGTTTTTGGTCAAAAAATGGCGATTTTTCTAATGGTTTTGTTCGCTCACGGAGGGGGGGGGGAGTTAGGAAAAATCGGCTTCCCAAATTTAAACTTTTTGGCTTGCAATGCTTTTTTGGCTAGCGCCAAAAGGACAAGGCAGGGTCCTTCTCCATGCCCTCCTCTTAGCTTGCCTGGCGGGAAGTCTAAGTCAATGCCGAGCTTCTTCATCTCGACAATAATGCTATTAGCAACTGTAGATGGGTCATCGTATTTATTGAAGCTGGCTTGTGAACCGTTTATTTGTAAAAGTCAGCTGGCTAAGGCTGTAAAATAAATAAACTGCTCTGAAGGATTTGCCCCTGGTAGTGAAAATTGTGCCCTTGTCAGAGGTTTGAAGCCTTTGGTAGATAGAAAAGATTCTTCGTAATTGATGAGTTTTAAGGTGTCAACGATTTCTTCCATTAGCACACCAGCATCTAGAGATTCAGAAGATTGCCCTGGAGTTTCAGATTCCTCTGGTTCGACCATTTTAAATGAATATTTGAAGGAAAAGGCTAATTGGATAAAGTTAAAAGATTATAGTAATTATGTCTCATATAAGGTCCATTTCTCTTGATTATGGTGGAAAAAGGGTGACTGGAGAAGAGCTGAAGATCAAAATCGCAAGTAAAATAAAACTTATGCAAAAAGGATTAAATCCTGTAAATTCCTCATTAACTTCAAAAGTATCACTTCACAATATCGAAAAAGCTAAAAATGACCTGACGATAAGGAAACGAGAATTTGACAGCAGCATATCAAAAGAAATAGAAAAAATCAGAAATGATGTGCCTTTGAAAAGCAATACCATGCATAATAAGACACCAAGCCAATTGATAGGACAATTAGAAAATTTGGATTCGAACCGTATGAAGCTAATGAAGCCGAGGTCATCAACTGTGTATCCTAATAGGAAAAAGGGTGGGACCACACGAAGGCAGCTTGCATCATTTTCTGATAATTTAGAATCACGAGACTATTCTATTGACCTTTGTCCAAAATTAAAGCTCTCTGGGTATTCATTTTTGAGGTCTGTTTATAAATCAAAATCTAGCATTGAGACGTTAAGAAAAAGACTAGAATCCTGTGAAAGTTTAAGATCTCATTGTGAGGAGTATAGCAAAATAGCCAATAAAAGCATCACTGACTTTGGCGAGATTCAGAGTGCCAAAGAATGAGTCAAAGAATTTGATGAAAATACCAAAATGGAGTATGGAGAAAAAGATCCTGAAGGCATGAAGGACGTAAAAAATTATAATAAAGGAGCCGATGAAAGGATGAGAAAATCGGGGAAATCTATTAGAGAAGAAGAGGACAATATAACAACTTTTATTGCAGGATTAGGCAAAAGAAATATATGGAAATTTGCCACACCTTCATTTATAATGAGAAAGAGGATTGGGGAACCCCGAAGCAAGGACGAAATTCTTCAGGTGATGTGATAGTGGAGGTTAAATAAGGGCTTAAGCTCTTAAATTAATTAATGCGTATGACGCACCTTCATTTAACAAGAAAACTGAAAAGCTTTTAAATTCGATGCCTATTTATAGGTACGGCACAAGATAAATTTATTTGTAATATTTTTTATTATGAAGTTTTCTTTAACTAATAATTTTTATGGTCGTCATCTACAAATTTTCTACTCGAAAATTATCTGATTTTATGCTATTAATGATTAAAGACAGTTTGATTTATTTGTTAGCCTTCTTATTGTCACGTTTCTTGGTTTCAATAAATTTCTAACATGATTTTAGCAGAAGTCCTAATATCTACCGATATCAAAATATTAAATCAAAGAGAATTTTTTCTACACAATTAAAACAATAAAACTCAAAAAAATCAATTTTAATCGAAAATTTAGCATTATTTAGCTGTATTATTAAGATTAAACTCTTAAAACGTTGCATGGTAATGTCGCTCGTCTTTTGCTGATGAAGGAGCTACCAGGAGTGGCGAGTTCAATCGGTTTTGGCTTGAGTGAGCAATCATCTCTTACGTTAATTGCTTCAAACCTATCTTCCAATGCGTTCATAAGTAGATCTAACTTATAATTTAAATTTTCAATTTTCGATTTCTGTGTGCTTGAAAGTTGTTGAAATAGTCCAGGTTCTTCCTTTGGTTTACGAACTCCCTTCTTTTGGCAAAGCTGCATTATCATAATTGTGGGAAAAATTTCTGGTGATTGGATCTCCGAATTTTCTGTATCGAAATCTAACGAACAGCACCTTTCTATGTCATCGAAGCTTTCTCTTGTGCTGCCATTCGAAATTAACGAGTGTGAGTGCGAGAAGTTGGGGAGCTCGAAGCTATTGATTTCTTTGATTAATGCCATGCAACTTCTCGCTATTTATTAACTATTTGATTGGTAAATGCAAAGAAACTAAAAAGTGCAAGTTAACGATTTGAAAAAATAAAAAATATTATAATTGGGTTAAATATTGGAAAAATATTTAGGTTAAAATAAATTGACTATAGTAGGAAATTAGTATAGAAGGGATAAGATTAAGCTGGTGAAAAAATTATTATATAGGCGTAAGCATGTTATTAGGCTGAATATTGAAAGAAATAGGAAGAAAAATTAATAACTCATTTAGCTAAAAATTTAAAGAGTTAATTTTTTGGAGTTGTTATTGGGATTAAAATATTTTCATAGGGAGAATGGTATGGCCTTGCTCCTCGGACTTTTGCAGGCTGCTTCTTCTTTGGCTTTATATTAACATTTAAATTGTTGATTGAACTGAGTGATTTATGCAGAACTCGTTTTGATGATTGATTAATCATGGGGAAATGAGGAGAAGGGGTTGCTTTCAAAGAAATAGGATTTAGCTGGTTTATTAGTGATGGATTATTTTCTTTTTTTGTATTTTTATATCGGATTGATATTTTTTTTGCTTTTTGTGTTTGAAGTGATTCTTTATCACTATTATTTGTTTCTGATGTATCATTAGGTTGGGCCTCTGGCTTAAGCGTTTTTGTGCCAGTTATACAGCTATACCAAAATTATTTAAACCTGCCGCTCAAGAATAGTTTTTTTATGTAAATATTTCTTTTATATTTATTCTAACTCCTTATAATGACTTTTTCCCTTTCCGTCAGAAACTCTCTTTCCTCCTCATCCTCATTCCAAACCTTGCTCAATTTACTTTTACTTCTCCTTATATTCGTTTTACATATCATTTCTATAAATGCAGGATTAAAGCTTTGCCTAATCTTTTCAGTTTTTTCATCAGGAAAAGGATTATTAAAGTCTTGGCTTTGACAGATTCCTAGTAGAATTTGTGTCCCTTCGGGAAAAAACACACTATTTCGATATTTGATGTGAGGGATTTGATCGGGCTTTTTTAAATTTTGAGAAGGGAAAGCACTTTTTAAAAACCCTGCCGCAAGGAGTTTTAAGCGAGCACTATTTTGCATTTTGGTTCAAATTCCTTTTGGTTTCTGAGATGGGGAATCATCTTCAGATTCTATATAGCTTGTTCGTAAGATTTCTGTCTGACTACGAACTTGAAGAGGCTTTCGAAAGAGTTTAAAAGTATTATCCATTGTAAAATAGTTATAAAACTATGGAAAATTCTTGTTATGGCATTAACGTATTTTTAATTTATTGGTCCTTAATAAAAATTTAATTAATTTAAAATAAATATTTAATTTGAGGATAATTCGAAATTTAATAGTAAAATTAGTTTATAAAGCCCTTTATAATTCATTAATTTTCTTAAATATTAATCAGATGAATGCTTCCTGTAAAATAAATAAAACTAATCTACAGATTTTCTACTTATAGCATTTTGCAACCGGTAAAGATGCAAATTTAATGAAACAACTTACTCCCCCCCCCCCCTCCGTGAGCGAACAAAACCATTAGAAAAATCGCCATTTTTTGACCAAAAACCCACCCTCCGTGAGTGAACAAAAATATTTTTAATAGAAAAAATTTTAATAGAAAAATAAATTAATTATGTGGAAAATAGGAGCAGGCTTATACTTATTCTAAGGCAGCTTATGATGAGTAAACTGAGAAATTTTTTTAAATAAAAATATTATTAATTTCGCTAATTTTTTGTCCTTTAAGCTACTTCCATTCTACTTCTTCTGTCCATAATTATGGCAGAATTTACACTATTAAGTTTAGAAAATATTCATGACAAATTTCTTTATTCTGATTGTCTGCTAATGAATTTTAACAAAGCAATAAGCAATCATATTAAGCCTCTAAACCGTTTTTATAAAATTTATTTTGAAACTGATGCAACAGAGACCTAAGCTAAACCTCCACCAGAAAAACCATTCATATGGCCAGCTTTCAAAGTCGCACCAAAAATTTTCAACTGTGAACAAATCTTTTGGATACTCCAAAGATGACCATTATACTAATGAGTCAAGCCTCCCAACTCTCTCAAATAATGATGGAGAAAATATAACTTCTGAGTCCCTTGTTAAAAAATCCACTACATATTTAGACGAAAAACCAAAAATAAGCCGCACAATTGTCCTTGATTCTTTAAATCATCAAAAAAGCTTAAAGAAAATAAAGACTTTTAAGAGAAGAGATACCTCAAGTGAAAATCCGATATTTTCAAGAAAACCTGATAAATCTAATACAATATCACCTTACAAAATCCGGCAAAAACAAAGCCAAAGCGATGAAGAAAATTGGCATACGGAACTTTCTCATCTGGAACTTGAATTGTCAAATGAACTGAATAATATTTCAGTAAATGATGATAAATACTATCAAGTTCATAGAGCAATGCTTGAGAAAATCACTGAAATTGACAAGCATTATAGCGGAATTTTAAAGAAAATTTTAGAAGGATTTGATAATGTTATTTCTCAATATAAGAGTAAAATTGAGAATGAATTAAAACAATACGAAGAAAAATTAAATAAAGAAATCGCAGAAAATAAAAGGCTACAAAAAAGAATTGAAAATCAGACAACTAATAATAAAAATCTGTTAAGGGCTTTATCTCTGAAAAACGAAGAGTTTTCTGCTTTTCGTGGGAAAAATAGAAACTTAACAGCAGATGAAATCGAGAAAATCATGGACGAAAATAAGACAATAACTGCTTCGCTGAATCTTGCCCAAAATGAAATTAGGTTTTTAAAGTTAAAAGAGTGCAGATACCAAAAAATTTTGCAAACAGCTGAACTTTCTGGCTACTTTATATCTGATTCTCAAAAAGACCAAATAAGCGACTTAAGTACTACTCTTTCTGAAGTAGACTTGCAGCAGTTTATTTCTAAATCATCACGCAACTTTCTTCAATTGCCCCAACCAAATGATATTAATGAGTCTAGTTCATGTAGAAATAATTTGTCATTTGATGCATCTCCAATTAACCGAGCTGATGCCTCTCCGACTAATCAAGTTGATACATCGAAATGTTCTGATTCTTGGTCTATAAGGTATCTTTAAAACGCAGAGAAAAATTATAGTTTTAAAATTTAACATAATAAGTTTTAACTTTTCTTTATGCATTAGTTCGTATCTTATATAATTGTATTAGCCAAGTTTAAAAAATAAATTTTAATGGTCTTAATTTTTTAAGCATGGCTTATGTTTACTTAATATCTTGAGATGAAGTTTTATTACACAGCATTTTCATCCCATTCTTCTTCCTCTTCACTTTCTCCTTCTGACTCATCCAACTGATACCTTAAAAATGCTCCAATTCCTTCAAAAGCTCTGGAAAATTGGCTCCCTTCTTGGCTATTATCAGTGACTAGCTCTAACTCTGTCCCATACATTATGTAATTGTCAACAAGCCATTCTGATAATGTTCCTTGCTCAGCTACTTCAAGTTTCTCTCCATCTTCATTCACTGTGCTTATTTCATCTTCTCGGTCACAATATTCGACTTCTTCAGCGCCTGTTTCAGAATTTCTTAGCATCGTGCGTATTATGCTTAAGTTCTCATATAGTATTACTTTTTCACAAGCACCCATCATAAGAGCTTTCATAGTATTCTCTACTCCATAACAAAATTTTTTAGTATCCTGTGTAATTTCTTCAAAAAATTTAGTAAGAACAGTCTTTTCTCGGATAAACTTAGCATTATTCAGAGTTACTGCTGATAGCTCAATTGCCTGCTCAAAGCCATTTTGCCCTCCATATGCAATATCAACAATTTTTACGATTTTTGACTGCAACCTTTCATCAAATAACTCACTCTCTGATAAATCTTTCTTAAAATCAGCACTTACTCCAAGAACAAGTCCAGCCACATTTATTTTTTCATTTGTTATAAACTGCACAGCAGCTTGCTCTGCAATTTTTTTTAAATAATTGTATCTTGCTTCTAGCCTCAGCCTTGCGTACCTCGTTGAAGATTGACCTCCTTTTCTATATTTTTTTGGTAAATCGACTGAAAATTGGTTAAGAATATCTTTTGTGTTTCCTTGCAAAGTGCCGAAAAGTGTACCGTTTCCATCAATAATTATAAATCCATACTTCTCCTCCATTACTAGCAAGTCTTTTAAAGCTTCTGTATGGAATTTATTGTACACACATTAATTAATTTAAGGGTTGGCCTTAGTTTAACGTCCATTACTGAACCTGCACGGGTTTCCGCTCCTCCACCATGTCGTAACCCCTAGCTTTGCTGATGAATGGTCCCTAGGCTCTGGTAATTCGGATTCGATGGCTGTCCTTCCAACTTTGGACTTCAACGCGAATTGCCTGCGCAAAAATTCAAAAAATGAAATTTCTGGCAAAGGTCCAACATAGAAATTAAGGCATAACTCTTGGCTTTACGCTAGGGCGTTACCCGAAGGGTCAAAAGACACTGCTGGGCTTCTCATTTCCAACTCTAAGTCTTTTATTCCCAACGAGATATAATCCAATCCTGAAAAGGGACTTGAATCAGGCTCCGTACGCTGCCGGAATTGCTTATAGGCATTTCGCCTATATTGCCCGATATGGCGAACGTTGAGAGCACTTCCTGTCAAGTTGATTTGACCAACTTAGGTTGGCCAAACCAGCAGGAGAGGGAAACTCCTAAACTATCTGGTTGGTTTGGCAAACATAAGTTGGTCTTGAGAATAAGTGCTCTCATTTCTGGATTTAAAAACCTTGCCGGATATAATTAAATATGTGCTTGAGGCTGCATGGTCTCCTGACCATGAGCCTCTAGCACATATTTAATTATGAAAATTATTGTCACAGATATAAATTTTTGTGTTTATAGGTCTAAATGGCTGAATATCAATCGTCACTTTCTTTTCAATGATGTCTTTTTCATTAAGAATTTCCCCACAGAAGATTGCGAGTCCATTTTTTGGCATCTTGTTTCCATATAGCTTGAGTCTTTCTCTTATTGAAGTTAAGGCACTCAGAGTTGACTGGCGCATATTTCTTGATTTAATTGAAGTCGCAGAGTTGCATTCATCATTAACCATCCTGCTAGCAAATGATAGCTGCTCGGTAGGAGGAATTATAAGTGTAATAAGAGAAGTGCCAAGTCCTCGGCATTTATCAAGGCTTTGAATTAATCTTTTGACCTTTCATTGCTCGATATTATCAGCTAGTTCTTGAGAGTCATTCATTTTTTATCTATTTCTGCATATTTTATCAAAAGAGTTTAATAGCAAGGTTTCTTAAAATTGTGTGTTATAGCCTAGTAATTTCCTATTTCTTACTAAAATCCATGTTATTAAATTGACTTTGCTTGCTTTTCAAACTGATCTTGTAGTCCTTTAAACGTGATTTTCAGACTTTCTAAGCTATTCATTAATGCTTCATGTGGAGAAATCTGGCCGTCTGTTTGGATTTTGACTTGGATTCTTTGTTCTAAAGGATGAGGAGCTTTATAGCCTGCAAACCGGACTCTGTCGTCTTGAAGAAGCTGCATCCTTATAATGTTTCCTAGAGTGTGGTCTTCTAAGTGAACTGTAAAAGTCCCTGCGAACTCGATTCTTGAGTCTTCTTCGTACTCTACCTTATTCTTTCCTTGAGGTAAAGTAAAAAGCTCATGTAGCTCTGGAGCGTTCATTTAATTTTATTAATTTATAAAAATATCAATCTTTTGCATTCAAAAATTAAGAATTAAAATAAAGGCTACCAAAATTCTTTAAAATTTGCAAATAAATATATTTTTTATCAGAAATAATCTCAAAGGAAACTTTTTATTTCGTAACATACAAAAAAATTTTTGGGAATGATTAAGATCCTTATACAGATTTTTAAAACGAAAAGCTTTTTCTATTATTTCTAATGTTTCATAGTTTAAAAAATTAAAATGGCAAACGTCGCAGAAACATGTCTTGAAAGAATAGGCTGGGGCAGATATAGCTTATATCCCTTTATAGATTTCTTTATCGAGCAGAATGTACTGGATTATTAAACGACCAAGAGAGACTCTATTAAAGGAACGGGCTGGATATCTATATCAGGAAGTGATAAAAAGTGACATGTCAAAAAATGGTGACAAGTCTGAAAAAAGTTGGCAAGTAAACGCGCCAATTTTTAAAATGGATTTATTATTAAAATAATTTAAAACTTAAGATACCCAATTAGACAGAAGATATAATTACACATTATATATTGGCTTTAAATATTTTGATTTATATATATATTTAAATTTAATATTTAAAATTTAATAATAGCTGTAAAAATCAAAAACTTGCAACTCAATGTTTATTTTTCCGGCTCGATGGAATTTCTTTATTTTCTGCTAATTTATTTATGAAGACTAGAGCTATAATTTGCAAAGTGCGTGGCTTGTGTATCTCAATATATACAAAGTTCTTATCGACTCATATGAGAAGTATTTAGCAAAAATCAATATGGCTTATAAGTGAAAATCAAAAACTTGCAACTCAATGTTTATTTTTCCGGCTCGATGGAATTTCTTTATTTTCTGCTAATTTATTTATGAAGACTAGAGCTATAATTTGCAAAGTGCATGGCTTGTGATTCCCAATATAAGAAGTTCTTATCGACTCATATGAGAAGTATTTAGCAAAAATCAAAAACTTGCAACTCAATGTGCATTTTCCGGCTCGATGGAATTTCTTTATTTTCTGCTAATTTATTTATGAAGACTAGAGCTATAATTTGCAAAGTGCATGGCTTGTGATTCCCAATATAAGAAGTTCTTATCGACTCATATGATGTGTACTTAGCATAATTAAATATTGATTAAAATTAAAATATCTTAAGTTTTAAATTATTTTAATAATAAATCCATTTTAAAAATTGGCGCGTTTACTTGCCAACTTTTTTCAGACTTGTCACCATTTTTTGACATGTCACTTTTTATCACTTCCTGATATAGATATCCAGCCCGTTCCTTTAATAGAGTCTCTCTTGGTCGTTCAATAATCCAGTACATTTTGCTCGATAAAGAAATCTATAAAGGGGTATGAGCTATATCAAAAACTGATATTTTTATGCAGCTGTGAAGCAGTTGCTACTGGTATTGGTTCCTCAATGCTTATATCTCTTATCATCACCCAATTTCCAGATCTCACAAATGCTAATAAAGGAGTTTTAGGATCCATTTTAAATCTTGGGCTTCTTCTAGCTGCAGGCTACTCTGGCCGTAAAGCTGATAAATCAGGCAGAATAGTTCTATTTAAGAAAGGATGCTATATCATGATGCTAGGCTTAATTGCTTTAACCTTGTCACATACATTTTTATCATTACTTCTATCCTTATTCATTATAGGACTTGGCTGCGGACTTGATATGTCAATAACTAACTCTTTGCTTATGGAAAGTATTCCAAATTCGAGCAGAAAATACTTAGCTTTGCTTTCAGTTTCTATGAATGTTGGAGCTACTTTTGTTTATGCTTGTGCATTGACAATAGAGTATTTTAAAGTTATTACTATTACTGATTGGAGAGCAGCTGCTATTGGATTTACCATTCTGCATGGAATATTTATTTATCTCAGAAGTTTCTTAGAAGAGGGACCTGTATTCTTATATGATAAAGGAAAAATTGAAGAAATGAAGGAAGTCCTGATCAAGGTATCAGATATTTAGATTGCAAAATTCAATGGAAATGACAGCTTTGATATCGATATTAAAGATTTAATGGAAAAAAATAATACCAAAAAAGGCAGCTTCGGGGAACTTTTTAAAGCTCCATTAAGCACTGTAACGTTTAGCTTGACAACAATTTTCTTTTTGACATTTTTAAGCTTGCAAGGTATCATAATGTTCATGCCGAAAATTATAGTCACTGAAAATAAACTTGAAAAATATGTTTTGCTATCATTCCAACAAGTCTGTGGACTACCTGGAAAATTTTTAGGTGCTAAATTAATTGATACTTCATTAGGTAGAAAACTCACAACTGTGCTCAGTTTCTTTTTGGTAGCCGTGACACTATTCGGGTTCTCTCTAGCTTCTGGATTTACTGAATATATTATTGCAAGCTTTGCCTTCGGAAATGCTGTGAATTTATCTGTATCTTGCTTATATGCAATAACCCCTGAAAGCTACCCTCCAAGTAACAGATCTCTTGCATTTGGATTTATGATGGGGATATCCAGAATAGGAGCTATGATAAGCTCTATGACAACTGGGAAAATGCTTGATAAGCATGGAATTTCTGCTACGCTGAGCTATAGTGCTTTTATTTTTGTATTGGCTGGCTCAGCAAGTTTGAAGCTAAAAGAAACTCGTGATGATGTGAAATTGAAGAGTAAATAAAATATTACATAAAATTACATTAATTTCTTATAGTTTCTATAGAATCTTTGTATTAACAAAATTGCTGAATAAATGTGCTTATATATTTTTCTAGTCAAGAATCCTCTGACAAATTTCTGTATTCTCCTTGCTGCTTTAAATTTCTTATACCGATTCTGAACGAGCCATCTTCTGATATGTGATTGAATTATTATTATACAGTCTTTTTTGATATTTTTACCTTTTACTTTATGGTTAAACATAATATTTTCATGGATGTTTCTGTCAAATTTTTTAATTTGGATAGGCTGGGCTGATGCTTTGAAATATTGCTTTCCTCCACCTCCGTAAGCGAACAAAAATTGTTTTAATATAAACATTTTTTATGAAAAAAAGTTTGAATATATAAGTGATAAGTAGTATAATGAAATCTTTCACTAATTCTGTTTAATTTTGAACAAAATGCATTTTAAAACATAAATTTTACAATTAAATAAATATTTGCTTTCCAATTTTTGCTATTTGGGATTTTTTTAAATTTCGTAAAAAATATTACTATAAAATTTAAAAATATAAATTAACCTTTTATGAGCAAAGCAAAATTTTTTTGTTCGTTCACGGCTAGGAGTTAGAAATAATTTTTTCTTTTGGGTTTGTAGTTTTTCAAGCTCAAGAATAGCAGCTTTTGCTTTTTCTTCAGCTTTTTTTATTTTCTCTTTGCAAAGAGACATTTGATATTTTTTTCTAGTCATAAACCCTCTTCAATGTTTTTGGATTATTATGGCTGCACTTGTTTTGTATTGTCTTAGTGGTGTTTTTGGTTTGTTAAACATATCAACTTGAATGCTTTGATTAGTGTAGACAGAATTATTAATAGATCCAGGGGTAATTGGCTTTAAAGTCCGCCCAGGAGTCTTAGTGCGGTATGTTCCATCTAATTCTTTTATCAAAGCTGTATACTCTTGCCTGCTTGCTGCTTTTTTTCTTTTTTCAGTCTTTGTCATTGGATTAATTAACTGTAATTTATATGATGGTTCAAGAATCTTATGCATTGGTTGTAGTCGATCTCCTGTATAAAATCTAGGATTTTCTTTATTAGAGCTTAGCATATATTTTGGAGTAGAAAAAGAATCATTCAAAAGCGGCAAATTTTCTCTATTATGAGAAGGTGGAAGAGATGATGGTCCTTTTTTCTTGGATTTCTTAAAATTATTTGTGTCAAAATTTGTACGGTTTTTGTGAGAAGCCCTCAAACTTATATCAGGGATTGTAGTAATGCTCTTTTCAAGCCCTTTTTTCAAGCTTATTGTAATCTGGTTATTTTTTCCAAGTTTCGCAACTGCTATGTCGTAACCTTTCTTATAAAATTTCATTGCCTCATCTGGCTGATTTAAATATCCAAATTCCTATATCTTATGCTAACTTAGAGCTTAACGTGCTATCTTTTTCAGCTGAAGAATTATTAAATTGCTTAATCTAACGTGGACTCTTGTGTTCAGAGAGTTAATATGGACCCAGAGGAGAGGAGAAACATGGCGATAGTTCTCATGGGGGTGTTTTTTGATCAAGGGTTTTTTCTAGCTTGCAGATGTGCCTACAGTGCAATCCCCTTTAACATTCCATGGGAGCATTACTAAGCCAGTGATACAGCTCAAACAGGCTACGGAGGAGGTAAACACAGCTCATCCATACTCCGAGCCCTGCTGGAGGTTGAGGGAGTTTGTAGTTTGGTGGCGCATATGCATTAGGGTATTTCTGGTATAGCTGGATAAAGGTGCACAATAAATGAGCACTATAATAAATATGTGAAATAAGGAAAAGTCCTGAGAGGAACTTATTCAGCCGCAGCCATTTCTTACTAAACACCCAAATTCAATTCCTGCATTATGATATGCGATTGCCAAGCTTGTTATCAGGTTTGGATTGGTCTCAAAATGCAAGTTTAATATATTTAGCGCTTTCATGGCATGTGAAAGTGCTTTTTCATGTTCTCCAACTTGCGATCTTATTGCACATATATTTAAATGGCAGCCTGCATAATTTATCAAGTCATTTGGGCTTTCGATTTCAATTTCTAAAGCTTTATTGAAGTAATGTAAAGCTGGGTGGAATTTTCCAACTCTTTTATAAAAACAGCCAAGATTGTTGAGGGTGATTCCTTTGAGCTTAGTTAAGTTCTCAGATTTTGAAGAATTTACAAGGACTTCAGCTTTCTTTAAAAGATCGAGGGAGAGATCATAATTGTCGTTTCGGAGATGTTCGACTGCAAGCTTGTTTAATTTCAATATTGTAGTATCCACACCCATTTTTTAGAAATTTATCAAGTTTTTCAATTAATATAAATGCAAATTTAAGACTAGTAAAATAAGCACAATTGCTGCATATTACATGCCTTGAAATATTTATCATTAAGCATACTGGAATTATGCTAAAAGGCTATTTGAGAATAGCTATGTTATATTTATGAGCTTAAGCTTAATCCATTCTATTCATCTTTATCTTATCTTCTTTCAATTTAAAAATGCCATAAATTTATATCCCACTTTATATAATTCCATATCTTTTAAATTAAAAAACGCCATCAATTCTAATTTTCTGCTTTCATAGATCTTCTAAATTTAACCATCTTAAAATAACTATGAAAGTCCGAACAGATCTCTGCTATTTACTGGATTCACAGAAGTTCGTAGTAGACCAAGATCAAAACCTCCAGCAATCCCCAAAGATCACAGGACGGAAAATAAACTCCTGTCAAAAATTGCGTGCCCAAAAATCTCTATATAAAACACCTGTTAATATAGTTGAGATCAAGCAACATTCAATAAAATCGCCAATCCACGATTATGATTATGATTGAATTAATATTTAAAGCTTCTAATCGTTGCAGAGCTAAAAAAACTTTTGGGCCAAACTACTGACGACACTATTTCCAACCAAATGAACTATTCGCCAAAGGCTCATACCAAAGCAAATGCCACTTCAAGCCAAGCCAGCTGCCCAAGAATGGCTTCCTTGCCTCATCCTTTCCATATTCAGCTCCTGCACTTGATCCACCTAAGGGTCACCTTCTTCAGGTGGGCTAAGTGGGAAGCCTTAAGCCTCTTCTTGCCTTCGGAGCAGATCCTCCGGTCATTTTTGGCTAAAGCTAAACCTCTATTACTGTGTAAAAGTTCTCTATGAAAAATTAAACCATGTAAATAAAATGCCATGAGGAGAGAAAATTAACAAAGCTAATTCTCTTGAGCCGAATTCCATTTTATTTATAAATCGCCAATCCACACTTCTCCAAGAGAAAGATCAATCGCGACTTCAAATAAGCCATCTCCAAAGCCCACTGCAAGCACAGAAAGCAGTTCTAAAAGACTGAATAGTCCTACGAATTTTAAGCAAATCAAAAAAAATCAGTCTTCTCCTCAGCCAGTTAAAACAATAAAAACACAGAAAATAAAGGATAAAAAGCCGCAGATCAAAGCTGAACCAGAGACAAAGAAAACTGTGATTAATCCAAGCAAACTAAAAAAACTTATATGTCAGACTTTAATTAAAACTCAGCAAGACAAATTCCTGCTTCAACAAAAAGAAATTGAAGAGAAAAAAAGCATAGAAGATAGAAAAGAAAAGCTAAAAGAAACAAATAACATTATTAGAGAAAAAAATGCCAAAATTACTAAAAAAACTGGCCAACTCCACAAAGCAGCTTGAGGAGTTGACCAAAGACAGTTCGAAGATAGAGACTTTGCAAGCAGAAACAGCAATCTTGATGCTGAACTCAGAGAAAGAAAAAGAGCTGAGCACCAAAAAATGCTTGAAGAGGGCCGAGCAAGAATTGGCCTTGATTTATACCCCAAATTCAAAACAAAACGAAGAAAACTTAGCAGTGACTTAGACAAGCCAACCGAAAAAAGGCGAAGCCCAGATCCTAAAGTCCAGCTCTGAATGAAGTTAAAAAAGAAACAAAAAAGAAATTCCTTGATTCAAGAAAAATTTAAAGAAATTTTACAGGAAAGAGATAGACAAAAAGCACTAGAAGAATTAATAAAAAAGCAAAAAGAGGATGCACAAAAAGCGAAGAAGACGAAAAAACTAAAGCGAAATTTGTCAAATCCAAGTTTAAATAGAAAGCTTAGTGATGCTGAAGCATTTTCGAATTCTGATATTGATGAAAAGCTGAGGGATTTCAAACTGCAGAAAGAAAATCTGATGAAACGATTTGAAGAAATAAAAAATGGAGGATGAGAGGTAAATTCAGAAGAGTCTAAGTCAGACTCAGAAATAATGGAAAAAGACGTGAAACCTTTGAAAGACCAAGATTCGATAGAAAAGGACAAAGAATCTTTAAAAAAGACATTGCAAATGCTTAATGAGCGTGTAAAAAAGACAAAGGCTTTATTAGTATCAGATGAATTGGACTCAGGAGGAGAAAGTGATGAAAATTCTCAAAAATGGTTTGATCCTTATAAAAAAGACTCTAATGAAAGCGATGTAGAATCAAACTCTTCACTAGATGCAGAATTTACTGAAAATATTTTAGCTCTCACTACCTTTAAGAGCAAACAGAAAAATCTTGCTGTTTCCCTAATTTCTTTTAAAAAATATCATCAAATAATTAAAAATTACTTTTAGATTTTCAATTTGAATATTGAAAGAAAAATTTAATATAATACGAAAGCAAGCTGCACTAAATTTAATAGATTAGCTTGGAATTTCGTTATAACAAATATTAATTATATAATATAAAATTATTTTATATCAAAAATTTATAATAAAAAGTTTTTTCTTCTCTTCAAAGGGATTAAGCAATCTTTTCCACCCTGAGACTATAAAAGATGTCCCAAATGTCCTCTATTTGCTTTCTCCAAATATTCAAAGCAGTGAAGAAAAATCAAAAAGTGGAGAAAGTCAAGAAAATAAGCATGAAATTTGAAAAAAAATTAAAGAAAGGCAAAAAGACCTGCTCAGCGAGATTGAGAATCAAGAAGATTTTCCAATGTCAAATAGTAAGCTATTTAACACAGATTTATTATGAAAATCTCTGATAAGATATAAAAACATGTCAAAACATTTTGGTTTCTATTTAATATAAGAAAATATAGCATTGAATCAAGCTTAATAACCCCAAGCATTGATGAGGCATCACCAATTGATTATAAATACACGGGAGATTCCATTAGTAATAGAATGAGTGACATAGAAGATGGGATCAAAATTTATAAAGAATTTGATGAAAATGTGATGGAAAATGGAGAAGCCAACATTTTTAAGCTCTATGAGAATGATAGAAAAAATAAAGCAGATGAGGTAGTTAGCAAAGCAGAAGCCAGAGATTTTATAGAAGACTCAGCTAATTCATCAAAAAAATTAAATTCCAGACTTGATATGCCATTAGCAAAAGCCAATAGTTATGAAATAAATCAAGAATCGGAAGAAGAATGTGAGCATAGTCCAAATGAAGAAGAATCAGATATTCTTTTTAATCAAGACAGCAATCAAAATGCTTCTGGAGAATTTGTTTTTACTGAAACAAAAGACTCTTCGCCTTATCAAAAGCCAGATGACTTAGCCAGCACAAATGAAGCCAAAAATGAGTTTATAAAAATTATTGGTGGGCCAGTTGAGGATCAAGAAATTCCCAGTTATGACGATTCGTATATGAACGAGCCTAGTCATAGTTTTTCAGGCTTAAAAAGTGTTGATTCTACTGAAAGCTTTGAAGAAAGAAATCAGCCAGTTATTGAGTATTTTTATTATGAGTATGCTAACACTTTGATACTTTATGAAGAGCTTTACTGTTGGGTTTTGGGTGAAAAGCATACCACAGATTTGCTTTATTTTGAGTGCTATGAGTGTCAGTCTAACTTACCTCGCATTATGCCAATAATTGATGAAGTAGAAATTATTGAAGATCCGCAGCAGGGTTATATCTATATAACAGAAGAGCAGCCAACTGATGTAGATGGCAAAGACCAAGATTATGAAGAATCGAAAACTATGCATGATCCATATGTCAATGAAAATGTAATTAAAACAAAAGTCAGCTTAGCAGACTTAAGAGAGCCTAGCCTTTTAGGTGAAATTGAGCCTTGTCTTAGAATTTCAGACAGACTGGAAAATAATCATATAGGAAAAGAAGCCTTTTTTGACCAAATTCCAGACTTCAAAACAATCCAAGAAAAGCATCATTTATTATCACTGGCAATCGATCACCCTATAAACCCCATCCCTCCCCATCCCATTCCCAAGCCTTTGATCCAAGACCGTTTTCCACCCTTGACGGCCACTATAAAAGAAATAGAATCTGCTGTTAACACAGTTATTAGCTCTGAAATTGATTTATATCTTCAAAGTATCCCTCATCGCACCTTCCACCATGAAGTCAACCCAAATCTTGAATTTATTGAGCAATACCTTGAATCTATGCTCTTTAATTTATTATCTCGAGAAGATGAAATATTAGACACAATAAATACTCCTATTTATACAGACCCTTTAATAAAACTCGCCATAATTCATAATGCAGACCCAGGGTCTCTATCTAAGTTTCCACGACTTGATCTTATAGTCCCAGAAGATATTGAGCCAATATTATCGCTTGAACTAAATCCCCAAGGCTACGTTTCTTTGCAAATTTACCTGCAAATGCTTGGAGACTGCGTCAATGAAGCTTTAAATCTGATCAGGCCCTATGGAATGAAAGGTGTCCCAGACCCTTGAAGCAACCATAAGCGAATTTTATTTGGTGAGTCGCAGCTGACCAATGTGTATGAAAAAGTAAAAGATCATCTTTATAAGTGGGTGAATACGAGAGGAGGAATTTTCCCTCCAATTCATATGGATGAAAAAAGACTTGTCATGATGAGAGAAGAAAAAATGAGCACGATGCTTATGTATGATGTTGAAGACGAAGAAAGTGACTGGGTGGAGTACGAAGATGAAGAAACTCAGGCAAAACTAGATGTGGCGGATATGATTTTAGAAAGCCTTATAGATGAAACCTCACAAATTTTAAATTTAATTATGTAATTTAAATATGATCTTATATGGCAACTTAAAAATATAATTAATAAAAAATATCTTGATGCAAAATGAAGGGTGGAAAATGATGTGATTATTTTAAGTACTATGAGTGAGAAAATTAATTTAATTGATTTAGGTCTTAATATGTGCACTAAGAAAATAAACAAAACCCTGGAACCACCTTTTGCTTGGTTTTTCTTCTATTCACGTTGATACTTTCCCATTGCTCGTCATTTAAGTCTAGCAATGAAAATAATATTGAAATCAACCCTTCTCCTTCAGAGTTTAGCATGGGTAGCCCAGAAATCAGTTTAATAGCTGTTTCCTTTAATAAATTTGCATTCAAAAAGATGTTTTCGCCCTCAAAGTTTGTGATCAATTTAAATTTCTTATTCAAATCTTGGATTTCTTGTTTAAGGAACTTTATTTGTATTTGATGCAGCTCATTTAATCTCTCTTGCTCAGCTAGTTCATGCCTGGCATGATATAGCATTTGCTGCAATTTTGAAATCTGCGTAGTTTCCTCTTCGACTCCTTCAATATCCTCGACTAAAATAGCTGATAAATCGAACGTTGGTCTTTTTATTTCTAATCTTCCTCTATAGATTAAATTTTTATTAGATTATATAAATATATATTTTCAAAAAACATGGCGACAAGCATCTTTTTTGTAAATATTCTCTTGGTTTATAAATGCATAAGGAGGATTAAGTCAATCGAGTAATCTGTTTCAGGCTTAAAGTCACCATCAGTGACTTGCACTCCTACATTACAATACGTTATAGAGTCTACTGTAATCATATACGTGAGAAATTTACTTAATCCCCGGTAATTTTTTTTAAAAAAAATCTCTATATATAAATTATAGATTTTTTTCTTTAAAATTTAAAAAATTCCAAATGTAAAAATTAATTTAATTCGCAAAATTTATGTTTTAAAATGTAAGCCATTTAAAATCAAACAGAATTAGCTCGGAGATTTCATTATAATAATTATCACTTATATATCAAAATTATTTTCATAAAAAAATTTTTTGTTCACTCACGGAGGTGGGCTTTTACCTAAAAATAGGGATTTTTCCATGGTTTTTATATCGCTCACGGACGGGGAAAGTTATTAATTTGATAATACTAATTATGATGAGACCCGAAATATGGGAATTAACACACAGATTGTGGGGTATAGAAATCAGCATTTATGATATGTTTATTCTTTTGCTCAATATTTTTATGATCATTTTGGCTATTTTCTGTTATTTAATTGCTTGTTATAGGAATAAAGAAAATGTGAAAGGAAGCTTCAAAACAAATGGGTTTGTTAATATATGGGACTCTGGGAGCACAAAAGCATATAAAATTGGGTTGCAGACCAGTTCGGTGAAAAAGAAAAATGCAATTAAATCTCCATCAAAGCCTAACACAAAAGAAGAAATTTCTTGTGGTGTTTGTGGCATTAGTTTGTCAATTAGTAGCCAATTTAGATAAATAATCATTAATATAGCTGCAGACCATTAAAAATCATTTCGCTAAAGCCTAATAAAAACTACTAATTCTCTCTCTATATATTCTATATAATTTAATTAATTTTTTATTATTTATGGGATATCCTCTGTGAGAGAAAAAACCATTGGGATATATCCTATTTTTTAACAAAACCCACCCTCTGTGAGCGAACAAAAATTTTTTATGAAAAAAATATTTTGATACATAAGTGATTATTATAATGAAATCTCGAGCTAATTCTATTTGATTTTAAATGACTTGTATTTTAAAACATAAATTTTAAAAAATTAAATTAATTTTTACTTCTCAATTTTTACAAATTATTTTAAAAAAAAAATTCTATAAAATTTATTTATGAATATTTAAAAAAAAAATTAACCCCCCTCGAACAAAATTTTTTTGTTCGCTCACAGGAAGTGAGTAAAAAACATTCATAAGAAAAAACTAATTAAGCTTAACTAATTGTATTCAGAGATGGATCTGCAAAAAACGAGTGAGCTACCAGCTTGCTCTTTGGCGAAGGCTTTGCTATATCTTTATATGTTATTGGCTGAAATGTGCACTCTTTCAGCTCTTCTTTTTCTTTCTGGATCTTTGCTTCCTGCATTTTCAGTTCTAATTTATTTTTCTTTTCAGCTGCTAGCTCATAAAGATTCCTATGACTGCCTATAGTTTTTGATTTTCCGTCAATTTTAGGGTTAAATGTGCATTCTTCGTCTATTTCTTCTTTCTTTGGTACAACAACTTTTTTTTCTTTGACATGCTCTAGGGGCTTTGCGTAATTTCGGTCGAGAAAATCCTTTAGTTTTAACTTCTTTTTTTCTTTGGGCTCTTCTTCAGGGGCAGGCTTGGGTCTTTTGATTTTATCGCTGTAAAGCTCATTTTTATCTTTTTGAATTCCACCAAGGATTTTGGCTGATTTTGTGTTGATTGTGGGCTTAAAGGAATAGGTGTCAGAGAAAATTTTTTCAAGCTTGCTTTCTCTGTTTGTTAAAAATTCCTGGCCTTTATTATATAAGGACTGTCCAATTGCCCATGGATTCAGAATTAGCATTATCATTAATTACTTATTGAAAAGCCCCCTATCCTAGAACTACTTTTCCTAATTCATAACGCTTGGCTGCTTGAATACTTGTCTCGTAGCCTTGCATAGTGTTGATCCTTAGGACAAGGTTTGCACTTGCTCCACTAAGTAAGATGCCGCTTGTCAATGTAGTCTGCCTTCAGTAAATTCTGAAACTCGAAGCCCAGGATGCAAGCCTAGTATCACACTAGTAATTCTGTGATTGTTTGGTAGAAATCCTTACACTTCTGGGCTTACCTTTTACAACTCTAAGTCCCTAATCTGGATGCAAACTAAAGGATAGTGTCAGCCCAATGTCGCTATCCGCCATTTGGCCAAAACCGAAAAAATACATATGATCGAGCGCCTTCTGGGTCTTTGGTGTTGTTAAGCCTTTCAGCTGCAGGAGTTGAAAATGCTGATTCACAACGCCATTTTAATACATTGTTCTATGGATTCGGCAGCGTTTACAGTTTTATTCTTGGTTGCTTGAGGTTCTTCTTCTTTTTCTTTTGCCTGAGTGTTTTTAGGATTTTGTTTTCGATTTGCATATTTAGGAGAGACCAAATTATTTTTGATATGATTGTTATGCTTCACTCTATTTGGTTGCTGCTTTACAGCAGAATCAGGTGAGTCATCACGGAAAACTAATGATTTTGAAATTATTACATCAAGAGCATCATTGCTCATTGAATTTTCATCCCTGATTGAAATAAAAGAATAAAATCCATCTTCTTCTTTTTGATCAGATGGATCTTCTTGAGTTAAGCCATTGACATTGTAGTTTTGGTACTCTGCTTCTTCTGTTATTGGATAATTTTCTTCGTCTATAGGATTTTCCTCTTGATCATTTTCTAGTAGAAATATTTCTGGACTGTTGGAAGTTATTTCTTCAGTTTTAGTGAGAAGTTGAGCTGCGTCTAATGATTCTAGTAGATTTATTGAGGTTTCTGAAGAATTGATTTCTTCGCCAGTTTTCTGAGGAAAACACAATTTTGCAAGGAAATCTATAGACCTTTTAATGTTTTCAGTATTTTGGTCGCTGCTAGAAGTTTTGGTTGGTGAAGCAGAGTTTTTACTATTACCTTTGGTCGAAATATCTTTATTATTTTCATTTTGCAATTTACGAGCTTGATCTATTTCTTCACCTTTTGTATTAGACATATGTTATTACAATATAAATTATAATAAATGTAATTATTCTTGAAATCGCTTTATATATACTATTTTCATTGTAAATAACATAGAATATGTATATTCTGTTCTGAAATCCTGAATAAGATTTTACTTGAAATTAGCATTTATTTAGAAAATCAAAAAATAAAAATCTTTGTGTTACCTCTATTTCATTCAAATCTTTATAAAATAAAATCATAAATTAATAAGATTATTTTATTATTAAAGAATCATCATCAGATGCTTTTCAAAAATCTTGAAAATAAAATCCTCCTTTGCCAATATCTCTTCTTTCTAAGACTCCTTCATAAATCAAACTTCTTTTGAATAAAAATCTCATTCGTAATCCGCGTTTCTTCTAAAATGGCAATAAATAAAGGAAATCGACTTTAAATTATGGAAGTCCTCCCACATTATAAAGAAAATATTCGTTTTGAGCTTGCTTCTCGAAAGCTAGAAGAAGATTTTTTCAGGTGGCTGAGCATTCCTTCAACTAGTTCTCTAATCCAAAAGTTAATAGAAGAATCAAAAAACCCTTCATCCGCAAATAATCAGCCAAGTCCTCTTTTCCCTAATAGAGCAGCGCCATCATCTCCAAGCGTGACATCTCCTAAAGGTAGAGCTTCCTTAACCCCTCCGCTATCCCCAGGCGCTGCAGACAGGCCCCCCACTTCGCATTCTCAATCATTGCCAGCAGATGGACTTGCACAAATCAAGCCAAAAAAAGTACAGGAGCCAGTCCCAGTTGTCAAGCCTCAAATAAAGCCATCAATTCCACAGTTTTATTTCCCTCAAGGGAAGCCATCTGATCCCTCACAGTCAGAAAAAGACACAAAATTAATTAATCAGTATTTTATCAGAGATTCCTTAAAAATCCAAGAATTTGAAGCCATTACCAAAGAGTTTTGTGGGCTTCCCAAGATAGTCCTTCCTACATTATTCACTAATATTGCTGGAGAAGGAAGAGAAATAGTGACAAAAGCCCAGTTTTTGAAGTACTGGAAATCTGAACTCGAAGGGAAAAATCCTGTTCAGAGACTATTTAATGTTCTATGTAAACCTGGAAGGAGATATTTGATAAGGAATGATTTTAAGCCGCTTATGATTTATTTAATGGAAACTCACCCTGGGCTTGAATTTTTGAAAGCTACCCCAGAGTTTCAAGAAAGATATGCAGAATGCGTTGTGGAAAGGATTTTTTATAGTTTAGATACAAATGATGAAGGGAAAATCACATTTAGGGAGCTGAAAAGAAGCAAATTAATGGCAGTGTTGCTGAATTTAGACACTGAAGAAGATATAAATAAAATCAGAGACTTTTTCTCTTATGAGCATTTTTATGTGCTATATTGCAGGTTTTGGGAGCTGGATACAGATCATGATTTTTTGATTGATAAAGAAGATTTTTCTAGATATGAAGGTCACACTCTGTCAAGAAAAGCAATTGATAGAATATTTGAAGAAGTCCCAAGAAAATTCAAATCAAATGTAGCTGGAAAAATGTCTTATGATGATTTTATATGGTTTATGATATCTGAAGAAGATAAATCAACTAGCAGGTCATTGGAATATTGGTTTAAAGTTGTAGATCTAGATGATAATGGAATTATAACTGCATATGAAATGGATTATTTTTATGAAGAGCAGCTTCACAGGCTAGAATATCTTAAACAAGAAGCGGTACCTTTTCAAGATGTCCTGTGTCAGCTTGCTGATATGATAAATCCTAAAACCCAAAATCAGTTTACTTTGAGCGAAATTATAGCCAAAAAAAGTATCAGCGGAGTCTTTTTTAATTGCTTACTCCCCCCCCCCCCCTCCGTGAGCGAACAAAACCATTAGAAAAATCGCCATTTTTTGACCAAAAACCCACCCTCTGTGAGTGAACAAAAATTGTTTTAATAGAAAAAATTTTAATGGAAAAAAATTTTGATATATAAGTGATAATTAGTATAATGAAATCTAGAGCTAATTCTGTTTAATTTTAAACAAATTGCGTTTTAAAACATAAATTTTGCAAATTAAATTAATATTTGCTTCCCAATTTTGCAAATTAGGATTTTTTTTAAATTTCGAAAAAAATATTTTTTATAAAATTTATATATAAATTTTTTTTTAAAAAAAAAAATTTAACCCCCCTCCGTGAGCGAACAAAATTTTTTTGTTCGCTCACGGAGGGGGGGGGGGAGTTAGTGAATTTAAACAAATTTATTGCATATGAGCAGCGCGATCCTTTCCAAATAAAAAATGAACTCAACGAAAACCCTGATTTCACGGACTGGGACCGATTTGCAAACGCAGAATATGTAAGATTAGCTATGGAAGAAGAAAACGCTGAAGCATCAGAAGTGCTAGACGAAGTGTGGGATTCTGATCGAGAAGATTAGATAACTTATTAATTATTTCCTCTTTCCTGTCTTTCCCTAAATCTCGTACTTTTTCTTGTCCCTTGTTCTTCCTTATCATCAGTCTTAATTTTCAAAAAACTTTCAATGACCTCATCAGGAGTCTTGAATTCTGTTTGAAAAGTTTCAAGGTCACAGGTTAGATCCGTAGTAGGTGAGTATAGCTCTACATCTTGTTTTTGTGATTTGATTATGTTGTAGCAAGCCAAAGCGAAATGGTCTTTTACGCAATCTACAAGTTCTTCTTTTTTGGCTCGCAAACCGAAGAGAGCTTCATATCGTTTGATGGAGCCCCAGGATAGTTTTGAGAGGTCTACTACAGGTCTGATTTCATCGCTCATTATGATAAAAATTAATATGAATTAAAAAATTATGATTAAGATATCCCAGATAAATTATGGATTTTGGAATCAGTAAAGTGGTTCATCAGCTTAGACCTTGCTTCTTGGAAATCGCGGAGAATAAGTTTGTTCGCTGATAGGCTGCTTAGGACTTCTTCAAAAGTGCTGGATCGAGTTTCAGGAAGATGGTGAGGAATTTGTCGCAAATCTTCGTTTTCTTTGCTGCATTCGTCAAGTCTGTCGATAAGTCAATCATTGTCGGTGGATAATTTGCTGAATGCGTAACCTATAAATTCTAATTCAGTCAAAAGTTCTGAGTAATGCTCCCAACTATCGTTTTCAGCGAAATCAGAAATTTCTTCTTTTCTTCTGGCGAAGTCTTCAGCAATATCTTCTTTGCCTGCGAATTTGTCGAAAATGGGGCTTGTACGGTCACATACAGCTTTTAGGACGTCTCTTAGTTCTTGGACTTTTACTTGAAGCCTTTCAATGTTTTCTCTGAGGTTTCTGAGAACTGAAGAGTCTTCAGTTTGGAGCTTATCAAGCTGGTTAAGTAGTTGGGATTCCCGACCATGAAAAGACAGCTCAAGCTCTTGAATTTTTTGCTTGTGGAAGCTTGTTTGATGTAGAATTGAGTTATTTAAGTCTTCTAATTTATTTTCATAAAGCTTATGAATCTCTGAAGTTTCTAGGCTTATTCGGTTTTTTATTTCTCCAAGTTCTTGAGTAAGCTTGGAGTTTTCTTCATTTTGGATACTCAGTTTGGTTTTAAGCTCGTTTATTTCTGAAAAATAGGAGTTTTTGGTTTCAATTTCTGATCTCTCCCAAGCTAATTTTAATTCTTCAATTTTGATTTTATATTCAGTATCAATATCCTGCATTCTCTTTTTTGTTAAATCTAATTCTTTATATACCATCTCTTTTTGAGAAATTTCATTAAGAATTTGTTCATGGCATCTTTTCGAAGCTGTTTTGTTTTCTTGAATTATTCTTGATATTTGCTCATTGACATCCTTTAGATTATCCTCTTCAGCATCAAATAACTTTTGGATTTTCTCCAAATAAGTCGACTCAGAAAATTCAATTTCACTACATTTGCTTATAATTTCAGCATTTACCTGGAACCTAGGAAACCCTTGTATTTCATTCTCTGAAATCATCAAATTGGGTCGTTTTTCTTTCGAATTTTCTAATAAATCACTTATATTAGAGTAGTGAGCTTCCAATAGCAGAACTAATCTCGTCACAAGAGCAGCATAATTTTTCGTAATTATGTGGCTTTGTTTGAGTCTCTCAATAAATATATTTTCATTATTTTTTTCTTCAGTTTTTTCTTTGTTTTTTGATTCTGCATTACTATGGGCCTGTTGCTGCAGTTTCCAAATGTGAGTTGTGTCACTTTGCAAATTAAGTTTAGAAAATGCAATTTCTCGCATTCGTTCATATTTCTGCACCAATTGAATCTTCAAAGGCATTGAAAACAGCATTTCTTCTAAAATGCTCAATAGCGACAGTGAGCATTTTAATTCAGGACTTATATCTGAAGATAACATTTAAATTATTATACCCGCCCATGGTTTAGAATTAATTTTAACAAAGTCTCCACCTTTTTTCTCGTTTTTCGATAGGCTTAGCTTCTTTTTGCTTTTCTTGATATCGATACAGCCTCTTAGTGAATGGGTCGTCAAATCCATACTTTTTGGCACTAAAATCTGCTTCTCTAAAAATATCTTTTATGAACTTTTCTTTATCTTTTACATGCTTCCACATCACAGGAGGGACTCGTTTCTTTAATTCTGCCATTTTTTGTTTTTCGATTTTCTCATTTATGGGTCCAGAAATTAATTTTGAAAAGTTATTGACTTGTTTTCTAAGACGGACATTATCGGCAATTACCATTAATGCTCGATTTACAAGTTCAGCTGAGCCAAATTTTGCTTTGAAGAGCTCGTTAATTTCTTTATCAAAGACATTTAAAATATAATCAGAGACTTTGAGAATTTCGAGAGGGGTGGCATATTTTCCTATTTTTTTGGAAATGTAGTCCGGGTCAGATTTTTTTAAGGCTTCTTCATAGACAACTAATTGTTCAATTTCTTTTTGGAATGTTGACTCATTGAGTGAGAATGTTTCTTCAGCTATTGCTTTTTTTCTCACTGCTTCCATTTGATTATAAATTTCTAAATTTTTATCAATTTTTCCTTCTTTTCTTACTATTTTTTCTTTTGAAGCCTCTATTTCTATTTCCAACTTTTTTATAGTCTCTCCACACCTCGATTTTTCTATTTCTTTATGTGTAGCATTAGCATGGTATTCTTTTCTCTTGACTCTCAAATTGACCAATTCTGTTTCATATTTATTTGCCATATCCTTTTGATTCGTTTCTAGAGCTCCTTCTAGGTCAGCTTTTTTGTTATTAATAAGTGTTTCGTGCTCCTTAGTGAGATTTCAAGTTTCAATGATTTCCTTATCAAGATTTTCTATTTGTTTTTGTAAGGATTTTATCTCTTTTTCAGAGTTTGTGATTATTGTTTTTAGCTTCTCGATACTTGTTCAGACTTTTTTGTTGGCTTTGGAAGCACGATCTCTTACTTTCTCACCGTGAGTGATCAAAACTATTGGGAAAAACGATTATTGACTAAACTCCACCCTTCATGAGCGTTGTTTATATATAAATCTCATATATTGTTTTTATATATATTTAATATAAATAAAGAGAATAATATTAAAAAATAATGATTATTTATTAGGTTTGTCTTATATATTTATTCAAGTGAAAAGATTGAATTTAACAATTTTTAATTTAAAAACTAGCATAAAACAATTTTTTATTTACAATTAAAAATTTTATATATAAAAAATTAACCCTCCTCTTGTGAGTCAACAAATTTTATTACTCGCTCATGGAAGGGGGAGTTAGCATTCTGATTTCTTTGAGATGAATATCAGTATCTCATTTAGAAGAAATACGCTTGCTGCCAACTCCTGACATTTCATCTTCTAAAGTGTCAACTTTTTTCCTGAGAGACTCAATTCTTCTTTTTAAATCGTCGTTTTCAGCTTGTCGCCTTTTTATTTCAGCTCTGCTCACTCCTGCTATATCAAGCTCTCTGATGTTTTCAGTCTTAAAATACGACCTTTGCACAGTAGAGTTATTTCTCTTTCATGGCATTTTCAATAGTTCCGTAGGCTTGCTTACAATTTCATTTTCATCTGCCCTATCAAAAAGTTCACTTAATTCATTTTTTCTATTATCTCCCCACGCATACACATTTCCATTCAACTGTACAGCATAAGATGTATAAGGCCCAGCTGCAATTCTTACAATTTGGTTTATATTTTGTATAGGTGCTGGCCCTGCTTCTTCTTCAGCATTTCTTCCAAGCTGCCCACGTGAGTTTATTCCTCATGACCAGAGATACATGCCAGATTCTAATGCGAGTACGTGCTCTTCTCCACATGAAATAGAAACAATAGTGACTTGTGATAAGTCTCTAATAGGTCCAGGAGGACAAAACGGTAACCTTGAATCGCAAGGATTACAAGCGTAAACGTTATTAATCCCCCATGAATAGATCTGGCCTTTAGTTGTAAGCAAAAACGAGTTAAATTTTGTGTTCTGGATGTCAACGATTCCTATATCTTGGTCTAAATCTTTCATATAGCTGAAAACTTGATGAGGAGGGAAATCAGTGATAAATTGGGCTCTTTTGCCTAGGGATTCGATATCACGACTATTAATTCCTTCAATTATTCACAGAGAAACCCAATGCATGCATTGTGGAAAAAGTTTAGCACATACTTTGCAAGCCTTTTTCTCCCCACCGACTGTATATTCGTGACGGACTTCGGTCATTTTATTTATTATTCATTATATCAATTAAAATACCAATTTTCCTGCTGACTGGTTTAAAGCTCGAAATCTCAAAGGGCTTTTTGGAATATTCGGCGTCATTTTGGGAATGGTTTTTTTTATTTCTGATTTTCCTTTATCAAAACACGACACTTTTTCTTCAAAATCTTTTTTTTCTTTTTCTAAAATTGCTCTTTCTTCTTGGACCTTTTTATAAGAATCTTCAAGAATTTTTTGCTTCTGTGCCAGTGTAAATCTTACTTGTTCGATTTCTCGCTTTTCTTGTTCGAAGTCTGTAGCCTCTGAACTATTTATTTTATCTAGGCTTCCGCATTTGCTGACTTCCCCCTCCGTAAGCGAACAAAACCATTACTCCACCCCCCCTTTAAATTGGAACAAAATATAGGTAAAATTTCCACTTTTTTGGTGAATTACCCCCCCTTTAAATTGGAACAAAATTTAATTTTATAATAAAAAATTATATATAATTTTTATCTAAAAAGTTTTGATATAAGTTAAATGTTTCTTATTAACTAAAATTCAAAATTTAGTTATATCTTCTCTTCTTTAAAGAAGATAGTATAAAAAGCATCTTATTTAAATAAATTTATTATCCTTAATTGTTAAATTTAAAAAAAAAATTAAATTTTTTTTTTTTAAAATTTTTTTCAAAAAATTTTTATTTTTTTTGATAAAAATGATATTTTTTATTTAAATAGTTTTGATATAAATTCAATGCGAATTCCTTATAAAATTTTAAAATTTACTTATTTATTGCTTTAATTTAAAGAATAAAGCATAAATAACATCTTATTTAAACAAAATTAGCACTTTGATCGATAAATTTTCTAAATTTTTTTTTTTTTTTTAATTTTTTTTTATCAATAAAATAATAATTTTTGTGTAAATAATTTGATACCAATTAATAGTGGCGTATTAACTAATAATAAAAATTTTAGTTATATCTTGCTTTGTTTTAAAGGATAAAGAGTAAATAGCATTTCATCAAACAAACTTATTGATCTAATTCGATAAATTCTTTTTTTAAAAATTTTATATAAATTTTTTTTTTTTTTATAAACATTTTATATGGATAATTTTTTTAAAAAAAAAAAAATTAACCCCCCCTTTAAATTGGAACAAAATTTTTAGTTCCAATTTAAAGGGGGGGAGTTAGAAAATCTCTATTTTTTGCCCAAAAACCCACCCTCCGTGAGTGAACAAAAACTTTTTTAATAGAAAAATTGTTTATAGAAAAAAAAATTTTATATATAAGTGATAATTATTATAACGAAATCTCGAACTAATTCTGTTTAATTTAAACAAATTGCGTTTTGAAACATAAATTTTTTAAATTAAATTAATATTTGCTTCCAATTTTTGCGAATTAAGATTTTTTAGAATTTCGAAAAAAAAAATTTTCTATAAAATTTATATATAAATTTTTTAAAAAAAAAAATTACCCCCCTCGTGAGCGAACAAAAAAATCTTGTTCGCTTAGGAGGGTGGGAGTGAGAATTTTATTTCTGGTGATTTCTATCGGCTTATTGGAATCAGCAATTTTATTTTGTGACTGCATAGAAATTCTTTTTTGGACAGAAAATTTGTGCTTTTCTCTGCGAAGCTTGGATAAATCTTGCTCTAATTGCTCTTTTAGGACTTTTAAAGCTTCTCGCTCTTTTGCTAATTGCTCTTGCTCTTCCTTTTCTTGGAGATCCTCTTTTGGTTCGCTTTCGATATTTTGAAAAGGGATAGAACAGTCTTCAAACTCGAAAGACTTATCGCTGCTGGATTCTTCTGTTTGGTTTGGTGTCATTTTTAGAACGAGCTCTGTTATTTTGGTATGATAATTCCGTTTTTCTTGATTAAGCTTTTCAAGCTTACGCTTGTAGCTTCGTTGATAATATTCTGCTTCTTCTTTTTCTAGCTCTAATTCGTTGAGTTTTCTTAAGTATTCGGCTTTTAATTCTGATATGTTGGGTAGTAGTTGTCTTTTCTCTGATACTAAGGCCATTTGAATTCCCTGGTAAGAATAAATAAAATTAATTATATACGTAAATTAAGAAGAAATAGTTTGCTGATTTGATATTTGATGCAAAAAAATGCTTTGGACAGTTTATAGGATTTTTACAAATATCTAACAGTTGGCCAATATTTGTGTATTTGGATTAACTTTATATTCTAAAGGTTAATAGTTTAAGCTTATGTAAATTAGCTAAACAGTTTCTTATCCTAAAATTTACTTATAAATATAACGCATTATTAAAATCAATAATTTTTATTTCCATTTGCATATGTGAATTTGCCAGCATATAATATTATGCCTTCTAAAGAGAAATTCTACTTTATCAGTGAAATAGCAAGGCAAGATCCCACAATGTATGCAGCGTTGATCTTCCATCCTTAGGGAAATTCAATAATCCAAGGTGATTGAGGTTACTTTTAATTCCTGGTACGCCAAGTTGAAATTAATTATGGTGTCTCAGCGATCCATGGTCGGCTACGTCGACTACCTTCGAGCGCATATTTAATTATATCTGGCAAGGTTTTACCAAACTGGAATTGGCAGCTATGTTAGGTAAGCAATGCATGTGGTGAAAGGATCCTAGCGCTTATCCTTTTTCTAGTTTGGGTTTTACCTCGAGGACAAAGGAGACTTGGAAGATGGAAAGGGGTGGCCCAGAAAAGTCATTTGGACCTATCGGACACTACCGTAAAGTAACAAGGAGGAGACGTCCAGGCAACTCGCCTTTTCGGCGATCGGAAGTAAACTTCCCGCAAAGCAGATGAATCCCCTAGGGGATCCTTAGTAACCGAGTTAACAAAGTGGACCTCAACTAACCACCTTATTAAGTAAAAAGTAAGGTACATAAGTTAATAATTTATGGAATAAGACCTTATGTTCCTAATTTGCTTGAGTTGCTGATAAAAACTAGCTAAGAGCAAATAGGCTTAGACTTAGACTTAGTTACTTACTCCCCCCCCCCCCCTCCGTGAGCGAACAAAACCATTAGAAAAATCGCCATTTTTTGACCAAAAACCCACCCTCCGTGAGTGAACAAAAATTTTTTTAATAGAAAAAATTTTAATGGAAAAAAATTTTGATATATAAGTGATAATTAGTATAATGAAATCTAGAGCTAATTCTGTTTAATTTTAAACAAATTGCGTTTTAAAACATAAAATTTTGCAAATTAAATTAATATTTGCTTCCCAATTTTTTGCAAATTAGGATTTTTTTAAATTTCGAAAAAAATATTTTTTATAAAATTTATATATAAATTTTTTTTTTAAAACAAAAAATTAACCCCCCTCCGTGAGCGAACAAAATTTTTTTTGTTCGCTCACGGAGGGGTGGGGGGAGTTAGGTATTTAAAGTGTATTCCCTCTTCAGCAGGATGATTTAGGCATGCATATTTCATCCTTTTTAACTCCAAACTGGTGACACCAGCAGCCATCTAGTCTAAGAAGCATTCCAGAAGACGCGCGCGCCATGCAAGAAGATCCGCACTGGGCGTGATGACCTCGCCCGAACTGATTCCTACGCGTGTTCCGTCTAAGGGTCACCCTCATAGGGTGTATCAAGCAGAAAACCATATGCCTCCTTATTCCCATGGACCAAAGAAATACCCTATGCGGTATTGGTGTTGCGGTTAAAGGTCCACGTGGAAAACTGAATCCCATAATAATAAAAGCGAAGGGAGGAATAGTTCTCAAAGAGAACTAATTTCTGAGCATAGCCATTTTATTATTAAAGAGCAAATAAGCAGGCTCAGAAGCGGCCTTTTTTCGAAAATATTAGCAGATGACATAGAATGGAGATATTAAATTTTAAAATAATGCATTTTGTCAAAATAAGTAGAATTAAAATTCAAAAGAAAATAATAGAACTAACAATTTGTTCATTATAGATACAAATTTGCTTTAAATTTGATAATTTAATTGAGAATAAATTTTCAGAAATGAATAGGAATATAATCAGAAATACATAATATAATAATTAAAAAAATATCTTGCATTTTACTATATTTTGCGAAATTATATAAAAATTTAAAATATTAAGATCATTAATGTGAATTTGACATAAAAATATTACTTAAATGTCATGCTGATACATAAATCGTTTGAATTTATTGTCCATTTATAACAACTAATCTTGACTGCTCAGCCATATTTCTGATAATGTAAAATGTCGTTTCACCCGATTATCATTTCAAATACGTTCGAGGATGCCACTGTAATCCCATTAAATTCATTCTCTTATTGCTTCAAATCTGGGCGTAAAGCTAATTGGTGTTTTTGAAGCTCCAGCATGCATCTCATTTGCAGCGCTCTTCAAAGTTCCTAAGGTGTGAATATCAAAAGATTTGATTAAGCCACTTGCTGAGTTGCCCTTTAGATATTCAAAGCACCAGGAACTAGTTCCTCCTCTAAGACTGAGCAAAATCATGGAAATGCCATATTTTTAGGAAATTTAGAGAGAGAAAATTTTTTTTTCAATATAATTTTTTTATACAGATGCCCAGAGTCGAGAAACACCTCTTTTTGCATAAAACTGCTCAAAAAAAAGGGGCGTTTTCCGACAGTGAAATATGGATAATTAGATCCCTACTAATTCTATTAGATCTTAGGCAGCTTGCATTCTCAAACATTAATTAATAAATTAAATTTATATTTTTCTTTAAATTTTTAAATCTGAAAAATATTATATATAACTAAAAAAAACCTATTAATAGCGAATAAAAAAATTTGCTTGCTCTTAAAAGGGGAAGTAAGAGCTTCATTCATCAGAATAATCGAAGAGTGGGGTAGCCGTTTTTCAGACCCTCACTTTTCCAGGACAGTTTTTGACACTTTCCTCTATCAAGCTGACCCCGATAGCATAAAACGGACACTTCTCTTACTTTTTACAAGCTTTAGAACAATTATATCAAGCATTAATACCATGAATTTTATAAACATGTGCACTTCTAAAAAAGGAAATATCATTCACCTCTACACCAAGTTGCTTAAAAATAAAAAATGTAATTAATAGAATTAAATACAAATTAATTGATATATAAAATGGAAAGTGTCAGCGAAGGTCTTCCAAAATATTCAAGAATTTCAAAATTAGGCATCAAATATGAGAAAATTGCAAATCTTCACTGCTTCTTATTTGACAAAAACGGAGTCCCAAGGTATTGCATTGGCCCACATTGTAAATTTTCATTTAGGACCTTTCTTTGTAGGGCTGAATTCTTTTTTTGTTATTTTGGCTTTGCTTTTTATATTTGTTATCTGTCCTACTGTAGGGGATCTTGATACTTTTTGTGGGGTTATTATATTTGGGTTTTTAATTGGAAGCTATACATTGGCTGCTCTGGTGAACCCAGGAATTTGTTATAATTTTAGTGGGGATCAAGAAATGGAAATTTCAAATAGTTTGGCAGCTGAAAGATATTGTGAAAGATGTGAAATCGTGAAAAATGCTCGTACAACACATTGTGATGAATGCGGAGTGTGCATTGATGAATATGATCATCATTGCCCGTGGACTAGCAAATGTATAGGGAAGAACAATTTAATTTTCTTTTATGGATTTTTAATAGGACTGCTCTGCACTTTTATTTTTGTGATTGTGACTATGTCATTAAAAACAAGATTTGAGCATAAATAACTATAAATTTACTAGATCGATAATTCTTATATCAAGAAATAATTCATTCTTAATTCCTATGAGCTGATAAGCAATAAATAAGAGCTTAAAAATAAAACAATTCTTTGAAAATATTTAAAAAATTAAGTTAATCCTCCATGAGCACTTTTTAAGTGAACCGTCATCTGTGCCCTTCCAAAATATCTATTGCAATCCTTGCACAGTATCATTTCCCCTATATCGTGTCTCATGCAATGCGCCTTAAAAAGCCTTGCTGGAATATCTTCTCCACAAGTTGGACATCTCATATTTTCATTTTGCTGTCCATGTGCGTCAGAGATCTTAGATTTCCATTTACACTCTTTTGACTGTTGAGAATTTCCATCAAAAGATATTTCCCCTCCTTGTGTGATAAAATTCATGTCCGGTTTATAAAGATTTTGGTATTCTAGACAAGAAATTCTGTTCAAGCCATGAGACTCACGCAAATGCACTAAAATTTTTTGGAAAATTTTGTTACATATAAAGCAAGGCCCATTAGTCCGAGCGACTTCACGTTTTTTTAAAATATCAGGCTGGTCTTCTACAATCCTAAGCAGAGTCTCAATATTGATTTTAAGTTTACCTGTTAGGGCTTGCTTGTTGTGGTAGAATAGTAAAGAAGTGATGAAGAGGGAGAGGTTTTTGATAAAAGGAGTAGGGCCGACGCTTAAAATGTCAATTAATTCTTGAGATGATATGTTTGTGCTTGTAGAAACTGGCTCGAAGCCTATGAGTATACTCAAGTCTACGATATCGTCTCCTTTAATCATTTATTTTATTATGGGGCTATTTATGAATAAAATTTAAGAAAATAGGAAAATACAAAAATTATAGATCTGGGATCATTTTTATAAGATATTAAATATGCAGTCTGCAAAGTCTGAAAGTGCTGCTTATGATGATGTTTCGAAATACTATAATGCAAATTTGCTAGAAAGCGTACAAAACTTAGGTAATAACTTTGTAAATAACCTTCAGCAGGTGATGGAAAAAAGTTTGCCGATTCATATAAATAAAATCGAAAATGAGCTTGTTGACAACTTGAGGGAAAAAATAAAAATCTATACTTTTGAACTTATAAAAGCAGACATCGATAAAACTAAAAAGAAGTTTAGTGAGGATTTCGAAAAAATTAAGAATCAAAACAAATTGCACTTTGAAAGGATAAAAATGATTGAGGATAGAATCATATTACATTTTAAAAAGAATTTTCTATTAAATTATTTAGGATTGCTATAATTTTTATAGTAAATATATATTAAAATATAATTTCTTATTTATAACATAAATAAATTAAGTATAAAATTGGAGAACGATTATAAGCAAATTGACAGCCAATATGAAGAGGAGGAAAGCCAAATCGAAACTTTGGAAAAATCCATTCAAGATGTGCTAAAACTAAATGATAAAGAAGCTCTTATAGACAAACTTTTAAGTTTAGACCCGAATGTGTTGCAGCCTGACTCTTTGTCAGCTGATACAATAGATGCTCTATTAAATAAAATTCTTGATTTAATCGTGGATGACAGTATCGATTCATTGGATGTATGAGTTGAGCAAATATGCAAAGTAATGCCTTTAAAGACTCCTAAAAGTCAAAAAACAGTTTACAGAATTGTTATGTCGAATAAAAATAATTTAGATAATGCCAAAAAGATAGCGTTTGAGAGGACAATGAGTGGCTAGGAAATGATCAAAATAAATTGGTTTTTAATTTAGTTTTTATAAAAATATTGTATGTATTATCATTTGCTTATATTTCTGCCCATAATATCATGCTATTTCATATAAATATAATGAGCTAGCTCTGCAAAGTGTTAATTTTAGAAAAACTCTCTGGTTCAGCATTAGCGCAATGTTTTTACGAAGAATTAGATAAACTGCCTTGAATTTTCCAAGAAATCAAGGAAACAACTATTAAGTACTTATGAAATAATAAGCTCACTGTTATGGTTGAATTTGTTTAGTGTTATTTATCTGTACTTCTTGAAGCCAACATGTGGAGCAATTTCTCTTATGCAGCGTCTGCAGACAAAAAGTTCGTATTTTCTGATTAACCCGTTGCGTCCTGCACAAACACGGCAGCTTCTTGAGCCTTTGCTATTGCTTTTAGGATGCGAGTTCCAGAGGTTTGTCATTTGTAAATTATTACCATATTTCCCCTGTATGCATTTAATAGGGAAAACAAGAATGAAGTAAAGCTTAAATAATTAATTTATTGTTTTATTTTAATTAATTGTATAATTATATTGCTTGATGATTTTTGTTGGGGCTATGAATATACTCTTATAGAAAAAACTGATCATTTTTTGGAAAAAAATCCATACCTAGCCGCACTATTATTCAGACTAAGATAATGCTAAAATATATGATATTATTAAAATATCTATTGACTAACTTGATTTATATCTTTATATATTATTAAGTCTTTTAAATTCGATATAACACTCTTCAGCAGTAGGTCTTTCGACTGAAATCGGATCAATCATTCTTTCTATTAGATTTCTTAATCCGTCTATGACACTTTTATTTTCATAGTCTGAAAAGTAATCTGAATTATCATCTAAGCCTTCAAGTCCAATGTACTCACAATAAAGGTTTTTGGTCAATATATAATACGCCAATAACCCATATGAGTAAATATCGCCTAAAATATCTCTGCAGCCCATCATTGCTTCAGGAGATGCAAAACTAGACTCTTTATAGAATTTTTCTGGAGGCTCCATTTTAAGATTTGTGCAAAGCTCGAAATCAAAGAGCTTTGGCTTACCATCCTGGTCAACGTTAATAGACCATGGGGATAAATTTAAAAAAACTGTATTTTTCATATGCAAAAAGCATAATCCTCTTCCAATTTCAATTATTATATATAGTTTTTGTTTAATTGACAAGTTTTTTTCCAAATATTTGTCAAGTACTAGAGGTAAGCATTCCAAGGCTAAAAATTTTTCATTTTTTTTAATTTTTATATAGCCTATAGATTTTGCTATATTTTCATGTCTAAGTCGACTCATAACATATGCTTCGCGTGGTATCCCACGAATTTTCGGATATTTTTTTAATGGTTTCAAAAAATATACCTGACCTTCAAATATCGCTGCTATCATTCTTACATATTCCCCATTTGGCTTGGCAATAAAAGAGTTGGGAGGATTTCTTACTTTTAAATCCATTGGATTCAACTTGTAAATATTTTTAAATTTTGTGCGTTGTTTGTATAATTCTTCCATCAAGAGATGTCATTCTTCTTTTTTCCTTAAATGAGTTTGAAGATCATATTGACTGTTTTCTTTCCAAGTTCTATCATCATATCTGCCGATTAACATTGAAGTCAGCCCAACTCTTTTAGCAATGCTATCAATACTTGCATATGTAATATCTTCTTGCATTTTATTACATAATAATCAATAAAAATTTACCAAATTCCAGAATATGAATTCCAAAGCTTGATAAATGAATATATTAGGAAAAGAAAATCTATTGAATAAAGAATTACAAGACCAAACACTTCAGCAAGCAATTTCTATTCAAAAATCACTATATGAATCTGAAGCCATAATTGCCAAAAAGCGAGAAAAAGTTTTAAGATTGTTCCAATTATCATTGGATTTTGTCAATTTTTCTTCAGAAATTAAAAATATTAGTGGAGATATTTCACAAATTTCTTTAGCATTAACAGAATTAGATAATGCAGTTACTAAGCTTCAGCTAGAATCTGAAAATAAGCTATTTGAATCACAGAAAAAACAATTGATTCTTGAAATTACCTCAGAAGAAGAAACTTTATCAAAAAGACTGAACGAATTTGAAACCCAAATAAGAGAAATCCAGATCAGAGAAACTATCTATGAAACCCAAGCAGCTTTAAAAGAGCAAGACGCACTTATAAGCCAGCCTTTTACCTCTTCTCTCCCCAAAGCTCCAAAAATCAGCAAGAAATTAGAAGACATAGAAGCTCCAAAAATTAATTCTCAAGAGCTTGAAGACTTTTTAAATTTTTAATAATAAATGGATTCAACCATACAGGCCAGATTGAAAGCACTTGAAGATTCAATCAGTAGGCTGGAATTTCAGCAAGATTCATGCAGACCATTGCTGAAACTTACGAGAGATAGTCAATGCTTAGGGAGAATTGAAGAAACTATGGCTGCCTTTAGTAAACAACGGACTGATATAGATCATGAAATTAAAGCCAACCAAAATGCGATTGAAGAACTTACTGATACACTTGAAGCCCCGCCAAAGCCGGAACACTGCATTTGCCCGTGCCTTGGCGAATCAAAGTGGATCGATCCAGAGGTCCATTAGCCTGACACGTCGACAAATATGGTGGCAGCTCTGGACAAGAAGAAGAAGAAAAAGCATTATATTATCCCTATCCTACGTTAAAAAAGATCAAGCACAACTCCCCAACATCAGAACTCCAGCAACTCCCCCATATAATCAGAAAATCCTCTACTCCTGCAATTTCCCAACATCAGAAGATCCTCAATTCCCACAACATCAGAACGTCAGAATCGCGCAACTCCCCCAAAAAAGAAGAAATCCCACAACTCCCCCTTCACCTGAGCCCCCACAACTCCTTGAGCCCAGAATTCCCAGAGCTCAGCACTCCCAAAGCTTCCAAAAGCCCCCAGAACTCCCACGACTCCCACAAGCTCTGGACAAGGCTACCCCGTAGTGGACTTAAACGTTATAAATAGCTTAAGATTAAGATACACTTGAGGCCTCTAAAAGTCAGTCTGCAGCACAAATCGCAAATGAAGCTAAAAGAAGAGAAGACGTGATGAAAGAAATGAACACCAAGCTTGCACAAGTAGACAATGGCTTCAAAAGTTTAGAAAAGCAAAATGCGGATGCAATAAAAGAAATCGAAACAAAGCTAAAAAGCGAAATTGCTGGGCTAGTCGACAATATAAAACTGAGGCTTAAAGACGAGCGACAGACCATCAAGAATGCTCTGCAAGAGTCTAAAACTGAAGTAGAAAAAGATCTCAAAGAAATCAGAGACAAAACCGCTCAATCTGAAGCAGTAATTGAAGACTTCGAAAAGAGATACTCAGGAATTGTTAACCCTGCTAACTCAAGAGACCGAGTTAAAGGCCAAGCTGACTTAAGAATGACTCTAGTTAGCGAAATAACAGCAAAAATAAATGAGTCGGTTGAAGAATGCAAAAAACAGTTTGAAAATAAATTCCAAACCCTCCAAACCAAGTATAACCAAGAACTCCAAAGAATCCGGTCTCAGATGGAAGAAATGAGAAATTGGGCAAGCTTCCAAAAATAACTTAATTATTATTCTTTAATCTATCACTGAGATTTCACAGCTTTCGACACTCTTACGTTTGCTTTTGGTACGAATTCTCCTGTAAATTAGTTTCGTTTTAAAATAACTTAATAATCCTTATTTGTGGAAAGAAATTATTATGCTTACTTCTTTTTCTTGCCAACACCAACAGTAGCCTTTGCCTTTCCTCTGACCTTCTTTCTCTTATTTTTCAATTCTTTCTTTTGTTTCCTCGATCCAGTTTTAGCAGGGAGCAGCCCAAGTCTTCTGAGTCTGTATTTTGGCTCGAACTTGGCAAGGAAATCTTTATTATCGTAAATGAGTGCAAACCCAGTCGATCTTGACCCTCCAAAGGCTGTTTGTAATCCATAAACAATAATCTGCTCTGGTTTGGCCTTGTAGGTTTTTGCAAGCCTTTCTTTGAGTTTTTCTACGGATACTCCTCCAAGTTCTGGATGGATCACATCAACAACCATCTGAAGTCTGTGAAGAAGCTTATTTGTCATGATCTTCCTGGTGCGAAGCGTATATCCTCCGTCCATTTTATTATCAAGCCTATTGCAATGTAGTCAAAAAGACACAAGAAATTATGGTTATTGGTGCGGATATGGCATGGAAAAGGGACAATGGAGGATGAGAAAAGAAAATGAAGAGGGGATAGAGATTTGGGAAAGAAAAAATAAGAGATGGTACAAAAAAATTGAAACTTTTGGAAAAATTGTGCAGGAAATAGAGGTATTGAGCATTTTAGTGCTGCTTGTGATAGTAATTGAAATTAGAATAATGAAAATAGAAATTGAATAAAAGCTAGATAGGAAATTTTAATGAATACGATTTCAATAAGGCTAATCGAGAATTATACAAATTGAGGTTATATTTGTATTTAGAAGTGCAAGGTTTATTTTTATTTTTGGATTAATATAAAAAGATATACGAAATATTCAATTTTTAAATGGCAGTCCATTATGCACTAGTAGCTCGAGGACAACAAATCCTATCGGAATACTCTCCAATTGAAGGTGATTTCGCCACAACAGCCAGGTCTCTTCTAAAATCGACAGAAGCTTCATCAGTATTCAAAACATATACACAGGGCAATAAAACGTATAACTTTTTTACTAATGACAATATCACTTACCTATGCTACGCAGACCTTGGCATTGGCAGAGATCTTGCACTGCAATTTCTAAATGAAATGCAAAGATCATTCCCAAAATACGCCAATAAAGCTGGCACTTTTGCAGAGTTTCAGAAGAAATTGATATCTCAATACTCTCCAGAAAGGCTTCATGAAGTGGACAAATTAAGCGGCGTTGAACGAAATTTAAATCTTGCAGTATATTATTTAACGTTAATTATTATTAAATTTATATCAGCTGTTTCTATATAGAATTTTCCTATGGATGGCGCTGTTTGGCCTTGATTTTTCCCACTGAAAAAATTTTTTGGTTTGACCAAACCATATAGTACTGGCCGAACCAAAAAATTTTCCCAGTGACAAAATTAAGGCCAAACAGTGCCATCCATGGGAAAATTCTATATTAAATCCGAAGATTATTCATTGAAAAGAGAATAGAATCTACCAAAAACAATCTTGATAAAGTTATTATGAGAGGCACTCATATGAAAACACTGATTAAAAAAACTGATGAACTGAGCTTCGGGCTAAGCAAGTTTAGTAACACTGCAAGAAGTATACAAAGGAGAGCGTGGAAGCAAAAATTAAAAGCTTTAAGTTTGATTTTTATTATTGGAATTATCGCAATTTATATGTTTGCTATGTGGATTGCTGCAGATCAAGCTGAATAAGTTTAATTTGTTTTATGAATAAAATCGTAGGGCATTCAATTTTTTGATTAATTTATTAATGATTTTTAAGAATTTTTGGTCAAAAAATTAAGCATTATTTTAATCTTTAATATTGATTAGCCCTTCTACAGAAAATTATAAATTATGCAAGCTTATTAAATAATCATATTATGTTATATATTTATTTGTAAAAATATCAGCTATGGACACTAATGAAAAAACCCCAAAAATCAAATCAAAGCATAAAAGTGTATCTAGCATGGGTTCTCGTTCCGAAGCGTTCTCCAGCACCACAAATTCCTATTGAAATACCAAACGCAAAAGCATCATCGAAAAACAAATAAATGACGAAAATGAAAAATTCGAAAATTACCGAAAAAAACTTCAATTCAAAGAGAAAAAGCACAGGAAAAGTTTAGAAGACATACTAGCAAGACCAGGCTCTACAAGATGATTGCAATCAGGCTCAGGCGCCAGACTTAAAGAAAGCTGTTACGATTTTACTAATTCAATTTCTCCAATCCCTCAAAACTTGCACTCATGAGATAGCATTAACGGCTACATTGGGCCATCTCTAACAAGTCCTATAACCAGAGCGAGCTCTCCTGGTCTATTTTCTGATGCATGTGACTTAAATAAAGGCCACTGCTTCAAATTAACTCCTTATGATTCGATTTTAACAGTTGACCATGCTATGACCTATCTTAGACTGCGTGACAAAGGCTGCTCTAAACAAGAAGCTATGCATTTTAGCTCAAAGCAAAGGTGCAGGACTGACTCAACTCAAACTTATGACGGACCACCAGGATATCGTGTAATGAAAAGAAATAACAACTTAAAAGAAGGCCCGAATTGGCATGGGTGGCAGCTGCACCCACCAAAATTCCAAAGTGATTTGAAGTATAAGCAGTACAAAGCAAAAGAAACTTATGAAGACTATGAAATGTTGTCAAGTGGCTATGAGAATTTTCAAAAGAGATTTAGAATAATCAATGGAGAATTGGTAAAGCAGGATAACTGGGAAGAAAAATATTGTATTGATATGAAGATAAAGCCAAATATGCCGATAAGACCAATTTCATTGGAGGAAACACCGAAAATAGTTGAAGAGAATTTAGATCAAGAAAATATTGAAAATTATGATGAAGTCTTAATAGAAGAAAATAAGAAGACTGATAATGAAGAGCAGCAAGAAGAAGTCGTCGTGAATGAAATCGGCCCACTTTCTCTTGAGAGAAAGCCTATAAGATCGATGACTGAAAAATTCTTTGGGCTTATAGCAAATCATAATAATTCATATAGCAATTTTATTATCAATAAAAATGTATAATTTATTTAAAAGAGAATAAATTTTTTGGAAACAGAAATAAAGTAGAGGACAATATTGACACTGTCGAAGAAAAAGGCAGCTCAAAATTTTATATTAGGTCAATGAAACCACCACAAAGCCCCAATCATCACTCTGTATTATATGAAAATAACAAAGGAAAACGTGATTACAAATTTTCACTTGGAAGCCCAAATAACTCCCAAAATTCTTCTCTATTTAGCATACGAACTTCTCAAAGAAGCCAAACCACAAAAACAAAATTCCAGAACTCAGCAAGACTGTTCACTAAAGATGAAATCGAAAGCGAAAAAAAAAAGTTTGCTCTCGATAGAATCCAAGAGCTTCAGAAAACTAAAAGTCTTTCTGAATTAATTCAAATAGAATTAGCCAAAAAAGCCAAACAGATGGGCGCAATTATTAATGAAAGCTTAAAAAAATCACAAGAACGGAAAAGCCAAATAGAAATAGAAACTACTGAATCAATCCAAAAGCAATTTCAAGAAAAACTACAGAAGCTAGATTTAGCTGAAAACACAAGAAAGAAAATCATGGAAGAAAAAGAGAAGCTGAGGATGGCCAAGGAAGAAATGTATGAAAAAAAATTAACGAAAATGAAATCGCTAAAAGCGATTAAGGAAGAAGAAAGGCAAAAGACTATAAGGGATGAAATGCAGGCAAAAATGGTAGCGTTTGAAAATAATAGGAAAAAGCTAGAAGCGGAATGTGAAAGAAAAATAGAGGAAAAGAGAAGGGATTATGATTTCTCAAGGATGTTCTCCTCGGTAATTCGGAATCTTTTGAGAGTACCTTTAGGTGTCGTTAAAGAAGAAGATTCTTACTCCCCCCATCCTTGATCGAACGATTGACTGTAAAAAATTCCTAAAAATTGGGGAAATTAACCCCCATCCTTGATCGAACGATTTTCATATCATGCAACTTTTTATATATATAAAAATATATTAGTTATCAAAAACTTGGAAAGATGCATCTAATGAAGTTGTTTTCAGAGCTTTGGGACGACAGAAAGCTGCGAAATCAACTATCCGAAGTGATTTAGCCATCAACCTAGGCTTGAAAACTCAATAATCTAAAAAATAGAGATTCTTTTTAAAATTTAAAAAACACAAATTTTTTTAATTCAATAAGGAACAAATTAAAATTTATACAGTTTAAAAGGGTAACTAATAAATCAAAATATTAAAAAATTGATAGTTTATGGAATTAATTCAATTTTTTGCTGTAAAAATAATTATTAAATACTCTTAACCCTCTTATTTAAAAGTAAATAAAAAAATATACATATATATTTTTTTTTTTTATATATAAATTTTTTTTCCCGAAAAAAATTTGTTTTAACCCCCATCCTTGATCGAACGATGGCGAGTCGTTCGATCAAGGATGGGGGGGAGTTAAATAATTTATATATATTTTTTACACATCAAATAGTAAGGCTTTCCAAAATAGCTTGGGGTAAATTCTGATACTATTTTGTATTATTCTAATATTAGGCATTAAAAGCAATATATTATCAGCATTTACAATACTCAATTCCCGATTCATAAGTAATAAGATTTAATTTAATATGCTAAAATCAAAGCTAAAGCAATAGATTTTCAAGTCGCCCAAAACACGTGTTAATTATAATAAATATGTCGGGTAAATTTTTCTCAAACAATCACTATGATTCGTCAAGTATTTTTGAATTTAAAGATCTTTCAGCATCCACTAAGGAAGTCCTCAGTAAAGTTTACTCTAACCTAGCCCTTCTATCAGTAAGCTGCGCCTTGGGAATAATCGGGAACATGTTTCTAGGTATTGGAGGAAAATTAACAGGATTTGCTTCGCTTATGTGCTTTCTCCTTTTTATTGGTGCAGGCCAAAAGAGTCCATGGAGATTTCCTCTTCTTTCATTATTTGTATTCTTAGATGGTGTAAGTATTGGTCCACTTATTAGCCTTGCCTTAGAAGTTGATCCTTCTATTCTGATTCAAGCCCTTTTTGCTACCTTTGGGATTTTTATAAGCTTCAGCTATACAGCACTCAAGTCAGATAAAAGACACTTCTTATACTTACTCCCCCCCCTCCGCGAGTGAACAAAAAAATTTTGTTCACTCACGGAGGGGGTTTTATTTTTTCAAAATTTTTTTTTCGAAATTTAAAAAATCCTAATTCGCAAAAATTGGAAAGTAAATATTAATTTAATTTATAAAATTTATGTTTTAAAAAGCAATTCGTTTAAAATTAAACAGAATTAGCTCTAGATTTCATTATACTAATTATCACTTATATATCAAAATTTTTTTTTCCATAAAAAAAAATTTTTTCAAAAATTTTTTTGTTTCACTCACAGAGGGTGGGCTTTTGGGCAAAAAATAGCGATTTTTTTTATGGTTTGTTCACTCACGGAGGGGGGAGTTAGGAGGGATTTTAGGAATGTCAACCCTCTTCATTCTAGTTTGCTCAATTTTAGGAATGCTTGGGTTGGCATCAAACTTTATGTTTAATATTCAGCTTTATGTAGGATTGCTTGTATTCTGTGGATATGTGATTTATGATACCCAGGTTATGATTCTACAGATTGAGATGGGAAATAAAGACGACTTGGCTCATGCCATGAACTTGTTTATAGACTTGCTGGGGGTCTTTGTAAGAATTTTGATCATTTTACTAAAGAATGCCAAAGATAAGAAAAAGGATTAATTGCTAATGATTTTTAAGTAATAAACTGTCCGTAATTAAGGTAAAATAGAATTTATTAAAAAATTAATGAGAAGATTCACACAAAAAAACAGAAAAATAAAATTCGTAGTAGCCTAAATTCCTCTGTTTAAAATGAATTCCATCTATAATATAATTATATGATAGGCATTTACATATTCAGCATTGGCACTGCTCTTATGATTAGCTGCGGACTAGCAGGACCCTACTTATATGAGTCTTACAAAGATGATTTTGACACCGGCGCTTGGAGGCCATGGGTTAAGCTTTTTTTATTTATTGTAACTTTCATAAGCGGAGTTTCTACTGGTGTCTATTCTTGGATAAATCTCAAAACTTTATCAATTGCTGCTACTTCTCTTCTAGCAATTGCCGCACTTTGGGACCTCTATTATATTATATTCGGTCTATCAATAGCTTCTCTCGAGCTAGTTAAAGACTTGAGTAACGCTTCAATGCTCTCAGATAAGACAAAATGTTTCTCTCTATCAACTCCAGAAACTTATCAGTCATTTCTCTATATTTCAAGTCTCTTCTTTATTTTGACTTCAGCTGTAAGATTTATATAGACCCTTGGCTTGGATTTCTTTATAAGAAAATTTCTTAGATTTAATTTAGTCAACGCAGAAGTTAAGATAGGTGAAGGCGAATCAAGAGTGGTTAATGAGTCTAAAATCCATCCAATGGATAAAACAGACTCAGACAATTTTGCAATATTGCCAATTGGACAGCATAACCAGAGCGTTCAAAACGAAGAACTGTTTAGTCGAGTGGCTCCTGATAAAAATGAAAGCCTTTTCCAGAATGTGTCAACTAGCCAAGTAAGAGAAGAACAAAAACCTGACGAGTTTTTTAGACGCGGAGCTGAAAAGAACACCGGAAATTCGAGTGAAAATTCTCCTACATTGAGTCCAGGGAGAGGAAGAGGCAGAGGTAGAGGTAGAGGAAGAGGCCGCGGAGGCTAAAAATTGAAAATTATTTATTTTTAATCGTTTCTGATTTTTCATATGTTATCCCATCAACTCGTTCTTCATAGTAATAGCAATCAATGTCTGAAATTGAACTTTCAGAATTGTCTGTCAAAATTATAGTAAATTCTCTATCGGCTTTTCTCAGCTCTTTTCATAGATGCTCTATACTTTCCGGGTTTATGTCATTTCCAGTGAGATTTATGACTTCTAAGGTTTTTCTTTTAATGATAAAACTTACAATAATATCACTGAGCTCATTTTCATCTATTTCGTTGTATTGGATGTATAGTTGGCGTAGGTTTTCATTAGAAATCATTAGAGATTTGATTATAGCTTTTGATCCTTTGTTTCCTAGTAAGCAGTCACCTAAGTCAATAAAACTCAAAAATCTTAGTCTTTTAAAAGCTGAGGATAAAGATAGATAGGAAGGCTTTTCGTTAATGTGATTGTCTCTTAGCTTAAGGACTTGCAGATTTGGATTCTTGCAGATGCTCTCACTTAGAGCCAGAATTCCTAATTGCCCTATTTCATTTTCTGATAAACATATTTTTCTGAGTGTTTTCAGCTTCCCAAAAAGAGATGCAAGAACTATTGTTCCTTCATCTTCAAAACAATTATTTTCACCAGCAAATACAAATAATTTAAGATTGTCAATCTTTTTTAACGATTCAAATATTTTTTTAGCTCCAATTGCCCCAAGATTATCATTGTTCAGTCTAATTGCCTTAATATTTGGTGATCTTTCTAAACAAAGTGTAAAAATATCTAAGGCTTGAGGCTTCAAACAATTATCTGATAAGTCAAGTTCTTCCAAATTCTGGATAGTTTGTAAAAATCTACAGACCATTTCTAGAATTTTCTCAAATTCTGTCATCCACTCATATAAAATTTTTCGAAGGCGCACTATAGTAAGGTTGCAGCATTCTTCAAGAGAATTAAGAATAAGCTCGAGAGCTTCTTCTGTATACGTGTTATTGCTAAGGTCAGCTTCATATATGAAGTGTTTATTGTCTGATATTTGTTTGCAAAAATCTTCGACTTCACCTGGGAGATGATAAAAGAAATTTTCAGTAGGGATTTTGAAAACCAAAGGTTCACGTGTTAAATTATTGGAAAAAAATACTCCCATTTGATTGAATTTTTATGAACCTGTGTTGCGAGTTAGCAAGTTTGACTTATTTATTAAAAATACATAAATAAAATTATAATTTTAATAAAATTTTAATAATGTCAGTAATCTGTGAATATCTGTTTAGATAAAAATCTATAAATAGACCTCTGATTGTATTCCAATAATATTTTTACTCATTACATCCTAAAATTTTTCATCCAAAAAATTGTTTACCCAGTATTTTCCTAAAATTTTTTTTCACAATTACTTATCTTTCTACAATAAGATTCGTCTCAAAAATAATTTAGATTCCAATAAGAACAAATGACGTAATGTTTTAATAAATCACCATAATATGAAGTCGTGGCTAAGACCTTCTGAAAGCAGATTTAGAACTGGACTCAGAATTTTCAACAGTCTCACTCAAACGAAAGAAGAGTTCTTCACAAACTCCGGAGACAAAAAAGTCTACTGGTATATGTGTGGTCCTACAGTATACACGAATTCCCACATGGGCCATGCCAGAACCTATGTCTCATTTGACATCATCCGCCGAATCCTTTCCAACTATTTCGGATACGACGTCACTTTGTGCATGAACATCACCGACATTGATGACAAAATCATCATAGAATCCAACAACCAGCAGGTAAACTTTGCCGAATATGCCAGGAAATGGGAAAAATCGTTCTTTGAGGACATGGCAAGGCTAAATGTCAGCCCCCCAGACGTGCTAACTAGGGTAAGCGAGTTTGTCCCAGATATCATTACCTTTATAGAAAAACTTATAAGTAATGGTTTTGCTTATGAATCCAATGGATCAGTTTATTTCGACACAGAAGTTTATAAGCAGACCCATACATATGGAAAACTTATTAACCAAAGTGATATAAATACTGAACTTATGCAGGAAGGAGAAGGAAAATTAACTGATGTGAAGGCAAAAGAAAAAAGAAGAGAAGAAGATTTCGCGCTTTGGAAAAAATCAAAAGAGTTTGAGCCAAGCTGGGAGTCACCATGGGGACCAGGAAGGCCAGGATGGCATATAGAGTGCAGTGTGATGGCAGCTGACAGCTTACCATGCCCAATTGACATCCATTCTGGAGGCGTCGACCTTAGGTTTCCACATCATGAAAATGAGCTTGCCCAGTCTGAAGCATTTTACGGATGCCAACAATGGGTCAACTACTTCCTACACACAGGCCACCTACACATTAAAAAATGCAAAATGAGCCGCAGTCTCAAAAACTTCATCACAATTAATGAAATGCTTCAAGACTACACCCCAAGACAAATGAGAATGGTTTACCTTCTTCACAAATGGGACGGAATGATGAATTATGACCCTGAAAACTCCTCAACTATGGAAGAAGCTGTTATCATTGAAAAGCAGTTTAAAGAATTTTTCATGAACATTCAAGCTGCTAAAAGAGAATTAAAAATAGAAAGCAAACAAAAATTCGACCAAAGAGAAAAAAATTTGTTCGCAGCTTTGCAGCAAACAAGAGAAAATGTGCATAATGCGCTTTTAGATAATTTTGGAACAGATGTAGCAGTTTTGGAGCTTTCTGGGCTGGTAAACAAGACTAATGTGTACATGCAGTCTGAGCCAAAATTGATTTTACTCGCAAATGTATCAGATTATGTTAAGAAAATGCTAGATTGCTTTGGATTAGATTACAGTGTTGCTGATTCTGGGGACTCTTCATTTGAGCCACTTATGAATGTGCTAACAAGATTTAGGGATGGTGTTCGTCAAGCATCCCGTGAAGGAGATGTCAAAGCAATTTTGCAGCTTTGTGACCAAATAAGAGATGATGATCTCCCACCACTTGGAATTAAACTGGAGGATAGATCAAACCAACCATCGATATGGAAAAAAGGAAACCCTGAAGAGCTAATCTTGGAAATAAGGAGGAAAAAAGAAGAGGAAGAAAAGGCTATAGCAAGAAAACAAGAAATGGCTAGGAAAAAAGAAGAGAAAAAAGCAGCCCAAGATGCCCAAGCAAGTATAGATCCAAAGGAAATGTTTAGAGGAGAAACTGATAAATACTCGACGTGGGATGAAAATGGGATTCCTTTATGTGATCAAACTGGAAACCCTATTAGCAAGTCATTGAGGAAAAAACTAGAAAAGCTGTGGGAGAAACAGAAGAAACTTTATGAACAAAGGGAAAATAAACAAGAATAACTTAAGAAATTTAGAGTGTTTATGAACATAAGATAATGGAAGGGATTAAAATTTTGATTATTTTGAGATTTAAAAGCTAACTGATATAAAAAGGAAGATTATTTATTATTTATTAATTGATTAGAGATAATCATTTTTAAATAAATTCATGATTTTCAGCGCTAAAAATTAAATTAAATGCTGCCTATTTTACATTTATATAATTCCAAATGAGGCATAGTCTTAATCACTCCAAGATCAAGCCATACCAGTCCAAATACCAAGGCCAGTCACAAAGAGGTGGAGTAAAATTTTTTGACAACCACAAAAACCTAAATTCCCCAGAATTTGCAATGACAGTTGATACTGCAACGTCATCTTCTATAACCCCAAAAGAAGCCTTTTTGAAATCCCAAGAAAGACCTCAAAACAAGCTAAATGATGACACATTCTCATCCTTGAAAACTCAAGAAAAAGGCATTTCAGCATTCAACGAAGACTTAAAAAAATTAAAAGAAAAGCTACGCATGAAAGACATAGAGCTTGAGCTGTTAAAAAAAGAAGAAAAGCGCTCCCAACTAAAACAAGAAAATCTCCCTAAACTAGAAAGATTTGCTGAAGCAGGCCAAAAAAACACTACTGAAGTTGAAAGAAATTTTGATAGTTTTCTGAAAAAAAGTCCTAAGAAGCTAATTGATTTAGATAGGAGCTTTGATGTTGTGCTGAACTCGAAGAAAGTGCCTGATTTAGATAAAAGCTTGGACGAGAAGAGGATAAGGATCAATAGAAGTGTTACACCTGTATCGACTAATATTTTAGGAGGACACAATACTCCAACTAAAACCCAAAATGACTTGTTGGCCTTGGCATGGCATCCGGTCTTTAGACAGCCGAAATTTACAAAAAGCAACCCAAAAGTCCACGCTTCGAACCCTATTACAGGGTATACTCCTGAAAATTACTATAGGGAGTCCCCAACTGCCAGAAGAGGTATGGCAGAGTATGGAAATAATATTGTGGGAAACGCTTCAACTCTACAGATGAAAGGCCAATTCGTGTAGTTGTGGGATTTATAAATAAAATCATAAATTATTTTATATATTGAAAGATTTTTAAAAACCACAACTAGTTTTAAATTTTTCTTCAAATAAATTTTATATTTGCAAGACTTATAATTTATGCCGCATAATGACTGGTTCTTATTATTTTGTTTAATTCTATACTAAATAAAATCCAATGAGAATAAATTAAGGTTTGTATGCGATTTCATTTCTAAAAGGATCTTTATTAACTTTTGGTCCTTAATTAATCTATGAGAATACAATCGAATTTAAATTTTTAATAAAAATTCTTCAAATGCTAATCATTTTTACAACTCTTCTCTATTTATCTGAAGCACTTGAAATACTATGCAATACATCTAAATGCCCTAAAAGCATCGTAATATCGATTTAGCGAGGTGATGGGAACTGCAATCCAGGCTGCTATACACTCCCATGCAAATATGACACTGGAGCTGAGGATGGTGATTATTATTCACTTTGAAACTCAGACTGCTTATGAGATTGCATCCTTAAGACAGATTGCCCTTCTTTTTATTTGAAGAATGGAGCATGTGATGATGTATGCAACAATGAATATTGTGGGTATGATTGGGGTGATTGTAGCTATTGCGGGCCTTCATGTAAATAAAATTTAGGTGCTAAAGACCAATTAGGAGGGACTTGTGACGAAGGCTGTAATATCCCTGAGTGCTATTATGATATGGGAGCTTGCAAAGAATGCTCTGCTGGGTGCAATTCTGGAAATTTAGGAAATGGAATATGTGATGATGAATGTAACACTGCGGATTGCAACTTTGATATGGGAGATTGCGTAAATAAAACTTGTGCAACTAATTGCAAGACTTGGATGGTGGGAAATTCCGTTTGTGATGAAGCTTGCTATGTTGAAGAATGCGAATATGATAAAACTGACTGCACATGTGCACCTTTTTGCTACGAAACTATGCTAGGCGATGGTGTATGCAATGATGAGTGTAATAATTTGAACTGCAAATATGATAATGGAGACTGTGGGTATTGCTCTTCAGGATGCACAATTAAAATGCTAGCAAATAGCGTATGTGACTCTAATTGTAACACAAAAGATTGTGAATGAGATTACTATACTTGCGGGTGTGCTGATGGGTGCAGTGTTAGTGATTATGGAAATTGCAAACCTGAATGTTTAGTTGGAACCTGCAACTATGACAGGATGGGTTCAGATTCTTCAAAGTGGTGCAATAATCAAAATTTAGTGCTATTTACGATTTATCAGCAGATGATAAAAAACGATCCAAGTTATGTTGTTTCTGCTGATCAATGCTATTCTGCATCTAATAATCAATGCACTCTAGAAAAGGCACTTGACACTGCAACTTGCCATCAAGAGTGCTTTATATCTGAATGCAACTATGGTTTATGTGGCACTTCTTCTTATAGCACTTGCACTAGCACTCTTCCCAGCTCTGCTTCTAATCTCTGTGAATTCTGTACAACCAGTTATTCACTCTTCCCATCGTGAGTGAACAAAACCATTAGAAAAATTTCTATTTTTGCCTAAAAGCCCGCCCTCTGTGAGTAAATAAAATATTTTGAAAAAAATTTATATAAGTGATAGTTATTATTATGAAATCTCTAGCTAATTCAGTTTAATTTTAAACAAATTGCATATTGCAAAATAATATAATAAAAAATAATTGTATCATAAAATTTTATTATAAAATTTAAAAATAAATTCACCCCCTCCATCACAAACAAAATTTTTTTTTGTTACTTAAGAGGGTGGAGTCAGGCTTAGGAACATCTTGCTCTCAATGCTCCAGTTCTTGCAATTATTTATTTTTATACGGCCTTTCTCTATCAATTAGCAAAATTTCAACAAATTTTCCTCATCTTTCTATTTACTACGCAACATCTCATATGAATGGCTATTCTCCTTCAGGTGATGGAAGCTATAATAACCCTTACCAAACCTTAGACTATGCATTGCAGACAGTAACAACCACTCAAAATGTGCTTTTTTTAATCAATGATGGCAATTATACTCTCAGCTGGGGTGGCTGGTGGCCTTACTCAACCTATCAAAAAAATCAATGGTGAAGAGTCTTACCTTTAGACAGCAGCCATATTTTTGTAAAAATTGACTCAATGTGAATTAATAGTTTACAAATTTTTGGGAAATTTGAATGAGATAACATTATTTTTGATGGTTATAGCAGATATCCATGCCATAACTCAGAATATTGCAGTTATTGTCCATATATGACTTATAATGCGAGTGATTTGTATTATTATAACGACAGAGGCGAAAGATTCTCCGAAGATGATAAAAGCTGATGGTGCGAATCTATGGCTAGTTCGTATAACTGATTACCAGTTTTTGCTCCAATTCGATGCGGAGACTGTAGTGGATATTACAGCTATTGTGATCCTTGCCAGATTACATTCAGGAATGCAAAATTCCTTAATTTTCGTAGCCAGTATAACTGCATTTTAGGTGGGCCTGGAATTTTAAGGCTGTTTAATGTGGATTTTGATAACATTTGGCTTAAAACAGCAGAAAATTCTGCAGTGATTTCAATGCCCCATAACAGCTATTTCAATTCAAAATTAATATATGTAAAAGGATCAGTGACAAGATTAAATAATGGCTATGAGTTTGGAGACCCTGTAGACTTCAGAGGGTTTCTATATTATCAGAATTCGGAATCTGTATATATAAAAGATGTAGAATTCAAATATAATTTAGTCTATCGATCTCCAGATAGTACGCTGACTCAGGCTTCATTATTTTATGTATCCAATGTAAACTTTTTTGAAATCAATAGCTGCACTTTTATGTACAATTATTGTGAAGACGGGCTATTTAATTTGCCTTTAGATATTTCAAAATACCCTGGATCTGTAAATGAGACAAATTATTTATCGTATTTATTTAAAGATCACGTATATATTCATGACTCCACATTTATTTCAAACTATGGGAACTCTTCTTTCATCAACATTGATTTTTCTAACTACCTTCTGAATGTTAGAATAGAAAATTCAAATTTTGAACTGAATGGCGTTGAGTCTGAGTCCCTAATAAAGATAAAAAACGCTCAGATGCTAGATGAGTATAAAACTGAGACTACACAAAGCGTTTATTCTGGTGGGCACACAGTCGAGATCATTTATGGGCCAAGGTACTGTAAATTAAATGATTTAACATTTGAACATAACTATGGAAATGGCATGATTGATACGACGAGCATGACTAATTATGAACTAAAAAATTTAATTATTGATTCCAATGGATCACCTGATGGATATGATAATTTCAATACAATTCTTCTTGATTTTTTTATACAAAATAGAGATGAAAATAATTTATATATTATTGTAAGCATTTTCTGAAAATTTTAGTATATACCAATATATTTAGCATCATAAATCCCATTAAAGTATTATATCAGTGTCTTAAATGGTTTTATATATTTTAAGACTTAGGAAAATATTTGCATTAATTATATATTTCAAGAAATGTTAATAATCCAGCAACAATTGACTGTGAGTTTATGGTTTTGGTAGAAAGCTCATATAGCATTGATATTTCTCCAGTAACCCTATCAAATAATTTCTGCAGGAATTCTTCGCCTACATTTAAAATTTTAGAATCAGACACTCACGAAATGGTCTCAATTAATTGCACTTTACAAATTGCTAACACTCAGCAGCCTCCTTGCTTTATTTTTTCAGGCAATTTTGATCGATCTTTTACCAATTCAACATTTTCCAACAACATATATAGCAATGAAGGAAATGGAACGATAGTGATTCAAGACTATGCAAATCTATCAATAAATAACTGCGATTTTATAAATAATACAGCTGATAATGGGGCTGCAATTTATGCTTATGGAAAAGATATGACAATTTCCTCATCAAATTTTGACTCAAATTTATCTCCAAATGGATATGGAGGGGCAATATATAACTTAATGGCTGGTGACAATGAAGGGTTATTAGGGTTTTCTGAGTGCACATTCAATAACAATTCAGCATTAATTGGTGGAAGCGTTTATTTGGCACAGCAAGAGTCATCAGCAAGTACAAGAATCTTAATCGATAGCTCTAATTTTACAATAAATAAGGCTTCGAATGGTTCAGCATTATATATTGATGGTAGTGTTACTCTAGGACAAGACTCTATGATCGCATCTTCAATTTTTCAAGAAAATGATTCAACAATGTCTAGCACAATTCTTCAATTCTGCAATAAGGGGTCAATTACTTATTATTTATGCGGCTTTCTAGGCAATTCAGCAGAATTAAATTCAGTTATTCACATGAATGCTTCAGAATCAAAGGTCTCTTTTGATTCATGCACTTTTAAACATAACTTAGGAAGCTCTGTTATACTTGCAGATAATCAAAAGAGCATTACTTATATTGAAACTAAAAAATGGATAATAATAAAAAAATGACTCAGTGCGGAATTAGTTCTCTCCGAGAACTATTCGTTCCTTCGCTTTTATTATTATAGGCTCAGCTTTCCACGTGGGCCTTTATCCGCAACGCCAATATCGAATACCGCATAGGGTATTTCTTTGGTCCAGGATATTAGGAGCACCTGGTTTTGCTGCTTGACACACCCAAGGAGAGTGACCCTTAGGCGGAACACGCGCCGGAGTCAAGTTCGGGCGAGGCCAACGAGGCCAGTGCCGACCTTCTGGCCTGACAAATGAAGTCTTCTGGAATGCCTAGATATAGGGAGGATCGCTGCTGACGTCACTAGTTGGGATTTAAAAGGGTGGGCTATGCATGCCTAAATCACCCTGCGGAAGAGGGAAGACACTTTAAACACCTAACTCCCCCCCCATCCTTGATCGAACGATTGACTGTAAAAATTCCTAAAATTGGGGAAATTAACCCCCATCCTTGATCGAACGATTTTCATAATAGTTATCAAAAGCTTGGGAAGATGTACCTAATGAAGTTGTTTTCAGAGACTTTGAGACGATAGAAAGCTTCGGAATCAACTATTCAAAGTAATTTAGTCATCAACATGGGCTTAAAAACTCAATAATCTAATAAAATAGAGATTTTTTAAAATTTTTTAAAAAAACAAATTTTAATTTAATAAGTAACAAATTAAAATTTATACAGTTTAAAGGGGTAACTAATAAATTAAAATATAAAAAATTGGTATTTTTATGAAATTAATTCAATTTTTTGCTGTAAAAATAATTATTAAATACTCTTAAACCCTCTTATTTAAAAGTAAATAAAAAAAAATTTATATATATATTTTATTTTATATATATAAATTTTTTTTCCCAAAAAAAATGTTTTTTAACCCCCATCCTTGATCGAACGATGGCGAGTCGTTCGATCAAGGATGGGGGGGGAGTAAGTAAGTAAGTAAGTAAGTAAGTAAGTAAGTAAGTAAGTAAGTAAGTAAGTAAGTAAGTAAGTAAGTAAGTAAGTAAGTAAGTAAGTAAGTAAGTAAGTAAGTAAGTAAGTAAGTAAGTAAGTAAGTAAGTAAGAAACTAAAAAATGTTTATTTCAAGACAACAGTGGAATTATAGTTTCATTAAACAATGATCAGCTTGTTGACGAGGGCTCAAGTTTCCAGTCCAATAAAGTATCTGATGGGCCATGCTTTCACTTGCAAAATTCTGCGGTGATTTCAAAATCAAGCACCTATTCTGATAATATTAGCCTTAAAAATGGAGGAATTTTTACATTGGAAAATAATTCTTCATTTTCTTGCAGCGCTTGCGATTTTAAAAATAATGAGGCTCAATCAAGTGGAATTGTCTTATTGAATACTAATTGCTCATTTTATTGCAATTTTTGTAATTTTGCAAATAATAAAGCTCGAGCAGAAGGAATTATATATGCAAAAGAAGCTTATCAATTTTCTTTTTCAAATTCAAAATTCCTTAATAATTCATGCGAAAATGACTGTTCAATCATATATGGATATAACTTAATCGAGGCCTTGTCAATGAATACCTGTGAAATTCATGAAAACAACCCAAAAAATGGAAACACAATTTCTTTAACTAATTCTAAGTTGTCTATATCATCATCACATATATCAAAAAATAAAGGAGGTCTCAAACTATCCTTTTCTGATTTAGAAATATCGGGTTCATCTTTCTCAAATCAAAACTGTACTGAGGGATGCTTTATTAATTTGTCATCTGATTGCAACGCTATTATAAAAAACTCCAATTTTATCAATGCTAATTCAACGAGCTCAGGTGGAGCTATATTTTCTTCATCAAGTAGCATTACAATTGAATCCTCATCTTTTAAAAATATTTATTCTCAATCAGAAGGAAGCTCAATTTATTCGAATTTTGATAGCATTTTGAATATAAAAAATTCTGAATTCCTTTCTTCTTATAGCCACAATATGGGTGGAGTCATTAATGCTTACCAAACCCCTTGCTCTATAGAAAATTCAATTTTCGATAAATATTCACAGTCAGGGATTTATGGATTTGATTTAGAAAAACTTGAAATTTCTGGATCTTCATTTAGCAATGGAAATGGAATTTTAGGTGGAGCAGTCCATTGCAATTATTGTAATAATATCAAAATTGGATCATCAAAATTCTTAAATAATAGCGCAAGCTTAGGAGGGGCTTTGTATTTTGGCACAGATATGGGTAAAAAAATTGAAAATACTCATTTTATTGATGGGACTACATTTATTGATAATAAAGCTGAAAATGGTGGAGCAGTGTTTTCAGGAGACGCAAATTTGTATGTGTCTTCATCTGTTTTCTTAAAAAATCAAGCAATTGCAGATGAAATATTAGAGGAAAAGGAAGTGGCAAAAGGAATGGGAGGGGCTGTCAAAATCAGCTGCCCTGATGGCTCAAAATGCGATTTTGGCTTTAACTTATGCAATTTTACTGAAAATGAAGCTTCTTATAGTGGAGGGGCCATAAGCTTTGATGATTGGCCTCCAGAGTTACAAAATAACACTTATATAGATAATTATGCACAATATGGGGCAAATTATGCTTCATATCCTGAGAAATTGTTGATGATTAATGAAAATGGCTCATTAGATAATCACAGAGAACTAGGTGACGAGTCAGATGGAAGCACAAATTTACTCGGCTTAGCTCCAGGCCAAAAGAGCTCGCAAGCATTGCTAGTTGCAGTGGTTGACCACATGAATCAGATCGTGACCACTGATGATTCCAGCTTTTGTGAGCTAAAAACTGAAAACTCAAGCGCTATTATAGAAGGAATTACTGTGGTCAAAGCAAATGGAGGAATTTATAATTTTTCAGATTTAACAATATCAGATGTCCCTGGACAAAAGGTCATAATAAAGCTTTATTCTACAGCTTTTAGCAGTAAGAATTACAGTGATCAAGCAAGTCAAAATCTATTTATCAATGTAAATTTAAGAAACTGCGAAATAGGAGAAGAAAATTCTGGAAACAGTTGTCAAATTTGTAAGGATGGATATTATAATTTGGATGCAAACAAAAGCGAATGCCTACCTTGTCCTGAAGAAGCTGATTGCTTGCTCCTCCATCTGTTGAAGTGCAGCCATTAAAAAAAAATCCATGAGAAAAAAAATATTTTTAATGTAATTTTATAAAAAATAATAAAATATTACAATATCTCGAGCTAATTCATCTGTAATTTGAACAGCCTACATTCTAAAACATAATAATTTTTGTCTATTAAATTAATTTTTCCTTTCTAATTCTGCTAATTCGAGTTTTTTCAAAATTAAAAAAAAAATAAAATATAAACTATGAATGGACCAGAATTGTTTTGCCTGCTCAGGAGGTGGAGATAGGAAGCTTTGTTATGGTCCCCAAATCTAAGCACTGAAGAGACAATATGTATTCAGATAAATTTTGGAAATGTCCAAATCCTTCTGCATGCTTGGGATCTCCAAATCCATCAAATATTTCTTATACAGGATGATGCAGCCAAGGATATAAAGGCAACAAATGTCAATCATGCGAATCTGGCTATTCCCACCAAAACAATAACAAATGTAAAAAATGCCCAGATTCATCAAGCAGCATTCTCATAACCATAATAATGATTCTTGCCCTCCTTACTGTCGCATTTATTATGTACAAAGCCTCAATAAAATCATCTCTAAAGCCAAAATCAATAGCTTCAGTCTATATCAAAATCTTCATAAATTACTTGCAAATGATAGTTATCACCTCTACTTTTAATCTGAACTGGCCAAGTGAAGTGTTGGATTTATTTTATGTTCAAATTTCCCTTGATTATATTTATCAGCAAATATTCTCATTTGAATGCCTATTTAAAGATGATTCTCAAGATAGTGTTTATTTTAGGAGTCTTATTATGGTTGCCTTTATTCCAGCTGTGATGATAGTCTTAGCAGGAATGGTATGGATTATCGTAATTTCAGTGAAAAGCTCAGTTAAACACATTTGGGATAAATATATATCAAGTTGCATTATTTTGATATTTTTAGTATACCCAAGTGTTATAAGAAAAATGTTTTCTGTGTTCAGATGTACAGAAGTTAATGCAGGAGAGTATTGACTGGAGGAGAATCTGGATATAAAATGCTGGAATTATGAGCATAAAATGTATGCACTTGTAGTTGCCTTGCCAGCTCTTGTTGTGTGGGGTTTATTGCTCCCTGCTGCTTGTTTGACAGATTTAATAAAAAAGAAAAATAGTTTGGACTGCCTGAATGTAAAGATAAGGTATGGATTTCTTATGAATTGGTATGAGAAAAAATATTATTACTGGGAATTTATTATTTTATATAGTAAATTATTATTGATTTGCTGTTCAGTATTTTTAACAAGCATTGCTATCAAGCTTCAAGCACTTATTGCAACAATCTTATTATCAGTGTACTTACAGATACAATTTTCTAATAATCCTTATTCACAGCAAAAATTGAATGCCATGGAATTCAGAGCTAAGCTTGTGTGTGTTACTATAATTTATAGTGGATTATTTTACTTGACTGATTCATTGAATAGCGACCAAGACTTATTTTTTTATGCCCTCATAATTATTGCTCATATTTTCTTTTTGATTCATTGCTGAATAAATATACTTAAAGAAGTATTCTTTGCAACTCAAGAAAAAATCTTGCAGTGGAGAGGCAAAATGAAAGTTTCTTATGATCAAGAGTCGTATGAGCTGCACAAAGAAAGTTTTAGCGACATAAAAGCCCTTCCTGAAAAATTTATTGGCTTATATCCTTCTATTGAGCATCAGCCTGAAAGTGAAAATCAAGATATTGATATAAGAAGCGACTACAATTTAAACAATGAAGAAAAAGTAGAAAATGATCACATTATAAAATCCTGTTAGTAAATTGATATATCAGCAAGTAAAAAGTTAGGATAATAGTTAGCTCAGTTTTATTATATTAACTCCCCCCCCTCCGTGAGTGAACAAAAATTTTTTTAATAGAAAATTTTTTTATGGAAATAATTTTTGATATATAAATGATAATTAGTATAATGAATTCTAGAGCTAATTCTATTTAATTTAAACGAATTGCTATTTAAAACATAAAATTTTTATAAATTAAATTAATATTTGCCTTCCAATTTTTGCGAATTAGGATTTTTTTAAATTTAGAAAAAAAATATTTTTTATAAAATTTATATATAAAAATTTTTTTTTAAAAAAAAATTAACCCCCCTCCGTGAGTGAACAAAATTTTTTTGTTCACTCACGGAGGGGGGGGGAGTAAGTAAAAGCATTTAATAATTTATTATGCTTATCTTTTATTCATTAGCCATCTTTAAAAATTTAATTTGCAATAATTTCTTCAAATTTATAATTATTTATAAATCTTTCAGAATTCATATTTTATATCGAAAACTTAAAATTAAGAAAGTTATAAGGTGTTATTCAGAGTTAATAATATTAATAGCCATGGCATTTGCTTTATGTTTCAGTTTACTTTTTTGGGCATCCACTAGTGAGAAGCTATCATGCAGCTTGAAGGAATGCCCTGATTTTAAGGTAATTTTTATTCAGAAAGGAGATGATGTATGCAATCCAGAATGCATGACTTCATACTGTAATTATGATGCCAACGTTCATAAAAGCGGGGCAACTGATAAAGAAAGTTCAGACTGTTTTTGAAATTGCCTCTACATAGATGGCTGCAATCAAGAAAATCTTGGTGATGGGCACTGTGATGAAAGCTGCAACACAGAGAATTGTGGCTACGATTGAGGAGATTGTGGCCAATGTGCGCCTTCATGTAAAATTTATATAGGTGGGGATATTGAAATAAGTCAAAATTGTAATTCAAATTGTAATGAGGCCTCTTGCTATTATGGTCTTGGAACTTGCAAAGAATGCCACGCAGGCTGCAATTCAAATTTATTAGGAAATGGAGTTTGCAACCCTGAATGTGCCTACTCAGAGTGCAATTTTGATTTAGGAGACTGCAAAACTTCAGCCTGTGCACCAGGATGTTATATCTGAATGATTGGAAATTCAATTTGTGAGGAAGCATGCCATGTAGCTGAATGCAATTTTGATAATTTTGACTGTGATTGTTCTCCAGGATGTTTTGAGTCTATGCTTGGGGATGGAAAATGTGATGAGGCATGCAATAACTGAGATTGTACATTAGATAATCATGACTGTGGAGCATGCGCTAGTGGATGCTTTCCCGAAATGCTAGTTCCACCCATACGTGAGTGAACAAAACCATTGGGTAAAGCCATAATTTTTTGGTAAAAACCCACACTCTACGAGCAAGCAAAAAGATTTTAAATATAATTTTTTATAAAAAAAAATTATATAAATGATAATGCTATGATAAATCTCTAGCTAATTCTGTTGAATTTAAGCAGATTTCTTTTTAAAACATAAATTTTATACTTAAATTAATATTCGCTTTAAACTATTTCAAAATAATTTTTTAAGTTTTGAAAAAAATTTTTTATATAAATTTAAAAAAAAATTTTTAACTCACCTCAATGTGAACAATAATTTTTTTTCTCTTATGGAGAAGGAAGTAAGCAACGGATTTTGCGATCCTGAATGCAAAAATTATGACTGCTATTATGATTATAAAGATTGCCAGTGTGCTGAAGGCTGTGATTATTTAGAATATGGACAATGTAAGCCTGAATGCCTTGTGGCTTCATGCAATTATGATAGAATGAGCAAATATTTTGATTTTCAATGTCAGGATGCTTCTTTAATGATATTTTCTTCATACCAGCAAAATATTCGTAAAGATTTCACATACGTAGCCCATTTAGAAGATTGTTACAGTGCTTCAAATAATGCTTGCACTCAAGCAAAAGTTTTCGATTTACTCCATCACAAAATTTTTTAATAAATCATTTTTTATATAGAGAATTTAAATTTATATATTCGTTTATTTGATTAAATTCTTCAAATTAAATATGGCGTCTTCGTCTGGGCATGGCCTCCCGGTCATGCAGCCTCGACTCATATTTAATTATATCCGGCAAGGTTTTACCATTCTAGAGATGGACGGCAATACTAGGTAAGCAATTCTGGTGGTGTTCAGAGCCTAGTCCTAGTCTATTCTCAAGGGTGGATTTTTCCTCGTGGGGAAGGAGGGCACGGAGTTGGAAAGGGGAAGCTCAGCAGAGTCCGTTAGGACCAATCGGGCAACTCCCTAGCGTGAAATTGGGCGTTACGTCCCAGACTACGTGTTTTTTCTTTTTGCCGATAGCCGACCAGAAAAATCCATTTTTTGGGTTTTTCGGAAAAGCAACCCATGTATCAAGCAAGTAGCTCACCCATGAGTCGTCGAAGCCGGAACACTTTCCCGAGGAGCACCCTGGAGATCGAAGCAGGCCATTCCCTGCGACCTGTGGGGCCGATGCGACGCAAGGCGAGTGGTTGTACCTGGGGTTGTCACCCCGTAGTGGACGCTGAGCGTTATAAATTCTATAAGATAAGATAAGATTAAATTCTTCAAAAATTTAATTATTCACAGTTTGAGTTATCAACTTGTTATCAAGAATGCAATATTCTGGAATGTAACTACTCAAATGGAAATTGTAATTCTGAAGGATCTCAAGACTCTGACTGCTTAAGAACTTACGGAGATGGTAGCCTTGGTAAATGTATGTCTTGTATGACATATGCTTTAATTTCTGGAGAATGCACGTCAAATCAAGACTCAGATCTTATCATTTCTCCAGACGAGTCGTTAGTTAAGATTTTTTCCGAAGATAGATCTACCTTGAAAAACCCTTATATCTATTTTGTTACCTCTGTTCTCAGTGATTATATTTGAAGTGGTGACGGTACCTTCCTCTCTCCTTACCAAGATTTAAACTCAGCTATAAAATATTCAAACTACAATTATTCAGTTATTTACCTCAAAGAAGACGGAGATTACCAAGGTTTAAGAGAAAATGAGATAGATGAAGGAAGATACCACCAATTCATAGCACGCAGAAAAGATAAATTATATCTAAAATTAACGACGCTGAATGGTGGAAATATAACGGTTTATGGGATCACTGATTATTACAATTATTGATCTTTAAGTTTTTCTAATGGCATTTTAGAAATCAATAATGTAATTTTTGATGGAAAATTCAGAGAATGTGCAGACACAGAATATTGCGAATATTGTCCTTATGTTGAACAAGACTGAAGCTCTAGTAGCTGATATGTAAATGATAGAGGGGAAGAGATTTGGAATTATGTTGATATGGATATTTGCAGAAAATTTCATGACTACTATTTTATTGATGTTAATGAAGGGAGTTTGATTATGAGAAATGTAAGTTTTATTAATTTCAGAATGGGATTTGCTGCAATTATTCGAGCAAGATATGATAGTAACGTTTTGCTTTACAATGTGACTTTCGATAATATTTGGCTTGCAAACAAGGAGGAAGCAGCTGTTATTTACTTATTTCCCGATTTTATAATGAAAACATATTTCGTATTTTATAATTTTATATTTATTTTTTTATATTTTCATGATTTTAAAAGATTGGCTAGAGAAAACATAAAATAATCAAAGAATTCCAATCAATATTTGATTTAAAGATGCTAAAATTTATGGTATTTATTAGGATTTTTAAAAGAATTTAAGTTATAAGCGATTATAAATATAGTAAACATCATTTTTTAAATTTTTTAGATATTGAAAAAGAAAAACAATTTTAATTTTGGGGAAAAATTTTATGGTTTTATTCGCTATTAGAGAAGAAGTTAGACAATGATTGTACGAACAACGCAGAAGATACTTGCAGTAGCTCATTTTATTATGAAATTGGTAAAGTTAGTCGCTTAAATAATGGGTATGAGTATAACGATCCTCTCAGTTTTCGAGGATTTTTATATGTGAAAAATATTATTGATATAAATATTATAAAAGTGGAATTCGGATATAACTTAGTTTATAGCTACTGATATGATGATATAGAAACAGCGTCTTTACTTACTCTCTTTTTGTTTCAAAAATTAGAGATTGAGTCGTGCATATTTTCATATAACTATTGCGAATTGGGGATAATAAATATACAAAACGATGGAACTATTCCTATAATGGAAACTAATGATAGAGGAGTTGTTAAATATTCTGCTCTCAGAAATATTCAAATTAAAAAATCATTTTTTTCGTCGAATTATGTGAAAAATAATGGCTTAATTTCTATTCGCTTTGAGGGAAAAGCTCAAAATATACTTATAAACTCTACATCGTTTGAGGCAAATGGGGTTAAAAATAACGGCTTGATTTATATTAGCAGTGAGGATGAAGAAAATTTAGTTGTTTATGATCAAGATGTAGAATTTACAACATCATCAGGACTAACTACTACTGCTAAATATTTAGCTAGTTGGTTAAAGGTCCTAAACTCTAAATTTATTAATAATTTCTCTGGAGATGTAGGGCTAATTGAAATACGCAGAATGGCGAATGTAGAAATTACCTACACCCAAATGGATAGAAATGGTGGGTCTCCGAGCACCATCAATGATTTTAATTCTATCCTATTAAAATATTTTATCAAGAATCCTGATATTTATTTAAAAATTGAAGCTTCTTCTACTCAAAATTTGTGATGTTTTGCATTATCATCAATATGAGAATCAGTTAATTTTGCGATGAAGCATTTAAATGCTACAAATAATTACTGCGAACATTGATCTCCTAGTATTATAATTGCTAGATTAGAAAATGTTACTTTAGACCATTTATATTTTAAAGAAAATAATGCTACAAGCACAAATGGAATTTGCTTAGCTTTTGGCTACCTTAAAACTGCTACTATAAGCAATTCAGAATTCAGCTGGAATAAAAATAATTTCCAAGGAGGACCAGGAGCCATTGAGTTTGCTATGCAAGTAGAAAATTTAACTCTTATAAACTCCACATTTACTGGAAATTCTGCAGGTGTAGGAGGCGCAGTTTATTTTTCAGGCTTTAATATCAATATTGATAACTGCAAATTTGAGTCTAATTCAATTTATGATTTATCTGGAGGAGCCCTTTATTTGTCATTAGCCTCTCAAGAGCCAAATGCTGCTTTATCTATTTTTGATACGATATTTTACAATAATTCCTGCACAAAAAATGGCGGAGCTGTATACGTCTCTCAAAAATCCATTTCAAGCTCAATCACATCTGTATTAATTACAAATATAACTTTTTCAGATAATAAAGCTTCATATGGATCCGGCATTTATTTTGATGAATCAATAAACTTATCAGATAACATTCAAATAATGGATTCTACATTTCACAATAACTCTGCAGCTGAATCAGGAGCATTTTATATTCAAAATATTAATATTGGCCTTTTTTTAAGCAATACTAAATTCATTGAAAATACCGCGAAAACCTGCTCATCTCTTCATGTATCTAAAAACCAAAATGCAAATAAAAAATTAAGCTTAAATCAATGCAGCTTTCAGTCTAATTTTGGATTGTCAACAGTCCTGGTTGATTCAAGCAAAGATATTAGCTTAGAAACAGATAATTGTTTATTTGAGTATAATAAGGGAACTACTTTTTTGCTTTATAATACTATCATAAATGACAACAATTCTACTTTCCAACATGGATATTCATCATCTTCTGGAGCAGTCATAATGATGAAAAATTCAGTAAAAATGCATTCAGTTAATACAAAATATATAAACAATACCAGTGAACTAAATGGAGGAGCTATCTCTGTAAGCGAAAATTCTAAATTTTCATGCTTTTCCTGCAATTTTATCGAAAATAAAGCAAATGGATCTGGAGGTGCAATATATGCTGACACATATATTGAAATAAAAGATTCAAAATTCTTAAAAAATTCATGCCAAGATGAAGGATCAGCTTTAAAAATTGTCAGAGCTTCCAAAAAGACCACAATACAGAATTGCGAAATAAGTGAAAATCATTCATTAAATACTGGATCAATTTTTGTTCTATTTTCAGAAATTGATATCGATTCATCTATTATAAAGAAAAACACAGCAAACGGAGATAATCCTGGGATAATTCTTGACGATTCCAAAATAAATATATTGAATGTTAGTTTTTCTAGTCAAGAAGGAAAACAAGGCTGCTTTATTAAGCTAAAATCAGGAAGTTTTGCTCTAATTCAAAATTCAAGCTTTACAGATAGTCATTCATCTAACTCTGGAACTGCAATTTATTCTCTATCAAGTGCTACAAACATTTCAAATTCCATTTTTTCTGACTTATCATCAAATAATGGAGGAGTTTTCTTTATTTATAAAGAAAGTTCAATTTTGATTAATGATTCGATAATAGAAAACATCAAAGGATCGTCAATCGACTCATATGCTAGTTTTATAAAAATACAAAATACCCAATTTATCAACAATGAAAACAGCGCTATTGTTGGAAGTGGTCTTCATGCCTTAGAAATATTCAACTCTGAATTCTCTGGGTGTTTAGGAGCTAATGGAGGCGGATTGTATTGCTCACAATGCCAGGCAATCTCTGTAGATTCATGCTTATTCAGAGGCAACACTGGTTCATCAACTGGCGGTGCGATATATATTACAACTGATACCTCGATAGAAAATTTATACAATATATCTTCCACTAAGTTTTTGTATAATAAAGCATTAGTTGGTGGTGCCTTATCAATAAAAAACTCAAATATATCAGTTTATAACTGCGAATTTATTGAAAACTCTGCTAGAAGTAGTGGAAATTATCAGAATGGAAAAATTGATGGGACTGGTGGAGCGATAGACACTTATTGTGAAGACTTTGGTAACTGCATATTTAATGTGTCTTCGAATATTTTCAATAAAAATAGAGCAGAAAACAATGGAGGAGCAATAAACTGAAATGATGTAAGACCGATTCTTGAGAATAATATTTTTATCAGCAACTCTGCAATATATGGGGATAATATATCTTCATACGCTGTAAAGATGATTTCCTTGGATAATACATAAGGATCCCCCCCCTCATTTGTCCAATTTTCTAGTCTTTTATCATTTGTCCATTTTTCTAGTTTTTTTTATATAGGAAAAAAAATTTTTAGGACCTCATTTCAATTATCCAATTTTCTAGTCAAAATTTTGATAGAAAAAAAAAATTTTCCAGAGCCTCAATTGTCTTATTTTCTAGTTTTTAAAGTAAAAAACTAAAATTTAGGAGATTCGAAAAAATCCAAAAAAGACTAGAAAATGGGACAAATCATTTTTATCTAGATTTTGGACAAATGAGTTCCTGAAAATTTTTTTTATCCTATAAAAAAAGGACTAGAAAATTGGACAAATGAGGGGTGGGATCCTTACAATGGAAATCAGACAGAAAATCACCACTTAATGAGAAATTTAGAACTTAAAGATATAGCATCAGGGCAACAAGTTAATCAGCCACTAGCCTTCGCACTAGTTGATCATTATGACCAAATTATCAAAACAGATAATACAAGTCGAGCAGAACTCCAAACTGTAGGAGCAGGAGTGTCACTTTTAGGATCTACAAATATTCATGCTGTAAATGGAACATTTATTTTCACTAACTATACAATTATTGCGTTGCCAGGATCTTCAGTTCAACTAAAAGTGTACAGCTCAGTAATGGATTCATCTGATCAAGCCTCAGATATTTATATCAGCGCTACCTTAAGACTATGCAAAACTGGTGAAGCTACTATTAATATGGCATGCGTGGCTTGTGGAGAATCATATTACAGTTTCAATACAAGTGATGCTGCTTGTTTACCCTGCCCAGATCATGCAATTTGTTATGGAAATTATTCAATGGTACCTAAGCCAGGATATTGACGAGAAGAAATGTATTCACTGAAATTTTGAAAATGCCCAAGGTCTTCATCTTGCTTAGGTTCCCCAGATCCTAATAATTTATCATATACTGGAGTCTGTGATAAAGGCTACACAGGGAAGCTGTGTCATTCTTGCCAAGATAGATATGCAAGATTATATAAAAACAAGTGCAAGAATTGTCCAGACACTGTAGAAAATATATTTCGAGCTCTCGGAATGACAGGTGTTATTATTGCTATCATATTTATAATAATAAAAGCAGAAAGAAAATCTTTACTTTACATTAAGATCAGTGGTTCAGCATATATAAGAATATTTTGGGACTATTTGCATATTCTAATAATTATAGCAGCTTTTACTTTAAACTGGCCAGACGAGGTGCTACAGCTGTTTTATGTTGCGTCCTCTTTAAACTATATCAATGAAGAATTATTTTCTTTTGATTGCTTTTTTCAGTCAGAAAATTCACGAAATAAAATTTATTATGACAAGATTATTTTGACTAGCTTATCGCCAATTATACTCGGCAGTTTATGCTTAATTATATGAATTATATATTATTTGCTAAAAAGAAAGTCCTTTAGAGCTATGATAGGCGATTTTACTATAACTTTTATTGTGCTACTTTATTTAATTCACCCACATGCGATAGGGACGTTATTCAGTATATATAGCTGCAAAGAAATTAATTCAGGGCAGTTTTGACTTAATTATGACTTACTCCCCCTTTCCATAAGCGAACAAAAAATTTTGTTCGCTCAAGAAGGGACTAATATTTTTTAAATAATTTATATACAAATTTTAAAATAATTTATTTTTTAAATTTAAAAAGTCCCAATTCGAAATAATTTTAAGCAAGTATTAATTAATTTGTAAAGTTGATGTTTCAGAACACAATGCATTTAAAACTAAGCAGAATTAAAGATATTTTGCTATAATAATATCACTTATAACCACTTAAAAAAAAATTGTTCGGTCACGGAGGTGGGTTTTTTACCTAAAAAACAGTTATTTTTCCAAAGTTTTTGCCCGAGTTAGGCATTAAGTGCTGGACTTATGATCATACTTTTTACGCCTTTTTAATAGCACTGCCAGGAATTATTATATGAGGAGTTGCAGCTCCAATATTTTGTCTTACAAAAATTATACGACATAGAAAAAGACTTGAAGAAATTTTCTTCAAACAGAGATATGCCTTTCTCTATCAAAGTTTCAAGCCACAGCGCTTTTATTGGGAATTCATTATCATCTACTCAAAAATTATTCTGGTAATTTTATCAGTATTTTTAGAGAATATTCCTGACTCAATTCAAGGCTTTATTATAACAATTATATTGCTTTTCTTCCTTCACATTCATAACAGGAATAGTCCATTCACAGAACCTCATCTTAATCAAGTGGAATTCATAGCAAAGTTTGTACTCCTGTTAACAATTTTCAGTGGGCTTTTCTTTTCTACTAAAGAATTAGACTATTCAAGAAAAATTGCTATTTTTGTTATAACACTCATCTCAAATATCTCTTTTATTGTTTATATTTTATGCAAAATATTCAAAGAGCAATTAAAGATACCAAAACAGCTGCTTCTTTGGCTGATAAATACAATTTTGAGAAGATCAAGATCAAAATTAGGAGGAAGTATCATACTAGATGTGGATAGTACTCAAATTGCTACTGCTGGCGTTAATAAAAACTTAAACTTCACTGCACAGTCTAAAGTTATCAACAGCTCACAAGATTTTGAGAGTGAAAGCCTTCATGTTAACAGTGGTCAAGAGATAATGTCAGAAGCAGATCCTTGCCCTTCTCCTGACATAAGCATTTTTTCAGGTGGCCAAGGCATTTATTAGAATTAAAAAATTGAAAATTCTAAAATTTAAAAAAACCTATATTTGTAATTAAATTAATCAAATCCATGAGATCTGCTAATAACGATATATTTTTAATTTGATTTAATCTTTTTTTATTTTATAACTAATCAAAAAGAATTTATAGGCCTAAATAATTATGGCTCTCTTTATATTTGTCATTTTGTCAGCAGCGCAAGCAGAAGATAACAAATGCAATATAAATAAGTGTTCTCAATTGAAGGTATTTCAAAAATAGAGAGGAGATGGAGTTTGCGATATCAATTGCATGAACTCTTTTTGTAATTTTGATGCATATATTTTGATAAATGATAAAAAAGGATTTACATCTGATTGTGCATACGAATGCGAAAGTGTATGCCATCAAAGAGATCTTGGGAATGGAGTTTGTGATGAAAGATGCAATGTTAGCTCTTGTGGATATGATTTAGGCGATTGTAGCTATTGCGGAACTTCATGTAAATGTAATTTAGGTAAAAAAACTCAACTAGGAGGAACTTGTGACGAAGAATGCAATGTCCCTGAATGCTATTATGATATGGGGGCTTGCAGAGAGTGTTCTGTTGGATGTAATACAACTATTTGAGGCAATGGAATCTGTGATGATGCCTGCAATAATGTTGACTGCAATTTTGACATGGGTGACTGCGCAAATTCAACTTGTGCTCTAGGCTGTAATACTTGAATGGTTGGTAAACTCATAAATAAAAATGGTATTCAGTTTGAGAGAAATTTTTATTTATGAGGTTTGTTTAATTGGACTTCTTGAACAGCATTTTAACTTTGGTCAGGCTAAAGGAAATGCACCTCAGTGTATTTAAGAGGCTTAATGATTTTCTACTCAGCACACCCGAGGTGACTCTTAGGAAAAACAAGCGCAGGTGAGTCTGGCAAGAGCGACAGCAATGCGCCAGATGAGAAGTGCTGTCTGATAGAAGCATGGACACGAATAAATGTCTGCCCATATGGTACGCCACTTTAAGTGGCAGAATGGCTCATGACATCAGTGGGCACTGGCATCTTAAATACCTAATTAATAGTAATCGTAATCAGATGATTGGTAACTCCATTTGTGATGAAGCCTGCTATGTGCCAGAATGTGAATATGACAAAACTGACTGCACTTGTGCACCTTTTTGCTCTACTGATCTTTTAAAAAATGGAGTTTGTGATGAGCTCTGCAACACTTTTAGCTGCAAATTTGATAGTGGAGACTGCGGATACTGCAGCTCAGGTTGCACTCATAAAATGCTAGCAAATAATATATGCGACCCTGAATGCAATACAGAGGATTGCGAATGGGATTACTATGCTTGTGGGTGTGCTAAAGGATGCAGCACGAGTGATTATGGAAAGTGTAAACCTGAGTGCTTAGTTGGAACTTGCAAATATGATAGAATGAGTGATGACTCTAGCAAATGATGCAATGATAAGGATTTAGTTTTATTCACAGTTTATATGCAAATGCGTATAAATGATACAAGCTCTGTGGTAAATTTTGATAAATGCTATTTAGCTTCAAACAATAAATGCAATCTAACTATGGCTCTTGATCAAAGCAAATGCTATCCAGATTGCTTCATTCCTGAATGCAATTACGGATTATGCAACACAAATTCTTATGCAGATTGTAAAGCATCCCTCCCAAAATCTGCTTGAAATCTGTGCGAGCAATGCACAAGCTCAACTGAAGGCTTAAGTTAAGTGTTGTAAGGCCATAAACGAATAGATCATTAGCCTGAACTTATCTAACCTAAGGATTAGCTTCCTAGGTTAGAGCAGCCTCTTGCAAATGTCCCGCAAGTCCTCATAGGCAAAGAATAAGTGGAATGCAAAAGGTGTCTAGCCCATCTGAAGGGGGAAAAAAACTTTTAGGGAGAAACAAAACTTCCCACTTCGGCAAGCATCCCCAAACCCAGAGGTTTGCTTCAAAAGTGGCAGAGGCGCTATTTTCAGCTTCATCAGACTGGTTCACCATTTATTTCTCCTGAAAGCTTAGGAATCGCTCCTTGCAATCAATGCTTTTCCACAGACATAACCTGCACATATTTGAATTTATTCGGCATATCTGTCTATTATTCCAATTATTTATCAATATCTAAGACTTTTCCTCACCTCTCCTTTTATTACGCAACTTCTACACAAAAGAGTAGTTCACCTTCAGGGAGTGGAACAATTGATTCCCCATTCGAAGCAATGTCATATGCAATCTCCTCAATAAACGCAGACCATGCTGTTTTGTTTTTAAAGAATGATGGAATTTATAGTTGAAAAGATGAAATTTCCTTTGGATATTATCAATATAATTATTTAAAAATTACATCCCAGGATGGCAGCATAGTTAGTGTAAAAGTTGACAGTTGAAGACTAGCTAGAATGGCTATTTATGGATCTGTTGAAATTGAGAATGTAATATTTGACGGAAACTCTACTGTGTCTATGATTTGCGTTGACTCAATTTATTGCTATTACTGCTCTTATAATACTTATAATAGCACTGATAGGTATTATTATAATGATAGAGGAGAGCGTGCGTCAAAGAATCTGCTAAATGATTATTGCGAGCTACATGAAGAATACACATTTAATTTATTTGAACTTGAGTCTTATACTTATTGTTCTTTATTGTTAAGGAATGTTACATTTCAAAACTTCAGGACTGAGCAAAATAGCATAATTTCAGGAGAAGGCAAAGTGAGGCTATTTAATGTAAATTTTGATAATATCAGATTAGGCATCAACGAAGACTCTGCAATAATTTCAGTATCAGTTTCATATAAAAAAACTTCAGAACCCGAGCTCATTTATATAGGGGGCTCAGTGACAAGGTTAAACAATGGATATGAGTTTGAGGATCCAGTTGATTTCCGTGGATTTTTTTATTCCACTAATATCACAACTATTTTAATTCGAAATGTAGAGTTCAAGCACAACTTAGTTTATAGAAAACCTAGAAGCCAATTAAAGCAAGCCTCACTAATTTACACCAGTTATACAAATTTTATCGAAATAGATAACTGCACTTTTATGTATAATTACTGTGAAACTGGAATAATTCATGCCCTTTTAAATTTTTTAACATATCCAGGAGGTTTAAATGAAACATACCATATCCCTTATTTATATAAAGACCATATTTATGTGCATGACTCTAAATTTATTTCAAATTATGGAAATTCTTCATTGATAGATTTAGAATTTTCTTATTATTTTCTGAACATCCATTTCGAAAATTTAACTTTTCAGGCTAACGGGATAGAAAATGGGCAAGCAATAAATATTTCTAATGCATTTATGCTGGATGAATACAAAAACGGAGCTATAAAGCCTTACAAACTGCTTTCAGGAATGAATGTTCATGCAGTTATAAATAAAAGATGATGCAAAATGGATAATCTTTCTTTTATAAATAACCATGGAATTGGGTTGATTTCTTTAACGAATATGCCTCATCTTTCACTCAAAAATTTGGCAATTCAGTCAAATGGATCCCCAAATGAAGACAAAGATATCAATACATTGCTTCTTAATTATTTTATATCAAATTCTGATATGTATCTTAAAAGAAAAAAGGCAAATCCAAAAGCTCTTGATTGTGAGTATATGGTTTCAATATCTGACTCATACAATGTTGATATTTGTCCAGTAGTTATCACAAATAATATTTGTAGAAATTCATCTCCAACTTATTTGATAAAAAACACTGATACTACTGATATTAACTCTGCAAAATGCTTATCAAATAAAGGTAATGGTGTTTTTCCAGCTTGCTTTTTATTCACAGGAAGCTTTAGCCGAGTATTGAAAAATTCGATATTTGATAATAATTTCAACAGTTATAGCACAGGAACTGGCGCTATAGAAATTAGAGAAGGAAAAGGCTTGTTTATAAGTAAATGCAATTTTACAGAAAACACTGGAGATTATGGAGCTGCGATTTATTTAGCTGGGCAAGGTATGGTTGTTGAAGAATCTGTATTCGATTCGAATATATCTCCAAAAGGATCTGGAGGAGCATTATTTATCATCCAAATATTAGTAAGTGGGGAAAGCTTATTTAAAATAGCAGATTCCAATTTTACTAGTAATTCTGCAGATTATGGTGGTAGTATTTACATTGCTCAGCAGTGGATTGGCTCTTCAAGCACAGAAATATTGGTGGAAAATTCAATTTTTAAACTTAATAGAGCATTTTATGGCTCGGCATTGTATATTGATAGCACTGTATCCTTAGTTAATTCATCAACGATTTCTTCATCAAAATTCATTGAAAATACTGCAACAATTTCAGGTACAGTATCATTATTTTACAGCAAAGGAATCTTAAATTTTGAGCTTTGCAAATTCTTGGCAAATTCTGGGCAATTAAGCTCTGTATTACACGTTGATATAGCTAGTTCGACGATTGCCTTAACTTCATGCAATTTTTCTAGCAATACCGGAATAGCAGTGATACTTGGAAATAATCAAAATAGCTTTTCTTATGTTGAAACAAAAAATTGCATATTTGAGTACAATTATGGATCAGCAATCTCTTTAAATTATGATTCTATGGAAGAATATGGCTCTATCTTTAGGCATAATTCTGCAGTATCTGGGCCATGCTTGAGATTACAAAATTCTGCTATTGTAAAACTGAATCAGAGCTACTTATTTAGTAATACAGGGTCTATGTACGGAGGAGCAATTTTATTGAGCTCAAATTCAATTTTTTTTTGTAATTCCTGCAACTTCACAAACAATGTGGCCTTAGAAGGAGGAGCCATATATGCTGAGCAAGATTCTCTGATCTCAATCTCAGATTCTCTATTTTACAAAAATTCATGTAAGGATGATGGATCTACAATATATATTTTTAATTCAAACAGAAATTCCTCTATTAATTATAGCCAAATATACGAAAACCATTCAGAAAATGGGGGTACAATTATTGTGATCAACTCAAAATTATCCATAGATTCTTTAATTTTGAAAAATAACAATGGTGGATTTAAACTGGCAATTTCAGCAGTGGACATACTTAACAGTAAATTTTTTAATCAATCGTGCGCTCAAGGCTGCTTTATTAATTTATCTGCTGGCAGTAGTTTGTATATATATAATTCAATTTTTTCTAATGGAAGTTCAAGTGACTCAGGAGGTGCAATATATTCATCGTCAAGCAATATATTAATTGAGCAATCAGAGTTTAATCATTTTTCTTCTGTTAAGCCAGGTGGATTTATTTATTCATGGTTTGATAATTCCTTGCAAATTAAAAAAAGCAAAATATCAGTGTCAAGCAGCTTGGGCTCCGGAGGGGTAATTTATGTATTCTTAACTCCAACAGTGATAGCAAATTCGATATTTAATGACTACGTAAAATCTGGAATATATGGTAGCTATTTGAAAGAATTATAGCGTCTGAACCGCTATAGCTTGCCTTGGCGAGGGTTCTCCGCAGCAACTTGGAGCTCTGACGAGCCCCCTAAAGGTGGCAAGTCAACTCCAAGTTGACAAATTCTTGCAAAAGGGCGCGCTTTTGTCAACTTGGAGTTGACTTGTCACCTTTAGGGGGCTCGTCAGAGCTCCAAGTTGCTGCGGAGAACCCTCGCCAAGGCAAGCTATAGCGGTTCAGACGCTATAGATATTTCTCAATCAACTTTCAGCAATGGCAGTGGAGCATATGGAGGTGGAATCTGCTGCAAAACTTGCAGTAATGTCAAAATTAATGCTTGCTCATTTGAAAATAACACAGCATCAAGTGCTGGGGGTGCATTGTATTTTGAAAGTGACTTAGATACATCTGAAACGAATACATATCAAATAGACTCTAGTTCTTTCATTAACAACTCTGCTCCTATTGGTGGTGCATTATATGCAAACGATTTAAGCTTATCCATTTCCTCTGCAAGCTTTATTGAAAATAAGGCGTTAACAAATGAAAGTTTTATTGACTCACAAATTATTGAAGGTATTGGAGGAGCTATCAAGCTAAGTTGTTTAGGAATTTCTAAGTGTAGTTTCGAAATCATATCATGCAATTTTACAGGAAATATGGCAACCTATAATGGAGGCGCTATCAATTGAGATGATTGAAAGCCAAGTCTTGAGAAAAATTATTTCATGAATAATTATGCTATTTATGGGAACGATTATTCCTCATACCCAGTAAAGCTCATGAGTGTAAGTGAAAATGGAACTTTGGAAGGCTATACTAACAATAGACATTTAACTGATAGCCCCATATCAATATTCAATTTATCATCCTTTGCGCCTGGACAAGATAATAGGAAACCCATAAAAGTAGCACTGGTAGACAGTATGAATCAAATAGTGGCAACAGATAATATTAATCTAGGGGAATTAAAATCAAAAAATGTAAGTACAATTATCACAGGAGTCACCAAAGTAAAAGCAGTAAGAGGAATTTTCACTTTTTCTCAGTACGAAATTTCAGATGAGCCAGGAATTAATGTGACCATTGGAGTGTTTTCCTCAGCTATCGACAATTATAAGAAGCTGCAAACAAATGATACGGTTTTTGACCAATATTTGCTGATCAAAATTAATTTGAGAGGCTGTGAACTTGGAGAAATAAAGGCTGGAAAAAACTGCGAGGTCTGCGGATATGGCTATTATAGCTTAGATCCAAGTAAAACTCAATGCTTAGCTTGTCCTGGCTCTGCAGAATGCTATGGAAATTATACAATGACTCCAAAGAAAGGGTATTGGAGAGATATACCTGTTTGCCAAGAATAGCCCTCTAAGGAGCATTTTTTGGTTCGACATTCTTAAATTTGGTCAGCCAGAAAATATTGCATGCCATTATCCGGCCAACCAAAAAATTGCTCCTTAGTGGGCTATTCTCGGTAAATAAGTATAATGTTTATACAGATAAATTTTGAAAATGTCCAAATTACAATGCCTGCATAGGGTCCCCTGATCCAAAAAATTTATCTTATACTGGATTATGCCAGGCAGGCTATAAAGGTAACATGTGTCAATCATGCCAAAGCGGCTACTCACGCGCAAATAACAATAAATGCAAAGAATGCCCTTCGTTTGTAAAGAATTTAGCAATTACAATAGCAATATGTGTTGCATTATCAGCATTAGCTTTTATTATGGTATTGACAACAATAAAATCAGCATTCAAGCCGAAAAAGCTAACATCGATTTATATTAAAATTATGCTGAATTACTTGCAGATGGTTATATTGACTTCTACTTTTAAGCTGAATTGGCCTTCAGAAGTCTTAGAAATATTTCAAGTCCAATCAAGCACAGATTATGTTTACCAACAACTATATTCTTTTGAATGCCTTTTGCAAGAAGAAAGCTCAAGAGACTTGCTTTACTATAAGAGTCTTATTCTTATTTCCTTGCTGCCACTTTTCATGGCGATTTTAGCTTTGATTATTTGAATTATAATCAAATTCAAACAAAAATCATTTAAGAATTTTTGGGATGACTATTGTTCTACATGCATTATCCTTTTATTTTTAGTGCATCCAGGTATTGTGAAAAAAATGTTTGCTTCATTTAATTGCACTGAAATTAATTATGGAGAATACTGACTAGAAGAAGACCTTGATGTTAGATGCTGAAATGATGATCATATCTTTTATATTCTCGTTGTTTCATTGCCATCTATAATTATATGAGGAATTTTATTGCCAACTGTTTGTTTATTTGCGCTTGTGAAAAGTAGAAATCATTTGAAAGAGCTTAATGTAAGACTTCGGTTTGGATTCCTTTTTAATGGGTATCAATTATCGCGCTATTACTGGGAATTTATTATTATTTACAGCAAAATTATTTTAATTTGTCTCTCAGTCTTCTTATCAAATATGGCACTTAAGGTACAAGCACTTATTGCTGCAATACTTTTATCAATATTTTTACAGCTTCAATATTCTAATAGCCCTTATATCGAGCCAAGCTTAAACCGCATGGAATTGCAAGCAAAAATTGTATGTGTTATAACAATATACAGTGGATTATTTTATTTAACTGGATCTCTTGGCTATAGTGCCAAATTATTCTTTTTTACTCTCATAATTATTGCTAATTGCTATTTTCTAGTTTATTGGTGCTTAAATGTTTTTAAAACAGCATTGTGCTATATATATAAGTATGCAAAACAAAGGAAAAGCAACAGCAAAATTTCTAACGATCCAGATATTGAAATTTTAAAGATAGAAATTGATATGATTAATTCTCAAGCATCTAATAAGAGAATTGAAAATAGTCTAAACGATGAGAATGCTGAAGGAAATCAGTCAAATATTAAAAGCATAAAAGATAGTTTGAATAGTTAAAAAATATTTTCTTTCTTACTCGCCTTTTTAAATGAGTAAAACATAATTTATGAAATTATCTATTTGCATAATTCAGGTAATCATCACTAGCATCATCTACAGGTGTAAAATAAGGCATGCTCAAAGCCACTTCATATAAATAAAAGCTTTCTGAATAGTTTAAATCATAGACATGCTTAAATTTTGGTTATCCTCCATAATTATCATTGCTATTCATAATCATCTCAGATTTCTTCCATAAAAATGGGAGCTTGCTATTCTGAAAATCCAAATAAATTTTATGAAGACATTTCCTCCTCTGCTGAAAACCTCAAACTGCAGAAAGCTATACGAGAGAAAAAAATAGAAAGAATAAAGCTATCTGAACTAAATAAACTTCTTAATTCCTACATTGACGAAGAACAGAAAAGATTTTCTGAATTTATCAGCTTTCTGACCAATGTGGTAGGTGCTCCATCAAGCCTAATTGAAGAAATACAAGACTCAAATACAGTCTCTACATGAATAAAAAACACCCAAAACGATTTATTATCAAATTGCTCAGAAAAAACCCAAGAATATTTTTCGACCATAGATTATTTAGCAAGAGTAAAAGAATCTGTTGACAGCCTAGAAAACCATATGAATTTGTTTCTCGAACAAGAAATTAAAAATTTACGGGCAAGATATAATGATAGGGAAATTAAAAGAGAAACAAAATCCCTAAAACAAAGGATAAGACAAAAAATTGAAGAAAACTCACCAAATGATTTATTATTAAAGATACAATTTTTGGTCAACAAGTTTGAAATTTCGAAAGATGTTAATACAATTAAAGGAGCAATTCAAGAGCGGATTGAAAATCATTATAAAAGGGAAAATGTCGAATTGATAGAAAATATCAAGTGTCTTGATTTTATGAAATTGGACTTGGAGGGGAAAAACAATGAGTTAGAAAAAGAAATGGCAAAACTTAAAAATAATATTGCTGCTCAGCAGATAGAATTAACAAGCTTAAAGGAGAATTTATCAGCAAAAGATAAGCTAAAACTAAGCCTTGAATCAAAAAATAATGAATTAGAAAAAGAAATTGAAGAGCTTAAAGCTAGCATCACAAATCAAAAAAAGGAAATATCTAGCTTAAACGAAGGCTTGTCATTAAAAAATGACTTTGAATGAAAAAACAAAGAATTAGAAAAAGAAGTAGACAAGCTTAAAAATAGTATTGCAAACCAACAAATTCAAATCTCTGAATTAAATGAAAATTTATTATTGAAAGATAACATTAAATTGGAACTTGAAGAAAAAAATAGAAAATTAGAATCAGACACGAAAGAGCTTAAGGGTGCTCTTGCAAATCAGCAAATCCAAATATCAAGTTTAAATGAAGACTTAATTATAAAAGATACTGAAGCGAGCGTTTATAAGAACCAAGCCACGGTGTTAGATGAAGAACTAAATAACTTGAAAACCAGCTTGACCTTGATGAAAATCGAAAATAAAGATTTAAACAAAGAAATTGCAGGACTCAAGCAAACTTTAAACCAAGCATCAGCTGAAATAAGAGAATTCCAAGAGAGAAACAATTTAATTTAATTTCATATTTAATTTACCTTTAAATGGCTTTCGTGAAATCTCACTTTGATAAGTTGATGAGAGGACTGATTTAACCATCAAAATCCCTAAGCATTACCACAGACTAACTTACTTGGTATAATTATAAGGAAATTATAAAAAAATTATAAAGTAAATTCAGACCAAAGTTATCAGCACGATCAGACGGCCTTTCCTATCAAACTTGGTTCATCATTTGAAATTAATAAATCAGATACTATCTACAACATCACAATCAGTTGTCCCTATCGGTTTGTCATCAAGCAAATATTTATTATAATCCATAAATGGACGTGTAAATTTCACTCTGAATCCAGAAAACCCATAATTTATAATTAATTATTTTAAGCAATATCGCCAATATCGGCAGGAGGCTTTCCTGTGCATTTTATAAGCTCTCTGAACATCACATAATTGCCTCTTAAAACTTGCCTAAAACCTTCTTGGACTTCATTTGAGTCTAAATTAAATTGCATTTGTGGAATATCTAAATACTCAATAATATTCTGGGGGTCTGGAATATCCATCATATCATCATCTAACTCCCCCCCCCCTCCGTGAGCGAACAAAAAAATTTTGTTCGTTCACGGAGGGGGGTTAATTTTTTTTTTTAAAAAAAAATTTTATATATAAATTTTATAAAAAATATTTTTTTCGAAATTTAAAAAAATCCTAATTTGCAAAAATTGGGAAGCAAATATTAATTTAATTTGCAAAATTTATGTTTTAAAACGCAATTTTTTAAAATTAAACAGAATTAGCTCTAGATTTCATTATACTAATTATCACTTATATATCAAAATTTTTTTCCATTAAAATTTTTTTCTATTAAAAAAATTTTTGTTCACTCACGGAGGGTGGGTTTTTGGTCAAAAAATGGCGATTTTTCTAATGGTTTTGTTCGCTCACGGAGGGGGGGGGGGGGGGTAGTAAGTAATATTGATCTTCAATATCCATATAGCTGTTTATTTAAAAAATTTTAATCGGAGAAATGGCTACTCGACCTAAAAAGAGTTGCCTTTTATAAAGTTAATTTTTCTTCAGGGTAAGTTTTTGGCTCAGTTGGCAAAGAACTTTTCCTCGATCCAAGCTCTAACATCGGATTAAAGGACCTTGGGCTCCTGTGATAGGATAGCTAGTGAGATGGACGGAACAAGGTGTGTGGACGAGTACTAGGCAGTACAGGCTGCGCAAGTCTCTACACAATTCAAAATGAGCATATAGATGGATGAGGCAAGATGGATGCAAGTCCACAGTTCATATGACTTTATGGAGGAGATGCAAGTTAATTTGGGGTAATCGCATTTAAGAGGATGTTCTGGCGAGACAACGAATTTGAGTTGTGAAGATAAGCTGTCTTGTCATCAATAGCGGTGAGTAATAGCAGCCTTAAGGCTTAGCAGGTGAGCTTTGGCTCACCATAAATGGTCTTAAGATCTCTAAATGAATTGGGTTCGGTTCAGCTGTTTATCTTAGCTAAGTTTTGGACAATTGTTTGCTTATAGTTAAAAATTGCTTCAGAAACACATGAAATTATGTCTTCTTTTACCATTAGGATACGATTTTGTATTAAATCACTATACATTGCAACCCTTTCTTTTACCAGATCCATTACCGCCACAAACATTTGCATTTCGGGATCCTCTTGTATTCTTTGGTGACAATAATGGCACCTAAATCTGTTAGGAGGTATCATATTTTCGCAATCTTGGCACTGATGCATTTTATTCTTTATAATGACAGTAGGGAAAATAGTTCATCTGGTTCGCGCAATTAGAAAAAGAAATGGGAGATTAAGAAAATTATTGCTGGGAAATAATCTTTACACTTATTAAAAATTATTATTGATGTGAAAATAATTATAATAATGAATGATTATTGTTCGGAATGAGCTCTCTTTCAAGGGCTCTTTATACTTGAGAGATTTAGTGCTGTAGGGTTCAGTTTTCTAGTTTATCTTTTTCTGCAATGGCAAATATGCTTATCGAATAGGGTAATACATCCGACTCATGAAAACAAGGATGCATAGAATTTTACTGCTTGACACTACTGAGGAAGGAGACTTTAGGTAAATCACACGCAGAATTCAAGTTCAAAGCGACATAATGCGACCCGTAAGATTTTCTTACAAGTTTTTGCTCGCTGTTTAGGATTTCCTTTACCAGTAAAAGGATGAATTAGGAACACAACTATGGATTAGTTGGAGTTAAAAGGGTGTGTTCTGCCTCGATTACCCTGAAGAAGATAGCACATAAAAACTAAGTGATTAAGTAGGATATGAAAATATTCCAGCTTTCCTTTACTAAAAAATAGACATTTTGCCTAGACTTGTGGCCCTTACGAAAACAGCTGCCTTCAGAAAACACTCAATATTCTAGGCGAATATTAATTTCTCCCCAGTTGAGGTTCTGCCATCATGGCAAATCAGTTATGCTTTTCTTATATTTATCTTGCCGCTAGTGATTGGTAATTGCTGACTTAAGGCCTAAGACGGTGAGCTCAGTACAAGCCAAAAATGGGCTTAATCCCCATTAATAAGTCTAAATCCTTTACTAAAAAAATGAGACTTTTATAAAAAATTTTAATGTTTAATCTTAAATTAATGTTTTGGGAATTTTGTCGCTCTAATTAAAATGATTGGTATTGCTCATCTCAAAAGAAGAAGGCTTTTTGAAATAAGTGAAAATCGAATTCTCAAGTAATTCATCAACAATGTCGTCAAACGGTTGACAAGGCTTATCCGCGAAGTATGAGTAATAAGTTGGCTCTGAGCTTGCTTTGAGTGGAGAAGTCTTTATAACGTGGCCATCTGTAGCTGATTTATCAAAAACAACTTCACCAGTGATTTCTCCATTAACGGAAACCCATTCTAGCTTATACTAATTGACCAAGAATAGCCCACTATGGAGCCATTCTTGGTCTGCCAGAAAAAAATTTGACAAAAAGATCCTAATCTGCCATTACCACTGAGTTTTGGTGTTTCCAAAATTTTTTGGGCAAGCCTAATGCAATAAAAAAAATTGTTCTTTTGCGATGATGCATTTGGCTTGTCAAAAAAATTTGGAAACACCAAAACTCAGTGGTAATGGCAGATTAGGATCTCTTCTGTCATTACCACTGAGTTTTGGTGTTTCCAAATTTTTTTGACAAGCCAAATGCATCATCGCAAAAGAACAATTTTTTTTATTGCATTTGGCTTGCCCAAGAAATTTGGAAACACCAAAACTCAGTGGTAATGGCAGATTAGGATCTTTTGTCAAAATTTTTTCTGGCAGACCAAGAATGGCTCCTTAGTGGGCTATTCTTGGTCAATTAGTATATATCTGGTCATGTCTAATAGCCCTTCTAAGGTTTTCCTCGCTGCTGAGTGGCTTGCAAATCTCACTACAGCATATTTATTTTTACCATTTGAGTCTAATTCGGAGCCTATTTCTATATGAAGAATTCTTGATGCATTCTGAAACATCCCACGGATTGTGAGCTCGTCTGACATGATTCCAAGCCCATTAATTTTGACTGCTTTGTTAAATGTGTTTTGTGAAGGAAAAATTTGTTTTTGCAAGTTTTTTAGCAAATTTTCATATCGAGTTTGGTCAGACACAAACAAGTGTTTGTGGCTTTCTAAGAGCTCACAGGCTTCTTTGGTTTTTCCTTGTTGATGTAAAACCCCGGCTAAATCTTTTAATGCTGACTCTGGCCTTTCTCCATCTTCTATAGCTTGCCTGTAGAAAACTTCGGCTTTGCTTAAGTCTTTCTCAATATACTCAGCAATTTTTGCGTATGAGTATGGCGTTTGCTGCCTTGGAATGGGAAACCTATAATTCTGAGGATTATTCCTTGAAAAGTATCTTTGGAAACCATTTCTCAGACTAAATCCTCTGCTTGTTCCTGATGACATCTTTTAAATTATTACCACCATTTATATTAATAAATTTAATACTAAAAATATATTGTAAAAAGCCAAGATTTCAGCAAAAAATATTTAAATTATGTTTCGTATTTGCTTTCTAGTTGGTCTCCATAAAGCATACTCTCATCTATAAGATTTCTATCAGTTTCTAGATATTCCATTAAAAGAAACTGAATATTTTATTGGTTTATTTTATATAAAAATTAATTCTGCTTAGATAGGAATAATAGAAATCTGAAGACATGTAGTTCCTATGATTCATCCCTCCAAGTATTATTAGCTTTGACTCAAAACTCGTTGAACAATGACCCCAACGGCCTTCAGGGCAATTTCCATAGATTTCTATAGAATCTCATTGTAAGGTATCTACGTTAAATATATGAACATCATCTAAGCAGGAGTTTCCTGTTGTGTGAAATAAGCTGTCATTTCTGCCTCCAAAAATAAAAATTTTATGCTTAATTGCAGTTGCGGTGTGAGAATAACGAGCAGGAGGTGCTTTATTTCCTCCTCGAATTTCCATTCATATAAATTGGCCATTTCTTAAATAAAGCCCAAACAGAGAGTTGCAGGGTTGGCCATTTAGGTCTAAGCCGCCGAATAGATAAAAGCCGCTATTAGCAATTCCCATTGAATTTGACTGTTTGTGACTAAAAAAAAGTGACTGTTTGTTATCGTTTAAGATTTCGTCATCGAAAACTGCTGTTAAAGAAGCATGACTTCTGCAGCCTGGATCATCAAAAACGACTATAGAAGTTTCCTATGTTTGGCGCTGTAAGGCCGATAAATTCTGATCGGAATTTATCGGTAGGTTGCACCAAATCAATGCCTTGGTCGGACCAAAAAGCGATTTGGTCCGACGAACTTGGAAAGCTCCTGGGAAAATGTCTGCGCTTTTAGCGCTATATAGAGGAAACCTCTATACTTCAGGCAGCTTTCATTCTTGAGTCTTCATATCAAATATATACAAACCACCAGATGGGATCCCATCTTGGCCAATCCCTCCATAGATAAACATATATTTTCCTAATTTGGCTGCTGAATGATTTCTCCTTGGTGGAGGCACTGCCCCACTTCCTAAATAAGTTTGCCATTTATAGTCATTTAATGACAAAATATGCAATCTTCTTGAGCATCTTCTGCTTCCGTTTTTTGCATGTGAAGAGTATCCTCCATAAACTATAAGTTTATTTTTGTATAAAATAACAGAATGGCCTATTTTTCCTTGTGGTGCATATTGTGTATTAATTATTTTCCAATTTCAAGTGATTAAATCAAGCTCCCTCATATCAGGATGCAAAGTTCTGCTTTGTCCACCATAAAGATAAACTTTATTATTAGCATACACAATTTGGCTTCCTTCCCTGCTACATGGCTTTGACCCATGAGTTTCTTTTAAAACTCATGAGCCTATATTTATCCCAGGCAAAATAATAGGGTGAAATACATCTTGGCTTGGTATGCACTGATAATTAATTGTTTCTGGCTGATTTAAAAATGTTGAAAATGTTTTAGAAAATGACGATGAATGCGATGTCTGAATTTCCTTTGCATTGGTCCTCTCTTTATTATTTGTTCTTTTATCTTTCATTATTTGAGAAAGGCTTATTTTTGGGAGAGATTTTTGAGGTTTTCACCTCAATGTTTCGATACGTGAAATATTTGCGGAGATGTTTGGGCTGAGGCTTTTTTTTGGGGTTTCTTTTATGAAAGAATTTAGGTCTATTGAAGAAATATCAGTTGAAAAAGATTTTTTTACAGAAGAATCAATGGTACTTGAAAGCTGCAAAGAAGAGGTGTGGTGGTGTTTAGGAGTATGCGGAATGTACTTTGTTAATTCTTTTCGGTTAGTAATGAGAATTTGGGACTCAACTTTAGGCTTATATCGGATAAGCTTAAATGGGATTACTGTTGATTTTGTGTTTTTTTGGTCGGTTAGGCGCAACGTTGAATGCGGGTTCATTTTTTATTAATTTATTATCAATAAATGGAAGTGTAGACTGTTTTTAGTTTTAAGCAAAAAAAAATTCTGCAAAGAGTCTTATTTTAATCGAATATTTTAGCAAATCACAGCATATTTAACTTTTATCTGATCCTCACTGTTAAAACCCTATTTTATCACTAATTTAAATCTCCTCAGACATAATTACTAATCACTTGAGCTTATTTATCAAGTCATTAACCAAAAGAGCCTTCTTATATTAGTGACGCCAGTTTCCTCTTACTCCCCCCCCCCCCCCCCTCCGTGAGCGAACAAAAAAATTTTGTTCGCTCACGGAGGGGGGTTAATTTTTTTTTTTAAAAAAAATTTATATATAAATTTTATAAAAAAATTTTTTTTCGAAATTTAAAAAAATCCTAATTTGCAAAAATTGGAAGCAAATATTAATTTAATTTGCAAAATTTATGTTTTAAAAAACGCAATTTGTTTAAAATTAAACAGAATTAGCTCTAGATTTCATTATACTAATTATCACTTATATATCAAAATTTTTTTTCATTAAAATTTTTTCTATTAAAAAAATTTTTGTTCACTCACGGAGGGTGGGTTTTTGGTCAAAAAATGGCGATTTTTCTAATGGTTTTGTTCGCTCACGGAGGGGGGGGGGGGGGGAGTTAGCGTGATCAATGTCACTCATTCCAGCTAATTCAGCTTCTTTTATTGCCTCTTCTAGCAGAGCTTTATCATTATTCGAGCACGCCAGCCTAAGTTTATTCTTTATATGATCTAACTGGTGATCTTGCTTTTTTATGTACTCTAAATAAAAATTACTGGGTCCTTGCTTATTTTTAGTCTGAGAAGATTTATGATCTTCTTGCCTATTTGAATGAGGCCTTTCATGCCCTGGAGGCTTATACTCTTTGGGGCTGATTCCTAGCTGTGCTTCAAGCTCTTGAGTTCTTTGAAGGCTTTGAAAATATAGTGATTTCCAATGCTCAACTTCTTGTTGTAGTCTAACTATTTCTTCTTCTGAAGATCCCATTGATTAATATATAAATATCATTTATTTTGCCAAGAGTTGCCAGCTCCTATTCAAACTGCTATTAAAATTGAATTGGTTATTTTTTCCTATGTTGTATTTTTAAATATTTAATTATAATGTCAATTAATAAAAAATCACTTGACTGTGAAACTTTACTTTATTTAGCCCGAGTCTCAGAGCAAGCCGGCCGCCATGACGAGATGGCAGAACTTCTTTATGAATTCACAAAAAAACTTGCAAGAGAACTATCAGTAGAAGAACGAAGTATGCTATCAGTTGCATATAAAAATGTAGTTTCTGCTCGGAGATCATCGTTTAGAGTCCTTCAATCAATTGAGTCGGTGGAAAAAGACTCTTCTCATGCCCATCAAATGGATATAGCAGCAATTTACCGAAAAAAAGTAGAAAAAGAAATACATGGATATTGCCGACAAATATTAGAAATTCTCGACACAAAATTAATCCCAAATTCTTCCTCTGGAGAAGCGCTTGTTTTTTATTTTAAAATGAAAGGTGACTATCACAGATACTTGTGCGAGTTTATGACAGACGAACAAAAAGAAGAAAACTCTCAAAAAGCACTTAGAGCGTATTTAGAAGCTGATAGGCTTTCACAGATTGAGCTAATTTCGCTGAACCCAATCCGACTTGGACTGAAACTGAATTTCTCAGTCTTTTATTATGAAATTTTGCAAAACAAAGAAGAGGCCTGCAAGCTTGCCAGCAGTGTTCTTGAAGAAGCAAATGAGTATATTGTAGATTTCAATGAAGAGTCTTTTAAAGATAGCGCTCTTATATTGGAATATATAAGAGACAACTTGCATCTCTGGAATACTGAATAATTATTATATAATTTGCTAGCAAATTAATTTTGATACAAATTAATACCTAAAATAATAAATTTTAGATTAATGATTGCTCTTTTACAACTGGGTCGATCACAAGCTCTTTTTAATCTTACTCCCCTCCTCCGTGAGCGAACAAAAAAATTTTGTTCAATTTTTTTTTCAAAAATTTTATAGTAAAATTTTTTCGAAATTTAAAAAAATCCCAACTCGCAAAAATTGAAAAGCAGATATTTATTTAATTTGTAAAATTTATGTTTTTTAAATGCAAGCTGTTTAAAATTAAACAGAATTAGCAAGAGATTTTGCTATAATAATTTTCACTTATAAATCTTAGAATCTTTTCTCCAAATGTTAAGGCAGGCTTAGTTATTGGAAAGATTTCAGGCTGAGCCGCTTTTTGTTGAGTCATCATAATTGATCCAGGTCGATCTTGAAAAGAATACTTGCTGCTGTTTCTAGTCCTCATTTGTGAGAGATTCTGAGGCTTAGCTTGATCAGGCTTCAAGTTAATTGGAAAAGAAGAGTACAAAGTAATCTTTGACCTCGGTGTAATATAAATTACATGAGGTTTATAAAAACTCTTACTTGGATAACAAGAATTGTCAGAATTTTTGTTTGAATATTGAAAATCTTTCACTTTCAGACTTATAGGGTGGTTCATCCTGGGCTCTTACTTAGTTAATTAGTGTTTAACCCACCGTTTAGTTTCACAAACTGTAAAAAATTGCCATACTGCCTTTTAAATCCAAACTAAAGATATCACAGGCATTCTCACGTGACCCCCATTTTATCAAATTTTGAAATACTCCTAAATAATGACACCAAAACCTAGGATTAAACCTCACGGAGTACGTTGCCTATCTCAAACCTAAGCGCCTTCTCTTGTTCTGCCTAAGAGTCTCCTTCTCGGAAGTGATAAGCAGCATAGCATTCCCTCTGCTAGAAATCTAGAGTCACAGCCTCTTTCCCTATGCGGTAGGCTTCTCAGGCATAGCTGGATAAATATTTACTAACCCCAATAATAAAAAATTATTTGAGGGTGTAATAGTTCATAAATAAAACTAATTCCAAAAATATCACCCAATCTCTACTTTGGATTGGGCTATACCATTTTATTATCATAGCTCATCCTCGGTTCAGTTGATTGAGATCTTTCATGATGATGAAGTTTATTACAAATAGATTGCCTCGAAGAGTAATTGACGTTTAAAGCACTTTTAGCTTCAAACTGAGGCTTAAGTGGATTCATCATATATTCATGCATAAACTCTGGAGCTTCTTCATACGATTTGTAACGGCGATGGAAATATTCTAACTTTCTATCCTGAGGGACTTTGAAGTTTAAAGGGTAAATCCTTTTAGTCCCAACCAAAATGCTTGGATGTGGCAAGCATTCATTGCTATTATTATGGCTTGGCTGGATTTGGTTTAAATTTGTAAGTTTCCCTGGCGTCATGTTTCTTACATATTCCTTTTTCGCTGAAATTAGTTTAACAGGTGCTTCCTTTGACATAATAACTATTCATTTTGATTTCAATCTTTCAAATATTAAACTTATGGGATGCTGCAGGAGCTCTTCTATAATCGCCTATCCTCCCATGCTTTCTGAAGAAAAAATATCAGCTTCTTCATTTTCCAGTTGAGATTTGATAATTCCTTATTTAACGCCAATAGAGCAATATCAATTTTCTTTGGTCTGCAGAAAATTTTTTTTAATCCTTTATCCTCCATCTCCAGACAGTCCAATCCACAAACATATTCCGAGTTTTGAAACTGAAGCTGTCCAATCATTAAAAACAAGCATAGATACAATTACTAGAGAAGAGCTCACTGATGAAAAACTTTATGATATTATGTCTCCTATACCTTATGAAGGAGAAGGCACACCTTTTTTAAGTGCAAGCGCTAGTATGGTCAGTAATGCTTATAGCAGAGTCTATACTCCTAATTGGCTATTAACAGGAAGAGGGTTAGACGAGGATTTTCCAATGAGGTCCAAAATTTTTGATGCAGTCGTACAGGGGGATTTTAAAAGTTTACAAAATTTGCTGGGGCAAAATTTATCGTATGGAGAAAATTATTTTAATTTAGAGTCAAAAAAAGGCCAAGAGCAGGCTTCTATTACAATTCTGTGTATTGCATGTGCAAGCGGATCTTGTGAAATTGCTAAAGAGCTTTTAAATAAAACTGATATTGATATTAATAGAGGCTTTATTGTTGAGCGCATTATTATTGAAGAAGGGATTAAATATTTAAATGGAGCGATCAAAAAATATTCAAAAGAAATCCCGCCTTTGCATATTGCTGCTTCAAAAGGGTACTGAAAAATCGTTGACGAGCTAATTAGAAGAGGGGCTGAAAAGAGCTACCACGGGCTAGAAACTGATAATAACTCTATTATGAGCAAGCATACAGACTATGGAGATGATGTATTGACAGTAACTGTTAATGGCAAAAAAGGGGAAAGTATAAATTTGCCAATAGATCATGTAGAAAAAATAGATGAAAAAAATTATTTAAAAACTTTTGAAATATTGCTGAAATCTGGAGTGGAAAAAGGACTAATTGGATTTGAGTGCATCGGTGATATTGATTTGCTATCAATTTATATCAAAGAAGGAGGAAATGTTAATATCTCAAATTCAGAAAAATTTTCGCTACTTGAATATTCTTTGAAATCGAATCAAATTGATGATGCAAAATTGTTGATTGGAAATGGAGCTTTAATTACACAGAGATGCCTGATATGCTCACCAGAGAGCTCTCTGGATATTTTTATCAACAAATTTAAAGGTCCTCCATCAGTCCCATATATTGCTGTAAAATTTAACTCACTAAATCTATTATGGTACGTCAAGAAAAAATCGACTTTAAAAATTGACCTAAAAGAGACATGCAACGATTTTCCAATTTTACATCTAGCTGCCCATAATAAAAATATTGAAGTTCTTGAGTTTCTTCATGAGAACACCCCAGAAAATGAGTTCATTGAAGCCATTAATTATAATATCAATGGATATCCACCTTTATGATTTGCATTACCTTCAATACCTATGATAGAAAAAATGATGGAATTGGGAGCAGAAATCCAACTTTTAAATTTTTCCAAAGTATTCAGGTCGTACTCAAAAAGAGAAGATTTATTAAAATTTTTAATATCCAAAGGGATCGACATTGATGAAAAAGACAGCTCAGGCCACTCAGCTCTATCTCATGCTATCAAAGATAACCGGACCGATTTAGCTCAACTGCTAATAAAGCTTAATGCTAATTTTAAAAAATAATTACCTAGGGAAATATTTCCTCATAATTGCGATTCCACTCACAAAAACAGCTACCACGATTCCAATTTTTAACGCTGCTGACATTCTTTTTTCCTGCATACTTTTCTTAATCTCTCGCCTCACATGATCTTCTAGCCCATTCATAGGCTTTATTGCGATATTTACAATCTCAGTAAATAGTCCGACAGGCCGTTCTTTTGATAAATCAATCGTCAACTTCATAGGGTAATCAGATTTAGTATTCACTCTATATATATAAAATAGTGATGAGCCGGAATCATCCTTCCGTGTGACGGTTACTCGTGTATATCTGGTCATGGCTTTTGGAGTTGGGAACTGGTCCAGCAACATCTGGCAACCTGAAGCGAAGGTTTTAAGTACAGAAACACAGCTTTGTGGCCTGATACGATGGGCAGTTATCTGCGACTTCTTTTTGACAGCAGCACCCTGGCCATTGGGCATCCGAAATGGAGCAGAATGAATTACCTGCTAGAATCGCGAAAGCAGTTGAGTATTTTCAGGGATGATCTGAAAAAAGGGGAGGCGAACTAGACTTATATCTTACGGCGGTCCTTCGGTTAAAGGGTACCTTGAGAAGGGCGGTCTGGCCAGGAGTAGGAAACAGGAGTTAGCGTAATAATGGTGAAGGGATAGAATTGGAAATGGTGATGCTTAGCTATGATCTGCGGACCAACAGGGCATTCTTTACCGAGAAATCAGGGATTCTGCCTGGGCTAAGGGGAACCAGAGGTGGAAGTCCACTCAATTCGCTTGGGCCACAACACAACTTCTAACGAAGCCGTGCAGAATGTCACTCGTGGAATTGGAATTGGAGAACTAAATATTTAGCATCTAGCATACAACACATAATATTCACTCTAATTCTTGGTAAAAGTTCTGGCAACAAAAGCTCATTTGCTATGAATTCTTGGCTTTCTCTAGTCCCATCTTGTAGAATTATAGCGACGTCACATAAATCAAGGTTATTTTTCATTTCTTCTAACGCAACAGTGGGATATTCAATCAGTACCAAGCATTTGCTTTCTAATAATTGGCTTGATGTGTCCTCAATGATTCTAGAAACCATATTCGGAAGAGTGCTAGGCATTTGATTTGGGTTAAACTCTTTTTCTAATAATGAATTTAATAGTGAAGTTTTTCCAACCCCTGTTTCTCCTAACACAAATCCACAGAAAACTCTTCTTTGTGAAAAATCGGTGACGTCTCTTTCTTTAGTAACAATAAAAGCATCTTCATAATTATAAGAAAAACCAATATGGACTAGATATTTTAATGAATTTTCATAGTCAAGAAGTGTAAGCATGTGCCATAATGCCAGCCAAGACGACAAAGTGACACAAAAATCAGGAGTCATCGCCACAAATCTTTCAATGCTAAGCCAAGCTTGCTCATCTATTCTTGTTGGAGCCCATGGTGGGCACTCTAATGTAGAGAAAATTGATAACAAGTCTTCATAAGTCAATAAGTCGTTCCTAGCATATTGTTTGAAAACTGCTATTAAAAAGTTTATTGAGTTCCTGCTGAGTTCTATGGACTCTGTAGGCTTTTTCGTGATAGTAAAGTTAATTTCCAGCTCCAGTTTGTCATTGAATCCAAAATACCTTAAAAGTGTTCAGCAAACATTGAGTTTCAGTCTTTGGATTAGCATTTTCTGAAGATGGAGAAAGCCATGGAAATTCATGCCTTTATCAGTAACTCCCTCTCCACATTTTTCCCTAACAACCTCTTTGATATGGTCCATATCATTCTGTATGAGATGATTTTGAAATACTTCTGAGTGCATATTGGCAAGCTCATAATCGTTCAAATAAAAATCCTGGTCCTTGTCACATCTTCTAAAAATCAAGCCAAGAGCTCTCTCAAACTCTGGAGTTAGCTGTCTTGACACTGATTCATACAAAGGAGACGTAGGATAAAGCACCACTCTTTGAGCACATAAAAATAAATCATGCAAGCTGACTAACGTTTTTGCTGATACTTCTATACTTATAGTGCATTGCTTATAATTGATAAATAAAATAGCATGAAGAAATTAGCTCTGCTAATTTTCACTCCCTAATATATTTTATTTTATGGGTGGTTTACCTAGAGAGTTTCTATACTAAAAATGTGGAGAACTTCTGGTCACATAGGGCTAGGGCCTTCTCTGAGTGAATGTAAGAGGCTCACAGTTTATACACTCAGCATATCTGAGGAAGGTGACCCTTAGGTGAACGCATGCAGAAGCTGAGCCAGGGAGGGCATTGCACCATGCGCGAGAGACGTTGGTAAGGCTAGTTGCCGATTTTTGGGATGGTTAAGCCAAGGGATTACAAATATGCCCGTGACATCAATAGTTTGGCCAAGCCCTCTTTAGAAAGAAGTGTGGCTTAGACCATAAGCATTTTAATTAACCATAATCGCATTGTTTATAGTCTTTTGCGAGAGGTCTCATAATGTCTTCAAATTGTTCAGCTGTGCTTTGGTCAGTTTTCAAGTCTGCTTTATTTCCTACTAACTCCCCCGCTTTAAATCAAAACAAAATATTAGTAAAATTTTGGTCATTAATTTTAAAAAAAAAAAATAATCCTATATAGGTAGCTTTGATATCCAATTTAATGTCATAAAAATCAATAATTAACCTATAACTTGTTCTATTTTAAATAGGAGTGTAATTAGGATAATATTTAAAAAAATTAACTCTTTCAAATTGAAAGATGCTTTCATTCCAATTTAAAGAGGAGGGTAAGATAATTGGGGCATCACTATGATTTGATATAAAATCCATCCAAAAAGAGCCTAATCGATCAATAGTATCAGTCATTGTGACATCATATACAAGGAGGATTGAATTGGCTTTGGAAATTTCTTCTATGAGAGTATCGTCTGTTTCCTGATCTCTTCTATAGAGGCTGTCTACGACTGTGACTGAACAATTATCAAGACAATACTCTTTTGGGAACTTGACAGGAGGGTGAACAGCAGGAATTTCAAGAGGAAGTTGATCACTTATTAGAGCTTTTATTATGGAAGTTTTCCCAACCTTTTCTAATTATAAATTACCATCTCCAAGTACAAGGACTCTTATATCATCTTTCATTTTTATCAAGAAAATATATGAATAAAAATAGTGTTCATAGAATCGTGAAAAACACTATAGAATAGATTTTAAGTAAAGAAGTGTGGATTATAATTTTTTTATTGTTTTAAGTTTTTATATTTGTGGTAGCCTCTTTAATTGTAATTTATTCATGCTTAAAATTTATATAAATACTTTGATTAAAGTTCTGAAGCAATAGTGCATTTCATATTTATCTTAAGATTTTATAGAAGATCTTAAGAGCGATTTCTCTTATAGATTAAATTTTAAATTCTTATTTCTAAAATTGAAAATTTATAAACGTGAGAAGTGAATAATTTTAAAATGGATTAGATTTAAGCCTTTAATCAGCAATTAGCCTGTATTTATTTCTGGCAATACTTATATACATTACTAATAATTTTTGTGGAGACATTTTGCATCTAATTATTTGATGATAGAGGAACTTAGTAGTCTCTTTTGATGGCTTGGGCTCATAGTTTTCCTCTATTTATCAGCTAATTTTTTACGAATTCTCTTAATTTATCATATTTTGCCAACAAAGCTCTCTACTTATGGAAAATCCTGAGCACTCGTCACTGGTGCTACTTATGGAATAGGAAAAGCCTATGCAGTTTCCTTAGCAGCAAAAGGCTTCAATCTTTATCTAATAGCAAGAACTGAATCTCTCCTCATAGACCTCTCTAAAGAATTATCCTCAAAATATCAAATTCAAGTCCTCTATATGAAATGCGATTTTTCTGGATTGCAGACGTCTGAATCCTTGCAACAAAAATTTATTGATTTATTCCAGTCCTATGATTTCTCAATTCTTATCAATAATGTTTCTTCCCTCTCAAGAATTCATTTCTCAGATATGAAGCTAAATGAAATTAATTACATGCACTCTTTAAATACTTATCCATTATTATTTTTGTCAAAAGTGTTTTTAGATAATTCATCACACAGGAAAGGAAAAAGAGGAATAATTACATTGAGCTCTGCGAGCACTGTGCTCACAATGCCTATGATTTCTTTATATAGTGGGACGAAATGCTTTGGGGATAGATTTATGTTGGCATTATATAATGAGACTGATGCAGATATTCTCTGTGTGAGACCTTTAGCTGTTAGTTCGAATATGACTGAAAATTATAAGCCTAATTTGGTTTTAGATGATCCCAAAGACTTAGTGGAGCCAAGTTTGAAATGCTTACTAAACTTTGGTTAACGAGCAAAGATCTTGCTAACCAAGTTAATTTTTTTTAATAGTTTAGGATAAATCTAATTTTATTAATAAAAATTTGTGCTTTAGAAACACAATTTGTTTAAATTTAATAGATTTTTATCATAATAATTTATATTTGTAAAAAAAAAACTCCTTGACTGTTAACTAAGGGAGATTAAATTCCCAAAAATAGCAATTTCTAATGATTTATCTCGATAATTAGTAGGTGGAGCTAGGGAGAATTGATATATGCTATGGAAGCTGAAAGCATATTTTTTACTATTTTTTACTTTATGGGCTGCCGTCATGATTAACAAAAGCAATTTTTTATTTTTTTATTTATGAATCAGTCCATAGGAAAATATTCCCAAGGTCAAAAATGTAGTTCCTACCCCTAAACTCGGTTTATACTAACTATTTACGATTTATTAAAGCCAATGTTATTAATTTTCAAATTGCCTATATGCCAATTTTTTTAGCTACAAATCTCCATAATTGAAATGATTACTACTGTTTTAAATTAAATTATACATAAAATGTTTTTTTGGTTACCTACATGCTAGTTTGTTAACTTCCACAGCATCATGCATTTTTAAGTTCTAATGTATTCGTGTTTCTAAAGACCCCACTCCACAATTTACTTCAACATCACGAGCCCAAATTCAAATGCTAATATTTAAAAATTCAAATAAAAATTAAAATACAAATTCACTCATACTTATTAGTCAATATGATCATTTGCTTTATTATTTATTCGCTTTCTTTGTCTCTCTTCTATTAAACTATAATTTTTTTATGCTTTTTGAGCTAGAAATATACTCTAAATCGCTTTTTTGCAAAGACATAATAAAATTTACAAATACAAACTCTTTGCCTATTATTTTATTATTAATAAGCATATTGGATTCCAATATATATTTTATTTTTTATTTTTCCTATCAAACTCTTCAAAGTTTCCTTTCGTATAAATTATAAATGGAAAGATCAAGCAATGACTTCGACTATATGTTTAAGCTTCTTATTCTCGGAGACTCAGGCGTAGGTAAAAGTTGTATTTTGCTGCGATTTGTTGATATAAGTTTTGCTCCAAACCACATCGCTACAATAGGAATCGACTACAAAATCAAAGTCATAAACGTTAATGGGAGCAGGGTAAAGCTACAAATCTGAGATACAGCAGGTCAGGACAGGTTTAGGACAATAACAAAGACATATTACGCAGGAGCTATGGGGATAGTCCTCTGTTATGACTGCACCAGCCAAGAATCGTTCAATAATGTCAAAAACTGGGTTGATCAGATCTATCAGCATGCTAATCAGCATGTCGCCTTAGTACTCATAGGCAATAAATCCGATATGGAAGACATCGTTGTCCCACCTGAAGAAGGTGAAAGACTTGCCAGAGAACTCGGAATCTCTTTTTTCCCCACAAGTGCCAAATCAGGCAATAACATTACAGAAGTTTTCGACCACCTTGCAAAAGAAATCCTCGATAAAAAGCTATATGAAATCATAGGAAACGTTGCCAATGTAAGAGTCCAAAATAATAAACAGAAAAAAAAGAAAGGCTGCTGTAACAAAGGTTAAGTGTTAACTTAATTTTATGAATATATTTATTGCCAATAGTTATATTAGTAAGAAAAGAAAATGGGAAGTTCACAGTCACCTTCAAACTGCAGGCCAGAAGTTGAAGAAATTATTCGTAGGCATAAATGCGTTGTGTTCAGTGCAACTTATTGTCCTTATTGTGATAGGGCAAAAACAGTTTTGGGGAAAATGAAAGTTTCTCCGCTTGTAATTGAGCTGGATCAACATCCTAGAGGGAAGGACTATAGGCAAGCTTTAAAAGAAATAACCAATCAGACTACTGTGCCTAATATTTTTATAGGAGAAGCTCATATAGGTGGATGCTCAGATTTGATTGCTGGAATCAAAAAGGGGACTGTCCAGCAGCATTTTAGCAGGGCTGGGGTAGAGTATCATGATGTAGTTAACGAAATTTAGAATAGACTGTGGTTAATTGTTATAAAAAATTAAAATCTCTCTTTGAACATTGTCGTTTTTATACGAGTACTTTTTACAGAAGCTTTTCTTGATAGAGTGACTGATATAAGCTTTGGATCAGGCTCAGCAGTTTCAACTGTTCTCATTAATGGCAAGGGCAGCTCTGATTTGGATTTTTTGTGGGATTTGTTTGTAGCTTCGTTTGATGTGTGAACCATAGGCAGAATTCTTGAGAAGCCAGGCCCAAACTAAATAAAAAATACCCTTGAATGAGTGAGGGCAGGAAAACTCCCTGAATACGTCCATTCTCTAGTTGTATAAGCTGGGGTTGGGATATCTTGTCCACATGCTAAATCCTTCCCTCTGTGGACGAGCTAAGTCATTGAAAATCACTTTTTCGAGAAAAACCAACCACCCTGAACAAAAAAACTTTCTAATATATAATTGATAATTATTATAATGAAATCTCTAGCTATTTCGTTGAAATTTAAGCAGCTTACCTAAACTTTACAAGCTAAATGAATTGTTCTTTTCCAATTTTTCAAATTTTGATGTTTTTTACATTGAAAAAATTTACTATAAATTTATATATAAAAATTAACCCCTTTCCATAAACCTGAAAAGCATTTTTGTGACTTAAAGATGGGGGATTAAGCATTCGTTTCCTTTCTGTTTAAAAAACGCTGGTTTTTCTATTTTAACTTCAGTTTTATTTTTTAATTCTTCGATTTTTTTAAGTTCATCTTGAACAGTATCAATCTAAATAAACTTTACCTTTTTTGATAGGTTTCGGTAGGCTTGCTTAAGCTCTTTCCTATCAACTTTTTCTAAAATTTCATCTTTATTTCCCTTTCCTTCAATTATTTGGTAAAGTTCAGTTAGCATGCTGAAGTCTCTTTGGCTTAGCCTTGAGCCTTCTTGGACTTTTATCATGACTTCTGAGACATTTTTTTGAAGATCTTCAAGTTGATTTAAATATGCGTTTAAACCGTCTTCTTGGTCTTTGTTGATAATTTCTTTGATTTTTTCAACGTCAGAGCTTAGATTTTTTATGCTGCTGTTGGCTTGTTTTATATGAGAATCCTGAAGTCTAAGCTGCTTTATGAGGGTTTTTATATCAAACATATCTTCAGAAAGTTCCAACAAATTTTCATCTGGACACCCTTCTCCTTCATTTTTATTTTCTATAACCTGATATTTCACTATCGGCTTCTGATGCTCCTTCATATCTTTTATCTCTTCTTCCACATTCTGCATTTTTTCCGCAAAGTAATCAATTTGGTCTCCTTTATCCCCTACTTCAACCACAAAAAATCTCTGCATTTCTTGCATTTTTTCCAGCAATTCCTTATACTGATTATCTAATTTATCATCAAACTTATGAATTTTGGTTTCAATATTTTCATTTACCACCTTTTGGAAGGCTTCTTCCATTTTATGAATTTTTTCAAGACTCATTCACATTGAATTGACTCTTCCTTCAAGAGATTTTAAATCGTGGCCTGGTGTCCCATCACGATTTTGGGTTTCTTCTTTTTGATTTAGAGTTATTAAAATGGCGTGATCTGACGTGGACTCCTGGTGACCTGTAAGTTGATCCAGGCCCAGGAAAGGCAAGCCACATGGCGATAGTTCTCCGGGGCGGGTTTTTGACCTGGGGCTAGCCCTGGTCTTTTTTCCTTACCTGCAAGACGACCCTACTGGCGCAAAGTCCCGATACCACTCCATGGGAGCATTACTGAACCTGTGATACGGTTCTGACAGGCCATGGAGAAGGCAGAAGGCGTTTCCCCTGTACTCTGAGCCCTGTCGGAGGTTAAAGGAGCTTTCTACTGAGATTCGGAGACCATGACTGGGTGGGGTGGCTTCCCCGAAGACCTTCGACGTCACCATTTTTTGGTGACGTAAGAAGGGAAAAAGGGTGGTGTGAGGATAGCGCTTAGCGTCACTGCGAAGCTATCCGTTGGACGGCGAGGGGCTGAAATAAAACCCCCATACCCGCTATAATTTTAATCTAATCTAATCTTTTAGATTTGTGCGGTTTTGTTTATTTAATTTCGTTAAAATTTCTTCAAGTTCAGCTCGGAAAACCTTTAGGGTTAGGTTATTTTGTATCGTTGAAATTTCTTTTTTGATGGACTCAATATCTGAATTAAGTTTTTCACTAATAGATTCCACTTGTGCAGATACATTTTGTTCTAAATTAGATAAGGAGTGAACACTTTTAGCTGAAAGTGTGTATGCTGGCTTTTGTCTTCTTTTAGAAGTCGGGCTTCCTGATGAGGAAATTTCATTTTTTAAATAATCTGACTTATATTAAATTAACCAATATTGTCTTCGACAATCCTGTGAAATCTGCTTATAAAATGAATAATGCTATTATTATAAGTCTAAACTTTGGAGTTGAACTAGTTTATTGCAGATTAAAAAATTTGATGATTTAGGTCTTCAAAGTTTTTCGCATGGAGAGACTCCATATGTGAGATTTTATTTTCCAGGTCTTCAAGCGCATTCAAATCTACTGTAGACATCGGCATCCCGTTATGGGAATTTGTTATTTGGCTTGAAAATGAGTTTACTAGTTCTCTTAAATCATTGATTTCATTTACTATTCTAATAAACTTCAATTGAAAATCACTCAAATTTTCAGCTTTACTGCTTTCACTTGTATTTTCTAAAAATCTTCCATGTCTTTGAGGAAAATCTGTTTTGTGTTTATAATCAAAGTCTAAATTCAATTTTTTTTCTAAATTCCCTAGCCTTAAATAAATTTCACTAATATTATAATTTTCTAAATCTTCTTCATTATCCACTTCCTTCATCAGAAATGGGGGCGAGAGAATATCCACAATTTTATGGGGACAGAGTAGTGACTTCTGAAGGGCTACGGTCCGAAGATGGAGAAGTTTTCAGGGTGGGTGCAGGCCTGGGCTGACTAGGCTCCCACAGACAAGAGACCGACGATGACGCATAGCAGGCACTTCTGGAGCAACATTCTGCCTGCAAATAGCAGAGGCAGTTACAGAAGGAGGCATCAGACCTTTACCTTATACCCTGAGTACTATCATGGGTCAGGAGAGTCCTTTGCTGCAAATTTTGGTCAAAGAAGGTTAGAATGAGTCTTCCCGTCAGAACACGACTCACCATTTTTGGTGATCATGAAGGAAACACCACATGAAGCGTGAAGCTGAAACTCGGCCAGCTAGTGACTGAAATAATCCCCATATTAATCCCTAATTGATTCTCTCTTCATTATCCTCTTCTTTTTCATCAATTTTTTCTTTGTTTTTTTTTTCATCAAATTCATTTTCTATTTGATTTTGCTCTAATTCTGTATTTTTCGATAAGTTTTTAAGTAGCTCCGTTTTTATAAGCTTTTTAACCATTTTCGCAGTGCACCGCTTTGCAAGCTCATTATTTATGATATTTTCTAACCGTGTAAAATTTTCGAAATTAGTGTTATCAAATTCTTCAAATTCCTTTGAATATTTTTCGTCTAAATTTCTCTGAACGATATTTAGAGTAGTTTCGAATTCAGTTTTAGTACTGGCAACTTTAGTTTCTATAGTATTCGATAATTCTTTTAAATTTGCATTCGTTTCATGCTGGATATTAAATATCTTTTCTTCAAGGCTTCTGAACCTGTCATCCCATGAGTCAATTTTTCCTTTTAGGCTTTGAAATTCAATGATTTTAGCCTGGCATATAGCTATTTTTGGCTCAAGTTTCTTCAATTCAGAGATTTCTGAGTCAAATTGAATCAGTTCTGACTGAAAAAGTGATTTAGTGGATTCGAAATCGTAATCTTAAATCTTAAGTTATTTATAACGTTTACGTCCACTACGGGGTAGCCTTGTCCAGAGCTGCCACCATATTTGTCAACGTGTCGGGCCTATAGACCTCTGGATCGATCCACTTTGATTCGCCAAGGCACGGGCAAATACATAGTTCCGGCTTCAACAGGAGTGGATTCCAAATCAGTTTTGGAACTCATAGCTAAATTTCACAGAAAATCCAAATTAGACTGTAGCTTTGATGTGTCTAGCCTAAAATGGACCATTTCGGCTAAAGGCATTGGGAAGCTTGTTTGCATAATGATTTTAACAAAATTAATTCATTTCACTACAATTTACTTACTCCCCCCCCCCCCTCCGTGAGCGAACAAAAAAAATTTTGTTCACTCACGGAGGGGGGTTAATTTTTTTTTTTAAAAAAAAATTTATATATAAATTTTATAAAAAATATTTTTTTCGAAATTTAAAAAAATCCTAATTTGCAAAAATTGGAAGCAAATATTAATTTAATTTGCAAAATTTATGTTTTAAAACGCAATTTGTTTAAAATTAAACAGAATTAGCTCTAGATTTCATTATACTAATTATCACTTATATATCAAAATTTTTTTTCCATTAAAAATTTTTTCTATTAAAAAAATTTTTGTTCGCTCACGGAGGGTGGGTTTTTGGTCAAAAAATGGCGATTTTTTCTAATGGTTTTGTTCGCTCACGGAGGGGGGGGGGGGAGTTAAATCAAAATTTTTATTTTAAATAATTTTTCGAAAATATCAGCAAAACCATCAGTGCTTTCAAGTATGATAAATTCCTCTTTCCTTTTAATTTCCATATTTCTTAAAAACTATAAAGTTTTCCAGCAATTTCTTGATTTCTACTCAAGCAGGTGTTATCAAAATCTGTTGACCTTATCATATCTGGCCATATTTTGACTATATCTAATACACGTATTAAAACTTGTAAATAATTAATGGCAGGCATTGATACTAACCTTTACTCTCGTCAGATCGGAACCTTTGGCATGGAAATGATGGGCAAGCTCATCCAAATGAAAGTTTTAGTTTCAGGTCTCAGAGGTGTTGGAGTTGAAACAGCGAAAAATCTCGTCTTAGCTGGTCCAGGTGCAGTAACCCTCCACGATGATGCTTTGGTCTCAATAAATGACCTTGGAACTAACTTTTATCTTTCCCCAGAAGATGTAGGAACTCGTACAAGAGGTCAGGCAACTTTCCCTAACCCCCTACTCCGTGAGTAAACAAAACCATTATAAAAATTCCTATTTTTTCCCAAAAACCCACCCTCAGTGAGTGAACAAAATCTTTTTTATAGAAAATTTTTTTATGGAAAAAAGTTTTGATATATAGATGATAATTATTATAATGAAATCTAGAGTTAATTCTGTTTAATTTTAAACGAATTGCGTTTTAAAACATAAATTTTACAAATTAAATTCATATTTGCTTTCCAATTTTTACAGTGAGTGAACAAAATTTTTTGTTCACTCACGGAGGGGGGAGTAAGGTCCAGGAACTTAACCCATACGTAAAAGTTGACTTAAAAGAAGGAGCTCTTGATGAAGAATTTCTATCAAAATTCAACGTAGTTTTCCTATCAGAATCTGACCCAGCAACTATTGCAAGAGTCAATAACTTCTGTAGAACCCATTCCCCTGCTATTGGCTTCATTTCTTGCGAATCTTGGGGTGCTTCTGGCTACGGATTTGTCGATTTCGGCCCAGAATTCGTGTGCTTTGATAAGACTGGAGAAGATATAGGGTTTTACCCTGTGTAGCCCTATAAGAGCAGATGATTCCCGGTGGAATCATCGAGTTGGTCCAACCAACTTAGTGCGTTGGTCGGACCAACTCGTTTGTTGGTTGGGCCAACTCGATGATTCCACTGGAATCATCTGCCCTTATAGGGCTACACAGGGTAAAACCTTATACCAGATCTTTCCTTATCAGTGACATCAGCCAAGAAAACCCTGGCATTGTGACAGTCCATGATGAAAAAAGACACACTTACCAGGACGGAGATTTCGTCGTCTTCAAAGAAGTCCAAGGAATGGAAGAACTTAACAATTCCCCACCAAGACCTATCAAAGTGCTTGGCCCATACACTTTTTCAATTGAAGATACAACTGGCTATCAAGCTTACCAAAGAGAAGGTATCGTTGAACAAGTCAAAATCCCTGAAAAATTCCACTTCAAGTCTTGGGAAGAGTCAAACTTGAACCCAATCGTAAAAGATCCACTTCCAGTCCCAGATCTCGGGAAATTCGGAAGAAGTGAGCACTTACATATTGCTTTTAGAGCCTTAAGAGAGTTCCAAAGACGCCATGGAAGTTTGCCAGAGCTCCACAACCAAGCTCATGCTGATGAAGTTGTAGCTCTTGCCAGAGAAATTAACCAAGCCGCCAAAGACCAAGAAAAGCTGTTTGTTGACGAAGTTGACGCAAAAGTGGTAGAAAAAGTAGCTCTTTATGCTAGAGCACAGATTTCTCCAATCGCTGCTTTCTGGGGTGGTGTAATGGCTCAAGAAATCATAAAATTCACAGGGAAATACTCCCCAATGCACCAGTGGCTTCATATTGACTTCTTTGAAATAATCCCTGAAGGCGCTGTTGACAGAACACCTACAAATACTCGTTATGATGACCAAATTGCCATTATTGGCAGAGATCTCCAAAACCGAATTGGAGCAATCAAAACTTTCTTGGTCGGTGCAGGCGCTTTAGGCTGTGAATATTTGAAACTATTCGCACTTATGGGCGTTGCCTCTACCACTGGCAGCGTTATTGTGACTGATGACGACTCAATTGAAGTCTCAAACTTGAACAGACAATTTTTATTTAGAAAAGACGACGTGGGGCACAGTAAAAGTGAAAGTGCAGCTAGAGAAGCCCAGAAAATGAACACAGATCTAAATGTGAGAGCTCTGCAAAACAGAGTTAACCCTGAAAACGAAGTGATTTTCAACGATGCATTTTGGGGCAACTTAGATTTTGTGACTAATGCTGTTGATAACGTTAATGCAAGACTGTATGTTGATGGAAGATGTGTGTGGTATGAGAAGCCATTATTGGAAAGTGGAACATTGGGAACCAAAGCTAATGTTCAGATCTGTCTTCCACATAAGACTCAAAGCTATGGAGATTCTCAAGATCCTCCAGAAGAAAGCATTCCTATGTGCACACTGAAAAATTTCCCACATTCAATTGAACATTGTATTGAATGGGCTAGAGATGAGTTTGAAGGGACATTTTCTGATGGTCCTCAAGAACTCAACAAATACCTTGAAGATCCAATTAAGTACCTTGCAACTTTACCGTCAGCAGGAAATACAACAGTCCAAAGAGAAAAACTTGAAAAAATCAAAAACTTCTTACAAATCATGAGAAACCCAAGCTACGAAGAATGCGTCAAACTTGCCAGAGAAAAACTCCAAGAGCTTTTCCACGACATTATTGCTCAGCTAATCCACAACTTCCCAGTTGACTATAAAACTAAAGACGGCCAGCCTTTCTGGTCAGGCCCTAAGAGAGCTCCAACCCCTCTTATTTTTGACGCTTCAGACGAAACTCAAATCACCTTTGTGTTATGCATGGCTAACTTAATTGCTGCAAACCTCGGAATTCCTCAAAACAAGAACGTCAATGAAGTCAGAGAAATTGCTCAAAAAGTTCAAGTCAAGCCTTTCGTGCCTAAACAAGTCCATATTCAGCTTGAAGAGAATGAGCAGCAACAAGCAGGAGGTGCTGGAGATGAAGAAGCTGTATTAGCTAACCTTTTAAATGAAATGAAAATTGTTGATGAAGCCATTAAAAGCCATAGACTACATCCAGCTCAATTTGAAAAAGACGATGACACCAATTTCCACATTGATTTCATTAACGCTGCTTCCAACTTAAGAGCTAGAAACTACAAAATTGCTGAAGCTGATAGAAATAAGACTAAAATGATAGCTGGAAAAATCATCCCAGCAATTGCTACAACAACTGCAATGATTGCAGGACTTGTAGGTGTTGAGCTTTATAAGCTGTTTATCCATGAAAATGTGGAAGCTTATAGAAATGCGTTTGTAAATCTTGCACTGCGATATATATGTAAATGGTGTGGCCAGTTAGTCTGCCCTCTTAACACCTGCACTGGAAAGTTCATTAGGAAACTCAACTTGTGGAAGAGGACACAGCGTTCGGAAATGTGTATCCGGCTAGGTTTAACTGGGCTTGGTGGAGTGCAATGCAGGATTTAGCTGACAGCATGCTAAAATCGAAAGTCAAGGGTTTATCTCGCTAGGAGATGGTTCGATGGAGTTGAAATGAGGATGCCCATCCAAGCTAAAGATTGTTACTTGGTCAATTGGGGAAATTCTTAGCGCGATACCGGGTGTTTCGTCCTGGGCTCCGGTTTTTATAGTTCAGCCTTCGTCCGTGAGAAGCAATGCAGTAGAAGGCCTTGTCTGGATTTGTAAGCAAGCTGTGGAACATTATACGGAGGCAAGTAGCGGGCGTGCAGGCCTACAGGGGACTTCTCCATAAGTGCTTTAAGTAATTAAGTAAAATGTCGCACTGCCATTATTTGTACTCATAAATAAAATGGCATTCGGTTCGAGAGAAATTGGCTCTGCCAATTTTCTCTCCCTCATGGAATTTTATTTATGGGGTTGGGTTTTCTCTCGAGAACTTCTGCACAGCAATAGTCGTTTAACTTTGGGGATAACCAAAGGCACGACTCCTCAGTGCACTCAAGATTTCGGAGTTTTACCTCTCAGCACGTCCCCACGGGAGGATGACCCTTAGGCGGAACACGCGCAGGAGCTGAGTCTGGACGAGCGACGGCAACGCGCCGGGTGAGATGTGCGGCGATTTATCTGGCGACTAGCCTTATAGAAGGCTTGGGTGTGGGCTGACCACATATTCCAAGATGGCTTGGTGACGTCACTAGTTGTCGCTTTGACCCTTTTTAATTAAGGGGTGTGGGCACTAGACACCTTAAAAACTATGTAACTAAGTAAGTAAGTAAGTAAGTAAGTAAGTAAGTAAGTAAGTAAGTAAGTAAGTAAGTAAGTAAGTAAGTAAGTAAGTAAGTAAGTAAGTAGTAGTAAGTAAGTAAGTAAGTAAAGTAAGCCATTATTTGTACTCAGCGAACCATCACCACCAGTAAGAACCAGAACCAAGGCCTATGATCCAATTCTTATGGGTCCAGTTCGCGCATATCCTGAAGCATTCTCAACATGGGACAAGATGGCAATTCAAGGCCCTTGTTCATTGGGAGAGTTTATCAACAAGCTTAAAACTGAGCATAAGCTAAAAGTCAATATTGTATCATGCGGAAAAACTTGCATTTATAATGGATACTTGCCAGGAAACAAGCATGGGGACAGACTGCCTAAGATTTTGCAAGACTTGTACCAAGAAATTAGTGGAGTTAGAATTATTGAAGGAAGAAGATATTTAGCTATTGAAGCATCCTGTGAAAGCTTGGAAGACGGTGTTGACATGGCAATCCCAGTAATCAAATACACCTTTTAATAAGCTAACTCCTCGCTTAAATTTTAAGCAAAATTTTAATTTTATAAGTAAAAATTAATTTATCCAAATAAAAATTAAAATTTGCCTATAATTTGTTATATTTTAAAAAGGTAAATGCAAGTAGAGTACTATTTAAACAAATTTTGTTATTTGAATCGATATTCTTTTATATATAAAAATATTTTTTACGAGAAAGCTTTATATAATATTTTACTGTGATATTTAATTTCAAATTTAAAAGGAGGAATAAGCATTCTTTTAAGTTAAATTTTTAATATAAATGAAAAGGTGGGAAGAGCAGCAATTGAATAAAATTCATCAGAAAAGGATTCAATCAGCCAGACCAGTAGTTAATTCCCATGCAAAATCGCAGAAGAATTTTAAAAAAGCAGCTTCATGCTATGAAACATCGCTATTTCCATTATTGAAGCAGCACTCATTGCAGCAGTATTATAGGGTAGGCTATATATAGAAATTGCAAGAGCTAGGGTATGAAGATAATTTAGCTGATTTACTTAATTTGACTGATAGAGAGCTGCAAGACCTTTTAATACAAATAAAGACTCTTCCAGGTCACCAAAGTAAGTTTCGAGAAATGCTGTCAACACTTGAAAGCATTTATTCCCAAGAATCAACAAGAGCTGCCTCTATTAGCGCTCCAATGACAACATATCGGCTGATTTCCCTTGGAGAAAGTCCTCTTTTTGACTCTAAATCTCCTAGACATAACCTTCATATCCCAGCTACCGATTCAAAAAGAGATGAAATCAGAAGACTCCAAGAAGAACTAGAAGAAGCCTTAGCACTTCAGGCGAAATTAGAATTTGACTTAATAAAAACACAACCACCAATACAGCTCACTAACAAAATGCCTGTGGAGATCAGCAGAGACAGTTTTTTTCAGACATCTCCATCCTTTGAAGAATGCAAAAACCCTTCAAGACTTGACACAAATGAAGTAGGAAAATCAATGGATTCTATGAAAATGAGGTCAACAATAGCGAATTTAGATATCGAAGAAGTCTGTAAATGCTATGCTCGCGTACTAGAAAGTCATATTAAACAAAACTTGCCTGTTATAAATAACACAATGCCAAATTCTATGAGATCTAGGCTGTTAGAGATTTTTAATGATGAGCCTGAAGAAGCTGATGAAAGCTCGATTTATAATTTTGCGAAAAATTTGATGGCAAGAGCACAGCTGGAAAATGAAATCCCTATTGTCAGCTTGGTATATTTAGATAGATTTATAGGCAAAACTGGAATTAGAATGAACCAAAATACGTGGAGAAGGATTATGTTCATTTCCTTTGTAGAGGCTTCTAAGGTGTGGGACGACGAATCTTTTGAAAATAATAGCTTTGCAGTAGCAATAACAAAATATGATGTTCAAGAAATAAATACCATGGAATCAAGATTTTTGACTTTGCTGGATTTTGAGATGAAAATTTCAGGAGCTGACTATGCAAAAGCCTATTTTATGAGATGCAGGTCTAATAATTGTGTGCTTTTGATAGTGTGTATTTATCAAATAAAATTTGGTCGAAAATTTTAAATAGTGTACCTTTGGTCGACATTTCAGGTTTTTTTTTCGGTCAAATGTCTCCCTTTCAAAAAAGTTTAGAAAGAATTCCCTCTATGAAATGTTGTACTGTTAAATTTACACGATCATTTGACATGAGGCCTATTTTATGTTGAGAACTTATGCGAATGAAAAAGACAGATCTTTTCCATTGAAAGCTCTAGATGTAGAAAAAGTGCTGAATCTCCAGAGGAATGCTAATAAAGCTGAGCAGCAAGCTAAAGAAAGATATGAAGCACTGTATAAAACTTTATAATAAAAATGTATTAAATTATCTATTCATATATAATTCCAAATGGAGGAAATAGAAACTAGTGAAATAAGTGAAATAGCTGTCATGAAGAAAAATGGGCTGTATAAACTTGGAAAGTGCTATATTTATTATTGGGATGATGAAATTTGAATTACTATTGGACCTGATTGGCCTTTCAATGTTTGTATGTATATTTTATTACTAGCTATTTTGATTGGATTCCTTACTGTTATGGCTCCAAAAGTAGGCCCATCTCTGCAATATTCAGGCTTCTTTATCATCACGACAGGATTATTGTCATATGCCTGTACAGCTTTAAAAAACCCTGGGCTCGTGTTACAAGATTATCAAGAAGCCTTACTCACAAAGGTGTAATTATTTTTATATTTTTTTGAATATTAAAAAAATGCCAAATATTGGAAAGATAAAGTTAATTTAATTTGTTAAATTTATGTTTGAATACAAATTATTTAAATTTAACAGAACTAGCTACAGGCTTCATTATAATAATTATTGATTATAAATTAGAATATTTTTTCTTACTCCCCCCCTCCGTGAGTGAACAAAAAAAATTTTTTGTTCACTCACGGAGGGGGGTTAATTTTTTTTTTTTAAAACAATTTATATATAAATTTTATAAAAAAAAATGTGTTTTTTTCGAAATTTAAAAAAATCTTAATTCACAAAAATTGGAAAAGCAAATATTAATTTAATTTATAAAATTTATGTTTTAAAAAGCAATTCGTTTAAAATTAAACAGAATTAGCTCTAGATTTCATTATACTAATTATCATTTATATATCAAATTTTTGTTTCAATAAAAAATTTTTTTATTAAAAAAATTTTTGTTCACACTCACGGAAGGTGGGTTTTTTGGCAAAAAATAGCGATTTTTCTAATGGTTTTGTTCACTCACGGAGGGGGGGTTTATAAATTTTTAGCTCACTCATTTAGATTGAATAATGATATTCCAATGGTTTTTACTCACTTATCAAGGGGGAATTAGAGCAAGGAAAAATATCAAAAGACACATCATTCTGCAAAAGATGCCAAGTCGTAAAAACATCAAATTCAGAGCACTGTGATGACTGCGATTTATGTGTAGAAGGGCTTGACCACCATTGCCCTGTATCTGGAAAATGCATTGCGAAAGGAAACATTTTATATTTTTACTTATTCCTTGTTACTGTATTTGCATTTTTTATATATTTCGTGGTGTGGATTTTTGCAGTTGCCAGATTTAGGGTATCAAATCAAAATCATAATAATAATTAGCCAATTATAATTTCTTAATGGTTAAAAGGAAAAAGGAAAAGAATGACTTCGTAGAGGCAGTCCATGATATAAGAAAACTAGCCACAGAAAGAATGGATTCTAAATTCAGAAAAAGATTTCTTGATAAAGAAGCTCAAAAATTAGGAGCAAAACAAAAGAAAAATCCAAAAATTCCTTATAACATTTATAAAGGAATTTTAAGAAAAGAAAAAGAATTGAAAGAAAATGCTAGAAATGATGCACTGCTAAGTAAAGAAAGCAATTGGTTTAATCCTGTAGAAAAGAAGAAAAAGAAAAAAGAAAAGAGAAACCCGATGCCAACAGGTCCGGAGATTGGAAAATATAAATCCGGGACACTTTATATAAAGAAGCCAAATTTTTTGAAAAAGAACAACAATTTTGGTCACAAAAAGACAAAATTCCGTCCAAAAAATAAGCATTAATACAATTATTTCTATTCTTTCTTACAAAAATGCATTTAATTAATATGATATATCAGCCCCAGTTTATTTGTTATAAGAAAGTATAGCCAGACAATTATTGTTTATTTTATAAATGAGATGGATCCTTATAAGTAAACCCATCATATCTGTTCGCAGCTTTTTGTTCAGCATTCAAATGAGTAACAATTAACGACTCTTCAGCCTTTTCTTCAGTAAACATTTTATCGAAGTTCTGCAAATCTCTAGGTCCTTTCACTTTTGGTATAAATGGTGCTTCAATAGTTTTTTTCCACAATTTCCCCCAATCAATACCTTCAAAAAATTGGTGAGTTTTGACTTCATTAGCGTTTGAAAGTCTTCTTCTTGGCTAAATAAAAATTACATCGACTTGCAAAAGCGATTTTAATATGTCACAAGCTGCTGGTGAAAAATGAGGCTTCATTTCGACAGGCTTGGAGAGCATATTTCTAAACATTTGTTCTCTGTTTCTTGAGTAGAAAGGAGGAGCTCCTGCAAGCATTTCATAAATTAAAGCTCCTAAGCTCCAGAAATCGACTGCTTTGTCGTGACCAGTTCCTTTTATATTAATTTACAGTAGATTTTATTTTGATTTTTTTTGGAAAATAATATGTGGTTAATTATTAAGAATGATAATAATATTTCTGGGGCAAGATATTCTGGTGTCCCACAAAATGAGAAAGCTTTTTGATTTTCTGCTCCAAAAAATTGTTTGCTGAGCCCGAAATCAGTTAATTTTACATGTCCTTCAGCGTCTAAAAGGATGTTTTCAGGCTTTAAGTCTCTATATATAATTCCTTGGGTGTGCAAATAATCTAAAGCAAGCAAAATTTCAGCAGCATAAAACTTGGCTCTTTCTTCAGTGAAACTTGTAGACCTTCTTAAATGGAAAAATAATTCCCCACCATTAATAAAGTCCATAATCATATATATGCTATCTTAGATAATGATTAGCCACTATCGTCTACCTATTAATTTAATTAAAAATAACTTCAAAAAGTATAGCTTATCTGGCGTCTGAAACGCAAACCGAAGCTGAACGATAAAAGGACAATCTATAGAGCCTAAAATTTCTCTCTCAGTTTTTGTATGAACTACTTGATTTCTCTTTTCAATCATTTCTTTTCTTAGTGCCTTCATTGCATAAACTTGCCCATTATCCTTTTTTGTGACTAAAAACACCTTTCCAAATGCACCTTTTCCGAGGACTTTTTCAATCTGGAAATCTTCAAGGGTAATTTGCACTGGAGCTGCTGCAGATGATTTTCTCTGGGTGATTGAGTCACTTGTGGTGTTAGTTTTAGAATCTTCTTTGTCAATGATGGGCTCTTTTTTGGGATCTTCTTTGCTATCACTGCCAAAACATTTAAGGCAACCTCCCATCTTTTGTTAATAAATTTTAAAATCTTAAATGCTGAATTTGTAAGATGACAATGGATTTAGAAAGAATTGCATAGATTATTTATAGCAAGAAGTTAAAATTTTTTAATAGAAAAGCTCTGAATTATAGAGGAAATAGATAAATGCTATTAATTAACATTTAAAATTATTTACATAGAGCATCAAAAAATATAAAGAGAGAGTAAATACCATTTTATACTAACTCTATAAATGGATTAATATGATAAATAAGCAGGATAATAATACGGAGTTTTCTCTCACTTAATCACCTATCAATTTTTTATAAAAATTTAAAATCAAAATTTCCTTACTTCAAAAATCCGATTTGCAAAAGGCGAAGATATCTTTTAGGAAAAAACCTATAAAATTGTTTCAAGCAACTGCATTATTTAAAGCTATTTTTATTATAATGTCTCACAATATAAAAGACTTTAAGGAAAATTGTTTAAATTTTAATTAAAATAGCAGTTCATTAAATCGAGGCACTCTTTTTTGCTTATGCAAAACTGTTGTAGTAAACAACTCTTGCATATTAACTACATTTGCTTTTAATGGATTTTTGCTATTTCTCTTGCCATGCATACTAAATGCATGCTCAATTGGAGGCAATTTTATTTCATTCTTTTTCAGCAAGAATTTTTGGCTATATACCGAAATAATCTTATTTTTTCTAACGCTGCCTATACTTGGGCAAGCTTTATCGAAACTTTTACTTGTATGCTTTCTACTGTTAATTGAATTTTCTTGAAAACTCCAGTCATTATAGCTAGAGTTTACAGTAAAATCTGTAGGCGTTCTAATAACTACCTTTATACAGTGAGATTCATTATCGTTATTATTAGTTTCTTCAAATCCGGGATTGTCGCACATAATAAGTTTAGAGGAGCTGCGGACTAATAAGTGAGAATTTGAGATTGATCTTGTTTTTAATGGCTGAAGTAGATATCTCTTGAAATTTCTGCCTCTGATTCCATTAATTATCTTATAATCTTGCATTATTTATATGACGATTTAGGAGATGGTCATAGTCTTTCTTTATTGAAATTTTGATTAAAAATAAACACGAATTCAATTGGATTCTGATGCAAAGCAAATTTTCAGAAATTTTATTTTATGCTATTTAACATAAAATAGCCTATTCTGTATAAAGGGCAAATATTCTGATATTATTTATCATCAAAACGTATCTTCTTTGCATTTAATTTGAATTTCATAACAGTAAAAGAAGCTCATATCTTATATTCGCATAATTTGTTAGGAAAAAATATTAACCAGTTATCTCTATCTTTTCTTCACTTCATCGGTGGCTTCTCCTTCTCTGTTCCTTTTTTTCGGAAAACTTTCAAATCCAGTCAAGTCAAAAAACTCACTATCGCTAAACTCCCCTAATTCTTCTGCATAGTCCACGTCACCCTGATCTTCCTCTTCATCTTCTTCGGATCCTTCATCCTCCTCACTCTGCCCCTTTTCTCCATTTCCTCCGTTTTCTTGTTTCTCTTCTTCCTCTTCATCTGAATAAATATTGACCTTATTTCCCAGCCTATCTCTCTCATTCAAAATTTGCAGCTGAGGAATTGCATCGAAAATTTTTTGAGTATAATCTGGAGTATCAGCAATTGGGCACCTTTCAATATCCATACAAATCAAGTTTTCTAGGCTTGATAGGTGGCTTATTTCATCAAAACTTTTAATTTTGTTACCGGATAATGATATTTGCATTAGTTCATTCAAATGAGTGAGATTCATTAGGCCGCTTGAAATTTTATTGTTGCTAACTCTCCCCCCTCGGTGAGCGAACAAAAATATTTTGTTCGCTCACTGAGGGGATTCATTTTTTTTAAAAAATTTATATATAAATTTTATAGAATTTTTTTTTCGAAAATTAAAAAAATTCCAATTTGTAAAAATTAATTTAATTTGCAAAATTTATGTTTTTAAAATGCAAGCTGCTTAAAAAAATAAACAGAAGTAGCTAGAGATTTCATTATAATAATTATCACTTATATATCAATTTTTTTTTTCATAAAAAATTTGTGTTCGCTCACGGAGGGTAGGTTTTTGGGCAAAAAATAGGGATTTTTCCAATGGTTTGTTTGCTTACGGAAGAGGAGAGTAAGATCTAATTTGATAAGATTTGGTAAGTCAGGAAAATTGTCAATATGTTCAATCCCACAATTATTAAATGACACAAATTCCAAATGAACAAAACCTTCGATTAAAATTTTGTCGCGCTCTGATATGGAGTTGCCTTTTCAATCATCAAGAATCAGCTCAACTACATCTATAGGATCGGATCCGCTTGTTTGTCGACTTATTATGGTTTCCATTATTGAAAGCTCATGATTCTTGTAAATATGTGAACAACTTTTAAAATATGGTGTTTTTAAAATAATTACTGCGGAAACATATGAAAAAAAATTCCTAAGTCCACATTTATAATTTTTCTAATATAAAAATATTGAAATTTTTCCGCAGAGAGCGTTTGTTGAAAAAATTAGAAAAAAGTTAAATACAATGCCATTTATGAAAAATTAATTAATAGATATTCTATAAAGCTTAATTCGCTATTTATTAAAATGAAATAAAGAATTATATTGAATTTGTGTCGCCATAATAATTGTATATAGAATCTGGACAAAAAGGGAAAGTTTAATTATAAAAATAAGTTTTATTTATACTCCAGTTTATTAGGTTTCATTCTTTAGAATTCTACTAATCTTACTAATGTCCAGTACATAAAATGGGGAATAAGCAAGGCCAAACCCAAGGAGATCCCAGAAATCAAATAGTTGACGTCCATCGTAAGATGACAAGGATACTTTCACAGCCAAAACCTGTTCAGCCTCCACCAGAGAACTCATTTATCCTAAAAGAGTTCGAACAACGCCTGAATGAACTAAAGCTGCCATCAGACCAAAAAGCTCTCCTCATGAATCAGCCCATCGAAATCAAATGGCAGCTCCTTTGCAAATATATGGAATCCTCTCGTGCTCAGTCTGATTCAAGCCTCCCAGCAGAAGAAATAATAGAAGAAATTAAAAGAAACCCAACGACTGCAGGAATTAAAAAAGCAAAAATTTGGCTTAAAGATGCGTCTAAAAAAGATATAGAGCGATTTATCGATTGCGATGGAAACGAAGAGCTTATAAATGTCCTGATTGTGTCAGAAGAAATATCCCAAAGGACAAAGGATTATAGAAGACAGCATGAAATATTAAAATGCCTGAAAATCATTGCAAAAAACCCATATGGTATTGATGATTTGATTTATGAAGAAGATTAGCATTAACATTATTATTGAAAGGCTCACAGTAAACTCAGACGGCCTCCTCCACCCCTTCACGCTTCACCCAGCTGCTCACCGCCGATCGAGCACGACCTTCAAAGTGTTGCTCCTACTGGACGAGGATGTGCACTCGCTACCCTTAGTTGGATGGGTTGCACCACTGTGCTGTACGTCAACAGAAGTTGCCCATTCCGAAAATTTGAAAACACAATTTTTTTGGGAGGACTGTCGGCTAAAATAGAAATCCAAAGCCTGGAACGTAACGCCCAGTTTAATGCGAGGGAGTAGCCCGATGGATCAAGTCAAAGCTCCAGGGGCTACTGAGCTTCCCATTTCCAGCTTCGAAATACCATTTCACCTGAGGAAAAACCCTGGTGCCAGATGAGCTGCGGTCAAATTCGATGCTGCGCTCTACTGTGCCAATGAAAAACCTAGCTGGGTATACAACGGAGCGCCAATTTCCCTTCCACAAGATCCCTGGCACCTAGCAGACCTTCGAATGCAGGTGTTGAGAAAAAGGGCTGATTCGCCATCGCCATTTTAATGTATATGATTTATGAAGAAAGCACAGTAGGAATATTAGCTTTGAACATGCAAAGTGAGGACGAAAAACTTAACGCATTGACTATTGAAGTCCTGACAGACGTTTGTTGGGCAAGCAATCATGGCTATGAAATGGTGCTGAAAGCATTAGAAATTCATGCAGTGGAAAGAAAAATGCCAAATAGATTCCAATTTTTAATCAGCGAGTTGGGCAAGTCGAGCACCAAAACAAAACTTGTTTTAATGAATTTTATAAATACTTTAGTAGAAAGTCCATTGGAAATTTCAACAAGACAAGCTATAAGATCTGAGCTATTAATGCTAGGTATAAAAGATATACTAACAAAGTTTCAAAGTGAAATAGGGACTGAAATCATGACATCTGAAATTTCTGCGGCTACATAATTTTAACAAAAAATAGGTAGAAATGCTGCATCCATGGTATAATTCTACCTAAAAATTAAATAGAATAAAAAAATTTTATATCAATAATCGGATAAAAATATTTTTCCATTTCTGCAGTTAAGCACAATTTGGATAAAAAACGTAAACAAGCAATCAAGAAGGAAGAAAAAAAAGATGAGCACAGAAAAAAAAATAATGATATTAAAAGAGGCTCAGCCCTTGTAACTTTTGATCCTGATGAAATTATTGAAGCTAGAACAAGAGGTAGCATTTTACAAGACTCCAGAAAAAAAAATACAGTCGAAATTGGAGGCTTACCTATAATAAGAGAAGCAGATGAGGCATTAAAAGTTTTTGTCCAGAACAATAGAGACACACAACTTCCTGCTATCCAAAGTAGCGACGAAAGCTCATCAGACGAAAATGAAGAAGACAGCGAATTAATCCAAGAACTCCTAGTACAAATTGCCTTATTCCTAGACAATTGTAGTGAAGGAACCCAGCCAGAAGTTGATGTTAAAGCCCTGATAAAAATCCTTGAAAAAAATGCTGCATCAGCTCAATCATATTCAGCATTTCTATCAATGATTCAAAAATTAACATTTATACCACCAGAACCTCTTCTAGGCAACAAAATATGGGAAAAAATATCACAAATTGTCGCACAGCTTACTGAGGCTTCTAGAGAAAATCTTGAACTGTCAAATGACTTTAGGCTTGATGAAATAAAAGAAAATCAAAAAGAAATTGTCGAGAAATTAAAAAAATTAGAAAACCTTGAACAGAATTTAGAAGCGAGGGATAAAGAAATTGAGAAGGTTAGGAAAGAAAAATATGAGCTAGAAGAACAGCTGCAGGCGCTTGATATAGGAAAGCATAGGGAAGAAGTGAAAGAATTTACTGATATTAAGCAAGTGCTGGTGAAAATGGAGAGTGAAAAAGTAAAATTGAATGAAGAACTAGAAATGTCAAGAGAAATCATAAAGAAGCTTGAGGAATTGAATGAAATTGAAAATAGAAATAAAGAGCAGTTGGAAAGAAAAGTGGCTGACTCCCCTCCAGAACGAGGAAAACTATTAAAAATCCCATATTTTTTAGGAGAACAAAATTTTCAGTAAGACAATTAAAGTTTTTTTAATATAACTCCCCCCCCTCCGTGAGTGAACAAAAACAGTAGAAAAATCGCTATTTTTTGCCCAAAAAAACCCACCCTCCGTGAGTGAACAAAAATTTTTTTAATAAAAAATTTTTTATGGAAAAAATTTTTGATATATAAATAATAATTATTATAATGAAATCTAGAGCTAATTCTGTTTAATTTTAAACGAATTGCTTTTTAAAACATAAATTTTATAAATTAAATTAATATTTGCTTTCCAATTTTTGCGAATTAGGATTTTTTTAAATTTCGAAAAATAATGTTATAAAAATTTTATATAATAATTTTTTTAAAAAAAAAAATATTAACCCCCTCCGTGAGTGAACAAAATTTGTTTGTTTCACTCACGGAGGGGGGGAGTAAGTATTTTTTATAAAAAATATTTTATATATATATATATATGATAGTTATTATAGTGAAGTCTTTAGTTAATTTTATTTTTTTTTGGAGTAATTTGCATTTTTAAAAGACAAATTTGGAAATGAAGTAATTTTTACTTTCTAACTGCAATTTTTAAAAATTTTGAAAAAAGTTATATAGCAAATGTCTAAAAAAAATAAACTCTTATGGGTGAACGAAATTTTTTGCTCGAACACGAAAAGAGGGAGTGAGCTATATGGTCAACTACAAAATATAGGGCAGGAACAAAATTCGCAAAATAATGTACCTGTACCTCCTCCAATACATAGTAATATTCCGCCGCCCCCTCCAATGCCAAATAATGCTCCTCCGCCGCCTCCAATGCCAAATAGAACTCCTCCACCTCCCGCAATGCCAAATAAAGCTCCTCCGCCTCCACCTCCCCCAATGCCAAATAATGCTCCTCCACCACCTCCAATGCCAAATAGAACTCCTCCACCGCCACCTCCGCTAATGCCAAATAGGACTCCTCCACCGCCACCTCCGCCAATGCCAAATAATGCTCCTCCGCCACCTCCAATGCCAAATAGAACCCCTCCACCTCCACCTCCCCCAATGCCAAATAACGCCCCTCCACCACCTCCTATGCCAAATAGGACTCCTCCACCGCCACCTCCACCTATGCCAAATAATGCTCCTCCACCACCTCCTATGCCAAATAGAACTCCTCCGCCTCCGCCTCCACCTCCGCCAATGCCAAATAGCGCTCCTCCACCACCTCCTATGCCAAATAGAACTCCTCCTCCGCCGCCACCTCCTCCAATGCCAAATAATGCTCCTCCACCTCCACCTCCACCAATGCCAAATAACGCGCCTCCGCCACCTCCAATGCCAAATAGAACACCTCCACCTCCGCCAATGCCAAATAATGCTCCTCCACCACCTCCAATGCCAAATAGAGCTCCTCCACCTCCACCTCCCCCAATGCCAAATAGTGCTCCTCCACCTCCTCCAATCCCTGGCCAAAGAGGTAATCCTCCGCCGCCACCTCCTCCAATGTCAAATAGCGCTCCTCCACCTCCTCCAATCCCTGGCCAAAGAGGTAATCCTCCTCCACCACCTCCTCCAATGTCAAATAGCGCTCCTCCACCTCCTCCAATCCCTGGCCAAAGAGGTAATCCTCCGCCGCCACCTCCTCCAATGTCAAATAGCGCTCCTCCACCACCTCCAGGCCCAGGTCAGAGAACTGCTCCTCCACCTCCAGGGCCATCCATGATGACAGTCCTTCGACAAAAAGTGAAAATAAACCCTGCAGTGCCTATGAAATCTCTATTTTGGACCCCTGTCCCTGTCCAAAAACTTGAAAAATCCATCTGGAACAACGCAGATGATTCAAAAGTCAACTTAGACGTAACTTTACTTGTCGACCTATTTGCTCAGAAAAAAGCACCTGAGAAAAAAGAAGCCAACGGCGAACAAAAAGAAGAGAAAAAAGAAGAAGTCAAAAAAATAGAAAAAATCAGCCATTTATCTAAAGAAAGGCGGCAAACAGTCGAACTCATTTTGGGGAAATTGAGACTTTCCCATTCTGCATTAGTTGAAGCTTTTCTTTCAGCTGATACCCAAACAGTCAGTGAAGGTGCATGGTCATCATTAAAAGGTGCATTACCAGACGATAGTGAAATGCAACTAGTTACCAGCTATGAAGGAGATTTAGATTTACTAGCACCTTCAGATAGATTTTTCTACGCACTTAAAGATGTCCCTGGATTCAAGTTCAGAGTAGAAGCTATTATATTTACTTTTACCAATGCTGAGCTGATAGGTGAATTAACCAAAAAAGTTGAAAAAATTGAAGGGACTTATTCAGCGCTGAAAAGTAGTGAAAAATTAAAGGCGGTACTAGAAATTGTTTTGGCTTGTGGGAATTATTTAAATGGGACTAGTGCAAGAGGTGGAGCTTTTGGGTTTACTATTGATTCGCTAGCTAAAGTGGTTGATATGAGAGGACAAGATGGGAAAACGACACTTTTAGACTATATTATAACTTTCTGTGAAAAAAATAAGCCTGAGCTGTTAGGGCTAATACAGGATTTCTCTGATATTGATTTTGTATCAAAATTCCCATTATCACAGCTTGCTATTGACTTAAATGAAGTAAATGCGAAGGTCAATTTGGTTAAAAAAGCGATAGATTCACAAAGTGTGAGAGCTGCTGATAAAATAAGTGAAAAATTATCAAAATTCTACCAAGAAGTAAGCGAAACTGTTAATCAATTAAAATCAAGAATTCAAGCATTAGACACAAAATTCCTTGAGCTTTGTGATCTTTATGTTATAAATGCTAAAGATTTGAAACCTGAAGAGCTTTGTGACAAATTTAATTATTTTATCTCTTTTTATATATGAATAAATCATCAGTACATAAAATTTATTATTAAAAATATACAGATTTTATCAATGACTATGATTTCGACTTTAAATCAAAAAGCATTTTATAGGTGATAAATATATATCATCATTTGAAACCAATAAAAATAAGTACTTTAAAGCCAAAGAAGACCAAGAAAAAAAAGCAAGAATTGAAGCAAGAAGACAGGCTGCGTTGCAGCAAAAACAAGAAAACTCGTCAAAAGCTGCTAATTCGAAAGCGCTTGCAGATGAAATTAAAAATAAACGACAGCAAAAAGAAGAAAATAATGGGAGAAGAGTGTCGATTAGAAATGCAAATCAAAACTCATCAGTTGATAAAATGATGCAAGATATAGAAGCAAGACGAATGTCGATTATGCCAAAAAGAAATTAAGAAATATTCTGAATAATAGAATGGAATAATTTCATTCATAATGCAATTAATTTCCATAAGTCTCTAGCAATTTTTATGTAAAATATTTATTTCTTTCTTTTTTACAATTATTTAAAAAGTCAATTAACTGAAATTGCTTCACCTTAATTGAAAATTCCATATTATTAGTTAAATGACAAGAAGTATTGTAAATCTTACTATCAAGCTTCGGCTTATCCACACTCAAACCTCGAACACTCATACTTCACTTTTCAATTTAATAAACAATTTAGAACCCGAATCACTTCCAGGCTTCCCAAGCAAAATCGCTATTGATTTATCAACTTTTGAAGAAATTGCAACAATCGCAAGCATAATTAAATATGGTGTCTCGGTCCAAGACATGACCTCCTTGTCATTAAGCCTATTTAATTATATCTGGCAAGGTTTTGCAAACCCAGAAATAGACAGCAATACTAGGGAAGCAATTTTGGCAGTGTGCGGAGCCTAGTCGAATTCATTTTTCAGATTGGATTTTACCTAGTGGGGAAGGTGAAGCTTAGAGTTGGAAGTGGAATTCTAAAATGCCTTTAGATGCCACAAGGCCATTCAGGCAACTCCAGCGAAAAACCAAAAATTAAACCCTGGGCTTCAAGTTTCCCTTATTACCAAGAGTCGGTCAGAAATTCCATTTTTTGGAATTTCTGTGTGGACAACTCACGCTCTCTAAGGATAACTGTCGGAATCCAAATACCCAAAGCCGATGGATCATAAAGCCTTGAGGTCGAGGTGGTGCATGACACAGCGGTGGAGCGGGGAACCTGAAGGAGTGACCTGAAGTCAGTTCAATTTATTTGATAGTGAACGTTAAAAAGTTTCTTAAACCTTAAATTAATTAATCGCATCGTATCGCAACAATCGCAAGCAATCTCTCCCAACAAGATTCTGATTATTTCGCAATTCTAGAAGACTTTGAAAGAATCGAAAAAAACTGCACAAATATTTGAAAAAGCGCTACCTTAATAAGAAAAGAAGCAATTTCTATAAAGCACACATTGAACCAAGAGTCAAAACTTATAAAATCTCAAATAAAGCAAATAGGAAGTATTTTGAAAGAATACAGAGACAGATGCAGAGGAAACTTTTTAGATTACCTGAAAGGGCTTGATTTGGATTTGCGAAAAATATTAAAACCACTTGTACCGTCTAATGTATTAAATGATCAAGTCAAATTTCCAATGATAAATAACAACCCAAGTCTTAGAAGCTCAATAGCGCCTTCACATGAAGGGACAGGAGCAATTGAGATATCTCAGCCTCCTCAAGAAGCAGAAAATGAGGCTGATTCTCATCCAGAGCCTTCAGAAGTTGCAAATGAAAAATTAAATGCCCATATTCAGATGCTGGTAGGTACATTAGAAAACTTGGCAAAAGATTTGATCCAAGTTGTAGCGGAGGCTGATAGACAGTATTATGATTTACTCAATAAAATTGAAGTTTATTCGAGGCCTCCTACACCACTGGCTGCTCCCTTGCCTGAGTATTTTACTTTTGAAAATATTGATAGCATAGCTGAAGAAAAAATAAATTTAGTTGATACCAAAAAATCGAAAATTAAATGGAAAAAAAGACTTAAAAAATTATATATTATGGATCACTGATTTTTGCATAGAATTTAATAATGGTTTTATTTTCACGATATATAGCTTAACATTGGTGCTTCAGCATTTTAAATATTTTAGTTGTAATTAATGAAGAATATCATATGAACAAGGAGGAATGGAAGAATGAGTATACAAAAAAATTTTAAACAGAATTGATAAGGTCGGGGACAATGAAATTCAAGTTGATTTGCAAGAAATATTCAAAGACATTGACATCCCTATTTCTTTCAGAGAAAACATTGCGTTCTCTTTATCCCCCTTGCTAGATAACCCTGGTGGTTAATATTTTTTCATAAAAAATTATTAAAAATGATTTAATCTACTTTAAATTTTTAAAATTTTTTTAAAAGATGCAAAATGCTCAAAATTTAATATATTTAGTTAGAGATTATTTATAAAAGTGTTTTATATTAAGAAAATTTTTGCTCTCTAACTAATGGATTAATTTTCCCATATAATAAGGATTTTCTAATAATTTTTTTCTCAATAATCAGGGAGCTAGTAAACTCTTGCAAAATTCCTCAGCAAGACGTATCACTTTCTGACCTTCTTAGAGAAGACGAAGAAGAAAAATCCAAAAACAGCCAAGAAATAAAGCCAGAACCCCCTAAAGAGCCTAAAGTTAAAAGCCGCCCATTTCCTCACAAAATAGAAAAAGAGCAAGAAGGGCTTGAAAAAACAATTGATGAAAGGTTAGAGATGATCCATAACACTCCTGCTGTAACCACCGACTTACTTCATAGTGAAATTGAAGTGCATAGAGCTTCACCTGTCCCAAGAGTTTACCAATCCCGAAATTCTTTACCAAGTAATAAATATCTTTCACGAAGACCTGCACCTCCAAAAGAGTCTGCTTATAAGTCGAAAAAAGAAAGAAAAGAAATCAGGGTAAGATCAATAACCCCCGTAAATAAGCTAAAAGAAAAAACAGTTACTCCAAGGCGAAAAACCAAAACTCCAATAGGAAAAAAGAGCATAAATTTTATCCATCTGACGCCTTATCATAATGCAGGGTGATAATTTCTATTATCTTTCCACAATTATATTGGTTTTTCTCTATAAACCATCATATCCTAATTCCTCCTTCAAATAACTACATCTATTCTTGCCATTTATCCTGATTAATTTATTTAAATTTATTTTTAATTTTGATTTCATATCCAATTCCATAATTTAAAATCAGTTATTAAATGTCAGCTGGATTTCGAGAATACCACAACATCAAGCCCAGAACTCGAGCAGAGCGAGAAGGCATGAGAGACCGCGAAGCCATCGAAAGAATGCGGCTAAAAGAAAGAAGTGGAGGCTTCCACCACTATGAAGAATACCCAGGAATTAGTAAACCAGCTGCAAGTTCCAGCTTATATCTGCCTGAATCTGAAAGATTTGACACAGATTTTGCAGCTGAAGACAAGCGAAGAAGAGAAATGGAATACCAGTCACGTCAGCAAAATCTAAATCAAAGGAGAGAGCAAGTGATTAACAGAGAAGTCGGAAGATGGGAAACGATGGAAAACGAAGATAAAAAATACCAAGATATGCTCAATCAGAAACAGTCAAAATGGCAGGCTGGGCAGAAAAATAATTTAAGCGCAGCGTATAACCCGATTACGTTGGAATATGATAGCACAGAACAAGGATCAAGATTAAAGCAGCAAGATGACCAGATTAGATATAGGGCGGGGATGAGGATGTTTAATTTGGACTCAAAAATGAACTCAGAGTTTAATGTAGTCACTGGAGAGCCACGCCGCCCACCTAATCTGCCACCAAGACCATTTTAAGCTTACATGCCCCGTTTTTGATGAACGATCTATTAAAAATTCTTAAAATTAGAAAAATTACTATTGAATAATTTTCATAGAGTTAAACATGAAACCCACACCTATATCTAACTATCTATCTTTGCTAATAATGAATCTTAGATATTATACTATATAATCGCTCCTACGCAATTTTTCAGTATATTGCATAATCTATCTCTTGTAGCCATCTCATAAAATACTTTATAGCAATCAGTTCCATTAAGAATTGGTGAGTTAGTAATGAATTTGATATAATTAACTCCCCCCATCCTTGATCGAACGACTCGCCATCGTTCGATCAAGGATGGGGGTTAAAAAAAAAATTTTTTGGGAAAAAAAAATTTATATATAAAATAAAAAATATATATATATTTTTTTTTTTACTTTAAATAAGAGGGTTAAGAATATTTAATAATTATTTTTACAGCAAAAAATTGAATTAATTATGTTAAAATACTAATTTTTAATATTTTGATTTATTAGTTACCCCTTTAAACTGTATAAATTTTAATTTGTTCCTTATTAAATTAATTTTTTTTTTAAAAAATTTTAAAGAATCTGTATTTTATTAGATTATTGAGTTTTTAAGCCTAGGTTGATGACTAAATCACTTCGGATAGTTGATTCCGTAGCTTTCTGTCGTCTCAAAGTCTCTGAAAACAGCTTCATTATGTACATCTTCTCAAGCTTCTGATAACTAATATATTTTTATATTATAAAAATTTGCATGATATGAAAATCGTTCGATCAAGGATGGGGGTTAATTTCCCTAATTTTTAGGAATTTTTACAGTCAATCGTTCGATCAAGAATGGGGGGGAGTAAGTGATAAAGAGATATTATAAGGTAAAGGAAGTTCATGCTATTTTATGCTTAGTTTAAATATTATAAAATAGCCATGTTTTATCAATATCGCAATTATTCCCTTTTCCCTTGACTAATAAAGCTTGGCTGGTCTTTTGGTCTTGGCCATCCTTGTTTTCTTGCATCAAGCACGTTCTACATATAATTTACCATCAATAAAAATCTGAGTCTTGACGAAACCAGCTCTTTGTCAATAATATATTGCACTATATCTAGCAGCTCTTCAGTTTGCTTTATCAATTTCTCTATCTCAAACATGCTACCTCCAGTATTCAATAAAATAGCTGCTCCTTCCAATTTGTCTTCACTAATTAACTCTTGATTAACCTTATATTCCTCTCCATCTTTTTCAATCCCACTTGTCGTTAAATCCCAAATACACTGAAGCACCACCTTTGCTGGTATAAACTCAAATCTAAATAATTCACCTATAAGCCTGACATTTCCCAGCACTTTTTGTTTCAATTTATATTTCTTTATCTCAATGTCTTCTTTTGAAAGGCCTTCAAAATTTTCTTCACCTGGGTTATAAAAGAATAAAGCTTCACAGAGGCTTAAAAAGGCATCACGGAAAGGGTTGTTTTTCTTTTTGCGCTCTTCTTCTGGCTTCAAAGAATGATATTGGTGGGATAAGTATTGACAAAGCTCAGCGTAAAGCTGGGTGTATTTTGTTTCTGTGCAGGCTTTTTGGAAAATTCCTGAAACTAAGATTTCTAGGTTTTCTGGCTTTTCTCTTGAGATTTCAAAGAGCTGCAGCTTTAATTTGTCAAGATTTGTAGGGGTTAGCTTGTTTAAGGTAGTTTTTATTCTCCTGGCAGAAATTTCATCAATAGGTGTTTGGGATCCTAATTTTTTTCTGAGTTTTTCAGCTCTGTTTCTTATTTTGAGTTGGGTTTCTGACATTTCTGCTCTCCACATGCCTGGAGAATCAGGTGCATTTGCTCTGATAATGGGCTTTGGGACTGGTAATTTACTTGAATTTCAATTATTGTCAGTCTTTTTCCTCCTCCAAATCCTAACTATTTCAATTGGCATCACATAGGACCAATCATCGTATTTAACTATTTGGATATCTTCACAACTGTATGTGATTTTATGGAAATGTGAGGAATCAGGAATATTGAATTCTCTGATTTCTTTCGGAGAATGCTCTGTTGACGCAAATGGAGTATCTTTAGGTGTTGGAACTTCTTGCTCTGGAACTTGTATTGGAGAAATAATTTTCGCGGTTTCTGAGGGTGACTTTATTTCTTCTGCATTAGTTGTTTCATTTTTCCAGGCTTTTGGGTCAGTAACCTCAAGACTTGGAGACATATCTCCTGAATCTGGCTGAAGTGAGGTGTCTTTTTGAATAGCCGTTGGGGAAGAACTTGAGGAGTTTGAAGATATGTCAGAATTAGAAATGGGCTGAAAATCCTTAAAATCTTTGGGATTAATGCTCAGCTGACTTGAAAAGGAGGAAAGGGAATTTTTTATGCTAGAAAGCTTTTGAGGATATTCTTTGAGATCTGGCTCAAACACGTCAGGAGGAGACGTATAAGTTTTTTTAACTTTTCTTTGCTCTGGGAATCCTGACATACTTATTATGAAATTTTAGATATGGGAAATGCAAAAATGTGGTAAATTTTATTAGGAGGTCTTTCCTATAAGGATTATCATTAAAAAATAAATCATAAATATGTCCTTATATAGGTAACTATCCCAAATTATTTCTTCTAAAACAATCAAAACTACTATTTAAAGTGTTTTTTAGCATAGATTTACACATCATTAATTATCATTTATATTAAGAAGTTCTTTCTCATAATATTAAGTGAATTACTACTTAGATTACTGTTATTCCAATATTTTCTAAAATGTCACACAATGAAAAGCCTCAGGATAAAGTATTAAGAATTCGATCAGGTACTCCACAAGGCAGATCCAGCCTTCAAAGATCAAGATCTCCTTTAATAGAGCAGACATCTTTACAAGCTATCAATTTAAAATCAAAAATTGATATACAGCTCTATTCCAAAGATGCAGTAAGAACGCTTACACATGAAAATTTATCTAAGTCACGATCACAGTCCAGATTAAAACTAAATTCCTCATTAAAAGCAAAAAGCCCAGAAAGCCTATTCACAACAAGTTTTGCTGATATAGAACAAACTAATTCTGATTACGCAACTCCGTCAACTAAGTCAACAATAGAAAAACATATTGATATCTATGCATTTGAATCAAAAATTAATTACCATTTACAAAGATTTGGCGAAGAGAGCGCCACTAGCTTTGACAAGTTCAAAATTTATAATCAAATGTGGGATGAGCTTATTTCAATAGAAAACCCATATTCAAAAGTGATGAGGCAGATAAAAAATGGATATGATGAGTGGATAAATTTTTTAGAAAAAGAATTAAAAACAAAAACCAGCGAAATTGCTGCGTTAAATAGCAAGCTTAAAGAAGAAGCCCACACATTAAAATTGTTCAGAAAAAGGTTTAAAAAGCTTGCTATTGAAAATATGGAATTAAATTCAAATTTAAGTGATAAAAATAAAGAAAATGATTTATTACAAGAAAAAATCGATTCTTTGAAAGTGATATTGAAGAATGAAAAGAAAAATAACAAAGAAGTGATAAAGGATACGAAAAATGACAATGATACGCTAAAAGAGCTTCTTAAGCAGTCAAAAGATTACGCAAAAGAGTTAAAACAGAGACTGAAAATATTTAGAGATCTGGTGAATGCAGTTAAGTCTAACGGAATCCCAGTTGAAGATATTTATAATCAGATAGTAAAAAGTAAAGCAAGACCAGCTATTATTAATTCAATTGATTCGAAAATCTCATTTGGCTCTTCCAATTCTCTTTTGAACCAAATGTCAAGTAAAGATCTTGACCACTTAAGTACAATTGACTTCATTTACTCCCCAAGCGCTGTTTGCAGTGACATCGGAGAGATTCTCACATACAAAGAATCCAACGAAGACTCAGTATTTAATGCTTTATAGCCCACGCCTTCTTTTGGCTCGGCTATGCCGACGTCTGAAGAGGAGTTAGTTTTGCCAGCATTTATTGGTTCCCAGATGACCAGTCCACTTTATATCAGAGATTTGCCATCTGGGTAGTTGGTTTTACCACAAAATGTTGATAAAGCCAAACCCTTCTGAAGTTAGGAGCCCGAGCCAAAAGCAGGCTTAGGCTATATCTGAAATAAAAGATGTATAGAATGGGACATTATTCAATTTTAACACAAAATAATCCAATTAATTTCTTTGGTGTTAATTTTTTAATTACATAATTCACGGCTAATAAAGATGGTCAGTCGTGATACAAAAGGTGCTTATGGCTTTGATTCATCTGGACTCGAAAGAGCTGCAAAGGCCGCCAAAGAACTTGACAAATCCTCGAACGCTAAACAAGCTTTTGAAATCACAATTAAACAAGAAGAAACCAAAAAAGCTGAAGCAGAGGCATCAATGAAGCAATTAGAAGTCCAGCGTGCTCAAATTGAGCAGCAAGAAAAACGAAAGACCCTTGAAAAAGAGCTAGAAATATCAAAGCAAAAAAGTCAGTTTGACGATCAGCTTGCAAGGCAGAGATACCAAGACCAGCTAGACCAACATGCTCGTCAGCAAGAAATGAACAGAAGAAAAGATGAAGAAAGTGTAGCCAAACAAGAAGCATTGAGAAGAGAAACCCTTGAATATGAACATCAGCTTAAACGCCAAGGCGATCAAGATAGAATTAGAGAAAAACAGCTGGCTAAAATTGAATTCATGAAAGAAACAAGAGATCTGCGCTTTGAAGAGATTAAAATTAAAGAAGATGAAAGGAGAAATACGCTCAAAGAAGTCTGGTCACAGAATTTGGAAGCAGTCGGAGGAGGCTTAAAAACTTATTTAGGCGACTTCAAAAATTTGCTTTATTTGTCAGGAGCTCTTACAATTGCATTTTTTGGCTTCCAGTTTGCAAAAGCAGCAGGAAAAATTATTCATATTTATATAACAGATGCATGTTAGCCGTTTTCTATGAAAAAATAATAATGGTTTTTTATTAATATGAATGGGGATACATCGACTTTTATAGAAGCTCGCTTAGGAAAGCCTTCTTTAGTTAGACAGACATCAAGAAAAACGACAGTAAAAGAAGTCATTACGACTCCAGTTAATAAACTTTATAAGCAGTGGATTGTTAAAGGACGATTTTTACCAACATCTACAGTTCAGCGTGAAAAAGATATTTTGGAAGGGATTTTCATTAATGAAAACTTAGAAAGAGGCTTAAAGACACTTGCTCATAGTATTGTTAATAGAAAAAAGCATTATGCTCCATTTAGAAATTTACTGCTATATGGCCCTCCAGGGACAGGAAAAACACTTTTTGCTAAAAGCTTGGCTGACCATTCAGGCATGGATTATGCAATTTTCACTGGTGGTGATATTGGGCCACTTGGAAAAGAAGGTGTTACAGAGCTCCATAAACTTTTTGACTGGGCAAGCACAAGCAAAAGAGGTGTGCTCCTTTTTATGGATGAAGCTGATGCATTTTTAAGAAGAAGAGATACAACTCATATAAGTGAAGAAATGAGAAATGCTTTAAATGCACTTTTATATAGAACTGGATCTGCGTCACATAATTTTATGCTAGTCCTTGCCTCAAATACACCTGAGCAGCTAGACAGGGCCATTCTTGATAGAGTTGATGAAATTGTGCACTTTGAAAAACCAGGCCAAAAACAGAGACTGCAAATGCTTTACCACTATTTGCTACAATATTGTTCTCCACCAAAAACAATGAGGAAAAAGCTGCATCAATATGTTATGCACCCAAGGACGTTGATATACAAAAAAACTGATATCGGAATGTTAGGAGTTGATGATACTTTTATAGAAGAAATGGCTAAAAAGACTGAAGGATTTTCTGGAAGAGAAATATATAAGCTAGTCATTGCATGGCATGATGCAGCATTTAACCAAGAAAACGCAATTTTAACACCTGAATTGATGACTAAAGTTTTAGAAGGAAGCATTGAACAGCATAAACAAAGATTGGAATGGGAAAAACTTGAATAAGATAATGCTACCACACATTTATTTTTTATTTACTAATAATTTTTCTTTTCTATGAGACAAAAGTTTAAAACCAATTTAAAGAACTTATAAATAACAACTATTTTTTACCTCGGGAATGATAAAGATGTGGACTGATATCTTGCTTTATTTTCGAATTATTTTCTATTAAATCTGCAGATAGATTTTTTGCCTTACTTTTGTGTTCCCTAACCTCATTTTTATTATTGGTTTCATCTTTTGTAAATAGTCCTAAGAGCTGCTGCTTCACAAGTCTTTTTGTAGCTTCAACTTCTTGTTTTTTCATCTCAAAGCTATTAAGAATTTGTGTCATCCCTTGATTTAAAATCACAAAACTTGAATTTTCTGCTTTTTGGATTTCTTTTCTAGCAGGCAAATCTTCATTCCAGGGATGTTTTAATACATCTTTTTTTCCTTGCTGTTTTGTTATTTTTTTAGAAGTATCTTGCTCTAATTCAGAAATTTCGTCAAAATTCAATTTATGATCTTCATTTTTCTTCTCAATATTTGGTGCTCATTAAAATGGCATTAATATAAGCCATTATTTCTGGCATTGACTAAAGAAGTCTGAAAAAGCTCGATAACTTTAACGGTTCGACGGTTAGGCCGCACCTACCGTTGTTCAGAGCTGTTATCGTAGTTGAACCTCAAGTTAAGAAGACTTACAAGATACTCAATGTGCTAGAGAAATTCATTAAACTTAAACCATTATTAGGTGATTTGCATTTAAAAATAAAATTTATTTTCTCAACATTTTCAGTTCCATCTTCTTCTTTTGGATTGTCAAGTTCGCTCATTATAATTTCAACACTACCTGAAAATGAGCTTGAAAAGTTTGAAGACGCATTACAAGGGCTTAGTCTTGATGCATGGTGATACACAGATCCTGGAGAGTGCTGCCTGTGATGTCTTGAAGGATTGGAATTATCTTCTGCTTGCTTTGGCAACTTGATTTGATTGCTGCTGATTGAATTTGATTTTTTTGATGGAAAAATTCCGTTTTCTCTCTTGGATGCTGGCCTTCTGGTACTGACGTCTTTAAAGCTTGGGTTTATTGTAAATTCTTTGTTACGAGAAGTTTTGAATGCACTCATGCAACAATTATATATTTGAAGAATTATTAGACTTTGCATTTTGTTAAAAATAAAAATATATTTTTGCCAAATCATAATAGCTAATTACTTTTTTATTATAAATTATTCAAAAAATTTTTAGCATTCTCTATTAAGTGATATATTGCATGCACTTTTTAGCTTGTTGATAAATGGATATCAACACTTGGACAATTAGAAAGAGAAATTACCATCTCGAGACTGTCAAAGCTACAATTGCGGCTAAGCCAAGCACAGAGCACCCGCTATCAGGAAACTCAAAAAAGCAAACTGTCGAGTTTATAGATCCATTAGGCCTTAATTCAAAAAGAAAACAAACTCGAGAAGACATTCTCCTGAGCCCTAAAGAAGATCCATTAGAGTATTGGGCTGTTCTAAGCAAAATGACTTCAGAAAAATACCAAAGTACAACTGGCTTTAAAATCACTACAGACAGCCAAGAAAATGAAGAGGTGAAAGTTGTCCAGCATGCTTTCTCTCGCATGGAGCTCTTAGAAGCCCCATCAAAGCACAAGTCCAATGAAATTTCTTATGTCTCTCACAAAGAATTTATCACTCACATAGAAACTCTCACGCGAGAACTAGACCAAGCTTGGGGAATTAATGATAGAGTCAAAACATTAAAACTTGCAATTCAAGCAACTAAAATGTTAAAAGATGTGACTGATCCAGCATATTACCCATCTGTTTTTATTACTATAACGAATATGTTGGAGCACTTTGGAGACTTGGTTTACCAGAGATTGATGAATATTGCATTTGATGGGAAAACTGATGAAATTTTTTTGCCAACTCAAGTAAATGAGCTAGCTAGAGATACAGCTACAAATTGGTTTTTGAAAATTTCTTGCATAAGAGAGCTTCAGCCTAGGATTTTTATAGAAATGGCTTTGCTAAAGTGTTATAGGTTTTTGTGGATTGATAAATACCCAGAAGTGCTGGGGAGATTAGTGTCACAGATAAGGGGGATTGGAAATCCTATGATGGCAGCTTATGCAAGCATGTTTTTGGCAAAGCAAGCGATTAATTTGAGTATGAATAGTAGGCAATATCTTAATGATTTAATTGAAGATGTCTGTGAAAATTTAGTTTTGGCACCTCCTGAGCAGTATGAAGTGAGCACGCCAGCACTTGAGTGGGTATTTTATTGTGTGGCATATGGAAGCTCTAGAGATTTATTGTTTCAAATTCTAGAAAAACTGGCTTCTGCTATAGAAAAACAGCCAGATATATTAAGAGCTTTAATTGAAGAATTTCCAGGCAGACACATAACTTCTCAAATGAGTTTATTTATAGATAAAATGAACTCAATTAGGATCCCTGCAGAATCATTAAAAGTTGCAGTTGCGTTGGCAAGAGCAGTTTATGATAGCCCTCAAGACCAAGATTCTTTACCTTTATTGAGCACTCTTTGGAGTGCTATAGAAAGAAATGGGCATACTGATATTAATTTATATTTAAAAGCAGCAGATGTGTTCTTCCAAATTTATCTAAAACAATTCGGTCCTAAAGAAGTCAATGGGCTACTTGATAGTGTTCTAGCTCTTCTTAAAAAAAATGGTACTGGAAGAGATTGGTCAGGATCATTAGCAAATATAATGAACGTTTTAATAGTGCATTCAAAAGACCTCTCAGCATTATTATCTTTAGAAAGCTTTTTATCGGTTTCATGTCAAATGACTGTGGAATTTTGATAGTGCGACATCTCATAGGGAAAAATTTGTTCGAATCATTTTATAGTGAGACAAAACCGTTAAATTTCGGCTAAATAAGCACACTGCTAAAAATTTTCGACCAAAAGTACTTCTGTGAAACACACTATCATTGGACCTGCACCCTTTTTATCATTTCTCGATGAGTTCTCAATTCAAAAAAAATCTGAAATTTGTAATAAAATAGTCGAGCATTATGCTAGAGAAGAAATAAAATTCACAGTCTCAAACCCTCTAATGATTCATGCACTTTTCCAAGTAACAAGAGTAGTCCACGACAGTATTGATATTTCTGAGCATAGTCCTGAATTTGTTGATAGAGTTTCAAGATTAATTTGCAGATTCTTGAAAAATGTAATTTTTATTTAGTTAAATTTTGGCAGAAATTTAGAGCAGCATCTGTCAGTTTTAACAGATGCTAGAGCTTCATTTATTAACCTAGACGTTGTCACAGAAACTCTTGTATACGCTGTACTAGATATCGCAATGAGAGCATACAGGCTTGTAGGAGGCAAACATAACCTTAAAACCCATGCATTCCTTAAAGCTTGTATCTCTTATGCCCACATCACAACACCTTCTTTAGAAAGTCCTGTCACCCAATTCAAGCTTTTTGTATTAGGAAGCCAAGTAGCCTTAATGAATGGGCTATTAGGAGAAGCTGAGTCTCAAATAAAAGCAGCAATTTCACTTATAGGAGAACTCGCAACTGAAGATAATTTAGCTGAAATCGAGCCTAGTCTGCATGCCTTGATAGGACAAATGGTGATTTTGCCTGATAATCCTGCCTCCACATCAGGGTTTTTCTTGCCTGCACATGGACTTCTAAATACTCTTACAGCTTTGAATAAGAGATTTGAAAAAATTAAATACAGAGCTTTTATTAGTATGCTGTGGTATTTATCTTCTCAAGCTCAAAGCAGATTGCCATTTAGACTGTTTAGAGTAGATTCTAACGATAAATTGATGTCTGGGAATAAGAAATTCAAAGAAGATATGATAACTTTGCTGGGACTGATTTTGGAGGAACTCTTGAACTTTGTGGCTGAGTTTGGAGAAATTAGTTCGCCTGATGAAGAAACTATTGATATTTTAATCAAATTTTATTTGGCTCTTTCAAAGATATTTGAAGCTCCTGAAGGGTCACAAGTGGCTATCCTTTTGATAAGAATTGGAAACTTGTTGAAAGATAAAAAGGTTTCTCAAAAATACTTGGCATTGGTCTCCAACTAATAAATTAATCATACTTGAATTAAAAATAAGGAAAAATTATATTACATTTTTATGCTTATCATAAAATTGTTTCAATTTATCTCGCTGAGCTCTCACTTTTTTCAATTTTTCAATTTGAGTTGAGATTTTCTTCAGAAGTTTTTGTATGTAATCACCTACTTCTTTATTTACAAGAGCTTCTGTTCTATCAGAATTTTGATATTGGCAAAAGCTCATCTCCTTACTCCCCACCCTCCGTGAGCGAACAAAGCAATTTTGTTCACTCACAGAGGGGGGTTGATTTTTTTTTTTAAATAATTTATATATAAATTTTATAGGAAAAATTTTTTTTCGAAATTTAAAAAAAAAAAAAATTAATTCGCAAAAATTTGGAAGCAAACATTAATTTAATTTATAGAATTTATGTTTTAAAACGCAATTTGCTTAAAATTAAAACAGAATTAGCTCGAGATTTCATTATAATAATTATCACTTATATATAATTTTTATTTTTCATAAAAAATTTTTGTTCACTCACGGAGGTGGGTTTTGGGGCAAAAAATAGGGATTTTTCCAATGATTTTGTTCACCCACGGAGGGGGGAGTTAGTCACCATAAAAGAGCTATCAAATCTGTGAGACAGTAAAGCTCTCGACCCATCAATCTGGCATTCTTCCATTGAAGAATTAAAATTAGTAGCTCGCTTAGAAAATTCATGCTCTACTTCAATTTCCCTTATTTTCTTCATCAATAAATTTTGGCTCTCAAACATTTGAGTGGAAATTGTATCTTTTTCTAATTTAAGCTTCGCGGTTTCTTCATATAAATCCTGAATGTTTTTTTCTGAAGTTTTTCTCAGTTCTTTCAGCTGCTTTTTCAGTGATTTTATTTCTTTTGCTTTTTCAAGCTTTTCTTGGAAAAATTCTTCTTGGCTTCGTTCTAATTCATTTATTTTAGATTTTAGCATCTCTGTCTGACTTAATAGTGATTTTCTTTCATCCTCCCTTTCTTTGAGTATTGATACAACATGTTCGTATTTTTCATTGGAAAAACTGAATTCGTGGATATCAGGCTCCTCAAGCCCATAATAAGAAATTAATTCTTCAAATAAGGCTTCTAACTCCCTCTCTCTGTAAGCGAGCAAAATCATTTAAAAAATCACTATTTTTGGTTAAAACTAACACTCCGTGAGTGAGCAAAAATATTTTTATATAAAAATATTTTGATATAAAAATATTTTGATATATAAGTGATAATTAATATAGTAAAATCTATTTACTTTTAAACAATTTGCATTTAAAGTATAAATTTTACAAATTAAAATAATTTCCACTTTCCAATTTTACGAATTGGGATTCTTTTAGATTTTGAAAAAAAATTATTATAAAATTTATAAATTTTTTAGAATTAAAGATTAACCCCTCCCTTAAGCTAACAAAATTTTTTGTTCGCTCATGAAGGAAGGAGAGTAAGCTACTGTCTGGCTTTGTGCTTCACTTTTCGTAACTGGGCTTATCACTGATTTTATCTAGTGGGAGCTTTGATATCATCACATTATTTTTCTTTCCAACAAACTCTACTTCTTCTTTATCAAGATCTAAAATACTAATAATTATTTCAGGACTTTTATCATTTTCAGCGCTTTCTATAGAAATCATGCTTTCATTGAGGATTTTTTCTTCACTTGGGTCTTCACATATAATTTGGTCGTAAACTTCTCGAAAACTTGCACAGGAACTTCCATGTTTGCTTGATCTTCTTGAGCTTCCTCAGTCAGGACTGAAAAACTGGTCTGATTTTTTATGTTTTCTGATTAAACTCCTATATTTGCTTGTCTTCAATTCTTTTAGGTTTTCAGGGTGTCTATAGAAGATTCCTTCTTTCAGCTCAGTAAAACATGAAGGAAATTCAATTCTGAATTTTTCATCTCGGCTTTCACTAAATAAAACTTACTGCAAAATTGGGTTATTTTTCAAGTTTATAACAGAAATGCTTGAATTTAATTTTAAGACTTCAAGATCTGTATAAAGCGAAATCATATTATTGTCAACTTCGACTTCAAGCAGCATATTGAGATTTTCGATTCCGCTTAAATCTTTGATTTTATTGGAGCTTGCAGAAAGAGACTTTAAGTGAGTAAGTGTGCTTAAAGGAGAAAGAGTTTCAATGTAATTATTTGAAATATCTAAGGATTGAAGCCTAGTGAGTTCAGGGAGCACAGTGTTTAAGGATATTAGAAAGTTATCTGAAATATCGAGATGCTCAAGAGTTGTTGGAAGTGGCCAAAGACTTTCTATTTGGTTGCTGGCAAGAATGAGCTTCTTAAGGAATTTCAATGAAAAGAGCTGAGGAACTGCAAAAATTAAGCTGTTTCCTGAAAGATCGAGTTCAGCCTAAATAAAGCTTACCAAATTCTTATATTTCTCTATGCCTTTTAAGTCTGAAAATTTTCGATTCGAGATTTGGAGAGAGACGAGGGATGAAGGTTTCTCATTTTCTTGCATTTCATTGAAGCTTGCCTCTGATTTTCTCATATTTATTCAAATTTTTAATTATTTTTTTATGAAGCCATAAGTAGGTGAGTATAGATAGAGATTTTATAAAAATTATTTTAAATATAGAAAAAATAAGATAATGATTGAGACAAAGGAAGATAAATAATCCCTAATAAGATATTTTTATCAAATTATGGATAATTATAAAGATTTATAATATGGGCTATTTGTTCGACAGAAGCTATATTTTTCTGTTTATTTCTTTATTTGATGAATGCTAGTTAAATATATTTTCCTGCTATTTTTTTGAAAGAATTTAAGCAGAAAGGTTCAATTTTTAAGACCTGATAATTAATATAAAGCTATTAAATTATACCAATTAATTTAAAAAACTACGAAATTATCTATAAGAAATAAATAAAATCCTCAATGTGCCATTTTAAACTCCATATTAACGGAAGATATTTAACATATATATATTTAAATTATGCGAGCAATTCTAACAGCTCTCTTCTATCTTATTTCAATCCACCTTTCAGCATCAATTCCCCATCCCCACGAAATAACCAACAACAACGTTAAAAATACTCTCAAAGATATAGACAATTCTTCATACGGAAGTATGCTACTTGACTTAATCCAGCTCCCCGTCGAAGCCGGTAACATTTGCCCTAGAAGCACCCTGGTGATCGAAGCAAGTTTATCCCCAGCGAACTTGTGGGCCCGATGCGACGAAAGGCGAGTGATAGACCTGGGGTTGTCACCCCGTATTGGACGTTAAGCGTTATAAATTTTAATGTAATGAATGACTTAATCCAGCTCCAAAGTGAAACCCCAGACTCAAATGCTAGTCTTTTTACCCAAATTTCTCAACAAATTCAAGACTCTCAAAAATCAGAGATTTCTAAAAGTCAATATAACCAAGTCTACTGTGATGACGAAAATAAAAGACTTTTTGATATTTCTAGAGAAGCTGAACTCACTATTGTTTCAAATAATTATAAGATTAAATACGAAATTCAACCTGAGCTAGATAGCAAAAGACAAAGAAAAATGAGATTAGAGAAAGAGATGGATTTAAATAAATTGCAAAGGAAAAAACTTCTTGAAGAAAAAGAGCAGGAAAACGAAAAATGGAGCGAAAAGAAAAGCATTATTGATAATGCTATAAACAATTGTGAAGAACTGTATAGAATTTTTAATCAAAATTCATTTTTACAAAAAGATCTTACAGCTACGACTCTAGTAGAATTAAAAAATCAACTAGAAGAAATAGGTCATGAGGCTGCGCCTGCATTTGAGACTTTAGTAGAGCTAGGAAACTCTAAACAAAGCAAAAGTAATAATAGAGTGCTAGCAAGTATGATTTTACAAATAAAATCTGATCTTGAAGTATCAAAAACTAGAATGGAAGATAGCGTCAGTAAAAACCAAGAAAATTTATTAAGTTATTTAGGAAGTTTGGAAGTTTAACTTAACTTAGAATTTACAATATTTAACGTGTGTTAGCACATAATCAATGTACTTCCGTTCCTACTTTGGGATACCAGCACTCATATAGCTTCGATCAGATAGTCCCTTGACTTTGTGCATTTGGATTTTGGCGGCTACCCTTGAAAATTTAAGGTTAAGCATAATTTCTGGTTTAAAGCTGGTTGTTGCTCAAATGGCCTATTGGTATCTATAGGCATCTCTTAGCTGCCTCTTCCAATTTGGAGTCTTCATTCTCCCATGAGATAAAAATCCAGACCTGAAAGCCAACTGGTGGCTAAACTCTTCTATTGTTGGACATATAGAAATTGCCCGAGGATGGCGCAAAATAGCGCCATCCTCGGGCAATTTCTATAATTAAATATAGGAAGTTTGGAAGAAGTTTATCAGCAATACAAAAATGAATATGATAATTCGACTCCAAAAATTATTTCTTTATCCCACTAATTGGGAATAATAAGTGAAATAATAATTTCTATATAAAAGGGATAATTTTTACAAGAATTTACTCATATATTATTCTATTTTAAACGAGGGGTATAAGTAAAATATTATTTAAACAAATTTATTTCTTAAAATCTATAAAATTTTTTTCATAGACTTTTACTATGAATTATATAAACTTTTTTCTTACAAAATGAGTTCACTAGAGATTGAAATATTTTTTATTAAAATTTAAAGAGGAGAATTAGAAGGAAAAATACGTGGCTTGAATAATGAGATTGAAAACTTAAATAAAAAGCAAGAGGAAGTCAAAAATGAATTGGCAAAACTCCATGATTGGTGCGAATTCCAAAAGAAAAAATATCTAGAAGAAACACAAAAAAGGCAAGAAAAACTTGATATGACAAATGCAGTAAAAAGCATTTTATTTGAGAACAATGAAGAAATAGAGGAATTTGTTAGTAAAAGAATGAGTAAAACCGATAAATATTAATTTAAAATTTTAAATTATAAGTATTGATTATTGCTGGAATTTTGTTTTGGCCAACTATCTTATTAAGCACAATAAATAAGCATAAAAAATTGCATATTCCAAGTTTATATAAAATTTTAATTTAGATGCAAAAAAAATTTTTTAAAATTTTGATTTCATCAGTCTTTACAAATAATTACCAGCATTTTTATTTAAAGTAAACAAATTTTCTAAATTCAATCAATGAATCGTAGAATATAGAAAACAAAATAATGCAAAAATGATAGCCGCAATATATAAACACTATATAATTAATTGATTTAAGCAATATTTAACGATATTATTTAAACTTATCTATTAAAGCTTATGAAGGGAAAATATTTAAATAAATATTAATAATTATAATCATAAATCCAGTAATCAAAACATTATTCCACATAAAAAATATTAAATTTTAAAATAAATAGTTTAACTGATCCATAACCTTTAAAAATGCAAGCTAAAAAAAGATGCAAAACAATACAAGTCATCAACTTAATGCAAATGAATAAAATCGAAACTAAAGAGTTATATATAATTTTCCGCCTTATTCATAATATATATATTCTTAATTATTTGTCTATTAAATTACAATAATAATTAAATTATTACCATGAGACCTCAAAGAACTTTCCCAGGAAAAATCAGAGTTCCCTTGAGCCCTAAAGATTCACCGATATCGCATCATACGTTTTCGAGACACCACGTTGATTTGCCGGTTGTCCTGTCTCCTATTAAAGAAACTATTTTAGAGCCTATAATCGATCAAGAGGAATCGGATAACTTAAATAATGACCAGGCAGTATCTGGCAGTACCTCATCAACGATATCTCCCGTTCCTCCTACTCAAAGCCTTTCTATTCACAATCAACTAAGTGCAGCATTAAAGCATCACCTGCTTGAAACACCAAAATTAAACCCAAAATACACAGATCCAAATACCCCAACCGCGCCTAAGCGAATTAATCGTGGGATGTCAAGAAATGCTCAGCACGGCTTACCACCATCAAGAACATCAAGTGCTTCTCCTACAAGATGCTTGTCTTTTACAACGGACCATTCATATAACTCAAAAGTGTTTCCGACTTTAAAACCAAACTTGCCAACTTAACACATGAAGCCAGATGGGAGTCTGGGGACCTTGTTGAAGGGTAGCAGCATTCGGTGAGTGTGCCTGGTCGAGTTTACTTGGTCTGGTGGAGCTCAATATTGGGCATGCCAACCTCAGGCTCATATCTAGAGCAAGGTCTTACCTCAAGCGAGGATGGAACTTGGAAACTGGGAAGGGATGAATCAACAAGGTAAGATGGGGGCGTTTGCTTGACTATCTGGCATTCCCTAGCCAGTTGCTCCCTGGGCTGCAAATTTCATCTCATATAGCCTGTCACTTTTTGAATTTTCGGAGCAGGTAACATCATTGACGTACTGTACATTCTATACCTTGGGCAGCGAGTTCGGCCCTTTTCCGGGGAAGCAATATAAGTCTTAGGCTGTTGAGCCAGACTGGCGAGCAAGGAGTGGTGCGAAGCTTGGGACGTTAAAAGCTATTCTCTATAATAGCCTTATTAATGAATGTTTCCGATTTCCTCACAGCAAGCTTTAGAGTCATACAGTGCAGTTTTATCAACCCTTGAAAAAGAAGAAATTTTAAAATATAGCCAAGTCTATTTCTTAAGTGCTATATTTGATAAAGAAAACATCAAATTTGAGGACCGTGAAGGAATGTTTATCCCTCTTATCGGAGATCATCTAGCTTATAGATATGAAATCCTAAGCGAGCTTGGAAAAGGAACTTTTGGGGTAGTGCTCAAGTGCATAGACCACAAAAAAAATGAAAAAGTAGCAATAAAAATAATTAAAAACTCAAAGGAGTATAAAGAGTCAGGAGAAATTGAAGATAGTGTTCTAAATACACTTGAAAATGAAGACCCAGATGACTCTATGTGTATTGTTAGAAAAAAGAAAAAATTCTATTTTAGAGGACACTTATGCCTAGTTTTTGAGTTACTAAGTTTGAATTTATATGAATTATTAACTCCCCACTCCTTGAGTGAACACAAAACCATTAGAAAAATCCCTATTTTTTGCCAAAAAAAAACCCTCCGTGAGTGAACAAAAATTTTTTTATGGAAAAATTTTTTTATATATAAGTGATAATTAGTATAATGAAATCTAGAGCTAATTCTGTTTAATTTAAAACAAATTGCTTTTTAAAACATAAATTTTATAAATTAAATTAATATTTGCCTTCCAATTTTTGCGAATTAGGATTTTTTTTTAAATTTCGAAAAAAATATTTTTTATAAAATTTATATATAAATTTTTTAAAAAAAAAAATTAACCCCTCGTGAGTGAACAAAATTTTTTTGTTCACTCACGCAGGGGGGAGTAAGCAAAAAAGAATCAAAAGGCATCGAAATGTCATTAATTAAACGCTTTGCAACACAAATTTTAATCGGTTTAAAGTATATCCACTCCAAAGGAATAATCCATGGCGACTTAAAACCAGAAAATATCCTTCTAAGACAAGAAAACAAATCAAGCATAAAAATCATTGATTTCGGCTCAATTTGTAAAATTGGAGAACGCTTATACACTTATTTGCAAAGTAGATTTTATAGAGCACCAGAAGTCGTTTTAGGGGCTGGATATAACACTCAAATCGATATGTGGTCACTTGGCTGCATTCTAGCTGAGCTAGCATTAGGAAGGCCTCTATTTCCAGCTGAAAACCAGCACGAATTAATTTTACGAATGGTTACAGCTAAAGGAAAACCATCTGAAAGCTTATTGTCAAAATCCAGAAAAAGACTTTCATATTTTGATAACAATGATGAGCCAATTTACACAGAAAAACGTTTTAATTTCCCAAGTACAAAATTATTATCTGAACAACTCGGAGGACTTGACTCAAAGTTTGTTGATTTTGTACAAAAATGCCTTGAATGGGATCCAGATGAAAGGATAACAGCTGAATTAGGGCTACAACATGAATGAATAAAAGGTGCAGGGGTTAGAAAACTTTCTAGAGTTCCGTTATATAGAAGAACTGTAACGGTGAAATAAAAAGATATGTAAATAAGAAAATTTAAATTATAAATCTTTGTTTTTTTAGGGCAATTTACCTTTTTGATGCATTTTTTTAGGATTATCTCATATTAAATTGATAATTTACATATCTAAATAAACTACATAATTTAAGGGTTTAAGTCAAATAAAATTATTTATAAATCAGTCTGACGATTTCTGAGAAATAGGAAAGATTCAATATTATCTTAAAACATTGTAGGAATAATTTGATTACCAAAGATTAATTATTTTAATCAGCTTTAACTCTAAACGAGCAGCCTACAGTTAGTTGGCATTTTCCGCCAGCAGGTCGGGCAAGTACAAACTGACATCCTTGGCATGAAATAACATTCTGGCTGTGACTGAACCCTGTAGTCACATTTTTACAAGTCGGGCACTTTATGTCCATAAAATAGCTATCTGGACTCTGAACAAGTCTCTTTTTCTTATGGCAAATCTTTTGATCTGATGCTGAAGGATGCAGAAGATCAATCTCCATTATGAAAATTATATAATCTAATGGTAGTTCAGTTTATAACTGCAATAAGTAGGTTTTTAAAAAATTTACTTTTAGTACTAAAAACTTGATTTTATTCAATAGTTAATGATTTAAACTTTATCATAATCGTCCTTTTTTGAAACTACTTTTACTTATTACTTGATTGAATTTAAACAATTAATTTTTTGCAATAATATAAATATATTTAAATTTAGAATATTCATTCAAATTAATTCGGCTACTTCACTTGATTATTTAAAATAGATAAGAACAGAAAATGTGATTAATAAAATGGTTAATTTTACATCTAAACTTTATGATCTATTATAATTAGCTCTAAATCTAGCTTTATTAATTACTTTGGCTATCTTCATCTATTTGCTGGAACTGCATTTCCCATTGGAAGTTATAAAATAGTGGTCTAATATCATATCTATTATCATCTGCTGAATAAGACTCTACATGCAAAGATGGTGTAATCGTTGCCATCTTATGTCTATTTTTCCCATATAATGTATAAAACCTTTTCACTTTAGTAGCAATTTCAAGCTTACTTAAATGTCTCCACTCAGACAACAATTTTTTATAAGTATAAAGTGGACCAAGATGGTCAACTTTTCTAAGCCTTGCCAAAGCTGACATCTCAGGATAAGTCAGCCCAAGCTCAGCTTCATCAGTTTGGCAGATTTGTCCTTCTTTTAAAGGTGTTAGCTCAGCAGTGGGCACTGCAAAAGCTATTTCACTAGCTCTTTCCCTGTCCTCGAACGAGCAAAACTCCTTATTTTGGGGAAAAAATCACACCATGAGCGAGCAGAAATGTTTTAATTAATTTTTATATAGCAATATTTTGATATATAGCGCACAACCCTTCATAAGATCTTTAAGGGCAATGCCTTTATAAGGAAATTATTTTAAAATCTAAGAAAATCTTATAAATTTAAAAATATCATTTTGCATCTCTATTTGTTAGTTTTAAATTTGGCATTTGGGCATTTTAAAATATCAAAAGTAATTTTATCTTTCCTCAGAACCAATGAGGAGTCAGACCCTATATAAGTGATAGTATTAATAAATCCTATTAACTTTTAAATAGTCGCAAATAATTTTATAAAGTAAATTAATTTTTACAGTAAATATTTTAAATTTTTTGAAAAACAAATAGCCTTATCAGTGAATGAGCAAGAGTAAGAGCTGGGGCATTCAATTTATCACTAGCCCAAATCAGAAATCTTTTTAAGTCAACTTTTGAAATTCCTCCAATAGGGTTCAGATCTGCACTTGAATTATCATATTTTGTCATATACCCCGTAAGCCCTTCTTCTAGATTCCCACTTCCTAGTATCAAATAATATCCAGGCTTATTTTGATGCCACGGTAGCAACTGTCCCATCAAATAAGCAGCAATCATTCTACTTCTTGCTTGTATATTTTGCAGAGCCAAATCTTCAATCCACGTCCCTCCATTTGCTTTAAATTCCGGTCTTTTACTTTTAGAAAGCCTAGTAAACAGTCCTATAAAGCTTTCTACAATTTTATCAATGACGACTTCATAATGTCTTGATCCAATTTCTTCCGCAGCTCTCCTTGATCTGCTTTTAGTTTCTTCTGAGCTATTAACAGTGCCAAGATAAGCACTATGCATTATTTCGCTTGCCAAATCTCTCGGACTTTCAGGCAGCCTTCCTATAAGTTTCCTTAAATCGCTTTCTATTACTTCTTTATTATAGCCTGTTTCTGATTTTAAGCTATCATATACAAGCTTGCACATGCATCCAATAAGAGCTAATGTTGAAGCAGAATCAGCACCTCCTGAAAGAGGCAAAAAAAATCCTTTAGCCCCTGACCTACGCAAGTAATCCCATAGTCAGCAAGCTGGGGCGCCTGCTATTTGTTCTTCAATGCTGAGTCCAGGCTCATTAATTGGCTGAGTTATACAAGGAACTGATGGGCAGAGCAAGTAAAATCCAGTTATATCAATAATTGGGTAGCTTAGTTTTACTGACTCAGTTGCTTGCATGGCTCTTGCATTTGCAGGACTTCTAAACGTCTCAATGCTTGACAAATCAACAGCTGCACTTAAAACGTCAATATCTTTCAAATTAAATTGGTTTGAGCTTGCCACAATTCTCCCATTTACACAAATCATAGAGGATCCATCAAAATACATACGATTCCCATCACAACCTCTATTATTAGCATACAAGTAAATTCCACCTGTTTTATTTGTGGCTGATTTTATAAGGTCGATTCTTTTTTCTAGTTTTCTTAACTCCCCCCCCCATCCTTGATCGAACGACTCGCCATCGTTCGATCAAGGATGGGGGTTAAAAAAAATTTTTTGGGAAAAAATTTTATATATAAAATGAAAAAGATATATATAGATTTTTTTTATTTTACTATTTAATAATTATTTTTACAGCAAAAAATTGAATTAATTTCATAAAAATACCAATTTTTAATATTTTGATTTATTAGTTACCCTTTTAAACTGTATAAATTTTAATTTAAATTAAATATTTTTTTAAAATTTTAAAGAATCTCTATTTTATTAGATTATTGAGCTTTTAAGCCTATGTTGATGTCTAAATCACTTCGGATGGTTGATTTCGCAGCTTTCTGTCGTCTCAAAGCTCTGAAAGCAACTTCATTAGGTATATCTTCCAAAGCATTTGATAACTAATATTTTTTATATATATAAAAATTTGCATGATATGAAAATCGTTCGATCAAGGATGGGGGGGGTTAATTTCCCCAATTTTTAGGAATTTCTACAGTCAATCGTTCGATCAAGGATGGGGGGGGGAGTAAGCTGAAATGCGAGCCAGATTGGTTAAAAACGACATGTGCGCCTTGTAAAAATAAAGAAGTTGAGGAAGGAATTGGAGCCCACAATTCTTCACAGCATTCAGTGCCAATTATATAGCCTTCTTCAGTCCTTAGCATAGCATTGCCGAATTTTGACTTCCTTTGTCCGTAAAGCTCAGAAATACACCGTGGGAGCGTGAAATCCATAACCATAGTGCCACCAGACCATGGGGTAAACCATCTGCTTTCTCTATAATTCCCATCATCAGCCAAAATAAGCTTAGGCTTGATCAGAATGACTGTTCCATTATAGACGAAAACTCCACAGTTATAAAGAACGCCGTGGTGGTTTATACACATTCCTACCAAGCATAAAATATCGTTATAAGGCTCAGTCTTTGTGAGCTTCAATACTTCAGCTAGGACTTCCCAAGAGTGGAAAAAGGTGTCTGGCTCTAAGAAATGGTCTTCACAGCTGTAACCTGGAATTTCCAGCTCACTCCCAATGCGCACTTTTGCCTTATGGACGTCTTTTGATATTTTTATTGACTCAATGATGCGTCTTTGGTTGCCTGCAAAATCCAGGACCCAATTATTCAGTGTTGTGACAGTCACAATGGTTGGCTCCATATTATATTTAAATAGATGAAGTCTTTAATTTTCTCTCTATAAATTATAATTAATTCCCTAGTATATTAAAATAAGTTTGGTTATATATTGATTACATTCCTCATAATCTCTTCTACGCAACCTTTCAGGATCTCGCTATCTCCATCAACAGTCTGATTATCGAAATGGACCCATACTTTATTTTCTCCTTTTTTGACTTCCACAATCCTTTGTTCTGCATCTACAGATACATGGCTAAACCTTTTCTGTAATAGCCCTATTAAAAATTTGAATTTTTTATCATCAAGCTCCATTTCATTCATATGCTAGATTACGATAAATAGCTCCAGGATTTGTTCAGACGTCAGCTGCTAATTATTTGACAAGCCAAATTTGGATTTTCTAACCAAAGATTGCTGCACTATTCATTATAAGCATTTATAGCTTGTAAAAGTGCTGTATTTGGGTTTGAAGTTACCTGCAAAATCATTAAAGCAATTGTGTCAGCAATCATATCATTTATTGGCCCAGCAATCCATTCAAGTAAAATCTGGCCCGTTGTTTCAGGAGTTACCTTAACTTCTCCTACACTCAATTTGCAAATATTTTCTTCCTTTATCGAAACTACTTGAGGGAATAAGCACTTTATAAGGTATTGGAGAATCCTTAAAGACTGCTTATAAGGCACGTGCATTTTTTGGTAAAATTTATTCATTGTGATTGAAGTATAATTTGTTAAAGAATCCACAGGCATAATCATATGTTCTGGCTCTTTTCTAACTATAATTCCTTCTTCTGGAAAATCGTCTTGCTTAAGGATTTTTGCATTGATTTTTACTGGGAAAGTAAATTCAACAGTTTGGTGGTTTACTGGGGCCACAATTTTCATAGTGAATCTTCTTTCTAATGCGTTTTTTAGCCTTGACATTTCATTTGAGTCACCATGAACCAGCACTACATAAGAAGGCTTCAAGTTTTCAATGAAATTGGAAGTTTGTGCAAAATCCGCATGTGCTGAAAAACTTATATAGTTTACGCTCATATTGAGCTGCTTTATTGAGCCATCTGTAGATATGATATCTCTTGGGTTGCTCAATAATTCTTTTGCCAGAGTGTTTTCGACACAGTATCCAGTTAAAACAAGCCCATTTTGAGGATATGTGCACCATCTTTCAAAAAGGTCTCGACTCTGACCGTTTTGGAGCATACCAGGAGAAGCCATAACGACGCTAGGGGTATCATCATCGAAATAGTCCATGCTTTTAAGGTTTGAAATGTGCTTGAAAATAAAAGGGTTGTGGCCTTGCTCGAATTCTCTTCTGACGCTTTCTCCCATCATGTTAATATAAGTTTGAAAAACTGACATGCATTTTTTTGCTAGCTCCTCTAATTGTTTTTTTAGAAATTTAAAAAATCCCAATTCGTTAAATTGAAGTCAAATATTTTTATTTAATTTGCAAAATTTATGTTTTAAAATGCAAGCTGTTTAAAAATAAGCAGAATTAGCTAGAGATTTCATTATAATAATTATCACTTATATATCAAAATAATTTTTCCTAAAAATTTTTTGTTCGCTCACGGAGGGTGGGTTTTTGGGCAAAAAATAGGGATTTTTCTAATGGTTTTGCTTACTCACGAAGAGGAGTAAGGAGCTTGCGTAGTAAATTGGAATATTTTGGATATATTTTGATATGGAGATTATAAGAAAATGGCTGAAAAATAGAGATTTATTTTATAGGAAATATTGGAAATATATCTATTAAAGAAGCTTATATAATTATAACGAAAAGTGATATCTTCATGGTTAGACCAATATTCGTCTAAAATTAACAATAGTTCTTGAGCTCTGCCTAATGCGAAAACTGGTAAAAGACATCTGCCGCCACCAGCAACAATATTATGAACAGTAGTTGTGAAAAGTCTTTCTCTATCCGGCCGTGGCTCATGAACTTGTACACCATATGTGCTTTCTACGATTAAAATATCGACTGACATATCAGGGACTTTTGCTGGCTGTAAGTGCCGATCTTCTTCACAGCTATAATCTCCTGTATAAAGAACTCTGACACCAGCTATTTCAACCATAAACATAGCAGCCCCAAGGACATGCCCAGCATTATAGCACCAAAAGTTGATTCCACCTATATCAAGTTCTTGATGATAATCGATAAGTTTGACTTTTTCAAGAGCTGCATTGAGATCTTGAGGTGTGTACAGTTTTTCTGCATCAGTCCCTATATTACTGACTTTTACATAGTCAGAAAATAGTATGTTGCTTTAATTAGTTTGACTGTATATATTAAGATCTGTCTATTATTATTTCATTAAAAACAATGTAACTTTTAAGCATTATAATGACGAAATTGAAGTAAAAATAATAATTTTAGGATTGCTTTGGTAGGATGTGTCATATATGTGGTCCCTTTGAAGATTGTTTTGGTCAAAAAATAAGGAAGAGCACCTGAATGGTCAAGGTGAAAATGAGTAACTAAGAGAATGTCTACAGTCTCTAAATCAATATCATCAAATCCTGGCAATGCATTCAATCCTGAAAGACCTGGGTGAATTCCACAATCAAACATCACTGTTTTGCCTCTGAATTTGAGAACAATGCAGGAGCGGCCCACTTCATTTCCTGATCCCAATGGGATTATTTCAAGCCTCTCACCATTGATGATTCTCTCCATTTAATAAATTTACGTTCCTTTGCTAATTAATAGAAATAAAATGGTGACGTTGACGGAAAGTGGACTCCGAGGCGACATCTCCTGATGGAGCAGTGGACAGGCGAGAGAGGTGGCGAAATGTTCCTTTAGGGCTCAAGTAGACTGTCTCAATGGAAAACTTTGCCGAATCAGGGTGTTTGCTTCTCCCTCGAAGGTTTTCCCTGTCGCTGCCAGATGGGCTAGACAGGTTTTGCATATCACATGGTCTTTCCTCATCAGACCATCGGGGCGATATCAAGAGGCGGCTCTGCCCAGGGTGAGCTAATCTCCTGGACAGGTGGTTCAGGTCGGAAATTCAAAATGGCTTCACGCCATTTTTGGAGCCGAAATGGGGCATATGGTCAGCGCCTGCGGGAGCGCCTATGGTCGGATACTTATTAATCTTAATCTTTGCTAATTAATGTCAGGAAATATTCTTGAATAATAAATTATTTTCTGATTTTTAAATAATAATTTATTAAATAGGCAATATTTTGTGAATAAGCTTCTAAAGGCCTCTTTTTGGATTTAAAATATTGAAATATCCGAAATCTGTTTCTTGCTATTTATAATTTTAATAAAAAATGGACAAATTGTCACCTCGTGCTCAAACAGTGAACTCTCCTAAATCCACTGTCAACTGAAAATCAGAAAACTTTTTAGACGCCAACTTTACAAGCTTTAATTCAAAATTTAATGTTGAAAAAATCTCTGCAAGGCTTGCGCTTTTCTCCCCTTCACGAAGACATTTGATTAAGATTACGATGTTATACGACCATAAGCGGAGTTAGCCACTGGCCACTTGCCTTCTCTCAGCTCTAAATAGCCTTAAACTTAAACTTGATTAAGATTATAAGAGAAGCTCCCTGTAGGCCTGCCTAGTAGGCAGTATTCGTCTTCAGATCACTTGCTTGCCAGTCCGAGTTCGGTCTCTCACTGTATTGCCCCCTCAAAAACGAGGCTTGTACTTAATACCTGTGAGTAAGAGGCGCTAGGTCACTTTAACTGGATTTGCCTTCCAGAGAATTCAAAAAACCAGTTCTGGGATGGAAACTTGCAGCCTAGGACACAACACCTAATATAGTGTTAGGAAAAATCCCCTATTGGCCAGAGTAGCATCATTGGTGTTGCTGGGATATCCCATTCTAACTCCGACTCTCATTTTTCTCAAAGGCAAAACCTTGATCTGGATGTGATCTGCAATGGCTTAGTCTGACATTGCTCTCTACTAAACCAAGTAAAACCTGGCGGATACACATTAATGAAGCTTCCTCCATTCCACAAGGTCCCTGGGCCGCACCAGCTACAGATTTAAAAGGGTGGGTTGGTTCGACATATCATTTAATGTGTGGCTTTAAAAAGCCAGACTCCATAGACCTCAGATCGAATAAGAAAAAATGGAAGCAGCTTTTGGATTTCCGACCTGAAGCAACTGTCTAAGGAATTAGCTCCCAAGAGCAGAGCCAAAGCTTCTCTAAACCCGAAGACCTTACTTAAAAGTGACAGAGACACTTCATTGGGATACGCCACTGAGTCCTATTTCCTACAACGTCACCATTTTATGTCTGAGGACATTTAGGGTTTGCAAAAGTAGACAAGCTTGAAAAAAATGCTGTAGCTAACCTAGACCAATGAGAATACTCTCGAAAAGGCGATAATTATTTACTGTCTCTAGTAGAGGCACAAGAAAGTTTAAAAAGAAAGCTCGATCATAGCGACGTTGTGGAGTTACAATTATGCGCAAGACGGGGAAAAGATCCAGTCCAAAGCAGACCAACCACGCAGCAAACCTCAAATCTGCACGAATTTAGACAGAGTAAAAGAGTTGAAGAAGAACAGTTTAAAGAAAGATGCAAATATTACAGGAGCTATGAAGAAGAGCTTGATCATCTTTGCAATGACCTTGATAATCAGCTGAAAACATGTAACGAAAAAAGAGAAACTTATAGAAAAGAATGTTCAGAAATGCGAGAAGAAATGAAAACAGCCATGGAAGATCTGAAAAATTGGAAAAAAGAAATCGCTGAAGCCGAGAAAAAAGAAAAAATGAAAATGAGAAGAAGACAGATGGAAATGGCACAGTTTTTGTCAAAAAAGCAAAATTTAAGAGAAGACACAATTAGAAGAGAATCAGAAACCACTGTTATTTTGGAATCAATAACTGTAGAAATTTCGAAAAGAATGAAATGGCTGACTGATTTAGATGAACAATCGACTGATTTAAGAAGAAAATTATTGCAAATTAAAAATGAGCAGATAAAGCATTATTCTGATCTTTTGAGAGAAGGAAAAGATACTAGAAGTGAAGGGCTGCAATGAATAGTCAAAATTCTTTGAAAATTGCAATGTAAATTATCAATTGAAAACTTTCCTGCATTTCTAGATGAAGCAGCTGTTAAATTTGTCATTCAGCAAGCTGAAAAGAGCCAAGAAATCGATAATTTGTTAGAGTCATTGATTAATTATACTGGAAAAAGAATAACCCTTCAGAGGGCTTCTTCAAATGATAGATGAAATAATGTATACTAGGCAAGACTCAATTTAATATAAATAGTTTTTATAATATATATTAAGAACTCTTACCAGCGAATACAATTCATTAACATATAAAAGATCGTCTGGCAAAAATAACCCAAAATATCCGAATCAAAAAACCTGAATATAAAGTTGACAGGAAAACCAGACAAGTTAACATCATTTGAGAAAATTATGATTCTGGCCTGGTTTCAACCAAAAGTCTTAACTCGACCACAAATTTTGGCGAAGTGCTAATCCTTCAACAGAATATTTCAAAATTAAAAGAAGAGTATCAGAAAGTGCAAGAAGTGGAAATAAAAAGATTGACGCATGAATGCAGCGTAAATAACTACGAATCTCGATACAGGACAACTTTGAAAGAACTACTGTCAGCCATAATTGGAATTGAATGTGTAGATAAGTATATGGTTTTGGTAATGAAAGAGCAAAGAGATATTATTACCAGTGTCCAAAACACGAAAACTTTTAAATTTAGCTCAAAAGATAGCTTACGACTGAATTTGTCAAAGTAATATGTGTATAAATAATCCGAAAAATATTAAAATATGCTTAATAAATAATTATTTATAAATACTGAAACAGTTTCCTATTAATTTTATTGTTTATAATTTTACTTTTGAATATCTTTTCACAAATGGAAGAAGTTTCACAACAAGTAGACTTAGCTACTGCAATCAAAAAATACAAAGAACTTAATGAACACCTTAAAAAAGAGCTCAGCGAGGCCAAATCCACACTTCACAAAGCTTCATTAATTCTTAAAGAATCTGAGCGCAAAGTCATAAAAACAGATATAAAGGATACTCAGCTCACATCAATTTCCAGCAAAATAAACCATTTAAAAAGATCAGCTTCAGTTCTAAGGACAGAAATCTCAGCAAATTATTCTGCTGAAATTCCTAACCTTGAAAATGAAATCAAGTATTTAAAAAATCAGCTTAAAATTTCTGATGACGAAACGGAGCTACTTAAAGAACTCAAAAAGAAACAAAAAGAAAGGCTAGAAGAGCTTGCGATTCCTGAAGCATTAGCCCTTCATACAAAAAATGTTAAAGAAGAAATAAAAGCGAATAAAATCGAATATAGAGAAATTCGAAATAAAGCTATAGAGGATCAGCATAGATGAAAAGAACTCCATGAGAAATGGGTAAATTTAAATGAAAAAATAAAAGAATTTGATATCGGAAATAAAGAAGAAAAAATAATAAAAGTTGAAGAAAATGCTTTGGATGAGCTGAATAAAAAACAAAAAATTGTAAATAAAGCAATAATGCAAGATGAAATGAAAAATAAGAGAGTAATAATGGAAGAAGAAGCGAGGCTGCAAAATCTTAAAAGTGAAGACGAAATTTTGAAAAATAAATTAAGTGAAAAAGAAAAAGAAGTGAAATTGAAAAAAATTAAAATAAAGGAGTTGAAAAATACATTAAAGCAAATACAAAATGATTTAAATAGCAAAAAGATGATAGCAGTAAATAATGAGGGGAGCAATGAAAATACATTTTTGACTTTAGTTGGAGAAGAGTTGCAATCATTGCCAATATTGACTCCTCAACCCCAATTAAAATCAAGTGTTGGAAAATCAACTAATTCAAGCATTGTAAGCCCTGAGCCTTATAGAATCATAAATGATTCCAGAGGTTTATCAAAAATCTATAAAGATCACATTTTTTCTAACTTTCTAGTTAAGACTTCATTTTTAACGATATGAAAATTTCTTCAATCCAGGATTTTATTTTGTTTTCTCAATTTTAAGTAATTTTTACGGTATAGTTCGAGTAAGCCTTATCTTAAATTCCATTAATTTTTATATATTTTACTTATTTAGAGTACTGCATCTATAGTTTTAGGCATTTAAAAAATATTTCGAATTTCAAAAACCTTAATTACATAATAGATATCTCCATTTTAATAAATTATCTTAACTGAATCTGTTGCTAATTTAATTAATTAGTTACCTTCGCTTTGATTTTACACCAAAAGCTCATCTCTTGCCCAGGTAAAATCGAATAAGCATCCGGATATAAATTAAAAGCATTTGCAGGAGCCATCTGTGGCTCAATAGCAATTGAAGCTCGATGAGGTGGAGTATAAATCTGCAAATGGCTCATTGAAGGAGAAGCATAAATATACGTCTCCAAATTCGTTACTGGATTTGCCAATACCGCTGTCAAATTTTCTTCTTGTTTTTCTACAATAAAACAATCATCATATTGTTCATTTCCAATTTCACCTTTTTGGTGATGATAAGGAATCTTTTCGCCTGTAGGTATCACATTTACCATTACATATTTTTCACTTGGCCAAAAATCAAGCACACATGTATTAATTTTTTCTGAGTGGCAAAAATATGGATGGAAGCCTAAAAAGCAAGGCATCGGGTTTTCGCTTTCATTAATTATTTTAACTTCCATATGGAGACCTAATTCATTTACTTCATAGGAAGCTTGACATCTATACGTAAATGGGAACCCATTAATAGGCTCTATTTTGCATTCAAGTGTCGCATGTGAGCTAGTTTCAGTTGTGCCGATACTTTTTACTTCAAATGGCTTATCAGCAACATAGCCATGAATAGCGTTTTCTCCATTATTTAGAGGAAACGAATAAGTGTTCCCTTGAAAAGTAAAAGTCCCATTTGGGATTCTCCCAGCAAAAGGGGCTAAAATTGCTCCACTGTAATAATTCCTATAATTATTCACCAACTCTTGAGAGTCCGCGATAAAATCAACAATAGCTTGCCCATTAAATGATAAGAACTCCAAAGCTGCGCCAAACTCTACAGAGATTTTTGCTAAATAAGAGTGATAAGCCAAAACCACAAATTTTCCATCTTCTGAAATCAATGCAAATTTATGCATAATTAAATTATAAGTTTTTCTGTAAGAATTTCTTGATATACTTTATGATCTTTCTTCTGACTCCCCCCCCCCCCCTCCGTGAGCGAACAAAAAAAATTTTGTTCGCTCACGGAGGGGGGTTATTTTTTTTTTTTTAAAAAAATTTATATATAAATTTTATAAAAAATATTTTTTTCGAAATTTAAAAAAATCCTAATTTGCAAAAATTGGGAAGCAAATATTAATTTAATTTGCAAAATTTATGTTTTAAAACGCAATTTGTTTAAAATTAAACAGAATTAGCTCTAGATTTCATTATACTAATTATCACTTATATATCAAAATTTTTTTCCATTAAAATTTTTTCTATTAAAAAAAAAATTTTGTTCACTCACGGAGGGTGGGTTTTTGGTCAAAAAATGGCGATTTTTCTAATGGTTTTGTTCGCTCACGGAGGGGGGGGGGGGGTGAGTATCATATTAAATTATTACTGCATTTAGAAGTTTAAAAAACTCAGCCTGTTAAAAATCCTGCTATGACTCTCTAGATATTAAAAACAAAAACTGATGGCAATATCGCCTTCTCTTTATAGCAATTATCATATGAAATTGTGCATTTCCTCTGATTATAATCCATATTATGAGTAAGATAAGATCTATTCAAGCCAACCCTACTCAGGAGGAAGAACTACGTAAAGCTGAAGTCGAGAAAGGGGATTTGCCTTCAGCTCTTTCAGCACTCTATACACGTCTTTCAGAAGCTGAACAAAATTTTTCTGATATTGATATCAGAGATACTTTGATTGAAATTGGGGACTATTCAATAAATTATTAATTTACTATATTTTTCTTGCACCAGTAGATGAAATCTTAACAAAAACAAGCATTATCCTGATTGATTTTTATTAAATTCATAAATTTAGTATATTTCCAAGCTGAAGGGAATTTTGATAGAGCGATCAATATCTATCTCATAGCGTATGATAAAGCCGGCGCATCAGACATAAAAATCGATATTACACTCAAGATCGCGCTCATTGGCTTCAAAACAAAAAATCTTGACATGCTGAAGAAAGAAATAGAACAAGCCACCGCATTATTTGAAGAAGGAGGAGATTGGGAAAGAAAAAACAGGTTTAAGGCTTACGAAGCTGTCTATTTCATGATGATCAGAAATTTTAAACAAGCCGCTCACAATTTCTTGGACATTTTGGCAACATTTACATCAACTGAGCTGATTTCTTTCCAAGATTTCATTCAATATACAATCTTGATGTCCTTGGTTTCTCTTGACCGTGCAACTATTAGAACTAAGGTAATCCACGCTCCTGAAATCTTGTCTGTGATTCGTGAGATGCCAACTATTCAGCAATTTTTAGACTCCCTGTATAAATGCAATTATAAGCAATTTATCAAGAGTTTTGTTGACGAGACTCTTTTTTCAATTGAATAACAAAATATTTTTTATATATATTCTAAAATCATTATATTTAACTTTTATATAAAAGTATAATTGATTTGGTGGCTAATGATAACTATATAAGCCAGCATAAAAGATATTGGGCAAGAGAAATGAGAGTTGTGGCTTATTCTCAATTTTTAGAAAGCTACAGAAGCGTAACGCTAGAAAGCATGGCAAAAAGCTTTGGAGTCAGCATTGATTTTCTTGATAAAGAGCTTTGTGAGTTTATTTCATCAGGACGTTTGCCTTGCAAGATTGACAGAGTTAATGGAGTGATTGAATCAAACAGGCCTGACTCGAGATCTGCTGTATATGGGTCCATCGTGAAGAGCGGGGATTACATCTTGAATAGGCTCCAAAAACTAGCAAGAATAATGGACGTCTAACTAACAGATTCATTTAGATATTTTATTTATTTTAATAAATGATGGAACTTCAGGATCTCAGCACAAAAAGTGAAAATAGTTCGTCTTCAAGTCTGCCGTATTTTTCTTTATCAACAAATGAAAAGAGTGTCATATCAAAGATCTTTTTTTTATGAATAAAGCCTATTCTTGCTTTAGGGTCAAAATCTGTCATAAATATTGAAGATACTTTGCCACTTCCAGATGAAGAATCTGCAATCAAAGAAAATCTGACGAAAACCTTAGAAAAATACAAGCTTTCTAAGGCAATTTTTATTGCACATAAAGGACTAATATTTAAGACAATTTTGCTTTATCTGTCAATTACGTCGTTTGAGTTCGGATATCCTATTTTTATCAAACTTTTTATATCATATATAGAATCAGGGGCAGAATCTCTTTTATATGGGGTCTTATTGTCGCTTTGTTTTACTACAATTGTCCTTTTAACACAAATTTTAATTGGACAATTTCATTGGCACTGCAAATTATTAGAATTAAGAGTTAAAAATGCAATATCCAGCGTAGTTTATAACAAAATTCTTAAAGTGTCATCAATATCTGAAGGGCTTGGAATAAATCTTCTGCAGGTTGATATTAGGAAAATTTATGATTGTATACCTTCAGAACAGGTATGGCTCGATCTGAAACTCCCCCTCCCCTCCTCCCTGACGGTTTCAGTATGAACGAAATTGTTAATTCAAAATGACAATTTCCTCACTAAGGATTTGACAAGTCAAATTCAATTTGTAGATTTCAATAATGCTGAAATCGTCAAGGGATGGGGGAGGGGAGGGGGTTTCTCAGGTCGATCTAAAACCGTTCTCACGGTATATCCCAAAAATCAGCATAATACTACTGTGCCCATTAAATGCTACTTATGCAATAATTCTGGTTTCAAATCAAGTTGGGGATGCTGTCTATGCAGCCATTGTCACTTTATTTTTGTGTATTTCGTTGAACTATATAGTAGCTTTGAAAATAAAAAAATATTCTGAAAATTTGATGACAATAAGAGATAAAAGAATAGAGGCATCTACACAGATGCTAAGTAATATCAAAATGATTAAGGCGTATTGCTGAGAAAATTATTTCAAAGGAGCAATAAAGAAAATTAGAAATAGCGAGCTCTCGTTTTTGAGGTTTTTAAAATATTATCTAATAAATTAATTAAATGATTGTAAAAATTATTATTTTAAAATAAAAATATAATTTTATAGCAAAAAATAATATAGCAGCATATACTATCATCTACAGTTGATTTCTTTTATTTTTCTATACCAAGTTTGACATCTGGCTCTGTCTTTCTTTATTACACTTTTATTATGGGAAAAACCATAACTGCAGGAGAAGCTTTCGTAACTTTAATAACCCTTAACATACTTCAAGATTCCCTTCAATGGCTTCCATATTTCGTTTCAGATTTACTTATCTGCTTTGTAAGTATCAAAAGAATGCAAACTTTCCTTGACGAGCCTGATATAAAAGAATTGGCTTACTCAGATTCAGCAACTCTAAACAACTGTTCGTTTTCAATTGGTGATACAAAAATTTTGAAAAATATTAGCTTGCAAATAAATAAAAAAGAATTTATTGCAATAACTGGACCTGTAGGATGCGGGAAATCTGCACTTCTAAATAGCTTAATGAATGAAATGTCGCAATTAAATATGGCGTCTTCGTCTGGGCATGGCCTCCCGGACATGCAGCCTCGACTCATATTTAATTATATCCGCAAGGTTTTACCATTCTAGAGATGGACGGCAATACTAGGTAAGCAATTCTGGTGGTGTTCAGAGCCTAGTCCTAGTCTATTCTCAGGGGTGGATTTTTCTCGTGGGGAAGGAGGGCACGGAGTTGGAAAGGGGAAGCTCAGCAGAGTCCGTTAGGACCAATCGGGCAACTCCCTAGCGTGAAACTGGGCGTTACGTCCCAGGCTACGTGTTTTTCCTTTTTGCCGATAGCCGACCAGAAAAATCCATTTTTTGGGTTTTTCGGAAAAGCAACCCATGTATCAAGCAAGTAGCTCATCCATGAGCCGTCGAAGCCGGAACACTTTCCCGAGAAGCACCCTGGTGATCGAAGCAGGCCATCCCCAGCGACCTGTGGGCCCGATGCGACGCAAGGCGAGTGATAGTACCTGGGGTTGTCACCCCGTAGTGGACGTTAAACGTTATAAATTCTATAAGATAAGATAAGAGTGAAATGTCGCTCTCATCTGGTTCTGCTACAACTTTTAAAAGCCTCGCATTTGTGTCTTCATTAGATTCTTGGCTTCAGAACGAGTCAATTAGAAATAATATTTTATTTGGGCTGCCTTATAAAGAAGAATGGTATAAAATTGTAATTGAAGCTTGCGCCTTAGTCCAAGATATAAATTCTCTTCCAGATAAAGATCTAACTGAAATTGGTGGAAAAGGTATAAATCTCAGTGGTGGGCAAAAAGCTAGGATTTGCCTTGCCAGGGCTGTTTATGCTGATAAAGATGTTTATTTATTAGATGACCCTTTAAGTTCTGTAGATACAGATGTAGCTAGTCATATCATAGATGAATGCTTATTAGGAATACTCTCGAAGAAAACCAAAGTTTTAGCAACCCATCGTTTAGATATTCTTAATAAAGTTGATCGTGTAGTTATACTGGAGAATGGAACAATCAAAGAAATAACTACCCCAGAGAAGTTGATAATAACTGATTATGTGTATGGGATAATAAAAATATGACGATTGTCGAATTTTCAGGTCTCCCAGCCAAGATTTTCCCTTGTATATTTTTATAATGACTGTGAGCTTTAGAGGAGTGCCTGACTAATTCAAGTAGACTTTTAAGCCCAAAGAGGAGTCATGAAAAGCCCAAATTTCAATACTGGTGCCCTTATTTTACCTAAGGCTAGGTGGTCACGCTTTGGAAGGCTAAAGGGAAATGGCGCAAACACTCCAGTATAGTTTTAGCCATAGCAGCGGGGCGACCTAGTAGTAGACGCTAACTCCCCCCCCTCCGTGAGTGAACAAAAAATTTTTGTTCACTCACGGAGGGGGGTTAATTTTTTTTTTTAAAACAAATTTATATATAAATTTTATAATAAATATTTTTTTCGAAATTTAAAAAAATCCTAATTCGCAAAAATTGGAAAGCAAATATTAATTTAATTTATAAAATTTTATGTTTTAAAGAGCAATTCGTTTAAAATTAAATAGAATTAGCTCTAGATTTCATTATACTAATTATCATTTATATATCAAAAATTATTTCCATAAAAAATTTTTGTATTAAAAAAATTTTTGTTTACTCAAGGAGGGTGGGTTTTTGGGCAAAAAATAGCGATTTTTCTAATGGTTTTGTTCACTCACGGAGGGGGGGGAGTAAGCAAATAGACCAATTTGATTTGATTATGTTGCACAGAATTATGAATCGAAATTAGAAGATATTGCTAATGCTCAAAATAAATTGGTAGCAGAAGAAGAAAGAGAAATGGGAAGAGTGAATTTAGCGGTTTATAATGACTATTTAAAATATTCAGGTGGATATTCTATGCTAGGTTTGGCAAGTGTGTGCATTGTGCTGTGAGCATCCACAAGGGTTTTAGGAGATGTTATGCTAAAAGAATGAGCAATGCATCCTGATGATATTGACCATACTTATCTATTTTTATTTCTAGGGCTGAGATTTGGTGGTAGCTTATTTATTTACATTAGAACTCTCTTTTTGCTAGTAATACAAGGCATAAGAGCTTCTAAGAATATACACAAAGCGATAATCAATTCTTTTTCAAGAGCGCCAGTTAATCTTTTTTATGATGTAACCCCTCTAGGAAGAATCCTCAATAGGATTAGTAAAGATTTAAATACAATTGATGAAAGTATTTCCCGACTTATTTGTACTGTTGCTACAGAAACATGTTTACAATTATCAAAAGTTATACTGACTCTCATTTATTTTCCCATGACTATTTTAATTATACCTCCTTTGCTTTATTTTGCGAACCAAATAAAAAACAAGTTTTTAAATGTTGCGACTGATTTAGTCAGGCTTGAGGCAACTTCTATATCTCCTGTGCTAAATCATTTCAAAGAAACTAGTTCAGGTGTTAAAATCATAAGAACTTTTAACAGAAAACAAAATTTTCAGCAAAAGAATTACCAATTGTTAGATAACAGCACAAGAGTTCAATATTCGCTTGGAGCTTGCAGGTGTTGGCTACAGACTAATTTAGGATTTCTAAGCGCATTTATAACTTGCACAGTAACTTTACTTATAATTATTTTCAGAACCAATATTTCACCTGGAATTGTAGGATTGGTATTAACATATGCTCTTTCTCTCCCAGGCGGGGTGACTTATTTAGTTCAAGTCTTAGCAGACACTGAAAATAACTCAAAAACTTGGTTCGACAAATTTATACGAAACTGTCAGAAGTCGACTTAAAGAACCTGATCTAAGTAGTGTTAAGACAAACCTTTTAAAGTCTATTATGCGAATAATATAAGAGTAGCGATAATCAATTTTTTTGACATAAATTAAATAGTAATTTTTTTATTTTTTGCAGTCTGTTAAGAACAAAAATAGGGAAGTCGGTTATAAGAAATAGAATGAAGTCGTTTAAATAGTAATTGATCGAGTCGAACAAAAGAAATCGTTTGAAGTCGTCTTTGTGAAATATAATCAAGTCGAGTAGTGCAAACATAAGAAAAACATGATAAATGCCTTCAAGTCTGGATTGTGAAATCTATAGAGGTCGACTATAAGAAATATCATAAAGTCGATTATAAGAAATAAATTCATTCTCTCGACTTGACAGCTTTCATCATCTGATAGTGAAGAAAAACGATAAACCCTTTGAAGTCTAGGCTAAAATCTAAGTCGTTTTTATGAAACCGTTAGAAGTCAGGTTAACGAAACTCAAGAAGTAGGTTATAAACAAAAGCAGTCAAGTCGATTAATTTTTACCATTATGATAAAAATAGGCAAGTCGGTTATAGCAAATTTTAATATATAAATGTTTTTTAAAATAATTGCTTTATGATACTTTTATTAAATAATTAATCCTATTTAAGGATTAGGACAGCCTCCTAGAAGGCTGAAGTAATTTAACGTAATTATAATTTCTAATTATTATTTAAGGGGCTTATTAAATTCTCTTATTAAGTAATAATAATAATGGCTGAACGTTTATGCATCCCATCTATGGACACTTCCAAGAAATTTTAAGATCAGAAGAAAGTGCAATCGCCTGGTGCCAAGAAGTTGGAATCCTCAAGCCAAACATATGTGACTTATGCCATGGAAATTGTGTTATGTATTTGCGCAATGAAAGTCCTTTTCTCCGTTGTTTTAAATTGCAACATAAGCTTATCTGTCAGAAGAAGCTCTATATTTTACAAATCCAGGCTACAAATAAGGCAAATCGTGCTGTTGATTTTTCGTTGTTTCGTTAGAGAGCATCCTCTTATTACTATAGTTGAAAACTCAGAGATTCCAAGAGAGTCAGTAATAAAGCTCTTCAAGAAAATAAGAGCTTTGATTAAAGAAAAAGTAGCAGAAGAATATTTGACAGATACTCAACTTGGCATAGAGAATGAAGCTGGCGAAGGTCATCCAACGGTTGAAGTCGACGAAAACTCATTTGGGCAACAATAGATGGCGATACTAAATGGTTATTTGGTCTCTATGACAGAGGAACTGAAGATTTCAAAGTATATTATGTTGGAAATGATAGAAAGCTGGGAAAATTTAGAAGGATATATTATAAATTCAGTTTGTAATGATCCAGCAAATCCAAATAAATTTTTTAGTGATGGCTGAGCAGCCTACAATCAACTGCCAACAATTGGATATCTGCATTCAATTGTCTACCATAATAGAGACTTTGGCACGGAAGGTTCACAACCAATAATATCGAGATAATGAAGCAGAATGAAGAGGCTCAGAGCTTATAAAAACGGATTCCACCCAAGAAATGATAAGGAACTTGAAGATTATGCTCTATATTTCTACTGGCTTTTGAAGCATAGGTCTGTTCCTGAAAGAATTGATCTTTTGATAGAAATACTTAATTTTAATAGTTTCTAATAATTTATTTTAAAAATGTTTAAAGTTTTATTATTTAAGATTAGTATTACTCGTAATATTAAAATTTGCTATAACCGACTTGCCTATTTTTATCATAATGGTAAAAATTAATCGACTTGACTGCTTTTGTTTATAACCTACTTCTTGAGTTTCGTTAACCTGACTTCTAACGGTTTCATAAAAACGACTTAGATTTTAGCCTAGACTTCAAAGGGTTTATCGTTTTTCTTCACTATCAGATGATGAAAGCTGTCAAGTCGAGAGAATGAATTTATTTCTTATAATCGACTTTATGATATTTCTTATAGTCGACCTCTATAGATTTCACAATCCAGACTTGAAGGCATTTATCATGTTTTTCTTATGTTTGCACTACTCGACTTGATTATATTTCACAAAGACGACTTCAAACGATTTCTTTTGTTCGACTCGATCAATTACTATTTAAACGACTTCACTCTATTTCTTATAACCGACTTCCCTATTTTTGTTCTTAACAGACTGCAAAAAATAAAAAATTACTATTTAATTTATGTCAAAAACATTGATTATCGCTACTCTTATATTATTCGCATAATAGACTTTAAAAGGTTTGTCTTAACACTACTTAGATCAGGTTCTTTAAGTCGACTTCTGACAGTTTCGTATAAATTTGTCGAGCCAAATAACTCAATTTCTGTAGAAAGAGCTACAGAATATATGAATCTGCCCAAAGAGAATGCCTATATAAAGCCAATAGATGAAAAAATCAAAGAGTGGCCGGTAAGACCGACAATAGAATTTCGAGATGTCCAAATGAAATACCGCCAAAACACACCTATAGTTCTCAAAAAAACTTCATTTTGCATAGATGCAGGACATAGAATTGGCTTAGTTGGAAGAACTGGAAGTGGCAAATCCTCTATATTTTTATGTCTTCTAAGACTTGTTGAGCTGACTTCTGGCTCAATATTAATAGATGGGGTCAATATTGCTCAAATTGGCCTAAAAAAATTACGATCAGCACTAACCCTAGTTCCTCAAGATCCGCTTGTGTTTTCTGGGACTCTTCAAAGTAACTTAGACCCTACAGGTGCAAAAAGTGAAATAGAAATTTATAGGGCATTAGAAGAAGTAGGGCTATCTCGATTTCCTATTGATTTTGAAGTAAAACAAGATGGTACAAACTTGTCATCTGGAGAAAGACAATTAATAAGCTTGGGAAGAGCTATGCTGAGCCATAACAAAATTATTTTATTTGATGAAGCAACAGCAGGGATTGATAATGAGTCTGATGCAAAAATTCAAGATTTAATCAAAAATAAATTCGTTGGATGCACAATTCTGACGATTGCACATAGAATTGGGACAATTATGAACAATAACTTGATTATTGTAATGAATGATGGAAAAGTGCAAGAAATTGACTCTCCTCAAAACTTATTATTGACAAACTCGCTATTCAAAAATATAAGAGACGCAATTAAATAATAAACAACTTGCTTTATTTGTGCAACATTTTTATGATAAATTAAAAAAAATCTTTAAAAGGAAATGCTTTTTTATAGTTTTTTAGAAAAGAATTTAAGATATAAATAGATGCTAAATTATTTGTAAATAATTACTTAAAATAATGAATAAATTGAACTGATTATTAAAATCAATAAGTGGCTCAGCTTATATTTTAAATCATCAGCTGAGGAAACTCCTAATAGTTATCAATTAATTATATAAAATGCTTTTATGAGGCTACATGTGATATGATGGATAGTATATTACATAATATTACCTGGGAGAATTTGATCAAAATTTTTGAGAGATTTTGCTTGGAAAAGATCAAATGCTTTTATGCGGATCTCGAAATATAAACCTTTTTTCAGCATCTTTTAAATACTTATACTCTTTATCTCAGTCTGGAATACCATAGGTGATGTATTTATTAACAGCTCAATGGTGCGCTTTTGTATGTGTAAACTTTTTAGGTCTTTTTCTTATATCGTTTCTTAGTTCACGCTCTGTAAATAAGCTCATAGGATTTCTATGAATGCTGATATAAGGGAGCTTTGATTCGTGTTTTTTTAAATATTGATGGGAAGTGCTTTTGTTCTGGTTGTCACGAAAAGTATGCTCTTGAGGAACTTTAATTGTTGATAGACTAAGACGGGCTTGAGACAACTTTTGAAGGAAGTCAGGGATTGTAGTTAATGGACTTGGCTTTGATGAGGACCGTGAAGTTTTCATCTTGAAGAATAATTTAGGATATGCTATAGCAAATTAACTATTAAATCTGCGATGATATAAGAAAATTATTACATTTAATTAATTTGGAATATTTTTATAAAAAACTATAAAATTATCAAATTAAATCTGAAGAAATGGGTTTGATTAAACTTTAGGTATGCGTTCAAACAATAGAGATGTGAGAGACTCATTTATCAATTTTTTAAAAAATCGGGCAAGTAATTTTGTCCAATCATAAAGGTATGAGAAATATTTTGAGAGTTCATATTATATAGCTATAGGGTAAAATGGAATTTGAAGTTATAAATCTATGCTTATATGAGTAAATGAAAACTTTCTACTATTTATCCATCTCATATACTGCAATAAATAGAAGACCGGCTAATTATTAGAAAATTTCCATTCTAGTTACTATTTTAAACTGAATAAGAATCTTTATTACATTTTAGAGAGACTTTTTGTCCCAGCAATTCTCAATACCTCTGCCTAAAGCTTTTATCCATTTTCAGAATAATTTTTTAATTCCTCTATAATTAGGGTATAATTTTAAGAAGACTTTGAATTATTAATTAATACCTCTATGATAAGGAATTAAAGTTCAATAAGTCAGTAATGCAATTTAAAATGTTTTAACGAGCATAATAAAAAATCAAACTTCATAATTAAATCTCCCTCAATTTCTTGAGCAAGCAAAACCATTTAAAATATCTCAATTTTTAGAAGAAGTGTCCAACCTCATGAACAAGCAATAATATAATTTATTTTATGATATAAAAGTGATAATTAGTATAACTGAATCTCCAGTTGACATCAATTTTTAAACAGTTTGCATTTTAAAATATAAATTTTATAAATTAAATAACGATTTACTTTCCATAATTATAACAAAGCAAAATGCTTTTACTCGCTCATAAGTGGAGAGTAAGAAAAATGCATTATTTTTATATTTTACTATAAAATTAAAATTATGGTCTTATATTGTTATTTTATTTAATACCTGTTTTGTCTTCTTGGATCATCATGTTTTCTCTCAGGAGAAGGAGGTCTATAATATTGCGCAGGAGGTTGAGGTGGAGGCTGTCCTTGGTAATATTGTCCAGGAGGATATATAGGCTGTGGAGGATACATATAATTCTGCTGTGGCATATACATATACCCAGGCTGCTGTCTTTGTGGAGGCAATTGGAAATTCTGTGACAAAAATTGGTTAACATTTTGCACTGCAGGCTGCTGTTTTTGCTGCGACTCTTGCTTGACCTGTTCTTTAATCGCTGAAATCAAATCATTAATTTCTGAATTATTTGGTGCTAACTCTTGTGGATTCATTGTAGAAATCGCTTGTTGTAGATTATTTAAAATTTGTGACTGGTCCCCAGGATTTTTTTTTAGTTCTAACAAAATGTCTTGTAAAGCTTTAGGAAGCTGGTCATTAGAAGAATTAGGATTTTCTTCTTCGTCAGTTATAGGTGACATTTCTTGCTCTTTTTCAGGCAAATCATCAATTTCTGGCATTGATGCTGGCTCAATTTTTACAATGACATCAGGATTTATATATGAGGAAGAGCTCATAGCAGTTTTTTTGAAGAATAAAATACAGCCGAGCTTTTCTTTGGTGGATATGTGTGGGACTACAGTTTCATCAATTTTTCTATTGATGTTGATACGCACTGAGGATAAAAAGGATTGGAAACTTTCATTTAAGGAGGTTAAATAAATAGTGAGGGAGTTATCAATTCGTATGACGGCTGATCTACCTTTGCCAGTTAAATCGCGAGCAAGGTCACTGAAGTCTCTTTCGTTGCTTTCAGTTGGTTCTATTCATGCTGTTGCTATTAGTTTGCTGACTGATCCAGATGCATTTTGTGATATATATTTTATATAATTAATTTTATTATCATTGTCTTAGCTAATTTTTTATTTTTCATAAAAATTAAAGATAATTTGTTATATTGTATATAATTTTATTAAATAAAATTTCTATATAAACTTCTAGCTCATCTTGTTTAGTTCTTCCTTGAACTGAAATTTTGCTGCCGAGCTGAGGCATTTTTTGGAACGATTCAATGTTATCGACAGAGTGCATCACTACATTAATGAAGTGTTTTCCGTATTCAAGCTTGCCAGACCACACTTTTAATAAACTTCCGACTGGGGCTTTATTTTTAGGAGCAGGTACTGAAAATGGGTCGTATAATTTACCTTTTTTCTTATGCTTCTTAGCATAATCATTTTTTTTGGCAAGCTCTAATACGCTGTATTCTTCTGATTTTTCTTTATTCGTTTCTAATTCCTTTTTGGATGGCTCTTTATCTTCTTCTTCCTCTTCTTCTTCGCTGCTAAATCTTCCTTCTTGGTTTCTTTCATATTTTGATCTTTTGGGTGGAAGCTGATCAATAGCCTCAGGGGCACGTTTTTGAGGAATTTGCTTGTCTCCAGATGTTGTAGTAAATCCACTATGTTCAAGTCTAAATTTGCTAACTTTTTATTCCAATAATTAACAAGATAAAGAGTAAAATTTATATGTAATAATTTCATTGATTTTAGATTTTACATATTATAAATTTAATAATCACATTTATTAAATTTATGCTTTAGATTGCTGGAATTTAAGTTCAATAAAATTAAAATTAAGTATTAATTAAGATGACGGATTGAAGAAATAAATGAGAAAGACGTATATTGGAAAACTATAAGGCAAGGGGATTTTTGAGAAAAGCTTGCCCATAGATAACCATAATTTATGATTATTATATAAATTTCAATTATAATGATATATCAAAATATTTTTAGATAAAAATATGTATATTATAAAGATTATTGGTTGGCTATGGTATTTGGATTTCCAAAAAATTAATTATATAGAAGTTTCCTATGTTTGGCGCTGTAAGGCCGATAAATTCTGATCGGAATTTATCGGTAGGTTGCACCAAATCAATGCCTTGGTCGGACCAAAAAGCGATTTGGTCCGACGAACTTGGAAAGCTCCTGGGAAAATGTCTGCGCTTTTAGCGCTATATAGAGGAAACCTCTATATCTAGATATATCTTGAACGAAGTAAGTTCCCTTCATTCTTCATCAGCAGCAGTCGATCTAGATACAGCTGAAGAATCAGATAAATGCTGAGGAGCTCTGTATTTTTCGCTTGCTAACTGTGGCTGGCTGATTTCATTCTTTACAATCAAGCTTTTTGACTGATTTTTCTTATTAGCTTCTATTTCACTTATAAGATTTGTAACTTTGAAATCGCTCACAGGCTTTGGTGTAGGTTTTGGAGGTGGAGGCTTAGGTGTTGTTTTTATTAATGGAGCTGGAGTAGCAATCGGCTTTGGCGGTTCCTTAGAGACAGGCTTTGGAGATATTTTTGGAATTTGAGCTGGTTGAGGTGAAACTTGTGGGACTTCTTGCTTAGGTGTGAGTTTTGGTTTTTTAACTGGCTGGCCTGACTCCGGGTTATCACTTTCTGTTAGTTTACTTTTATTAATAGTTAGGCATATCTTTGGCTCTCCATCAAACAATCTTTTGATTACTTTAACTTCTTTAGCTTCTTTAGGGTTCAACACTGAGAGTTCATCAGCTGTGATATCTCCCTTGCTCAATTTCTTACTCTACCCAAAATATTTTATTTTCAATATTTTTTAAAGAAGCATTAAATAATATCTATTCTGCCAAAAATTTAGAAAATCCTTCAAACTCTTGATATCTTTTGATAATCCTTATCATTCTATCAATAGTTTTTCTATATTTACTCCCATGATGATTTTTAAAAATAATATCTTCTAACCTTACAGCATATCTTTTAGCTTTCCCCATATGTTTATGCCAATCATAATTAATATCATGAATGATCGTTTTTTCAATAGCTGTGATTTGTGACATACGGGCTGGGTCATTATAAGGAACTGGATCATCAGTTTGAGCTGAGTGCTTAGAAGGAACTGTTTCTGATGATTTAGACTCTTTTTTTCCACCACCAAGATTGATGCGGGTTTTATGCTCAATAAAAGAATGGGCTAAATCAAACGGTAAAGATTCAGCTTCTTTTTCAATTTCTTGGATTTCTTCTAAACTGCTGCAAGCTGCAAGTCTTTCTTTGTAGATTTCTCCTTTCGCAACAAGCCCTTCAAGTTTTTCGATACTGTCAGCTAAGCTTGGGTCTTTCATTTGTAAGCCTTCATTTAGCCAGCCTTGAAGTATAGGGAAGCTAACTTTGATTCCTTGGGAGAGAGTGACCCTAAGTTTCCATATTTTTATTTTCAGATTTTTTTCTTCTTGTCCCATATGGATATGAAGATTATTTAATCTTCCGCTTATTGAATTGAGCTCCTCCATAGTCGCATCTGGTTTTTCAACAATCTCAAAACCTTCTGCGAGAATTTGGTTTCCCCTTTCTAATTCTTCAATTAATATATCAGCATCTTCTAGCTTTACCTCAGTATTGTTGTATTCAAGCAAAAACTGCTCTACTTTGGCTTTGTCCATCTTATTTTTTCCAGCGTTTTCTTTAAGAATTCTCATACGAAGGGTGATATTATTCGCTTTGTTCAAAATGTCTTTAAGCTTGCTTGAAAACTCTGATATTGAAATAGGGTGTTTTTCTATGTCATCTTGAAATGCCTTAAACTCCTCAATAGAAGCTTTATTAGTAATCATATCATTGAATCTTTGTGAAAAATTCCTGGTTTTTTCTAGCAAATTCTTAACAAAATTTTCATCCTTGAGTATAATTTTGCTTGTCGATATTTTATCATATAAAATATCCAGTTCTTCAAAAGTAAGTGCTTTTATTTCGCCTTGTGGGACGAAATTTTTAATTTTTCTGACCTCTTCTTCTATTTGCTGCTTTATTTGTTGAAGCCTTTTTATTTTTTCTAAAGTCGACTCGTCTAAAATCTTTTTATCTAGTTGTTCTATGACTCCATAAACTTCTTCCCAAACTTCTTCTAATATTCTGCCTTTCTGCTGCAATATTCCTTGGGCTCTAAAATTCCATTCTAAGCTGCTTAATTTTATTCCAAAATTTTCGTGCTCAATAAAATTTTCGAAAAAATATTCTTTTATGGTAGCATAAAATTCTTTGCAGCCTTCGCTTTCTATGAATTCATCATAACTTTTTTTGCAGTCGATTAATAGCTCTTCATATGGTCTTCCAGCGAATATTAGCTCTTTGCTCGTCCACAATTCAAGCCTTTTTAGATCTTGTTCCATTATAAGGATTTCTTGATCGCAACAAGTTCGAAGAGATCTTGCGCTTTGAAGCAGGTCTTGAAGCTGGAGATTGGTTAGTTTAGGCTTTTCACTTATTAATTTTAAGTAATTTTTAACTTCTAGACCTGGTTTAGAAAAAGCGCGACGAGTTGATGAGTAAGAAGTGTAGCGATACAGCCAATTTTCGTAGTTTGCGATTTCTTCAGTGAGCTTTTTGACAGATGGTATTTCATTGGAAATGCCTAGTGGAATTACTTCTAGATTTAAATCATAGAGTTTGTCTATTGATGGCTTTTCTGAAGAGAAAAATAAAGATTCTGCGGCTAGACTTCAGTTAATTCACTTATCCCAGGCTAAAAATTTGTTATATTTTTCAGGGAAGATAATTCCTTGATTTTCAAGCTTATTTTTATAAAATTCAAGGTTTTGCTTCAATTCTATGATAAATTTCATTGTATTTCTTACCGAAATTTAAGAAAACTTATATAATTTATAATTAAAACTAATATATTTTCTAAAATACCCCGATCAAGCTTAATTTAAATGTCTTTATAACATTTCCACTGAAAATTTCTGATATATCAGTTTGTGCTAAATTTTCAAAAAATGCAACACTTTCATCAACTTCTTTAGAAATTGACTGGAATTGTATTAAGGACTCAGGCTGGCGTGTTTTCAAATAAGAAGCTCTGATTTTAAGATCTTGAAGCTGCTCTAGCGAAATTTCATCACACATATCAAATCTTTTAAATTCCAATTCCCATAGCCTAAAAGCTAGCTCTTCTAAATACCCATCAGTTTTTGCATCTTTATATATAATTTTTTCAGCCTTTCCTATCAAACTTTTCAAAGTATCAATTTCGTTTCCTTTTTTCTTTTTAGCTGGAACATCCTCAGCAGATTTATCAAGCTCATCAAAAATCTCATTAACTTGTTCAATTCATTGCAGAGATTTTATTTTATCCTCAATTTGTTGTTTTTCTTCTAAAAGCTCAGTTTTTTCATTTTTTAGCTCTTCTAATAGCTTCAAATACAAGTCTGAAGAATTGTTTTCTCCTTGTAAAGCTTCATGAACTCTTTCTTTTATCTCTTTTATGCTCTGGATTTTAAATGTCACTAATTGGATTAATTCGTCATCTGTGTCAAATTCGTAGGCATCTTTTAAAAGAATTTCAAGGTCTTCTTCTCTATGCTTTTTATTGAGAGTTTCATTGATTTTTTGGTTGATGTGGGCTCGTTTTTCAAGTAAATCTAGCTCAGGGAATTTGCAGATTAAAGATTGTGCATCATTTATTATGCTCTCTGAAGGAGGTTTAGTCAAAAATAGTGCCTAATTAGTTTTATATTAAATATAAAATGATAAATTTTTTCCAGATATTATTTTAATTATTTTTAATAAAGGATAGTTGATTTATCAATTGCTGTGAGATTTTTGTGGAAACAGCTGCCGCTGCTTGTGAGTGCCAATTTTCTGCCTGAGAAATTTTTGCATGCAGCGATTGTTTGACATCTGCGATATCAACGTATGAGCTAATATGTAGATCTCCATTGCATATATGCTCATTTATCTGCTCTATTGTTGGTAATGCATTTTTTTCAGCTGGATTTAAAAAAGATTGAGATTGGCTGAACCATCGGGAATAATCTTTCCATTTTTCAAGAGCAGTTTTCATAGCAGGAGTTTTAATACTAAGCCCATCTGCTTCATGTAAGTGAACTTGTAAATCAGCAGGCGGTATAGGCTTCATAATATTTAAAAATTTAGCATCCCAGTCTTCTGCCAATTTCAACTCATCCTCTATTGCTTTAATTTCATTTTTCATCAAAAAAGGCATTTCTTTAGTCCCCTCTCTGTGAGCGAACAAAAAAATTTTTTGTTCGTCACGAAGGGTGGGGTTAATTTCTTCTAACTTGCCTATAAAAAAATCAGTATTTTTTTTATTTTCCAAGCCATTTTCTTTGCTTTCTTTTAACTCATTTTTCAGCAGAGAAATCTTATTCTGGCAAGAATCAATCATATTTTTAAGTTCTCCTAACTGTTTAGGTGGCTTTTCCATTTGTTTTACAAGATTATCATAATAAGACCTTGCCTCAGCAAATGAATAATTTTTAGAATTAGAAATCATAGTCTTGATTTCTTTTACTCTTTCGAAATTTTCAATTTGATGTGTAAGCCTAGTAACATGAGTCTAATTTTAATAAAAAACTTTCTCTTTATATGAATTGCTTCCCTAACCAACAATATTTTTCTATAAATCCTAATAAAATTTCTAAAAAATATTTTCTTTATAAAAATAAAAAATCCAACATGAGGTATATGAACTCCAATCGTTCTGGCTTCAGTAATTACTTCTTGGATGTCCTTGATTTCATTCTCTTCTAAATATTCATGAATTTTGTCTAAAAGACTATTAGCCCTTCCAATCAGAATCTTCGCATTGTGGAGCTTCGCATTCAAGTTGCTCAAAATCGCCACCTCAAACGGCAATTTCGCGGCAAATTCCATGACTTCTTCCATATCCTCAATTTTTGATCTCTCTTCCAAAGCTTTATTAGCCCTTTTAAACACAATTCTCGCCAGCAGCAGCCAATCCTTCAGCTTAAAGTTCACAAACTGCTTAGACACCTTCGCATTTGACTTTTTATCAGTCGCATCTTCTTTCAGCAGCTTTTTGGCTGTGCTATTTCACTGCTCACAAAACTTGCACACAAATTGCTCAATAGTGTCCCCTACCTGTGCAGTAATCCCAATGCAGTCTCCATGGTACCAAGTATCGCAATTATCGCAGCAAATCATGTACTGAGCCCCTTCTACATACCCTTTTCCACAGAAGCAGTACTCTTCATTGCCTTCTACGTGTTCTTCACAATACACCTCAGTCCGTTTCTGTAATAGTCCTGACATATTCCAAGTGCCTTTCTGAAGCATGCACAGGGCATGGCTTCTTTTTTCGCACTCGTCACATTTGAAAGTGTCATGGCCTATCTGATTGCACTCATTACAGAACTGATCAGCGTCTGAGGAGCGAATGGCATCAGGCTTCATTTCAAGTCAGTCTACAATGTGTGTGAATCGCGAAAAAAGAGCACAGGTGACGTGAACCCACTTTTCACCAGATTTCTTTAGAGCGCCATTTACTTGATGACAGATTTCACAGCTGACGGTCACGTGTGGGCCAACTTCGATGCAGCGGTCACAGAAAAACATTGCTTCTGCAGACGGGGATATCCCGTAGCAAGCCTTGTGAACAGTGAGATCGCATGTTTTGCAAGTGTGGATTGGCATGGCAAATTCGACCTTTTTTAAGTTGTTTGGATTTTTCCCATAGCAGACTTGGCAAATTGCATCAGAAGAGCTGGGATTAGAGAGAGAATTATCTTGATTAGACGTCAATTTTGTTAAACTGCTACCTGGAGGATAGACTACAGCCATTTATATAATATAAATTAGTCTGGGGGTTTAGCTATTACGAAGAGATTAGAAAGAAGTGTGTGAGAGATTATTTTATATGTGAGGGAAGGAGAATAGGATTAAAACGGGGAGGATTGAAATTTGTTTTATATGGAAAACTTGGGAATGGGTTTAAATCTTGTTAGATGTTTTATATTTTTTGGGATAGCTTTATTCATGTGTGGCATTTTTATTAAATATTTAAAAAAATTAGAAATTTAGGTGAAAAATATTTTCAATATTATTAAATAAGGTAGAATTTCTTTAAGAATATGATTAAGATAGCAAACATTAATAGCAATGCTTTTTTAATGATCATTTAATCTGATAAAGTCTTAATCATAACCTTCTCCTATTTTTGAGGATAAATTAAGATTCCCATAAGATTTTTTGTATTTTGATTTCAAAGAATCATCAAAAATCTAAGCAGTCTTTATGCAAAAATATAAAAGTAAGCTTAAAAAGTAATAAATTTACATTGTCTTTTAATCAAATATCATTGCTTGTAGCATAGTTTATTTATTATAAGCATCAAATCCATTTCACTTTACTATCAAATTTATTATGAAAATGATAGTCAAGCGATTATTCGCATTCATTTCTCCTTTTCCGAAAACTCTCGAAGAAGTCGCTAACTCCCCCCCCCCCATGATTGAACAAAACCATTGGAAAAACCCCTATTTTTTGCCCAAAAACCCATCCTCAGTGAGTGAACAAAAATTTATTAATAGAAAAAAAATTGATATATAAGTGATAATTGTATAATGATATAATTAAATATGGCGTCTTCGTCTGGGCATGGTCTCCCAGCCATGCAGCCTCGACTCATATTTAATTATATCCGGCAAGGTTTTGCCAGCTCAGAAAGGGACAGCAATGCTAGGTAAGCAATTCTGGTTGTGTTCAGAGCCTAGTCCAAGTCTATTTTCAGGGCTGGTTTTTTCCTCGTGGGGAAGGAAGGCATGTCAGTTGGAAAGGGGAAGCCAAGCAGAGTCTTAAGGACCAATCGGGCAACTCCCTAGCGTGAAACTGGGCGTTACGTCCCAGGCTGCATGTTTTTCCTTTTTGCCGAGAGCCGACCAGAAAATCCATTTTTTGGATTTTCGGAAAGGCAACCCATGTACAGAAGCAAGTAGCTCACTCATGAGCCGTCAAAGCCGGTGACATTTGCCCTAGGCGCATCTTGGTGATCGAGATGGGTTGGCCCAGCAACCTGTTGGCCCGGTGCGGCGAAAGGCAAGTGGCGGGCCTGGGGATAGTCTACCCCGTAGTGGACGTTAAACGTTATAATTAATTAGAATTAGATAATTAGTATAATGAAACCTCGAGCTAATTTCTGTTTTATTTTAAAACATAAATTTTATAAATTAAATATATATTTGCTTCCCAATTTTTTGCAAATTAGGATTTTTTTTAAAATTTCGAAAAAAAAATTCTATAAAATTTCTATATAAATTTTTTTTGAAAAAAAAAATTAACCTCCGTGAGTGAACAAAATTTTTTTTGTTTACTCACGGAGGGGGGGAGTAAGGTAAACCTCCTCCAAAACCAAGATCCCAAGGCAGTAGCTTCAATCTGAAATGAATACCATGCAGTCCGTCCTAACTGTACTTCAATGGTCCTGGCTAATCTTTATTACACACATTTCTCCATCAGAGCACTAAAGCATCCATTATTTATCTTCCCAATCAGAAGGAGAGGAAATATTTTCTTCCTTACAGCCAGATATGTAGACAAACTAGGTTTATTTTATTACCTCCCTGATTATGAAGCCCAACATGAGAATGCTACTGCTTCATTTGGGCTTTCTTTTTATGACGAACTTACAATTAGCAAAGAAATAATATTGATTAGAGGGGACATCAATGATAGACTTATCAGTAAAACTGAGGCGGATGTGATAATGAGTGCTTATTTGGCTCATTATCTGGAAGATGAGCTCTATGAAAAGTATATCGTTACTTTTAATGATAAAGCAGACCAATTTGATCATGGGAAATTTTTAGAAAGCTATTTTGCAAGATTTGTTCCTAGGTACTAATATAATTGGAATATTTTTCTGAATTGATAATTATAATGTAAGTAGGAATAAAATATATAAAATAGATAAAGAATTAGCAATTGTTATATTTTAATGCATTATAAATTTGGGACTAATATTCTTAATGACATGTCTAAAAGCTTAAGCATGTATGCTATTATAAAGGCAGACCTTATCCCAATGATTTAAATATGTAAATATTTCCCAGGCCTATAATTATATGAGTTTTAGTAGCTTCTCAAGCCTTCATCAAGATCGAATTCTTCAAATATCAAGCCGTCTTGCTGCAATTCAAACTGGTCTTGAAACTGACAACGGCTCGCGTGCTGATCAGCTTGAACAAAAATGCAAAGATCTCGAGCATCATCTTTGGGAATCTGAAGAGCAAAATTCGAAAAAATTTTCCGCACACAAAGCTCAGCTAGATTCCATTTTAGATTCCTTATCTCGCTTAAAAGAAAGCAGAAATACTTCCTCCCTCTGGAAGTGGTTTTTCCCTACTACAAGGCTTTTCCTGTCTCAGCACCGACCACAGATGCTCTACAGAGGTCAAGGCAAAGTGGCTAGAGTAGAATCAGTAAAGGCAGGAGGCGAGTAAGTTTCAAACATACACAATTTAAAAAGCTCAGACCTTTCTCGTGCCACCGGCAACAACAGGAGAGAGGATGACGCTAAAATCTGAATAATGGGGTCGTACAGCAAGTATCGTGAGTAGCTGAGACATCTTGGTAGCATCCTAGAATTAGTTTGATCATTCTGATCAAAATTTAAATATATAAAGAAAGCAGAGAAACTTATTTTGATTCTAAAGTCAATGAATTAACTAATCTTGAACTAGCCCTTAAACGCCTGCTCAGTGAATCTGATCAAGAAAAAAGAGACTCAGATATACACATTTGTAATAATTGAAAAATTTTATTTCAAGACCGTAATCATTTACTATTAAAACTAGGCATGAAATTTATAAATTTTAAAATACTTTTAATTCTCATATCTATACAAAGTTTCAAAAAATATTTGATGATAGGATAAATTCAGTTCAAGCAGATTTAGCAAGGGAAAGTCAATTAAGAGGAGATTCATTAAAAAACATAAAGAATTTTCTTGATGAAAAAATTAGTGGAATTGAAGAAATGATGAAAAATGACAAAATTGAGCTAGGGAAGACAGAGGGTGAATTAAATGAAAAAATTAATGAAAGTGTCGGTAAAATGCAAGAAGTGATGGAAAATGAGAGTAAAGCAAGGGAGGATACTGAAGAAGCTATGCTTGTGATGCTCCAAGACTTGATTGCGAAAATTAAAAACGAGATTGAACAAGAAAGAAATGAAAGGGAAAACTCTGAAGATACTTTGTTAGGACTCCTTGAAGAGACATGTGCAAAATTAAATTCTTTAACGAATATTTAATTAAACAAACTATAAATAATTATTTTTAAGAAATAACTGTTATGAACACTCTATTGTATAATATTTATTTTCTATTATTTTTTATATGAATACTAGAAAGAAATCATTTTGGTATTTCTACACTCAAATTTCTATATATTCCTACTTATTTCGAAAGCCTCTCCGATCGCAATTTTCCATCATTACTTGATGATTTTACTTTAGCTTGTTTGCTATTTATTTATTAAATTACAACATTTTCTACAATATATGAATTAACCTAAATTAAGTTCTTTCGCCTCTAATTCTGCGAGCAAGCTGCATATCTCTTGGCATAATCGTAACTCTTTTCCCATGGATCGCACAAAGATTAGTATCTTCAAAAAGTCCAACGAGGTAAGCTTCAGCTGCTTCTTGAAGTGCTAAAACTGCAGAAGACTGGAATCTGAGGTCAGTTTTGAATTCTTGGGCAATTTCTCTTACAAGTCTTTGGAACGGGAGCTTTCTGACCAAAAGCTCAGTGCTTTTTTGATATTTTCTGATTTCTCTTAAGGCTACAGTCCCTGGTCTGAATCTGTGAGGTTTTTTAACACCTGAAGTGGTGACTGCTGACACCTTTTTAGCTGCTTTGGTGGCTAGATGCTTCTTTGGGGTTTTCCCAGCTGGAGTTTTACGAGCTGTTTGTTTAGTTCTTGCCATTTATTAATTATAAGAAACGATGCCCCCGATTTTATTTTAAATTTAGAGATGTAGAATTACGATATACAAAATGGTAAATTGATGTGTTTAAAAATGGCTTTGAATCAATGGATTAAATTGGCATTATGTAAAAAATGGATAAAGTTATTATATTTGGTTGATTATAATGATAAATAAATTAATTTTTAGTTAGAAGATTTTAAAAGTCATTATCAATTGAGTCACTTTCTTCCTCTTCTAGCTCTTCTTCAGAGCCTTCTTCATCTACCTCTAGTGATCCTTCTTCTTCATCTTCATCAATTAAATCACTTTCGTCACTTTCTTCTTGTTTCGGCTGCCTTCTATTATTTTGTCTAGCTTCCATCGGTCTTTCTCTATTGCTGCCAGCATTATTATTCCCAGCTTTTCCTTTAGGAGGATTCTGCTCAATGTCCCCTTCTTCAAATTCGCCATCCCCAATTAATCTTCTTTTCTGGGTTTCCATAATTTCATTCCTTTCCTGGTTTAGAGATTCTGAAATTTGTTTGGATTTTTCTTCTTCTTTTTGGCTGTATTCATCTAAATCATGTTCCAAATAGGCTAGATTTCTGAACCTGACTACATAAACTTCGTATAATTTTTCAATTTCTTGTTCCAGCCTTTCATATTCATCCATATACCCAGGCCTGACAGTCTGTAGAGACTTCATCCGTTTTTCAGCCCTTTCCAGCTCTCCTGTTCTTTTCTTTATTTTTGCTTCAAGTGTTTTTTCGTCGTTTTCGAGCTCTTCAAGCATTTTTTCCATCTGTGCCAAGTTGCCAGTTTGGCTTTGTATGATATCTCTGATGCATTTTCTTATGTATTCTTGTTCTGCATTAGAGTCTAAATTCCTTGAAATATTATGCTTTTTATATATGAATGGTTTTCTATTATACTAAAAATTAAAGTAATTTCTATTATAATATTGCAGATCTCCTTTTATCTCATCTTTATATAAGCGGTATATCTAGAAATCCTAATGCTTTTTCCCTTGCATCCCTCAATTCTTTTTCTTTCGATAATAAATCAAATAGTTTGGCGCCTGTATCAGTAATCTGAGTAGCCAAGCCATGTGCAGTCTTAAGGTTTTGCAGCTTCGAGCTCATAGCAATGTCCATCACTAGCTATATCTTACAAGATTCTTCGTCAGTTTTTGACGATGATGATTGTGCCTTATAAAGCATCGTCGCAATTTTCAATAGTTCTCTGACTGCATACCCGTTAGCTTCATAAAGCTTCCTTAAATTCAGCTTTATTCTGGTTTTTGATAAGAAAAACTTAGCGACGTTCGTAATGAAGTTTATTCTTTGTCTTTCTTCTTCAATATCATTTGGAATATCACACTCAGGGTCAACCCTATCTAAAGTTTACCTTAAAAGAAGCCAATCCAATATATCGGCCACCAGCTCGAAATTCGGGGTTCGGAAATTTTCCATCGAAATAATACGTGAGTAGCCTAATGAACGCATGATTTCACAAAAGTTCCTGATTTCTCGGAAAGACATATTTATATAGAGCGGTATTATTAAGGAGATTTAAATAAATATCTTCATGCTGAATTCTTTAGCAGAGCTCAGTTTTCAGTTTTGGACGAAATATAAACAAGATATACCAAATTTGTCACAGTTTTCGCAGCATGTACCGGCACAGGAAATTATGGAGAGAATTGAAGATTTGGTGATAAGGGCGGTCACACAGGTTTTCACAGCACAAAGCCCATCGTTTAATTTTCTGCAAAATTCGAAAAATACAGAGTATGATCCAGCTACTGGGGTAAATAGACTAAGTCAGTCAAATTTTCAAACAATAACGGTAGGCAATGCAAAAAGTACAAAAAGATATGCAAGACTTATGAAGGTTTTAGAAATTATATATATAAATCTTCAAGATGGAACAAAATCAACTAACTCCCCCCCATCCTTGATCGAACGACTCGCCATCGTTCGATCAAGGATGGGGGTTTAAAAAAAATTTTATATATAAAATAGTATATATATTTTTTTTATTTACTTTTAAATAAGAGGGTTAAGAGTATTTAATAATTATTTTTACAGCAAAAAATTTAATTAATTTCATAAAAATACCAATTTTTAATATTTTGATCTATTTGTTACCCCTTTAAACTGTATAAATTTTAATTTGTTCCTTATTAAATTAAATTTTTTTTTTAAAAATTTTAAAAAATCTCTATTTTATTAGATTATTAAGTTTTTTAAGCCTAGGTTGATGACTAAATCACTTCGGATGGTTGATTCCGAAGCTTTCTGTCGTCTCAAAGTCTCTGAAAACAACTTCATTATGCACATCTTCCCAAGCTTTTGATAACTAATATATTTTTATATATATAAAAATTTGCATGATATGAAAATCGTTCGATCGAGGATGGGGGTTAATTTCCCCAATTTTTAGGAATTTTTACAGTCAATCGTTCGATCAAGGATGGGGGGGGAGTAAGCGAGAAATTTATTATCAAGATCCTAAGCTGTTTGGAAAGCAAAATAATTCAGATTCTGCTATAGAACAAGCTGCTTCTCTTTTGCAAGTGCCTAGGAATAGACTTAATATTATTAGTGCAGGAAAAGGATTGATAGCTGGAAATGTATCTTATTGTGATTCTGAGGTTCAAGTACAAGTCGGTAATAGAGTATGCAAAATACCTCCAGATATGGACGTTGTTTCTAATATAGAGACTGATGCAGAATTTATTATCATAATTGAAAAAGATACAGTTCTTACTTTCCCTCCCTCAGTGAATGAACAAAAACCATTGGAAAAATCCCTACTTTTGGGTAAGAACCACTCTCTGTGCCCTAAATGAATTTTTTTAATTATAAAAATAATTTTGATATATAAGTGATAATTTATTATAATGAAAACTCTGTTGAATTTAAACAGCTTGCATTTTAAAACTTAAATTTTTCAAATTAAAATAATTTTTGTTTTCAATTTTTAAATTAAATACTATAAAAATTTATAAAAAAATTAATCCCTCTCCGTGAGCTACAAAATATTTTTGTTTCGCTCACGGAGGTGTGGGTTAGTAGACTAGTAGATGAGCATTTTTTTGATTCTTATAATGCAATAGGACTAACTGGGTGTGGATACCCGGATTTAGTGACAAGAGAGTTCGCTAGAAGAATTATTGAAGAAAGAGGCTGAATTCCTGTCTTTATTTTGACTGATTTTGACCCACATGGGTTTCAGATTCTTTGTACTTATACATTTGGTTCATTTAAATTGTCGGGAGAATGTGACAGTTTGGCGCTACCATTTTCTCATTGACTTGGAATTCACTTTGGGGATTGCCAAGGAAACCCTTTACCTTTAACAAATGGGGATATTAAGTTAATAGAAAAATTGGTAGACAGATCTCAGTTTAAGCAGCTGCCTAATAGTTACCAAAATAGACGATTTTTGCAATGGAAAGATAGCTTAATACAGATGAGGGATTCAAATGAAAAGTTTGAAATTGAAAGTGTCTTGATTGAAGGAAATATCAGTGATTATATTGGTAGGAAAATAGAAAAAGGTGCATGAATATAAGGAATATGCTGTGTCATTAATAATAAAAAGTTAAATAGCTGATTTTAAGCTAAATTAATAGATTTAGAGCTCTTAATGCTGCCTGCTTTTTAAGATTTCGCTATTCGAGCGTATGTCAGACTCACAATCTACAGCCAGCCTGTTTTTGCTTTGCTAGCGTAACTTAAGCATGATGTTGCCAATTTAACGGCTCAAGAGTGAGCTAGTTCGATATTACTTGACACTGTTGTGAGTAAAGGCTCTCCTACTACCATCAGTTGGAAGTGAAATAAATCAGAATCCCTTTAAATCCCTAAAGCTGGTTAGAGCTTGAGCGGCTTCCTTTCAAGTTAATAACCAGTCTCAGCAAGATAAAATTTCTGTGTAAAACCACATCTCATATTCAAAATCTGCAAAATGGGCACTTTTAATCGGAAGATCAGAAATTTGCAAATTAATCACCCTTAGATTATTATAAATTTAAGAATTTATGATAATGCATTGATAGAGTTAATATAATTTAACTTTATAAGCTTAGCTTAGACAGTAAAAATTTAATGTCAAGCATCCATTTTTTCAAGATTCTATAAATATGAGTTCTTATCAATGCTTTTTCCCAAACTGCTCTAATGAAGTTGAATGTATCTGCCCTTGCACTTCTCCAGGGACTTACATTTGCGAATTGCATTTAGGAAAGCATATTAAAATGCTTTCAGGCGATCATAAATATGAATTTTTCCTTTGTGAGCCCTATGAAGGCACAAAAGATGCAGTACTGAGATTTCTCGATAAAGAGAAATCCAAGCAAGTAAAAGCCAAAGAAAAGTTAATTGAAGCTTTTGGAAAGAATCTTTCGGATCCAATAAATGAGATTAAGGGATCTATTAGGGGCCTTGAATCTGATTTATGTGAAATTAATGCCAGTTTCAACAAAATTATGCAAACTGAAAAGGTATCAAAATTTGATAAAGATCCAATAATCAAGACACTTAATTCAAACCCAGAAGAGGCCATTGCAAAATTAAAAGTACTCCTTACTTCGAAATTTAAGAATTATAAAATTATTTTGCAGTTTTAGCCAAAAAATAGAAAATATGATTGAGCAATTCATAAATAAAAATTTGAAGTCTATTTTGACACAAGGCTGCATAAACTGGAAAAATCATTCAGTAATCTTATTATATCCATGAATTACAATACTACTGAATATGATGAAAAAATATGTGGCATGGAAAGTTCTATAGAAACTTTAAAATCAGAAATTCAGAAAAATCAAGAAGATTTCACTTTTTATAGAGATTATGACGCTAAAAATCTAGATAAACGTTTATAATGTTCAGCATGAATACTTTCATAAGTACATTCATATAATAAAATATGGTTCCCGTATTTTCCATATTTTTTAAGCACCATTTTTTGTTTATCTCCTAAATATGTCCTTAAATAAACTCAATCCTCATACAAGCCATTTCTGAAGATTACAAATCTAAGCATTCCAATATTGAAACGACTCTTAACAGTTTCACACAATTTCAAATAGAGGCTGAGATGAAATTAGAAAAAATTGAGGATGAGATGGAATCCGAAAAAATTGAGGCTGAGATGAAATTCAAAAAAATTGAAGATGAGATGAAATTTGAAAAAATTGAGGCTGAGATGAAATTCGAAAAAATAGAAAAATTGAAGGATAAAATAAAAGAATTAAGTATTAAAATTTCTCAGACCTCAGATAATCCAAAAGAAGATGATGCGAAAAAAGATTCTATAAACACCCGCTATTTATATGAAGAAGGAGAAAAAGATTCAATTAATCACAAACAGAGTTTTCTAGACCTTTTTAAGGATTGATTAAATGATAACGATCCAAAAACTTCTCTTTCATTAGCTGAAGAAGAAAATAATAGTGCAAAGCTAGCTATTTATGATGCTGAAATTCAAAAAGAAAGCAATAAATTATTGGATGTTTCTGAAGTCCTAGATGTAGGGACATGCATAGCAATTCCTAATGATGGATTGTTTTGCTTTGGAAACAGTGCTATTTCTGACGCTTCTCTACTTATTGATGGGGAATTCCGAGTTCAAACGCTGTCACCAGAAGTTCCTTCGAAATGGTCATCAGCTGTTTATAATGATCAAAACATTTATTGCTTTGGAGGATCTAATAATATATAGCCTTTTTGCACATTTGCTTTGAAAATGATGAGAGTTGAAATAGAGAGTGAGGCCTATTTCTAAGGCAGAACTCCTTTGAAAGAAGCAAGGAATAATGAATTCAGTATTTAAAGGAGAATGCTTGTAAATTTAATTTTTAAAGGTAAATGTGAAAGATTGTTGGGTTATGCTAAGATCGGCTTCAAGGAAACTGAGCAAAATTTCATTTTTCTCAATTTGCATAAAAATGGAATAATAGAGAATTAGCATCTGAAATAGAAAAAATTAATTTCAAAGATGATTACCGATAAGACTAATGATTAGCTCTTGAAGTATCATTGCTACTGCTAAAGTTTGAGTTAAAATCTCAGAGCAAAATTTACTTTCCATGATTTTTCTAGCATAAAGAGCAAGATAGCAAATAATGACTCCATCTTATATTGGATAAAAAAGTCAAATTTCTTTCTGGGATTAGTATAAAATATCTATTGTATTAATAAAAACTCAAGTGCTAACAAATCCCTTTTAGGTATGAAAATTTATTAAAATTATCAAATCTTCTTTAACTTGAAGAAGAAATTCAGTTATAGTAAAATTTTCAGTTCGGAATAGACTTGATGCTCAGATTCTATTGTCAGTTCCCATATTTAATCTTTTAGTTTTAAATTGGCAGGTCAAAATATTTAAGTTTAAATTATAATATAGTAAGCAAGCATGCCAATCTTAAACGAGCCACGAGATAAAGTTAATAAAGATCCTATTTTCTCATGCAGAAGGGAGCTACGACAAAGGAAGACTGCATCTGCTTTTATCTCAATCAGATACTCCCTTCTTGAAATCTCTCTGTGTGCTATTCCCATTTTAGCACTTGCCATATCTCAATTTGATTCCTCTATATCCTCATCGAAGTTTAAGAGAACAAGAAAGCAGTCCTTAAAGCCGATCTTAGCATAACCCAACAATCTTTCACATTTTCCCTTTAAAAATTAAATTTACTAGGATTCTCCTTTTAAAATACTGAATTAATTGCTCCTTACTTCTTTCAAGCATTTCTGCCTTAGAAATAGACCTCACTCTCTATTTCAGCTCTCATCTTTTCAAAGCAAATGTGCAAAAAGGCTATACAATACTAAATCAATATTTAATACTAGACAAATAAAATTATCTTTTTGTTTATTATTTTGGTACTGACTGAACATCCTTATTTTGAATTTCAATTTAAAACCGTTAACTATAAGCTGAATCTTTCAGAGAAATATGGACCAAACTGAATTAAATTAGCATCTTTACCAAAAGCTGATTTCCTATGCGATTGCATAGTTTATAACGAAAATATTTTGGTTTCAGGGAAGCTGGGTAGTAAAATTTTGCGATATAAAATTGATGAAGATTATTTTACACCAATTTTGTTTGACTTTGCAGAAAATAAAAGAAAGCCACTAATTAGAGCTGCAGATCGAGCAGTTTTAATTGAGTGCGGAAATGGCTTGGTTTATGAGAGTGAAATTGGAGATGATAATATATGGAAACCAATTAGAAATTCTATAATTGGTAAAGATGGGCCAAGTCAAGTATATTGCTCATATAATAAAGAAACAATTTTCATTGGAAGTAACATGGAAAGCGGGTATTATAGATTCAATTTGGATGATAGAGTTATGGCTAAGCTTTAATAGCTATAGGCAATGCCTTTAAATTACCTGTTAAGGGCTTAGGGATGGAGAGCTCCCTCTCTCTAGTTGTTGAGCTGACTCAGGTTCTCGAACCGAATAGAGAGTGACAATTTAATCACAAGAGACTTATTTGCTTAGCAAGTCTGAGTTGGACCAACCACTGAAGAGGGAGCTCTCCATCCCTAAGCCCTTATCAGGCATTTAAAAGCATTTCCTATAGTTAAAATTTAAAAAAATTCTGAAATTTATAATTATTAAAAAATATAAAAAGATACTGATTTATTTAAATAAAGTTCAATAATCATCCCAAAGGATTATTTTTTGGAAAAAAATAATAATGATTAAATTTAATAAACCCAAATGCCAAAGATTATGAATATCTAATTAATTTATCCAAGCTAAAACATTTTTTTAATTTATTTTTTGCTACTACAAAATCATAATAATAGAAATATTAACTAAATACAATAATTATTTACATAACTCAAAATCGCCGATTTTACATCTGCCCTCTATTTTGAAATCTTTCTATTAAAGATTTAAATTCAGGTTTAATATCGGAGCATGGTCTTCCTTCTGTTACAGCCTTTATTGCCATATGCATCTTCATAGAATACTTTTTCATCAAATACAGCACAACAACTGCGCAAGACCTGTTAACTCCATAATAGTCGTGGACTAAAACATTTCCTTTCTGCAAATAATGGTCTAAAAATTTCGTAACCTTTATCAGTATATTCGGAAGCTCAGAGGCTTCATCGTCTTCTAAATCAATTGTCATATATCCTCCTTTAATAAATGTATAATTATAAGGAGTATTTGAAACACCTAGAGTAAGCACAGCATATATATTTAACGGCTTTATTTGGCTGAGGTCATTTGCACCCTTTATATCAGTGATATAAAGTGACCCTTGCCTTTCTGGAAGCCCTAAATAGAGCTTGTAAGGAATTTCAGAAATGATCCCAAAATATTTATGGGATTCTGGCTTTAGAGTCTGCTTTCCTTCATCGCTCTCGAAATATTTTAACGTATATTTCAAAGCATTGTCACCAGGAGAATTTTCTTTTCGTTTTAAAAATCTGCATTTTTCTTTAACACGGGCTATGTCTGGTGAGGATGACTTCATTTTGATCTTAATCATGGAATCAGACGGAGACTGTACTTCAGTCCGAATTTTTTTTGGCTTAGGGGTTTCAGCACAAGGTGATGCTGGAACTGGGGTATTTATCTTAAACTGTATTAAATTTTTCCTAGATGTACTCGGGGTCAGTGAAGGCGTTCCAACTCTGGACGTAGCCCGTCCTGTTAACGTATTTGAATGAAAAAAACCTTTTGGGGAATTTAACTTCAGAAAATTGGCCTTATATAGTTTTAACCTTATTTTCCCAATTTCTCCTTTAGTTTGCAAGTCTTCTTCGAATTCTGGCGAGATATATTTCGGAAAGTCTGGCTTTTGGTCTGCTGGAATTTCTCTCCATACATCAATCAATAAACCTTTTGAGCGAGTTCTGGCTTTTGAATTGATGATCCTTTCTGCGTCAACATGAGATTTCAGCAGAGGAAGATTATAAGAAACGAACCTTGAATATTGCCCTTGTATAGTCGGCTTATATGGTTAAGTATAGGTGGCAACCAGACACCTCCCCTTTCACAGATAGCACCCCCACCCCCCTCTCCAAAAATAAATGGTTTATCCTATAGAAGTAATTGATAGGAAACAAGCAGAATAATTTAAATATAATCCAATTAAAACACTATATTGATAAATTAAGTCCATAAATTACTTTATATTTATGATTAATTAATAAATTTAAATTAGTTAACATTTAATTAGAAAATATATTAAATTTGTTTTTATATTTATAAATATAATGCCAAAAATATAGATAAATGGCATTAATTATTAAATTAGCCAATCACAATACAATAGCTTGCATTAAATTTATTGATTCATAAATTAAAGCTAATCTGATGACATTTTACAAGGATTGCAGGACTGAATTGGTAACAGGATTCAATAGTGCTAATAAAAATAGTATTTGCTATTATCAGTTTTACTTTTGGATCTCTAATTCGACTCTTTAGCCATTTTTTCACAAAGTTCATAAATATATGCAGGATATACTGCTAATTAAAGCCAAAGATCATTATTATGCTTGTTAATAAATTTTTTCAGATGTGGTGTCTTAGTAGTTATAGAAAATTCTCACTCCATTCCACCTATTGTGCTACGCTATGTGGAAATCTGTAATTTTGAATATTTAAAAATAATAATTTATTTATTATGCCTGCTCTAAATTAGTATTTGTCATATATCTATACTATATTAAGGGGGCTGGGAGTACCATTAAAAGGGGGATGGGGTACCATTAAAAGGGGGGTTGGGGGTGGGGGTACCATTAAAAAGAGGGGGTGGGTGGTGTGGATACTACTTTTAGGGGGGGTGGGAGTGTCTAGTTGCAGCCTGTGCTTGACCACTTATATACCATTTATATGACTTCATTTAAGGATCATTGATTTTAGCTTATGTAATGTAGCTAAATAAGCATGGAATAGCCTATTTTTGCAAAAGGAATTTATATTAAAAAAAATTCACAAAAGCAGAAAATTTAACATTGGTTTATGTCAAATAAAATATGCGTTAAATGAGAATATTTAAGATTATTTTTATAAATGATTATTAATAAATATTCATATATAAACAATATAAATTTATATAGCATTTACTACATATTAAATAAAATAAATTATAACTATGAAAATAATTAAGGAAACTCCACTCCAGGAATGTAATACATTGGCAAATGATTCAAGTTGCTCTTGATATATCTCAAAGTGCTTTCCTGAACCATTCTTTTTGCTTCTTTTGGTACCATCGCTTTTAATTTTAGTACTTGTTCACGCGTAAGTTCTTCTCCTTTATCAGCCATTTCTTTTACCTTTTCAATAATATCCGCTATGCTCTGCTTCAAATCTCCTTTGACCCCATTACTGAATTCTGCAAACCAATCATGATATAGCGCCATCGCCCAATTTTCTGACAAAAATTCAGCGACATCAGGAATCAAGTTATTTTTAAATCTTTGGCTCAATTTATTTAAATAAGTTTCACTAAGCCCTACAAATCTCCACAAGCTTTGGACCTCGACTGATTCTTTGCTGAAATAAGTGACTGAGTCTACCAATCCAAAATTATTAAACGTGAATTTTATATAGTGTCCTTTAATATTTCCTTCTTCGTCAGTATGAATTGTATCAGAAATGACGTCTTCTCTATTTTTGGGATTATTTTTAATGATTTTAGGCTCAGCGTACTTTGGAGCTTCAATATAATAATAGTGGAAATTTCCTGGGAGCATGCCACCTTTTCCACGGGGCATATAGAAATAAGGCATTTCGTCTTTAAGGTCTTCAAAAAGTCCTTGTAGCGAATCAAGCTCAATCATGCTTAGCACAGATCTAGCTAATCTGACACCTATTTCTCTGCCGTTATAGCGGTCCATTCTTAGACACCTTCCTGCTGAGAGAGATCTGAATTGCTGAGAAAACTCACATAAGGTTCCAGCAGCATATATAGAAGGGTCAGTGGTCAAGAATTGGTTGCTCACAATGACTCTGCCGTTAAAGACAAGCCCATTGTTATGGATTGCTCCAAAGATTTCATCATCCACGTCCACTCTTCCAGCAGTCACTAACACTTTGCAGTTTAATGTGAGCTCTTCTTCATTATAGCTGATTGTGATGGACTGTAAGTTGCTTTTATCGTCAGTGTTAATGCTTAGTAAGGTAGCTCCATAATAAGCTTGGATATTTATATATAATGGTTTTAAATTAATATTATTGAAAATTATTTAAAATATAATTAGAATCCAGTTTATATGGTATAGCTTTTTCAGCTCTTCTCGCATCCTTTTTTCGACGTTTTGATCATTTTCAAAAGCAGGGTGGTTTATAAGGATATTTTCATCACCTCCAAAATGAGGATCTAAGCTGTCATCTGGCTCAAAAACTGCATGTGGCACAACTAGCTTGATTCTTATTGGGTTAATTCCTTTACTCAGCAGTCCTTGTATAAATGCAAATGCGTTCAGCGTATACCCATAAATAACAGTCGTCCCAGGCTGTTTTCTATGATTTAAAATTGCCATCAAATTTCCTTCAGGTCTGAAATGTTGGTACAAGTACGGGTCATCAATTGAAAGTACCCCATCTGTATATATTTTATTTTCAGGGATTGGTGCTATTCCTCTACTAACTCTTCCCATCTGTTGCAATGTTGAATCTTGTAGCCCCATAGTCAAAATTAATATATCATACATCAGTTTTGAGTCATCATGCAGGATAATTTGTTTATGTTCTCTATCAATTTCAATTAATCTTCCATCAATCACAGTAACTCTGCTTTCCAATAACAGTCTAATCATTTCTGATAATGAATAGCTGGTAGAGCTTGCTTTCATGTTCTGTGACTCGTTTTTTATATGGTAATATGATAATCCTCCTGGAGCTAGCAAATAAATATTATTGAACTGTAAATACATATTAGACAGCAATGACTCGATAAAGGAAATCCCTGCGTCTGAAGCTCCAACTACCACAATTCTATGGTTAACTACAATTTTTGGCTCACTTAAATGCTTTTTTGTAATAAAGCATAAAGCAAAATCGCTTTCTTTTTCGTCTTGGTATTTTCGGTCAGCTCCATCTTGGTTGGCAAGTCCATCAGTTTCATTTGTGAGGGCTTTTTCATGGTCCCAAGGCTTGTCTAAGAAATGGGGGAATTTTCGCGATCTTGCATATAATAGGTCATTAAAAATGTCAGGAATGACCGTCATGTCGTGGATTTCAAAGTACATGCAAGTTTTATTCATAAGTCTCATTACGTCTCTGACCATAAGATTTTGGCACCTTAAAAATATAGGATTTATGACTTCGTGTAGGAGACGGGTATGGCCTTCTCGTTTGTGCTCATTAAGGAGCATATGTTCTTCTATGTGAAAATGAGACTGATAGTATCGTAAGTTTACATCAAGAGATAAGACAAATAGGCCGATTATTTCTGATTTGCATAAAGCTGTAAAACTGACGAATGGACAGTCTGCTTTTTCTTCTAACTCCCCCCCCCCCTCCGTGAGCGAAAACAAAACCATTAGAAAAATCGCCATTTTTTGACCAAAAACCCACCCTCCGTGAGTGAACAAAAATTTTTTTTAATAGAAAAAATTTTAATGGAAAAAAATTTTGATATATAAGTGATAATTAGTATAATGAAATCTAGAGCTAATTCTGTTTAATTTTAAACAAATTGCGTTTTAAAACATAAATTTTTGCAAATTAAATTAATATTTGCTTCCCAATTTTTGCAAATTAGGATTTTTTTAAATTTCGAAAAAAATATTTTTTATAAAATTTATATATAAAATTTTTTTTAAAAAAAAAAATTAACCCCCTCCCGTGAACGAACAAAATTTTTTTTGTTCGCTCACGGAGGGGGGGGGGGGGGAGTAAAGAAAGTTTTACTTTCTCTAAAACTTCGTTGGTGTTTTCTAGGGTGCTTAAAAGGTGGTCCATGTTTTCTAGGTCAGAGTGATCTGTTCGTCTGACTTGTATATACTGTGGTTAATTGAGCTTAAAATAAGTCCATTATAGGACATTCCTTTTATTTATATTAAAATAAAAATAAATTTATCATATTACAGTATATGTCTAAACATCAAGCAATCACGATGCATAACATAAAGGACATGTGAATATGTATTACTTGGCTTCTTAGGTATAGGCGTGAAAAATTTCATAAGTGAGTTTTCAGGCACAGTATGTGGCTGCGTAATAATCATATAATCCCTAGTCGGAAACTGTGCAAATGCAGTCTCTAAAAATTCAATTCCAAACGAATCGAAAGCTTCATCTATACAATACAGCACCAAACAAAACGCATTTTTTGCAATTTCTGGCGGGTCTGGTATAGAATTTAAGTCATCTAACTCCGCTACAGCTTCTTTATACAGCAATTCTTTGTCGTTTTCAAAGTTAATTTCGTCTTCATCTGAAGCATGTTGTGTTGACAGTTTTCTTTCGATTTCGAAATTTTCTCCAGTTTGTCTCATCATAGAAGCTTGCCTTGACATTCCAGCTTCTGATGATCTTTGTCTAGAGTTCATATTTTCTCTATCTAAAAATTCAGCTTCTTTTTTAAGCTCTTCTCCACTTACCATTTGTAGCTGATAGAGAGTTTTGTCGAAGTCTTCAATAATGTCTAATGATCTTATGACGTCATTGTAAGAAGTTTTCATATAAGTGACATAAGCAGGCAGCACTTGTCCTTCTTTATTTTTCTGATGTTCAACTATAACCCCACACTCTACTTCTTGTGACAGCTGCACTTTTTGTTCTTTTTCTTGCTGTGCTCTGCCTCTGCCTCTTTGGAACTTCGTTGCTTTTTTTTCTTCTTCAGCTGGCTGAGGCGGCTGATATACTTTTTGTTCATTTCTTGTCATTAAATTTCCAAAGCACCTCAGCATGGGTCCAATTACATTAGCTACAACAGGGTCAAAATTAAACCCTCCTTTTTCAAGATGTACTGCAAAATTCGTTGTATTTATATTGACCAAATTTTTATCAACTGTCCCATCTTCTTTTCTGAAACAATACTCAAGTTTTGCTAAATTCCGCTTGACTTCGTTTCTGAAGCGGGTTCTGCTGTCAGAATTTGCGTCAATAAAAGCACGCAGGGCTTTCATTAAAGGTTCTAAGTCGAAATGCTCAGGAATGTCTGGGAGTTTGAGCTCTTCTTGGAGACGAATCTTTTTAACGTCTCTTTTACCACCTCTTTGTTTGCCGTAGGTAGCTCCTTTTGCGGCTTGGCTTTGTTTAAGTTCTTCTTCTTTTTTGCGATACCAGTTTGTGAAGTGGCCTTCTCCGTTCATATAGCCTTCTGGGAGGCCGAAAAATTCTAAGCAGTCATAGAAAAATTCGCTTTCAGATAAAATGTTACAAACTAAAGTAGTATCATCACTAGGATGATCTAAAAAATACTCAGAAGGCTGCTGAACCACAAAATTATCAAGCCACCCATCAATCAGCCCCTGGACCGCTTTTCTATCCATAGCCTGATAATTGTCTTCATTATTCATAATCCCATCAAGCTCTGCAAAAATTTGTTCTTGCTTCATCAATAAATACTCTTGTAAGGACATTCTTTGTGCAATCATGTTACAAATCATAGTCTCTTCCCTCTGTCTTTTGGCTTCTTGCCTTGCCCTTTCTTGGGCCTCAATAGCTCTTTTCTCAATAATTTGGTTTCTTTTTTCTCTCACAATGTCCATATAGTCTGGGTCAAGCAAGTTATCATAAGGATCTAGCTCGAAACAAGGCCATAAGTCATTTATGACGATATCTGATTTAACAGTAAGCATGCCGACAGCTTTTTCATTTACTTGAGCAGTAAAAGATTTCAGCTGAGGGCTTTGTTGAGCTATAAGTTCTGCTATATAATAGTCTCCATATACATCAGTGGTGATATCTGACTGAGAGTTAAAAATTGCAGCTAAATCATCGTGGTCTTCTTCTCTAGCAATTCTGATTTCAAGCTGAGGAATGATCATTCTTCTATCTGAGTATGCGTTTTTCTAGAAATAAATATAATTTTAATATAAATATCTATATTTATTATTAGTCTATAACAGTATAATAAAAGATTGTGTTGAAATGGACCCCTCTGACCTCACTCAGCTGCTCCCTTCTATGTAAATCTAATTCTTCAAACTTGTCCTTTATATACTCAAACCCTGTAATTTGGTAATCTTCTGGCTGAGCCTCTCCACGCGCTAAAAACATAGTCCCACGAATAATCGGTAATGAGTAATAAGCGCTTTGCAAAATCTTTACAAAGATTTCGTTCTGGATTTCCGGCTCAGCTTCTCCAATTGCATAGAATTTAAGCCAAAGCGTGTTGTGGGAGTTTAGCTCATCATTAACCCCTCTTGCAAGGTTGTACCAAGGCTCCCAATAGTTTTCGTGCTTGCCATCATTGCTACGTAGGCCTGGAGGATAGTCGTCGAAGACTGCAAAAGCGATGATAGTGCCATCTGGGTCTAGTGCAGTAACTGAAAGATAAGATGTCTCAATGAAGTTCGTGATGCTAATGTCAACGCCGAATAATCGCTTGGCGGCCTCACGGTGAACGTCACCCCTTATCAAGTCTTCTATTAATTCACTGTCATCAAGGTCGCTTCTTCGAATAGTGACTGCGTTGAGGAAATCAACCATTTTATATTATAATCGTGCTGAGTTCTCTGAGCTTATTTCTAAAACATTTTTAAATTCATATGAATTCTAGTTTAGAGTGGAATAAGAGTTTTATTATGTGAGATTTTACTAGACTTATAATGTTATATATAAATTTCGTTGAAAAATGGAATGACGGATCATAGTTTATATAAAAATATAGGATATTAATGTAAATCATGAAGAGAAAAGATGTGAGAAACTGTTATAAATAATGTGAAGAGATAAGTTAGATAATGAACTTATAGACTGGTGGGTGTTGATCAATGACTTCAGTTCCTTTACTCCTTCTAATTATGAAGCAAACAAATTTTTTATATATAAATATGAGTGATATAAATATTATAATAAAAAAATCTCTCGCTAATTTTATTGAATTCAACAGCTTGCATTTGCAACGGAAAAAATGGTAAAAACTTAGAAGATAGGCGTTATTATCGTCTTTATAATTTTAATAGTAATAGCAGCTTGCATTCTATAGGGTACTTTTAAATTAAAAATAATTTACTTTCCAATTTTTGTTAATTGAATTTATATATTAATTTTTTAAAAACACAAATTAACCCTTCCATAAACAGGCAAAATTTTTTGCTGGCTAGTGTATGAGGAATTAGTAACCACAAAATGTCCTTCTGATGGTGCCACAGGCTCTCTCTTCAAATCATTTAGCTTTCCTTCCCCTCTAGCTTTTTCATTATCAATGACCCTTTGCAAAAACTCTTCTCTGCATCTGCTCTTTGTCAAATGTTCAGGTCTGACGTTGATTCTTTTCTTGATAATTCTGTTTCTCACTTGTTTGTTAACAATGACACCGATTCCATGGACGCTGACGTTAAAAACTTTGCCTGTTTTGCCATGGTAGAATTTATATGGCATGCCTTTGTGAACTGAGCCGTCAACCTTGATGTCAACGAAGTCACCTCTTTGGAAGGTCACCATAGTCCTGGAAAGAGGGACTGGGCCGTGTCTTCTGAATGGCTTGGAGAACAGATCTCTTGTCTTAGCTCTGTATCCCTTATGATGAGGCATTTTTATAGCCAGACAATGGCATAATTTACTTTTGGATTCTTAAAGAAAATTTGGGATTGATTTAGTTGGTAGAGAAACTAACAAGAAATTTAAGGAAGAAAGCTGGAAACTAAGCAAGTGAATTTTGGGTGTATCAGAGATTGTGAATTGGAGATTGGAAAGTGATAGAAAATGAGATTATATCAGAAAACTTTTAATAAGAGAATTTATGGGAATTGGAAACTATGTGACTGCCAAGGAAAAAAGTATTTTTAGAATGGAAAAATTGAATTTTTTGTTAAAAAGGGATTTAGGAGCATAGAATAATCACACTAATTATTTAATATAGACAGCATCGTTTGTAGCAATATTGACTTCACCTTTGCTTGTGTAGCAGCTTCTTTATGAGTATTTAGCTGTCTCATTAGTTTATTATACACAATTGACTCATCTTCTTGTTCAAAAGTTTCATCCCTCATAAGCGTTCTCTCATATTCCTCATTCTTATTTATCTTAAATGCATTGAACCCCAATCTTTTCTTAATCGCGATTTGTTTACTATAAGCATTAAATACTTCAATTAATTTTTCATTCTGGAAGCCTTTAAACCTCATAAAGGCAACTTGTTGTGCCAGCGCACTTTCTTGGCTGATTTTGTCAGTTTCTTTTTTCCACCTACTCCCCTAGCAAGCAATATTTTTTGATTACAATATTTTAATATACAATTTATAAAATCTTAAACTAATTCTATAATTGTTTTAAAGAATTAATTTATAAATTAATAAGATTTTTATTTAAAAACAAAGCCTGTTATTAATGACAAAAAAAATCTTGTTCTCTCGCCTAGTGGGGAAATTAATAAAAGCTTGCTTATACACGTTAATTCGATTTGTGTACATAGTTAGCAATAAATGCGTGCTTTTAGGACTGACTAATTTAAGCTGACGAATTCCATAAAGCTTTCTAAGGCTGAAAATTTTGCTTAAAATGCTATATAGTGGGACAACTGTGTTTCATTTGGCTAAGTTTCATTGGTAAAACGCTTTGGCTATCTTTCTTGCTTGGAATTTAAAAATGGCCCTGACTGCTTTTAAAATGGTTTCTGTATATTGCAGGTAGGCCCAATGACCGCGCACATTTCATCGAAGTATATATGGTCGAAAATCGGTTGATAGTGAGACATTTGACTAAAAAAACCTATTAAATTTCTACCAAATGTACTTTGATGGATATACACTATCAAAAATACGACATGGAGCCGTATATTGCTTCTCCCAATATCCAGGATCTCTCAGAAGTGTAAAAGAGACTGCATAGTGCCTTCATTTATTTCAGGTTTTATCTATCGCTTTCCTTTGTTTTTCTTTTAAGATGCTTTTTACTTTCGCCAATCCTATTCCATTAGAAAACCCTCTTCTTTGTAAGGTCATTTCTTCTCTCAAAGTCCCTGCGCTCACCTTTTCTAAATATTTTGTAAATCCTTCTAATGGGTTTTTTGATGAATCCGTTGGCTTTGTTAATTTTCTCAGCGCCTCAAGTGAGGTAATCGCTTTCATTTTAAATAATAATTAATTAACTATAAATATTCTTTTAATCTTTCTTGTTCTTCGTCTATAATCTTTACTTCTTCTCTCATAGAGATTAGTAGTTGTCCTATATGTGTTTTTGTGCATTTATGAAATGATTGGTAGGATTCGAATTCTGATTGATTTTTGAAGTCTAAGTCTTTTGGAAATTTGTCAACTAATGGCTTGCATTCTTGCTGGTAGAAAATATGTGATTTTGACTGCTGCCTTCTGAGATTGAGGTATTTCAGAAGGTAGCTTTCATGAAAATATAAACAGTCAGATTTCATTGAATCGTAGCATTGGTATTCTAAGTAGCGGACAAACTCTTTCCCACTTTCTAATGCAAATTTTGTTTCTTTTATGTCTTTATCAAGATTCACTAAATCTTCTGAAAGCTTTTTGGCTTCTTGTTTTAGACTTTCCATTAATTTAATGATTTGTCTTGATTTTTTATTAATAATTTGTTATTTTATCCTGCTATAAAAGTTTAAATACTGCACTAAGCCTTGAGTATTCAAGTCACTAACTCCTATTGCCTGCCTAATTTCTTCTTGGGTCAGCCCTTGCTGTCTCAGTATCTCTTTAAACGTATCCTGCTTTAAAACCCCTTCAGTTAAAGTGTCTGCTTTTCTGCAAGCGTCTAAAAAGTTTCCAGCTTTAAGTCTTAGCTTATCAAGAACAGGAGGGATTTCACCTATTGTGTCTCTTATCAATAAATTATACTGGACTCTTCCATTTCGATTAGGGTCATACTGGGAAACCAATGCATTTATTTGGTTACCAGATAACCCAAATTGTGATGACAAAATTTGATAAAAATCAGTTGGACTGATTAAACCTAGATTTAATACATCATAAGGCTTAAAAACATTTTCTAGCGAAATTCCTCTTTCTCTAGCAATTTGACCAATTATACGGATTGCTGTATCTAAGTCTCTTTCTGGGAGTGTTTGATTTTGTGCATAAGATTGTCCCATAGGCTGCATAAAGCCTTGGCTTTGTATAGTTAAGTTAAATGGTTAAACTGGCCGTAAGAGGAAAGCTCACTAGCCTTTGCCTCGTCTTGGCTCTAAAAATAGCAGTCTGCATCGACCTCTAAGAAAATGGAGTGCTGCCATTTTGGATTTTTGATCTCAGCGACATATCCAAGGGATCATCTCCTAGGCAGAGCTACCGTCTGAAGAGCTACCCGATGGTTCCAACAAGAGAAGACCATGTGAAGGCAAAACTTGTCTAGCCCATCAGGATGGACAGGAAAACCTTCGAGGCAGGAACAAAACTTCCCTTTTCGGCAAGGCTTCCCCAAAACCCTGAAGACCTACTTCAAAAATGAACAGAGGCCGTGTTTTCAGTTTCACCAGGATACGTCCTACCTGCTGCATAGGGAGTGCGCCTCGGAGTCCACTTTTCGTTACCTCACCATTTTTATTTCTTTGTCTTTATATAGGCTTAGGCTTATTTTTTGAAAAAAAATGCCTACCATTCCCATGATATCCAGCTGGAGTAGAAACTTCTTGAGGTTTTAGGCTGAATGATGAATTTTTAGGACAATTTGAGTTGACTGTTTCCTCATCCATCGGAATTCCACAATATTCACAATTCATTTTAAATTTCTCTAATTCCTGTGAAAATTTCTCCGTAAGTCTCGCTCATTCTGCTAGCTCCTTTTGTGTGGCTGCATCAATATCTCCACTCCCCGCCTTTTCATGTAGTAATTTTCATATAATTTCGTCTTTAAAACTAATAAGTGCCTGCAGCGCTGGGAATTTTTCAATCATTTGTCTTATTTCAGCCAGCTCCCTAGGCAAGCTTTCATGTGATACATCAATATCAGTCCTAAATGGCTTGGCGATTGATATTTCTATTGCATCCCTCAAATGAGGCGCTTGTTGTAAAAATCCAATCATATCTTGTCCTGAGTTTTCAACTGCTGCTATAATATTATTGATTCTATCTAAATCTCCTTTAAGCTCTGCAATATCATGCTGTAAAATCGCTATTTTAGTCCCATGGGAAGAATTAAGCCGCTCATTCATAGCAGAAAATTCACTTTTCATGTCCCTTTCTATCATTCCTTTGACTCTTTTTATTTCGTCAAGCCGAAACTCCACTCTATGCATTTGGGATAATAATTGTTCACGCTTACTGAATAGGTGAGAGTTTAAGGTGTTATAGACTGCAGCTAAGCGGTAACGGTGGGCTTCTTCGAGGGGGATTATTTTTGAATGAATTCCACTGTGAGGGCCGGAAATTAAACAGTCTTCACAGATAGGCTCTTCGAAGGTTTCTGAATAGAGCTTGTATTCTTTTTGGTGGAGCTGACAGAGGGAGTGTGGAACTGGTTGAGGAGGCCCTCGAGATTTGGGAGAGGTAGCCCGCCTTGAACTCCCAGGGGAGCTTGATCTTGATTTTGGAGATTTAGGAGAACTAGGAGATTTAGGCGATTTTGGAGATTTTGGGGATTTTGGGGATTTTGAAACTGGGCTAGCACTTCTTGAAGACTTTTTCTTACCAGTTTTCCCTGAATTTTTTCTAGGAGGTTTTTCACTCATTTGAATTATTTATGATTTAAGCGTTATTTTACACTATAAATTTTTCAGCTTAGGAATTTCGCTTAATCTTTGAGCTTTCAAAACTAAAAGTTTATACTGTTCTTTTCTGCTTGTAGGCGTCATATACCTCATTCAGCTTGAAATTTGATTCCTCTTCATCTCCATTGCTCTATTTGAATCCAACGACCCCAGTCTATTTTTTTGCATATTATTATTTCTCGCACTCCTTCGTGACCCTATAAAAATGCTATCAACCATTTTCAGCTGAAACTCATTTTTTTTCTCATCAAAAATCTCCCGAAAATGATTAGAGCTTGGCTTTGACGTAATCATATGATTATGTGCTGCCACCAATTTTGCTTCAAGTGAGACCTTTTTTGCGACAATTTGCAAGTTGTTTTGTTCTTCTTCATCAAAATTGTCTTCACTAGGGTCGCTGTCTGACCCACTTGAATTGTTTTCTTCGACAAGGGTTGGTAAATCTTCGACCTGAGTTTCGAATAGATTTTTTAGTACATTTATGCCTCCGTCAAATGATAAAGCTCCTTGAGTGGCAGTTCTTTGTTCTATAGGAGATAATGTTTCTTTTCTTGCTGAAACGGAGGTTCGAATGTTTTCTCGACCTTTAAAATTGTTTAAAATCTGATGTCTTTTGGAGGCATCAATCTGCCGCTTAAATAGCTCCACTTGTTCTCATAGTGATTCTTGGGAATTAATAAACTTCCCATTTATTTTGATAAGTCCATATAAAGCTATACCTAAAGAATTGCCAACTTCCATCAGCTCTTCCCTTGTGAATTCTTTTAGAAGCTCAGAAGTCCGGTATCCATGAAATGACGCTTCTAATGTAAAACTGTGGAGTACTTCGAGTTCCCGACACACAACAGCACGAGCTGTATTTGAGTGAAGGTCTGAGCTAAAAAACCTTGACGTGGAATAATTAAAATGAGATGTTAATTTTGATAGGAGAAAAGGCAGGACTTTTCCTTGCCAATAAGTTTCTTCTTTACGAGAAAAAGAGTTGCCATACATAAAACAATAGTCTTTTTTGGAGTGCCCGTGCAAGTCTACATATGCCCTGATTCCTTTAACAAGTTCTTTGGTGGAGTATATTGTTGGGTATATATCTGAGCCTGGATTTTTTCATTTCCTGTTTAAATCAACCCCTGATAAATCACTTCTATAATTCCCACATACAACACCGTCTGGATTCAACATAGGAATAATCAGAAATTCACAGCATTTTCTTGCCTTTTCTGCTTCAGCTGAATTAGATGTTAAAAATCTTAATAATCCTTCAGCCATTCAAGACCCAACAGTTTCACCAGGATGAACTCTAGCGGAAATCGCCACAATTGGGTACTCCTTTGTGTCTTTAGGCCGAATTTTTATTAGTGGGCAATTTAAGCCTCCAAGAGTTGTGCATAAAACAGATTCCGAATAATCAAAATTTGCATTGGAAGCATGAAGTTTTAGACTATCTAAAAATGTCCGGAGCCTTGTGTAAGTATATGGCTCAGAGTAAGCGAAGTATACAGTATCATTGTCATATATAAATTTGTATTTAAAAGACAATGTGTAATAGTGAGAAATTTTTCCATTGATGTCTCTGATTAAACTGTTTTTCATATACCTTACGTCGAATCCAGCACGATTTCACCCTTGTCTGTGCTTTTGATATTGCTTGACAGAAAAGGCTACAGGTCTCATTCCTCTGTTAAATAAGCTTCCATTTTTGGTGAAATTCATGATATCTAGTGTAATAGTTTGCTCTTTATGAATATACGGATTCATATAGATGTTGTCACCACTATTAATTAAGTGAAGATTGCTGCAAAAAAGCCTTATGGCTTTCTTTTTTCCTTCTCCTCCAATTTTTTGTCTTCTCTTCTTAGATGCCACTATTAAAATTTAGCTCAAAATTAATTTTATAAAGCCAGCTTAGCTGAAGTATCTATATATATTTGGCATATTTTTTACAGAAAAATAAAATCATTGTGTATGTCCTTTTGTATTCGTATCAGCTGTCAAAAATAAATTAAATTCATTATTTTTCACCTTCACAACTTTATCTAGATTTCCAGACTCAAATTCTGAGTCGAAAATAAACTCGCTGACTTCTAAAGCAGCAGATCTCAACTTTAACCGTTTTTGAAGAGAGGGTCTATGCAGCTCACAAACTCCTACATTAACTATTTCTCCATCATTATATATAGACAGTCATATAAATATGACCCGTCCTCCCCATGGCGGGTGTCTTTGTGTATATCTGGGGGTGGCTTTTGGTGCCCAAGGTTGGGCTAGCCTTAAAAGAGAGGCCCAGCACTATTTCTGCTGATTAGTGGCCTGCTTTTTTTTGCCAGCAGCGCCAAGGCCTCCGTTAAAGGCAGGGTGACTTATCTTCCTAGGCCGCTTAGGGTTGTTACGAAACGCGTAAGTGGTTGAACCTTTCCTTTAGTGATGAATTAGCAGAAAAAAAAGAAGACAGGCTAAACAAGAAATCAAGGGCTAATTTCTCTCCAGTTGAAAAGGGTCCCGTGAAAAGGGCAATCTGGCCTGAACTAAGCAGGTTGAGTAAGCTGATTGCTTGGGTTGGAAATAGAGGCTCTTACAAAGTCTATATTACTCGGACCATAGGAAGAAAATGCCTCTACCGAGAAACCGGGAGTTTCTATCACACAGCTCACGCCTTAAACGCATGGTGCTCAGGAAGTGGGGACTATAAAGACACACCTTAATCTATAATAATATATAGGCAGTCAAGGGTCTTGCAAAGTCTGTATATACTGTTTAAAGTTGTTAGGCCTTTGTTTAACATACACAAATTGGAATTTCGATAAAGAGCTGGGATGCTTAAAAATTTCATCAGAGTGGTCTTTAAAATATAATGGGATAGGAACTATATAGTTTTCTATGTATTTTTTGAATGTCATATATGATTCACTTCTGTTTTTACATGTACAATAAATGTTGATTGTTTCGGAATTTTCTCTTTTTTCAAGGGGATATTCTTTTTTGTCTTGAAGAAACTCTAAAAATATATTGCATTTTGTTGAATAGATCGTATTATACTAAAGCCAGGAATGCATAATCTCTAGCAATTTAAGGCATTAGTCTTAATTTTAATAAATTATTATAGCCTTGGAGGCTATAGTTTATCTTTAGAGTTTTGCTTGAAGATTTTCTTTTCTTCTTTTGGGGTCATTGGCCTTTCTGTGTTTTCTTGCTGTTTGCAAATTTCTTCATGAAATATAGAAGTAGGCTCATAACTTTTGAGTTTAAACCTTTTTCTTTTAGGTAAGAGAACTTCTTTCTTAATAAAAGGTGTATTTCTTACTCCTTCATTTTAATTGAATCATCCGCTGATGTTAGATCAAGGATAGTGGGGGAAATATTTATCTTATTCACTATGAGACAATATAAAATTATTTTCGCATCAGTAAGAAGAGATAAAGTATGGAATATATTGACAAATATACTAGAAATTTATTTTAATTTTATAGGTACGACTATAATGTTTATTATTATCAAAGATAAATAGTTAGATTGAGATTGGGGTTGATGGGAAGTTAGTGGTAATGGTGGTGGAATGACAGAATACAATTCTTTTAATCAAGAGTCATCAATATTTTCAATATTCATTTAACTAAATATATAGTTAAATTATTTTGGAATATCAATTAGGAGTTTTATATTTACAAAAATGAATTTAATTAATTTATAAACTGATTAGTCCTTTAGGTCTCACTTTTAAGTTTTAATTGCGTTGATAAGCCCACTCAGCATTGAGATTAATTTATAATACATTTCTTTAGCTTTTAAAACTTGAACTCTTAAGTCGTCACTGTAGAGGTAATAATTTTATCAAAAATTTGAATGAAATATCTTAGCAAGCTGAGCTCGAATTGGCATCAACAAAATAAATAAAGTGACAAAAGTTGAAACTGAACTGCTTATTTCTGAAAATTTTGAACGAGTGTGCTCACTAAGCAAACAGTAGGTCAAGAAATAAAATAGCAAAAGCTGGTTCTGGAATTTTCAATGCCGTTGTTTTATATCATTTATTTCTTTACAGTCTTTGCTTTAAGAATATATTTTAATATAATGACTGAGGGCTATAAATGGCTTGCAAGTCTATTTGTTATCTCCAAGTTTATGAACTTACAGTTGATTTTTTCCCAATAGTTCTTGGGACTCTTATTTTAGATCTTAACTTTTTTGTTTGTAACGAAGTTTTTCTTGATAAAAGGTGTATTTCTCTGTAGCAATAATTTTGAGGAATGGCAGAGTTCAATGCATCAATTAGAGTCACCAAGATTGCGAAATTCTATTTACACAAATTCAAATTGTTTATGGATATCAATTTGGCATTTTACTTTTATAAAGCATGATTCACTTAATTTAAAATTGATTGATCATTCAGGTCTGTTCTTTTAAAATTTCGACAGATTAGTAAGCTTTTCAGTATGATTATAATCATTTTAATGCAAATTGTTCATGCGCCTTTAAATCTTAAATTTTATTAGCGTCTTTAAGGCAGAATGGCAAGCTTTAAATATTTTTAGAGAGTTATATACAAATACAAATCTTATTATTAAATTGATAAGTAATTATCTGTTTTATTCTATCATTTGTGTAGGTGAATTAATTATTTAATATAAAATGACATGAAAGTCATCATGAACTATGAAGCAAAACTGAATAAGATTAAAACTTGCAATAATTATATTAAAAATACAGTTTAAGGCTATTTTTTAGCTTTCCTAGGCTATTCATTAATCTTGCAATTCAAAATGTAGTCTTGGATAATAGATTTTCTTAAGCTATTTCTCAGGTTGATAAGCGAAGCTTATAATTTTTATTTGCTGACCAGTTGGTAACTATTATTATACTAGTAAAATAGAAGTTGAAGCGCATTCAATAGCCCATAGCGAACTAAAAGAGATTCTTGGCTATAATGTGCTATCAGCCTTTAAGTTTGTCTTGCACATTTTTTGTTTAATAATTTCAAGTAATTGGCACTTTTAATAACATTTTTATAATATTTTCAACAGGTTCAAAATAAATTTGAAAATTTTAGTTATTCTTCATCCAAAAATTTAAAATTCTTATTCAAAATCTGACAGTTTGCATTATATTTACTCCTCTTTAAAGATCAAGCAAGTGTTTTTTGCTTGCCCACACAGGGAGTTAGTCTTTTTAATATTTCAATCAATATATTTTAAGATATTTGAGAACGCAAATTAATAAAACGCACTATACCAAATCTTTCCTTTATCTCAACGTCTTTAATTAATTTCGCAAAGGATGATAATAGAATATGAAAATTAGAATGTAAATGATATTTGAAATATAAAAATTGAATTTCAGATAAATGCTAATAGTGGTGTCTATTATTTTGCAACTGCAGACCGTTTCAGGATTTTGCCACAGCACATGTAGGGAAAGCGATTTTCAAAATTATTGCATAAATTGCTGAAGTGAACAGAAAGAGGATTTTGAGGATCAATCTTTTTGCGATCTTTGGAGCGCTAATATGTGTGCCATGATGAATAAAGAAGTGCCAGAGATTGAAAATGCAATAAATGATGTGTTAGAAATGGAGCCAAAATACACTAATTTTAAATTTCAGTGAGTTGATATTCAATTTCTCATCTTACTCTCCATTTAACAATAAACACATTTTTATTATTTATTAAAATAAATCCTAGTTTAAACAAAATTATTTTTGAACATTTTTTATTTACTCCCCCCTCCTTGAGCAAACAAAAAATTTTGTTCGCTTAATTTTATTTTTTAAAAATTTTATATAAAAAATTCTAATTTGTAAAAATTGAGAAGCAAAAATTAAATTAATTTGCGAAATTTAAGTTTAAAAATGCAAGCTGTTTAAAATTAAACAGAATTAAATCTAGAGATTTCATTATAATAATTATCATTTATATACCAAAATCTTTTTTTTCATACAATTTTTTTTTTTTTTACAGTTTTTGTTCGCTCACGGAGGGTGGGTTTTTGGGCAAACAATATGTTTTTCCAATGGTTTTGTTCGCCCACGGAGGGGAGGGAGTTAGATATTTTATTATAGGCTCAGAAAATTATTTCCGAAAAAGATATAGATACTTAATATGCTTAAATCTATATTTTAATAAAATAAAACATTAAGATATATATATAATTCAGAACATATTTGTGTTAATTAACTTGGGATGGGGAAGAGTTAAAATTCTCAAGTGAGTTCGACCCTGAAAAAAATGCGGAAATTATTTGTGAATGAAAGTTATGCAGTTTTAACGAAACAGTGCTCAGAAATATATGCAACAGAAAGTGCAAAAGCTGCCTGTCAGGATATTATGATGAATTCCATTGTGAGGCTTGCAATTTAGGTTCATATTTATATCAAAATACTTGTTTAGAGTACTGCCCAGAAGGAACTATCGAAAACCCAATAACGAATACTTGTGATGCTGTTTCCCCAAGAAAACTTTCTACTTGTAGCCCTGCATGTGGAGGGACTTGCACTCAAAGCACAAATGGTTACTGCTCTTCTTGCGCACAAGATTACGTTACTGATTATTACAACTCATATTAATTAAATTAAATAAGAATCGGCCATAAGTGGCAACCCACTAGCCATACGCCTCGTCTCGTTAAGATTCTGATGCTACCATACTTCTTGACTGACGCCATCTTGAATTTCCGACCTGAACCATCTGTCCAGGGGATCAATTCCCTTGGGCAGAGCCACCGTCTGTCAAGTGCCCCCGATGGTCCCGATGAGGAAAGACCATATGGTAGCTAAAACCTATCTAGCCTATTTGGCAGAACAGGAAAACCTTCGGGGGAGAAACTATCCGGCAAGGCATCCCCAAGCCTGAAGGCTTACTTTAAGAGGGGACAGAGGCCCTTGCTTTCAGCTTCATTAGGATGGGTCCTTCCTGCTCCATAGAGAGTGCTCCTCAGAGTCCTATTTCCGTCAATATCACCATTTTATTTCTATTATTACAACTCAGGGTTGTGTGTTCAATTTTGTGAGGCTGGACTATCAGCAACAAATGGGATCTGTCCAGATCCTAGTTCTATATATTGCGATTATGTTTTCACTACTGAAGTAAATCCTATCAGCTCAGCACTCTTTTTGCTTCCTATAAGGCGAAATAGCCAAAACACTGGCTTTGCCATTGTTTGGCAAACCAATAATAAAATGATAAAGCCATGCTTCACAATTTAGTCTCTTTTTCCTTTATTTTTAACCAAAAGTTTTAGTTTCCTGCACTTTTAACATTATAAGAAGCTAAAGAGTGATGGAGCTATATCAATTCATGGACATCATCAACCCAATACCAAGCACTAGTTAGCTCAGCTTCGCCGACAGGCTCTTTAAATAATAATCCAAGTGGTCCCTATCCCATATATACCAAAGGGTTTTATTTTCCAGAGTTAGGAACTGGTTATATTCAACTTCCTCCAAATTCAGTCTCTTCTAATGCAATCATTCTTGGCAATCATTTCACTATTGCAGTCTGGGTTTTCCCCAAATCTTCCACTAAAAATCAATATATTTTTGCAAAAGAAGGGAGTGACTATGTTTCTATGTCTCTTTATATGTCTCCAGACCAAAATATCCACATAGCCTACCGAGCATTTGACTCTACAACTAATGCTGCTCAGCAATACGACGATATATTTACTCAAGGTTCCTTTGACGCCTGATTATTAATGGAAATACATGTTGATTTGCCGAATCAGAAGCTTGGGCTTTATTACTTTGGAAGTGCATGATATAGCTTAGCCTTTACTTCTAAATTTTTCTCAGACATTGATACAGAAACCTTTACTCCCCTTCGTGAGTGAACAAAACCATTGGAAAAATCCTATTTTTTGCCCAAAGCCTACCCTCCGTGAGTAACAAAACTTTTTAATAGAAAAATTTTTTTGGAAAAAATTTTGATATATAAGTGATAATTCCTATCATGAAATCTCTAGCTATTTCTGTTTAATTTTAAACAAATCGCGTTTTAAAAAATAAATTTTACAAATTAAATAACTATTTGCTTTCCAATTTTTGCGAAGTGAGATTTTTTTAAATTTCGAAAAAAAATTTCTATAAAATTTTATATATATTTTTTTTTTTTTAAAAAAAAATTAACCCCCTCTGTGATCGAACAAGATTTTTTTGTTCGCTCACGGAGGGGTGTTAGTATAGGGAAAAGCTTTATTAATAACGGAGGCTTTTATGGGCTTATATTTGAATTTTTGATAGGCTGAAATAATCTACCTTATGATAGCTGAAGCTATGTATATCATGATTATTGGTGGGTATGTGGTTGTAATAATCATTGTGGAGGATATAGCACAGGCTACTCAAAATGTATATATAGCTGCGGCTATACTCAATTTTATGATGGGTATGGTTCATGTTATGACTGTGATACTGACTGTATTTATGGATGCACAGGTTCTGGAAACTGCAATATGAATTTAGACCCTCTATGTCGGGAATGGACAGGTTTTGAGCAAAGCGAATGCACTAAATGCTGTGATAACTGTAATACTGCAACAAATCCTTGCTCATGTAAGAGTGGCTACATCAATTTTACAGAAGGACGTGATTGTGTCCTAATTTCTCCTAAATGTGCCACAAGCTACTATGTCAGTAATGGTGAATGCAATACATGCTCAGCCGGAAATCATAAGATATATAATTATGGCTTGTGCTTAAGCAATTGCCCTGTGACATGATATTTTAATGGTAGCAAATGCAAGAGCTATTTTGATCCTTATTCTCTTATTATTCATTACGTTTTTAATCAACAAACAAATACAGTTGCAGACTCAGTTAGTGGATTTAAAGCATATATGGGGTCTACTGATATTTATTACCCTGATTATGATAATAATGATCCTATTCCTGTATACCAACAAGGGCTTTATTTTTCGGGAAACAGCTATGTATATTTACCGCCAAATCCAGCTGATGATACCGATTTTATATAGTGCGAGCACAGTTATAGATTGACCTTGACTTCCCCCTTCTCTCCCTCAACCCTATGACTGTTTCAGTTTAGATGAAAAATCAATTTGACTCGTCAAATTTATAATAATAAACTTATCTTTTTTGCCCCTGTTTTATTTAAAATGAAACGATCAAAAGATAGAGGTAGGGGGGTGAGCCATAGCTGCTCATAAAGTATATTAGGTGATTATTTTACTATAATGTTCTGAGTCAGACCATTTTCTACTGGAGATAATTCTTATATTTTATCAAAAGAAGGAACTGGCTATACTCGTTTAGCTTTATATTTTACACCAGACATGCATCTTGAAATAAAATTTATTGGGTTTAATGGTGTATCATTAGCCACTAAAACATATACCTTATCTAGCCCAAATACAGGAAATTGGAATTCATGGCTTTATGTTGGTTTTCGTGCTGGAATGGAAGACGCAAACTCTTTATACATGGAAATTACAATAGATGAAGTCAATGGGGGAGATAAAAATATGGATTATACTTTTTATGAAGATTTTCCTGGTGAAAAGTTTTCTATAGGAAGAAATATAAATGAAAATAAATATAGTCAGGGCTTGCTTTGGATAGTCCTTGGCTAAACTTTGCTGTCTCAATCTGTAGGATTAATATGGAGAGCATCAGCTGCCAAGTCAACCCACAATTTGACAAGTGAAAAATATACTGACACTTGCCAACTTGTGGGGTTGAGGCGGAAACGCATAGCCCAGGGCGATCCGAAGCAGGCCCTGGGCTATACTTTAGAGGGTTTATATACGAAATGCAAATATATAACAATTTTAACGAATATCCAAATCCAGCACAAGCAGTAAATTGTGGATGCCGAGGATGTGGAAATATTGAATTTACTGACTGCTTAATGTCATGTGACTACAATCAATTTTATGACTTTGACAGTGAAAAATGCAAAAACTGTGACGAAAAGTGCAAATTTTCATGCATGGGAAGTGGAAATTGCAATTTGAATTTTGATCCTATGTGTAGCATTGCAACTGGATTTAATACAGAAGATTGCATTACTTGTGTAGACGGGGCGATAGGGGCAGGTGATAAATGTACTTGTGATTATCGCCATGAACTGAGTGGGATTACGTGCAAAGCCTGTTATTATCATATTCAAGATAGGAATGTTATTTCTTATTTTTCCGAAGACTATCAAACAGTGGTTATTGAGTTTGACCAGGCTGTTTCTTTTTCTATGCCATCTACATGCAATAGCCTATTTTCTAGTAACAGTTTAGCAGTCTTTGGAGAATCTCCTAATTGTTATTGGAGCAGTGATAGGATGAGTTTATATGTAAACCTTGGAGAAAATGCTAGAATTGTTGAGAATAGTCAGATTGTGTTCAATAAAGGGGTTTTGATGACTGACCTTAATGCTTGTGGAGGGCCAATAGGAACTGTCAGTGTAAAAGTAAGTTATAAATATCCAAAACCTATTATTTATCCTGAAGCTTCACTGATCGTACCTTATCAACTTTATATTTTATGTGATGATTTAATAATTGATGCAACTAAATCGAAAGGCGGATATCGTAGACCATTAACTTTTAGTTGGAGTTTTGATTCGAGTCCATTGATCAACACTCTTACTCTCATTCATTTAATAGCGAGGACTTTTTTTATTAATTAGGATATAGAATTTTCCCATAGATGGCGCAGTTTGCCCTTGATTTGCCCACTGAAAAAAATTTTTTGGTTTGACCAAACCATACGGTACTGGTCGAACCAAAAAATTTTCCCCAGTGGGCAAATCAAGGGCAAACTGCGCCATCTATGGGAAATTTCTATATATTTATATTAAACGTTTTTACTGTTTATACAATATTTTTAATTTTTATTACATTGAAATATGTGGATTGATAAAAAGTTTAAAAGGAAATGAAGAGAATCAATATTTTATTTATTAGTGCTAAAGGTGTCTTATATATTGAAAATTTAAGATAAGGTTAACGCTTAAATAATCTTGTTGCTTCTCAGGCCTGCAACGAGAGAAGTCCCTGTCCAGAACAAAAAGTCACCTCCATGACTATTAGGACAAAACTACCTCAAATCCACTTGGAGATCTTTTCGGAATTACCAGATGAAGTGCCATTACATTGCATTAAAATGAATCTTCCTCTCGCTTAACGTCCAATGCCACTTCGCTTACTTGGAATTCCTATTCTGCTTCTGGGTTTCCCCGGCCTACCGTCACGCCAGGCACCGCGTGGCTTTGTCCCTGAATAATCCAGAGGCTGCGGGCGTCTGGATTTGACGGCTGTTCTTCTGGCTCGAGCAAACAAAAACTTTTGTCCGTCAGACACCCTAAAGGTCCCAGCCTCCGCCATCTGGGGTTGGTGGCATCCTTCCAAAAAATTCGAATTCCCTAAAGGATAGGATTCCTGCGCCACGAATCGCAGATTCTTAAAACCCTATCAAGCCGGGATAAATTCGCTGGGGAAAGCCAAACCTCATAATCGTAAAATGTAAAAAGAGAATTTTCGTTTGGGAGACCAGAAAATTTGAGTGACGCCTATTATGATTATACCAGATGAGGTCTCATAATCCAGGAGATTTTTCCCTTGGTCAAAATCCTCAAAGAATCGTGTATCCCCAATAAGTCTGTTTTAAGATTCTAATCCCTTATTTCAATTGTGACTTTTATATTTATTGCAATTATATTTAAAATAAATTTACAAAAAAATTAAGAAAAAACCGATTAAAAGGTAAAAAATATTTTTTATAAAAAGTCTAAGATTTTCTTTGTTTTTATGTGGGCAGCAGTTAGTAAGAATTCGAAATATCTTACACAAAACTCTTATATTTCTATAGAAAAAGCAGATCTAAGTGAAACAGCTGGAAATATTACTCTAACTCTCATAAACTGGCTAGGATTTTCTACATCATTATCTAAGCCTGTAAATATAATAAACTCAAATGGCTTATTTTTATATTACGATTTTGGTATCTCGTTGAAACTTAAAACAAGTGAATATAAGTCAATTGAAGTTTTTGCATCTAGTGAATGCCAAACCCCAAAATCAGATGAATTGCATTATAAATGGTGAATTTCAAATAAAGTCGGCTCTTATGTGAATATTGACGAAAAAGTGCTTTGGGATGCTCAGACAATTCAATCAACAATATATTCACCTCCAGGCAGTTTTGGGCCAGGATTATATACATTTTTCCTTAAAGTTAGTGATCTTTTAAGTGGCCTATCTGCTATGAATCAATTCAATTTGACTTATTTGCCTTCAGATTTAGTCATAGATTTACCAGCAAATATGACTTTATATTATCCAAGTGATTTATCTATTTCTTCAAAAGTTATTGACCCAGACAATCTTCCTGAATCTATTACTTATACATGAAACTGTACTATAAATTCCTATAACTGCACTTCTATCATTAAAAATCCTACAAAGTCTGTTTTAAGTGTGCCAAAATCAAAGCTCAAGTCTGGAGCAATTTACATATTTACCTTGACTGTAAATAAATCATCAAGAGTATCAAGTAAAGCAATTGAAGTTGAAGTTATAAATAGAAACAAAACAATGGTCACTTTTTCTGAAATTCCCAAATATGTAAATACTAAATCGCCCTCGAACAAAAATTGGAAAGCAAATTTGTAAAATTTATGTTTTAAAATTCAAGTTGTTAAAATTAAACAGAATTATCTAGAGATTTCATTATACTAATTATCACTTATATTTCAAAATTTTTTTCATATAAAAAATATTTTTGTTCACTTACCGAGGGTTTTTACTTGATTTTTCAATGGTTTTGTTCGCTCACAGGGAGAGTAAAGAAAATTTTGTGATTTGGGCATATCCAAACGTTACTGGCAATTATAGCTCTTCTTGAAGTGTTATTGAAGGAGGCCAATATAAACTTATGAATGTTCCTAATTCATCTACAATCGGATTTCAAGCAAATTCTCTTGATTCATCTAAAACTTATTGTGCCCAATATACTCTTTCTGACAGTAATGGAATTTCCATATATCAACTCTATTTTTATACAAATATTTTACCAGGTAATGGTAAGCTGGAAATATCCCCTAGTTCTGGATTTGAATTTTCTACAGTTTTTAATCTGACAGCTTCCAATTTTTCCACACCAGATTTTAAAACACTAGAATATCAATTCGGGTACTATGTAAATGGTAATGAAATTCCTCTGAATATTAAAAATGAATCGTCTTTTCTATATACAACGCTGCAATATGCTTCGCCAGATTTGACAGTTTTTGTAAAAGTATATGATAAGCAAGGCTCATATGAAATTTTTACTCAAAATGTAATTGTTAATGAATATTTGCAATTATTTGGGGATACAAATAATGGGGAAATTATTGGATTTTCTCAGTTAATTAGTGGAATTAATAGAATCAGCAAACAAATTATTGGAAACTCTTCATCAAGCCTAGCCGATTTAGAATGGGCACGAGATACCAATTTAAATTCAACCAAACTGCTAGTGAATTTACTTTATCATTTTGATACTGAAAGTTTCCAGGTAATTACAGAGCTGTTAAGTGGAATACTGACAAAAGCAAACGAAAATGATAAAATAACTGAAAATCAAAGAGAAATCACTTTGGCACTATTTGACACTATGGTAGAAAAAGCTAAAGCAAATAGTATTTATATTAAAGAAAATTCATTAATTTCAATTACAAACATCCTTGACTTCGCAGCAAGCCTAAATGCTTCCACATTATATGAAAACCCAAAACTCATTCAGCATATTACTCAAATTTTAACTGATTTATTGATAGAAGTAAGCAAATTTATGCCAATTGACTATTCTTTAAATATTGATTCTAATAATATTCATATTGACACTCAACTTAAAGCTTCAGACTCAATTAAAACATATAAAAGCTCAATTGAATTTGGAGGTATTTCTTTACCAAATGATAATAACTACTCACTCCCAGCAAACACAACAGCTTTATTGTATATTTTAATTATTTATGATAATAACTCAACTGAAAGCAATGATAATTTCCCTCGCGGGTTTGAATTCCTTATAACTGCTATTACCCCGACTCACAGATTTTCATTGAATATTGATATGTCGCCTTATAATTTGAATATAGAAATTCCTTACTACGAAAAAAAAATAAAATGGCGACGTTGACAGAAATTGGACTCCCGAGGCGCACTCCCTATGGAGCAGGTAGGATTCATCCTGATGAAGCTGAAAGTTAGGGCCTCTGTCCCTCTTATACTAGGCCTTGAATCTTGAGGATACCTTGCCAAAGAGGGAAGTTTTATTATCCCCCGAAGGTTCTTCTGTCCTGATAGGCTAGACAGGCTTTGCCTATCACATGGTTTTTCCTCATCGGACCATCGGGGCACTTGACAGACGGTGGCTCTGCTCAAGTGAGCTGATCAGGTCGGAAATCCAAAATAGCGCCGGGCAAGAAGTATTATAGCATCAGAATCTCGTTCTGGGACTGTGGCGGAACCGAGATGGGGTGATGGCTAGTGGTTTACTGCTTATGGCCGTGCTTAATTTTTAATTTATTACTACGAAAAGGAAGTCACTGATCCAATCGAGTGTGTATTTTATAAAAATAATAAATGGAGCACTGATGGCTGCAAATTTATTTCTTATGGTTATCCAAAAGTCCTTTGCCAATGCACTCACACATCTTTATATACAGCTGGGACAAGCATTCTGCTCTGACCAAGCTCTTCCAGTACTATAAACCAATGATGGTATCCTTTTTATTATTCTTGTGGGCTTTGTGGATTTTATTACATTATTGTCATATTTCTATTTATCGTTGAATCAAAAAATATCCATGGAATGCCTCTAAATAGCTATGCACACAACAAAATTTTACCAATCAGTATTCAGCATAGCACAAGCTTGGAAAATATCAATCAAATATATAAAATTTCAACAGGCTATGAAGAGCATCACAGTTTACATAAAAATTTGAATGAAATATCTGAGCAGGCTGAACTTGAATCTGAATCGATTAAATGCAAAGAAAGTGACATAAACAACAAAAATCTGAAACATCTTGTGGAAGCTGATCCAGTGCTACTAACTTCTCATCCTGAAAATTTCGAAACTATTACACTGAATAATCAGACAATATCTCCAAGAAATGAAAAAAGAAAAAGCTGGGTTTTGAACTTCCGATACCATTATTTTATATCATTCATTTTTTTTACAATCCCAGAGAAGCCAAGATCTGCAAGATTTTCTTTATTTGCCACATCATTGATGCTTCAAATTTTCTTGTGTGGAATATTTGCAGATTTCTATGGATCTGAGGTCTCCTCAAGTGAAAATTCTGATTTTATCGATGTTTCCTTAGGATATTCACAAGTTAGCTTTGCTTGCTCGGCTGCAGTTATGGCGAATATTTTGATTCTTAATATATCATTAATTTTATCTCCAAAAGCAGCAATTTATTCAGAGATAGTAGAATACCCGATCAAAACAATTATCAGGAGCTTTGCTGGATATACTATCTGCATTTTTATTATTAGCATAAATGTTGTAGCAACCTATCTTATAGCAGATGATGTTGATGGAAATTCTTCCAAAGTTTGGATGAAGATGATTTTGATTTCTTTAGGATTTGATTCGGTTATTGTTCAAGGTGTAAAAGTCTTGTCTTCTCTATTATTAACATATAAATAAAAAATTTTAAAGATATATTTATTCAGAGCTTAATTAAGGATTATTTTTATGAACTTGGAAAACAATATGTCTAATAAAAATACTTTGCCTTATTTAGCCATATCGAATATATAAAAAATAGATTATCATTTTATGTCATATTATCTATCAAACAAATCTAATAATTCTCGATCCCAGTTTTGGTAGCCATTACTAGCTAAAATTTGGCAAGTTTCATTTTTTACTATTCTTGAGTCCTTTATATTTGTATCCATCATATAAATCTCAACTATAGGAAGCTTAAACTGACATCTGACCTTCAGATCGCTAAAAAATTCAATTTCCTCGTCAATATTTTTTAAATATGATAAATTGCCTGAATAATTGTGATACCCTAAATCCATATGTATTTTTCATTGGTCTTTTAAGCCGCTCTCTATTGTCGTTTTGCTTATAATAAATCTTAGAAAATCAGATTTTTTATTAGCTGAAATCTCCAATAATTGAGATATATCTCTAATAGAAAATTCATGTTTGACATTTATTTCGTGATTTTCAAATAATAGTTCTGGGGCTTTAAATACTAGGATTGAGTCTTTTCCTTGATAATTTACAAAGCTTATTCAGATAGATTTATTTCCTATAAGAAATAATGAGTTATGACTGTAAAGGTAGCTCATTAGTATTGATATTCAACTAACAAAATTATCTTGCAAAAACCTCTTTAACAAGCCTAAAGGCACTGATATCTCTTGGCTGAACGACCCAATGCTTATTATTATCATCGGAAGAGTTAAGCAAAAAGAGTGTCCAAATAGAATCGTCTGTTTTTGAATTGGAAAATCTCAACTTTTAATTTCTTCGTCAGAAAATACTGCATTAATTTTTGTCGCTATCACATCGTGCCATAATAAAAACTCAGTCAAATTCCCACCGTTTTCTCTCAGATTTTGTATAACATTTAGTGCTTCGAACCCTTCTCAGCACATAGCCTCCGTCATCCTATTTTCAATTTCTTGCATTTTCCCAGAAAACAGTTTTTCTATTATTTCTGGTGTAAGAATCACGATTTTGTGATATTTCATCATCAATCCCTTTGAAAAGAGTTTTATTTTGATTTCTTCAAGCCTATTTTCTCTCGTAGCATTTGGAGTTAGCATAACCAAAACCCTTTCAAATTTATATCGGTATACTGAATAAGGGTAATCTAACGGTAAAGACATATAAACCAAGCTGATCCCAGAAACATTGTTTTCCCATTCTTCATTTTCATTAGTAAATTTCTTAATTCTACCAGCGATTTTTATTTCGGAATTTTCATATAATACATAAGGTAGGTCATTAAAAGGGATAATAATTTTTTTTCTAGTATTAAAATACTCTATCGTTGCTGAAGTAATTTTTATAGACAGCCCTCCAAATGAATTTAATATTTCATAAATTTTTACATCATCCTTTTTTTCTCTATCACTGAGCTGTTCTCTTATTTTTATTGGAGAAATTGATTTCTCATTGGCAGAATTAACGGTATTCTGCGTAGAAGTAAGATTTATTGGTTTGAGCTTTATTCTTTGGGTTGATCTTGTCTCACCGATCACTTGTTTTTCATGATGTCGTGAAGAAAATATGAATTGGTTTTTCCCTGGCCTTAAAGTCGAAGAGCTTCTTATATTATTATGCTTTTACATATAAATGGCTTTAAAAGATCTTGGAAAGAAAATATAAAATACCAAAATATATGAAAGCTATTTACCAAAAATTTACTATAAAGCAGCATATCTTTTTTAGCATCTAACTGCTTATTAATAACAGGAAGCTCTGGCACTTTGCTTTCATGATTTCTATGCATTTGGGCCACATCTTTTTGAGCTTTACTTTTAAGATCAGGTGTGAGAGATTTAATTCTCTCAATCATAATATATTATCCTTTTATAAAAATGATATCACGAGTATGTCCTCAATTATTTGAAAAGGTCCAAAGCAAGATCCCTGACGTTATTAAAAGAGTCGATGCTATTAAGAAAAGTAATGTCCCAATCGGCACCTTGAGAATAAAGCATATATTAGGAGGACTAAGAGGAGTTCCTGTATTAAATTCATTTACATGTGAAATGTCTCCAGAACAAGGTCCATTAATCAGAGGTAAAACAATCAATGAGCTGCTTAGGTTGCTACCTTTGCAAGATGGCTGTCTATACCCTGAATCAATGTTTTGGTATTTATTAACTGGAGAAATCCCTACACAGCAAGAAATTTCCTCATTAATTAATAGCTTAGATGCTGTATCCCAGCTTCCTGAACAAGTTATCAAAACTCTTGACACCTTGCCTCAGAATTTCCCTGCAACCAGCTTGTTATCAATTGGTATCATGGCTTTACAAGAAAATAGCCAATTTGCCTCAGCATATTCCACAATCAAGAGAAAAGACTTATGAATCCCAGCATTTGAAGACTCCCTAGTAATTTTAGCCAAACTGCCCGTATTAGCTGCTTATATATATTGTAAAAGATCAGGGATTGATATTAATAATACTGACTTTAAAGACATTGGAGGGAAATTTTTAGGACTAATTGGTGCTGGGACACCAAATAATATTGGGTTTTTACGGCTATTTTTAAGCCTTTATTGTGATAGTGATTCTGGGAGTGTTGGTGCTCATGCGAGTAAAGCAATTGGATCGCCACTTTCAGACCCTTTTAAGTCAATAGCTGGAGCTATTAATGGAGTTTCAGGACATTTGCATGGAAAAGCTGTCCAAGATAGCTTAGAATGGATAATAAAAGCAAATAATTTTTATCTTGCACAGGCGAATAGAGATATTAATGATAATAAAAGCATCCCAGGATTCGGGCATGCTGTTTTAGGGAGAAGAGATCCAAGATATGATATAATTCATGATTATTGGAAAAGTAAAGACCCAAAAAATCCTTGGCTTATTAATATAGAAAAAGCTGCAGAAGAGGTGCCTAAATTGCTTACTCCCCCCCCCCTCCGTGAGTGAACAAAACCATTAGAAAAATCGCCATTTTTTGCCCAAAAACCCACCCTCCGTGAGTGAACAAAAATTTTTTACGGAAAAAAATCTTGATATATAAATGATAATTAATATAATGAAATCTAGAGCTAATTCTGTTTAATTTTAAATGAATTGCATTTTAAAACATAAATTTTATAAATTAAATTAATATTTGCTTTCAAATTTTTGCAAATTAGGATTTTTTTAAATTTCAAAAACAAAATTTTTTATAAAATTTATATATAAATTTTTTTAAAAAAAAAATAAACCCCCTCCGTGAGTGAACAAAATTTTTTTGTTCACTCACGGAGGGGGGGGGAGTTAGAGGAAAACTCAGAGATCCACAAGTAAATGGAGATTTTATTTCTGGTGCTGCTTTATATTCATTTGGAGTAAGAGATGGAGAAATGGGGCCAGTCTTGTTTGGCGTTTCAAGAGCAATGACTTGTTTAGCTAACTATATATGGGATAGAGCTTGTGAGATGCCTATTGAATATGCAATGAGCTTCGATATAAATGGTTTAGAAACTATTGCAAAATCTAACTAACAGAATTCCTTCAATTCTACTGCATAATAAAAAATCAAAACCATTTATTTTCGTTACAAAAACTCAGTTATTTTTTATATTTTAAATTACATAAGCAATTTCTCTTCAGTTTTTGCTATAGTTTTTTCTTCAGCATCTTCTTCTTTTTTGTAATCTGCTCCATTCTCCTCAAGCTCTTTTACAAAAACTGCCCTTCAGCTTAAAATAATCCTCTCATTCACCCCAATCATGAGCCCAATCGGTTTCGGGTTTCCCGCCTTCAGTACTGCTTTTACAATCATTCTTTTGATTTCTGGATCAATCCCAGATACTTCACTTTTTCTTTCCTTCATCAATTTATTAATTTGTTCGCACTCAGCTTGGACTTCTGGGCTTAATTTATTTCTAATTTGCTCTAGTGACGTAATTCCTCTATAATCCTCTCTCTTTAATTTTGGCATCTTTTTGTCTTTGTTTAATTTTAAGTCATCTCATGCATCTTTTTCACCTAAAACTTTTCCTACAAAATCTGATTTTTTGAAATGTTTAAATGACCCTGGGTCTCTATTGGCGTAGAAACAAGAAGGATCTTTTTTTCATTCTTTATGTCACATTTTTATTTGGAATGGGGAAATGTGGGTTAGCTTAACGAGGATGTCAATTCCGCCATGCTGGTCGAAAAGGGAGACTATTTCTTCTTTAACAGGAGCTGGAATTTGGGCTGGCTTAAAGGATGGGCCTTCGTAGTAAAATTTAATTGAGTTACGGATATTGCGGAGCTTGTCCATCAAAAATTGAATAGTTTCTTCTTCTTCGGGAGTGAAGGATGATGCCATTTGATTTTGATGAAAAAGGGGGGGTGGTCCAAAATTATAACTGTCCAAAGATTTCATATTTATTTTATAAATTGAAATTTTTATTTTTAAAATATTTTTGCCTTTAATAATGTTTTATATCCCTTATATAGGCTAAATTTTTAATACTAGCTTATCTACTGAAAGACATCGGCAATATTTATAAAATTATCCTACTTAACTAATTCAAAAATTGTGTACTTATCGCAGAACATACAAATACACTCTGCCCCTTCCCCAAGTCATTTCGGCTTCAATAGTCTTTATCAGCTTCATATTATTCTTCCTAATCTTCAGTGTGCAAAACACTTCACACCCAGCCTTAAGCTGATCAAATAATTTCACAATTTCTCTGACAACTTCCCTACTTCATGTTAAACAATTCAAATATATCTATCTCCAACGAATAGCCAATTAATGAAACTTTTTTGATTACCAAATTATAAATTTGGCAAAGCTGCTGGCATTTGGAAAAAAAAAAAATGCCCCTAAGTGGGCTATTCATCATAATTTAGCATATACCACATCTGAGTCTTTTCATATTTGTAATGATTGCATAATATCTGAATTAAAATATTCAATTGACAATTCTCTTTTGTTGTCAAACGATTGAAATAACATTTTCCCAGCACATGCCATTGTGTAGAGTCTTGGGATAATTTCAATTCCTATTGATTTTTTTGCCTTAAAAATGCTAGAAGCGACAAGATTCGCTTTTCCTAAGCCACATCCTAGATCAGTGAAGCAGGCATTTTCTTTTTTGAGATTTTTTGAATAGGCAAATGCATCAATGTAATCTCTTAAGGACCGCATTTCTCCATAGTCATGCTGAGAACTATTGTAGCCTTTGGTCAGCTGAAACCCGTCAAGGTCTTTGAAAATGATATTTAAAATCGGCAGTTTAAGGTTTTCGTTTAAGGCTGAATTATGCATTTTTAGCATGGATTGGATTTCTTGTACTTTATGTCGAATAAATGATTTTCTATGTTTGTTTTACAGTTCTGAACCCTGTGGAAGCAAAGACATTATTTGGTCCGTGATCTCTATTGCTTGTAAAAACATTTACATTTCCAAATTTATTTTCTTAATTATTCCCGATTTATAAAAGGGTAGGTACTCAAGTAAATTCATGAGAACTCTTATAATTGAGGCGCTTTCTTTAATGGAGAAATTAATTTTATAAAAATAATTATACATAAACTAAAAATTTAATTTTTTTACTAACTCCCCCAGTGAACAAAACAATTTTGTTCACTCACGGAGGGGGTTAATTTTTTTTTTTTTTAAAAAAATTATATATAAATTTTTATAAAAAATATATTTTTTCGAAATTTAAAAAAATCTAATTCGCAAAAATTGGAAAGCAAATATTAATTTAATTTATAAAATTTATGTTTTAAAAAGCAATTTGTTTGAAATTAAACAGAATTAGCTCTAGATTTCATTATACTAATTATCATTTATATATCAAGATTTTTTTCCCATAAAAATTTTTTCTATTAAAAAAATTTTTGTTCACTCACGGAGGGTGGGTTTTTGGGCAAAAAATAGGGATTTTTCTAATGGTTTTGTTCACTCACGGAGGGGGGGGGAGTTACTTAAAAGTTTGCAATTTTAAATCAAATTCCCAAAGATCGTATTTTTCATTGATAAAATACTCTTTGCCTTTGAAATTTACACTATAACTGATAAAAGAAGAATAAATTGGCAATAGGTTTATCCCAATACAATTTCATGAAGATAAATCAAATGATTTGCATTCATAAATTTTTGATGAAGCTTCAACAATATAAAGTTTGTCCTGAGCAGAAATCAGCATTTTATATATTTCTTTTTGCAGTAAAATACCTGCAGCCTCAGTAAAAACATTGCTATCTATATTATATCTGAATAATTTATCAAGCGAGTATCCTGTTAAAATAATTTCATTATTATATTCGACGCTATAACTGTGCTGAAAATTTCCTTTTGGGAGAGAAGCACAAGTCTCTCATGCTGAAGTACAAAGATTAAATTTTTCTGCAAGATTATTATCTCCTCCAAATGCATAAATATTGCTGTTGAAGTAAACTATTTTTAGAAAACAATTTTTCTTGCCTGACGGTAATAATTGGACTTTATTAAATTCGTCAATAATAAAAGTAAGACCATCGTATCACCAAATAAAATTTCCATAGCAAAAAATTTTGTTTGGTATCTGGCACATAGATATACACCTATCAATGTTTTTTCTAATATTTAAAGAATTTGAAGACAATTCAAGATTATTTAAATTGAGAGTGACCAAGTTTTTTGTTTTATTTTGGAAAAAACAGATTGAGCTAGAATAGTTATCAAAATCATGGTTTATATCAGGCTGTACTTTTTCAGATATTTGGGGCTGGTTTTCAATAGAATTACTAATATCGTCGAAATCCAGGATACGGTATAATTTTGATCAATTAGATTCGAGAATTGGGTTTTGAGATGTGGCCAGTGTGCTTTTTTTAAAAAATAACTCGCTCAATACCGAGTTTAGTTTCAGATCAAGCTTTTCAATTTTCAAAATAACACTTTCTGATTCCTCCTTAATTTGCTTGATCATATTAGCACATTCATATAGAGCCTTTCTTTTGAATAAATTAAGACTGGATTTAATTTTAAATATTTCTTCAATTCTAGACTCATAATTTGAATACTTTATATCATAAAATTTGTGCCTTTGCCCAGAATCAATCATAAAATGTTCATTCATATGTCCAAGACAAAAATAAATCCTATCTTTTTCGCAATCACAAAAACCATCAGGAATTTCTTCACACCCATTTTTATAACAAATTTGCTTCAGCATTATAAATAAAATTATTAATAAATAGCATTAAAATACTAACTCCCCCCTCCATGAGTGAACAAAATCATTAGAAAAATCCCTATTTTTTGCCAAAAAGCCCACCTCCGTGAGTGAACAAAAATTTTTTATGAAAAAAAAAATTATATATAAATGATAATTAGTATAATGAAATCTTATACTAATTCTGTTTAATTTTAAACGAATTGCTTGTTAAAACGTAAATTTTATAAATTAAATTAATATTTGCTTTTAATTTTTGTGAATTAAGATTTTTTTAAATTTCGAAAAAAAATATTTTTAAAAAAAAAAAAAATTAACCCCCCTCCGTGAGTGAACAAAACTTTTTTGTTCACTCACAGAGGGGGGCAAATACAGTTAAATATTTATTCCACACTATAAAAATGATATAAATAGATAATTTAGAATAATAGTTGAATTTATTGACAATATAAGTTCTGAATAAAATGATGAGAGGTGAAGATGACTACGACTATCTCTTTAAAATTGTCCTCATCGGTGACTCAGGTGTCGGCAAATCCAATCTTCTCTCAAGGTTTACCAAGAACGAGTTTAATTTAGAATCCAAAACTACAATAGGTGTCGAGTTCGCTCAAAAAAGTATTATAATTGATGGAAAAACGATAAAAGCACAAATTTGGGATACAGCTGGCCAAGAGCGTTATAGAGCTATCACATCTGCGTATTATCGTGGAGCTGTTGGAGCTTTGTTAGTTTATGATGTATGCAAGCCTACGTCATTTGAAAATGTGGAAAGATGGCTTAAAGAGATTTTAATCTCAATTAATAGGACTTTTTGGTTTTTCAGTCACCAAAGACTTTTGTAGATTCATTTTCTTTGCAGCATTCCTGTAGGTTTCTCTTTGGTGGAAATATTTCACCTGACAAGTTGGTTCGAGTATCGAGGACGCCTTCTCCTTGCCTTTCGACTGCAGTGTTGAGTGGGCAGACTATGGACTTCTGTGGCCTGCTATGACACTAAGTGCAAGTTTTCCTCCACAATCAAAAAAATGGAATTTCTAGTCAACCCTCATCTTTTGTGAAAGCCTTAAGTCCAAGGCGTAACCCTAGTTTCATGCTGCAGAATTGCTCGATAGGTCTAGGTATTGTCTGTAGGGTTTGCTGAGCTTCCCTTGTTCCATCTTCCCACGAGATAAAAATTCATCTCTAAAGCGGTTAGGGCTAGTCTCCACATAACTGTAATTGCTTCCCTGCCATTTCTGAGATGTAAAACCTTGCTAATATAATTAAATATGTGCTCGAGGCTGCATAGCCTCCCATCATGCCCAAGCTGAGACGCCATATTTAATTATAGCTTAAAGAACTCAAAGACCATGCAGATTCTCAAACCGTAGTTATGCTTGTAGGGAATAAAACTGATTTAAAACATCTTAGAGCTGTCAGGACTGAAGAAGGGGCAGGCTATTCTCAGAAACATAATTTGGCTTTTATTGAGACTTCTGCTATGGATGCTACTAATGTGAGTTTAGCTTTTGAAAGGATTTTGAACGAAATTTACCAATTAACGATTAGAAATGTAATTGGCATCAAAAGGAGTCTGCAAAGCTCAATTGGCCCCACAAGACGTATCGACCTAAATGAAGAAAAAGTTTCCTTTGGCAGAGCACCCAGAGTAGAACAACCCAAATGCTGCCAATAATTTAGATTAGTAAAATTATTGAACATAATGAATATATAAGATTAAAATGCGCTCGTGAGTAGATAGAATACTGCCCTCCTGCTGTTCACGAAGAAATCGCGACCAAACCCCAACTATCTTGGAGAGTAAAAGCTTGCCTGAAAGTTTTGTGACGTATGACTTGATAAAAGAAAATGATCAATCACAAGCAGAAATCGAAAAAAACGATAAAGAGAGAAATGAATTTAAAAAGGAACCGATAAGAAAAGCGAAATCAAAGCCGATTGATGAAATTTTAATAAGTCCAATTGAAAGAAGCTCAATTTCATCCCCAGAGACTGAAGTTCAGATGATACCATGCTATGGGAGAGACAATTTTATTACCCTCGGACAAGGGGAAACACCTAAAGAGAGCACTATTAACACCAGCATAAGTGTGGAGAAAGCCAAAGCTATTTTAGGTATCAAAATAATTAGACCAATTTACATGTTCAGTATGCAATAAAGAAGCTAAAGGATTATGCACTGGATGTGTCAGCAAACGATTTTGTATTAATTGTTATCATAGTTTCCACAAAAAAAGCTCTTTAAAAGGACACAATCTTTTCTTATATTCTTCAAAAAGGCTAAAAAGGAATAAAGAAGAAAATCATGTTTCGAATAATTAAATTTCCATAATATTGTATACCGTGAGCACGGTTATAGATCGACCTTAGAGCCCCCCTCCCCACCCCCTGACAGTTTCAACTTTATTGAAATCTACAAATTAAATTTGACTTGTCAAATCCTTAGTGAGGGATTTATCATTTTGAATTAGCAATGTCGTTCAAATTGAAACCGTCAGGGGGAGGGGGTGTTTCAGGTCGAGCCATACCTGTTCTGGAGGTATATTAATCTAAAAAAAAGATAAAAATGGAGTTATGGTCTTTCTCCTCGGATTCTTCTTGCCAATTGTAAATCTTTTGGCATGATTGTTACTCTTTTAGCATGAATTGCGCAGAGATTTGAATCTTCGTATAAGCCAACTAAAAATGCTTCTGCTGCTTCTTGAAGGGCTAAAACTGCTGAGCTTTGGAATCTCAAATCGCTTTTGTATTCTTGGGCAAGTTCTCTAACGAGTCTTTGGAATGGGAGCTTCCTTATAAGAAGCTCAGTACTTTTTTGGTATTTTCGGATCTCTCTTAATGCTACAGTCCCTGGTCTAAACCGATGGGGCTTCTTGACGCCAGCTATAGAAGATGCTGATAGTTTTTTAGCTGCTTTGGAGGCTAATTGCTTTTTAGGAGTTTTTCCTGATAATGGGGTTTTTCTTGCAGTTTGCTTGGTTCTCGCCATTAATATTATTATATTCCATAAAGTTTTTTATTAACTTTAAAATATGCATATTTTTCAGTGGTCAGAAAAAAATAAAAAAATATAGCAAAATAAATAATGCCAGAGATTTAAAGATATAAATGCTAGAAATAATGTTTAATAAATAAACTTCTAACAGCGCCTTTATCTGCACTGCATGGCTGTCTTATTGTAATTGCCCGAGGATGGCGCTATCTTGCGCCATCCTTGAGCAATTTAAAAAAATGGCCCCACACCGGGAATTGAACCCACGTGTGGGGCCATTTTTGGTACATGGAGTCGATGTTCTCCACATACCAAAAATGGCCCCACACGTGGGTACAATTCCCGTGCGGGGCGTATTTTTTGAATTGCCCGAGGATGGCGCTATCTTGCGCCATCCTCGGGCAATTACTATAAAAGCTTTTGAGAATGCTTTATATTGGGCAAGTTAGCATTTGCCTATGAATGATTTAATATATTAGTTATTTATGCTATGGAGAGCAATCAATAATTGATAATGAATTTGAATAAATTTACTCTTAATTAAAATTCTTGTTTTCTTTGAAGCCTTTAATAAGATAGGATCAGTATCAGTTCTGAATAACGAATCGGTGGATCGACCGTTAGAACCTAACTGCCTCAGCTCTCTTTCCAGCACACCATGTGGAATGTCACAACTCCAGGAAGCTGTCTATTCGTCTTTTTAAGACCATCTAGGAACCTAAGTCCCTTTTCCATGGAACGTTAAAAGAGTTTCGACCTCTAGTATTCCCCATTTTTAATATTGTGAATTGATAATGAACCAAAAAGCAGTAATAATTATAATCTGCAAAATTATAACTCATAATTAATATACAGAATAATATTTTTTTTAATCTGAAATTAGTCTTATTATGGTTATCTATTAAATATGCTCTGCTGGCGCTATAGATTTCATCCATTTCTTCAATAGCACGAATTCTTTTCAACTGTACATGTGGCCTAATAATTCATCATTTGTGTAAGTTATAGTCATTCCTATTAATAGATTCTTGAATTTTTCTCTTGTAAGCTCTTCATTTAAAATCTCGTCTTTTCCTCCCATATAAACAAATACAGGTATTTTCTTTCTTTCTAATTTTATCTTATATTGTTTTATATTAAATTCTCTAGACATCTGCTAGACTCATTCCTTAAAATTGGCCCTATCTTTTTTTATCCTAGGCATATTAAATTCCAAATTAATCAATCTGATTATAAAGGGAAATGGAGGCGCAGAAAGTGCAATTATTCCAAGCAAAGGAACCTTCGAAACAACTAAACCTGTGTAAATTGCGGTCGCTCCTCCTTGTGAAAATCCACCTAAAAATACATTTTGGCACAAATCATATTCCTCTTGTATAATTTCATCTACTAGATGAGAAATTTCGTTAAGTGATGGGAAAATTGTTGAAAAGTTGCTTGCTACACCTTCATATCAAGAAGGAACAGAAAGCCTAGAGTTTGAAACAATTTTTCTTGATGGAGCCATCAGGATGCGGATTCTCATATCTTGAAGCATAGGTGCATTTTGAAAGACTCGCTTATCTACTTTTGGAGTTCTTGTTCATCCAGGCAGCCATACTAAGGTGTACTTGTGAACCTTGGGTTGAATGATGATGTCATCTTTTTTAAAGCTCCACATGTGAATTCTACTTAGTCCCTCAGTCTTGGATGGGTGCTAAAAATACGGGAAATTTTATATTAAAACATTTTTATCTGCAAGCTGTAAACAATATATTATCAAATAATCCAAAACACACGTTAGAATGTGGAGAGTTGATTTTACGGTATATCTCTAACATTCAGGACTATCAAAGATAGGCAGTTAGATTTAGGTGATGTGGGTGGAAATTTCGTTTATCAAGTTAAATTTCTCAATTTTTAGGAAATTTTCAATGGTGTCAATCAATCAAGGATGAGGAAGTTAGAAATTAATATTATAATTAACTTATCGATCTTTATCTTCCGGATTTTCTTGGTCATTCAAAATATTTCGATTATTGAACTCTATTTTCTGATTTTCCATCATCAAAATATTTCTTTCCTTCATATGAAGCAAATTTTCTCTCTCATCCAATACTTGCCTTAGCTTTTGAAGCTCATCTTCTTTATTATCAATTCTTTTAATTTCTTGGTCAAGTTTTGTGATTATCCCAGCAATTTTTTCTCTATCTTTGCTTGTGTGCTCTTTTTCTTTTGCTATTTTCTCATTTTCATATTCTTGCATTTCTCTTTGTTCATTAAGCTCTGTAAAAATATTTTTTAATAATTTTGAGGTTGAGTCTATTTCTTCTCTATCATTATCAATTATTTCCTGCACAGCTTTTAGTTCATTTTCTTTTTGCATAATAAATTGCATTTTTTCTTCTAGCATATTTGAAATTTCTTCTAATTCTTGGCTTCTTTTATTGATAAATTGCAAGTTTGTTTTTAAAGTTTCAGTGTCTTTTTCATTAAATTCATTTCCAGTTTCTCGTTTTAACGCATTTTTATCCTCAAAAACCATCCTTTCTCTTTCTAAGTCTTCTTTGAGCATTTCTAAGTTTTCAACATATTTTCATCTTTGGTTTAATTCAGATTTTTCTTTTTCGATTTCTAATATAATTTTGTCAATATATTCTTCCTTTTCTGAGATGATTTTGACAGTTTCTTGTGCATGATTGCTCATATTTAAGGCTTCACATATTTTTTGGCCATATTTTTCTTTTATTTTTTCAATTTCTTTATCAGATATTTCTTTTTGTTCCAAAAGAGTATTTTTAAGCTTTTCAACTGTTTTAAGCTCCTCAGTTAATTTCTTGTAGGCTGCTTCAGTTTCTGACCGCTTTATATTTAATGATTTTGTTTCTTCTTGCAGACGATTGTGCTGCTCTTCTAAATTTTTTGAAGCAAAATCTTGTTGCTGTTCTATTTGATCTTTTAAATCTTGTAGCGATTTAGATAACAAATATAATTCTTGATGCTGCTTTTCTAAAGCCATTTCTCTTTTACTTAAATCTTCTTCAGCTTTCGCAATTAACTCAGACTTTTCTTCACATTTTAATAAAAATTCTCTTTCCATTTCTTCAAAATCTTCATTCTCTTTATAATGTTTTTCTTCAAATTTGTTGAATTCTTTAATGTTTTGACGATTTTTCTCTAATTGTTCATATTCTTTTTCTAATAATTCTTTATCGATTTCCAATTGGTTTGCTTTCTTTTTGATTTCTTCCTTTGCCAATTCTAAATGATTTGTCTTAGTTTTAATGGCTTCTTTCTCTTTGATTATTTCTTCTTTATCAATATATAAAAGTTTTTCTTGGTCTCTTAATCCGCTTTCTTTTTGGTTCAAAATATTTTCATATCTTTTCAACTGCTGCTGCATTTTGACTGCCTTTTCGCTTTCTTGCTTAGCTTGAATAATTTGAATTCTTAAATTTGCTCTAAGCTCATCAATTCCGTCAAATTTCCCTTTTGAATTCTCAAAATTTCTATTATTAGTCCAATAGTCTTCGTTAGGTTTTGGTTCTTTTTCAATTAAAATTTTATCAATTGCTTGTTTAATATACTCAAGAGATTTTGCCACATGCAGGTCATCATCTTTTTGGAAAGCAAAATTTTTACTTACTCCCTGCCTCTCCATCAAGGAAATAAAATTTATTCATTCAAAGAACTTAAATGTTTTTAATATAAATTTTATAGTCAATTTTTTTCGAATTTACAATAATGGAAAGCAAAACATAATTTAATTTGTTTTAAAATACAAGCTGTATATAAAATTCAACAGAATAAGCTAGAAGGTTGATTATACTCATTGCCATTTATATATAAATACATATTTTTATAAAATTTTTTATATAAGGTGCATTTTTAGGTCAAAAAATAGATACTTTTCCAATGATTGCTTTCTCTCACTGAGGAGGAGAGTTAGACGATTGATTTCGTTTTGGAGTTTTGAAGAAACGTGAGATTTAGTTTTATATTTCCGCTGATGATATATTTTTTCAAGCTTATTACGGTCGGATTCAGCACTTTTATAGAACTCTTCTATGCTAGGGGATTGCATATAAAGTCTTTCGTCTGTTTCCATACTTGATGGAGATCGCATGTATGGACTCGACAAAGTTAAAGATCTAGGTGTAAAATTTGTGTTTTGGATTTTAATATTAGGGTTTGGAACTGAAGATCTTGAGGCATAAGGACGAGGCTTTGCATTTACATATTTAAGTTTTTCCATTTGCAAAATTTTTATTTATCAATGGAAAATTTTAAGTGTTAAGTTAAGTTGAGTTAAAATTGCTAAACTGGCCATAAGCGTTTATCACACTAGCCTTTGCCCCGTCTCGGCTCCAAGCGGGAAATTCCTCTTCCCATGCTTACCTGGTTTTCCAGTCTGAACCACTCGAACCCAAGGGTTAGCCCACCTGGGTTCTCCGCCCGCGTCTGGGCGCTCCGCTAGTCCCGACAGGGAAGGACTAGGTGGTAGGACAAAACCCAGCCTGGGCTGGGCAAACCTACGGAAGAGAAATAAAACTTCACCCGGGGAGGACAAGAGACTCCTTCTCCATGCCCTACTAGACCCCAACCCGGTCTTATTTCGGTCGAATGGATTTATGGAGCCCTGCCTTGACCAAAATGGGTGAGACGCCTCGGAGGTCAACTCCGTCATACGTCACGATTTTATTTCTCTTTTAAGTGTTAGGAATGCAATCAATTACACCATTTTATCTTAAAAAATCAGTTTAAATAAATTATATATGTAATCTATATAATTAAAATCCAAAAAATATAATCTTAACATGAAAATTCAATCAAATATTAAAAATAAAATAATTTCAAAAGATTTAAAAGTCTATTTGGAGCTAAAGATATTAATTAGATTAACTCTGTAAGAGTGGCTTTTTTAAAATATTACTAAAATTCTTTATATCTATCTAAATTCCCTGTTGTAAGGCAGCAGCATAATGTATCGTAAAAAAATCACAATTTTTAGAAAATTAATCTTCTATATGGGCAGAAATTTTTGCTATATATTAATTATTATTTTAATCTAATTTTATCAGATGCTAGAAATCTGGTTAGTACAAATTTTAACAAGTGACTTGAATTAACCTAGAAATTTTTTAAAGAAATTTCATATAACCTCATCATAAAAGTTTTAGCTCGCACAATATTCCTTGCTCGCTTACATAAAGAATTTAGTGTTAAATAATTTTATTATCTAATCCTATTCCAAAGCAATTATTTGTAATATTTGAACATATCTTGAACCCTAACAGTCATTTTTTTAATAACTTCAACTCCATCTTCAATACAGTCATAAACGCATGATTTCATTCCGCTCTTCATATCTGGATAACTTTCCTTGCACTGCTGCACACAACTGGCATATTCTTTTTTAGATTTTTGCACTTCATCATTTATTTCAGACCTAAATTGAAATCCTTTGGATGTACAATTGCTTGCACAGCTTCTAGAGTCTGATAATGAGCCTGGATTACTAAAGCATTTTGATGAGCATTCATACATATCGGCATGGAGTTTTTTGAAGTCTGCATCTATAGCTGACATAAAAGCTTTTTCTTCAGCTTTAAGCTTGGTAATTACGCTTTGAAAAAATGAGTCCATAAATTATAATTAGAAATAATAATGGAGCTGATTGATATCAAGTTTGATCAGGTTATAGAATGGCTATCTAATAGGAAAAAACTTGATAAAGATTGGTCTTCCAAATTAAGAGCAATCCACGCAAAGCAAAATGACCTAATAAAAAGCTTATCAGAAAATCCTGAGCTAGAAAATACAATTGACAACTCTAAGCATGGGTATCTTCAAGCTGTCGAAATTTTTCAAAAATTATTGAATACTTCTGAAGCAGATAAAGGAAAAACACTGTTAGGGAATTATTCATCACCGTATATATATGAATGGGATAGACTCATCAAACTTTATCAAAAGCAAAATTTGCATTTGGCAGACTGTGGAAAACACAAATAAAATGGCGGCGACACCGACCCGTCCTCTCCCGGAACTGTGGTGAGATTGGGGACCTTGCTGCGGCCTGAAGCCAATCCGTCCAGGGAAGGTCTGGAATGGGTACTGGTAGTTTGTGTCCGGCTAGGTTTCCCTCCCAGTCCAGCAACGACGATCCTAGGGTCGTCCCGATAAGACACGGGGCAAAAAGGGTTTCTCCTCTAGGGACCGCTAGTGCCAATTTGGAGGGCATGGCAGGAGCCTACAAGAGCTAAGGAATTAATCCTTAACTCTAACCCTAGTCTGGCGACGTGAAGCACGGTGGCCCCAGTTCGCCTACTTCCGGGATAGCATGACCAAGACCCATGACCGGAAGGAGCTGAGTGGTAGCCTGTGGCACTTAGGTGCACACTGGGAGCAGGGCAAGGAAAGCAAGCGAGGCGTCCAAAAGGCGGAAGAAAAGGACATTCGGTCCTGGCTGGGAGCTACTCTATAAATTTAACTAAGACTAAGACTAAGGCAGACTGTGGAAAAAATCTCATACAAATAGGAAGCTATGAATCCCCTGCATTGAAAACTCAGTTGCACACATTTGAAAAGCAAGCTCAGGATTATATTCACAAAGAAGAAAATATTAAAGACCATATGGAAAAGAATCATAAACAATTCCAAGAGTTATGCAAAAAAATGGGAATTACAGGTAAAAAAATACCGGAAGAGCTTAAAGCATTGACTAGAAATTTGCCAGATATATACTTGGATATCATCAATAAGTTAAAAGGTCCATTATTTTCATCGCTATTAGAAAGCTATAGAGAAATTTCAATGAGAAATCACAATTCAGAAATATCATTGCCAACTATTGATAGTCTTAGAAGTTATGAACCTGATGTAAACATGGAAGAACTAACTCCCCCTTTAAATTGGAACAAAAAATCCTGTTCCAATTTAAAGCCGGGTTAATTTTATTTTATAAAAAATTTTTATCGTCTTTATCATAATTTAATAAAAAGGGTTCACTCGTGAATACGAGCTTGATATGTGAAATAGCCGTAAACATATCGAAGCATGTAGAAACCATATTTAGAATGCTATTTCACGCTTCAAGCTTGAACCCACAAGTGGACCCTTTTTATTAAATATCTCTAAAAGAGTTTTAAAATTCAAATATATAAATTGAATGCAATATTTTTGAATTTAATTTTATTTTTATACAGAATTAATTAAAAAATAATAAATTTAGTGTGAAAACTGTTTAAATAATATTCTACTTACACTTTTTCTATTAAATCAGTCCCAAAAACTAATTTTATAAAAAAATTAGTATTTTCTCCTATGAAATTTTTCATATTGAAAAAAATTTGTTCAAATTTTTAAGAGTTAAACTACCAAAAAACTGAATTTTATGTATATTTGATTTATTTAAAGGGGAGAGAGTAAGAGATAGCTATTCACCTGTAAATGATTTCCGTTTGCTCTGAACTTTTTGATAGCCACACCAATATTTATTACCAAATTTAAAAAAAAATTATAATCAGGCCATTTACTTGAAAAAACTAATTGTCTGACGATAAAATTGTAGTACAAAAATCCTGAAACGTCACCTGTAGTAGCTATAGAAGACAATATAGCTGAAGAAATAGTGATTGAAGCCCCAGCAGAAATAGAATGAAAAATAGAAACTATTGAAATAGGAGAAGAAATTACCAAAGAAATCAAAGACTTTCCTCTATCACAAAGAAATATCAGAATGTCTTTGCTTACTGAGCTGATCGAGCTAGAATCTTTTGCAGAAATAACAGGAAGATATCAAGACACTGTCAAAGAAATAATGAAAGAATTTAGATCAGCCCAAGATCTTGTATTAATGCATGAGCAGCCTAAAGCAGTCGAAAGAAATGCCCAAAAACTTGAAATGTTTAATAATAACAAGCTTCAAGACCAGCTCAATAATATAAGAAAAAATGCTGAAAATTTACGAATTACTGCTAAACAGACACATCATCAGCTTAAAGAGCATCTCACCAAAGCAGCTAAGTTTATTCTCGTCTTAGAAACAGAAATAACCAAGCTTTTCCCATCAATTTCTGTCAAAATAGTTGGAGAAATAATCAAAGATATTAAAAATCAATTATAATTAAATATTTCTTGAGTTCAAAACCCTAATTATTTTTTCTAATACATAGCTCACAGCGACTTGGTCGCTTAAATTCAAGCTTTCTCGGGCAATCTGAATAGGAATTACTTGCAAAAACCTTTTCATCTCATAAACAAATATGAAAACTTCTTCTATTGTTTTGTCCTCATTTTCTGCTGACTTGAAAAGCCTATTGAAATGTTTTAAGGACTCGGATTTTTCGATCTGATTAAAGGTTACAATCATATCAAAATTAAAATGGAGGTGTTCTGGCACGGGTATTTCCCTTACTTTGACTCAGTGAAGGCAAACTTAGGTTACTCTGAGAGTTTGCCTATAAGAGACAATCATCTACTGGCACTGGGAATGGAAGAAGAGTTTTATTTGAAGCTGGGGGCAATGGAGTTCTAATGGTAGTGTAATTGCTGACTCGTTGCTCAGAGCAGAGCTCGTATCTCACGAAAAAGGCTTCAGAAAACAAAAAGATCAAGTTATTTAAGGGTATAGTAATTGTCCGAGGATGGCGCTATCTTGTGCCATCCTCGGGCAATTACAATATCTTATTAAAATAACTAAAAATCATATCGTCAGGGGTGGTAAGTTCAAGTTCAAAATTTTCACATATGGATTTTCGGAATTTTTCGAGAGAAATAAGCCTGATTTTCATACTGATTATTGTGGGAAGGATTTGATCCATATTGATAGAGACATCAGGCTCAGTAGAAAATAAGACTTTGTAGATCGAGCTGATAAACCCTTCTATGTTATGCCTTGTATATATGTATTGCTTATTGAAAAGATTTTATTTATAGAGTTTTTAAATGATTTATTAAGAGAATTCATATTTATAAAGTGTAGGGATTATCAAAACTACTTGCTGCATTTTATCAATTGCTTCTAAAGCTTGATGTGGTGTTTTTACTTCAAGTTTGTCCAAAATTGCTTCAAGATGGGCTGACTCCAAAGAATTTCTCTCATATTTCTGATCTTCATCAGTGCTAAGCCTAAAATCAGATTCTTCTACATCTATTTACTTTTTAAAAGATGGCGAGTCGAGTAAGGTCTAGGGTGACGGGTAAGTTGATCCCAGTCCCAGATATATAGATCCCATATTTTTAGGCAGAATTTTGCCGGGTCGATACTCGACGACAGGCTATTTTCCTTGACCCACAGATAACAACCGAATGTGCAGAGCCGGCTCATACTTCTGGAAATCAATTATATGCCTAGTGAAGGCGTAGTAGTCCAGAAGGATGCATTAGGTGTTTTTCTTATGTCCTAACTCCCCCCCCCCCTCCGTGAGCGAACAAAAAAATTTTGTTCACTCACGGAGGGGGGTTTATTTTTTTTTTTTTAAAAAAAATTTATATATAAATTTTATAAAAAATATTTTTTTTCGAAATTTAAAAAAAATCCTAATTTGCAAAAATTGGGAAGCAAATATTAATTTAATTTGCAAAATTTATGTTTTAAAACGCAATTTGTTTAAAATTAAACAGAATTAGCTCTAGATTTCATTATACTAATTATCACTTATATATATCAAAATTTTTTTCCATTAAAATTTTTTCTATTAAAAAAATTTTTGTTCGCTCACGGAGGGTGGGTTTTTTGGTCAAAAAATGGTGATTTTTCTAATGGTTTTGTTCGCTCACGGAGGGGGGGGGGGGGGAGTAAGCATTATCAGTGCTAAGAGAGTCCTTTTTCAGGGCTAGACCCAAATACAGTCAGGTGAGTCTAACAGAAAGACAGTTGACGTTACCATTTTTTGGTGACCCCGACAGAAAAAGGATGTGGCGTAAGCTGGCCCCTACGATCATCTTGAGCCTGAAACCGGGCGAGTAGCTGAAGATTCTCCATAATTTAACTTAATTTGCATCGATTTTCGAATGCTCATACAGTAAAATAATCGACATAATTTTCAAATCATTTTCCACTTCTGGGTCATATTCTTTCTGCATTACTTGTTTAAATATTTCTTTGGGCCTATCTTTCAATCCCGATTTCATAACCTCAAGAATATTCTCAAATTCATTAAATCTTGCTAATTTTCCGTTTAATTCTTTAATTATATCATTTTTTCCTTTTAATTTTCCAATAATTTCATGATAATTCTCATTTAGCTCATTTAAATCATTTTTCGTATTTTTTAGTTCATTTTTTAACTCGTCAATTTTCCCTTGCTGAATTTTTTCGTCACGACTTTTAGAAAGGAAATTTAAGCTAATATGATGAACTAAGCAAATAACAGTTTCTGCGAGGCTTGAATAGTCAGGAACTAGGCGGGTTTTGTCCTGGATTAATTTCATTTGAGGAAATTCGTGCTCACTAAGAATTTGGTTAATTTGTTCCCAGAAAATGTCTTTTGTTTCAGATTTTTCAGATTTTTTGGTTCTGCTTGACATGATAATTTGTTTAGCTTTCCTGATTGGTGTAGGAGTCTGCTGGATTTCATTGGAAATGAGACGATGGGATTTCAGATTTGTGGGAATCTTGATATTTACATTGTGAGGTGGGAATCGCTCATCAGTTTGTTCGAAAGGAGTAGGACTTGTTTGGGATGATGCACTGCAAGCTTTTGGGTGCAGAGAATGGCCGCTCCGTTCTGTATGAGGATAACGACTGGTTTCCATTAAGATTTCATCATATTAAAATGGTTTTTGGATATATTATTTTGAAATATATATCGCTTAATAACCTTTTTTAAAATAGAAAATATTCTTTTATACTAAAAAATATAATATTATGAAAGCAAACTATCTTTATAAATAAAAGTTACCGCTTAACTCTACTGAATCATTAGTTGATTTAAAAGATTTGTTTTCAAGAAAACCCTTATTGCAAGGTAATCAAGAACTATTCAATGAATAAGTATGCTGAGCTCTCGTTTTACAAGTAGGAGAATCACTATAGGTTTTTCTAAATATAGCTTACAGTACTTCATCCAAATTTTCAGCGCCATGCGAAAATGATATAGGGCTTACATTAGATGATCTTAATTTTCTTTTTCGAGTAATCGGCTTAAACTTAAAAGTAGGCACTAGCTTTGGCAGCACGAATTCTTTATTAGGAGAATAGCATGGGCTATATTCAGGCACTTTAAATAAATCTGAGCTCCTTGGTAAATATTTTGATAAATCAGGCACTGAATTATTCCTAAATAAACAGTACTTGTATTTACTTGACACTCTTGGGAGCAGATTCAGCACAGTAAACCTATTTTCATTCGGAACCGTCGTATCTTTTATATGAAGAACTCTATTGCTTTGTTTCTCAAATGATATTCCAGGAATTCTTTTTCTTTTTTCATGAGACTCGCTTCGTAAAAGTAAATCAGACTTATTTAAATCTCGTGGAAACTGAAAAACATGGCTTAAAGATTTTCCAATCTTATGACGAGGAATATTTTTTTCTATTTGGCTGAAATTTAGGTTATAGTGACCTGGAGATAAGGTGCTTTCTTTAAGGTTATGAGATTTTCCATAGTCATCTCTGGACTGGACTTTGAAAGAAGATGATAGGTTCATTCACCGCTTTTTATGATGCTTTTTTTTCTTTATCTTGGCTAGTTAAGTAGTTACATTATATATTTCGTCTATAACTGCAACTTTTTTGGGGTCTTTCGTGGTCGATTTTTCAGAGATTTTGTTGAGTTCAGATATGGTTATACCTTTTCCTTTCAGCATTTCGTGGCTTGCCATTAAAGACAGATATCCGCCTTTGAGGATTTTTAGTGTTTTGCTGCTTGATCGGCCTGGACGGGAAAAATAGCTTTGATTTAGAGCCATCTTATACTTTTATTTAATAATGCTAAATTTTTAATTTTACCAAAACACCGTCAAAAACCACAATAAAATCAATTTCTCCCAAAAAATTGCTCAATAATTCCCAACAGTCAATTTCTTATCCAAAAAACTCATTTTCCTTGCCTCTTTCTCCACAATTTATTAGCCCAATTTTCATCCTCCTCTCTTTTACCCAAAAATCACCCTTCATTTCTATTCAATACCACTAATAATAAATATGAACCAACTTGGAGGCGGCCTTCAAAACTTGCTTAAGGAAGGTGCACGACACTATTCTGGTCTGGAAGAAGCGATCCTCAAAAACATCGACGCATGCAAACAACTGACCGCGATCACTCGAACATCTCTTGGCCCATTAGGGATGAATAAAATGGTCGTGAACAATCTTGAGAAGCTTTTTGTAACAACGGATGCAGCAACCATCATGAAAGAGCTCGACGTGCATCATCCAGCAGCCAGATTGATCGCCTTAGCCTCAAAGTTCCAAGAAACAGAGTCTGGCGATGGGACCAACTTTGTCGTCATTTTAGCTGGAGAGCTCCTAAAGCTGGCTGAAGAACTCATACAGACTGGACTTCACCCAAGTGAAATTGTGAATGGCTACGAAAGAGCTTCGGCTAAGGCTGATGAAATTATACCTCAGCTTGTAGCTTACACAGTCACTGATTTCAGAAACAAAGAACAGATTGAGAAGTGCCTTAGACCTGTTATTGCAAGCAAAATATATGGCTATGAAAACCACCTAGCAGCTTGTGCAGCAGAAGCAGGGCTGATTGTGACTGAAGGTGATATTAAGTTTGAGATGGACAATGTAAGGATATTGAAATTACAAGGAGGAAACCTAGGACAAACTGAAGTCGTTCGAGGATTGATCCTTAGTAGAGCGCCAGAAGGGTCAGTTAAACATGTAAAAGACGCAAAAATCGCTGTCTATAACTGTCCTTTAGACCCACAAAGTTCAGACACAAAAGGCACTGTATTGCTAACCAATGCTGAAGAACTCAAAAATTATACCCAAAGTGAAGAAGATATGGCCAAAAAGCTAGTCCAAGAAATCGTAGACGCAGGCGTCAAAGTTGTGGTGGCAGGAGGCTCCATTGCAGAAATCGTCATGCATTTCTTAGAATTAAACAACATCATGGTCGTAAAAGTCCCTTCGAAATTTGAAGTCAGAAGGTTCTGCAAGATGCTAGGAGCTACAATGGTGGTTAGACTTGGAGCCCCAACCCCTGAAGAATTAGGATATGCTGACTCTGTTTCTCTAGAAGAAATCAGCAGTAATAAAGTTACTGTTTTTAAGAGAGAAAATGAAAGAACACAAATTGCGACTGTTGTAGTTAGAGCGAGCACGAAAAATGTAATGGATGACGCTGAAAGAGCTTTGGATGATGCTTTTAATACCTTTAGAATGCTTACTTTCCTTGATAGGATTTTTTTAACTTATCAGCTATTAATACAATCAGCCATTTTGATTATAAATATAGAGCATTCACTATTATTTATGAAAAAAGAGTTAGAAAAGATCCAAGATTCGTAGTTGGAGGAGGCGCTTGTGAAGCTGAAATCGCCAAAAGAATCAAAGACTTCGCAGCAACCCAGCCTGGCCTCGACCAATATGCCATTATGAGATACGCTCAAGCTTTCGAAATTATCCCTAAGACTTTAGCAGAGACTGCAGGACTTGACTCCAATGAATTCCTCGCTAAAATTTACGCTGAAAATAACCCTCATGCTGGCATTGATATTGAAGAAGGAAGCGTCAAAGATGTAAGTGACTTTATTGTTGACCACATGGAAACCAAGAGATGGGCAATCAAACTTGCCAGTGACGCTGCATTGACTGTATTAAGAGTTGACCAAATCATTATGGCTAAACCTGCTGGAGGACCAAAACCAGGAGCAAGACCACCTGAGGAAGACGATTAAACTAGTATTAAGGCTCTAAAAATTACATAAAATCCTTGCTTTATCTTATAAGATAAACTCTTAAGAAGTGTCAGTAAATCCCTGAATAGGAACATTTTAGCTATCAGTAGGAAATTAGGGGTTTTATAGGTTCCAATATTATATTAAGTTATTTCCTATATTTTTGGTTTTTTCAAAATTCCTTTTAAAGGTTTCTTTTCAACTGGCATTGTTACTTTGGATTCTTCTGATGCTTTTGCAATTGGTGTGGCGCCACCGCTATTTTCGTGGCCTGCCTTTTTTTGTTTTGATGCTTTTTTACGCTTTTTTTTCTTAACGTTTGATGACTCAGGGGTTATATGCTTATATATACATTTTTTAAATTTTTTTTGGGAGACAAATTATTTTTTGTGTTGACAATATATAAATTTGAGACTCAGAGTGCAAAATTTAGCTTAAAAATGATAGAAAAATAGCTAATTGTTTATAGGTGTTAAAGTTGGGTCATCAGATTCCTGTTTTTCAATAACTGGTAAATCACTTTTTTCAGCAGGATTACTAGTAAGATCTAATGATGCTTGGTTTAAATGTCTTGGCTGAGATGAGTCTTCATCTTCTTTTTCGTGGCTTGCACAGCATAGCTGGATTAGTTTCAATAATTTTTGCATAATTAATAGCACTGCAATAACAGTATTTGATTTTATTGTTTATATCAGCTCAATTTAAATAGCATAAAAGCTAGTTTTTTAAGCGTAATTCTTTAGTTTTTTAAACAAAACAATTATATATTAAAAAATTAACAAAAGTCTTGACTTTTATTTTTGAGATGAAAATGAGTCAAGAAACTCAAAATATTTGACTTGAAAGCTAATCATAATATACACTTGCATTAATTCTAGAAGCAGCATGCAAATTAGCGACGTTAAAGCGTTGCATTAGGGAGTTTTGAGCACTTGCAGATGGGCAAAACAATAGTAGAGAACAAAAAATTGTGCCAAAAACTAAATAGAATTTCAATATCTTTCTATTCTCAAAAATTTAGACAAGCAAAAGTTAAAATGTACATTACAATCATATCTTTGATATTCAATAATAAAAAAATATGATAATATTTTTAACCTCTAAAAATTTTAAAATTTATTGTTACAGCAATTGCATTGGCTTATGATATCTCCAAGTATTTTAATAATTATTCTTTCCTCATTCTTTTCAATTTAATCAAAATTTCTCGATGCGATTTGTTGTCGATTTCAAATCTGAATAAGGGGGTTATTATTTTAAGGATGCCAAAGTATTTTTTTCAATTCAACAGAAAAATTAATTCTCGTTCTTATGGCTCATGCTGGTCGAGACATGCCTTATGCTCAAGGAATGTTTTAGCCACTTCAATTTCCAACTATAGTAAATACCAAAATTTCCGGACAAATAAGCTGTTATAGTACTTATATTCATATGAGTTTTACATTACCAACTATAAATAGTTATCTTATATGAAAAATTGCAAAATTTAATAAGCTAGACACATTAATTCTATTTTAAACTCATTTAAAAAAAGTCTTATGATAAGAAGCCTAGAGTCCAAGTTTAATTAAAATACGAATGGGAATAAAGCCTTCCTTGACTTTGGATATAGAGGCCTTCCTTCTTTTCCATCAAATTCCTTCACATATTTTTTGTGTCTCATTGAAGCCCAATTAGAAAGAATAAAAACAGTCGCTGCTAAGAAAACATACGCTGGCACACACTTTGAGAGCCCCGCAAAGCTTGCCCACGAAATAACCTCCCAGAAGTAATTAGCACAGCTTACCAAATTAAACCCGTATCCCTTAGGTATCCCTCTAGTCTTCGTTCCTGCAGGTCTTAAATCCCTCAATGTTTTATGGCACAAAAAGTTCAGCCCTTCAGATCCTAGAAAAATTGCTAATAAAGCAGCAAAAGTTGCCTTAGAAAATTTCGGCTCAGTATATTTCGGGTGGAATAAGAAATAGCCAATAAAAGCTCCATTAAGCAGCCAATAGTAAGCACAATTAATGAATAAGTTTTTCAATGGCATCGTCGCACTTGAAAAACGGTGGATAAATAAGGATTCCAGTTCTCTTTTCAAGAAATGCCCCATCAAAAGCAAAAAACCTGTTTTCTGGGTTAGAGACTTAGGAGCTGCAGTCCCGTAGAAGAGCTTGGGGAAATAGTAGAGGGCAGGACAAATCAGCAATGGTCCAGCATATTCGACAACATACACAAAAGTCCAGCTTAACTGTGTCCCGAGATCTCTGAAAACGAGTAATTGGTCAGTCTGAAGGAACTCCACCAGCAGCTTATCGTCATCATTGACAGCTGGCCCTGTTGGAGTTTTGACTGTGAACTTTTGACGGGCTGGGTAGAATTGTTTGTCTGATTATGGCTTACGTTTCTGGTTGAACATTTTCTTGAAATCTTTAACTTTGATTTTGTCAGTAATAGAGAAAGATCCGAGATCTTTCCCTGATCGGCTTATCACTTTGACTTCCATTAAAGATTATGGTTAACAATTTAATAACTTCTATGTAATAATGGAAGACCAAAACAACAGCTCATATAAAGAAACTATAAAAATACTCCAGCCTATTTCCCAAAAAGCAAAGCATATTGAAAATAAGTCTATTTGAATTATGAGAGCTGAAGAAAATAGCGAATATGAGCTATTGAACAAAATTCAAAGCAAATATAACAGATTTGATAATGAGTTTAATGTAAATAAAAGCAGAAATGCATTTTCACAAGACTCAAATTTGAGAGAAATATCTAGCGCTGATATAGGAACTCCTAAGAAATATTTGTGAATGCCAAAAAGCCGAGCTTACAACTTTGGGTTTATGAGGCCTTCAACATCACTTGCAAATAAAAGAATAAATATAGAACTTCCAAACTATAAAGAAAAGCTTAGCCCTAAAAACGCAAATTTCTTTTTTAAAGAAGACTGCCAACAAAATATTAGGCTTTTCCCAAAAAGATCGGAATTCCTGAAATTGCGAAAAGCGAAAGAAAGAATTTCTAAGAAAAAAATGAAGTGAAGGCTGTTAGAGCGAAATAATAACAATAACCAGATAGAACTGGATTACGGTTCTAATATTAGTTTAAAAATGAGTAGATGAAAATTAATCCTTATTTATTAATCTTAATAGTTCTTTCTGCAAAACAATTTATTTATATAGAGGTTTTAGCTATGTTTATTTTTTGTAAAATATTATTGAATATCCTGGATTTGTCTGTAAAATCTCGAGCTCGAAATTCCGTAGACACTTTTCTTACTTCTCCAATTTCAACTCCAACTACACCTACTATATATGAGCATCGAGCCAAAAGTAGCAATTTTCTTAAAAGAAGATCTGTTAGTAGCTGGTCTAAAAGGAAAGAAGCAATTCCACTAAAAATTAATTTCGTTCTTGAAGAAGAAAAGATCCCTTTGACTCCTGTGCATGCTTTTTGATAGGAACGTTTTTATAATTGGGAAAATTTATTTGAAAATTTTCCCTTGTGAAATTTTTGATCAGAATTTTAGCCAGCATCACTATCAAAAACATTCGGCAAAATTGCCGAGAGGAAATACCACAATATAAAAAAATTCGGATCAAATAGCATGCAGCCTACTGACTCCTTGGTAAATTTCTGTTTTTTAGTCTCAATAAAATTAATTTAATTATTGAAGCTAAATGTATTGCCCAATTATGGAAAGCTTGGTAGATGATATAGAAGAATATGAGCTAGACCTAGAAATCTCTTGCACTTGTATAGGAAGTTGTGGGAGAGATTGTGAATGCTATAATAGATATGGATTCGCTTATTCAGAAACTGGGAAAATTATTGAAAATTTTAATGACACCAAGCCTATATTTGAATGCAATAATAATTGCTCATGCACGGTAGAGTGCTATAATAGAGTTGTGCAGAAAGGCTCAAAATGCAAGATCAGTATCAGGAAAACTATAAATAAAGGACTAGGGGTATTTGCTGAAGAAAATATTGAAAAAGGGGAATTCATAGGGATTTATGCTGGAGTAATCGTAGATAATAATTGTGAAGGGCCTTATGTATTTTTGATTAGAGAAAATACACCATTAAAAACTTATACAACTGCTTTTGATGCACAATATTCTGGAAATTTTTCAAGGTTCATAAATCATGGATGCAACCCAAACTTGCAAGCTTTAGCTATAAGAGTGAACCATATAATCCCTACTGTAGCTTTTTTTAGCATAAAGCCTATCGCTAAAGGAAAAGAACTCACATTTGAATATAGAAAATACTCAAATGAGCAGCAATGCTTCTGTGGATCAAAAAAATGCAAAGGTACATTTTAGCTTGAATTTTCTCTTTTTTAAAAATAAATACAGAAACATATACAAATACTTACTCCCCCCCCATCCTTGATCGAACGATTGACTGTAAAAATTCCTAAAAATTGGGGAAAATTAACCCCCATCCTTGATCGAACGATTTTCATATCATGCAAATTTTTATATATATAAAAATATATTATTTATCAAAAGCTTGGGAAGATGTGCATAATGAAGTTGTTTTCAGAGGCTTTGAGACGACAGAAAGCTGCGGAATCAACCATCCGAAGTGATTTAGTGATTAACATATGCTTAAAAAACTCAATAATCTAATAAAATACAGATTCTTTAAAATTTTTTTAAAAAAAAATTAATTTTAATAAGGAGCAAATTAAAATTTATACAGTTTAAAGGGGTAACTAATAAATCAAAATATTAAAAATTGGTATTTTATGAAATAAATTAAATTTTTTGCTGTAAAAATAATTATTAAATATTCTTAACCCTCTTATTTAAAAGAATATAAAACTATATTTTTTATTTTATATATAAATTTTTTTTTCCGAAAAATTTTTTTTTTAACCCCCATCCTTGATCGAACGATGGCGAGTCGTTCGATCAAGGATGGGGGGGGGAGTTAGCAGGCTTTAAAAGTAGAAAATTATTAATAAAACTCTATTATGAATTACAAATTGCTTGGGGTGAAATTTTTCTTCAATGATCTTAGGTTTGATTTTGTGGACAGTCTGGTATTTTGAGAAGCTTTAATTAGGTCGCCAATAGTTTTTATGACTTTTCCGCTTAACCTCATTTTTGGATTTGTGCTAAAATAAGGAGACATCATTGTCAATAAAACAGAGTCATTTTTCTTTTTTTCAGCTCCAGTTGACAAGTTTGGCATTTTTGGAGGCTTGCTTACTATTTTTTTGATGCGATTTTCATAGACATTGACGTCTTCTGAAGTCTTTTCATGTAGATTTATATGCTTATTGGAAATAGGTTTGTTTTCTTGGCTTTGATATCTATTGAACGTTGCCTGCTTTTTGATAGGATTTTTCTTGCTGTGAAATTTCCTTGGATTTTTTGGTCATAACATTTTCTCATAAGACAATTGCTCTGAAGCAAGCACTGAAGGAAATGTCACACAAGAAAAATGTTCTATGGAGCCCTATTGAAATAATTTTTTGTTCATCATTGTTTTTGGTGGCTTTGAGTTATAGATTCTTTGATATTCCAGATAGGGAATAAATTGCTGTTTTGTAGCTGCTTAGTTTTTGATACATGATCTCCCAAATTTTGACTAAATCGTCTTCCACACATTACCTTGGGTGATGAAGGGCCAGATTGGATTGTTGGAAGTTTTCTTAGCCTATTTACGCTTTTGTTTTTTTTGTTTTTTACTTGATTTGACAATGGCTGGTTTTTCCTGATTTTTTTTGCATCTCTCTTTCCAAGCTCTTTTGATACATGAAGCGATCCATGTGAATCATATACAGGCAATGCCGACAGCAAAGCACTGCTTTTTTCACGGAGCACATATTGGCTCATTCTGGTAGGAGAAGGGGCTTCAATATTCACTTGTTTAATTTCCTGCTCAGTGTTTTGGCTAATAATTTCTAAAGGTTCTTGTATAGGTATAATGTTAACTATTGGCTCTTCTTCTTTATTTTCAGTTTTTATCTCTACAATCTCTTCTTTTTTCTCTTCTGAATATTGTATAGAAGGCTCGATTTCTTTTTCTGTAGGCAATACCACACTTACATTTTCAGGTATATTATGGTCTTGGAAAAAAGTGCTGGGGATATCCTCATTTAAGTCTTCATTTTCTAGATATAAATAAGTATTTGAAGTAATCAGACCGCTGTCATTGGACAGTGTGTTGACTGATTGGTCTGGCTCTTCAGTTCTCCCTGTGTATTCAGTGGATATGTAAGAATCATTTCTTTCTTCTTCTGAGGGCTGTAGGAAGCCTTGAGGCGAGGCATGCAGAGAGTTGAAGGTACTTGTTATCATATATGATGGGTGGTTTTCTACCCTGTTGTGAATCATAGCACTAATTAGGATTTATAAAATGAATTTTATCAGATCTGTAACTACTTTTTAGAAGATGAGTGGGAATATGATTTTAAAAAGAAATTTTGGATAAGCATAGTATTAATGGGGATAAAAATTAAGATTTTCTGTATAGTAATTATTGCAATGCTCCTCTTTGCGAATGAGCAAAAATTTTTTGCTCACTCACAGATGTTAAAGAGAATAGAGAATTAATTAAATACTTTTAAAATAAAATAAACCCTATTTTTTAGGCGCTTCGTGTCAAAAGCAAGAAAAGGAGAGAGTAGTGCGGGTGCTTTAGGCGGAGGAGTGGAACATAGCGAGATGACGGAAAGATCGGAGACGAATTGGCGAAGCTGTGCTTGAGTTTTCTGAGGCCGATTTAGGATGAGGAATGTGCTAATCGGCATTTCGTCTGAAAATTCCGGGCTCAGCTTCAGGACTGTAGGTTGCTGTTGGTGATCTTGCTGATGTGCTGTGAGGTGAATTATTCTTTAAGATTATTAATTTTTGAAGTCTTTTGAGGTATCATCAATCAATTCTCTTCAATGAGAAAGAACTATAAAAGAGAAATTTACTTAAATTTGCTCATAAGAGCAAATTCTGGGGTGTTTAAACCCTTAATTTTACTGCTTTACTGATATAAAAAGAGAAAATTAAATGGATATTGCCCTGAAATAAAGGCATAATATAATAATCGCATCCCTCAATGAGAAAAGACACAAATAAAATGCGACTTATCCGACCCGCCCTTTTCCCATACCTCATGTGTTTTGATGGTTTTACCCTAGTCGGGTGACGACAGGGCTTTTTAACCGACAGAGACAAATATACCAGAGTCCACATGACAACTCCACACTTCTGGATTCGAAGGAGATGGGAACCAGAAGGAGAATTCAAGGTCACTCCTACCTCTCATCTTTGGGCAGATGGTGCTAACCGCTAGGAGTTTGTACAAGGAAATACCTGGGTGTATTTTCCTGCAAGATACTGAGTCACTATTTTCGTGATGTAGACAGAAAAGAGTGAAGTGAAGCCCGATACTTAGGGCGTGAAGCCTCAAGTCGGTGCAGGACGAGAGGGGCTGAAATAAACTCCGAAGACCCATTCTAACTTAAATCTAACATAATCAATGAGGAAAGTTCTATGGACACTCTTAGCATCCGTCTTTGGTGTTGGAAGTGAATTCATCCTTATTTCGCATAGGTCTGATAGTAAATCTAGGTAAATATTGTCACCAGAAGGAGGCCTATCATACCTTCAAATATTCGCAAGTGATAATAGTGATAAAAATTTTACTTTAACCCAACTTAAGACAAATGTCCTAAGTGAAGAAGAGAGAGAGATTAGATTATAGAGGGCTAAAGCGGGGTTTATTTCAGCCCCTGATCCAGTCGAGTTTCAGCTTCATGCTCATGTGGCGCTAGTCATTAAAGCCACCTACCACTCTTTTCTGATGACGTCGGCATCTTTAGGGGAGACTCCCGAACCTGTTTGGACCAAAAAAACTTCAGTAAAGGACTCTCTTAATCCATAGTAGTGCTCAGAGTATGAGGGAACCGTCTGATGCCTCCTTCTGGAACTACCTCTGCCATTTACAGGCAACATAATGCTCCTCCAGAAGTCCTCGATTGGTATTGCGCCGTGGGTATTCCCGTCTGTGGGTCGAGGGGAGGCCCTGTTAGCCCAGACCACGCCCACCCCAGAATTTAGCCACCTGCGACCTCGTCGCCTTTATGCCAGTTTTTTATTTCTGGCAAAAATTTTGAGTTCATCCTGCCACTCAAAAACCGATTTCGCGGTCATGATGGCCAAAATTCTAAGTGAAGAAGATATATTACTTTACCCCTACACAATTTCCCCGTCATAAGTGTGAGGGGTTAGCCATTTTCGTTGGGTTTTTTCTTTATATTGATTTTAGATTGATTTATCACCTATTACTTTAATATAAAAAATATATGTAATGCGCCTAAATATTATTATAATCACTCTCATTTATCTATAAATAGCCTCCAATCAAGATCTCTAATAAATACAAACCAAATATAATCCAATTCAGCATATATTTTCATATTTTACATACACACATACCAAAAAGAATTTTTCTTAGCTTCTTCACCCAAAATATTTTTTATATTTTAACCATTCCAATTTTTAAAGAAAATCACCATAACTGTTAATAATTTATTATAATGAATCCTCGCCCACTCGGAAAATCAAGTTCGGGCAAGCTGACAGTGCGTACTAAGCCATACGCTGCTCGTGTCTTACTTAACATCCCAGATTTCAAAGCCCTTTCAAAGCTTATGGATACAGACCCAATTTCCCCAAAAAAATCACGAAAAAAGCTTCCAGAGCTCGAAGAGCCTCCTATGCTTCCAACCTTGGACGAAGAGCTCAAAATACATGCTAATACTCTCAGAAACTCAGAGCTCCCATCACAGAAGAATTTAGCCAGCTCTAAAGGTCTTACTGCTAGAAATTCCAAAACAGTTATAAAACATGAAAGCTTTTTCCCGAGCAAAGGTAGCGAAGCCAATTTGAGGGCTGACCAAGCTGATTTAGGCTCTCCTAGTGAAGAACTGCCAGATCCAGACGGAGAAAAAACTAATAAGCTTTTACAAAGAGAATTTGCAAGCTTTGAGAACCCTGATTTGAAATCGACAAGAGATATTTCCAAATTTGACTGCTGGATAGAGACAATGACACCTGAAGATTGGGTAAAACTTTATCGTGGGAAGCCTGGGCCACATGGGTATTCGCCTGTGTTTGATGATGGAGTTTATTCGTGGGAGCCAATAGATTTATTAGGATACACTATAATAATATATGAGCTTGCTCTTATAATAGGTTGCTATTTTTATATAAAAAATTATTATTAGCCTTATTCAGCCCAGCATATGACTCAAATCTGAAAAAATTTAAAGTCAGGATCAGAAAGAGCATGCTGGAAAAAAAAGTTCAGCGTCTTGCAATAAAATTCCACAATGAAGATCCCAAAGAATTCGAAGCCCGTGTAATCCAAGCCAGGGAGCTTCAAGCCAACTATGACTCTATAGTAAGGTTTTTAGACATGGTCGACGCAATCTCATCAGCTGAAGTATCACAGCTTCGCAAAGAAGTCAAAACCAAAATCCTACAAAAAGCAGTCGCGACCACCCCAGAATTTGAAAAAGAAAAATACATGACCTTGCTAAAACAGCTGGTCGCAGTTGTTGACGAAGAATACGCCCGAGCTATGAAAAAATGCGTAATTTTACTAACTCCCCCCCCTCCGTGAGTGAACAAAAAAAATTTTGTTCACTCACGGGGGGGGGTTAATTTTTTTTTTTAAAAAAAATTATATATAAATTTTCTAAAAAATTGTTTTTTTCGAAATTTAAAAAAAATCCTAATTTGCAAAAATTTGAAAGCAAATATTAATTTAATTTATAAAATTTATGTTTTAAAAATGCAATTTGTTTAAAATTAAACAGAATTAGCTCTAGATTTCATTATATTTAATTATCATTTATATATCAAAATTTTTTTCCATAAAATTTTTCTATTAAAAAAATTTTGTTCACTCACGGAGGGTGGGTTTTTGGGCAAAAAAAGCGATTTTTCTAATGGTTTTGTTCACTCACGGAGGGGGGGGGGAGTAAGAATGCAAGACCCAAAGAACGATAATGAATTTCTTCAGAAAAAAATCCCAATCAGGCGGTCTGTCCCAATTGTCCCAGAATTCGGAACTATCACTATCCCTCCTCATCCCTACAAAAAAATGAAAAAAGAGCTCGACAAAAGCCATTGGTACAAGATTACCTCAGTCGTTCAGGTAAATAAAATAATGGCTGACAAATGCCACAGCTTCCAAGAATACAGATTTTTAGAGACCAAAAATCTTTTACTACCAATGGAATTAAGGAATTTATATAATACTCAAAGAAACCATCACCAGGCTATAAGGCAACAAATTTCAATACATTGGAGAGAATATTTAATTAGTGAAACCCAGGACAAAATGGCTGAACAGTACAATTTCTTCGCAGTAGACTCTGAAGAGTACTTAAAAGGGCCTCTGCATACTATTTTGAGAAGGATGGATTTAATTATGAACACCCATGTAAGAGCTTTTGCAAAACAAAGCATTGATGACTGAATCAATTTTTTGAAGTCTTTTACCATGCCCGAAGAGCCTGAGCTTTATAGAAAAATTGGAAAACCTTTGATTATATTGCAGCTTAGCATTGAAGAAGACGCGAGAAAGAAAAAAGATGAGCAATCTGATACAATTCCAGGACAAATTGATTTTAAGCCAACTCTTCAGCAAGCTCATAAGTTTATTAATGAGTGTATTGACTGGATTGTAGAAGCTACCAATAAAATAACGAATTTAGAATCTGATTTAGTCCCATTTATGAATATTCCTAAAACCCCAGTATTTGAACTGTCTGACGAAAATGACTGGGTTGCCACTGCAAAAGCAGAAATTGCAGAAATGATGGAAAAATACCAAAGCGGGCCTCTTCAAATTTTAGAAGAATTCAAAGCTTTTGAGTGGGTCGGAAAAATGAAAATAAAAGAATTCGTGAAAGATTTATTTAAACAGAAACCTTCAATTGAAAAACTCAGGACTGAGCTAATGAAGCTGAAAAAGGCAAAAGAAGAATTAATTTCTATTTCCACTCTTGTAATAAACTACGAATTTTTCCAAATCCAATGCCACAAGTTCAAAGAGACCATGGACAAAAAAATTAACAAATGCATGAACTCTTTACTTGAAGGAATCTCCAATTTCTGCTCTGAAGAGGTCAAAAGCATTCAGGACGAGTACGAATTCACCTGCAACAAAGTCAGAACTATTCCTACAAATGAAGCTGAGCTATTCGAGCTCAAACAGTTCGCAAGGAACATCAAAACCAAAAAACAAGAACTTTTAAATAAAGAAAAAGAAGTAATCAGCCACGGTTCCATGTTAAATGACTGCGGAAATTTGATAGTGAGACATCTCATCGGGGAAACTTTGTTCGAATCATTTTTGATAGTGAGACATTTGACCGAAAAAAACCATCAAATTTCGGCCAAATGGGATACACTATTTAAAAATTTTTCGACCAAAAGTACTTCGGTGAAATGGACACTATTAAAAAGGCAAAGTCATTTGACCTGCACCCATCAGCCACACTTTGATACTAGAAGACTACCAGTTTAAACTGAATGAAGACGTCAGCATTAACCTTTGGCAATGCAAAACTTGGCCTATAGAAGTAGAAGCGTCCACAAAAGAAGGCATGGGCAAGCTAGAAATCGAAGAAGAAAAGTTCAGAGAAAAGCTGGAAAAAGAAAAAGACAAGTGGTTCAGAGAGGTCAGCCAACTCCACACAGATTTCGAGCTCGTCCAGCAGTTTGCAGAGTACGCGAATTCGTCTTCACATTATGATGACGTCAAAAAGCTTGAAGACCACCTAAAACAAGCAATGGAGCAGCTTGTGTCATTTAACCAAAGAGAAACTTTATTTGAGCTGCAGCTGTCATAAATAAAATGGCATTCGGTTCGAGAGAAATTAGCTTTGTTAATTTTCTCTCCCTCATGGAATTTTATTTATGGGGTTGGGTTTTTCTCTTGAGAACTTCTGCACAGCAACAGCCGTTTAAACTCTGGGGGTAACCAGAGGAACGGCTCCACAGTGCGTTCAAGATCTCGGGGTTTTACCCCTCAGCACATCTCCACGGGAAGATGACCTTTAGGCGGAACGCGCGCAGGAGCTGAGTCAGGGCGAGGCATCGGCAACGCGCCGGGTGAGAAGTGCAGCAAGGCTGGCGGCGAAGCTTTGATAGAAGGCTTGGGCCTGGGCTGACCAGGTTAATCCAAGATGGCTCGGTGATGTCACTAGTTTTGCCAAAAGCCCTTTTTATAGGGGCTGCGGCACCGGACACCTTAAAGACCGAATAATTAAGTAAGTAAGTAAGTAAGTAAGAGCTGCAGCTGTCAGATAAGACAGATTTACAGAATATGATTGATGATTTTGAGCCATTTAACAGGCTCTGGACCAATGTGAACGATTTTAAGTATGGACATAACTCGTGGAGCAATGAGAAAAAAATCCATGAACTCAATGCGATGGAAATTTCTAATAATGTGGACAGGTGGCTTAGGGAGTGCTTTGTGTTGACCAAAAAACTGATAGAAAGAAGCCCTGAAGCTATCAATGTGATCAACCATTTAAAAGAACACCTAACTGAATTTCAGACAAATATCCCACTGATAAAAGCTATTTCTAATGAAGCTTGGGGAGAAGACCATTGGAAAAGGGTCGCCCAAATTGCAGGACTCACCCCAGAGCAGCTTGACGCTAAGCACGAAACTGTGTCTACTTTAATAGAAAAAGGACTGAAAAATTACATTGAAGAAATCGAAGAAGTCTCATATAAAGCCCAAAGAGAATTCAAGCTGAAAAAGAAGCTGGAAGAGATGAAAAAAGAATGCGAAAACCAATTTTTAGAAGTCCTGCCTTATAAAGATACGCATATTGTAAAGTCTGTCGAAGATATACAGACCTTGCTAGATGAACAAATAGTGAATATTCAAGCAATGAAAACGTCGCCTTATGCTAAACCTATAGAACGGCAATGCAAAGAATGGGAATATAGGCTGTTACATATTCAGGAAACACTAGAACAGTGGATGAAATGCCAAACTGTATGGATGAACCTTGAGCCGATTTTCGCTTCAGATGATATACAGAAAAGAATGCCAGGAGAATATAGAAAATTTAGAGGGGTTGATGGGCAGTGGAAACTTTATATGGAATCGATATGTAGCTCAGGCAGCAGCAACAGCCAAACTACCCAAAATACTAATCCAGGCCTGCTTGACTCAGTAGCGATTGATGGAGGCACGCTTACACTATTTAAAGATGCAAATGAAAACTTAGACGACATCCAAAAATCAATGCATCACTATTTAGAAACCAAACGTCTTTCGTTCCCACGCTTCTTTTTCTTGTCAGATGAAGACTTATTAGATATTTTGTCACAGACAAAAGACCCACTTCGTGTCCAAGAACATATTAATAAATGTTTTGAAGCTATTGACAAGGTCGTGTTCACAGAAAGACAAGAAGTCACTCACATGATTTCACCTGAAAAAGAAACAGTCCAGCTTATTGACAAAATTGATGTAAATGAAGGAGATAAAAAAGGAAATGTTGAGTACTGGATGGGTGATATAGAAAAGACTATGTATAAGACTATAAAAGATATCATGAAAAGAAGCTTTGCAGAGTATCAAAGGCTAAAAATTAAATTACTCATCGAGAAGGCCTGCAGGATATTATTTGCCTCCATTATTGTTTACCGCTTGCTTGCCAGTCCCGACATGCTTTTCGCTATGTTTCTCCTCACGGGCGAGGGCTTGAACTAGCTACCTGAGAGTGAGAGACGCTGGGCCACCCACCATGTCACTTGCTAACAGAGTCGCTTTCAGAAATATAGAAAATCCTGGAAACTCAAAACCCAGGACGCAACGCCTGATATTGCGTTGGGAAATGCCAAGAAAAGAGCTCCTGGCACTTCTAAGACATCCCTTTCCAGCCTTGAGCCTCCACTTCCCACGATGTAGAAAACTGGCTTGGATGTGAGTATGCGGTCGGTCAGCCCAACGTTGCGCTCCACCAGTAAAAACCTGGCCAGACATTCCTGAGCACAATTGGTCAAGCATAGGTCGCAACCCCACCCCCCCTCTCGGGTTTATCCTATAGAAGTATTTGATAGGAAATAAGCAGAATAAATTAAATATAACCCAATTAAAACACTATATTTTTAAATTAAGTCCACAAATTACTTTATATTTATGATTAATTAATAAATTTAAATTAATTAGCAATTAATTAGAAAATATATTAAATTTGCTTTTTATATTTATAAATATAATGCCAAAGATATAGATAATGGCATTAATTATTAAAAATTAACCAAGGATAATACAATAACTTGCTTTAAATTTATTGATTCATAAATTAAAGCTAATCTAATGACAATTGTACAAGGATTGCAGGACTGAATTGGTAGCAGGATTCAATAGTGGTAATAAAAATAGTATTTGCTATTGTCAGTTTTACTTTTGGATCTCTAATTCGACTTTTAGCCATTGTTCCACAAAGTTCATAAATATATGCAGGATATATTGCTAATTAATACCAGAGATCATTATTATGCTTGCTAACAATTTTTTTCAGATTTGGTGAGCTTACTAGATATAGGAAATTCTCACCCCATTCCATCTACTCCTTAATCGATTGTGCTACGCTATGTGGATATTGCATAAATCAGTAATTTTTAATATATTTAAAATAATAATTTATTTATTACGTCTGCTCTAAATTGGCATTTTTCATATATTTTATGCTATATTATGGGGGATGGGGGTGGGGGTGCCATCTGTGAAAGGGGGTGAGGGTGCCATTTTTTAGGGGGGGTGGGGGGGTACCACTTTTAGGGGGGGTGGGGGTGTAGGGTTGCTACCTGTGCTTGACCACACAATTCTTTTCCACCAGGTCCCCTGGTCTCCAAGGATCCTGCCCAACTACAAAATTTAAGAGGATGGGTTATATCTCGACGTTATTTTAATGCATAGGATAGTACCAAAGGCAAAGAAAGAACTAAATGAATTAGAAATTGGCCATCTATGGTTGTACTAGGAGTAAACCAGCTGACGTGGACTGGAGGTGTAGAAGAAGCCATTAAGACGAATGCTATGAAGGCGTATGAAGAGAAATTGACGAAACTTATTATGGGAGTAGTTGTCATGGTAAGAGGCAAACTGGATTCTTTATTGAGAAAAACGCTATCAGCTGTCATTACTTTAGATGTACACGCAAGAGATATTGTGACTGAGCTGAAAAATAAAAACGTGACCAATAACAATCAGTTTGACTGGATTGCTCAGCTGAGGTATTACTGGGAAGGCAGCACTGATATTTCAGTAAAAATGGTGAATTCTTCTATAAAATATGGCTTTGAGTACTTAGGAAACACTCCAAGGCTCGTTATTACTCCACTTACTGACAGATGCTACAGGACACTTATAGGCGCTTATAACTTATTCTATGGAGGAGCTCCAGAAGGTCCTGCAGGGACTGGAAAAACAGAGTCAGTCAAAGATCTTGCCAAAGCAATTGCTGTCAAATGTGTCGTCTTTAACTGTAGTGACTCCTTAGACTTCACATCAATGGCTAAATTCTTCAAAGGCCTCGCTTCAAGCGGCTCTTGGTGTTGTTTTGACGAATTCAACAGAATTGAGCCTGAAGTCTTATCCGTCATCGCTATGCAAGTTTTACAAATCCAGCAAGCAATCAGAGAAAAACGAAAAACCTTTACCTTTGAAGGAACCCAGCTTAATTTAGTTCACTCCTGCGCTATTAATATCACTATGAACCCTGGCTATGCAGGCAGATCAGAACTTCCTGACAACTTAAAAGCGCTATTTAGGCCATGTGCTATGATGGTTCCTGATTATGCGATGATCAGTGAAATTTCTCTGTTTTCTTATGGTTTCGAAAATGCTAGAAGTCTAGCTGCAAAAGTTGTATAATTTTCCCTATATATTTTTCAAAGTAAATAATAGGAGTTTCTATAGGCAATTTTAAAGTAAAAAAGTATAGCTTCTTTACGTTTATCATCAGAACAGCTATCTACACAGGACCATTACGATTTTGGTATGAGAGCAGTCAAAGCTATTTTAACCGCTTGCGGGAACTTGAAAATGAAATATACTGATGAAGTAGAAGACATTTTGGCTTTACGAGCACTTAATGACGTAAACCTGCCTAAGTTTACTAGCAATGATATTCCTCTTTTCTTAGGAATTACTTCAGATCTGTTCCCTGGAGTTACTATACCTAAAATTGACTACGGGATTTTATTAGTTTCTATAGAAGCAGCCTCTGAAATGCAAAATTTACAAGCCACTGACGAATTTAAAAGCAAATGCATCCAGCTTTATGAGACTATTTGTGTCAGACATGGACTTATGCTTGTAGGACAGACCTTTTCAGGCAAAACTAAAGTGATTAATACGTTGCAGATGGCTCTAAGCAGCATCCCAAACAACCCAGAGTTCACGAAAACGCTAAAAGTCACGCTTAACCCTAAATCAATTACGCTAAACCAACTATTTGGAAGATTTATTGCAGAATCCCATCAGTGGTACGACGGAGTGATTTCTCAGACTTTTAGGACTTTTACAGCAGAAAAAGGCCCTGAACGAAAATGGGTTGTATTTGATGGGCCAGTCGATTCTAAATGGATTGAAAACATGAACACTGTGCTAGATGACAACAAAATGCTGTGTATGCAGTCAGGAGAAATCATTAAAATGACTGAAGGGATGACTATGATGTTTGAGGTTGAAGACTTAAAAGAAGCATCCCCTGCTACTGTTTCTCGTTGTGGGATGGTTTTCCATAATTAAAATATGGCGTCTCAACTTGGCTTGGCCTCTCGGCCAAGCAGTATCAAGCCCTATTTTAATTATATCCGGCAAGGTTTTGCTAGCGAAGAAATGGACAGCTATGCTAGTTAACTAGCCCAGTCCTTTTTTCGAGTTAGATTTTACGAGGGGAGACTTGGAGTTGGAAAGGGGAAGCCCAGCAAAGCCTATCTAGGCCAATCGGGCAACTTTCTAGCGAGAAACCTGGAGTTTCGCCCTGGGCTACAAGTTCTACCCTTTTGCCGAAGTCGGCCAGAGATTCCATTTTTTGAAATTTCGAGGCAGGCAACCTTCATTGATGTACAGCGCGGTTACCCAAACTTTCCGACTGCGGAGCGCATGTGCAGGCCCATGTCCGTAGGAGCAAGACTTTGAAGGCCGTGAGAAGGTTGTTGGCGAGCAGGCGAGTGGAGCGTTATGGAAGGGAATAAGGACTTTAACGGGCTCCGACAGGGAGCTTTTCGATAATCTTAAGTAACTTGGTAACTGTGGTATGGTTTTCCTTGAACCGCATAGGCTGGGCTGGGAAGTTCTAATCCGGTCTTATGTAAACTCCTTACCTCACTTTGTCAGAGACAAGCATGGACAGCATATTATTGATAGCTTTAATTGGTTTTCGTGGCCACTAACTGAATTTGTAAAGAAAAAATGCAGGCTGCCTGCTCCTGTCACAGAAAATGAAATGGTCTCGGCCGCTTTGAACATTTTTGACTGCTTTATGATGGAATTCAGAGAAATGATAAAAGAAGACGAGCCAGATTCCCCATCAAAAAATGCTGAAAAAGACAAGCAGCTGCCTAAAGAATTCGAAGAAACTTTGCCACAATGGATTCTTTTCAGCATAATCTGGGGTTTTGGAGGCATCACTGACGAATCCACCAGGCCAAAGTTTTCTGAATTTTTAAGCAAACTTGTGGCAGGCGAAAATGTCGTCGAAATTTATAGACTTCTTGATACCCCGCAGTCCTGGGCTACAAAGAAATACGACTCAAAGCTCCCAGGAGACTATTTTGACGTAGTATTATCTAAAAAAAGCAGCAGTTACTATTGGATGCAATGGATAAATCTCCGAGCAAGCACTTATACACCTAATAAAGAAGCTAATTTCCATGAGCTTATAATCCCTACCAAAGACACAATCCGCATTTCTTACCTTATGAATTTCATGGCCTCTGCTTATAAACATATCTTATTCTGTGGCCCTACAGGGACAGGTAAAACTGTCTGTGTCCTTGATACCTTACGGTCTTCTTTTTATAATGAAACTTATACTTATCTGTTTATGGCTTTTTCAGCACAGACGTCAGCTAATAAAATACAGCTGATAATGGAATCTTGTATGGAGAAAAAATCAAGGTTTGTGAATGCACCTGCAGGAAATAGAAAAATGGTCATTTTTGTGGACGATTTAAATATGCCCCAGAAAGAGACATATGGGGCACAACCACCGATTGAGCTGCTAAGACAGTGGATGGACCATGAAGGCTGGTATGATTTAGAGACCAAAGAGTTTAAAAAATTTAAGCTTATACAGTTTGCAGCGTGTATGGGGCCACCTGGTGGAGGAAGAAACCATGTATCTCAGAGGTATTTGAGGCACTATAATAAATTTTATATAGAGCCTTTTGGGGAAGATTCATTGAACTCTATTTTCTCCACTATTGTGGACTGGTTTTTTATTAAGCAGACAGAACCGTTTTCCCGAGCCATTGTCCAGCAAAAAGACAATCTTGTCCATGCCACAATTCAAGTTTTCCAAAGAATCAGCAAAGAACTTCTGCCGACCCCTGCTAAAATGCATTATATTTATAACTTGCGAGACGTTTCAAAAGTATTCCAAGGGATTTCTAATGCTACTCCTTTAGCTATAAAAGATGAGTCAGACTTAATAAGGCTTTGGGCTCACGAATGCCAACGTGTTTTCCAAGACCGTCTAATAAACAACAAAGACCGTGACTATTTCACTGACCTCTTAAAAGAATCTATAAAGAAATACTTCAGAAGGACCTGGGAAGAAGTCGTCAAGGTGGCGCCTTTGCTTTTTGGGTCATTTATTCCTATGATTTCACGTGAAGAAGGCAAAGCGAAAATCCCTGATTTGTATTGTGAGCTTAAAGACCATAATTTATTGCAAGAAAAAATGCATGAATGCTTGGAATATTATATGAGAAATTTTTATGAATTTTCCAGTAGAAAAATGGCTTGAATTTTATGATGGCAGAATTAAGGAAATTATTATAACCAAATTTCTCCGACGAAGATGAACTTAGTTTTATTTATGGCTGCTATAGAGCATGTAGTAAAAATTGTAAGGATTATTCAACTCCCACTTGGGAATGCTTTATTGTTAGGAGTTGGAGGAAGCGGTAGAAAAAGCTTGACAATGCTAGCTACTTCGATAGCAGAGTATTCTATTTTTGAAGTTGAAGTCAGCAAAAATTTTGGAATGAATGAATGGAGAGAAAGACTTAAAGCACTTTTCTTTAAAACAGGTCTGGAAAATCACCCAACTGTATTTTTATTCAGTGATACACAAATTTCTAATGAAGGTTTCTTACTATTCTAAGTTGTCAAGAAAAATTTGGTTATTTTTTCAAATTTTTCTGTCAGATTTATAAATATTAATATAAATAGCTGAAGATCTCATTATTATAATTATTTACAATGGGAAAGAGTTAGAAGATATCAATAATTTGTTAAATAATGGAGAAGTCCCTAACCTTTTGGAATCAGAAGACAGGCAAAACGTGATCGATACTTTGCAAGATGAAGCGAATCTAAACAAAAAAGGAGGCTCAGCAGAAGCAATTCATGCATATTTCATTGAAAGAGTCAGGTCAAATCTGCATCTTGTGTTTTGTTTGTCACCTATTGGCGAGTCCTTTAGGACAAGAATTAGGATGTTCCCTTCACTTGTGAATTGTACCACAATTGACTGGTTTTTGCCTTGGCCTGAAGATGCGCTATGATCTGTAGCTCAAAATTTCTTAAAAGACGTTGACGTGGATAGTCAGGTAAAAGTAGGACTTGTAGAAATCTGTGTAGATATGCAAGAAAGAGTGACCAACTTAACAGCCAGATATAAAGCAGAGCTAGGCAGATACTACTATATCACCCCTACGTCCTATCTTGAACTTATCTACACCTTTAAGAATTTATTAAACACCAAAAGAGTCGAAGTAAAAAAATTAGGCCAAAGATATGAAAATGGGCTTGAAAAATTGCTGGACACCGCTTCAAAAGTCTCAGTCATGCAAAAAGATCTAGAAGAATTACAGCCAAAATTGGTCGTCGCACAGGCTGAAACCAAAGAAATGATGAAAATTTTGACTGTTCAGCAGAAAGAAGCATTAGAAGTACAGCAGAATTGTGAAAAAGATGAGGCGAAGTGTAAAGAAGAAAGAGAAACGGCACAAGCGATCAAAAAAGAGTGTGAAGAAAAGCTGGAGGAAGCGATGCCTGCGTATGAAGCTGCACAAAAAGCATTGAAATCGTTGGATAAGAACCAAATTGATGAAGTAAAACATATGGCTAATCCGCCACCTGGAGTGAAGTTTACTATGGAAGCAGTTTGTAAGCTGATGGCTATAGACCCAGTAATGGTTCCCAAAGCAAATGGGTTTGGGAAAGAGCCTGACTATTGGGAAACTGCTAAATCTTTTCGCATTATAAAGTAAATTTTGAATAAAAATTAACTTTTTTATGAAAAAATATTTTAATTATTGGAGAATAAGAAAAATCTTCTGAACAGGCCTAAACTAATGGACGATTTGCAAAATTATGATAAAGACCATATGGACCCTGCCATTGTTGCTACTATAGAAAAAATTATTAACCATTCTGAGTTCCAACAAGAAAAAATCAAAAGAGCTTCATTAGCTGCTTATGGCCTCAGTATGTGGGTTAGAGCTATGTATAAATACGACAAAGTCATGAAAGAAATAAGGCCTCGACAAATGGCGCTTGCAGAAGCAGAAATGCGGCTTAAAACTGCAGAAGAAGATCTTAGAGAAAAAATGGAAGCTTTAAGGAGTATCCAAGAAAAAGTCCAAAAGCTTGAAGCGGACTACCAAAAAGCAGTCGACGAAGAACTCAGACTTCAGCACGAAGTCGATATGTGTAGGATCAAGCTTGAAAGAGCACAAAAACTTATTGATGGCCTCAAAGATGAAAAAATCAGATGGGCAAAAGAAGCCCAAATCCTCAAAGAAAACTACAAAAATATAGTTGGGGATTTAATGATAAGCTCTGGTATTATCGCATACTTAGGAGTCTTCACAGGGACTTACAGGTCAAGCTGCATTGACTATTGGATTAAACAGCTTAAAGAGAAAAACATCCCAAGCTCAGCTGAATTTTCCTTAAAAGACGTGATGGGAGATCAAGTTAAAATCCGTGACTGGACCCTTGCTCATTTGCCAAACGACAGCTTCTCTATTGATAACGCCATTATAATGGAAAATTCTTCAAGGTGGCCTTTAATGATTGATCCACAGGTCCAAGCTAACGCTTGGATAAAAAAAATGGAAGGAGAAAGGCTTGATGTCACAAGACTTAATAGTGATGGCCTTACCAATACTCTGGTAAACGCTATTAACTACGGAAAATCAGTCCTTATAGAAAACCTAGGCGAATCTATCAACCCTGAGCTTGACAACGTCCTTTCAGCTAAAAAAGGATCTGAAGGGATCGTCAAAATTGGTGACAAAACTGCTGAAATGTCAAGAGATTTCAGATTGTTTATGACCACAAAGCTGCCAAGACCCCATTATGCCCCAGAGATATGTGTAAGAGTCGCATTGATGAACTTCATGACCACTGAAGAAGGCCTACTCGACCAAATGTTGTCGCTGACGGTTAATGCTGAAGCTCCTCATATAGAGGCAAGCAGACAAAAATCAATCCAGGAAAACGCTAGAATTAGAAAAGAGCTGAAAACCATTGAAGATAATATTCTAAACATGGTTTCTAACTCAGAAGGGGACATATTAGAAGACGAAACCCTTATAGAAACCCTTCAGAAGTCAAAACAGTCCTCAAAAGATGCCTCAGAGCAGCTTGAAAAAATGGAAAATATACAAAAGCATATTAATGATACCAGAAAAAATTATACCAATTTATAAAGAATTTACCTATAGGGGTTTTAAATAAAAAATAAATAAATTGAATATAAAAAGCATATAAATCAATCGCCACGCGTGTTTCCCAACTTTTCTTCTGTATAGCTGATTTATGTGTTATTGAGCCTATGTATCAATACTCCTTGGAATGGTACGAAAGAATTTACTCCCTTTCTATTTCAGAAGCAGAAAAAAATTCAATTGTCCAAGAGCGCGTCAAAAATTTGATTAATACTTTTACACTTTTGCTGTATCAAAATGTGTGTAGGTCTCTTTTTGAGAAGGATAAACTGCTGTTTTCGCGGCTCCATGTCAAATGACTGTGAATTTTTGACAGTTTACATTTCATCGAAATCCATTTAGTCTAAAAATTTTGATAGTGCGACATTTGGCCGAAAAATTAAACGGTTTTTTTTTTCGGTCAAATATCTCACTATCAAAGATTTTCAATCAATTTTCGGCCAAAAATTTTTCGGTGAAATGGACACTATCAAAAAGCAATGTTATTTGACCTGCACCCGTTTTCGCTGCTGGTCTGCTTAAAAGTGATGGCAGGGGAAGATAGAATTAATCAGCTAGAGCTAAGGTTTTTAATGACAGGAGGAACTAAGACTGTTATAGCTAGGCCAAATCCGACACAGGAAGATGAAAGAGTGTGGCTGGAAAATAAAGATTGGGCAGCAATTCTGGAGTTAAGTGAATTTGAAAGCTTTAACTCATTCCTTATATAAAAATGGCATCATTTACGTATTTATTTTGTATTAAATAAATATTAGGCTTTTGCTATTATTTTATGATTTAAATAATTTTGCATTTAAAAAAAAAATATTATATTCAGTAGTAAGAATTTTGATAGAGAATTTGAGCAAAAGGTCAATGAATGGAAATCTGTATGGGAGTCATCAGATCCAGGAGCCATGATATGGCCAGGAGGCTGGAAAGAGAAACTATCTCCATTCCAACAAATTATAGTACTAAGAATTCTTCGCCCTGACAAAGGAATTCAAGCTATCGAACAATTAATCACCCAAGAGCTTGGGGCAGAGTTTATTTCTCCCCCTCCATTTAACATTGAGCTGTCCTTCAGAGACTCCAAGCCAGACGTCCCAATCATTTTTATCCTCAGCCCTGGTGTTGACCCTATAAGTGAAATTGAAAAACTCGCCATAAAGCTCAACCTCCGCAACAAAATGGAGCCTTTATCCTTAGGTGACGGCCAAGGTCCGAAAGCAGAAGCCGCTCTAGACCGTGCTATTGCAAATGGTGGCTGGGTTATCCTCCAAAACTGCCATCTTGCAGCCAAATTTATGCCAACTCTTGAAAAAAGAGTAGACGAAATCATCCCAGAGCGAACTGACGACAATTTCCGGCTTTGGCTTACCTCAATGCCTTCTGATTTTTTCCCAGTCTCCATCCTTCAAAATTCAATTAAGCTTACTAATGAGCCTCCTAAAGGACTCAGGAAAAACTTAATCAGGTCTTTTAGGTCCTATGATAATAACGCTTTTGAAGATAACGCCAAGCCAAGAGAATTCAAAAGAATGGTCTATGGCTTAAGCTTCTTCCATGCCTTAATACAAGAAAGAAGAAAATATGGAGCTTTAGGCTGGAATATCCCTTATGAGTTCTCTATGAGTGATTTGTCGATATCCTTTTATCAGCTTAGGATGTTTTTAAATGAGTATGAGCTGATACCTTGGGATGCTCTAAAATATATGGTCGCTGAGGCCAATTATGGAGGACGAGTTACCGATATTTGGGATAGGAGACTGATTAATACCATTCTAGAAGATTTTTATACAGAAAATATACTGAGAGACAGGTACTACATAAATGACTGTGACGTGTATCAGATTCCTCCTGAAGGGAATATTGAAAGCTATTTGAATTATATAGAAGAGAACGTGCCACATTATGACCAAACCCAAGTTTTTGGGCTCAATGACAATGCCTCAATTACAAAGTCCATTAATGAAACTAATTCTCTTCTCTCAGCTTGTCTATCATTATTGCCTCGAACTTTAGCTGGCGCTGATAAAACACCTGACCAAATGATGACAGAAATAGCAGTCAGTATCTTTAATAGGATGCCAAACCTTTTTGACATTGACGAATGCATGAAAAGATACCCTATGATGTACAATGAATCCATGAATACCGTCTTAATCCAAGAACTAATCAGGTTTAATCGGCTACTAAATGTCGTTAGAACTTCTGTTGTACAGCTTAAAAACGCGCTAGAAGGGCTTGTCACTATGTCTGCAGACTTAGAAAAGGTAGGAAATGCACTATTTGATAATAAAGTCCCTGAAATGTGGATGAATGTGGCTTATCCTTCTCTTAAGCCTCTTGCACAATGGGTTGATGATTTCATTACCCGTCTCAAATTTATGCAAGACTGGCTAGATAACGGCCCACCTGCTGTTTTTTGGATTTCTGGGTTTTATTTCACCCAATCTTTCCTTACAGGGACTATGCAAAATTTCTCTAGAAAGTACCAAATCCCTATAGATACGCTCTGTTTTGACTTTGAGGTCCAGCCAGAAGCTCAGACTAAGGACAATATTTCAAGCCCGCCTAATGACGGCTGCTATGTCACTGGACTTTATTTAGATGGAGCTAGATGGGATGACGAAAAACGCTGTGTCGCTGAGCCGCTTCCTAAAATTTTGTATTATCCTATGCCTGTTATACATTTGCGGCCTGTAAAAATAGCTGAGCTTCCTAAAAAGCATGTATATGAATGCCCGGTTTATAAGACGTCAAAAAGACAAGGGACTTTGTCAACTACTGGGCATTCGACTAACTTTGTGCTTTCTATGCTTTTGCCGCTACATACTTCACATAAGCCATCACATTGGATTAAGAGAGGGACTGCTCTGCTTACTCAGCTAGATTATTAATCATTAATAGTTAAAAAATAGAATTACTTTAAACCAGATAAGCTCTATGGTTATTTAAGTTAACGTAAATGAGGACCAATTCTAATACGGCTTTTTCCTTGCAAATCAGTCTGATAATCGAAGCTATGATCTTTTGAGGCGAATTTCTTTAAGTAAATAATACAAGAAATTGCTACAGCCAGATAAATGACTCCAGTTCAATAGCAGACATCCGCATGATCCACTTTATCTTCAATAGGTATATAATTATAATCCTTGCTCAAAAAATATCCCATTCCAAACATGTAAAAGACCCCAATAGTAGAGATAAAGAGAAAATAATAACCAGTTTCTGCACCCATTTCTCAATCTTTATTTAGGCTGTGATCCTAAGTATGGCATATATTCAATTTGATGATAGGTAATCTCTAATAATATTTCTATGGATTTCGGCTGTGAGACTCCAGATTTATCCAGAGCAAGACTTGACGCAGAAATAATGAGAGAAAACTTATTAGTGGTCAAAAACTCCTTATTGGACCAAGCCGGACTGATTAAAGTCTTGGAATCGAAAGATGCCAGAAATAAATTAATTGAATTTGAAAACCAGCAGCTTTCTAGTGAACTTAAGCGGCTTACACAGCGAGAGGACTCGATTCCGCACGTAATAGACTCATTAAACACAAAAATCGAAGAATTGCAATGCAAACTTAAAAGCCAAGAATTAATCAACGAGCAGCTTCAAACGAGGACAGATTTTTCAAAAGAAAGAAACAGGTGGCTGTTAGAAGAAGAAAAATACAAAAGGGCGATTTCAAAAAAGGAAAAAGAAAACGTCGAATTAAAAGCTGCACTTAATGAGGCTGGGGATCAAGTTAGAAATATGAAATTACAAATAAAGCACAGTGAAATGCAAAATAGTGCAAAATTTGAAGAAATGAAGAGGATCATTGAGGGATTGAAAAGCAGCTTGGTGGTAAAAGAAAAAGAGCTGTTTACTGCGAATTTTTCACTGGAAAAAGGTGAAAAGCAGATTTTTGAGCTTGAGTTAGAGAAAAATAGCCTTTTAAAAGCTCAGAGCTTGAAAGAAAGCGAGAATAATGAGTTAAGAAGCACTATAAAAGAGCAAGAGCAACTATTCAAAGACCAAAAAGAAAAAATCAAAGAAGATTTCGAGTGCAAAATTAAAGACATCAAAAACCACATGAATGACCAAATTGTAACCTTAAAGGTAAGTTTTGACCAAATTTCCAAAGAAAACTCTGACCTCAATAAGATACTTGACATATGCAATTTTGAAAAATGTAAGTTTGAGAAATTATTACCCCTATATTGAATATCACCCATAATAAATATTCAAAAATAATCACAATATTTACCTTATCCAGCATAGTATTTGATTTGCAAAACAAAATTAATGAAGCTAAAAACGGTTCTCACATTTTAGAAACCCACAAAAAAGCTGCCAATAAACCTTTATTGGCTTTGCAAGCTCAGTCTTCTATAACTGTAAGTTGTTTAGTTTTGAAAAAAATAGAAGAAGCTGCCCTTCTAGCGCCAGCAGCTAGAAATCCTTTGAAGAGCCAAAGGAAAATTGATGGGATAGAAAAGCTAGTTCCAAACAGCACAGGTTTACCGCTCAAGCGGCAACGACCTCAAAGAACTAGCTTACAAAATGAAGTAATTTCTAATAAAGGCCAAAGAAATATTAAAAACGAGGCTAATTATAAAAGAAAGTTTAATGTAAAAGCTGAAAATTCTATAAATTTGCCCAAAAAAATGAAAATAACTGAAGAAACTCTTGATTTCTCGAAAAATGATATGGTAAGTTGCCCACGCGAAAATAAACAGGATTTCGTCAAGCGAAAAGAGTCGAAAATTGCTTATAATGAGCCATATGCCCCAATAAATAATCCAGCTGACCCTTACTATTTCAAGCCTATCCATATTTCTTTGCAAGAGTCTCTAATAAACCTGACAGAATCAGACATAAAAATTTTTATGGAAAATTTTTCATGGATAAAAAAACTATACAACTCAGGCATGGAATTCAATAAAATCAGCATTTCAGCCTTAGCGGACACTATGAAAAAGCTGGAGCCGAATTCTGTTTGTTTTCTATTAATCAGAGAGCTCTTAGGGTGCTTAGACTTATTTAGCTCCGAAGATGCATTTGAAATAATGAGGATCATATGTATAGAAACATGCGAAAATCCAGCTTGGGCTCATCAGTTTTTGGCAAGCTTAAAGACGATTTTTATAGCAAATGTGTACAAAGGGACTAAATTTGCAGGAAAAGAGAAAAAAATAGCTAATAGAGAGGTAGTTAATGGAAATTCACTTCAAGCCGTGCTGCATGCAAACTATGTTATTGCTTCGACATTTTATAATTATCAAGAAGAAATCAGCATTTTAAATGACCAGCTGAAGGAAAGAAACGACCAAGAGCTCCTGGCTGCTACAGCACAATATCGAAAAATCCCTAAAGTTTAACAAAATGAGTTTTTAATTGATTAATTGATACAGTCTAAACATTTTTTTCAGCTGCTATAAATGATCCTGGGAATATAAAAACTTTGAAAATTCCTTCCACCCTCACTTGTTTTCCGTTTACTCATACAACGATTTCTGGCAGTTCTACAGTTCCTGCTTGACGAGGGATTATTTCCATAGCCAGTTCATCTTCGATAGGTCCTTCAAAAGTTCCGTTGCATTCTGGAGGGAATTCTCAGTATTTGGAGCATTCAATCCTTACCTTCACTGTTTTGTTAGTAAAAATCGTAATGTAAATTAAGCATGGCTTTCCATAAAATACAGGTTCACTGCATCTTATGATTGCTACTTCTTCAGGCAGCAGCTCTTTTTTCATAGTAAAAGTTTGGTACCTCATTTTGTTATCAATAATGGGATCCACGTGCATTCTCGAGTCATTTTTCCTAACTGCACAGTATTGAATGTACACAACAGGCTTCTCAATGTCAGTTATGATGAATATCATATGTAGCTGCTGGGCTGTCCGCAATCTTTGGTTTTGTGGGTTCGGGTCATATTCAATCCTACACCCTGAAAACTCTCATTGCAATATTTCTAACTCAACCTAATCTTAGATAGGGTAAAAAGTTTGGAAAAAAAATTATATATAAATAAGGCAAATAATTGCTATTGATTAATACACTTTTTAAGCTATTATATGTATATAAAAATCATAAATGGGGAGTAAGCTGATTCTTGCACAGTTTAATATTATACTGTTTTCCTTACTCCCCCCCCCCCTCCGTGAGCGAACAAAAAAATTTTGTTCGCTCACGGAGGGGGGTTAATTTTTTTTTTAAAACAAAAATTTTATATATAAATTTTATAAAAAATATTTTTTTCGAAATTTAAAAAAATCCTAATTTGCAAAAATTGGGAAGCAAATATTAATTTAATTTGCAAAATTTATGTTTTAAAACGCAATTTGTTTAAAATTAAACAGAATTAGCTCTAGATTTCATTATACTAATTATCACTTATATATCAAAATTTTTTTCCATTAAAATTTTTTCTATTAAAAAAATTTTTGTTCACTCACGGAGGGTGGGTTTTTGGGTCAAAAAATGGCGATTTTTCTAATGGTTTTGTTCGCTCACGGAGGGGGGGGGGGGGAGTTAGATTTCTTTATTAGAAAAATAGTTCCAGAAGATGAAATATATCTGGAAGTCATCAATTAAATATCATTAATAAAATTTATCACAATGATAAAAAGGAAAATAATAAAATTAAGGATAGCTATTATAAAGAAAATAGCTTGAATTTCCTACTAGGCAATTCTTTCAAAAGGACTATATCAGCTGAAGAAAACATTTTCCTTCTCTCTTATAAAAATTTTTTGTCACTCTGACAGGCTCCACATAAGAAAGTTCTGAATGAGAAATTTCTTCCCTCATCTGCCCATTTTTACTGTATCTTAAAATCGCTGTAAAATTATGGGTTTCAGAGCACGTATTTAGACGGCTCAAAACTGAGCTTTTAATAGACCCATTAATAGATTTCCCCAAGCTTCCTATTGAAAGTCTCGAAGACCTCGATTTTGGGCTTGTCGAAGTTTCTCTCGGCCTTCACGCAATAATTTCTAATATTATAAATGTCCTAGACTGAGGTGGCAGTTCTCTCAGTTCAATTTTGCAATTTTTCATAGGAAGCTTAAACGACGTTTTCCCATCTGATGAGTAGCTAATACAATCAGCACAGTTGGTGGAGCATAAAATCTGCTTATAAATTACCTTGGAGTCTTGCAAATCTAGTACCCCATCTTGGATTGATTCTTGTCTTGTCGATATTTCCACAGCAAGAAGCTGTTCTTGGTCATATACTAATAAGGAAGGCACTTTGTGTATTAAAGTCACACTTCTGGTATTTTCTTCGACTTGGACTATAATATTGTTCATGCTTACCTCAAATCGAGCGTTATTTATGTCAATAAGCAGCACAGATGATGTAAGTTTACCATGAAACCATACTACTCCTGTCAAATTAAATGAGTTTTGGCCTGGATACAATGTTCCTTGTTCAGCTTTTAAATACATTTCTTGGTGGTTTTCGTTGTATTCAGTTTTGCTTTATTTTTTTCCTTATTTTTAAAAAAAAAATGTAATAATTAACTCCCCCCCAATCCTTGATCGAACGATTGACTGTAAAAATTCCTAAAAATTGGGGAAATTAAACCCCCATCCTTGATCGAACGATTTTCATATCATGCAACTTTTATATATATAAAAATATATTAGTTATCAAAAGTTTGGGAAGATGTACCTAATGAAGTTGTTTTCAGGGACTTTGAGACGACAGAAAGCTTCGAAATCAACTATTCGAAGTGATTTAGTCATCAATCTAGGCTTAAAAAACTCAATAATCTAATAAAATAGAGATCTTTAAAATTTAAAAAAAAAAAAAAATTAATTTAATAAGGAACAAATTAAAATTTATACAGTTTAAAGGGGTAACTAATAAATCAAAATATTAAAAAATTGGTATTTTATGAGATTAATTCAATTTTTTTTGCTCTAAAAATAATTATTAAATACCCTTAACCTCTTTTTAAAAGTAAATAAAAAAAAATATCTATATATATTTTTTATTTTATATATAAAATTTTTTTCCCAAAAAATTTTTTTTTAACCCCCATCCTTGATCGAACGATGGCGAGTCGTTCGATCAAGGATGGGGGGGAGTAAGGTTATTATAAATCAGAATATGAGAACATTGCAATAATTTGATTTGGATTGACGTCACACGACAAGTAATTATATAGTGAGCAAGTCGCTATTAAGAAATCTCCTTGTTTCAGCCTATGAGAGTTCACAACTAAATTTACCTTAAAAATTGACATAGACTGAATTACAATCTGTGGGGAGACCTGGCTGATTTGGACAATTGATTTTCATATTTTTGTGACCTCTCTTTCAGACAGGTATTTTGAGTTTTTACACATTTTTATAGCGGTTTCTAAGCCTTCAGAATATTTAAAAGACTTAAGGTAACATTGAAATAGATGAGAAAGCGCAATATATTCTAAGCCAGTCCATTCTTCTAGGTTTGCTGAGCTTAAAACTTTGGCTCCTTCTTCGTATCTGTGCTTTTTTGTAAGTAAAATCCCATGCTCGACCTTATAAAAATTTGATAGCCTTTTTTCTGTTGAACAATTATAAAGCTTCCCAGTCATTTCTAAAAGAATTTCTTGGTATTTTGTTTTGCTTGTGATTTCTGAGACTTTTCCTGGGTATTCTTCCTCTTCTTCGTCGTCTTGGAATATTTCAACCGAGCTTTTTCGATTTTCAAGCGCATGGGATGATAAATCGAACAAAAAACTTTTAAAATCTTCTAGAGAAGGCTATTTAAATTTTACAATAATCCCATTGATCCCAAAAATTACAATCCCCAGCCTTTCCAGCCGACTTTTTGAAATCTGCAACAAATCCACGATGTTTTCTTTTAAACTTGTTTTTGTATAATCCTCATCAGAAAGTGCTATATTATAATTACATTGAATATTCTCATAGAGTTGCTCAGCAATAGCAAAGGAATTTTTATAAATCCAGAGCTCGCCACATTTTTTTAAGTATTCTTCTTCAAAAGGACTGAAAACTTGTATTAAAGTATTGATATAGCTTACACAACTTTCTCCGAGCTGAACAAAATATTCTCTTCTGTTAAGCAGCCTTTTTTGGTTAGCAAAAATATATTTTCTGATTATTAATTCGTCAGCTGTGCTCAGCTTGATATGGGTTCGAAAATCTTCTGTAGTAATTTCATTGTTATTGATGGATTCAGAAGAGATAGGAGGTAAGGATTTTTTGGTGAAATTATCTAAAAATTCTAAAATATTATCGTAGCAGGCTTTAGATTCCAAAAACATACCAATCATTGCATAAATCAAAGCCAGCCCATCTTTTGACAGAACCAGATGTGTAAAGTCTAATGGCTGATCTAAATTTTCTATATATCCTTTAATTCGGCTATTCAAAGAGCACCCTAAACTTTTGCTCATAGAGATAAGAAACTCAGAAAAATAAGAAATTGTGTTATCTTCAAGCGCCGTCTTATCGGTAACTCTGCGTGGAGTCACGCCCTGGTGTAACAAAGCAGGTCGGCCCAGCGGCCTGTGGTGAAGATGCAGCGGGAAGCTCTGGGTTTTGGCATCCCCCTAAAGGACGTTAAACTTATAAATCTTAAGTAATGTATTATCTTCCAGCTGCTCCTGCCAAAAAAATTGCTTATTTGTTGAGTTATACAACTTGACACATTGCCTAACCCCAAAAGTGGCAAATAAAAAGTTCTGGATATTATCATAGATTTTCATATAGCTTCTATGCTTCTTCTTCGGTATTTCTTCAATAGTAGGAACATATAATACAAGCCATTCCAATTGTTTTGAAATTACAAAGCTAATTAAATCCCCAAGCTTGTATTTTGTTTCTGATTTAAATAATTCGATATCATCGCATACAAAAATGCAAATTCAGAGGTATAGGCATATCCTGTAAATAGCCCGATATGGGCTAGGGATAGAAGCCAAAACTTCCCACTTGGCTCGGCAAATGGGCTGGTGGAACCAAGTGGAAAAATGGCAAATAAGCTTCCTTCCACTTGGTTCGACCAATCCATTTAGGTCGAACCAAGTGGGAAGTTTTGGCCTCTATATTGGGCTATTTTACAGGATATGCCTATAAGGTTTTTGAAATGAATCTTCTATATTGGTTTCCCAAATTATTTCTTTGCTTGGCACGAATTTGAGATTAAGTGGAGGCAAAGGCTGGTCTACTTGATTTACTAAACATGAGATGTTAGCTAGAGGGAGAAAGCTTTTAAGGTTCCCTTCTATTGATGATCATATATTGGCTTCATCGTGATAAGCAACTTGCAATGTTTGGATTTCCATATTTAGTTATTAATTGTGATAATAACGAAATTATAAGAAAGCATATAAAGAATTAGCAGGAGGAATTATTTATATTTTAAGCTCTCCTTAGTGGATCCGGAGTTTTTGTCTGGTCTTTTTTGGATATTTCTTTTGCTAGCTCGCTTTTTAGGATTATTAAATGCTTTAATGCTTCTTTCATACCTTTTTCATTTAAATTATTCTCTTGGATTTGTATTCCTAGAATTTCGATTGCAGAAGTTAGTTCTTCAATTGTTTTTACGCTGACTTTTACAGGTGGATTCTTATTTGAAGGGTCATTTGTATCGGATAAAGGGTCAGTTTTTTCTGGTCTTATAGGAAAACTTCTGTTTCTTTCTTTAAAATCCGGAGATGAGTCTTCTGATTTTGAGTTGGAATTTGCTTCTGTGCTGTGAGAATGTAAAGGGTAACCATGAATTATTTCGCTTCTCCTAGAGTCGCTGCTACTTGAAACCATTCTTGATATAGCACTTGGTCTTGATTTAGTCATTTTCTCTTTATAGCTTAAAGCTGAGCTTATAATAACATGGACATCTTCTACAGGTGGATATCTTAGTAGCCTTCTTAATATTCCTGAATCATCACATTCTAACACTAAATAAAAATTACAATGTGATCTTACAAATATAAACATCGCCACACACATAAAATCCAAAAGAATTATTTCTCTATTTCTTTGTATTGGTTGAGCGAGGGATGCAAATAATGCATCCCAAATTACTAAATCCTATTGACTGCGAACAAAACAATTAGAAATTGATATTTTAACTCCCCCCCCCCCTCCGTGAGCGAACAAAACCATTAGAAAAATCGCCATTTTTTGACCAAAAACCCCACCTCCGTGAGTGAACAAAATTTTTTTAATAGAAAAAAATTTTAATGGAAAAAAATTTTGATATATAAGTGATAATTAGTATAATGGAATCAGCTAATGTAAACTCTCTTGTCAGCATACATCGTAAGTATCTTTGTAAATAAATATTCGGCTCTATTTTGCAGCTTTCCATATGGTTATATAGTTCTCTATCAATAGTCTGTAGAAAAGTATGATGGATCCTATGGCATCTTCTTAACACGCTCGAAGCATCTTTTTCATGGCTTTTATCCTTATTTGCCATATCATTTATTTCCTTTTCATAGCTCAAAGCAAATAACTCATCATTTTTATCAGGTTTTTTTATATTCACAACTGGGTTAAACAATTCCATAGTCCCTATCTCCATAAGTCTATTAAAAATCCAATAAATATCAGCTTCAATTCCTGCTGGACTATTAAGTTCAGACAAATATTGGTCAGCTTCAGGGTCAATATTCATATTTTCTGTTGCGTGTTCCGCAAAAGCTACAAAAAAAAAAATTCCTAATAATTCATTCATCCCTTGTTTATATAGCAAACTTGAGTGCTCTTTAGCTCAGATAAATAATACAGTCACAAGCAAACTTTTTACCTCAGGGTGTTGAAAAAGTAAGCGGTCTTGGAAGGTTCTGTCTATATCAAGCTTAATTAAGTCTTTTATTTCATTATCAGCATGAAGCTTGTTTCAAGGGTTCTAGCTGAATAATAAATTACATCTGAAGTGCAAGATAAAGGGTTGAAAATTAACGGATCTAGATTGTCTGATTGGACTTTCTATATAAATGTTACTGTGTAGCGATCTTGAAGAGCGCTATATGCTTCTCGCAATTTTCGGGTCTCTAAAATTCACTCATCAAGAGATCCATTCTCAGGCAATAACCCTAAAAAAATTTTCCAAGAAATAAATCGGTTGTGGAGACTCCCTAAGTGGCCTTCTAAAGCAAGCTGTCGAAGCTGGCTATAGCAGCCTTGCTTTCGGAAAAAAATAGCTTCAAACATATGGGGATCTAGCAAAAAGTCAGGTGGAACTAATTCTTCGTCCATATCTTAGATGTGTATTAATTATTAGTTTGTTTTTAATTTCTTTATAGGCCCAGAGCAATTTTCTTCTTCTCCTATTTCTTCGTATGTCAATCTAATTTATACCAAATTACAATAAATAATAACAGTCACCATTAGGATTTTTTTTTTTATTTTTAATAGGGTGTAAAATTACTTTGCTATTTTCCTTAAAGTAATTTTATCAATGGCATCAAACCGAAGCTGAATTTTTTCTTCTGCAAGTCTTTGGATTATATGTGGGCATTCTTTTTCTATCAGTTCTACAATCTGAGCCAGGGTTTTGTGGTTTACATATTTAATTCTCATACTCAAGTCAATTTTTTCTTGAAGATCAGAAACTTTTGCCTCTGAGTCGATGGTAGGCCTTTTTATAGAAAAATCATAGGGAATGCCATGCTGATTGCAGTAACGAGTCATGTGTCTTTCCATCACTTCTGCCTGGCAATATACAAATGTATCGCTTGTGTTATAAGTTCTGCAGTTATTTCATATCAATGATAAATCTGCTAAAACCTCGCTTAATCCTTGATATTGTGACAGTTTAAGTTTCTTTTTGATTGTATTAAGATCCATTGGATTTCTGATTATAGCTGGATAGTCTTCTAATCTGAGGGCTTTATAGTCGACCGGATTTTGAAATTCCAGACTTTCAGGTTGTTCTATTAAATAGTTTATTAACCCCCCTTCAGTGAGCGAACAAAACCATTGAAAAAATTTTTATTTCCACTTGTGCGAACTAAAAATTTTTTAATAGAAAATATTGATATAAGTGATAATTATTATAATGAAATCTCTAGCTAATTTAATTTTAAACAGCTTGATTTTTAAAGTATAAATTTTACAAATTAAACTAATATTTGCTTTAAAATTTTGCGAATCGGTAATGTTTTAAATTTTAAAAAAAAATTATGAAAAATTTAATTCAATATATAATTTTTTATTTAAAAATGCTAATTGTTTAAAAAATAATTAACCCCGATCAAAATATTGTTCATTCACAGAGTGTGGGGGAGTAAGCAAAAAGCTCTGAGTGATTCGTCTCGGGAAATTCCTGATCTCTTTATTGACATTTAATTTAATAAGATTTGATAATTTTATATATTCAAAGATTAAGAGAGAATTTATTAAATTTTATTATAAGACAAGTGCTTTGTAAACTAAATATCTTCAAAATGTTAATATTTGATAAAAAGAGACAGCTTTCTTGGATATAAAATTAAAAATTTATCAGAATATGCATGAAAAATATGAAAAATAGACAGAAACATTTTTGACTGAAATTTATATTTAAAAATAATCATAACTTTTCTTATAACATAGGAATTATTTTCTCTTTTTGTACTAAAAATTGCACAGTTTAGTAATAAAATTATATGTTTAGATATATTAAAAGCTAGGCTACATTTAAAAAGATAATTTTTAAATATCATCCGGCTCATTGTCAAGCCTGGGTTACCGGCAACTTCTGTACTCATTTTGTCTCTCCTCTTTGTTGTTTATTTGTGCTTATATTTTGTCATGCCTTATTTCGTTTACTAGCTCTCCGATTAGCTCGTGATATGTAAAGATCGTGCAACAACAGAGATCCACATATTCCCTACTGTACCATCCTGTTTCTGTTGGATAGCTTCGTAGCTCTCCTATTTGAGTTGCTAGCACTTTCAGTATTTGGTTATGCGTATTTGCTAGATTGCTTTGTGTCAGTTCCTGTATCCCTTGCTCTGCTTCTTCTATAAGAGTCTCTGCATCCACCAGTGTCGCAAGTGGAGAGTATAGGAAATTCCCGATGATGGCACTCAATGCGCCATCATCGGGCAACGTGTTTTAAGGGTCCACACTGGAAATAGGCTCCACGTGTGGAGCCGTTTTTGACACGTGGAGAATCCTCACTTTCACGTGCAAAAAAGGGCTCAACACGTGAAACCCATTTCCAGTGTGGACCTGAACTTTAGTTGCCCGATGATGGTGCATTGAGCGCCATCATCCGGCAACTTGTACAGACTGTTTCGGCTGTCGTACACACTAGTGTGTGTATGTCAGTTGTCGGTGTCCAGCTGCTCTTCAACTGTGGTATTAGTACGGTCCGTATTTTTTCTCTCAGAGTACGTTCGTTGTAGTGTGTTACTGTTGGTCGACTTTTGTCACTCATACGTTTTATCTTTTAATTTTATTTATTTTCATTTTTAGCATGTTTTCTCTTGGCCTACGCTTTTATTTTTTGAGCTCATCCTGCTTAACGCTCCCCTCCTATTTTTTTGGTCACCTCACATCCTTCATACCCATTTTCTTCTATCTTGCTAATACCGCAATATTTTTAAATTTCATAGCAGCATGAAACCAGTTAAGAATTGATGTTGTATCTTTACTATGAGGTTTTAGATAATCAATAATACTGTAACAATTATTATATTATAAATTTTTGCATCTAATCATTAGTTTAGTTAATAGAACTTAATAGCATTTGCTTTACTATTTCCATATTTACCTTCTCCACAATAAACAAATTTGGAACTGCTTCATTTATTTCCTCCATATCTGACGATCCCCAATTTATTAACGTCATTCCTCTCGTTGTCGTTCCTTTCAGCTCAATCACTCCTTTTCTTTTGCTTCCAGAAACAACCACATTCCTATCAATTGCTACAGCCAACGTTAAAGGGTCGCAAAAATGCACAGTAGTCCTGCCTTCCCTAACAGCTGTAATTTCTCCTATAAATTTCCCTACCCTTGATGTCCCACTTATATAGCTCCTTAAAAAGTCCAAATCTAATAAATGCTCTTTATCTATACAAGTTTCCCAAGGGACAAGCTCAATGCTTGGAAATCTTTCAAAAATTATATGAGCTGCTTCAGGGTCACACCAAATATTAAACTCATTAGTGATATATCTGTTTCCTCTATAGTGGACTGCTCCTCCCATTACTAAAACTCTTTTAAACATACTAATAATTTCTGGGTTTTGACAAGCAGCTAAGGCTAAATTTGTGAGAGGTCCAATAGTCACAATATTTATGTTGCCAGAATATTCGTGAGCTAAATCTATTATAGCTTGGACAGCACTCTTGGATTGGGGCTTGATGTGGTCTTCACGGGATTTTCCTTCTCTTTGTCAATAGTTGTTAAGACCGTCGACCCCGTGAATGTGTGTGGCTGGGGTAAGTGTGCTTATAAGAGGTCTGTCTGCTCCGATGTAGAAAGGGATGTTTTCTTTATTGCAAGCTTTTAAAGTTTCAGCTATGTTCATTATAGCTTGAGGTAAAAGTACATTTCCAGCAAGAACTGTGATAGCTAAAACTTCGAAATTATGGGAATCTTGACAGGAAAATGCAAGAGCTAAGGCTTGGCAGTCATCAACACCTGCATCTGTGTCAATAATCCAATAATCTTTCGACATTAAAATTTAGAAAATCAGAAGAATTTGTTTGTGTATGCTAAAAAGTGGTTTTGTGGAAAATATTTCGAAATATAAAATCATTTTCTTGCTAGCAAATTCACAAATAAATATTAATTTTAATTATTTCGTGTTTTTATATAATTAATAGTTAGGAAGGTTTTAAGCCAATTTATTTAATTTTTTTTAATTTATAGCTTTTAATCTTTTATGTCTAGTTTATCACAGACCATTTTTTTTAATTGCTTGACTAAGAATACTTAATGCAAAAGAGCAGCTTTTAAAGCCAAAGCTATTAAATTAATTAGTTATTCGTTTGGCTTCTTTGCTCTTGTAATTCTTTTATAAGAATCGCCGTTATTGTATCAGAAGAATAATATTGCATTTCAGGATCTTGCCTTGCCCTCTTAATCAGGCAATTCCACCGATTTTTCACGCTATTTTCGTTCCTCCCTTGAAGCCCTTTAGAAATTAAGCTCCACCTATTTCCATATTGTTCTTTTAGCTGTAACAAATAAATATCTTCCTCATATGACCATTCTCCTTCTACGTATAAATCTTACTGTTAAGTCCTGGATCCAAATGATTGTGCCACCTTTCCCTACAATGTTTACCTTTTCGCATCTCGTTTCCGTCATATAAGGCTTTATTAATCTCTTGTGAGATTAATGACCATTTCTTCAAGCCATGAAGCTCAACAAGGTCTTGAAGAAGTTTGTCCTCGCTTTCTTTCCAAGGCAGAGTTTTTATACCACCTCGGCTGATCTTTATTTTTTCGCTCTTACAAGCTTGGGTTTTTGTATTCGAGGGAAGGTGGATTTGGGCATGAAGATTATATATGGGGATATAGGTATTGGTAGTAAAGTCGGGGATGCAAGGCACCCAAACACAACCTTGAGGTAGCTCATCGAATTTTGGCAAATTTTGAGTGTATTGCGGAAATGCCCAATACAAGTTGTTGATATCACTGTCCATTGTTCTATTATGGATTTGTGCAGTATAACAGATGTGCATAGTAAAATAGCATAAAGAACCAAATAAAAGCTTCTAAATCGATATATGTAATTTTTTGTATCTAAATCCAGTGCAATATACGAGTAGATTTTGAATTATTCAAGTAGGGTTGATAGAAGCTCCTTTTTAGCCAAATTTCAAAGTTTCATGAGTTTGCCAATTAGCAGTGCTATTCCTTAAAAAAATAAATATATCTATTAGCTAGCAAGATATTCTAATGAAAGATTAATTAAATTTGATTAAAATTTTGAAATAAAGCTTGTTTGAATTTTGAAAAATAAATATGTAACCTCCATAAATGCAAACAAAATGTCTTAATTGCAAATAAAATTCAAAAATCATAAATATTTTATGTTTAAATTATAAATTTCTGCAAAATTAATTTTTTTCAAGTGATTCTATGGCTAAAATCTCTTAAATAAATTTAATCCACAATTTCATCATTGTTCAATAAAAATTGATTTTAATTTTTTATAAGTATTCAAACTAATTTGAACTCATTAATTCTTTCCACTAAATAAATTATAATAAATAAAATTTATTATTGATTTTCTATTTTTCATTCAAATACAAAACTTCATTAAGAATTGCTGAACTTCTCATTAAATTCTATTCTATTTATCAAATTTGTTCGATTAAGTTTATTTTAATTTGCTTTCTTCATAAACTGCATAAATCTTAAATTTAGTAAAATCCTTATAATAAGAGCTAACTCTATAATAAAATAATGGAATCCAAAAGAATCAGTAAAGACTCAATGCTCGGATTTTATATGATGCCTCCCACATCAGAAGAAAATTTTGACCAATCAGCCTATCAAGAACATATAAAAAATCTTGATAAATTAATTAACGCACAAAAACTCGAAGTTGAAAACTTCGCTCCTGATGATTTTAAGAATCACCAATTACCCTTAGCCAGAATCAAAAAAATAATGAAATCTGATGAAGACGTCCGAATGATAAGCTCTGAAACCCCAGCTTTATTCGGCAAAGCTTGCGAATTATTTATAATCGAGCTAACTCATCGAGCCTGAATCCACACAGAAGAAGGAAAGCGTAGAATCTTACAAAAAAACCATATCACAGCTTGCATTAATAAAACCGATATTTTTGACTTCCTCCAAGACCTAATTACGAAAGAAACGGCGAAAAATAGCTAAAACATCATTTACCTTGGGTGCATGATATAACTAGCCTTTATTTATTATCACTTCAGAATATTTAAATAAAAATAATGGTAATCTCTTTTCTCCTTGTAGTTTTACTAGAATCTGCATACGGAGTCATGCAAGACTTATTCGTCGCATACTTATCAAAGAATGAATATTTAACTCTCAATTTAAATGACTTCTTTGAAGGTGAAGATTTAACCTTTTCTGTTGGTGAAGCCAACTTTACAAGTGAGAATCTTCAAATTTTCGATCCAGTCAGTTTCAATGCCTCTAATTCAATAGAATATGCAGGCCTGAGAGGGCCTGCAGTGCAAGAAACTCCTAACCAACGAAAAATTACCTCTTTTCGATCCGAAAATAAGATGATTATGTTTGGGTTTTACCAAAATTATATAGAAATTTATAGCTTGATGCTAACAAGCGGAGAATTAACTCTCCATTGGAATCAAAGCTTGGAATATCAACATATGGATCCTAATATATTACAAGTCGCCTTATTCACAAATGATAACAGCAAATTTGCGGTTATTTTATTAGGACAGCTAGAAGAAGTTGATGGGCAAAACGTGACGAGAAATGACTTATATGTAATGAATGTCACAGATATAGAAAACCCTGGACTGCCGGTTTTATTAGATCTGTGGGATATCCGATATACTTCCAGTTTAAAAATTTCATCAGAAATACAAAGTACATCTATAATACCCATTTCTGGGATTTTTTCAGCAAGTTTTGCGTCACATAATGGTATGTTATTTATATATAATTTCAGTGATCCTTTTGATCCAGTGCTTATTCAGACTATAAGCCGATATTTTACTTTACCTAATGCAGATAAGTTAATCCCTTATCCAATTGATTCCTTAATTTTTGATGGGCTGATTTATATGCTAGATACTAATATTGGTGTCATTTTATATGAGCTAAATAGTGCTAATGGATTTTTCTTCGAAGAGGCTTATTTTGATTTGACGAGGTTCGGGGATAGTCTATGCCATTATTGAAAAATATGAAAACCTATTATAAAAACAATAGAAATTTTTATTGATATAAGACTAATATTAGAAGAAGATTTGGAACTAATTATAGGATATTAGCATAAGCATTGAATATAAAGAAAACGACTATGAGACAGATAATGTAATTACAGTTGGCACCGAAAGAGGACTAATTGCTTTCAGTCCTAACCAGTTTGATGAAGTATTCTGGGTATCTAGCTATGATATGTATGGAGTCATATCGCCTATATCTATTTATAATAAATATAATTATTGCTTTATTCTATTGGCTATATAAAATATGATAGTTAAAAATTCATTTAAATAGGCTTATAAAATCAAGTGAGCACGCTTTGAACTATTTTTTTCTAGATGTTATTGGTGAAAATAACACGTCACTAATGGTTGTTAGCGATAGGACACCTCTAGCTCAAGACGTGCTGCTTCATATGGACATTGAAGATCTTGTAGGAGGGAATTTTGACCCCAACGGGATGTGGAAAATATTTTATGGGTACTTTGGTCTGTTTTTTTATGTCAGATTTGATATTGATGCTATAACTTCTTATTCATTTACATTGGATTATTGGAAATTAAGGGTAACACCTGGGCCTCTTTCCTATCCAGATTCATATTATGCAGAAATAATTGCTGAAACCACAGTTGGGCCATATTTAAAACTATCAAAATCTATAGTAGTTTATGGGATCCCTGAAAATATGAGCAGTATTCTTTATATTGATGGCTATAGCCCTATTCCTATACAAGCCCTTCAGCTTGATGTAGAATTCAACGGGTTTTATTCAGAATTATCTGCCACACCACTAGATTATTTTTCAGGGCCAAATCTAAACTTTTCATTACAAATAAATAGCATCCCATCAGATTTTTCATTTAATTATTCCACATATGAAAAAATCAATTAAGATATATTAAATAATTTATCTAAAATAATAGTAAAATAAAGGCTAATTTTAATATAAGCATGCATTTATATTATAAGCAATTGTGCAAAGTTTAGCAAAATAAAATACTTGCAAAGCGTACCGATGAATATGGCCCTTACTTCAGTTCAATTAATTGAAGTTGAAATTTTTTTATATACAGATAGCGGAATATATACTTTTTACTATGGAGAAACTGAGCCTGCCTTATGGCTGTCCTTAATGAACCCTATATCAACTGTAATATGTCCACAAGGGTGGCTTGTATACTCATTGCCAACGCCAGACTCTCCATTTATTAATTTAATTGCTGATGGCACCAATAGCACCATCCAGACTTGGAGTCCTATGACGAATTGTGACATTTTTTTCGCTTATGAGGACTATATGATTTGTGGAGGAAGCCAGCTACTTGATTTATATAAAACAAATTCTCCTAGCAGCCTTTACTACAAAATGGTCCAAGTATCAAGTGAGCTTTTCCAAACCGATCTCTACATAATAGATGCTACCGTCACTTCTCCGTCTGAAAGCTTTCCTGACTCCTATCTCTATATATTAGACAAGTTTAATGGTGTCCACATCATTGACTTAAATTTTATTTATAATGGAGAAATCCCGATTCTCCCTTATAGTATTGATAAAAACAATGTAATTAATGCTGTCAGAATTATTGGCACCCAAGAGCAGATATATATTGTATTTAGCGATGGAACTGTAGATGCCTATACAACGACACTAGTTTTTATTAGAAGAATCAGTGGGAAATATACAGGGATTTATTATAGCACTCAAAATATTGAAAATTTATTATTCATCCATATAGGTGACAGGGTTGCAGTTTTAGATGGTCTTCAAACTACTCATAGCAGCTTAATCAGTTATATCCCAATTAATGAGTCCTGCCAATTTGATGTTTCTAGTGAATTTGATATGTATTGGGGTATGATTGGGACTCTATGCACTGCCAATTTCAGCCAAAGTCTTTCATTTTATGGTTCAAATTGCCCAACAATGCCTTACGACGAGCCTTGTGAACTTTATATATATGGCGGCATAAATATAACTAGTCCAGCATCAGCCAGTCAAGCTCAATATATTGCAAACCTAACCCTTGTCGCGTCAAATGAAGTTTCCTCAATTTTTTTGCCTGTTTTGCTTAATATTTTCCCTGATGGAGAAAATATATGGATAAATGAACAGCTTTGGAATATCAGTCAGCAGCTCGTCATAGACTATGATATTGAAACAATATTAGACTTCAGTGGGTTTTACCAAGGACAAAACGTAAAATCCTATTTAAATATCAATGGCAAATACCCAACATTTAATTATCAAGGACCCAACTATGTCCCAGCTATAAAATGGCCACAAATGATATTGACTGATCATTATGAAGGAGACTATGACGAAACCTTTACAGACCATACTGTAATAAAGAATACTAACAGAGTCATTGTAACGAGCAGCATCCAAGGGCTACTTATTTTTAATTTGACTGATATTCCTAACCAAGAAGGAATGGACTCTCCAGACATCCCAATTGAGCACATTTTGAACGTCTCTGACTATATAAATGGTACCAACCCTGTATGTTCTGTTATTGAAGGAGTCGGCACCCAAGGCGATTTTACCTTATTTGTGACTGCTTGTCAGTACCAAATGACTGAAGAATTTTCATGGAACGAAGAAAAAACAGTCAATTTGACCCTCACCCAGTTTGCCTTGGTGCTATGGGAATATGACTTTGTGCACTGTCATGTAAATCGAACCAAAATTTTATTAGTAGAATTCTACCCTGCCTGGCTTAAGGTAATTCCTTCAGATAACTATGATTTTATGCTGCTTTCTATTGATACTGCTGATAAAGCTGACTATGAAAACTATAGGAATAACCATGTGATAAGAATTTCTGGGCATTGGGATTCTCACACATTAGACTTAATCCAGGTAGAAATCATTGATTTCCATTCTCTAGGGCTCCCAGCATTTTATGCTAGTGCTGTAGATGGGGTTTATTCAAGCAATGATTTGTTTTTATATGTAGCTGACCATTGGTATGGGATAAGAATTCTACAGACACAAAATGATAATGTAAATGAGATCAGTGCTATTGTAGGAGGATTGCCAATGAAGGATGGTGACTATATAGTGTCTGTTGGGGTGTGTGGGAACTTTTTATTTACAGGGACTGTTGGGACGAAAATACACCAATTTTTATTAAACAGCAAGAGCAGCCCTTCGATTATGACAAGGTTTTATCCTTATAATAATACTCTAAATGAATATATTGGGCTGACTTCTCTTATAGTCTGCTCGGATTATTATCAGCCGGATTTTATAGCGTCGTCAATCAGATCGTCTAGGAATGAGCTTTATATAAGGATTTATAACACAAAGGTAAGCCAAGCCAACTCAATAATGTATGATATGCCGATTTCTCCTCAGTTATTGCCATATAGTACTGGGAGTGTAGAGTTTTTGAACTCTTATACGGTTACTGCAATTGGAGCGTTGACGCCTTGGCTTAGGAGCTATGTGTTGAAAAAACCAGAAATAATTATACCGAGAATGACACCTAATGAATATCAGGAAATGATGAAAATATGGGGAATAGACACTTTTGAGCTGTTTATTACGCTAATTAATGAAAATATGGCACTAAATACAACCCCAATTTGCTTAAGGAGAACAATTCCCGGGAGCAATGATAATGATGAAGGATTTCAGTACAACTATAATGACAATTCTTGGTGGATTTGGTTAATTCTTGGGTCATGTATTTTTATTATTCTTATTCTAGCCTGCATAATGGCAAGATATTTCTTGAAAAAGAGCAAGCGACCCCCAGTAGAAAATGAGAGACCATTATTTTTGACCAATTTTTCAGATTTTGAAAATGATGAATATTTTGATTAAATATAACATTAATTAACTAACAAAAATAATTTATCAAGTCTAAATATCATCAAATTTTATATTTATTCATCATAAATCCTATTTTCATATCTCTTTAACACTTTTTCTCGGATTCTTTGTGATGTCTTTATTTCTTCTTCTTTTTCTTCCTCTTTTTGTTCTTCTATTTCATAGTCATCTGGAGGATGTTTATAAAACCTCACCATAAAGCTATTGAGCCCTTCTACACCTTTTCTCATCTGCTCGCTATGTTTAGATACTCTATGAGAATTCACAGGCTGTGGAAGCCCCCAAGGGACAGCTCCTATTCTTAATGGATTTCCTAATGGAAAACCTTCAGGCAAATCTTGTACAATAAGCGAGCTTGCAATGATTTGGGCAATATGCTCTGTCTTTTTTTGAGGCACTACAAGTCTTTCATCAATATCTGCTCTACATGTGGGACATAGAGGGTTGCTAGAAGTCTGGAAATAATCCCTTAAGCATTTATAATGGAATAAGTGCCCACAATTGATTTTTTTTGCATGTGTTAAATGCTCAAGACAGAAAATACATTTATCATCGGCATGATGAATTTCCTCAGGAGAAGCGTCTGGAAAACGCTCCACCTTACCTAATAGTCTTCTTGACTCTAAAAATTTTGCTAAGCAGTTGTAAATGTTTAATACAGATTTAATAGATTTTTCAATAAAATAAATCCCTGCCGCGCTTTTTTTCGACAAAACTAAAAATTCAGTCAAAACAATGCAAAGTGTAAATATATTGAAAGCAAATTCTAATATCCTGACTATATCAGCTTTAACTTCCCAGCCTTCAGGGATCTTAATTCATTCATAAGCATTGAGCCAAAACAATATAAAAGACTTCACTATTTCAAGGAGCATAAGTATATACTAAATATAATTTACCTCATAATAAAGGAAAATGCTTAAATTTTCATAGATTTTTGCTTTCATTTCCATACTAATCAAAAAATAGTCAAGAAACATCAATGAAACATGCAGAAAAACCATCCGAATATAAGCCATTTTAGGATATCTTTCGGTAAAAAGCTATATAAAAATTACGTATTCTACTCGCTTTATAGCTAGAGTATGCAATGAAGCCACAGCTATATTTAGCACAATATGGGCTGCTATAAATCAGTCGAATTCTATATTCAGCAGATAGAGATAAATAACAAGCTGAAAGCCATGATGTATAGCTTGGCTCTGCATATGCTGGACTTCTGCTGGCTTCAGTGTCGCAAAAAAGGCAAAAATTATTGCTTTAAATAGCTGAACTGAAATGACAATCCAACGTAGCAGAAGCTTTACTATGATTTTTCAATTGTCAGAATTTTCAATTTCTATTATTGAATTTTTTCCCACAAAATTTTTTTTATAAATCCTTGGCTAAAAAAATCAATAATAGCAAGAGGAAATTTCTGTCAGAGAAAATGTCTTGAGATCAATCCCAAAGTTGAATAAAACAAGTAAAATTGCTTTGGATCTCACTATATGTATAACAGTCGAATAAAATTGTTCTTCAATAGCATATGTGTTGGAAATCACTATTATCGTAGCTAGAATGCTCCCAAATGTGTAGAGCTGACTCCCTATCATATTTATTATGAAATTATCCTAAAATCTCTTATAAGGGATTTAATAAAAATATGAATTTTATAAGATTTTAGCTATAATTGACTGTAATATTTCTCTCCCAGAACTTTTTGGTATCGCTTCATCAACCCCTATTTCTTTATAGCCTGGAATATTCCCTTCTTCATTATTAGAATATATAGCAATTACATAAGGTTTCCTATGCCCAGTCTCATTATTCCTTATCTTCTTAATTACTTCTATATTAGCTGGGACATCAACAACTACTATACACAAATACATTTCGCTGGCTTCTCTAATAACTTTGCTAACTAACTCTTCCTGTGTACCACAAAGGTCTACGTCTTTTCCTAGTATTGCTTCTATATTTTTCTTTAATCTCCCTTTGCTTGATTGAACGACTCTATTAAAAATTTCTTAAAAACTGGAAAATTATTCCCCTGACCCACTTCAAATATAGCTACCTATTTTTGATAATAATAAATCTTAAAGATTTATACCGTATAATAACTTTTAAAAAAAATCAAATATGATTTCTAACATATTTATTTAATATATTGCACATTCTATCTCTTATGGCTAGCCATAAAATATTTTATTTTGAAAAAAAAAATTAAAAACCCTATCTTAATAAAATAATGATAATTGGATCAATCAAGGATAGAGGGGAGTTAGTGAGTTCGCTACAAATTTATTGCCTATTAATAGGAAGCCTTTATGAGATACGTGAAAATCTGAAGTAAATGAAGAATTTGATATGTGGAATAAGGAAGAAGATCTCATAGGCAGCGGGGAGATTTTCCCTGGGATATCAGTTTCTTTGTGTAGGTATTGTGATAGCCCATAAATAGTTACATTCTCGTCAACGTCATCTTCACCGTATTCGCTGCCTTCTGTGTTATCTGTGTTAGTAGAAGCTAGCTTACTTCTCAATTAATAAGCAAATTCATTTTTATTCATAGGGTTTTAGCACTAAATTTTCAATAGTAAATTTTATATGAAAAGATCAAAATTTGCATATTATTTGAAAGTAAATCTCCAAAATTTGTATCCTTGAATTTATTTTTACCCTCATAAGCAAATTTTATTTATAAGAATTTGCTTATCGCTTTGGGGAGTTAGGTGAATTAGGCGAATGGTCAGGAAAATAAGAAGTTGTGAGAAGGTTGGTTTGGGATGCTTCTTTGGCTTCTTTTTCAGCTTGCTCCTGGTCAGGGTCTCTATTTATTCTAATAATTCCTGTTTTTTCTTGACTCCAACGCCACGTGATAGTTGAAGAGTCAATATCAGCAGAATTTTCATATAATTTTATTTGCTGAATATCCATAACGGTCTGTTCATTATACGACTGTAACTTTAAGCTGTAAACTAAGTTAAATCTTGAAGGGCGCTGTGGGCCTTGGTTTATAATTTGTCCTCCAAGAATAGTCAGCATTATATCAAACATTGCCAATTCTATTGTATTTATACCAAATTTCCTCTATAAAATTCATATTTTTTTTTATTAAAAAATATATACTGCTTACCACAAATCCTTTATATTTTTTCAGAATTTCATGCAAATCTTCTATTTGTTTGATTTTGCTTGGGTCATTGTTAAACAAATAGCTAAACTCATCAGCATCCAACGTCTGTGAATCAAAAGTAAAGCTATAAGTAATATAAGTCTCATTTTCATGAGTCTATATAATTTTTACTATTTTTCCAAGGTAAATTGCTATATCAGATTTCCAGTCAGCTTTGAGGATGATAAAATGAATGACCCCTTTGAATAAATTATTGTGAAACCGCCTGTCACAAAAAATTGGGCTGCTTAAATCAGGGTGCTGGCTCAGCGTGATATTTAATTTTTTATTTTTCCCTTCATATCATAACCACTGTATAATATTCCCTGCCTCCACTTCAGCGTTAAACACGTCATTTTTCATATTCACATCTCCAATCAAGCATTGTAAAATTGCTTTGGTCATCTGATGGTGAGATATGCATTGGGCAAATCCTGCAAAATCATTCTCTGTTATTGTACTCTTATGAATAAAGCATTCTGTCAGCCTTTTTTCTACCTCAGCAACTTTAAGCTCTTGGGCATTGTTAATATCTTAAACTTAAACTTAATTATTCGGTATTTAAGGTGTCTAGTCCCGCAGTCCCAAAATGGAACTTTTAGCTAACTAGTGACGTCACAGAGCCATCTTGGATCACGGTGGTCAGCCCAACCCGCCAAGCCTTCTATCAACGCTTCACCCCTAGCCGCTGCACATCTCATCCGGCGCGTTGCCGTCGCTCTGCCTTGACTCAGCTCCTGCGCGTGTTCCGCCTGAGGATCTTCTTCCCGTGGAGAAGTGCTAAGGGGTAAAACTCCGAGATCTTGAACGCACTGAGGAGCTGTTCCTTTGGTTATCCCCAAAGTTAAACAGCTATTGCTGTGCAGAAGTTCTCGAGAGAAAACCCAACCCATAAATAAAATTCCATGAGGGAGAGAAAATTAGCAGAGCTAATTTTTCTCGAGCCAAATGCCATTTTATTTATGGGCATTGCTAATATCAGTTATAAAATTCCGCCTTGATATTTGGTTACTTATGTCTGACAGTGTAAAATGAACGGCAGGCCTGTGGTTAAAATTTACAAGCTTGGCTTTTATCAAAAATGGGGTAGAATCCAAAATTAGCTCTTCCTCTATATAGGATCCTTCTAGTGCATTTTTTAATAATTTATTGATTGTTTCTTTGGTGGGGGTACTAAAGAATTCTGTGATATGAGCTTTTAGTACACAAGAAACCCCTTTTTTGTCAGCAAAAGCGATGGCTGCGTCGTTTGTCATAATAATTTTCCCGTCCTCACCAATAATCATGATGGAATTGCTATTATCATCAATAATAAAACTTTGAAATATCGATTTAGCTCTATAAATGTCCAGAAGCAGCCACAAGTCTCTTCTATCCTTTTCTAATAATGACATAACTAACGTCAAAACCAGCCCTGCTATTATGCTTTGCAAAATTTTAAGCTCAATTCCATGGATTATTTGTGCAGCCAAAAATAATAAATAGAACCATATATAGCTTATTCACGTTTTATATGTGTAATAATCTAGATATAAATTACGAATGACTCAGTCTACAAAGTACCCTAGCATGCACGCATTTTTAGAAGTAAGCGAGATTTCAATAACAAGCCCAATAATTAATCCAGCCAGTCTTGATAAAATGATTTTATAGTTCCTGCCATATCATAAAAGCCCACTCGTAACAAAAAATAAAGTAACACAAATTAAGCACTCTTTCATAGCACAGAGATAAAGAAAAGACATTAAGCTGCCAATAAATGAAAAAAAAAACTTCAAAGAAGTTCAAGAATACTTGAAAATTTCGGATTGAAACTTGGATTCTGTGTCTTTGTTCTCGTAGTAAAGAAAAGGTGACTGCTTGTAGATGAAGCCAATAGAGTATTTATAGTTTGTACCCATTTTTATTTTATTGATAACTGAATAATTTTTAGTAAACTAACCAATTTTGAATAATAGAAAAGAGGAAAGAGTGGTTATGGATAATTTGGAAGGTGAAATTGGATTTTATTTGTTAAAGAAAGTTGGATATGAAATGGCTTGGTTATGATAAATGGTTATATTGAAAATAAATTATTTGATGCACATTATGTATAGAAGCTAAAACTAAATTTAACTGAATTTTAGAATTTAGTCTACTAGAAATATGATACTTGCTTATAAAGTAAAATTTTCAGATAATATTCGAGTCATTTTCATGACTTATAAATGCAAGCTTATGCTTGCACTGGAAAACTAAATTCAATTAACGCCAATAGCTTTAACAATTATTTAATTTCTTAATTCACTTAAATAAACACTTGCATTACTAAATAAATTAGCATATTTATTTACAAGTATTATATAATATTCAAGGAGAACGACAAATATTTGATTTTCTCAAAATTACCCTTCTTAAATAATCCTAAAATGGAAGAAGACATCACCGCATTACTAGAGCTCATCCACCCCGGCGAATCCAAAAAATTCCCTAATTTAGATTCACTCTCCCTGACCTGGAAATACCTGCCAGCTTTACCTCCTAATCCTCGCAATATCCGGCTGTTTTACAGATTTCTAAAAAAAAGGAACCTCGAAGACCCAAAAGCTTCTCTTTGCATAGTCCATGGGTTTGCTGAGCACAGTGGGAGGCTTATAAATGCTGCTGTTCATTTTGCATTACTTGACTATGAAGTCCATATGATTGATTTACGACATTTAGGCTATTCAGGAGGCGCAAGGGCTGGGCACAACTTATTTGAGCTACAAAGTGACATTAATCTTCTCCTTCAACAGGCAAGCCCTAATCTCCCTTGTTTTTTGTGAGGACACAGCATGGGTGGACTTCTCGCTACAACTATCATGATAAATAACCCCAAACTTACCATTGCAGGGGGTATTCTTACTTCTCCTTTTTATAAGTCACCGAATGCTGATATTGGGAAATTAAAAGAATTTTTTATGAATTTGGCGTCTCCTCTGATAAACCAAGGAGTTTTTAATTCTTTTATTTGTCCGACTAGTGTAACTAGAGACGATATATGTGTTAGAAATATTTTTGAGGACCATAAAATGATCCCATTTTTAGGTTCTTGCATGGCACTTAGCATGCTAAAACATTTAAGGCCTATTATTTCAAGCTCAAAAAAAATGATCCACCCAGTGGCATTTTTCCATGGAAATAAAGATGCATTAACATGTTGTAGTGCCACTCAAAAAGTATATGAAAACTGTGGAAGTGAGGATAAAACTATGGTGGTTCTTGAAGGAGAATATCATGAACCTCACCATGATTTAGACAGAGATGAATTTTTAAACAAAATTAGCGACTGGGTAGAAGCAAGATATAGAGGAGCAAAAAAGCTGGGAAATGTGGCGAGGATAAAAATAGGCCCTCCTGGAATGAAAAAAATGAGTGGGATATGCAAAATTTTGGTTGTTTTAGGGGTTTTGGTTTATTTAGGAATCGCTTGGAAAATAAGAATACCAAATCTGATGGCTTTGATTCTGAAATTAAATAGTCTGGCATTAAGGCTATTTTGGCCTGTGGCATTAATATTTAAACAAGTAAGTATTTAGCATAATTATACCTATTATATAAAATTGTGTGTCCAAATATGAATAGAAGTTTTATCCGTATTGCTCCAAGCCCGATAGCAAAGGAAACAAGGCACAATAAAAGTAAATCTTATATGACACATGAGCTAGTTCCTATTGAGACTCCAAAAATTAGCAACATCCCTATCATTAGAAAAAACCAAATAAGAGAAAAATCAAAAACACCGTCAAGCATGGACTTAAACAGTATTCTTTATATAGCAAATTTACCTAAAAATTGGCTATTTCTGTAATATTTTTTAATAAAAAAAGCATTTTATTGTATTTATTTGAGAAAGAGTAAGGAAATGAAGTATATATATACATCAAACTTAATGATTAAAAAAGAAATTCCTTTTATCATTAGACGAAAGAAAAATATTGTATTTAATTTTAAAAGTGTTTCAAAAAAGCTAAATCTGAAACAGTTAAATAAAACTTATGATCAGCCTCAATGTCCTTATGTTTCGTTTAGTGTGAAATCACAGATAGGGATGATTAGTAATAAACCAAAACCAAATAATCAGGACTCCTATTTTACGATTTCGGAGTTTGCTAAATCAAAGTTTAAAGCCTTTTTTGGTGTATGTGATGGACAATGAATTTCTATGTTTTTTAATGGTGAGAAAATTATTATTTTTTTTCTTGAAATAGGTTAATATTCCTGACAAAAAAATTTATTATATTACCTTAGGCATTGTTACGGGCCCATATCTAATTTTATTTCTTTAATTAGCTTTCATTCCATAAGGTCTTCTTATGCTGTTCCAAATTTTTTAAGTCTACATTAATTTCTTTAACCTCAAAGTAATCATTATGTTTGGAATTTTTTCGATTTCTTCTCGCTTTTTCAGCAAATATTTTCAGGTTGATTTTCGCTATAAAATCTATTTTTTCCCACTTTTCTCATTTAACTCAGTAAAAATTTTTATTCTGAAACATCTGCAATAAGCCATTGTATGCATTTTTAATATTTCTAAAAAATAATTTTTAAATTGCGAAAGTATAAATTTTTTTATTAAAAAATATTCAATTAAAAAATTTTTCAAATTGAAAGCCGCTCGAATTGTGATGGACATGGCCTATATGGCCATTTAGTCTCTGACGAAATAAAATTTGCACTACCAAAGCTACTTGAAGAAAAATTCAAAACAGAAAAAGAGCCAATAGATTGAGAAAGCGCATTATCCCAAAGCATAATCAGAGTCCACGAAACTGTTATTAATAAACCAAAACTAAATTCCGACTTCTCAGGAAGTACACTGAACTGCATTTTAATTAACAAAGATGAGCTATACTGTGCAAACGTAGGAGACAGCCGAGCAGTCTTAGGCAGAAAACAAAATGAAAAATTTGTATCAGTTCCTTTATCAAAAGACCATAAACTTAACGACTATGGCGAACGGAGAAGAATTGAAAGGCTTGGTGGTAGGGTTGATAATGTATCTTTAATAGCTATATATAATAATTTACTACCTTAATTTAATGCAAAATTATCGATATAAAATCATATAGAATACATACACCGTCTGGTATCTCATTAGGACCTCTTACTCCCCCCCCCCCCTCCGTGAGCGAACAAAAAAATTTTGTTCGCTCACGGAGGGGGTTAATTTTTTTTTTTAAAAAAAAATATATATATAAATTTTATAAAAAATATTTTTTTCGAAATTTAAAAAAATCCTAATTTGCAAAAATTGGGAAGCAAATATTAATTTAATTTGCAAAATTTATGTTTTAAAACGCAATTTGTTTAAAATTAAACAGAATTAGCTCTAGATTTCATTATACTAATTATCACTTATATATCAAAATTTTTTTCCATTAAAATTTTTTTCTATTAAAAAAATTTTTGTTCACTCACGGAGGGTGGGTTTTTGGTCAAAAAATGGCGATTTTTCTAATGGTTTTGTTCGCTCACGGAGGGGGGGGGGGGGAGTTAGAGTTTACATTGGCGTACAAAATATCCCTGGTCTTGCAATGTCAAGGTCTATAGGGGATAAAAAAGCTAGTGACATTGGAGTAATACCTGACCCAGAAATCATTAAAATACATCTCACAAATGACGATAAATTCGTTATCATTGCATCTGATGGGCTCTGAGACGTAATTTCCAGCGAACAAGCTGTAGATATATGCAGGTTTTCCTGGAAATCTGGACATATACATTCAGCTTCTGAAGTTTTAATTAAAGAAGCGACTAGGAAATGGCAAGAAAAGCAGCAGTATATGGACGATATTACAGTCCTTGTGATTTTTCTGAAACCAAGCTGGAATATCTTAGAAAATTAATAATTTATTGTAAATTTATATGCAAATTTATTGCTGAAAGGACAGTAGATAAAAATCCTCATAAGAATCTTATTCAAAATTATAATGGAATTTAATGAAATTTTCAGTTCTTTAAATAGGCTCAAAAAAGATATAGAAAGACAAAGACGGCAGAGAACACTTAACCGTAACAAAAGTAGATCACGCAGTACCTCTCCTATTAATAACTTCAAGACAGAGAACATTCCTAGCAGAATATCTAAAAACCTTGATTTAGATTGCTTCTCCATACCTAAATCCAGAGAAGAGCTATTACGCAATTACGGCTCTACCGCTCATCATAGCAAGCTAAAAGCTTATAAAATTGATGCCACCGAAATCCTAGTCGGAATTATTAAAAAATTCCTGTCACGTCATTTAAAAGTTTGAAAATTCATTAGCGATTTCAAAGGAAACATAACAGATTCTTCAAGACGTACAAAACACACAAAAAATGAGACTTTTGAAAGCATTAGTTTTCAAGATAACTCGGTAAGCTGCCAAACGAACCAATCCCATGAAGCAAAACAGAAAATAAAAAAATCGCCGTCTCCATTGATTTTTGATATTGAAGAAAAAGAGGTCAAAAACATGGAAACGCCTCATTTATATCAGAGGGAATCTGCAAAGCGATTGCAAACATATAATAAAGAAGACTATGCTTGATATACGTCACCAAATAGAAAAAACACTGATATGTCTGCTGATTTATCTCCTATTCCAAAAGTCTCAATGGACATTTCTTTAGATGCATGTTTCAATCTTTATGAAAAACTAGACTTCGCTGTAGAAAAAATGAAGCTGGGTATATTTAAAGATTTAAAAAGAATTTTTTGTAAGCAGCTTGTAGCTGAGGAGCTCTGAAGCATAATCTGCTCAATAAACCTTAAAAATCACAAATTTTCATTTGAAGCTCTCCTAAAATATTCCCTTTACGCTAAAAAACATAAGAAAAAACCTTCACGGACAAAATCCAACGTCCCAAGTCTAAATATTAAAAAAATCCTATCACGGTCCAGCATAAGAACTCGTACTCAGAATGAAATAAAAGCTCCTTTAACACAGTCATACCGTCATGGAAGCCGCAATAATCAAGGCAAAACAGCCCGTTTCGTATATTCTAATACAGTTACCTCAAATGATTCTATTGATTATCCAGCATCGGCGTCATCTGAAGACTCTGAAGAATGGGTCAGAACTAAAAGAACTCGTAAGCCAGCTATAAACCATGTGAGGAAAAAATCATCCCACGATAAAAATGCTGAATATAACAGCCCTGAAGAAGAATCAGGCAATTTATACCATAAATTGGCACCTCAAAAATATTTTGAATTGACACAGTCAGCACAGAGATACCAAAGGAATAATTCGGGACATATTTTTACAAAACAGTCAGAGTCGGATATTCCTGATGATTATGATATATGTAGAGAACCAAGCTGCAGTGTTCTTATTAAGCCAGAAAAAGAAAATAATGTGCATTATGGAGGGCTGAGTGGGTCTGAAAATTCGTTTCATAGCTCTTCATCGCCTAATAGGGAAAGAAAAAACACAGGGAGTTTTGCTGAATTGTCGCCTACAAAATTGCTTAGTATGATATATTAAGGTAAATATGGGGCAAAATGCCAGTTATACTGAATATATTTGGAGGAAAATGAGTAAATTCTTATTTTTAAAAGCGAAAAAATGAATTAAAAAATTATAGGTCTAAGCCGCCTATAAGCCGCAATTTTCAAGATTTTTCTTCAATTTCAAAAGCAGACTATAAAAGTTCCCCAAATTTGTTTTACCCTTCTGATTTTTCATCTAAAGGTCGAAACCACCAAAGAGTTGACACAGTCAGCACACTTTCTTTGGAGCATGGTACAATATCTATGAAATCTTCAAAAAAATACAAATCAGCATTTGGGAAGCTAGAAATAATTATAAAAAGAGGAATTAAAATCAGGGCATTTTTAAAATTGTATAGAAATATGTTCAAGATGTCTTCAAAACCAAAAAAACTGCAAGATGCTTATGATGAATTATCCAAATTTTATGATAGTAAAGCCTCTTTTTCGAAGCTTGCTAATGTTATTGGACAATGAGTACGAAAAAATAAAATTTCGGCAATTAATGCATGGAGACTAGAAACAATAAAAGCGCCTAAATATTATTTTTGCAAAAATATATAATATACAGTTTTTGAGAGTCGAAAAACAGGGCCTTGGCTCTCTGGTTTACTATTCTATGTCAGAATTTATTGCCCTAAATATTCTATTTAGTAGCTTGCGGCTTGGTCTTCTGAAAACTAATTTTATACCAAATTTAATTTAGCAAACCAACACATTATTAGTTTGCTGAATCTGGTCGGTATATGAAATTCAGTTTCCATATAAGAAAAAATGTCAACAGATTCTAAAATAAATTTTCTGATACCCTTTTTTAGTCCCTAAATTAATTTTTAATTTTCTATTATTCTTGATCCTATATTAGAAAAAGAATTACTGAGCATTCTACTAGAGATTTAGATGATATCAATAAAGAAGCTATAAGACTTCAAGAGGCATCTATCTCTCTGTCGGCATGTCACCCCATCGACATCGTATTTTTTAGTTCATGTCCTATTTTTCCAGTTCAGTTCATTTTTAATGCATAATCCATAAGTCAGCATTCTACTTGAGATTTTAGATGATATCGATACAGAAGCTCTAAGACTTCAAGAGGCATCTATCTCTTTGTCGGCATGTCACCCCATTGAATTTTCAGTTTCATGTCCTATTTCTCCAGCTTAGTCCATTTTTTTATGAATCATCTATACGTCAGAATTCTACTGGAGATTTTAGATGATATCGATACAAAAGCTCTAACACTTCAAGTAGCATCTATCTTTTTGTTGGCATGCCACCCCTTTCAATCTTGTTAAAATCCATCCTGCCTGCTTAATCAAAAAACCCATACTTTATGCTTAGCAGGTAGCTCATCTGCAAACCAGCTGGAAATCCAGAAGTTAAAAAAGTAGGCAAACTCAGCATGCAAGCACAGCGTGCAAACAGAGAGATAGATGCCTCTTGAAGTCTTAGAGCTTCTGTATCAGAAAATTTATTTTAAAATCTGTTGACATTTTTTCTTATATAGAAACTGAATTTCATATCCCGATCAGATTCAGCAAACTAATAATGTGTTGGTTTGTTAAATTAAATTTGGTATAAAATATGTTTTCAGAAGTCTAAGCCGCAAGCTACTAATAGAATATTTAGGGCAATAAATTCTGACATAGAATAGTAAACCAGAGAGCCAAGGCCCTGTTTTTCGACTCTCTAAAGCTGTATATTATTTATTTATTAAAATTAATCTAGAAACAATTCATTGCCACTATAAATCTGAACTTAGAGACAGTTCTTCGAGCTTTTATTTGTTTAGGACGAAAGCTTCACTTAAAACCTTTTTCGATCTGATAGGTAAAAAGATAACAACAAATCAGCAGTTATTTTTTAATAGCATTTCTCGTTTGAACAACTATGAAAAATCCAAAGCACATTCTTTACTATTATTACAGAGAACTATGAAGCTTGTTTATATTAGAACTTTGACTGACTCTTTTCAAAGTATTATTAACTATGTAAAATATAAGCAAAGGCTTGTGAAGAGTGCACGACTGTTAAATATAAATAAAATGGCTTTCAGCTTGAGAGAAATTATATATTTAGGGTTTGTTTTTCTCTGCACAGTAAGAGCGGTTTAACTTTCGAGTTAGCCAAAAGAACTGCTCCATAGTGCAATCAAAAGGCTCAGATTTTCACCTCACAGCACATCCGAGGAAGATAACCCTTATGCAGAGCATGCAGAGAGGCTGAGCCAAGGAGGGTGACGGCATTATGCCATGTTAGAAGTGCTGATAAGGATGGCATGAGGCTTATTTGAGATAGTCCGACTTAGATCGGAAATGCTTTGGCCTCACAATTTTAGCTCTTTCCATTTAGTGGGAGTGTGGCGTTAGACACTTTAAAGACTGTAAATTACTATAATGCACAACTGTTGATTAAAAATATCAATAAAGATATTGAATTTCGGCTATCAGTTTGCTTTTATCATTGGATAAGTATGGCCCATTTTTCAAATTAATGATAAAATATTATTTCAAGTTCTCTGAATGCTAAATCAAAAATCTTTATAAATTTTTTAGAATTATAAAATTTCTTACTTTTAAATTAGTGTTTATTTTGCCTATTTATTAATTGCTTTTAGCTTTACTTACTAAATAAAGTTTATTAAATAAAATTCAACATTATTTTAATTAAAATAAGCCTATAATAACTATTGTAAATGCAAGTATAATTCAAATATAGCAAGTATATATAACTATAAATTAAGTGCTATTTAATCTGATTTTTCTTCTTCTTCCTCTTCCTCTTCTTCTTCCTCCCCATGCTCTTCTCCCTTAATTGTATTAGGAAATAGCATTGGAGGGATCCCTCCTTCTTCTCCTTTTTCCCCTTTGGACAGATCTCTGTATCTCTGCAAGTAAACTCTTAAAGGCTCAATATATTTCTCAAACCCCAGAGTATTCATAGCATACATCAGATCATCTCCGCTGATTGTTTTTCTTCTTTCGCTTAAGCATTTCTCGCAAGCTTCGCTGGTAATAAAGCTGATGAACTCAGATACACATTCTTGTACGCATTCCTTGGCATCTTTACTAATTTTCGCTGACTCCGCCTTCTTTAAATTGGAATAAAATATAACTTTTGAGAATTTGAACAAATTTTCTATAATAGGAAAATTTTATAGGTAAAATACTAATTTTTTAAAATTAGTTTATACCTATTTAACGGAAAAATATTTAAACAGTTTCTCACTAAATGGATTAATTTTTCATAAACATAAATTATTTAATTTATATGGAAAAAAAAATTAATATAAAATATTTTAAAATAATGATTTAAATTTGAACAGAATTTTTTGTTCCAATTTAAAGGGGGGGAGTGAAGGTGGCAAGGCTTTTTTCATTATCCTCGAAATATTGGCGATCGGCAAAAATCTATCCTGCTCTCTTAAGTCTCCTTGTCCTTCTTCTGTCATCTCTAAAATTTATTTTATTATAAATCCTAATTATTTTTAATTTGTTGACAGTGGATCCACTTCCATCGACATTTCAACACACAAAGAAATTCTTTTCATTTTCCTGGTCACATCTTCTAAGCCTTCTCTTGGTCTTTTTCTATTAACTGGCTCTCCATAAAGTGGTGAAAATGCGTATTTATCAAAGAAAATTCCTCCCTGTAAGGTCTGGCTGACCCTCCATTGGAATTCATTTTTATTATTTCTGCATAAATCCGCCATCTCGACATTTAAAAGATTTTCGGGAATCAGGTTTAGATTTGGCTCATAAAGGACCAGTTCAATAGCAAAAATTATAGCGTTTACTGTCATCACTGGCTTTCACTCCTCATCACGTAAGGCGTCAATTAGGAAAAGCCCGGTATCCATGTCTATGTTGGGATGGTAAACTTGGTTTTTAACTATTACAATTGGAGGCTTAAAGGGGTAGCCTGGGTTGATCTTTATGATACAATGAAACCATGCTCCTGCGTAAAGGTGGCTTTGGTCTGGCTTAATTTGTAGAGAAACAGGGACACACTCGTGAATTCCTTCTTTGAAGGGGAACGAGATATTTACATTGGTGTAGCCTGCAGAGTAGCGCTTTGTGGAGAGCTCGGCTAGGTCTTTAGAAAGACGCAGCTCAGCGACTGAGTAAAGAGTATTTGTCCTTTTTTTGTTTTTGAGCAGCATCATAATTTTATAGTCTATTATAGAACCAAAGGATTGCTTTAAATTAAAAGTTTACCCCAATATTAGGCAAAAATAATTTTTATGTAAATATAATAACAAAAAAAAATTCCCTTAGTTAAGGAGGGTTAAGTAAAATCTTTTCAATTATATAAGTATTACAAAGATTAACAGCTTCCCTTTTACACAAAAATATGCTTAAATTTAGAATAGCTCAAAGCACATTAAAGCGATTTTTTTCCCAAATTATTCCTGAAGAAGCTCAAAAAGAAGCTGATTTGCGTAAGTGCTTCACAATAATACAGTCTGTTGAAGTTGTGGCAGCAAATAAAAGATTAAAAATCCTCCAAAACAAAATTGAAGAGCATAAAGACAAAAAAATGCTTATCCTTTGTAATAATGAAGAGGGCACGAGTTTACTCAAAAAAGACTTACAAGAACTCTTTATTTTTCCAAGAACTTTAAGTGGGGCTTCTTTATCAGTAAAAAATAGCTTAGATGCAAGATAATCACATTATCAAAAATTTTGAATCAAAAGATAATGGCCTGCTAATTGCGTTGAATAATTATTTCAAGAAAATAAATTTAGCCAACGTGTCCTGCTTAATAAATTACTCTATACCATTAACAATAGAAGAATACAACGAAATCGTGCTAAAATACTACCAAGATGCCCAAAAAGGCGAAATGCTTTCTTTTTTTACTACAAATGACGACGAACTTGCTGATCAATTAATTTTGTCCTTTATAGAAAGCCACCAAAATATTCCTCTGTCTCTTGCAGAATTCCGCCGCACTATGATATATAAATCTAAAACTTCAAGAAAATGGAAGTAAATTTAAATAAGTCCTAATTTAAATAAGGATATTAGTTATTTCCAAGAGACAAATCCTGCTATTTAAGAGCTTGGATTGCGAAGTATTTGACGTCTTTATCAGGGTCTCTTGACAACTCTTGTAGCATGGTTTTGAATGGGGCGATGTCTATTCTTGAACTGAGTCTTTTGATCACTTTACAAAGGACAAGGCGAATATTTGCGACTTTATCTTTGGCTGCCTCAGTGAAAATTGGGATAAATTGGTCAGCTTCTAAGGTGAGGTGGCTTAAGGCATGAAGAACAGTCCTCCTGCTGATATAGCCGAGATCTTGGTGGTAGAGGTCTTCAAGCTTAGGCAGAAATTCAGCCAGCACCCAATTTTGACTGAGAACTTGCACTAAATCAGCGACTTTTCTGACCCCCGTTTTTCTTACCTCATTCACTGTATCAGTCAAAAAATTGAAATAAATCGGCTGAAGTAGCCCAATAAACACGTCTTCTCCTAAAGCCTGAGCTATTGATACACAACTTTTATAAACTGACTCTCTAAGTCTCCACTGTGGCGCTTCCTTTGCTAAGTTTAATAAAATCTCACAAATAGGTGGACTCAGAAATTCTGGCCCAACAGCTCCAGCTACATTTCCAAGCCCTTCAATCATTTTCAATTTAATTTCATAATTATCATCATTTAGCAAAGTCAAACAAATCGGCGAAATTCTTGCCGCTGCAAATTCTTTCCCTACAAACCCAACCATCTCAGAAATCACTTGTGCGCAGTTTTTCCTGACTTTTGGAGGTAAAGATACGTCTTGTGCGATAGCTTCTACAGTTGGGAAAACCAAAGTTTGGATTCTGTCTCTTGATATCACTTGTAAAGACTTTTTCAATGATAATAGTGCTATAGCTTTGACGTCAGCTTCAATGTCACGCAAAACTTGGACAAAAGTCTGGATTAAGGAGCTTTCGGTGATGTCTTTGCCTAAGGCGTCAGAAAGGGCTGGGAATTCTTTTGCAAAGGTGTAGCGGACTTTCCAGGATTTGTCTTCACCGATTAGGATAATGATAGGGAGGGAGTGGAGCTTGTTTTCTTCTTTGTTGAGCAGCTTGGAAACCTCGATTAAGCTGTCTACACAAAGAGTTCTGACTTGGTCTTGCTCGTCTTGGGCTAGCTGCCGGAGGTCAGGGATGAGCTCAGAAATTAAAAATTGTTTTTCAATTACCTTGGCAAATACACCCATTTCAATGACAGCAGCTCTCCTAACCATTGGTGTTTCTTCGTGGCTTAGTTCCAAAAACTTCTGCCTAAGTTTTTCTTTCAAATTTCCACTGCGAGGATATGCAGATGCAAACAAAGCACACGCAGACACTCTGGCTGAGAAATTTTCAGCTGTGGATAACTTGATAACGGTCGGTACAAACAGATTAATTATATCACTATCAGGCAAAACATCTGCAATTATCATAAGTGACTTCACTGCTTGATCTCTGACCACTGTTTCATCCATTGCTGCTAAAGTTTCCAATAAAGGCATCAAAGCGCTTGCTTGGCCTGGGAGAAATGTATAAAGAGCTCCCAGCTCTTGGGCCAGCGCAAAGAGGACTTCGTCATCTTCATTTGTGAGGGCTGCATAAAAAATACTTGCTAAATAAGGCAAGAGCTGACTTTTGACCTGCTCTGGACCTAGCACTGTAGCCACGATTTGAAGCCGATGGATTGCATTTACTTTCACGTAGACTTCATCAGTAGTTAATTCTTCTCGGAGAAGCTCTAAAGGATTTGGGTCTAATTATGATTTACCCATTGCCAAATTTATTATTTATGACTCATAATGACTATAATGATGCTGTATCGGTTAACATTCAGGAGCATCTAAAACAGTCGACAGAGGTCCTGGAAAATGTTATTAATAAGCACCAAGTTTACAATTTCCGCTCAAACAATTCATCAATATCTCAATCCCCTACAAAATACCTTGCTAACATAATTTCATATGCACCACCTAAAACAAATATTAACTTTGAGACAATTTCTCTGCCAAAAATAAATAAACCATCATTTAAGGATCAAAATCAATATAAAAGCTTCAGGTCGAAAAATAACTCACCAACGCCAAGTGACAACCATTTGCCTTATATTCCGTTTTACCCGAAATTTTGCAATAAAATAATGAATTTTGTTACTTTTGACAAGAAAATTATTAATTATAAAACACTGCTTGAAGAGCTTGAAGAAACTAATATATCAACAGGAAATCTGACAAATAAAAATAAAAAACAAGTAAACACTTATATTCCGAACAGCAATTTATTTAATAAACTAAACGCTGCTATTTCAATGAAAAATTTGGACTTTGATCAGCAGAGAATCAATACAAGATCGCTAAGTCCGTATTTAAATGAAAAACACAGATTAAAAATTAATAAAAAATATGCAATAAGAAGAAGCAGCAATTTGACGCCAATGTTTGGGCTATCACCTGTAAATAAGCCATTTTAAGCTATAAACGATTGTTTAAATTAATTAATGGGAAATGCTGATTTACACTGTGGAGCAGCCTTTTTAGCTTCAGCCGGACTATTTTTTCTAAATTGATTTTATGTGTAAAAGTTCTGATTTTTTTTATAATTTTGCAAATAATCAATACCGTTTTATAAATAGTAAAAATAAATCATTTATATATAGAAAATATATTAAAATCAGCCATTATAATTTTTTCATATTCTGCTTTGGTTTCTTTAGCAGATAGAGGCTCTTTTATATCAGGAGAATTAAAATCTGTCGACAAGTGAGCCTCTTTTTTCAGCGTCATTGTGATTTCTCTTCTCATTTTTTTATCAAATAGGCTAGGCACAGAATCTCGTTTTATTCTCCCAAAAATCAATTTTTCTTGTTTTTTGTAGCCAGGAACTTTGGGGCTTGTTGCAAATTCACTTGCAGAAGTTAAGTTGAACGTTGATAAATACAAATCAGAAAGATGGCGTTTATCTTCTGAAGAAGAATTAATCTTCCCAAATTCTCGCTTTTCAAACTCTTTACTCCCCCCTTTTAAAATTGGGAACAAAAAAAAGGTTCCAATTTAAAAGTGAGTGATTTTTATTTTTTAAAAAAAAAACTTAGAAAATCTTAAAACAATATAATATTGATAATTTTAATTTATTTATGTAAATAGTAAATAATATTCTATTGTGTTTTTTGATTAAATTATGTAAAACTAGTTTTACAAAAATTAGTAACGATGACCCCCCCCTCAATCTTCATGTCTATTGCAACAAAAATGCAATTTTTTAATATAAAATTTTATATAAAAAAAATAATAATTTTCATGTCTCTTGCAACAAATTATATACATTAAAATGGCGACACGTGTCAACCTGCCCTCTTGGCGCAGCAGTCCAGACCTTATGGCTACAGCGAACTGGGACGGACTCCGAGCCGAGAATCAGACGCAGGCTCAAGAAGTGTGCATCCGGGTAGGTTTTGGCTGCTTTCCTGTAGTTGGAAATGGAGGTGCTCAAACAATGTCCTTTGGATCCGAGGACCCATGGGTATTCTTCTAACGAGAAACTGGGGGTTTCGGCCCAAGCCACAGGGGAACAGTCTTTTTCGTGTAGTTGTCGATGATACCCAATAGACTCCAAGAGCTGATCCTTGGAATCAAGCTACTCCAATCGCCCGTAGCAGGACCGCAGAAATCCATAAGCCGCTCACTCAAGACTGAACTCCCAAGGCAAGGAGGAGACAGAAGGTACCGGAAGGGCACTCGTAAGATGGATAGATCCTCTGGGCTGGAGTCAAAAAGCAGTAGAACCTTCAGATGGGAGGTCTTTAATGACTGCGTCATCAATATGGCTAGCGCCTGTCTGTAATAATCCTAATCCTCTTGCAACAAATTTTCGATGCGCATCTTAAATTTTTCCGTACTTTTTAGCTAGATAAGTTTAATAAAATGGCGAGCGATGGCAATAGCCGTCCAAATCTCGATGAGAAAGTCATTGACACACCTACAGTAGTGCTGTTTTATGTTTTTTTTGAGAAACTCACCTAGAGAAAAATGCATTAATTTGTTTTATAAAAATGTTTAGTTGCAGTAGGCATGAGGATTTTTTCGAAAAAATTTTGTTGCAGTAGACATGAAGATTGAGGGGGAGGTCATCGTTATTTAATAAAAATATTTTTTAAAAAAAATAAAATGAGAGCAATACTTTAAATTTTAATCTATTTTTATGAGGAATTTAAAAAAAAATTAACCGATTCAGTGTGAAGACTGTTTAAATGACATTTTTTTATAAAAAATTCGTATTTTCGTTGATAATATTTTCATATTGAAAACATATTCTGTTCAGTTAAAGTATCCAAAAAATGCAAATTTTACTGATGTTTTGTTCAAATTTAAAGGGGGGATTTAGAAACCTCAGAAAACTGATCTCAGGATAAGCGTGACGATTTTTGAGCTTTTCTTGCTTTTTCTTGGATTTCTTTTTTATGAGCAATTCTCAATTTTCCTTTTATATACTCTTTATCGTTTTTATAAAACGGCTTGGATTCTTCGTAATTTTTCGATATGATTTTATTTACATAATGCGATTGATTTTCTTGATTTTGGCAGAAACTATCCTTTGTTGCTAATAATTTCTTTTGAAAGTCTGAACAATTGTCGATTAACTGTTGGATGTGCCTTGCAGATTTGTTATTTTCCTCAACTTCAAATTTTCTTGATCTTATAGTTTTGCATGAATCAATGCACGTGCTGTGAGAAGTAGATAATAATTTGTTGAAATGAGACAAACTTAGATTTCTTGCTTTCATCCAGTATTATTTATTTTAATAATTTTAATCAGATAATGAACTAATATTATGCTAACCTTTACAGCTTTTTTAACAAGAGATATGAATTGTATGATTTATCAGTTTTTGCATTTTTGCTTGAAAGAGATAAAGAGCTCTAAATTGGCCACATTAATATGCATATTAATGCATTTAATTAGGAATTTTTTATGCTGGATTTTTTGAATAACCCGGATAAAAAGTTTTATTGCTATTTTTCGATTAATTTAAACTTGATTCTATTTATCATGAAGTTTATAAATTTAGTTCTTTATAGTAAAACCATAGCTTAAACTTATTTAGAAATTAAAAAATACATGATTATTACTATATCCTTACATTTTTGGCCAATTATTCACAAAGCCTTTATCTCTTTTCTATTGCTATTTATATAAATATTTCTTTTCCAATCAATAAAGATTAGCATTCTGGTATCTTATTTTGATAATTTATGCAGGATTTATACTCGCTATTTATATCAGCATTTTTACCATTTAATAGTCTCAACTAGAAATTTATTTAAAAAATTAATGAGCTTGAGAAAGCATAGGAAAACCAGAAGCTGTATAACATTATCGGAAATTTTCCCTCAAGCTGTACAACCTGAACTTAATTCTTATGAGCTAAGCATACAAAAAATATTTGAAACAACAGGAGTGACAGATAAGCGCTATATCGGGACCATTCTTGGAGGCTCAATACTTGCTGTATTAGGATTTGTTATTTTCACAGGAGCTACTGTTGTAGGAGGTGTTGTTGGAGGAATTCTCGGTCTGGGCATTGGCCATGTATTAGGCCGAAGATGAAAAAGACATAAAATACCTCGAAATAATATTACAAGAGAAAAAGAGTATGAGCTTAGATTATATTGCCTACTTCAATTTATGAAAAAACTTAAAAAATCAAAAGTCCCAATTTCTGACTACGCAGGAATTTTAGAACAAGTAATATTCTAAGAAATAATAAATTTAAATTTCCTGCAGACAACTATTATTTATTTCATATAGTAAATATGATAGTAAGAATGCACATATTTATTATAAATAAGCATAAACGAATTTCGACCTGCTTTTATCCTGCAGCTTCACAATAATGAAATAATGAAAAAAGTCCGGCGCTTAAAGAAGTTTTTAAGGACAAACGCCCCACACGCAGCTTTAATTAATTCTGTAGCTGAGCTGAAATATTCAGTAGATTTCAACATAAATACCACTATAATAGCAGCACGGCTAAAACATATCTATATCCCTATAATGCAGCTTTTAAAAGAGCCGCCAGAAAGAGAAGACCGTGAGCTAGAAGTCGTTAAACAGATTGAATTTTTAATTTCTCGAAAAAAAACCAAAAAAATTCTCCAACGATCACAAATTCATGACGAAAATTTAGTTGAGGAGGTTTTGCGTTTTCCAGCTATTCATTCTTCTCAAGCTAACACAAATTTCCTTTCTTGTAAGCTTTTAAACGACTTAGATTATTTCATTAAAAACAAAGGCGACATTTTCTCAGAAAAAAATTATGAAAATCAAGTAGCCAGCGAAAGACTGCTATTAAGACGTGCAAGTATTCCAGGATATACCCGACATCACCCTTATCATAAGTTGCATTGAAAAGATGAAGAAAGACTTGACGCTATTTCTGAGATCTCTTCATCATTACATATGTTTAACCCTCCTATGTTTGCTAAACAAGAAGATCCTTCTGATTCTGTATCCGATGTTGAGTCAGTCGCCAATGAAAAAGACGTCTCTATAAAAATCGAAGCTCTCAATAGGTCAGGAGAAAGGCGCTTTTCCTCGTCAATTATCCCACCAAAATCCCCTCCGCCCCCATTTAAAGGCTTAGTAGCTGACATTGAACAAAGCGCCAGCAGTGATGACGATGAAGAAGAAAAATCCATCGAGCTGCCGAGGTCAAGGAAAGAAAGCTTAGACATTTCCTGATCAAATATTGTTAAAAAGCAGTCAATAGAAGAAGTAAATCATGTCAATACGGCTAAAATTGATGTTTCTGTTCACAAGTATCAGAAGGATTTTGATATTCTATTGGAAATTGAAAAAGAGGAAAATTCAGAAAAGGTATGGAGACATGTTGTTAATAAACCTGGAACTCATTGCTATCAAAAAAAGGTAAGCGACTCGCCCATTTGTATGATTAAAGCATTTTGTGAGGTCGATTATTCAGCGGAGACTGTGTATAGGGCGATTTGGGATACTTCGATAAGGACTCAATGGGATAAACTTTTTCATGAATTTAAGGTCATTGATAAAACTCCGGATTATGAGGTACTTTACTATTAAATTTAAATAAAATCAGCTTTTAGAATAAGGCACTTCAGACTAGAATATAATGGAAATTAGGATTTAATAAATAATTTAGAATATAAAGCAATTATACTGGAAAAGAATATATGATTAAAGCTCCATTCGGGCTTACACGTAGAGATTGGCTTCAAAGAAGAATAGAGATCAGGAATTATCCTGAACCAAATACAATTATGCTTCATTTCATCAGCATGGAGCATCCTATGATGCCACCAAGAAAAGGAGTGATCAGAGCAGAAACATTGATTTCTGGATATGTGATAAATAAAATGGTATTCGGTTCGAGCGAAATCAGCTCTGCTAATATTCTCTCCCTCAAGCAATTTTATTTATGGGGTTGAGTTTTACTCGAGAACTTCTGCACAGCAACAGCGGTTTAACTCTAGGGATAACCAGAGGAACTGCTCCTTAGTGCGCCCAAGAGGCTCAAATCTTTACCCCTCAGCACATCCGACGAAGGTGACCCTTAGCCTGAACAGGTGCTGGAGCTGAGTTGTATAAAACCGTGGCGGTAGCCAAGCCCTTCGAAGCCGAAACGCTGTGTTTGCGCGTGCCCTGGCGAATCAAAGTGGATCGATCCAGAGGTCCATGGCCGATATGTGGACAAATATGGTGGCAGCTCTGGACAAGGCTACCCCGTAGTGGACGTAAAACGCTATTAATAACTTAAGATTAAGATTTCTGGATATGTAATACGACCAGTAACTCAAAGGTCATGCAAAGTTACAATCATAACTCAAAATGACGTCAAAGGGCTAATTCCAACTTTCCTAGTAAATAAGTTTGCAGCAAAAGCACCAGCTGATTGGTGCACAAACATGAGAAGAGGCTGCAAGCTTATAGCAGGCTATTAATTTGAAATATATTGCGTTGACTTATTTTTAATTTTAAAACTTCCTTACTCTTAATCAATTTTTATTATTTTCTTACTGATAAAAATAACCTAGAAACTTCAATAATTTACCTATAATTACCTTATAGTGTCTGTCAGAGAGTAATTTCTTTTATAAAATAATAATAAAAATTAAGAATAAAATATTTCTTAAATTTATACAGTTGACGGTTGGGATATAAATTTAAATTGCAGTGAAATAAATTAAATTAAATTAAAAATTAAACATAGCTATAAGCGGTATCCCACAATCAATCTCCCAGTCTCGGCTCTGCCACAGACCCAGAATGAGATTCTGATGCTACCATATTTCTCGCCCGACGCCATTTTGGACTTCCGACCTAATCACCTGTCCAGGGGATAAGCTTCCTTGGCAAAACCACTGTCTGTCGGGTGCCCCGATGATTCCGATGAGGAAAGACCATGTGGTAGGTAAAACCTGTCTAGCCTATTTGGCAGGGACAGGAAAACTTCAAGGGAGAAACCAAACTTCCCTATTCGGGAAGGTATCCCCAAGCTTGAAGGCTTACTATAAGAAGGATTGGTCCTACCTACTCCATAGGGAGCGCGCCTCGTAGTCATATTTCCGTCAGCATCACCATTTTATTTTGCACTGAAATAAGGAGTTCTTATATTTGAATTATAAATGGATAAATATCGCAAAGTAAAAATAGTTGGTAAAGGAAGTTTTGGGCATGCTGTGCTTGTTCAAAGTACTGTTGACCGTAAACTCTATGTTATGAAAATTATTGATGTTTCTCGTATGGATAGAAAACAAAAAGAAGAAGCGCTTAATGAAGTTCATGTTTTAAAAGCAATGAGGCATCCATACATTGTCACATATAGAGAAAGTTTTATGGATAAGCGATGCTTGTGTATAGTCATGGATTATGCAGATGGAGGAGATATGTATTCGAAAATTGCAAAACAAAAACAATTAGGGAAAGGTTTTCCTGAAAATCTTTTACTAGATTGGTTTGTACAAATTTGCTTACTCTTTACAATAATAATATAGTCTTAATAAAATTTTTAACACCTTAACGCCCTAACACTTCATATTCATTTTAGAAATTTTTTTAAAAACGACTTATCTTTTATTAGAGTTAGCAATCAAGCATATCCATGACAGAAAAATTCTTCACAGAGATCTTAAAACCCAAAATGTTTTCTTAACCTCTAAAGGAGAAGTGAAAATAGGAGACTTTGGAATTTCAAGGGTCTTACAGCATACATATGATTGCGCACAAACCGCTATTGGGACGCCATATTATCTATCCCCTGAAATATGCCAAGAGAAGCCATACAACCAGAAATCTGATATCTGAAGTCTAGGCTGCATCCTTTATGAGATGGTCACTCTGAGACATGCTTTTGACGCCAGCTCAATGAAAGGCCTGGTGGTTAAAATTTTAAGAGGGACTTACCCTTCAATCCCATCTGTCTATTCCCAAAATCTAAAAGACCTAATAGACGAAATGCTTCAAAAAGACCCCCACAAACGTCCATCTATAAAACGAATCCTCGAGAAAGACTTTTTAAGCTCAAGGATCCCTGATATTTTAGCTCTAACAATTTCAAAGCACGAATCCGAAAAATCAGCTATACCTAGAGAGCCTACTATACATTAAAATTGCGACACGTGCCAACCTGCCCTCTTGGCGCAGCAATCCAGACCTCATGGCCAAAGCGAACTTGGACGGACTCTGAGCCGAGAATCAAGAATGTGTATCCGGGTAGGTTTTGGTTACTTTCCTATGGTTGGAATAGAGGCGGTCAGCAAATCCTTTGAATCCGAGTACCCATGTGCATTCCTCTACCAGGACAGCCTAGGCTGCAGAGGAGTAGTCTTCTTCCTGTAGCTGTCGAAGAAAAGCACTTCGGAATTCGATAGTCTTCAAGGAACTAATCCTTGGAATCAAGCTACTAAAATCGTTCATAATAGGGCGGTAAAAAAAATCCATAAGCACTCAAGACTGAAGCCTCAAGGCAAGGAGGAGACAGAAAGTACCGAAAGGGCACTCGTAAGGGAGATAGACCCTTTGGGCTAAAGTCGAATGCGGTAGAACCTTCCGCAAGAGAGATCTTTGGTGGCTGCGTTACCAAGATGGCTAACGCTTCACTTTTAATAATCCTAAATCTAGAGAGCCTCAATCTGAAGAAAAACAAGACAGCATTAAAGACCCACAAATAAGCTTATCAAGGGACTCCCGAAATGAAGAAAGCTCCAGACCACATACTCCATTAGAAGAGAGAAAAAAAGAGCGAATTTTGCAGCCAAGAAACAGAAGTGAATTTAGTGAGGAAAAAAAGCGAGCCTCAAGAGAACAAAGCAGATATGAAGACATCATAAAATGCTTACGAGAAGGCTTAGAAACTAATCACAACGAAGATGAAGAGTCATTTGAAGAAAATCAGCCAGCCAGAGCTAATTTCCTAACACCAGAAGGAGTTCCATTGCCTGGAATCAGTGAAAATGACTCAGCTTTTGCCAGAATAGAAACGCTGAGATGCTATTTAGAGTCCCGCATTGGGATGTCAAGATTAATGTTAAAGGGCTTAAAGTTTTACAGATTGGATACCTCCGCACGCTTGCGAACACCGGAGCCTGCTTGCCGGAGGAATCCGGTCGCCCTTACAGTGGTCTACTCGGGCCTTGCACTGCTATCCTTGAGTCTCGACGGGTAGAAAGACTCCTCTTGCTTCACGTCTTGCGGGTGCTATGAAGGCAAAGAGCTCGATGCCTCCTATCATCCACCTTGGGAAGTGTGGCACCCAGGAAAAAGAAACTACGGCCTTCCGGATTCAGTAGGAAAAGACCTGTAGCCCGAAAACCATCCGGATAACTAATACCTGGACTGGAATGGTCGCCAGCTGACTCCAATGTTCACCGACCCCATACGGCAGCAATAATTTGGCTAAGGGTTAGAATTAAAGTGCCTAAACCTTGATTTAGGCTATAAAAACTATTTTGGCACCCAAAGTGGTGCGTCGTCAAGGACATATTTCGTCACCATATTAATTTGGGATGTCAAGGTTTATCCAAGCTTACGAATATTTATCAGTAAGATTTATATAGAACCCTCCACCTGAAGATGAAGAAAACCAGCAGCTTCATGAAATCGTGGGAGTTGAAAATGTAAAGTATATACCCCTTATATATCAGATGATTGTGTGTGAAGACTCATATTACACATCAGCTAACGCGAGATAAATAATTTGTAGTTATTTTAATTAGTCGCTATCACTATCAATATCTTGAAGAGGATCATTGCCTCGCTTCTTCATGACTCTGTAAAACTCATCAAAACTTAGCAGTCCGTCCCCATCTTTATCAGCTTCTTCTATCATTGAATGAAGGTCATCGTCGTTTAGACTTTCTCCTAGCTCAGTCGCAACTCTTTTTAAATCCCGAAAAGAGATTTTCCCATTTTTTTCTTCGTTAAACAGCTTAAAAATTTTCATGATCTGCTCACGTGTATCTTTTTGGGACATTCTTGGAGCCATTATTGATAGAAATTGGGTAAAATCGATTTTTTCAGTTACGTCTTTGTCTAGATCTTGCATGATCTGTCTTATATCATTTTTCTTTAATTCAAAACCTAAAGCTCGCATTGCCGCTTTTAATTCTCTTGCATCTATTTCATTAGAATGCTCAGTATCAAACAAATCAAAAGCTTCTTTAATTTCAGCTAGCTGCTCTTCATCTAAATTATTTTTCCTTCTGTTTTCTCCTTTCCTAAACGGGCTTGTAGGAGTTTTTCTCGCTTTCATAATTAAAATAAGAAATTAAAGTAAAATACATGTAATTAATGCTTCAAAGAAACATTGATTTTATCCTCAAAAATATTGAATAGTATTTAGCACTGGCAAAGCCAGTGCCTTAAAATAATTATTTTGTAGCCTTATTCTGTGAAAAATGCAAAAAACAGTTAAATCTGTAATAAAACTTGGAGGCAAACCTCGAATTGTTTTCATCCCTTCTTCAAGATATTCTTGTGAAGGCTGTGGAGAATCTAGCACTTCTGTTAAAATTTCAATTACCCGCTCCAAAACTTGTGCAGGCCTCGGAGAATTATGTCCACCTCCTAGCTCCAATAAGTACTTATCAGCAGAATACACATCATAAAGCTCTCTAGACTGTGAAATCGGGACGAGCTTGTCTTTAACTCCATGCATAAAGATGGCTGGCATCTGGCAGTACTGTGCAAATTTGATTGGACTTACTTCTAAAATGTCAAAATTTGCAATGGCAATTATATGTTCTCTAATTGACTGAAATAAGTATTTATAAAGTATCGCTGGGAGTTTATAAGATGTCAATAAATCTTCAGTAACCTGCTTAAGCGACGTAAACGGTGAGTCCAAAACTAGCACAGAAATCATAGGATCACAAGATGCATATAAAATGCTCGAAGCCGCTCCCATTGACCTTCCCCATAGTCCAATTGATGAGGCATGCCCACTTTCCCTTATATACTCTACGACAGTTTTGATATCCCAACTTTCATAGTAGCCTAGGGTTACATAATCGCCTTCAGATAGTCCAGAGCCTGTAAAATCAAAGGTAAAAACTGAAATGTCCACTGGCAATAGAGCCTTCGCAATATCCAAAGAGTCACAGCGGCTTCCACAGTTACCGTGACAGTATATCATGCAGGGATATGCGATCCTTGAAAACTTAGGTAAGAACCAGCTGCACTGGATAGCAAGGCCTCGAGAATTTATTATTGCGAAATCCTTGCGGGTAAAGACTTTTCCTTTGACTATAAAGTTTTTAGGCCCTAGATCTTTCTCAGCTGAGTATCTTTCTCTGAACGGTCTAATTATTAACTTGGATAGACCTTGCATTTTTTAAATATGAATTTTTATGAAAAAAATTAGAAGAAATTGTTTGGGTTTTTTAAAGAAATTAGCAAACCTTAAGCAATTATTTATGAAGTGTCTCTGACATAGACAATAGATTTCGGGAACAGTCCTGCAGCTTCAAGGGTTATTTGTTTTTGATCTAGCACCTTTGATGGGAAATTTGTAACGATTTCGAAGTTTCTGAGGGATAAAGTTTCGATAAAATCGTAAAGGGTTTCTATTTGTTTTTCTTTATATACCATAAAGAACCATTAAACGTGGGTCTAATTATTATTTTAGACAGAAAAATATTAAGATTTTTATAATATCCCAATAAATAGATATAAAATCTTCTTTCGATTTTTTTCCCATCAGGCAACCTAAAACTAATTAGAGCAATATCTGGTCCTGGGTTCGGCTCTTCGCCTATGCTTTCTTCTTTTTGTTTCCTCCTTTGTTCTTCTTCCTGCTGTTTTCTCATTTCTTCCTCTTGTTCCTTTTTAATCTGAGCCCTTTTGAGTTCTTCTGCTCTATATCGCTCCCTTGTAATCCTTTCTGCTTCTTCAAGCTCCCTATCTTGCTGTTCCCTTATTAATCTTTCTTGATGCAAATCTGGGTCCACTCCAGCCACATTTTGGACTGAATTTCTTTCTAAAAATTCTAGATAAGTGTCAAAAGAAGCACAGCCTTCCAGTCTATTCCTTATTTAATTGAATTATAAATGGTTTTATGATAATATAAAAATACAAAATAAATTAGTATATCTAAAACTTGTGGCCTGCCATTATTTCTACCTTGCACAACAGCCAGAGTAGGCAATGCAGTAACTTGTAGCTGCCTTATTGCATTAATCCCATCCTGAGAATTTTCGTCAACTCCCCATATTAAATAACTTTCTGCAATCAAAGCAATTGACACCTCGTGGCATATAACTTCTCTTAAATAGCCAGCAGGGACGTCTCTTGAGTTTATATATACAAGAACTGGCCTGTTTATGCTTTGGCCATCTTGTAGGACTTCTGATAAATTTCGTATGCTAAACGGAGGAATTTCATGAATCCCTAAATTTTGTAGAGACGTCACAAATGCTCTGGCACTTGCAGATTCAGCTTCTTGAATCACAGGAGGTTTTACAAAGGTATAGATATTTCATAATATGTTGCTAGCGCCTGAATATATTCCTTTAGCTCCTCAGGTAATCCAAGACTTAATTGACCAGTATGATTCGGTTTGTGGAGCTGCTTGCTGAGCTTGATTTTGGTTTTGATTTATTATAGGAGGTTCTTGTCTTGGCTCAGGTCGATCATATATCATTTATTCACTCCTTAATTAATTGGTCATTATTTCTATTATTTTATAAATAATTAATATTTAATTAATTACAATATATATTAAAAATTTTTATTTTTACTTTATATGAAATTTTTTTAATTATTTAATAAAACAAGAATAGTTGTTTCTGTCTTGCATTTGTGCTTCAGCCGAAAAAAATGCGAAATACTCATTTGATGCTGCTGTTACATCCCAATTATGTTTCCTCATAATCTGCATTGCTATTGAATTATCCCAGCACTCAGTGATAGCTTGGAAGTTCACAAGAGCTTCTGATTGATCATTTGTGAGCCCAGCCGAATTCATTATTTTTATCAAAATGTCAAATTTACATTAAAAATTATTTAGTTGGGGATATTGACCTGACGTATCTTTTATATTTTTCAATCGCTTTTAAAGCATTTTCGCCTTCTTCTTGAGTAATATTTGCTTCATTTGGCTTGATTCTGGCGATCAATAATTTTCTCTTATAAGCAGACAGCTTCATGGCAGCTGTAAAAAAAGGCTTCGCAAGCGGGCCTTCTGACAGTCTGTCAGCCAAGCTTAATAACGACCCTTTCAGCATACTTCTTGCAAAAATCTGCTGAAACTGCTGATAATTTGCCTTCCCAGTTTTGCTTTCCCCAGGGCCAACTAGTTTTTTAGCTTCTAAGCTGTTAGCAACTATCCTTTTTTCTATTAATTTAATCGCGACTTCTTCACTGTCCACAAACCCTTCGTTTTTATTATCAATTTCTTTCCACCATTCATTTACGATATTTAAATGGTCTGCCATCGTCAAATTTTTCTTTTTAGTGACGCTTTGGGTCCTGGCTGTATGAGATATCGCGTGTTTTCGCTTTGGAGGCTCCATTGAAATAGGTCTAGCAAAAATAGAAGGAGCGTTAGGGAGGATTAGGTTTGAGTGGAGAATTGGGGACGGGGAACGGTAATTTTCAGCATAAAAATTTAATTTTTCCAAAATATAGTCAGTCCTACGGTCACCTGAACAAAATAGCATCATATCATGGAGCGATAAAGTCAGCTTATTTATGTTTGGCTCTTTAAAAGCAGCACATAAAATCTATATAAGGTGTACTTTGATTAAAGAAGCAGGCTCTGAAGCGAGGCCAAGAGAAATTAGCTGCTCAACAATGCGTAAACCATTGACTTTTCCGTTCTCATCAACTGATAAGGCACTGAAAAGAGCTCGCAATAAGTCTTCAAGGGTTTGGTGCTTTACCTGCTGGGCTGGAATTCGACGTTCTAGCCATACTTTGGCTTCATATTCAGCTGCCTAATTATTTTTACTTGGATTAGAGAAGAGTCAATCTTAAAAGGCTTGCGGAGTGCTGGAAGTTTGTCGACTGAAGGGTTTCTATTTGTGAATTTCGAAACGATTTCTTGGACTGTTTCATCGTCAAGTGTATAGTCGAAGGTTTGGAACTGCTGGGTGTTAGCTTTCATTTATTAATTAATTTAACGCCAGATATTAGGCTAATAAATTGTGAAGATTGACTAAATTTCAAGCTTATTCTTATAAATTCTTAATAGGTTTATAGGAAAAATGATTTAGTTTATAAGTAAGTGCTTTAAAATTGAAAAATTTTGGGTAAATGTGTATATTAATATGATACTCATTTAGGTTTAGTAAGCCAAATTATTATGCTAATTAGATTATCGCTACGTATTAACACTCTGAAAAGTCTGGAGAGCATACAGACATCATAAGTAAAAGAAGCAAAAACAAAAATACACAGCCACACACTAAATATAGTTTGATATTCTGAAACCACATTTTTCTCCTTACTTGGATTGCTCTTTTTTTCATCGTAATTGCTTGCTCACTCATAACTTCTGATTTTTTCACTAATAATTCCACTTTTTCACCTCTTGCTAGCACTTTATCAATATTTTCTATCATAATATTTTTGACTTGGTCTACACTAGATCAATTTTAATAAAATTATTTATTTTAAATAAATCCCAAAATTCATATAAAATTATATTAAAAAAATAATAAAAAAAAACCCACTAGATCTAATAGTTTGCAGTTTATCTGCATTTGGATCTGTATTAAAATAAATCATCCGAGTCTTCAAAACTTCAGCAAATTCTGCATTTACACCAAATGCTATTACTGTGTTAACAACCTGCCCATAGCGCTTCATAAAGTTTGATTTTATATCGTCTAGAAATAAAAAGCAGATTCTCCTAGGGAATTCTGCGTCTGAAAGGCAAATGAAGACGATATTTTCTTCAGAGATGTAATGATAGCAGTATTTTTCGTTATATGTGTAAGAGAATTTGCCACTTCTGGGTAATTTAGAAAGAATGTTTCTTGTAATTTGAGGGAAATTGCCTTGGGCTCGGGAATATTCCGATAAAACAATATCAGGATCTCTGACTACGAGGGCATAGATAATAGAAGACATTTTTTCGATTTATTATAAATTAGGCATATAAAGCCTTTTAGGATGAGCAGACGTCATCTGTTAAAATTAAATTTAACAAGTTTTTAAAAATAAACGAGCAAAAGTATCATTTTCCTAAGTTCCCTTTCCTTTAAAAATTAATCTAATACGAATAATTTGTTTAGTATAATGATTTTATATCATCTTCTGCCAATCAGAAATTTGTCCACAGACTATATAAAATATTTTAATTAATAGTAAGGATTATTATAAAAATATTATTATGTTTAAGATACCTTCCATCTGAAATTAAATTAAATTTTTTCTTCGAATAGTCATTCATTGAGATTTTTGATAAAAAATTAACCAAAACAATAGATTATTGGCTTACTCAAAAAGCAAACAGGATAGAAAAAACCCATTTATTATCCATTTAATAGCAATAAATTAACAATGAAATAATAAGCCTTAACAATATATAAACAATTTCAAGAACTTATCAATTCCAGCATATCTATTATACCACCATTAAAGACAAATATGTCCCTTCTGTTAATATCAACCCACAATTTTATTCCTGCGCTTGTTTTCCACCTTCCTAAATTATTGTAGACAATTTCTCATTTCAAAATTAGTTTAATTTTCATTTAAAAGAGTAAAACACTTCTTAATTAAAGAAATTTCTTTAACGACAGCATTAAAAAGATTTATAGGAAATCGCTTTGTTTTCGTATCCTAGGCGAAGGAATAAGAAACGCCAACTCATTTTCGTTTCTATGAAAAGAAACGCAGGTTGAACGAACTGTCCCGACTAGCGATTCATGGTCAGAAAACTCATCATTACCCTTTACACTTTGTGGAGAAATATAAAATTCCTTTGGAGATTCTAAGTCTATGTCATCAAATTGGTCTTCTGTTGACAGCATGTTCAGAGCGGATCTGGTTAATTTTGGTGGATCATTAGATATGTCAATTTCTTCATGTTCTTTATAAGATTCTACGCAGCCCATATTTATAAGAGACATAAAGCTATGGAAACATGTCTTAAAAAGAAAACAAAAGATCGATTTTTTTCCTTATAAATTACTTGATATTACTATTAAATTATATTGGATTTTTCTCTAAAATAAAATACAAATCATACTAACTCCCCCAATCCTTGATCGAACGATTGACTGTAAAAATTCCTAAAAATTGGGGAAATTAACCCCCCATCCTGATCGAACTATTTTCATATCATGCAAATTTTTTATATAAAAATATATTAGCTATCAAAAGCTTGGGAAGATATACATAATGAAGTTGTTTTCAGAAGCTTTGAGACGACAGAAAGCTACGAGATCAAGTATCCGAAGTGATTTAGTCATCAACCTAGGCTTAAAAACTCAATAATCTAAAAAATAGAGATTCTTTTAAAATTTAAAAAAAAAAATTTAACTGAATAAGAAATAAATTTAAAAATTTATACAGTTTAAATGTAACTAATAAATCAAAATATTAAAAATTGGTATTTTATGATGAAATTAATTCAATTTTTTGCTGTAAAAATAATTATTAAATACTCTTAACCCTCTTATTTAAAAGTAAATAAACAAATATATATATATTTTTTTATTTTATATATAAAAATGTTTTTCCCAAAAAAATTTTTTTTAAACCCCATCCTTTATCGAATGATGGCGAGCCGTTCGACCAAGGATGGGGGGAGTAATAGATTTTTATCGATTAATTTATAAATATATCTCTGCTTATGGTGTTATCAACTATTTGTTTTAAAATCAGCTTTTATAGCATCACAGATTTTAAAATTTTCATATTTATTTTAAAAATTCAATATTAATATATAATTTAAAATAATATATCCCAAATAAAGCATTAAAGACAGAGCATAAAATTAATCTTTTTTCACAAATTTTCGCTTTGCTCTTCCATTTTGATTCCTGGGAAATTAATCTAAATTATGGCAAAATAAAATGTTCTGGGCTGCAAGCTTGTCAAAAGATGAGCCCCTGACTATAAAGCCGTTCAGCAGCCAGGGCGAATTTCTACATATATCTCAAATTATTTTACATCCTATGATGTCACCAACCACAACAGTGCTTTTTGTCAAAGTTGATGGAAATAAAATTCCAATAGGATACTTAAGTAACGAGAACAGCATGATTAAAACAAATTTATCGTTCCACACATCGACCCGACCTGAATTTACAGCTGAAGGCTCATACCAAATCACGCTTCTTGGGTATTATGAATTGAAAGAGGATTATAAGGAGCTAGATTCTAATGAAGAAAATGAGGAAGAGGATTTATCTGAAGAAGAAAGTGAGAGTGAAGAAGAAAAAATAGAGCACCAGGCAAGTGAAGAGGAGAGTGAGGAAGAAGAATTAGAAAATAAAGAAGAGAGCCCTGAATCTTCAAGCAACGAAGAAGAGGATACTAAAGAAGATATATATTTTTTTAGAAAAATCAATAGTTTTATTTTGATATTATCGACAATCTATATCTTTTATTGCATTTTAATTAGGGCATAGGCTTTTTAGCATAAAAAATGGCTCTTGGCGAATTATATTATAATATCATACCATCAAAACGTCCTGAGCCTTTTCAGCCAATTTTGCCGGGAAAATCCCAAAAAAAACAAGATTCTCAAGAAAAAGATATTAAAGGAGGGGACAGTGACAGCTTTGACTTAGAAGGTCCGCAGCAAGAAATCAGTGATTTGATTTGATTAGATTAGGATGGGTATTTATAGTCCCCTTCCTGAAGTGACGTACGTTCAGAGGCGAACACCTGTGGAGTGGGCTCCCTCAAGACAGCCTGAGCCAGGCCGATACCCCCAATTTCTCAGTAAGTCAGATTTTGCGGAACCTCCATTTCCACCCAAGTCCCAAAATTATTCAACCCTACATAGCTTAGGCCAGATGTTCAATTGAGAGACCTTTTGGGACTGGAGAGACTAACCCTGAGATCTTAGTCGAGCCTTTCTTCCCCTTTTACTTCGGATTATAGGGAAAAATTCAATGCACTTGCGCAGGTCCCAGGCAGGCCACAAAAGCAGCTTATGAAGGTAATCGCCCTACCTCTATATGACACCTTCTGAGCGCTGCTGGCAAAAAAATGCAAAAAGCCAAGCCAGTAATCAGCGGGAGCAGTGCTGGGCCTCCTGCTTCGAGGCTAGCCCAACCCTTGGGCAGCTCTTTGCACCAAACCAGTCCGGGTATGCATAATGGAAACCGCCACGTGGAGGACGAGTCACACATCACCGGTCATTTTATGTATATCAAGAAATCAGTGAAAATAGCAGCGAAGGAGAAGGCGAATTATTCAAAAATACATGGGAAGTCCACGATGACTACGATAGAAGAGATTTTAGAGGTGGCAGATTTAGAGGTGGCAGAGGAGATAGCAGAGGAAGAGGATTTAGAGGAGACAGAGGAAGTTTTGGAAGGAAAAGAGACTTTAGAGGTGGCCAAAGAGACTTTAGAGGTGGCCAAAGAGATTTTAGAGGCGGCCAAAGAGACTTCAGAGGTGGCCAAAGAGATTTTAGAGGCGGCCAAAGAGATTTTAGAGGCGGCCAATCCAGAGGAGGATTCAGAGGCTCAAACAGAGGAAATTTTGATAAGCAAGAAAACAAGCACCGCTTTTTCTAGACTAAAATTCTTTTAATTTTCAATTTACCATTATGAAATATTTGCGTATTTAGGCGCTTTCAACACAAATATTTTATTTGTTTGGCTTAGCTTACTATTTCTAGCCATATGAATCCTCGAAAGTAAATATTCTGCTTTGGTTTTCTGTATCAAATAGTCTTGCTGTGCTAAATATCCTCTGGTTTCACTGACATTTTCTATCAATTCCCTATATTTTTGAATTTTTTCTTTAATTTCATTAAGCTGAGGTACAGGGCTTGGTGGGATTTCGTTCTCCCCAAATTCCTTATCTTTCATAGCATCATAAATTTGACTTAAAATCGGATACCTGATGTCTCCAAATCCTGAAGGAATTTCGTTTGATTTTGTTCCCAGCTTTAAATCTCCTATTTCATTAATTGGCAGCTGTAAAAACTCCCACAAGCATTGGGAAGCTGGCTTTTGGAGCTCTTCAGATATACTGAGGATATATATAAAATGTAGAAAATTCTGCTTTATTTTTTCTAAATAATAGAATTTAGATAGAAAAATCATAAAAAATATAATGAAAATAAGGATATTTTTTCCCAGTTATCTTTATGTGTATAAACAGCTTGCAATAATGGCAAAGAAATACTTGTTTCAGCTTGAAGCTTCACAGGGTCACTTGTCTGTCTTACAAAATCATCAGGAGATAGAATCATCGGTATGTTTCCTTCTCCAAAGCATTTTGCACATAGATTCAGCATATCGTGGCTATACCAGACTTCTTCACATGGTTCTCCGCAGTACCCGCACCATTTAGCGTCAGGATTTTCTATAATATCTTGCTTTTTAGACTGTATTACAGCTTGATACAAAGGCTGAGGCCTCGTGCTAGGGTCTACCTCAAAGTTAATAAGTCCCCATTTTTCAAGGAAAGCATGAAGTCTGACTATTGCACAAGCGTCCCCAACCAGCGTCCTCCTACATGTGGTAGCCGTCAAATATTGTTTCGGATTTTCTCTATAAGCGCGGATTATATATATTTTTTTATATTAAATTCCTAATTTTATATATAAAAATCTATTATTTACTATAAATAACTATAATTTCTAAAATGCATATAGGTAACAGGAGTTTTGCTCGGATATTTCCCTGAAAAAAACTCAGGCACTGACTCTTTTTCAATCTGATGGATTTCCCATGGGTTAAATCATGCAGAAGACGTAGGGATCCTGGCGCTTGGAAATGGTTTATCCTCTTTCATTTCAGGGTCAATAGAGATCGGCTCTACTTCGAACTGTGGGTTTGGCAAAGGAGCCTCAATTTCTGTTTGTGGAGGCTGATAAATTGGTCCTTCTTCTTCTACCTTGTACCCATCTTCAGTCTTGGCTAAGTACAGCACGATTTGTTCACTCCACATTTATTAATATTTATCATGTCACTATTTAAAACACCATTTAGTGCCTATTCGTTAGCTTTTAGCCCATATGAGCAAGACAAAGTAGCAGTTGCAACCTCTCAGCACTTTGGGGTAGCAGGAAATGGGGCACTTCATGTATTACAGCTTGGGGTTCCTTTTATGAGAGAAATATATAGAGCAAATACTCAAGATAACTTGTTTGATGTATGCTGGCTTGAAGGGAATGAACATCAGATATTGGTAGCGTCAGGAGATGGGTCGGTGAAGTTATATGACTTGGCTTATCCACAGCCGATTTTAAATCTGGTGCAGCATACTGCAGAAGTATTTTCAGTCCACTCGAATTATATACCTATTTATAGGGAATATCTATTTAATTGTGTGAATATAGTCCTTATTTATGTAAAATACTAAAAAGATAGCTTCCTATAGATATATAATTGCTAATTATCAAAAATACCAATTCACTAAACAAATTGTATCAGGGTCCTATGATGCATCCGCAAAAGTATGAGACTTAGTCACTGGTGTGTGCACCCACAACTTTGCAGAGCATTCTTCACATGTGTACTCCACTATATGAAATCCAAGAATGTAATTGCTAGCCTCCCACTTCAAGAGCGAGTAAGGTTTGTTGCTGTTCTTAAATGGATTAATTTTTATCAATTCTAAAACATCCAAATATTCGAAAAGTAAATCTAATTTGGTTTATAAAAGTGCGAAGTGTCTAAAATTTAATAGAATTAGTTATATATAAAGCATTTCATGTGGAAAATTTTATATTAATCACCTTTCACTAACACAAAAATAGTTTGGCTCACCCTTAAAGTTGGGAGTAAGCAGCCCTTTTCACTTTTTATCTTCAAGCGGAGATCGAACTGCCAAAATCTGGGATACCAGACAGCCTCAATCAGTTTTAACAGTGCTTGGGCATGCAGGCGATGTGCTTTCATGTGATTGGGACAAGTACTCTGAATGCTTTGCAACAGCTTCTACAGATCAATCAATTTCAATTTGGGTAAAAATAACTTAGGACCCTAGAAATACTCAAAGAGCAATGATTATACTAACAGGCCATTCCCTAGGAATCAGAAAAGTCAAATATTCCCCATTCTATGGGAATATCCTCGTATCTGCTTCATACGACATGTCAGTCTGCGTCTGAAATTTAGCAAATCCAAGCGCCCCTCTAATTAGACACATGCATCATACAGAATTCGCCTCTGGGGTCGATTGGAATTTATTTAACGACAAGTAAGAAATATGCAGATTAATGGGATCTTGTGGGTGGGATGGAAAAGTCTGTGTGTGGGACTATGATAAGCCAGCTCCTCAAGTTTAAATTAAAAATTAATAGAAATATCAACAGATATTAACTTAAAAGTTAGTCTTGTAGAGACCTTTTTTATAAGGAGGCACATATGGTTTTCTTGGCTCCAGATTAATTTTTTTATTAGTATACGGCGATATTTGCTCAAAATTAATATAATTTTCTCAATTAATTTTTAGAGAAATGATTTTATAAGGAAATAGGCAATTTTATATAAATTTGTATACTTTTTACTGAAGGGTTATTTTTCAGCCTCAGCTCATTTTTTTTCTTAATTTTTGGCAAAGTCATGACAGGAACTTTAATTGGTGGCAGTATAGGGTCAGATCTTTTACTTTCATCCCCCGCCCCACTATCTGCGTCAAATCCTCCTCCAATGCTATGGGGTGATGGTACAATTCTCAGCGGCATTTCTTGATCCCTAATTTCTTTAAAATAAGGATGCTTCATACATTGCCGCGCAGATAGCCTGTCATCGCATTTATAAGTAAGCATTTTATTTATCAAGCTTCTTGCCATTGGTGATACATGAGGAATCAGTCTGTCTATGCCAGTTCCATCTTTTCCTGTAAAAACCAAGTTAATTGTTTGAGTTTTTTCTTTAAATTCGTCAAGAATTTCTTGAGGAGGAGTCCCTAACACATTATGGATTTTATCAATTTGGTCTAGTTCGTTTTCGCCTGGGAATAATGGAAATAAAGCAAGGATTTCAAAAAATACGCAGCCAATGCCCCATATATCCATTTTGTAGTTATAGTAACCATCAGTAAGCAAGCATTCTGGAGGTCTATACCATCTTGTACTAATGTACTCTGTATATGGCTGCTTGCTGTAGATTCCACGACATGACCCAAAATCAGCTAGTTTTAATGCATCATCAGCTAATAAAACGTTTTCAGGCTTGATATCCCTATGAAAAATCCCATTCCTATGCATATGGTCAATGGCTTTTAAAAGTTGCCACATAAAATTTTTTACTTTCGTTTCTGGCAAAAATTGCCTCCTATCTTTTGTATATTCATACAAATTTTGGTCCAAAAGCTCAAAAACGAGGGCAAGTCTTCCAGTTGGCTCATCGCTGAATACCAATTACTAAAGGATTTCAAGTAGCCTTACGATATGTGGGTGAGGGGATAATCTTCTAAGAGCTTGGATTTCTCTTAAATTATTGACTTTGTCAAGGCTATCAAAATGGTTTTTCATGCATTTTATTGCTACGTATTTTCCTGTTTTAATGCTTTGTGCTTTGAGAACTTCGCTGAAAGCGCCTTCACCCTTTTTTGAAATTAAACGATACTCTAGTTAGAGGTTACTGTGCATCTTATAATATGGTAACTGAATTGGTTATTATGCAAATAGCACCTATTTAAATTAGGCTAGCAACTATGAATTATATAGCTGAAATTTTATTTCCAAAGGGTAATCTAGCAAATCCTACCGAAGCCTCAAGTGATAGAAAGCAAATCCCCATAATCAGCACCCAAAAAGAACCATAAACCTTCCAAAGGTCCTATTACAATTTCTTCCCGCATAATCCTCACAATTCTCCAAACCATCAGGCATAATTATTGACATGGCTCAATAGTTGAAAGGAAAATGCTCAATAGTCTAAAATGTTCTGATTTCATTTTTGGCCATAAAATGCAAAATTATTGAGATATTATAGATTTATAGGCTGGAAAGCCAGACAAAATTATTATAATCATTATTTTAAAAAATATAATAATTATTAAGTCAAGGATTAAGAACTTCGTTTGATAGAAAGAGGTTTAAAAGATTTATTTAAAATAGACAGAACTTATTTAAAAAGAAGCATTATAAATAATTTATGAAAAAATTTATATGTTTTAAATGATATTCTGAACATAACTCAAGCGGAACATGAGCAGCAAACACACTTGCAGCTTTAAGGGAGCCAAGAGGTTCCCCCCGGAATTAATCATCAATCACTGTGCTTCTGATGATCAGGGCAAATAAGCTCTAATTGTCTTCTTTGCTTGACTTAAAAGAGCATCATGGCCAAATCCCAACAACGTGAGGGAAAAATTAACTATCCTGACAATGTCATTCTCAAAGCTAACCCTTATTGACATCATCCTCAACAACTAACTAAGAACTGTCCTTAATTTGACCAGATTGGGGGAGTAAGAGCTGCATATATATCACTTAAATTATTATAACCAAAATCAATTGAATCTCTTTCCTAATTTCTAATTCTTTTTAAGCAAAATATGGCTGACAAGCTTGAAACTTTAAGAGCTGCAGGAAGAGCAAGCATGCAAGCGTTAGTTGACAGAGCCCTAGTGCAAGACGAAGTGTCTCGCTTCAAAAGAATAAGGATGGAAAGAGGTGGATATTTCCTAGGGATTTTTATTTGTGCACCAATGGCTTACTTGTTTTGTAAAAAAATTATGGAAATGACTGCTCTTCATGAATATGGGACCAATGGGCTGACCCAAATATTTGTGCAGGGAGCTAAGAATTATAGGCAAATGTATGCTCCTCAAGTCTGGGCAAAGGAGAAAAAAGTCAGACCTTATGAGACTGTCCAGTTTGGAAAAATTCATTAAGTTAAACCAAATATTAGAAAATAAGCAGAGTTTATTTTAAAGGTAATTTTTATTTATTTATTCTGCTTTAAGCTCTGAAGAGATAGGATCTCCTTTCTCAAATATTCAATTTTGGCAGTAGTTTCTTTATTTGCTGCAGTCATATCTGAGTGAAGCATGTAATATGCAGCCCAAGAGCCTATACCAACTCCAGATAAAATTCTCAAAAGATCTCTTATCATTTTGTTAATTATTTATAATCAAATAAAATTATTTCTAGATTTCGTCCATTTAATAGATATTGCAATAAAATAGAAATTTGAAAAGTTAAATCTTCAGTGTATTAAGTATCTAATTACAATTAGTTTATCATTGTGCAACTAAAATTGATGAACTATTTAATAATATATTGTATTATCTATCTGAGCTTGAGAGTATTAATGCGCCTAGTGAAATAATTTATCAATATTAATAACTATTCATCATTTTCAGCAAATAAAAATTTCTTTTTCTATCAATTTTGCTGAGTTTTTTAATGAAAATATAATTTTTTGCACTATGTTTCATATTTTGCGTAATCCACGGTAGTTTAATTATAAACCAATAAACAATGGAAGAGCGCAAGCAACAGACAACTCCCCTACCAACACTTCTAGGCACACTAACACCAGAAGAGCGCCAAACCCTTGTCCGATTTAAAGAAGCACTAGGAGGGAATTTTGATGACCATACTTTAGGCAGATTTCTTCGTGCAAGAAAATTCAACTTTGATAAAGCAATGGAAATGTTTCAAAATTATGCCATTTTAGGTAAATTGACCATTTTTTAATAAGATTTACTATAGATTTTTAAGTAGAGAAATAAGGAATATCTTAGGTGGAGACAAGAGTTTGGCGTTGATCAAATTATGTCATATGAGTTCCCTGAGCTTGAGCAAGTAAAAGCATGCTATCCTCATGGATTCCATAAGACTGACTCTCATGGCAGGCCTATTTATATTGAAAGAATAGGATCATTAGACTTAAAGAGACTGTTCGAAATTACTACAGAAGAAAGAATGATCAGATATTATGTAAAATCTTATGAAACCATGCTGAATGTCCAAATTCCTGCATGTGCCATAGCAGCTGGACACCCAGTAGAGCAATCATTGACTATTCTCGACTTAGGAGGCTCTTCCACAAAATTAATGAGCAAAAAAGTGTACAAGTTTATACAAATGGCTTCAAAGATCGGACAGGATTATTATCCAGAAATGCTTGGGAGGATGTTTATTGTGAATACTCCTATGCTTTTTTCAGTAGCATGGAAAGTAATAAGGCCGTGGCTTGATGAAAGAACTCAACATAAGATTAGCCTTGAGGAATGCACATATTTTCTTGATTAAAATATTATTATAAAATTGAATTTGAAAAAAAAAATTAGCCTTGAAGGAAGTAAATTTCAGAAAAAATTATTTTTTTAATAGTAAATTTGATTATATATAGAATAGTACACTTTTATTGGAATTTAAAGATAATAGGATATTGGAATTAGCTCCAGCTGACAATGTTCCACACATTTTAGGAGGCAATTGCAACTGTGAAAGAGGCTGCCTTTACAGTAACGCAGGGCCTTGGAACGACCCATTAATCCAAGCACAGATTGGTATTAGAAATGTCCGTGTTTCAGAAGTCGCAGAACTAGAGTCACAGCGGAAACAGGCAGAAGAAGAAAAAAAGGGATAATTTACTTTCTTTTATTACTTATAAAAAAATTAAATTTAACAGAGGATTTTGCCTCTGAAACATATTTACATATAGCTAAGTCCAACCCCATTATCCCCTATAGCTGGCCCTGCCCCTTTTTTAGACTGAAGCGATTTTTTCTTAATGAAAGTTTCTGCAGCTACATAAAAATTACGCATCACAATTTTCTTGAAATCAGCAAAATCAATTTTATGCGAAGTCGAAATCCCTTCTTCTTTTAGCATTTTTTCCATTTCTTCAGCTGGTATATCAACTCCAGTTCTTTTTAATGCCAAATATATGTTACTAGGAGTGATTTTACCTGAGTTATCATGATCAAAGTATTTAAATGCAGCCCATAAAGTGGACTCTGTAAGTGCTGCTTTTCTATTTAGAGTGGCTGCAAGAAAATCAGAGTATCTAATTCCGCCATTTATTTTAGCTTCTGTATCGTTTAGGACATCAAAAATGCGTTCAATTTCTGAAGAGTCTGTGATTCCTACAGCATTTAAGCCTTGCTTTAGCTCTTCTAAAGTGATATAACCGTTATGGTCAAGGTCCAAGTGCTCAAAGACTTCTTTTAAATGCTGGATTTCATCTGTATCAAGGACTTTTACGATGATTTTCATTATTTCTTTTTTAAGTCTCCCTTTAACCTGATATTGTTTAAGTCTTTTTAATATTCTTTCGTTATTATAAAAATTTGACTTTTGGTTGATGCTAATAAACCATGGGTGTTTTAATGCATTTTCTGCAGTAATTCTTGTGTTATAATCAAAATCTAGCAGCTTAGATAGCAAATCTTTGCCAGCTGAGCTTATTCTCCGATATTCTTTATCATTTAAATCCAAAGTCCGACTTTTAATTTGCCCTAAAATCTCACTTTCGCTTTCTGCTCTGAAGGGTGGTTTACCTACCAATAGTACGTACATGACGATTCCTAAGCTTCAGATATCAGCTGGGGTCCCACAAATTCTGTCAAAAACTTCTGGGGCAATAAAATGCAGCGTCCCAACAACAGTATTCATGTCCAATAGTGAAGTGTCAATTCTTTTAGCAAAATCAAAATCAATAAGCTTTATATCAGAAAGTGATCCTTCTGAGGCCAGAAGAATATTATCAAGCTTTATATCTCGGTGGCATATCCCCATGCTATGCAAATAGTTAAGTGCTCCAAGGAGGTTTTTTATTATAATTGCAGTTTCTGTTTCAGAAAATGTTCCAACCTCGCATAGTTTTGACAGTAAGTCGCCGCCTGAACAATATTCAGTGACTATGTGGATAAATTTTGGGTCTTCATAGGCATAGAAAAATTTTACAATATTGGGATGGTCAACTGAGAGTATTTCTAAATCATATTTATTGTATATGCAAATATTAGGAAAAGCATATTCAGTGTAATAAAGCATAAAATCTCTAATTCTCTATGAATAACGTTCATTTTGTCTTCTATCATAGCTTTAATAAGACTTTTCACTGCATATTCCTGCTTTATAAGAGGATCTTTGCTTTTCGCATAGTTCACGTTGCCGTACTTTCCGTGACCAAGAACTCTGATGAACTCGTAGTCAAGGTGAATGTCTAAATAATTTTTACTTTTTTGCAAAAATACGTCTCGCAAAGGATTTAGAGATGCGCTTCTTCTTCGCCAGGGGCTTTCAATTGTTGGGATGTCTTGAGAAACTCTCACGTTTTTATTCTGTTTTTTCATACAGGCTCCCATCTTCTTAGATAAAATTATTAAAACTTTTTGGAATGGATGATCAATGCATTAATTGTGGTAAAAATATGATCAAAAATTAAATAAGTTAGCTCTTATAAAATTGTTCTTTTTTAGCAAAAAATAAAAAGTTGCATGCTATTGATTGATAAGATAATACCATTATAAGTCATGGCTGAAAAGAATTTGAATTAAAATGAAAATAAAATCGTTATCAAGAACTTGAATTTTTGAATTTTGAGATTATTTTTGGCTCTGCGAGAAGAGCAAAGAAATCCTTGATCCATTAAGTTTTGTTTTCCTTTATAATATTTTTTATAATTCGTAATTTTGAATAAATAAGGATTGTTTATAATATTTTTCATTTCTTAATAACACAAATATTTTTTAAAAATTCTGGCAGTACAAATATTTACTTATAAACCCTTTGCGAATTAAAATATCTTCATCTCAGCAATGATATTAATTACAAGCCTTAAAGATAATCAAAAACTAGACCAAATATAAATAAAACATCTTTGCTCTATTTTTTTTCTAAATTACAATTTTAAAAATTACAATTGTTTTTAATTCAGAAATACTTCTGCTTACATTATAACATTATTTTTTGTTTTTTATTGAATTTTCCCATCTGACAAAAAATTAAAATAAATAGTTTCCTAACCCAGTAATTTACGTATATTCACTAAAGAAAAATGGAAGCTTTAAGTGATCCACTAAACAACAGGGCAATCAAAGAAATAAAGCCGCCACCTCATCGGCCTTTATCAACAGAATTGTTGTTTCCTCAGAATAATAATGGAAAGCCTTCATGAAAAGTATTAAGAGAGCATTATCAAAGGGAAGGCTGCCTTTATAAAGCTGATGTTCTTAAAATTGTTGAGCTGGCAATAAATATATTAAAAGATGAACCAAACTTGCTAGCTCTGCAAGATCCAGTAACTATTGTAGGCGATATTCATGGGCAATACTTTGATTTACTTAAAATGTTTTCTATAGGAGGAAACCCTGAGACAACAAAATATTTATTTTTAGGTGACTATGTTGACAGAGGTTCATTTTCATTGGAAGTAATAATATACCTATTTTCTCTGAAAATTAATTTTCCGAATACCCTATTCTTAATTAGAGGAAACCATGAATGCCGACAGATGACTTCATTTTTTAATTTTAGACAGGAATGCTTATATAAGTATGATGCAGAAGTTTATGATTGAATTATGGATAGCATGGACTGCTTACCTTTGGCGTGTATTGTAAATAAAAAATTTTTGAATGTGCACGGTGGCTTATCTCCAGAATTGAGAAGTATTGATGACATAACCCGAATAAATAGATTTATTGAAACACCAAGGCATGGTGCATTCTGTGATCTTTTATGGTCAGATCCCATTGATCATCCAGAAGGAAGACTAATTGAAGGGTTTCGAAACAATGATGTGAGAGGGTGCAGCTATTTTTTTGGACAAGAAGTAACAAATAAATTCCTAAAGGACAATGAGATGATTTCCCTTATAAGAGCTCACGAAGTCCAGCTAGATGGCTATAAAATGCACCGGTGAAATGGTACAAGTGAATTTCCTTCAGTAATTACTATATTTTCAGCTCCAAATTATTGTGATTTATATGGAAATAAAGCAGCTATAATAAAATTTGACAATAATACGTTGAATATACAGCAATATAATTATACCCAGCATCCGTATTTATTGCCGAATTTTATGGATGTTTTTGAATGAAGCATTCCTTTTGTGATAGAAAAGGTGATGGAAATGCTGATGACTGTGATTAAAATAAAGCCGAATGATGATATTGATAATGAATATTTTGAGTCAAGATTAAAAGAACTAGAGGAAAGCGTTAGAGAAAATAGAAAAACTCAATTAGTGAATAAAGTCAAGAGTGTTTCACGAATGCTAAAAATACTCAAAACAGTGAGAGAAGAACATGAAACTATTATAAAACTGAAAGGGATGTGCCCAGACAATAAAATTCCAAAGGATGTGATAATGGCTGGGCAAAGTGCATTACACAATACTGTTGATAATTTTACTGGAATCAGGTCAGTTGATATTGTTAATGAAAAGAGGCCTGAGTAATAGGATATATTAGTTTATAAGTATTATTAAATTTTTTAAAATATTTTAAAAACATTCAAGCGATAATTTTTAGCTGAAATATTTGACTTTTCAACTCTTTTAAATAGATTTCAACAAGTTTCATCAAAAATAAAGTTCTTAAGAGAACTCGATATTTTTGTGCACGACGAAGACAAAATGTTTAAAAAGGATTGTAGATATAAAAGCAAGGAAAAAATTTATAATCATATATTTTATTAAAAAATACTTAATTTTGTGAAACAATTTAATTCAATGGCTAATTTAATATTAATATAAAATAAAATTGCATAACTTGAATCGGCTTCTTCTTAAGCTTAAATTTAAGATATAAGAATAACTATTATATTAGGTATAATAAATTCAGAAACTGAGTCTGAAAAAGAAGTTAGATTGATTGTTAAGCTTATTATTAACGTAGGAAATTAAAATTAAATTAGCTGGAACTGAGACTTAGAATAAAATAACCCCCGAAACTAAACAAGATGCTTTTTAAAAGTGGATATACTTTAGATAGCATTTATCTATAGCAGATATTTATTATTTTCGAATCTTTTATATAATTAAAAATTATATCCGCTAAAGGCATAGCTTAATTGAAATCTATCAGCCTGAACTTCTACCGTTTCAAATAGATATATAACCACACTAAAATAACTGCATATTTTTCCTAAAATTGTTGAGGATTCAAAGAGTAGAAAATAGCTTTATAATTAAATTTTGGCTTATTAAATTTACTTAATGGATATACTAATCTGCTGCAGACACTTTTTTAATAGGATATGGAATTCCTTTTTCTTTGTATTTAATCATCATTGCTCTCCTTAAATGATCACATTTATTGCCACATTTTTTTCTCTCGTGGCCTTTTAACGCTTTCATTATGCTAACTCTTACCTGCAAAGGAAGAATATCAACTTCTTCTTCATTATCAAATACTTTGCCTATCGCTGATATAGAAATTTCCCCATAGATGGCGCTGTTTGCCCTTGATTCGCCCATGAGGAAAATTTTTTGGTTTGGCCAAACCATATGGTACTGGTCGAACCAAAAAATTTTTCTCAGTGGGCAAATCAAGTGCAAACAGCGCCATCTATGGGAAAATTCTATATAAATTCTGGGTCTTTTTTTATTTTTTCGTAATTTTCTTCATAATTCTCAATAGTTTTTTGAGACACATTTTCAGACGAATTGCTTATATAGGATAAATTTGCGTCAGAATTTAAATCTGTATAGCTATCTTCTTGGCTTTTATTGAGAACTTTAGGACTTTTAATAGGCTTTTTGTAAGTTTTTCTCTCAAGAATTGCTTTGTATTCTTCAAATAACTCTCGTTGAGTGTCATCTTTGAAGGTTTTTTGAATTTTTTCTTCCTGCTTTTGCTTTAAAATTTTTCATTTTTTATCTTCTGGGCTTTCTGCTCGAATTTCAATGCTTGAATTGTTAAGTTTGACTTTTGAGGTTTGGATTTGAGAATCCCTTAAAAGTTTTGGTGACTGGGATTTTGGAGGTTTATTATTTGGAATTTTGGGAGATTTTGACTTTTTTGGAGGATCAGGGCTTATACTTTCTGACGGAAGTTTTTGTATCTTTTTATTATTTGCCTTTTGTTTTCCTGGCAATATTGCTTGATTTTGGCTGCAAGCCTCTGTGGCAATGGCTTGCTTTAGGTTTTCTACCTTAGTATTTTGTTTTTTTGTATCAGTAGGTCTATTTCCATGTGTTCTGTTTATTTTTCTATCACTAACAGCTTCTGTATTTTTGATTATTTTTTCTTCTTGAACTTTTTCTTTCTTTTTAGGCAAATCAATATCTCTCAAAAGCTCATTTTCGTCTATTTCTTCATGCTCATATGCTTTTCCGATTTTTTTGTGCCACGCTTCTGAAAGCTCCTTCAATCTTTTTTCATTTAATTTTCAGTTTAAAGTTAATTTATAAACTTCCTCTGACAATTCTTGGATTTTCGATTTTTTTGAGTCAGTTTTTGCATTTGCTGCTTTAACTTCATCTTTTAATAGGTTTATATTGATTTCTAAATTTTCTATTTTATCTTTCATAGCCATATTCCTTGCTTTTAAATTTTTAATTGTATCTTCATACCCAGAAGCTTGTTTTTTATAATGAAAAAGCTCTAACTCAACGTGTGTTAGATGGTCTTCAATATTATCACTAACATTTTTTCTCCCTTTTAGGAGCTCTTCAAGCTTTCTTTTTTCATTATAAACTTTTTCATATTTCTTTTGTAGCTCATAATACAAATCTTCCTCATTTTCTTCATTTTTTGTATAGTTACGGTTTATGTTTCTTATTATTCCAACTCATACTAATTTTTGGAAATTATATTTGGGCCTATTTTCTTTTTTCTCAAAATTTTTATTACCTATTATTACTGATAAAGAATACCTCAGTTTGTGTTTCTATATCAATTTTAGTTGCTTTAGACTGCATTTTTGATACATGTGCTATTAGCCCTTCTTTTATTTCCACTATTTTCTCTTGCAGCTTATCCGTGACTTCATCAATGTCAAGAACCTCAGGTGTATTTATAGGAGATGGCAGCGTTGTGTGCATTTTTATTAAAGAATCATACGCTTCAAAGAGCCTATTGGCTACTTTTGAGGATTTTATAGTATGGAGTTTTGTTTCTAAGCTCTTAAGAAACTGAATTTCTTGATTATAATTTTCAATGTCATCTGGGATAGCTTGCTCATCTGTCTGACTAAATATTTCTTTTGTTTTTGGTTTCTTTTTATCAGCAATTATTGTTGGCTTATTTAATAATTCTGCAATAATTTTCAAAAATCCTCGAAGACCTCTTATAATTCCTTTAGCTAATTCTTTGTCGCGAAATCTCAAACAAAATGAGATTCCTTCTAGGTAGGATTTATAAGTACTGATTTCTTTTTCTGTATTTTTTTCTTTGCTTACTCCCCCCCCCCCCTCCCGTGAGCGAACAAAAAAATTTTGTTCGCTCACGGAGGGGGGTTAATTTTTTTTTTTAAAAAAAATTTATATATAAATTTTATAAAAAATATTTTTTTCGAAATTTAAAAAAATCCTAATTTGCAAAAATTGGGAAGCAAATATTAATTTAATTTGCAAAATTTATGTTTTAAAACGCAATTTGTTTAAAATTAAACAGAATTAGCTCTAGATTTCATTATACTAATTATCACTTATATATCAAAATTTTTTTCCATTAAAATTTTTTCTATTAAAAATATTTTTGTTCACTCACGGAGGGTGGGTTTTTGGTCAAAAAAATGGCGATTTTTCTAATGGTTTTGTTCGCTCACGGAGGGGGGGGGGGGAGTTAGCTCAATTTCTTTAATATCTAATTCGTTTTCTAATCTAAAAAATTCTTTTAAATGCAATTTCTGCTCTTTTGTTTTGCTTGGCAAAACAACTGACATGTCAAGAGAAGAAGTTTGTTTTGTGCTCTCTAAAAAAAATTTAGAAGCAAGCACAGACTCTACTGGAAAATTCCTCATTGTGTTCAGTTTTTCATCTTTTCGTATTGGAGATATGTTCCCAAGAGACAATTTAGGAAACTTTATATTCATTTTAATGTGTCGAGATAATTCAGGAAACTTTATATTTATTTTAATGTGTTATTATTCGTCTTTACCCCAAATATCAGAATCTTTCATGGTCCTAACTATTTTTTAATAAATTTTATTTTTTTAAAAAAATAAATTATATAGCTTAACTATTTTCAATAAAGTTTTATAAGGAGTAAGGTACTCATTAAACCTCTTATTCCCGTCTCTTCTCTTGAAAACAAGGTTGTCGCCTTTCCATCTTCTTCTTTCCATTTCGTCCTCCCACTTTTTTTCTTGTTCAAAATACTCGCTTGCTTTTTGTGCATCTACATCTTCGTTAAAAGTTTTGCTTCTTGCTGTTATTTTATCAGCTAAATCTACTTCTTTTCCTTGTTTTCTTTGTGATTCTTTCCACTCTTCATATTTCCTCGCTCTTTCTTGTATCGCTGGGTCGTTTGGATCATAGTCATACATTTCTTCATCCTCTGAGGTATTTTCTTTGACAGTGAATATTTCTCCTTTTCTCATTTTTTTTACGTATTCTTCGAGCTCAAAAACGTCTTTTGGTGGTTCTTTGTTAAAGCTATATGGCTTATCTTTAGAAAAGTCATTAATAAATTCTTCTTCATTTGCCATTTTTTTCCATTTAGGGTTTGCCTTGTCGAATTCTCCAATTTCGTTTATTAAAGCTCTTTCCATATCTGGGTCAAGCTTAAAGCCAGCTGCGTAATACTGCTCAGTGATTTCTTTTAAATCTGATTTATTCGGCTCTCTTGCTTGAGGCCATTTTTCTTTCCAGCCTTTGCCGACATAGTAAAATTCTCGAGATCTTGTTCTGGAAGCTGTAGGTTTAACTCTTTCAACGCTCGAAAAAAATTCACATATGTATTTATAGTGTTCTGGCTCGTCCATCCCATCAAGCATTTTCATCAAAATAGTGGCTCCGGGTTTTACAAGTTTTGTTGCAATTCTTATAGCATCTAATTGAAGGGAAGCAATTTCTGCGCAATCTACATCTCTATCGCCAGTATGACTTGGGGACATGTCATTGATTAAAATATCACATGGTTCAGTCCAAACTTTGTAAATTTTATCAATGGAGCCTAAATCAGTTAAATCAGCAGTCACAGTGACACAGCCAGGAATAGGATCAATTGGCAGAATATCTATAGAAAGCACTAGAGGGTCTTGAGGTGTTGACTTCACTAGATCAGCTGCCACTTGGCTTCATGAGCCTGGGGATGCTCCTAAATCCACCACTCTCATTCCTGGCCTCAAAAGGTTGTATCTTTCATTCAGTTCCAGAAGTTTGAACGCGCTTCTGGCCCTGAACCCTTTTTCTCTTGCCATTTTGACCCAGTGGTCTTTGGTTTGTCTCTGTACCCAATCAAAACTAAATCTTCGAATTTGCCTTGATATGAGCATTTTTTATGAATAAAAATAAATAAAAATCTCATAGAAAATATTTTTTTGCCTATTGAAATAGAACCAAAAGAGAACAGATTTACCGAGTCTTATTTATAAAAATCCTTATTTCAATAAACTTGGCAAGTGAATTGCAAGCACCGTGATGTCATCCACTACATCTTCTTCATTAGTGATCCATCTTTGCCAAGCCAAAGATGCTAGATTCTGAGCTCCTTGTCTCACATTTTTCCCTGATTTCGCAATTGTATCAGCGGCTTCTTGGTCTTTTACAAACTCCCAGACCCCGTCGCTACACATAATAATATACTCAAAATTATTCCAATTTCCTATAAATTTTCTACTCCTACTTTTATTTTCCTATCAAAATATTCTTTATGTAAACAGTATATCTTGAATTGGTACATCTTCATATTGCGGAAGTGGAGAAACCCCCACCATCTGTGCAATGGCATCGCCTAATGCTCTGCTTGTAGAAAGCCCTGGGTAGTCTTTTCCCTTCATAAAGATCCTATGAGGAACGTCGTCAGGCAGCTGCTTGACTTCTCCATTGCAGGCCTGAATTCTTTGCAACTCGCCGGCTAAGGTCGGCTTGTGGTCAGTAGTTAAACGCTTCGCTTCAATGTTTTCTCCATTTTTTAAGCATAAAACAGCTCTGGAATCGCCAACGTGGCCAATGAAGATGTGGCCATTTCTAATCAGGACAGTGGTAGCAGTAGTGCCTGACATCATACAGTCGTAGGTAGACTCTGGCTTGTCGCAGTGCTCTACTAAAGAACTATTGGCTCTGAGAAAGGACTGAATAATGGCTTCATGGATGTTTTCTTCAAATTGTTCATGTTTTATATGCTAGACCTATAAGAATTTTCTGAAAATTCATATAAAACTAAATTAATTTAAATTCATAAATTTCAGGGTAATTAATTTTGGTAGCAGCAAATGAATAAAATTCGAAATTTCGTGCCCATAAGCCCCATGACCGTCAAAAACTCCGAAAAATTGAAACGCCTTGTCAACAAGCACAGTGAAATCATCTTGGTTGTGAGGATCTTCTTTGAGGCCTTTTTTACAAGCAATCCCAACCCCTATGGAGCTGACATAGCTCATATTTGAATTTTCACCTTCAAACCGGATCCTCTTATCTTCAAATCCGTTTTGCCGACCTTCATGTGGTGCGCCAGCTACTAAAATTCTGGAATTTTTTGATTCATTTTGCCCATAAATAAAATGGCATTCGGTTCAAGTGAAATTAACTCCGCTAATTTTCTCTCCCTCATGAAATTTTATTTATGGGATTGGGTTTTCTTTCTGATAACTTCTGTACAGCAACAACAGTTTAACTCTGGCAGATAAGCCGAGGCGCTGCTCCAAGTACTTCAAGAGGCTCGAAGTTTTACCTCTCAGCGCACCCGAGGAGGGTGACCCTTAAGCAGAATACGTGAGGAGCTGAGCCAAAGAAGCGAGGCAAGCAGCCCTTCTAAGCCAGAATGCTGTATTTGCCCATGCCCTGGCGTAACGAAGTGGATCGATCCAGAGGTCCATGGGTCCGCACGTGGACAAATATTGTGGCAGCTCTGGAAACGGCTACCTTGTAGTGGATGCTAAACGATATAAATCTAATGCTAACGTTAATGATTCGTTTTGCCCATCTTCTGGGACACCATGCGACTTCTCTGATTTTGTAATGGCTTCTTTCACTGATGTTAATAAGTCTGAGTCGATGTTTGCCAAAGGAGTTTTGGATGGCACTACTGACAACCGTACATGCTGCTTCCTTATAGGTCTTTGGAGCTGTGCTGGCTCTTTTTCTTTGGTTTCATAAGTGGCCATAGGGGATTGCTCTTTTTTGGTTGAGGATTCCTTTTTTGGTTTCTGCATACAAATACCCATAGCTTATGTGACTAATTTACTATACTTTAATGCAATGATTGAATTTTTTAATTAATTATGCATAATTAATAGTGATATTTATAGGAAATGGCATAAAGATTTTAGATATGAAAATTATTTTTATGCAATATTTTGCGAACCTTAATAGAGATTTTGGGATTCTCAATTAAGTCCTTCTCCAGTTATGAGAATAATAAAATCATGCTATTATTATATAATGAATTACTCTTATTTGCATATATGCTTCTTATTGAGATCACGAAAATGCAAAACAAGTGTCTGCATGTATTGGCCTATTAAAAAATTAACAATGTTTGCTCCTGCTGAACCGCTATTATGATTTGTGCTAAAATGACCTAAAGATGGCCATCGATATACTCAACAATTTGGAAGAGCCGTTTTTCAAGAGCATAAAATTGAACTAGCCTTATGATATCAAGAATACTATAAATAAAGCAAAAAGATCAGGAAGATTAAAAGTTAGCCAATTTTTAATAGATTATTAGTATCTAAGAAGGCTTCAAATAAGCTGGAGAGATAGACCATGCAGTATGTACGAGCAATAGATTTAAATCACAATGTTTTCATATATTAGGGGATTTTATATTTTAATTATCTCAACCTTGCTTTTTGCCTATAGTTTGTAGTTCCTATTTTATAATTTCAAAGCTAAAATTATCTGAATTTTGTTTTTCTATAGTCAAAATGTATTAGCCTGTAAATAAATGGGATATCAGCTATAAAAACCCAGAAAAATCTTAATGAAGCTGAAAGGGCATAAATATTTAAAATTTATTTAAAAATTATTTAAGTAAGTGCAGCTTCAAGATACAAATCATCAAACGGATCCAAATTCGCCACCGCATTTTTTAGCTGGCTATTAAGTGCTGCTGCTTTCAGATCATTATTCTTTTTCTCCTCAGCTTTTTTCTCTATTTTATCAGGCTTTTTCTCAACTTTTTTCTCTTCCTTTTTCTCTTCTTTTTTCTTTGCAGGCATTTTCTCTATCTTTTTCTTGGCATTTTTCCCTTTCTTCGGTTTTTCTTCATCTGAATCCTCAAAAGAATCCATATCGCTTGACCCTTCATCTGACGGCATTTCGCTCCCTTCACTGTCCATTTCTCCTCTAACTTCTTCATTTTCATTGATTTTTCTCTTTTTCGTCCCTATATGTTTTTTAACTGCTTTAATCCATTGCTGAATCATTGTCTCTCTGACACCTAATTTTAATGCAATTTCTGCAGTGTTCTTCCCACTCATGCTCATTTTGATAGCGATTTTCTTTTTTTCTTTTGTAAGGTCTGACTCTGAAGCGTTTTCTGAAGGGCTTGATGAGCTTGTGAAATATTCTGACATAGAAGAAGGCAAGTGAAAGGTCTCACAGGCTTTTTGTGGGCCTAATTTGCAGACGACGTTGGAGATAAGCTCTCGGATTTTGATAAAAAAAGGTTCTTGGTCGAAATCAAGACCTTGGATTAAGGATCTGATTTTTTGCTCATCAATACCATGGAGCTTCTTGGAGTGTTCAAAGCCTTTAATAATTGCGCAGAGAGCAGCTTCTTTCATTTAATTATAGCAGGCCCCCAAGTTGTGAATTTTTTGGATTATGAGATTTACCTTAAATTAATTTTATTATGCTTGATAGCAAAAATAAGCTATTAGAAAAAATAGCTAAATCCTTCATATGAAATATTTAAAAGAAGCCTATTAGAAATATTATTTTAAACTAAAAATTTTCTTATAGCCTTTGTAGTAAATAAATTTTGATTTTTAATATAAAATCATAATTAATTCAAATTATATAGCTGCAGTCCTAAGAAATTGCCTTGAAATATTAATAAGTGCGTCTGTTGACAAACTTGAAAAATTCGGCTTTAATTTCTCTTGGATCCATTTGGGAAGCTTATCTTTCTTTTGGCTATAAACATATCTTTTATCTGCGAAAATTTGTAAAGCATAATTATTATTTGGTCTTAATGCTTGGCTCATACAATAAACTGTTTGTCTCATTGAGTCAAAATTAAGCATTTCACTTTCTTCAATTGAATATTTTTCTTTTATATATGTAAGTCTTGCTTTTAGTATTTTTTATTAAATTAAATAGGACTATATATTTATAATTTTTTCTAATTTAATATTAAAAAGCATACCCGACTCAGCACATCTTGATAAGGGACTCCAAAAATAACCACACATTTGCACCATGCTGAAAAAATACTCACAGCATCAACTGCATATCCATTTGTTACACAAAATAAAACAGCCCCTCTTCCAGAAGAGCATGCAAGCTTGAAATTATATAAAGCTATTTGTGTTTCCCTCACATCACGGCTTTCAAAAAATACCAATTTGTGGTCCAACAGCCTATAAAGTAAGCCAGTTTCGTTCCATTTTAGCACAATGTCCTCTAAATACTTATATCCAGTCACAAAACAAATGATTCCGTCAGGAATGGTATCAGCCAGCTCCAATAATAAATCCCCATAATTCCTAATTACCCCTTCATCACTTTTTTCTTCTTTAGCTGAAACTGCCAATTGATCAGATCCTTTCGTCAGCATTAGTGGGCAATATATTGAAGAACAGCTTAATTCTGTCTTAAAACTTGGGGAAAGGCCTAATAATTTTGAAAAAATTTCAGGCGGGGTGCAGGTTGCTGTTACAAATAAAGATGAGGAAAAGGAGCTTAATATAGGAGATAAGCAAAATGTAGCGTCAAGGCAAGTTAATTGTAAAACAGGAGAGTAAATGTTTTGAGACTCTGGGTGGGGCTCAAAAACTATTATAAAACCTTCTGAGCTGTTTGCTAAAATTGTGCAAAATCTGCAGAGCAGCTGAAGAGGGTAGTATTCTTTAGGCAAAATGTCAGAAAATAGGGTAAAGAGAGCATGGAGGGAAAAAATCGCGAATTTCAAGCAGTCAGGCTCGATTAGAGCGTTAACTTTTAAGTCGTAGAGCATTCGAGATCCTGACTCCCCCCCCCCCCCTCCGTGAGCGAACAAAAACCATTAGAAAAATCGCCATTTTTTGACCAAAAACCCCACCCTCCGTGAGTGAACAAAAATTTTTTTAATAGAAAAAAAATTGATATATAAGTGATAATTATTATCGTGAAATATCTAGCTAATTCTGTTTAATTTTAAACAAATTGCGTTTTAAAACATAAATTTTGCAAATTAAATTAATATTTGCTTCCCAATTTTTGCAAATTAGGATTTTTTTAAATTTCGAAAAAAATATTTTTTATAAAAATTTATATATAAATTTTTTTTAAAAAAAAAAATTAACCCCCCTCCGTGAGCGAACAAAATTTTTTTGTTCGCTCACGGAGGGGGGGGGGGGGGAGGGAGTGGAGTGAGTATATTTTTGGTTCTTTTGATCTTAAAAGCTTTCTTAGGTGGACTGCAACCCTTTTAATAAATCCTAAAAAATATTCCGGCTTTCTTATTTGGCCTGGGACTGTTCTCTCCATCAAGCTATCAGGAACAGAAATAGCCATTAAACTTCTTTCAAAAAAATTCGCAGATTTTAAGTTCTAATTATACTTAATTTAATATATTAATGGATACTTTAAAAAATATACTAGGATATAATATTTCTGCCAAACTGATCCAAAACAGAATAAAATTTACATTTTTCATAGCATTGTAATAATTTTGCTTCAAATTTTGATCAGTGGTTTCAAGAATCTGCAAAATAGCTTTTATGTTTCCTAAAGATTCTGATAATAAGTTTAAATTCAAATTTATGCTGCATTCGTCTAATATTGTGGAGTCAAGATTATGGGAATCTAAAAATAAAATCGCGTTTTTTTGATTAAGGGTTGATTTTAGATCTGAAAATCCGGACTGAAAGAAATACTGGTGGGTACAAACAATGACTTCTGCTTGAGACAAAGCACGTCTTTGTAAAAAATAAGGGCAGATCCCAGCAAGTTCGCAGATATCTTTTAGCTCTTTGCTTGTTAAGACACCATTGATAAAAAAATTTGGCTTTTCTTTGAAATTTTCATAGTAGCTGCAGCCTTGACTGGCGTTGCAGAGCTCGAGACACTCTGATTCGACTTCAATTCTTTCTTTTGAGTTTACTTCATTGTTAAGGCACAAGCCTTTCTTGTGTAAAATTCCAAATGCAAGGCCATCAAAATTTATTTGTTTAAGTCTTTTGAGTATTTCGTCCACTTCTTCAATGTTTTTAGTACAAATTATAATTTTACTAATCTGGGCTGATTTTTTATAGAGAGTGATAAGCGAGATTAGAGAGGAAAGATTGTGACGCTCTGGATGCATTTCAATGATGCCTTGCCCACCTTCTTCTAGTAATTTCTTTATTTGCTCTGAGATGGGCTCCATATCTATTTTATATTATACTTTTACGAACACTTCAAGCAAACAGCTCGATTTATGTTTAAAAATAATTAAAATATCAAGATCTATTTTTCGAATTCTTCTACTCGAGAATATGCAGAATTAGGTAAAATTAAAATGCCAATTTGCAAGATAATGCCCTTTTAGTGCAAATTAATGCTTATAGCTTGATGAAAATTAAATTAAATTTAATTAAATAAATATGTGTCTGCGTTAAATTTCATAATATGAGGAATTTTTAAAAAAATTATTAACAAAATACCTAGATAAGCATTTAACAGGCGTTTTTAGAAGAGAAGATACGTAAACTAGCATCATAAAGTCCCTAAAATTATTACTCAGTCTTAGATAGACTCTATGGAGGCTTAATTTATGTAAATTTAATTCAGCAAGGTTATTTGGAAATCTTATCTTAAATTTCCCTTTCTTTTTCAGTGATATTCTTAATCTTCTGATCATAAAAGAACACAGATGCCCACAAGAATATTTGAGTCACAATCAACCAGCCATGACCTACATAGTTCATAGAATATGGTTTCCAGTCTTCAGGGAATTCATGATAATACGTAATTCTGCCATGTTCATCAATTGTTGGCGGAAAAGTCCTCACACCGTTCACGTAAATTGGGATTTTTGCCTTTGGGTCAGAAGGATGAAGAGGCTTGACGTCTCTTGCTGCAAGAGTAAATGATCGTCTTAGAAGCCGAGTAAGCACCATTTATATATATGAAGTGAGAATTATAGAGGTTTGAGAGGCAATGTATGATCATTCAATTGAAATAAGGATGAAGACTAGCAGAGTATTTAAATTTTAAAAATTATTGAGAAAATTATATATTATAAAATTAGCTGTGAAAAGCATTATTTATTTTTACTCACTAGGTTTCAAATAAGTAAAAGAGTTTTTAGATAAATCAAAGAGGCAATAAATTGCAGCTGAATTTGATTTTTCCAAAATTTTATTTTTTCTTTATAGAACAGAAGTTGTGTTTGACAAATTTATTATTTAATTGAGAAATATAATAATATTTCATTATGCAGCCGAAAATTAAATTTTATAAAAATTGGAAAGCTAATATTTTTCATACACTGCCCCTTGATTAGCGAGCAAAACTATTATAGAAAATATCCTCCTTCATGAATAAGAAAGCCTTTTTCTTTAAATTTTGGACATAATCTATTGTTAATATATAATTAGTGATTATAATAATAAAATCTTAACTCCCCCCCCATCCTTGATCGAACGACTCGCCGTCGTTCGATCAAGGATGGGGGTTAAAAAAAATTTTTTTGGGAAAAAAAAATTTATATATATTTTTATTTACTTTTAAATAAGAGTGTTAAGAGTATTTAATAATTATTTTTACAGCAAAAAATTGAATTAATCTCATAAAAAATACCAATTTTTAATATTTTGATTTATTAGTTACATTTAAACTGTATAAATTTTAATTTGTAATTAATTTTTATTTTTAAAAATTTTAAAAGAATCTCTATTTTATTAGATTATTGAGTTTTTAAGCCCTGATTGATGACTAAATCACTTCGAATGGTTGATTCCGAAGCTTTCTGTCGTCTCAAAAGTCTCTGAAAACAACTTCATTATGCACATCTTCCCAAACTTTTGATAACTAATATATTTTTATATATATAAAAATTTTGCATGATATGAAAATCGTTCGATCAAGGATGGGGGTTAATTTTCCCAATTTTTAGGAATTTTTACAGTCAATCGTTCGATAAAGGATGGGGGGGGGAGTAAGCAAATTAATCTAATATAAGCAAATTAAATTTAATTTTAGACAAATAGTATTCTAAAACATAAACTGTATAAATTAAATTAGATTTTTAATCAAATTCAAATTTTTTAGAATACAGAAAAAAAAATGATATAGAAATTTTATATAAAGTTTAACAAAAATCTCTCTTCTAACAAGCAATAAAACTTGCTCTTAGCGAGGAAGGGGAGTTAAATTTTATAAAATTCTCCTTGTCCTCTCATAAATATACTCAACTCAATCTAGCACAGTATATCTCTTTTCTTGTAAATTATTATTTAGCTAATACAGCGCAAAGTAGATTACCTATTAAAAAAAAATAATTTAGCCAAACTAATTATCAAAAAATGAATAAAAAATCCAAACAAATATAATAGGAATTAATATATGGGTAATTCAAATGGAATGAAGGTAGAATAATACTCAGATGTGCTGCAGTACAAGTTTATGCGCGCCTCAATATGAACTCCAATTTATTGAGCTCGAATATCCTCTCCGAAGCCCTGAAGTGCTCTCAGAGCAAACAAATCGAAAAGGAAATGAAAATGCTTCAAAGGACGAGTCCAAGCCTGAACACATTTCAATCATAAGAGAATCATTTCACCTTGAGCTCGCTACTAATGACTCTAAATATGATGATGCATATAGACACAGGCTTGAGCAGTGCTTAAATTATGCAAAAGTCTTGAAATTAAAAGTTCTTACCTCAGCCTTAATAATTTTTTTTATTAAAAAATAATTCTCTTCTGAAAAGCCTAAATTCGGATATTCATAAAAAAATATTTTTATGGGAATTTAGCTCTTCAAGTCTTCCCAAAAATACAGTGATCTGCATAAATGCCTTACTCCCCCCCCCCTCCGTGAGTGAACAAAAAAATTTTGTTCACTCACGGAGGGGGGTTAATTTTTTTTTTTTTAAAAAAATTTATATATATAAAATTTTCTGAAAAATATTTTTTTCGAAATTTAAAAAAATCCTAATTCGCAAAAATTGGAAAGCAAATATTAATTTAATTTATAAAATTTATGTTTCAAAAAGCAATTCGTTCAAAATTAAATAGAATTAGCTCTAGATTTCATTATACTAATTATCATTTATATATTAAAATTTTTTTCCATAAAAAATTTTTGTATTAAAAAAATTTTTGTTCACTCACGGAGGGTGGGTTTTTTGGCAAAAAAATGGCGATTTTTCTAATGGTTTTGTTCACTCACGGAGGGGGGGAGTTAGGCTACGAAAACTCTCTACGGGCTATAAAAGATGGAACCACCTATTTTGGGTGCAAAAAAAGAAACAAGCATAAAGGCGAGATTATTAATGATATCGTAATCCCTCCCCAAGATAAAAGTTTGGCAGAAAAACATCGAGGGCAGCATTTCCAGATAATTTATTCAGTGGAAAGTGATACCTATTTTATTAAAGATTTAGCTATTGGCTTTGGAACTTTTGTAAGGTTATTATACCCATTAGAGCTCAAAGATAATTATCTTTTGCATATTGGGGACAATTTTTTATTAATAAATCTAGTGAAAAGCAATGATAGCGCATTTCTGAGACTGAGAATCAAGCTTTTTGGAGCCAGAAACACTGGGGATATTTTCTATTTTAATGAGCCAGATTACAGAAATAGCGCAATTCGCATAGGCAGGACACCGAATTGTGAAATCCAAATTGACGATACTTTGATATCAAAAATCCAGTGCACTATTTATTATGAAGATGAAAAATGGATACTTGCAGATGGAGATTTAGAAATCCATAAATTAAGCACAAATGGGACATGGCTCTATTTGAATGAAAGTTTTGAAATCTATGATGGAATGGTTTTTAAGTCCAACCATACTCTTTTCCAGGCTGCTATTTCTAAAAAAAAGATTAAGTTTAAGCTTAAAGCAGCCAATTCTTAATTTTCTATAAAAAATATATCAATTAATATACTACTATGGCTTATCTTATATAAAAAAGAATATTTTATAATGAAAGCTTATTCTTATAAATATTACAAATTCCTATTTGAAATTTTAGATTACATATTTCTCTGGCGCGGTCTCACTTCTTCATTAGTTTTTTGCTGATTGACTTTTTCTTCTTCATTTTTTGAGCTTCTTTCTTTTTTCCTTTCTTCGTTTCTGCTATTTTTATTCTAAATAGAAAATACGAAATTTAGTATCGTTCAGTCATATATAAAATCATATTGGTAATTTTCTCTGAAAAATAGGTCTTTGAGCATCCTTTTTAGATAAGCATAATCAGGCCTTTCCTCGAACCTTAGCGCTCTACAATAATTCATATAAATCATCATTTCCTGTGGGAATCCTTGACAAAGGACCTCATTTCTTGTATCGAGCTTGCTTTGCATGATTAAATCATATTTCTCTTTCTTTGTATGTGCCCGAAGACCCATTCATGGCAAAGATCCTCGTAAAAAATACATCAAAACAAAGCCTAAGCCTTCAAGATCGTCCCTTCGAGACTGCTCAATTCCAAGATGGGTGCTAACTGATGCATATCTTGCAGTTCCTGTCAAGCTTTTTCCTTCTCTATAAGGTATATGCTGCTGAGTTTTAGGGTCTCTGTATTTCTTAGCCAGCCCAAAGTCTATGATATGGATTTGATTCGCTTTTTTTCCAAGCCCGATCAAAAAATTATCCGGCTTAATATCTCTATGCAAAAAGTTTTTTGCGTGAAAAAATTCAATTCTGGATATCATCTGATCTGCGAGCATAAGGACAGTTTTCAATGAAAATCGTCTATTGCAAAAAGTAAATAAGTCTTCTAATGAAGGACCTAAGAGGTCTAATACCATTACGTTAAAATCACCTTCGACACCAAATCAATGAATATTAGGAACTCCTACTCCACCTTGCAGTAAACGATACAGCTTGGATTCATATAGTAGCTGAGGATGACGGGTGTTCGCTTTTTCAAGCTTTATAGCGACTTCTTCGTTTGTTTGGACATTTAAGCCGAGATAAATTTCCCCAAATGAGCCACTGCCAATTTTACCTCCAAGGCGATATTTCCCTGCCACCCTCAGATCTGTGTAGTTGCCAGAGCTCATATTTAACAATAAATATATTTCATTGGACAAATAGCCTTATTTCTTTTGGCAACAATGACTCCATCAGGTATCGTTACTTTAGAATTTTAAGGATTGATTATCTGATTTTAATTTTCAAAAATCTTATTTAAATTCCATTTAATTGCATATTCTATCATATAATAAAATATTAGGACATTTATAGCAACGAATGATTTATGAATTAGAGGTTTCTATGTTTGCTCGATAAAATCTTAGGAAAATTCCACATACACATAATTTAAAGCAAAAAGAAAATTTAAATCAAATAATACTATTCTATGATCATACTAAAAGATATGCTAAATTTATAGCTATAATCAAGCATTCAGAAAATTATTAAGCTAGAATGATAATATAGCTCGATTTTAACACATAAGGCACCGCCAGAATCTATAAACCTAAAATAGCAATTATTGTAAAATAGCTTATTTAATCAGCATTATAGAAATCTCAAAAATAGCTCCAGCTTTCTATTAAATTTAGTTCTTAATTGTTTTATTTGATTTAAATAATGCTAGTTCAGCAGTATTGTTGATTAATTTTAAAAATGATATTCAATATTTGTATATTGATATGGATGCTTTTCTGGTAGCCTTGACAATTATACTTGCTGTAGTTCTACTCCTATCAAACTTCTATTTTATGATCTACTATCTTGACCCTTCAGAAAAAGGTTTCTCTGACTCATGATTTTGCAAAATTTTAGTGCTTTTCGGGCTCATGCTTGCATGGGGACAAATTCTTACTTTACCTTTAGATGTTTCAAACACACAAGGAAGCGGAGGTGGACTTGACATAGATTTACTATGGCAAATCATTTATATGTCCGTTTTTTCCCTTGTATTCGCCTTGCTTCCATTCGCGATGTTCTATTACGAATCTGATGATGAAAAACCAGTATGTGACAGGATTTGTTTTACAATGAAAATGATGTTCTTTTTACTAGTTATCGAAATTCTTATCACCGCTTTATTATACGTTTATATTTCTTATACAAAAATACCAGTAACTACTTATATTTGTGAATGACCTACAAGTTCTGATTTTCAAGCGACTTGTGACCAAGGCAGCACTGACCTAGAATTTAACGTCACTTTTCCTATTTTTGCTATGGGGATGATGTCCTGGCTGGGCTGGTGGCTTGTAGTTCTCTTTGGTGGGGTCGGGCTGAGTGCAATACCGTTAGATTTTATTAACAAATTCAGATTTAGACCACAGAGATTGACTCCTGGAGAACTGGCATCTAAAGAAAGACTGCTTAGGGCTAGAACTAAGGAACTTCTGGAAATAGCAGGCCAGATAAAAATAGCTAAATCCCAATGTTCAGCTGAAACTTCATGGACTGCAAGAAGAAGGCTTAAAGGGATTGTAAGCAGAGATACAAGCAAACTTCAAGCAGAAACGCTGCTATTAGAACAAGATTATGAAACATTTTTGGTAGAAAAAGGGGTAAGCAAGACTAGTCCATTATGGTACCCATTTTATTTGTTTATGGGATTTATTTGTTTATGTGTTTCAATACTGTGGATTTTACAGATAATTCTTTATATTCTGACAAGAAAAAGTAATGGGGAATCTACGTCACCTTTTCTGAATAAAGTGCTGATCGAGCTGCAGTCTCCTGGGACATCATTTTTAGCTACAACAATTTATTCAGCGTTAACTATGTATCTTCTTTTAGCAGTCATAAAAGGATGTGTTAAGTTCGGAATTCGATTTTTATGGTGCTTCCGAATCCACCCAATGAAGCCTGACAAAACTCCTATGAACTCAATGCTGTTTAACACAATTTTAATTCTATTTGCATCAGTCGCTGTCACTTTATTCGCTACAAACTCTTTTGCAATGTATACGAGGCTGAGCGACATAAATAATATGTTTGGGATTCAAATCAAGTATCTAGAATTTTTCAAATATTTTTACGAAAACAACGTATTTGAGTACATGCTGGTGATTTGGGCAGGGCTGGTGGCTATTTATTTATGCTTCAAAAACAAAGAGAAAAGTAAGCTAAAATCATTTGACTTGGAATTTGAAAAAGAAAAAATGAGCTACGGAGTAGGGTATAAAGGATAAATAATTAATAATTTTATTCAGTACATAATTTATTGTCAAAACTACTTATAGCGACTCCAAATGCTTGGAGAGGAGAAAATGGGTACTCAATCTCAAAGCTAAAATGCTGGTCTCCAATGCGAAGAAGCTGAAGTAAAATTTTGTTTTCGTTTAGCTCGCTGATAATCTGAAAATTTTTTACACTTGCAATGGCTTTTTGACTGAAATTCAAATGGTAAGAGTTCGAAACTGACTAAAAATTACACTCATTCCATGATGGAGGCTTATTGATGAACTTGCTTAAACCGCTTAAATAGCTCGTTCCATAGTGCGAAACCATTGAATCTTCTGTCTAAATAAAGATTACCTTCATTGGTTTCCAGACTACACGTGTAGAAGAATCCACTTCAGGGATTAACACTGTCATTTTTCGTGGGGCTTTGGGGCCCATTATATTAGATTCCTAAATACAATTTACATATAAGACAGCTCCAAGCTCTTCCCTGACATTGGCAGATGTCGCTCCTTTTGATTTTGGGTTCTTTCCTGTATCATATAAAACAAACTCATTTCCAATAAAATTTGACCTTAGTTTTCCTAAATAAGCATTTGATTTTACAGAAAAATTATTTTCATCAATCGTCAACATATAATTTGCTGTTCTATTTCCGGCCCTTTTTTTGGCTGCTAATAAAAACTTTCAGCCTTCTGTAAAATATAAATAATATTTCGGATAAAATCGTGCTATCCCTGTATTGACTCTTTTAATGGAGCATTGTAAAGTTATTCCTTTTGGAACTGGCCTTGTCACAAATGCTTTTAAGTCTATCATTTTGCTTAAAATAAATTCTCTTGTAGGGTTGGTTGGAATTTTTGTAATTTCCACTTTTCTCGGAATTGGGCGTGTGGTGGATTCTGACTCCCCCCCTTTAAATTGGAACTAAAAATTTAGTTCCAATTTAAAGAGGGGGTTAATTTTTTTTTTAAAAAAAAATATCAATATAAATTTTTTTATAAAATATATAAAGATTTAAAAAAACAAATTTCAAAAACTTATCGAATTAGATCAATAAATTTGTTTAATAAAATGCTATTTACTCTTTATCCTTTAAAACAAAGCAAGATATAACTAAATTTTCATTATTAGTTAATACGCCACTATTAATTGGTATCAAAATTATTTACACAAAAATTATAATTTTTATATTGATAAAAAAAATTAAAAAAAAAATTTTAGAAAATTTATCGATCAAAGTGCTAATTTTGTTTAAATAGAGACTATTTTATACTCTATTCTTTAAAATAAAGCAAGAAATAGTACATTTTGAAATTTTATAAAGAATTCCTATTGAATTTATATCAAAACTATCCAAATAAAAAATATTATTTTTATCAAAAATAACAAAAATTTTTAAAAAAAAAAAAATAATTTTTTTTTAAAATTTAGCAATTAAGGATAATAAATTTATTTAAATAAGATGCTCTTTATACTTTTTTCTTTAAAAAAGAGCAAGATATAACTAAATTTTTAATTTTAGTTAAGAAAAAACATTTAACTTATACCAAAACTTTTTAGATAAAAATTATCTATAATTTTTTATTATAAAATTAAATTTTGTTCCATTTAAAGGGGGTTTAATTTACCAAAAAAGTGGAAATTTTACTTATATTTTGTTCCAATTTAAGGGGGGGGGAGTGAGGATCTTCTAGTGTAGCTTTGGCTATTTTCTTCATTAATAGGCGTGTATAAGCTTCTTTCGTTGATGCTTATTGATGATAAATCAAGCAAAGAGCTATCGGGGTCTCTGTGAATAACTGGCAACTCTTTTTCTTGAATCGGTGTTTTAGGAATTTCAAAATTAATCTCAACCTGTGAGATGGTACAGTCAGCACTGAGACATTTCATGCCACTAGTAATAGATACTGGCATACTATTCTCAGTTTTTCTATGTAGTTTTGGTTTTGTATCATCCAGCACAATTGTATCTAGTTCATGATCAAAATTTTTGAAACCAATAATATCATGCTTTGGTGTTACCTTTGCACTTTGCAGTCCAATTCTGTTAGCATTTGTTACAAACACGATATCATTACTTTTTTTCACAATATTCGGAGGATGTGGCTGAATACCTTCACAACCATTATAAAAAGAAAATTTGTTCCCAGGAAATTGCATTTCATTTGCTATCACTTTGCTGAGCCCTGTCCTCCCTAAAAGTCTTGATTTTTGATTTCTCATCATTTCAGTTCTATTTATGGCGCTTTTTTTAGAAGCCTCAATTATACTGGATTGTCTTCTGCAACTCTCGGAAGTATCAACTTGATTTGTATTAAAACTCGACCCGTTTGGAGGTAATTTTTGTGCTGAATTGTTTAATGATTTTGACACTCGAATGCTACGTTTGAAATTAAAGTCTTCAGAAATCTCTTGAGAAGCAGTTTTATGCTTATTATAATAAATATAAAAATTCCTTGAGTTGCCTTTTCTCTATTTCATATAGCATTAATAGATAGGAAAGCTTAATTCATTGCAAGAGGTATAGTTTTGATAGGTGTTTCGTTGAGTTCTACAGAGCTATGATGGGTGAATTTATGGGCAAACCTTGACGAATTTTCTTCTTCTTGCTTATTCCCAACTATTGCAAAATATGCATTGTCAGGCTCAATTTCAAACGAACTATCTGAATCTTGAAGAAAAGATCTCTCACCAAACATTATTATATTGAAAAAACCTTATTAATTAATCAGCTATAAAAAATGATTCTAATGCAAAAACTAAAATTATTTGAGCAAGTAATCTTTTGTGCAAACTATTTTAAGCTCTCTTGGGCCATTTTCCTGGCGTTTTGCTAAGCGTACACAATTTTTGAGCTTTTCAAAATAATTTCCCAAAGCAATTTTTTATCTTACGCATAAAAAGAACTTGCATGCAGCAATATGACTAAAAGATCTGGTATTCATCTATAATAAAAAAATTACAATAAATATTCAATAAATTATTTCTGTTTAATTTCTAAACGGATTTTTTTGAAAATTATCTTCTCCAAATAATTTAGACATATTTAAATCAAACTTGTAATGTGTTTAGATTTAACTCATACTAATCAAGATTATATTAATATATTATTCTGTTAAGTTAAAATATTCTAATTAACACAAAATTAATTTCAATCAACGCAATATAATTTTTGATTTCAGTGAAGATGAAATATTATTAAATAATTTGCTATTTTTGGCAAGAACAACAAAGCAGAATTATAAGAGAAGCTCTAAAAGATTGAAATTGTGATTGAAATTTCTAATAATCAAATATTAGAAAAAATTATAAGGCAATAATTGTATATTTAATAGGGGAATAATTTCTTTTTAATTAATTTATATAAAACTTATTAGCATAGTCTAAAATTGAGTAATATATATTTTTTTCAAAGTGAAAATTCCCTTAAATAATTATTAAATGGTTGCAAGCTTATTTGCATACACTATCTCTTTAGATTAGTATTCCTACAGCACAAATATTTCGATTTATTTGGCTCTAGCTGAGAAATATTTGCAGTGTCTTTAAGCCAAACTTTCTGCAGCCTAGGTCTTTATTTTAAACCAATTAGATACAAAAATTATCAAAATAAATTAGCAATTTAATTAAGGAAATGTCTCTAAAATTGGGAATATTCTGATAAAAATAAGCTTGGCACCTTTTTATTAAAACTTGAACTTTCTTATTTTTGGCCCCAAGTCTTCTTGGAAAATCAATTTAAGGACTTTTCTTTTAAAATTACTATAATTTTTCCTTTTTTTTGAAAGAATTATTTCGGGCTGTTGACTTGGAGCTTGACGGTTCACATCTGCAATACTCATAGATCGATGCAATAAAATGCTGTTTTGCCTTTTAATTATTGGTGATAAAATATGTGGAGGTGACAAAATTATTTTCGAAAAATTCCGTAAATGCATTTGGCTGTCCTTTAAATCAAAATCAAAATTTTTTACTTTTAAGTCCTTTTTAATTGTTTCATTATATTTCAGTAATTTTTCAGATTTTCTATTACTTTTGTCTGATACCCTTACCGTAATAACATTATTTTCTAAAGCATTTTCGCTTATCTGCAAACCCACATCTCGAGTTGTTGGAAAATGCCTCGGACGTCTTTTGGGATTTGGCCTAAAGACTTGTGCCATTTATGGTTTTATAAAATTGCAACCAAGTAAATTCGGCATTAAATAAACCCAACACTGCAATTGTCTAGAAAAAATTGAAATAAAATGATAATGACAAATGGGATAAAAGTCAAACGAAATGGGTTTGGCACTCCGCTGCATCCTTTTCAAATAATAAGCTGGGTGGTGGCGACATTTCATTTGTTTTTGTCCTCTATTGTGATAGTTACCATGCTTGATATAACACCCAGGGTATAAAACATTCAGATTATTTTTGGGGTAGGTTTTTTCACCTCAAAAGCTTTCCTTATTATTTTAGCTTATAAAGCTACGAAAAGTGATCCTACAGATCTGTGGCCAAATCAACACAAAGAGATTGTGTCTAGTGGAACACAAATTACTCAAAACTGTGAAGCGTTTTGTACTATATGCAATTGCTATGTAAACCCGAAAAGCAAGCATTGCAGTAGATGCAATCGATGCGTTGATAATTTTGACCACCACTGCAAATGACTTAATAACTGTATTGGAAAAAGAAATTATAAACTGTTTATATCCCTTATTATTTCCTTAGAAATCAATTTATCAATTTTATTAGCTTTCAGCATCTTTCTGATTGATGAATACTATAATAATTATGATGAATTTCATAAAAGAGCCACAGAAAAATTCGATTTTTGTGACCCAATAATCGTTTTGATATGGATTATTGCAATCACTTCTGGGATCTCTTTTATTGCTGATACTTATTTAATATGCCTGCATATTTATTTGAAAAAGCTTGGTATGACCACTTTTGATTATATCTTACACAAGCAAAGTCAAGCTGAAAATAAGAATAAAAGAAATGCGTTTAGAGAAAGAGGTGTTGTAACACCTGATGAAAATCTAGAAGTTCCTGCAGCAAAGCCTAGAAATATTGGCAAATTGAGTACTCCTTATCCTGATACTGGAGGGGTAAACACTCCAGGAGTACTTGACTTACATTTTGACGAAACAGAACTAAGATATTCAAGGAATACATCCCTAGCTCATCTTGCGTAATATCTATAACCGTGCTGCTATAAATAAAGATAATCAAATAGAATGATTTTGCTTTTATTTCTAATGTATATTTAATCATTCATAAATTGTGATTGATGAAGAGGTTGCTCAATTATAGAGCTGTGCTTTACTTTGACAGTTGAAAACTTTCCTTTAAATAAACCTGACCATAGAGATTTATTCTACTTGAATAATTTTTGTTTGGCATTAAATAAGTTTAGGTTTGAGAAATTCTAAAACATTTCTTCATAATCAAGAATTTTATTAACATTTATAAGATGGAATTAGATATCATACTTTCAGATTTTCGTGTAAAATACAGGCTTAATGAAGATAAATATTTTGCATTGAGAACTTGAATCAGAGAGAACAACCACATTGTGATGCACTACTTCCACGAATTTATTGACAATAACGATATTGAAGGCTTCAAAGACTGACTATATAAAAACTCCACTCTGCAAAAAGGGAACAATAGAAATGAGTTCCAAGAAAGACCTAAAACTCGAGAAGAAAGGTTCAGGATGACTCAAAGCCAAATGGGACCTAGAGAATACAACGCAGCCAGCCAAGTAAGGCCTTCCACCACAAGAGCTGAGAGAAGAGGCTATCATAGATTTATTCAGGTTGTGGTTGAAATGGAAAGTCAAGGACTCTTAGACCAAAGAGACCTAGGAATCATAAAAGCCTTGATTTTAAAAGAAAACCTTGATGTTATGAAAGAATTTGATAACTATTTTCTGCACAGCATCTCATTAAACGATCTAGGGGTCAGGCTACAAAAATTAGCTGACAGGCTAAGCTTGTATATGGAGAGGCCAGCGTCGCCTATGCCAAGAAAAAATGAACTGCAGATCCTTGTGGACTCTTTGGTTAAAGCAAATTTGCCTTGTGAAGAGGACATAGAAATCCTTAATAAATTGATTACAAGTGAAAATGAGTTTGTGTTCTCAGCTTTTGACGTATTTGAAAGTGATAGAGACCAAGAAGAGCTAGTAGATTCGTTAATGAGAGCTATACAGAAGTTTAAAAAACAGGATGCATTAGAAACGCTGCCTTCTACATCTTTTTATCCAAATCCGCCTCCAATAGAATCAGCTCCTTGCAAAGAAGACATTAACCCTGAATTTGTTTTAAAAATAATCCAAAAGACAGGGATTGGGAAAAATTGGGCGCCTGAGCTGAAAGGGGTATTAAAAAGCTTGATTCAAGAAGAAAGCAGAATATTATACAAATACTTCGAAAATTTCCTTAAAAATGAAGATAAAGAAGCTTTAGAATCTTATGTAAAATTTTTGTGTAACTCTTATTATCAAATTCTTGTATCACAATTTTTCAGCCATGACGAAATAAAAACAATAAAGCTTGATAAAAAGGCAAATAAGGTAGAAATTTTATCTATTTTTGAAACTTATGAAAATGATGGAAATACAAATAAATTCATAAATTCTCTGAATACGGTCTTAAATAATAGCGAAATACCAAAAGTAGAAATAATGAACCAAGTCGTCCAAATGATTGAAGAAGATGAAAATGAAGGAGAAATTGAAGCTTATTCCTCATTTGCCAACATTTTATCCCAATCCTCTGTTTTAGCTCCTTATCGGCAAGCCTTAACTCAGCTTTACGATAATCAGGACTCTGAGCTTTTAGAAGCAATCCAAACCCATCAAACCGACACCGGCTCAATAGAAGAAATTCTATTAAAAATTGTCCAAGAAAACAGCATGCTTCTTGATATTGACTCAAAAATCCAAGAAATAGGGAGTTCAAGATTCACTGAAGAGCAGGTCGCCCATCTTCAAAATTTAGCTGACGAAAAAGACACCACTTTGCTTAACGTTTTTGAACAGTACCAAATCACAAAAAATGATGAAGAACTTATTAGCTCTTTAGAAGTTTTTATTCAGAGAATGCCCAGTGTCCTTCAAAGCGAAGAAGAAGAATTCAGGAAATTTATCCAAGAAAATTTCGACGAGCCTCAGCAAGAAAAATTATTAAAAATGTTCCAAAACCAGGATTCCAGATTAAAATCAGCAATTGGGCTGCATGATTTTGCAAGCGATAAAGAGGTACTTGTAGAGACCTTAACCTTTTTAATTCAAAGTAATGAAGATCTTTAAACTAGCATTTTCTGATATAATTCTATTATTGGTTTTTTCAATAATACTCTTAAAAATAAGCTAATCTAACTAAATACTTAACTAAGATTCATATTCCTCTCTGACAGGTGACTCAATTTTGCTATTTTTTTCTGCAGATTCTGAGTTTTCTCTCGATCTTTCTCTTGCCTCTTCTCTATTTCTATCAGCTGAGTCGTCCCTATCTCTTTTCCTGTCCCTTGACCCATTTCGTGTTCTATTGGCATCTCTGTCTCTTGAGGAATTTCTTCCTCTATTTCTTTCTCTAGATCTTGATCTAGACCTGGAGCTTTGACAGTCTCTTTTCATATGGCCTTTTTTGCCACACCTATAGCATTTATCTTTTCAGTCACCTTCTTTGCAGTTATTCGCCCTATGTGATAATTACCAATGTCCAGTTTGTCCACAATTGAAACAAGTGTCTTCGTTTGCGGATCCGTGGCCACTGCGGTTTGACCCTGCCCATTCTACGATAACGCGAGATCCGTCCAGCTTCCTGCCGTCCATGTCACGGATTGCGTCTTCAGCGTCTCGGGGCTCGTAATACTCCTAACGTCGGGACATACAATGAAAGCGTAGTCTCTCTTTAACTCTACGTCTCGAATGCGACCATAGCGGTTAAACACATCCTCCAGGTCCCTAGCACGGGTTCTCTTGTCGAGACGGCCAATGTAAATTCTTCTGCGGCTGCCCTTTGGCATTTTTATATAATATGGCAAACAATTAATAGGCCCAATATTAATTAAAACAAAATACGTTGATTTATATTTAGATCAATTTATTTTCTCACTGTTTATATATTTTTATTAACTTCCTCTTAGATTATAACAAAATATCAATAAATGCTAATATTTTTGAAAATAAACCCTTTTATTTGGAGCAAATTTAATTTCAATGGAAAATTGTGAATTATGAAGATAATAATTAATATGAAAATAGCTTTTATATCCAATTTAATAAGAAGTTTGAAAATTTATTCATTTGCTTTATTAAGGTGCCAAGTGTAAGAAGAACACTATTTTAAACACTTTGAATCATAATTTTATAAATTAATCATTCATTATCATGAAAAGTTATCTATATTGGAGCAGCTTTTTGTCTCAGTTTAAAGATGGAGTAAGATATGCATTATAATAAGTGTTATAAAATAATCTTAATTTAAAGTATTGACGCTGCCAAACCAAAAAGAAATTTAGCAATTAAATAAGAGATTTAGGCAGACTAATTCTTTAATTTAATCACCAAACTAAGATACACTTAAAATAAAGCATCTCATTTAACTTCTAATAAATTAAATCATCTCTTACTTCGCACCTTCTCCGTCTGTGAACAAAAAATTTTGTTCGTTAACGAAGGGGTTAATTTTTTAATAAAAAGTTTTATTTTTTTCGAAAAATCCCAACTTAAAAAAATATAATAAAGTAAACATTAAATTAGCATGTAAAATCTATGTTTTTATAATGCAAATTGCTTTGTAATAAATAAAATTGGCTTTAGATTTCATTATTATTATAATCATTAATTATAAATCAAAATAATTTTTCATAAAAAATTGTGATTTTTTGTTCGCTGGTTTTTTTACCCAAAAAATAAGATTTGTTCAATGGTTTTTGTTCCCTCATGGAGGGGTAGTTAGTAGTTTTCGAATTCATTTGGCTGTGCAAGGCGTTTATTTCTGTCAGCTGCCATTTCATTACGAATTTCAACAAGTATGGATTCTATTGTGAAGCTTGAATTTCATGCTCCAAGCACTCTAAAAACATTTCTGTCAACTGCACCACGTGCATTGACTCCATTCATATTAATTTTGGTGATAAAAGTCACTTGAGGAGCTTCTTGAGGATATCTAGGCCCACAGAATATTCTAATATTATATAGCCTGTTTTCATGAACTGTTCCAGGAGGACCTTGGATCATTCCGATCCAAGAAGACAAGGTGATGTCATCGGCCACTTCTAAGCCATAGCTCACATTCCCATCTCCAACCCCTTTCTCTCCTTTTTCGAGCTCTCCAAGAAGCCTGAAATTTCGAGGAACTAAATAAATCTTACCTTCAGATTGCATTAGTTAATAATTATATGGTCATTTTTTGTGAGAAATAAAACAGAAATAATCATTCGTGGAAGTTTTTTATAAGAATTTACGATATAAATTATAAAAATCTTATGGGCTTAAAATTATTTAATAGAAGATCTGAAAATAGAAAATATTTTTGATATAAATCATGCATGAAAGCAAAAGATTATTTTTAGCTTATCATTACAAAATTGATATAAATAATTCCAAATAAAAAATTTAATTTTCTCGCAGCTGGCTATCATCATAAATTTTCAAATATTTTTAATCCTTTTCGAAAATAGCTTTATATTCAAAATTTTATTAATTTTGCATTAATATATATGAAGCCGGTCATACATGTCCCAAGAGTGAAACCAAATATAAGCGACAAAGATCAAGTTTTTAGTCTTTCTCGAAAGCCTTCTATATTGCAGCTGTCATCTCCCCGAAACGCTCTTGCAACAACTCGGCAAGTGCCAATTCAGGATCCATTTCTCAATATGAGACAGCTTGGAACAAACTCCCCCAAGCTCAGGCCTATATGCCCATTAAAACATCCTAGTTCTGGACCGCCTAGTCTTAATTCTTCGAATTCTCAAAGATCACTAGGAATCGACAAACATCAAAAACCCCTCTCAGTTTCTGATATTTCAAATAAGCCAAAACTTCTAGCTAGGAACAATTCAGCGTGCATTTTCCCACCCATATCGACAAGGAATATTCTGCCAATTAAAGAAAGCAAACACTTTTTTAAGGAGCTGAAAGAAATTCAATTAAAAATGTCAGTGCTTATCCTATCGATTACAATTTTATATCAAAATGACGATTATTTTAATAATTGTGATTTAGTATTTATTCTTAAATAAAATTAATTTTAAGTCTTTATAGGTTAGGGATGATTTTTTCACAAAGAAAGAGAAAAAGCATGGGAAAGAAAAAATCGATTTTAAAATGAGCAAGAAAGATGAGCCAACGACACCCTATTTCAATGGGAATTCACAAGCTTCGTTTCAGAAGCATGTGGAAATAAATTATGAGAGTGAAAGCACTAATATCCCAGAAAGCGAAGAAGAGGAAGTTAAACAAATTCATGCTAGAAAAGCTAGCAGAGAGCACAATTTAATCGAAACAGATTCAAAATTTAGTAATTTTACCTGCAAAGAAACAGGTAGGAGAGATATGAAAGAATTAACGTTCAAGTTCAAAAGATAGTCCATAAATGTAAGTCAATATATTTGTTATATATCATTCCTTGTTTCTCTGCATTTATATAATTTATAGAAAAGAAAAAATCGTTGAAATTATTGTAAAAATTCAATATTACAAATATCTGCAAATAGGTATTTTTTCCTTTATCTACAAAAAATATCTTTAGAAATTAAGAATAAATAGCCAAAATCCTTTTTTATACTTATTAATTATATTAAAAAATTTAACTCCTTCTTTTATAAGCGAACAAAAAATTGAAAAATACATCCAGTAGGCGAGCAAAAAATTTTTATAAAAATATTTATAATCTAAGAAACAATAATTATTTAATTAAATCTCTAATTAATTCTATTCAGTTTAAATAGTTTGCATTTTGCAAATTAGATTAGATTAGATTAATGATGGGTATTTATAGTCATCTCTTCCTGAAACACTGTCCATTCCGCAGGCGAACATCTGTGGGGTGATTTGAACCAGGGCCGAACCCCGATTTCTCGGTAGAACATTTCCCCTTCTAACCTGATCAAAGCTAGATTTTGCCGAGAGCCTCAGTTATTAACCCAATGCCAGCATTATCCAACCCTACGTAGCTACCCTTTTCAACTGGAGAACTAGCCCTGAGTTTCTAGTCTAGTCTGTCTTCCCTTTTCACTGGATCATCTCCGAGGAAAACTATTAATTGCTTTCACGGATTTGGGAGAGGCCACAAAAACAACTTAAGCAGATAAGTTGCCCTGCTACTATCAGGCACCATTTCTGGGTCTGGGCTCTCATGGGAAAAAGATGTAAAAAACTGCTGCTCGAGCCATTCCACTAATCAGTGGAAATAGTGCCGGCCTCTCGCTTCAAGGCTAATTCAACCCTAGCAGCTTTTTACACCAGAGACATAAGGACACTCGCCACGAGGAGGACAGACAGCTCATCAACGGCCATTTATTTATACATTTCACAAATTAAATTAATTGTTGGTTTTTCCAATCATAAAATTAAAATAAATAACCCTCCTCAAATGCAAAAAAGCATTTGCATACTGAGGCGAGTGAATAAATCTACCATTTATACAATTTAAAATTCCTAAAAAGCGACTGAAGGTTATTAATATTGTAAATTTATAATTGTATCAGCCGATTTTTGTCTTCACTTACTGTAGTTTCTTTGAACTCTTGGCTCTCATAATTGCTTTTTCTGCTCGACTTTCCTTCTAATATTTTTCGTTTTTCTTCAATTATAGCTTTAATATCTGGGTCATCCACAATACTTCGAATACTTCCCAAAGGCAAACGGCTAGAGCTAGGTGTCTCAGGTATGCTTCTTTTCATAGAAAACTCTTCACGAGTTTCAATAAAAACATCGCTTGGAGCCAAAATCGACTCTTGGATACTGAATGTATCACTGCTGCTTTCACTTATAATACACAGCTCATCCATTTCTAATGCAATTTTTGCTTCAATTTCTTTGATTTTACCTAGAAACTCATCTTTAAGCCGATTTTTATCTGGAATTTGTACCGGTGTTTTGGAATGATGAATTATGGTTTCATGAATTTTTACTTTATGCTCATTTAATTGGCTTATCAATCTATTGGTAGCATGTAGTGATTTTTTGAACTCGCTCTCTGTTTCTTTTGTGTGACTGCTACCCATTTTAAATCTATTTTAATGAAATTTTTAGTATTTTTGGGTTATCTTTAGCAGCCTATTTTTACCAAATAAAAATTACTTTTTATGTAGCTTTCTCCAATTGAACAGTGTGAGCAATAAAGCCAAAAATATTTAAATTATAAAATCGGGTTATTTGAGCATGAACTTATTAATTAAGAATATTTTTATATAATTATACCAATATTTTTGATATCGCTGCTTACATTTTAATCTTTAATTTAAGTAAAACTTTAGGCTTATGGTTTTCTCATAAATATGATACGCAGAGCGTTTGCAACAACTCTTCATGATTTTATTAAGTTTGATCCCAAAAGGAAGCTACCTCAATTAAATCGCGAAGACTCTGATAGGGCTATCACAGATGTAGCTGCATTCTTTGACTATATTATGGCCCATGCTGGAAATCATAAGAGCGTGGCAAATAGGAAAATAATTGGCCTTCCTAATTTAAGAAAACTCGCTATCTTGTAATTTCTAGCCAGAGCAAATAAGCCTGAAGACGCTAAAGTGCTGCAATCTGCTTTTTGGACTTATTGTGGGCACCACAGATGGCCTGATACCAATACAATTGAAATGCTTTCTCAAGCCATGATAAATATTGATGCACCAGCCGATGCTTCAGATGTAAGATTAATATAGTTCTTTTTATATCATCACAAAATTCTCTTTTACCCAAGACTTCAATCCACAAATAATTTTTTCGTAAGAATAACATAGAAAGCATTGCATGATAAAAGTTTGTGGGAACCTCTCAGAAATGCTTTTAAAGTTGTCGAAGTTTCAAACATCACATTGAAGAATGAGTTAACCTACATTATGGGAATAAATGCTTGTGTGCAGCTAAAAGACTGGAAATGGGCATCAAGATTTTATGAAAGAGGAGCCAAAAAAATAGATTATTCTGAAGGGTTTCTAGAAGTCATTCAAGAACTGAGAAGCAATCTCACTGAAGAAGAGCTGAAAAAATTTAGCGTAGATAAACAAGCTAAGCAATAAGACTAAGATATAAACAGTGGGAAATGCATATAATATATTAAAGAGTTAGCATTTTAATTTTAGCATAAGAAATGATTGGACAAAATATTTTTTTAATATTATTCAAGTTTTATATATGATTTTTTCCTTAAAACTATTTTGCCTTGGTATTCTTATTTTATCTATTCCAGTTATGGGAAACATTTGAAAATAATAAATGAATTTCCTCAGCCCGAAATCCAATAAGCCTAAAAAACAACTGATTTTTCCTACAAATTCCCCAAAGGAAAATCTCCAGAGCTCTCTGCCTTCAGATTTTGCCTTTGAAATCATAGACAAAGAAATCCAGCTTGAAAAGTCCTGGGATCATTCTACTATACACGAATTAATAGGGTTGTATAGTAAAGCTATAGAATACTATGAATTACAGCATGATCCTCGTTTTTATGACTATCAGCAGAAAATCCATAAGCTTTTGGTTAAGCCACAGGTGCTTCAAACTTTGCAAAGAGAAACTGAGAGCAAGCAACAGGGAAAATATGCGCTGGCCCATACTACAGATTGTGAAGAAATGACAAGCAAAAGAGCAGCGACTGATTTTAATCGAAAAAAGTTAGCAAATAGGCTAAATAGACGCCTTGCCCCAACTGTAAAAAGAGATAACAGAACTCTAAAGAAAATTCTGAATCGCCAAATTAAGTTGACTCAGAGTACGTCGACCAAAGCCCTCAGCGACCTAAAGTCTCAGAATAATGATTTGGAAGTCCGTTTGGCTTCAAGAAAATCCAAGCACAATATACCTTAATAAAACTGATCACTTCAGCCTGCCAATTTTTATAGACAAAATTAATTAGAATATAGAATTATTCTTAACAATACTGCAGATATATTAGCATGGCCCACTATATATTGAACCTATCATATAGAAAATATTCAAATGATCTCAATACATCTTTAAAAACAGATAGTCCTGCGAATTTATCGACAACGGAAAGTATTGATAGGTATATCAGGACCGAGCCTGATGAGCAGGACAATGAAGATACCGACTATTCTGGGTTTTTTAATAGTCCAAGCTGTTCTAATGATCTTGAAAGAAGGCTTGAAGAAATCATGGAAAAATATTTAGCTGAAAAGGTCAATAAAATTTCAGACATCACTGTCAATTATAAGCTGCAGATGAAAGAACTTGAAGACCAAGGCGGGATAATGAAGCAAGTCTTGGAACAAATGAAAATAAACATGCAAGAAGAAATCAATAAAGTGACTCAAGAGCTTGATGCTAAAAAATCGAAAGAGATAGAAGCTCTTAAAAGAGAATTTTTCATTGAGGTGTAATGGGCTACAATCATAGTAAAATTTTGATTGAAATTAATTCAAATTATTAATAGATGTCAAGTCATAAATAGAAAATGGAAAATATTGACATGGGTCATTTGCTAAGACAAATGGATAAAGCTTCACAAGGAGTCATGAACGACCCAGGAGCACAAAAACAAATCAAAGACTTTTGGAACATGCTAAACGAATTGTCAGAAAACAATCCAGAGGTAAATTAAAAAAAGGATTATAAAAAATTCATTGAAAACCATTTAAAAGAAGGAATTGAAGACGCAAAAATCGAAAAAGCTAAAAAAGCTGTTTATTCCCAATTCTCATTTTGTGTGAAAACCTATACCAAAGGTAAAAAAGAAATCGTTTTGATAAATTTCTGCCACAGTGATAAGTAAATTCTATTAAGAATTCTATCTCCCCTCAAGCAAGATAAATCAATTGCCGATCTTAACGACCTCGACAGCTGAGTTGTCATTCCTGCAAGCTTTTCTGCACAAAAGACTAAAAAAACAGAAGGCAAGAAGCCTATGATTTATTATGATGCCCACATACATTCACGTGTTATTGAGCATGCTTTAAAAGATCTTTTGGTTAAAACTCATATCGTTTCTAGCGTATTGAGAAGATTGGCCTGGAAAGAAAAAATAGAACTATTATATGATAGAGGAGATTTTACTTTTTTAGACAGCTATAGAAGCCCTAATGATGAGGTAGGGCCTGAAGGCCATTTTCTGGATATTGGGGCGGATCCTGAAGAGTATAATGAATTCAGCAAAAGTAAATTTAGAATAGGGAATCTTGACTGAAACACAGGAGCAGGAAATAAAAATACCTGGATTAGAAGAAAATAAAGAAGTTAATAAGGTGATGATAGAAGTAAGAAATAGGCAGGAAATAGTGAATTATACAATTGAGTCTAAAGACGACTTTAAAACCCCAGAAATCAATGTAGAGGAGAACACGTATGTGCTAAATAGTGATTTTGTTAAAATTGAAGTCCAAATGCCGGAGGAAAACTCAATGAGAGACATAAATTTAGAGCTAAACGTCAGCTCAGTTAAAATTTCGTCCCCAAACTACTACACATTAATCAAATTCAAGTCCTCAAAGCTCTCAGAAAATGAAGTCATCGCTAAATGGCTCAAAAAATCACACATGCTTAAGCTTGACATAAAAATTCTAAAATTTTAGTTATAGGCTTTGTCCTTATTCTTAAGGGGCCCTCCACTTGTCAAATCTATTTCGGCATGCGAAAAATCGGATTTCTTTAATTTCCAATATTAATACATAAATTCGCCCTAAGCAAAAAGATCAAGGCATTATATAAAATCTCCATAAGTCATATTCGCATTACATTTCATGCCGATCAACCTATATAAATGGCTAACTCAAAGTTCTCACTCACGACTTTCTCTTCTCAAGGTAAACTTACTCAAATTGAGTACGCCCTCGTCGCAGTTGAGCACGGTGACACTTGTCTTGGTATCAAAGCTCGCGATGGGGTGGTTTTGGCAACTGAGAAAAAATTTAACTCAATTCTTGTCGACGAAACAAGCGTATCCAAAGCAGCAGTCATCAGTGACCATATAGGAGCAAGCTATGCAGGAATTACAGCTGATTTCAGAGTTCTTATGCAGAAAGCCAGGAAATATGCAATTAGTTATAAAAGCACATATCACGAACCTGTCCCAAGCTCACAACTCTGTCAAGAACTCTCTACAGTGGTGCAAGAATTCACGCAGTCTGGAGGAGTCAGACCTTTTGGAGTCTCAATTTTGCTTGCCAGCTTTGACCATGAAGGGCCGCATCTTTATCAGGTGGACCCTTCTGGAGCTTATTTTAGCTGGAAAGCAGCCGCGATAGGGAAAAACATGACAAATGCGAAGTCGTTTTTGGAAAGAAGGTATAATGAGGAGCAAGGACTTGAGGACGCAATACATACAGCACTTATGACACTGAAGGAAGGGTTTGAAGGAGAAATGAACGAGCATAATATAGAGCTCGCTGTGGTAGGAGCTGATAAGTTGTTCAGAGTGCTCACTCCTAATGAGACAAGAGACTATTTGAGTGAAATTCAGTAGTAAAGCACTTAACAATAAACTCGAATTATATAAATTGATATGAGTAATATTTAAGCAATAAAAGATTTAAATGCCGAGTAAAATAAATTTTGATGTGCAAAATAATGGGATGTTTTAAATGTATAAAGGCTTGATTGCAACGAAAAAACGCACGGTGATTTTAAAATAGAACACAAAACCTTAAACCAGAAAGCCACAAACGAACCAACTCTGGCAAGCCAGAAGAAATCTGAGAACTAAAATCTTCTACCTTGAGAACTTCAACTACAAGGACTGAGTCTATTGATATGACCCCTCCCAAAACATACCACAAATCAACAATCGTTGCTGGAAATAAAATTATTTCGGTAATTAACTGTCCTTCTTATACAAATAATGAGCCTGGCAGTCCAAATAAATTAGAAATCAGTGATAGGCTGAAGACGGAGAGGAATAAAGACTCTTTTTTCGAAAGCGGAAACGAAGAAAACAGCATGGGGTTTGAAACGCTGAATAAGATCGCGATTATTACTGGCTCAGCAGACTATTGTGTAGATTCACCTATGGTTCAGTAAATTTGATTATTTAACTGTTGATAAATATTTAAATGTAAATCTTTATTAGAGAAGAGATTTTGCTTAATGGAGAAATAATAGGATCAAGACTGAGAGAAATATATTTTATCATATAAAAATTTTATTTCTAGCATAAATGGCTATTATTTGACAGTTATTAATTGATCACACTGATTCTAATTGCAAAATATTGTAGCACCTCAAAATAAATATGCAAGCAATCCATTTACTTTTGATATAAATGATAAACCGTAAAATAAAGAAAAGCTCAACTTTTCGCACTCTAGAAGTAATTCGTCTGCCATCAATTCAGCGATCTCAAAAAAGTAAAAGTCCTGAGCCTAGAATAGACCCCCATAATAATGAAAGTGGAGATATACAAAAGACAAGAAGTATGCCTGCTCAATTGATAATTAAAAAAGACTTAAAAAGAACTTCAGTGTTAACAAGAAGAGAAACACTCGCACATAGCCATTTAATGGCTCCTATAAGTATGAGAAAAAGAGTGTCCCAAAAGCAGCTTCCTCCTCTTCATGAGAGCACTTCAGATGGGACTGACGTAACTTCTATTAATCAATTCAAAAATACAAACCAGACCACAGAACTGGTTTTTGATGCTTCTGATCAAGTAAAAAAGTCGATAAACCGAATCAAAAATCTCATCAAAAAATGCAAGGACAATAATTAGTCCATGTCAAGAAAACCAACAAGATATTTTTAAAGTCAAAATATAATAAATTAAAATGCTTGAAATAATAGAAATTAACAAAAAGCTTAAGCTTGATCTATTTCCATAGCATCGTCGCCTGCTGCATACAATATTTTTTGAATTGAAGCTATAACTGGGTGCTCTTGATCTTCGTATTTTTGTATAAAATTTTCAATATCCCTCAGCTTGCCAAAATAATAGTCCCTTTCCTTTTCCAATGTGTGGATCGTCATCCTCATTTCGTCTGTTTCTAGCTTTACCTTAACCGGCTCTATTGGAGAGACTTGTGAGTTATGCTCTCCCAATACCTTTTTTACCGGCCTTTTTGTGTCTGGGGTGCTTTGCCTCGAAGGCGGTCTTCGCCTCGGAGCTGGCTCATAGCTTGCCCCATTATAGTGTGCGTCAAAAAATTTTTTGATCCATTGAAGAAATTCAAGATTGTCTTGGAATTTTCCTTTTACAAGCTTTTCCACTTCAATGTACTTCTGAATGCTGCACCGAGTAAAAGCCTGCTGCAAAACCTTAAAGTTGTTGATAAATTCGTACTCATGCTTGGCTTTTCAATTAACTTTGTGCATTTGAACTTGCCCAGGATAGATTGACTCGATGATTTGGCAGTATGCAGAGCCTGAGGCAAGATGCTCGACCTTTGCAATGTTAAGCTTGAAGAAGTCATTGAGCCAGTGGAGGAGGTCGTTTTTGGAAACAGATGAGGAGCTGTCTATTGTCCCGAATGAGTCAGTTGATGACATTTTTTAAATTAGCGGGACTTAACGAATTGGGATAAAAATCAAAAGATTTTGAATTAAACAAGAGCTGGAGACTCGAAGATAGACAATAAGAAAAATAGGCAAGCGTAAAGGCAATATCGCTAATAATGAAAGATTTTGCATTAAATTATTAGAAATTTCAAGGATTATGACGCTTCTAAGAGATACATGAAAGTTTTACTTTATTTTAGTGCGTGAAACTAATTTAATAATAAACAATAGTCCTTTATGTGATTTTATTGAGATATGCTAATATGAATAATTGGTTAAAATATTTCATATGGTTTTTAGAAGGCACTATATGAATAGTTCATCATCTGAAGATGAAGGACAAATCCCTTTCAGAAATAGCAAGAGGAGACGAAATAATTTTACTACTCAAAGCCAACAAATAGCTGACATTCATCCTATAAGTTATCAAGCCACAGTAAATCCTTATGATATTCAGCTTATTTTAGCTTGCCAAAGCTTTTTTGATACTCCACCAGAATTACTAAGAAAACGAATTGCTTTATCTTTAAAGTTTGGATCAGGACAAAGGGTCAGTAAAGAAATCATTAAAAAATACTGCGAAAACTATATAGAAGGATACTCACTTCCTGATTATGCATGGGCAAAAATTAACCAAATATACAGTGGGTTTCCAATTGATTTTTTCATCATTAGAAGCTCAGGAGTGGATAATTTTTTTGAAAAATACAAAGACCATATCTGCATTTTCAAAGATAGTTTTCCATATGCGAACTTAAACGACCATTTCTCTCTAGTCGATGACATTTTGGTTTTTCCTCATAGATACCATGATTTTGAGCTCACTTTAAATTGCTCGTATGAAGCTTTGTTTGCATTAAAAGAAAATGACTGCACTCCAAGCACTAAAGAGCTGCAAAAATTTATGCAGCAGCTTGACTACTCTGACATTTCTAGAGCACTGCCTACTTATTTGAATTTCCCCAATTCTTCATCTCCTATTTGTGAAAAATTAAAAAAACTCGAATTTTTGATCATGAATTGTCAGAATTTATCTTATATAAATTCAAAAAATGAAAGTATTATTCATATATTAGCAACCAAAATATGCCGCTGTATCTTGCAAGAGCATAGTATTCACAAACTTTCTAGTCTTACTAGATTTTTTTCTTATATGCTAGAACTATTTGACTATAAGCAAGTCAATTTAAGCCTAGACGTAGATGGTAAAAAAATTGATGATATTTTTATGCAGTTTTGTTCAGCTAAACAGAGAAAAGAGTTTTTAGAAATTTATTATGAAATCAGTGTATCTCAAAACAGAATTTGGGCATTATGAGCTATTGATAGGAGCTGTTTTAAAATCCTAAACAAAAATCTTATGAGAGAAATAATTTTATACTTGTAATTTTTTAATCCAAAAACTGACAAATAATAAATTAAAATGATTTTTTTCTTACTCCCTTTGTGTGTGTATTCTTGGAATTACCAGCAAAACGGCGAAGATTGGGAAGGGACTTGCGCAACAGGAAGTGAGCAGTCACCCATTAACATTGACCAAGGCGATACCAGCAAGCTTGGAGACACTTATTCAATGCTTGTCTACTACTATGGGATTGTGGGCTCACGAACGGTTGTAAACGACGGAAACACAATTTCTCTTCCAGGCGACTACGGTTATATCACAATTACTGACCAAAAAGGAAACGACAGGAAATTTTTGACAGATCATATAGAATTCCACATGCCAAGCGAGCATTGGTTTGACGGATATCCTTCACAAATGGAAGTCCAAGTATTTCATACAATTGACGACAGTGACTATACAGCTGGTTTCCCATCAAAAGCAGTGGTTTCTATCATGATCAGGCCAGGAGACGACAATTACTTTATGGCAGCTATCAGCTTGTCCAAACTCCCTGCGAGTGGGTCAAATTACACCTTAGCAGCGACATCTCTAGTGAACCTTCTTGATATTTGTGACCCTTATGACAATTATTATTTCTATCATGGCTCTTTGAACAAGCCGGACTGCAACGAGACTTATTTATGGTACGTCTTTGAGACTGAGCAGATGGTCAGCTTCGCTCAAATGAATTATTTTTCTCTACTATGGGTTGAGGATACCTCATTTTCAGAAGGTAAAGGGAATATAAGAGAGACCCAACGTCTGCATGGGCGAACTGTGTATTACTCATCAGCATCCAGCTTAGCATTAAGCTTATTATGGTTCTTTTGGTCATAGATTGATAATAAATAATAAATTTTATAAATTATGAACAAGGTAGCGCCTTATGATGGAAGCTATAGAGAATTCCAAGAAGGGATAAGGAAAAAAGTTGAAGACATTATAGACGGAAAAGTTGTCACAGTCTGCATGGCTTGTGTCACAATGTGGGTGCTGTTCGGAGACGACATTCGAACTCTGAGCTCAAAAAAGAAGGACAATGATTATATATTTTTTATCACATATGAAATCTGCCTGGCGTTATTTCTCATAGAAATTTTTATGAACAGCATATTCATCCCCCACTACAAATTTGCCTTTTTCTTCTGGCTGGACGTCGTTGCAACAATTTCTTTACTTCCGGATATACCTGGCATCAGAGACCCATTTTTCAATTTGTTCGGAGTAACGCTTTATGATGCTGATGCACATTTTGACTCCGATCCTGTGAGAAATACAAAGAAATTAGACTATACGGACCGAGCGATTCAGATGATAAGGTATGTGAGACTTGTGAGAATTGTGAAGCTTTATAAGTATTTTACAAAGGGGACTGATACGAAGTTTGAAGATGTGGAGGACGAATCGAAAATAGACAAAATGGACCCTGAGTATTTAGGAAAAAAGTTGTCTGACGTGACAACTAGAAGAGTTATTATTGGGGTCTTGCTAATGCTTTTACTACTACCGTTGCTGCAATCAGGAACTGTAGACAATGCACCGTATTTTGGACTTCAAACACTGTTCTGGACAGGAAGAAGTGGCTGCACTGATCCAAAAGCTTTTGGCTGCTCTGTGACGACCACAAATTATGTTTCTGATGAAGGATGGTATTACATGATTGACTGGTATGCAAACGCAAGCTATCCTTTACTTTGACTTTATATTCCCGATATGCTAAATGAAGGGTTTATTGGGAATGTAAGCCACGGATTAACATGAACAGAAGTCTCTTCTTGTGCAGGCAAAACAGTTCCTTCTGACTGCTCTCACAGGGTGGAAGAACTCGAATTAGTTATATATACACCAATTCAATGCTATAATAGGTCTATACATGGCTGTGAAGAAATTCAAGCTTACGCACGATTTGATACTGGTGAGCATTCTCGGTCGCAGTCTCAAAACAACATCATTATCACGTTTTTCGTTGGAGCGATATTAGCAGTGGCAAGTGTTACATTTGCACAAGACACTCAGAAAATTGTTATCAAGCCAGTCACAAAGATGCACAACGTGATAAAAAGTCTTGCTGAAGATCCATTAAAAATCTCTGAAGAAGTCACAGAAGCAGACATAAAAGAGTCGATTTTAGAAGAAACCATTAACAAAATCGGGACTCTGCTACAAATGACATTTGGACAGAAAGGCTCAGCAGTTATGGGGACACTCTTTGCTGAGCCTGAGCTGGACTTAGTCAAGCTTGGTAATAAAGAAAGAGCTGTAATTTCATTGTGTACAGTCCAAGATTTTGCCTCCATTATTGACTGTTTACAAGAAGAAGTGCTGGTGTTTATAAATAAAATTGCAAGAATCGTCCATACCTGCACAACAAGATGGAGCGGGACTGCTTGCAACAATGACCTTGGGGTGTTTCTAATTACTTGGCCTGATAATAAAGCCTCTGACGCTCTTGTATCATTAATTAAAGTGTCAGCTGAGCTGCATAGAGCCACTGATATCATGGCTTATAAGTCCAATCCCAAAATAGTGACCAAATTTGGGGATAATTATTTGGTCGACATTGCGATGACTGCACATATAGGTTGAATCATTCAAGGACCTCTTGGGTCAGCAATTAAGGTTGCCCCAGGCTACATAAGTCCTTCTATTGATTTATGCAAAAAATTGCTTACAGCAGTTGACGAATTCAGAGTTCCCATGCTGCTCACAGAAGAATTCTATGGAAATTTAGACGAAAAAGGCCAAGGTGCATGCAGGAGGATCGGAAATATCACTATTCAGGAGCTAAGTGAGACTATGGGACTGTACACTTTTGATTTGACAGATGAAGTCCCATTGCCAGACCACCGAAGAGTTGCAGAGGGGCAGTTTGAGCTGGAAAAGCGAAGAATAGGAGACCCAATAATCCTGAATGAAATTGATATTGAGGGGTTGGAGTTTACGCCTGAGCATCTGTTTTTGTTTGATAATGACATTGTTATGATGCAAAGGAGCATTCCTTCTCAGTTCCAAGATATCTTTAAGAAGGGTCTTGAAGCGTTTGAGAGTGGAAATTGGACTGATGCAAAACAGATATTAGATGAGGCATTGAAAATTAAAGTGGCTGATGGTCCGTGCATTTCGATGCAAGAATTCATGGAGCGCTGTGGTATGAAGATCCCTGAAGGCTGGACTGGCAGTAGGGTTATATATACGTTTATAAATTATTAAGGCAGATAGATAACTTAGAATAAATTATAGCAGTTGCCCGATGATGGCGCTCAATGCGCCATCATCGGGCAACACCAGACAAGGGTCCACAGTGGAAATGGATTCCACGTGTGGAGCCCTTTTTAACACGTGCAGAATCCTCATTTCCACGAGCCAAAAAGGTTCCACACGTGGAACCCATTTCACGTGTGGACCCTTGTTTGGTGTTGCCCGATGATGGCGCATTGAGCGCCATCATCGGGCAACTGCTATAATATAAAATTCATATTAAAAAATATAAATAAACTATTATAAATTCAATAATTGCATGAAATAAATCACTCAGAATTGAAAAGCAAAAGATCATTTATTGCAAGCAAGGCAAAAGATACAAAAGAAATGATTGAAACAGATTTTAAATTAAAATGACGAAGGCCAATCTGCAATCTAAATCAAAAAATCTAAACCTTAAGATTACAGAAAATGATAGGGGCTTCAAGCTAAGAGTCGAATACTAATTTGGTTAGTTTGCATCTAGCAGGTTTGGCTGCTTTTCTAACATTGAAATTGAAATGTCCGCAATTTGGATAGGACTTATATCTTTTACTCCACTGAGAAACAAAATTTATCGGCAGAAATGGGAAGCAGAATTTTATATAATTATTGTAGATAAATATTTCTGTAGCTATCAGATCTTAGCAAGCTAATTCTTAAGCCAAGAAGCTCTCATCCCTTGATGAAATCTACAAATACCAATAAGCTTCCACTCAACACTGAAACCCAAGAGTAAAGAAAATTCTACTTTGTATCCATTCTCCTGCTTAAAAGACAATTTCATCGCAAGTACGCGAGCTTCTTTTATAGGAGAACTTTTCCAATACCTACTAACTTATTTAGGCTATTAATTATCCTAATTCTTATTGGAGCTCGCAATAACAAAAAATAAACTCTAATCCTTCATTTAAAATGATTAAAGCATACAAGAGTGAGACCTCACAGAACTATTGCTTTTAAATTAATTTTTCTAGTTAATTCAATTGGTATAAAGTTAACAAAAAATAAATTGTTGAAGATATCTAGAAATTTTTGAATCTCGAGGCAAGTTTAATTACTTTTGAATTGTCTGCACAAGTCACTTCATGCCTTCTTGAAGCCCTTCACCAGTCCTTGAGCAACTGGGTATGATACACCAATCTCTATCTCTTGTTATACATTAAAATGGCGCTTTATGTCAGCCTACCCTCTTCAACATTCCAGACCTTATACATGATGAACTGGAGTCCAGAATCAAGTACAACTTCAGGAAATGTGTATCTGGGTAGGTTTTGGCTTTCCTGCAGTTGGAAATAGAGATTCCAACAACATCCTTTGGATCCCAAGACCCATGGGCATTCCTCTACCGAGAATCTGGGGGTTTCGGCCTAGGCCACAGGGGATTAGTATGTTTCCTGTAGCTGTCGAAGGAAGGCACTTCGACACTCGAAAGACTCCAAGAAGAAGCTGATCCTTGGATTCAAGCTACTCCAATTGCCGCAGAACTCCATAAGCACTCAAGAATGAAGCCGCAAGGTAAGGAGGAGATAGAAGGCATAGGAAGTGGCACCCGCTTCGGGGATAGACGCTCTTAGCTAGAATTGAAAAGTGGTTGAGCCTTCTGTATGGGAGGTCTTTGGTAACGCAGTCGCCAATTTGGATAGCGTCTGACTTTAATTAACTTCGCAACCTCTATCTCTTATTGAATGCAACATCAAGGCATTAGAAATTTCGATTGCAGAAAGCGCGCGAAGAAAATCCTGCTTGTTAGCGAAGATCAAAACAGGAATCCCTGCAAGTTTGTCATCTTCAAATAAATATTGCAGCTCTTGCCCAATTTCTTGCATGCGGTTTCTATCGACGCTATCAATAACAAAGATAAGGCCATCTGCATGATCGAAGTAATTTCGCCAGATTGGCCTCATATTTTCTCGTCCATCGATGCCCCAGGCTAAGAACCTGAAGTTTTCATTGGTCAATGATTGTAAGTTGAAACCAGGAGTAAAATTATTCCTAATTTCTTCTCCAGAGAGAAATTGCAGGATTGTGGTTTTGCCAGCATTATCAAATCCCAGAATCAGGATCTTTGACTCACAATCACTTTTTTTAAAGCCTCGAAGAGAGGATAGCAAACTCATAATATCAAAATGAAAACAGCTAAATAAAATGGAAGTGGATAATACACTACTATTCCCTTTGCATGCAGCGCTATCAATAAAAATGTGTGATTGAAATAATTTCGTTAATAAATAACTGATATTTCGGTGACCATTGCTTGTTCCAAGATCTTGAAACATAGGCTTTCTTGGGTAATTTTTGTCAAATCGTTATTCTTACTCCCCCCCCCCCCCTCCGTGAGCGAACAAAACCATTAGAAAAATCGCCATTTTTTGACCAAAAACCCACCCTCCGTGAGTGAACAAAAATTTTTTTAATAGAAAAAATTTTAATGGAAAAAAATTTTGATATATAAGTGATAATTAGTATAATGAAATCTAGAGCTAATTCTGTTTAATTTTAAACAAATTGCGTTTTAAAACATAAATTTTGCAAATTAGGATTTTTTTTAAATTTCGAAAAAAATATTTTTTATAAAATTTATATATAAATTTTTTTTAAAAAAAAAAAATTAACCCCCCTCCGTGAGCGAACAAAATTTTTTTGTTCGCTCACGGGGGGGGGGGGAGTTAGAGAACTATAGTGGTTGATAAGCTCTTCTCCAGTAATGACACCTCATGGCTATTTTGTAGTAAGCCATCATATTAAAGCATAAATAAAATTTCATAATTTAATTATTGCAAATGGCAGAGTACAGCCCTCAGGACTGGGAAAATATTCCAGCTATCATTCCATCTAGTTTCGCACATCTGGCTAGACAAGTCGGTTCAATCCAAGACTGAGTAAAAGTCAAAGAATCTGAAGAATCAATTGCAAGCATTTGCTTTAAAATACAAAACTTAGAAAAACTGTTAAGGGCTAATACAGAACAAACAAGCGACCAAATCAAAGACATGGTTGGGACTGTTGAAAAAAAATTAAAAATTGTCAAGCAAGATGTTGAAAAACTCAAAGAAAAGCCAAAGATCCAAGAAGCAGTTATGCAGACTGAAATAACTAGCAAAGACTTCGAGCAAAACCCTGATATCGTCATATCAGAGCATTCTGAAGACGAAGATGAAATCTTTACTGAAAATGATGAAAATAAATCAAAGAATGAAGCTCCAAAAAGCTTGCTGCATCTCCGATTAAATTGTGACTAAAAATTCCTTTCCTATTTATAGGGGCTTAATTATTTTTTGAAAAAATAATTCTCATTAAAAATTTTGCCAAATAAAAACATCATATAAAAAATTTTAGAAAAATAAATCGAATATATTTTGGGTTTAATTTAAGTTTATGAGGAATTCATTCATAAAATTAATTGGTACTGACTTCTTAAATAGTATTCTACTTGCATTTCCTCCATTAAAGGGGGTCAAAGCTATTTAAATAGAAATTATTTTTTGACCTATAAAATATTTCTATTAATTTTGCTCCAATTTGAAATGGCTTTTATTTAGGGATCTAGCAATATTTTATTCCAATATAAAGAGGAAGTAAGCAAGCTAACATTCGGCGAAGAGAAAAAGTTAGAAAAAGTGGAAACTGATATGAAGAAGCCAAGAATGTATTCTTTAGATCTTATCAAGAAGCTTATCTATAAATACCTGAACCGGTCTATATTGAAAATTAGGGTCGGAAGACAAGAAAAAATTGTGAAAGAGCTAAATGATAACCAAGAAGAAATCTATGAAAAAATAGATACAACAGTTCATGATTTTGGGCTAGAAATCCAAAGAGCTTACGAAAAGATTGATTTTTATAAAGACTCTCTTGACAAAATCTGCAGAGAAGTTGAAGAAAAGTTGCTGTATATCAACAGATGAAGCGTAAAAGTTGAAGAAAAGTTCAGTGAGTACCAAAAAGGCCAAGACGAGTTAAAAATAAAAAACCAGGAGTTGCTAGAAGACTATGACGTAATAAAACAGTTTAATAAAAAAATCGAAGAAAAACTAACAGAAAGTGTAAAAGACCTAAAAAGCCACACAAAGAAAAAAATAGAAGCGCTAGGAAAAACCCTAACTCCCCCCTCCGTGAGTGAACAAAACCATTAGAAAAATCGCCATTTTTTGACCAAAAACCCACCCTCCGTGAGTGAACAAAAATTTTTTTAATAGAAAAAATTTTTATGGAAAACAAATTTGATATATAAGTGATAATTAGCATAATGAAATCTAGAGCTAATTCTGTTTAATTTTAAACGAATTGCTTTTTAAAACATAAATTTTATAAATTAAATTAATATTTGCTTTCCAATTTTCGCGAATTAGGAATTTTTTAAATTTCGAAAAAAAAATATTTTTTATAAAATTTAAATATAAATTGTTTTAAAAAAAAAAAAATTAACCCCCTCCGTGAGTGAACAAAATTTTTTTTGTTCACTCACGGAGGGGGGGAGTAAGGAAAGAAAACACTAAAATAGCGGAAATTATTGATGAAAAGCTTAAAGAAATCACTACAAAGATTGACCAAGATAGAGTGGAAGTTACTGGTGAGTTTTCAATAAAAATTAATGAAATAGTCGAAAAGCACAGCATAGAATTAAAAGAGGCCACAGCTGAAATTGAGCAACAAATATTTGACTATAAAAAAATCCAAGAAAGCGACTTAGAGAAGTTCATTGAGTCTTTCACTGATGAAAAAACTGAAAATCATGAAAACTTCAGACGAATTCATCTCGAAATCAAAAAAATGCGAACTGATTTTGACCGCTGGGTCGCCAATGTGATGGAGCCAGCCCATGTTTCTGAAGCCCGAATTTTCGCAATCGAAGCGCGTGTCAAAGAAGAGGAAATGGCTCGTCTTGAAAATCTGCACTTTGTAAACGATATCATCAAAAAGCTGATTTTCTCCTTTGAGCAGGCCCAAATGAACGTACTAGCCCCCGCTCTCCGGCCTCCATCTCGCAACGACAGTGACGCCAACGTTTCCCTCCTTATGAAACGCCTCGCCTTTTTAAAAAAAGTCATCCAATTTAACGGCGAGCCCTCCACTCAAAGTAACTCCAAGCCTACCCTTCCCAGCCGAAAGCCAGGCACCGGTAAAGACCGTCTCAGCTTCTCTGCAATGGATGACACCTCCTTTATCACTGATAAAGCCCCGCCCCGAGGGTCCTACACCTCCTCTCCCATGCGGATGTCCACAAGCTAATTAATGTTTTAAATCTAGAAATAAGCTTATTACTTCTGAATAGTCTTCACAAGCCACTCCATGCCTTCTTGAAGCCCTTCTCCAGTCCTTGCAGAGCTGGCCATAATACACCATTGTCTGTCTCTTATTAAGTGCAAATTCAGGGCATCAGAAATTTCGTCTGCAGGAAGTGCCTGAAGCAAATCTTGCTTGTTAGCGAAGACCAGAGCAGGAGTTCCTGCAAGTTTGTCATCTTCTAATAAAGATTGCAGCTCTTGCCCGGCTTCCTGCAGGCGGTTTCTATCAGCGCTATCAATAACAAAGACAAGTCCGTCTGTGTGATCGAAGTAATTTCGCCAGTATGGCCTGATAGTTTCTTGGCCGCCGATATCCCAGACGTTGAGCTTGAAGCCTTCGTGAATCAATGATTTTATATTGAAACCTTGAGTAGGGATAATATGATTGATGTCTTCTTCAGAGAGGGCTCGCAGGATAGTGGTCTTGCCGGCGTTGTCCAGACCTAGCACCAGAATTCGTGCTTCGCGATCGTTTTGTTTCAAGCTACGAAGGAGAGAAAGCAAACCCATTATTAGATTATTGTCAAGATGGAAAAATAGAATTCAAAGTGATGAAGAAGGTATAATAGGTGAAATCTAATTATGATTCGGGGCTATTAGTAAAATATTGTATCAAATTATTTAGAAAAATTGTATTAGTTGACTAAAAGAATCTAATAAATACCTCCCTACTATGGCGGACTTCTAGGGGATTTTTTTTAATTTATATATATTAAAAATTGTTTCGAATTTAAAAAATCCCAAATTGCCTATTTAAGTAATTAATAAAATTCATTTCTAAGATGGAAGCTTTTAAAATTAGCTAGAGATTTCTATACAATAGTTATTGCTTATACATCAAAATATTATATAATAAATTTTTTATATGAAAACCTTTTTTGCGAAATAAAGTATAGCCCTATCCCTGCGCTAGATCGGACTTAAATAACGTTGGAATGCATCAGATGGGGAACTGACAACCAACTTTTGCTGGCGAAGTCAACTCTCCAGATGATAAAAACAATAAAAAGAGGATTTGCCATTTGGGCCCAACTAACATTGGATCATTATCTTCCCATCTGACGCCTCCCTGACGTTATCAAGCCGATCCAAAGCAGATATTGGGCTATATAATTTTTCAATATTTTGCTCATGGAAGGGACGGAGTAAGAAAAGTTATATCCAATATACTGTAGTTGGGAAGACCTATGAAAATACTGAAAATAAGGAGATGAAAAGCTGAATTATTATGTTGTAGGGGTTTTCCCTATATAGCCCGATAAGAACCGTGGGTTCTCCGTGGAATGCCTCTGTTGATCAAACCAACTCAGTGCGTTGGTTTGACCAATTCACTTATTGGTTCAACCAGCAGAGGGATTTTCACAGAGAACCCACGGCTCTTATCGGGCCATATAGGGAAAACCCTTATATTATTTTGCAGTTTTCCTCAGAATAGAAGGAGGACTATTCCTTGCAAGGCTATTTTTTGATGGAGGGCTGGTCCGTAAGAAATTGTTTTTGGAGTTCGGACTCGTGCCTCTCCTTGGGTCTCGCTTTGATTCTTCGTGCTTAATAGGATCATCTTCTCCTTGAAGTACAACCCAAACCTGAGAGTTGTCCTTCAAGAGATCAGAAATGTGACTTTCCAGATTCAAATATTGCCCATCTTCAGACTGAATAACTCTGAACATTCCTAAATCAAGGCCGTAATTTTTGTCAATTCTATGAATAGCTACTGATCCTAGCCAATGAATCTTTTGCCTTCCATTTGCGCAATCAACTACTAAGGTTTGCCCACTTATGTGGATATTTATTTTCATTTATTTTTTGTTATATATATTTGTTTGCATGATACTTGGAGCTATTCTTTAGTCATAAACTCTTCGACACTTTGCAAAATATCGAAAGGTTTTATTTAATCCTTAAATACTGCTCAGGTGGTAAACTATTTTTCCACCTCAACCGGGTTCGCCTTTTGATTGGCAAAGGATTAAATTATATAGCGCCTGTCTTATCCTTGCCATAGAATTTACATAGCAAAATAATCATTTACAGAGATTAAATCTTATGTAGCCCAAAATGTGTTAACTGATGAAGACTAGTTCCGTAAAATGGGTTCATCTTAATTTTGAGACATTTTGGTGAATTTTTTTCTTTAAGATATTTTGATTGAATTTTGACGGTTTTTTCTTATAGTTTCACGAGGAAAAATTTGGACCAAGCTTCTCAAGGAAATGTCTAACTAGCAAAATCCAAGCAAATGCCATGGAGTCCTAAAATCACTGATTTCGGCAGTCACAAAATTACACTGATAGAAGGTCTATGCAGGTTGAGCTGCTTTAGAAACAAAGCGAGTTACGCCTTCTTTTGTGAATCTGCTAATAGTTGATATTTCTGCGAAAGATTTCAAAATTTCAGCTGCAAGCGATTTATCATCTAATCAACATTTATATGTTATGTTATGTTATGTTATGCTATGTTATGCTATGTTATGTTATGTTATGTTATGTTATGTTAGCGCTAATATTTTAAGTCTCTACTTCCAGTGGCGTGTTGGCACAAGCGAATTGGGTGAACTTCCACCTCTGGTACCTCTGAGCCCAGCCCGAAACCCCTGATTTCTCATTAGTGGGTTGCCCTATTTGTGTCCGCAGACCCTTGCTGGGCACCACCATTTCCAACTCAGTCCCCTTCGCCTGTCGAAGGCCAACTGCACCTACCTGGCCGGTTTCCTTATATAGGACCCTTTGACCGGAGGGACCGCCTTGTATGTGAGTTTAGCCTTCCCCCCTTTTACCAAGTCATCCCTGAATAAAAACTCAGCCACTTCCGTGATTCGGGGCAAAGCCCATCAAGAGCAGCTTGAGCAGGGATATCGCCCTGCTCCATTTCGGGCACCCACTGGCTAGGGCGCTGCTGGAAAAAGGATTCACGATTAACTGCCCAAGGATCAGGCCACAGATCTGCGGGTCCATGTGCTCGCCCATCGCCTCTGGGCTCCTGATGTTGCTGGCTATATCATTCCTCCAGAAAACCATGCCCGGATATACATGGGTTACCGTCACACTAGAGGACGGGTCGGATGTCATTCGCCATTTTATGTATATATAATCAACATTTATAAAAGGGGAATTCCAATAGATCTAATCAAAATTTATAAGCTGAAGTCTTATCTTCTTCTCACCTCAGAGGTCTAGAGGCTAATAGTTTCAAAGAAATTAAAGAAAACTTAATATTTAAAGCAAGGAGTTTAAAGTTTGACCACTAAATTAATGTAAAGATTTATGAATGAAAAATAAAAAACGAAACATTAAACCCGTTTATAAAGTAAAATATGGTGTTGATCCTTTTTCTAATTATAAATATTAAAATATTTTTCCGTTCGTACAAGGGTCTTGCAATTTATCCTTATATGTTTTTCTTTCCTATAATTAAACATTTTTAAGTTCACTAATTAAGATGAAATCTATAAATCTCAAAAGTTAATCCTTCTGTTGTAAATGGAAAATTTTATCGAGCATTTTCAATGCTCTATTTGCATAGAAATTTGCAGCAAGGCAGTTGAATCTTCTTGTTGCGCTTCAATCTTTTGCGAAGAATGCACCCCAAGCCTCCAGTCCTGCCCAAACTGCCGATTTAAACATCCACAATTTCATCCTAATAAAGCACTTCGAAGAATTATTGGATTTTTACCATGGACTTGCGAATTTTGTGAGTATCGCACAGAAAACAATAACTCAGAAGACCACCTGAAAAAGTGCATAAAAGTCCCTGCTCTATGCAAATATTGTAGTGCTTCGTTTATAAGGCAAAATCTATTGGATCATTATATAGATGCACATCAAAATGAAATAATTAAAGATTTTGATAAAAAGTCTGAAAATAATACTCAAACAGAAGATAAAAGGATTGAAGATCAGGTAAATGCAAAGGGAAGAATAGCTAAAATTGGCAGAACTGGCAAGTTTTATTGTGGAGGAAATTTAGGAGCAAGCTGTGTTTGCTGCAATGGATTCTGCGGTCCTAATTCAGGGTGCAACTGCGCTTCATGCATGACTTTGGATATTCAAGCAAGAAGACTTCCAAAAGGCTATTTAGTTAATTCTAAAGGAATGATTGCAAAGATTGGTACGACAGGGAAAATATATTGCGGATGTCAAGTTATGAAAGGAGTACCACACTGCGATGGATGGTGTGGACCTAATGATGGCCCAAATTGTGGAGCATGCCAAGCTCTTGAAAGAAATTGGAATGGCAGATATAGAGAAATAACCTCTAGGTGGGCATAATTGAAGTATTAATTAATGATAAAAAATTATTCGAATTTGAATCTATTTAAAAGCACAATTTACTTGTTTTCAATAATAAATTTTTATTACATGACTGCTACATAGTTTTACTGTAAATGCCAACCATTGAAAATAAAGAAGGATTTACATCTTTATTAGGAATGAACACTGTATGGTTTATCTATTATAGAAAGTAAAGCTATTTTTATATTCACTTCCTTTTAGCACTCTTCTTTTCAAATGAATTATTTTTCTATACAAAATCCTAAAAAATTTACAATTTTCAATATCTGAAAACCATATTTCCGATATAAATTAACCAAAATATTCATGGAAAAATATCAAATAGTAAACATGGCAGGCCGTTCTGACTCCTCTACCTTTAATCTACTCGAATGTAACCTTAAATTAGCTCCAGGAAATCTCACAAACCACATGCATCTTCTTTCTCAAATGCAGTCCAATGACGACATCGAAGTACTGAATGCAGTAATGCAATTTTCCATGCATTTGTCGGTAGCCTCAGAAGAATCAATTATTTCTCTGCCAATTGACCACACAATCTCTACCCTGATTTACTGCTTAAATAGATCACTGCCTGACATATGCTTATACGCAATTATATCTTTAAACCACATTTTAGACTCTGTTCCTAATGCCTCTCATCTGCTAGTGGTCCAAAGTGGAGTTGGTATTCTCTGCAGAATGCTTATGAATTTAGAGTATATTGATATGGCAGAAAACGCTATAAAAGCCCTAGAAAGAATTTCGCACGATTCTCCGTCAGCATTGCTTAGAGAAGGTGTTTTTTCGATTTTAGCGAATATTTTAGATTTCTTTGAAGAGGCTATACAAAAAAGAATTTTATCAACTGATATTTTGATCGCAAAAGCTATAAACTCAGAAGAAATGCTGAATGGGATTATTCCGTCTTTACCAGAAATGGCAAATTTATTGGTCTTTAAAGGCCTAGGAAATTTGTGAAAAAACCATATGGCTGTCCAATTTTATTTAGGGCTAACAGAAAGCATTTTCAGGTTTTCCAGAGTTGATCGAGCACGGCTGCGGAAAAACGTCGAAAGTGTATGCGATTTCAGGGCTTTTCAGAATTTAATAGAACTTATACCAAATTTTATTGAATTTCAGCCATTGTTATTTAGACTCTTAAAAATTTTATGTGCAGCTTCACCGTATTTAATTGTCATGCTCCATAATATCGGAGCTTTATATTCCATTAAACAAGTCCTAGAAGATGAAGAAAAGCAAGCGTCAAATGAAAATCATAGCTTACTTATGGAAATCCTACAACTGATCGATGTTCTTATTCCTAATAAAAATCAGAATGATTTTTGCAGCAAAGAACTTGAGGAGATTTACAGACTAAGCCCAGATTTATTGAAAAACCTAGGAGACACAATTCTCCCAAGGCTTCTAGGGATCTATGATAAAATAGTCAACAAAACCCTTAGAAATTTGATACTACAGATCATGGGCAAGCTCTTTGCTGTATCAGAGCTTGAAGCTACCATTAGTTATGTATCTCCGAGCCATTTCGCTAACTTTTTATCTGAAGTTTTTAACTGTCGAGACATGGAATCTCTCCGATCTGCACTCAAACTAGTGATGCTATTATATGAAAAAATTCCCCAGCATATTTCAGAAAATTTTATCCGTGAAGGGATTATCAGCAAGATCCAAAATTTAAAAAACGAAGACTCATTGAATAAAAAGCCTGATACGCCAAATAAAGATGTGAGGATGAGCCCTAGAATTATAAGATCAACCAGCTTAAGGGATTCTGAGCCTACCATCCAAATAGACAGTCAAGAATTCAGAAGGATCAGAAATTTCAGAAGATCATATACGATTTATAGAGAATCAGAGGATATCACTCATACAAAAGTCCCAATTGTGCTACCGAAAGATGTGGGTGATATGGTAAATAGTGTCCTTGTGAGGGCATCAGAGTTTGAAAAAACCTATATGTATTACGACTTGAATGAGCTAAAAAGACTGGCAAGAAGCTTAAATGAAGATGAGGAGTCTGGGAGATTGATGCAGCTTATTGAAATAATTAATAAGAAAAACATAAGCTTGCACGAATTCGTGGGGTCAGGAATTATTGAAGCTTTATGAAAATGATTAACAAACAGCTACCAAAAGAAGCCAAAAGTTTCTTTAAAGAGAATTTATGAATTTTTAGTCTTATTTAATGAAACGTCTAGCTCTGGCCAAACTCATTTAGCAAATTTGATTTCATTATTAATAAGGTCGATCAGATACACACAGCAATTTGGGATTTTATTATATGAAACAATAACCGGCTTTTCCAACATTTTTCACAGTATGAGGACTCTGTCAAGCAGAATAAGACTCAAGCTCCTTTACGATCCAGAAAAAATGAATCTGAATTCTCCATATACAAAAGACCATTGTTTTGAACTTGAAAGCAAGCATCAACTGTTCAGCTCAATTGGATCTGTCTCATTGATTCTTGAGCAATACATCACGCTTGAGACAATTATTGACGCTCTGCTAAAAGTCAGAAGTGCAGAAAACATTGAATTCCTCGTCAGCTCTTTCGAAAAAAATGAGCAAAAAGGACTCAGTCCTGAGCAGTTCAATATCACAAAGCAGCATATAAAAATGCAGCTTTTCCTAAGTGGGGCTTCAGATCTAAATGCAAAGCTTGAGGAAATGGGGATAAGAAGTGAAGGATTTGAAAATTTGATTGATGAAATCCAGATGCAGAAAAGAGAAATTGAGGGGAAAATGGATATTGTGGGGGAAAGTGAAATGATTGATGTAAATCAGCCGATAGAAGCGATGAATATTGTGAACAGAAAAAGTAGCATGGCTGAGGAAACCAGAATCAAAGCAATAATAGAGCTGAATGGAGAGGTTCTTCATAAAAAAATGAGTCTTTTTGAAATAATAAACAAATACGAGGTTGATGACATTTTAACACTGAAATTTTATTTCGCAATAGAAAGAGAAGAAAATGATGAGTGCTCTCGATACATAATGCCAGGCCCCGACTACCTCAGTCAAATTATAAATGATTCATCCAAATTATCAATCAACTCCTCAGAAAAAGTGTACAGCACGCTACGCCTGCTCAAATTTATTTACCTATTAAACGACAATATAAAATATTTGCTATCCCCTTCTTCTCTGCTATTTAATTTTCCTATAAACCCAATTGCAAGCAGCTTACTTCCTTCATCTCTATTTACAAGCCAAAAACTCACAGCTCTAGTCTCCAAACAAATTTCTGACTTGCTCGCTGTCGTTGGTGGTATGACTTCAGACTGAATTTTCTGACTTGCAAGCAAGTTTCCAAGTGTTTTAAGCTTCAATCAAAGATACGACGTTTTTCGAATTGTTGGCTTTGGAGGAGACCGGTCACTATATTTTTACTCAAACCGTGGAAAAGCTTTTTCTGTCAGGATGCTTCGGCAAAAAGCGATGGTACCTAGAGACAACGTTTTAGAGGCAGGAATAAGGATAATTGGCGACTCTGAGCTGCTGAAATATGGCTTGCTTGAATTTGATTTTGTTGATGAGGAAGGAACAGGCTTAGGACCAACTCTTGAGTTTTATAGCTTGATAAGCGAAGAAATAAAAAAGCTTGACCTTTGGAGATCTGATGCTGCAAATGGCTTATTTCCAGCACCTATTCAATCACAGAACTTAGAATGCAACGCTCAGATGTTTTATTTCATCGGGAAATTGGTGGCCAAAGCAATTTATGATGATAAACTTATAAATCTGAACTTTTCGCCTGTATTTTGAAAGCTTGTCCTTCGCAAGCCGATATATCTTTCTGATCTGATTAAAGTTGACTCTAGTCTAGGCCGGCATTTATTGCAGTTTCAAGAGCTTGCAAATCAAGCTTCATGAATTAATGAAGAATTCAGCGACCCTGACTACCAATACAAGCAGCTTAAGCAAGTAAAATACAAAGGCTCCTCAATTTGTGACCTTCACTTAACTTTTACTCTTCCTGGCTATGAGTCAATTGACTTAAAACCGAATGGGAAAAATATATTTGTGAGCCTAGAAACGCTAGAAGAATACATAAATTTGGTGTGTGAGTATACGCTGCTTCAAAATTACCAAGCTGAAGCATTCCGAAAAGGCTTCGAGAAAATGATACCGGTCGTGTCTTTAGAAGTGTTTGAGCCTGAGGAGCTGGAAGAAGTCATATGTGGAAAAAATAACGAAATATGGGAGTTTTCAATCCTAGCAGACGCAATAATGCCTGCACATGGATACTCCAAGGATTCAGGGACTTTTCAAGACTTATTGCATATCATGGAAAGCTTTGATGCTGGCGAAAAGCAGCTTTTCTTGAAATTCTGCACCGGAAGTCCAAGACTGCCGCTGGGTAGCTTTAAAGGCCTTCACCCTCCTTTAACGATTGTGAAAAAAGACCCCACAGTTCAAGGAAGCAGCCCTGACGAGTATTTGCCAAGTGTGATGACTTGCCAAAATTACTTAAAAGTCCCTGAATACTCCTCTAAAGAGATTTTAAAGAAGCAAATGAAGTATGCAATGACTGAAGGCAATGAGGCATTTCATTTTTCTTAATATATCTAGTTAAAATCTATTTTCAATCATTCTGTATATATGAAACTAATAGAATTTAAATGTCAGATCGTTTCTCCCCAATTCCAGGCATAGAATCTGCTTTCCAAAAAGATTTCCCAATCTACAACCCAGCCAGTAGAGAAGAACAGCTAGCAGACATAAAAGCCCGTCTAGAAGCCAAAAGCGCAATTTACAAAAAAATGAAATTCAACCATGTTCATTCCAACCAAGATCTCCAGCATGAACTTCGGCACCGTTTTCAGTCCTCTCTAAATAAGCTGAATTCACTTGAAACAAGGAACGTTGGGGTAAAAGAAGCCCGGCAGATAATTGAAAGAAATGTGTCCAATGAAGCTTTAAAGGTTTTTCTTGGCTCTCTAGGAGAAATCAAAAAAGTAAAGTCGCCCATTGCGAGGGAACAAGAAGTGCTGCTGATTGGCTGGGTTGCCAATGCTTTTAGAGACAGAATTGAAGAAGATGGCCTAAAAACAGTTACAAGAATGGTCGAAATGATTGCAGATTTTTTCAATGATTTAAATAGGCCAGTTCATGAAGCTGCTGCATCAGCGCTTTGTGAAGTATACGAAAATTTGGTGCCAAAGAATAGCATAGATGTGATTTTAGGCGTTATTTATGATCCTTTGGAGATTGCAATGACTTCAGGCATAAACACTAAATCACAGCAGGCTGCCGCGCTTTCTGTTTTTAAGTGGGTGGAGTATTTGATAAGCCAAGATGAAAATGAAGTAGCGAATTCGATTTATCCTAGGGTGCTCTCGTTATATTGCAAGCTGAGAGCTGAGTTCCCTGACTTGATTAGCGCACTAGGAGCTTTAATTGATTTTTGTGGGATTGACCCTCTGCTACCATCTCTTTTAGGAGTCATTAAAAAAAGCTTGCAATATCTTCAATATATAGGCCCGCAAGCCCACCTATATAAAATTGAAGCTTGCAAGCTGTTTTCTTGCTTAGCCAAGCATTTACAAAATTTAGCTGATTTGGTGCTAGAGCCTTTTCATAGCGAAGTCTTGCTTACTTTGCAAGATGTAAAAACAGATAAGCTGGCAGCTGTACAAAATGCGGCTAGACAGGCTTATAATGATTGGAAGTCACTGGAAGAGATCCAAAGAGAAATAGAAGAAAGGAAAATGATCCAAGACCCGATTCCTGCAGAAGAAATTGTAAAGTTTAGAACTGGGGTAAGAGATTTTAAAAATTATGAGAAAAGTCCTGAAAGGGTAGGCCCAAATAATTTCAAAGCAATTAGGGAATTAGCAAAAAGGAATAAACAAATGCAAGGGAATATACAAAAGGCAAATCAAGAGTGAGGAATATCTAAGTCGAAATTCTTGGAAAAGGGAAGCGGGAATTATATTGAAGTTGAAAATGAGCAGCCAAAAAAGCCAGCTCCCGTAGTCAATAAAAGAAATATTGATATAGTGCCAAATATTGTACCGAGAGAAGGAATCAATAAGCATGTAATGGAAGTAATACAAAGGAGCTCAGTTGAAGCGTTGCCAAAATCAAATCTGAAAGAGCCAATTATAGAGGAAGTGGAAAAGGAGGATGAGCCGACAGTGGAAGATCGATACCAATCTCCTTCTTTTAAATTTGAGCAGGCAAACAATAGGACAGATTTTTCAGAAGGACCAAAAACTGCATTTACAAATAAAAGAAATATCCAAGATCAAGAAATGCTAAGGCAAAGAAATCGCCAAGATATAGTTATAAGCCGACCTGTATCTCAGCCTGAGCCAGTGATGCAAATACAAAGTGCCTATCAAAGTGACAATATTCCGATAAAGCAAACTTTTCAAAGATCTGATGTTATTGTGAGGCCAAAGCCTCAGCCTGACTTAACAGCTTTTACGGAAAACATAAAGAGCACTTTCTTAGCTATGCAAAAAACAATGGATAAAGGCTTCAATGCTATTGAGCAGCGTCTATACCAATTAGATCAACGAATGGACGAAGCCTATAACAGGCTCGAAAATGTATCCAATATAAAGCAGCTAGAAGAACAAGAAGAAGAACAAAGTGAAGATATAAGGCGAAGCTTTGTTCATCCGCCGCTTAAACAAGACAACTATTCTCAAAGTGATACTTTTAGCAAACCTCCTCCAAAAATCCAAAACAATATCCAAGTCCAAACAAATCCTATTAGCCAAAAACCTCAAAAGCCGATTGAAGAAGAAAGCCTTAAAATCACCCCAAAAGTATCCCAAACTACCCTCCAAAAACAAAATGACATTGACCCTCTAAGCAAAGTATGAATCGATGTTCTGAATGATCTCAGCCTTGGAAAGATTGAAGAGGCCTATTTAAAAGTCCTAAACACTGGAGATGATATTTATCTGCTCAGATTGATGCACAAGACAGGAGCTTGTTTATCAAAAATGTCTTTAAATTTATGCAAAAAAATATTGAGCAGGCTTGGCATGATTTTGAACTCAGGATTTTTAGAGGGAATTGGCGTTGATTGGCTTGAAGACGCCATAAAAGAAAACATGCTATCGAATCTTGGAGAGGAGGAGAAGCGGTCGCTAGGTGATGCGATGGAAAGAATCTCTCAATTACCAGGAGAAGAAGCAATTTCTGCATCAAATATTTTGAATTCATTGTCGTATTTATAATTTAACTTTTAATATATAAAATTTACATAAAAATGCGCTTCAAGAAAAAACTTGCTTTCATAATTTCTACTATTGATAATTTATTTTTCGTTAATCCTTACCAGAAATATAGTCTTCGATAAAATTAATAATAAAAATGTCGGAAAACAAACGGCTGATGATGATTGAAACACATTTGTCAAATCATTTGAATTTCAATACCAAAAATACATGCCTAGACGAATACAGAAAAAGAGAAAGACCTTTCAACTCTGAGCAGCTTCGTGAAATGATATTCAATCCTTTTTACACCGCATCTAAAAAAATATGAAATGCTATAAAAGACCGACCAGATTTATTTAATCGTTTGAGGAGTTTGAAACGAGCAGAGATGCATTGAGCGAAAGAGCCCACAAGCGAATGACCTACCTCTGCAAGAAGTCAAAAACTAGTAAAGAACTCAACAGAGCAGACTCAGACTTAAGAGAAGCTATGAGTGTAGGCTTTATAGGAATAAAATCAGAAGTCCCCATCTCCATTAGCAAGGAAATCATTAGAAAGTATATAATTAGTAAAATCTCTTATTTTTTTAAATCTTCTTTTAAAAAGAATGATTTAATAAAGTAAATTCAGTAAGTACTTTTATTATTTTGTGATTTTTATATAAACTTTGCATAAGCTATCCAAAAATTTCGCTCTCTTATAAAGTGTGTGCAATGGTCCTTTTATCCATTACGAAAGCTTTGAATTATTAAATTCTATATCATTTTCTTTATTTCTTAAAAAGCCAACTTTGCAATATTCCTGCGCTGTATCAACAATGACAATAAAATAATACTAATTATTTCAATTATCTTAATACCACATAGAATTAAAGAGAGTAGACTTTATTTAACACTAAATTTTTCAGCTTATTCCAGTACCAACGATTAAAATTTCATTTATGCTTACTGGACTTTTACTTTCCATCCTGCTGAACCTTCCTTTTGTTTTCAGCGGAGAATGTCATGCAGATGAGCACAGAGCAACGCCCAGCAAAGTCATGCCAGCATTTTCAAGGAAATTTGATGAAAATAACAGACTGCTGCTTGATAGAGAAAGCGACTTTGAGCCTATAAGAATATACGTCCACTATGGAGAACTAAAAGTCCCTTTGGCAGCCCAAAAATTCATCAAAACTTATGTAGTTGATGGGGCCATCAAGTGGTTTCGAAAAGTCCTTTTAATAAATCCAGTAATTGGCCGCCTTACTTTTCCAGGATTTTCAGGTAGAGACTGTGGAGGATTCAAAATTCCTCGAGAGCATGCAACAGTTGGTGTTAATGCTGACGTTGTGATTTATTTAACAGCAGGTGATAATGACACTGGACTTGCCGGCTGGGCAATCACCTGCCTTGTGGAGAAGGGATTAGGTTACCCATTAGCTGGGCTATATACCATTTGATCGGAGCATTTTGGTAGTGCGATAGTTTTTGTCACAATTTTTTTCTTGCCGTAAATTTGACAGATTTTTTAACGTTTTTTTACAGAAAAAAATTATGATCAAGAGTCCGATACTAGGAAAAAGAACCTATAGAAATTGCCCGAGGATGGCGCAAAATAGCACCATCCTCGGGCAATTTCTATATCAAACAACAGGCAACGCACTAGCTAGCCAGTTACATTTGGAGACTGTAGGACTTAAAAATGAAACCTTTGAAGATGCCCTTTCGACTGTAATCCATGAAATGTCCCATATTCTGGCTTTCAGTGCCAATCTTATGGATTTGTGAATTAAGCCGGACGGGAGCAAGTACAAAAATGATGAAATCTTATTGTGGGGAGTTGAGAGGAATAAGACTGTTGCAAAACTAAAAACACCTAAAGTGCTAGCAAAGGCGAAGGAACATTTTAATTGCTCAGAACTTGAAGGAATTGGGCTTGAAGTTTCTAGAGTTAATGGGACATTAGGGTCTCACTGAGAAAAGAGAATTATGAATGACGATTATATGGTCCCAGATTTCGATATTCATGATATTGGGTATTCAGATATTTCTTTAGCTGTCTTCGAAGATTCAGGCTGATATAAAGTAAATTATTGAATACTTAACAAGCCTATTTGAGGATTTCATAAAGGCTGTGAATTCCTAAAAGAAAAATGCATAGTTGATAACAAGCCCTTGCCCAATGAATTTTGCCTGAACTCTACTTTCTCCCAATGCGATTATCGGCACTTAAGAAAAGGAAACTGCAATTTGAACCAATTCCACGACATGCTTCCAGAGCCTTTTCAGTACTTTTCTAACCCGTGTTTAGGTGGCAAAGACGAGTATATTGATTATTGTCCCGTTGTTAAGCCCTTTTATAAAGGAAACTGCAGAGAAACCAATCCAAGTATGCAAGATATTAATCAGTTATATGGAGAAGCTATGTGTGAAAGCTGCAGATGCATAGAAGGGACTTATTCAAAATCTATGGGCAGCCTTGAGCATCATGCAATCTGCCATAATATCACTTGCACTGCTGATGCTGCCATTATTCATATCAGAAACGTTTCTGTAACTTGTCCTTTTACTGGTGGAACAGTAAAAGCGCCAGGTTTTCATGGATTTTTGGTATGCCCAGAGTCAGATATTTTGTGCATAGAAATGCCATGTCTTGATAACTGCAGTGGAAGAGGCAAGTGCATCCGCGGCGTATGCAACTGTGATAACGGGGTCAAGGGAGGAGCATGCCCTGGAAAAAGGCAAAATGATACATTTTCGTTAAATGTTACAAACAAAGCAATTATTGCAATTATTGGCATTCTTTTGCTTATGATTTTTTTGTAAGCATCTTGAACGATCCAATCATGATAAATAGTTTATAATAAACTTAAGGCTAAATTTAGACAGGCTGCTTGAATTATATTTATTTTATTGCAGCACTATAGCTTATAGATCATTACTGCTTATCAGTCGATCACCATGCTCCCAGTCTGCTGCTACAAAGATCCCTGATGGCATGTGCATAACTCCTTTTCCATGTGGCTTCAGCTCTTCATCTACAGACCCCTGATATACTCTTCCATCATCATAATAAATCTCAACTGATCCTTTATTCATTTCTCCTTCAAAATAGTTGCAATCAACCCTGCATCCATTCTTTTTAGTAATTGAAATTCTTCCATGCAATTTTCCTTCATAAAACTCCCCTCTAAAACTTTCCTGACCTTTTGTGATTAACTCTCCTATCCCATGCTGCTTTCCTAGTTTTCACATGCCTACATATACATCTCCATTTGCAAAGGTTATCTGGCCTTGGCCGTGAAATTCTCCTTCACAAAATTCTCCACTATAAGAATCCCCAATTGAATTTTTAAAATGCCCAACTCCACTTTTCTTGCCTCCTAATCAGTCTCCATCATACATATTTCCTTCTGGGTCGATATATACTCCATATCCATTATATAAATTTTTAGAAAATCCTCCAGAGTACTGCACCCCATGGTCAATTTCTCGTCCATTTCCAGACTTTTCATCGTCAAGCCATTCTCCATCATAAACATATTGGTTATCTTGAGTCGTGTAAGTTCCCATTCCACTTCTCCTAATAGAAAATTACCTGATCTGAAATCCAGTGACCTTCATAGCGGTTTCCGTTGGATTCTTCTAATATACCGTGATCTTCCTTTTTCCCTGAAAGCACTGATCCGGTATAAACATCCCCATTTTCATAAGAAATCTTAATGCGTGCTGTATAGTCTAAGTAGCAAATACTTGAAAAAGATGAAAGACTTGCCAGAAAAGACGGGTAGTTTTTCATTCACTGGTTAAAATTATACGTACTTGACCATCTATACAAGAATGACATCCTAAAACTCTTCATATATTTCTTGAATTTCCACAGTTTGTTGAGCCTCGGGTCTAGATTCTGGTATTTTGATTTCTTTTTTGGTTTTTTAAGAATATTGGCATTGGCTTCACATTCAGAAGGTTCATCAAAATCAGGGAGACTTGGGATATCTTTGAGGTCACTATCGCCTATAAGTTTTTCCCTCAATAATGCTATGTTAGCAAGATTATTTTTCAGGTACATATGAAATTCAGATCTGATAAAGTCATCGCTGCCTGCTCATACTAATGTATCAGAGCCAAACCAGTCCTCATTTTCATTCCAGGTCTCATCAACTTTCTGATTATTCCTTACCTTGATAATGCTTTTCATAAAAGTCTTATCATGAGAGTTCAGCTTGATGCATTTTGCTGATTTTTTGGGCAATAAAATATCCAGTTTGTTTTCCTCTATATTAAGAACTGCATGGGCTTGTGTTTTTGGGTGCTCAACTATCATTTGGTTTGTGCAGCCTATCAAATACCCAGGCTTTTCCAAGGCATCCAGCTGAAAAATTGAAAAATAAGGATGAACTACAAAATTTTCATTAAAAAGCTCCAAGGGCAGCCCATACATTTTCAAGCTTTTTAAATATTTTTCATAAATTTTGCTGTCTGCGTCAAAACACAACTGCCCTGGAAACAATGAAAGCAATGCAAAGACAGCTGAAGACAACTGGCTTGGCTTTTTTGAATATATCACAATTCTCCCTTCCAGTAAGACCAGCTTCCAAAGCATCATTACTTTTTCTTTAAACATATGAATTAGCTTCCTTGCTGAAAACCCCACATATAAATCCGACACACCACAGCTTTCCAGTCCTGAAGTCAAGGAATTATAAATGTCAGTGATAATTTCAGTATTTTCAAAATTTTTCTGTTCAAAATACGCATGGGTGGTAGCTTGCATTCTCGATGATATTATTCCAAAAAACGGTAAATTTGATATGGCTACTAGTGCTTTCTGTACGTAGTTCCTGGACATATCAGCACTTATATTTTCGTTAGGGACTTGCCTGAAACAGCTTACACAGTATTTGAGTTTCCCTCCAATTTGAACTAGAAAATATAAGAAGTCTGACTAATTAGAAAATACGCTTTCATTGTGGATGCAGTCTGGAAGAGCCAGATATGGCAATAAATCACTTTCTTCTTTTTCTGATGGGTATTTATACTCAACAATACTGCCTTTTTTGTGATGGAATCCAATTAATATAATGGAATGGACTGGGCCTTCAGAGGAAGCCTCTATATGAGAGACAGAGCTGGGAGACACTTGCTCGCTGAGTTTGTTAAGGAATTCCTTGAGGTTTGTGACATCTGGTGGTGCTAAAATGTTGCCTTTTCGAAGAAGAGTTTTCAGCTTGCTTTTCATTTAAATTTAATAGGAATTATATAAGCTGGTTACATTATCAAACATTCTTTATTCCCATTATTGCTATGCAGGGACTGCCTCATTTCTCTGACACTGTCCAAAACGCTGAGCCTGTCTTCATCAATGCCTGGATAAGGCTCATCAACATATTCATTGCTTTTGATCCTCCTATGAAATGCTTCACTTATCCTTTTGTCGCATCTCTGGCACAGCAGCTTTTTCAGCTGCTCCAAATTCAAACTTGATTTGATTTTTTCGTTTATAACTTCATTTTTCTCAGCCACTTCTGCCTTTGTTTTCTCCATCCCTTCAATGTGTTTATCAATCCCCTCAATCTCTTTCTGCGTTTCCACACACTTTTCCCTCATCATTTTTTCCACCCTTATAGACTCTTCTATATCTTTTTTGTGCTTTTCTATCATTTCTCTAATTCTTGCTTTTTCTTCCTGTTCAGCTTGGATTTGCTTGTTTAAGTCAGCAATTTTGGTGTCGTACTTATTTTTGGCTTCTTGAATTTCGGTTTCGAGCTGGTTTACCGATGCTGTCACATCGAAATATTCTCTGTTTAGCCTTTCGTTGGCTTCTCGCTCAACTTTTAGAGCAGCGTTCATTTGTTTGATTTCTTCTTCAATTTCTTGGTCAATTTCTTTTTTGGTCTCTTCCTGGTCACACAAGTCGCAGATTCTTTGTGGCTCGTCAAATCCTTCCATCATCCTGGTTTTTTGAGAATCGTCTGAACAGACAGCGTTGCTGCAGAATTTGCATATGTGCTTTCGCCGAATTGTGAAACTTTTGCCGCATACATAGCATTTCTTGCCGTTTGAATTTGTAATATCGATTGAGTTTGAGGAAGAAAATGAGCTTCGAGAAGATGGGGGCTTTGAAAGCTGCTTGGGAGTCATGTGGAGAGGCGTGTAGCTGCCACTTTCTAGTTCGTTATCTGATGAAACCGAGGATTTTAGCTTTGATAGGATTGAGTTGGAGATCATTATAATAAGTATGACCGATTAAATTTAACATTCATTTTTATTTAATGGAAATTTTATTTATATCTGGAATGTGCGAGCAATTTAAAAAGGAACCGAAGAGACTGATTTGCTTCTCTTTTTAACCGATTTCTCACTGGCTTTATAGTTTAGGCCTTCATATTTTTCTAGCAGCATTTCTTTCTTACTTTTCACATTTTCAGAATTTTCTTTATAAAAATCACTGTTCCCTTGTGAATTTTCAATAATATTTGAGTTTTTTTCTTTAAAAAAACTGTTTGCAGCATTCTTCAAAGCTCTATCTTGCATGACTTTTATGTCATTTTCCTTGCCCTTTTTGATTTCGCTTTTATTGAGTTTTTTACTACTATTTTTATTCGTTGCATAACTAGATACCGCTTTTGCATAGCTAGATTTTGGGTCTCCCTGAGATTTATTAACTTTATGCTTACTCCCCCCTCCGTGAGTGAACAAAAAAAATTTTGTGTTCAAGCACGGAGGGGGGTTAATTTTTTTTTTTTTAAAAAATTTATATATAAATTTTCTAAAAAATATTTTTTTTCGAAATTTAAAAAAATCCTAATTCGCAAAAATTGAAAGCAAATATTAATTTAATTTATAAAATTTATGTTTTAAAAAGCAATTCGTTTAAAGTTAAATAGAATTACTCTAGATTTCATTATACTAATTATCATTTATATATCAAAAAATTTTTTTTCCATAAAAAATTTTTGTTCACTCACGGAGAGTGGGTTTTGGGCAAAAATTAGCGATTTTTCTAATGGTTTTGTTCACTCACGGAGGGGGGGGAGTTAGGCTTTTCTTTTGGTTCTTCAGGGACATCTATATTCATTTCTTTTCATCTCTTATCAATATAATTTCCTATATGAAGCTCTTTAATTCTGCTTTGAAGCATAAGCGATTTTCTTTCTAAATCTCTGTGTGCTTGAGCCATAAACCAAATTTGTTTTCCAACTTGATCAGTTTTTTTGCTTGGCTTTTGTTTTGTCATAGAAGAGCTTGAGATCCGTCTATGAGTTTGAATAGGAGAATCTGCTGATGACTTGCTGTCTGGCATTTCTGGGACTACTTCGAGAGGTCGAGCCATTTTTAAAATAATAGTTAACGTTAATATGCAAGTAACGTAATTTTTTCTTATACAAATAGCAAATCTTTTGGCGGGGCATGCTCAAAATTTTATTTCATATTGGTAAGTTTTATCTATTAATTAGGGTCGCTGTTAAATAATGCTTAAAAATGTATTTGCAATATAATTTGACTTTTGATTTAGCTTTTAATTAAATTGCTAGCAACATAAAACTTATAATCTACAGCTGCAATTTCATACAATGATCTCCACAAGTGAGGAATCAAATATGTAGCGTCACATGCGGAATGCAATTTCATATGTGGATTACTACTTGCAATTACTATATTTATTGATAAATGAAAACTAAAAATTCATTCAAACCAATTTCATATTATCTTGATATGATTAATAGAATAAATAGGATTTAATTTGAAAATAAAAAATAGATTGAAGGCTTGCTAGAAATAAGTAATTATTAATATAGTGTAACCCATGAAAGAATTTATCAGTTCCAAATTAAATTTGAATAGTGAAAAATGTATATTTAGAGCTTCTATGATGTATACAATTCATAAGCATTGTTTAATACTTCAACCGCAAAAATGAATTTTACAAGTAATATCTGGAAGAATTTGTCTCGACTAAAAATGTGGATGGAATATCTGAATACAATAGATTATAGCTTATTATAGCTTTCAGTGATTTTTTAAACTGAAGGTTTTTTATATAGCTAACGTCATCAAGTGTAATTTCACAGCACCCTCAGTTATTATTAATATATTTTATCTTATAATTTAACTTCTCTCTGAAAATATAATAATCATTTCAAATTAAAAATGAGAGCCTCAAGTCGTTTACTCAATGAAATCGATTTGGAAATATCAAGAAAACCATCTCCACCTTCAAAGGAAAGAGAAGGAAGAGGAAAGCAAGAAAGTAATCAAAGTTTGACCCAAAGTCTTTATAGATCTAGCAGATCGCAAAGTCCTTTTCAAAAATCAGACAACCAAGAACTTTCCCGCAGCGAAATTCTGGTTGACAAGCTTTTAGAGCAAATAAAAAGAAATAAGGAAAGAGTAGCATTAGAATGCAAAAAATTAAGAGGTGATATTGCTCAAGCACTTGAAGGCCTGTAAATTCTAACTATTCAGCTTATTAGTGATGAATTATTTAACATATTAAACCGTATAGGAGTAATTAAGTTGATAAATAAGAAGGAGATATGCTAAAATAAAAAATTATAGCCTCTATAATTGAAAGACTAGATGAAGTTTTCGAAATAATGATTTCCTTTTAAATAATTTAAGAAGAATTATTTTTCAAATTTTTTGTCTATGATAGTTTAAGTTAAATATTTTGCTACGGGTGGTTTTTGGATATTCTTTAGCATTAAGCAACTAATTTCAATTTTATTCTGAAAATTAGAATATCTTGTGTTACAGTAGTTAAAACGAAAACATATTAGATCTTTCTGTTTTCGCTACTGCTAAAACAGGCAAAAGTAATTGCTTTTTTATTGTAAAACGAGTTGACAATGGCATATCTCCTTCTCTTAGCTCTCTTTGAGCACTGAAAGATCGACATTCAGCCTCAATAGTTGGAGTCAACTTGGTGCTAAGAATGGGCTTGATAACTTTTATTTTATCATTCCTTTCAAACGGCTTTAACTCAAACATTTTACGCTTGACCTTTGGAAGAGCATTTAAATAAGTATCTTGAAGAATCTTTTGCATTACAGGGTTTCATGACGCATTTGATGGCTTAGTCTGAAATAATTCATCAACTGAAATTGTTTTATTTCTGTTTTCTTTCATATTTGGCGTTGAAATTTTGGTTAATTGCTCTTGGATCAAATTTTTGTAGTTCTTGAAACCTCTAGGAGATGGCCCTGGGAATTCGTTTATTTTTGGAGCGAGAGATGAAGATCTTAGTTCACTCATATCGTCAGGCTTTAGCTGGCTTTTCTTTATGTATTTGTTTGCTATTTTTACAAGTCTTTTTCTTTTATTTTTTGTTCTTGTTAAAAAGTCTATTAGCTGTTCATCTTGTAATCTTTCCATTTATTTCTTTACCATTTTTTTTGAATAGTAACTTTTAAAAAATGTATTGAAGGCTAAGTGAATACATTATTGCAAGGTTCTTACTGGATTTATGTCAGAGTTTCTATAAGAATAGCTTTAAATATATTCTCCTATTAAAATTAAAAAATAATTACTCATTATTATCATTTATCCAAGGGTTTACAGATGGCTCCTCGAAGCCTTCTTCATCTTCAAATGAAACAATTGGTTCTTTAAAATTTTTAGGAAACTCTATGTTATCATTTCTCATTGAGGACTGAAACTCTGACGACGATGTAAACCTTGATACAGAAACATTGCTCTCATTTGTAAAATGAGACACCTTGCTGCTGAATTTCTTTTTGAAAGATGTCATCTTACTAGAGATGAACTTTAAAATTGAAATGTTCTTTGAAGCGTGTGCAAGCGCCCTATAAGTAAGAAGGCTTCAATAGATAAAAAATACACAATTTCCTATAAATACGAGCCATGCAATTATTTGGCCAGGAATTTCTCCTATTCCTGCAGAGATCAGGAGTCCAGCAATCATATAGAGAAGTGCTAGTAAAATTGATGCAAACTCCATACTATTCATTATCGGTTTCTCATAAGGTTTGAAGCCTAATTGAAGAAAAGCTATGGTTCCTAACACTAAAATCACTGCCAATCCTTGGACAGTCAGTGGGTAATTGATCAAAATAACTGCAATTCCTCTAATAAGCATCCTTCTACATATAATCAAAAGCTCCCAATAGTAAAACCTGCTCTTGTAGCCTCCATAAAATGACCTATATTTCAGCTGAATGTCAGGCGAATCTAGCGAGTGTCTGTTTTTATATAAAATATAAAACATCACTAAAGGAAAGCCTAAGCACCAAATCCCAATGCCAGGCAAGCCCACAATTGCAATTATAAGCCAATGGTCGCCGACCCAACACTGAACTGAATAATCATCAGCCATTAAATATTCCCCATCTATATTCCTGCACCCAAAAAGAGAAAACAGCGAGTTTGTAAGCGAAGAATTAAATACAAACAAAACCACCATGATTGTACATATAAGATGAGCATTCATATAAGAATATTCCTTTTTGACCCATGAAAAAACTGCCCAGAATCCTACACAAAGCAGCATAAATACCAAAGGAAGCGAATTGATCTGGATCACTTCTTGAAGGGTTGTCTGTATTGACGGGATTATCGAGGAATCTGAGCATTCCAAAGACGACATCTGGGCAGGGGCGTTTCCTGCCATATTGGAAAATGCAAAAAAGAATCTGAGAATGTTGGGCCACTTCATGTAATAAGATGAAAAGAGCATGATTGTCTGTATATAGCTCATCATCATTTTAAGCAGAAGTCCAAAATCAGATTTGTCTTTTAGAGAACTCTTTATGTTGGAGGCTACCAGTCCAACAATAATTGTAACCACAACTAAAAGAGCCAAAGCAAATAAAAAGAAGCTCACAAACTTGGAAGGACACTTAGAGCATATATAGCTATTTGACTTAAAATACTGCTTTTCGCATATTGCACATAGAGTTCCTTTGTAGCCTTCAGCGCATCCGCCTGTGTAGTCAGTTTTGTTTCCGATGCAGGCTTCGCTGTTCGGGCATGAGTAAAAGTTTTCTGAAAATTCACCAGATCTTCAGTACCCTGCATTTGGAAAAACATTTTTTCCGCCAAGGCAAACTGCATCTGGTGGGCATGATTTGCAAAATTTATCATGTCTATTGATGGAGTAAGTATTGTTTTCACACAAGTTGCAAGAGTTATCAGGTAGATGAATTTCACCAATTAGGCAGTTTCTAAAGGAAATGCTGAACTCTAGGCTTTCTATTTGAGAACTATCCGCAGAAATTACAAAAGTAGCGTTTTCACCAGGCATATGATAGAACCTCAGCTCTTCGAATTCGAATTTTCCATCTTTTCCATAGACTTTGGAAGTTCCTCCTATAACAGTCTCGTTTGAAAGAGCCTGGATTGAAACCGAAGACAAAGAATCTGTTGACGCAGTTTGGTTATAAATATCTAGAAACACAAATGTTATGTTCGGAATTGTACTTCCACTGGTGATATTTATCAGATCTGCCGACTCAAGCACAATTCTTTTTGGAAATGATGCAAAATTCCTGCCATATTTTGCTGAATTATCATAAAATTCACAGCTTAAAATTGAAACTGGGGTCTTAACTTAACTTATTAGGTTCTGTATTTAACGCCATTCACGGGGTGACCCCTCCCAGAGCTTCCCGCTGCTTCTTCGCCGCATAGGGCCGCCGACCATCTGAGGCCAGTCAGCCTCGATCTCCAGTACGCGCCTCCGGAGCAGTGTTGCCGACTAAGGCGGCTCATGCCTGAGCTACTTCGCTTGAGGACATGGGTTGCCATTCCGAAAATCCATAAAAAATGGATTTTCTGGTAGGCTTTCGGCAAAAAGGAAAAACACGAAGCCTGGGACGTAACGCCCAGTTTCTCGCTAGGGAGTTGCCCGATTGGTCCTAACGGACTTTGGCTGAGCTTCCCCTTTCCAACTTGCGTGCCTCCTTTCCCATGAGGAAAAAACATTCCCGAAAGTAGACTTGGGCTAGGCTCTGAGCACAACCAGAATTGCTTACCTAGCATTGCCGTCCGTTTCTGAAATGCAAAACCTTGCCGGATATAATTAAAATATGAGTCGAGTATGCATGGCCGAGAGGCCATGCCCAGACGAAGACGCCATATTTTTAATTTTGAAACTGGGGTCAGGTCATGGTAGATTGCTCCACCATGATAGGCTTGATTATTCAAAAACGAGCTCGATTCTATCCTTGCTTCTCTTGAGTCTGATATATAAAGCCCCCCACCAATGCTTCCTTGGTTTTCTTGCAAAATTGAAGAAATAATGATAAGTGAGCTGTTAAAACTCACCAGAGCTGTATTTGTATTAGAAAGGAACGAGGAGTCATAAACAAAGACATTTGAAGAGTCAAGTTGCAGTGGAGTATTGCTTTTACTAACAAGGATTCTGGAAAAGGTAATATTGGAAGAGTGCACAATTAAGCCATTCAGTGATTTTGATATTGTTGAGTTTGAAATCGTGATTTGGGAATTACCAATCTCAAATGGGCTTTTATTTTCTTCAATCAATAATTGGTTAGCTTGAAAATTTGAGTTTGAAATAGAAAAAGCTTGAAATACATTTGATAAAGTCAAATTGGTGAATTGGGCTGCCATTGCTGACATTTGAATCGCAGTCCCGGATATATTCGAGCCTGTGGTATTGTTTATTGACAATGTGCTTTCAGAAATCGATAATAATTTATATTCCGAACTAAATGAAACATTGATGAGTTTAGCATCACTTTTTTCTGCAAAAATTATTGCATTTGCTACGTTTCCAGCTGATTGACCGCCTGAAAATTGGCTTGAACTTTGATAAATCTGAAAGCAGACGTCACAGGAATTTTGTATAAAAGATCAATTGGAAAGAGTGAGTGAACTCTTATCCATAATGATTATATTTGTAGCCTGGAAATTATTTTGACTAAAAGCGACATTCGAAGCAGTCAGGACGCTTCTTTCGTTCAAACTGAGTAAGCTGCTCCATTCGTCTGCATAATTTTGATAAAAACGAACTGCATTCATTTCTATCCGTGAGCCATAGGCAGTCCAAAACTCTTGATTTATGGCTGAGTTGTTAAAAAATTGACTATTGGTTATTGATGCATCAGTATTCTCAAACGAAAACATCGAGCCAGTATTACCATAAAAGCTTGACTTTTCAATAGTGAGCTGATTCCTCATATACTGGGACTCGTAAATGTAGAAATATTGAAAAGAACTATATGTAACATTGCAGTTCTCAAAACTTATGACCTGTCCAAGCTCATTTTCTGAGAGTGATACCTCTGCATATATTACTGGAGCTGCACTTCCTATGCTCTGGATATTATGAAATAGAGTGTTGACAAATTTAATTGAGCCAAGGAGAAAAGTATTTGCGAAAACCCCAAGATCTAATTAGAAATTACAATGAAAAGGAGCCATATGTTGAAAAATACAGTTATTAAAGCTGCCAGAGATAAGGGTGGTAGTTGGTGAAAATAAAACTGATGAAGAAGCTTGCCCTTGGCTGTGCTCGAAAATCGCTGAGTCTACTGTCAAGACTATTCCTTGATCACCTTGAACATATAAGTCTGCAGAATTTTGAGCTTTATTTGATGTAAAAGTTGTCAATAAAATTGTAAGGCTGCTGCCTGGAATTTTTGGATTGAAGAGGACTGCAGAATTAATTGTGCTTAAGCTAGAGAATAGCGAATCTGTCACAATTAGACCACTGTTTGAAGATGAAATTCCTGAATTTGCAGAAACCTTGGAAAGTATGATAGATTGAAGAGCTACAGATACGTTGGAGTCAATAATAATGGCTCCATCACTGAAAGCCGAAGACTCTATTTGAATGCTGCTAAAAGTTTTATGTGGATTAAAGTTCGAGTGGAAAATTAAAAATGAGCTGGCTAGTCCATTTGAGGAAAATATATCTGTTAGGTTCAAAGATGCAATTATATCGAGCAATTGAATGACTGGAGATGTCCCAATATCGTAGTTATCAATTTTTATCTGATTTAGAGTAATTGATCTTGTGTTTTGAAAGGAAATAATATTAGAGCTTGATGATTTTGAAGCCCAGTAAGGTAAAACAGAAGTTAAGCTTTGGAAAGATGAGATAGATTCAAATAAGTTATTAAGCTTGTTTGGGCAATTATTTATAGTGACGTTATATAGGAAAACATTGGAAACATTTTGAAATTTCAATGCACTTGCCTTAGTATCTGAATTCTCGATTTTCACATTATTCATTTGTATATTTCTTTTATAAAATGGAAGCAAAACATCCAAAGCTAAGATATTTCCATCATCAGACCCGCAAAAAGTATCTTGATCAAAAGAAATGGAAATTAGAGGGCACCCGTAGGTACTAACTTGGTTTATAGTGATGCTTGAGATTAAAACAATAGGCTGAATCTCACGGTAACTGACTGCTATCAAGGCCCCATCACTCCCAATAAAAGAATCATTTACATTGATATTTTTTATTATAATATTCTCTCGATTAATATCAATTCCAAGGATTGTTGAAAAATACAAATATAAGAATCCGCCGCTTTTAAAAAAGGTACTAGTAACATTCACATCATTGATTTCAGCTTTTGAGAATTGTGAAATCGAGATGAACGGCTGAGGATTTTTATCAGTTATCTCATCATTATTTCATACGTTATCAACAGTCAGATTAGAAATATAAATAGTATCCACATTTGATACTTGCAGAATTCCTGGACTAACGAAGTCTGAACTGCACTGCACAGTTCCATAATCAATCATCCTATTCACGTCTTCTATTCTTGAGTTCCTCATCTCAACCAATGAATAAGTTTTATTAATATTCAAAGGCACATTAAATTCTTGATAAGAATTCTTGAACGGGGCATAAAAAATTAGAGGGCTACTGCTTTTAACATCAATTAAATAGGATAAAAGTCGAACATGCTTTACCAGCAAGCTATCAAAATGAGAAATGCAGTTTGAGAGCACGAAAATAGAGAATACTCTATCAATGTTCTGAACCACAAAGTTGCTGACGTAGACTTCACTATTGAAAAAACTCAGTGAAGGCGCATATGAATAGCAAAACTGGTTATTAGAAAATGTCTTCGGAATATCTATAGATGAAGGCAAGGAGTCGTTATTAGAGTTGTGGCAAGAACTTTGATTGCAGACCCAGTTCTGAGCAAACATGCAGTAATCGTTGCTGCAGTTTGGAATCCAAAATTCAGAGCCATCATAAGTTAGATTTTCAATTCACACTTTAGAATAGTTAGAAAATGTAATGGATGCCAAAGGGCTTATTGGCCTTATTTGGACTAAATTTTCTCCTGTCAATGTTAAGTATTGAGAATTTGAAGCAGATAAAGATGAATTTAAATAATAGATCCCTGAAGCCATAATGATTCGGAGGTGAGGCACAATTGATGAATAAAGAAAGGCATAATCTAAACTAGAAAATGGTTTTTCTTTGCTTCCATCTCCACTCAGGGATCGTTGGTCAACTCATATTTCATCTGTACAATCATCGTTGTCGAAATTGCATTTTTCATTCGCACATTGAGGCTGGCAGACCCCATCTCCACGACTCCTTACGGTTTGATCGGAGCATTTTCATGTTATTTTTGATTGATTTTATTTGATAGAATTTTAACTGTTTTTTAAGCATTGTTACTGAAAAAGTTAAGACCAAAATTCCAAGGAAATGTCGCAAAAGGAAGAATTCTTAACAAATGACTGGCAACGATCTCCAAGCATGCTGAAGCTGCAATTTTGACTGCACAGTCCAAAGCAGTCTCCTGCATCAAATAAACAATTTTCATTAAAGCAGTCATTCTGGCATTGCTTGTCTCCGATCATTGATGGTAAACAGCCACCAGAGCAGAGGTTTATACAGTCAATATTATCAAAAGTGCAGGAACTTGTATAGCATTCTTTGTTACATATGCCGTTTCCTATCATATTGGGACTGCATCCTGGTGAGCATTGAATAGGGCAGTCAAGACTGTCAAAGTTGCAATCTAAAGTGTCACATTGAGAGTCACAGTAGCCATCACCAGCGAGCATTAAACAATCAAGTGAGCAGGATGCTGAAACTAAAGGTATTAAGATCAAAAACATTATCTAGAGTAGCAAGCAAGGGCTTTTATGCATGCTGATCTTCAAGCGAGGAAAAGTATCTTGAAATCTTCGAATGAGACATATTTAGCAAATGTTACTTTGATTATTATAAAGTTTAACTTAGCTTATAGAAACTGTCTTTTTGATAATTAAATTATATAGAAATTGCCTTTGAGTAGCGTGCTAAGCGCCCGAGACTTCCCGACGAAGTCTGGGCGGTGGTTTGACCAGACTTCATCGGGAAGTCTCAGGCGCTTAGCGCGCTACTCAAAGGCAATTTCTATATATCTCTTCTTGTTTTTATTAAAAACCAGCAGTAAATTTTTTCTAGGTAGCTAAGCTTTCAAGACTATTTTCGAAAATTATTATTATATTAAGATTGTTTCAGATTAAGTTATATCAATTAAATATGAAAATGCCGTTAATACTTATTATTACCTTTTTCATTTTCTCTGTGAATGCTAAGGATTCTATACAGAAACCAATGGACCCTCAAGAAAGTAATCATCCTCAGCCTGAAATAAAACCACTGCAATATTCTGAGAAGATCTCAAAAGAACCTAATAAAAAGCCCTTGATGATTTCTTTCTTACAAATCAGTAACGATAACTCTGGTCAGGATAATGACGGACTTGACGATAAGAAAAAAGTATATATGGTTTTTATATTCAATTTCGTAGCCTGTATTGCATGCTTTGCTTTGCTGCAAGGAATTTTAATTTTTAGTAAAAAGATGAATAGCAAGCTGACAAGTCTGAGGGCGAATTACAAGAACTTCGTTGCTTTATCCCAATTTAAGGATTTTCAAAGGCAATTTTGGAAGCCAAGTCCAGGTTCTCAAGCTCAAAGACCTAATTAATTTTGCATAGATTATTCTGAAATTTGTTTATAAAAGGTAATAACACTATGTCGCTGATATGCCGCCTGTTTAAACGATTTTGAGTTATATTTTATATTTTCTGAGTAATTTACTGCTTTTTAATCTTTTTTGTCCATTTCGCAAGGTATAACTTACTCCCCACTTGGTTTAGTGAGCGAAAAACTGAAAAAATCCTATTTTTATGCACAAAAAGCTTGCTTGCAAACCAAGGGAGAATTATTCTAGAGCTCCTTCGCCTATTCGCAACGGCAGTATTTAGCTGATTATATTGATTAGCATAACAAAAGCTCGTAAAATCTGAATTTTAGCCAGAGAGATGCTCTGCCGGCGCTAGTTTGGATACTTTGTTATAACTACCTTTAGCCCAAATGCAAAAAAGTTGGTTTAGGGCATGGTTTGGACGAGTACACAAAACCTGTATTTCTTACTTGACATATTTGAGAATATGACATAGAATTCAATGAGTTGAAGAACTATTGTCAAAGCCTCTATCGCAACTATTTATTTAATAATGCTCATTATAATATTATGAAATTTTAATAAATTTTCCATTGAATAATACAGTTGGTTCTTTATCATATTAACATATCTAGTTAAGGGCTTTTACTTATAAAAATGATAATTGCTTATTTAAAGTGAATATGATAATCTGTTGTATTAATACATATTATCATTCCACAAAAAACAAATTATTTTATTTTTGATACCCATATATAATTAGCATATCGAAGTATCTTCTGGCATATAAAAGCAATTAACAATATTATCGGCAAAATATTAAATTTTATGAGCTTCGAAATTCAATATGATGATAAAGGAAGAAGGCACTGGAAGCAGACAGACAGATCCCATTCTCCTGAATCCAAGCCTCCAGAAGAAACAAAAGCAAAGCCAGTCCCAATTGACTACTCAAGGGCATTAGAAGCAAGAGAATCGAAAATAAAACTCGATAATCAGGTAGGAATTCGCAAAATCGCAGCTGAAGACAAATCTAGCTCAAAATATTTGGGATACTACTGCAAACCCTGTGACTTTTCTGTAAATGACTCACTTGCGTGGCTTGATCATTTGAATTCTGAACAGCACAATCGAATGCATGGAAACTTAATGAAGGTTGAAAAAGTCACTGTAGATGCTGTAGAGCAAAGACTTAAAGAACTTAAGCAAAAGAAGCCTAAAAAAAGACCGCCGACAATTGAAGAAATCATGAAAAGACTGGACTCTAAGGAGCCTGAACCTTCAAAGAAGCAAAAAATTACAGAGGATTAAATATTTTAATGATATATTTATTTTCAAAAGACAAAACATTTAAGCAAGATGCTGCTATTCTCTTAAAAGTTCGCATTTTCTTAAGGCTAAGTCTTTTTAAATTTATAATCCTTTGGTTTTTTAACTATAAATATTTTTTTCTTTAAGGTTTTATGATTCAAGCTGATAGTGTGCATTAAATTCTCGCTTTATGATTAGCATAATTTTTAAGATGAAGGAAAGGGAAAAAAGTATATAAAAATATTAAAATGCATTTTTATGAAACTATAAAAATTTTTAAATTATAGAACAAAATGCTCGAAATAATACAGTTTAACTATTCCTATTTTATTAAGGAGCGTTACAATTCTAAAAAATGATTAATCTATTTATTATTATTCGAATATGTCTTCAGAAGACGACTGGGGAATCGATTCAGACGAAGAAGAGTCTGAGGTTCAGCCGACTTTTAAATACCACCCAGCACAAATATCCAAAAAATACGAAATAATTAGTGAGCAGGAATTAAACAAAAGCCAAAAAAGGCTAATAAAGCAGGTATCTGAGCTTTTGGGAACAAATATATCAAAATCAATCGGACTTCTGGTCAAATATCAGTGAAAGATGAAAGATATTGAATTCCTATTGGAAAGCGGACATAAGATGGATTTACAGTCAATTACATCAGAATATTCATTAATCCCTTCTCACTCATTTAAAATTTGCATTTTATGCTATCTCCCAAAGATTGGTTTTGATATGAGAGCATTAGAATGCGGCCATGCATGCTGTGCATACTGTTATGCTGAATACCTAAAAGAATCAATCTCCAAAGGCGTTTCTTCAATTACTACTTCATGCCCAATGAATAGTTGCCCACTACTTGTCCCTTATGAGCTCTTTCAAGAACTTTTGCATGAAAAAATATTTGCGAAATATAAAAAACATTTATTTGAGTCCTACTGCTCGAGTAACACTCAGTTAAAATGATGCCCTGCTCCTGATTGTATTTATGGAGTTATTAATTACAACGACAAAGACATCTGTTGCAAATGTGGACTGACTTGGTGCTTCAATTGTAAAGCTGAAGGACATCGCCCTTTGGACTGCGAAAGCTTGAAAAGGTGGCATAAAAAATTGCTAGGAGGAAACGAAGAAGACTGAATTCTTGCCAATACCAAAAAATGCCCAAAATGCAAGGCTCCAATCCAGAAAAACCAAGGATGCATGCATATGACTTGCAAATGCCTTCATGAATTTTGCTGATTGTGTCTCGGAAACTGATCTGAGCATAGCTCAGAAACTGGGGGCTATTTTAAATGCAATAAATTCGAATCCCAACAATCTTCTGGAATTTATTTACAAGAAGAAGCCAATAAAGCAAAGGCCTCTCAGAATATACAAAAATTCGATCATTATTTTCAAAGATACGCAGCTCATAGAAATTCCCATGAATTTGCAGTTGAAAAACTTAAAAAAATTAAGGCTAAGATTTCATCAATCAAGGAAATGGCAAGAGAAAGCGGGTTTAACTTTGATTTTTTGGTCGAAGCAGTCGAGTTGGTCGTTAGATCAAGGAAATCATTAGGATACTCATACCCGCTGGGCTATTTTTTAGATTCCGAAGCCAAATTGAGATTTTTCGAATTCATTCAGGCAGAGCTAGAACACTCTCTGGATAAGCTTGATGAGAAGACAGATGCTGAATTGGATGCTTTCTTTGACATACGTCAAAGCTCAGCTGAGCAATATAGAAAGTTCAATAAATTCAGGATTGATACTACTAAGCTCAGCGAAATTGTCACTAATCACTTTTCTAAATGCTTGACAGAAATGGAAAACGGGTTTCCTGATATCCAAGCACCGACTCAAAGAGAAACTCCATTGGAAATACTTATATACGACTCTAATTGGACTTGCCCTAGATGCACATTTGAAAATTCTAGTGAAAGAAATAGTTGCGAGATCTGCCTTGCTCCGAATCCCGAACTTTTTACTCTACGATGCTATTAATATTGTTATTTAAATATACAATTCATAATCGAATTAATATTTACTGATCTTAGGTTTTTTATATTTATAAATGATTTAATGTTTCTTTATTCTTAGGAGCTTGAATTCTTTAAGTATTTTATAACCTAATAATAATCAATGTATATGATGCTAAATATAGCATTAAATTAATATCCATTCGCCATATTTATTTAAATGGATCTTTCTGAAAAATATCGATTATTGGGAAATGATGCTCATCGCAGAGGAGACTACCATAAAGCCATTGAGCATTACTCCCAAGCATTGCAAATTTCCCCTCAAAATGCACAATTATATAGCAATAGATCAGCATCTCATTTTATGCTAAAGCAATTCCAAGAAGCTTTGGGGGATTGCCACAATGCTTTAAGGTACAACCCAAACTTCACCAAAGCTCTTCTGAGGGCTTCTAAAATTAATTTAATGCTTGGAAACCTTGATGCTTCTCAAGAGTTTTGCAGGAATGCAGCAGCTATTGAACCAGAAAATCTAGAAATTAAAAATGAACAGAAAGCAATAGAGGAGGTGAACGAAAATCTGAAGCTCGCGAAGCAATCTAAAGCACGAGGAGATTATCATCAGAGTGTTTATTTTCTTAGCAAGGCCTTGGAACATGTCACTGAGAATCTTGAATTAAAATTGCAAAAGCTTGATTGCTTAATAGAAGAAGAAAACTATGAACATGCTGAAAGGTATGCTAATGAGTTAATGAATTCATATGGAAATAATCCCGATATCTTATTTCTTAAAGGGAAAGCCTTATTGTATTCTGGGAAAACCAATGGAGGAAAACAGTTTATTTATGATGCTATCAAATTCGATCCTGATCATAATAATGCCAAAGAGATAATCAGAAAATTAAAAAAAATTGAAAATTTGAAAGATGAGGGAAATAAGCATTTCCAAGAAGGGAAAAGAAAATATGCTATTGATTGCTACACAGAAGCACTGTCAATTGACCCCAAATGTAAAAAATTGAATTCCATGATACTTGCTAACCGAGCAGCAGCTCATATGAAGAATTCTGATTATATGCTTTCTCTAGCTGATTTAAACCAATCATTACAACTCAACCCTGAGTACACCAAAGCTTATATGAGAAGAGGAAATGTTCACTCACAACTCGGGAATTTTGAAGAAGCCTTAAGAGACTATTATCAAGTTAAACAACGTGATCCAGGCTACCCTGAAGTTGACAATGCAATACAGCTTGCTCAAATTAACGAAAAGAAAGCACGGCACAAGGATTATTATGCAATTTTAGGGGTAAGTAAAAAAGCAAGTGTCGGCGAGATTAAAAAAGCTTATAAAAAACTAGCATTGAAATGGCATCCTGATAAAAATTCAGATACTCCAGAAAACAAAGCTCAATCAGAGAAAAAATTTAAAGATATTGCAGAAGCATATATGGTTTTAAGTGATGAAAATAAAAGACGGCAATATGATTTAGGGGGAAATTTGGAAGGAATGGAACAAGGAATGCCAGAAGGGGCACAATTTGATGTGGATCCGAGAGAAATATTTAGAATGTTCTTTGGGGATAGTGGAGGTTTAGTTTTTGGAAATAGGGCCTTTGGAGGGAGAGAAGCGCAACAATTTGCAGGGCCGAGAGAAGGAGAGTTTTACTCGACTGGGCAAAGAGGAAACTATAAGTTTGTCTTTCGAACGAACAGTGCTGGAAGAGATTATTATTAATTTAAAAGAAGAATTAAGAAATAAAAATTATATAATTCACCTAATAGATTTATGTACTTAATGTATTTATATTAATATAGGGTTTTCAACTCAACATTAGCTAGATAAATTCCAAAGATATATTATGTTTTATGATAAAGCATTGTAAAGCATCTATGGAAGTGTCTAAATATTAATTCAATTTAATAGCTAAATGACTAGATAAAAAATTACATTAAAAAGAAAGCATTAAAAATATTAAAAATTATATTCCCAAATAAGTGAAAAAATATTTTTCCTCTTAAGAAATCTTGCAAGTGCTAATGGACATGAATTGATTCATCTATTTATAAAACAAATTATAACTACAGGCATTTTATAGATAAATTAGAGCTAATTGTATATTAGATTATGAGAGACTAAAGCTTACAAAGAATATGTGATATTTATATATAGCCATAATTGAGGATAAACTAATCTTTAAGTTAAAATAAGAAACTTAATTTTTTATTTTGTATTAAACTATGTTCAACTAATAGATTGCTCTATAAACTTTTATCATAAAATAAATTATGATTTATTTGATTTATATAATTAATTTTTCAATTGATATATCCACCTCTAAACTTATTAAGCAATCTTGACTCATTATATATCTTTACATTCATCAAAGTAAGTAAAGACAATTTTTATACCCCAGCAGAGAATAATATACAGGGTGTTAGGGTGTTAGGGTGTTAGGGTGTTAGGGTGTTAGGGTGTTAGGGTGTTAGGGTGTTAGGGTGTTAGGGTGTTAGGGTGTTAGGGTGTTAGGGTGTTAGGGTGTTAGGGTGTTAGGGTGTTAGGGTGTTAGGGTGTTAGGGTGTTAGGGTGTTAGGGTGTTAGGGTGTTAGGGTGTTAGGGTGTTAGGGTGTTAGGGTGTTAGGGTGTTAGGGTGTTAGGGTGTTAGGGTGTTAGGGTGTTAGGGTGTTAGGGTGTTAGGGTGTTAGGGTGTTAGGGTGTTAGGGTGTTAGGGTGTTAGGGTGTTAGGGTGTTAGGGTGTTAGGGTGTTAGGGTGTTAGGGTGTTAGGGTGTTAGGTGTTAGGGTGTTAGGGTGTTAGGGTGTTAGGGTGTTAGGGTGTTAGGGTGTTAGGGTGTTAGGGTGTTAGGGTGTTAGGGTGTTAGGGTGTTAGGGTGTTAGGGTGTTAGGGTGTTAGGGTGTTAGGGTGTTAGGGTGTTAGGGTGTTAGGGTGTTAGGGTGTTAGGGTGTTAGGGTGTTAGGGTGTTAGGGTGTTAGGGTGTTAGGGTGTTAGGGTGTTAGGGTGTTAGGGTGTTAGGGTGTTAGGGTGTTAGGGTGTTAGGGTGTTAGGGTGTTAGGGTGTTAGGGTGTTAGGGTGTTAGGGTGTTAGGGTGTTAGGGTGTTAGGGTGTTAGGGTGTTAGGGTGTTAGGGTGTTAGGGTGTTAGGTGTTAGGGTGTTAGGGTGTTAGGGTGTTAGGGTGTTAGGGTGTTAGGGTGTTAGGGTGTTAGGGTGTTAGGGTGTTAGGGTGTTAGGGTGTTAGGGTGTTAGGGTGTTAGGGTGTTAGGGTGTTAGGGTGTTAGGGTGTTAGGGTGTTAGGGTGTTAGGTGTTAGGGTGTTAGGGTGTTAGGGTGTTAGGGTGTTAGGGTGTTAGGGTGTTAGGGTGTTAGGGTGTTAGGGTGTTAGGGTGTTAGGGGTGTTAGGGTGTTAGGGTGTTAGGGTGTTAGGGTGTTAGGGTGTTAGGGTGTTAGGGTGTTAGGGTGTTAGGGTGTTAGGGTGTTAGGGTGTTAGGGTGTTAGGGTGTTAGGGTGTTAGGGTGTTAGGGTGTTAGGGTGTTAGGGTGTTAGGGTGTTAGGGTGTTAGGGTGTTAGGGTGTTAGGGTGTTAGGGGTGTTAGGGTGTTAGGGTGTTAGGGTGTTAGGGTGTTAGGGTGTTAGGGTGTTAGGGTGTTAGGGTGTTAGGGTGTTAGGGTGTTAGGGTGTTAGGGTGTTAGGGTGTTAGGGTGTTAGGGTGTTAGGGTGTTGGGTGTTAGGGTGTTAGGGTGGTTAGGGTGTTAGGGTGTTAGGGTGTTTGTGTTGGGTGTTAGGGTGTTTGGGTTAGGGTGTTAGGGTGTTAGGGTGTTAGGGTGTTAGGGTGTTAGGGTGTTAGGGTGTTAGGGTGTTAGGGTGTT